TGTGTGCTCAGTCGCTCAGTCAAGTGGAACTCTTTGTGATCCCATGGAGTACAGCCCAGCCTCCTGTGTTCATGGGATTTTCCTGGCAAGAATACTGGAGTAGGTTGCCATTTCCTACTCCAGAGGCATCTTCTCAACCCAGGGACAGAACTCGTGTCTCATGTGATTCCTGCATTGGCAGGTGGGTTCTTTACCACTGCACCAGCTGGATATGGATGGGTAAAATTCTGTGGCAGCCACTTTGTTTCTTCTTCGCTCCCCCTCATCCATCTATAGGTAACTATCTCTCTGAAAGTCCTTTGGAAAATCTATATAACATGATCAGAGATATTTTTCAATCATGTTGATCCTTCCTTGTGATTTCAGTGTTTGTGTAGCCAATCATCTGTTCCTATGACACTACTTATGTCCCTGAGCCCTGGGAGACAGGGTTCAGGTGGGCAGTAGGTCTCAGTGAGAGTCAGTCCAAGGGCTGGTCTGCTCAGCACAGCCAGCGCCAGCCCACATTGTCTTCTATCCCCCAAACACTGAGAATGCTTCCCTCCCCGCCACCCATTCGGACCATGGCCAGGGAACTTGGCTAAAATCCTGTATATGCTGAAGAAGCTTCAGGGTCAGAAAAACGAAAAATGGTTATAATAATTGCGGGAGTGAGATGAGGTTCTGTGTTTTCAGTTCTTATATTTATGTGTCTTGATTCATTGTTTATTATTTTAAATTTTGATTGTAATATCATTCTTTACAGTGCTGTTAGTTTCTGGTGTTCAGCAAAGTGAATCAGTTATATATACCTTCGTGTCTTAGATTCTATTTCCATGTCGTTTATTACAAAGAATTGAATAGAGTTCCCTGTGCTCTCCAGTAGATCTTTATGTATTTTGTGTATAGTAGAGTGTATTTGTCAATCCTAATTTATCCTTCACCATTCTTTGGTAACCATAAGTTTGTTCTCTACATCTGAGGCTCTATTTCTGTCAATAGGTTTATATGTAACATTCTGTTAGATTCCATATGTAAGTGACATCATATGATATTTGTCTTTCTATATCAGACTTCACTCAGTATGACATTCCCTAGGATCATCCATGTTTCACACATAGAATTATTTTGTTCTTTTTAAGAGTCGATAATATTCCATTGTAAACATGAACCACATATGCTTTATCTCTTCCTCCATCGAGGAACATTTAGTTGCTTCTGTCTGCTGGCTATTGTAAATAGTGCTGAAACGAACATTGGGGAACATGGATCTTTTCACATTATGTTTTTCTCTGGATATTTGCCCAAGTGTAAGATGACTGTATCATGTGGTAACTCTTATTTTTAGTCTTTTAAGAACCTTCATACTGTCAGACAAACTGAGGGACTGAACTGAACTGATACTGTTTTTCATAGTGGCTGTACCAATCTCCATTCTCAGCAACAATGTATGAGGCTTCCCTTTGCTCCTCACGCTCTACAGCTTTTATTCTTTGTAGATTTTCTGATGATGGCCATTCTGATTGGCATGAGCTGATACCTCATTGTAGTTTTCATTTGTATTTCTCTAAGAATTAGTGATGTTCAGTGTCTTTTCATGTTCTTCCTGGCCACCTGTATGCCTTCTTTGGAGAAATGTGTAGTTAGATCTTCCATCTATTTTTTGATTGAGGATATTAGTTTCTGGTTTTTTTTTTTTTTTTTAAATGTTGACCTGCATGCGCTGTTACATATTTTGAAGATTAATCCCCTGTTGGTCACTTCATTGGCAGATATTTTCTTCCTTTCTGTGCGCTCTTTTCATGTTGGGAGAACACCGTCTCCCAGGGGTGAGTTTTTAAGTTTGATTAGGCTGCATTTTTTTTATTTTTGTTTTTATTTCATCACTCTAGGAAGTGGACTAGAGAAGATCTTTCTGCGATATATGTCAGAGAGTCTTCTGCCTCTGTTTTTCTCTAACTTTTTTATAGTGCCTAGAATTACATTCAGATATTTAATCCATTTTTAGTTTATTTTTATGTGTGGTGTCAGAGGTTCATAGATCTATCCTTTTTCAGATTCTTTTCCCTTATAAGTTATTACAGAATATTGTGGAGAGTTCCCTGTTCTATACGGTAGGTCTTTGTTGATTATTTTACATATAGTAGCATCTGTTTATTAATCTCAACCTCCTAATTTATCCTTCCCTTCACTTGTCCCATTTGGTAATCCTAAGTTTGCTTTTAAAATTTGTGTATCAGTCTCTATTTTGTGCATAATCCATGTTTATCACTTTTTGAGAGTCTACATATTAGCTGTACAATAAGATATTTGTCTTTGTCTGTCAACTGACTTCACTTCTATGATAATCTACAGGTCCATCCAAGTTGCTGCAAATGGCACCATTTCATTCTTTTTATATCTCAGTAGTATTTCATTGTGTTTATGCACCACATCTTCTTTATCCATTTGGCCGTGGATATTGAGGTTGCTTCCACATGTTATGCATTGTAACTAGATTGCATTATCCTTTCAATTGAGAGCTTTTTCCCAGTATATGTCCAAGAGTGGGATTACTGGATCCTGAGGTAGTCTTATTTTTAGAAGAGCCTTCATAGTGTTTTCCACACTGGCTACACCAATTTACATTGCAACCAACAGTGCTCAAGTATTTCTTTTTCTTCACATCCTTGCCAACATTTATTTGTGTTCTTCTTGATGATGGCTATTTTGGAAGATGTGAGGAGGTAACTTCTCTTGGTGTGGATTTTCATTTCTTTGATGATTGCAGATATAAAGCAGCTCTTCCTGGGCCTGTTTGCCATCTATATAACTTCTTTGATTAAATGTCTATTGAGACCTTTTGCCCTCTTTTAAATGAAGTTTTTTATTGTTATTTTTTTGCTATACATTTGTATGAATTCTTTATATATTTTAAATATTAACCCCTTACAAAGTATATTAATTGCAAATATTTTCTCCTATTTCATTTTATTTCATTTCTCTTTGTTTTACTTTGTTGACCTCTGCTATATTTCCCGTTGTTACCTTTTGGTCTTCTTTTGTGTTTAGAATCAGATCGAAAAATCATTTCTGAGACAGCTGTTAAAGAGGTTTCTACCTGTTTTTTCTAGTTCTGTGGTTTCAGGTCTTCTTCTCAAGGCTTAATGCATTTTGAGTTCAGTTCTCTGCATATTGTAAGATACAATATGGGTGCCCTGCCTCACCGCGAGAAGAGTCCCTTTTGCCCTGCCAAGCCTCGAAGAGATTCCTGAGGTGTCCCTCGTTACTAGACAGCAGTCCTGACGTCACTGAAGAAACACGTGTTTTGAAGGGCCATCCCCGCCGTAAGTCGAGAACATACCCTAGGTCCCCGCGGCAACTCGAGAAAAACCATGAGACTTCCCCCTAGAGGCGAGATGAGGCCCCATTCCCCTGCAGTGCATGCAGAGCTATTCCGTGATCCCATTCAAACAAGACAGGAGCTTCGACTTGCTTAATGGATCTCGAGAGAGTCCCCAAGAACACTGTCACCAGTCTAGAAGGACACTGAGGTCACCCCAGCAACGCAAAGCAGCTCCATGTGCCCCAAATCAACTCGAGATGAGGCCCGATTCCCCTGCATTGACTCCAGAGCCACTCCCCGTTCCCATTCAACACGACCGGTGGCTCGACTTCCTTCAGGCAACTCCAGAGATGCCCCGAGAACACTGTCCCAAGTCTAGAGGAACACCAACTTCAGCAACGCAACTCGAGGAATGCTCCGTGTACCCCAAATCGTCTTGAGATGAGAGCTGATTCCCTGGCTTAGGCTCAAGACGTATGCCAACTTTCCAGAAGCACCTCAGGAGGAGGATTCCCTCAGCAATAGGTATGTGGGAGGGACCTCGAGTTTGCTGCCTCAAGGGGAATATAGAGCGAGAAGCCCTAACTTGAAAGGTGGCCGGATTTCCTTGCAGTGGCTTGAATACAGGCTCGTCTTTGATCTCAAAACATGAAGGGATGTCTGAATCCCCTGTGGAGACGTTAGAGAAAGCCCTAGGTCCCTGCCTCATTTTGACGGAATGCCTCACATCCCGTTGACACCTTGAGAGGCACGCGGAGTTCATTGCTTCAAAAGGTGACGATGCCTGACTCCTCTTGAATACTGATAGGAATCCCAAAATCCCTGTGGCTACTGGAAAGGGACCTTGGGTGCCCTGCCTCACCTCGAGAAGCGTCCCTTTGCCCTGCCTAGCCTCGAAGAGATTCCGAAGGTGTCCAATTTACTAGACATGAGTCCTGACGTCACTGAAGAAACTCGTGTTTTGAAGGGCCATCCCCGCCGTAAGTCGAGAACATACCCCAGGGCCCCGCCGCAACTCGAGAAAACCATGAGACTTCCCCCTACAGGCGAGATGAGGCCACATTCCCATGCAGTGCCTGCAGAGCTATTCCGTGATCCCATTCAAACAAGTCAGGAGTTTCGACTTGTTTAATCGATATCGAGACAGTCCCCAAGCACACTGTCACAGTCTAGGCGGACCCTGAGGTCACCCCAGCAACGCAAAGCAGCTCCATGTGCCCCAAATCAACTCGAGATGAGGCCCGATTCTCCTGCATTGACTCCAGAGCCATTCCCCGTTCCCCATTCAACACGACCGGTGGTTCGACTTCCTTCAGGCAACTCCAGAGATGCCCCGAGAACACTGTCCCAAGTCTAGAGGAACACCAACTTCAGCACAGCAACTCGAGGAATGCTCCGTGAACCCCAAATTGTCTCGAGATGAGAGCTGATTCCCTGGCTTAGGCTCAAGACGTATGCCAACTTTCCAGAAGCACAACAGGAGGAGGCTTCTCTCAGCAATAGGTATGTGGGAGGGACCCCGAGATCACTGCCTCAAGTGGAATATACAGCGAGAAGCCCTACCTTGAAAGGAGGCCCGATTTCCTTGCAGAGGCTTGGATACAGGCTCGTCTTTGATCTCAAAACATTAAGGGATGTCTGAATCCCCTGTGGAGACCTTAGAGAAAGCACTAGGTCCCTGCCTCATTTTCACGGAATGCCTCACATCCCGTTGACACCTCGAGAGGCACGCGGAGTTCATTGCTTCAAAAGGTGACGATGCCTGAATCCTCTTGAATACAGATAGGAATCCCAAAATCCCTGTGGCTACTGGAGAGGGTCCTTGGCTGCCCTGCCTCACCTCGAGAAGCGTCCCTTTTACCCTGCCAAGCCTCGAAGTGATTCATGAGGTGTCCCTCCTTACTAGACAGGAGTCCTGACGTCATTGAAGAAACTCGTGTTTTGAAGGGCCATCCCCGCAGTAAGTCGAGAACATAACCCTGGGCCCCGCCGCAACTCGAGAAAAACCATGAGACTTCCCCCTAGAGGCGAGATGAGGCCCCATTCCCCTGCAGTGCATGCAGAGCTATTCCGTGATCCCATTCAAACAAGTCTGGAGCTTGGACTTGCTTAATGGATCTCGAGACAGTCTCCAAGAACACTGTCACCAGTCTAGACGGACCCTGAGGTCAGCCCAGCAACGCAAAGCAGCTCCATGTGACCCAAATCAACTCGAGATGAGTCCCGATTCCCCTGCATTGACTCCAGAGCCATTCCCCGTTCCCCATTCAACACGACCGGTGGCTCAACTTCCTTCAGGCAACTCCAGAGATGCCCGGAGAACACTGTCCCAAGTCTAGAGGAATACCAACTTCAGCACAGCAACTCGAGGAATGCTCCGTGTACCCCAAATCGTCTCAAGATGACAGCTGATTCCCTGGCTTAGGCTCAAGACGTATGCCAACTTTCTAGAAGCACCTCAGGAGGAGGCTTCTCTCAGCAATAGGTATGTGGGAGGGACCCCGAGATCACTGCCTCAAGTGGAATATATAGCGAGAAGCCCTAACTTGAAAGGAGGCCGGATTTCCTTGCAGTGGCTTGAATACAGGCTCGTATTTGATCTCAAAACCTAAAGGGATGTCTGAATCCCCTGTGGAGACCTTAGAGAAAGCCCTAGGTCCCTGCCTCATTTTGACGGAATGCCTCACATCCCGTTGACACCTCGAGAGGCACGCGGAGTTCATTGCTTCAAAAGGTGACGATGCCTGACTCCTCTTGAATAATTATAGGAATCCCAAAATCCCTGTGGCTACTGGAAAGGGTCCTTGGGTGCCCTGCCTCACCTCGAGAAACGTCCCTTTTCCCTTCAAAGCCTCGAAGAGATTCATGAGGTGTCCCTCGTTACTAGACAGGAGTGCTGACGTCACTGAAGAAACTCCTGTTTTGACGGGCCATCCCCGCAGTAAGTCGAGAACATTCCCCAGGGCCCCGCCGCAACTCGAGAAAAACCATGAGACTTCCCCCTAGAGGCGAGATGAGGCCCCATTCCCCTGCAGTGCATGCAGAGCTATTCCGTGATCCCATACAAACAAGTCAGGAGTTTCGACTTGCTTAATGGATCTCGAGACCGTCCCCAAGAATAATATCACCAGTCTAGACGGATCCTGAGGTCACCCCAGCAACCCAAAGCAGCTCCATGTGCCCCAAATCAACTTGAGATGAGGCCCGATTCCCCTGCATTGACTCCAGAGCCATTCCCCGTTCTCCATTCAACACGACCAGTGGCTGGACTTCTTTCAGGCAACTCCAGAGATGCCCCGAGAACACTGTGCCAAGTCTAGAGGAACAACAACTTCAGCACAGCAACTCGAGGAATGCTCCGTGTACCCCAAATCGTCTCGAGATGAGAGCTGATTCCCTGGCTTAGGCTCAAGACGTATGCCAACTTTCCAGAAGCACCTCAGGAGGAGGTTTCTCTCAGCAATAGGTATGTGGGAGGGACCCTGAGATCGCTGGCTCAAGTGGAATATACAGTGAGAAGCCGTAACGTGAATGGAGGCCGGATTTCCTTGCAGTGGCTTGAATACAGGCTCGTCTTTGATCTCAAAACATGAAGGGATGTCTGAGTCCCCTGTGGAGACCTTAGAGAAAGCCCTAGGTCCCTGCCTCATTTTGACGGAATGCCTCACATCCCGTTGACACCTCGAGAGGCACGCGGAGTTCATTGCTTCAAAAGGTGACGATGCCTGACTCCTCTTGAATACTGATAGGAATCCCAAAATCCCTGTGGCTACTGGAAAGGGTCCTAGGCTGCCCTGCCTCACCTCGAGAAGCGTCCCTTTTACCCTGCCAAGCATCGAAGAGATTCATGAGGTGTCCCTCATTACCAGACAGGAGTCCTGACGTCACTGAAGAAACTCCTGTTTTGAAGGGCCATCCCCGCCGTAAGTCGAGAACATAACTCAGGGCCCCGCCGCAATTCAAGAAAAACCATGAGACTTCCCCTGGAGGCGAGATGAGGCCCCATTCCCCTGCAGTGCATTCAGAGCTATTCCGAGATCCCATTCAAACAAGTCAGGAGCTTCGACTTGCTTAATGGATCTCGAGACAGTCCCCAAGAACACTGTCACCAGTCTAGACGGACCCTGAGGTCACCCCAGCAACGCAAAGCAGCTCCATGTGCCCGAAATCAACTCGAGATGAGGCCTGATTCCCCTGCATTGACTCCAGAGCCATTCCCCTTTCCCCATTCAACACGACCAGTGGCTCGACTTCCTTCTGGCAACTCCAGAGATGCCCCAAGAACACTGTCCCAAGTCTAGAGGAACACCAACTTCAGCAACGCAACTCGAGGAATGCTCCGTGTACCCCAAATCGTCTTGAGATGAGAGCTGATTCCCTGGCTTAGGCTCAAGACGTATGCCAACTTTCCAGAAGCACCTCAGGAGGAGGATTCCCTCAGCAATAGGTATGTGGGAGGGACCCCGAGTTTGCTGCCTCAAGGGGAATATAGAGCGAGAAGCCCTAACTTGAAAGGTGGCCGGATTTCCTTGCAGTGGCTTGAATACAGGCTCGTCTTTGATCTCAAAACATGAAGGGATGTCTGAATCCCCTGTGGAGACCTTAGAGAAAGCCCTAGGTCCCTGCCTCATTTTGATGGAATCCCTCACATCCCGTTGACACCTCGAGAGGCACGCGGAGTTCATTGCTTCAAAAGGTGACGATGCATGACTCCTCTTGTATACTGATAGGAATCCCAAAATCCCTGTGGCTACTGGAAAGGGTCCTTGTCTGCCCTGCCTCACCTCGAGAAGCGTCCCTTTTACCCTGCCAAGCCTCGAAGAGTTTCCTGAGGTGTCCCTCATTACTAGACAGGAGTCCTGACGTCACTGAAGAACACGTGTTTTGAAGGGCCATCCCTGTCATAAGCCGAGAACATACCCCAGGTCCCAGCCGCAACTCGAGAAAAACCATGAGACTTCCCCCTAGAGGCGAGATGAGGCCCCATTCCCCTGCAGTGCATGCAGAGCTATTCCGAGATCCCATTCAAACAAGTCAGGAGCTTCGACTTGCTTAATGGATCTCGAGACAGTCTCCAAGAACACTGTCACCAGTCTAGACGGACCCTGAGGTCAGCCCAGCAACGCAAAGCAGCTCCATGTGTCCCAAATCAACTCGAGATGAGTCCCGATTCCCCTGCATTGACTCCAGAGCCATTCCCCGTTCCCCATTCAACACGACCGGTGGCTCAACTTCCTTCAGGCAACTCCAGAGATGCCCGGAGAACACTGTCCCAAGTCTAGAGGAATACCAACTTCAGCACAGCAACTCGAGGAATGCTCCGTGTACCCCAGATCGTCTCAAGATGACAGCTGATTCCCTGGCTTAGGCTCAAGACGTATGCCAACTTTCTAGAAGCACCTCAGGAGGAGGCTTCTCTCAGCAATATGTATGTGGGAGGGACCCCGAGATCACTGCCTCAAGTGGAATATATAGCGAGAAGCCCTAACTTGAAAGGAGGTCGGATTTCCTTGCAGTGGCTTTAATACAGGCTCGTATTTGATCTCAAAACCTAAAGGGATGTCTGAATCCCCTGTGGAGACCTTAGAGAAAGCCCTAGGTCCCTGCCTCATTTTGACGGAATGCCTCACATCCCGTTGACACATCGAGAGGCACGCGGAGTTCATTGCTTCAAAAGGTGACGATGCCTGACTCCTCTTGAATACTGATAGAAATCCCAAAATCCCTGTGGCTACTGGAAAGGGTCCTTGGGTGCCCTGCCTCACCTCGAGAAGCGTCCCTTTAGCCCTGCCAAGCCTCGAAGAAATTCCTGAGGTGTCCCTCGTTGCTAGACAGGAGTCCTGACGTCACTGAAGAAACTCGTGTTTTGAAGGGCCATCCCCGCCGTAAGTCGAGAACATACCCCAGGTCCCCGCCGCAACTCGAGAAAAACCATGAGACTTCCCCCTAGAGCCGAGATGAGGCCCCATTCCCCTGCAGTGCATGCAGAGCTATTCAATGATCCCATTCAAACAAGTCAGGAGCTTCGACTTGCTTAATGGATCTCGAGAGAGTCCCCAAGAACACTGTCACCAGTCTAGATGGACCCTGAGGTCACCCCAGCAACGCAAAGCAGCTCCATGTGCCCCAAATCAACTCGAGATGAGGCCCGATTCCCCTGCATTGACTCCAGAGCCATTCCCCGTTCCCCATTCAACACGACCGGTGGCTCGACTTCCTTCAGGCAACTCCAGAGATGCCCCGAGAACACTGTCCCAAGTCTAGAGGAACACCAACTTCAGCACAGCAACTCGAGGAATGCTCCGTGTACCCCAATCGTCTCGAGATGAGAGCTGATTCCCTGGCTTAGGCTCAAGACGTATGCCAAGTTTCCAGAAGCACCTCAGGAGGAGGCTTCTCTCAGCAATAGGTATGTGGGAGGGACCCCGAGATCACTGCCTCAAGTGGAATATACAACGAGAAACCCTAACTTGAAAGGAGGCCGGATTTCCTTGCAGTGGCTTGAATACAGGCACGTCTTTGATCTCAAAACATTAAGGAATGTCTGAATCCCCTGTGGAGACCTTAGAGAAAGCCCTATGTCCCTGCCCCATTTTGACGGAATGCCTCACATCCCGGTGACACCTCCAGAGGCACTCGGAGTTCATTGATTCAAAAGGTGACGATGCCTGACTCCTCTTGAATACTGATAGGAATCCCAAAATCCCTGTGGCTACTGGAAAGGGTCCTTGGCTGCCCTGCCTCACCTCGAGAAGCGTCCCTTTACACTGCCAAGCCTCGAAGAGATTCATGAGGTGTCCCTCATTACCAGACAGGAGTCCTAACGTCACTGAAGTAACTCCTGTTTTGAAGGGCCATCCCCGCCGTAAGTCGAGAACATAACGCAGGGCCCCGCCGCAATTCGAGAAAAACCATGAGACTTACCCCTGCAGGCGAGATGAGGCCCCATTCCCCTGCAGTGCATGCAGAGCTATTCCGAGATCCCATTCAAACAAGTCAGGAGCTTCGACTTGCTTAATGGATCTCGAGACAGTCCCCAAGAACACTGTCACCAGTCTAGACGGACCCTGAGGTCACCCCAGCAACGCAAAGCAGCTCCATGTGCCCGAAATCAACTCGAGATGAGGCCTGATTCCCCTGCATTGACTCCAGAGCCATTCCCCTTTCCCCATTCAAAACGACCGGTGGCTCGACTTTCTTCAGGCAACTCCAGAGATGCCCCAAGAACACTGTCCCAAGTCTAGAGGAACACCAACTTCAGCACAGCAACTCGAGGTATGCTCCGTGTATGCCAAATCGCCTCGAGATGAGAGCTGATTCCCTGGCTTAGGCTCAAGACGTATGCCAACTTTCCAGAAGCACCTTAGGAGGAGGCATCTCTCAGCAATAGGTATGTGGGAGGGACCCCGAGGTCGCTGCCTCAAGTAGAATATACAGCGAGACGCCCTAACTTGAAAGGAGGCCGGATTTCCTTGCAGTGGCTTGAATACAGGCTCGTCTTTGATCTCACAACATGAAGGGATGTCTGAGTCCCCTGTGGAGACCTTAGAGAAAGCCCTAGGTCCCTGCCTCATTTTGACGGAATGCCTCACATCCCGTTGACACCTCGAGAGGCACGCGGAGTTCATTGCTTCAAAAGGTGACGATGCCTGACTCCTCTTGAATACTGATAGGAATCCCAAAATCCCTGTGGCTACTGGAAAGGGTCCTTGGGTGCCCTGCCTCACCTCGAGAAGCGTCCCTTTTCCCTGCAAAGCCTCGAAGAGATTCATGAGGTGTCCCTCGTTACTAGACAGGAGTCCTGACGTCACTGAAGAAACTCCTGTTTTGACGGGCCATCCCCGCAGTAAGTCGATAACATACCCCAGGGCCCCGCCGCAACTCGAGAAAAACCATGAGACTTCCCCCTAAAGGCGAGATGAGGCCCCATTCCCCTGCAGTGCATGCAGAGCTATTCCGTGATCCCATACAAACAAGTCAGGAGTTTCGACTTGCTTAATGGATCTCGAGACAGTCCCCAAGAATAATATCACCAGTCTAGACGGATCCTGAGGTCACCCCAGCAACCCAAAGCAGCTCCATGTGCCTCAAATCAACTTGAGATGAGGCCCGATTCCCCTGCATTGACTCCAGAGCCATTCCCCGTTCTCCATTCAACACGACCAGTGGCTGGACTTCCTTCAGGCAACTCCAGAGATGCCCCGAGAACACTGTCCCAAGTCTAGAGGAACAACAACTTCAGCACAGCAACTCGAGGAATGCTCCGTGTACCCCAAATCGTCTCGAGATGAGAGCTGATTCCCTGGCTTAGGCTCAAGACGTATGCCAACTTTCCAGAAGCACCTCAGGAGGAGGCTTCTCTCAGCAATAGGTATGTGTGAGGGACGCCGAGATCGCGGCCTCAAGTGGAATATACAGCGAGAAGCCCTAACTTGAAAGGAGGCCGGATTTCCTTGCAGTGGCTTGAATACAGGCTCGTCTTTGATCTCCAAACCTGAAGGGATATCTGAATCCCCTGTGGAGACCTTAGAGAAAGCCCTAGGTCCCTGCCTCATTTTGACGGAATGCCTCACATCCCGTTGACACCTCGAGAGGCACGCGGAGTTCATTGCTTCAAAAGGTGACGATGCCTGACTCCTCTTGAATACTGATAGGAATCCCAAAATCCCTGTGGCTACTGGAAAGGGTCCTTGTCTGCCCTGCCTCACCTCGAGAAGCGTCCCTTTTACCCTGCCAAGCCTCGAAGAGATTCCTGAGGTGTCCCTCGTTACTAGAGAGGAGTCCTGACGTCACTGAAGAAACTCCTCTTTTGAAGGGCCATCCCCGCCGTAAGTCGAGAACATAACCCAGGGCCCCGCCGCAACTCGAGAAAAACCATGAGACTTCCCCCTAGAGGCGAGATGAGGCCCCATTCCCCTGCAGTGCATGCAGAGCTATTCCGTGATCCCATTCAAACAAGTCAGGAGCTTCGACTTGCTTAATGGATCTCGAGACAGTCCCCAAGAACACCATCACCAGTCTAGACGGACCCTGAGGTCACCCCAGCAACGCAAAGCAGCTCCATGTGCCCCAAATCAACTCGAGATGAGGCCCGATTCCCCTGCATTGACCCCAGAGCCATTCCCCGTTCCCCATTCAACACGACCGGTGGCTCGACTTCCTTCAGGCAACTCCAGAGATGCCCCGAGAACACTGTCCCATGTCTAGAGGAACACCAACTTCAGCACAGCAACTCGAGGAATGCTCCGTGTACCCCAAACCGTCTCGAGATGAGAGCTGATTCCCTGGCTTAGGCTCAAGACGTATGCCAACTTTCCAGAAGCACCTCAGGAGGAGGCTTCTCTCAGCAATAGGTATGTGTGAGGGACCCTGAGATCACTGCCTCAAGCGGAATATACAGCGAGAAGCCCTAACTTGAAAGGAGGCCGGATTTCCTTGCAGAGGCTTGAATACAGGCTTGTCTTTGATCTCAAAACATGAAGGGATGTCTGAATCCCCTGTGCAGACCTTAGAGAAAGCCCTAGGTCTCTGCCTCATTTTGACGGAATGCCTCACATCCCGTTGACACCTCGAGAGGCACGCGGAGTTCATTGCTTCAAAAGGTGACGATGCCTGACTCCTCTTGAATACTGATAGGAATCCCAAAATCCCTGTGGCTACTGGAAAGGGTCCTAGGCTGCCCTGCCTCACCTCGAGAAGCGTCCCTTTTACCCGGCCAAGCATCGAAGAGATTCATGAGGTGTCCCTCATTACCAGACAGGAGTCCTGACGTCACTGAAGAAACTCCTGTTTTGAAGGGCCATCCCCGCCGTAAGTCGAGAACATAACGCAGGGCCCCGCCGCAATTCAAGAAAAACCATGAGACTTCCCCCTGGAGGCGAGATGAGGCCCCATTCCCCTGCAGTGCATGCAGAGCTATTCCGAGATCCCATTCAAACAAGTCAGGAGCTTCGACTTGCTTAATGGATTTCGAGACAGTCCCCAAGAACACTGTCACCAGTCTAGACGGACCCTGAGGTCACCCCAGCAACGCAAAGCAGCTCCATGTGCCCGAAATGAACTCGAGATGAGGCCTGATTCCCCTGCATTGACTCCAGAGCCATTCCCCTTTCCCGATTCAACACGACCAGTGGCTCGACTTCCTTCAGGCAACTCCAGAGATGCCCCAAGAACACTGTCCCAAGTCTAGAGGAACACCAACTTCAGCACAGCAACTCGAGGAATGCTCCGTGTATCCCAAATCGCCTCGAGATGAGAGCTGATTCCCTGGCTTAGGCTCAAGACGTATGCCAACTTTCCAGAAGCACCTTAGGAGGAGGCATCTCTCAGCAATATGTATGTGGGAGGGACCCCGAGGTCGCTGCCTCAAGTGGAATATACAGCGAGAAGCACTAACTTGAATGGAGGCCGGATTTCCTTGCAGTGGCTTGAATACAGGCTCGTCTTTGATCTCAAAACATGAAGGGATGTCTGAGTCCCATGTGGAGACCTTAGAGAAAGCCCTAGGTCCCTGCCTCATTTTGACGGAATGCCTCACATCCCGTTGACACATCGAGAGGCACGCGGAGTTCATTTCTTCAAAAAGTGACGATGCCTGACTCCTCTTGAATACTGATAGGAATCCCAAAATCCCTGTGGCTACTGGAAAGGGTACTTGGGTGCCCTGCCTCACCTCGAGAAGTGTCCCTTTTCCCTGAAAAGCCTCGAAGAGATTCCAGAGGTGTCCCTCGTTACTAGACAGGAGTCCTGACGTCACTGAAGAAACTCCTGTTTTGACGGGCCATCCCCGCCGTAAGTCGAGAACATACCCCAGGACCCCGCCGCAACTCGAGAAAAACCATGAGACTTCCCCCTAGAGGCGAGATGAGGCCCCATTCCCCTGCAGTGCATGCAGAGCTATTCCGTGATCCCATTCAAACAAGTCAGGAGCTTCGACTTGCTTAATGGATCTCGAGACAGTCCCCAAGAACACTGTCACCAGTCTAGACGGACCCTGAGGTCACCCCAGCAACGCAAAGCAGCTCCATGTGCCCCAAATAAACTCGAGATGAGGCCCGATTCCCCTGCATTGACTCCAGAGCCATTCCCTGTTCCCCATTCAACACGACCTGTGGCTCGACTTCCTTCAGGTAACTCCAGAGATGCCCCGAGAACACTGACCCAAGTCTAGAGGAACACCAACTTCAGCACTGCAACTCGAGGAATGCTCCCTGTATCCCAAATCGTCTCGAGATGAGAGCTGATTCCCTGGCTTAGGCTCAAGACGTATGCCAACTTTCCAGAAGCACCTCAGGAGGAGGCTTCTCTCAGCAATAGGTATGTGGGAGGGACCCCGAGATCGCTGCCTCAAGTGGAATATACAGCGAGAATCCCTAACCTGAAAGGAGGCCGGATTTCCTTGCAGTGGCTTTAATACAGGCTCGTCTTTGATCTCAAAACATGAAGGGATGTCTGAATCCCCTGTGGAGACCTTAGAGAAAGACCTAGGTCCTGGCCTCATTTTGACGGAATGCCTCATATGCCGTTGACACCTCGAGAGGCACGCAGAGTTCATTGCTTCAAAAGGTGACGATGCCTGACTCCTCTTGAATACTGATAGGAATCCCAAAATCCCTGTGGAGACAGGAAAGCGTCCTTGGCTGCCCTGTCTCACCTCGAGAAGCGTCCCTTTTACCCTGCCAAGCCTCGAAGAGATTCCTGAGGTGTCCCTCGTTACTAGACAGGAGTCCTGACATGACTGAAGAAACTCGTGTTTTGAAGGGCCATCCCCGCCGTAAGTCGAGAACATAACCCAGGGCCCCGCCGCAACTCGAGAAAAACCATGAGACTTCCCCCTAGAGGCGAGATGAGGCCCCATTCCCCTGCAGTGCATGCAGAGCTATTCCGTGATCCCATTCAAACAAGTCAGGAGCTTCGACTTGCTTAATGGATCTCGAGACAGTCCCCAAGAACACTGTCACCAGTCTAGACGGACCCTGAGGTCACCCCAGCAACGCAAAGCAGCTCCATGTGCCCCAAATCAACTCGAGATGAGGCCCGATTCCCCTGCATTGACCCCAGAGCCATTCCCCGTTCCCCATTCAACACGACCAGTGGCTCGACTTCCTTCAGGCAACTCCAGAGATGCCCTGAGAACACTGTCCCAAGTCTAGAGGAACACCAACTTCAGCACAGCAACTCGAGGAATGCTCCGTATACCCCAAACCGTCTCGAGATGAGAGCTGATTCCCTGGCTTAGGCTCAAGACGTATGCCAACTTTCCAGAAGCACCTCAGGAGGAGGTTTCTCTCAGCAATAGGTATGTGGGAGGGACCCTGAGATCACTGCCTCAAGCGGAATATACAGCGAGAAGCCCTAACTTGAAAGGAGGCCGGATTTCCTTGCAGTGGCTTGAATACAGGCTTGTCTTTGATATAAAACATGAAGGGATGTCTGAATCCCCTGTGCAGACCTTAGAGAAAGCCCTACGTCCCTGCCTCATTTTGACGGAATGCCTCACATCCCGTTGACACCTCGAGAGGCACGCGGAGTTCATTGCTTCAAAAGGTGACGATGCCTGACTCCTCTTGAATACTGATAGGAATCCCAAAATCCCTGTGGCTACTGGAAAGGGTACTTGGGTGCCCTGCCTCACCTCGAGAAGCGTCCCTTTTCCCTGCCAAGCCTCGAAGAGATTCCAGAGGTGTCCCACGTTACTAGACAGGAGTCCTGACGTCACTGAAGAAACTCCTGTTTGGACGGGCCATCCCCGCCGTAAGTCGAGAACATACCCCAGGACCCCGCCACAACTCGAGAAAAACCATGAGACTTCCCCTTAGAGGCGAGATGAGGCCCCATTCCCCTGCAGTGCATGCAGAGCTATTCCGTGATCCCATTCAAACAAGTCAGGAGCTTCGACTTGCTTAATGGATCTCGAAACAGTCCCCAAGAACACTGTCACCAGTCTAGACGGACCCTGAGGTCATCCCAGCAACGCAAAGCAGCTCCGTGTGCCCCAAATCAACTCGAGATGAGGCCCGATTCCCCTGCATTGACTCCAGAGCCATTCCCCGTTCCCCATTCAACACGACCGGTGGCTCGACTTCCTTCAGGCAACTCCAGAGATGCCCCGAGAACACTGTCCCAAGTCTAGAGGAACACCAACTTCAGCACAGCAACACGAGGAATGCTCCGTGTACCTCAAATCGCCTCGAGATGAGAGCTGATTCCCTGCCTTAGGCTCAAGACGTATGCCAAATTTCCAGAAGCACCTCAGGAGGAGGCTTCTCTCAGCAATAGGTATGTGGGAGGGACCCCGAGATCGCTGCCTCAAGTGGAATATACAGCGAGAAGCCCTAACTTGAAAGGAGGCTGCATTTCCTTGCAGTGGCTTGAATACAGGCTCGTCTTTGATCTCAAAACATGAAGGGATGTCTGAATCCCCTGTGCAGACCTTAGAGAAAGCCCTAGGTCCCTGCCTCATTTTGACGGAATGCCTCACATCCAGTTGACACCTCGAGAGGCAGGCGGAGTTCATTGCTTCAAAAGGTTACGATGCCTGACTCACCTTGAATACTGATAGGAATCTCAAAATCCCTGTGGCTACAGGAAAGAGTCCTTGGCTGCCCTGTCTCACCTCGAGAAGCGTCCCTTTTACCCTGCCAAGCCTTGAAGAGATTCCTGAGGTGTCCCTCGTTACTAGACAGGAGTCCTGACATGACTGAAGAAAGTCGTGTTTTGAAGGGCCATCCCCGCCGTAAGTCGAGAACATAACCCAGGGCCCCGCCGCAACTCGAGAAAAACCATGAGACTTCCCCCTAGAGGCGAGATGAGGCCCCATTCCCCTGCAGTGCATGCAGAGCTATTCCGTGATCCCATTCAAACAAGTCAGGAGCTTCGACTTGCTTAATGGATCTCGAGACAGTCCCCAAGAACACTGTCACCAGTCTAGACGGACCCTGAGGTCACCCCAGCAACGCAAAGCAGCTCCATGTGCCCCAAATCAACTCGAGATGAGGCCCGATTCCCCTGCATTGACTCCAGAGCCATTCCCCGTTCCCCATTCAACACGACCGGTGGCTCGACTTCCTTCAGGCAACTCCAGAGATGCCCCGAGAACACTGTCCCAAGTCTCGAGGAACACCAACTTCAGCACAGCAACTCGAGGAATGCTCCGTGTACCCCAAATCGTCTCGAGATGAGAGCTGATTCCCTGGCTTAGGCTCAAGACGTATGCCAACTTTCCAGAAGCACCTCAGGAGGAGCTTTCTCTCAGCAATAGGTATGTGGGAGGGACCCCGAGATCACTGCCTCAAGTGGAATATAAAGTGAGAAGCCCTAACTTGAATGGAGGCCGGATTTCCTTGCAGTGGCTTGAATACAGGCTCGTCTTTCATCTCAAAACATGAAGGGATGTCTGAATCCCCTGTGGAGACCTTAGAGAAAGCCCTAGGTCCCTGCCTCATTTTGACGGAATGCCTCACATCCCGTTGACACCTCGAGAGGCACGCGGAGTTCATTGCTTCAAAATGTGACGATGCTTGACTCCTCTTGAATACTGATAGGAATCCCAAAATCCCTGTGGCTACTGGAAAGGGTCCTTGGCTGCGCTGCCTCACCTCGAGAAGCGTGCCTTTTGCCCTGCCAAGCCTCGAAGAGATTCATGAGGTGTCCCTCGTTACTAGACAGGAGTCCTGACGTCACTGAAGAAACTCGTGTTTTGAAGGGCCATCCCCGCCGTAAGTCTAGAACATAACCCAGGGCCCCGCCGCAACTCGAGAAAAACCATGAGACTTCCCCCTAGAGGCGAGATGAGGCCCCATTCCCCTGCAGTGCATGCAGAGCTATTCCGTGATCCCATTCAAACAAGTCAGGAGCTTCGACTTGCTTAATGGATCTCGAGACAGTCCCCAAGAACACTGTCACCAGTCTAGACGGACCCTGAGGTCACCCCAGCAACGCAAAGCAGCTCCATGTGCCCCAAATCAACTCGAGATGAGGCCCGATACCCCTGCATTGACTCCAAGCCATTCCCCGTTCCCCATTCAACACGACTGGTTTCTCGACTTCATTCAGGCAACTCCAGAGATGCCCTGAGAACACTGTCCCAAGTCTAGAGGAACACCAACTTCAGCACAGCAACTCGAGGAATGCTCCGGTTACACAAAAACGTCTCGAGATGAGAGCTGATTCCCTGGCTTAGGCTCAAGACGTATGCCAACTTTCCAGAAGCACCTCAGGAGGAGGCTTCTCTCAGCAATAGGTATGTGGGATGGACCCTGAGATCGCTGCCTCAAGTGGAATATACAGTGAGAAGCCGTAACGTGAATGGAGGCCGGATTTCCTGGCAGTGACTTGAATACAGGCTCGTCTTTGATCTCAAAACATGAAGGGATGTCTGAATCCCCTGTGGAGACCTTAGAGAAAGCCCTAGGTCCCGGCCTCATTTTGACGGAATGCCTCACATCCCGTTGACACCTCGAGAGGCACGCGGAGTTCATTGCTTCAAAAGGTGACGATGCCTGACTCCTCTTGAATACTGATAGGAATCCCAAAATCCCTGTGGCTACTGGAAAGGGTCCTAGGCTGCCCTGCCTCACCTCAAGAAGCGTCCCTTTTACCCTGCCAAGCCTCTAAGAGATTCATGAGTTGTCCCTCGTTACCAGACAGGAGTCCTGACGTCACTGAAGAAACTCCTCTTTTGAAGGGCCATCCCCGCCGTAAGTCGAGAACATACCCCAGGGCCCCGCCGCAACTCGAGAAAAACCATGAGATTTCCCCCTAGAGGCGAGATGAGGCCCCATTTCCCTGCAGTGCATGCAGAGCTATTCCGTGATCCCATACAAACAAGTCAGGAGTTTCGACTTGCTTAATGGATCTCGAGACAGACCCCAAGAACACTGTCACCAGTCTAGACGGAACCTGAGGTCACCCCAGCAATGCAAAGCAGCTCTATGTGCCCCAAATCAACTCGAGATGAGGCCCGATTCCCCTGCATTGACTCCAGAGCCATTCCCCGTTCTCCATTCAACACGAGCAGTGGCTGGACTTCCTTCAGGCAACTCCAGAGATGCCCCGAGAACACTGTCCCAAGTCTAGAGGAACAAGAACTTCAGCACAGCAACTCGAGGAATGCTCCGTGTACCCCAAATCGTCTCGAGATGAGAGCTGATTCCCTGGCTTAGGCTCAAGACGTATGCCAACTTTCCAGAAGCACCTCAGGAGGAGGCTTCTCTCAGCAATAGGTATGTGTGAGGGACCCCGAGATCGCTGCCTCAAGTGGAATATACAGCGAGAAGCCCTAACTTGAAAGGAGGCCGGATTTCCTTGCAGTGGCTTGAATACAGGCTCGTATTTGATCTCAAAACCTGAAGGGATGTCTGAATCCCCTGTGGAGACCTTAGAGAAAGCCCTAGGTCCCTGCCTCATTTTGACGGAATGCCTCACATCCCGTTGACACCTGGAGAGGCACGCGGAGTTCATTGCTTCAAAAGGTGACGATGCCTGACTCCTCTTGAATACAGATAGGAATCCCAAAATCCCTGTGGCTACTGGAAAGGGTCCTTGGCTGCCCTGCCTCGCCTCGAGAAGCGTCCCTTTTACCCTGCCAAGCCTCGAAGAGATTCTTGAGGTGTCCCTCGTTACTAGACAGGAGTCCTGACGTCACTGAAGAAACTCGTGTTTTGAAGGGCCATCCCCGCCGTAAGTCTAGAACATAACCCAGGGCCCCGCCGCAACTCGAGAAAAACCATGAGACTTCCCCCTAGAGGCGAGATGAGGCCCCATTCCCCTGCAGTGCATGCAGAGCTATTCCGTGATCCCATTCAAACAAGTCAGGAGCTTCGACTTGCTTAATGGATCTCGAGACAGTCCCCAAGAACACTGTCACCAGTCTAGACGGACCCTGAGGTCACCCCAGCAACGCAAAGCAGCTCCATGTGCCCCAAATCAACTCGAGATGAGGCCCGATACCCCTGCATTGACTCCAAGCCATTCCCCGTTCCCCATTCAACACGACTGGTGGCTCGACTTCATTCAGGCAACTCCAGAGATGCCCCGAGAATACTGTCCCAAGTCTAGAGGAACACCAACTTCAGCACAGCAACTCGAGGAATGCTCCGGTTACACAAAAACGTCTCGAGATGAGAGCTGATTCCCTGGCTTAGGCTCAAGACGTGTGCCAACTTTCCAGAAGCACCTCAGGAGGAGGCTTCTCTCAGCAATAGGTATGTGGAATGGACCCTGAGATCGCTGCCTCAAGTGGAATATACAGTGAGAAGCTGTAACGTGAATGGAGGCCGGATTTCCTGGCAGTGGCTTGAATACAGGCTCGTCTTTGATCTCAAAACATGAAGGGATGTCTGAATCCCCTGTGGAGACCTTAGAGAAAGCCCTAGGTCCCTGCCTCATTTTGACGGAATGCCTCACATCCCGTTGACACCTCGAGAGGCACGCGGAGTTCATTGCTTCAAAAGGTGACGATGCCTGACTCCTCTTGAATACTGATAGGAATCCCAAAATCCCTGTGGCTACTGGAAAGGGTCCTAGGCTGCCCTGCCTCACCTCGAGAAGCGTCCCTTTTACCCTGCCAAGCCTCGAAGAGATTCATGAGGTGTCCCTCATTACCAGACAGGAGTCATGACGTCACTGAAGAAACTCGTGTTTTGAAGGGCCATCCTCGCCGTAAGTCGAGAACATAACGCAGGGCCCCGCCGCAATTCGAGAAAAACCATGAGACTTCCCCCTGGAGGCGAGATGAGGCCCCATTCCCCTGCAGTGCATGCAGAGCTATTCCGAGATCCCATTCAAACAAGTCAGGAGCTTCGACTTGCTTAATTGATCTCGAGACAGTCCCCAAGAACACTGTCACCAGTCTAGACGGACCCTGAAGTCACCCCAGCAACGCAAAGCAGCTCCATGTGCCCGAAATCAACTCGAGATGAGGAATGATTCCCCTGCATTGACTCCAGAGCCATTCCCCTTTCCCCATTCAACACGACCGGTGGCTCGACTTCCTTCAGGCAACTCCAGAGATGCCCCAAGAACACTGTCCCAAGTCTAGAGGAACACCAACTTCAGCACAGCAACTCGAGGAATGCTCCGTGTACCCCAAATCGCCTCGAGATGAGAGCTGATTCCCTGGCTTAGGCTCAAGACGTATGCCAACTTTCCAGAAGCACTTCAGGAGGAGGCTTCTCTCAGCAATAGGTATGTGGGAGGGACCCCGAGATCGCTGCCTCAAGTGGAATATACAGCGAGAAGACCTAACCTGAAAGGAGGCCGGATTTCCTTGCAGTGGCTTGAATACAGGCTCGTCTTTGATCTCAAAACATGAAGGGATGTCTGAATCCCCTGTGGAGACCTTAGAGAAAGACCTAGGTCCCGGCCTCATTTTGACGGAATGCCTCATATGCCGTTGACACCTCGAGAGGCACGCAGAGTTCATTGCTTCAAAAGGTGACGATGCCTGACTCCTCTTGAATACTGATAGGAATCCCAAAATCCCTGTGGCTACTGGAAAGGGTCCTTGGGTACCCTGCCACACCTCGAGAAGCGTCTCTTTTGCCCGGCCAAGCATGGAGGTGATTCCTGAGGTGTCCCACGTTATTAAACAGGAGTCCTGACGTCACTGAAGAAACTCCTGTTTTGAAGGGCCATTCCCGCGGTAAGTCGAGAACATAACCCCGGGTCCCCACCGCAACTCGAGAAAAACCATGAGACTTCCCCCTAGAGGCGAGATGAGGCCCCTTTCCTCTGCAGTGCATGCAGAGCTATTCCGTGATCCCATTCAAACAAGTCAGGAGATTGGAGTTGCTTAATGGATCTCGAGACAGTCCCCAAGAACACTGTCACCAGTCTAGACGGACCCTGAGGTCACCCCAGCAACGCAAAGCAGCTCCATGTGCCCCAAATCAACTCGAGATGAGGCCCGATTCCCCTGCATTGACTCCAGAGCCATTCCCCTTTCCCCATTCAACACGACCAGTGGCTCGACTTCCTTCAGGCAACTCCAGAGATGCCCCGAGAACACTGTCCCAAGTCTAGAGGAACACCAACTTCAGCACAGCAACTCGAGGAATGCTCCGTGTACCCCAAATCACCTCGAGATGAGAGCTGATTCCCTGCCTTAGGCTCAAGACGTATGCCAAATTTCCAGAAGCACCTCAGGAGGAGGCTTCTCTCAGCAATAGGTATGTGGGAGGGACCCCGAGATCACTGCCTCAAGTGGAATATACAGCGAGAAGCCCTAACTTGAAAGGAGGCTGGATTTCCTTGCAGTGGCTTGAATACAGGCTCGTCTTTGATCTCACAACATGAAGGGATGTCTGAATCCCCTGTGCAGACCTTAGAGAAAGCCCTAGGTCCCTGCCTCATTTTGACGGAATGCCTCACATCCCGTTGACACCTCGAGAGGCACGCGGAGTTCATTGCTTCAAAAGGTTATGATGCCTGACTCCCCTTGAATACTGATAAGAATCCCAAAATCCCTGTGGCTACAGGAAAGGGTCCTTGGCTGCCCTGTCTCACCTCGAGAAGCGTCCCTTTTACCCTGCCAAGCCTCGAGATTCCTGAGGTGTCTCTCGTTACTAGACAGGAGTCCTTACGTCACTGAAGAAACTCGTGTTTTGAAGGGACATCCGGGCCGTAAGTCGAGAACAGAACCCAGGGCCCAGCCGCAACTCGAGAAAAACCATGAGACTTCCCCCTAGAGGCGAGATGAGGCCCCATTCCCCTGCAGTGCATGCAGAGCTATTCCGTGATCCCATTCAAACAAGTCAGGAGCTTCGACTTGCTTAATGGATCTCGAGACAGTGCTCAAGAACACTGTCACCAGTCTAGACGGACCCTGAGGTCACCCTAGCAACACAAAGCAGCTCCATGTGCCCCAAATCAACTCGAGATGAGTCCACATTCCCCTGCATTGACTCCAGAGCCATTCTCCGTTCCCCATTCAACACGACCGGTGGCTCGACTTCCTTCAGGCAACTCCAGAGATGCCACGAGAACACTGTCCCAAGTCTAGAGGAACACCAACTTCAGCACAGCAACTCGAGGAATGCTCCGTGTACCCCAAATCGTCTGGAGATGAGAGCAGATTCCCTGGCTTAGGCTCAAGACGTATGCCAACTTTCCAGAAGCACCTCAGGAGGAGGCTTCTCTCAGCAATAGGTATGTGGGAGGGACCCTGAGATCACTGCCTCAAGCGGAATATACAGCGAGAAGCCCTAACTTGAAAGGAGGCCGGATTTCCTTGCAGTGGCTTGAATACAGGCTTGTCTTTGATCTCAAAACATGAAGGGATGTCTGAATCCCCTGTGCAGACCTTAGAGAAAGCCCTAGGTCCCTGCCTCATTTTGACGGAATGCCTCACATCCCGTTGACACCTCGAGAGGCACGCGGAGTTCATTGCTTCAAAAGGTGACGATGCCTGACTCCTCTTGAATACTGATAGGAATCCCAAAATCCCTGTAGCTACTGGAAAGGGTCCTTGGGGGCCCTGCCTCACCTCGAGAAGCGTCCCTTTTACCCTGCCAAGCCTCGAAGATATTCATGTGGTGTCCCTCGTTACTAGACAGGAGTCCTGACATCACTGAAGAAACTCGTGTTTTGAAGGGCCTTCCCCGCCGTAAGTCGAGAACATAACCCAAGGCCCCGCCGAAACTCGAGAAAAACCATGAGACTTCCCCCTAGAGGCGAGATGAGGCCCCATTCCCCTGCAGTGCATGCAGAGCTATTCCGTGATCCCATTCAAACAAGTCAGGATCTTCGACTTGCTTAATGGATCTCGAGACAGTCCCCAAGAACACTGTCACCAGTCTAGACGGACCCTGAGGTCACCCCAGCAACGCAAAGCAGCTCCATGTGCCCCAAATCAACTCGAGATGAGGCCCGATTCCCCTGCATTGACTCCAGAGCCATTCCCCGTTCCCCATTCAACACGACCGGTGGCTCGACTTCCTTCAGGCAACTCCAGAGATACCCCGAGAACACTGTCCCAAGACTAGAGGAACACCAACTTCAGCACAGCAACTCGAGGAATGCACCGGTTACACCAAAACGTCTCGAGATAGAGCAGATTCCCTGGCTTAGGCTCAAGACGTATGCCAACTTTCCAGAAGCACCTCAGGAGGAGGCTTCTCTCAGCAATAGGTATGTGGGAAGGACCCCGAGATAACTGCCTCAAGTGGAATACACAGCGAGAAGCCCTAACTTGAAAGGAGGCCGGATTTCCTTGCAGTGGCTTGAATACAGGCTCGTCTTTGATCTCAAAACGTGAAGGGATGTCTGAATCTCCTGTGGAGACCTTAGAGAAAGCCCTAGGTACCTGCCTCATTTTGACGGAATGCCTAACATCCCGTTGACAACTCGAGAGGCACGCGGAGTTCATTGCTTCAAAAGGTGACGATGCCTGACTCCTCTTGAATACTGATAGGAATCCCAAAATCCCTGTGGCTACTGGAAAGGGTCCTTGGCTGCCCTGCCTCACCTCGAGAAGCGTGCCTTTTGCCCTGCCAAGCCTCGAAGAGATTCCTGATGTGTCCCTCGTTACTAGACAGGAGTCCTGACGTCACAGAAGAAACTCGTGTTTTGAAGGGCCATCCCCGCCGTAAGCCTAGAACATAACCCAGGGCCCCGCCTCAACTCGAGAAAAACCATGAGACTTCCCCCTAGAGGCGAGATGAGGCCCCATTCCCCTGAAGTGCATGGAGAGCTATTCCGTGATCCCATTCAAACAAGTCAGGAGCTTCGACTTGCTTAATGGATCTCGAGACAGTCCCCAAGAGCACTGTCACCAGTCTAGACGGACCCTGAGGTCACCCCAGCAACGCAAAACAGCTCCATGTGCCCCAAATCAACTCGAGATGAGGCCCGATACCCCTGCATTGACTCCAGAGCCATTCCCTGTTCCCCATTCAACACGACCGGTGGCTCGACTTCCTTCAGGCAACTCCAGAGATGCCCCGAGAACACTGTCCCAAGTCTAGAGGAACACCAACTTCAGCACAGCACCTCGAGGAATGCTCCGTGTACCCCAAATCGTCTCGAGAGGAGAGCTGATTCCCTGGCTTAGGCTCAAGACGTATGCCAACTTTCCAGAAGCACCTCAGGAGGAGCTTTCTCTCAGCAATAGGTATGTGGGAGGGACCCCGAGATCACTGCCTCAAGTGGAATATACAGTGAGAAGCCCTAACTTGAATGGAGGTCGGATTTCCTTGCAGTGGCTTGAATACAGGCTTGTCTTTGATCTCAAAACATGAAGGGATGTCTGAATCCCCTGTGGAGACCTTAGAGAAAGCCCTAGGTCCCTGCCTCATTTTGACGGAATGCCTCACATCCCATTGACACCTCGAGAGGCACACGGAGTTCATTGCTTCAAAAGGTGACGATGCCTAACTCCTCTTGAATACTGATAGGAATCCCAAAATCCCTGTGGCTACTGGAAAGGGTCCTTGGCTGCCCTGCCTCACCTCGAGAAGCGTGCCTTTTGCCCTGCCAAGCCTCGAAGAAATTCCTGATGTCTCCCTCATTACTAGACAGGAGTCCTGACTTCACTGAAGAAACTACTCTTTTGAAGGGCCATCCCCGCCGTAAGTCGAGAACATACCCCAGGGCCCGGCCGCAACTCGAGAAAAACCATGAGACTTCCCCCTAGAGGCGAGATGAGGCCCCTTTCCCCTGCAGTGCATGCAGAGCTATTCAGTGATCCCATACAAACAAGTCAGGAGCTTCGACTTGCTTAATGGATCTCGAGACAGTCCCCAAGAACAATATCACCAGTCTAGACGGACCCTGAGGTCACCCCAGCAACGCAAAGCAGCTCCATGTGCCCCTAATCAACTCGAGATGAGGCCCGATTCCCGTGCATTGACTCCAGAGCCATTCCCCGTTCCAAATTCAACACGACCTGTGGCTCGACTTCCTTCAGGCAACTCCAGAGATGCCCCGAGAACACTGTCCCAAGTCTAGAGGAACACCAACTTCAGCACAGCAACTCGAGGAATGCTCCGGTTACACCAAAACGTCTCGAGATGAGAGCTGATTCCCTGGCTTAGGCTCCAGACGTATGCCAACTTTCCAGAAGCACCTCAGGAGGAGCTTTCTCTCAGCAATAGGTATGTGGGAGGGACCCCGAGATCACTGCCTCAAGTGGAATATAAAGTGAGAAGCCCTAACTTGAATGGAGGCCGGATTTCCTTGCAGTGGCTTGAATACAGGCTCGTCTTTCATCTCAAAACATGAAGGGATGTCTGAATCCCCTGTGGAGACCTTAGAGAAAGCCCTAGGTCCCTGCCTCATTTTGACGGAATGCCTCACATCCCGTTGACACCTCGAGAGGCACGCGGAGTTCATTGCTTCAAAAGGTGACGATGCCTGACTCACCTTGAATACTGATAGGAATCCCAAAATCCCTGTGGCTACTGGAAAGGGTCCTTGGCTGCGCTGCCTCACCTCGAGAAGCGTGCCTTTTGCCCTGCCAAGCCTCGAAGAGATTCATGAGGTTTCCCTCGTTACTAGACAGGAGTCCTGACGTCACTGAAGAAACTCGTGTTTTGAAGGGCCATCCCCGCCGTAAGTCTAAAACATAACCCAGGGCCCCGCCACAACTCTAGAAAAACCATGAGACTTCCCCCTAGAGGCGAGATGAGGCCCCATTCCCCTGCAGTGCATGCAGAGCTATTCCGTGATCCCATTCAAACAAGTCAGGAGCTTCAACTTGCTTAATGGATCTCGAGACAGTCCCCAAGAACACTGTCACCAGTCTAGACGGACCCTGAGGTCACCCCAGCAACGCAAAGCAGCTCCATTTGCCCCTAATCAACTCGAGATGAGGCCCGATTCCCCTGCATTGACTCCAGAGCCATTCCCCGTTCCCCATTCAACACGACTGGTGGCTCGACTTCATTCAGGCAACTCCAGAGATGCCCCGAGAACACTGTCCCAAGTCTAGAGGAACACCAACTTCAGCACAGCAACTCGAGGAATGCTCGGGTTACACAAAAACGTCTCGAGATGAGAGCTGATTCCCTGGCTTAGGCTCAAGACGTATGCCAACTTTCCAGAAGCACCTCAGGAGGAGGCTTCTCTCAGCAATAGGTATGTGGGATGGACCCTGAGATCGCTGCCTCAAGTGGAATATACAGTGAGAAGCCGTAACATGAATGGAGGCCGGATTTCCTGGCAGTGGCTTGAATACAGGCTCGTCTTTGATCTCAAAACATGAAGGGATGTCTGAATCCCCTGTGGAGACCTTAGAGAAAGCCCTAGGTCCCGGCCTCATTTTGACGGAATGCCTCACATCCCGTTGACACCTCGAGAGGCACGCGGAGTTCATTGCTTCAAAAGGTGACGATGCCTGACTCCTCTTGAATACTGATAGGAATCCCAAAATCCCTGTGGCTACTGGAACGGGTCCTAGGCTGCCCTGCCTCACCTCAAGAAGCGTCCCTTTTACCCTGCCAAGCCTCTAAGAGATTCATGAGTTGTCCCTCGTTACCAGACAGGAGTCCTGACGTCACTGAAGAAACTCCTCTTTTGAAGGGCTATCCCCGCCGTAAGTCGAGAACATACCCCAGGGCCCCGCAGCAACTCGAGAAAAACCATGAGATTTCCCCCTAGAGGCGAGATGACGCCCCATTCCCCTGCAGTGCATGCAGAGCTATTCCGTGATCCCATTCAAACAAGTCAGGAGCTTCGACTTGCTTAATGGATCTCGAGACAGTCCCCAAGAACACTGTCACCAGTCTAGACGGACCCTGAGGTCACCCCAGAACGCAAAGCAGCTCCATGTGCCCCAAATCAACTCGAGATGAGGCCCGATACCCCTGCATTGACTCCAAGCCATTCCCCGTTCCCCATTCAACACGACTGGTGGCTCGACTTCATTCAGGCAACTCCAGAGATGCCCCGAGAACACTGTCCCAAGTCTAGAGGAACACCAACTTCAGCACAGCAACTCGAGGAATGCTCGGGTTACACAAAAACGTCTCGAGATGAGAGCTGATTCCCTGGCTTAGGCTCAAGACGTATGCCAACTTTCCAGAAGCACCTCAGGAGGAGGCTTCTCTCAGCAATAGGTATGTGGGATGGACCCTGAGATCGCTGCCTCAAGTGGAATATACAGTGAGAAGCCGTAACGTGAATGGAGGCCGGATTTCCTGGCAGTGGCTTGAATACAGGCTCGTCTTTGATCTCAAAACATGAAGGGATGTCTGAATCCCCTGTGGAGACTTTAGAGAAAGCCCTAGGTCCCGGCCTCATTTTGACGGAATGCCTCACATCCCGTTGACACCTCGAGAGGCACGCGGAGTTCATTGCTTCAAAAGGTGACGATACCTGACTCCTCTTGAATACTGATAGGAATCCCAAAATCCCTGTGGCTACTGGAAAGGGTCCTAGGCTGCCCTGCCTCACCTCGAGAAGCGTCCCTTTTACCCTGCCAAGCCTCGAAGAGATTCATGAGGTGTCCCTCATTACCAGACAGGAGTCCTGACGTCACTGAAGAAACTTCTGTTTTGAAGGGCCATCCCCGCCGTAAGTCGAGAACATAACGCAGGGCCCCGCCGCAATTCGAGAAAAACCATGAGACTTCCCCCTGGAGGCGAGATGAGGCCCCATTCCCCTGCAGTGCATGCAGAGCTATTCCGAGATCCCATTCAAACAAGTCAGGAGCTTCGACTTGCTTAATGGATCTCGAGACAGTCCCCAAGAACACTGTCACCAGTCTAGACGGACCCTGAAGTCACCCCAGCAACGCAAAGCAGCTCCATGTGCCCGAAATCAACTCGAGATGAGGAATGATTCCCCTGCATTGACTCCAGAGCCATTCCCCTTTCCCCATTCAACACGACCGGTGGCTCGACTTTCTTCAGGCAACTCCAGAGATGCCCCAAGAACACTGTCCCAAATCTAGAGGAACACCAACTTCAGCACAGCAACTCGAGGAATGATCCGTGTACCCCAAATCGCCTCGAGATGAGAGCTGATTCCCTGGCTTAGGCTCAAGACGTATGCCAACTTTCCAGAAGCACTTCAGGAGGAGGCTTCTCTCAGCAATAGGTATGTGGGAGGGACCCCGAGATTGCTGCCTCAAGTGGAATATACAGCGAGAATCCCTAACCTGAAAGGAGGCCGGATTTCCTTGCAGTGGCTTGAATACAGGCTCGTCTTTGATCTCAAAACATGAAGGGATGTCTGAATCCCCTGTGGAGACCTTAGAGAAAGACCTAGGTCCCGGCCTCATTTTGACGGAATGCCTCATATGCCGTTGACACCTCGAGAGGCACGCAGAGTTCATTGCTTCAAAAGGTGACGATGCCTGACTCCTCTTGAATACTGATAGGAATCCCAAAATCCCTGTGGCAACTGGAAAGGGTCTTTGGGTACCCTGCCACACCTCGAGAAGCGTCTCTTTTGCCCTGCCAAGCATGGAGGTGATTCCTGAGGTGTCCCACGTTATTAAACAGGAGTCCTGACGTCACTGAAGAAACTCCTGTTTTGAAGGGCCATTCCCGCGGTAAGTCGAGAACATAACCCCGGGTCCCCGCCGCAACTCGAGAAAAACCATGAGACTTCCCCCTAGAGGCGAGATGAGGCCCCTTTCCTCTGCAGTGCATGCAGAGCTATTCCGTGATCACATTCAAACAATTCAGGAGATTGGAGTTGCTTAATGGATCTCGAGACAGTCCCCAAGAACACTGTCACCAGTCTAGACGGACCCTGAGGTCACCCCAGCAACGCAAAGCAGCTCCATGTGCCCCTAATCAACTCGAGATGAGGCCCGATTCCCCTGCATTGACTCCAGAGCCATTCCCCGTTCCCCATTCAACACGACCGGTGGCTCGACTTCCTTCAGGCAACTCCAGAGATGCCCCTAGAACACTGTCCCAAGTCTAGAGGAACACCAACTTCAGCACAGCAACTCGAGGAATGCTCCGTGTACCCCAAATCGTCTCGAGATGAGAGCTGATTCCCTGGCCTAGGCTCAAGACGTATGCCAACTTTCCAGAAGCACCTCAGGAGGAGGTTTCTCTCAGCAATAGGTATGTGGGAGGGACCCCGAGATCAGTGCCTCAAGTGGAATATACAGTGAGAAGCCCTAACTTGAATGGAGGCCGGATTTCCTTGCAGTGGCTTGAATATAGGCTCGTCTTTGATCTCAAAACATGAAGGGATGTCTGAAGCCCCTGTGGAGACCTTAGAGAAAGCCCTAGGTCCCTGCCTCATTTTGACGGAATGCCTCTCATCACGTTGACACCTCGAGAGGCACGCGGAGTTCATTGCTTCAAAAGGTGACGATGCCTGACTCCTCTTGAATACTGATAGGAATCCCAAAATCCCTGTGGCTACTGGAAAGGGTCCTAGGCTGCATTGCCTCACCTCGAGAAGCGTCCCTTTTACCCTGCCAAGCCTCGAAGAGATTCATGAGTTGTCCCTCGTTACCAGACAGGAGTCCTGACGTCACTGAAGAAACTCCTCTTTTGAAGGGCCATCTCCGAGGTAAGTCGAGAACATACCCCAGGGCCCCGCCGCAACTCGAGAAAAACCATGAGACTTCCCCCTAGAGGCGAGATGAGGCCCCATTCCCCTGCAGTGCATGCAGAGCTATTCCGTGATCCCATACAAACAAGTCAGGAGTTTCGACTTGCTTAATGGATCTCGAGACAGTCCCCAAGAATAATATCACCAGTCTAGACGGACCCTGAGGTCACCCCAGTAAAACAAAGCAGCTCCATGTGCCCCAAATCAACTCGAGATGAGGCCCGATTCCCCTGCATTGACTCCAGAGCCATTCCCCGTTCTCCATTCAACACGACCAGTGGCTGGACTTCCTTCAGGCAACTCCAGAGATGCCCCGAGAACACTGTCCCAAGTCTAGAGGAACAACAACTTCAGCACTGCAACTCGAGTAATGCTCCGTGTACCCCAAATCGTCTCGAGATGAGAGCTGATTCCCTGGCTTAGGCTAAAGACGTATGCCAACTTTCCAGAAGCACCTTAGGAGGAGGCATCTCTCAGCAATATGTATGTGGGAGGGACCCCGAGGTCGCTGCCTCAAGTGGAATATACAGCGAGACGCCCTAACTTGAAAGGAGGACGGATTTCCTTGCAGTGTCTTGAATACAGGCTCGTCTTTGATCTCAAAACATGAAGGGATGTCTGAGTCCCCTGTGGAGACCTTAGAGAAAGCCCTAGGTCCCTGCCTCATTTTGACGGAATGCCTCACATCCCGTTGACACCTCGAGAGGCACGCGGAGTTCATTGCTTCAAAAGGTGACGATGCCTGACTCCTCTTGAATACTGATAGGAATCCCAAAATCCCTGTGGCTACTGGAAAGGGTCCTTGTCTGCCCTGCCTCACCTCGAGAAGCGTCCCTTTTACCCTGCCAAGCCTCGAAGAGATTCATGAGGTGTCCCTCGTTACCAGACAGGAGTCCTGACGTCACTGAAGAAACTCCTGTTTTGAAGGGCCATCCCCGCTGTAAGTCTAGAACATAACCCAGGGCCCCGCCGCAACTCGAGAAAAACCATGAGACTTCCCCCTAGAGGCGAGATGAGGCCCCATTCCCCTGCAGTGCATGCAGAGCTATTCCGTGATCCCATTCAAACAAGTCAGGAGCTTCGACTTGCTTAATGGATCTCGAGACAGTCCCCAAGAACACTGTCACCAATCTAGACGGACCCTGAGGTCACCCCAGCAACGCAAAGCAGCTCCATGTGCCCCAAATCAACTCGAGATGAGGCCCGATACCCCTGCATTGACTCCAGAGCCATTCCCCGTTCCCCATTCAACACGACCGGTGGCTCGACTTCCTTCAGGCAACTCCAGAGATGCCCCAAGAACACTGTCCCAAGTCTAGAGGAACACCAACTTCAGCACAGCAACTCGAGGAATGCTCCGTGTACCCCAAATCGCCTCGAGATGAGAGCTGATTCCCTGGCTTAGGCTCAAGACGTATGCCAACTTTCCAGAAGCACCTCAGGAGGAGGCATCTCTCAGCAATATATATGTGGGAGGGACCCCGAGATCGCTGCCTCAAGTGGAATATACTGCGAGACGCCCTAACTTGAAAGGAGGCCGGATTTCCTTGCAGTGGCTTGAATACAGGCTCGTCTTTGATCTCAAAACATGAAGGGATGTCTGAGTCCCCTGTGGAGACCTTAGAGAAAGCCCTAGGTCCCTGCCTCATTTTGACGGAATGCCTCACATCCCGTTGACACCTCGAGAGGCACGCTGAGTTCATTGCTTCAAAAGGTGACGATGCCTGACTCCTCTTGAATACTGATAGGAATCCCAAAATCCCTGTGGCTACTGGAAAGGGTCCTTGGGTGCCCTGCCTCACCTCGAGAAGCGTCCCTTTTACCCTGCCAAGCCTCGAAGAGATTCCTGAGTTGTCACTCGTCACTAGACAGGAGTCCTGACGTCACTGAAGAAACTCCTGTTTTGAAGGGCCATCCCCGCCGTAAGTCGAGAACATACCCCAGGACCCCGCCGCAACTCGAGAAAAACCATGAGACTTCCCCCTAGAGGCGAGATGAGGCCCCATTCCCCTGCAGTGCATGCAGAGCTATTCCGTGATCCCATTCAAACAAGTCAGGAGCTTCGACTTGCTTAATGGATCTCGAGACAGTCCCCAAGAACACTGTCACCAGTCTAGACGGACCCTGAGGTCACCCCAGCAAGGCAAAGCAGCTCCATGTGCCCCAAATCAACTCGAGATGAGGCCCGATTCCCCTGCATTGACTCCAGAGCCATTCCCCGTTCCCCATTCAACACGACCGGTGGCTCGACTTCCTTCAGGTAACTCCAGAGATGCCCCGAGAACACTGTCCCAAGTCTAGAGGAACACCAACTTCAGCACAGCAACTCGAGGAATGCACCGGTTACACCAAAACGTCTCGAGATAGAGCAGATTCCCTGGCTTAGGCTCAAGACGTATGCCAACTTTCCAGAAGCACCTCAGGAGGAGGCTTCTCTCAGCAATAGGTATGTGGAAGGGACCCCGAGATCGCTGCCTCAAGTGGAATATACAGCGCGAATCCCTAACCTGAAAGGAGGCCGGATTTCCTTGCAGTGGCTTGAATACAGGCTCGTCTTTGATCTCAAAACATGAAGGGATGTCTGAATCCCCTGTGCAGACCTTAGAGAAAGACCTAGGTCCCGGCCTCATTTTGACGGAATGCCTCATATGCCGTTGACACCTCGAGAGGCACGCAGAGTTCATTGCTTCAAAAGGTGACGATGCCTGACTCCTCTTGAATACTGATAGGAATCCCAAAATCCCTGTGTTTACTGGAAAAGGTCCTTGGGTGCCCTGCCTCACCTCGAGAAGCGTCTCTTTTGCCCTGCCAAGCATGGAGGTGATTCCTGAAGTGTCCCACGTTATTAAACAGGAGTCCTGACGTCACTGAAGAAACTCGTGTTTTGAAGGGACATCCGGGCCGTAAGTCGAGAACATAACCCAGGGCCCTGCCGCAACTCGAGAAAAACAATGAGACTTCACCCTAGTGGCGAGATGAGGCCCCATTCCACTGCAGTGCATGCAGAGCTATTCCGTGATCCCATTCAAACAAGTCAGGAGCTTCGACTTGCTTAATGGATCTCAAGACAGTCCCCAAGAACACTGTCACCAGTCTAGACGGACCCTGAGGTCACCCCAGCAATGCAAAGCAGCTCCATGTGCCCCAAATCAACTCGAGATGAGGCCCGATTCCCCTGCATTGACTCCAGAGCCATTCCCCGTTCCCCATTCAACACGACCGGTGGCTCGACTTCCTTCAGGCAACTCCAGAGATGCCCCGAGAACACTGTCCTAAGACTAGAGGAACACCAACTTCAGCAGAGCAACTCGAGGAATGGTCCGTGTACCCCAAATCGCCTCGAGATGAGAGCTGATTCCCTGCTTTAGGCTCAAGACGTATGCCAAATTTCCGGAAGCACCTCAGGAGGAGGCTTCTCTCAGCAATAGGTATGTGGGAGGGACCCCGAGATCGCTGCCTCAAGTGGAATATACAGCGAGAAGCCCTAACTTGAAAGGAGGCTGGATTTCCTTGCAGTGGCGTGAATACAGGCTCGTCTTTGATCTCAAAACATGAAGGGATGTCTGAATCCCCTGTGCAGACCTTAGAGAAAGCCCTAGGTCCCTGCCTCTTTTTGACGGAATGCCTCACATCCCGTTGACACCTCGAGAGGCACGCGGAGTTCATTGCTTCAAAAGCTTATGATGCCTGACTCCCCTTGAATACTGATAGGAATCCCAAAATCCCTGTGGCTACAGGAAAGGGTCCTTGGCTGCCCTGTCTCAGCTCGAGAAGTGTCCCTTTTACCCTGCCAGGCCTCGAAGAGATTCCTGAGGTGTCCCTCGTTACTAGACAGGAGTCCTGACATGACTGAAGAAACTCGTGTTTTGAAGGGCCATCCCCGCCGTAAGTCGAGAACATAACACAGGGCCCCGCCGCAACTCGAGATAAACCATAAGACTTCCCCCTAGAGGCGAGATGAGGCCCCATTCCCCTGCAGTGCATGCAGAGCTATTCCGTGATCCCATTCATACAAGTCAGGAGCTTGGAGTTGCTTAATGGATCTCGAGACAGTCCTCAAGAACACTGTCACCAGTCTAGACGGACCCTGATGTCACCCCAGCAACACAAAGCAGCTCCATGTGCCCCAAATCAACTCGAGATGAGGCCAGATTACACTGCATTGACTCCAGAGCCATTCCCCGTTCCCCATTCACCAGGACCGGTGGCTCGACTTCCTTCAGGCAACTCAAGATATGCCCCGAGAACACTGTCCCAAGTCTAGAGGAACACCAACTTCAGCACAGCAACTCGAGGAATGCTCCGTGTACCCCAAATCGTCTCGAGATGAGAGCTGATTCCCTGGCTTAGGCTCAAGACGTATGCCAACTTTCCAGAAGCACCTCAGGAGGAGGCTTCTCTCAGCAATAGGTATGTGGGAAGGACCCCAAGATAACTGCCTCAAGTGGAATATACAGCGAGAAGCCCTAACTTGAAAGGAGGCCGGATTTCCTTGCAGTGGCTTCAATAGAGGCTCGTCTTTGATCTCAAAACATGAAGGGATGTCTGAATCCCCTGTGGAGACCTTAGAGAAAGCCCTAGGTCCCTGCCTCATTTTGACGGAATGCCTCACATCCCGTTGACACCTCGAGAGGCACGCGGAGTTCATTGCTTCAAAAGGTGACGATGCCTGACTCCTCTTGAATACTGATAGGAATCCCAAAATCCCTGTGTCTACTGGAAAGGGTCCTTGGGTTCCCTGCCTCACCTCGAGAAGCGTCCCTTTTGCCCTGCCAAGCATGGAGGTGAATCCTGAGGTGTCTCTCGTTACTAAACAGGAGTCCTGACGTCACTGAAAAAACTCGTGTTTTGAAGGGCCATCCCCGCCGTAAGTCGAGAACATACCCCAGGTCCCCGCCGCAACTCGAGAAAAACCATGAGACTTCCCCCTAGAGGCGAGATGAGGCCCCATTCCCCTGCAGTGCATGCAGAGCTATTCCATGATCCCATTCAAACAAGTTAGGAGCTTCGACTTGCTTAATGGATCTCAAGACAGTCCCCAAGAACACTGTCACCAGTCTAGACGGACCCTGAGGTCACCCCAGCAATGCAAAGCAGCTCCATGTGCCCCAAATCAACTCGAGATGAGGCCCGATTCCCCTGCATTGACTCCAGAGCCATTCCCCGTTCCCCATTCAACAGGACCGGTGGCTCGACTTCCTTCAGGCAACTCCAGAGATACCCCGAGAACACTGTCCCAAGTCTAGAGGAACACCAACTTCAGCACAGCAACTCGAGGAATGCACCGGTTACACCAAAACGTCTCGAGATAGAGCAGATTCCCTGGCTTAGGCTCAAGACGTATGCCAACTTTCCAGAAGCACCTCAGGAGGAGGCTTCTCTCAGCAATAGGTATGTGGGAGGGACCCCGAGATCGCTGCCTCAAGTGGAATATACAGCGAGAAGCCCTAACTTGAAAGGAGGCCGGATTTCCTTGCAGTGGCTTGAATACAGGCTCGTCTTTGATCTCAAAACATGAAGGGATGTCTGAATCTCCTGTGGAGACCTTAGAGAAAGCCCGAGGTACCTGCCTCATTTTGACGGAATGCCTAACATCCCGTTGACAACTCGAGAGTCACGCGGAGTTCATTGCTTCAAAAGGTGACGATGCCTGACTCCTCTTGAATACTGATAGGAATCCGAAAATCCCTGTGGCTACTGGAAAGGGTCCTTGGGTGCCCTGCCTCACCTCGAGAAGCGTGCCTTTTGCCCTGCCAAGCCTCGAAGAGATTCCTGATGTGTCCCTCGTTACTAGACAGGAGTCCTGACGTCACATAAGAAACTCGTGTTTTGAAGGGCCATCCCCGCCGTAAGTCGAGAACATAACCCAGGGCCCCGCCGCAACTCGAGAAAAACCATGAGACTTCCCCCTAGAGGCGAGATGAGGCCCCATTCCCCTGCAGTGCATGCAGAGCTATTCCGTGATCCCATTCAAACAAGTCAGGAGCTTCGACTTGCTTAATGGATCTCGAGACAGTCCCCAAGAACACTGTCACCAGTCTAGACGGACCCTGAGGTCACCCCAGCAACGCAAAACAGCTCCATGTGCCCCAAATCAACTCGAGATGAGGCCCGATACCCGTGCATTGACTCCAGAGCCATTCCCCGTTCCCCATTCAACACGACCGGTGGCTCGACTTCCTTTCAGGCAACTCCAGAGATGCCCCGAGAACACTGTCCCAAGTCTAGAGGAACACCAACTTAAGCACTGCAACTCGAGGAATACTCCGTGTACCCCAAATCACCTCGAGATGAGAGCTGATTCCCTGCCTTAGGCTCAAGACGTATGCCAAATTTCCAGAAGCACCTCAGGAGGTGGCTTCTCTCAGCAATAGGTATGTGGGAGGGACCCCGAGATCGCTGCCTCAAGTGGAATATATAGCGAGAAGCCCTAACTTGAAAGGAGGCTGGATTTCCTTGCAGTGGCTTGAATACAGGCTCGTCTTTGATCTCAAAACATGAAGGGATGTCTGAATCCCCTGTGCAGACCTTAGAGAAAGCCCTAGGTCCCTGCCTCATTTTGACGGAATGCCTCACATCCCGTTGACACCTCGAGAGGCACGCGGAGTTCATTGCTTCAAAAGGTTACGATGCCTGACTCCCCTTGAATACTGATAAAAATCCCAAAATCCCTGTGGCTACAGGAAAGGGTCCTTGGCTGCCCTGTCTCACCTCGAGAAGCGTCCCATTTACCCTGCCAAGCCTCGAGATTCCTGAGGTGTCCCTCGTTACTAGACAGGAGTCCTGACGTCACTGAAGAAACTCGTGTTTTGAAGGGACATCCGGGACGTAAGTCGAGAACATAACCCAGGGCCCCGCCGCAACTCGAGAAAAACAATGAGACTTCCCCCTAGAGGCGAGATGAGGCCCCATTCCCCTGCAGTGCATGCAGAGCTATTCCGTGATCCCATTCAAACAAGTCAGGAGCTTCGACTTGCTTAATGGATCTCAAGACAGTCCCCAAGAACACTGTCACCAGTCTAGACGGACCCTGAAGTCACCCCAGCAATGCAAAGCAGCTCCATGTGCCCCAAATCAACTCGAGATGAGGCCCGATTCCCCTGCATTGACTCCAGAGCCATTCCCCGTTCCCCATTCAACACGACCGGTGGCTCGACTTCCTTCAGGCAACTCCAGAGATGCCCCGAGAACACTGTCCCAAGTCTAGAGGAACACCAACTTCAGCACAGCAACTCGAGGAATGCTCCGTGTATCCCAAATCGTCTCGAGATGAGAGCTGATTCCCTGGCTTAGGCTCAAGACGTATGCCAACTTTCCAGAAGCACCTCAGGAGGAGGCTTCTCTCAGCAATAGGTATGTTGGAGGGACCCCGAGATCGCTGCCTCAAGTGGAATATACAGCGAGAAGCCCTAACTTGAAAGGAGGCCGGATTTCCTTGCAGTGGCTTGAATACAGGCTCGTTTTGATCTCAAAACATGAAGGGATGTCTGAATCCACTGTGGAGACCTTAGAGAAAGCCCTAGGTCCCTGCCTCATTTTGACGGAATGCCTCATATGCCGTTGAGACCTCGAGAGGCACGCAGAGTTCATTGCTTCAAAAGGTGACGATGCCTGACTCCTCTTGAATACTGATAGGAATCCCAAAATCCCTGTGGCTACTGGAAAGGGTCCTTGGGTTCCCTGCCTCACTTCGAGAAGCGTCCCTTTTGCCCTGCCAAGCATGGAGGTGAATCCTGAGGTGTCTCTCGTTACTAAACAGGAGTCCTGACGTCACTGAAGAAACTCGTGTTTTGAAGGGCCATCCCCGCCGTAAGTCGAGAACATACCCCAGGTCCCCGCCGCAACTCGAGAAAAACCATGAGACTTCCCCCTAGAGGCGAGATGAGGCCCCATTCCCCTGCAGTGCATGCAGAGCTATTCCGTGATCCCATTCAAACAAGTCAGGAGCTTGGAGTTGCTTAATGGATCTCGAGACAGTCCCCAAGAACACTGTCACCAGTCTAGACGGACCCTGAGGTCACCCCAGCAACGCAAAGCAGCTCCATGTGCCCCAAATCAACTCGAGATGAGGCCCGATTCCCCTGCATTGACTCCAGAGCCATTACCCGTTCCCCATTCAACACGACCAGTGGCTCGACTTCCTTCAGGAAACTCCAGAGATGCACTGAGAACACTGTCCCAAGTCTAGAGGAACACCAAATTCAGCACAGCAACTCGAGGAATGCTCCGTGTACCCCAAATCGCCTCGAGATGAGAGCTGATTCCCTGCCTTAGGCTCAAGACGTATGCCAAATTTCCAGAAGCACCTCAGGAGGAGGCTTCACTCAGCAATAGATATGTGGGAGGGACCCCGAGATCGCTGCCTCAAGTGGAATATACAGCGAGAAGCCCTAACTTGAAAGGAGGCTGGATTTCCTTGCAGTGGCTTGAATACAGGCTCGTCTTTGATCTCAAAACATGAAGGGATGTCTGAATCCCCTGTGCAGACCTAAGAGAAAGCCCTAGGTCCCTGCCTCATTTTGACGAAATGCCTCACATCCCGTTGACACCTCGAGAGGCACGCGGAGTTCATTGCTTCAAAAGGTGACAATGCCTGAATCCTCTTGAATACTGATAGGAATCCCAAAATCCCTGTGGCTACTGGAACGGGTACTTGGTTGCCCTGCCTCACCTCGAGAAGCGTCCCTTTTACCCTGCCAAGCCTCGAAGTGATTCATGAGGTGTCCCTCCTTACTAGACAGGAGTCCTGACGTCATTGAAGAAACTCCTGTTTTGAAGGGCCATCCCCGCAGTAAGTCGAGAACATAACACAGGGCCCCGCCGCAACTCGAGAAAAACCATGAGACTTCCCCCTAGAGGCGAGATGAGGCCCCATTCCCCTGCAGTGCATGCAGAGCTATTCCGTGATCCCATTCAAACAAGTTAGGAGCTTCGACTTGCTTAATGGATCTCAAGACAGTCCCCAAGAACACTGTCACCAGTCTAGACGGACCCTGAGGTCACCCCAGCAATGCAAAGCAGCTCCATGTGCCACAAATCAAATCGAGATGAGGCCCGATTCCCCTGCATTGACTCCAGAGCCATTCCCCGTTCCCCATTCAACAGGACCGGTGGCTCGACTTCCTTCAGGCAACTCCAGAGATGCCCCGAGAACACTGTCCCAAGTGTAGAGGAACACCAACTTCAGCACAGCAACTCGAGGAATGCTCCGTTTACTCCAAATCGTCTCGAGATGAGAGCTGATTCCCTGGCTTAGGCTCAAGACGTATGCCAACTTTCCAGAAGCACCTCAGGAGGAGGCATCTCTCAGCAATAGGTATGTGGGAGGGACCCCGAGGTCGCTGCCTCAAGTGGAATATACAGCGAGAAGCCCTAACTTGAAAGGAGGCCGGATTTCCTTGCAGTGGCTTGAATACAGGCTCGTCTTTGATCTCAAAACATGAAGGGATGTCTGAATCCCCTGTGGAGACTTTAGAGAAAGCCCTAGGTCCCTGCCTCATTTTGACGGAATGCCTCACATCCCGTTGACACCTCGAGAGGCACGCAGAGTTCATTGCTTCAAAAGGTGACGATGCCTGCCTCTTCTTGAATACTGATAGGAATCCCAAAATCTCTGTGGCTACTGGAAAGGGTCCTTGGGTGCCCTGCCTCACCTCGAGAAGCGTCTCTTTAGCCCTGCCAAGCCTCGAAGAAATTCCTGAGGTGTCCCTCGTTGCTAGACAGGAGTCCTGACTTCACTGAATAAACACGTGTTTTGAAGGGCCATCCCCGTCATAAGTCGAGAACATACCCCAGGTCCCCGCCGCAACTCGAGAAAAACCATGAGACTTCCCCCTAGAGCCGAGATGAGGCCCCATTCCCCTGCAGTGCATGCAGAGCTATTCCATGATCCAATTCATACAAGTCAGGAGCTTCGACTTGCTTAATGAATCTCGAGACAGTCCCCAAGAACACTGTCACCAGTCTAGACGGACCCTGAGGTCAAACCAGGAATGCAAAGCAGCTCCATGTGCCCCAAATCAACTCGAGATGAGGCCCGATTCCCCTGCGTTGACTCCAGAGCCATTCCCCGTTCCCCATTCAACAGGACCGGTGGCTCGACTTCCTTCAGGCAACTCCAGAGATGACCCGAGAACACTGTCCCAAGTCTAGAGGAACACCAACTTTAGCACAGCAACTCGAGGAATGCTCCGTGTACCCCAAATCGTCTCGAGATGAGAGCTGATTCCCTGGCTTAGGCTCAAGACGTATGCCAAGTTTCCAGAAGCACCTCAGGAGGAGGCTTCTCTCAGCAATAGGTATGTGGGAGGGACCCCGAGATCACTGCCTCAAGTTGAATATACAACGAGAAACCCTAACTGGAAAGGAGGCCGGATTTCCTTGCAGTGTCTTGAATACAGGCTCGTCTTTGATCTCAAAACATGAAGGGATGTCTGAATCCCCTGTGGAGACCTTAGAGAAAGCCCTAGGGCCCTGCCTCATTTTGACGGAATGCCTCACATCCCGGTGACACCTCGAGAGGCACGCGGAGTTCATTGCTTCAAAAGGTGACGATGCCTGACTCCTCTTGAATACTGATAGGAATCCCAAAATCCCTGTGGCTACTGGAAAGGGTCCTTGGCTGCCCTGCCTCACCTCGAGAAGCGTCCCTTTTACCCTGCCAAGCCTCGAAGAGATTCATGAGGTGTCCCTCGTTACTAGACAGGAGTCCTGACATGACTGAAGAAACTCGTGTTTTGAAGGGCCATCCCAGTCGTAAGTCGAGAACATAACCCAGGGCCCCGCCGCAACTCGAGAAAAACCATGAGACTTCCCCCTAGAGGCCAGATGAGGCCCCATTCCCCTGCAGTGCATGCAGAGCTATTCCGTGATCCCATTCAAACAAGTCAGGAGCTTCGACTTTCTTAATGGATCTCGAGACAGTCCCCAAGAACACTGGCACCAGTCTAGACGGACCCTGAGGTCACCCCAGCAACGCAAAGCAGCTCCATGTGCCCCAAATCAACTCGAGATGAGGCCCGATTCCCCTGCATTGACTCCAGAGCCATTCTCCGTTCCCCATTCAACACGACCGGTGGCTCGACTTCCTTCAGGCAACTCCAGAGATGCCCCGAGAACACTGTCCCAAGTCTAGAGGAACACCAACTTCAGCACAGCTACTCGAGGAATGCTCCGTGAACCCCAAATCGTCTCGAGATGAGAGCTGATTCCCTGGCTTAGGCTCAAGGCGTATGCCAACTTTCCAGAAGCACCTCAGGAGGAGGCTTCTCTCAGCAATAGGTATGTGGGAGGGACCCCGAGATCACTGCCTCAAGTGGAATATACAGCGAGAAGCCCTAACTTGAAAGGAGGCCGGATTTCTTGCAGTGGCTTGAATACAGGCTCGTCTTTGATCTCAAAACATGAAGGGATGTCTGAATCCCCTCTGGAGACCTTAGAGAAAGCCCTAGGTCCCTGCCTCATTTTGACGGAATGCCTCACATCCCGTTGACACCTCGAGAGGCACGCGGAGTTCATTGCTTCAAAAGGTGACGATGCCTGACTCCTCTTGAATACTGATAGGAATCCCAAAATCCCTGTGGCTACTGGAAATGGTCCTAGGCTGCCCTGCCTCACCTCGAGAAGCGTCCCTTTTACCCTGCCAAGCCTCGAAGAGATTCATGAGTTGTCCCTCGTTACTACACAGGAGTCCTGACGTCACTGAAGAAACTCCTGTTTTGAAGGGCCATCCCCGCCATAAGTCGAGAACATAACCCAGGGCCCCGCCGCAACTCGAGAAAAACCATGAGACTTCCCCCTAGAGGCGAGATGAGGCCCCATTCCCCTGCAGTGCATGCAGAGCTATTCTGTGATCCCATTTAAACAAGTCAGGAGCTTCGACTTGCTTAATGGATCTCGAGACAGTCCCGAAGAACACTGTCACCAGTCTAGACGTACCCTGATGTCACCCCAGCAACGCAAAGCAGCTCCATGTGCCCCAAATCAACTCGAGATGAGGCTCGATTCCACTGCATTGACTCCAGAGCCATTCCCTGTTCCCCATTCAACACGAACGGTGGCTCGACTTCCTTCAGGCAACTCCAGAGATGCCCCGAGAACACTGTCCCAAGTCTAGAGGAACACCAACTTCAGCACAGCAACTCGAGGAATGCTCCGTGTATCCCAAATCGTCTCGAGATGAGAGCTGATTCCCTGGCTTAGGCTCAAGACGTATGCCAACTTTCCAGAAGCACCTCAGGAGGAGTCTTCTCTCAGCAATAGGTATGTGGGAGGGACCCCGAGATCACTGCCTCAAGTGGAATATACAACGAGAAACCCTAACTTGAAAGGAGGCCGGATTTCCTTGCAGTGGCTTGAATACAGGCTCGTCTTTGATCTCAAAACATGAAGGGATGTCTGAATCCCCTGTGGAGACCTTAGAGAAAGACCTAGGTCCCTGCCTCATTTTGACGGAATGCCTCACATCCCGGTGACACCTCGAGAGGCACGCGGAGTTCATTGATTCAAAAGGTGACGATGCCTGACTCCTCTTGAATACTGATAGGAATCCCAAAATCCCTGTGGCTACTGGAAAGGGTCCTTTGCTGCCCTGCCTCACCTCGAGAAGCGTCCCTTTTACCCTGCCAAGCTTCGAAGAGATTCATGAGGTGTCCCTCGTTACTAGACAGGAGTCCTGACATGACTGAAGAAACTCGTGTTTTGAAGGGCCATCCCCGCCGTAAGTCGAGAACAGAACCCAAGGCCTCGCCGAAACTCGAGAAAAACCATGAGACTTCCCCCTAGAGGCGAGATGAGGCCCCATTCCCCTGCAGTGCATGCAGAGCTATTCCGTGATCCCATTCAAACAAGTCAGGAGCTTCGACTTGCTTAATGGATCTCGAGACAGTCCCCAAGAACACTGTCACCAGTCTAGAGGGACCCTAAGGTCACCCCAGCAACGCAAAGCAGCTCCATGTGCCCCAAATCAACTCGAGATGAGGCCCGATACCCCTGCATTGACTCCAGAGCCATTCCCCGTTACCCATTCAACACGACCGGTGGCTCGACTTCCTTCAGGCAACTCCAGAGATGCCCCGAGAACACTTTTCCAAGTCTAGAGGAACACCAACTTCAGCACAGCAACTCGAGGAATGCTCCGTGTACCCCAAATCGTCTCGAGATGAGAGCTGATTCCCTGGCTTAGGCTCAAGACGTATGCCAACTTTCCAGAAGCACCTCAGGAGGAGGTTTCTCTCAGCAATAGGTATGTGGGAGGGACCCCGAGAAAACTGCCTCAAGTGGAATATACAGTGAGAAGCCCTAACTTGAATGGAGGCCGGATTTCCTTGCAGTGGCTTGAATACAGGCTCGTCTTTGATCTCAAAACATGAAGGGATGTCTTAATCCCCTCTGGAGACCTTAGAGAAAGCCCTAGGTCCCTGCCTCATTTTGACGGAATGCCTCACATCCCGTTGACACCTCGAGAGGCACGCGGAGTTCATTGCTTCAAAAGGTGACGATGCCTGACTCCTCTTGAATACTGATAGGAATCCCAAAATCCCTGTGGCTACTGGAAATGGTCCTAGGCTGCCCTGCCTCACCTCGAGAAGCGTCCCTTTTACCCTGCCAAGCCTCGAAGAGATTCATGAGTTGTCCCTCGTTACTACACAGGAGTCCTGACGTCACTGAAGAAACTCCTGTTTTGAAGGGCCATCCCCGCCAAAAGTCGAGAACATAACCCAGGGCCCCGCCGCAACTCGAGAAAAACCATGAGACTTCCCCCTAGAGGCGAGATGAGGCCCCATTCCCCTGCAGTGCATGCAGAGCTATTCTGTGATCCCATTTAAACAAGTCAGGAGCTTCGACTTGCTTAATGGATCTCGAGACAGTCCCCAAGAACACTGTCACCAGTCTAGACGGACCCTGATGTCACCCCAGCAACGCAAAGCAGCTCCATGTGCCCCAAATCAACTCGAGATGAGGCTCGATTCCCCTGCATTGACTCCAGAGCCATTCCCTGTTCCCCATTCAACACGAACGGTGGCTCGACTTCCTTCAGGCAACTCCAGAGATGCCCCGAGAACACTGTCCCAAGTCTAGAGGAACACCAACTTCAGCACAGCAACTCGAGGAATGCTCCGTGTATCCCAAATCGTCTCGAGATGAGAGCGGATTCCCTGGCTTAGGCTCAAGACATATGCCAACTTTCCAGAAGCACCACAGGAGGAGGCTTCTCTCAGCAATAGGTATGTGGGAGGGACCCCGAGATCACTGCCTCAAGTGGAATATACAACGAGAAACCCTAACTTGAAAGGAGGCCGGATTTCCTTGCAGTGGCTTGAATACAGGCTCGTCTTTGATCTCAAAACATGAAGGGATGTCTGAATCCCCTGTGGAGACCTTAGAGAAAGCCCTAGGTCCCTGCCTCATTTTGACGGAATGCCTGACATCCCGGTGACACCTCGAGAGGCACGCGGAGTTCATTGATTCAAAAGGTGACGATGTCTGACTCGTCTTGAATACTGATAGGAATCCCAAAATCCCTGTGGCTACTGGAAAGGGTCCTTGGCTGCCCTGCCTCACCTCGAGAAGCGTCCCTTTTACCCTGCCAAGCCTCGAAGAGATTCATGAGGTGTCCCTCGTTACTAGACAGGCGTCCTGACATGACTGAAGAAACTCGTGTTTTGAAGGGCCATCCCCGCCGTAAGTCGAGAACATAACCCAGGGCCCGCCGAACTCGAGAAAAACCATGAGACTTCCCCCTAGAGGCGAGATGAGGCCCCATTCCCCTGCAGTGCATGCAGAGCTATTCCGTGATCCCATTCAAACAAGTCAGGAGCTTCGACTTGCTTAATGGATCTCGAGACAGTCCCCAAGAACACTGGCACCAGTCTAGACGGACCCTGAGGTCACCCAAGCAACGCAAAGCAGCTCCATGTGCCCCAAATCAACTCGAGATGAGGCCCGATTCCCCTGCATTGACTCCAGAGCCATTCTCCGTTCCCCATTCAACACGACCGGTGGCTCGACTTCCTTCAGGCAACTCCAGAGATGCCCCGAGAACACTGTCCCAAGTCTAGAGGAACACCAACTTCAGCACAGCAACTCGAGGAATGCTCCGTGTACCCCAAATCGTCTCGAGATGAGAGCTGATTCCCTGGCTTAGGCTAAAGACGTATGCCAACTTTCCAGAAGCACCTCAGGAGGAGGCTTCTCTCAGCAATAGGTATGTGGGAGGGACCCCGAGATCACTGCCTCAAGTGGAATATACAGCGAGAAGCCCTAACTTGAAAGGAGGCCGGATTTCCTTGCAGTGGCTTGAATACAGGCTCGTCTTTGATCTCAAAACATGAAGGGATGCCTGAATCCCCTGTGGAGACCTTAGAGAAAGCCCTATGTCCCTGCCTCATTTTGACGGAATGCCTCACATCCCGATGAAACCACGAGAGGCACGCGGAGTTCATTGATTAAAAAGGTGACGATGCCTGACTCCTCTTGAATACTGATAGGAATCCCAAAATTCCTGTGGCTACTGGAAAGGGACCTTGGCTGCCCTGCCTCACCTCGAGAAGCGGCCCTTTTACCCTGTTAAGCCTCGAAGAGATTCATGAGTTGTCCCTCGTAACTAGACAGGGGTCCTGACATCACTGAAGAAACTCGTGTTTTGAAGGGCCATCCCCGCCGTAAGTCGAGAAAATAACCCAAGGCCTCTCCGAAACTCGAGAAAAACCATGAGAGTTCCCCCTAGAGGCGAGATGAGGCCCCATTCCCCTGCCGTGCATGCAGAGCTATTCCGTGATCCCATTCAAACAAGTCAGTAGCTTCGTCTTGCTCAATGGATCTCGAGACAGTCCCCAAGAACACTGTCACCAGTCTAGACGGACCCTGAGGTAGCCCGAGCAACGCAAAGCAGCTCCATGTGCCCCAAATCAACTCGAGATGAGGCCCGATACCCCTGCATTGACTCCAGAGCCATTCCCTGTTCCCCATTCAACACGAACGGTGGCTCGACTTCCTTCAGGCAACTCCAGAGATGCCCCGAGAACACTGTCCCAAGTCTAGAGGAACACCAACTTCAGCACAGCAACTCGAGGAATGCTCCGTGTATCCCAAATCGTCTCGAGATGAGAGCTGATTCCCTGGCTTAGGCTCAAGACGTATGCCAACTTTCCAGAAGCACCTCAGGAGGAGGCTTCTCTCAGCAATAGGTATGTGGGAGGGACCCCGAGATCGCTGCCTCAAGTGGAAAATACAGCGAGAATCCCTAACCTGAAAGGAGGCCGGATTTCCTTGCAGTGGCTTGAATACAGGCTCGTCTTTGATCTCAAAACATGAAGGGATGTCTGAGTCCCCTGTGGAGACCTTAGAGAAAGCCCTAGGTCCCTGCCTCATTTTGACGGAATTCCTCATATGCCGTTGACACCTCGAGAGGCACGCAGAGTTCATTGCTTCAAAAGGTGACGATGCCTGACTCCTCTTGAATACTGATAGGAATCCCAAAATCCCTGTTTCTACTGGAAAGAGTCCTTGGGTGCCCTGCCTCACCTCGAGAAGCGTCCCTTTGCCCTGCCAAGCCTCGAAGAAATTCCTGAGGTGTCCCTCGTTGCTAGACAGGAGTACTGACTTCACTGAATAAACATGTGTTTTGAAGGGCCATCCCCGTCATAAGTCGAGAACATACCCCAGGTCCTCGCCAAAACTCGAGAAAAACCATGAGACTTCCCCCTAGAGGCGAGATGAGGCCCCATTCCCCTGCAGTGCATGCAGAGCTATTCCATGATCCAATTCATACAAGTCAGGAGCTTCGACTTGCTTAATGGATCTCGAGACAGTCCCCAAGAACACTGGAACCAGTCTAGACGGACCCTGAGGTCACCCAAGCAACGCAAAGCAGCTCCATGTGCCCCTAATCAACTCGAGATGAGGCCCGATACCCCTGCTTTGACTCCAGAGCCATTCCCTGTTCCCCATTCAACACGAATAGTGGCTCGACTTCCTTCAGGCAACTCCAGAGATGCCCCGAGAACACTGTCCCAAGTCTAGAGGAACACCAACTTCAGCACAGCAACTCGAGGAATGCTCCGTGTATCCCAAATCGTCTCGAGATGAGAGCTGATTCTCTGGCTTAGGCTCAAGACGTATGCCAACTTTCCAGAAGCACCTCAGGAGGAGGCTTCTCTCAGCAATAGGTATGTGGGAGGGACCCCGAGATCGCTGCCTCAAGTGGAATATACAGCGAGAATCCCTAACCTGAAAGGAGGCCGGATTTCCTTGCAGTGGCTTGAATACAGGCTCGTCTTTGATCTCAAAACATGAAGGGATGTCTGAATCCCCTGTGGAGACCTTAGAGAAAGCCCTAGGTCCCTGCCTCATTTTGACGGAATTCCTCATATGCCGTTGACACCTCGAGAGGCACGCAGAGTTCATTGCTTCAAAAGGTGACGATGCCTGACTCCTCTTGAATACTGATAGGAATCCCAAAATCCCTGTGGCTACTGGAAAGTGTCCTTGGGTCCCCTGCCTCACCACGAGAAGCGTCCCTTTTGGCCTGCCAAGCATTGAGTTGATTCCTGAGGTGTCCCTCGTTACTAAACATGAGTCCTGACGTCACTGAGGAAACTCGTGTTTTTAAGGGCCATCCCCGCCGTAAGTCGAGAACATAACCCAGGGCCCCGCCGCAACTCGAGAAAAACCATGAGACTTCCCCCTAGAGGCGAGATGAGGCCCCATTCCCCTGCAGTGCATGCAGAGCTATTCCGTGATCCCATTCAAACAAGTCAGGAGCTTGGAGTTGCTTAATGGATCTCGAGACAGTCCCCAAGAACACTGTCACCAATCTAGACGGACCCTGAGGTCACCCCAGCAACGCAAAGTAGATCCATGTGCCCCTAATCAACTCGACATGAGGCCTGATTCCCCTGCATTGACTCCAGAGCCATTCCCTGTTCCCCATTCAACACGACCAGTGGCTTGACTTCCTTCAGGCAACTCCAGAGATGCCCCGAGAACACTGTCCCAAGTCTAGAGGAACACCAACTTCAGCACAGCAACTCGAGGAATGCTCCGTGTACCCCAAATCGCCTCGAGATGAGAGCTGATTCCCTGGCTTAGGCTCAAGACGTATGCCAAATTTCCAGAAGCACCTCAGGAGGAGGCTTCTCTCAGCAATAGGTATGTGGGAGGGACCCCGAGATCGCTGCCTCAATTGGAATATACAGCGAGAAGCCCAAACTTGAAAGGAGGCCGGATTTCCTTGCAGTGGCTTTAATACAGGCTCGTCTTTGATCTCAAAACATGAAGGGATGTCTGAATCCCCTGTGGAGACCTTACAGAAAGCCCTATGTCCCTGCCTCGTTTTGACGGAATGCCTCACATCCCGATGACACCTCGATAGGCACGCGGAGTTCATTGCTTCAAAAGTTGACGATGCCTGACTCCTCTTGAATACTGATAGGAATCCCGAAATCCCTGTGGCTACTGGAAAGGGTCCTTGGGTTCCCTGCCTCACCTCGAGAGGCGTCCCTTTAGCTCTGCCAAGCCTCGAAGAAATTCCTGAGGTGTCCCTCGTTGCTAGACAGGAGTCCTGACTTCACTGAATAAACACGTGTTTTGAAGGGCCATCCCCGTCATAAGTCGAGAACATACCCCAGGTCCCCGCCGCAACTCGAGAAAAACCATGAGACTTCCCCCTAGAGCCGAGATGAGGCCCCATTCCCCTGCAGTGCATGCAGAGCTATTCCATGATCCAATTCATACAAGTCAGGAGCTTCGACTTGCTTAATGGATCTCGAGACAGGCCCCAAGAACACTGTCACCAGTCTAGACGGACCCTGAGGTCACCCCAGCAATGCAAAGCAGCTCCATGTGCCCGAAATCAACTCGAGATGAGGCCCGATTCCCCTGCATTGACTCCAGAGCCATTCCTCGTTCCCCATTCAACACGTCCGGTGGCTCGACTTCCTTCAGGCAACTCCAGAGATGCCCCGAGAACACTGTCCCAAGTCTAGAGGAACACCAACTTTAGCACCGCAACTCGAGGAATGCTCCGTGTACCCCAAATCGTCTCGAGATGAGAGCTGATTCCCTGGCTTAGGCTCAAGACGTATTCCAAGTTTCCAGAAGCACCTCAGGAGGAGGCTTCTCTCAGCAATAGGTATGTGGGAGGGACCCCGAGATCACTGCCTCAAGTGGAATATACAACGAGAAACCCTAACTTGAAAGGAGGCCGGATTTCCTTACAGTGGCTTGAATACAGGCTCGTCTTTGATCTCAAAACATGAAGGGATGTCTGAATCCCCTGTGGAGACCTTAGAGAAAGCCCTAGGTCACTGCCTCATTTTGACGGAATGCCTCACATCCCGGTGACACCTCGAGAGGCACGCGGAGTTCATTGATTCAAAAGGTGACGATGCCTGACTCCTCTTGAATACTGATAGGAATCCCAAAATCCCTGTGGCTACTGGAAAGGGTCCTTGGCTGCCCTGCCTCACCTCGAGAAGCGTCCCTTTTACCCTGCCAAGCCTCGAAGAGATTCATGAGGTGTCCGTCGTTACTAGACAGGAGTCCTGATGTCACTGAAGAAACACGTGTTTTGAAGGGCCATCCCCGCCGTAAGTCGAGAACATAACCCAGGGCCCCGCCGCAACTCGAGAAAAACCATGAGACTTCCCCCTAGAGGCGAGATGAGGCCCCATTCCCCTGCAGTGCATGCAGAGCTATTCCGTGATCCCATTCAAACAAGTCAGGAGCTTCGACTTGCTTAATGCATCTCGAGACAGTCCCCAAGAACACTGTCACCAGTCTAGACGGACCCTGAGGTCAACCCAGCAACGCAAAGCAGCTCCATGTGCCCCTAATCAACTCGAGATGAGGCCCGATTCCCCTGCATTGACTCCAGAGCCATTCTCCGTTCCTCATTCAACACGACCGGTGGCTCGACTTCCTTCAGGCAACTCCAGAGATGCCCCGAGAACACTGTCCCAAGTCTAGAGGAACACCAACTTCAGCACAGCAACTCGAGGAAAGCTCCTTGTACCCCAAATCGTCTTAAGATTAGAGCTGATTCCCTGGCTTAGGCTCAAGGCCTATGCCAACTTTCCAGAAGCACATCAAGAGGAGGCTTCTCTCAGCAATAGGTATGTGGGAGGGACACCGAGATCGCTTCCTCAAGTGGAATATACAGCGAGAAGCCCTAACTTGAAAGGAGGCCGGATTTCCTTGCAGTGGCTTGAATACAGGCTCGTGTTTGATCTCAAAACATGAAGGGATGTCTGAATCCCCTGTGGAGACGTTAGAGAAAGCCCTAGGTCTCTGCCTCATTTTGACGGAATGCCTCACATCCCGTTGACACCTCGAGAAGCACGCGGAGTTCATTGCTTCAAAAGGTGACGATGCCTGACTCCTCTTGAATACTGATAGGAATCCCAAAATCCCTGTGGCTACTGGAAAGGGTCCTTGGGTACCCTGCCTCACCTCGAGAAGCGTCCCATTGCCCTGCCAAGCCTCCTAGAGATTACTGAGGTGTCCCTCTTTACTAGACATGAGTCCTGACGTCACTGAAGAAACTCGTGTTTTGAAGGGCCATCCCCGCCGTAAGTCGAGAACATACCCCAGGGCCCCGCGACAACTCGAGAAAAACCATTAGACTTCCCCCTACAGGCGAGATGAGGCCACATTCCACTGCAGTGCATGCAGAGCTATTCCGTGATCCCATTCAAACAAGTCAGGAGCTTCGACTTGCTTAATGGATCTCGAGACAGACCCCAAGAACACTGTCACCAGTCTAGACGGACCCTGAGGTCACGCCAGCAACGCAAAGCAGCTCCATGTGCCCCAAATCCACAAGAGATGAGGCCCGATTCCCCTGCATTGACTCCAGAGCCATTCCCCGTTCCCCATTCAACACGACCGGTGGCTCGACTTCCTTCAGGCAACTCCAGAGATGCCCCGAGAACACTGTCCCAAGTCTAGAGGAACACCAACTTCAGCACAGCAACTCGAGGAATGCTCCTTGTACCCCAAATCGTCTCGAGATGAGAGCTGATTCCCTGGCTTAGGCTCAAGACTTATGCCAACTTTCCAGAAGCACATCAGGAGGAAGCTTCTCTCAGCAATAGGTATGTGGGAGGGACCCTGAGATCACTGCCTCAAGTGGAATATACAGCGAGAAGCCCTAACTTGAAAGGAGGCCGGATTTCCTTGCAGTGGCTTGAATACCGGCTTGTCTTTGATCTCAAAACATGAAGGGATGTCTGAATCCCCTGTGGAGACCTTAGAGAAAGCCCTAGGTCCCTGCCTCATTTTGACGGAATGCCTCACAACCCGTTGACACCTCGAGAGGCACGCGGAGTTCATTGCTTCAAAAGGTGACGATGCCTGACTCCTCTTGAATACTCATAGGAATCCCAAAATCCCTGTCGCTACTGGAAAGGGTCCTTGTGGGCCCTGCCTCTCCTCGAGAAGCGTCCCTTTTGCCCTGCCAAGCATGGAGGTGATTCCTGAGGTGTCCCTCGTTACTAGACAGGAGTCCTGACGTCACGGAAGAAACTCCTGTTTTGAAGGGCCATCCCCGCCGTAAGTCGAGAACATACCCCAGGTCCCCGCCGCAACTCGAGAAAAACCATGAGACTTCCCCCTAGAGGCGAGATGAGGCCCCATTCCCCTGCAGTGCATGCAGAGCTATTCCGTGATCCCATTCAAACAAGTCAGGAGCTTGGCGTTGCATAATGGATCTCGAGACAGTCCCCAAGAACACTGTCACCAGTCTAGACGGACCCTGAGGTCACCCCAGCAACGCAAAGCAGCTCCATGTGCCCCTAATCAACTCGAGATGAGGCCCGATTCCCCTGTATTGACTCCAGAGCCATTCCCCGTTCCCCATTCAACACGATCAGTGGCTCGACTTCCTTCAGGCAACTCCAGAGATGCCCCGAGAACACTGTCCCAAGTCTAGAGGAACACCAACTTCAGCACAGCAACTCGAGGAATGCTCCGTGTACCCCAAATCGCCTCGAGATGAGAGCTGATTCCCTGGCTTAGGCTCAAGATGTATGCCAAATTTCCAGAAGCACCTCAGGAGGAGGCTTCTCTCAGCAATAGGTATGTGGGAGGGAACCCGAGTTCGCTGCCTCAAGTGGAATATACAGTGAGAAGCCCTAACTTGAAAGGAGGCTGGATTTCCTTGCAGTGGCTTGAATACAGGCTCGTCTTTGATCTCAAAACATGAAGGGATGTCTGAATCCCCTGTGCAGACCTTAGAGAAAGCCCTAGGTCCCTGCCTTATTTTGACGGAATGCCTCACATCCCATTGACACTTCGAGAGGCACGCGGAGTTCATTGCTTCAAAAAGTTACGATGCCTGACTCCTCTTGAATACTGATAGGAATCCCAAAATCAATGTGGCTACAGGAAAGGGTCCTTGGCTGCCCTGCCTCACCTCGAGAAGCGTCCCTTTTGCCCTGCCAAGCCTCGAAGAGATTACTGAGGTGTCCCTCGTTACTAGACAGGAGTCCTGGCCTCACTGAAGAAACTACTGTTTTGAAGGCCATCCCCGCCGTAAGTCCAGAATATACCCCAGGTCCCCGCCGCAACTCGAGAAAAACCATGAGACTTCCCGCTAGAGGCGAGATGAGGCCCCATTCCCCTGCAGTGCATGCAGAGCTATTCCGTGATCCCATTCAAACAAGTCAGGAGCTTCGACTTGCTTAATGGATCTCGAGACAGTCCCCAAGAACACTGTCACCAGTCTAGACGGACACTGAGGTCACCCCAGCAACGCAAAGCAGCTGCATGTGCCCCAAATCAACACGAGATGAGGCCCGATTCCCCTGCATTGACTCCAGAGCTATTCCCCGTTCCCCATTCAACAAAAACGGTGGCTCGACTTCCGTCAGGCAATTCCAGAGATGCCCCGAGAACACTGTCCCAAGTCTAGAGGAACACCAACTACAGCACAGCAACTCGAGGAATGCCCCGTGTACCCCAAATCGTCTCGAGATGAGAGCTGATTCCCTGGCTTAGGCTCAAGACGTATGCCAACTTTCCAGAAGCACCTCAGGAGGAGGTTTCTCTCAGCAATAGTTATGTGGGAGGGACCCCGAGATCGCTGCCTCAAGTGGAATATACAGCGAGAAGCCCTACCTTGAAAGGAGGCCGGATTTCCTTACAGTCGCTTGAATACAGGCTCGTCTTCGATCTCACAACATGAAGGGATGTCTGAATCCCCTGTGGAGACCTTAGATAAAGACCTAGGTCCCTGCCTCATTTTGACGGAATGCCTCACATCCCGTTGACACCTCCAGAGGCACGCGGAGTTCATTGCTTCAAAAGGTGACGATGCCTGACTCCTCTTGAATACTGATAGGAAACCCAAAATCCCTGTGGCTACTGGAATGGGTCCTTGGGTGCCCTGCCTCACCTCGAGAAGCGTCCCTTTTGCCCTGCCAAGCCTCGAAGAGATTCCTGAGGTGTCCCTCGTTAATAGACAGGATTCCTGACGTCACTGAAGAAACTCGTGTTTTGAAGGGCCATCCCCGCCGTAAGTCGAGAACATACCCCAGGTCCCGCCGCAATTCGAGAAAAACCATGAGACTTCCCCCTAGAGGCGAGATGAGGCCCCATTCCCATGCAGTGCATGCAGAGCTATTCCGTGACCACATTCAAACAAGTCAGGAGCTTCGACTTGCTTAATGGATCTCGAGACAGTCCCCAAGAACACTGTCACCAGTCTAGACGGACCCTGAGGTCACCCCAGCAACGCAAAGCAGCTCCATGTGCCCCAAATCAACTCGAGATGAGGCCCGATTCCCCTGCATTGACTCCAGAGCCATTCCCCGTTCCCCATTCAACACGTCCAGTGGCTCGACTTCCTTCAGGGAACTCCAGAGATGCGCCGAGAACACTGTCCTAAGTCTAGAGGAACACCAACTTCAGCACAGCAACTCGAGGAATGCTCCGTGTACCACAAATCGTCTCAAGATTAGAGCTGATTCCCTGGCTTAGGCTCAAGACGTATGCCAACTTTCCAGAAGCACATCAAGAGGAGGCTTCTCTCAGCAATAGGTATGTGGGAGGGACACCGAGATCGCTTCCTCAAGTGGAATATACAGCGAGAAGCCCTAACTTGAAAGGAGGCCGGATTTCCTTGCAGTGGCTTGAATACAGGCTCGTGTTTGATCTCAAAACATGAAGGGATGTCTGAATCCCCTGTGGAGACGTTAGAGAAAGCCCTAGGTCCCTGCCTCATTTTGACGGAATGCCTCACATCCCGTTAACACCTCGAGAGGCACGCGGAGTTCATTGCTTCAAAAGGTGACGATGCCTGACTCCTCTTGAATACTGATAGGAATCCCAAAATCCCTGTGGCTACTGGAAAGGGTCCTTGGGTACCCTGCCTCACCTCGAGAAGCGTCCCATTGCCCTGCCAAGCCTCCTAGAGATTCCTGAGGTGTCCCTCTTTACTAGACATCAGTCCTGACGTCACTGAAGAAACTCGTGTTTTGAAGGGCCATCCCCGCCGTAAGTCGAGAACATACCCCAGGGCCCCGCGACAACTCGAGAAAAACCATTAGACTTCCCCCTAGAGGAGAGATGAGGCCCCATTCCCCTGCAGTGCATGCAGAGCTATTCCGTGATCCCATTCAAACAAGTCAGGAGCTTCGACTTGCTTAATGGATCTCGAGACAGACCCCAAGAACACTGTCACCAGTCTAGACGGACCCTGAGGTCACGCCAGCAACGCAAAGCAGCTCCATGTGCCCCAAATCAACAAGAGATGAGGCCCGATTCCCCTGCATTGACTCCAGAGCCATTCCCCGTTCCCCATTCAACACGACCGGTGGCTCGACTTCCTTCAGGCAACTCCAGAGGTTCCCCGAGAACACTGTCCCAAGTCTAGAGGAACACCAACTTCAGCACAGCAACTCGAGGAATGCTCCGTGTACTCCAAATCGTCTCGAGATGAGAGCTGATTCCCTGGCTTAGGCTCAAGACTTATGCCAACTTTCCAGAAGCACATCAGGAGGAAGCTTCTCTCAGCAATAGGTATGTGGGAGGGACCAAGAGATCACTGCCTCAAGCGGAATATACAGCGAGAAGCCCTAACTTGAAAGGAGGCCGGATTTCCTTGCAGTGGCTTGAATACCGGCTTGTGTTTGATCTCAAAACATGAAGGGATGTCTGAATCCCCTGTGGAGACCTTAGAGAAAGCCCTAGGTCCCTGCCTCATTTTGACGGAATGCCTCACATCCCGTTGACACCTCGAGAGGCACGCGGAGTTCATTGCTTCAAAAGGTGACGATGCCTGACTCCTCTTGAATACTCATAGGAATCCCAAAATCCCTGTCACTACTGGAAAGGGTCCTTGGGGGCCCTGCCTCTCCTCGAGAAGCGTCCCTTTTGCCCTGCCAGGCCTCGAAGAGATTCCTGAGGTGTCCCTCATTACTAGACAGGAGTCCTGATGTCACTGAAGAAACTACTGTTTTGAAGGGCCATCCCCGCCGTAAGTCGAGAACATACCCCAGATCCCCGCCGCAACTCGAGAAAAACCATGAGACTTCCCCCTAGAGGCCAGATGATGCCCCATTCCCCTGCAGTGCATGCAGAGCTATTCCGTGATCCCATACAAACAAGTCCGCAGCTGAGACTTGCTTAATGGATCCCGAGACAGTCCCCAAGAACAATATCACCAGTCTAGACGGACCCTGAGGTCACCCCAGCAACGCAAAGCAGTTCCATGTGTCCCAAATGAACTCGAGATGAGGCGCGATTCCCCTGCATTTATTCCAGAGCCATTCCCTGTTCCCCATTCAACACGACCGGTGGCTCGACTTCCTTCAGGCAACTCCAGAGATGCCCCGAGAACACTGTCCCAAGTCTAGAGGAACACCAACTTCACAACAGCAACTCGAGGAATGCTCCGTGTATCCCAAATCGTCTCGAAATGAGAGCTGATTCCCTGGCTTAGGCTCAAGACGTATGCCAACTTTCCAGAAGCACCTCAGGAGGAGGCTTCTCTCAGCAATAGGTATGTGGGAGTGACCCCGAGATCCCTGCCTCAATTGGAATATACAGCGAGAATCCCTAACCTGAAAGGAGGCCGGATTTCCTTGCAGTGGCTTGAATACAGGCTCGTCTTTGATCTCAAAACATGAAGGGATGTCTGAATCCCCTGTGGAGACCTTAGAGAAAGCCCTAGGTCCCTGCCTCATTTTGACGGAATGCCTTATATGCCGTTGACACTTCGAGAGGCACGCAGAGTTCATTGCTTCAAAAAGTGACGATGCCTGACTCATCTTGAATACTGATAGGAATCCCAAAATCCCTGTGGCTACTGGAAAGGGTCCTTGGGTGCCCTGACTCACCTCGAGAAGCGTCCCTTTTGCCCTGCCAAGCATGGAGGTGATTCCTGAGGTGTCTCTCGTTACTAAACAGGAGTCCTGACGTCACGGAAGAAACTCCTGTTTTGAAGGGCCATCCCCGCCGTAAGTCGAGAACATACCCCAGGTCCCCGCCGCAACTCGAGAAAAACCATGAGACTTCCCACTAGAGGCGAGATGAGGCCCCATTCCCCTGCAGTGCATGCAGAGCTATTCCGTGATCCCATTCAAACAAGTCAGGAGCTTGGAGTTGCATAATGGATCTCGAGACAGTCCCCAAGAACACTGTCACCAGTCTAGACGGACCCTGAGGTCACCCCAGCAACGCAAAGCAGCTCCATGTGCCCCTAATCAACTCGAGATGAGGCCCGATTCCCCTGCATTGACTCCAGAGCCATTCCCCGTCCCCATTCAACACGATCAGTGGCTCGACTTCCTTCAGGCAACTCCAGAGATGCCCCGAGAACACTGTCCCAAGTCTAGAGGAACACCAACTTCAGCACAGCAACTCGAGGAATGCTCCGTGTACCCCAAATCGCCTCGAGATGAGAGCTGATTCCCTGGCGTAGGCTCAAGATGTATGCCAAATTTCCAGAAGCACCTCAGGAGGAGGCTTCTCTCAGCAATAGGTATGTGGGAGGGACCCCGAGTTCGCTGCCTCAAGTGGAATATACAGTGAGAAGCCCTAACTTGAAAGGAGGCTGGATTTACTTGCAGTGGCTTGAATACAGGCTCGTCTTTGATCTCAAAACATGAAGGGATGTCTGAATCCCCTGTGCAGACCTTAGAGAAAGCCCTAGGTCCCTGCCTTATTTTGACGGAATGCCTCACATCCCATTGACACTTCGAGAGGAACGCGGAGTTCATTGCTTCAAAAAGTTACGATGCCTGACTCCTCTTGAATACTGATAGGAATCCCACAATCCCTGTGGCTACAGGAAAGGGTCCTTGGCTGCCCTGCCTCGCCTCGAGAAGCATCCCTTTTACCCTGCCAAGCCTCGAAGAGATTCCTGAGGTGTCCCTCATTACTAGACAGGAGTCCTGACGTCACTGAAGAAACTCGTGTTTTGAAGGTACATCCCCGCCGTAAGTCGAGAACATAACCCAGGGCCCCGCCGCAACTCGAGAAAAACCATGAGACTTCCCCCTAGAGGCGAGATGAGGCTCCATTCTCCTGCAGTGCATGCAGAGCTATTCCGTGATTCCATTCAAATAACTCAGAAGCTTCGACTTGCTTAATGGATCTCGTGACAGTCCCCAAGAACACTGTCACCAGTCTAGACGGACCCTGAGGTCACCCCAGAAACGCAAAGCAGCTCCATGTGCCCCAAATCAACTCGAGATGAGGCCCGATTCCCCTGCATTGACTCCAGAGCCATTCTCCGTTCCCCATTCAACAGGACCGGTGGCTCGACTTCCTTCAGGCAACTCCAGAGATGCCCCGAGAACACTGTCCCAAGTCTAGAGGAACACCAACTTCAGCACAGCAACTCGAGGAATGCTCCGTGTACCCCAAATCGTCTCGAGATGAGAGCTGATTCCCTGGCTTAGGCTAAAGACGTATGCCAACTTTCCAGAAGCACCTCAGGAGGAGTCTTCTCTCAGCAATAGGTATGTGGGAGGGACCCCGAGATCACTGCCTCAAGTGGAATATACAGCGAGAAGCCCTAACTTGAAAGGAGGCCGGATTTCCTTGCAGTGGCTTGAATACAGGCTCATCTTTGATCTCAAAACATGAAGGGATGCCTGAATCCCCTGTGGAGACCTTAGAGAAAGCCCTATGTCCCTGCCTCATTTTGACGGAATGCCTCACATCCCGATGAAACCACGAGAGGCACGCGGAGTTCATTGATTAAAAAGGTGACGATGCCTGACTCCTCTTGAATACTGATAGGAATCCCAAAATCCCTGTGGCTACTGGAAAGGGACCTTGGCTGCCCTGCCTCACCTCGAGAAGCGTCCCTTTTACCCTGTTAAGCCTCGAAGAGATTCATGAGGTGTCCCTCGTAACTAGACAGGAGTCCTGACATCACTGAAGAAACTCGTGTTTTGAAGGGCCATCCCCGCCGTAAGTCGAGAAAATAACCCAAGGCCTCGCCGAAACTCGAGAAAAACCATGACAGTGCCCCCTAGAGGCGAGATGAGGCCCCATTCCCCTGCCGTGCATGCAGAGCTATTCCGTGATCCCATTCAAACAAGTCAGTAGCTTCGTCTTGCTCAATGGATCTCGAGACAGTCCCCAAGAACACTGTCACCAGTCTAGACGGACCCTGAGGTAGCCCGAGAAACGCAAAGCAGCTCCATGTGCCCCAAATCAACTCGAGATGAGGCCCGATACCCCTGCATTGACTCCAGAGCCATTCCCTGTTCCCCATTCAACACGAACGGTGGCTCGACTTCCTTCAGGCAACTCCAGAGATGCCCCGAGAACACTGTCCCAAGTCTAGAGGAACACCAACTTCAGCACAGCAACTCGAGGAATGCTCCGTGTATCCCAAATCGTCTCGAGATGAGAGCTGATTCCCTGGCTTAGGCTCAAGACGTATGCCAACTTTCCAGAAGCACCTCAGGAGGAGGCTTCTCTCAGCAATAGGTATGTGGGAGGGACCCCGAGATCGCTGCCTGAAGTGGAATATACAGCGAGAATCCCTAACCTGAAGGGAGGCCGGATTTCCTTGCAGTGGCTTGAATACAGGCTCGTCTTTGATCTCAAAACATGAGGGGATGTCTGAGTCCCCTGAGGAGACCTTAGAGAAAGCCCTAGGTCCCTGCCTCATTTTGACGGAATTCCTCATATGCCGTTGACACCTCAAGAGGCACGCAGAGTTCATTGCTTCAAAAGGTGACGATGCCTGACTCCTCTTGAATACTGATAGGAATCCCAAAATCCCTGTGGCTACTGGAAAGGGTCCTTGGGTGCCCTGCCTCACCACGAGAAGCGTCCCTTTTGCCCTGCCAAGCATCGAGTTGATTCCTGAGGTGTCCCTCGTTACTAAACAGGAGTCCTGACGTCACTGAGGAAACTCGTGTTTTGAAGGGCCATCCCCGCCGTAAGTCGAGAACATAACCCAGGGCCCCGCCGCAACTCGAGAAAAACCATGAGACTTCCCCCTAGAGCCGAGATGAGGCCCCATTCCCCTGTAGTGCATGCAGAGCTATTCCGTGATCCCATTCAAACAAGTCAGGAGCTTGGAGTTGCTTAATGGATCTCGAGACAGACCCAAGAACACTGTCACCAGTCTAGACGGACCCTGAGGTCACCCCAGCAACGCAAAGTATCTCCATGTGCCCCTAATCAACTCGAGATGAGGCCTGATTCCCCTGCATTGACTCCAGAGCCATTCCCTGTTCCCCATTCAACAAGACCAGTGGCTTGACTTCCTTCAGGCAACTCCAGAGATGCCCCGAGAACACTGTCCCAAGTCTAGAGGAACACCAACTTCAGCACAGCAACTCGAGGAATGCTCCGTGTACCCCAAATCGCCTCGAGATGAGAGCTGATTCCCTGGCTTAGGCTCAAGACGTATGCCAAATTTCCAGAAGCACCTCAGGAGGAGGCTTCTCTCAGCAATAGGTATGTGGGGGGACCCCGAGATCGCTGCCTCAATTGGAATATACAGCGAGAAGCCCAAACTTGAAAGGAGGCCGGATTTCCTTGCAGTGGCTTTAATACAGGCTCGTCTTTGATCTCAAAACATGAAGGGATGTCTGAGTCCCCTGTGGAGACCTTACAGAAAGCCCTATGTCCCTGCCTCGTTTTGACGGAATGCCTCATATCCCGATGACACCTCGATAGGCACCAGGAGTTCATTGCTTCAAAAGTTGACGATGCCTGACTCCTCTTGAATACTGATAGGAATCCCAAAATCCCTGTTTCTACTGGAAAGGGTCCTTGGGTGCCCTGCCTCACCTCGAGAAGCGTCCCTTTGCCCTGCCAAGCCTCGAAGAAATTCCTGAGGTGTCCCTCGTTGCTAGACAGGAGTACTGACTTCACTGAATAAACACGTGTTTTGAAGGGCCATCCCCGTCATAAGTCGAGAACATACCCCAGGTCCCCGCCACAACTCGAGAAAAACCATGAGACTTCCCCCTAGAGCCGAGATGAGGCCCCATTCCCCTGCAGTGCATGCAGAGCTATTCCATGATCCAATTCATACAAGTCAGGAGCTTCGACTTGCTTAATGGATCTCGAGACAGGCCCCAAGAACACTGTCACCAGTCTAGACGGACCCTGAGGTCACCCCAGGAATGCAAAGCAGCTCCATGTGCCCGAAATCAACTCGAGATGAGGCCCGATTCCCCTGCATTGACTCCAGAGCCATTCCCCGTTCCCCATTCAACACGACCGGTGGCTCGACTTCCTTCAGGCCACTCCAGAGATGCCCCGAGAACACTTTCGCAAGTCTAGAGGAACACCAACTTTAGCACAGCAACTCGAGGAATGCTCCGTGTACCCCAAATCGTCTCGAGATGAGAGCTGATTCCCTGGCTTAGGCTCAAGACGTATGCCAAGTTTCCAGAAGCACCTCAGGAGGAGGCTTCTCTCAGCAATAGGTATGTGGGAGGGACCCCGAGATCACTGCCTCAAGTGGAATATACAACGAGAAACCCTAACTTGAAAGGAGGCCGGATTTCCTTGCAGTGGCTTGAATACAGGCTCGTCTTTGATCTCAAAACATGAAGGGATGTCTGAATCCCCTGTGGAGACCTTAGAGAAAGCCCTATGTCCCTGCCTCATTTTGACGGAATGCCTCACATCCCGATGACACCTCGAGAGGCACGCGGAGTTCATTGATTAAAAAGGTGACGATGCCTGACTCCTCTTGAATACTGATAGGAATCCCAAAATCCCTGTGGCTACTGGAAAGGGACCTTGGCTGCCCTGCCTCACCTCGAGAAGCGTCCCTTTTACCCTGATAAGCCTCGAAGAGATTCATGAGGTGTCCCTCGTAACTAGACAGGAGTCCTGACATCACTGAAGAAACTCGTGTTTTGAAGGGTCATCCCCGCCGTAAGTCGAGAAAATAACCCAAGGCCTCGCCGAAACTCGAGAAAAACCATGAGACTTCCCCCTAGAGGCGAGATGAGGCCCCATTCCCCTGCCGTGCATGCAGAGCTATTCCGTGATCCCATTCAAACAAGTCAGGAGCTTCGTCTTGCTCAATGGATCTCGAGACAGTCCCCAAGAACACTGTCACCAGTCTAGACGGACCCTGAGGTAGCCCCAGCAACGCAAAGCAGCTCCATGTGCCCCTAATCAACTCGAGATGAGGCCCGATACCCCTGCTTTGACTCCAGAGCCATTCCCTGTTCCCCATTCAACACGAACGGTGGCTCGACTTCCTTCAGGCAACTCCAGAGATGCCCCGAGAACACTGTCCCAAGTCTAGAGGAACACCAACTACAGCACAGCAACTCGAGGAATGCTCCGTGTACCCCAAATCGTCTCGAGATGAGAGCTGATTCCCTGGCTTAGGCTCAAGACGTATGCCAACTTTCCAGAAGCACCTCAGGAGGAGGCTTCTCTCAGCAATAGGTATGTAGGAGGGACCCCGAGATCGCTGCCTCAAGTGGAATATACAGCGAGAAGCCCTACCTTGAAAGGAGGCCGGATTTCCTTACAGTCGCTTGAATACAGGCTCGTCTTCGATCTCACAACATGAAGGCATGTCTGAATCCCCTGTGGAGACCTTAGATAAAGACCTAGGTCCCTGCCTCATTTTGACGGAATGCCTCACATCCCGTTGACACCTCCAGAGGCACGCGGAGTTCATTGATTCAAAAGGTGACGATGCCTGACTCCTCTTGAATACTGATAGGAATCCCAAAATCCGTGTTTCTACTGGAATGGGTCCTTGGGTGCCCTGCCTCACCTCGAGAAGCATCCCTTTTGCCCTGCCAAGCCTCGAAGAGATTCCTGAGGTGTTCCACGTTAATAGACAGGATTCCTGACGTCACTGAAGAAACTCGTGTTTTGAAGGGCCATCCCCGCCGTAAGTCGAGAACATACCCCAGGTCCCCGCCGCAATTCGAGAAAAACCATGAGACTTCCCCCTAGAGGCGAGATGAGGCCCCATTCCCATGCAGTGCATGCAGAGCTATTCCGTGACCACATTCAAACAAGTCAGGAGCTTCGACTTGCTTAATGGATCTCGAGACAGTCCCCAAGAACACTGTCACCAGTCTAGACGGACACTGAGGTTACCCTAGCAACGCAAAGCATATCCATGTGACCCAAATCAACTCGAGATGAGGCCCGATTCCCCTGCATTGACTCCAGAGCCATTCCCCGTTCCCCATTCAACACGACCGGTGGCTCGACTTACTTCAGGCAACTACAGAGATGCCCCTTGAACACTGTCCCAAGTCTAGAGGAAAACCAACTTCAGCACAGTTACTCGAGGAATGCTCCGTGAACCCCAAATCGTCTCTAGATTTGAGCTGATTCCCTGGCTTAGGCTCAAGACGTATGCCAACTTTCCAGAAGCACCTCAGGAGGAGGCTTCTCTTAGCAATAGGTATGTGGGAGGGACCCCGAGATCGCTGCCTCAAGTGGAATATACAGCGAGAAGGCCTAAATTGAAAGGAGGCCGGATTTCGTTGCAGTGGCTTGAATACAGGCTCGTCTTTGATCTCACAACATAAAGACATGTCTGAATCCCCTGTGGAGACCTTAGAGAAAGCCCTAGGTCCCTGCCTCATTTTGACGGAATGCCTCACATCCGGTTGACACCTCGAGAGGCACGCAGAGTTCATTGCTTCAAAAGGTGACGATGCCTGACTCCTCTTGAATACTGATAGGAATCCCAAAATCCCTGTGGCTTCTGGATAGGGTCCTTGGGTGCTCTGCCTCACCTCGAGAAGCGTCCCGTTTGCCCTGCCAAGCCTCGAAGAGATTCCTGAGGTATCCCTCGTTACTAGACAGGAGTCCTGTCGTCACTGAAGAAACTCGTGTTTTGAAGGCCATCCCCGCCGTAAGTCGAGAATATACCCAGGTTCCCGCCGCAACTCGAGAAAAACCATGTGATTTCCCGCTAGAGGCGAGATGAGGCCCCATTCCCCTGCAGTGCATGCAGAGCTATTCCGTGATCCCATTCAAACAAGTCAGGAGCTTCGACTTGCTTAATGGATCTCGAGACAGTACCCAAGAACACTGTCACCAGTCTAGACGGACCCTGAGGTCACCCCAGCAACGCAAAGCAGCTCCATGTGCCCCAAATCAACACGAGATGAGGCCCGATTCCCCTGCATTGACTCCAGAGCCATTCCCCGTTCCCCATTCAACACGACCGGTTGATCGACTTCCTTCAGGCAACTCCAGAGATGCCCCGAGAACACTGTCCCAAGTCTAGAGGAACACCAACTGCAGCACAGCAACTCGAGGAATGCTCCGTGTACCCCAAATCGTCTCGAGATGAGAGCTGATTCCCTGGCTTAGGCTCAAGACGTATGCCAACTTTCCAGAAGCACCTCAGGAGGAGGCTTCTCTCAGCAATAGGTATGTGGGAGGGACCCCGAGATCGCTGCCTCAAGTGGAATATACAGCGAGAAGCCCTAACTTGAAAGGAGGCCGGATTTCCTTGCAGTGTCTTGAATGCAGGCTCGTCTTTTATCTCAAAACATGAAGAGATGTCTGAATCCCCTGTTGAGACTTTAGAGAAAGCCCTAGGTCCCTGCCTCATTTTGACAGAAGGCCTCACATCCCGTTGACTCCTCGAGAGGCACGCGGAGTTCATTGCTTCAAAAGGTGACGATGCCTGACTCCTCTTGTATATTGATAGGAATCCCAAAATTCCTGTGGCTACTGGAATGGGTCCTTGGATGCCCTGCCTCACCTCGAGAAGCGTCCCTTTTGCCCTGGCAAGCCTCGAAGAGATTCATGAGGTGTCCCTCTTTACCAGACAGGAGTCCTGACGTCACTGAAGAAACTCCTGTTTTGAAGGGCCATCCCCGCCGTAAGTCAAGAACATACCCCAGGTCCCCGCCGCAACTCGAGAAAAACCATGAGACTTCCCCCTAGAGGCGAGATGAGGCCCCATTCCCCTGCAGTGCATGCAGAGCTATTCCGTGATCCCATTCCAACAAGTCAGGATCTTCGACTTGCTTAATGGATCTCGAGACAGTCCCCAAGAACACTGTCACCAGTCTAGACGGACCCTGAGGTCACCCCAGCAACGCAAAGCAGCTCCATGTGCCCCTAATCAACTCGAGATGAGGCCCGATTCCACTGCATTGACTCCAGACCCATTCCCCGTTCCCCATTCAACACGATCAGTGGCTCGACTTCCTTCAGGCAACTCCAGAGATGCCCCGAGAACACTGTCCCAAGTCTAGAGGAACACCAACTTCAGCACAGCAACTCGAGGAATGCTCCGTGTACCCCAAATCGCCTCGAGATGAGAGCTGATTCCCTGGCGTAGGCTCAAGATGTATGCCAAATTTCCAGAAGCACCTCAAGAGGAGGCTTCTCTCAGCAATAGGTATGTGGGAGGGACCCCGAGTTCGCTGCCTCAAGTGGAATATACAGTGAGAAGCCCTAACTTGAAAGGAGTATGGATTTCCTTGCAGTGGCTTGAATACAGGCTCGTCTTTGATCTCAAAACATGAAGGGATGTCTGAATCCCCTGTGCAGACCTTAGAGAAAGCCCTAGGTCTCTGCCTTATTTTGACGGAATGCCTCACATCCCATTGACACTTCGAGAGGCACGCGGAGTTCATTGCTTCAAAAAGTTACCATGCCTGACTCCTCTTGAATACTGATAGGAATCCCAAAATCCCTGTGGCTACAGGAAAGGGTCCTTGGCTGCCCTGCCTCGCCTCGAGAAGCGTCCCTTTTACCCTGCCAAGCCTCGAAGAGATTCCTGAGGTGTCCCTCATTACTAGACAGGAGTCCTGACGTCACTGAAGAAACTCGTGTTTTGAAGGTACATCCCCGCCGTAAGTCGAGAACATAACCCAGGGCCCCGCCGCAACTCGAGAAAAATCATGAGACTTCCCCCTAGAGGCGAGATGAGGCTCCATTCTCCTGCAGTGCATGCAGAGCTTTTCCGTGATCCCATTCAAATAACTCAGAAGCTTCGAATTGCTTAATGGATCTCGAGACAGTCCCCAAGAACACTGTCACCAGTCTAGACGGACCCTGAGGTCACCCCAGCAACGCAAAGCAGCTCCATGTGCCCCAAATCAACTCGAGATGAGGCCCGATTCCCCTGCATTGACTCCAGAGCCATTCCACGTTCCCCATTCAACACGACCGGTGGCTCGACTTCCTTCAGGCAACTCCAGAGATGCCCCGAGAACACTGTCCCAAGTCTAGAGGAACACCAACTTCAGCACAGCAACTCGAGGAATGCTCCGTGTACCACAAATCGTCTTGAGATGAGAGCTGATTCCCTGGCTTAGGCTCAAGACGTATGCCAACTTTCCAGAAGCACCTCAGGAGGAGGCTTCTCTCAGCAATAGGTATGTGGGAGGGACCCCGAGATCACTGCCTCAAGTGGAATATACAGCGAGAAGCCCTAACTTGAAAGGAGGCCGGATTTCCTTGCAGTGGCTTGAATACAGGCTCGTCTTTGATCTCAAAACATGAAGGGATGTCTGAATCCCCTGTGGAGACCTTAGATAAAGACCTAGGTCCCTGCCTCATTTTGACGGAATGCCTCACATCCCGTTGACACCTCGAGAGGCACGCGGAGTTCATTGCTTCAAAAGGTGATGATGCCTGACTCCTCTTGAATACTGATAGGAATACCAAAATCCCTGTGGCTACTGGAAAGGTTCCTTAAGTGCCCTGCCTCACCTCGAGAAGCATCCCTTTTACCCTGCCAAGCCTCGAAGAGATTACTGAGGTGTCCCTCGTTACTAGACAGGAGTCCTGACGTCACTGAAGAAACTCATGTTTTGAAGGGCCATCCCCGCCGTAAGTCGAGAACATACCCCAGGACCCCGCCGCAAGTCGAGAAAAACCATGAGATTTCCCCTAGAGGCGAGATGAGGCCCCATTCCCCTGCAAGGCATGGAGAGCTATACCGTGATCCCATTCAAACAAGTCAGGAGCTTCGACTTGCTTAATGGATCTCGAGACAGTCCCCAAGAACACTGTCACCAGTCTAGACGGACACTGAAGTCAGCCCAGCAACGCAAAGCAGCTCCATGTGCCCCAAATCAACTCGAGATGAGGCCCGATTCCCCTGCATTGACTCCAGAGCCATTCCCAGTTCCCCATTCAACACGACCGGTGGCTCGACTTCCTTCAGGCAACTTCACAGATGCCCCGAGAACACTGTGCCAAGTCTAGAGGAACACCTACTTCAGCACAGCAACTCGAGGAATGCTCCGTGTGCCCCAAATCGTCTCGAGATGAGAGCTGATTCCCTGGCTTAGGCTCAAGACGTATGCCAACTTTCCAGAAGCACCTCAGGAGAAGGCTTCTCTCAGCAATAGGTATGTTGGTGGGACCCCGAGATCACTGCCTTAAGTGGAATATACTGCGAGAAGCCCTAACTTGAAAGGAGGCCGGATTTCCTTGCAGTGGCTTGAATACAGGCTCGTCTTTGATCTCAAAACATGAAGGGATGTCTGAATCCCCTGTGGAGACGTTAGAGAAAGCCCTAGGTCCCTGCCTCATTTTGACGGAATGCCAAACATCTCGTTGACACCTCGAGAGGCACGCGGAGTTCATCGCTTCAAAAGGTGACGATGCCTGACTCCTCTTGAATACTGATAGGAATCCCAAAATCCCTGTGGCTACTGGAAAGGGTCCTAGGCTGCCCTGCCTCACCTCGAGAAGCGTCCCTTTTACCCTGCCAAGCCTCGAAGAGATTCATGCGGTGTCCCTCGTTACCAGACAGGAGTCCTGACGTCACTGAAGAAACTCCTGTTTTGAAGGGCCATCCCCGCCGTAAGTCGAGAACATACCCCAGGTCCCCGCCGCAACTCGAGAAAAACCATGAGACTTCCCCCTAGAGGCGAGATGAGGCCCCATTCCCCTGCAGTGCATGCAGAGCTATTCCGTGATCCCATTCAAACAAGTCAGGAGCTTGGAGTTGCTTAATGGATCTCGAGACACTCCTCAAGAACACTGTCACCAGTCTAGATGGACCCTGAGGTCACCCCAGCAATGCAAAGCAGCTCCATGTGCCCCAAATCAACTCGAGATGAGGCCCGATTCCCCTGCATTGACTCCAGAGCCATTCCCCATTCCCCATTCAACACGACCGGTGGCTCGACATCCTTCAGGGAACTCCAGAGATGCGCCGAGAACACTGTCCTAAGTCTAGAGGAACACCAACTTCAGCACAGCAACTCGAGGAATGCTCCGTGTACCACAAATCGTCTCAAGATTAGAGCTGATTCCCTGGCTTAGGCTCAAGATGTATGCCAACTTTCCAGAAGCACATCAAGAGGAGGCTTCTCTCAGCAATAGGTATGTGGGACGGACACCGAGATCGCTGCCTCAAGTGGAATATACAGCCAGAAGCCCTAACTTGAAAGGAGGCCGGATTTCCTTGCAGTGGCTTGAATACGGGCTCGTGTTTGATCTCAAAACATGAAGGGATGTCTGAATCCCCTGTGGAGACGTTAGAGAAAGCCCTAGGTCCCTGCCTCATTTTGACGGAATGCCTCACATCCCGTTGACACCTCGAGAGGCACACGGAGTTCATTGCTTCAAAAGGTGACGTTGCCTGACTCCTCTTGAATACTGATAGGAATCCCAAAATCCCTGTCGCTACTTGAAAGGGTCCTTGGGGGCCCTGCCTCTCCTCGAGAAGCGTCCCTTTTGCCCTGCCAGGCCTCGAAGAGATTCCTGAGGTGTCCCACGTTACTAGACAGGAGTCCTGATGTCACTGAAGAAACTACTGTTTTGAAGGGCCATCCCCGCCGTAAGTCGAGAACATACCCCAGATCCCCGCCGCAACTCGAGAAAAACCATGAGACTTCCCCCTAGAGGCGAGATGAGGCCCCATTCCCCTGCAGTGCATGCAGAGCTATTCCGTGATCCCATTCAAACAAGTCAGGAGCTTGGAGTTGCTTAATGGATCTCGAGACAGTCCTCAAGAACACTGTCACCAGTCTAGACGGACCCTGAGGTCACCCCAGCAACGCAAAACAGCTCCATGTGCCCCAAATCAACTCGAGATGAGGACTGATTCCCCTGCATTGACTCCAGAGCCATTCCCCGTTCCCCATTCAACACGTCCGGTGGCTCGACTTCCTTCAGGGAACTCCAGAGATACGCCGAGAACACTGTCCTAAGTCTAGAGGAACACCAACTTCAGCACAGCAACTCGAGGAATGCTCCGTGTACCACAAATCTTCTCAAGATGAGAGCTGATTCCCTGGCTTAGGCTCAAGACGTATGCAAACTTTCCAGAAGCACCTCAGGAGGAGGCTTCTCTCAGCAATAGGTATGTGCGAGGGACCCCGAGATCGCTGCCTCAAGTGGAATATACAGCGAGAAGCCCTAACTTGAAAGGTGGCCGGATTTCCTTGCAGTGGCTTGAATACAGGCTCGTGTTTGATCTCAAAACATGAAGGGATGTCTGAATCCCCTGTGGAGACCTTAGAGAAAGCCCTAGGTCCCTGACTCATTTTGACGGAATGCCTCACATCCCGTTGACACCTCGAGAGGCACGCGGAGTTCATTGCTTCAAAAGGTGACGATGCCTGACTCCTCTTGAATACTGATAGGAATCCCAAAATCCCTGTGGCTACTGGAAAGGGTCCTTGGGGGCCCTGCCTCTCCTCGAGAAGCGTCCCTTTTGCCCTGCCAGGCCTCGAAGAGATTCCTGAGGTGTCCCTCGTTACTAGACAGGAGTCCTGATGTCACTGAAGAAACTCCTGTTTTGAAGGGCCATCCCCGTCATAAGTCGAGAACATACCCAGGTCCCCGCCGCAACTCGAGAAAAACAATGAGACTTCCCCCTAGAGGCGAGATGAGGCCCCATTCCCCTGCAGTGCATGCAGAGCTATTCCGGGACCCCATTCAAACAAGTCAGGAGCTTCGACTTGCTTAATGGATCTCGAGACAGTCCCCAAGAACACTGTCACCAGTCTAGACGGATCCTGAGGTCACGCCAGCAACGCAAATCAGCTCCATGTGCCCCAAATCAACTCGAGATGAGGCCCGATTCCCCTGTATTGACTCCAGAGCCATTCCCCGTTCCCCATTCAACACGACCGGTGGCTCGACTTCCTTCAGGCAATAACAGAGATGCCCCATGTACACTGTCCCAGGTCTAGAGGAACACAAACTTCAGCACAGCAACTCTAGGAATGATCCATGTACCCCAAATCGTCTCGAGTTGAGAGCTGATTCCCTGGCTTAGGCTCAAGACGTATGCCAACTTTCCAGAAGAACCTCAGGAGGAGGCTTCTCTCAGCAATAGTTATGTGGGAGGGACCCCGAGATCGCTGCCTCAAGTGGAATATACAGCGAGAAGCCCTAACTTGAAAGGAGGCCGGATTTCCTTGCAGTGGCTTGAATACAGGCTCGTCTTTGATCTCAAAACATGAAGGGATGTCTGAATCCCCTGAGGAGACCTTAGAGAAAGACCTAGGTTCCTGCCTCATTTTGTCGGAATGCCTCACATCCCGTTGACACCTTGAGAGGCACGCGGAGTTCATTGCTTCAAAAGGTGACGATGCCTGACTCCTCTTGAATACTGATAGGAATCCCAAAATCCCTGTGGCTTCTGGAAAGGGTCCTTGGGTGCCCTGCCTCACCTCGAGAAGCGTCCCTTTTGCCCTGCCAAGCCTCGAAGAGATTCCTGAGGTGTCCCTCGTTACGAGACAGGAGTCCTGACGTCACTGAAGAAACTCGTGTTTTGAAGGGCCATCCCCGCCGTAAGTCGAGAACATACCCAAGGTCCCCGCCGCAACTCGAGAAAAACCATGAGACTTCCCCCTAGAAGCGAGATGAGGCCCCATTCCCCTGCAGTGCATGCAGAGCTATTCCGTGATCCCATTCAAACAAGTCAGGAGCTTCGACTTGCTTAATGGATCTCGAGAAAGTCCCCAAGAACACTGTCACCAGTCTAGACGGAACCTGAGGTCACCCCAGCAATGCAAAGCAGCTCCATGTGCCCCAAATCAACTTGAGATGAGGCCCGATTCCCCTGCATTGACCCCAGAGCCATTCCCCGTTCCCCATTCAACACGACCGGTGGCTCGACTTCCTTCAGGCAACTCCAGAGATGCCCCGAGAACACTGTCCCAAGTCTAGAGGAACACCAACTTCAGCACAGCAACTTGAGGAATGCTCCGTGTACCCCGAATCGTCTCGAGATGAGAGCTGATTCCCTGGCTTAGGCTCAAGACGTATGCCAACTTTCCAGAAGCACCTCAGGAAGAGGCTTCTCTCAGCAATAGATATGTGGGAGGGACCCCGAAATCGCTGCCTCAAGTGGAATATACAGCGAGAAGCCCTAACTTGAAAGGAGGCCGGATTTCCTTGCAGTGGCTTGAATACAGACTCGTCTTTGATCTCACAACATGAAGGCATATCTGAATACCCTGTGGAGACCTTTGAGAAAGCCCTAGGTCCCTGCCTCATATTGACGGAATGCCTCACATTCCGCTGACACCTCGAGAGGCACGCGGAGTTCATTGCTTCAAAAGGTGAGGATGCCTGACTCCTCTTGAACACTGATAGGAATCCCAGAATCCCTGTGGCTGCTGGAAAGGGTCCTTGGGTGCCCTGCCTCACCTCGAGAAGCGTCCCTTTTGCCCTGCCAAGCCTCGAAGAGATTCCTGAGGTGTCCCTTGTTACTAGACAGGAGTCATGACGTCACTGAAGAAACTCGTGTTTTGAAGGGCCATCCCCGCCGTAAGTCGAGAACGTACCCCAGGTCCCAGCCGCAACTCGAGAAAATCAATGATACTTCCCCCTAGAGGCGAGATTTGGCCCCATTCCCATTCAGTGCATACAGAGCTATTCCGTGATCCCATTCAAACAAGTCAGGAGCTTCGACTTGCTTAATGGATCTCGAGACAGTCCCCAAGAATACTGTCACCAGTCTAGACGGACTGTGAAGTCAACCCAGCAACGGAAAGCAGGTCCATGTGCCCCAAATCAACTCGAGATGAGGCCCGATTCCCCTGCATTGACTCCAGAGCCATTCCCCATTCCCCATTCAACACGACCGGTGGCTGAACTTCCTTCAGGCAATAACAGAGATGCCCCGTGAACACTGTCCCAAGTCTAGAGAAACACCAACTTCAGCACAGCAACTCGAGGAATGTTCCATGTACCCCAAATCGTCTCGAGATGAGAGCTGATTCCCTGGCTTAGGCTCAAGACGTATGCCAACTTTCCAGAAGCACCTCAGGAGGAGGCTTCTCTCAGCAATAGGTATGTGGTAGGGACCCCGAGATCGCTGCCTCAAGTGGAATATACAGCGAGAAGCCCTAACTTGAAAGGAGGCCGGATTTCCTTGCAGTGGCTTGAATACAGGCTCGTCTTTGATCTCACAACATGAAGGCATGTCTGAATCCCCTGTGGAGACCTTAGAGAAAGCCCTAGGTCCCTGCCTCATTTTGACGGAATGCCTCACATCCCGTTGACACCTCGAGAGGCACGCGGAGTTCATTGCTTCAAAAGGTGACGATGCCTGACTCCTCTTGAATACTGATAGGAATCCCAAAATCCCTGTGGCTACTGGAATGGGTCCTTGGGTGCCCTGCCTCACCTCGAGAAGCGTCCCTTTTGCCCTGCCAAGCCTCGAAGAGATTCCTGGGGTGTCCCTTGTTACTAGACAGGAGTCTTGATGTCACTGAAGAAACTCGTGTTTTGAAGGGCCATCCCCCCGTAAGTCGAGAACATACCCCAGGTCCCCGCCGCAACTCGAGAAAATCGATGAGACTTCCCCCTAGAGGCGAGATGAGGCCCCATTCCCATTCAGTGCATGCAGAGCTATTCCGTGATCCCATTCAAACAAGTCAGGAGCTTCGACTTGCTTAATGGATCTCGAGCCAGTCCCCAAGAACACTGTCACCAGTCTAGACGGACCCTGAGGTCACCCCAGCAACGCAAAGCAGCTCCATTTGCCCCAAATCAACTCGAGATGAGGCCCGATTCCCCTGCATTGACACCAGAGCCATTCCCCGTTCCCCATTCAACACGACCGGTGGCTCGACTTCCTTCAGGCAACTCCAGAGATGCCCCAAGAACACTGTCCGAAGTCTAGAGGAACACCAACTTCAGCATAGCAACTCGAGGAATGCTCCATGTACCCCAAATCGTCTCGAGATGAGAGCTGATTCCCTGGCTTAGGCTCAAGACGTATGCCAACTTTCCAGAAGCACCTCAGGAGGAGGATTCTCTCAGCAATAGGTATGTGGGAGGGACCCCGAGATCGCTGCCTCAAGTGGAATATACAGCGAGAAGCCCTAACTTGAAAGGAGGCCGGATTTCCTTGCAGTGGCTTGAATACAGGCTTGTCTTTGATTTCACAACATGAAGGCATGTCTGAATCCCCTGTGGAGACCTTAGAGAAAGCCCTAGGTCCCTGCCTCATTTTCACGGAATGCCTCACATCCCGTTGACACCTCGAGAGGCACGCAGAGTTCATTGCTTCAAAAGGTGACGATGCCTGACTCCTCTTGAATACTGATAGGAATCCCACAATCCCTGTGGCTACTGGAATGGGTCCTTGGGTGCCCTGCCTCACCTCGAGAAGCGTCCCTTTTGCCCTGCCAGGCTTCGAAGAGATTCCTGAGGTGTCCCTCGTTACTAGACAGGAGTCCTGACGTCACTGAATAAACTCGTGTTTTGAAGGGCCATCCCCGCCGTAAGTCGAGAACATACCCCAGGTCCCCGCCGCAACTCGAGAAAAACCATGAGACTTCCCACTAGAGGCGAGATGAGGCCCCATTCCCCTGCAGTGCATGCAGAGCTATTCCGTGATCCCATTCAAACAAGTCAGGATCTTCGCCTTGCTTAATGGATCTCGAGACAGTCCCCAAGAACACTGTCACCAGTCTAGACGGACCCTGAGGTCACCCCAGCAATGCAAAGCAGCTCCGTGTGCACCAAATCAACTCGAGATGAGGCCCGATTCCCCTGCATTGACTCCAGAGTCATTCCCCGATCCCCATTCAACGCGACCGGTGGCTCGATTTCCTTCAGGCAACTCCAGAGATGCCCCAAGAACACTGTCCCAAGTCTAGAGGAACACCAACTTCAGCACAGCATCTCAAGGAATGCTCCGTGTACCCCAAATCGTCTCGAGATGAAAGCTGATTCCCTGGCTTAGGCTCAAGACGTATGCCAACTTTCAAGAAGCACCTCAGGAGGAGGCTTCTCTCAGCAATAGGTATGTGGGAGGGACCCCGAGATCGCTGCCTCAAGTGGAATATACACCGAGAAGCCCTAACTGGAAAGGAGGCCGGATTTCCTTGCAGTGGCTTGAATTCAGGCTCGTCTTTCATTTCACAACATGAAGGGATGTCTGAATCCCCTGTGGAGACCTTAGAGAAAGGCCTAGGGCCCTGCCTCATTTTGACGGAATGCCTCACATCCCGTTGACACCTCGAGAGGCACGTGGAGTTCATTGCTTCAGAAGGTGACGATGCCTGACTCCTCTTGAATATTGATAGGAATCCCAAAATCCCTGTGGCTACTGGAATGGGTCCTTGGGTTCCCTGCCTCACCTCGACAAGCGTCCCTTTTGCCCTACCAAGCCTCGAAGAGATTCCTGAGATGTCCCTCGTTACTAGACAGGAGTCCTGACGTCACTGAAGAAACTCGTGTTTTGAAGGGCCATCCCCGCCGTAAGTCGAGATCATACCCTAGGTTCCCGCCGCAACTCGAGAAAAACCATGAGACTTCCCCCTAGAGGCGAGATGAGGCCCCATCCCCCTGCAGTTCATGCAGAGCTATTCCGTGATCCCATTCTAACAAGACAGGAGCTTCGACTTGCTTAATGGATCTCCAAACAGTCCCCAAGAACACTGTCACCAGTCTACACGGACCCTGAGGTCACCCCAGCAATGCAAAGCAGATCCATGTGCCCCAAATCAACTCGAGATGAGCCCCGAATCCCCTTCATTGACTCCAGAGCCTTTCCCCATTCCCCATTCAACACGACCGGTGGATCGACTTCCTTCAGGCAACTCCAGAGATGCCCCGAGAACACTGTCCCAAGTCTAGAGGAACACCAACTTCAGCACAGCAACTCGAGGAATGCTCCGTGTACCCCAAATCGTCTCGAGATGAGAGCTGATTCCCTGGCTTAGGCTCAAGACCTATGCCAACTTTCCAGAAGCACCTCAGGAGGAGGCTTCTCTCAGCCATAGGTATGTGGGAGGGACCCCGAAATCGCTGCCTCAAGTGGAAAATACAGCGAGAAGCCCTAACTTGAAAGGAGGCCGGATTTCCTTGCAGTGGCTTGAATACAGGCTGGTCTTTGATCTCACAACATGAAGGCATATCTGAATCCCCTGTGGAGACCTTTGCGAAAGCCCTAGGTCCCTGCCTCATATTGACGGAATGCCTCACATTCCGCTGACACCTCGAGAGGCACGCGGAGTTCATTGCTTCAAAAGGTGAGGATGCCTGACTCCTCTTGAATACTGATAGGAATCCCAGAATCCCTGTGGCTACTGGAAAGGGTCCTTGGGTGCCCTGCCTCACCTCGAGAAGCGTCCCTTTTGCCCTGCCAAGCCTCGAAGAGATTCCTGAGGTGTCCCTTGTTACTAGACAGGAGTCCTGATGTCACTGAAGAAACTCCTGTTTTGAAGGGCCATCCCCGTCATAAGTCGAGAACATACCCAGGTCCCCGCCGCAACTCGAGAAAAACAATGAGACTTCCCCCTAGAGGCGAGATGAGGCCCCATTCCCCTGCAGTGCATGCAGAGCTATTCCGGGACCCCATTCAAACAAGTCAGGAGCTTCGACTTGCTTAATGGATCTCGAGACAGTCCCCAAGAACACTGTCACCAGTCTAGACGGACCCTGAGGTCACGCCAGCAACGCAAATCAGCTCCATGTGCCCCAAATCAACTCGAGATGAGGCCCGATTCCCCTGTATTGACTCCAGAGCCATTCCCCGTTCCCCATTCAACACGACCGGTGGCTCGACTTCCTTCAGGCAATAACAGAGATGCCCCATGTACACTGTCCCAGGTCTAGAGGAACACAAACTTCAGCACAGCAACTCTAGGAATGATCCATGTACCCCAAATCGTCTCGAGTTGAGAGCTGATTCCCTGGCTTAGGCTCAAGACGTATGCCAACTTTCCAGAAGAACCTCAGGAGGAGGCTTCTCTCAGCAATAGTTATGTGGGAGGGACCCCGAGATCGCTGCCTCAAGTGGAATATACAGCGAGAAGCCCTAACTTGAAAGGAGGCCGGATTTCCTTGCAGTGGCTTGAATACAGGCTCGTCTTTGATCTCAAAACATGAAGGGATGTCTGAATCCCCTGAGGAGACCTTAGAGAAAGACCTAGGTTCCTGCCTCATTTTGTCGGAATGCCTCACATCCCGTTGACACCTTGAGAGGCACGCGGAGTTCATTGCTTCAAAAGGTGACGATGCCTGACTCCTCTTGAATACTGATAGGAATCCCAAAATCCCTGTGGCTTCTGGAAAGGGTCCTTGGGTGCCCTGCCTCACCTCGAGAAGCGTCCCTTTTGCCCTGCCAAGCCTCGAAGAGATTCCTGAGGTGTCCCTCGTTACGAGACAGGAGTCCTGACGTCACTGAAGAAACTCGTGTTTTGAAGGGCCATCCCCGCCGTAAGTCGAGAACATACCCAAGGTCCCCGCCGCAACTCGAGAAAAACCATGAGACTTCCCCCTAGAGGCGAGATGAGGCCCCATTCCCCTGCAGTGCATGCAGAGCTATTCCGTGATCCCATTCAAACAAGTCAGGAGCTTCGACTTGCTTAATGGATCTCGAGAAAGTCCCCAAGAACACTGTCACCAGTCTAGACGGAACCTGAGGTCACCCCAGCAATGCAAAGCAGCTCCATGTGCCCCAAATCAACTTGAGATGAGGCCCGATTCCCCTGCATTGACCCCAGAGCCATTCCCCGTTCCCCATTCAACACGACCGGTGGCTCGACTTCCTTCAGGCAACTCCAGAGATGCCCCGAGAACACTGTCCCAAGTCTAGAGGAACACCAACTTCAGCACAGCAACTTGAGGAATGCTCCGTGTACCCCGAATCGTCTCGAGATGAGAGCTGATTCCCTGGCTTAGGCTCAAGACGTATGCCAACTTTCCAGAAGCACCTCAGGAAGAGGCTTCTCTCAGCAATAGATATGTGGGAGGGACCCCGAAATCGCTGCCTCAAGTGGAATATACAGCGAGAAGCCCTAACTTGAAAGGAGGCCGGATTTCCTTGCAGTGGCTTGAATACAGACTCGTCTTTGATCTCACAACATGAAGGCATATCTGAATACCCTGTGGAGACCTTTGAGAAAGCCCTAGGTCCCTGCCTCATATTGACGGAATGCCTCACATTCCGCTGACACCTCGAGAGGCACGCGGAGTTCATTGCTTCAAAAGGTGAGGATGCCTGACTCCTCTTGAACACTGATAGGAATCCCAGAATCCCTGTGGCTACTGGAAAGGGTCCTTGGGTGCCCTGCCTCACCTCGAGAAGCGTCCCTTTTGCCCTGCCAAGCCTCGAAGAGATTCCTGAGGTGTCCCTTGTTACTAGACAGGAGTCATGACGTCACTGAAGAAACTCGTGTTTTGAAGGGCCATCCCCGCCGTAAGTCGAGAACGTACCCCAGGTCCCAGCCGCAACTCGAGAAAATCAATGATACTTCCCCCTAGAGGCGAGATTTGGCCCCATTCCCATTCAGTGCATACAGAGCTATTCCGTGATCCCATTCAAACAAGTCAGGAGCTTCGACTTGCTTAATGGATCTCGAGCCAGTCCCCAAGAACACTGTCACCAGTCTAGACGGACCCTGAGGTCACGCCAGCAACGCAAATCAGCTCCATGTGCCCCAAATCAACTCGAGATGAGGCCCGATTCCCCTGCATTGACTCCAGAGCCATTCCCCGTTCCCCATTCAACACGACCGGTGGCTCGACTTCCTTCAGGCAATAACAGAGATGCCCCATGTACACTGTCCCAAGTCTAGAGGAACACAAACTTCAGCACAGCAACTCTAGGAATGATCCATGTACCCCAAATCGTCTCGAGTTGAGAGCTGATTCCCTGGCTTAGGCTCAAGACGTATGCCAACTTTCCAGAAGAACCTCAGGAGGAGGCTTCTCTCAGCAATAGTTATGTGGGAGGGAGCCCGAGATCGCTGCCTCAAGTGGAATATACAGCGAGAAGCCCTAACTTGAAAGGAGGCCGGATTTCCTTGCAGTGGCTTGAATACAGGCTCGTCTTTGATCTCAAAACATGAAGGGATGTCTGAATCCCCTGAGGAGACCTTAGAGAAAGACCTAGGTCCCTGCCTCATTTTGTCGGAATGCCTCACATCCCGTTGACACCTTGAGAGGCACGCAGAGTTCATTGCTTCAAAAGGTGACGATGCCTGACTCCTCTTGAATACTGATAGGAATCCCAAAATCCCTGTGGGTTCTGGAAAGGGTCCTTGGGTGCCCTGCCTCACCTCGAGAAGCGTCCCTTTTGCCCTGCCAAGCCTCGAAGAGATTCCTGAGGTGTCCCTCGTTACGAGACAGGAGTCCTGACGTCACTGAATAAACTCGTGTTTTGAAGGGCCATCCCCGCCGTAAGTCGAGAACATACCCCAGGTCCCCGCTGCAACTCGAGAAAAACCATGAAACTTCCCCCTAGAGGCGAGATGAGGCCCCATTCCCCTGCAGTGCATGCAGAGCTATTCCGTGATCCCATTCAAACAAGTCAGGAGCTTCGACTTGCTTAATGGATCTCGAGACAGTCCCCAAGAATACTGTCACCAGTCTAGACGGACTGTGAAGTCAACCCAGCAACGGAAAGCAGGTCCATGTGCCCCAAATCAACTCGAGATGAGGCCCGATTCCCCTGCATTGACTCCAGAGCCATTCCCCATTCCCCATTCAACACGACCGGTGGCTGAACTTCCTTCAGGCAATAACAGAGATGCCCCGTGAACACTGTCCCAAGTCTAGAGAAACACCAACTTCAGCACAGCAACTCGAGGAATGTTCCATGTACCCCAAATCGTCTCGAGATGAGAGCTGATTCCCTGGCTTAGGCTCAAGACGTATGCCAACTTTCCAGAAGCACCTCAGGAGGAGGCTTCTCTCAGCAATAGGTATGTGGTAGGGACCCCGAGATCGCTGCCTCAAGTGGAATATACAGCGAGAAGCCCTAACTTGAAAGGAGGCCGGATTTCCTTGCAGTGGCTTGAATACAGGCTCGTCTTTGATCTCACAACATGAAGGCATGTCTGAATCCCCTGTGGAGACCTTAGAGAAAGCCCTAGGTCCCTGCCTCATTTTGACGGAATGCCTCACATCCCGTTGACACCTCGAGAGGCACGCGGAGTTCATTGCTTCAAAAGGTGACGATGCCTGACTCCTCTTGAATACTGATAGGAATCCCAAAATCCCTGTGGCTACTGGAATGGGTCCTTGGGTGCCCTGCCTCACCTCGAGAAGCGTCCCTTTTGCCCTGCCAAGCCTCGAAGAGATTCCTGGGGTGTCCCTTGTTACTAGACAGGAGTCTTGATGTCACTGAAGAAACTCGTGTTTTGAAGGGCCATCCCCCCGTAAGTCGAGAACATACCCCAGGTCCCCGCCGCAACTCGAGAAAATCGATGAGACTTCCCCCTAGAGGCGAGATGAGGCCCCATTCCCATTCAGTGCATGCAGAGCTATTCCGTGATCCCATTCAAACAAGTCAGGAGCTTCGACTTGCTTAATGGATCTCGAGCCAGTCCCCAAGAACACTGTCACCAGTCTAGACGGACCCTGAGGTCACCCCAGCAACGCAAAGCAGCTCCATTTGCCCCAAATCAACTCGAGATGAGGCCCGATTCCCCTGCATTGACACCAGAGCCATTCCCCGTTCCCCATTCAACACGACCGGTGGCTCGACTTCCTTCAGGCAACTCCAGAGATGCCCCAAGAACACTGTCCGAAGTCTAGAGGAACACCAACTTCAGCATAGCAACTCGAGGAATGCTCCATGTACCCCAAATCGTCTCGAGATGAGAGCTGATTCCCTGGCTTAGGCTCAAGACGTATGCCAACTTTCCAGAAGCACCTCAGGAGGAGGATTCTCTCAGCAATAGGTATGTGGGAGGGACCCCGAGATCGCTGCCTCAAGTGGAATATACAGCGAGAAGCCCTAACTTGAAAGGAGGCCGGATTTCCTTGCAGTGGCTTGAATACAGGCTTGTCTTTGATTTCACAACATGAAGGCATGTCTGAATTCCCTGTGGAGACCTTAGAGAAAGCCCTAGGTCCCTGCCTCATTTTCACGGAATGCCTCACATCCCGTTGACACCTCGAGAGGCACGCAGAGTTCATTGCTTCAAAAGGTGACGATGCCTGACTCCTCTTGAATACTGATAGGAATCCCACAATCCCTGTGGCTACTGGAATGGGTCCTTGGGTGCCCTGCCTCACCTCGAGAAGCGTCCCTTTTGCCCTGCCAGGCTTCGAAGAGATTCCTGAGGTGTCCCTCGTTACTAGACAGGAGTCCTGACGTCACTGAATAAACTCGTGTTTTGAAGGGCCATCCCCGCCGTAAGTCGAGAACATACCCCAGGTCCCCGCCGCAACTCGAGAAAAACCATGAGACTTCCCACTAGAGGCGAGATGAGGCCCCATTCCCCTGCAGTGCATGCAGAGCTATTCCGTGATCCCATTCAAACAAGTCAGGATCTTCGCCTTGCTTAATGGATCTCGAGACAGTCCCCAAGAACACTGTCACCAGTCTAGACGGACCCTGAGGTCACCCCAGCAATGCAAAGCAGCTCCGTGTGCACCAAATCAACTCGAGATGAGGCCCGATTCCCGTGCATTGACTCCAGAGTCATTCCCCGATCCCCATTCAACGCGACCGGTGGCTCGATTTCCTTCAGGCAACTCCAGAGATGCCCCAAGAACACTGTCCCAAGTCTAGAGGAACACCAACTTCAGCACAGCATCTCAAGGAATGCTCCGTGTACCCCAAATCGTCTCGAGATGAAAGCTGATTCCCTGGCTTAGGCTCAAGACGTATGCCAACTTTCAAGAAGCACCTCAGGAGGAGGCTTCTCTCAGCAATAGGTATGTGGGAGGGACCCCGAGATCGCTGCCTCAAGTGGAATATACACCGAGAAGCCCTAACTGGAAAGGAGGCCGGATTTCCTTGCAGTGGCTTGAATTCAGGCTCGTCTTTCATTTCACAACATGAAGGGATGTCTGAATCCCCTGTGGAGACCTTAGAGAAAGGCCTAGGGCCCTGCCTCATTTTGACGGAATGCCTCACATCCCGTTGACACCTCGAGAGGCACGTGGAGTTCATTGCTTCAGAAGGTGACGATGCCTGACTCCTCTTGAATATTGATAGGAATCCCAAAATCCCTGTGGCTACTGGAATGGGTCCTTGGGTTCCCTGCCTCACCTCGACAAGCGTCCCTTTTGCCCTACCAAGCCTCGAAGAGATTCCTGAGATGTCCCTCGTTACTAGACAGGAGTCCTGACGTCACTGAAGAAACTCGTGTTTTGAAGGGCCATCCCCGCCGTAAGTCGAGATCATACCCTAGGTTCCCGCCGCAACTCGAGAAAAACCATGAGACTTCCCCCTAGAGGCGAGATGAGGCCCCATCCCCCTGCAGTTCATGCAGAGCTATTCCGTGATCCCATTCTAACAAGACAGGAGCTTCGACTTGCTTAATGGATCTCCAAACAGTCCCCAAGAACACTGTCACCAGTCTACACGGACCCTGAGGTCACCCCAGCAATGCAAAGCAGATCCATGTGCCCCAAATCAACTCGAGATGAGCCCCGAATCCCCTTCATTGACTCCAGAGCCTTTCCCCATTCCCCATTCAACACGACCGGTGGATCGACTTCCTTCAGGCAACTCCAGAGATGCCCCGAGAACACTGTCCCAAGTCTAGAGGAACACCAACTTCAGCACAGCAACTCGAGGAATGCTCCGTGTACCCCAAATCGTCTCGAGATGAGAGCTGATTCCCTGGCTTAGGCTCAAGACCTATGCCAACTTTCCAGAAGCACCTCAGGAGGAGGCTTCTCTCAGCCATAGGTATGTGGGAGGGACCCCGAAATCGCTGCCTCAAGTGGAAAATACAGCGAGAAGCCCTAACTTGAAAGGAGGCCGGATTTCCTTGCAGTGGCTTGAATACAGGCTGGTCTTTGATCTCACAACATGAAGGCATATCTGAATCCCCTGTGGAGACCTTTGCGAAAGCCCTAGGTCCCTGCCTCATATTGACGGAATGCCTCACATTCCGCTGACACCTCGAGAGGCACGCGGAGTTCATTGCTTCAAAAGGTGAGGATGCCTGACTCCTCTTGAATACTGATAGGAATCCCAGAATCCCTGTGGCTACTGGAAAGGGTCCTTGGGTGCCCTGCCTCACCTCGAGAAGCGTCCCTTTTGCCCTGCCAAGCCTCGAAGAGATTCCTGAGGTGTCCCTTGTTACTAGACAGGAGTCATGACGTCACTGAAGAAACTCGTGTTTTGAAGGGCCATCCCCGCCGTAAGTCGAGAACGTACCCCAGGTCCCAGCCGCAACTCGAGAAAATCCATGATACTTCCCCCTAGAGGCGAGATTTGGCCCCATTCCCATTCAGTGCATGCAGAGCTATTCCGTGATCCCATTCAAACAAGTCAGGAGCTTCAACTTGCTTAATGGATCTCGAGCCAGTCCCCAAGAACACTGTCACCAGTCTAGACGGACCCTGAGGTCACGCCAGCAACGCAAATCAGCTCCATGTGCCCCAAATCAACTCGAGATGAGGCCCGATTCCCCTGCATTGACTCCAGAGCCATTCCCCGTTCCCCATTCAACACGACCGGTGGCTCGGCTTCCTTCAGGCAATAACAGAGATGCCCCATGTACACTGTCCCAAGTCTAGTGGAACACAAACTTCAGCACAGCAACTCTAGGAATGATCCATGTACCCCAAATCGTCTCGAGTTGAGAGCTGATTCCCTGGCTTAGGCTCAAGACGTATGCCAACTTTCCAGAAGAACCTCAGGAGGAGGCTTCTCTCAGCAATAGGTATGTGGGAGGGACCCCGAGATCGCTGCCTCAAGTGGAATATACAGCGAGAAGCCCTAACTTGAAAGGAGGCCGGATTTCCTTGCAGTGGCTTGAATACAGGCTCGTCTTTGATCTCAAAACATGAAGGGATGTCTGAATCCCCTGAGGAGACCTTAGAGAAAGACCTAGGACCCTGCCTCATTTTGTCGGAATGCCTCACATCCCGTTGACACCTTGAGAGGCACGCAGAGTTCATTGCTTCAAAAGGTGACGATGCCTGACTCCTCTTGAATACTGATAGGAATCCCAAAATCCCTGTGGCTTCTGGAAAGGGTCCTTGGGTGCCCTGCCTCACCTCGAGAAGCGTCCCTTTTGCCCTGCCAAGCCTCGAAGAGATTCCTGAGGTGTCCCTCGTTACGAGACAGGAGTCCTGACGTCACTGAAGAAACTCGTGTTTTGAAGGGCCATCCCCGCCGTAAGTCGAGAACATACCCAAGGTCCCCGCCGCAACTCGAGAAAAACCATGAGACTTCCCCCTAGAGGCGAGATGAGGCCCCATTCCCCTGCAGTGCATGCAGAGCTATTCCGTGATCCCATTCAAACAAGTCAGGAGCTTCGACTTCCTTAATGGATCTCGAGACAGTCCCCAAGAACACTGTCACCATTCTAGACGGACCCTGATGTCAACCCAGCAACGGAAAGCAGCTCCATGTGCCCCAAATCAACTCGAGATGAGGCCCGATTCCCCTGAATTGACTCCAGAGCCATTCCCCGTTCCCCATTCAACACGACCGGTGGCTCGACTTCCTTCAGGCAACTCCAGAGATGCCCCGAGAACACTTTCCCAAGTCTAAAGGAACACCAACTTCAGCACAGCAACTCGAGGAATGCTCCATGTACCCCAAATCGTCTCGAGATGAGAGCTGATTCCCTGGCTTAGGCTCAAGACGTATGCCAACTTTCCAGAAGCACCTCAGGAGGAGGCTTCTCTCAGCAATAGGTATGTGGGAGGGACCCCGAGATCGCTGAGTCAAGTGGAATATACAGTGAGAATCCCTAACTTGAAAGGAGGCCGGATTTCCTTGCAATGGCTTGAATACAGGCTCGTCTTTGATCTCACAACATGAAGGCATGTCTGAATCCCCTTTGGAGACCTTAGAGAAAGCACTAGGTCCCTGCCTCATTTTGACGGAATGCCTCACATCCCGTTGAAACCTCGAGAGGTACGCGGAGTTCATTGCTTCAAAAGGTGACGATGCCTGACTCCTCTTGAATACTGATAGGAATCCCACAATCCCTGTGGCTACTGGAATCTGTCCTTGGGTGCCCTGCCTCACCTCGAGAAGCATCCCTTTTGCCCTGCCAAGCCTCGAAGAGATTCCTGAGGTGTCCCTCGTTACTAGACAGCAGTCCTGATGTCACTGAAGAAACTCGTGTTTTGAAGGGCCATCCCCGCCGTAAGTCGAGAACATACCCCAGGTTCCCGCCGCAACTCGAGAAAAACCATGAAACTTCCCCCTAGAGGCGAGATGAGGCCCCATTCCCATGCAGTGCATGCAGAGCTATTCCGTGATCCCATTCAAACAAGTCAGGAGCTTCGACTTGCTTAATGGATCTCGAGCCAGTCCTCAAGAACACTGTCACCAGTCTAGACGGACCCTGAGGTCACCCCAGCAACGCAAAGCAGCTCCATGTGCCCCAAATCAACTCGAGATGAGGCCCGATTCCCCTGCATTGACACCAGAGCCATTCCCCGTTCCCCATTCAACACGACCGGTGGCTCGACTTCCTTCAGGCAACTCCAGAGATGCCCCGAGAACACTGTCCCAAGTCTAGAGGAACACCAACTTCAGCATAGCAACTCGAGGAATGCTCCATGTACCCCAAATCGTCTCGAGATGAGAGCTGATTCCCTGGCTTAGGCTCAAGACGTATGCCAACTTTCCAGAAGCACCTCAGGAGGAGGCTTCTCTCAGCAATAGGTATGTGGGAGGGACCCCGAGATCGCTGCCTCAAGTGGAATATACAGCGAGAAGCCCTAACTTGAAAGGAGGCCGGATTTCCTTGCAGTGGCTTGAATACAGGCTTGTCTTTGATCTCACAACATGAAGGCATGTCTGAATCCCCTGTGGAGACCTTAGAGAAAGCCCTAGGTCCCTGCCTCATTTTGACGGAATGCCTCACATCCCGTTGACAACTCGAGAGGCACGCGGAGTTCATTGCTTCAAAAGGTGACGATGCCTGACTCCTCTTGAATACTGATAGGAATCCCAAAATCCCTGTGGCTACTGGAATGGGTCCTTGGGTGCCCTGCCTCACCTCGAGAAGCGTCCCTTTTGCCCTGCCAGGCTTCGAAGAGATTCCTGAGGTGTCCCTCGTTACTAGACAGGAGTCCTGACGTCACTGAATAAACTCGTGTTTTGAAGGGCCATCCCCGCCGTAAGTCGAGAACATACCCCAGGTCCCCGCCGCAACTCGAGAAAAACCATGAGACTTCCCACTAGAGGCGAGATGAGGCCCCATTCCCCTGCAGTGCATGCAGAGCTATTCCGTGATCCCATTCAAACAAGTCAGGATCTTCGCCTTGCTTAATGGATCTCGAGACAGTCCCCAAGAACACTGTCACCAGTCTAGACGGACCCTGAGGTCACCCCAGCAACGCAAAGCAGCTCCGTGTGCACCAAATCAACTCGAGATGAGGCCCGATTTCCCTGCATTGACTCCAGAGTCATTCCCCGATCCCCATTCAACGCGACCGGTGGCTCGATTTCCTTCAGGCAACTCCAGAGATGCCCCAAGAACACTGTCCCAAGTCTAGAGGAACACCAACTTCAGCACAGCATCTCAAGGAATGCTCCGTGTACCCCAAATCGTCTCGAGATGAGAGCTGATTCCCTGGCTTAGGCTCAAGACGTATGCCAACTTTCCAGAAGCACCTCAGGAGGAGGCTTCTCTCAGCAATAGGTATGTGGGAGGGACCCCGAGATCGCTGCCTCAAGTGGAATATACAGCGAGAAGCCCTAACTGGAAAGGAGGCCGGATTTCCTTGCAGTGGCTTGAATACAGGCTGGTCTTTGATCTCACAACATGAAGGCATATCTGAATCCCCTGTGGAGACCTTTGAGAAAGCCCTAGGTACCTGCCTCACATTGACGGAATGCCTCACATTCCGCTGACACCTCGAGAGGCACGCGGAGTTCATTGCTTCAAAAGGTGAGGATGCCTGACTCCTCTTGAATACTGATAGGAATCCCAGAATCCCTGTGGCTACTGGAAAGGGTCCTTGGGTGCCCTGCCTCACCTCGAGAAGCGTCCCTTTTGCCCTGCCAAGCCTAGAAGAGATTCCTGAGGTGTCCCTTGTTACTAGACAGGAGTCATGACGTCACTGAAGAAACTCGTGTTTTGAAGGGCCATCCCCGCCGTAAGTCGAGAACGTACCCCAGGTCCCAGCCGCAACTCGAGAAAATCCTTGATACTTCCCCCTAGAGGCGAGATTTGGCCCCATTCCCATTCAGTGCATGCAGAGCTATTCCGTGATCCCATTCAAACAAGTCAGGAGCTTCGACTTGCTTAATGGATCTCGAGCCAGTCCCCAAGAACACTGTGACCAGTCAAGACGGACCCTGAGGTCACGCCAGCAACGCAAAGCAGCTCCATGTGCCCCAAATCAACTCGAGATGAGGCCCGATTCCCCTGCATTGACTCCAGAGCCATTCCCCGTTCCCCATTCAACACGACCGGTGGCTCGACTTCCTTCAGGCAATAACAGAAATGCCCCATGTACACTGTCCCAAGCTAGAGGAACACAAACTTCAGCACAGCAACTCTAGGAATGATCCATGTACCCCAAATCGTCTCGTGTTGAGAGCTGATTCCCTGGCTTAGGCTCAAGACGTATGCCAACTTTCCAGAAGAACCTCAGGAGGAGGCTTCTCTCAGCAATAGGTATGTGGGAGGGACCCCGAGATCGCTGCCTCAAGTGGAATATACAGCGAGAAGCCCTAACTTGAAAGGAGGCCGGATTTCCTTGCAGTGGCTTTAATACAGGCTCGTCTTTGATCTCAAAACATGAAGGGATGTCTGAATCCCCTGAGGAGACCTTAGAGAAAGACCTAGGTCCCTGCCTCATTTTGTCGGAATGCCTCACATCCCGTTGACACCTTGAGAGGCACGCAGAGTTCATTGCTTCAAAAGGTGACGATGCCTGACTCCTCTTGAATACTGATAGGAATCCCAAAATCCCTGTGGCTTCTGGAAAGAGTCCTTGGGTGCCCTGCCTCACCTCGAGAAGCGTCCCTTTGGCCCTGCCAAGCCTCGAAGAGATTCCTGAGGTGTCCCTCGTTACGAGACAGGAGTCCTGACGTCACTGAAGAAACTCGTGTTTTGAAGGGCCATCCCTGCCGTAAGTCGAGAACATACCCCAGGTCCCCGCCGCAACTCGAGAAAAACCATGAGACTTCCCCCTAGAGGCGAGATGAGGCCCCATTCCCCTGCAGTGCATGCAGAGCTATTCCGTGATCCCATTCAAACAAGTCAGGAGCTTCAACTTGCTTAATGGATCTCGAGAAAGTCCCCAAGAACACTGTCACCAGTCTAGACGGAACCTGAGGTCACCCCAGCAATGCAAAGCAGCTCCATGTGCCCCAAATCAACTTGAGATGAGGCCCGATTCCCCTGCATTGACACCAGAGCCATTCCCCATTCCCCATTCAACACGACCGGTGGCTCGACTTCCTTCAGGCAACTACAGAGATGCCCTGAGAACACTGTCCCAAGTCTAGAGGAACACCAACTTCAGCACAGCAACTTGAGGAATGCTCCGTGTACCCCAAATCGTCTCGAGATGAGAGCTGATTCCCTGGCTTAGGCTCAAGACATATGCCAACTTTCCAGAAGCACCTCAGGAGGAGGCTTCTCTCAGCAATAGGTATGTGGGAGGGACCCCGAAATCGCTGCCTCAAGTGGAATATACAGCGAGAAGCCCTAACTTGAAAGGAGGCCGGATTTCCTTGCAGTGGCTTGAATACAGGCTGGTCTTTGATCTCACAACATGAAGGCATATCTGAATCCCCTGTGGAGACCTTTGAGAAAGCCCTAGGTCCCTGCCTCATATTGACGGATTGCCTCACATTCCGCTGACACCTCGAGAGGCACACGGAGTTCATTGCTTCAAAAGGTGAGGATGCCTGACTCCTCTTGAATACTGATAGGAATCCCAGAATCCCTGTGGCTACTGGAAAGGGTCCTTGGGTGCCCTGCCTCACCTCGAGAAGCGTCCCTTTTGCCCTGCCAAGCCTAGAAGAGATTCCTGAGGTGTCCCTTCTTACTAGACAGGAGTCATGACGTCACTGAAGAAACTCGTGTTTTGAAGGGCCATCCCCGCCGTAAGTCGAGAACGTACCCCAGGTCCCAGCCGCAACTCGAGAAAATCCTTGATACTTCCCCCTAGAGGCGAGATTTGGCCCCATTCCCATTCAGTGCATGCAGAGCTATTCCGTGATCCCATTCAAACAAGTCAGGAGCTTGGATTTGCTTAATGGATCTCGAGACAGACCCAAGAACACTGTCACCAGTCTAGACGGACCCTGAGGTCACCCCAGCAACGCAAAGTATCTCCATGTGCCCCTAATCAACTCGAGATGAGGCCTGATTCCCCTGCATTGACTCCAGAGCCATTCCCTGTTCCCCATTCAACAAGACCAGTGGCTTGACTTCCTTCAGGCAACTCCAGAGATGCCCCGAGAACACTGTCCCAAGTCTAGAGGAACACCAACTTCAGCACAGCAACTCGAGGAATGCTCCGTGTACCCCAAATCGCCTCGAGATGAGAGCTGATTCCCTGGCTTAGGCTCAAGACGTATGCCAAATTTCCAGAAGCACCTCAGGAGGAGGCTTCTCTCAGCAATAGGTATGTGGGGGGACCCCGAGATCGCTGCCTCAATTGGAATATACAGCGAGAAGCCCAAACTTGAAAGGAGGCCGGATTTCCTTGCAGTGGCTTTAATACAGGCTCGTCTTTGATCTCAAAACATGAAGGGATGTCTGAGTCCCCTGTGGAGACCTTACAGAAAGCCCTATGTCCCTGCCTCGTTTTGACGGAATGCCTCACATCCCGATGACACCTCGATAGGCACCAGGAGTTCATTGCTTCAAAAGTTGACGATGCCTGACTCCTCTTGAATACTGATAGGAATCCCAAAATCCCTGTTTCTAGTGGAAAGGGTCCTTGGGTGCCCTGCCTCACCTCGAGAAGCGTCCCTTTGCCCTGCCAAGCCTCGAAGAAATTCCTGAGGTGTCCCTCGTTGCTAGACAGGAGTACTGACTTCACTGAATAAACACGTGTTTTGAAGGGCCATCCCCGTCATAAGTCGAGAACATACCCCAGGTCCCCGCCACAACTCGAGAAAAACCATGAGACTTCCCCCTAGAGCCGAGATGAGGCCCCATTCCCCTGCAGTGCATGCAGAGCTATTCCATGATCCAATTCATACAAGTCAGGAGCTTCGACTTGCTTAATGGATCTCGAGACAGGCCCCAAGAACACTGTCACCAGTCTAGACGGACCCTGAGGTCACCCCAGGAATGCAAAGCAGCTCCATGTGCCCGAAATCAACACGAGATGAGGCCCGATTCCCCTGCATTGACTCCAGAGCCATTCCCCGTTCCCCATTCAACACGTCCGGTGGCTCGACTTCCTTCAGGCAACTCCAGAGATGCCCCGAGAACACTGTCCCAAGTCTAGAGGAACACCAACTTTAGCACAGCAACTCGAGGAATGCTCCGTGTAACCCAAATCGTCTCGAGATGAGAGCTGATTCCCTGGCTTAGGCTCAAGACGTATGCCAAGTTTCCAGAAGCACCTCAGGAGGAGGCTTCTCTCAGCAATAGGTATGTGGGAGGGACCCCGAGATCACTGCCTCAAGTGGAATATACAACGAGAAACCCTAACTTGAAAGGAGGCCGGATTTCCTTGCAGTGGCTTGAATACAGGCTCGTCTTTGATCTCAAAACATGAAGGGATGTCTGAATCCCCTGTGGAGACCTTAGAGAAAGCCCTATGTCCCTGCCTCATTTTGACGGAATGCCTCACATCCCGATGACACCTCGAGAGGCACGCGGAGTTCATTGATTAAAAAGGTGACGATGCCTGACTCCTCTTGAATACTGATAGGAATCCCAAAATCCCTGTGGCTACTGGAAAGGGACCTTGGCTGCCCTGCCTCACCTCGAGAAGCGTCCCTTTTACCCTGATAAGCCTCGAAGAGATTCATGAGGTGTCCCTCGTAACTAGACAGGAGTCCTGACATCACTGAAGAAACTCGTGTTTTGAAGGGTCATCCCCGCCGTAAGTCGAGAAAATAACCCAAGGCCTCGCCGAAACTCGAGAAAAACCATGAGACTTCCCCCTAGAGGCGAGATGAGGCCCCATTCCCCTGCCGTGCATGCAGAGCTATTCCGTGATCCCATTCAAACAAGTCAGGAGCTTCGTCTTGCTCAATGGATCTCGAGACAGTCCCCAAGAACACTGTCACCAGTCTAGACGGACCCTGAGGTAGCCCCAGCAACGCAAAGCAGCTCCATGTGCCCCTAATCAACTCGAGATGAGGCCCGATACCCCTGCTTTGACTCCAGAGCCATTCCCTGTTCCCCATTCAACACGAACGGTGGCTCGACTTCCTTCAGGCAACTCCAGAGATGCCCCGAGAACACTGTCCCAAGTCTAGAGGAACACAAACTACAGCACAGCAACTCGAGGAATGCTCCGTGTACCCCAAATCGTCTCGAGATGAGAGCTGATTCCCTGGCTTAGGCTCAAGACGTATGCCAACTTTCCAGAAGCACCTCAGGAGGAGGCTTCTCTCAGCAATAGGTATGTAGGAGGGACCCCGAGATCGCTGCCTCAAGTGGAATATACAGCGAGAAGCCCTACCTTGAAAGGAGGCCGGATTTCCTTACAGTCGCTTGAATACAGGCTCGTCTTCGATCTCACAACATGAAGGCATGTCTGAATCCGCTGTGGAGACCTTAGATAAAGACCTAGGTCCCTGCCTCATTTTGACGGAATGCCTCACATCCCGTTGACACCTCCAGAGGCACGCGGAGTTCATTGATTCAAAAGGTGACGATGCCTGACTCCTCTTGAATACTGATAGGAATCCCAAAATCCGTGTTTCTACTGGAATGGGTCCTTGGGTGCCCTGCCTCACCTCGAGAAGCATCCCTTTTGCCCTGCCAAGCCTCGAAGAGATTCCTGAGGTGTCCCACGTTAATAGACAGGATTCCTGACGTCACTGAAGAAACTCGTGTTTTGAAGGGCCATCCCCGCCGTAAGTCGAGAACATACCCCAGGTCCCCGCCGCAATTCGAGAAAAACCATGAGACTTCCCCCTAGAGGCGAGATGAGGCCCCATTCCCATGCAGTGCATGCAGAGCTATTCCGTGACCACATTCAAACAAGTCACGAGCTTCGACTTGCTTAATGGATCTCGAGACAGTCCCCAAGAACACTGTCACCAGTCTAGACAGACACTGAGGTTACCCTAGCAACGCAAAGCATATCCATGTGACCCAAATCAACTCGAGATGAGGCCCGATTCCCCTGCATTGACTCCAGAGCCATTCCCCGTTCCCCATTCAACACGACCGGTGGCTCGACTTACTTCAGGCAACTACAGAGATGCCCCTTGAACACTGTCCCAAGTCTAGAGGAAAACCAACTTCAGCACAGTTACTCGAGGAATGCTCCGTGAACCCCAAATCGTCTCTAGATTTGAGCTGATTCCCTGGCTTAGGCTCAAGACGTATGCCAACTTTCCAGAAGCACCTCAGGAGGAGGCTTCTCTTAGCAATAGGTATGTGGGAGGGACCCCGAGATCGCTGCCTCAAGTGGAATATACAGCGAGAAGGCCTAAATTGAAAGGAGGCCGGATTTCGTTGCAGTGGCTTGAATACAGGCTCGTATTTGATCTCACAACATAAAGACATGTCTGAATCCCCTGTGGAGACCTTAGAGAAAGCCCTAGGTCCCTGCCTCATTTTGACGGAATGCCTCACATCCGGTTGACACCTCGAGAGGCACGCAGAGTTCATTGCTTCAAAAGGTGACGATGCCTGACTCCTCTTGAATACTGATAGGAATCCCAAAATCCCTGTGGCTTCTGGATAGGGTCCTTGGGTGCTCTGCCTCACCTCGAGAAGCGTCCCGTTTGCCCTGCCAAGCCTCGAAGAGATTCCTGAGGTATCCCTCGTTACTAGACAGGAGTCCTGTCGTCACTGAAGAAACTCGTGTTTTGAAGGCCATCCCCGCTGTAAGTCGAGAATATACCCAGGTTCCCGCCGCAACTCGAGAAAAACCATGTGATTTCCCGCTAGAGGCGAGATGAGGCCCCATTCCCCTGCAGTGCATGCAGAGCTATTCCGTGATCCCATTCAAACAAGTCAGGAGCTTCGACTTGCTTAATGGATCTCGAGACAGTACCCAAGAACACTGTCACCAGTCTAGACGGACCCTGAGGTCACCCCAGCAACGCAAAGCAGCTCCATGTGCCCCAAATCAACACGAGATGAGGCCCGATTCCCCTGCATTGACTCCAGAGCCATTCCCCGTTCCCCATTCAACACGACCGGTTGATTGACTTCCTTCAGGCAACTCCAGAGATGCCCCGAGAACACTGTCCCAAGTCTAGAGGAACACCAACTGCAGCACAGCAACTCGAGGAATGCTCCGTGTACCCCAAATCGTCTCGAGATGAGAGCTGATTCCCTGGCTTAGGCTCAAGACGTATGCCAACTTTCCAGAAGCACCTCAGGAGGAGGCTTCTCTCAGCAATAGGTATGTGGGAGGGACCCCGAGATCGCTGCCTCAAGTGGAATATACAGCGAGAAGCCCTAACTTGAAAGGAGGCCGGATTTCCTTGCAGTGTCTTGAATGCAGGCTCGTCTTTTATCTCAAAACATGAAGAGATGTCTGAATCCCCTGTTGAGACTTTAGAGAAAGCCCTAGGTCCCTGCCTCATTTTGACAGAAGGCCTCACATCCCGTTGACTCCTCGAGAGGCACGCGGAGTTCATTGCTTCAAAAGGTGACGATGCCTGACTCCTCTTGTATATTGATAGGAATCCCAAAATTCCTGTGGCTACTGGAATGGGTCCTTGGATGCCCTGCCTCACCTCGAGAAGCGTCCCTTTTGCCCTGGCAAGCCTCGAAGAGATTCATGAGGTGTCCCTCTTTACCAGACAGGAGTCCTGACGTCACTGAAGAAACTCCTGTTTTGAAGGGCCATCCCCGCCGTAAGTCAAGAACATACCCCAGGTCCCCGCCGCAACTCGAGAAAAACCATGAGACTTCCCCCTAGAGGCGAGATGAGGCCCCATTCCCCTGCAGTGCATGCAGAGCTATTCCGTGATCCCATTCCAACAAGTCAGGATCTTCGACTTGCTTAATGGATCTCGAGACAGTCCCCAAGAACACTGTCACCAGTCTAGACGGACCCTGAGGTCACCCCAGCAACGCAAAGCAGCTCCATGTGCCCCTAATCAACTCGAGATGAGGCCCGATTCCACTGCATTGACTCCAGACCCATTCCCCGTTCCCCATTCAACACGATCAGTGGCTCGACTTCCTTCAGGCAACTCCAGAGATGCCCCGAGAACACTGTCCCAAGTCTAGAGGAACACCAACTTCAGCACAGCAACTCGAGGAATGCTCCGTGTACCCCAAATCGCCTCGAGATGAGAGCTGATTCCCTGGCGTAGGCTCAAGATGTATGCCAAATTTCCAGAAGCACCTCAAGAGGAGGCTTCTCTCAGCAATAGGTATGTGGGAGGGACCCCGAGTTCGCTGCCTCAAGTGGAATATACAGTGAGAAGCCCTAACTTGAAAGGAGTATGGATTTCCTTGCAGTGGCTTGAATACAGGCTCGTCTTTGATCTCAAAACATGAAGGGATGTCTGAATCCCCTGTGCAGACCTTAGAGAAAGCCCTAGGTCTCTGCCTTATTTTGACGGAATGCCTCACATCCCATTGACACTTCGAGAGGCACGCGGAGTTCATTGCTTCAAAAAGTTACCATGCCTGACTCCTCTTGAATACTGATAGGAATCCCAAAATCCCTGTGGCTACAGGAAAGGGTCCTTGGCTGCCCTGCCTCGCCTCGAGAAGCGTCCCTTTTACCCTGCCAAGCCTCGAAGAGATTCCTGAGGTGTCCCTCATTACTAGACAGGAGTCCTGACGTCACTGAAGAAACTCGTGTTTTGAAGGTACATCCCCGCCGTAAGTCGAGAACATAACCCAGGGCCCCGCCGCAACTCGAGAAAAATCATGAGACCTCCCCCTAGAGGCGAGATGAGGCTCCATTCTCCTGCAGTGCATGCAGAGCTTTTCCGTGATCCCATTCAAATAACTCAGAAGCTTCGAATTGCTTAATGGATCTCGAGACAGTCCCCAAGAACACTGTCACCAGTCTAGACGGACCCTGAGGTCACCCCAGCAACGCAAAGCAGCTCCATGTGCCCCAAATCAACTCGAGATGAGGCCCGATTCCCCTGCATTGACTCCAGAGCCATTCCCCGTTCCCCATTCAACACGACCGGTGGCTCGACTTCCTTCAGGCAACTCCAGAGATGCCCCGAGAACACTGTCCCAAGTCTAGAGGAACACCAACTTCAGCACAGCAACTCGAGGAATGCTCCGTGTACCACAAATCGTCTTGAGATGAGAGCTGATTCCCTGGCTTAGGCTCAAGACGTATGCCAACTTTCCAGAAGCACCTCAGGAGGAGGCTTCTCTCAGCAATAGGTATGTGGGAGGGACCCCGAGATCACTGCCTCAAGTGGAATATACAGCGAGAAGCCCTAACTTGAAAGGAGGCCGGATTTCCTTGCAGTGGCTTGAATACAGGCTCGTCTTTGATCTCAAAACATGAAGGGATGTCTGAATCCCCTGTGGAGACCTTAGAGAAAGCCCTAGGTCCCTGCCTCATTTTGACGGAATGCCTCACATCCCGTTGACACCTCGAGAGGCACGCGGAGTTCATTGCTTCAAAAGGTGACGATGCCTGACTCCTCTTGAATACTGATAGGAATACCAAAATCCCTGTGGCTACTGGAAAGGTTCCTTAAGTGCCCTGCCTCACCTCGAGAAGCGTCCCTTTTACCCTGCCAAGCCTCGAAGAGATTACTGAGGTGTCCCTCGTTACTAGACAGGAGTCCTGACGTCACTGAAGAAACTCATGTTTTGAAGGGCCATCCCCGCCGTAAGTCGAGAACATACCCCAGGACCCCGCCGCAAGTCGAGAAAAACCATGAGATTTCCCCTAGAGGCGAGATGAGGCCCCATTCCCCTGCAAGGCATGGAGAGCTATACCGTGATCCCATTCAAACAAGTCAGGAGCTTCGACTTGCTTAATGGATCTCGAGACAGTCCCCAAGAACACTGTCACCAGTCTAGACGGACACTGAAGTCAGCCCAGCAACGCAAAGCAGCTCCATGTGCCCCAAATCAACTCGAGATGAGGCCCGATTCCCCTGCATTGACTCCAGAGCCATTCCCAGTTCCCCATTCAACACGACCGGTGGCTCGACTTCCTTCAGGCAACTTCACAGATGCCCCGAGAACACTGTGCCAAGTCTAGAGGAACACCTACTTCAGCACAGCAACTCGAGGAATGCTCCGTGTGCCCCAAATCGTCTCGAGATGAGAGCTGATTCCCTGGCTTAGGCTCAAGACGTATGCCAACTTTCCAGAAGCACCTCAGGAGAAGGCTTCTCTCAGCAATAGGTATGTTGGTGGGACCCCGAGATCACTGCCTTAAGTGGAATATACTGCGAGAAGCCCTAACTTGAAAGGAGGCCGGATTTCCTTGCAGTGGCTTGAATACAGGCTCGTCTTTGATCTCAAAACATGAAGGGATGTCTGAATCCCCTGTGGAGACGTTAGAGAAAGCCCTAGGTCCCTGCCTCATTTTGACGGAATGCCAAACATCTCGTTGACACCTCGAGAGGCACGCGGAGTTCATCGCTTCAAAAGGTGACGATGCCTGACTCCTCTTGAATACTGATAGGAATCCCAAAATCCCTGTGGCTACTGGAAAGGGTCCTAGGCTGCCCTGCCTCACCTCGAGAAGCGTCCCTTTTACCCTGCCAAGCCTCGAAGAGATTCATGCGGTGTCCCTCGTTACCAGACAGGAGTCCTGACGTCACTGAAGAAACTCCTGTTTTGAAGGGCCATCCCCGCCGTAAGTCGAGAACATACCCCAGGTCCCCGCCGCAACTCGAGAAAAACCATGAGACTTCCCCCTAGAGGCGAGATGAGGCCCCATTCCCCTGCAGTGCATGCAGAGCTATTCCGTGATCCCATTCAAACAAGTCAGGAGCTTGGAGTTGCTTAATGGATCTCGAGACACTCCTCAAGAACACTGTCACCAGTCTAGATGGACCCTGAGGTCACCCCAGCAATGCAAAGCAGCTCCATGTGCCCCAAATCAACTCGAGATGAGGCCCGATTCCCCTGCATTGACTCCAGAGCCATTCCCCATTCCCCATTCAACACGACCGGTGGCTCGACATCCTTCAGGGAACTCCAGAGATGCGCCGAGAACACTGTCCTAAGTCTAGAGGAACACCAACTTCAGCACAGCAACTCGAGGAATGCTCCGTGTACCACAAATCGTCTCAAGATTAGAGCTGATTCCCTGGCTTAGGCTCAAGACGTATGCCAACTTTCCAGAAGCACATCAAGAGGAGGCTTCTCTCAGCAATAGGTATGTGGGACGGACACCGAGATCGCTGCCTCAAGTGGAATATACAGCGAGAAGCCCTAACTTGAAAGGAGGCCGGATTTCCTTGCAGTGGCTTGAATACGGGCTCGTGTTTGATCTCAAAACATGAAGGGATGTCTGAATCCCCTGTGGAGACGTTAGAGAAAGCCCTAGGTCCCTGCCTCATTTTGACGGAATGCCTCACATCCCGTTGACACCTCGAGAGGCACACGGAGTTCATTGCTTCAAAAGGTGACGTTGCCTGACTCCTCTTGAATACTGATAGGAATAGCAAAATCCCTGTCGCTACTTGAAAGGGTCCTTGGGGGCCCTGCCTCTCCTCGAGAAGCGTCCCTTTTGCCCTGCCAGGCCTCGAAGAGATTCCTGAGGTGTCCCACGTTACTAGACAGGAGTCCTGATGTCACTGAAGAAACTACTGTTTTGAAGGGCCATCCCCGCCGTAAGTCGAGAACATACCCCAGATCCCCGCCGCAACTCGAGAAAAACCATGAGACTTCCCCCTAGAGGCGAGATGAGGCCCCATTCCCCTGCAGTGCATGCAGAGCTATTCCGTGATCCCATTCAAACAAGTCAGGAGCTTGGAGTTGCTTAATGGATCTCGAGACAGTCCTCAAGAACACTGTCACCAGTCTAGACGGACCCTGAGGTCACCCCAGCAACGCAAAACAGCTCCATGTGCCCCAAATCAACTCGAGATGAGGACTGATTCCCCTGCATTGACTCCAGAGCCATTCCCCGTTCCCCATTCAACACGTCCGGTGGCTCGACTTCCTTCAGGGAACTCCAGAGATGCGCCGAGAACACTGTCCTAAGTCTAGAGGAACACCAACTTCAGCACAGCAACTCGAGGAATGCTCCGTGTACTACAAATCGTCTCAAGATGAGAGCTGATTCCCTGGCTTAGGCTCAAGACGTATGCAAACTTTCCAGAAGCACCTCAGGAGGAGGCTTCTCTCAGCAATAGGTATGTGGGAGGGACCCCGAGATCGCTGCCTCAAGTGGAATATACAGCGAGAAGCCCTAACTTGAAAGGTGGCCGGATTTCCTTGCAGTGGCTTGAATACAGGCTCGTGTTTGATCTCAAAACATGAAGGGATGTCTGAATCCCCTGTGGAGACCTTAGAGAAAGCCCTAGGTCCCTGACTCATTTTGACGGAATGCCTCACATCCCGTTGACACCTCGAGAGGCACGCGGAGTTCATTGCTTCAAAAGGTGACGATGCCTGACTCCTCTTGAATACTGATAGGAATCCCAAAATCCCTGTGGCTACTGGAAAGGGTCCTTGGGGGCCCTGCCTCTCCTCGAGAAGCGTCCCTTTTGCCCTGCCAGGCCTCGAAGAGATTCCTGAGGTGTCCCTCGTTACTAGACAGGAGTCCTGATGTCACTGAAGAAACTCCTGTTTTGAAGGGCCATCCCCGTCATAAGTCGAGAACATACCCAGGTCCCCGCCGCAACTCGAGAAAAACAATGAGACTTCCCCCTAGAGGCGAGATGAGGCCCCATTCCCCTGCAGTGCATGCAGAGCTATTCCGGGACCCCATTCAAACAAGTCAGGAGCTTCGACTTGCTTAATGGATCTCGAGACAGTCCCCAAGAACACTGTCACCAGTCTAGACGGACCCTGAGGTCACGCCAGCAACGCAAATCAGCTCCATGTGCCCCAAATCAACTCGAGATGAGGCCCGATTCCCCTGTATTGACTCCAGAGCCATTCCCCGTTCCCCATTCAACACGACCGGTGGCTCGACTTCCTTCAGGCAATAACAGAGATGCCCCATGTACACTGTCCCAGGTCTAGAGGAACACAAACTTCAGCACAGCAACTCTAGGAATGATCCATGTACCCCAAATCGTCTCGAGTTGAGAGCTGATTCCCTGGCTTAGGCTCAAGACGTATGCCAACTTTCCAGAAGAACCTCAGGAGGAGGCTTCTCTCAGCAATAGTTATGTGGGAGGGACCCCGAGATCGCTGCCTCAAGTGGAATATACAGCGAGAAGCCCTAACTTGAAAGGAGGCCGGATTTCCTTGCAGTGGCTTGAATACAGGCTCGTCTTTGATCTCAAAACATGAAGGGATGTCTGAATCCCCTGAGGAGACCTTAGAGAAAGACCTAGGTTCCTGCCTCATTTTGTCGCAATGCCTCACATCCCGTTGACACCTTGAGAGGCACGCGGAGTTCATTGCTTCAAAAGGTGACGATGCCTGACTCCTCTTGAATACTGATAGGAATCCCAAAATCCCTGTGGCTTCTGGAAAGGGTCCTTGGGTGCCCTGCCTCACCTCGAGAAGCGTCCCTTTTGCCCTGCCAAGCCTCGAAGAGATTCCTGAGGTGTCCCTCGTTACGAGACAGGAGTCCTGACGTCACTGAAGAAACTCGTGTTTTGAAGGGCCATCCCCGCCGTAAGTCGAGAACATACCCAAGGTCCCCGCCGCAACTCGAGAAAAACCATGAGACTTCCCCCTAGAGGCGAGATGAGGCCCCATTCCCCTGCAGTGCATGCAGAGCTATTCCGTGATCCCATTCAAACAAGTCAGGAGCTTCGACTTGCTTAATGGATCTCGAGAAAGTCCCCAAGAACACTGTCACCAGTCTAGACGGAACCTGAGGTCACCCCAGCAATGCAAAGCAGCTCCATGTGCCCCAAATCAACTTGAGATGAGGCCCGATTCCCCTGCATTGACCCCAGAGCCATTCCCCGTTCCCCATTCAACACGACCGGTGGCTCGACTTCCTTCATGCAACTCCAGAGATGCCCCGAGAACACTGTCCCAAGTCTAGAGGAACACCAACTTCAGCACAGCAACTTGAGGAATGCTCCGTGTACCCCGAATCGTCTCGAGATGAGAGCTGATTCCCTGGCTTAGGCTCAAGACGTATGCCAACTTTCCAGAAGCACCTCAGGAAGAGGCTTCTCTCAGCAATAGATATGTGGGAGGGACCCCGAAATCGCTGCCTCAAGTGGAATATACAGCGAGAAGCCCTAACTTGAAAGGAGGCCGGATTTCCTTGCAGTGGCTTGAATACAGACTCGTCTTTGATCTCACAACATGAAGGCATATCTGAATACCCTGTGGAGACCTTTGAGAAAGCCCTAGGTCCCTGCCTCATATTGACGGAATGCCTCACATTCCGCTGACACCTCGAGAGGCACGCGGAGTTCATTGCTTCAAAAGGTGAGGATGCCTGACTCCTCTTGAACACTGATAGGAATCCCAGAATCCCTGTGGCTACTGGAAAGGGTCCTTGGGTGCCCTGCCTCACCTCGAGAAGCGTCCCTTTTGCCCTGCCAAGCCTCGAAGAGATTCCTGAGGTGTCCCTTGTTACTAGACAGGAGTCATGACGTCACTGAAGAAACTCGTGTTTTGAAGGGCCATCCCCGCCGTAAGTCGAGAACGTACCCCAGGTCCCAGCCGCAACTCGAGAAAATCAATGATACTTCCCCCTAGAGGCGAGATTTGGCCCCATTCCCATTCAGTGCATACAGAGCTATTCCGTGATCCCATTCAAACAAGTCAGGAGCTTCGACTTGCTTAATGGATCTCGAGCCAGTCCCCAAGAACACTGTCACCAGTCTAGACGGACCCTGAGGTCACGCCAGCAACGCAAATCAGCTCCATGTGCCCCAAATCAACTCGAGATGAGGCCCGATTCCCCTGCATTGACTCCAGAGCCATTCCCCGTTCCCCATTCAACACGACCGGTGGCTCGACTTCCTTCAGGCAATAACAGAGATGCCCCATGTACACTGTCCCAAGTCTAGAGGAACACAAACTTCAGCACAGCAACTCTAGGAATGATCCATGTACCCCAAATCGTCTCGAGTTGAGAGCTGATTCCCTGGCTTAGGCTCAAGACGTATGCCAACTTTCCAGAAGAACCTCAGGAGGAGGCTTCTCTCAGCAATAGTTATGTGGGAGGGAGCCCGAGATCGCTGCCTCAAGTGGAATATACAGCGAGAAGCCCTAACTTGAAAGGAGGCCGGATTTCCTTGCAGTGGCTTGAATACAGGCTCGTCTTTGATCTCAAAACATGAAGGGATGTCTGAATCCCCTGAGGAGACCTTAGAGAAAGACCTAGGTCCCTGCCTCATTTTGTCGGAATGCCTCACATCCCGTTGACACCTTGAGAGGCACGCAGAGTTCATTGCTTCAAAAGGTGACGATGCCTGACTCCTCTTGAATACTGATAGGAATCCCAAAATCCCTGTGGCTTCTGGAAAGGGTCCTTGGGTGCCCTGCCTCACCTCGAGAAGCGTCCCTTTTGCCCTGCCAAGCCTCGAAGAGATTCCTGAGGTGTCCCTCGTTACGAGACAGGAGTCCTGACGTCACTGAAGAAACTCGTGTTTTGAAGGGCCATCCCCGCCGTAAGTCGAGAACATACCCCAGGTCCCCGCTGCAACTCGAGAAAAACCATGAAACTTCCCCCTAGAGGCGAGATGAGGCCCCATTCCCCTGCAGTGCATGCAGAGCTATTCCGTGATCCCATTCAAACAAGTCAGGAGCTTCGACTTGCTTAATGGATCTCGAGACAGTCCCCAAGAATACTGTCACCAGTCTAGACGGACTGTGAGGTCAACCCAGCAACGGAAAGCAGGTCCATGTGCCCCAAATCAACTCGAGATGAGGCCCGATTCCCCTGCATTGACTCCAGAGCCATTCCCCATTCCCCATTCAACACGACCGGTGGCTGAACTTCCTTCAGGCAATAACAGAGATGCCCCGTGAACACTGTCCCAAGTCTAGAGAAACACCAACTTCAGCACAGCAACTCGAGGAATGTTCCATGTACCCCAAATCGTCTCGAGATGAGAGCTGATTCCCTGGCTTAGGCTCAAGACGTATGCCAACTTTCCAGAAGCACCTCAGGAGGAGGCTTCTCTCAGCAATAGGTATGTGGTAGGGACCCCGAGATCGCTGCCTCAAGTGGAATATACAGCGAGAAGCCCTAACTTGAAAGGAGGCCGGATTTCCTTGCAGTGGCTTGAATACAGGCTCGTCTTTGATCTCACAACATGAAGGCATGTCTGAATCCCCTGTGGAGACCTTAGAGAAAGCCCTAGGTCCCTGCCTCATTTTGACGGAATGCCTCACATCCCGTTGACACCTCGAGAGGCACGCGGAGTTCATTGCTTCAAAAGGTGACGATGCCTGACTCCTCTTGAATACTGATAGGAATCCCAAAATCCCTGTGGCTACTGGAATGGGTCCTTGGGTGCCCTGCCTCACCTCGAGAAGCGTCCCTTTTGCCCTGCCAAGCCTCGAAGAGATTCCTGGGGTGTCCCTTGTTACTAGACAGGAGTCTTGATGTCACTGAAGAAACTCGTGTTTTGAAGGGCCATCCCCCCGTAAGTCGAGAACATACCCCAGGTCCCCGCCGCAACTCGAGAAAATCGATGAGACTTCCCCCTAGAGGCGAGATGAGGCCCCATTCCCATTCAGTGCATGCAGAGCTATTCCGTGATCCCATTCAAACAAGTCAGGAGCTTCGACTTGCTTAATGGATCTCGAGCCAGTCCCCAAGAACACTGTCACCAGTCTAGACGGACCCTGAGGTCACCCCAGCAACGCAAAGCAGCTCCATTTGCCCCAAATCAACTCGAGATGAGGCCCGATTCCCCTGCATTGACACCAGAGCCATTCCCCGTTCCCCATTCAACACGACCGGTGGCTCGACTTCCTTCAGGCAACTCCAGAGATGCCCCAAGAACACTGTCCGAAGTCTAGAGGAACACCAACTTCAGCATAGCAACTCGAGGAATGCTCCATGTACCCCAAATCGTCTCGAGATGAGAGCTGATTCCCTGGCTTAGGCTCAAGACGTATGCCAACTTTCCAGAAGCACCTCAGGAGGAGGATTCTCTCAGCAATAGGTATGTGGGAGGGACCCCGAGATCGCTGCCTCAAGTGGAATATACAGCGAGAAGCCCTAACTTGAAAGGAGGCCGGATTTCCTTGCAGTGGCTTGAATACAGGCTTGTCTTTGATTTCACAACATGAAGGCATGTCTGAATCCCCTGTGGAGACCTTAGAGAAAGCCCTAGGTCCCTGCCTCATTTTCACGGAATGCCTCACATCCCGTTGACACCTCGAGAGGCACGCAGAGTTCATTGCTTCAAAAGGTGACGATGCCTGACTCCTCTTGAATACTGATAGGAATCCCACAATCCCTGTGGCTACTGGAATGGGTCCTTGGGTGCCCTGCCTCACCTCGAGAAGCGTCCCTTTTGCCCTGCCAGGCTTCGAAGAGATTCCTGAGGTGTCCCTCGTTACTAGACAGGAGTCCTGACGTCACTGAATAAACTCGTGTTTTGAAGGGCCATCCCCGCCGTAAGTCGAGAACATACCCCAGGTCCCCGCCGCAACTCGAGAAAAACCATGAGACTTCCCACTAGAGGCGAGATGAGGCCCCATTCCCCTGCAGTGCATGCAGAGCTATTCCGTGATCCCATTCAAACAAGTCAGGATCTTCGCCTTGCTTAATGGATCTCGAGACAGTCCCCAAGAACACTGTCACCAGTCTAGACGGACCCTGAGGTCACCCCAGCAATGCAAAGCAGCTCCGTGTGCACCAAATCAACTCGAGATGAGGCCCGATTCCCCTGCATTGACTCCAGAGTCATTCCCCGATCCCCATTCAACGCGACCGGTGGCTCGATTTCCTTCAGGCAACTCCAGAGATGCCCCAAGAACACTGTCCCAAGTCTAGAGGAACACCAACTTCAGCACAGCATCTCAAGGAATGCTCCGTGTACCCCAAATCGTCTCGAGATGAAAGCTGATTCCCTGGCTTAGGCTCAAGACGTATGCCAACTTTCAAGAAGCACCTCAGGAGGAGGCTTCTCTCAGCAATAGGTATGTGGGAGGGACCCCGAGATCGCTGCCTCAAGTGGAATATACACCGAGAAGCCCTAACTGGAAAGGAGGCCGGATTTCCTTGCAGTGGCTTGAATTCAGGCTCGTCTTTCATTTCACAACATGAAGGGATGTCTGAATCCCCTGTGGAGACCTTAGAGAAAGGCCTAGGGCCCTGCCTCATTTTGACGGAATGCCTCACATCCCGTTGACACCTCGAGAGGCACGTGGAGTTCATTGCTTCAGAAGGTGACGATGCCTGACTCCTCTTGAATATTGATAGGAATCCCAAAATCCCTGTGGCTACTGGAATGGGTCCTTGGGTTCCCTGCCTCACCTCGACAAGCGTCCCTTTTGCCCTACCAAGCCTCGAAGAGATTCCTGAGATGTCCCTCGTTACTAGACAGGAGTCCTGACGTCACTGAAGAAACTCGTGTTTTGAAGGGCCATCCCCGCCGTAAGTCGAGATCATACCCTAGGTTCCCGCCGCAACTCGAGAAAAACCATGAGACTTCCCCCTAGAGGCGAGATGAGGCCCCATCCCCCTGCAGTTCATGCAGAGCTATTCCGTGATCCCATTCTAACAAGACAGGAGCTTCGACTTGCTTAATGGATCTCCAAACAGTCCCCAAGAACACTGTCACCAGTCTAGACGGACACTGAGGTCACCCCAGCAACGCAAAGCAGCTCCATGTGCCCCAAATCAACTCGAGATGAGCCCCGAATCCCCTTCATTGACTCCAGAGCCTTTCCCCATTCCCCATTCAACACGACCGGTGGCTCGACTTCCTTCAGGCAACTCCAGAGATGCCCCGAGAACACTGTCCCAAGTCTAGAGGAACACCAACTTCAGCACAGCAACTCGAGGAATGCTCCGTGTACCCCAAATCGTCTCGAGATGAGAGCTGATTCCCTGGCTTAGGCTCAAGACCTATGCCAACTTTCCAGAAGCACCTCAGGAGGAGGCTTCTCTCAGCCATAGGTATGTGGGAGGGACCCCGAAATCGCTGCCTCAAGTGGAAAATACAGCGAGAAGCCCTAACTTGAAAGGAGGCCGGATTTCCTTGCAGTGGCTTGAATACAGGCTGGTCTTTGATCTCACAACATGAAGGCATATCTGAATCCCCTGTGGAGACCTTTGCGAAAGCCCTAGGTCCCTGCCTCATATTGACGGAATGCCTCACATTCCGCTGACACCTCGAGAGGCACGCGGAGTTCATTGCTTCAAAAGGTGAGGATGCCTGACTCCTCTTGAATACTGATAGGAATCCCAGAATCCCTGTGGCTACTGGAAAGGGTCCTTGGGTGCCCTGCCTCACCTCGAGAAGCGTCCCTTTTGCCCTGCCAAGCCTCGAAGAGATTCCTGAGGTGTCCCTTGTTACTAGACAGGAGTCATGACGTCACTGAAGAAACTCGTGTTTTGAAGGGCCATCCCCGCCGTAAGTCGAGAACGTACCCCAGGTCCCAGCCGCAACTCGAGAAAATCCATGATACTTCCCCCTAGAGGCGAGATTTGGCCCCATTCCCATTCAGTGCATGCAGAGCTATTCCGTGATCCCATTCAAACAAGTCAGGAGCTTCAACTTGCTTAATGGATCTCGAGCCAGTCCCCAAGAACACTGTCACCAGTCTAGACGGACCCTGAGGTCACGCCAGCAACGCAAATCAGCTCCATGTGCCCCAAATCAACTCGAGATGAGGCCCGATTCCCCTGCATTGACTCCAGAGCCATTCCCCGTTCCCCATTCAACACGACCGGTGGCTCGGCTTCCTTCAGGCAATAACAGAGATGCCCCATGTACACTGTCCCAAGTCTAGTGGAACACAAACTTCAGCACAGCAACTCTAGGAATGATCCATGTACCCCAAATCGTCTCGAGTTGAGAGCTGATTCCCTGGCTTAGGCTCAAGACGTATGCCAACTTTCCAGAAGAACCTCAGGAGGAGGCTTCTCTCAGCAATAGGTATGTGGGAGGGACCCCGAGATCGCTGCCTCAAGTGGAATATACAGCGAGAAGCCCTAACTTGAAAGGAGGCCGGATTTCCTTGCAGTGGCTTGAATACAGGCTCGTCTTTGATCTCAAAACATGAAGGGATGTCTGAATCCCCTGAGGAGACCTTAGAGAAAGACCTAGGACCCTGCCTCATTTTGTCGGAATGCCTCACATCCCGTTGACACCTTGAGAGGCACGCAGAGTTCATTGCTTCAAAAGGTGACGATGCCTGACTCCTCTTGAATACTGATAGGAATCCCAAAATCCCTGTGGCTTCTGGAAAGGGTCCTTGGGTGCCCTGCCTCACCTCGAGAAGCGTCCCTTTTGCCCTGCCAAGCCTCGAAGAGATTCCTGAGGTGTCCCTCGTTACGAGACAGGAGTCCTGACGTCACTGAAGAAACTCGTGTTTTGAAGGGCCATCCCCGCCGTAAGTCGAGAACATACCCAAGGTCCCCGCCGCAACTCGAGAAAAACCATGAGACTTCCCCCTAGATGCGAGATGAGGCCCCATTCCCCTGCAGTGCATGCAGAGCTATTCCGTGATCCCATTCAAACAAGTCAGGAGCTTGGAGTTGCTTAATGGATCTCGAGACAGTCCTCAAGAACACTGTCACCATTCTAGACGGACCCTGATGTCAACCCAGCAACGGAAAGCAGCTCCATGTGCCCCAAATCAACTCGAGATGAGGCCCGATTCCCCTGAATTGACTCCAGAGCCATTCCCCGTTCCCCATTCAACACGACCGGTGGCTCGACTTCCTTCAGGCAACTCCAGAGATGCCCCGAGAACACTTTCCCAAGTCTAAAGGAACACCAACTTCAGCACAGCAACTCGAGGAATGCTCCATGTACCCCAAATCGTCTCGAGATGAGAGCTGATTCCCTGGCTTAGGCTCAAGACGTATGCCAACTTTCCAGAAGCACGTCAGGAGGAGGCTTCTCTCAGCAATAGGTATGTGGGAGGGACCCCGAGATCGCTGAGTCAAGTGGAATATACAGTGAGAATCCCTAACTTGAAAGGAGGCCGGATTTCCTTGCAATGGCTTGAATACAGGCTCGTCTTTGATCTCACAACATGAAGGCATGTCTGAATCCCCTTTGGAGACCTTAGAGAAAGCACTAGGTCCCTGCCTCATTTTGACGGAATGCCTCACATCCCGTTGAAACCTCGAGAGGTACGCGGAGTTCATTGCTTCAAAAGGTGACGATGCCTGACTCCTCTTGAATACTGATAGGAATCCCACAATCCCTGTGGCTACTGGAATCTGTCCTTGGGTGCCCTGCCTCACCTCGAGAAGCATCCCTTTTGCCCTGCCAAACCTCGAAGAGATTCCTGAGGTGTCCCTCGTTACTAGACAGCAGTCCTGATGTCACTGAAGAAACTCGTGTTTTGAAGGGCCATCCCCGCCGTAAGTCGAGAACATACCCCAGGTTCCCGCCGCAACTCGAGAAAAACCATGAAACTTCCCCCTAGAGGCGAGATGAGGCCCCATTCCCCTGCAGTGCATGCAGAGCTATTCCGTGATCCCATTCAAACAAGTCAGGAGCTTCGACTTGCTTAATGGATCTCGAGACAGTCCCCAAGAACACTGTCACCAGTCTAGACGGACCCTGAGGTCACCCCAGCAACGCAAAGCAGCTCCATGTGCCCCAAATCAACTCGAGATGAGGCCCGATTCCCCTGCATTGACTCCAGAGCCATTCCCCGTTCCCCATTCAACACGACCGGTGGCTCGACTTCCTTCAGGCAATAACAGAGATGCCCCGTGAACACTGTCCCAAGTCTAGAGGAACACCAACTTCAGCACAGCAACTCGAGGAATGCTCCATGTACACCAAATCGTCTCGAGATGAGAGCTGATTCCCTGGCTTAGTCTCAAGACGTATGCCAACTTTCCAGAAGCACCTCAGGAGGAGGCTTCTCTCAGCAATAGGTATGTGGTAGGGACCCCGAGATCGCAGCCTCAAGTGGAATATACAGTGAAAATCCCTAACATGAAAGGATGCCGGATTTCCTTGCAATGGCTTGAATACAGGCTCGTCTTTGATCTCACAACATGAAGGCATGTCTGAATCCCCTTTGGAGACCTTAGAGAAAGCACTAGGTCCCTGCCTCATTTTGACGGAATGCCTCACATCCCGTTGACACCTCGAGAGGCACGCGGAGTTCATTGCTTCAAAAGGTGACGATGCCTGACTCCTCTTGAATACTGATAGGAATCCCAAAATCCCTGTGGCTACTGGAAAGGGTCCTTGGGTGCCCTGCCTCACCTCGAGAAGCGTCCCTTTTGCCCTGCCAGGCCTCGAAGAGATTCCTGGGGTGTCCCTTGTTACTAGACAGGAGTCCTGACGTCACTGAAGAAACTCGTGTTTTGAAGGGCCATCCCCGCCGTAAGTCGAGAACGTACCCCAGGTCCCCGCCGCAACTCGAGAAAATCGATGAGACTTCCCCCTAGAGGCGAGATGAGGCCCCATTCCCATTCAGTGCATGCAGAGCTATTCCGTGATCCCATTCAAACAAGTCAGGAGCTTCGACTTGCTTAATGGATCTCGAGCCAGTCCCCAAGAACACTGTCACCAGTCTAGACGGACCCTGAGGTCACCCCAGCAACGCAAAGCAGCTCCATGTGCCCCAAATCAACTCGAGATGAGGCCCGATTCCCCTGCATTGACACCAGAGCCATTCCCCGTTCCCCATTCAACACGACCGGTGGCTCGACTTCCTTCAGGCAACTCCAGAGATGCCCCGAGAACACTGTCCCAAGTCTAGAGGAACACCAACTTCAGCATAGCAACTCGAGGAATGCTCCATGTACCCCAAATCGTCTCGAGATGAGAGCTGATTCCCTGGCTTAGGCTCAAGACGTATGCCAACTTTCCAGAAGCACCTCAGGAGGAGGCTTCTCTCAGCAATAGGTATGTGGGAGGGACCCCGAGATCGCTGCCTCAAGTGGAATATACAGCGAGAAGCCCTAACTTGAAAGGAGGCCGGATTTCCTTGCAGTGGCTTGAATACAGGCTTGTCTTTGATCTCACAACATGAAGGCATGTCTGAATCCCCTGTGGAGACCTTAGAGAAAGCCCTAGGTCCCTGCCTCATTTTGACGGAATGCCTCACATCCCGTTGACAACTCGAGAGGCACGCGGAGTTCATTGCTTCAAAAGGTGACGATGCCTGACTCCTCTTGAATACTGATAGGAATCCCAAAATCCCTGTGGCTACTGGAATGGGTCCTTGGGTGCCCTGCCTCACCTCGAGAAGCGTCCCTTTTGCCCTGCCAGGCTTCGAAGAGATTCCTGAGGTGTCCCTCGTTACTAGACAGGAGTCCTGACGTCACTGAATAAACTCGTGTTTTGAAGGGCCATCCCCGCCGTAAGTCGAGAACATACCCCAGGTACCCGCCGCAACTCGAGAAAAACCATGAGACTTCCCACTAGAGGCGAGATGAGGCCCCATTCCCCTGCAGTGCATGCAGAGCTATTCCGTGATCCCATTCAAACAAGTCAGGATCTTCGCCTTGCTTAATGGATCTCGAGACAGTCCCCAAGAACACTGTCACCAGTCTAGACGGACCCTGAGGTCACCCCAGCAACGCAAAGCAGCTCCGTGTGCACCAAATCAACTCGAGATGAGGCCCGATTTCCCTGCATTGACTCCAGAGTCATTCCCCGATCCCCATTCAACGCGACCGGTGGCTCGATTTCCTTCAGGCAACTCCAGAGATGCCCCAAGAACACTGTCCCAAGTCTAGAGGAACACCAACTTCAGCACAGCATCTCAAGGAATGCTCCGTGTACCCCAAATCGTCTCGAGATGAGAGCTGATTCCCTGGCTTAGGCTCAAGACGTATGCCAACTTTCCAGAAGCACCTCAGGAGGAGGCTTCTCTCAGCAATAGGTATGTGGGAGGGACCCCGAGATCGCTGCCTCAAGTGGAATATACAGCGAGAAGCCCTAACTGGAAAGGAGGCCGGATTTCCTTGCAGTGGCTTGAATACAGGCTGGTCTTTGATCTCAAAACATGAAGGCATATCTGAATCCCCTGTGGAGACCTTTGAGAAAGCCCTAGGTACCTGCCTCACATTGACGGAATGCCTCACATTCCGCTGACACCTCGAGAGGCACGCGGAGTTCATTGCTTCAAAAGGTGAGGATGCCTGACTCCTCTTGAATACTGATAGGAATCCCAGAATCCCTGTGGCTACTGGAAAGGGTCCTTGGGTGCCCTGCCTCACCTCGAGAAGCGTCCCTTTTGCCCTGCCAAGCCTAGAAGAGATTCCTGAGGTGTCCCTTGTTACTAGACAGGAGTCATGACGTCACTGAAGAAACTCGTGTTTTGAAGGGCCATCCCCGCCGTAAGTCGAGAACGTACCCCAGGTCCCAGCCGCAACTCGAGAAAATCCTTGATACTTCCCCCTAGAGGCGAGATTTGGCCCCATTCCCATTCAGTGCATGCAGAGCTATTCCGTGATCCCATTCAAACAAGTCAGGAGCTTCGACTTGCTTAATGGATCTCGAGCCAGTCCCCAAGAACACTGTGACCAGTCAAGACGGACCCTGAGGTCACGCCAGCAACGCAAAGCAGCTCCATGTGCCCCAAATCAACTCGAGATGAGGCCCGATTCCCCTGCATTGACTCCAGAGCCATTCCCCGTTCCCCATTCAACACGACCGGTGGCTCGACTTCCTTCAGGCAATAACAGAAATGCCCCATGTACACTGTCCCAAGCTAGAGGAACACAAACTTCATCACAGCAACTCTAGGAATGATCCATGTACCCCAAATCGTCTCGTGTTGAGAGCTGATTCCCTGGCTTAGGCTCAAGACGTATGCCAACTTTCCAGAAGAACCTCAGGAGGAGGCTTCTCTCAGCAATAGGTATGTGGGAGGGACCCCGAGATCGCTGCCTCAAGTGGAATATACAGCGAGAAGCCCTAACTTGAAAGGAGGCCGGATTTCCTTGCAGTGGCTTTAATACAGGCTCGTCTTTGATCTCAAAACATGAAGGGATGTCTGAATCCCCTGAGGAGACCTTAGAGAAAGACCTAGGTCCCTGCCTCATTTTGTCGGAATGCCTCACATCCCGTTGACACCTTGAGAGGCACGCAGAGTTCATTGCTTCAAAAGGTGACGATGCCTGACTCCTCTTGAATACTGATAGGAATCCCAAAATCCCTGTGGCTTCTGGAAAGAGTCCTTGGGTGCCCTGCCTCACCTCGAGAAGCGTCCCTTTGGCCCTGCCAAGCCTCGAAGAGATTCCTGAGGTGTCCCTCGTTACGAGACAGGAGTCCTGACGTCACTGAAGAAACTCGTGTTTTGAAGGGCCATCCCTGCCGTAAGTCGAGAACATACCCCAGGTCCCCGCCGCAACTCGAGAAAAACCATGAGACTTCCCCCTAGAGGCGAGATGAGGCCCCATTCCCCTGCAGTGCATGCAGAGCTATTCCGTGATCCCATTCAAACAAGTCAGGAGCTTCGACTTGCTTAATGGATCTCGAGAAAGTCCCCAAGAACACTGTCACCAGTCTAGACGGAACCTGAGGTCACCCCAGCAATGCAAAGCAGCTCCATGTGCCCCAAATCAACTTGAGATGAGGCCCGATTCCCCTGCATTGACACCAGAGCCATTCCCCGTTCCCCATTCAACACGACCGGTGGCTCGACTTCCTTCAGGCAACTACAGAGATGCCCTGAGAACACTGTCCCAAGTCTAGAGGAACACCAACTTCAGCACAGCAACTTGAGGAATGCTCCGTGTACCCCAAATCGTCTCGAGATGAGAGCTGATTCCCTGGCTTAGGCTCAAGACATATGCCAACTTTCCAGAAGCACCTCAGGAGGAGGCTTCTCTCAGCAATAGGTATGTGGGAGGGACCCCGAAATCGCTGCCTCAAGTGGAATATACAGCGAGAAGCCCTAACTTGAAAGGAGGCCGGATTTCCTTGCAGTGGCTTGAATACAGGCTGGTCTTTGATCTCACAACATGAAGGCATATCTGAATCCCCTGTGGAGACCTTTGAGAAAGCCCTAGGTCCCTGCCTCATATTGACGGATTGCCTCACATTCCGCTGACACCTCGAGAGGCACACGGAGTTCATTGCTTCAAAAGGTGAGGATGCCTGACTCCTCTTGAATACTGATAGGAATCCCAGAATCCCTGTGGCTACTGGAAAGGGTCCTTGGGTGCCCTGCCTCACCTCGAGAAGCGTCCCTTTTGCCCTGCCAAGCCTAGAAGAGATTCCTGAGGTGTCCCTTCTTACTAGACAGGAGTCATGACGTCACTGAAGAAACTCGTGTTTTGAAGGGCCATCCCCGCCGTAAGTCGAGAACGTACCCCAGGTCCCAGCCGCAACTCGAGAAAATCCTTGATACTTCCCCCTAGAGGCGAGATTTGGCCCCATTCCCATTCAGTGCATGCAGAGCTATTCCGTGATCCCATTCAAACAAGTCAGGAGCTTCGACTTGCTTAATGGATCTCGAGAAAGTCCCCAAGAACACTGTCACCAGTCTAGACGGAACCTGAGGTCACCCCAGCAATGCAAAGCAGCTCCATGTGCCCCAAATCAACTTGAGATGAGGCCCGATTCCCCTGCATTGACACCAGAGCCATTCCCCGTTCCCCATTCAACACGACCGGTGGCTCGACTTCCTTCAGGCAACTCCAGAGATGCCCTGAGAACACTGTCCCAAGTCTAGAGGAACACCAACTTCAGCACAGCAACTTGAGGAATGCTCCGTGTACCCCAAATCGTCTCGAGATGAGAGCTGATTCCCTGGCTTAGGCTCAAGACGTATGCCAACTTTCCAGAAGCACCTCAGGAGGAGGCTTCTCTCAGCAATAGTTATGTGGGAGGGACCCCGAGATCGCTGCCTCAAGTGGAATATACAGCGAGAAGCCCTAACTTGAAAGGAGGCCGGATTTCCTTGCAGTGGCTTGAATACAGGCTGGTCTTTGATCTCACAACATGAAGGCATATCTGAATCCCCTGTGGAGACCTTTGAGAAAGCCCTAGGTCCCTGCCTCATATTGACGGAATGCCTCACATTCCGCTGACACCTCGAGAGGCACGCGGAGTTCATGGCTTCAAAAGGTGACGATGCCTGACTCCTCTTGAATACTGATAGGAATCCCAGAATCCCTGTGGCTACTGGAAAGGGTCCTTGGGTGCCCTGCCTCACCTCGAGAAGCGTCCCTTTTGCCCTGCCAAGTCTCGAAGAGATTCCTGAGGTGTCCCTCGTTACGAGACAGGAGTCCTGACGTCACTGAAGAAACTCGTGTTTTGAAGGGCCAACCCCGCCGTAAGTCAAGAACATACCCCAGGTCCCCGCCGCAACTCAAGAAAAACCATGAGACTTCCCCCTAGAGGCGAGATGAGGCCCCATTCCCCTGCAGTGCATGCAGAGCTATTCCGTGATCCCATTCAAACAAGTCAGGAGCTTCGACTTGCTTAATGGATCTCGAGACAGACCCCAAGAACACTGTCACCAGTCTAGACGGACCCTGAGGTCACCCCAGCAACGCAAAGCAGCTCCATGTGCCCCAAATCAACACGAGATGAGGCCCGATTCCCGTGCATTGACTCCAGAGCCATTCCCCGTTCCCCATTCAACACGACCGGTTGCTCGAGTTCCTTCAGGCAACTCCAGAGATGCCCTGAGAACACTGTCCCAAGTCTAGAGGAACACCAACTGCAGCACAGCAACTCGAGGAAAGCTCCGTGTACCCCAAATCGTCTCGAGATAAGAGCTGATTCCCTGGCTTAGGCTCAAGACGTATGCCAACTTTCCAGAAGCACCTCAGGAGGAGGCTTCTCTCAGCAATAGGTATGTGGGAGGGACCCCGAAATCGCTGCCTCAAGTGGAATATACAGCGAGAAGCCCTAACTTATAAGGAGGCCGGATTTCCTTGCAGTGGCTTGAATACAGGCTCGTCTTTGATCTCACAACATGAAGGCATGTCTGAATCCCCTGTGGAGACCTTAGAGAAAGCCCTAGGTCCCTGCCTCATTTTGACGGAAGGCCTCACATCACGTTGACTCCTCGAGAGGCACGCGGAGTTCATTGCTTCAAAAGGTGACGATGCCTGACTCCTCTTGTATATTGATAGGAATCCCAAAATTCCTGTGGCTACTGGAATGGGTCCTTGGATGCCCTGCCTCACCTCGAGAAGCGTCCCTTTTGCCCTGGCAAGCCTCGAAGAGATTCATGAGGTGTCCCTCTTTACCAGACAGGAGTCCTGACGTCACTGAAGAAACTCCTGTTTTGAAGGGCCATCCCTGCCGTAAGTCGAGAACATACCCCAGGGCCCCGGGACAACTCGAGGAAAACCATTAGACTTCCCCCTACAGGCGAGATGAGGCCACATTCCACTGCAGTGCATGCAGAGCTATTCCGTGATCCCATTCAAACAAGTCAGGAGCTTCGACTTGCTTAATGGATCTCGAGACAGACCCCAAGAACACTGTCACCAGTCTAGACGGACCCTGAGGTCACCCCAGCAACGCAAAGCAGCTCCATGTGCCCCAAATCAACACGAGATGAGGCCCGATTCCCGTGCATTGACTCCAGAGCCATTCCCCGTTCCCCATTCAACACGACCGGTGGCTCGACTTCCTTCAGGCAACTCCAGAGGTTCCCCGAGAACACTGTCCCAAGTCTAGAGGAACACCAACTTCAGCACAGCAACTCGAGGAATGCTCCGTGTACTCCAAATCGTCTCGAGATGAGAGCTGATTCCCTGGCTTAGGCTCAAGACTTATGCCAACTTTCCAGAAGCACATCAGGAGGAAGCTTCTCTCAGCAATAGGTATGTGGGAGGGACCAAGAGATCACTGCCTCAAGCGGAATATACAGCGAGAAGCCCTAACTTGAAAGGAGGCCGGATTTCCTTGCAGTGGCTTGAATACCGGCTTGTCTTTGATCTCAAAACATGAAGGGATGTCTGAATCCCCTGTGGAGACCTTAGAGAAAGCCCTAGGTCCCTGCCTCATTTTGACGGAAGGCCTCACATCCCGTTGACTCCTCGAGAGGCACGCGGAGTTCATTGCTTCAAAAGGTGACGATGCCTGACTCCTCTTGAATACTGATAGGAATCCCAGAATCCCTGTCGCTACTGGAAAGGGTCCTTGGGGGCCCTGCCTCTCCTCGAGAAGCGTCCCTTTTGCCCTGCCAGGCCTCGAAGAGATTCCTGAGGTGTCCCTCGTTACTAGACAGGAGTCCTGATGTCACTGAAGAAACTACTGTTTTGAAGGGCCATCCCCGCCGTAAGTCGAGAACATACCCCAGATCCCCGCCGCAACTCGAGAAAAACCATGAGACTTCCCCCTAGAGGCGAGATGAGGCCCCATTCCCCTGCAGTGCATGCAGAGCTATTCCGTGATCCCATTCAAACAAGTCAGGAGCTTGGAGTTGCTTAATGGATCTCGAGACAGTCCTCAAGAACACTGTCACCAGTCTAGACGGACCCTGAGGTCACCCCAGCAACGCAAAACAGCTCCATGTGCCCCAAATCAACTCGAGATGAGGACTGATTCCCCTGCATTGACTCCAGAGCCATTCCCCGTTCCCCATTCAACACGTCCGGTGGCTCGACTTCCTTCAGGGAACTCCAGAGATGCGCCGAGAACACTGTCCTAAGTCTAGAGGAACACCAACTTCAGCACAGCAACTCGAGGAATGCTCCGTGTACCACAAATCGTCTCAAGATGAGAGCTGATTCCCTGGCTTAGGCTCAAGACGTATGCCAACTTTCCAGAAGCACCTCAGGAGGAGGCTTCTCTCAGCAATAGGTATGTGGGAGGGACCCCGAGATCGCTGCCTCAAGTGGAATATACAGCGAGAAGCCCTAACTTGAAAGGTGGCCGGATTTCCTTGCAGTGGCTTGAATACAGGCTCGTGTTTGATCTCAAAACATGAAGGGATGTCTGAATCCCCTGTGGAGACCTTAGAGAAAGCCCTAGGTCCCTGACTCATTTTGACGGAATGCCTCACATCCCGTTGACACCTCGAGAGGCACGCGGAGTTCATTGCTTCAAAAGGTGACGATGCCTGACTCCTCTTGAATACTGATAGGAATCCCAAAATCCCTGTGGCTACTGGAAAGGGTCATTGGGGGCCCTGCCTCTCCTCGAGAAGCGTCCCTTTTGCCCTGCCAGGCCTCGAAGAGATTCCTGAGGTGTCCCTCATTACCAGACAGGAGTCCTGATGTCACTGAAGAAACTCCTGTTTTGAAGGGCCATCCCCGTCATAAGTCGAGAACATACCCAGGTCCCCGCCGCAACTCGAGAAAAACAATGAGACTTCCCACTAGAGGCGAGATGAGGCCCCATTCCCCTGCAGTGCATGCAGAGCTATTCCGTGACCCCATTCAAACAAGTCAGGAGCTTCGACTTGCTTAATGGATCTCGAGACAGTCCCCAAGAACACTGTCACCAGTCTAGACGGACCCTGAGGTCACCCCAGCAACACAAAGTAGCTCCATGTGCCCCAAATCAACTCGAGATGAGGCCCGATTCTCCTGCATTGACTCCAGAGCCATTCCCCGTTCCCCTTTCAACACGACCGGTGGCTCGACTTCCTTCAGGCAACTCCAGAGATGCCCCGAGAACACTGTCCCAAGTCTAGAGGAACACCAACTTCAGCACAGCAACTCGAGGAATGTTCCGTGTACCCCAAATCGTATCGAGATGAGAGCTGATTCCCTGGCTTAGGCTCAAGACGTATGCCAACTTTCCAGAAGCACCTCAGGAGGAGGTTTCTCTCAGCAATAGGTATGTGGGAGGGACGCTGAGATCACTGCCTCAAGTGGAATATACAGTGAGAATCCGTAACTTGAAAGGAGGCCGGATTTCCTTGCAGTGGCTTGAATACAGGCTCGTCTTTGATCTCAAAACATGAAGGGATGTCTGAATCCCCTGTGGAGACTTTTGAGAAAGCCCTAGGGCCCTGCCTCATTTTGACGGAATGCCTCATATCCCGTTGACACCTCGAGAGGCACGCGGAGTTCATTGCTTCAAAAGGTGACGATGCCTGACTCCTCTTGAATACTGATAGGAATCCCAAAATCCCTGTGGCTCCTGGAAAGGGTCCTAGGCTGCCCTGCCTCACCTCGAGAAGCGTCCCTTTTACCCTGCCAAGCCTCGAAGAGATTCATGAGGTGTCCCTCGTTACCAGACAGGAGTCATGACGTCACTGAAGAAACTCCTGTTTTGAAGGGCCATCCCCGCCGTAAGTTGAGAACATACCCCAAGTCCCCGCCAAACTCGAGAAAAATAATGAGACTTCCCCTAGAGGCGAGATGAGGCCCCATTCCCCTGCAGTGCATGCAGAGCTATTCCGTGATCCCATTCAAACAAGTCAGGAGCTTCGACTTGCTTAATGGATCTCGAGACAGTCCCCAAGAACACTGTCACCAGTTTAGATGGACCCTGAGGTCACCCCAGCAACACAAAGCAGCTCCATGTGCCCCAAATCAACTCGAGATGTGGCCCGATTCCCCTGCATTGAATCCAGAACCATTCCCCATTCCCCATTTAACACGACCGGTGGCTGGACTTCCTTCAGGCAACTCCAGAGATGCCCCGAGAACACTGTCCCAAGTCTAGAGGAACACCAACTTCAGCACAGCAGCTCGAGGAATGCTCCGTGCACCCCAAATCGTCTCGAGATGAGAGCTGATTCCCTGGCTTAGGCTCAAGACGTATGCCAACTTTCCAGAAGAACCTCAGGAGGAGGCTTCTCTCAGCAATAGGTATGTGGGAGGGACCCCGAGATCGCTGCCTCAAGTGGAATATACAGCGAGAAGCCCTAACTTGAAAGGAGGCCGGATTTCCTTGCAGTGGCTTGAATACAGGCTCGTCTTTGATCTCAAAACATGAAGGGATGTCTGAATCCCCTGAGGAGACCTTAGAGAAAGACCTAGGTCCCTGCCTCATTTTGTCGGAATGCCTCACATCCCGTTGACACCTTGAGAGGCACACAGAGTTCATTGCTTCAAAAGGTGACGATGCCTGACTCCTCTTGAATACTGATAGGAATCCCAAAATCCCTGTGGCTTCTGGAAAGGGTCCTTGGGTGCCCTGCCTCACCTCGAGAAGCGTCCCTTTTGCCCTGCCAAGCCTCGAAGAGATTCCTGAGGTGTCCCTCTTTACGAGACAGGAGTCCTGACGTCACTGAAGAAACTCGTGTTTTGAAGGGCCATCCCCGCCGTAAGTCGAGAACATACCGAAGGTCCCCGCCGCAACTCGAGAAAAACCATGAGACTTCCCCCTAGAGGCGAGATGAGGCCCCATTCCCCTGCAGTGCATGCAGAGCTATTCCGTGATCCCATTCAAACAAGTCAGGAGCTTCGACTTGCTTAATGGATCTCGAGAAAGTCCCCAAGAACACTGTCACCAGTCTAGACGGAACCTGAGGTCACCCCAGCAAAGCAAAGCAGCTCCATGTGCCCCAAATCAACTTGAGATGAGGCCCGATTCCCCTGCATTGACACCAGAGCCATTCCCCGTTCCCCATTCAACACGACCGGTGGCTCGACTTCCTTCAGGCAACTCCAGAGATGCCCCGAGAACACTGTCCCAAGTCTAGAGGAACACCAACTTCAGCACAGCAACTTGAGGAATGCTCCGTGTACCCCAAATCGTCTCGAGATGAGAGCTGATTCCCTGGCTTAGGCTCAAGACGTATGCCAACTTTCCAGAAGCACCTCAGGAGGAGGCTTCTCTCAGCAATAGTTATGTGGGAGGGACCCCGAAATCGCTGCCTCAAGTGGAATGTACAGCGAGAAGCCCTAACTTGAAAGGAGGCCGGATTTCCTTGCAGTGGCTTGAATACAGGCTGGTCTTTGATCTCACAACATGAAGGCATATCTGAATCCCCTGTGGAGACCTTAGCGAAAGCCCTAGGTCCCTGCCTCATATTGACGGAATGCCTCACATTCCGCTGACACCTCGAGAGGCACGCGGAGTTCATGGCTTCAAAAGGTGACGATGCCTGACTCCTCTTGAATACTGATAGGAATCCCACAATCCCTGTGGCTACTGGAATGGGTCCTTGGGTGCCCTGCCTTACCTCGAGAAGCATCCCTTTTGTCCTGCCAAGCCTCGAAGAGATTCCTGAGGTGTCCCTCGTTACTAGACAGCAGTCCAGATGTCACTGAAGAAACTCGTGTTTTGAAGGGCCATCCCCGCCGTAAGTCGAGAACATACCCCAGGTCCCCGCTGCAACTCGAGAAAAACCATGAAACTTCCCCCTAGAGGCGAGATGAGGCCCCATTCCCCTGCAGTGCATGCAGAGCTATTCCGTGATCCCATTCAAACAAGTCAGGAGCTTCGACTTGCTTAATGGATCTCGAGACAGTCCCCAAGAATACTGTCACCAGTCTAGACGGGCTCTGAGGTCAACCCAGCAACGGAAAGCAGCTCCATGTGCCCCAAATCAACTCGAGATGAGGCCCGATTCCCCTGCATTGACTCCAGAGCCATTCCCCATTCCCCATTCAACACGACCGGTGGCTGAACTTCCTTCAGGCAATAACAGAGATGCCCCGTGAACACTGTCCCAAGTCTAGAGAAACACCAACTTCAGCACAGCACCTCGAGGAATGCTCCATGTACCCCAAATCGTCTCGAGATGAGAGCTGATTCCCTGGCTTAGGCTCAAGACGTATGCCAACTTTCCAGAAGCACCTCAGGAGGAGGCTTCTCTCAGCAATAGGTATGTGGGAGGGACCCCGAGATTGCTGCCTCAAGTGGAATATACAGCGAGAAGCCCTAACTTGAAAGGAGGCCGGATTTCCTTGCAGTGGCTTGAATACAGGCTCGTCTTTGATCTCACAACATGAAGGCATGTCTGAATCCCCTGTGGAGACCTTAGAGAAAGCCCTAGGTCCCTGCCTCATTTTGACGGAATGCCTCACATCCCGTTGACACCTCGAGAGGCACGCGGAGTTCATTGCTTCAAAAGGTGACGATGCCTGACTCCTCTTGAATACTGATAGGAATCCCAAAATCCCTGTGGCTACTGGAATGGGTCCTTGGGTGCCCTGCCTCAAGTCGAGAAGCGTCCCTTTTGCCCTGCCAAGCCTCGAAGAGATTCCTGGGGTGTCCCTTGTTACTAGACAGGAGTCCTGACGTCACTGAAGAAACTCGTGTTTTGAAGGGCCATCACCGCCGTAAGTCGAGAACGTACCCCAGGTCCCAGCCGCAACTCGAGAAAATCCATGAGACTTCCCCCTAGAGGCGAGATGAGGCCCCATTCCCATTCAGTGCATGCAGAGCTATTCCGTGATCCCATTCAAACAAGTCAGGAGCTTCGACTTGCTTAATGGATCTCGAGCCAGTCCCCAAGAACACTGTCACCAGTTTAGACGGACCCTGAGGTCACCCCAGCAACGCAAAGCAGCTCCATTTGCCCCAAATCAACTCGAGATGAGGCCCGATTCCCCTGCTTTGACACCAGAGCCATTCCCCGTTCCCCATTCAACACGACCGGTGGCTCGACTTCCTTCAGGCAACTCCAGAGATGCCCCAAGAACACTGTCCGAAGTCTAGAGGAACACCAACTTCAGCATAGCAACTCGAGGAATGCTCCATGTACCCCAAATCGTCTCGAGATGAGAGCTGATTCCCTGGCTTAGGCTCAAGACGTATGCCAACTTTCCAGAAGCACCTCAGGAGGAGGCTTCTCTCAGCAATAGGTATGTGGGAGGGACCCCGAGATCGCTGCCTCAAGTGGAATATACAGCGAGAAGCCCTAACTTGAAAGGAGGCCGGATTTGCTTGCAGTGGCTTGAATACAGGCTTGTCTTTGATCTCACAACATGAAGGCATGTCTGAATCCCCTGTGGAGACCTTAGAGAAAGCCCTAGGTCCCTGCCTCATTTTGACGGAATGCCTCACATCCCGTTGACACCTCGAGAGGCACGCAGAGTTCATTGCTTCAAAAGGTGACGAAGCCTGACTCCTCTTGAATACTGATAGGAATCCCACAATCCCTGTGGCTACTGGAATGGGTCCTTGGGTGCCCTGCCTCACCTCGAGAAGCGTCCCTTTTGCCCTGCCAGGCTTCGAAGAGATTCCTGAGGTGTCCCTCGTTACTAGACAGGAGTCCTGACGTCACTGAATAAACTCGTGTTTTGAAGGGCCATCCCCGCCGTAAGTCGAGAACATACCCCAGGTCCCCGCCGCAACTCGAGAAAAACCATGAGACTTCCCACTAGAGGCGAGATGAGGCCCCATTCCCCTGCAGTGCATGCAGAGCTATTCCGTGATCCCATTCAAACAAGTCAGGATCTTCGCCTTGCTTAATGGATCTTGAGACAGTCCCCAAGAACACTGTCACCAGTCTAGACGGACCCTGAGGTCACCCCAGCAATGCAAAGCAGCTCCGTGTGCACCAAATCAACTCGAGATGAGGCCCGATTCCCCTGCATTGACTCCAGAGTCATTCCCCGATCCCCATTCAACGCGACCGGTGGCTCGATTTCCTTCAGGCAACTCCAGAGATGCCCCAAGAACACTGTCCCAAGTCTAGAGGAACACCAACTTCAGCACAGCATCTCAAGGAATGCTCCCTGTACCCCAAATCGTCTCGAGATGAGAGCTGATTCCCTGGCTTAGGCTCAAGACGTATGCCAACTTTCCAGAAGCACCTCAGGAGGAGGCTTCTCTCAGCAATAGGTATGTGGGAGGGACCCCGAGATCGCTGCCTCAAGTGGAATATACACCGAGAAGCCCTAACTGGAAAGGAGGCCGGATTTCCTTGCAGTGGCTTGAATTCAGGCTCGTCTTTCATTTCACAACATGAAGGGATGTCTGAATCCCCTGTGGAGACCTTAGAGAAAGGCCTAGGGCCCTGCCTCATTTTGACGGAATGCCTCACATCCCGTTGACACCTCGAGAGGCACGTGGAGTTCATTGCTTCAGAAGGTGACGATGCCTGACTCCTCTTGAATATTGATAGGAATCCCAAAATCCCTGTGGCTACTGGAATGGGTCCTTGGGTTCCCTGCCTCACCTCGACAAGCGTCCCTTTTGCCCTACCAAGCCTCGAAGAGATTCCTGAGATGTCCCTCGTTACTAGACAGGAGTCCTGACGTCACTGAAGAAACTCGTGTTTTGAAGGGCCATCCCCGCCGTAAGTCGAGATCATACCCTAGGTTCCCGCCGCAACTCGAGAAAAACCATGAGACTTCCCCCTAGAGGCGAGATGAGGCCCCATCCCCCTGCAGTTCATGCAGAGCTATTCCGTGATCCCATTCTAACAAGACAGGAGCTTCGACTTGCTTAATGGATCTCCAAACAGTCCCCAAGAACACTGTCACCAGTCTAGACGGACACTGAGGTCACCCCAGCAACGCAAAGCAGCTCCATGTGCCCCAAATCAACTCGAGATGAGCCCCGAATCCCCTTCATTGACTCCAGAGCCTTTCCCCATTCCCCATTCAACACGACCGGTGGCTCGACTTCCTTCAGGCAACTCCAGAGATGCCCCGAGAACACTGTCCCAAGTCTAGAGGAACACCAACTTCAGCACAGCAACTCGAGGAATGCTCCGTGTACCCCAAATCGTCTCGAGATGAGAGCTGATTCCCTGGCTTAGGCTCAAGACCTATGCCAACTTTCCAGAAGCACCTCAGGAGGAGGCTTCTCTCAGCCATAGGTATGTGGGAGGGACCCCGAAATCGCTGCCTCAAGTGGAAAATACAGCGAGAAGCCCTAACTTGAAAGGAGGCCGGATTTCCTTGCAGTGGCTTGAATACAGGCTGGTCTTTGATCTCACAACATGAAGGCATATCTGAATCCCCTGTGGAGACCTTTGCGAAAGCCCTAGGTCCCTGCCTCATATTGACGGAATGCCTCACATTCCGCTGACACCTCGAGAGGCACGCGGAGTTCATTGCTTCAAAAGGTGAGGATGCCTGACTCCTCTTGAATACTGATAGGAATCCCAGAATCCCTGTGGCTACTGGAAAGGGTCCTTGGGTGCCCTGCCTCACCTCGAGAAGCGTCCCTTTTGCCCTGCCAAGCCTCGAAGAGATTCCTGAGGTGTCCCTTGTTACTAGACAGGAGTCATGACGTCACTGAAGAAACTCGTGTTTTGAAGGGCCATCCCCGCCGTAAGTCGAGAACGTACCCCAGGTCCCAGCCGCAACTCGAGAAAATCCATGATACTTCCCCCTAGAGGCGAGATTTGGCCCCATTCCCATTCAGTGCATGCAGAGCTATTCCGTGATCCCATTCAAACAAGTCAGGAGCTTCAACTTGCTTAATGGATCTCGAGCCAGTCCCCAAGAACACTGTCACCAGTCTAGACGGACCCTGAGGTCACGCCAGCAACGCAAATCAGCTCCATGTGCCCCAAATCAACTCGAGATGAGGCCCGATTCCCCTGCATTGACTCCAGAGCCATTCCCCGTTCCCCATTAAACACGACCGGTGGCTCGGCTTCCTTCAGGCAATAACAGAGATGCCCCATGTACACTGTCCCAAGTCTAGTGGAACACAAACTTCAGCACAGCAACTCTAGGAATGATCCATGTACCCCAAATCGTCTCGAGTTGAGAGCTGATTCCCTGGCTTAGGCTCAAGACGTATGCCAACTTTCCAGAAGAACCTCAGGAGGAGGCTTCTCTCAGCAATAGGTATGTGGGAGGGACCCCGAGATCGCTGCCTCAAGTGGAATATACAGCGAGAAGCCCTAACTTGAAAGGAGGCCGGATTTCCTTGCAGTGGCTTGAATACAGGCTCGTCTTTGATCTCAAAACATGAAGGGATGTCTGAATCCCCTGAGGAGACCTTAGAGAAAGACCTAGGACCCTGCCTCATTTTGTCGGATTGCCTCACATCCCGTTGACACCTTGAGAGGCACGCAGAGTTCATTGCTTCAAAAGGTGACGATGCCTGACTCCTCTTGAATACTGATAGGAATCCCAAAATCCCTGTGGCTTCTGGAAAGGGTCCTTGGGTGCCCTGCCTCACCTCGAGAAGCGTCCCTTTTGCCCTGCCAAGCCTCGAAGAGATTCCTGAGGTGTCCCTCGTTACGAGACAGGAGTCCTGACGTCACTGAAGAAACTCGTGTTTTGAAGGGCCATCCCCGCCGTAAGTCGAGAACATACCCAAGGTCCCCGCCGCAACTCGAGAAAAACCATGAGACTTCCCCCTAGATGCGAGATGAGGCCCCATTCCCCTGCAGTGCATGCAGAGCTATTCCGTGATCCCATTCAAACAAGTCAGGAGCTTCGACTTCCTTAATGGATCTCGAGACAGTCCTCAAGAACACTGTCACCATTCTAGACGGACCCTGATGTCAACCCAGCAACGGAAAGCAGCTCCATGTGCCCCAAATCAACTCGAGATGAGGCCCGATTCCCCTGAATTGACTCCAGAGCCATTCCCCGTTCCCCATTCAACACGACCGGTGGCTCGACTTCCTTCAGGCAACTCCAGAGATGCCCCGAGAACACTTTCCCAAGTCTAAAGGAACACCAACTTCAGCACAGCAACTCGAGGAATGCTCCATGTACCCCAAATCGTCTCGAGATGAGAGCTGATTCCCTGGCTTAGGCTCAAGACGTATGCCAACTTTCCAGAAGCACGTCAGGAGGAGGCTTCTCTCAGCAATAGGTATGTGGGAGGGACCCCGAGATCGCTGAGTCAAGTGGAATATACAGTGAGAATCCCTAACTTGAAAGGAGGCCGGATTTCCTTGCAATGGCTTGAATACAGGCTCGTCTTTGATCTCACAACATGAAGGCATGTCTGAATCCCCTTTGGAGACCTTAGAGAAAGCACTAGGTCCCTGCCTCATTTTGACGGAATGCCTCACATCCCGTTGAAACCTCGAGAGGTACGCGGAGTTCATTGCTTCAAAAGGTGACGATGCCTGACTCCTCTTGAATACTGATAGGAATCCCACAATCCCTGTGGCTACTGGAATCTGTCCTTGGGTGCCCTGCCTCACCTCGAGAAGCATCCCTTTTGCCCTGCCAAGCCTCGAAGAGATTCCTGAGGTGTCCCTCGTTACTAGACAGCAGTCCTGATGTCACTGAAGAAACTCGTGTTTTGAAGGGCCATCCCCGCCGTAAGTCGAGAACATACCCCAGGTTCCCGCCGCAACTCGAGAAAAACCATGAAACTTCCCCCTAGAGGCGAGATGAGGCCCCATTCCCCTGCAGTGCATGCAGAGCTATTCCGTGATCCCATTCAAACAAGTCAGGAGCTTCGACTTGCTTAATGGATCTCGAGACAGTCCCCAAGAACACTGTCACCAGTCTAGACGGACCCTGAGGTCACCCCAGCAACGCAAAGCAGCTCCATGTGCCCCAAATCAACTCGAGATGAGGCCCGATTCCCCTGCATTGACTCCAGAGCCATTCCCCGTTCCCCATTCAACACGACCGGTGGCTCGACTTCCTTCAGGCAATAACAGAGATGCCCCGTGAACACTGTCCCAAGTCTAGAGAAACACCAACTTCAGCACAGCACCTCGAGGAATGCTCCATGTACCCCAAATCGTCTCGAGATGAGAGCTGATTCCCTGGCTTAGTCTCAAGACGTATGCCAACTTTCCAGAAGCACCTCAGGAGGAGGCTTCTCTCAGCAATAGGTATGTGGTAGGGACCCCGAGATCGCAGCCTCAAGTGGAATATACAGTGAAAATCCCTAACATGAAAGGATGCCGGATTTCCTTGCAATGGCTTGAATACAGGCTCGTCTTTGATCTCACAACATGAAGGCATGTCTGAATCCCCTTTGGAGACCTTAGAGAAAGCACTAGGTCCCTGCCTCATTTTGACGGAATGCCTCACATCCCGTTGACACCTCGAGAGGCACGCGGAGTTCATTGCTTCAAAAGGTGACGATGCCTGACTCCTCTTGAATACTGATAGGAATCCCAAAATCCCTGTGGCTACTGGAAAGGGTCCTTGGGTGCCCTGCCTCACCTCGAGAAGCGTCCCTTTTGCCCTGCCAGGCCTCGAAGAGATTCCTGGGGTGTCCCTTGTTACTAGACAGGAGTCCTGACGTCACTGAAGAAACTCGTGTTTTGAAGGGCCATCCCCGCCGTAAGTCGAGAACGTACCCCAGGTCCCCGCCGCAACTCGAGAAAATCGATGAGACTTCCCCCTAGAGGCGAGATGAGGCCCCATTCCCATTCAGTGCATGCAGAGCTATTCCGTGATCCCATTCAAACAAGTCAGGAGCTTCGACTTGCTTAATGGATCTCGAGCCAGTCCCCAAGAACACTGTCACCAGTCTAGACGGACCCTGAGGTCACCCCAGCAACGCAAAGCAGCTCCATGTGCCCCAAATCAACTCGAGATGAGGCCCGATTCCCCTGCATTGACACCAGAGCCATTCCCCGTTCCCCATTCAACACGACCGGTGGCTCGACTTCCTTCAGGCAACTCCAGAGATGCCCCGAGAACACTGTCCCAAGTCTAGAGGAACACCAACTTCAGCATAGCAACTCGAGGAATGCTCCATGTACCCCAAATCGTCTCGAGATGAGAGCTGATTCCCTGGCTTAGGCTCAAGACGTATGCCAACTTTCCAGAAGCACCTCAGGAGGAGGCTTCTCTCAGCAATAGGTATGTGGGAGGGACCCCGAGATCGCTGCCTCAAGTGGAATATACAGCGAGAAGCCCTAACTTGAAAGGAGGCCGGATTTCCTTGCAGTGGCTTGAATACAGGCTTGTCTTTGATCTCACAACATGAAGGCATGTCTGAATCCCCTGTGGAGACCTTAGAGAAAGCCCTAGGTCCCTGCCTCATTTTGACGGAATGCCTCACATCCCGTTGACAACTCGAGAGGCACGCGGAGTTCATTGCTTCAAAAGGTGACGATGCCTGACTCCTCTTGAATACTGATAGGAATCCCAAAATCCCTGTGGCTACTGGAATGGGTCCTTGGGTGCCCTGCCTCACCTCGAGAAGCGTCCCTTTTGCCCTGCCAGGCTTCGAAGAGATTCCTGAGGTGTCCCTCGTTACTAGACAGGAGTCCTGACGTCACTGAATAAACTCGTGTTTTGAAGGGCCATCCCCGCCGTAAGTCGAGAACATACCCCAGGTACCCGCCGCAACTCGAGAAAAACCATGAGACTTCCCACTAGAGGCGAGATGAGGCCCCATTCCCCTGCAGTGCATGCAGAGCTATTCCGTGATCCCATTCAAACAAGTCAGGATCTTCGCCTTGCTTAATGGATCTCGAGACAGTCCCCAAGAACACTGTCACCAGTCTAGACGGACCCTGAGGTCACCCCAGCAACGCAAAGCAGCTCCGTGTGCACCAAATCAACTCGAGATGAGGCCCGATTTCCCTGCATTGACTCCAGAGTCATTCCCCGATCCCCATTCAACGCGACCGGTGGCTCGATTTCCTTCAGGCAACTCCAGAGATGCCCCAAGAACACTGTCCCAAGTCTAGAGGAACACCAACTTCAGCACAGCATCTCAAGGAATGCTCCGTGTACCCCAAATCGTCTCGAGATGAGAGCTGATTCCCTGGCTTAGGCTCAAGACGTATGCCAACTTTCCAGAAGCACCTCAGGAGGAGGCTTCTCTCAGCAATAGGTATGTGGGAGGGACCCCGAGATCGCTGCCTCAAGTGGAATATACAGCGAGAAGCCCTAACTGGAAAGGAGGCCGGATTTCCTTGCAGTGGCTTGAATACAGGCTGGTCTTTGATCTCACAACATGAAGGCATATCTGAATCCCCTGTGGAGACCTTTGAGAAAGCCCTAGGTACCTGCCTCACATTGACGGAATGCCTCACATTCCGCTGACACCTCGAGAGGCACGCGGAGTTCATTGCTTCAAAAGGTGAGGATGCCTGACTCCTCTTGAATACTGATAGGAATCCCAGAATCCCTGTGGCTACTGGAAAGGGTCCTTGGGTGCCCTGCCTCACCTCGAGAAGCGTCCCTTTTGCCCTGCCAAGCCTAGAAGAGATTCCTGAGGTGTCCCTTGTTACTAGACAGGAGTCATGACGTCACTGAAGAAACTCGTGTTTTGAAGGGCCATCCCCGCCGTAAGTCGAGAACGTACCCCAGGTCCCAGCCGCAACTCGAGAAAATCCTTGATACTTCCCCCTAGAGGCGAGATTTGGCCCCATTCCCATTCAGTGCATGCAGAGCTATTCCGTGATCCCATTCAAACAAGTCAGGAGCTTCGACTTGCTTAATGGATCTCGAGCCAGTCCCCAAGAACACTGTGACCAGTCAAGACGGACCCTGAGGTCACGCCAGCAACGCAAAGCAGCTCCATGTGCCCCAAATCAACTCGAGATGAGGCCCGATTCCCCTGCATTGACTCCAGAGCCATTCCCCGTTCCCCATTCAACACGACCGGTGGCTCGACTTCCTTCAGGCAATAACAGAAATGCCCCATGTACACTGTCCCAAGCTAGAGGAACACAAACTTCAGCACAGCAACTCTAGGAATGATCCATGTACCCCAAATCGTCTCGTGTTGAGAGCTGATTCCCTGGCTTAGGCTCAAGACGTATGCCAACTTTCCAGAAGAACCTCAGGAGGAGGCTTCTCTCAGCAATAGGTATGTGGGAGGGACCCCGAGATCGCTGCCTCAAGTGGAATATACAGCGAGAAGCCCTAACTTGAAAGGAGGCCGGATTTCCTTGCAGTGGCTTGAATACAGGCTCGTCTTTGATCTCAAAACATGAAGGGATGTCTGAATCCCCTGAGGAGACCTTAGAGAAAGACCTAGGTCCCTGCCTCATTTTGTCGGAATGCCTCACATCCCGTTGACACCTTGAGAGGCACGCAGAGTTCATTGCTTCAAAAGGTGACGATGCCTGACTCCTCTTGAATACTGATAGGAATCCCAAAATCCCTGTGGCTTCTGGAAAGAGTCCTTGGGTGCCCTGCCTCACCTCGAGAAGCGTCCCTTTGGCCCTGCCAAGCCTCGAAGAGATTCCTGAGGTGTCCCTCGTTACGAGACAGGAGTCCTGACGTCACTGAAGAAACTCGTGTTTTGAAGGGCCATCCCTGCCGTAAGTCGAGAACATACCCCAGGTCCCCGCCGCAACTCGAGAAAAACCATGAGACTTCCCCCTAGAGGCGAGATGAGGCCCCATTCCCCTGCAGTGCATGCAGAGCTATTCCGTGATCCCATTCAAACAAGTCAGGAGCTTCGACTTGCTTAATGGATCTCGAGAAAGTCCCCAAGAACACTGTCACCAGTCTAGACGGAACCTGAGGTCACCCCAGCAATGCAAAGCAGCTCCATGTGCCCCAAATCAACTTGAGATGAGGCCCGATTCCCCTGCATTGACACCAGAGCCATTCCCCGTTCCCCATTCAACACGACCGGTGGCTCGACTTCCTTCAGGCAACTACAGAGATGCCCTGAGAACACTGTCCCAAGTCTAGAGGAACACCAACTTCAGCACAGCAACTTGAGGAATGCTCCGTGTACCCCAAATCGTCTCGAGATGAGAGCTGATTCCCTGGCTTAGGCTCAAGACATATGCCAACTTTCCAGAAGCACCTCAGGAGGAGGCTTCTCTCAGCAATAGGTATGTGGGAGGGACCCCGAAATCGCTGCCTCAAGTGGAATATACAGCGAGAAGCCCTAACTTGAAAGGAGGCCGGATTTCCTTGCAGTGGCTTGAATACAGGCTGGTCTTTGATCTCACAACATGAAGGCATATCTGAATCCCCTGTGGAGACCTTTGAGAAAGCCCTAGGTCCCTGCCTCATATTGACGGATTGCCTCACATTCCGCTGACACCTCGAGAGGCACACGGAGTTCATTGCTTCAAAAGGTGAGGATGCCTGACTCCTCTTGAATACTGATAGGAATCCCAGAATCCCTGTGGCTACTGGAAAGGGTCCTTGGGTGCCCTGCCTCACCTCGAGAAGCGTCCCTTTTGCCCTGCCAAGCCTAGAAGAGATTCCTGAGGTGTCCCTTCTTACTAGACAGGAGTCATGACGTCACTGAAGAAACTCGTGTTTTGAAGGGCCATCCCCGCCGTAAGTCGAGAACGTACCCCAGGTCCCAGCCGCAACTCGAGAAAATCCTTGATACTTCCCCCTAGAGGCGAGATTTGGCCCCATTCCCATTCAGTGCATGCAGAGCTATTCCGTGATCCCATTCAAACAAGTCAGGAGCTTCGACTTGCTTAATGGATCTCGAGAAAGTCCCCAAGAACACTGTCACCAGTCTAGACGGAACCTGAGGTCACCCCAGCAATGCAAAGCAGCTCCATGTGCCCCAAATCAACTTGAGATGAGGCCCGATTCCCCTGCATTGACACCAGAGCCATTCCCCGTTCCCCATTCAACACGACCGGTGGCTCGACTTCCTTCAGGCAACTCCAGAGATGCCCTGAGAACACTGTCCCAAGTCTAGAGGAACACCAACTTCAGCACAGCAACTTGAGGAATGCTCCGTGTACCCCAAATCGTCTCGAGATGAGAGCTGATTCCCTGGCTTAGGCTCAAGACGTATGCCAACTTTCCAGAAGCACCTCAGGAGGAGGCTTCTCTCAGCAATAGTTATGTGGGAGGGACCCCGAGATCGCTGCCTCAAGTGGAATATACAGCGAGAAGCCCTAACTTGAAAGGAGGCCGGATTTCCTTGCAGTGGCTTGAATACAGGCTGGTCTTTGATCTCACAACATGAAGGCATATCTGAATCCCCTGTGGAGACCTTTGAGAAAGCCCTAGGTCCCTGCCTCATATTGACGGAATGCCTCACATTCCGCTGACACCTCGAGAGGCACGCGGAGTTCATGGCTTCAAAAGGTGACGATGCCTGACTCCTCTTGAATACTGATAGGAATCCCAGAATCCCTGTGGCTACTGGAAAGGGTCCTTGGGTGCCCTGCCTCACCTCGAGAAGCGTCCCTTTTGCCCTGCCAAGCCTCGAAGAGATTCCTGAGGTGTCCCTCGTTACGAGACAGGAGTCCTGACGTCACTGAAGAAACTCGTGTTTTGAAGGGCCAACCCCGCCGTAAGTCAAGAACATACCCCAGGTCCCCGCCGCAACTCAAGAAAAACCATGAGACTTCCCCCTAGAGGCGAGATGAGGCCCCATTCCCCTGCAGTGCATGCAGAGCTATTCCGTGATCCCATTCAAACAAGTCAGGAGCTTCGACTTGCTTAATGGATCTCGAGACAGACCCCAAGAACACTGTCACCAGTCTAGACGGACCCTGAGGTCACCCCAGCAACGCAAAGCAGCTCCATGTGCCCCAAATCAACACGAGATGAGGCCCGATTCCCGTGCATTGACTCCAGAGCCATTCCCCGTTCCCCATTCAACACGACCGGTTGCTCGAGTTCCTTCAGGCAACTCCAGAGATGCCCTGAGAACACTGTCCCAAGTCTAGAGGAACACCAACTGCAGCACAGCAACTCGAGGAAAGCTCCGTGTACCCCAAATCGTCTCGAGATAAGAGCTGATTCCCTGGCTTAGGCTCAAGACGTATGCCAACTTTCCAGAAGCACCTCAGGAGGAGGCTTCTCTCAGCAATAGGTATGTGGGAGGGACCCCGAAATCGCTGCCTCAAGTGGAATATACAGCGAGAAGCCCTAACTTATAAGGAGGCCGGATTTCCTTGCAGTGGCTTGAATACAGGCTCGTCTTTGATCTCACAACATGGAGGCATGTCTGAATCCCCTGTGGAGACCTTAGAGAAAGCCCTAGGTCCCTGCCTCATTTTGACGGAAGGCCTCACATCCCGTTGACTCCTCGAGAGGCACGCGGAGTTCATTGCTTCAAAAGGTGACGATGCCTGACTCCTCTTGTATATTGATAGGAATCCCAAAATTCCTGTGGCTACTGGAATGGGTCCTTGGATGCCCTGCCTCACCTCGAGAAGCGTCCCTTTTGCCCTGGCAAGCCTCGAAGAGATTCATGAGGTGTCCCTCTTTACCAGACAGGAGTCCTGACGTCACTGAAGAAACTCCTGTTTTGAAGGGCCATCCCTGCCGTAAGTCGAGAACATACCCCAGGGCCCCGGGACAACTCGAGGAAAACCATTAGACTTCCCCCTACAGGCGAGATGAGGCCACATTCCACTGCAGTGCATGCAGAGCTATTCCGTGATCCCATTCAAACAAGTCAGGAGCTTCGACTTGCTTAATGGATCTCGAGACAGACCCCAAGAACACTGTCACCAGTCTAGACGGACCCTGAGGTCACCCCAGCAACGCAAAGCAGCTCCATGTGCCCCAAATCAACACGAGATGAGGCCCGATTCCCGTGCATTGACTCCAGAGCCATTCCCCGTTCCCCATTCAACACGACCGGTGGCTCGACTTCCTTCAGGCAACTCCAGAGGTTCCCCGAGAACACTGTCCCAAGTCTAGAGGAACACCAACTTCAGCACAGCAACTCGAGGAATGCTCCGTGTACTCCAAATCGTCTCGAGATGAGAGCTGATTCCCTGGCTTAGGCTCAAGACTTATGCCAACTTTCCAGAAGCACATCAGGAGGAAGCTTCTCTCAGCAATAGGTATGTGGGAGGGACCAAGAGATCACTGCCTCAAGCGGAATATACAGCGAGAAGCCCTAACTTGAAAGGAGGCCGGATTTCCTTGCAGTGGCTTGAATACCGGCTTGTCTTTGATCTCAAAACATGAAGGGATGTCTGAATCCCCTGTGGAGACCTTAGAGAAAGCCCTAGGTCCCTGCCTCATTTTGACGGAAGGCCTCACATCCCGTTGACTCCTCGAGAGGCACGCGGAGTTCATTGCTTCAAAAGGTGACGATGCCTGACTCCTCTTGTATATTGATAGGAATCCCAAAATTCCTGTGGCTACTGGAATGGGTCCTTGGGTGCACTGCCTCACCTCGAGAAGCATCCCTTTTGCCCTGCCAAGCCTCGAAGAGATTCCTGAGGTGTCCCTCGTTACTAGACAGCAGTCCTGATGTCACTGAAGAAAATCGTGTTTTGAAGGGCCATCCCCGCCGTAAGTCGAGAACATACCCCAGATCCCCGCCGCAACTCGAGAAAAACCATGAGACTTCCCCCTAGAGGCGAGATGAGGCCCCATTCCCCTGCAGTGCATGCAGAGCTATTCCGTGATCCCATTCAAACAAGTCAGGAGCTTGGAGTTGCTTAATGGATCTCGAGACAGTCCTCAAGAACACTGTCACCAGTCTAGACGGACCCTGAGGTCACCCCAGCAACGCAAAACAGCTCCATGTGCCCCAAATCAACTCGAGATGAGGACTGATTCCCCTGCATTGACTCCAGAGCCATTCCCCGTTCCCCATTCAACACGTCCGGTGGCTCGACTTCCTTCAGGGAACTCCAGAGATGCGCCGAGAACACTGTCCTAAGTCTAGAGGAACACCAACTTCAGCACAGCAACTCGAGGAATGCTCCGTGTACCACAAATCGTCTCAAGATGAGAGCTGATTCCCTGGCTTAGGCTCAAGACGTATGCCAACTTTCCAGAAGCACCTCAGGAGGAGGCTTCTCTCAGCAATAGGTATGTGGGAGGAACCCCGAGATCGCTGCCTCAAGTGGAATATACAGCGAGAAGCCCTAACTTGAAAGGTGGCCGGATTTCCTTGCAGTGGCTTGAATACAGGCTCGTGTTTGATCTCAAAACATGAAGGGATGTCTGAATCCCCTGTGGAGACCTTAGAGAAAGCCCTAGGTCCCTGACTCATTTTGACGGAATGCCTCACATCCCGTTGACACCTCGAGAGGCACGCGGAGTTCATTGCTTCAAAAGGTGACGATGCCTGACTCCTCTTGAATACTGATAGGAATCCCAAAATCCCTGTGGCTACTGGAAAGGGTCATTGGGGGCCCTGCCTCTCCTCGAGAAGCGTCCCTTTTGCCCTGCCAGGCCTCGAAGAGATTCCTGAGGTGTCCCTCATTACCAGACAGGAGTCCTGATGTCACTGAAGAAACTCCTGTTTTGAAGGGCCATCCCCGTCATAAGTCGAGAACATACCCAGGTCCCCGCCGCAACTCGAGAAAAACAATGAGACTTCCCACTAGAGGCGAGATGAGGCCCCATTCCCCTGCAGTGCATGCAGAGCTATTCCGTGACCCCATTCAAACAAGTCAGGAGCTTCGACTTGCTTAATGGATCTCGAGACAGTCCCCAAGAACACTGTCACCAGTCTAGACGGACCCTGAGGTCACCCCAGCAACACAAAGTAGCTCCATGTGCCCCAAATCAACTCGAGATGAGGCCCGATTCTCCTGCATTGACTCCAGAGCCATTCCCCGTTCCCCTTTCAACACGACCGGTGGCTCGACTTCCTTCAGGCAACTCCAGAGATGCCCCGAGAACACTGTCCCAAGTCTAGAGGAACACCAACTTCAGCACAGCAACTCGAGGAATGTTCCGTGTACCCCAAATCGTATCGAGATGAGAGCTGATTCCCTGGCTTAGGCTCAAGACGTATGCCAACTTTCCAGAAGCACCTCAGGAGGAGGTTTCTCTCAGCAATAGGTATGTGGGAGGGACGCTGAGATCACTGCCTCAAGTGGAATATACAGTGAGAATCCGTAACTTGAAAGGAGGCCGGATTTCCTTGCAGTGGCTTGAATACAGGCTCGTCTTTGATCTCAAAACATGAAGGGATGTCTGAATCCCCTGTGGAGACTTTTGAGAAAGCCCTAGGGCCCTGCCTCATTTTGACGGAATGCCTCATATCCCGTTGACACCTCGAGAGGCACGCGGAGTTCATTGCTTCAAAAGGTGACGATGCCTGACTCCTCTTGAATACTGATAGGAATCCCAAAATCCCTGTGGCTCCTGGAAAGGGTCCTAGGCTGCCCTGCCTCACCTCGAGAAGCGTCCCTTTTACCCTGCCAAGCCTCGAAGAGATTCATGAGGTGTCCCTCGTTACCAGACAGGAGTCATGACGTCACTGAAGAAACTCCTGTTTTGAAGGGCCATCCCCGCCGTAAGTTGAGAACATACCCCAAGTCCCCGCCAAACTCGAGAAAAATAATGAGACTTCCCCTAGAGGCGAGATGAGGCCCCATTCCCCTGCAGTGCATGCAGAGCTATTCCGTGATCCCATTCAAACAAGTCAGGAGCTTCGACTTGCTTAATGGATCTCGAGACAGTCCCCAAGAACACTGTCACCAGTTTAGATGGACCCTGAGGTCACCCCAGCAACACAAAGCAGCTCCATGTGCCCCAAATCAACTCGAGATGAGGCCCGATTCCCCTGCATTGAATCCAGAACCATTCCCCATTCCCCATTTAACACGACCGGTGGCTGGACTTCCTTCAGGCAACTCCAGAGATGCCCCGAGAACACTGTCCCAAGTCTAGAGGAACACCAACTTCAGCACAGCAGCTCGAGGAATGCTCCGTGCACCCCAAATCGTCTCGAGATGAGAGCTGATTCCCTGGCTTAGGCTCAAGACGTATGCCAACTTTCCAGAAGAACCTCAGGAGGAGGCTTCTCTCAGCAATAGGTATGTGGGAGGGACCCCGAGATCGCTGCCTCAAGTGGAATATACAGCGAGAAGCCCTAACTTGAAAGGAGGCCGGATTTCCTTGCAGTGGCTTGAATACAGGCTCGTCTTTGATCTCAAAACATGAAGGGATGTCTGAATCCCCTGAGGAGACCTTAGAGAAAGACCTAGGTCCCTGCCTCATTTTGTCGGAATGCCTCACATCCCGTTGACACCTTGAGAGGCACACAGAGTTCATTGCTTCAAAAGGTGACGATGCCTGACTCCTCTTGAATACTGATAGGAATCCCAAAATCCCTGTGGCTTCTGGAAAGGGTCCTTGGGTGCCCTGCCTCACCTCGAGAAGCGTCCCTTTTGCCCTGCCAAGCCTCGAAGAGATTCCTGAGGTGTCCCTCTTTACGAGACAGGAGTCCTGACGTCACTGAAGAAACTCGTGTTTTGAAGGGCCATCCCCGCCGTAAGTCGAGAACATACCGAAGGTCCCCGCCGCAACTCGAGAAAAACCATGAGACTTCCCCCTAGAGGCGAGATGAGGCCCCATTCCCCTGCAGTGCATGCAGAGCTATTCCGTGATCCCATTCAAACAAGTCAGGAGCTTCGACTTGCTTAATGGATCTCGAGAAAGTCCCCAAGAACACTGTCACCAGTCTAGACGGAACCTGAGGTCACCCCAGCAAAGCAAAGCAGCTCCATGTGCCCCAAATCAACTTGAGATGAGGCCCGATTCCCCTGCATTGACACCAGAGCCATTCCCCGTTCCCCATTCAACACGACCGGTGGCTCGACTTCCTTCAGGCAACTCCAGAGATGCCCCGAGAACACTGTCCCAAGTCTAGAGGAACACCAACTTCAGCACAGCAACTTGAGGAATGCTCCGTGTACCCCAAATCGTCTCGAGATGAGAGCTGATTCCCTGGCTTAGGCTCAAGACGTATGCCAACTTTCCAGAAGCACCTCAGGAGGAGGCTTCTCTCAGCAATAGTTATGTGGGAGGGACCCCGAAATCGCTGCCTCAAGTGGAATGTACAGCGAGAAGCCCTAACTTGAAAGGAGGCCGGATTTCCTTGCAGTGGCTTGAATACAGGCTGGTCTTTGATCTCACAACATGAAGGCATATCTGAATCCCCTGTGGAGACCTTAGCGAAAGCCCTAGGTCCCTGCCTCATATTGACGGAATGCCTCACATTCCGCTGACACCTCGAGAGGCACGCGGAGTTCATGGCTTCAAAAGGTGACGATGCCTGACTCCTCTTGAATACTGATAGGAATCCCACAATCCCTGTGGCTACTGGAATGGGTCCTTGGGTGCCCTGCCTTACCTCGAGAAGCATCCCTTTTGTCCTGCCAAGCCTCGAAGAGATTCCTGAGGTGTCCCTCGTTACTAGACAGCAGTCCAGATGTCACTGAAGAAACTCGTGTTTTGAAGGGCCATCCCCGCCGTAAGTCGAGAACATACCCCAGGTCCCCGCTGCAACTCGAGAAAAACCATGAAACTTCCCCCTAGAGGCGAGATGAGGCCCCATTCCCCTGCAGTGCATGCAGAGCTATTCCGTGATCCCATTCAAACAAGTCAGGAGCTTCGACTTGCTTAATGGATCTCGAGACAGTCCCCAAGAATACTGTCACCAGTCTAGACGGACTCTGAGGTCAACCCAGCAACGGAAAGCAGCTCCATGTGCCCCAAATCAACTCGAGATGAGGCCCGATTCCCCTGCATTGACTCCAGAGCCATTCCCCATTCCCCATTCAACACGACCGGTGGCTGAACTTCCTTCAGGCAATAACAGAGATGCCCCGTGAACACTGTCCCAAGTCTAGAGAAACACCAACTTCAGCACAGCACCTCGAGGAATGCTCCATGTACCCCAAATCGTCTCGAGATGAGAGCTGATTCCCTGGCTTAGGCTCAAGACGTATGCCAACTTTCCAGAAGCACCTCAGGAGGAGGCTTCTCTCAGCAATAGGTATGTGGGAGGGACCCCGAGATTGCTGCCTCAAGTGGAATATACAGCGAGAAGCCCTAACTTGAAAGGAGGCCGGATTTCCTTGCAGTGGCTTGAATACAGGCTCGTCTTTGATCTCACAACATGAAGGCATGTCTGAATCCCCTGTGGAGACCTTAGAGAAAGCCCTAGGTCCCTGCCTCATTTTGACGGAATGCCTCACATCCCGTTGACACCTCGAGAGGCACGCGGAGTTCATTGCTTCAAAAGGTGACGATGCCTGACTCCTCTTGAATACTGATAGGAATCCCAAAATCCCTGTGGCTACTGGAATGGGTCCTTGGGTGCCCTGCCTCAAGTCGAGAAGCGTCCCTTTTGCCCTGCCAAGCCTCGAAGAGATTCCTGGGGTGTCCCTTGTTACTAGACAGGAGTCCTGACGTCACTGAAGAAACTCGTGTTTTGAAGGGCCATCACCGCCGTAAGTCGAGAACGTACCCCAGGTCCCAGCCGCAACTCGAGAAAATCCATGAGACTTCCCCCTAGAGGCGAGATGAGGCCCCATTCCCATTCAGTGCATGCAGAGCTATTCCGTGATCCCATTCAAACAAGTCAGGAGCTTCGACTTGCTTAATGGATCTCGAGCCAGTCCCCAAGAACACTGTCACCAGTTTAGACGGACCCTGAGGTCACCCCAGCAACGCAAAGCAGCTCCATTTGCCCCAAATCAACTCGAGATGAGGCCCGATTCCCCTGCTTTGACACCAGAGCCATTCCCCGTTCCCCATTCAACACGACCGGTGGCTCGACTTCCTTCAGGCAACTCCAGAGATGCCCCAAGAACACTGTCCGAAGTCTAGAGGAACACCAACTTCAGCATAGCAACTCGAGGAATGCTCCATGTACCCCAAATCGTCTCGAGATGAGAGCTGATTCCCTGGCTTAGGCTCAAGGCGTATGCCAACTTTCCAGAAGCACCTCAGGAGGAGGCTTCTCTCAGCAATAGGTATGTGGGAGGGACCCCGAGATCGCTGCCTCAAGTGGAATATACAGCGAGAAGCCCTAACTTGAAAGGAGGCCGGATTTGCTTGCAGTGGCTTGAATACAGGCTTGTCTTTGATCTCACAACATGAAGGCATGTCTGAATCCCCTGTGGAGACCTTAGAGAAAGCCCTAGGTCCCTGCCTCATTTTGACGGAATGCCTCACATCCCGTTGACACCTCGAGAGGCACGCAGAGTTCATTGCTTCAAAAGGTGACGAAGCCTGACTCCTCTTGAATACTGATAGGAATCCCACAATCCCTGTGGCTACTGGAATGGGTCCTTGGGTGCCCTGCCTCACCTCGAGAAGCGTCCCTTTTGCCCTGCCAGGCTTCGAAGAGATTCCTGAGGTGTCCCTCGTTACTAGACAGGAGTCCTGACGTCACTGAATAAACTCGTGTTTTGAAGGGCCATCCCCGCCGTAAGTCGAGAACATACCCCAGGTCCCCGCCGCAACTCGAGAAAAACCATGAGACTTCCCACTAGAGGCGAGATGAGGCCCCATTCCCCTGCAGTGCATGCAGAGCTATTCCGTGATCCCATTCAAACAAGTCAGGATCTTCGCCTTGCTTAATGGATCTTGAGACAGTCCCCAAGAACACTGTCACCAGTCTAGACGGACCCTGAGGTCACCCCAGCAATGCAAAGCAGCTCCGTGTGCACCAAATCAACTCGAGATGAGGCCCGATTCCCCTGCATTGACTCCAGAGTCATTCCCCGATCCCCATTCAACGCGACCGGTGGCTCGATTTCCTTCAGGCAACTCCAGAGATGCCCCAAGAACACTGTCCCAAGTCTAGAGGAACACCAACTTCAGCACAGCATCTCAAGGAATGCTCCCTGTACCCCAAATCGTCTCGAGATGAGAGCTGATTCCCTGGCTTAGGCTCAAGACGTATGCCAACTTTCCAGAAGCACCTCAGGAGGAGGCTTCTCTCAGCAATAGGTATGTGGGAGGGACCCCGAGATCGCTGCCTCAAGTGGAATATACACCGAGAAGCCCTAACTGGAAAGGAGGCCGGATTTCCTTGCAGTGGCTTGAATTCAGGCTCGTCTTTCATTTCACAACATGAAGGGATGTCTGAATCCCCTGTGGAGACCTTAGAGAAAGGCCTAGGGCCCTGCCTCATTTTGACGGAATGCCTCACATCCCGTTGACACCTCGAGAGGCACGTGGAGTTCATTGCTTCAGAAGGTGACGATGCCTGACTCCTCTTGAATATTGATAGGAATCCCAAAATCCCTGTGGCTACTGGAATGGGTCCTTGGGTTCCCTGCCTCACCTCGACAAGCGTCCCTTTTGCCCTGCCAAGCCTCGAAGAGATTCCTGAGGTGTCCCTTGTTACTAGACAGGAGTCATGACGTCACTGAAGAAACTCGTGTTTTGAAGGGCCATCCCCGCCGTAAGTCGAGAACGTACCCCAGGTCCCAGCCGCAACTCGAGAAAATCCATGATACTTCCCCCTAGAGGCGAGATTTGGCCCCATTCCCATTCAGTGCATGCAGAGCTATTCCGTGATCCCATTCAAACAAGTCAGTAGCTTCAACTTGCTTAATGGATCTCGAGCCAGTCCCCAAGAACACTGTCACCAGTCTAGACGGACCCTGAGGTCACGCCAGCAACGCAAATCAGCTCCATGTGCCCCAAATCAACTCGAGATGAGGCCCGATTCCCCTGCATTGACTCCAGAGCCATTCCCCGTTCCCCATTCAACACGACCGGTGGCTCGACTTCCTTCAGGCAATAACAGAGATGCCCCATGTACACTGTCCCAAGTCTAGAGGAACACAAACTTCAGCACAGCAACTCTAGGAATGATCCATGTACCCCAAATCGTCTCGAGTTGAGAGCTGATTCCCTGGCTTAGGCTCAAGACGTATGCCAACTTTCCAGAAGAACCTCAGGAGGAGGCTTCTCTCAGCAATAGGTATGTGGGAGGGACCCCGAGATCGCTGCCTCAAGTGGAATATACAGCGAGAAGCCCTAACTTGAAAGGAGGCCGGATTTCCTTGCAGTGGCTTGAATACAGGCTCGTCTTTGATCTCAAAACATGAAGGGATGTCTGAATCCCCTGAGGAGACCTTAGAGAAAGACCTAGGTCCCTGCCTCATTTTGTCGGAATGCCTCACATCCCGTTGACACCTTGAGAGGCACGCAGAGTTCATTGCTTCAAAAGGTGACGATGCCTGACTCCTCTTGAATACTGATAGGAATCCCAAAATCCCTGTGGCTTCTGGAAAGGGTCCTTGGGTGCCCTGCCTCACCTCGAGAAGCGTCCCTTTTGCCCTGCCAAGCCTCGAAGAGATTCCTGAGGTGTCCCTCGTTACGAGACAGGAGTCCTGACGTCACTGAAGAAACTCGTTTTTTGAAGGGCCATCCCCGCCGTAAGTCGAGAACATACCCCAGGTCCCCGCCGCAACTCGAGAAAAACCATGAGACTTCCCCCTAGAGGCGAGATGAGGCCCCATTCCCCTGCAGTGCATGCAGAGCTATTCCGTGATCCCATTCAAACAAGTCAGGAGCTTCGCCTTGCTTAATGGATCTCGAGACAGTCCCCAAGAACACTGTCACCAGTCTAGACGGACCGTAAGGTCACCCCAGCAACGCAAAGCAGCTCCAGGTGCCCCAAATCAACTCGAGATGAGGCCCGATTCCCCTGCATTGACTCCAGAGCCATTCCACGTTCCCCATTCAACACGAACGGTGGCTCGACTTCCTTCAGGCAACTCCAGAGATGCCCCGAGAACACTGTCCCAAGTCTAGAGGAACACCAACTTCAGCACAGCAACTCGAGGAAAGCTACGTGTACCCCAAATCATCTCGAGATGAGAGCTGATTCCCTGGCTTAGGCTCAAGACGTATGCCAACTTTCCAGAAGCACCTCAGGAGGAGGCTTCTCTCAGCAATAGGTATGTGGGAGGGACCCCGAGATCGCTGCCTCAAGTGGAATATACAGCGAGAAGCCCTAACTTGAAAGGAGGCCGGATTTCCTTGCAGTGTCTTGAATGCAGGCTCGTCTTTTATCTCAAAACATGAAGAGATGTCTGAATCCCCTGTGGAACTTTAGAGAAAGCCCTAGGTCCCTGCCTCATTTTGACGGAAGGCCTCACCTCCCGTTGACTGCTCGAGAGGCACGCGGAGTTCATTGCTTCAAAAGGTGACGATGCCTGACTCCTCTTGAATACTGATAGGAATCCCAAAATCCCTGTGGCTACTGGAATGGGTCCTTGGGTGCCCTACCTCACCTCGAGAAGCGTCCCTTTTGCCCTGCCAAGCCTCGAAGAGATTCCTGAATTGTCCCTCGTTACTAGACAGGAGTCCTGACGTCACTGAAGAAACGCGTGTTTTGAAGGGCCATCCCCGCCGTAAGTCGAGAACATACCCCAGGTCCCCGACGCAACACGAGAAAAACCATGAAACTTCCCCATAGAGGCGAGATGAGGCCCCATTCCCCTGCAGTGCATGCAGAGCTATTCCGTGATCCCATTCAAACAAGTCAGGACCTTCGACTTGCTTAATGGATCTCGAGACAGTCCCCAAGAACACTGTCACCAGTCTAGACGGACCCTGAGGTCAACCCAGCAACGGAAAGCAGGTCCATGTGCCCCAAATCAACTCGAGATGAGGCCCGATTCCCCTGCATTGACTCCAGAGCCATTCCCCGTTCCCCATTCAACACCACCGGTGGCTCGACTTCCTTCAGGCAATAACAGAGATGCCCCGTGAACACTGTCCCAAGTCTAGAGGAACACCAACTTCAGCACAGCAACTCGAGGAATGCTCCATGTACCCCAAATCGTCTCGAGATGAGAGCTGATTCCCTGGCTTAGTCTCAAGACGTATGCCAACTTTCCAGAAGCACCTCAGGAGGAGGCTTCTCTCAGCAATAGGTATGTGGTAGGGACCCCGAGATCGCAGCCTCAAGTGGAATATACAGCGAAAATCCCTAACATGAAAGGATGCCGGATTTCCTTGCAATGGCTTGAATACAGGCTCGTCTTTGATCTCACAACATGAAGGCATGTCTGAATCCCCTTTGGAGACCTTAGAGAAAGCACTAGGTCCCTGCCTCATTTTGACGGAATGCCTCACATCCCGTTGACACCTCGAGAGGCACGCGGAGTTCATTGCTTCAAAAGGTGACGATGCCTGACTCCTCTTGAATACTGATAGGAATCCCAAAATCCCTGTGGCTACTGGAAAGGGTCCTTGGGTGCCCTGCCTCACCTCGAGAAGCGTCCCTTTTGCCCTGCCAAGCCTCGAAGAGATTCCTGGGGTGTCCCTTGTTACTAGACAGGAGTCCTGACGTCACTGAAGAAACTCGTGTTTTGAAGGGCCATCCCCGCCGTAAGTCGAGAACGTACCCCAGGTCCCCGCCGCAACTCGAGAAAATCGATGAGACTTCCCCCTAGATGCGAGATGAGGCCCCATTCCCATTCAGTGCATGCAGAGCTATTCCGTGATCCCATTCAAACAAGTCCGGAGCTTCGACTTGCTTAATGGATCTCGAGCCAGTCCCCAAGAACACTGTCACCAGTCTAGACGGACCCTGAGGTCACCCCAGCAACGCAAAGCAGCTCCATTTGCCCCAAATCAACTCGAGATGAGGCCCGATTCTCCTGCATTGACACCAGAGCCATTCCCCGTTCCCCATTCAACACGACCGGTGGCTCGACTTCCTTCAGGCAACTCCAGAGATGCCCCGAGAACACTGTCCCAAGTCTAGAGGAACACCAACTTCAGCATAGCAACTCGAGGAATGCTCCATGTACCCCAAATCGTCTCGAGATGAGAGCTGATTCCCTGGCTTAGGCTCAAGACGTATGCCAACTTTCCAGAAGCACCTCAGGAGGAGGCTTCTCTCAGCAATAGTTATGTGGGAGGGACCCCGAGATCGCTTCCTCAAGTGGAATATACAGCGAGAAGCCCTAACTTGAAAGAAGGCCGGATTTCCTTGCAGTGGCTTGAATTCAGGCTCGTCTTTCATTTCACAACATGAAGGGATGTCTGAATCCCCTGTGGAGACCTTAGAGAAAGGCCTAGGGCCCTGCCTCATTTTGACGGAATGCCTCACATCCCGTTGACACCTCGAGAGGCACGTGGAGTTCATTGCTTCAGAAGGTGACGATGCCTGACTCCTCTTGAATATTGATAGGAATCCCAAAATCCCTGTGGCTACTGGAATGGGTCCTTGGGTTCCCTGCCTCACCTCGACAAGCGTCCCTTTTGCCCTGCCAAGCCTCGAAGAGATTCCTGAGGTGTCCCTTGTTACTAGACAGGAGTCATGACGTCACTGAAGAAACTCGTGTTTTGAAGGGCCATCCCCGCCGTAAGTCGAGAACGTACCCCAGGTCCCAGCCGCAACTCGAGAAAATCCATGATACTTCCCCCTAGAGGCGAGATTTGGCCCCATTCCCATTCAGTGCATGCAGAGCTATTCCGTGATCCCATTCAAACAAGTCAGTAGCTTCAACTTGCTTAATGGATCTCGAGCCAGTCCCCAAGAACACTGTCACCAGTCTAGACGGACCCTGAGGTCACGCCAGCAACGCAAATCAGCTCCATGTGCCCCAAATCAACTCGAGATGAGGCCCGATTCCCCTGCATTGACTCCAGAGCCATTCCCCGTTCCCCATTCAACACGACCGGTGGCTCGACTTCATTCAGGCAATAACAGAGATGCCCCATGTACACTGTCCCAAGTCTAGAGGAACACAAACTTCAGCACAGCAACTCTAGGAATGATCCATGTACCCCAAATCGTCTCGAGTTGAGAGCTGATTCCCTGGCTTAGGCTCAAGACGTATGTCAACTTTCCAGAAGAACCTCAGGAGGAGGCTTCTCTCAGCAATAGGTATGTGGGAGGGACCCCGAGATCGCTGCCTCAAGTGGAATATACAGCGAGAAGCCCTAACTTGAAAGGAGGCCGGATTTCCTTGCAGTGGCTTGAATACAGGCTCGTCTTTGATCTCAAAACATGAAGGGATGTCTGAATCCCCTGAGGAGACCTTAGAGAAAGACCTAGGTCCCTGCCTCATTTTGTCGGAATGCCTCACATCCCGTTGACACCTTGAGAGGCACGCAGAGTTCATTGCTTCAAAAGGTGACGATGCCTGACTCCTCTTGAATACTGATAGGAATCCCAAAATCCCTGTGGCTTCTGGAAAGGGTCCTTGGGTGCCCTGCCTCACCTCGAGAAGCGTCCCTTTTGCCCTGCCAAGCCTCGAAGAGATTCCTGAGGTGTCCCTCGTTACGAGACAGGAGTCCTGACGTAACTGAAGAAACTCGTTTTTTGAAGGGCCATCCCCGCCGTAAGTCGAGAACATACCCCACGTCCCCGCCGCAACTCGAGAAAAACCATGAGACTTCCCCCTAGAGGCGAGATGAGGCCCCATTCCCCTGCAGTGCATGCAGAGCTATTCCGTGATCCCATTCAAACAAGTCAGGAGCTTCGCCTTGCTTAATGGATCTCGAGACAGTCCCCAAGAACACTGTCACCAGTCTAGACGGACCGTAAGGTCACCCCAGCAACGCAAAGCAGCTCCAGGTGCCCCAAATCAACTCGAGATGAGGCCCGATTCCCCTGCATTGACTCCAGAGCCATTCCACGTTCCCCATTCAACACGAACGGTGGCTCGACTTCCTTCAGGCAACTCCAGAGATGCCCCGAGAACACTGTCCCAAGTCTAGAGGAACAACAACTTCAGCACAGCAACTCGAGGAAAGCTACGTGTACCCCAAATCATCTCGAGATGAGAGCTGATTCCCTGGCTTAGGCTCAAGACGTATGCCAACTTTCCAGAAGCACCTCAGGAGGAGGCTTCTCTCAGCAATAGGTATGTGGGAGGGACCCCGAGATCGCTGCCTCAAGTGGAATATACAGCGAGAAGCCCTAACTTGAAAGGAGGCCGGATTTCCTTGCAGTGTCTTGAATGCAGGCTCGTCTTTGATCTCAAAACATGAAGAGATGTCTGAATCCCCTGTGGAACTTTAGAGAAAGCCCTAGGTCCCTGCCTCATTTTGACGGAAGGCCTCACCTCCCGTTGACTGCTCGAGAGGCACGCGGAGTTCATTGCTTCAAAAGGTGACGATGCCTGACTCCTCTTGAATACTGATAGGAATCCCCAAATCCCTGTGGCTACTAGAATGGGTCCTTGGGTGCCCTGCCTCACCTCGAGAAGCGTCCCTTTTGCCCTGCCAAGCCTCGAAGAGATTCCTGAGGTGTCCCTCGTTACTAGACAGGAGTCCTGACGTCACTGAAGAAACTCGTGTTTTGAAGGCCGTCCCCGCAGTAAGTCGAAAATATACCCCAGGTCCCGGCCGCAACTCGAGAAAAACCATGAGACTTCCCCCTAGAGGCGAGATGAGGCCCCATTCCCCTGCAGTGCATGCAGAGCTATTCCGTGATCCCATTCAAACAAGTCAGGAGCTTCGACTTCCTTAATGGATCTCGAGACAGTCCTCAAGAACACTGTCACCATTCTAGACGGACCCTGATGTCAACCCAGCAACGGAAAGCAGCTCCATGTGCCCCAAATCAACTCGAGATGAGGCCCGATTCCCCTGCATTGACTCCATAGCCATTCCCCGTTCCCCATTCAACACGACCGGTGGCTCGACTTCCTTCAGGCAACTCCAGAGATGCCCTGAGAACACTGTCCCTAGTCTAGAGTCACACCAACTTCAGCACAGCAACTCGAGGAAAGCTCCGTGTACCCCAAATCGTCTCGAGATGAGAGCTGATTCTCTGGCTTAGGCTCAAGACGTATGCCAACTTTCCAGAAGCACCTCAGGAGGAGGCTTCTCTCAGCAATAGGTATGTGGGAGGGACCCCGAGATCGCTGCCTCAAGTGGAATATACAGCGAGAAGCCCTAACTTGAAAGGAGGTCGGATTTCCTTGCAGTGGCTTGAATACAGGCTCGTCTTTGATCTCACAACATGAAGGCATGTCTGAATCCCCTGTGGAGACCTTAGAGAAAGCCCTAGGTCCCTGCCTCATTTTGACGGAATGCCTCAAATCCCGTAGACACCTCGAGAGACACGCGGAGTTCATTGCTTCAAAGATGACGATGCCTGACTCCTCTTGAATACTGATAGGAATCCCAAAATCCCTGTGGCTACTGGAATGGGTCCTTGGGTGCCCTACCTCACCTCGAGAAGCGTCCCTTTTGCCCTGCCAAGCCTCGAAGAGATTCCTGAATTGTCCCTCGTTACTAGACAGGAGTCCTGACGTCACTGAAGAAACTCGTGTTTTGAAGGGCCATCCCCGCCGTAAGTCGAGAACATACCCCAGGTCCCCGACGCAACACGAGAAAAACCATGAAACTTCCCCATAGAGGCGAGATGAGGCCCCATTCCCCTGCAGTGCATGCAGAGCTATTCCGTGATCCCATTCAAACAAGTCAGGACCTTCGACTTGCTTAATGGATCTCGAGACAGTCCCCAAGAACACTGTCACCAGTCTAGACGGACCCTGAGGTCAACCCAGCAACGGAAAGCAGGTCCATGTGCCCCAAATCAACTCGAGATGAGGCCCGATTCCCCTGCATTGACTCCAGAGCCATTCCCCGTTCCCCATTCAACACCACCGGTGGCTCGACTTCCTTCAGGCAATAACAGAGATGCCCCGTGAACACTGTCCCAAGTCTAGAGGAACACCAACTTCAGCACAGCAACTCGAGGAATGCTCCATGTACCCCAAATCGTCTCGAGATGAGAGCTGATTCCCTGGCTTAGTCTCAAGACGTATGCCAACTTTCCAGAAGCACCTCAGGAGGAGGCTTCTCTCAGCAATAGGTATGTGGTAGGGACCCCGAGATCGCAGCCTCAAGTGGAATATACAGCGAAAATCCCTAACATGAAAGGATGCCGGATTTCCTTGCAATGGCTTGAATACAGGCTCGTCTTTGATCTCACAACATGAAGGCATGTCTGAATCCCCTTTGGAGACCTTAGAGAAAGCACTAGGTCCCTGCCTCATTTTGACGGAATGCCTCACATCCCGTTGACACCTCGAGAGGCACGCGGAGTTCATTGCTTCAAAAGGTGACGATGCCTGACTCCTCTTGAATACTGAAAGGAATCCCAAAATCCCTGTGGCTATTGGAATGGGTCCTTGGGTGCCCTGCCTCACCTCGAGAAGCGTCCCTTTTGCCCTGCCAAGCCTCGAAGAGATTCCTGGGGTGTCCCTTGTTACTAGACAGGAGTCCTGACGTCACTGAAGAAACTCGTGTTTTGAAGGGCCATCCCCGCCGTAAGTCGAGAACGTACCCCAGGTCCCCGCCGCAACTCGAGAAAATCGATGAGACTTCCCCCTAGAGGCGAGATGAGGCCCCATTCCCATTCAGTGCATGCAGAGCTATTCCGTGATCCCATTCAAACAAGTCAGGAGCTTCGACTTGCTTAATGGATCTCGAGCCAGTCCCCAAGAACACTGTCACCAGTCTAGACGGACCCTGAGGTCACCCCAGCAACGCAAAGCAGCTCCATTTGCCCCAAATCAACTCGAGATGAGGCCCGATTCCCCTGAATTGACACCAGAGCCATTCCCCGTTCCCCATTCAACACGACCGGTGGCTCGACTTCCTTCAGGCAACTCCAGAGATGCCCCGAGAACACTGTCCCAAGTCTAGAGGAACACCAACTTCAGCATAGCAACTCGAGGAATGCTCCATGTACCGCAAATCGTCTCGAGATGAGAGCTGATTCCCTGGCTTAGGCTCAAGACGTATGCCAAATTTCCAGAAGCACCTCAGGAGGAGGCTTCTCTCAGCAATAGTTATGTGGGAGGGACCCCGAGATCGCTTCCTCAAGTGGAATATACAGCGAGAAGCCCTAACTTGAAAGAAGGCCGGATTTCCTTGCAGTGGCTTGAATTCAGGCTCGTCTTTCATTTCACGACATGAAGGGATGTCTGAATCCCCTGTGGAGACCTTAGAGAAAGGCCTAGGGCCCTGCCTCATTTTGACGGAATGCCTCACATCCCGTTGACACCTCGAGAGGCACGTGGAGTTCATTGCTTCAGAAGGTGACGATGCCTGACTCCTCTTGAATATTGATAGGAATCCCAAAATCCCTGTGGCTACTGGAATGGGTCCTTGGGTTCCCTGCCTCACCTCGACAAGCGTCCCTTTTGCCCTGCCAAGCCTCGAAGAGATTCCTGAGGTGTCCCTTGTTACTAGACAGGAGTCATGACGTCACTGAAGAAACTCGTGTTTTGAAGGGCCATCCCCGCCGTAAGTCGAGAACGTACCCCAGGTCCCAGCCGCAACTCGAGAAAATCCATGATACTTCCCCCTAGAGGCGAGATTTGGCCCCATTCCCATTCAGTGCATGCAGAGCTATTCCGTGATCCCATTCAAACAAGTCAGTAGCTTCAACTTGCTTAATGGATCTCGAGCCAGTCCCCAAGAACACTGTCACCAGTCTAGACGGACCCTGAGGTCACGCCAGCAACGCAAATCAGCTCCATGTGCCCCAAATCAACTCGAGATGAGGCCCGATTCCCCTGCATTGACTCCAGAGCCATTCCCCGTTCCCCATTCAACACGACCGGTGGCTCGACTTCCTTCAGGCAATAACAGAGATGCCCCATGTACACTGTCCCAAGTCTAGAGGAACACAAACTTCAGCACAGCAACTCTAGGAATGATCCATGTACCCCAAATCGTCTCGAGTTGAGAGCTGATTCCCTGGCTTAGGCTCAAGACGTATGCCAACTTTCCAGAAGAACCTCAGGAGGAGGCTTCTCTCAGCAATAGGTATGTGGGAGGGACCCCGAGATCGCTGCCTCAAGTGGAATATACAGCGAGAAGCCCTAACTTGAAAGGAGGCCGGATTTCCTTGCAGTGGCTTGAATACAGGCTCGTCTTTGATCTCAAAACATGAAGGGATGTCTGAATCCCCTGAGGAGACCTTAGAGAAAGACCTAGGTCCCTGCCTCATTTTGTCGGAATGCCTCACATCCCGTTGACACCTTGAGAGGCACGCAGAGTTCATTGCTTCAAAAGGTGACGATGCCTGACTCCTCTTGAATACTGATAGGAATCCCAAAATCCCTGTGGCTTCTGGAAAGGGTCCTTGGGTGCCCTGCCTCACCTCGAGAAGCGTCCCTTTTGCCCTGCCAAGCCTCGAAGAGATTCCTGAGGTGTCCCTCGTTATGAGACAGGAGTCCTGACGTCACTGAAGAAACTCGTTTTTTGAAGGGCCATCCCCGCCGTAAGTCGAGAACATACCCCACGTCCCCGCCGCAACTCGAGAAAAACCATGAGACTTCCCCCTAGAGGCGAGATGAGGCCCCATTCCCCTGCAGTGCATGCAGAGCTATTCCGTGATCCCATTCAAACAAGTCAGGAGCTTCGCCTTGCTTAATGGATCTCGAGACAGTCCCCAAGAACACTGTCACCAGTCTAGACGGACCGTAAGGTCACCCCAGCAACGCAAAGCAGCTCCAGGTGCCCCAAATCAACTCGAGATGAGGCCCGATTCCCCTGCATTGACTCCAGAGCCATTCCACGTTCCCCATTCAACACGAACGGTGGCTCGACTTCCTTCAGGCAACTCCAGAGATGCCCCGAGAACACTGTCCCAAGTCTAGAGGAACACCAACTTCAGCACAGCAACTCGAGGAAAGCTACGTGTACCCCAAATCATCTCGAGATGAGAGCTGATTCCCTGGCTTAGGCTCAAGACGTATGCCAACTTTCCAGAAGCACCTCAGGAGGAGGCTTCTCTCAGCAATAGGTATGTGGGAGGGACCCCGAGATCGCTGCCTCAAGTGGAATATACAGCGAGAAGCCCTAACTTGAAAGGAGGCCGGATTTCCTTGCAGTGTCTTGAATGCAGGCTCGTCTTTTATCTCAAAACATGAAGAGATGTCTGAATCCCCTGTGGAACTTTAGAGAAAGCCCTAGGTCCCTGCCTCATTTTGACGGAAGGCCTCACCTCCCGTTGACTGCTCGAGAGGCACGCGGAGTTCATTGCTTCAAAAGGTGACGATGCCTGACTCCTCTTGAATACTGATAGGAATCCCCAAATCCCTGTGGCTACTAGAATGGGTCCTTGGGTGCCCTGCCTCACCTCGAGAAGCGTCCCTTTTGCCCTGCCAAGCCTCGAAGAGATTCCTGAGGTGTCCCTCGTTACTAGACAGGAGTCCTGACGTCACTGAAGAAACTCGTGTTTTGAAGGCCGTCCCCGCAGTAAGTCGAAAATATACCCCAGGTCCCGGCCGCAACTCGAGAAAAACCATGAGACTTCCCCCTAGAGGCGAGATGAGGCCCCATTCCCCTGCAGTGCATGCAGAGCTATTCCGTGATCCCATTCAAACAAGTCAGGAGCTTCGACTTCCTTAATGGATCTCGAGACAGTCCTCAAGAACACTGTCACCATTCTAGACGGACCCTGATGTCAACCCAGCAACGGAAAGCAGCTCCATGTGCCCCAAATCAACTCGAGATGAAGCCCGATTCCCCTGCATTGACTCCATAGCCATTCCCCGTTCCCCATTCAACACGACCGGTGGCTCGACTTCCTTCAGGCAACTCCAGAGATGCCCTGAGAACACTCTCCCAAGTCTAGAGTCACACCAACTTCAGCACAGCAACTCGAGGAAAGCTCCGTGTACCCCAAATCGTCTCGAGATGAGAGCTGATTCTCTGGCTTAGGCTCAAGACGTATGCCAACTTTCCAGAAGCACCTCAGGAGGAGGCTTCTCTCAGCAATAGGTATGTGGGAGGGACCCCGAGATCGCTGCCTCAAGTGGAATATACAGCGAGAAGCCCTAACTTGAAAGGAGGTCGGATTTCCTTGCAGTGGCTTGAATACAGGCTCGTCTTTGATCTCACAACATGAAGGCATGTCTGAATCCCCTGTGGAGACCTTAGAGAAAGCCCTAGGTCCCTGCCTCATTTTGACGGAATGCCTCAAATCCCGTAGACACCTCGAGAGACACGCGGAGTTCATTGCTTCAAAGATGACGATGCCTGACTCCTCTTGAATACTGATAGGAATCCCAAAATCCCTGTGGCTACTGGAATGGGTCCTTGGGTGCCCTACCTCACCTCGAGAAGCGTCCCTTTTGCCCTGCCAAGCCTCGAAGAGATTCCTGAATTGTCCCTCGTTACTAGACAGGAGTCCTGACGTCACTGAAGAAACTCGTGTTTTGAAGGGCCATCCCCGCCGTAAGTCGAGAACATACCCCAGGTCCCCGACGCAACACGAGAAAAACCATGAAACTTCCCCATAGAGGCGAGATGAGGCCCCATTCCCCTGCAGTGCATGCAGAGCTATTCCGTGATCCCATTCAAACAAGTCAGGACCTTCGACTTGCTTAATGGATCTCGAGACAGTCCCCAAGAACACTGTCACCAGTCTAGACGGACCCTGAGGTCAACCCAGCAACGGAAAGCAGGTCCATGTGCCCCAAATCAACTCGAGATGAGGCCCGATTCCCCTGCATTGACTCCAGAGCCATTCCCCGTTCCCCATTCAACACCACCGGTGGCTCGACTTCCTTCAGGCAATAACAGAGATGCCCCGTGAACACTGTCCCAAGTCTAGAGGAACACCAACTTCAGCACAGCAACTCGAGGAATGCTCCATGTACCCCAAATCGTCTCGAGATGAGAGCTGATTCCCTGGCTTAGTCTCAAGACGTATGCCAACTTTCCAGAAGCACCTCAGGAGGAGGCTTCTCTCAGCAATAGGTATGTGGTAGGGACCCCGAGATCGCAGCCTCAAGTGGAATATACAGCGAAAATCCCTAACATGAAAGGATGCCGGATTTCCTTGCAATGGCTTGAATACAGGCTCGTCTTTGATCTCACAACATGAAGGCATGTCTGAATCCCCTTTGGAGACCTTAGAGAAAGCACTAGGTCCCTGCCTCATTTTGACGGAATGCCTCATATCCCGTTGACACCTCGAGAGGCACGCGGAGTTCATTGCTTCAAAAGGTGACGATGCCTGACTCCTCTTGAATACTGAAAGGAATCCCAAAATCCCTGTGGCTACTGGAAAGGGTCCTTGGGTGCCCTGCCTCACCTCGAGAAGCGTCCCTTTTGCCCTGCCAAGCCTCGAAGAGATTCCTGGGGTGTCCCTTGTTACTAGACAGGAGTCCTGACGTCACTGAAGAAACTCGTGTTTTGAAGGGCCATCCCCGCCGTAAGTCGAGAACGTACCCCAGGTCCCCGCCGCAACTCGAGAAAATCGATGAGACTTCCCCCTAGAGGCGAGATGAGGCCCCATATCAATTCAGTGCATGCAGAGCTATTCCGTGATCCCATTCAAACAAGTCAGGAGCTTCGACTTGCTTAATGGATCTCGAGCCAGTCCCCAAGAACACTGTCACCAGTCTAGACGGACCCTGAGGTCACCCCAGCAACGCAAAGCAGCTCCATTTGCCCCAAATCAACTCGAGATGAGGCCCGATTCCCCTGAATTGACACCAGAGCCATTCCCCGTTCCCCATTCAACACGACCGGTGGCTCGACTTCCTTCAGGCAACTCCGGAGATGCCCCGAGAACACTGTCCCAAGTCTAGAGGAACACCAACTTCAGCATAGCAACTCGAGGAATGCTCCATGTACCGCAAATCGTCTCGAGATGAGAGCTGATTCCCTGGCTTAGGCTCAAGACGTATGCCAACTTTCCAGAAGCACGTCAGGAGGAGGCTTCTCTCAGCAATAGGTATGTGGGAGGGACCCCGAGATCGCTGCCTCAAGTGGAATATACAGCGAGAAGCCCTAACTTGAAAGGAGGCCGGATTTCCTTGCAGTGGCTTGAATACAGGCTTGTCTTTGATCTCACAACATGAAGGCATGTCTGAATCCCCTGTGGAGACCTTAGAGAAAGCCCTAGGTCCCTGCCTCATTTTGACGGAATGCCTCACATCCCGTTGACAACTCGAGAGGCACGCGGAGTTCATTGCTTCAAAAGTTGACGATGCCTGACTCCTCTTGAATACTGATAGGAATCCCACAATCCCTGTGGCTATTGGAATGGGTCCTTGGGTGCCCTGCCTCACCTCGAGAAGCGTCCCTTTTGCCCTGCCAGGCTTCGAAGAGATTCCTGAGGTGTCCCTCGTTACTAGACAGGAGTCCTGACGTCACTGAATAAACTCGTGTTTTGAAGGGCCATCCCCGCCGTAAGTCGAGAACATACCCCAGGTACCCGCCGCAACTCGAGAAAAACCATGAGACTTCCCACTAGAGGCGACATGAGGCCCCATTCCCCTGCAGTGCATGCAGAGCTATTCCGTGATCCCATTCAAACAAGTCAGGATCTTCGCCTTGCTTAATGGATCTCGAGACAGTCCCCAAGAACACTGTCACCAGTCTAGACGGACCCTGAGGTCACCCCAGCAACGCAAAGCAGCTCCGTGTGCACCAAATCAACTCGAGATGAGGCCCGATTTCCCTGCATTGACTCCAGAGTCATTACCCGATCCCCATTCAACGCGACCCGTGGCTCGATTTCCTTCAGGCAACTCCAGAGATGCCCCAAGAACACTGTCCCAAGTCTAGAGGAACACCAACTTCAGCACAGCATCTCAAGGAATGCTCCGTGTACCCCAAATCGTCTCGAGATGAGAGCTGATTCCCTGGCTTAGGCTCAAGACGTATGCCAACTTTCCAGAAGCACCTCAGGAGGAGGCTTCTCTCAGCAATAGGTATGTGGGAGGGACCCCGAGATCGCTGCCTCAAGTGGAATATACAGCGAGAAGCCCTAACTGGAAAGGAGGCCGGATTTCCTTGCAGTGGCTTGAATACAGGCTCGTCTTTCATTTCACAACATGAAGGGATGTCTGAATCCCCTGTGGAGACCTTAGAGAAAGCCGTAGGGCCCTGCCTCATTTTGACGGAATGCCTCACATCCCGTTGACACCTCGAGAGGCACGTGGAGTTCATTGCTTCAGAAGGTGACGATGCCTGACTCCTCTTGAATATTGATAGGAATCCTAAAATCCCTGTGGCTACTGGAATGGGTCCTTGGGTGCCCTGCCTCACCTCGACAAGCCTCCCTTTTGCCCTGCCTAGCCTCGAAGAGATTCCTGAGGTGTCCCTCGTTACTAGACAGGAGTCCTGACGTCAATGAAGAAACTCGTGTTTTGAAGGGCCATCCCCGCCGTAAGTCGAGATCATACCCTAGGTTCCCGCCGCAACTCGAGAAAAACCATGAGACTTCCCCTTACAGGCGAGATGAGGCCCCATCCCCCTGCAGTGCATGCAGAGCTATTCCGTGATCCCATTCTAACAAGACAGGAGCTTCGACTTGCTTAATGGATCTCCAAACAGTCCCCAAGAACACTGTCACCAGTCTACACGGACCCTGAGGTCAACCCAGCAATGCAAAGCAGATCCATGCGCCCCAAATCAACTCGAGATGAGCCCCGATTCCCCTTCATTGACTCCAGAGCCTTTCCCCATTCCCCATTCAACACGACCGGTGGCTCGACTTCCTTCAGGCAACTCCAGAGATGCCCCGAGAACACTTTCCCAAGTCTAGAGGAACACCAACTTCAGCACAGCAACTCGAGGAATGCTCCGTGTGCCCCAAATCGTCTCGAGATGAGAGCTGATTCCCTGGCTTAGTCTCAAGACCTATGCCAACTTTCCAGAAGCACCTCAGGAGGAGGCTTCTCTCAGCCATAGGTATGTGGGAGGGACCCCGAAATCGCTGCCTCAAGTGGAAAATACAGCGAGAAGCCCTAACTTGAAAGGAGGCCGGATTTCCTTGCAGTGGCTTGAATACAGGCTGGTCTTTGATCTCACAACATGAAGGCATATCTGAATCCCCTGTGGAGACCTTTGAGAAAGCCCTAGGTACCTGCCTCATATTGACGGAATGCCTCACATTCCGCTGACACCTCGAGAGGCACGCGGAGTTCATTGCTTCAAAAGGTGAGGATGCCTGACTCCTCTTGAATACTGATAGGAATCCCAGAATCCCTGTGGCTACTGGAAAGGGTCCTTGGGTGCCCTGCCTCACCTCGAGAAGCGTCCCTTTTGCCCTGCCAAGCCTCGAAGAGATTCCTGAGGTGTCCCTTGTTACTAGACAGGAGTCATGACGTCACTGAAGAAACTCGTGTTTTGAAGGGCCATCCCCGCCGTAAGTCGAGAACGTAACCCAGGTCCCAGCCGCAACTCGAGAAAATCCTTGATACTTCCCCCTAGAGGCGAGATTTGGCCCCATTCCCATTCAGTGCATGCAGAGCTATTCCGTGATCCCATTCAAACAAGTCAGGAGCTTCGACTTGCTTAATGGATCTCGAGCCAGTCCCCAAGAACACTGTGACCAGTCTAGACGGACCCTGAGGTCACGCCAGCAACGCAAAGCAGCTCCATGTGCCCCAAATCAACTCGAGATGAGGCCCGATTCCCCTGCATTGACTCCAGAGCCATTCCCCGTTCCCCATTCAACACGACCGGTGGCTCGACTTCCTTCAGGCAATAACAGAGATGCCCCATGTACACTGTCCCACGCTAGAGGAACACAAACTTCAGCACAGCAACTCTAGGAATGATCCATGTACCCCAAATCGTCTCGTGTTGAGAGCTGATTCCCTGGCTTAGGCTCAAGACGTATGCCAACTTTCCAGAAGAACCTCAGGAGGAGGCTTCTCTCAGCAATAGGTATGTGGGAGGGACCCCGAGATCGCTGCCTCAAGTGGAATAAAAAGCGAGAAGCCCTAACTTGAAAGGAGGCCGGATTTCCTTGCAGTGGCTTGAATACAGGCTCGTCTTTGATCTCAAAACATGAAGGGATGTCTGAATCCCCTGAGGAGACCTTAGAGAAAGACCTAGGTCCCTGCCTCATTTTGTCGGAATGCCTCACATCCCGTTGACACCTTGAGAGGCATGCAGAGTTCATTGCTTCAAAAGGTGACGATGCCTGACTCCTCTTGAATACTGATAGGAATCCCAAAATCCCTGTGGCTTCTGGAAAGTGTCCTTGGGTGCCCTGCCTCACCTCGAGAAGCGTCCCTTTGGCCCTGCCAAGCCTCGAAGAGATTCCTGAGGTGTCCCTCGTTACGAGACAGGAGTCCTGACGTCACTGAAGAAACTCGTGTTTTGAAGGGCCATCCCTGCCGTAAGTCGAGAACATACCCCAGGTCCCCGCCGCAACTCGAGAAAAACCATGAGACTTCCCCCTAGAGGCGAGATGAGGCCCCATTCCCCTGCAGTGCATGCAGAGCTATTCCGTGATCCCACTCAAACAAGTCAGGAGCTTCGACATGCTTAATGGATCTCGAGACAGTCCCCAAGAACACTGTCACCAGTCTAGACGGACCCTGAGGTCACCCCAGCAACGCAAAGCAGCTCCATGTGCCCCAAATCAACTCGAGATGACGCCCGATTCCCCTGCATTGACTCCAGAGCCATTCCCCATTCCCCATTCAACACGACCGGTGGCTCGACTTCCTTCAGGCAACTCCAGAGATGCCCCGAGAACACTGTCCCAAGTTTAGAGGAACACCAACTTCAGCACAGCAACTCGAGGAATGCTCCATGTACCCCAAATCGTCTCGAGATGAGAGCTGATTCCCTTGCTTTGGCTCAAGACGTATGCCAACTTTCCAGAAGCACCTCAGGAGGAGGCTTCTCTCAGCAATAGGTATGTGGGAGGGACCCCGAGATCGCTGCCTCAATTGGAATATACAGCGAGATGCCCTAACTTGAAAGGAGGCCGTATTTCCTTGCAGTGGCTTGAATACAGGCTTGTCTTTGATCTCACAACATGAAGGCATGTCTGAATCCCCAGTGGAGATCTTAGAGAAAGCCCTAGATCCCTGCGTCATTTTGACGTAATGCCTCACATCCCGTTGACACCTCGAGAGGCACGCGGAGTTCATTGCTTCAAAAGGTGACGATGCCTGACTCCTCTTGAATACTGATCGGAATCCCAAAATCCCTCTGGCTACTGGAAAGGGTACTTGGGTGCCCTGCCTCACCTCGAGAAGCGTCCCTTTTGCCCTGCCAAGCCACGAAGAGATTCCTGAGGTGTCCCTCGTTACTAGACAGGAGTCCTGACGTCACTGAAATAACTCGTGTTTTAAATGGCCATCCCCGCTGTAAGTCGAGAACATACCCCAGGTCCCCGCCGCAACTCGAGAAAAAACTTGAGACTTCCCCCTAGAGGCGAGATGAGGCCCCATTCCCCTGCAGTGCATGCAGATCTATTCAGTGATCCCATTCAAACAAGTCAGGAGCTTCGACTTGCTTAATGGATCTCGAGACAGTCCCCGAGAACACTGTCACCAGTCTAGACGGACCCTGAGGTCACCCCAGCAACGCAAAGCAGCTCCATGTGCCCCAAATCAACTCGAGATGAGGCCCGATTCCCCTGCATTGACTCCAGAGCCATTCCCCGTTCCCCATTCAACACGACCGGTGGCTCGACTTCCTTCAGGCAACTCCAGAGATGCCCCGAGAACACTGTCCCAAGTCTAGAGGAACACCAACTTCAGCATAGCAACTCGAGGAATGCTCCATGTACCCCAAATCGTCTCGAGAGGAGAGCTGATTCCCTGGCTTAGGCTCAAGACGTATGCCAACTTTCCAGAAGCACCTCAGGAGGAGGCTTCTCTCAGCAATAGGTATGTGGGAGGGACCCCGAGATCGCTGCCTCAAGTGGAATATACAGCGAGAAGCCCTAACTTGAAAGGAGGCCGGATTTCCTTGCAGTGGTTTGAATACAGGCTCGTCTTTGATCTCACAACATGAAGACATGTCTGAATCCCCTGGGAAACCTTAGAGAAAGCCCTAGGTCCCTGCCTCATTTTCACGGAATGCCTCACATCCCGTTGACACCTCGAGAGGCACGCGGAGTTCATTGCTTCAAAAGGTGACGATGCCTGACTCCTCTTGAATACTGATAGGAATCCCACAATCCCTGTGGCTACTGGAATGGGTCCTTGGGTGCCCTGCCTCACCTCGAGAAGCATCCCTTTTGCCCTGCCAAGCCTCGAAGAGATTCCTGAGGTGTCCCTCATTACTAGACAGGAGTCCTGATGTCACTGAAGAAACTCTTGTTTTGAAGGGCCATCCCCGCCGTAAGTCGAGAACATACCCCAGGTCCCCGCCGCAACTCGAGAAAAACCATGAGACTTCCCCCTAGAGGCGAGATGAGGCCCCATTCCCCTGCAGTGCATGCAGAGCTATTCCGTGATCCCATTCAAACAAGTCAGGAGCTTCGACTTGCTTAATGGATCTCGAGCCAGTCCCCAAGAACACTGTCACCAGTCTAGACGGACCCTGAGGTCAACCCAGCAACGGAAAGCAGCTCCATGTGCCCCAAATCAACTCGAGATGAGGCCCGATTCCCCTGCATTGACTCCAGAGCCATTCCCCGTTCCCCATTCAACACGACCGGTGGCTCGACTTCCTTCAGGCAATAACAGAGATGCCCTATGAACACTGTCCCAAGTCTAGAGGAACACCAACTTCAGCACAGCAACTCGAGGAATGCTCCATGTACCCCAAATCGTCTCGAGATGAGAGCTGATTCCCTGGCTTAGGCTCAAGATGTATGCCAACTTTCCAGAAGCACCTCAGGAGGAGGCTTCTCTCAGCAATAGGTATGTGGGAGGGACCCCGAGATCGCTGCCTCAAGTGGAATATACAGCGAGAATCCCTAACTTGAAAGGAGGCCGGATTTCCTTGCAGTGGCTTGAATACAGGCTGGTCTTTGATCTCACAACATGAAGGCATGTCTGAATCCCCTGTGGAGACCTTTGAGAAAGCCCTAGGTCCCTGCCTCATATTGACGGAATGCCTCACATTCCGCTGACACCTCGAGAGGCACGCGGAGTTCATTGCTTCAAAAGGTGAGGATGCCTGACTCCTCTTGAATACTGATAGGAATCCCAGAATCCCTGTGGCTACTGGAAAGGGTCCTTGGGTGCCCTGCCTCACCTCGAGAAGCGTCCCTTTTGCCCTGAAAAGCCTCGAAGAGATTCCTGAGGTGTCCCTTGTTACTAGACAGGAGTCCTGACGTCACTGAAGAAACTCGTGTTTTGAAGGGCCATCCCCGCCGTAAGTCGAGAACGTACCCCAGGCCCCAGCCGCAACTCGAGAAAATCCATGATACTTCCCCCTAGAGGCGAGATTTGGCCCCATGTCCATTCAGTGCATGCAGAGCTATTCCGTGATCCCATTCAAACAAGTCAGGAGCTTCGACTTGCTTAATGGATCTCGAGCCACTCCCCAAGAACACTGTCACCAGTCTAGACGGACCCTGAGGTCACGCCAGCAACGCAAAGCAGCTCCATGTGCCCCAAATCAACTCGAGATGAGGCCCGATTCCCCTGCATTGACTCCAGAGCCATTCCCCGTTCCCCATTCAACACGACTGGTGGCTCGACTTCCTTCAGGCAATAACAGAGATGCCCCGTGAACACTGTCCCAAGTCTAGAGGAACACCAACTTCAGCACAGCAACTCGAGGAATGCTCCATGTACCCCAAATCGTCTCGAGATGAGAGCTGATTCCCTGGCTTAGTCTCAAGACGTATGCCAACTTTCCAGAAGCACCTCAGGAGGAGGCTTCTCTCAGCAATAGGTATGTGGTAGGGACCCCGAGATCGCAGCCTCAAGTGGAATATACAGCGAAAATCCCTAACATGAAAGGATGCCGGATTTCCTTGCAATGGCTTGAATACAGGCTCGTCTTTGATCTCACAACATGAAGGCATGTCTGAATCCCCTTTGGAGACCTTAGAGAAAGCCCTAGGTCCCTGCCTCATTTTGACGGAATGCCTCACATCCCGTTGACACCTCGAGAGGCACGCGGAGTTCATTGCTTCAAAAGGTGACGATGCCTGACTCCTCTTGAATACTGATAGGAATCCCAAAATCCCTGTGGCTACTGGAAAGGGTCCTTGGGTGCCCTGCCTCACCTCGAGAAGCGTCCCTTTTGCCCTGCCAAGCCTCGAAGAGATTCCTGGGGTGTCCCTTGTTACTAGACAGGAGTCCTGACGTCACTGAAGAAACTCGTGTTTTGAAGGGCCATCCCCGCCGTAAGTCGAGAACGTACCCCAGGTCCCCGCCGCAACTCGAGAAAATCGATGAGACTTCCCCCTAGAGGCGAGATGAGGCCCCATTCCCATTCAGTGCATGCAGAGCTATTCCGTGATCCCATTCAAACAAGTCAGGAGCTTCGACTTGCTTAATGGATCTCGAGCCAGTCCCCAAGAAAAATGTCACCAGTCTAGACGGACCCTGAGGTCACCCCAGCAACGCAAAGCAGCTCCATTTGCCCCAAATCAACTCGAGATGAGGCCCGATTCCCCTGCATTGACACCAGAGCCATTCCCCGTTCCCCATTCAACACGACCGGTGGCTCGACTTCCTTCAGGCAACTCCAGAGATGCCCCGAGAACACTTTCCCAAGGTTAGAGGAACACCAACTTCAGCACAGCAACTCGAGGAATGCTCCGTGTACCCCAAATCGTCTCGAGATGAGAGCTGATTCCCTGGCTTAGGCTCAAGACCTATGCCAACTTTCCAGAAGCACCTCAGGAGGAGGCTTCTCTCAGCCATAGGTATGTGGGAGGGACCCCGAAATCGCTGCCTCAAGTGGAAAATACAGCGAGAAGCCCTAACTTGAAAGGAGGCCGGATTTCCTTGCAGTGGCTTGAATACAGGCTGGTCTTTGATCTCACAACATGAAGGCATATCTGAATCCCCTGTGGAGACCTTTGAGAAAGCCCTAGGTACCTGCCTCATATTGACGGAATGCCTCACATTCCGCTGACACCTCGAGAGGCACGCGGAGTTCATTGCTTCAAAAGGTGAGGATGCCTGACTCCTCTTGAATACTGATAGGAATCCCAGAATCCCTGTGGCTACTGGAAAGGGTCCTTGGGTGCCCTGCCTCACCTCGAGAAGCGTCCCTTTTGCCCTGCCAAGCCTCGAAGAGATTCCTGAGGTGTCCCTTGTTACTAGACAGGAGTCATGACGTCACTGAAGAAACTCGTGTTTTGAAGGGCCATCCCCGCCGTAAGTCGAGAACGTACCCCAGGTCCCAGCCGCAACTCGAGAAAATCCTTGATACTTCCCCCTAGAGGCGAGATTTGGCCCCATTCCCATTCAGTGCATGCAGAGCTATTCCGTGATCCCATTCAAACAAGTCAGGAGCTTCGACTTGCTTAATGGATCTCGAGCCAGTCCCCAAGAACACTGTGACCAGTCTAGACGGACCCTGAGGTCACCCCAGCAACGCAAAGCAGCTCCATGTGCCCCAAATCAACTCGAGATGAGGCCCGATTCCCCTGCATTGACTCCAGAGCCATTCCCCGTTCCCCATTCAACACGACCGGTGGCTCGACTTCCTTCAGGCAATAACAGAGATGCCCCATGTACACTGTCCCAAGCTAGAGGAACACAAACTTCAGCACAGCAACTCTAGGAATGATCCATGTACCCCAAATCGTCTCGTGTTGAGAGCTGATTCCCTGGCTTAGGCTCAAGACGTATGCCAACTTTCCAGAAGATCCTCAGGAGGAGGCTTCTCTCAGCCATAGGTATGTGGGAGGGACCCCGAGATCGCTGCCTCAAGTGGAATATACAGCGAGAAGCCCTAACTTGAAAGGAGGCCGGATTTCCTTGCAGTGGCTTGAATACAGGCTCGTCTTTGATCTCAAAACATGAAGGGATGTCTGAATCCCCTGAGGAGACCTTAGAGAAAGACCTAGGTCCCTGCCTCATTTTGTCGGAATGCCTCACATCCCGTTGACACCTTGAGAGGCACGCAGAGTTCATTGCTTCAAAAGGTGACGATGCCTGACTCCTCTTGAATACTGATAGGAATCCCAAAATCCCTGTGGCTTCTGGAAAGAGTCCTTGGGTGCCCTGCCTCACCTCGAGAAGCGTCCCTTTGGCCCTGCCAAGCCTCGAAGAGATTCCTGAGGTGTCCCTCGTTACGAGACAGGAGTCCTGACGTCACTGAAGAAACTCGTGTTTTGAAGGGCCATCCCCGCCGTAAGTCGAGAACATACCCCAGGTCCCCGCCGCAACTCGAGAAAAACCATGAGACTTCCCCCTAGAGGCGAGATGAGGCCCCATTCCCCTGCAGTGCATGCAGAGCTATTCCGTGATCCCATTCAAACAAGTCAGGAGCTTCGACTTGCTTAATGATCTCCAGAGAGTCCCCAAGAACACTGTCACCAGTCTAGACGGAACCTGAGGTCACCCCAGCAATGCAAAGCAGCTCCATGTGCCGCAAATCACCTCGAGATGAGGCCCGATTCCCCTGTATTGACACCAGAGCCATTCCCCGTTCCCCATTCAACACGACCGGTGGCTCGACTTCCTTCAGGCAACTCCAGAGATGCCCCGAGAACACTGTCCCAAGTCTAGAGGAACACCAACTTAAGCACAGCAACTCGAGGAATGCTCCGTGTACCCCAAATCGTCTCGAGATGAGAGCTGATTCCCTGGCTTAGGCTCAAGACGTATGCCAACTTTCCAGAAGCACCTCAGGAGTAGGCTTCTCTCAGCAATAGTTATGTGGGAGGGACCCCGAAATCGCTGCCTCAAGTGGAATATACAGCGAGAAGCCCTAACTTGAAAGGAGGCCGGATTTCCTTGCAGTGGCTTGAATATAGGCTGGTCTTTGATCACACAACATGAAGGCATATCTGAATCCCCTGTGGAGACCTTTGAGAAAGCCCTAGGTCCCTGCCTCATATTGACGGAATGCCTCACATTCCGCTGACACCTCGAGAGGCACGCGGAGTTCATTGCTTCAAAAGGTGACGATGCCTGACTCCTCTTGAATACTGATAGGAATCCCAGAATCCCTGTGGCTACTGGAAAGGGTCCTTGGGTGCCCTGCCTCACCTCGAGAAGCGTCCCTTTTGCCCTGCCAAGCCTCGAAGAGATTCCTGAGGTGTCCCTCGTTAGGAGACATGAGTCCTGACGTCACTGAAGAAACTCGTGTTTTGAAGGGCCATCCCCGCCGTAAGTCGAGAACATACCCCAGGTCCCCGCTGCAACTCGAGAAAAACCATGAGACTTCCCCCTAGAGGCGAGATGAGGCCCCATTCCCCTGCAGTGCATGCAGATCTATTCAATGATCCCACTCAAACAAGTCAGGATCTTCGACATGATTAATGGATCTCGAGACAGTCCCCAAGAACACTGTCACCAGTCTAGACGGACCCTGAGGTCACCCCAGCAACGCAAAGCAGTTCCATGTGCCCCAAATCAACTCGAGATGAGGCCCGATTCCCCTGCATTGACTCCAGAGCCATTCCCCGTTCCCCATTCAACACGACCGGTGGCTCGACTTCCTTCAGGCAACTCCAGAGATGCCCCGAGAACACTGTCCCAAGTCTAGAGGAACACCAACTTCAGCATAGCAACTCGAGGAATGCTCCATGTACCCCAAATCGTCTCGAGATGAGAGCTGATTCCCTGGCTTAGGCTCAAGACGTATGCCAACTTTCCAGAAGCACCTCAGGAGGAGGCTTCTTTCAGCAATAGGTATGTGGGAGGGACCCCGAGATCGCTGCCTCAAGTGGAATATACAGCGAGAAGCCCTAACTTGAAAGGAGGCCGGATTTCCTTGCAGTGGCTTGAATACAGGCTCGTCTTTGATCTCACAACATGAAGGCATGTCTGAATTCCCTGTGGAGACCTTAGAGAAAGCCCTAGGTCCCTGCCTCATTTTGACGGAATGCCTCATATCCCGTTGACACGTCGAGAGGTACGCGGAGTTCATTGCTTCAAAAGGTGACGATGCCTGACTCCTCTTGAATACTGATAGGAATCCCAAAATCCCTGTGGCTTCTGGAAAGGGTCCTTGGGTGCCCTGCCTCACCTCGAGAAGCGTCCCTTTTGCCCTGCCAAGCCTCGAAGAGATTCCTGAGGTGTCCCTCGTTAATAGACAGGAGTCCTGACGTCACTGAAGAAACTCATGTTTTGAAGGGCCATCCCCGCCGTAAGTCGAGAACATACCCCAGGTCCCCGCCGCAACTCGAGAAAAAACATGAGACTTCCTGCTAGAGGCGAGATGAGGCCCCATTCCCCTGCAGTGCATGCAGAGCTATTCCGTGATCCCATTCAAACAAGTCAGGAGCTTCGACTTGCTTAATGATCTCCAGAGAGTCCCCAAGAACACTGTCACCAGTCTAGACGGAACCTGAGGTCACCCCAGCAATGCAAAGCAGCTCCATGTGCCCCAAATCACCTCGAGATGAGGCCCGATTCCCCTGCATTGACACCAGAGCCATTCCCCGTTCCCCATTCAACACGACCGGTGGCTCGACTTCCTTCAGGCAACTCCAGAGATGCCCCGAGAACACTGTCCAAGGTCTAGAGGAACACCAACTTAAGCACAGCAACTCGAGGAATGCTCCGTGTACCCCAAATCGTCTCGAGATGAGAGCTGATTCCCTGGCTTAGGCTCAAGACGTATGCCAACTTTCCAGAAGCACCTCAGGAGTAGGCTTCTCTCAGCAATAGTTATGTGGGAGAGACCCCGATATCGCTGCCTCAAGTGGAATATACAGCGAGAAGCCCTAACTTGAAAGGAGTCCGGATTTCCTTGCAGTGGCTTGAATACAGGCTGGTCTTTGATCACACAACATGAAGGCATATCTGAATCCCCTGTGGAGACCTTTGAGAAAGCCCTAGGTCCCTGCCTCATATTGACGGAATGCCTCACATTCCGCTGACACCTCGAGAGGCACGCGGAGTTCATTGCTTCAAAAGGTGACGATGCCTGACTCCTCTTGAATACTGATAGGAATCCCAGAATCCCTGTGGCTACTGGAAAGGGTCCTTGGGTGCCCTGCCTCACCTCGAGAAGCGTCCCTTTTGCCCTGCCAAGCCTCGAAGAGATTCCAGAGGTGTCCCTCGTTAGGAGACATGAGTCCTGACGTCACTGAAGAAACTTCTGTTTTGAAGGGCCATCCCCGCCGTAAGTCGAGAACATACCCCAGGTCCCCGCTGCAACTCGAGAAAAACCATGAGACTTCCCCCTAGAGGCGAGATGAGGCCCCATTCCCCTGCAGTGCATGCAGATCTATTCCGTGATCCCACTCAAACAAGTCAGGAGCTTCGACATGCTTAATGGATCTCGAGACAGTCCCCAAGAACACTGTCACCAGTCTAGACGGACCCTGAGGTCACCCCAGCAACGCAAAGCAGCTCCATGTGCCCCAAATCAACTCGAGATGAGGCCCGATTCCCCTGCATTGACTCCAGAGCCATTCCCCGTTCCCCATTCAACACGACCGGTGGCTCGACTTCCTTCAGGCAACTCCAGAGATGGCCCGAGAACACTGTCCCAAGTTTAGAGGAACACCAACTTCAGCACAGCAACTCGAGGAATGCTCCATGTACCCCAAATCGTCTCGAGATGAGAGCTGATTCCCTGGCTTAGGCTCAAGACGTATGCCAACTTTCCAGAAGCACCTCAGGAGGAGGCTTCTCTCAGCAATAGGTATGTGGGAGGGACCCCGAGATCGCTGCCTCAATTGGAATATACAGCGAGATGCCCTAACTTGAAAGGAGGCCGTATTTCCTTGCAGTGGCTTGAATACAGGCTTGTCTTTGATCTCACAACATGAAGGCATGTCTGAATCCCCAGTGGAGATCTTAGAGAAAGCCCTAGATCCCTGCGTCATTTTGACGTAATGCCTCACATCCCGTTGACACCTCGAGAGGCACACGGAGTTCATTGCTTCAAAAGGTGACGATGCCTGATTCCTCTTGAATACTGATAGGAATCCCAAAATCCCTGTGGCTACTGGAAAGGGTACTTGGGTGCCCTGCCTCACCTCGAGAAGCGTCCCTTTTGCCCTGCCAAGCCTCCAAGAGATTCCTGAGGTGTCCCTCGTTACTAGACAGGAGTCCTGACGTCACTGAAGAAACTCGTGTTTTGAAGGGCCATCCCCGCTGTAAGTCGAGAACGTACCCCAGGCCCCAGCCGCAACTCGAGAAAATCCATGATACTTCCCCCTAGAGGCGAGATTTGGCCCCATTCCCATTCAGTGCATGCAGAGCTATTCCGTGATCCCATTCAAACAAGTCAGGAGCTTCGACTTGCTTAATGGATCTCGAGCCAGTCCCCAAGAACACTGTCACCAGTCTAGACGGACCCTGAGGTCACGCCAGCAACGCAAAGCAGCTCCATGTGCCCCAAATCAACTCGAGATGAGGCCCGATTCCCCTGCATTGACTCCAGAGCCATTCCCCGTTCCCCATTCAACACGACCGGTGGCTCGACTTCCTTCAGGCAATAACAGAGATGCCCCATGTACACTGTCCCAAGTCTAGAGGAACACAAACTTCAGCACAGACACTCTAGGAATGATCCATGTACCCCAAATCGTCTCGAGTTGAGAGCTGATTCCCTGGCTTAGGCTCAAGACGTATGCCAACTTTCCAGAAGCACCTCAGGAGGAGGCTTCTCTCAGCAATAGGTATGTGTGAGGGACCCCGAGATCGCTGCCTCAAGTGGAATATACAGCGAGAAGCGCTAACTTGAAAGGAGGCCGGATTTCCTTGCAGTGGCTTGAATACAGGCTCGTCTTTGATCTCAAAACATGAAGGCATGTCTGAATCCCCTGAGGAGACCTTAGAGAAAGACCTAGGTCCCTGCCTCATTTTGTCGGAATGCCTCACATCCCGTTGACACCTTGAGAGGCACGCAGAGTTCATTGCTTCAAAAGTTGACGATGCCTGACTCCTCTTGAATACTGATAGGAATCCCAGAATCCCTGTGGCTACTGGAAAGGGTCCTTGGGTGCCCTGCCTCACCTCAAGAAGCGTCGCTTTTGCCCTGCCAAGCCTCGAAGAGATTCCTGAGGTGTCCCTCGTTACGAGACAGGAGTCCTGACGTCACTGAAGAAACTCGTGTTTTGAAGGGCCAACCCCGCCGTAAGTCAAAAACATACCCCAGGACCCCGCCGAAACTCAAGAAAAACCATGAGACTTCCCCCTAGAGGCGAGATGAGGCCCCATTCCCCTGCAGTGCATGCAGATTTATTCCGTGATCCCATTGAAACAAGTCAGGAGCTTCGACATGCTTAATGGATCTCGAGACAGTCCCCAAGAACACTGTCACCAGTCTAGACGGACCCTGAGGTCACCCCAGCAATGCAAAGCAGGTCCATGTGCCCCAAATCAACTCGAGATGAGGCCCGATTCCCCTGCATTGACTCAAGAGCCATTCCCCGTTCCCGATTCAACACGACCGGTGGCTCGACTTCCTTCAGGCAACTCCAGAGATGCCCCGAGAACACTGTCCCAAGTCTAGAGGAACACCAACTTCAGTATAGCAACTCGAGGAATGCTCCATGTACCCCAAATCGTCTCGAGATGAGAGCTGATTCCCTGGCTTAGGCTCAAGACGTATGCCAACTTTCCAGAAGCACCTCAGGAGGAGGCTTCTCTCAGCAATAGTATGTGGGAGGGACCCCGAGATCGCTGCCTCAAGGGGAATATACAGCGAGAAGCCCTAACTTGAAAGGAGGCCGGATTTCCTTGCAGTGGCTTGAATACAGGCTCGTCTTTGATCTCACAACATGAAGACATGTCTGAATCCCTTGTGGAGACCTTAGAGAAAGCCCTAGGTCCCTGCCTCATTGTGACGGAATGACTCACATCCCGTTGACACGTCGAGAGGCACGCGGAGTTCATTGCTTCAAAAGGTGACGATGCCTGACTCCTCCTGAATACTGATAGGAATCCCACAATCCCTGTGGCTACTGGAATGGGTCCTTGGGTGCGCTGCCTCACCTCGAGAAGCATCCCTTTTGCCCTGCCAAGCCTCGAAGAGATTCCTGAGGTGTCCCTCGTTACTAGACAGCAGTCGTGATGTCACTGAAGAAACTCGTGTTTTGAAAGGCCATCCCCGCCGTAAGTCGAGAACATACCCCAGGTCCCCGCCGCAACTCGAGAAAACCCATGAGACTTCCCCCTAGAGGCGAGATGAGGCCCCATTCCCCTGCAGTGCATGCAGAGCTATTCCGTGATCCCATTCAAACAAGTCAGGAGCTTCGACTTGCTTAATGGATCTCGAGACAGTCACCAAGAACACTGTCACCATTCTAGACGGACCCTGAGGTCAACCCAGCAACGGAAAGCAGCTCCATGTGCCCCAAATCAACTCGAGATGAGGCCCGATTCCCCTGCATTGACTCCAGAGCCATTCCCCGTTCCCCATTCAACACGACCGGTGGCTCGACTTCCTTTAGGCAATAACAGAGATGCCCCGTGTACACTGTCCCAAGTCTAGAGGAACACAAACTTTAGCACAGCAACTCTAGGAATGATCCATGTACCCCAAATCGTCTCGAGATGAGAGCTGATTCCCTGGCTTAGGCTCAAGACGTATGCCAACTTTCCTGAAGCACCTCAGGAGGAGGCTTCTCTCAGCAATAGGTATGTGGGAGGGACCCCGAGATCGCTGCCTCAAGTGGAATATACAGCGAGAAGCCCTAACTTGAAAGGAGGCCGGATTTCCTTGCAGTGGCTTGAATACAGGCTCGTCTTTGATCTCAAAACATGAAGGGATGTCTGAATCCCCTGTGGAGACCTTAGAGAAAGCCCTAGGTCCCTGCCTCATTTTGTAGGAATGCCTCACATCCCGTTGACACCTTGAGAGGCACGCAGAGCTCATTGCTTCAAAAGGTGACGATCCCTGACTCCTCTTGAATACTGATAGGAATCCCAAAATCCCTGTGGCTTCTGGAAAGGGTCCTTGGGTGCCCTGCCTCACCTCGAGAAGCGTCCCTTTTGCCCTGCCAAGCCTCGAAGAGATTCCTGATGTGTCCCTCGTTATGAGACAGGAGTCCTGACGTCACTGAAGAAACTCATGTTTTGAAGGGCCATCCCCGCCGTAAGTCGAGAACATACCCCAGGTCCCCGCCGCAACTCGAGAAAAACCATGAGACTTCCTGCTAGAGGCGAGATGAGGCCCCATTCCCCTGCAGTGCATGCAGAGCTATTCCGTGATCCCATTCAAACAAGTCAGGAGCTTCGACTTGCTTAATGGATCTCCAGAGAGTCCCCAAGAACACTGTCACCAGTCTAGACGGAACCTGAGGTCACCCCAGCAATGCAAAGCAGTTCCATGTGCCCCAAATCAACTCGAGATGAGGCCCGATTCCCCTGCATTGACCCCAGAGCCATTCCCCGTTCCCCATTCAACACGACCGGTGGCTCGACTTCCTTCAGGCAACTCCAGAGATGCCCCGAGAACACTGTCCCAAGTCTAGAGGAACACCAACTTAAGCACAGCAACTCGAGGAATGCTCCGTGTACCCCAAATCGTCTCGAGATGAGAGCTGATTCCCTGGCTTAGGCTCAAGACGTATGCCAACTTTCCAGAAGCACCTCAGGAGTAGGCTTCTCTCAGCAATAGTTATGTGGGAGGGACCCCGAAATCGCTGCCTCAAATGGAATATACAGCGAGAAGCCCTAACTTGAAAGGAGGCCGGATTTCCTTGCAGTGGCTTGAATACAGGCTGGTCTTTGATCACACAACATGAAGGCATATCTGAATCCCCTGTGGAGACCTTTGAGAAAGCCCTAGGTCCCTGCCTCATATTGACGGAATGCCTCACATTCCGCTGACACCTCGAGAGGCACGCGGTGTTCATTGCTTCAAAAGGTGACGATGCCTGACTCCTCTTGAATACTGATAGGAATCCCAGAATCCCTGTGGCTACTGGAAAGGGTCCTTGGGTGCCCTGCCTCACCTCGAGAAGCGTCCCTTTTGCCCTGCCAAGTCTCGAAGAGATTCCTGAGGTGTCCCTCGTTACTAGACAGGAGTCCTGACGTCACTGAAATAACTCGTGTTTTGAATGGCCATCCCTGCTGTAAGTCGAGAACATACCCCAGGTCCCCGCCGCAACTCGAGAAAAACCATGAGATTTCCCCCTAGAGGCGAGATGAGGCCCCATTCCCCTGCAGTGCATGCACAACTATTCCGTGATCCCATTCAAACAAGTCAGGAGCTTCGACTTGCTTAATGGATCTCGAGACAGTCCGCAAGAACACTGTCACCAGTCTAGACGGACCCTGAGGTCACCCCAGCAACGCAAAGCAGCTCCATGTGCCCCAAATCAACTCGAGATGAGGCCCGATTCCCCTGCATTGACTCCAGAGCCATTCCCCGTTCCCCATTCATCACGACTGGTGGCTCGACTTCCTTCAGGCAACTCCAGAGATGCCCCGAGAACACTATCCCAAGTCTAGGGGAACACCAACTTCAGCACAGCAACTCGAGGAATGCACCGTGTATCCCAAATCGTCTCGAGATGAGAGCTGATTCCCTGGCTTAGGCTCAAGACGTATGCCAACTTTCCAGAAGCACCTCAGGAGGAGGTTTCTCTCAGCAATAGGTATGTGGGAGGGACCCCGAGATCGCTGCCTCAAGTGGAATATACAACGAGAAGCCCTAACTTGAAAGGAGGCCGGATTTCCTTGCAGTGGCTTGAATACAGGCTCGTCTTTGATCTCACAACATGAAGACATGTCTGAATCCCCTGGGAAACCTTAGAGAAAGCCCTAGGTCCCTGCCTCATTTTGACGGAATGCCTCACAACCCGTTGACACCTCGAGAGGCACGCGGAGTTCATTGCTTCAAAAGGTGACGATGCCTGACTCCTCTTGAATACTGATAGGAATCCCACAATCCCTGTGGCTACTGGAGTGGGTCCTTGGGTGCCCTGCCTCACCTCGAGAAGCGTCCCTTTTGCCCTGCCAAGCCTCGAAGAGATTCCTGAGGTGTCCCTTGTTACTAGACAGGAGTCCTGACGTCACTGAAGAAACTCGTGTTTTGAAGGGCCATCCCCGCCGTAAGTCGAGAACGTACCCCAGGCCCCAGCCGCAACTCGAGAAAATCCATGATACTTCCCCCTAGAGGCGAGATTTGGTCCCATTCCCATTCAGTGCATGCAGAGCTATTCCGTGATCCCATTCAAACAAGTCAGGAGCTTCGACTTGCTTAATGGATCTCGAGCCAGTCCCCAAGAACACTGTCACCAGTCTAGACGGACCCTGAGGTCACGCCAGCAACGCAAAGCAGCTCCATGTGCCCCAAATCAACTCGAGATGAGGCCCGATTCCCCTGCATTGACTCCAGAGCCATTCCCCGTTCCCCATTCAACACGACCGGTGGATCGACTTCCTTCAGGCAATAACAGAGATGCCCCATGTACACTGTCCCAAGTCTAGAGGAACACAAACTTCAGCACAGCCACTCTAGGAATGATCCATGTACCCCAAATCGTCTCGAGTTGAGAGCTGATTCCCTGGCTTAGGCTCAAGACGTATGCCAACTTTCCAGAAGCACCTCAGGAGGAGGCTTCTCTCAGCAATAGGTATGTGTGAGGGACCCCGAGATCGCTGCCTCAAGTGGAATATACAGCGAGAAGCGCTAACTTGAAAGGAGGCCGGATTTCCTTGCAGTGGCTTGAATACAGGCTCGTCTTTGATCTCAAAACATGAAGGGATGTCTGAATCCCCTGAGGAGACCTTAGAGAAAGACCTAGGTCCCTGCCTCATTTTGTCGGAATGCCTCACATCCCGTTGACACCTTGAGAGGCACGCAGAGTTCATTGCTTCAAAAGGTGACGATGCCTGACTCCTCTTGAATACTGATAGGAATCCCAGAATCCCTGTGGCTACTGGAAAGGGTCCTTTGGTGCCCTGCCTCACCTCAAGAAGCGTCGCTTTTGCCCTGCCAAGCCTCGAAGAGATTCCTGAGGTGTCCCTCGTTACGAGACAGGAGTCCTGACGTCACTGAAGAAACTCGTGTTTTGAAGGGCCAACCCCGCCGTAAGTCAAGAACATACGCCAGGACCCCGCCGAAACTCAAGAAAAACCATGAGACTTCCCCCTAGAGGCGAGATGAGGCCCCATTCCCCTGCGGTGCATGCAGATTTATTCCGTGATCCCATTCAAACAAGTCAGGAGCTTCGACATGCTTAATGGATCTCGAGACAGTCCCCAAGAACACTGTCACCAGTCTAGACGGACCCTGAGGTCACCCCAGCAACGCAAAGCAGGTCCATGTGCCCCAAATCAACTCGAGATGAGGCCCGATTCCCCTGCATTGACTCAAGAGCCATTCCCCGTTCCCGATTCAACACGACCGGTGGCTCGACTTCCTTCAGGCAACTCCAGAGATGCCCCGAGAACACTGTCCCAAGTCTAGAGGAACACCAACTTCAGTATAGCAACTCGAGGAATGCTCCATGTACCCCAAATCGTCTCGAGATGAGAGCTGATTCCCTGGCTTAGGCTCAAGACGTATGCCAACTTTCCAGAAGCACCTCAGGAGGAGGCTTCTCTCAGCAATAGGTATGTGGGAGGGACCCCGAGATCGCTGCCTCAAGTGGAATATACAGCGAGAAGCCCTAACTTGAAAGGAGGCCGGATTTCCTTGCAGTGGCTTGAATACAGGCTCGTCTTTGATCTCACAACATGAAGACATGTCTGAATCCCTTGTGGAGACCTTAGAGAAAGCCCTAGGTCCCTGCCTCATTGTGACGGAATGACTCACATCCCGTTGACACCTCGAGAGGCACGCGGAGTTCATTGCTTCAAAAGGTGACGATGCCTGACTCCTCTTGAATACTGATAGGAATCCCACAATCCCTGTGGCTACTGGAATGGGTCCTTGGGTGCCCTGCCTCACCTCGAGAAGCATCCCTTTTGCCCTGCCAAGCCTCGAAGAGATTCCTGAGGTGTCCCTCGTTACTAGACAGCAGTCGTGATGTCACTGAAGAAACTCGTGTTTTGAAGGGCCATCCCCGCCGTAAGTCGAGAACATACCCCAGGTCCCCGCCGCAACTCGAGAAAAACCATGAGACTTCCCCCTAGAGGCGAGATGAGGCCCCATTCCCCTGCAGTGCATGCAGAGCTATTCCGTGATCCCATTCAAACAAGTCAGGAGCTTCGACTTGCTTAATGGATCTCGAGACAGTCACCAAGAACACTGTCACCATTCTAGACGGACCCTGAGGTCAACCCAGCAACGGAAAGCAGCTCCATGTGCCCCAAATCAACTCGAGATGAGGCCAGATTCCCCTGCATTGACTACAGAGCCATTCCCCGTTCCCCATTCAACACGACCGGTGGCTCGACTTCCTTCAGGCAATAACAGAGATGCCCCGTGTACACTGTCCCAAGTCTAGAGGAACACAAACTTTAGCACAGCAACTCTAGGAATGATCCATGTACCCCAAATCGTCTCGAGATGAGAGCTGATTCCCTGGCTTAGGCTCAAGACGTATGCCAACTTTCCTGAAGCACCTCAGGAGGAGGCTTCTCTCAGCAATAGGTATGTGGGAGGGACCCCGAGATCGCTGCCTCAAGTGGAATATACAGCGAGAAGCCCTAACTTGAAAGGAGGCCGGATTTCCTTGCAGTGGCTTGAATACAGGCTCGTCTTTGATCTCAAAACATGAAGGGATGTCTGAATCCCCTGTGGAGACCTTAGAGAAAGCCCTAGGTCCCTGCCTCATTTTGTCGGAATGCCTCACATCCCGTTGACACCTTGAGAGGCACGCAGAGCTCATTGCTTCAAAAGGTGACGATCCCTGACTCCTCTTGAATACTGATAGGAATCCCAAAATCCCTGTGGCTTCTGGAAAGGGTCCTTGGGTGCCCTGCCTCACATCGAGAAGCGTCCCTTTTGCCCTGCCAAGCCTCGAAGAGATTCCTGATGTGTCCCTCGTTACGAGACAGGAGTCCTGACGTCACTGAAGAAACTCATGTTTTGAAGGGCCATCCCCGCCGTAAGTCGAGAACATACCCCAGGTCCCCGCCGCAACTCGAGAAAAACCATGAGACTTCCTGCTAGAGGCGAGATGAGGCCCCATTCCCCTGCAGTGCATGCAGAGCTATTCCGTGATCCCATTCAAACAAGTCAGGAGTTTCGACTTGCTTAATGGATCTCCAGAGAGTCCCCAAGAACACTGTCACCAGTCTAGACGGAACCTGAGGTCACCCCAGCAATGCAAAGCAGTTCCATGTGCCCCAAATCAACTCGAGATGAGGCCCGATTCCCCTGCATTGACCCCAGAGCCATTCCCCGTTCCCCATTCAACACGACCGGTGGCTCGACTTCCTTCAGGCAACTCCAGAGATGCCCCGAGAACACTGTCCCAAGTCTAGAGGAACACCAACTTAAGCACAGCAACTCGAGGCATGCTCCGTGTACCCCAAATCGTCTCGAGATGAGAGCTGATTCCCTGGCTTAGGCTCAAGACGTATGCCAACTTTCCAGAAGCACCTCAGGAGTAGGCTTCTCTCAGCAATAGTTATGTGGGAGGGACCCCGAAATCGCTGCCTCAAATGGAATATACAGCGAGAAGCCCTAACTTGAAAGGAGGCCGGATTTCCTTGCAGTGGCTTGAATACAGGCTGGTCTTTGATCACACAACATGAAGGCATATCTGAATCCCCTGTGGAGACCTTTGAGAAAGCCCTAGGTCCCTGCCTCATATTGACGAAATGCCTCACATTCCGCTGACACCTCGAGAGGCACGCGGAGTTCATTGTTTCAAAAGGTGACGATGCCTGACTCCTCTTGAATACTGATAGGAATCCCAGAATCCCTGTGGCTACTGGAAAGGGTCCTTGGGTGCCCTGCCTCACCTCGAGAAGCGTCCCTTTTGCCCTGCCAAGTCTCGAAGAGATTCCTGAGGTGTCCCTCGTTACTAGACAGGAGTCCTGACGTCACTGAAATAACTCGTGTTTTGAATGGCCATCCCTGCTGTAAGTCGAGAACATACCCCAGGTCCCCGCCGCAACTCGAGAAAAAGCATGAGACTTCCCCCTAGAGGCGAGATGAGGCCCCATTCCCCTGCAGTGCATGCACAACTATTCCGTGATCCCATTCAAACAAGTCAGGAGCTTCGACTTGCTTAATGGATCTCGAGACAGTCCCCAAGAACACTGTCACCAGTCTAGACGGACCCTGAGGTCAACCCAGCAACGGAAAGCAGCACCATGTGCCCCAAATCAACTCGAGATGAGGCCCGATTCCCCTGCATTGACTCCAGAGCCATTCACCGTTCCCCATTCAACACGACCGGTGGCTCGACTTCCTTCAGGCAATAACAGAGATGCCCCGTGAACACTGTCCCAAGTCTAGAGGAACACCAACTTCAGCACAGCAACTCGAGGAATGCTCCATGTACCCCAAATCGTCTCGAGATGAGAGCTGATTCCCTGGCTTCGGCTCAAGACGTATGCCAACTTTCCAGAAGCACCTCAGGAGGAGGCTTCTCTCTGCAATAGGTATGTGGGAGGGACCCCGAGATCGCTGCCTCAAGTGGAATATACAGCGAGAAGCCCTAACTTGAAAGGAGGCCGGATTTCCTTGCAGTGGCTTGAATACAGGCTCGTCTTTGATCTCACAACATGAAGGCATGTCTGAATCCCCTGTGGAGACCTTAGAGAAAGCCCTAGGTCCCTGCCTCATTTTGACGGAATGCCTCACATCCCGTTGACACCTCGAGAGGCACGCGGAGTTCATTGCTTCAAAAGGTGACGATGCCTGACTCCTCTTGAATACTGATAGGAATCCCAAAATCCCTGTGGCTACTGGAATGGGTCCTTGGGTGCCCTGCCTCACCTCGAGAAGCGTCCCTTTTGCCCTGCCAAGCCTCGAAGAGATTCCTGAGGTGTCCCTTGTTACTAGACAGGAGTCCTGACGTCACTGAAGAAACTCGTGTTCTGAAGGGCCATCCCCGCCGTAAGTCGAGAACGTACCCCAGGTCCCCGCCGCAACTCGAGAAAATCCATGAGACTTCCCCCTAGAGGCGAGATGAGGCCCCATTCCCATTCAGTGCATGCAGAGCTATTCCGTGATCCCATTCAAACAAGTCAGGAGCTTCGACTTGCTTATTGGATCTCGAACCAGTCCCCAAGAACACTGTCACCAGTCTAGACGGACCCTGAGGTCACCCCAGCAACGCAAAGCAGCTCCATGTGCCCCAAATCAACTCGAGATGAGGCCCGATTCCCCTGCATTGACTCCAGAGCCATTCCCCGTTCCCCATTCAACACGACCGGTGGCTCGACTTCCTTCAGGCAATAACAGAGATGCCCCGTGAACACTGTCCCACGTCTAGAGGAACACCAACTTCAGCAAAGCAACTCGAGGAATGCTCCATGTACCCCAAATCGTCTCGAGATGAAACCTGATTCCCTGGTTTAGGCTCAAGACGTATGCCAAATTTCCAGAAGCACCTCAGGAGGAGGCTTCTCTCAGCAATAGGTATGTGGGAGGGACCCCGAGAACGCTTCCTCAAGTGGAATATACAGCGAGAAGCCCTAACTTGAAAGAAGGCCGGATTTCCTTGCAGTGTCTTGAATGCAGGCTCGTCTTTTATCTCAAAACATGAAGGGATGTCTGAATCCCCTGTGGAGACCTTAGAGAAAGCCCTAGGTCCCTGCCTCCTTTTGACGGAATGCCTCACATCCCATTGACACCTCGAGAGGCACGCGGAGTTCATTGCTTCAAAAGGTGACGATGCCTGACTCCTCTTGAATACTGATAGGAATCCCAAAATCCCTGTGGCTACTGGAAAGGGTCCTTGGGTGCCCTGCCTCACCTCGAGAAGCGTCCCTTTTGCCGTGCCAAGCCTCGAAGAGATTCCTGAGGTGTCCCTCGTTACTAGACAGGAGTCCTGACGTCACTGAAGAAACTCGTGTTTTGAAGGGCCATCCCCGCCGTAAGACGAGAACGTACCCAGGTCCCCGCCGCAACTCGAGAAAATCCATGAGACTTCCCCCTAGAGGCGAGATGAGGCCCCATTCCCCTGCAGTGCATGCAGAGCTATTCCGTGATCCCATTCAAACAAGTCAGGAGCTTCGACTTGCTTAATGGATCTCGAGACAGTCCCCAAGAACACTGTCACCAGTCTAGACGGACCCTGAGGTCAACCCAGCAACGGAAAGCAGCTCCATGTGCCCCAAATCAACTCGAGATGAGGCCCGATTCCCCTGCATTGACTCCAGAGCCATTCCCCGTTCCCCATTCACCACGACCGCTGGCTCGACTTCCTTCAGGCAATAATAGAGATGCTCCGTGTACACTGTCCCAAGTCTAGAGGAACACAAACTTCAGCACAGCAACTCGAGGAATGCTCCATGTACCCCAAATCGTCTCGAGATGAGAGCTGATTCCCTTGCTTAGGCTCAAGACGTATGCCAACTTTCCAGAAGCACCTCAGGAGGAGGCTTCTCTCACCAATAGGTATGTGGGAGGGACCCCGAGATCGCTGCCTCAAGTGGAATATACAGCGAGATGCCCTAACTTGAAAGGAGGCCGGATTTCCTTGCAGTGGCTTGAATACAGGCTTGTCTTTGATCTCACAACATGAAGGCATGTCTGAATCCCCTGTGGAGATCTTAGAGAAAGCCCTAGATCCCTGCGTCATTTGACGTAATGCCTCACATCCCGTTGACACCTCGAGAGGCACGCGGAGTTCATTGCTTCAAAAGGTGACGATGCCTGACTCCTCTTGAATACTGATAGGAATCCCAAAATCCCTGTGGCTACTGGAAAGGGTACTTGGGTGCCCTGCCTCACCTCGAGAAGCGTCCCTTTTGCCCTGCCAAGCCTCGAAGAGATTCCTGAGGTGTCCCTCGTTACTAGACAGGAGTCCTGACGTCACTGAAGAAACTCGTGTTTTGAAGGGCCATCCCCGCCGTAAGTCGAGACCATACCCCAGGTCCCCGCCGCAACTCGAGAAAAACCATGAGACTTCCCCCTAGAGGCGAGATGAGGCCCCATTACCCTGCAGTGCATGCACAGCTATTAAGTGATCACATTCAAACAAGTCAGGAGCTTCGACTTGCTTAATGGATCTCGAGACAGTCCCCAAGAACACTGTCACCAGTCTAGACGGACCCTGAGGTCACCCCAGCAACGCAAAGCAGCTCCATGTGCCCCAAATCAACTCGAGATGAGGCCCGATTCCCCTGCATTGACTCCAGAGCCATTCCCCGTTCCCCATTCAACACGACCGGTGGCTCGACTTCCTTCAGGCAACTCCAGAGATGCCCCGAGAACACTGTCCCAAGTTTAGAGGAACACCACTTCAGCACAGCAACTCGAGGAATGCTCCATGCACCCCAAATCGTCTCGAGATGAGAGCTGATTCCCTGGCTTAGGCTCAAGACGTATGCCAACTTTCCAGAAGCACCTCAGGAGGAGGCTTCTCTCAGCAATAGGTATGTGGGAGGGACCCCGAGATCGCTGCCTCATGGGGAATATACTGCGAGAAGCCCTAACTTGAAAGGAGGCCGGATTTCCTTGCAATGGCTTGAATACAGGCTCGTCTTTGATCTCACAACATGAAGGCATGTCTGAATCCCCTGTGGAGACCTTAGAGAAAGCCCTAGGTCCCTGCCTCATTTTGACGGAATGCCTCACATCCTGTTGCCACCTCGAGAGGCACGAGGAGTTCATTGCCTCAAAAGGTGACGATGCCTGACTCCTCTTGAATACTGATAGGAATCCCAAAATCCCTGTGGCTACTGGAATGGGTCCTTGGGTGCCCTGCCTCACCTCGAGAAGCGTCCCTTTTGCCCTGCCAAGCCTCGAAGAGATTCCTGAGGTGTCCCTTGTTACTAGACAGGAGTCCTGACGTCACTGAAGAAACTCGTGTTTTGAAGGGCCATCCCCGCCGTAAGTCGAGAACGTACCCCAGGTCCCCGCCGCAACTCGAGAAAATCCATGAGACTTCCCCCTAGAGGCGAGATGAGGCCCCATTCCCATTCAGTGCATGCAGAGCTATTCCGTGATCCCATTCAAACAAGTCAGGAGCTTCGACTTGCTTAATGGATCTCGAGCCAGTCCCCAAGAACACTGTCACCAGTCTAGACGGACCCTGAGGTCACCCCAGCAACGCAAAGCAGGTCCATGTGCCCCAAATCAACTCGAGATGAGGCCCGATTCCCCTGCATTGACTCCAGAGCCATTCCCCGTTCCCCATTCAACACGACCGGTGGCTCGACTTCCTTCAGGCAACTCCAGAGATGCCCCGAGAACACTGTCCCAAGTTTAGAGGAACACCACTTCAGCACAGCAACTCGAGGAATGCTCCATGTACACCAAATCGTCTCGAGATGAGAGCTGATTCCCTGGCTTAGGCTCAAGACGTATGCCAACTTTCCAGAAGCACCTCAGGAGGAGGCTTCTCTCAGCAATAGGTATGTGGGAGGGACCCCGAGATCGCTGCCTCAAGGGGAATATACAGCGAGAAGCCCTAACTTGAAAGGAGGCCGGATTTCCTTGCAGTGGATTGAATACAGGCTCGTCTTTGATCTCACAACATGAAGGCATGTCTGAATCCCCTGTGGAGACCTTAGAGAAAGCCCTAGGTCCCTGCCTCATTTAACGGAATGCCTCACATTCGGTTGACAACTCGAGAGGCACGCAGAGCTCATTGCTTCAAAAGGTGACGATGCCTGACTCCTCTTGAATACTGATAGGAATCCCAAAATCCCTGTGGCTACTGGAAAGGGTCCTTGGGTGCCCTGCCTCACATCGAGAAGCGTCCCTTTCCCCTGCAAAGCCTCGAAGAAATTCCTGAAGTGTCCCTCATTACGAGACAGGAGTCATGACGTCACTGAAGAAAATCGTGTTTTGAAGGGCCATCCCCGCCGTAAGTCGAGAACATACCCCAGGTCCCCGCCGCAACTCGAGAAAAACCATGAGACTTCCCCCTAGAGCGAGATGAGGCCCCATTCCCCTGCAGTGCATGCAGAGCTATTCCGTGATCCCATTCAAACAAGTCAGGAGCTTCGACGTGCTTAATGGATCTCGAGACAGTCCCCAAGAACACTGTCACCAGTCTAGACGGACCCTGAGGTCACCCCAGCAACGCAAAGCAGCTCCATGTTCCCCAAATCAACTCGAGATGAGGCCCGATTCCCCTGCATTGACTCCAGAGCCATTCCGCGTTCCCCATTCAACACGACCGGTGGCTCGACTTCCTTCAGGCAACTCCAGAGATGCCCCAAGAACACTGTCCCAAGTCTAGAGGAACACCAACTTCAGCACAGCAACTCGAGGAATGCTACATGTACCCCAAATCGTCTCGAGATGAGAGCTGATTCCCTGGCTTAGGCTCAAGACGTATGCCAACTTTCCAGAAGCACCTCAGGAGGAGGCTTCTCTCAGCAATAGGTATGTGGGAGGGACCCCGAGATCGCTGCCTCAAGTGGAATATACAGCGAGAAGCCCTAACTTGAAAGGAGGCCGGATTTCCTTGCAGTGTCTTGAATGCAGGCTCGTCTTTTATCTCAAAACATGAAGAGATGTCTGAATCCCCTGTGGAGACTTTAGAGAAAGCCCTAGGTCCCTGCCTCATTTTGACGGAAGGCCTCACATCCCGTTGACACCTCGAGAGGCACGCGGAGTTCATTGCTTCAAAATGTGACGATGCCTGACTCCTCTTGAATACTGATAGGAATCCAAAAATCCCTGTGGCTACTAGAATGGGTCCTTGGGTGCCCTGCCTCACCTCGAGAAGCGTCCCTTTTGCCCTGCAAAGCCTCGAGGAGATTCCTGAGGTGTCCCTCGTTACTAGACAGGAGTCCTGACGTTACTGAAGAAACTCGTGTTTTGAAGGCCGTCCCCGCCGTAAGTCGAAAATATACCCCAGGTCCCCGCCGCAACTCGAGAAAAACCATGAGACTTCCCCCTAGAGGCGAGATGAGGCCCAATTCCCCTGCAGTGCATGCAGAGCTATTCCGTGATCCCATTCAAACAAGTCAGGAGCTTCGACTTCCTTAATGGATCTCGAGACAGTCCTCAAGAACACTGTCACCATTCTAGACGGACTCTGAGGTCAACCCAGCAACGGAAAGCAGCTCCATGTGCCCCAAATCAACTCGAGATGAGGCCCGATTCCCCTGCATTGACTCCATAGCCATTCCCTGTTCCCCATTGAACACGACCGGTGGCTCGACTTCCTTCAGGCAACTCCAGAGATGCCCTGAGAACACTCTCCCAAGACTAGAGTCACACCAACTTCAGCACAGCAACTCGAGGAAAGCTCCGTGTACACCAAATCGTCTCGAGATGAGAGCTGATTCCCTGGCTTAGGCTCAAGACGTATGCCAACTTTCCAGAAGCACCTCAGGAGGAGGCTTCTCTCAGCAATAGGTATGTGGGAGGGACCCCGAGATCGCTGCCTCAAGTGGAATATACAGCGAGAAGCCCTAACTTGAAAGGAGGTCGGATTTCCTTGCAGTGGCTTGAATACAGGCTTGTCTTTGATCTCACAACATGAAGGCATGTCTGAATCCCCTGTGGAGACCTTAGAGAAAGCCCTAGGTCCCTGCCTCATTTTGAAGGAATGACTCACATCCGGTTGACACCTCGAGAGGCACGCAGAGTTCATTGCTTCAAAAGGTGACGATGCCTGACTCCTCTTGAATACTGATAGGAATCCCGAAATCCCTGTGGCTACTGGAAAGGGTACTTTGGTGCCCTGCCTCACCTCAAGAAGCGTCCCTTTGCCCTGCAAAGCCTCGAAGAAATTCCTGAAGTGTCCCTCGTTACGAGACAGGAGTCATGACGTCACTGAAGAAAATCGTGTTTTGAAGGGCCATCCCCGCCCTAAGTCGAGAACATACCCCAGGTCCCCGCCGCAACTCGAGAAAAACCATGAGACTTCCCCCTAGAGGCGAGATGAGGCCCCATTCCCCTGCAGTGCATGCAGAGCTATTCCGTGATCCCATTCAAACAAGTCAGGAGCTTCGACTTGCTTAATGGATCTCGAGACAGTCCCCAAGAACACTGTCACCAGTCTAGACGGACCCTGAGGTCACCCCAGCAACGCAAAGCATCTCCATGTTCCCCAAATCAACTCGAGATGAGGCCCGATTCCCCTGCATTGACTCCAGAGCCATTCCCCGTTCCCCATTCAACAGGACCGGTGGCTCGACTTCCTTCAGGCAATAACAGAGATGCCCCATGAACACTGTCCCAAGTCTAGAGGAACACCAACTTCAGCACAGCAACTCGAGGTATGCTCCATGTACCCCAAATCGTCTCGAGATGAGAGCTGATTCCCTGGCTTAGGCTCAAGACGTATGCCAACTTTCCAGAAGCACCTCAGGAGGAGGCTTCTCTCAGCAATAGGTATGTGGGAGGGACCCCGAGATCGCTGCCTCAAGGGGAATATACAGCGAGAAGCCCTAACTTGAAAGGAGTCCGGATTTCCTTGCAGTGGCTTGAATACAGGCTCGTCTTTGATCTCACAACATGAAGGGATGTCTGAATCCCCTGTGGAGACCTTAGAGAAAGCCCTAGGTCCCTGCCTCATTTTGACGGAATGCCTCACATCCCGTTGACACCTCGAGAGTCACGCGGAGTTCATTGCTTCAAAAGGTGACGATGCCTGACTCCTCTTGAATACTGATAGGAATCCCAAAATCCCTGTGGCTACTGGAATGGGTCCTTGGGTGCCCTGCCTCACCTCGAGAAGCATCCCTTTTGCCCTGCCAAGCCTCGAAGAGATTCCTGAGGTGTCCCTCGTTACTAGACAGGAGTCCTGATGTCACTGAAGAAACTCGTGTTTTGAAGGGCCATCCCCGCCGTAAGTCGAGAACATATCCCAGGTCGCCGCCGCAACTCGAGAAAAACCATGAGACTTCCCCCTAGAGGCGAGATGAGGCCCCATTCCCCTGCAGTGCATGCAGAGCTATTCCGTGATCCCATTCAAACAAGTCAGGAACTTCGACGTGCTTAATGGATCTCGAGACAGTCCCCAAGAACACTGTCACCAGTCTAGACGGACCCTGAGGTCACCCCAGCAACGCAAAGCATCTCCATGTTCCCCAAATCAACTCGAGATGAGGCCCGATTCCCCTGCATTGACTCCAGAGCCATTCCCCGTTCCCCATTCAACAGGACCGGTGGCTCGACTTCCTTCAGGCAATAACAGAGATGCCCCATGAACACTGTCCCAAGTCTAGAGGAACACCAACTTCAGCACAGCAACTCGAGGTATGCTCCATGTACCCCAAATCGTCTCGAGATGAGAGCTGATTCCCTGGCTTAGGCTCAAGACGTATGCCAACTTTCCAGAAGCACCTCAGGAGGAGGCTTCTCTCAGCAATAGGTATGTGGGAGGGACCCCGAGATCGCTGCCTCAAGGGGAATATACAGCGAGAAGCCCTAACTTGAAAGGAGTCCGGATTTCCTTGCAGTGGCTTGAATACAGGCTCGTCTTTGATCTCACAACATGAAGGGATGTCTGAATCCCCTGTGGAGACCTTAGAGAAAGCCCTAGGTCCCTGCCTCATTTTGACGGAATGCCTCACATCCCGTTGACACCTCGAGAGTCACGCGGAGTTCATTGCTTCAAAAGGTGACGATGCCTGACTCCTCTTGAATACTGATAGGAATCCCACAATCCCTGTGGCTACTGGAATGGGTACTTGGGTGCCCTGCCTCACCTCGAGAAGCATCCCTTTTGCCGTGCCAAGCCTCGAAGAGATTCCTGAGGTGTCCCTCGTTACTAGACAGCAGTCCTGATGTCACTGAAGAAAATCGTGTTTTGAAGGGCCATCCCCACCGTAAGTCGAGAACATAACCCAGGTCCCCGCCGCAACTCGAGGAAAACCATGAGACTTCCCCCTAGAGGCGAGATGAGGCCCCATTCCCCTGCAGTGCATGCAGAGCTATTCCGTGATCCCATTCAAACAAGTCAGGAGCTTCGACTTGCTTAATGGATCTCGAGACAGTCCCCAAGAACACTGTCACCATTCTAGACGGACCCTGAGGTCACCCCAGCAACGGAAAGCAGCTCCATGTGACCCAAATCAACTCGAGATGAGGCCCGATTCCCCTGCATTGACTCCAGAGCCATTCCCCGTTCCCCATTCAACAGGACCGGTGGCTCGACTTCCTTCAGGCAATAACAGAGATGCCCCGTGAACACTGTCCCAAGTCTAGAGGAACACCAACTTCAGCACAGCAACTCGAGGTATGCTCCATGTACCCCAAATCGTCTCGAGATGAGAGCTGATTCCCTGGCTTAGGCTCAAGACGTATGCCAACTTTCCAGAAGCACCTCAGGAGGAGGCTTCTCTCAGCAATAGGTATGTGGGAGGGACCCCGAGATCGCTGCCTCAATTGGAATATACAGCGAGAAGCCCTAACTTGAAAGGAGGCCGGATTTCCTTGCAGTGGCTTGAATACAGGCTCGTCTTTGATCTCACAACATGAAGGGATGTCTGAATCCCCTGAGGAGACCTTAGAGAAAGCCCTAGGTCCCTGCCTCATTTTGTCGAAATGCCTCACATCCCGTTGACACCTTGAGAGGCACGCAGAGTTCATTGCTTCAAAAGGTGACGATGCCTGACTCCTCTTGAATACTGATAGGAATCCCAAAATCCCTGTGGGTTCTGGAAAGGGTCCTTGGGTGCCCTGCCTCACCTCGAGAAGCGTCCCTTTTGCCCTGCCAAGCCTCGAAGAGATTCCTGAGGTGTCCCTCGTTACGAGACAGGAGTCCTGACGTCACTGAAGAAACTCGTGTTTTGAAGGGCCATCCCCGCCGTAAGTCGAGAACATACCCCAGGTCCCCGCCGCAACTCGAGAAAAACCATGAGACTTCCGGCTACAGGCGAGATGAGGCCCCATTCGACTGCAGTGCATGCAGAGCTATTCCGTGATCCCATTCAAACAAGTCAGGAGCTTCGACTTGCTTAATGGATCTCGAGACAGTCCCCAAGAACACTGTCACCAGTCTAGACGGAACCTGAGGTCACCCCAGCAATGCAAAGCAGCTCCATGTGCCCCAAATCAACTCGAGATGAGGCCCGATTCCCCTGCATTGACACCAGAGCCATTCCCCGTTCCCCATTCAACACGACCGGTGGCTCGACTTCCTTCAGGCAACTCCAGAGATGCCCTGAGAACACTCTCCCAAGACTAGAGTCACACCAACTTCAGCACAGCAACTCGAGGAAAGCTCCGTGTACCCCAAATCGTCTCGAGATGAGAGCTGATTCCCTGGCTTAGGCTCAAGACGTATGCCAACTTTCCAGAAGCACCTCAGGAGGAGGCTTCTCTCAGCAATAGGTATGTGGGAGGGACCCCGAGATCGCTGCCTCAAGTGGAATATACAGCGAGAAGCCCTAACTTGAAAGGAGGCCGGATTTCCTAGCAGTGGCTTGAATACAGGCTTGTCTTTGATCTCACAACATGAAGGCATGTCTGAATCCCCTGTGGAGACCTTAGAGAAAGCCCTAGGTCCCTGCCTCATTTTGAAGGAATGCCTCACATCCGGTTGACACCTCGAGAGGCACGCAGAGTTCATTGCTTCAAAAGGTGACGATGCCTGACTCCTCTTGAATACTGATAGGAATCCCAAAATCACTGTGGCTACTGGAAAGGGTACTTGGGTGCCCTGCCTCACCTCAAGAAGCGTCCCTTTGCCCTGCAAAGCCTCGAAGAAATTCCTGAAGTGTCCCTCGTTACGAGACAGGAGTCATGACGTCACTGAAAAAAATCGTGTTTTGAAGGGCCATCCCCGCCCTAAGTCGAGAACATACCCCAGGTCCCCGCCGCAACTCGAGAAAAACCATGAGACTTCCCCCTAGAGGCGAGATGAGGCCCCATTCCCCTGCAGTGCATGCAGAGCTATTCCGTGATCCCATTCAAACAAGTCAGGAACTTCGACGTGCTTAATGGATCTCGAGACAGTCCCCAAGAACACTGTCACCAGTCTAGACGGACCCTGAGGTCACCCGAGCAACGCAAAGCATCTCCATGTTCCCCAAATCAACTCGAGATGAGGCCCGATTCCCCTGCATTGACTCCAGAGCCATTCCCCGTTCCCCATTCAACAGGACCGGTGGCTCGACTTCCTTCAGGCAATAACAGAGATGCCCCATGAACACTGTCCCAAGTCTAGAGGAACACCAACTTCAGCACAGCAACTCGAGGTATGCTCCATGTACCCCAAATCGTCTCGAGATGAGAGCTGATTCCCTGGCTTAGGCTCAAGACGTATGCCAACTTTCCAGAAGCACCTCAGGAGGAGGCTTCTCTCAGCAATAGGTATGTGGGAGGGACCCCGAGATCGCTGCCTCAAGGGGAATATACAGCGAGAAGCCCTAACTTGAAAGGAGGCCGGATTTCCTTGCAGTGGCTTGAATACAGGCTCGTCTTTGATCTCACAACATGAAGGGATGTCTGAATCCCCTGAGGAGACCTTAGAGAAAGCCCTAGGTCCCTGCCTCATTTTGTCGAAATGCCTCACATCCCGTTGACACCTTGAGAGGCACGCAGAGTTCATTGCTTCAAAAGGTGACGATGCCTGACTCCTCTTGAATACTGATAGGAATCCCAAAATCCCTGTGGGTTCTGGAAAGGGTCCTTGGGTGCCCTGCCTCACCTCGAGAAGCGTCCCTTTTGCCCTGCCAAGCCTCGAAGAGATTCCTGAGGTGTCCCTCGTTACGAGACAGGAGTCCTGACGTCACTGAAGAAACTCGTGTTTTGAAGGGCCATCTCCGCCGTAAGTCGAGAACATACCCCAGGTCCCCGCCGCAACTCGAGAAAAACCATGAGACTTCCCGCTACAGGCGAGATGAGGCCCCATTCGACTGCAGTGCATGCAGAGCTATTCCGTGATCCCATTCAAACAAGTCAGGAGCTTCGACTTGCTTAATGGATCTCGAGACAGTCCCCAAGAACACTGTCACCAGTCTAGACGGAACCTGAGGTCACCCCAGCAATGCAAAGCAGCTCCATGTGCCCCAAATCAACTCGAGATGAGGCCCGATTCCCCTGCATTGACACCAGAGCCATTCCCCGTTCCCCATTCAACACGACCGGTGGCTCGACTTCCTTCAGGCAACTCCAGAGATGCCCCGAGAACACTGTCCCAACTTTAGAGGAACACCACTTCAGCACAGCAACTCGAGGAATGCTCCATGTACCCCAAATCGTCTCGAGATGAGAGCTGATTCCCTGGCTTAGGCTCAAGACATATGCCAACTTTCCAGAAGCACCTCAGGAGGAGGCTTCTCTCAGCAATAGGTATGTGGGAGGGACCCCAAGATCGCTGCCTCAAGTGGAATATACAGCGAGAAGCCCTAACTTGAAAGGAGGCCGGATTTCCTTGCAGTGGATTGAATACAAGCTTGTCTTTCATCTCACAACATGAAGGCATGTCTGAATCCCCTGTGGAGACCTTAGAGAAAGCCCTAGGTCCCTGCCTCATTTAACGGAATGCCTCACATTCGGTTGACACCTCGAGAGGCACGCAGAGCTCATTGCTTCAAAAGGTGACGATGCCTGACTCCTCTTGAATACTGATAGGAATCCCAAAATCCCTGTGGCTACTGGAATGGGTCCTTGGGTGCCCTGCCTCAACTCGAGAAGCGTCCCTTTCCCCTGCAAAGCCTCGAAGAAATTCCTGAAGTGTCCCTCATTACGAGACAGGAGTCATGACGTCACTGAAGAAAATCGTGTTTTGAAGGGCCATCCCCGCCGTAAGTCGAGAACATACCCCAGGTCCCCGCCGCAACTCGAGAAAAACCATGAGACTTCCCCCTAGAGCGAGATGAGGCCCCATTCCCCTGCAGTGCATGCAGAGCTATTCCGTGATCCCATTCATACAAGTCAGGAGCTTCGACGTGCTTAATGGATCTCGAGACAGTCCCCAAGAACACTGTCACCAGTCTAGACGGACCCTGAGGTCACCCCAGCAACGCAAAGCAGCTCCATGTGCCCCAAATCAACTCGAGATGAGGCCCGATTCCCCTGCATTGACTCCAGAGCCATTCCCCGTTCCCCATTCAACACGACCGGTGGCTCGACTTCCTTCAGGCAACTCCAGAGATGCCCCAAGAACACTGTCCCAAGTCTAGAGGAACACCAACTTCAGCACAGCAACTCGAGGAATGCTCCATGTACCCCAAATCGTCTCGAGATGAGAGCTGATTCCCTGGCTTAGGCTCAAGACGTATGCCAACTTTCCAGAAGCACCTCAGGAGGAGGCTTCTCTCAGCAATAGGTATGTGGGAGGGACCCCGAGATCGCTGCCTCAAGTGGAATATACAGCGAGAAGCCCTAACTTGAAAGGAGGCCGGATTTCCTTGCAGTGTCTTGAATGCAGGCTCGTCTTTTATCTCAAAACATGAAGAGATGTCTGAATCCCCTGTGGAGACTTTAGAGAAAGCCCTAGGTCCCTGCCTCATTTTGACGGAAGGCCTCACATCCCGTTGACACCTCGAGAGGCACGCGGAGTTCATTGCTTCAAAATGTGACGATGCCTGACTCCTCTTGAATACTGATAGGAATCCAAAAATCCCTGTGGCTACTAGAATGGGTCCTTGGGTGCCCTGCCTCACCTCGAGAAGCGTCCCTTTTGCCCTGCAAAGCCTCGAGGAGATTCCTGAGGTGTCCCTCGTTACTAGACAGGAGTCCTGACGTTACTGAAGAAACTCGTGTTTTGAAGGCCGTCCCCGCCGTAAGTCGAAAATATACCCCAGGTCCCCGCCGCAACTCGAGAAAAACCATGAGACTTCCCCCTAGAGGCGAGATGAGGCCCAATTCCCCTGCAGTGCATGCAGAGCTATTCCGTGATCCCATTCAAACAAGTCAGGAGCTTCGACTTCCTTAATGGATCTCGAGACAGTCCTCAAGAACACTGTCACCATTCTAGACGGACTCTGAGGTCAACCCAGCAACGGAAAGCAGCTCCATGTGCCCCAAATCAACTCGAGATGAGGCCCGATTCCCCTGCATTGACTCCATAGCCATTCCCTGTTCCCCATTGAACACGACCGGTGGCTCGACTTCCTTCAGGCAACTCCAGAGATGCCCTGAGAACACTCTCCCAAGACTAGAGTCACACCAACTTCAGCACAGCAACTCGAGGAAAGCTCCGTGTACACCAAATCGTCTCGAGATGAGAGCTGATTCCCTGGCTTAGGCTCAAGACGTATGCCAACTTTCCAGAAGCACCTCAGGAGGAGGCTTCTCTCAGCAATAGGTATGTGGGAGGGACCCCGAGATCGCTGCCTCAAGTGGAATATACAGCGAGAAGCCCTAACTTGAAAGGAGGTCGGATTTCCTTGCAGTGGCTTGAATACAGGCTTGTCTTTGATCTCACAACATGAAGGCATGTCTGAATCCCCTGTGGAGACCTTAGAGAAAGCCCTAGGTCCCTGCCTCATTTTGAAGGAATGACTCACATCCGGTTGACACCTCGAGAGGCACGCAGAGTTCATTGCTTCAAAAGGTGACGATGCCTGACTCCTCTTGAATACTGATAGGAATCCCGAAATCCCTGTGGCTACTGGAAAGGGTACTTTGGTGCCCTGCCTCACCTCAAGAAGCGTCCCTTTGCCCTGCAAAGCCTCGAAGAAATTCCTGAAGTGTCCCTCGTTACGAGACAGGAGTCATGACGTCACTGAAGAAAATCGTGTTTTGAAGGGCCATCCCCGCCCTAAGTCGAGAACATACCCCAGGTCCCCGCCGCAACTCGAGAAAAACCATGAGACTTCCCCCTAGAGGCGAGATGAGGCCCCATTCCCCTGCAGTGCATGCAGAGCTATTCCGTGATCCCATTCAAACAAGTCAGGAGCTTCGACTTGCTTAATGGATCTCGAGACAGTCCCCAAGAACACTGTCACCAGTCTAGACGGACCCTGAGGTCACCCCAGCAACGCAAAGCATCTCCATGTTCCCCAAATCAACTCGAGATGAGGCCCGATTCCCCTGCATTGACTCCAGAGCCATTCCCCGTTCCCCATTCAACAGGACCGGTGGCTCGACTTCCTTCAGGCAATAACAGAGATGCCCCATGAACACTGTCCCAAGTCTAGAGGAACACCAACTTCAGCACAGCAACTCGAGGTATGCTCCATGTACCCCAAATCGTCTCGAGATGAGAGCTGATTCCCTGGATTAGGCTCAAGACGTATGCCAACTTTCCAGAAGCACCTCAGGAGGAGGCTTCTCTCAGCAATAGGTATGTGGGAGGGACCCCGAGATCGCTGCCTCAAGGGGAATATACAGCGAGAAGCCCTAACTTGAAAGGAGTCCGGATTTCCTTGCAGTGGCTTGAATACAGGCTCGTCTTTGATCTCACAACATGAAGGGATGTCTGAATCCCCTGTGGAGACCTTAGAGAAAGCCCTAGGTCCCTGCCTCATTTTGACGGAATGCCTCACATCCCGTTGACACCTCGAGAGTCACGCGGAGTTCATTGCTTCAAAAGGTGACGATGCCTGACTCCTCTTGAATACTGATAGGAATCCCAAAATCCCTGTGGCTACTGGAATGGGTCCTTGGGTGCCCTGCCTCACCTCGAGAAGCATCCCTTTTGCCCTGCCAAGCCTCGAAGAGATTCCTGAGGTGTCCCTCGTTACTAGACAGGAGTCCTGATGTCACTGAAGAAACTCGTGTTTTGAAGGGCCATCCCCGCCGTAAGTCGAGAACATATCCCAGGTCGCCGCCGCAACTCGAGAAAAACCATGAGACTTCCCCCTAGAGGCGAGATGAGGCCCCATTCCCCTGCAGTGCATGCAGAGCTATTCCGTGATCCCATTCAAACAAGTCAGGAACTTCGACGTGCTTAATGGATCTCGAGACAGTCCCCAAGAACACTGTCACCAGTCTAGACGGACCCTGAGGTCACCCCAGCAACGCAAAGCATCTCCATGTTCCCCAAATCAACTCGAGATGAGGCCCGATTCCCCTGCATTGACTCCAGAGCCATTCCCCGTTCCCCATTCAACAGGACCGGTGGCTCGACTTCCTTCAGGCAATAACAGAGATGCCCCATGAACACTGTCCCAAGTCTAGAGGAACACCAACTTCAGCACAGCAACTCGAGGTATGCTCCATGTACCCCAAATCGTCTCGAGATGAGAGCTGATTCCCTGGCTTAGGCTCAAGACGTATGCCAACTTTCCAGAAGCACCTCAGGAGGAGGCTTCTCTCAGCAATAGGTATGTGGGAGGGACCCCGAGATCGCTGCCTCAAGGGGAATATACAGCGAGAAGCCCTAACTTGAAAGGAGTCCGGATTTCCTTGCAGTGGCTTGAATACAGGCTCGTCTTTGATCTCACAACATGAAGGGATGTCTGAATCCCCTGTGGAGACCTTAGAGAAAGCCCTAGGTCCCTGCCTCATTTTGACGGAATGCCTCACATCCCGTTGACACCTCGAGAGTCACGCGGAGTTCATTGCTTCAAAAGGTGACGATGCCTGACTCCTCTTGAATACTGATAGGAATCCCACAATCCCTGTGGCTACTGGAATGGGTACTTGGGTGCCCTGCCTCACCTCGAGAAGCATCCCTTTTGCCGTGCCAAGCCTCGAAGAGATTCCTGAGGTGTCCCTCGTTACTAGACAGCAGTCCTGATGTCACTGAAGAAAATCGTGTTTTGAAGGGCCATCCCCACCGTAAGTCGAGAACATAACCCAGGTCCCCGCCGCAACTCGAGGAAAACCATGAGACTTCCCCCTAGAGGCGAGATGAGGCCCCATTCCCCTGCAGTGCATGCAGAGCTATTCCGTGATCCCATTCAAACAAGTCAGGAGCTTCGACTTGCTTAATGGATCTCGAGACAGTCCCCAAGAACACTGTCACCATTCTAGACGGACCCTGAGGTCACCCCAGCAACGGAAAGCAGCTCCATGTGACCCAAATCAACTCGAGATGAGGCCCGATTCCCCTGCATTGACTCCAGAGCCATTCCCCGTTCCCCATTCAACAGGACCGGTGGCTCGACTTCCTTCAGGCAATAACAGAGATGCCCCGTGAACACTGTCCCAAGTCTAGAGGAACACCAACTTCAGCACAGCAACTCGAGGTATGCTCCATGTACCCCAAATCGTCTCGAGATGAGAGCTGATTCCCTGGCTTAGGCTCAAGACGTATGCCAACTTTCCAGAAGCACCTCAGGAGGAGGCTTCTCTCAGCAATAGGTATGTGGGAGGGACCCCGAGATCGCTGCCTCAATTGGAATATACAGCGAGAAGCCCTAACTTGAAAGGAGGCCGGATTTCCTTGCAGTGGCTTGAATACAGGCTCGTCTTTGATCTCACAACATGAAGGGATGTCTGAATCCCCTGAGGAGACCTTAGAGAAAGCCCTAGGTCCCTGCCTCATTTTGTCGAAATGCCTCACATCCCGTTGACACCTTGAGAGGCACGCAGAGTTCATTGCTTCAAAAGGTGACGATGCCTGACTCCTCTTGAATACTGATAGGAATCCCAAAATCCCTGTGGGTTCTGGAAAGGGTCCTTGGGTGCCCTGCCTCACCTCGAGAAGCGTCCCTTTTGCCCTGCCAAGCCTCGAAGAGATTCCTGAGGTGTCCCTCGTTACGAGACAGGAGTCCTGACGTCACTGAAGAAACTCGTGTTTTGAAGGGCCATCCCCGCCGTAAGTCGAGAACATACCCCAGGTCCCCGCCGCAACTCGAGAAAAACCATGAGACTTCCGGCTACAGGCGAGATGAGGCCCCATTCGACTGCAGTGCATGCAGAGCTATTCCGTGATCCCATTCAAACAAGTCAGGAGCTTCGACTTGCTTAATGGATCTCGAGACAGTCCCCAAGAACACTGTCACCAGTCTAGACGGAACCTGAGGTCACCCCAGCAATGCAAAGCAGCTCCATGTGCCCCAAATCAACTCGAGATGAGGCCCGATTCCCCTGCATTGACACCAGAGCCATTCCCCGTTCCCCATTCAACACGACCGGTGGCTCGACTTCCTTCAGGCAACTCCAGAGATGCCCTGAGAACACTCTCCCAAGACTAGAGTCACACCAACTTCAGCACAGCAACTCGAGGAAAGCTCCGTGTACCCCAAATCGTCTCGAGATGAGAGCTGATTCCCTGGCTTAGGCTCAAGACGTATGCCAACTTTCCAGAAGCACCTCAGGAGGAGGCTTCTCTCAGCAATAGGTATGTGGGAGGGACCCCGAGATCGCTGCCTCAAGTGGAATATACAGCGAGAAGCCCTAACTTGAAAGGAGGCCGGATTTCCTAGCAGTGGCTTGAATACAGGCTTGTCTTTGATCTCACAACATGAAGGCATGTCTGAATCCCCTGTGGAGACCTTAGAGAAAGCCCTAGGTCCCTGCCTCATTTTGAAGGAATGCCTCACATCCGGTTGACACCTCGAGAGGCACGCAGAGTTCATTGCTTCAAAAGGTGACGATGCCTGACTCCTCTTGAATACTGATAGGAATCCCAAAATCACTGTGGCTACTGGAAAGGGTACTTGGGTGCCCTGCCTCACCTCAAGAAGCGTCCCTTTGCCCTGCAAAGCCTCGAAGAAATTCCTGAAGTGTCCCTCGTTACGAGACAGGAGTCATGACGTCACTGAAAAAAATCGTGTTTTGAAGGGCCATCCCCGCCCTAAGTCGAGAACATACCCCAGGTCCCCGCCGCAACTCGAGAAAAACCATGAGACTTCCCCCTAGAGGCGAGATGAGGCCCCATTCCCCTGCAGTGCATGCAGAGCTATTCCGTGATCCCATTCAAACAAGTCAGGAACTTCGACGTGCTTAATGGATCTCGAGACAGTCCCCAAGAACACTGTCACCAGTCTAGACGGACCCTGAGGTCACCCGAGCAACGCAAAGCATCTCCATGTTCCCCAAATCAACTCGAGATGAGGCCCGATTCCCCTGCATTGACTCCAGAGCCATTCCCCGTTCCCCATTCAACAGGACCGGTGGCTCGACTTCCTTCAGGCAATAACAGAAATGCCCCATGAACACTGTCCCAAGTCTAGAGGAACACCAACTTCAGCACAGCAACTCGAGGTATGCTCCATGTACCCCAAATCGTCTCGAGATGAGAGCTGATTCCCTGGCTTAGGCTCAAGACGTATGCCAACTTTCCAGAAGCACCTCAGGAGGAGGCTTCTCTCAGCAATAGGTATGTGGGAGGGACCCCGAGATCGCTGCCTCAAGGGGAATATACAGCGAGAAGCCCTAACTTGAAAGGAGGCCGGATTTCCTTGCAGTGGCTTGAATACAGGCTCGTCTTTGATCTCACAACATGAAGGGATGTCTGAATCCCCTGAGGAGACCTTAGAGAAAGCCCTAGGTCCCTGCCTCATTTTGTCGAAATGCCTCACATCCCGTTGACACCTTGAGAGGCACGCAGAGTTCATTGCTTCAAAAGGTGACGATGCCTGACTCCTCTTGAATACTGATAGGAATCCCAAAATCCCTGTGGGTTCTGGAAAGGGTCCTTGGGTGCCCTGCCTCACCTCGAGAAGCGTCCCTTTTGCCCTGCCAAGCCTCGAAGAGATTCCTGAGGTGTCCCTCGTTACGAGACAGGAGTCCTGACGTCACTGAAGAAACTCGTGTTTTGAAGGGCCATCTCCGCCGTAAGTCGAGAACATACCCCAGGTCCCCGCCGCAACTCGAGAAAAACCATGAGACTTCCCGCTACAGGCGAGATGAGGCCCCATTCGACTGCAGTGCATGCAGAGCTATTCCGTGATCCCATTCAAACAAGTCAGGAGCTTCGACTTGCTTAATGGATCTCGAGACAGTCCCCAAGAACACTGTCACCAGTCTAGACGGAACCTGAGGTCACCCCAGCAATGCAAAGCAGCTCCATGTGCCCCAAATCAACTCGAGATGAGGCCCGATTCCCCTGCATTGACACCAGAGCCATTCCCCGTTCCCCATTCAACACGACCGGTGGCTCGACTTCCTTCAGGCAACTCCAGAGATGCCCCGAGAACACTGTCCCAACTTTAGAGGAACACCACTTCAGCACAGCAACTCGAGGAATGCTCCATGTACCCCAAATCGTCTCGAGATGAGAGCTGATTCCCTGGCTTAGGCTCAAGACATATGCCAACTTTCCAGAAGCACCTCAGGAGGAGGCTTCTCTCAGCAATAGGTATGTGGGAGGGACCCCAAGATCGCTGCCTCAAGTGGAATATACAGCGAGAAGCCCTAACTTGAAAGGAGGCCGGATTTCCTTGCAGTGGATTGAATACAAGCTTGTCTTTCATCTCACAACATGAAGGCATGTCTGAATCCCCTGTGGAGACCTTAGAGAAAGCCCTAGGTCCCTGCCTCATTTAACGGAATGCCTCACATTCGGTTGACACCTCGAGAGGCACGCAGAGCTCATTGCTTCAAAAGGTGACGATGCCTGACTCCTCTTGAATACTGATAGGAATCCCAAAATCCCTGTGGCTACTGGAATGGGTCCTTGGGTGCCCTGCCTCAACTCGAGAAGCGTCCCTTTCCCCTGCAAAGCCTCGAAGAAATTCCTGAAGTGTCCCTCATTACGAGACAGGAGTCATGACGTCACTGAAGAAAATCGTGTTTTGAAGGGCCATCCCCGCCGTAAGTCGAGAACATACCCCAGGTCCCCGCCGCAACTCGAGAAAAACCATGAGACTTCCCCCTAGAGCGAGATGAGGCCCCATTCCCCTGCAGTGCATGCAGAGCTATTCCGTGATCCCATTCATACAAGTCAGGAGCTTCGACGTGCTTAATGGATCTCGAGACAGTCCCCAAGAACACTGTCACCAGTCTAGACGGACCCTGAGGTCACCCCAGCAACGCAAAGCAGCTCCATGTGCCCCAAATCAACTCGAGATGAGGCCCGATTCCCCTGCATTGACTCCAGAGCCATTCCCCGTTCCCCATTCAACACGACCGGTGGCTCGACTTCCTTCAGGCAACTCCAGAGATGCCCCGAGAACACTGTCCCAAGTTTAGAGGAACACCACTTCAGCACAGCAACTCGAGGAATGCTCCATGTACCCCAAATCGTCTCGAGATGAGAGCTGATTCCCTGGCTTAGGCTCAAGACGTATGCCAACTTTCCAGAAGCACCTCAGGAGGAGGCTTCTCTCAGCAATAGGTATGTGGGAGGGACCCCGAGATCGCTGCCTCAAGGGGAATATACAGCGAGAAGCCCTAACTTGAAAGGAGGCCGGATTTCCTTGCAGTGGATTGAATACAGGCTCGTCTTTGATCTCACAACATGAAGGCATGTCTGAATCCCCTGTGGAGACCTTAGAGAAAGCCCTAGGTCCCTGCCTCATTTAACGGAATGCCTCACATTCGGTTGACAACTCGAGAGGCACGCAGAGCTCATTGCTTCAAAAGGTGACGATGCCTGACTCCTCTTGAATACTGATAGGAATCCCAAAATCCCTGTGGCTACTGGAAAGGGTCCTTGGGTGCCCTGCCTCACATCGAGAAGCGTCCCTTTCCCCTGCAAAGCCTCGAAGAAATTCCTGAAGTGTCCCTCATTACGAGACAGGAGTCATGACGTCACTGAAGAAAATCGTGTTTTGAAGGGCCATCCCCGCCGTAAGTCGAGAACATACCCCAGGTCCCCGCCGCAACTCGAGAAAAACCATGAGACTTCCCCCTAGAGCGAGATGAGGCCCCATTCCCCTGCAGTGCATGCAGAGCTATTCCGTGATCCCATTCAAACAAGTCAGGAGCTTCGACGTGCTTAATGGATCTCGAGACAGTCCCCAAGAACACTGTCACCAGTCTAGACGGACCCTGAGGTCACCCCAGCAACGCAAAGCAGCTCCATGTTCCCCAAATCAACTCGAGATGAGGCCCGATTCCCCTGCATTGACTCCAGAGCCATTCCGCGTTCCCCATTCAACACGACCGGTGGCTCGACTTCCTTCAGGCAACTCCAGAGATGCCCCAAGAATACTGTCCCAAGTCTAGAGGAACACCAACTTCAGCACAGCAACTCGAGGAATGCTACATGTACCCCAAATCGTCTCGAGATGAGAGCTGATTCCCTGGCTTAGGCTCAAGACGTATGCCAACTTTCCAGAAGCACCTCAGGAGGAGGCTTCTCTCAGCAATAGGTATGTGGGAGGGACCCCGAGATCGCTGCCTCAAGTGGAATATACAGCGAGAAGCCCTAACTTGAAAGGAGGCCGGATTTCCTTGCAGTGTCTTGAATGCAGGCTCGTCTTTTATCTCAAAACATGAAGAGATGTCTGAATCCCCTATGGAGACTTTAGAGAAAGCCCTAGGTCCCTGCCTCATTTTGACGGAAGGCCTCACATCCCGTTGACACCTCGAGAGGCACGCGGAGTTCATTGCTTCAAAATGTGACGATGCCTGACTCCTCTTGAATACTGATAGGAATCCAAAAATCCCTGTGGCTACTAGAATGGGTCCTTGGGTGCCCTGCCTCACCTCGAGAAGCGTCCCTTTTGCCCTGCCAAGCCTCGAGGAGATTCCTGAGGTGTCCCTCGTTACTAGACAGGAGTCCTGACGTTACTGAAGAAACTCGTGTTTTGAAGGCCGTCCCCGCCGTAAGTCGAAAATATACCCCAGATCCCCGCCGCAACTCGAGAAAAACCATGAGACTTCCCCCTAGAGGCGAGATGAGGCCCAATTCCCCTGCAGTGCATGCAGACCTATTCCGTGATCCCATTCAAACAAGTCAGGAGCTTCGACTTCCTTAATGGATCTCGAGACAGTCCTCAAGAACACTGTCACCATTCTAGACGGACTCTGAGGTCAACCCAGCAACGGAAAGCAGCTCCATGTGCCCCAAATCAACTCGAGATGAGGCCCGATTCCCCTGCATTGACTCCATAGCCATTCCCCGTTCCCCATTGAACACGACCGGTGGCTCGACTTCCTTCAGGCAACTCCAGAGATGCCCTGAGAACACTCTCCCAAGACTAGAGTCACACCAACTTCAGCACAGCAACTCGAGGAAAGCTCCGTGTACCCCAAATCGTCTCGAGATGAGAGCTGATTCCCTGGCTTAGGCTCAAGACGTATGCCAACTTTCCAGAAGCACCTCAGGAGGAGGCTTCTCTCAGCAATAGGTATGTGGGAGGGACCCCGAGATCGCTGCCTCAAGTGGAATATACAGCGAGAAGCCCTAACTTGAAAGGAGGTCGGATTTCCTTGCAGTGGCTTGAATACAGGCTTGTCTTTGATCTCACAACATGAAGGCATGTCTGAATCCCCTGTGGAGACCTTAGAGAAAGCCCTAGGTCCCTGCCTCATTTTGAAGGAATGCCTCACATCCGGTTGACACCTCGAGAGGCACGCAGAGTTCATTGCTTCAAAAGGTGACGATGCCTGACTCCTCTTGAATACTGATAGGAATCCCGAAATCCCTGTGGCTACTGGAAAGGGTACTTTGGTGCCCTGCCTCACCTCAAGAAGCGTCCCTTTGCCCTGCAAAGCCTCGAAGAAATTCCTGAAGTGTCCCTCGTTACGAGACAGGAGTCATGACGTCACTGAAGAAAATCGTGTTTTGAAGGGCCATCCCCGCCCTAAGTCGAGAACATACCCCAGGTCCCCGCCGCAACTCGAGAAAAACCATGAGACTTCCCCCTAGAGGCGAGATGAGGCCCCATTCCCCTGCAGTGCATGCAGAGCTATTCCGTGATCCCATTCAAACAAGTCAGGAGCTTCGACTTGCTTAATGGATCTCGAGACAGTCCCCAAGAACACTGTCACCAGTCTAGACGGACCCTGAGGTCACCCCAGCAACGCAAAGCATCTCCATGTTCCCCAAATCAACTCGAGATGAGGCCCGATTCCCCTGCATTGACTCCAGAGCCATTCCCCGTTCCCCATTCAACAGGACCGGTGGCTCGACTTCCTTCAGGCAATAACAGAGATGCCCCATGAACACTGTCCCAAGTCTAGAGGAACACCAACTTCAGCACAGCAACTCGAGGTATGCTCCATGTACCCCAAATCGTCTCGAGATGAGAGCTGATTCCCTGGCTTAGGCTCAAGACGTATGCCAACTTTCCAGAAGCACCTCAGGAGGAGGCTTCTCTCAGCAATAGGTATGTGGGAGGGACCCCGAGATCTCTGCCTCAAGGGGAATATACAGCGAGAAGCCCTAACTTGAAAGGAGACCGGATTTCCTTGCAGTGGCTTGAATACAGGCTCGTCTTTGATCTCACAACATGAAGGGATGTCTGAATCCCCTGTGGAGACCTTAGAGAAAGCCCTAGGTCCCTGCCTCATTTTGACGGAATGCCTCACATCCCGTTGACACCTCGAGAGTCACGCGGAGTTCATTGCTTCAAAAGGTGACGATGCCTGACTCCTCTTGAATACTGATAGGAATCCCACAATCCCTGTGGCTACTGGAATGGGTCCTTGGGTGCCCTGCCTCACCTCGAGAAGCATTCCTTTTGCCCTGCCAAGCCTCGAAGAGATTCCTGAGGTGTCCCTCGTTACTAGACAGGAGTCCTGATGTCACTGAAGAAACTCGTGTTTTGAAGGGCCATCCCCGCCGTAAGTCGAGAACATATCCCAGGTCGCCGCCGCAACTCGAGAAAAACCATGAGACTTCCCCCTAGAGGCGAGATGAGGCCCCATTCCCCTGCAGTGCATGCAGAGCTATTCCGTGATCCCATTCAAACAAGTCAGGAACTTCGACGTGCTTAATGGATCTCGAGACAGTCCCCAAGAACACTGTCACCAGTCTAGACGGACCCTGAGGTCACCCCAGCAACGCAAAGCATCTCCATGTTCCCCAAATCAACTCGAGATGAGGCCCGATTCCCCTGCATTGACTCCAGAGCCATTCCCCGTTCCCCATTCAACAGGACCGGTGGCTCGACTTCCTTCAGGCAATAACAGAGATGCCCCATGAACACTGTCCCAAGTCTAGAGGAACACCAACTTCAGCACAGCAACTCGAGGTATGCTCCATGTACCCCAAATCGTCTCGAGATGAGAGCTGATTCCCTGGCTTAGGCTCAAGACGTATGCCAACTTTCCAGAAGCACCTCAGGAGGAGGCTTCTCTCAGCAATAGGTATGTGGGAGGGACCCCGAGATCGCTGCCTCAAGGGGAATATACAGCGAGAAGCCCTAACTTGAAAGGAGTCTGGATTTCCTTGCAGTGGCTTGAATACAGGCTCGTCTTTGATCTCACAACATGAAGGGATGTCTGAATCCCCTGTGGAGACCTTAGAGAAAGCCCTAGGTCCCTGCCTCATTTTGACGGAATGCCTCACATCCCGTTGACACCTCGAGAGTCACGCGGAGTTCATTGCTTCAAAAGGTGACGATGCCTGACTCCTCTTGAATACTGATAGGAATCCCACAATCCCTGTGGCTACTGGAATGGGTACTTGGGTGCCCTGCCTCACCTCGAGAAGCATCCCTTTTGCCCTGCCAAGCCTCGAAGAGATTCCTGAGGTGTCCCTCGTTACTAGACAGCAGTCCTGATGTCACTGAAGAAAATCGTGTTTTGAAGGGCCATCCCCGCCGTAAGTCGAGAACATAACCCAGGTCCCCGCCGCAACTCGAGGAAAACCATGAGACTTCCCCCTAGAGGCGAGATGAGGCCTCATTCCCCTGCAGTGCATGCAGAGCTATTCCGTGATCCCATTCAAACAAGTCAGGAGCTTCGACGTGCTTAATGGATCTCGAGACAGTCCCCAAGAACACTGTCACCATTCTAGACGGACCCTGAGGTCAACCCAGCAACGGAAAGCAGCTCCATGTGCCCCAAATCAACTCGAGATGAGGCCCGATTCCCCTGCATTGACTCCAGAGCCCTTCCCCTTTACCCATTCAACACGACCGGTGGCTCGACTTCCTTCAGGCAATAACAGAGATGCCCCGTGAACACTGTCCCAAGTCTAGAGGAACACCAACTTCAGCACAGCAACTCGAGGAATGCTCCATGTACCCCAAATCGTCTCGAGATGAGAGCTGATTCCCTGGCTTAGGCTCAAGACGTATGCCAACTTTCCAGAAGCACCTCAGGAGGAGGCTTCTCTCAGCAATAGGTATGTGGGAGGGACCCCGAGATCGCTGCCTCAATTGGAATATACAGCGAGAAGCCCTAACTTGAAAGGAGGCCGGATTTCCTTGCAGTGGCTTGAATACAGGCTCGTCTTTGATCTCACAACATGAAGGGATGTCTGAATCCCCTGAGGAGACCTTAGAGAAAGCCCTAGGTCCCTGCCTCATTTTGTCGAAATGCCTCACATCCCGTTGACACCTTGAGAGGCACGCAGAGTTCATTGCTTCAAAAGGTGACGATGCCTGACTCCCCTTGAATACTGATAGGAATCCCAAAATCCCTGTGGGTTCTGGAAAGGGTCCTTGGGTGCCCTGCCTCACCTCGAGAAGCGTCCCTTTTGCCCTGCCAAGCCTCGAAGAGATTCCTGAGGTGTCCCTCGTTACGAGACAGGAGTCCTGACGTCACTGAAGAAACTCGTGTTTTGAAGGGCCATCCCCGCCGTAAGTCGAGAACATACCCCAGGTCCCCGCCGCAACTCGAGAAAAACCATGAGACTTCCCGCTACAGGCGAGATGAGGCCCCATTCGACTGCAGTGCATGCAGAGCTATTCCGTGATCCCATTCAAACAAGTCAGGAGCTTCGACTTGCTTAATGGATCTCGAGACAGTCCCCAAGAACACTGTCACCAGTCTAGACGGAACCTGAGGTCACCCCAGCAATGCAAAGCAGCTCCATGTGCCCCAAATAAACTCGAGATGAGGCCCGATTCCCCTGCATTGACACCAGAGCCATTCCCCGTTCCCCATTCAACACGACCGGTGGCTCGACTTCCTTCAGGCAACTCCAGAGATGCCCCGAGAACACTGTCCCAACTTTAGAGGAACACCACTTCAGCACAGCAACTCGAGGAATGCTCCATGTACCCCAAATCGTCTCGAGATGAGAGCTGATTCCCTGGCTTAGGCTCAAGACATATGCCAACTTTCCAGAAGCACCTCAGGAGGAGGCTTCTCTCAGCAATAGGTATGTGGGAGGGATCCCAAGTTCGCTGCCTCAAGTGGAATATACAGCGAGAAGCCCTAACTTGAAAGGAGGCCGGATTTCCTTGCAGTGGATTGAATACAAGCTTGTCTTTCATCTCACAACATGAAGGCATGTCTGAATCCCCTGTGGAGACCTTAGAGAAAGCCCTAGGTCCCTGCCTCATTTAACGGAATGCCTCACATTCGGTTGACACCTCGAGAGGCACGCAGAGCTCATTGCTTCAAAAGGTGACGATGCCTGACTCCTCTTGAATACTGATAGGAATCCCAAAATCCCTGTGGCTACTGGAAAGGGTCCTTGGGTGCCCTGCCTCACCTCGAGAAGCGTCCCTTTCCCCTGCAAAGCCTCGAAGAAATTCCTGAAGTGTCCCTCATTACGAGACAGGAGTCATGACGTCACTGAAGAAAATCGTGTTTTGAAGGGCCATCCCCGCCGTAAGTCGAGAACATACCCCAGGTCCCCGCCGCAACTCGAGAAAAACCATGAGACTTCCCCCTAGAGCGAGATGAGGCCCCATTCCCCTGCAGTGCATGCAGAGCTATTCCGTGATCCCATTCATACAAGTCAGGAGCTTCGACGTGCTTAATGGATCTCGAGACAGTCCCCAAGAACACTGTCACCAGTCTAGACGGACCCTGAGGTCACCCCAGCAACGCAAAGCAGCTCCATGTTCCCCAAATCAACTCGAGATGAGGCCCGATTCCCCTGCATTGACTCCAGAGCCATTCCGCGTTCCCCATTCAACACGACCGGTGGCTCGACTTCCTTCAGGCAACTCCAGAGATGCCCCAAGAACACTGTCCCAAGTCTAGAGGAACACCAACTTCAGAACAGCAACTCGAGGAATGCTACGTGTACCCCAAATCGTCTCGAGATGAGAGCTGATTCCCTGGCTTAGGCTCAAGACGTATGCCAACTTTCCAGAAGCACCTCAGGAGGAGGCTTCTCTCAGCAATAGGTATGTTGGAGGGACCCCGAGATCGCTGCCTCAAGTGGAATATACAGCGAGAAGCCCTAACTTGAAAGGAGGCCGGATTTCCTTGCAGTGTCTTGAATGCAGGCTCGTCTTTTATCTCAAAACATGAAGAGATGTCTGAATCCCCTGTGGAGACTTTAGAGAAAGCCCTAGGTCCCTGCCTCATTTTGACGGAATGCCTCACATCCCGTTGACTCCTCGAGAGGCACGCGGAGTTCATTGCTTCAAAATGTGACGATGCCTGACTCCTCTTGAATACTGATAGGAATCCAAAAATCCCTGTGGCTACTAGAATGGGTCCTTGGGTGCCCTGCCTCACCTCGAGAAGCGTCCCTTTTGCCCTGCCAAGCCTCGAAGAGATTCCTGAGGTGTCCCTCGTTACTAGACAGGAGTCCTGACGTCACTGAAGAAAATCGTGGTTTGAAGGGCCATCCCCGCCGTAAGTCGAGAACATTCCCCAGGTCCCAGCCGCAACTCGAGAAAAACCATGAGACTTCCCCCTAGAGGCGAGATGAGGCCCCATTCCCCTGCAGTGCATGCAGAGCTATTCCGTGATCCCATTCAAACAAGTCAGGAGCTTCGACTTCCTTAATGGATCTCGAGACAGTCCTCAAGAACACTGTCACCATTCTAGACGGACTCTGGGGTCAACCCAGCAACGGAAAGCAGCTCCATGTGCCCCAAATCAACTCGAGATGAGGCCCGATTCCCCTGCATTGACTCCATAGCCATTCCCCGTTCCCCATTGAACACGACCGGTGGCTCGACTTCCTTCAGGCAACTCCAGAGATGCCCTGAGAACTCTCTCCCAAGACTAGAGTCACACCAACTTCAGCACAGCAACTCGAGGAAAGCTCCGTGTACCCCAAATCGTCTCGAGATGAGAGCTGATTCCCTGGCTTAGGCTCAAGACGTATGCCAACTTTCCAGAAGCACCTCAGGAGGAGGCTTCTCTCAGCAATAGGTATGTGGGAGGGACCCCGAGATCGCTGCCTCAAGTGGAATATACAGCGAGAAGCCCTAACTTGAAAGGAGGTCGGATTTCCTTGCAGTGGCTTGAATACAGGCTTGTCTTTGATCTCACAACATGAAGGCATGTCTGAATCCCCTGTGGAGACCTTAGAGAAAACCCTAGGTCCCTGCCTCATTTTGAAGGAATGCCTCACATCCGGTTGACACCTCGAGAGGCACGCAGAGTTCATTGCTTCAAAAGGTGACGATGCCTGACTCCTCTTGAATACTGATAGGAATCCCAAAATCCCTGTGGCTACTGGAAAGGGTACTTGGGTGCCCTGCCTCACCTCAAGAAGCGTCCCTTTGCCCTGCAAAGCCTCGAAGAAATTCCTGAAGTGTCCCTCGTTACGAGACAGGAGTCATGACGTCACTGAAGAAAATCGTGGTTTGAAGGGCCATCCCCGCCCTAAGTCGAGAACATACCCCAGGTCCCCGCCGCAACTCGAGAAAAACCATGAGACTTCCCCCTAGAGGCGAGATGAGGCCCCATTCCCCTGCAGTGCATGCAGAGCTATTCCGTGATCCCATTCAAACAAGTCAGGAACTTCGACGTGCTTAATGGATCTCGAGACAGTCCCCAAGAACACTGTCACCAGTCTAGACGGACCCTGAGGTCACCCCAGCAACGCAAAGCATCTCCATGTTCCCCAAATCAACTCGAGATGAGGCCCGATTCCCCTGCATTGACTCCAGAGCCATTCCCCGTTCCCCATTCAACAGGACCGGTGGCTCGACTTCCTTCAGGCAATAACAGAGATGCCCCATGAACACTGTCCCAAGTCTAGAGGAACACCAACTTCAGCACAGCAACTCGAGGTATGCTCCATGTACCCCAAATCCTCTCGAGATGAGAGCTGATTCCCTGGCTTAGGCTCAAGACGTATGCCAACTTTCCAGAAGCACCTCAGGAGGAGGCTTCTCTCAGCAATAGGTATGTGGGAGGGACCCCGAGATCGCTGCCTCAAGGGGAATATACAGCGAGAAGCCCTAACTTGAAAGGAGTCCGGATTTCCTTGCAGTGGCTTGAATACAGGCTCGTCTTTGATCTCACAACATGAAGGGATGTCTGAATCCCCTGTGTAGACCTTAGAGAAAGCCCTAGGTCCCTGCCTCATTTTGACGGAATGCCTCACATCCCGTTGACACCTCGAGAGTCACGCGGAGTTCATTGCTTCAAAAGGTGACGATGCCTGACTCCTCTTGAATACTGATAGGAATCCCACAATCCCTGTGGCTACTGGAATGGGTCCTTGTGTGCCCTGCCTCACCTCGAGAAGCATCCCTTTTGCCCTGCCAAGCCTCGAAGAGATTCCTGAGGTGTCCCTCGTTACTAGACAGCAGTCCTGATGTCACTGAAGAAAATCGTGTTTTGAAGGGCCATCCCCGCCGTAAGTCGAGAACATAACCCAGGTCCCCACCGCAACTCGAGGAAAACCATGAGACTTCCCCCTAGAGGCGAGATGAGGCCCCATTCCCCTGCAGTGCATGCAGAGCTATTCCGTGATCCCATTCAAACAAGTCAGGAGCTTCGACTTGCTTAATGGATCTCGAGACAGTCCCCAAGAACACTGTCACCATTCTAGACGGACCCTGAGGTCACCCCAGCAACGGAAAGCAGCTCCATGTGCCCCAAATCAACTCGAGATGAGGCCCGATTCCCCTGCATTGACTCCAGAGCCATTCCCCGTTCCCCATTCAACACGACCGGTGGCTCGACTTCCTTCAGGCAATAACAGAGATGCCCCGTGAACACTGTCCCAAGTCTAGAGGAACACCAACTTCAGCACAGCAACTCGAGGAATGCTCCATGTACCCCAAATCGTCTCGAGATGAGAGCTGATTCCCTGGCTTAGGCTCAAGACGTATGCCAACTTTCCAGAAGCACCTCAGGAGGAGGCTTCTCTCAGCAATAGGTATGTGGGAGGGACCCCGAGATCGCTGCCTCAATTGGAATATACAGCGAGAAGCCCTAACTTGAAAGGAGGCCGGATTTCCTTGCAGTGGCTTGAATACAGGCTCGTCTTTGATCTCACAACATGAAGGGATGTCTGAATCCCCTGAGGAGACCTTAGAGAAAGCCCTAGGTCCCTGCCTCATTTTGTCGAAATGCCTCACATCCCGTTGACACCTTGAGAGGCACGCAGAGTTCATTGCTTCAAAAGGTGACGATGCCTGACTCCTCTTGAATACTGATAGGAATCCCAAAATCCCTGTGGGTTCTGGAAAGGGTCCTTGGGTGCCCTGCCTCACCTCGAGAAGCGTCCCTTTTGCCCTGCCAAGCCTCGAAGAGATTCCTGAGGTGTCCCTCGTTACGAGACAGGAGTCCTGACGTCACTGAAGAAACTCGTGTTTTGAAGGGCCATCCCCGCCGTAAGTCGAGAACATACCCCAGGTCCCCGCCGCAACTCGAGAAAAACCATGAGACTTCCCGCTACAGGCGAGATGAGGCCCCATTCGACTGCAGTGCATGCAGAGCTATTCCGTGATCCCATTCAAACAAGTCAGGAGCTTCGACTTGCTTAATGGATCTCGAGACAGTCCCCAAGAACACTGTCACCAGTCTAGACGGAACCTGAGGTCACCCCAGCAATGCAAAGCAGCTCCATGTGCCCAAAATCAACTCGAGATGAGGCCCGATTCCCCTGCATTGACACCAGAGCCATTCCCCGTTCCCCATTCAACACGACCGGTGGGTCGACTTCCTTCAGGCAACTCCAGAGATGCCCTGAGAACACTCTCCCAAGACTAGAGTCACACCAACTTCAGCACAGCAACTCGAGGAAAGCTCCGTGTACCCCAAATCGTCTCGAGATGAGAGCTGATTCCCTGGCTTAGGCTCAAGACGTATGCCAACTTTCCAGAAGCACCTCAGGAGGAGGCTTCTCTCAGCAATAGGTATGTGGGAGGGACCCCGAGATCGCTGCCTCAAGTGGAATATACAGCGAGAAGCCCTAACTTGAAAGGAGGCCGGATTTCCTAGCAGTGGCTTGAATACAGGCTTGTCTTTGATCTCACAACATGAAGGCATGTCTGAATCCCCTGTGGAGACCTTAGAGAAAGCCCTAGGTCCCTGCCTCATTTTGAAGGAATGCCTCACATCCGGTTGACACCTCGAGAGGCACGCAGAGTTCATTGTTTCAAAAGGTGACGATGCCTGACTCCTCTTGAATACTGATAGGAATCCCAAAATCACTGTGGCTACTGGAAAGGGTACTGGGGTGCCCTGCCTCACCTCAAGAAGCGTCCCTTTGCCCTGCAAAGCCTCGAAGAAATTCCTGAAGTGTCCCTCGTTACGAGACAGGAGTCATGACGTCACTGAAAAAAATCGTGTTTTGAAGGGCCATCCCCGCCGTAAGTCGAGAACATACCCCAGGTCCCCGCCGCAACTCGAGAAAAACCATGAGACTTCCCCCTAGAGGCGAGATGAGGCCCCATTCCCCTGCAGTGCATGCAGAGCTATTCCGTGATCCCATTCAAACAAGTCAGGAACTTCGACGTGCTTAATGGATCTCGAGACAGTCCCCAAGAACACTGTCACCAGTCTAGACGGACCCTGAGGTCACCCCAGCAACGCAAAGCATCTCCATGTTCCCCAAATCAACTCGAGATGAGGCCCGATTCCCCTGCATTGACTCCAGAGCCATTCCCCGTTCCCCATTCAACAGGACCGGTGGCTCGACTTCCTTCAGGCAATAACAGAGATGCCCCATGAACACTGTCCCAAGTCTAGAGGAACACCAACTTCAGCACAGCAACTCGAGGTATCCTCCATGTACCCCAAATCCTCTCGAGATGAGAGCTGATTCCCTGGCTTAGGCTCAAGACGTATGCCAACTTTCCAGAAGCACCTCAGGAGGAGGCTTCTCTCAGCAATAGGTATGTGGGAGGGACCCCGAGATCGCTGCCTCAAGGGGAATATACAGCGAGAAGCCCTAACTTGAAAGGAGTCCGGATTTCCTTGCAGTGGCTTGAATACAGGCTCGTCTTTGATCTCACAACATGAAGGGATGTCTGAATCCCCTGTGTAGACCTTAGAGAAAGCCCTAGGTCCCTGCCTCATTTTGACGGAATGCCTCACATCCCGTTGACACCTCGAGAGTCACGCGGAGTTCATTGCTTCAAAAGGTGACGATGCCTGACTCCTCTTGAATACTGATAGGAATCCCACAATCCCTGTGGCTACTGGAATGGGTCCTTGGGTGCCCTGCCTCACCTCGAGAAGCATCCCTTTTGCCCTGCCAAGCCTCGAAGAGATTCCTGAGGTGTCCCTCGTTACTAGACAGCAGTCCTGATGTCACTGAAGAAAATCGTGTTTTGAAGGGCCATCCCCGCCGTAAGTCGAGAACATAACCCAGGTCCCCGCCGCAACTCGAGGAAAACCATGAGACTTCCCCCTAGAGGCGAGATGAGGCCCCATTCCCCTGCAGTGCATGCAGAGCTATTCCGTGATCCCATTCAAACAAGTCAGGAGCTTCGACTTGCTTAATGGATCTCGAGACAGTCCCCAAGAACACTGTCACCATTCTAGACGGACCCTGAGGTCACCCCAGCAACGGAAAGCAGCTCCATGTGCCCCAAATCAACTCGAGATGAGGCCCGATTCCCCTGCATTGACTCCAGAGCCATTCCCCGTTCCCCATTCAACACGACCGGTGGCTCGACTTCCTTCAGGCAATAACAGAGATGCCCCGTGAACACTGTCCCAAGTCTAGAGGAACACCAACTTCAGCACAGCAACTCGAGGAATGCTCCATGTACCCCAAATCGTCTCGAGATGAGAGCTGATTCCCTGGCTTAGGCTCAAGACGTATGCCAACTTTCCAGAAGCACCTCAGGAGGAGGCTTCTCTCAGCAATAGGTATGTGGGAGGGACCCCGAGATCGCTGCCTCAATTGGAATATACAGCGAGAAGCCCTAACTTGAAAGGAGGCCGGATTTCCTTGCAGTGGCTTGAATACAGGCTCGTCTTTGATCTCACAACATGAAGGCATGTCTGAATCCCCTGAGGAGACCTTAGAGAAAGCCCTAGGTCCCTGCCTCATTTTTTCGAAATGCCTCACATCCCGTTGACACCTTGAGAGGCACGCAGAGTTCATTGCTTCAAAAGGTGACGATGCCTGACTCCTCTTGAATACTGATAGGAATCCCAAAATCCCTGTGGGTTCTGGAAAGGGTCCTTGGGTGCCCTGCCTCACCTCGAGAAGCGTCCCTTTTGCCCTGCCAAGCCTCGAAGAGATTCCTGAGGTGTCCCTCGTTACGAGACAGGAGTCCTGACGTCACTGAAGAAACTCGTGTTTTGAAGGGCCATCCCCGCCGTAAGTCGAGAACATACCCCAGGTCCCCGCCGCAACTCGAGAAAAACCATGAGACTTCCCGCTACAGGCGAGATGAGGCCCCATTCGACTGCAGTGCATGCAGAGCTATTCCGTGATCCCATTCAAACAAGTCAGGAGCTTCGACTTGCTTAATGGATCTCGAGACAGTCCCCAAGAACACTGTCACCAGTCTAGACGGAACCTGAGGTCACCCCAGCAATGCAAAGCAGCTCCATGTGCCCCAAATCAACTCGAGATGAGGCCCGATTCCCCTGCATTGACACCAGAGCCATTCCCCGTTCCCCATTCAACACGACCGGTGGCTCGACTTCCTTCAGGCAACTCCAGAGATGCCCTGAGAACACTCTCCCAAGACTAGAGTCACACCAACTTCAGCACAGCAACTCGAGGAAAGCTCCGTGTACCCCAAATCGTCTCGAGATGAGAGCTGATTCCCTGGCTTAGGCTCAAGACGTATGCCAACTTTCCAGAAGCACCTCAGGAGGAGGCTTCTCTCAGCAATAGGTATGTGGGAGGGACCCCGAGATCGCTGCCTCAAGTGGAATATACAGCGAGAAGCCCTAACTTGAAAGGAGGCCGGATTTCCTAGCAGTGGCTTGAATACAGGCTTGTCTTTGATCTCACAACATGAAGGCATGTCTGAATCCCCTGTGGAGACCTTAGAGAAAGCCCTAGGTCCCTGCCTCATTTTGACGGAATGCCTCACATCCCGTTGACAACTCGAGAGTCACGCGGAGTTCATTGCTTCAAAAGGTGACGATGCCTGACTCCTCATGAATACTGATCGGAATCCCACAATCCCTGTGGCTACTGGAATGGGTCCTTGGGTGCCCTGCCTCACCTCGAGAAGCATCCCTTTTGCCCTGCCAAGCCTCGAAGAGATTCCTGAGGTGTCCCTCATTACTAGACAGCAGTCCTGATATCACTGAAGAAAATCGTGTTTTGAAGGGCCATCCCCGCCGTAAGTCGAGAACATAACACAGGTCCCCGCCGCAACTCGAGGAAAACCATGAGACTTCCCCCTAGAGGCGAGATGAGGCCCCATTCCCCTGCAGTGCATGCAGAGCTATTCCGTGATCCCATTCAAACAAGTCAGGAGCTTCGACTTGCTTAATGGATCTCGAGACAGTCCCCAAGAACACTGTCACCATTCTAGACGGACCCTGAGGTCAACCCAGCAACGGAAAGCAGCTCCATGTGCCCCAAATCAACTCGAGATGAGGCCCGATTCCCCTGCATTGACTCCAGAGCCATTCCCCGTTCCCCATTCAACACGACCGGTGGCTCGACTTCCTTCAGGCAATAACAGAGATGCCCCGTGAACACTGTCCCAAGTCTAGAGGAACACCAACTTCAGCAGAGCAACTCGAGGAATGCTCCATGTACCCCAAATCGTCTCGAGATGAGAGCTGATTCCCTGGCTTAGGCTCAAGACGTATGCCAACTTTCCAGAAGCACCTCAGGAGGAGGCTTCTCTCAGCAATAGGTATGTGGGAGGGACCCCGAGATCGCTGCCTCAATTGGAATATACAGCGAGAAGCCCTAACTTGAAAGGAGGCCGGATTTCCTTGCAGTGGCTTGTATACAGGCTCGTCTTTGATCTCACAACATGAAGGGATGTCTGAATCCCCTGAGGAGACCTTAGAGAAAGCCCTAGGTCCCTGCCTCATTTTGTCGAAATGCCTCACATCCCGTTGACACCTTGAGAGGCACGCAGAGTTCATTGCTTCAAAAGGTGACGATGCCTGATTCCTCTTGAATACTGATAGGAATCCCAAAATTCCTGTGGGTTCTGGAAAGGGTCCTTGGGTGCCCTGCCTCACCTCGAGAAGCGTCCCTTTTGGCCTGCCAAGCCTCGAAGAGATTCCTGAGGTGTCCCTCGTTACGAGACAGGAGTCCTGACGTCACTGAAGAAACTCGTGTTTTGAAGGGCCATCCCCGCCGTAAGTCGAGAACATACCCCAGGTCCCCGCCGCAACTCGAGAAAAACCATGAGACTTCCCGCTACAGGCGAGATGAGGCCCCATTCCCCTGCAGTGCATGCAGAGCTATTCCATGATCCCATTCAAACAAGTCAGGAGCTTCGACTTGCTTAATGGATCTCGAGACAGTCCCCAAGAACACTGTCACCAGTCTAGACGGAACCTGAGGTCACCCCAGCAATGCAAAGCAGCTCCATGTGCCCCAAATCAACTCGAGATGAGGCCCAATTCCCCTGCATTGACACCAGAGCCATTCCCCGTTCCCCATTCAACACGACCGGTGGCTCGACTTCCTTCAGGCAACTCCAGAGATGCCCCGAGAACACTGTCCCAAGTCTAGAGGAACACCAACTTCAGCACAGCAACTCGAGGATTGCTCCGTGTACCCCAAATCGTCTCGAGATGAGAGCTGATTCCCTGGCTTAGGCTCAAGACGTATGCCAACTTTCCAGAAGCACCTCAGGAGTAGGCTTCTCTCAGCAATAGTTATGTGGGAGGGACCCCGAAATCGCTGCCTCAAGGGGAATATACAGCGAGAAGCCCTAACTTGAAAGGAGGCCGGATTTCCTTGCAGTGGCTTGAATACAGGCTGGTCTTTGATCTCACAACATGAAGGCATATCTGAATCCCCTTTGGAGACCTTAGAGAAAGCCTTAGGTCCCTGCCTCATATTGACGGAATGCCTCACATTACGCTGACACCTCGAGAGGCACGCGGAGTTCATTGCTTCAAAAGGTGACGATGCCTGACTCCTCTTGAATACTGATAGGAATCCCAGAATCCCTGTGGCTACTGGAAAGGGTCCTTGGGTACCCTGCCTCACCTCGAGAAGCGTCCCTTTTGCCCTGCCAAGCCTCGAAGAGATTCCTGAGGTGTCCCTCGTTACGAGACAGGAGTCCAGATGATACTGAAGAAACTCGTGTTTTGAAGGGCCATCCCCGCCCTAAGTCGAGAACATACCCCAGGTCCCCGCCGCAACCCGAGAAAAACCATGAGACTTCCCCCTATAGGCGAGATGAGGCCCCATTCCCCTGCAGTGCATGCAGAGCTATTCCGTGACCCCATTCAAACAAGTCAGGAGCTTCGACTTGCTTAATGGATCTCGAGACAGTCCCCAAGAACACTGTCACCAGTCTAGACGGACCCTGACGTTACCCCAGCAACGCAATGCAACCCCATGTGCCCCAAATCAACTCGAGATGAAGCCTGATTCCCCTGCATTGACTCCAGAGCCATTCCCCGTTCCCCATTCAACACGACCGGTGGCTCGACTTCCTTCAGGCAACTCCAGAGATGCCCCGAGAACACTGTCCCAAGTTTAGAGGAACACCACTTCAGCACAGCAACTCGAGGAATGCTCCATGTACCCCAAATCGTCTCGAGATGAGAGCTGATTCCCTGGCTTAGGCTCAAGACATATGCCAACTTTCCAGAAGCACCTCAGGAGGAGGCTTCTCTCAGCAATAGGTATGTGGGAGGGACCCCAAGATCGCTGCCTCAAGTGGAATATACAGCGAGAAGCCCTAACTTGAAAGGAGGCCGGATTTCCTTGCAGTGGATTGAATACAAGCTTGTCTTTCATCTCACAACATGAAGGCATGTCTGAATCCCCTGTGGAGACCTTAGAGAAAGCCCTAGGTCCCTGCCTCATTTAACGGAATGCCTCACATTCGGTTGACACCTCGAGAGGCACGCAGAGCTCATTGCTTCAAAAGGTGACGATGCCTGACTCCTCTTGAATACTGATAGGAATCCCAAAATCCCTGTGGCTACTGGAAAGGGTCCTTGGGTGCCCTGCCTCACCTCGAGAAGCGTCCCTTTCCCCTGCAAAGCCTCGAAGAAATTCCTGAAGTGTCCCTCATTACGAGAAAGGAGTCATGACGTCACTGAAGAAAATCGTGTTTTGAAGGGCCATCCCCGCCGTAAGTCGAGAACATACCCCAGGTCCCCGCCGCAACTCGAGAAAAACCATGAGACTTCCCCCTAGAGCGAGATGAGGCCCCATTCCCCTGCAGTGCATGCAGAGCTATTCCGTGATCCCATTCATACAAGTCAGGAGCTTCGACGTGCTTAATGGATCTCGAGACAGTCCCCAAGAACACTGTCACCAGTCTAGACGGACCCTGAGGTCACCCCAGCAACGCAAAGCAGCTCCATGTTCCCCAAATCAACTCGAGATGAGGCCCGATTCCCCTGCATTGACTCCAGAGCCATTCCGCGTTCCCCATTCAACACGACCGGTGGCTCGACTTCCTTCAGGCAACTCCAGAGATGCCCCAAGAACACTGTCCCAAGTCTAGAGGAACACCAACTTCAGAACAGCAACTCGAGGAATGCTACGTGTACCCCAAATCGTCTCGAGATGAGAGCTGATTCCCTGGCTTAGGCTCAAGACGTATGCCAACTTTCCAGAAGCACCTCAGGAGGAGGCTTCTCTCAGCAATAGGTATGTGGGAGGGACCCCGAGATCGCTGCCTCAAGTGGAATATACAGCGAGAAGCCCTAACTTGAAAGGAGGCCGGATTTCCTTGCAGTGTCTTGAATGCAGGCTCGTCTTTTATCTCAAAACATGAAGAGATGTCTGAATCCCCTGTGGAGACTTTAGAGAAAGCCCTAGGTCCCTGCCTCATTTTGACGGAAGGCCTCACATCCCGTTGACTCCTCGAGAGGCACGCGGAGTTCATTGCTTCAAAATGTGACGATGCCTGACTCCTCTTGAATACTGATAGGAATCCAAAAATCCCTGTGGCTACTAGAATGGGTCCTTGGGTGCCCTGCCTCACCTCGAGAAGCGTCCCTTTTGCCCTGCCAAGCCTCGAAGAGATTCCTGAGGTGTCCCTCGTTACTAGACAGGAGTCCTGACGTCACTGAAGAAAATCGTGGTTTGAAGGGCCATCCCCGCCGTAAGTCGAGAACATACCCCAGGTCCCCGCCGCAACTCGAGAAAAACCATGAGACTTCCCCCTAGAGGCGAGATGAGGCCCAATTCCCCTGCAGTGCATGCAGAGCTATTCCGTGATCCCATTCAAACAAGTCAGGAGCTTCGACTTCCTTAATGGATCTCGAGACAGTCCTCAAGAACACTGTCACCATTCTAGACGGACTCTGGGGTCAACCCAGCAACGGAAAGCAGCTCCATGTGCCCCAAATCAACTCGAGATGAGGCCCGATTCCCCTGCATTGACACCATAGCCATTCCCCGTTCCCCATTGAACACGACCGGTGGCTCGACTTCCTTCAGGCAACTCCAGAGATGCCCTGAGAACTCTCTCCCAAGACTAGAGTCACACCAACTTCAGCACAGCAACTCGAGGAAAGCTCCGTGTACCCCAAATCGTCTCGAGATGAGAGCTGATTCCCTGGCTTAGGCTCAAGACGTATGCCAACTTTCCAGAAGCACCTCAGGAGGAGGCTTCTCTCAGCAATAGGTATGTGGGAGGGACCCCGAGATCGCTGCCTCAAGTGGAATATACAGCGAGAAGCCCTAACTTGAAAGGAGGTCGGATTTCCTTGCAGTGGCTTGAATACAGGCTTGTCTTTGATCTCACAACATGAAGGCATATCTGAATCCCCTGTGGAGACCTTAGAGAAAACCCTAGGTCCCTGCCTCATTTTGAAGGAATGCCTCACATCCGGTTGACACCTCGAGAGGCACGCAGAGTTCATTGCTTCAAAAGGTGACGATGCCTGACTCCTCTTGAATACTGATAGGAATCCCAAAATCCCTGTGGCTACTGGAAAGGGTACTTGGGTGCCCTGCCTCACCTCAAGAAGCGTCCCTTTGCCCTGCAAAGCCTCGAAGAAATTCCTGAAGTGTCCCTCGTTACGAGACAGGAGTCATGACGTCACTGAAGAAAATCGTGGTTTGAAGGGCCATCCCCGCCCTAAGTCGAGAACATACCCCAGGTCCCCGCCGCAACTCGAGAAAAACCATGAGACTTCCCCCTAGAGGCGAGATGAGGCCCCATTCCCCTGCAGTGCATGCAGAGCTATTCCGTGATCTCATTCAAACAAGTCAGGAACTTCGACGTGCTTAATGGATCTCGAGACAGTCCCCAAGAACACTGTCACCAGTCTAGACGGACCCTGAGGTCACCCCAGCAACGCAAAGCATCTCCATGTTCCCCAAATCAACTCGAGATGAGGCCCGATTCCCCTGCATTGACTCCAGAGCCATTCCCCGTTCCCCATTCAACACGACCGGTGGCTCGACTTCCTTCAGGCAATAACAGAGATGCCCCATGAACACTGTCCCAAGTCTAGAGGAACACCAACTTCAGCACAGCAACTCGAGGTATGCTCCATGTACCCCAAATCCTCTCGAGATGAGAGCTGATTCCCTGGCTTAGGCTCAAGACGTATGCCAACTTTCCAGAAGCACCTCAGGAGGAGGCTTCTCTCAGCAATAGGTATGTGGGAGGGACCCCGAGATCGCTGCCTCAAGGGGAATATACAGCGAGAAGCCCTAACTTGAAAGGAGTCCGGATTTCCTTGCAGTGGCTTGAATACAGGCTCGTCTTTGATCTCACAACATGAAGGGATGTCTGAATCCCCTGTGTAGACCTTAGAGAAAGCCCTAGGTCCCTGCCTCATTTTGACGGAATGCCTCACATCCCGTTGACACCTCGAGAGTCACGCGGAGTTCATTGCTTCAAAAGGTGACGATGCCTGACTCCTCTTGAATACTGATAGGAATCCCACAATCCCTGTGGCTACTGGAATGGGTCCTTGGGTGCCCTGCCTCACCTCGAGAAGCATCCCTTTTGCCCTGCCAAGCCTCGAAGAGATTCCTGAGGTGTCCCTCTTTACTAGACAGCAGTCCTGATGTCACTGAAGAAAATCGTGTTTTGAAGGGCCATCCCCGCCGTAAGTCGAGAACATAACCCAGGTCCCCGCCGCAACTCGAGGAAAACCATGAGACTTCCCCCTAGAGGCGAGATGAGGCCCCATTCCCCTGCAGTGCATGCAGAGCTATTCCGTGATCCCATTCAAACAAGTCAGGAGCTTCGACTTGCTTAATGGATCTCGAGACAGTCCCCAAGAACACTGTCACCATTCTAGACGGACCCTGAGGTCACCCCAGCAACGGAAAGCAGCTCCATGTGCCCCAAATCAACTCGAGATGAGGCCCGATTCCCCTGCATTGACTCCAGAGCCATTCCCCGTTCCCCATTCAACACGACCGGTGGCTCGACTTCCTTCAGGCAATAACAGAGATGCCCCGTGAACACTGTCCCAAGTCTAGAGGAACACCAACTTCAGCACAGCAACTCGAGGAATGCTCCATGTACCCCAAATCGTCTCGAGATGAGAGCTGATTCCCTGGCTTAGGCTCAAGACGTATGCCAACTTTCCAGAAGCACCTCAGGAGGAGGCTTCTCTCAGCAATAGGTATGTGGGAGGGACCCCGAGATCGCTGCCTCAATTGGAATATACAGCGAGAAGCCCTAACTTGAAAGGAGGCCGGATTTCCTTGCAGTGGCTTGAATACAGGCTCGTCTTTGATCTCACAACATGAAGGGATGTCTGAATCCCCTGAGGAGACCTTAGAGAAAGCCCTAGGTCCCTGCCTCATTTTGTCAAAATGCCTCACATCCCGTTGACACCTTGAGAGGCACGCAGAGTTCATTGCTTCAAAAGGTGACGATGCCTGACTCCTCCTGAATACTGATAGGAATCCCAAAATCCCTGTGGGTTCTGGAAAGGGTCCTTGGGTGCCCTGCCTCACCTCGAGAAGCGTCCCTTTTGCCCTGCCAAGCCTCGAAGAGATTCCTGAGGTGTCCCTCGTTACGAGACAGGAGTCCTGACGTCACTGAAGAAACTCGTGTTTTGAAGGGCCATCCCCGCCGTAAGTCGAGAACATACCCCAGGTCCCCGCCGCAACTCGAGAAAAACCATGAGACTTCCCGCTACAGGCGAGATGAGGCCCCATTCGACTGCAGTGCATGCAGAGCTATTCCGTGATCCCATTCAAACAAGTCAGGAGCTTCGACTTGCTTAATGGATCTCGAGACAGTCCCCAAGAACACTGTCACCAGTCTAGACGGAACCTGAGGTCACCCCAGCAATGCAAAGCAGCTCCATGTGCCCAAAATCAACTCGAGATGAGGCCCGATTCCCCTGCATTGACACCAGAGCCATTCCCCGTTCCCCATTCAACACGACCGGTGGGTCGACTTCCTTCAGGCAACTCCAGAGATGCCCTGAGAACACTCTCCCAAGACTAGAGTCACACCAACTTCAGCACAGCAACTCGAGGAAAGCTCCGTGTACCCCAAATCGTCTCGAGATGAGAGCTGATTCCCTGGCTTAGGCTCAAGACGTATGCCAACTTTCCAGAAGCACCTCAGGAGGAGGCTTCTCTCAGCAATAGGTATGTGGGAGGGACCCCGAGATCGCTGCCTCAAGTGGAATATACAGCGAGAAGCCCTAACTTGAAAGGAGGCCGGATTTCCTAGCAGTGGCTTGAATACAGGCTTGTCTTTGATCTCACAACATGAAGGCATGTCTGAATCCCCTGTGGAGACCTTAGAGAAAGCCCTAGGTCCCTGCCTCATTTTGAAGGAATGCCTCACATCCGGTTGACACCTCGAGAGGCACGCAGAGTTCATTGCTTCAAAAGGTGACGATGCCTGACTCCTCTTGAATACTGATAGGAATCCCAAAATCACTGTGGCTACTGGAAAGGGTACTGGGGTGCCCTGCCTCACCTCAAGAAGCGTCCCTTTGCCCTGCAAAGCCTCGAAGAAATTCCTGAAGTGTCCCTCGTTACGAGACAGGAGTCATGACGTCACTGAAAAAAATCGTGTTTTGAAGGGCCATCCCCGCCGTAAGTCGAGAACATACCCCAGGTCCCCGCCGCAACTCGAGAAAAACCATGAGACTTCCCCCTAGAGGCGAGATGAGGCCCCATTCCCCTGCAGTGCATGCAGAGCTATTCCGTGATCCCATTCAAACAAGTCAGGAACTTCGACGTGCTTAATGGATCTCGAGACAGTCCCCAAGAACACTGTCACCAGTCTAGACGGACCCTGAGGTCACCCCAGCAACGCAAAGCATCTCCATGTTCCCCAAATCAACTCGAGATGAGGCCCGATTCCCCTGCATTGACTCCAGAGCCATTCCCCGTTCCCCATTCAACAGGACCGGTGGCTCGACTTCCTTCAGGCAATAACAGAGATGCCCCATGAACACTCTCCCAAGTCTAGAGGAACACCAACTTCAGCACAGCAACTCGAGGTATGCTCCATGTACCCCAAATCCTCTCGAGATGAGAGCTGATTCCCTGGCTTAGGCTCAAGACGTATGCCAACTTTCCAGAAGCACCTCAGGAGGAGGCTTCTCTCAGCAATAGGTATGTGGGAGGGACCCCGAGATCGCTGCCTCAAGGGGAATATACAGCGAGAAGCCCTAACTTGAAAGGAGTCCGGATTTCCTTGCAGTGGCTTGAATATAGGCTCGTCTTTGATCTCACAACATGAAGGGATGTCTGAATCCCCTGTGTAGACCTTAGAGAAAGCCCTAGGTCCCTGCCTCATTTTGACGGAATGCCTCACATCCCGTTGACACCTCGAGAGTCACGCGGAGTTCATTGCTTCAAAAGGTGACGATGCCTGACTCCTCTTGAATACTGATAGGAATCCCACAATCCCTGTGGCTACTGGAATGGGTCCTTGGGTGCACTGCCTCACCTCGAGAAGCATCCCTTTTGCCCTGCCAAGCCTCGAAGAGATTCCTGAGGTGTCCCTCGTTACTAGACAGCAGTCCTGATGTCACTGAAGAAAATCGTGTTTTGAAGGGCCATCCCCGCCGTAAGTCGAGAACATAACCCAGGTCCCCGCCGCAACTCGAGAAAAACCATGAGACTTCCCCCTAGAGGCGAGATGAGGCCCCATTCCCCTGCAGTGCATGCAGAGCTATTCCGTGATCCCATTCAAACAAGTCAGGAGCTTCGACTTGCTTAATGGATCTCGAGACAGTCCCCAAGAACACTGTCACCATTCTAGACGGACCCTGAGGTCACCCCAGCAACGGAAAGCAGCTCCATGTGCCCCAAATCAACTCGAGATGAGGCCCGATTCCCCTGCATTGACTCCAGAGCCATTCCCCGTTCCCCATTCAACACGACCGGTGGCTCGACTTCCTTCAGGCAATAACAGAGATGCCCCGTGAACACTGTCCCAAGTCTAGAGGAACACCAACTTCAGCACAGCAACTCGAGGAATGCTCCATGTACCCCAAATCGTCTCGAGATGAGAGCTGATTCCCTGGCTTAGGCTCAAGACGTATGCCAACTTTCCAGAAGCACCTCAGGAGGAGGCTTCTCTCAGCAATAGGTATGTGGGAGGGACCCCGAGATCGCTGCCTCAATTGGAATATACAGCGAGAAGCCCTAACTTGAAAGGAGGCCGGATTTCCTTGCAGTGGCTTGAATACAGGCTCGTCTTTGATCTCACAACATGAAGGGATGTCTGAATCCCCTGAGGAGACCTTAGAGAAAGCCCTAGGTCCCTGCCTCATTTTTTCGAAATGCCTCACATCCCGTTGACACCTTGAGAGGCACGCAGAGTTCATTGCTTCAAAAGGTGACGATGCCTGACTCCTCTTGAATACTGATAGGAATCCCAAAATCCCTGTGGGTTCTGGAAAGGGTCCTTGGGTGCCCTGCCTCACCTCGAGAAGCGTCCCTTTTGCCCTGCCAAGCCTCGAAGAGATTCCTGAGGTGTCCCTCGTTACGAGACAGGAGTCCTGACGTCACTGAAGAAACTCGTGTTTTGAAGGGCCATCCCCGCCGTAAGTCGAGAACATACCCCAGGTCCCCGCCGCAACTCGAGAAAAACCATGAGACTTCCCGCTACAGGCGAGATGAGGCCCCATTCGACTGCAGTGCATGCAGAGCTATTCCGTGATCCCATTCAAACTAGTCAGGAGCTTCGACTTGCTTAATGGATCTCGAGACAGTCCCCAAGAACACTGTCACCAGTCTAGACGGAACCTGAGGTCACCCCAGCAATGCAAAGCAGCTCCATGTGCCCCAAATCAACTCGAGATGAGGCCCGATTCCCCTGCATTGACACCAGAGCCATTCCCCGTTCCCCATTCAACACGACCGGTGGCTCGACTTCCTTCAGGCAACTCCAGAGATGCCCTGAGAACACTCTCCCAAGACTAGAGTCACACCAACTTCAGCACAGCAACTCGAGGAAAGCTCCGTGTACCCCAAATCGTCTCGAGATGAGAGCTGATTCCCTGGCTTAGGCTCAAGACGTATGCCAACTTTCCAGAAGCACCTCAGGAGGAGGCTTCTCTCAGCAATAGGTATGTGGGAGGGACCCCGAGATCGCTGCCTCAAGTGGAATATACAGCGAGAAGCCCTAACTTGAAAGGAGGCCGGATTTCCTAGCAGTGGCTTGAATACAGGCTTGTCTTTGATCTCACAACATGAAGGCATGTCTGAATCCCCTGTGGAGACCTTAGAGAAAGCCCTAGGTCCCTGCCTCATTTTGACGGAATGCCTCACATCCCGTTGACAACTCGAGAGTCACGCGGAGTTCATTGCTTCAAAAGGTGACGATGCCTGACTCCTCATGAATACTGAACGGAATCCCACAATCCCTGTGGCTACTGGAATGGGTCCTTGGGTGCCCTGCCTCACCTCGAGAAGCATCCCTTTTGCCCTGCCAAGCCTCGAAGAGATTCCTGAGGTGTCCCTCATTACTAGACAGCAGTCCTGATGTCACTGAAGAAAATCGTGTTTTGAAGGGCCATCCCCGCCGTAAGTCGAGAACATAACACAGGTCCCCGCCGCAACTCGAGGAAAACCATGAGACTTCCCCCTAGAGGCGAGATGAGGCCCCATTCCCCTGCAGTGCATGCAGAGCTATTCCGTGATCCCATTCAAACAAGTCAGGAGCTTCGACTTGCTTAATGGATCTCGAGACAGTCCCCAAGAACACTGTCACCATTCTAGACGGACCCTGAGGTCAACCCAGCAACGGAAAGCAGCTCCATGTGCCCCAAATCAACTCGAGATGAGGCCCGATTCCCCTGCATTGACTCCAGAGCCATTCCCCGTTCCCCATTCAACACGACCGGTGGCTCGACTTCCTTCAGGCAATAACAGAGATGCCCCGTGAACACTGTCCCAAGTCTAGAGGAACACCAACTTCAGCAGAGCAACTCGAGGAATGCTCCATGTACCCCAAATCGTCTCGAGATGAGAGCTGATTCCCTGGCTTAGGCTCAAGACGTATGCCAACTTTCCAGAAGCACCTCAGGAGGAGGCTTCTCTCAGCAATAGGTATGTGGGAGGGACCCCGAGATCGCTGCCTCAATTGGAATATACAGCGAGAAGCCCTAACTTGAAAGGAGGCCGGATTTCCTTGCAGTGGCTTGTATACAGGCTCGTCTTTGATCTCACAACATGAAGGGATGTCTGAATCCCCTGAGGAGACCTTAGAGAAAGCCCTAGGTCCCTGCCTCATTTTGTCGAAATGCCTCACATCCCGTTGACACCTTGAGAGGCACGCAGAGTTCATTGCTTCAAAAGGTGACGATGCCTGACTCCTCTTGAATACTGATAGGAATCCCAAAATTCCTGTGGGTTCTGGAAAGGGTCCTTGGGTGCCCTGCCTCACCTCGAGAAGCGTCCCTTTTGGCCTGCCAAGCCTCGAAGAGATTCCTGAGGTGTCCCTCGTTACGAGACAGGAGTCCTGACGTCACTGAAGAAACTCGTGTTTTGAAGGGCCATCCCCGCCGTAAGTCGAGAACATACCCCAGGTCCCCGCCGCAACTCGAGAAAAACCATGAGACTTCCCGCTACAGGCGAGATGAGGCCCCATTCCCCTGCAGTGCATGCAGAGCTATTCCGTGATCCCATTCAAACAAGTCAGGAGCTTCGACTTGCTTAATGGATCTCGAGACAGTCCCCAAGAACACTGTCACCAGTCTAGACGGAACCTGAGGTCACCCCAGCAATGCAAAGCAGCTCCATGTGCCCCAAATCAACTCGAGATGAGGCCCGATTCCCCTGCATTGACACCAGAGCCATTCCCCGTTCCCCATTCAACACGACCGGTGGCTCGACTTCCTTCAGGCAACTCCAGAGATGCCCCGAGAACACTGTCCCAAGTCTAGAGGAACACCAACTTCAGCACAGCAACTCGAGGATTGCTCCGTGTACCCCAAATCGTCTCGAGATGAGAGCTGATTCCCTGGCTTAGGCTCAAGACGTATGCCAACTTTCCAGAAGCACCTCAGGAGTAGGCTTCTCTCAGCAATAGTTATGTGGGAGGGACCCCGAAATCGCTGCCTCAAGGGGAATATACAGCGAGAAGCCCTAACTTGAAAGGAGGCCGGATTTCCTTGCAGTGGCTTGAATACAGGCTGGTCTTTGATCTCACAACATGAAGGCATATCTGAATCCCCTTTGGAGACCTTAGAGAAAGCCTTAGGTCCCTGCCTCATATTGACGGAATGCCTCACATTACGCTGACACCTCGAGAGGCACGCGGAGTTCATTGCTTCAAAAGGTGACGATGCCTGACTCCTCTTGAATACTGATAGGAATCCCAGAATCCCTGTGGCTACTGGAAAGGGTCCTTGGGTACCCTGCCTCACCTCGAGAAGCGTCCCTTTTGCCCTGCCAAGCCTCGAAGAGATTCCTGAGGTGTCCCTCGTTACGAGACAGGAGTCCAGATGTCACTGAAGAAACTCGAGTTTTGAAGGGCCATCCCCGCCCTAAGTCGAGAACATACCCCAGGTCCCCGCCGCAACCCGAGAAAAACCATGAGACTTCCCCCTATAGGCGAGATGAGGCCCCATTCCCATGCAGTGCATGCAGAGCTATTCCGTGACCCCATTCAAACAAGTCAGGAGCTTCGACTTGCTTAATGGATCTCGAGACAGTCCCCAAGAACACTGTCACCAGTCTAGACGGACCCTGACGTTACCCCAGCAACGCAATGCAACCCCATGTGCCCCAAATCAACTCGAGATGAAGCCTGATTCCCCTGCATTGACTCCAGAGCCATTCCCCGTTCCCCATTCAACACGACCGGTGGCTCGACTTCCTTCAGGCAACTCCAGAGATGCCCCGAGAACACTGTCCCAAGTTTAGAGGAACACCACTTCAGCACAGCAACTCGAGGAATGCTACGTGTACCCCAAATCGTCTCGAGATGAGAGCTGATTCCCTGGCTTAGGCTCAAGACATATGCCAACTTTCCAGAAGCACCTCAGGAGGAGGCTTCTCTCAGCAATAGGTATGTGGGAGGGACCCCAAGATCGCTGCCTCAAGTGGAATATACAGCGAGAAGCCCTAACTTGAAAGGAGGCCGGATTTCCTTGCAGTGGATTGAATACAAGCTTGTCTTTCATCTCACAACATGAAGGCATGTCTGAATCCCCTGTGGAGACCTTAGAGAAAGCCCTAGGTCCCTGCCTCATTTAACGGAATGCCTCACATTCGGTTGACACCTCGAGAGGCACGCAGAGCTCATTGCTTCAAAAGGTGACGATGCCTGACTCCTCTTGAATACTGATAGGAATCCCAAAATCCCTGTGGCTACTGGAAAGGGTCCTTGGGTGCCCTGCCTCACCTCGAGAAGCGTCCCTTTCCCCTGCAAAGCCTCGAAGAAATTCCTGAAGTGTCCCTCATTACGAGAAAGGAGTCATGACGTCACTGAAGAAAATCGTGTTTTGAAGGGCCATCCCCGCCGTAAGTCGAGAACATACCCCAGGTCCCCGCCGCAACTCGAGAAAAACCATGAGACTTCCCCCTAGAGCGAGATGAGGCCCCATTCCCCTGCAGTGCATGCAGAGCTATTCCGTGATCCCATTCATACAAGTCAGGAGCTTCGACGTGCTTAATGGATCTCGAGACAGTCCCCAAGAACACTGTCACCAGTCTAGACGGACCCTGAGGTCACCCCAGCAACGCAAAGCAGCTCCATGTTCCCCAAATCAACTCGAGATGAGGCCCGATTCCCCTGCATTGACTCCAGAGCCATTCCGCGTTCCCCATTCAACACGACCGGTGGCTCGACTTCCTTCAGGCAACTCCAGAGATGCCCCAAGAACACTGTCCCAAGTCTAGAGGAACACCAACTTCAGAACAGCAACTCGAGGAATGCTACGTGTACCCCAAATCGTCTCGAGATGAGAGCTGATTCCCTGGCTTAGGCTCAAGACGTATGCCAACTTTCCAGAAGCACCTCAGGAGGAGGCTTCTCTCAGCAATAGGTAAGTGGGAGGGACCCCGAGATCGCTGCCTCAAGTGGAATATACAGCGAGAAGCCCTAACTTGAAAGGAGGCCGGATTTCCTTGCAGTGTCTTGAATGCAGGCTCGTCTTTTATCTCAAAACATGAAGAGATGTCTGAATCCTCTGTGGAGACTTTAGAGAAAGCCCTAGGTCCCTGCCTCATTTTGACGGAAGGCCTCACATCCCGTTGACTCCTCGAGAGGCACGCGGAGTTCATTGCTTCAAAATGTGACGATGCCTGACTCCTCTTGAATACTGATAGGAATCCAAAAATCCCTGTGGCTACTAGAATGGGTCCTTGGGTGCCCTGCCTCACCTCGAGAAGCGTCCCTTTTGCCCTGCCAAGCCTCGAAGAGATTCCTGAGGTGTCCCTCGTTACTAGACAGGAGTCCTGACGTTACTGAAGAAATTCGTGTTTTGAAGGCCGTCCCCGCCGTAAGTCGAAAATATACCCCAGGTCCCCGCCGCAACTCGAGAAAAACCATGAGACTTCCCCCTAGAGGCGAGATGAGGCCCAATTCCCCTGCAGTGCATGCAGAGCTATTCCGTGATCCCATTCAAACAAGTCAGGAGCTTCGACTTCCTTAATGGATCTCGAGACAGTCCTCAAGAACACTGTCACCATTCTAGACGGACTCTGGGGTCAACCCAGCAACGGAAAGCAGCTCCATGTGCCCCAAATCAACTCGAGATGAGGCCCGATTCCCCTGCATTGACTCCATAGCCATTCCCCGTTCCCCATTGAACACGACCGGTGGCTCGACTTCCTTCAGGCAACTCCAGAGATGCCCTGGGAACACTCTCCCAAGACTAGAGTCACACCAACTTCAGCACAGCAACTCGAGGAAAGCTCCGTGTACCCCAAATCGTCTCGAGATGAGAGCTGATTCCCTGGCTTAGGCTCAAGACGTATGCCAACTTTCCAGAAGCACCTCAGGAGGAGGCTTCTCTCAGCAATAGGTATGTGGGAGGGACCCCGAGATCACTGCCTCAAGTGGAATATACAGCGAGAAGCCCTAACTTGAATGGAGGTCGGATTTCCTTGCAGTGGCTTGAATACAGGCTTGTCTTTGATCTCACAACATGAAGGCATGTCTGAATCCCCTGTGGAGACCTTAGAGAAAGCCCTAGGTCCCTGCCTCATTTTGAAGGAATGCCTCACATCCGGTTGACACCTCGAGAGGCACACAGAGTTCATTGCTTCAAAAGGTGACGATGCCTGACTCCTCTTGAATACTGATAGGAATCCCAAAATCCCTGTGGGTTCTGGAAAGGGTCCTTGGGTGCCCTGCCTCACCTCGAGAAGCGTCCCTTTTGGCCTGCCAAGCCTCGAAGAGATTCCTGAGGTGTCCCTCGTTACGAGACAGGAGTCCTGACGTCACTGAAGAAACTCGTGTTTTGAAGGGCCATCCCCGCCGTAAGTCGAGAACATACCCCAGGTCCCCGCCGCAACTCGAGAAAAACCATGAGACTTCCCGCTACAGGCGAGATGAGGCCCCATTCCCCTGCAGTGCATGCAGAGCTATTCCGTGATCCCATTCAAACAAGTCAGGAGCTTCGACTTGCTTAATGGATCTCGAGACAGTCCCCAAGAACACTGTCACCAGTCTAGACGGAACCTGAGGTCACCCCAGCAATGCAAAGCAGCTCCATGTGCCCCAAATCAACTCGAGATGAGGCCCGATTCCCCTGCATTGACACCAGAGCCATTCCCCGTTCCCCATTCAACACGACCGGTGGCTCGACTTCCTTCAGGCAACTCCAGAGATGCCCCGAGAACACTGTCCCAAGTCTAGAGGAACACCAACTTCAGCACAGCAACTCGAGGATTGCTCCGTGTACCCCAAATCGTCTCGAGATGAGAGCTGATTCCCTGGCTTAGGCTCAAGACGTATGCCAACTTTCCAGAAGCACCTCAGGAGTAGGCTTCTCTCAGCAATAGTTATGTGGGAGGGACCCCGAAATCGCTGCCTCAAGTGAAATATACAGCGAGAAGCCCTAACTTGAAAGGAGGCCGGATTTCCTTGCAGTGGCTTGAATACAGGCTGGTCTTTGATCTCACAACATGAAGGCATATCTGAATCCCCTTTGGAGACCTTAGAGAAAGCCTTAGGTCCCTGCCTCATATTGACGGAATGCCTCACATTACGCTGACACCTCGAGAGGCACGCGGAGTTCATTGCTTCAAAAGGTGACGATGCCTGACTCCTCTTGAATACTGATAGGAATCCCAGAATCCCTGTGGCTACTGGAAAGGGTCCTTGGGTGCCCTGCCTCACCTCAAGAAGCGTCCCTTTTGCCCTGCCAAGCCTCGAAGAGATTCCTGAGGTGTCCCTCGTTACGAGACAGGAGTCCAGATGTCACTGAAGAAACTCGTGTTTTGAAGGGCCATCCCCGCCCTAAGTCGAGAACATACCCCAGGTGCCCGCCGCAACTCGAGAAAAACCATGAGACTTCCCCCTAGAGGCGAGATGAGGCCCCATTCCCATGCAGTGCATGCAGAGCTATTCCGTGACCCCATTCAAACAAGTCAGGAGCTTCGACTTGCTTAATGGATCTCGAGACAGTCCCCAAGAACACTGTCACCAGTCTAGACGGACCCTGACGTTACCCCAGCAACGCAATGCAACCCCATGTGCCCCAAATCAACTCGAGATGAAGCCTGATTCCCCTGCATTGACTCCAGAGCCATTCCCCGTTCCCCATTCAACACGACCGGTGGCTCGACTTCCTTCAGGCAACTCCAGAGATGCCCCGAGAACACTGTCCCAAGTTTAGAGGAACACCACTTCAGCACAGCAACTCGAGGAATGCTCCATGTACCCCAAATCGTCTCGAGATGAGAGCTGATTCCCTGGCTTAGGCTCAAGACATATGCCAACTTTCCAGAAGCACCTCAGGAGGAGGCTTCTCTCAGCAATAGGTATGTGGGAGGGACCCCAAGATCGCTGCCTCAAGTGGAATATACAGCGAGAAGCCCTAACTTGAAAGGAGGCCGGATTTCCTTGCAGTGGATTGAATACAAGCTTGTCTTTCATCTCACAACATGAAGGCATGTCTGAATCCCCTGTGGAGACCTTAGAGAAAGCCCTAGGTCCCTGCCTCATTTAACGGAATGCCTCACATTCGGTTGACACCTCGAGAGGCACGCAGAGCTCATTGCTTCAAAAGGTGACGATGCCTGACTCCTCTTGAATACTGATAGGAATCCCAAAATCCCTGTGGCTACTGGAAAGGGTCCTTGGGTGCCCTGCCTCACCTCGAGAAGCGTCCCTTTCCCCTGCAAAGCCTCGAAGAAATTCCTGAAGTGTCCCTCATTACGAGACAGGAGTCATGACGTCACTGAAGAAAATCGTGTTTTGAAGGGCCATCCCCGCCGTAAGTCGAGAACATACCCCAGGTCCCCGCCGCAACTCGAGAAAAACCATGAGACTTCCCCCTAGAGCGAGATGAGGCCCCATTCCCCTGCAGTGCATGCAGAGCTATTCCGTGATCCCATTCATACAAGTCAGGAGCTTCGACGTGCTTAATGGATCTCGAGACAGTCCCCAAGAACACTGTCACCAGTCTAGACGGACCCTGAGGTCACCCCAGCAACGCAAAGCAGCTCCATGTTCCCCAAATCAACTCGAGATGAGGCCCGATTCCCCTGCATTGACTCCAGAGCCATTCCGCGTTCCCCATTCAACACGACCGGTGGCTCGACTTCCTTCAGGCAACTCCAGAGATGCCCCAAGAACACTGTCCCAAGTCTAGAGGAACACCAACTTCAGAACAGCAACTCGAGGAATGCTACGTGTACCCCAAATCGTCTCGAGATGAGAGCTGATTCCCTGGCTTAGGCTCAAGACGTATGCCAACTTTCCAGAAGCACCTCAGGAGGAGGCTTCTCTCAGCAATAGGTATGTGGGAGGGACCCCGAGATCGCTGCCTCAAGTGGAATATACAGCGAGAAGCCCTAACTTGAAAGGAGGCCGGATTTCCTTGCAGTGTCTTGAATGCAGGCTCGTCTTTTATCTCAAAACATGAAGAGATGTCTGAATCCCCTGTGGAGACTTTAGAGAAAGCCCTAGGTCCCTGCCTCATTTTGACGGAAGGCCTCACATCCCGTTGACTCCTCGAGAGGCACGCGGAGTTCATTGCTTCAAAATGTGACGATGCCTGACTCCTCTTGAATACTGATAGGAATCCAAAAATCCCTGTGGCTACTAGAATGGGTCCTTGGGTGCCCTGCCTCACTTCGAGAAGCGTCCCTTTTGCCCTGCCAAGCCTCGAAGAGATTCCTGAGGTGTCCCTCGTTACTAGACAGGAGTCCTGACGTTACTGAAGAAATTCGTGTTTTGAAGGCCGTCCCCGCCGTAAGTCGAAAATATACCCCAGGTCCCCGCCGCAACTCGAGAAAAACCATGAGACTTCCCCCTAGAGGCGAGATGAGGCCCAATTCCCGTGCAGTGCATGCAGAGCTATTCAGTGATCCCATTCAAACAAGTCAGGAGCTTCGACTTGCTTAATGGATCTCGAGACAGTCCTCAAGAACACTGTCACCATTCTAGACGGACTCTGGGGTCAACCCAGCAACGGAAAGTAGCTCCATGTGCCCCAAATCAACTCGAGATGAGGCCCGATTCCCCTGCATTGACTCCATAGCCATTCCCCTTTCCCCATTGAACACGACCGGTGGCTCGACTTCCTTCAGGCAACTCCAGAGATGCCCTGAGAACACTCTCCCAAGACTAGAGTCACACCAACTTCAGCACAGCAACTCGAGGAAAGCTCCGTGTACCCCAAATCGTCTCGAGATGAGAGCTGATTCCCTGGCTTAGGCTCAAGACGTATGCCAACTTTCCAGAAGCACCTCAGGAGGAGGCTTCTCTCAGCAATAGGTATGTGGGAGGGACCCCGAGATCGCTGCCTCAAGTGGAATATACAGCGAGAAGCCCTAACTTGAAAGGAGGTCGGATTTCCTTGCAGTGGCTTGAATACAGGCTTGTCTTTGATCTCACAACATGAAGGCATGTCTGAATCCCCTGTGGAGACCTTAGAGAAAGCCCTAGGTCCCTGCCTCATTTTGAAGGAATGCCTCACATCCCGTTGACTCCTCGAGAGGCACGCGGAGTTCATTGCTTCAAAAGGTGACGATGCCTGACTCCTCTTGAATACTGATAGGAATCCCAAAATCCCTGTGGCTACTGGAAAGGGTACTTGGGTGCCCTGCCTCACCTCAAGAAGCGTCCCTTTGCCCTGCAAAGCCTCGAAGAAATTCCTGAAGTGTCCCTCGTTACGAGACAGGAGTCATGACGTCACTGAAGAAAATCGTGGTTTGAAGGGCCATCCCCGCCCTAAGTCGAGAACATACCCCAGGTCCCCGCCGCAACTCGAGAAAAACCATGAGACTTCCCCCTAGAGGCGAGATGAGGCCCCATTCCCCTGCAGTGCATGCAGAGCTATTCCGTGATCCCATTCAAACAAGTCAGGAACTTCGACGTGCTTAATGGATCTCGAGACAGTCCCCAAGAACACTGTCACCAGTCTAGACGGACCCTGAGGTCACCCCAGCAACGCAAAGCATCTCCATGTTCCCCAAATCAACTCGAGATGAGGCCCGATTCCCCTGCATTGACTCCAGAGCCATTCCCCGTTCCCCATTCAACAGGACCGGTGGCTCGACTTCCTTCAGGCAATAACAGAGATGCCCCATGAACACTGTCCCAAGTCTAGAGGAACACCAACTTCAGCACAGCAACTCGAGGTATGCTCCATGTACCCCAAATCCTCTCGAGATGAGAGCTGATTCCCTGGCTTAGGCTCAAGACGTATGCCAACTTTCCAGAAGCACCTCAGGAGGAGGCTTCTCTCAGCAATAGGTATGTGGGAGGGACCCCGAGATCGCTGCCTCAAGGGGAATATACAGCGAGAAGCCCTAACTTGAAAGGAGTCCGGATTTCCTTGCAGTGGCTTGAATACAGGCTCGTCTTTGATCTCACAACATGAAGGGATGTCTGAATCCCCTGTGGAGACCTTAGAGAAAGCCCTAGGTCCCTGCCTCATTTTGACGGAATGCCTCACATCCCGTTGACACCTCGAGAGTCACGCGGAGTTCATTGCTTCAAAAGGTGACGATGCCTGACTCCTCTTGAATACTGATAGGAATCCCACAATCCCTGTGGCTACTGGAATGGGTCCTTGGGTGCCCTGCCTCACCTCGAGAAGCATCCCTTTTGCCCTGCCAAGCCTCGAAGAGATTCCTGAGGTGTCCCTCGTTACTAGACAGCAGTCCTGATGTCACTGAAGAAAATCGTGTTTTGAAGGGCCATCCCCGCCGTAAGTCGAGAACATAACCCAGGTCCCCGCCGCAACTCGAGGAAAACCATGAGACTTCCCCCTAGAGGCGAGATGAGGCCCCATTCCCCTGCAGTGCATGCAGAGCTATTCCGTGATCCCATTCAAACAAGTCAGGAGCTTCGACTTGCTTAATGGATCTCGAGACAGTCCCCAAGAACACTGTCACCATTCTAGACGGACCCTGAGGTCACCCCAGCAACGGAAAGCAGCTCCATGTGCCCCAAATCAACTCGAGATGAGGCCCGATTCCCCTGCATTGACTCCAGAGCCATTCCCCGTTCCCCATTCAACACGACCGGTGGCTCGACTTCTTTCAGGCAATAACAGAGATGCCCCGTGAACACTGTCCCAAGTCTAGAGGAACACCAACTTCAGCACAGCAACTCGAGGAATGCTCCATGTACCCCAAATCGTCTCGAGATGAGAGCTGATTCCCTGGCTTAGGCTCAAGACGTATGCCAACTTTCCAGAAGCACCTCAGGAGGAGGCTTCTCTCAGCAATAGGTATGTGGGAGGGACCCCGAGATCGCTGCCTCAATTGGAATATACAGCGAGAAGCCCTAACTTGAAAGGAGGCCGGATTTCCTTGCAGTGGCTTGAATACAGGCTCGTCTTTGATCTCACAACATGAAGGGATGTCTGAATCCCCTGAGGAGACCTTAGAGAAAGCCCTAGGTCCCTGCCTCATTTTGTCGAAATGCCTCACATCCCGTTGACACCTTGAGAGGCACGCAGAGTTCATTGCTTCAAAAGGTGACGATGCCTGACTCCTCTTGAATACTGATAGGAATCCCAAAATCCCTGTGGGTTCTGGAAAGGGTCCTTGGGTGCCCTGCCTCAGCTCGAGAAGCGTCCCTTTTGCCCTGCCAAGCCTCGAAGAGATTCCTGAGGTGTCCCTCGTTACGAGACAGGAGTCCTGACGTCTCTGAAGAAACTCGTGTTTTGAAGGGCCATCCCCGCCGTAAGTCGAGAACATACCCCAGGTCCCCGCCGCAACTCGAGAAAAACCATGAGACTTCCCGCTACAGGCGAGATGAGGCCCCATTCGACTGCAGTGCATGCAGAGCTATTCCGTGATCCCATTCAAACAAGTCAGGAGCTTCGACTTGCTTAATGGATCTCGAGACAGTCCCCAAGAACACTGTCACCAGTCTAGACGGAACCTGAGGTCACCCCAGCAATGCAAAGCAGCTCCATGTGCCCCAAATCGACTCGAGATGAGGCCCGATTCCCCTGCATTGACACCAGAGCCATTCCCCGTTCCCCATTCAACACGACCGGTGGCTCGACTTCCTTCAGGCAACTCCAGAGATGCCCTGAGAACACTCTCCCAAGACTAGAGTCACACCAACTTCAGCACAGCAACTCGAGGAAAGCTCCGTGTACCCCAAATCGTCTCGAGATGAGAGCTGATTCCCTGGCTTAGGCTCAAGACGTAGGCCAACTTTCCAGAAGCACCTCAGGAGGAGGCTTCTCTCAGCAATAGGTATGTGGGAGGGACCCCGAGATCGCTGCCTCAAGTGGAATATACAGCGAGAAGCCCTAACTTGAAAGGAGGCCGGATTTCCTTGCAGTGGCTTGAATACAGGCTCGTCTTTGATCTCAAAACATGAAGGGATGTCTGAATCCCCTGAGGAGACCGTAGAGAAAGCCCTAGGTCCCTGCCTCATTTTGTCGGAATGCCTCACATCCCGTTGACACCTTGAGAGGCACGCAGAGTTCACTGCTTCAAAAGGTGACGATGCCTGACTCCTCTTGAATACTGATAGGAATCCCAAAATCCCTGTGGCTTCTGGAAAGGGTCCTTGGGTGCCCTGCCTCACCTCGAGAAGCGTCCCTTTTGCCCTGCCAAGCCTCGAAGAGATTCCTGAGGTGTCCCTCGTTACGAGACAGGAGTCCTGACGTCACTGAAGAAACTCGTGTTTTGAAGGGCCATCCCCGCCGTAAGTCGAGAACATACCCCAGGTCCCCGCCGCAACTCAAGAAAAACCATGAGACTTCCCCCTAGAGGCGAGATGAGGCCCCATTCCTCTGCAATGCATGCAGATCTATTCCTTGATCCCATTCAAACAAGTCAGGAGCTTCGACATGCTTAATGGATCTAGAGACAGTCCCCAAGAACACTGTCACCAGTCTAGACGGACCCTGAGGTCACCCCAGCAACGCAAAGCATCTCCATGTGCCCCAAATCAACTCGAGATGAGGCCCGATTCCCCTGCATTGACTCCAGAGCCATTCCCCGTTCCCCATTCAACACGACCGGTGGCTCGACTTCCTTCAGGCAATAACAGAGATGCCCCGTGAACACTGTCCCAAGTCTAGAGGAACACCAACTTCAGCAGAGCAACTCGAGGAATGCTCCATGCACCCCAAATCGTCACGAGATGAGAGCTGATTCCCTGGCTTAGGCTCAAGACGTATGCCAACTTTCCAGAAGCACCTCAGGAGGAGGCTTCTCTCAGCAATAGGTATGTGGGAGGGACCCCGAGTTCACTGCCTCAAGTGGAATATACAGCGAGAAGCCCTAACTTGAAAGGAGGCCGGATTTCCTTGCAGTGGCTTGAATACAGGCTCGTCTTTGATCTCACAACATGAAGGCATGTCTGAATCCCCTGTGGAGACCTTAGAGAAAGCCCTAGGTCCCTGCCTCATTTTGACGGAATGCCTCACATCCCGTTGACACCTCGAGAGGCACGCGGAGTTCATTGCCTCAAAAGGTGACGATGCCTGACTCCTCTTGAATACTGATAGGAATCCCAAAATCCCTGTGGCTACTGGAATGGGTCCTTGGGTGCCCTGCCTCACCTCGAGAAGTGTCCCTTTTGCCTGCCAAGCCTCGAAGAGATTCCTGAGGTGTCCCTTGTTACTAGACAGGAGTCCTGACGTCACTGAAGAAACTCGTGTTTTGAAGGGCCATCCCCGCCGTAAGTCGAGACCATACCCCAGGTCCCCGCCGCAACTCGAGAAAATCCATGAGACTTCCCCCTAGAGGCGAGATGAGGCCCCATTCCCATTCAGTGCATGCAGAGCTATTCCGTGATCCCATTCAAACAAGTCAGGAGCTTCGACTTGCTTAATGGATCTCGAGACAGTCCCCAAGAACACTGTCACCAGTCTAGACGGACCCTGACGTCACCCCAGCAACGCAAAGCAGCTCCATGTGCACCAAATCAACTCGAGATGAGGCCCGATTCCCCTGCATTGACTCCAGAGCCATTCCCCGTTCCCCATTCAACACGACCGGTGGCTCGACTTCCTTCAGGCAATAACAGAGATGCCCCGTGAACACTGTCCCAAGTCTAGAGGAACACCAACTTCTGCAAAGCAACCCGAGGAATGCTCCATGTACCCCAAATCGTCTCGAGATGAGAGCTGATTCCTTGGTTTAGGCTCAAGACGTATGCCAAATTTCCAGAAGGACCTCAGGAGGAGGCTTCTCTCAGCAATAGGTATGTGGGAGGGACCCCGAGATCGCTTCCTCAAGTGGAATATACAGCGAGAAGCCCTAACTTGAAAGAAGGCCGGATTTCCTTGCAGTGTCTTGAATGCAGGCTCGTCTTTTATCTCAAAACATGAAGGGATGTCTGAATCCCCTGTGGAGACCTTAGAGAAAGCCCTAGGTCCCTGCCTCATTTTGACGGAATGCCTCACATCCCATTGACACCTCGAGAGGCAAGCGGAGTTCATTGCTTCAAAAGGTGACGAGGCCTGACTCCTCTTGAATACTGATAGGAATCCCAAAATCCCTGTGGTTACTGGAATGGGTCCTTGGGTGCCCTGTCTCACCTCGAGAAGCGTCCCTTTTGCCCTGCCAAGCCTCGAAGAGATTCCTGAGGTGTCCTTCGTTAATAGACAGGAGTCCTGACATCATTGAAGAAACTCGTGTTTTGAAGGGCCATCCCCGCCGTAAGTCGAGAACATACCCCAGGTCCCCGCCGCAATTCGAGAAAAACCATGACACTTCCCCCTAGAGGCGAGATGAGGCCCCATTCCCATGCAGTGCATGCAGAGCTATTCCGTGACCCCATTCAAACAAGTCAGGAGCTTCGACTTGCTTAACGGATCTCGAGACAGTCCCCAAGAACACTGTAACCAGTCTAGAAGGACCCTGACGTTACCCCAGCAACGCAATGCAACACCATGTGCCCCAAATCAACTCGAGATGAAGCCTGATTCCCCTGCATTGACTCCAGAGCCATTCCCCGTTCCCCATTGAACACGACCGGTGGCTCGACTTCCTTCAGGCAACTCCAGAGATGCCCTGAGAACACTCTCCCAAGACTAGAGTCACACCAACTTCAGCACAGCAACTCGAGGAAAGCTCCGTGTACCCCAAATCGTCTCGAGATGAGAGCTGATTCCCTGGCTTAGGCTCAAGACGTATGCCAACTTTCCAGAAGCACCTCAGGAGGAGGCTTCTCTCAGCAATAGGTATGTGGGAGGGACCCCGAGATCGCTGCCTCAAGTGGAATATACAGCGAGAAGCCCTAACTGGAAAGGAGGTCGGATTTCCTTGCAGTGGCTTGAATACAGGCTTGTCTTTGATCTCACAACATGAAGGCATGTCTGAATCCCCTGTGGAGACCTTAGAGAAAGCCCTAGGTCCCTGCCTCATTTTGAAGGAATGCCTCACATCCGGTTGACACCTCGAGAGGCACGCAGAGTTCATTGCTTCAAAAGGTGACGATGCCTGACTCCTCTTGAATACTGATAGGAATCCCAAAATCCCTGTGGCTACTGGAAAGGGTACTTGGGTGCCCTGCCTGACCTCAAGAAGCGTCCCTTTGCCCTGCAAAGCCTCGAAGAAATTCCTGAAGTGTCCCTCGTTACGAGACAGGAGTCATGACGTCACTGAAGAAAATCGTGTTTTGAAGGGCCATCCCCGCCCTAAGTCGAGAACATACCCCAGGTCCCCGCCGCAACTCGAGAAAAACCATGAGACTTCCCCCTAGAGGCGAGATGAGGCCCCATTCCCCTGCAGTGCATGCAGAGCTATTCCGTGATCCCATTCAAACAAGTCAGGAGCTTCGACTTGCTTAATGGATCTCGAGACAGTCCCCAAGAACACTGTCACCAGTCTAGACGGACCCTGAGGTCACCCCAGCAACGCAAAGCATCTCCATGTTCCCCAAATCAACTCGAGATGAGGCCCGATTCCCCTGCATTGACTCCAGAGCCATTCCCCGTTCCCCATTCAACAGGACCGGTGGCTCGACTTCCTTCAGGCAACTCCAGAGATGCCCCGAGAACACTGTCCCAAGTTTAGAGGAACACCACTTCAGCACAGCAACTCGAGGAATGCTCCATGTACCCCAAATCATCTCGAGATGAGAGCTGATTCCCTGGCTTAGGCTCAAGACATATGCCAACTTTCCAGAAGCACCACAGGAGGAGGCTTCTCTCAGCAATAGGTATGTGGGAGGGACCCCAAGATCGCTGCCTCAAGTGGAATATACAGCGAGAAGCCCTAACTTGAAAGGAGGCCGGATTTCCTTGCAGTGGATTGAATACAAGCTTTTCTTTCATCTCACAACATGAAGGCATGTCTGAATCCCCTGTGGAGACCTTAGAGAAAGCCCTAGGTCCCTGCCTCATTTAACGGAATGCCTCACATTCGGTTGACACCTCGAGAGGCACGCAGAGTTCATTGCTTCAAAAGGTGACGATGCCTGACTCTTCTTGAATACTGATAGGAATCCCAAAATCCCTGTGGCTACTGGAAAGGGTCCTTGGGTGCCCTGCCTCACCTCGAGAAGCGTCCCTTTCCCCTGCAAAGCCTCGAAGAAATTCCTGAAGTGTCCCTCATTACGAGACAGGAGTCATGACGTCACTGAAGAAAATCGTGTTTTGAAGGGCCATCCCCGCCGTAAGTCGAGAACATACCCCAGGTCCCCGCCGCAACTCGAGAAAAACCATGAGACTTCCCCCTAGAGCGAGATGAGGCCCCATTCCCCTGCAGTGCATGCAGAGCTATTCCGTGATCCCATTCATACAAGTCAGGAGCTTCGACGTGCTTAATGGATCTCGAGACAGTCCCCAAGAACACTGTCACCAGTCTAGACGGACCCTGAGGTCACCCCAGCAACGCAAAGCAGCTCCATGTTCCCCAAATCAACTCGAGATGAGGCCCGATTCCCCTGCATTGACTCCAGAGCCATTCCGCGTTCCCCATTCAACACGACCGGTGGCTCGACTTCCTTCAGGCAACTCCAGAGATGCCCCAAGAACACTGTCCCAAGTCTAGAGGAACACCAACTTCAGAACAGCAACTCGAGGAATGCTACGTGTACCCCAAATCGTCTCGAGATGAGAGCTGATTCCCTGGCTTAGGCTCAAGACGTATGCCAACTTTCCAGAAGCACCTCAGGAGGAGGCTTCTCTCAGCAATAGGTATGTGGGAGGGACCCCGAGATCGCTGCCTCAAGTGGAATATACAGCGAGAAGCCCTAACTTGAAAGGAGGCCGGATTTCCTTGCAGTGTCTTGAATGCAGGCTCGTCTTTTATCTCAAAACATGAAGAGATGTCTGAATCCCCTGTGGAGACTTTTGAGAAAGCCCTAGGTCCCTGCCTCATTTTGACGGAAGGCCTCACATCCCATTGACTCCTCGAGAGGCACGCGGAGTTCATTGCTTCAAAATGTGACGATGCCTGACTCCTCTTGAATACTGATAGGAATCCAAAAATCCCTGTGGCTACTAGAATGGGTCCTTGGGTGACCTGCCTCACCTCGAGAAGCGTCCCTTTTGCCCTGCCAAGCCTCGAAGAGATTCCTGAGGTGTCCCTCGTTACTAGACAGGAGTCCTGACGTTACTGAAGAAACTCGTGTTTTGAAGGCCGTCCCCGCCGTAAGTCGAAAATATACCCCAGGTCCCCGCCGCAACTCGAGAAAAACCATGAGACTTCCCACTAGAGGCGAGATGAGGCCCAATTCCCCTGCAGTGCATGCAGAGCTATTCCGTGATCCCATTCAAACAAGTCAGGAGCTTCGACTTCCTTAATGGATCTCGAGACAGTCCTCAAGAACACTGTCACCATTCTAGACGGACTCTGAGGTCAACCCAGCAACGGAAAGCAGCTCCATGTGCCCCAAATCAACTCGAGATGAGGCCCGATTCCCCTGCATTGACTCCATAGCCATTCCCCGTTCCCCATTGAACACGACCGGTGGCTCGACTTCCTTCTGGCAACTCCAGAGATGCCCTGAGAACACTCTCCCAAGACTAGAGTCACACCAACTTCAGCACAGCAACTCGAGGAAAGCTCCGTGTACCCCAAATCGTCTCGAGATGAGAGCTGATTCCCTGGCTTAGGCTCAAGACGTATGCCAACTTTCCAGAAGCACCTCAGGAGGAGGCTTCTCTCAGCAATAGGTATGTGGGAGGGACCCCGAGATCGCTGCCTCAAGTGGAATATACAGCGAGAAGCCCTAACTTGAAAGGAGGTCGGATTTCCTAGCAGTGGCTTGAATACAGGCTTGTCTTTGATCTCACAACATGAAGGCATGTCTGAATCCCCTGTGGAGACCTTAGAGAAAGCCCTAGGTCCCTGCCTCATTTTGACGGAATGCCTCACATCCCGTTGACACCTCGAGAGTCACGCGGAGTTCATTGCTTCAAAAGGTGACGATGCCTGACTCCTCTTGAATACTGATAGGAATCCCACAATCCCTGTGGCTACTGGAATGGGTCCTTGGGTGCCCTGCCTCACCTCGAGAAGCATCCCTTTTGCCCTGCCAAGACTCGAAGAGATTCCTGAGGTGTCCCTCGTTACTAGACAGCAGTCCTGATGTCACTGAAGAAAATCGTGTTTTGAAGGGCCATCCCCGCCGTAAGTCGAGAACATAACCCAGGTCCCCGCCGCAACTCGAGGAAAACCATGAGACTTCCCCCTAGAGGCGAGATGAGGCCCCATTCCCCTGCAGTGCATGCAGAGCTATTCCGTGATCCCATTCAAACAAGTCAGGAGCTTCGACTTGCTTAATGGATCTCGAGACAGTCCCCAAGAACACTGTCACCATTCTAGACGGACCCTGAGGTCACCCCAGCAACGGAAAGCAGCTCCATGTGCCCCAAATCAACTCGAGATGAGGCCCGATTCCCCTGCATTGACTCCAGAGCCATTCCCCGTTCCCCATTCAACACGACCGGTGGCTCGACTTCCTTCAGGCAATAACAGAGATGCCCCGTGAACACTGTCCCAAGTCTAGAGGAACACCAACTTCAGCACAGCAACTCGAGGAATGCTCCATGTACCCCAAATCGTCTCGAGATGAGAGCTGATTCCCTGGCTTAGGCTCAAGACGTATGCCAACTTTCCAGAAGCACCTCAGGAGGAGGCTTCTCTCAGCAATAGGTATGTGGGAGGGACCCCGAGATCGCTGCCTCAATTGGAATATACAGCGAGAAGCCCTAACTTGAAAGGAGGCCGGATTTCCTTGCAGTGGCTTGAATACAGGCTCGTCTTTGATCTCACAACATGAAGGGATGTCTGAATCCCCTGAGGAGACCTTAGAGAAAGCCCTAGGTCCCTGCCTCATTTTGTCGAAATGCCTCACATCCCGTTGACACCTTGAGAGGCACCCAGAGTTCATTGCTTCAAAAGGTGACGATGCCTGACTCCTCTTGAATACTGATAGGAATCCCAAAATCCCTGTGGGTTCTGGAAAGGGTCCTTGGGTGCCCTGCCTCACCTCGAGAAGCGTCCCTTTTACCCTGCCAAGCCTCGAAGAGATTCCTGAGGTGTCCCTCGTTACGAGACAGGAGTCCTGACGTCACTGAAGAAACTCGTGTTTTGAAGGGCCATCACCGCCGTAAGTCGAGAACATACCCCAGGTCCCCGCCGCAACTCGAGAAAAACCATGAGACTTCCCGCTACAGGCGAGATGAGGCCCCATTCGACTGCAGTGCATGCAGAGCTATTCCGTGATCCCATTCAAACAAGTCAGGAGCTTCGACTTGCTTAATGGATCTCGAGACAGTCCCCAAGAACACTGTCACCAGTCTAGACGGAACCTGAGGTCACCCCAGCAATGCAAAGCAGCTCCATTTGCCCCAAATCAACTCGAGATGAGGCCCGATTCCCCTGCATTGACACCAGAGCCATTCCCCGTTCCCCATTCAACACGACCGGTGGCTCGACTTCCTTCAGGCAACTCCAGAGATGCCCTGAGAACACTCTCCCAAGACTAGAGTCACACCAACTTCAGCACAGCAACTCGAGGAAAGCTCCGTGTACCCCAAATCGTCTCGAGATGAGAGCTGATTCCCTGGCTTAGGCTCAAGACGTATGCCAACTTTCCAGAAGCACCTCAGGAGGAGGCTTCTCTCAGCAATAGGTATGTGGGAGGGACCCCGAGATCGCTGCCTAAAGTGGAATATACAGCGAGAAGCCCTAACTTGAAAGGAGGCCGGATTTCCTAGCAGTGGCTTGAATACAGGCTTGTCTTTGATCTCACAACATGAAGGCATGTCTGAATCCCCTGTGGAGACCTTAGAGAAAGCCCTAGGTCCCTGCCTCATTTTGAAGGAATGCCTCACATCCGGTTGACACCTCGAGAGGCACGCAGAGTTCATTGCTTCAAAAGGTGACGATGCCTGACTCCTCTTGAATACTGATAGGAATCCCAAAATCCCTGTGGCTACTGGAAAGGGTACTTGGGTGCCCTGCCTCACCTCAAGAAGCGTCCCTTTGCCCTGCAAAGCCTCGAAGAAATTCCTGAAGTGTCCCTCGTTACGAGACAGGAGTCATGACGTCACTGAAGAAAATCGTGTTTTGAAGGGCCATCCCCGCCCTAAGTCGAGAACATACCCCAGGTCCCCGCCGCAACTCGAGAAAAACCATGAGACTTCCCCCTAGAGGCGAGATGAGGCCCCATTCCCCTGCAGTGCATGCAGAGCTATTCCGTGATCCCATTCAAACAAGTCAGGAACTTCGACGTGCTTAATGGATCTCGAGACAGTCCCCAAGAACACTGTCACCAGTCTAGACGGACCCTGAGGTCACCCCAGCAACGCAAAGCATCTCCATGTTCCCCAAATCAACTCGAGATGAGGCCCGATTCCCCTGCATTGACTCCAGAGCCATTCCCCGTTCCCCATTCAACAGGACCGGTGGCTCGACTTCCTTCAGGCAATAACAGAGATGCCCCATGAACACTGTCCCAAGTCTAGAGGAACACCAACTTCAGCACAGCAACTCGAGGTATGCTCCATGTACCCCAAATCGTCTCGAGATGAGAGCTGATTCCCTGGCTTAGGCTCAAGACGTATGCCAACTTTCCAGAAGCACCTCAGGAGGAGGCTTCTCTCAGCAATAGGTATGTGGGAGGGACCCCGAGATCGCTGCCTCAAGGGGAATATACAGCGAGAAGCCCTAACTTGAAAGGAGTCCGGATTTCCTTGCAGTGGCTTGAATACAGGATCGTCTTTGATCTCACAACATGAAGGGATGTCTGAATCCCCTGTGGGGACCTTAGAGAAAGCCCTAGGTCCCTGCCTCATTTTGACGGAATGCCTCACATCCCGTTGACACCTTGAGAGGCACCCAGAGTTCATTGCTTCAAAAGGTGACGATGCCTGACTCCTCTTGAATACTGATAGGAATCCCAAAATCCCTGTGGGTTCTGGAAAGGGTCCTTGGGTGCCCTGCCTCACCTCGAGAAGCGTCCCTTTTGGCCTGCCAAGCCTCGAAGAGATTCCTGAGGTGTCCCTCGTTACGAGACAGGAGTCCTGACGTCACTGAAGAAACTCGTGTTTTGAAGGGCCATCCCCGCCGTAAGTCGAGAACATACCCCAGGTCCCCGCCGCAACTCGAGAAAAACCATGAGACTTCCCGCTACAGGCGAGATGAGGCCCCATTCCCCTGCAGTGCATGCAGAGCTATTCCGTGATCCCATTCAAACAAGTCAGGAGCTTCGACTTGCTTAATGGATCTCGAGACAGTCCCCAAGAACACTGTCACCAGTCTAGACGGAACCTGAGGTCACCCCAGCAATGCAAAGCAGCTCCATGTGCCCCAAATCAACTCGAGATGAGGCCCGATTCCCCTGCATTGACACCAGAGCCATTCCCCGTTCCCCATTCAACACGACCGGTGGCTCGACTTCCTTCAGGCAACTCCAGAGATGCCCCGAGAACACTGTCCCAAGTCTAGAGGAACACCAACTTCAGCACAGCAACTCGAGGATTGCTCCGTGTACCCCAAATCGTCTCGAGATGAGAGCTGATTCCCTGGCTTAGGCTCAAGACGTATGCCAACTTTCCAGAAGCACCTCAGGAGGAGGCTTCTCTCAGCAATAGTTATGTGGGAGGGACCCCGAAATCGCTGCCTCAAGTGAAATATACAGCGAGAAGCCCTAACTTGAAAGGAGGCCGGATTTCCTTGCAGTGGCTTGAATACAGGCTGGTCTTTGATCTCACAACATGAAGGCATATCTGAATCCCCTTTGGAGACCTTAGAGAAAGCCTTAGGTCCCTGCCTCATATTGACGGAATGCCTCACATTACGCTGACACCTCGAGAGGCACGCGGAGTTCATTGCTTCAAAAGGTGACGATGCCTGACTCCTCTTGAATACTGATAGGAATCCCAGAATCCCTGTGGCTACTGGAAAGGGTCCTTGGGTGCCCTGCCTCACCTCGAGAAGCGTCCCTTTTGCACTGCCAAGCCTCGAAGAGATTCCTGAGGTGTCCCTCGTTACGAGACAGGAGTCCAGATGTCACTGAAGAAACTCGTGTTTTGAAGGGCCATCCCCGCCGTAAGTCGAGAACATACCCCAGGTCCCCGCCGCAACTCGAGAAAAACCATGAGACTTCCCCCTATAGGCGAGATGAGGCCCCATTCCCATGCAGTGCATGCAGAGCTATTCCGTGACCCCATTCAAACAAGTCAGGAGCTTCGACTTGCTTAACGGATCTCGAGACATTCCCCAAGAACACTGTCACCAGTCTAGACGGACCCTGACGTTACCCCAGCAACGCAATGCAACCCCATGTGCCCCAAATCAACTCGAGATGAAGCCTGATTCCCCTGCATTGACTCCAGAGCCATTCCCCGTTCCCCATTCAACACGACCGGTGGCTCGACTTCCTTCAGGCAACTCCAGAGATGCCCCGAGAACACTGTCCCAAGTCTAGAGGAACACCACTTCAGCACAGCAACTCGAGGAATGCTCCATGTACCCCAAATCGTCTCGAGATGAGAGCTGATTCCCTGGCTTAGGCTCAAGACATATGCCAACTTTCCAGAAGCACCTCAGGAGGAGGCTTCTCTCAGCAATAGGTATGTGGGAGGGACCCCAAGATCGCTGCCTCAAGTGGAATATACAGCGAGAAGCCCTAACTTGAAAGGAGGCCGGATTTCCTTGCAGTGGCTTGAATACAGGCTGGTCTTTGATCTCACAACATGAAGGCATGTCTGAATCCCCTGTGGAGACCTTAGAGAAAGCCCTAGGTCCCTGCCTCATTTAACGGAATGCCTCACATTCAGTTGACACCTCGAGAGGCACGCAGAGCTCATTGCTTCAAAAGGTGACGATGCCTGACTCCTCTTGAATACTGATAGGAATCCCAAAATCCCTGTGGCTACTGGAAAGGGTCCTTGGGTGCCCTGCCTCACCTCGAGAAGCGTTCCTTTCCCCTGCAAAGCCTCGAAGAAATTCCTGAAGTGTCCCTCATTACGAGACAGGAGTCATGACGTCACTGAAGAAAATCGTGTTTTGAAGGGCCATCCCCGCCGTAAGTCGAGAACATACCCCAGGTCGCCGCCGCAAGTCGAGAAAAACCATGAGACTTCCCCCTAGAGGCGAGATGAGGCCCCATTCCCCTGCAGTGCATGCAGAGCTATTCCGTGATCCCATTCAAACAAGTCAGGAGCTTCGACGTGCTTAATGGATCTCGAGACAGTCCCCAAGAACACTGTCACCAGTCTAGACGGACCCTGAGGTCACCCCAGCAACGCAAAGCAGCTCCATGTTCCCCAAATCAACTCGAGATGAGGCCCGATTCCCCTTAATTGACTCCATAGCCATTCCGCGTTCCCCATTCAACACGACCGGTGGCTCGACTTCCTTCAGGCAACTCCAGAGATGCCCCAAGAACACTGTCCCAAGTCTAGAGGAACACCAACTTCAGCACAGCAACTCGAGGAATGCTACGTGTACGCCAAATCGTCTCGAGATGAGAGCTGATTCCCTGGCTTAGGCTCAAGACGTATGCCAACTTTCCAGAAGCACCTCAGGAGGAGGCTTCTCTCAGCAATAGGTATGTGGGAGGGACCCCGAGATCGCTGCCTCAAGTGGAATATACAGCGAGAAGCCCTAACTTGAAAGGAGGCCGGATTTCCTTGCAGTGTCTTGAATGCAGGCTCGTCTTTTATCTCAAAACATGAAGAGATGTCTGAATCCCCTGTGGAGACTTTAGAGAAAGCCCTAGGTCCCTGCCTCATTTTGACGGAAGGCCTCACATCCCGTTGACTCCTCGAGAGGCACGCGGAGTTCATTGCTTCAAAATGTGACGATGCCTGACTCCTCTTGAATACTGATAGGAATCCAAAAATCCCTGTGGCTACTAGAATGGGTCCTTGGGTGCCCTGCCTCACCTCGAGAAGCGTCCCTTTTGCCCTGCCAAGCCTCGAAGAGATTCCTGAGGTGTCCCTCGTTACTAGACAGGAGTCCTGACGTTACTGAAGAAACTCGTGTTTTGAAGGACGTCCCCGCCGTAAGTCGAAAATATACCCCAGGTCCCCGACGCAACTCGAGAAAAACCATGAGACTTCCCCCTAGAGGCGAGATGAGGCCCAATTCCCCTGCAGTGCATGCAGAGCTATTCCGTGATCCCATTCAAACAAGTCAGGAGCTTCGACTTCCTTAATGGATCTCGAGACAGTCCTCAAGAACACTGTCACCATTCTAGACGGACCCTGAGGTCAACCCAGCAACGGAAAGCAGCTCCATGTGCCCCAAATCAACTCGAGATGAGGCCCGATTCCCCTGCATTGACTCCAGAGCCATTCCCCGTTCCCCATTCAACACGACCGGTGGCTCGACTTCCTTCAGGCAACTCCAGAGATGCCCTGAGAACACTCTCCCAAGACTAGAGTCACACCAACTTCAGCACAGCAACTCGAGGAAAGCTCCGTGTACCCCAAATCGTCTCGAGATGAGAGCTGATTCCCTGGCTTAGGCTCAAGACGTATGCCAACTTTCCAGAAGCACCTCAGGAGGAGGCTTCTCTCAGCAATAGGTATGTGGGATGGACCCCGAGATCGCTGCCTCAAGTGGAATATACAGCGAGAAGCCCTAACTTGAAAGGAGGTCGGATTTCCTTGCAGTGGCTTGAATACAGGCTCGTCTTTGATCTGACAACATGAAGGCATGTCTGAATCCCCTGTGGAGACCTTAGAGAAAGCCCTAGGTCCCTGCCTCATTTTGACGGAATGCCTCACATCCGGTTGACACCTCGAGAGGCACGCAGTGTTCATTGCTTCAAAAGGTGACGATGCCTGACTCCTCTTGAATACTGATAGGATTCCCAAAATCCCTGTGGCTACTGGAAAGGGTCCTTGGGTGCCCTGCCTCACCTCAAGAAGCGTCCCTTTGCCCTGCAAAGCCTCGAAGAAATTCCTGAAGTGTCCCTCGTTACGAGACAGGAGTCATGACGTCACTGAAGAAAATCGTGTTTTGAAGGGCCATCCCCGCCCTAAGTCGAGAACATAACCCAGGTCCCCACCGCAACTCGAGAAAAACCATGAGACTTCCCCCTAGAGGCGAGATGAGGCCCCATTCCCCTGCAGTGCATGCAGAGCTATTCCGTGATCCCATTCAAACAAGTCAGGAGCTTCGACTTGCTTAACGGATCTCGAGACAGTCCCCAAGAACACTGTCACCAGTCTAGACGGACCCTGAGGTCACCCCAGCAACGCAAAGCAGCTCCATGTTCCATAAATCAACTCGAGATGAGGCCCGATTCCCCTGCATTGACTCCAGAGCCATTCCCCGTTCCCCATTCAACACGACCGGTGGCTCGACTTCCTTCAGGCAATAACAGAAATGCCCCATGAACACTGTCCCAAGTCTAGAGGAACACCAACTTCAGCACAGCAACTCGAGGTATGCTCCATGTACCCCAAATCGTCTCGAGATGAGAGCTGATTCCCTGGCTTAGGCTCAAGACGTATGCCAACTTTCCAGAAGCACCTCAGGAGGAGGCTTCTCTCAGCAATAGGTATGTGGGAGGGACCCCGAGATCGCTGCCTCAAGGGGAATATACAGCGAGAAGCCCTAACTTGAAAGGAGCCCGGATTTCCTTGCAGTGGCTTGAATACAGGCTCGTCTTTGATCTCACAACATGAAGGGATGTCTGAATCCCCTGTGGAGACCTTAGAGAAAGCCCTAGGTCCCTGCCTCATTTTGACGGAATGCCTCACATCCCGTTGACACCTCGAGAGGCACGCGGAGTTCATTGCTTCAAAAGGTGACGATGCCTGACTCCTCTTGAATACTGATAGGAATCCCAAAATCCCTGTGGCTACTGGAAAGGGTCCTTGGGTGCCCTGCCTCACCTCGAGAAGCGTCCCTTTTGGCCTGCCAAGCCTCGAAGAGATTCCTGAGGTGTCCCTCGTTACGAGACAGGAGTCCTGACGTCACTGAAGAAACTCGTGTTTTGAAGGGCCATCCCCGCCGTAAGTTGAGAACATACCCCAGGTCCCCGCCGCAACTCGAGAAAAACCATGAGACTTCCCCCTAGAGGCGAGATGAGGCCCCATTCCCCTGCAGTGCATGCAGAGCTATTCCGTGATCCCATTCAAACAAGTCAGGAGCTTCGACTTGCTTAATGGATCTCGAGACAGACCCCAAGAACACTGTCACCAGTCTAGACGGAACCTGAGGTCACCCCAGCAATGCAAAGCAGCTCCATGTGCCCCAAATCAACTCGAGATGAGGCCCGATTCCCCTGCATTGACACCAGAGCCATTCCCCGTTCCCCATTCAACACGACCGGTGGCTCGACTTCCTTCAGGCAACTCCAGAGATGCCCCGAGAACACTGTCCCAAGTCTAGAGGAACACCAACTTCAGCACAGCAACTCGAGGATTGCTCCGTGTACCCCAAATCGTCTCGAGATGAGAGCTGATTCCCTGGCTTAGGCTCAAGACGTATGCCAACTTTCCAGAAGCACCTCAGGAGTAGGCTTCTCTCAGCAATAGTTATGTGGGAGGGACCCCGAAATCGCTGCCTCAAGTGAAATATACAGCGAGAAGCCCTAACTTGAAAGGAGGCCGGATTTCCTTGCAGTGGCTTGAATACAGGCTGGTCTTTGATCTCACAACATGAAGGCATATCTGAATCCCCTTTGGAGACCTTAGAGAAAGCCTTAGGTCCCTGCCTCATTTTGACGGAATGCCTCACATTACGCTGACACCTCGAGAGGCACGCGGAGTTCATTGCTTCAAAAGGTGACGATGCCTGACTCCTCTTGAATACTGATAGGAATCCCAGAATCCCTGTGGCTACTGGAAAGGGTCCTTGGGTGCCCTGCCTCACCTCGAGAAGCGTCCCTTTTGCCCTGCCAAGCCTAGAAGAGATTCCTGAGGTGTCCCTCGTTACGAGACAGGAGGCCAGATGTCACTGAAGAAACTCGTGTTTTGAAGGGCCATCCCCGCCGTAAGTCGAGAACATACCCCAGGTCCCCGCCGCAACTCGAGAAAAACCATGAGACTTCCCCCTATAGGCGAGATGAGGCCCCATTCCCATGCAGTGCATGCAGAGCTATTCCGTGACCCCATTCAAACAAGTCAGGAGCTTCAACTTGCTTAATGGATCTCGAGACAGTCCCCAAGAACACTGTCACCAGTCTAGACGGACCCTGACGTTACCCCAGCAACGCAATGCAACCCCATGTGCCCCAAATCAACTCGAGATGAAGCCTGATTCCCCTGCATTGACTCCAGAGCCATTCCCCGTTCCCCATTCAACACGACCGGTGGCTCGACTTCCTTCAGGCAACTCCAGAGATGCCCCGAGAACACTGTCCCAAGTTTAGAGGAACACCACTTCAGCACAGCAACACGAGGAATGCTCCATGTACCCCAAATCGTCTCGAGATGAGAGCTGATTCCCTGGCTTAGGCTCAAGACATATGCCAACTTTCCAGAAGCACCTCAGGAGGAGGCTTCTCTCAGCAATAGGTATGTGGGAGGGACCCCAAGATCGCTGCCTCAAGTGGAATATACAGCGAGAAGCCCTAACTTGAAAGGAGGCCGGATTTCCTTGCAGTGGATTGAATACAAGCTTGTCTTTCATCTCACAACATGAAGGCATGTCTGAATCCCCTGTGGAGACCTTAGAGAAAGCCCTAGGTCCCTGCCTCATTTAACGGAATGCCTCACATTCAGTTGACACCTCGAGAGGCACGCAGAGCTCATTGCTTCAAAAGGTGACGATGCCTGACTCCTCTTGAATACTGATAGGAATCCCAAAATCCCTGTGGCTACTGGAAAGGGTCCTTGGGTGCCCTGCCTCACCTCGAGAAGCGTCCCTTTCCCCTGCAAAGCCTCGAAGAAATTCCTGAAGTGTCCCTCATTACGAGACAGGAGTCATGACGTCACTGAAGAAAATCGTGTTTTGAAGGGCCATCCCCGCCGTAAGTCGAGAACATACCCCAGGTCGCCGCCGCAAGTCGAGAAAAACCATGAGACTTCCCCCTAGAGGCGAGATGAGGCCCCATTCCCCTGCAGTGCATGCAGAGCTATTCCGTGATCCCATTCAAACAAGTCAGGAGCTTCGACGTGCTTAACGGATCTCGAGACAGTCCCCAAGAACACTGTCACCAGTCTAGACGGACCCTGAGGTCACCCCAGCAACGCAAAGCAGCTCCATGTTCCCCAAATCAACTCGAGATGAGGCCCGATTCCCCTGCATTGACTCCAGAGCCATTCCGCGTTCCCCATTCAACACGACCGGTGGCTCGACTTCCTTCAGGCAACTCCAGAGATGCCCCAAGAACACTGTCCCAAGTCTAGAGGAACACCAACTTCAGCACAGCAACTCGAGGAATGCTACGTGTACGCCAAATCGTCTCGAGATGAGAGCTGATTCCCTGGCTTAGGCTCAAGACGTATGCCAACTTTCCAGAAGCACCTCAGGAGGAGGCTTCTCTCAGCAATAGGTATGTGGGAGGGACCCCGAGATCGCTGCCTCAAGTGGAATATACAGCGAGAAGCCCTAACTTGAAAGGAGGCCGGATTTCCTTGCAGTGTCTTGAATGCAGGCTCGTCTTTTATCTCAAAACATGAAGAGATGTCTGAATCCCCTGTGGAGACTTTAGAGAAAGCCCTAGGTCCCTGCCTCATTTTGACGGAAGGCCTCACATCCCGTTGACTCCTCGAGAGGCACGCGGAGTTCATTGCTTCAAAATGTGACGATGCCTGACTCCTCTTGAATACTGATAGGAATCCAAAAATCCCTGTGGCTACTAGAATGGGTCCTTGGGTGCCCTGCCTCACCTCGAGAAGCGTCCCTTTTGCCCTGCCAAGTCTCGAAGAGATTCCTGAGTTGTCCCTTGTTACTAGACAGGAGTCCTGACGTCACTGAAGAAACTCGTGTTTTGAAGGGCCATCCCCGCCGTAAGTCGAGAACGTACCCCAGGTCCCCGCCGCACCTCGAGAGAATCCATGAGACTTCCCCCTAGAGGCGAAATGAGGCCCCATTCCCATTCAGTGCATGCAGAGCTATTCCGTGATCCCATTCAAACAAGTCAGGAGCTTCGACTTGCTTAATGGATCTCCAGCCAGTCCCCAAGAACACTCTCACCAGTCTAGACCGACCCTGAGGTCACCCCAGCAACGCAAAGCAGCTCCATGTGCCCCAAATCAACTCGAGATGAGGCCCGATTCCCCTGCATTGACTCCAGAGCCATTCCCCGTTCCCCATTCAACACGACCGGTGGCTCGACTTCCTTCAGGCAACTCCAGAGATACCCCGAGAACACTGTCCCAAGTCTAGAGGAACACCAACTTCAGCATAGCAACTCGAGGAATGCTCCATGTACCCCAAATTGTCTCGAGATGAGAGTTGATTCCCTGGCTTAGGCTCAAGACGTATGCCAACTTTCCAGAAGCACCTCAGGAGGAGGCTTCTCTCAGCAATCGGTATGTGGGAGGGACCCCGAGATCGCTGCCTCAGGTGGAATATACAGCGAGAAGCCCTAACTTGAAAGGAGGCCGAGTTTCCTTGCCGTGGCTTGAATACAGGCTCGTCTTTTATCTCACAACATGAAGGCATGTCTGAATCCCCTGTGGAGACCTTAGAGAAAGCCCTAGGTCCCTGCCTCATTTTGACGGAATGCCTCACATCCCGTTGACACCTCGAGAGGCACGCAGAGTTCATTGCTTCAAAAGGTGACGATGCCTGACTCCTCTTGAATACTGATAGGATTCCCACAATCCCTGTGGCTACTGGAATGGGTCCTTGGGTGCCCTGCCTCACCTCGAGAAGCGTCCCTTTTGCCCTGCCAAGCCTGGAAGAGATTCCTGAGGTGTCCCTCGTTACGAGACAGGAGTCCTGACGTCACTGAAGAAACTCGTGTTTTGAAGGGCCATCCCCGCCGTAAGTCGAGAACATACCCCAGGTCCCCGCCGCAACTCGAGAAAATCCATGAGACTTCCCCCTAGAGGTGAGATGAGGCCCTATTCCCATTCAGTGCATGCAGAGCTATTCCGTGATCCCATTCAAACAAGTCAGGAGCTTCGACTTGCTTAATGGATCTCGAGCCAGTCCCCAAGAACACTGTCACCAGTCTAGACGGACCCTGAGGTCACCCCAGCAACGCAAAGCAGCTCCATGTGCCCCAAATCAACTCGAGATGAGGCCCGATTCCCCTGCATTGACTCCATAGCCATTCCCCGTTCCCCATTCAACACGACCGGTGGCTCGACTTCCTTCAGGCAACTCCAGAGATGCCCCGAGAACACTGTCCTAAGTCTAGAGGAACACCAACTTCAGCACAGCATCTCAAGGAATGCTCCGTGTACCCCAAATCGTCTCGAGATGAGAGCTGATTCCCTGGCTTAGGCTCAAGACGTATGCCAACTTTCAAGAAGCACCTCAGGAGGAGGCTTCTCTCAGCAATAGTTATGTGGGAGGGACCCCGAAATCGCTGCCTCAAGTGAAATATACAGCGAGAAGCCCTAACTTGAAAGGAGGCCGGATTTCCTTGCAGTGGCTTGAATACAGGCTGGTCTTTGATCTCACAACATGAAGGCATATCTGAATCCCCTGTGCAGACCTTAGAGAAAGCCTTAGGTCCCTGCCTCATTTTGACGGAATGCCTCACATCCCGTTGACACCTCGAGAGGCACGTGGAATTCATTGCTTCAAAAGGTGACGATGCCTGACTCCTCTTGAATACTGATAGGAATCCCAGAATCCCTGTGGCTACTGGAAAGGGTCCTTGGGTGCCCTGCCTCACCTCGAGAAGCGTCCCTTTTGCCCTGCCAAGCCTCGAAGAGATTCCTGAGGTGTCCCTCGTTACGAGACAGAACTCCTGATGTCACTGAAGAAACTCTTGTTTTGAAGGGCCATCCCCGCCGTAAGTCGAGATCATACCCCAGGTCCCCGCCGCAACTCGAGAAAAACCATGAGACTTCCCCCTAGAGGCGAGATGAGGCCCAATTCCCCTGCAGTGCATGCAGAGCTATTCCATGATCCCATTCAAACAAGTCAGGAGCTTCGACTTGCTTAATGGATCTCGAGACAGTCCCCAAGAACACTGTCACCAGTCTAGACGGACCCTGAGGTGAACCCAGCAACGGAAAGCAGCTCCATGTGCCCCAAGTCAACTCGAGATGAGGCCCGATTCCCCTGCATTGACTCCAGAGCCATTCCCCGTTCCCCATTCAACACGACCGGTGGCTCTACTTGCTTCAGGCAATAACAGAGATGCCCCGTGAACACTGTCCCTAGTCTAGAGGAACACCAACTTCAGCACAGCAACTCGAGGAATGCTCCATGTACCCCAAATCGTCGCGAGATGAGAGCTGATTCCCTGGCTTAGGCTCAAGACGTATGCCAACTTTCCAGAAGCACCTCAGGAGGAGGCTTCTCTCAGCAATATGTATGTGTGAGGGACCCCAATATCACTGCCTCAAGAGGAATATACAGCGAGAATCCCTAACTTGAAAGGAGGCCGGATTTCCTTGCAGTGGCTTGAATACAGGCTCGTCTTTGATCTCACAACATGAAGGCATGTCTGAATCCCCTGTGGAGACCTTAGAGAAAGCCCTAGGTCCCTGCCTCATTTTGACGGAATGCCTCACATCCGGTTGACACCTCGAGAGGCACGCAGTGTTCATTGCTTCAAAAGGTGACGATGCCTGACTCCTCTTGAATACTGATAGGATTCCCAAAATCCCTGTGGCTACTGGAAAGGGTCCTTGGGTGCCCTGCCTCACCTCAAGAAGCGTCCCTTTGCCCTGCAAAGCCTCGAAGAAATTCCTGAAGTGTCCCTCGTTACGAGACAGGAGTCATGACGTCACTGAAGAAAATCGTGTTTTGAAGGGCCATCCCCGCCCTAAGTCGAGAACATAACCCAGGTCCCCACCGCAACTCGAGAAAAACCATGAGACTTCCCCCTAGAGGCGAGATGAGGCCCCATTCCCCTGCAGTGCATGCAGAGCTATTCCGTGATCCCATTCAAACAAGTCAGGAGCTTCGACTTGCTTAACGGATCTCGAGACAGTCCCCAAGAACACTGTCACCAGTCTAGACGGACCCTGAGGTCACCCCAGCAACGCAAAGCAGCTCCATGTTCCATAAATCAACTCGAGATGAGGCCCGATTCCCCTGCATTGACTCCAGAGCCATTCCCCGTTCCCCATTCAACACGACCGGTGGCTCGACTTCCTTCAGGCAATAACAGAAATGCCCCATGAACACTGTCCCAAGTCTAGAGGAACACCAACTTCAGCACAGCAACTCGAGGTATGCTCCATGTACCCCAAATCGTCTCGAGATGAGAGCTGATTCCCTGGCTTAGGCTCAAGACGTATGCCAACTTTCCAGAAGCACCTCAGGAGGAGGCTTCTCTCAGCAATAGGTATGTGGGAGGGACCCCGAGATCGCTGCCTCAAGGGGAATATACAGCGAGAAGCCCTAACTTGAAAGGAGCCCGGATTTCCTTGCAGTGGCTTGAATACAGGCTCGTCTTTGATCTCACAACATGAAGGGATGTCTGAATCCCCTGTGGAGACCTTAGAGAAAGCCCTAGGTCCCTGCCTCATTTTGACGGAATGCCTCACATCCCGTTGACACCTCGAGAGGCACGCGGAGTTCATTGCTTCAAAAGGTGACGATGCCTGACTCCTCTTGAATACTGATAGGAATCCCAAAATCCCTGTGGCTACTGGAAAGGGTCCTTGGGTGCCCTGCCTCACCTCGAGAAGCGTCCCTTTTGGCCTGCCAAGCCTCGAAGAGATTCCTGAGGTGTCCCTCGTTACGAGACAGGAGTCCTGACGTCACTGAAGAAACTCGTGTTTTGAAGGGCCATCCCCGCCGTAAGTTGAGAACATACCCCAGGTCCCCGCCGCAACTCGAGAAAAACCATGAGACTTCCCCCTAGAGGCGAGATGAGGCCCCATTCCCCTGCAGTGCATGCAGAGCTATTCCGTGATCCCATTCAAACAAGTCAGGAGCTTCGACTTGCTTAATGGATCTCGAGACAGACCCCAAGAACACTGTCACCAGTCTAGACGGAACCTGAGGTCACCCCAGCAATGCAAAGCAGCTCCATGTGCCCCAAATCAACTCGAGATGAGGCCCGATTCCCCTGCATTGACACCAGAGCCATTCCCCGTTCCCCATTCAACACGACCGGTGGCTCGACTTCCTTCAGGCAACTCCAGAGATGCCCCGAGAACACTGTCCCAAGTCTAGAGGAACACCAACTTCAGCACAGCAACTCGAGGATTGCTCCGTGTACCCCAAATCGTCTCGAGATGAGAGCTGATTCCCTGGCTTAGGCTCAAGACGTATGCCAACTTTCCAGAAGCACCTCAGGAGTAGGCTTCTCTCAGCAATAGTTATGTGGGAGGGACCCCGAAATCGCTGCCTCAAGTGAAATATACAGCGAGAAGCCCTAACTTGAAAGGAGGCCGGATTTCCTTGCAGTGGCTTGAATACAGGCTGGTCTTTGATCTCACAACATGAAGGCATATCTGAATCCCCTTTGGAGACCTTAGAGAAAGCCTTAGGTCCCTGCCTCATTTTGACGGAATGCCTCACATTACGCTGACACCTCGAGAGGCACGCGGAGTTCATTGCTTCAAAAGGTGACGATGCCTGACTCCTCTTGAATACTGATAGGAATCCCAGAATCCCTGTGGCTACTGGAAAGGGTCCTTGGGTGCCCTGCCTCACCTCGAGAAGCGTCCCTTTTGCCCTGCCAAGCCTAGAAGAGATTCCTGAGGTGTCCCTCGTTACGAGACAGGAGGCCAGATGTCACTGAAGAAACTCGTGTTTTGAAGGGCCATCCCCGCCGTAAGTCGAGAACATACCCCAGGTCCCCGCCGCAACTCGAGAAAAACCATGAGACTTCCCCCTATAGGCGAGATGAGGCCCCATTCCCATGCAGTGCATGCAGAGCTATTCCGTGACCCCATTCAAACAAGTCAGGAGCTTCGACTTGCTTAATGGATCTCGAGACAGTCCCCAAGAACACTGTCACCAGTCTAGACGGACCCTGACGTTACCCCAGCAACGCAATGCAACCCCATGTGCCCCAAATCAACTCGAGATGAAGCCTGATTCCCCTGCATTGACTCCAGAGCCATTCCCCGTTCCCCATTCAACACGACCGGTGGCTCGACTTCCTTCAGGCAACTCCAGAGATGCCCCGAGAACACTGTCCCAAGTTTAGAGGAACACCACTTCAGCACAGCAACACGAGGAATGCTCCATGTACCCCAAATCGTCTCGAGATGAGAGCTGATTCCCTGGCTTAGGCTCAAGACATATGCCAACTTTCCAGAAGCACCTCAGGAGGAGGCTTCTCTCAGCAATAGGTATGTGGGAGGGACCCCAAGATCGCTGCCTCAAGTGGAATATACAGCGAGAAGCCCTAACTTGAAAGGAGGCCGGATTTCCTTGCAGTGGATTGAATACAAGCTTGTCTTTCATCTCACAACATGAAGGCATGTCTGAATCCCCTGTGGAGACCTTAGAGAAAGCCCTAGGTCCCTGCCTCATTTAACGGAATGCCTCACATTCAGTTGACACCTCGAGAGGCACGCAGAGCTCATTGCTTCAAAAGGTGACGATGCCTGACTCCTCTTGAATACTGATAGGAATCCCAAAATCCCTGTGGCTACTGGAAAGGGTCCTTGGGTGCCCTGCCTCACCTCGAGAAGCGTCCCTTTCCCCTGCAAAGCCTCGAAGAAATTCCTGAAGTGTCCCTCATTACGAGACAGGAGTCATGACGTCACTGAAGAAAATCGTGTTTTGAAGGGCCATCCCCGCCGTAAGTCGAGAACATACCCCAGGTCGCCGCCGCAAGTCGAGAAAAACCATGAGACTTCCCCCTAGAGGCGAGATGAGGCCCCATTCCCCTGCAGTGCATGCAGAGCTATTCCGTGATCCCATTCAAACAAGTCAGGAGCTTCGACGTGCTTAACGGATCTCGAGACAGTCCCCAAGAACACTGTCACCAGTCTAGACGGACCCTGAGGTCACCCCAGCAACGCAAAGCAGCTCCATGTTCCCCAAATCAACTCGAGATGAGGCCCGATTCCCCTGCATTGACTCCAGAGCCATTCCGCGTTCCCCATTCAACACGACCGGTGGCTCGACTTCCTTCAGGCAACTCCAGAGATGCCCCAAGAACACTGTCCCAAGTCTAGAGGAACACCAACTTCAGCACAGCAACTCGAGGAATGCTACGTGTACGCCAAATCGTCTCGAGATGAGAGCTGATTCCCTGGCTTAGGCTCAAGACGTATGCCAACTTTCCAGAAGCACCTCAGGAGGAGGCTTCTCTCAGCAATCGGTATGTGGGAGGGACCCCGAGATCGCTGCCTCAAGTGGAATATACAGCGAGAAGCCCTAACTTGAAAGGAGGCCGGATTTCCTTGCAGTGTCTTGAATGCAGGCTCGTCTTTTATCTCAAAACATGAAGAGATGTCTGAATCCCCTGTGGAGACTTTAGAGAAAGCCCTAGGTCCCTGCCTCATTTTGACGGAAGGCCTCACATCCCGTTGACTCCTCGAGAGGCACGCGGAGTTCATTGCTTCAAAATGTGACGATGCCTGACTCCTCTTGAATACTGATAGGAATCCAAAAATCCCTGTGGCTACTAGAATGGGTCCTTGGGTGCCCTGCCTCACCTCGAGAAGCGTCCCTTTTGCCCTGCCAAGTCTCGAAGAGATTCCTGAGTTGTCCCTTGTTACTAGACAGGAGTCCTGACGTCACTGAAGAAACTCGTGTTTTGAAGGGCCATCCCCGCCGTAAGTCGAGAACGTACCCCAGGTCCCCGCCGCAACTCGAGAGAATCCATGAGACTTCCCCCTAGAGGCGAAATGAGGCCCCATTCCCATTCAGTGCATGCAGAGCTATTCCGTGATCCCATTCAAACAAGTCAGGAGCTTCGACTTGCTTAATGGATCTCCAGCCAGTCCCCAAGAACACTCTCACCCGTCTAGACCGACCCTGAGGTCACCCCAGCAACGCAAAGCAGCTCCATGTGCCCCAAATCAACTCGAGATGAGGCCCGATTCCCCTGCATTGACTCCAGAGCCATTCCCCGTTCCCCATTCAACACGACCGGTGGCTCGACTTCCTTCAGGCAACTCCAGAGATACCCCGAGAACACTGTCCCAAGTCTAGAGGAACACCAACTTCAGCATAGCAACTCGAGGAATGCTCCATGTACCCCAAATTGTCTCGAGATGAGAGTTGATTCCCTGGCTTAGGCTCAAGACGTATGCCAACTTTCCAGAAGCACCTCAGGAGGAGGCTTCTCTCAGCAATCGGTATGTGGGAGGGACCCCGAGATCGCTGCCTCAGGTGGAATATACAGCGAGAAGCCCTAACTTGAAAGGAGGCCGAGTTTCCTTGCCGTGGCTTGAATACAGGCTCGTCTTTGATCTCACAACATGAAGGCATGTCTGAATCCCCTGTGGAGACCTTAGAGAAAGCCCTAGGTCCCTGCCTCATTTTGACGGAATGCCTCACATCCCGTTGACACCTCGAGAGGCACGCAGAGTTCATTGCTTCAAAAGGTGACGATGCCTGACTCCTCTTGAATACTGATAGGATTCCCACAATCCCTGTGGCTACTGGAATGGGTCCTTGGGTGCCCTGCCTCACCTCGAGAAGCGTCCCTTTTGCCCTGCCAAGCCTGGAAGAGATTCCTGAGGTGTCCCTCGTTACGAGACAGGAGTCCTGACGTCACTGAAGAAACTCGTGTTTTGAAGGGCCATCCCCGCCGTAAGTCGAGAACATACCCCAGGTCCCCGCCGCAACTCGAGAAAATCCATGAGACTTCCCCCTAGAGGTGAGATGAGGCCCTATTCCCATTCAGTGCATGCAGAGCTATTCCGTGATCCCATTCAAACAAGTCAGGAGCTTCGACTTGCTTAATGGATCTCGAGCCAGTCCCCAAGAACACTGTCACCAGTCTAGACGGACCCTGAGGTCACCCCAGCAACGCAAAGCAGCTCCATGTGCCCCAAATCAACTCGAGATGAGGCCCGATTCCCCTGCATTGACTCCAGAGCCATTCCCCGTTCCCCATTCAACACGACCGGTGGCTCGACTTCCTTCAGGCAACTCCAGAGATGCCCCGAGAACACTGTCCTAAGTCTAGAGGAACACCAACTTCAGCACAGCATCTCAAGGAATGCTCCGTGTACCCCAAATCGTCTCGAGATGAGAGCTGATTCCCTGGCTTAGGCTCAAGACGTATGCCAACTTTCAAGAAGCACCTCAGGAGGAGGCTTCTCTCAGCAATAGTTATGTGGGAGGGACCCCGAAATCGCTGCCTCAAGTGAAATATACAGCGAGAAGCCCTAACTTGAAAGGAGGCCGGATTTCCTTGCAGTGGCTTGAATACAGGCTGGTCTTTGATCTCACAACATGAAGGCATATCTGAATCCCCTGTGCAGACCTTAGAGAAAGCCTTAGGTCCCTGCCTCATTTTGACGGAATGCCTCACATCCCGTTGACACCTCGAGAGGCACGTGGAATTCATTGCTTCAAAAGGTGACGATGCCTGACTCCTCTTGAATACTGATAGGAATCCCAGAATCCCTGTGGCTACTGGAAAGGGTCCTTGGGTGCCCTGCCTCACCTCGAGAAGCGTCCCTTTTGCCCTGCCAAGCCTCGAAGAGATTCCTGAGGTGTCCCTCGTTACGAGACAGAACTCCTGATGTCACTGAAGAAACTCTTGTTTTGAAGGGCCATCCCCGCCGTAAGTCGAGAACATACCCCAGGTCCCCGCCGCAACTCGAGAAAAACCATGAGACTTCCCCCTAGAGGCGAGATGAGGCCCAATTCCCCTGCAGTGCATGCAGAGCTATTCCATGATCCCATTCAAACAAGTCAGGAGCTTCGACTTGCTTAATGGATCTCGAGACAGTCCCCAAGAACACTGTCACCAGTCTAGACGGACCCTGAGGTCAACCCAGCAACGGAAAGCAGCTCCATGTGCCCCAAGTCAACTCGAGATGAGGCCCGATTCCCCTGCATTGACTCCAGAGCCATTCCCCGTTCCCCATTCAACACGACCGGTGGCTCTACTTGCTTCAGGCAATAACAGAGATGCCCCGTGAACACTGTCCCTAGTCTAGAGGAACACCAACTTCAGCACAGCAACTCGAGGAATGCTCCATGTACCCCAAATCGTCGCGAGATGAGAGCTGATTCCCTGGCTTAGGCTCAAGACGTATGCCAACTTTCCAGAAGCACCTCAGGAGGAGGCTTCTCTCAGCAATATGTATGTGTGAGGGACCCCAATATCACTGCCTCAAGAGGAATATACAGCGAGAATCCCTAACTTGAAAGGAATCCGGATTTCCTTGCAGTGGCTTGAATACAGGCTCGTCTTTGATCTCAGAACATGAAGGCATGTCTGAATCCCCTGTGGAGACCATAGAGAAAGCCCTAGGTCCCTGCCTCATTTTGACGGAATGCCTCACATCCCGTTGACACCTCGAGAAGCACGCGGAGTTCATTGCTTCAAAAGGTGACGATGCCTGACTCCTCTTGAATACTGATAGGAATCCCAAAATCCCTGTGGCTACTGGAATGGGTCCTTGGGTGCCCTGCCTCACCTCGAGAAGCGTCCCTTTTGCCCTGCCAAGTCTCGAAGAGATTCCTGAGTTGTCCCTTGTTACTAGACAGGAGTCCTGACGTCACTGAAGAAACTCGTGTTTTGAAGGGCCATCACCGCCGTAAGTCGAGAACGTACCCCAGCTCCCCGCCGCAACTCGAGAGAATCCATGAGACTTCCCCCTAGAGGCGAGATGAGGCCCCATTCCCATTCAGTGCATGCAGAGCTATTCCGTGATCCCATTCAAACAAGTCAGGAGCTTCGACTTGCTTAATGGATCTCGAGCCAGTCCCCAAGAACACTCTCACCAGTCTAGACGGACCCTGAGGTCAACCCAGCAACGGAAAGCAGCTCCATGTGCCCCAAGTCAACTCGAGATGAGGCCCGATTCCCCTGCATTGACTCCAGAGCCATTCCCCGTTCCCCATTCAACACGACCGGTGGCTCTACTTCCTTCAGGCAATAACAGAGATGCCCCGTGAACACTGTCCCTAGTCTAGAGGAACACCAACTTCAGCACAGCAACTCGAGGAATGCTCCATGTACCCCAAATCGTCGCGAGATGAGAGCTGATTCCCTGGCTTAGGCTCAAGACGTATGCCAACTTTCCAGAAGCACCTCAGGAGGAGGCTTCTCTCAGCAATCGGTATGTGGGAGGGACCCCGAGATCGCTGCCTCAAGTGGAATATACAGCGAGAAGCCCTAACTTGAAAGGAGGCCGGGTTTCCTTGCCGTGGCTTGAATACAGGCTCGTCTTTGATCTCACAACATGAAGGCATGTCTGAATCCCCTGTGGAAACCTTAGAGAAAGCCCTAGGTCCCTGCCTCATTTTGACGGAATGCCTCACATCCCGTTGACACCTCGAGAGGCACGCGGAGTTCATTGCTTCAAAAGGTGACGATGCCTGACTCCTCTTGAATACTGATAGGAATCCCAGAATCCCTGTGGCTACTGGAATGGGTCCTTGGGTGCCCTGCCTCACCTCGAGAAGCGTCCCTTTTGCCCTGCCAAGCCTCGAAGAGATTCCTGGGGTGTCCCTTGTTACTAGACAGGAGTCCTGACGTCACTGAAGAAACTCGTGTTTTGAAGGGCCATCCCCGCCGTAAGTCGAGAACGTACCCCAGGTCCCCGCCGCAACTCGAGAAAATCCATGAGACTTCCCCCTAGAGGCGAGATGAGGCCCTATTCCCATTCAGTGCATGCAGAGCTATTCTGTGATCCCATTCAAACAAGTCAGGAGCTTCGACTTCCTTAATGGATCTCGAGCCAGTCCCCAAGAACACTGTCACCAGTCTAGACGGACCCTGAGGTCACCCCAGCAATGCAAAGCAGCTCCATTTGCCCCAAATCAACTCGAGATGAGGCCCGATTCCCCTGCATTGACTCCAGAGCCATTCCCCGTTCCCCATTCAACACGACCGGTGGCTCGACTTCCTTCAGGCAACTCCAGAGATGCCCCGAGAACACTGTCCCAAGTCTAGAGGAACACCAACTTCAGCACAGCATCTCAAGGAATGCTCCGTGTACCCCAAATCGTCTCGAGATGAGAGCTGATTCCCTGGCTTAGGCTCAAGACGTATGCCAACTTTCCAGAAGCACCTCAGGAGGAGGCTTCTCTCAGCAATAGGTATGTGGGAGGGACCCCGAGATCGCTGCCTCAAGTGGAATATACAGCGAGAAGCCCTAACTGGAAAGGAGGCCGGATTTCCTTGCAGTGGCTTGAATGCAGGCTCGTCTTTCATTTCACAACATGAAGGGATGTCTGAATCCCCTGTGGAGACCTTAGAGAAAGCCCTAGGGCCCTGCCTCATTTTGAGGGAATGCCTCACATCCCGTTGACACCTCGAGAGGCACGTGGAGTTCATTGCTTCAGAAGGTGACGATGCCTGACTCCTCTTGAATACTGATAGGAATCCCAGAATCCCTGTGGCTACTGGAATGGGTCCTTGGGTGCCCTGCCTCACCTCGAGAAGCGTCCCTTTTGCCCTGCCAAGCCTCGAAGAGATTCCTGGGGTGTCCCTTGTTACTAGACAGGAGTCCTGACGTCACTGAAGAAACTCGTGTTTTGAAGGGCCATCCCCGCCGTAAGTCGAGAACGTACCCCAGGTCCCCGCCGCAACTCGAGAAAATCCATGAGACTTCCCCCTAGAGGCGAGATGAGGCCCTATTCCCATTCAGTGCATGCAGAGCTATTCTGTGATCCCATTCAAACAAGTCAGGAGCTTCGACTTCCTTAATGGATCTCGAGCCAGTCCCCAAGAACACTGTCACCAGTCTAGACGGACCCTGAGGTCACCCCAGCAATGCAAAGCAGCTCCATTTGCCCCAAATCAACTCGAGATGAGGCCCGATTCCCCTGCATTGACTCCAGAGCCATTCCCCGTTCCCCATTCAACACGACCGGTGGCTCGACTTCCTTCAGGCAACTCCAGAGATGCCCCGAGAACACTGTCCCAAGTCTAGAGGAACACCAACTTCAGCACAGCATCTCAAGGAATGCTCCGTGTACCCCAAATCGTCTCGAGATGAGAGCTGATTCCCTGGCTTAGGCTCAAGACGTATGCCAACTTTCCAGAAGCACCTCAGGAGGAGGCTTCTCTCAGCAATAGGTATGTGGGAGGGACCCCGAGATCGCTGCCTCAAGTGGAATATACAGCGAGAAGCCCTAACTGGAAAGGAGGCCGGATTTCCTTGCAGTGGCTTGAATGCAGGCTCGTCTTTCATTTCACAACATGAAGGGATGTCTGAATCCCCTGTGGAGACCTTAGAGAAAGCCCTAGGGCCCTGCCTCATTTTGAGGGAATGCCTCACATCCCGTTGACACCTCGAGAGGCACGTGGAGTTCATTGCTTCAGAAGGTGACGATGCCTGACTCCTCTTGAATATTGATAGGAATCCCAAAATCCCTGTGGCTACTGGAATGGGTCCTTGGGTGCCCTGCCTCACCTCGAGAAGCGTCCCTTTTGCCCTGCCAAGCCTCGAAGAGATTCCTGACGTGTCCCTCGTTACTAGACAGGAGTCCTGACGTCACTGAAGAAACTCGTGTTTTGAAGGGCCATCCCCGACGTAAGTCGAGATCATACCCTAGGTCCCCGCCGCAACTCGAGAAAAACCATGAGACTTCCCCCTAGAGGCGAGATGAGGCCCCATTCCCCCTGCAGTGCATGCAGAGCTATTCCGTGATCCCATTCTAACAAGACAGGAACTTCGACTTGCTTAATGGATCTCGAAACAGTCCCCTAGAACACTGTCACCAGTCTACACGGACCCTGAGGTCACCCCAGCAATGCAAAGCAGATACATGTGCCCCAAATCAACTCGAGATGAGCCCCGATTCCCCTTCATTGACTCCAGAGCCTTTCCCCATTCCCCATTCAACACGACCGGTGGTTCGACTTCCTTCAGGCAACTCCAGAGATGCCCCGAGAACACTGTCCCTAGTCTAGAGGAACATCAACTTCAGCACAGCAACTCGAGGAATGCTCCGTGTACCCCAAATCGTCTCGAGATGAGAGCTGATTCCCTGGCTTAGGCTCAAGACCTATGCCAACTTTCCAGAAGCACCTCAGGAGGAGGCTTCTCTCAGCCATAGTTATGTGGGAGGGAACCCGAAATCGCTGCCTCAAGTGGAAAATACAGCGAGAAGCCGTAACTTGAAAGGAGGCCGGATTTCCTTGCAGTGGCTTGAATACAGGCTGGTCTTTGATCTCACAACATGAAGGCATATCTGAATCCCCTGTGGAGACCTTTGAGAAAGCCCTAGGTCCCTGCCTCATATTGACGGAATGCCTCACATTCCGCTGACACCTCGAGAGGCACGCGGAGTTCATTGCTTCAAAAGGTGAGGATGCCTGACTCCTCTTGAATACTGATAGGAATCCCAGAATCCCTGTGGCTACTAGAAAGGGTCCTTGGGTGCCCTGCCTCACCTCGAGAAGCGTCCCTTTTGCCCTGCCAAGCCTCAAAGAGATTCCTGAGGTGTCCCTTGTTACTAGACCGGAGTCATGACGTCACTGAAGAAACTCTTGTTTTGAAGGGCCATCCCCGCCGTAAGTCGAGAACGTACCCCTGGTCCCAGCCGCAACTCGAGAAAATCCATGAGACTTCCCCCTAGAGGCGAGATGAGGCCCCATTCCCATTCAGTGCATGCAGAGCTATTCCGTGATCCCATTCAAACAAGTCAGGAGCTTCGACTTGCTTAATGGATCTCGAGCCAGTCCCCAAGAACACTGTCACCAGTCTAGACGGACCCTGAGGTCACCCCAGCAACGCAAAGCAGCTCCATGTGCCCCAAATCAACTCGAGATGAGGCCCGATTCCCCTGCATTGACTCCAGAGCCATTCCCCGTTCCCCATTCAACACGACTGGTGGCTCGACTTCCTTCAGGCAACTCCAGAGATGCCCCGAGAACACTGTCCCAAGTCTAGAGGAACACCAACTTCAGCATAGCAACTCGAGGAATGCTCCATGTACCCCAAATCGTCTCGAGATGAGAGCTGATTCCCTGGCTTAGGCTCAAGACGTATGCCAACTTTCCAGAAGCACCTCAGGAGGAGGCTTCTCTCAGCAATAGGTATGTGGGAGGGACCCCGAGATCGCTGCCTCAAGGGTAATATACAGCGAGAAGCCCTAACTTGAAAGGAGGCCGGATTTCCTTGCAGTGGCTTGAATACAGGCTCGTCTTTGATCTCACAACATGAAGGCATGTCTGAATCCCCTGTGGAGACCTTAGAGAAAGCCCTAGGTCCCTGCCTCATTTTGACGGAATGCCTCACATCCCGTTGACACGTCGAGAGGCACGCGGAGTTCATTGCTTCAAAAGGTGACGATGCCTGACTCCTCTTGAATACTGATAGGAATCCCACAATCCCTGTGGCTACTGGAATGGGTCCTTGGGTGCCCTGCCTCACCTCGAGAAGCATCCCTTTTCCCCTGCCAAGCCTCGAAGAAATTCCTGAGGTGTCCCTCGTTACTAGACAGCAGTCCTGATGTCACTGAAGAAAATCGTGTTTTGAAGGGCCATCCCCGCCGTAAGTCGAGAACATACCCCAGGTCCCCGCCGCAACTCGAGAAAAACCATGAGACTTCCCCCTAGAGGCGAGATGAGGCCCCATTCCCCTGCAGTGCATGCAGAGCTATTCCGTGATCCCATTCAAACAAGTCAGGAGCTTCGACTTGCTTAATGGATCTCGAGACAGTCCCCAAGAACACTGTCACCATTCTAGACGGACCCTGAGGTCAACCCAGCAACGGAAAGCAGCTCCATGTGCCCCAAATCAACTCGAGATGAGGCCCGATTCCCCTGCATTGACTCCAGAGCCATTCCCCGTTCCCCATTCAACACGACCGGTGGCTCGACTTCCTTCAGGCAATAACAGAGATGCCCCGTGTACACTGTCCCAAGTCTAGAGGAACACAAACTTCAGCACAGCAACTCTAGGAATGATCCATGTACCCCAAATCGTCTCGAGTTGAGAGCTGATTCCCTGGCTTAGGCTCAAGACGTATGCCAACTTTCCAGAAGAACCTCAGGAGGAGGCTTCTCTCAGCAATAGGTATGTGGGAGGGACCCCGAGATCGCTGCCTCAATTGGAATATACAGCGAGAAGCCCTAACTTGAAAGGAGGCCGGATTTCCTTGCAGTGGCTTGAATACAGGCTCGTCTTTGATCTCAAAACATGAAGGGATGTCTGAATCCCCTGTGGAGACCTTAGAGAAAGCCCAAGGGCCCTGCCTCATTTTGAGGGAATGCCTCACATCCCGTTGACACCTCGAGAGGCACGTGGAGTTCATTGCTTCAGAAGGTGACGATGCCTGACTCCTCTTGAATATTGATAGGAATCCCAAAATCCCTGTGGCTACTGGAATGGGTCCTTGGGTGCCCTGCCTCACCTCGAGAAGCGTCCCTTTTGCCCTGCCAAGCCTCGAAGAGATTCCTGACGTGTCCCTCGTTACTAGACAGGAGTCCTGACGTCACTGAAGAAACTCGTGTTTTGAAGGGCCATCCCCGCCGTAAGTCGAGATCATACCCTAGGTCCCCGCCGCAACTCGAGAAAAACCATGAGACTTCCCCCTAGAGGCGAGATGAGGCCCCATTCCCCCTGCAGTGCATGCAGAGCTATTCCGTGATCCCATTCTAACAAGACAGGAACTTCGACTTTCTTAATGGATCTCGAAACAGTCCCCTAGAACACTGTCACCAGTCTACACGGACCCTGAGGTCACCCCAGCAATGCAAAGCAGATCCATGTGCCCCAAATCAACTCGAGATGAGCCCCGATTCCCCTTCATTGACTCCAGAGCCTTTCCCCATTCCCCATTCAACACGACCGGTGGCTCGACTTCCTTCAGGCAACTCCAGAGATGCCCCGAGAACACTGTCCCTAGTCTAGAGGAACACCAACTTCAGCACAGCAACTCGAGGAATGCTCCGTGTACCCCAAATCGTCTCGAGATGAGAGCTGATTCCCTGGCTTAGGCTCAAGACCTATGCCAACTTTCCAGAAGCACCTCAGGAGGAGGCTTCTCTCAGCCATAGTTATGTGGGAGGGACCCCGAAATCGCTGCCTCAAGTGGAAAATACAGCGAGAAGCCCTAACTTGAAAGGAGGCCGGATTTCCTTGCAGTGGCTTGAATACAGGCTGGTCTTTGATCTCACAACATGAAGGCATATCTGAATCCCCTGTGGAGACCTTTGAGAAAGCCCTAGGTCCCTGCCTCATATTGACGGAATGCCTCACATTCCGCTGACACCTCGAGAGGCACGCGGAGTTCATTGCTTCAAAAGGTGAGGATGCCTGACTCCTCTTGAATACTGATAGGAATCCCAGAATCCCTGTGGCTACTAGAAAGGGTCCTTGGGTGCCCTGCCTCACCTCGAGAAGCGTCCCTTTTCCCCTGCCAAGCCTCAAAGAGATTCCTGAGGTGTCCCTTGTTACTAGACCGGAGTCATGACGTCACTGAAGAAACTCGTGTTTTGAAGGGCCATCCCCGCCGTAAGTCGAGAACGTACCCCTGGTCCCAGCCGCAACTCGAGAAAATCCATGAGACTTCCCCCTAGAGGCGAGATGAGGCCCCATTCCCATTCAGTGCATGCAGAGCTATTCCGTGATCCCATTCAAACAAGTCAGGAGCTTCGACTTGCTTAATGGATCTCGAGCCAGTCCCCAAGAACACTGTCACCAGTCTAGACGGACCCTGAGGTCACCCCAGCAACGCAAAGCAGCTCCATGTGCCCCAAATCAACTCGAGATGAGGCCCGATTCCCCTGCATTGACTCCAGAGCCATTCCCCGTTCCCCATTCAACACGACCGGTGGCTCGACTTCCTTCAGGCAACTCCAGAGATGCCCCGAGAACACTGTCCCAAGTCTAGAGGAACACCAACTTCAGCATAGCAACTCGAGGAATGCTCCATGTACCCCAAATCGTCTCGAGATGAGAGCTGATTCCCTGGCTTAGGCTCAAGACGTATGCCAACTTTCCAGAAGCACCTCAGGAAGAGGCTTCTCTCAGCAATAGGTATGTGGGAGGGACCCCGAGATCGCTGCCTCAAGTGGAATATACAGCGAGAAGCCCTAACTTGAAAGGAGGCCGGATTTCCTTGCAGTGGCTTGAATACAGGCTGGTCTTTGATCTCACAACATGAAGGCATGTCTGAATCCCCTGTGGAGACCTTAGAGAAAGCCCTAGGTCCCTGCCTCATTTTGACGGAATGCCTCACATCCCGTTGACACGTCGAGAGGCACGCGGAGTTCATTGCTTCAAAAGGTGACGATGCCTGACTCCTCTTGAATACTGATAGGAATCCCACAATCCCTGTGGCTACTGGAATGGGTCCTTGGGTGCCCTGCCTCACCTCGAGAAGCATCCCTTTTGCCCTGCCAAGCCTCGAAGAAATTCCTGAGGTGTCCCTCGTTACTAGACAGCAGTCCTGATGTCACTGAAGAAACTCTTGTTTTGAAGGGCCATCCCCGCCGTAAGTCGAGAACATACCCCAGGTCCCCGCCGCAACTCGAGAAAAACCATGAGACTTCCCCCTAGAGGCGAGATGAGGCCCCATTCCCCTGCAGTGCATGCAGAGCTATTCCGTGATCCCATTCAAACAAGTCAGGAGCTTCGACTTGCTTAATGGATCTCGAGACAGTCCCCAAGAACACTGTCACCATTCTAGACGGACCCTGAGGTCAACCCAGCAACGGAAAGCAGCTCCATGTGCCCCAAATCAACTCGAGATGAGGCCCGATTCCCCTGCATTGACTCCAGAGCCATTCCCCGTTCCCCATTCAACACGACCGGTGGCTCGACTTCCTTCAGGCAATAACAGAGATGCCCCGTGTACACTGTCCCAAGTCTAGAGGAACACAAACTTCAGCACAGCAACTCTAGGAATGATCCATGTACCCCAAATCGTCTCGAGTTGAGAGCTGATTCCCTGGCTTAGGCTCAAGACGTATGCCAACTTTCCAGAAGAACCTCAGGAGGAGGCTTCTCTCAGCAATAGGTATGTGGTAGGGACCCCGAGATCGCTGCCTCAATTGGAATATACAGCGAGAAGCCCTAACTTGAAAGGAGGCCGGATTTCCTTGCAGTGGCTTGAATACAGGCTCGTCTTTGATCTCAAAACATGAAGGGATGTCTGAATCCCCTGTGGAGACCTTAGAGAAAGACCTAGGTCCCTGCCTCATTTTGTCGGAATGCCTCACATCCCGTTGACACCTTGAGAGGCACGCAGAGTTCATTGCTTCAAAAGGTGACGATGCCTGACTCCTCTTGAATACTGATAGGAATCCCAAAATCCCTGTGGCTTCTGGATAGGGTCCTTGGGTGCCCTGCCTCACCTCGAGAAGCGTCCCTTTTGCCCTGCCAAGCCTCGAAGAGATTCCTGAGCTGTCCCTCGTTACGAGACAGGAGTCCTGATGTCACTGAAGAAACTCGTGTTTTGAAGGGCCATCCCCGCCGTAAGTCGAGAACATACCCCAGGTCCCCGCCGCAACTCGAGAAAAACCATGAGACTTCCCGCTAGAGGCGAGATGATGCCCCATTCCCCTGCAGTGCATGCAGAGCTATTCCGTGATCCCATTCAAACAAGTCAGGAGCTTCGACTTGCTTAATGGATCTCGAGACAGTCCCCAAGAACACTGTCACCAGTCTAGACGGAACCTGAGGTCACCCCAGCAATGCAAAGCAGCTCCATGTGCCCCAAATCAACTCGAGATGAGGCCCGATTCCCCTGCATTGACACCAGAGCCATTCCCCGTTCCCCATTCAACACGACCGGTGGCTCGACTTCCTTCAGGCAACTCCAGATATGCGCCGAGAACACTGTCCCAATTCTAGAGGAACACCAACTTCAGCACAGCAACTCGAGGAATGCTCCGTGTGCCCCAAATCGTCTCGAGATGAGAGCTGATTCCCTGGCTTAGGCTCAAGACGTATGCCAACTTTCCAGAAGCACCTCAGGAGGAGGCTTCTCTCAGCAATAGTAATGTGGGAGGGACCCCGAAATCGCTGCCTCAAGTGGAATATGCAGCGAGAAGCCCTAACTTGAAAGGAGGCCGGATTTCCTTGCAGTGGCTTGAATACAGGCTGGTCTTTGATCTCACAACATGAAGGCATATCTGAATCCCCTGTGGAGACCTTTGAGAAAGCCCTAGGTCCCTGCCTCATATTGACGGAATGCCTCACATTCCGCTGACACCTCGAGAGGCACGCGGAGTTCATTGCTTCAAAAGGTGACGATGCCTGACTCCCCTTGAATACTGATAGGAATCCCAGAATCCCTGTGGCTACTGGAAAGGGTCCTTGGGTGCCCTGCCTCACCTCGAGAAGCGTCCCTTTTGCCCTGCCAAGCCTCGAAGAGATTCCTGAGGTGTCCCTCGTTACGAGACAGGAGTCCTGACGTCACTGAAGAAACTCGTGTTTTGAAGGGCCATCCCCGCCGAAAGTCAAGAACATAACCCAGGTCCCCGCCGCAACTCAAGAAAAACCATGAGACTTCCCCCTAGAAGCGAGATGAGGCCCCATTCCCCTGCAGTGCTTGCAGATCTATTCCGTGATCCCATTCAAACAAGTCAGGAGCTTCGACATGCTTAATGGATCTCGAGACAGTCCCCAAGAACACTGTCACCAGTCTAGACGGACCCTGAGGTCACCCCAGCAACGCAAAGCAGCTCCATGTTCCCCAAATCAACTCGAGATGAGGCCCGATTCCCCTGCATTGACTCCAGAGCCATTCGCCGTTCCCGATTCAACACGACCGGTGGCTCGACTTCCTTCAGGCAACTCCAGAGATGCCCCGAGAACACTGTCCCAAGTCTATAGGAACACCAACTTCAGCAGAGCAACTCGAGGAATGCTCCGTGTACCCTAAATCGTCTCGAGATGAGAGCTGATTCCCTGGCTTAGGCTCAAGACGTATGCCAACTTTCCAGAAGCACCTCAGGAGGAGGCTTCTCTCAGCAATAGGTATGTGGGAGGGACCCCGAGATCACTGCCTCAAGTGGAATATACAGCGAGAAGCCGTAACTTGAAAGGAGGACGTATTTCCTTGCAGTGGCTTGAATACAGGCTCGTCTTTGATCTCACAACATGAAGAGATGTCTGAATCCCCTGTGGAGACCTTAGAGAAAGCCCTAGGTCCCTGCCTCATATTGACGGAATGCCTCACATTCCGCTGACACCTCGAGAGGCACGCGGAGTTCATTGCTTCAAAAGGTGACGATGCCTGACTCCCCTTGAATACTGATAGGAATCCCAGAATCCCTGTGGCAACTGGAAAGGGTCCTTGGGTGCCCTGCCTCACCTCGAGAAGCGTCCCTTTTGCCCTGCCAAGCCTCAAAGAGTTTCCTGAGGTGTCCCTTGTTACTAGACAGGAGTCATGACGTCACTGAAGAAACTCGTGTTTTGAAGGGCCATCCCCGCCGTAAGTCGAGAACGTACCCCAGGTCCCAGCCGCAACTCGAGAAAATCCATGAGACTTCCCCCTAGAGGCGAGATGAGGCCCCATTCCCATTCAGTCCATGCAGAGCTATTCCGTGATCCCATTCAAACAAGTCAGGAGCTTCGACTTGCTTAATGGATCTCGAACCAGTCCCCAAGAACACTGCCACCAGTCTAGACGGACCCTGAGGTCACCCCAGCAACGCAAAGCAGCTCCATGTGCCCCAAATCAACTCGAGATGAGGCCCGATTCCCCTGCATTGACTCCAGAGCCATTCCCCGTTCCCCATTCAACACGACCGGTGGCTCGACTTCCTTCAGGCAACTCCAGAGATGCCCCGAGAACACTGTCCCAAGTCTAGAGGAACACCAACTTCAGCATAGCAACTCGAGGAATGCTCCATGTACCCCAAATCGTCTCGAGATGAGAGCTGATTCCCTGGCTTAGGCTCAAGACGTATGCCAACTTTCCAGAAGCACCTCAGGAGGAGGCTTCTCTCAGCAATAGGTATGTGGGAGGGACCCCGAGATCGCTGCCTCAAGTGGAATATACAGCGAGAAGCCCTAACTTGAAAGGAGGCCGGATTTCCTTGCAGTGGCTTGAATACAGGCTGGTCTTTGATCTCACAACATGAAGGCATGTCTGAATCCCCTGTGGAGACCTTAGAGAAAGCCCTAGGTCCCTGCCTCATTTTGACGGAATGCCTCACATCCCGTTGACACGTCGAGAGGCACGCGGAGTTCATTGCTTCAAAAGGTGACGATGCCTGACTCCTCTTGAATACTGATAGGAATCCCACAATCCCTGTGGCTACTGGAATGGGTCCTTGGGTGCCCTGCCTCACCTCGAGAAGCATCCCTTTTCCCCTGCCAAGCCTCGAAGAAATTCCTGAGGTGTCCCTCGTTACTAGACAGCAGTCCTGATGTCACTGAAGAAAATCGTGTTTTGAAGGGCCATCCCCGCCGTAAGTCGAGAACATACCCCAGGTCCCCGCCGCAACTCGAGAAAAACCATGAGACTTCCCCCTAGAGGCGAGATGAGGCCCCATTCCCCTGCAGTGCATGCAGAGCTATTCCGTGATCCCATTCAAACAAGTCAGGAGCTTCGACTTGCTTAATGGATCTCGATACAGTCCCCAAGAACACTGTCACCATTCTAGACGGACCCTGAGGTCAACCCAGCAACGGAAAGCAGCTCCATGTGCCCCAAATCAACTCGAGATGAGGCCCGATTCCCCTGCATTGACTCCAGAGCCATTCCCCGTTCCCCATTCAACACGACCGGTGGCTCGACTTCCTTCAGGCAATAACAGAGATGCCCCGTGTACACTGTCCCAAGTCTAGAGGAACACAAACTTCAGCACAGCAACTCTAGGAATGATCCATGTACCCCAAATCGTCTCGAGTTGAGAGCTGATTCCCTGGCTTAGGCTCAAGACGTATGCCAACTTTCCAGAAGAACCTCAGGAGGAGGCTTCTCTCAGCAATAGGTATGTGGGAGGGACCCCGAGATCGCTGCCTCAATTGGAATATACAGCGAGAAGCCCTAACTTGAAAGGAGGCCGGATTTCCTTGCAGTGGCTTGAATACAGGCTCGTCTTTGATCTCAAAACATGAAGGGATGTCTGAATCCCCTGTGGAGACCTTAGAGAAAGCCCAAGGGCCCTGCCTCATTTTGAGGGAATGCCTCACATCCCGTTGACAACTCGAGAGGCACGTGGAGTTCATTGCTTCAGAAGGTGACGATGCCTGACTCCTCTTGAATATTGATAGGAATCCCAAAATCCCTGTGGCTACTGGAATGGGTCCTTGGGTGCCCTGCCTCACCTCGAGAAGCGTCCCTTTTGCCCTGCCAAGCCTCGAAGAGATTCCTGACGTGTCCCTCGTTACTAGACAGGAGTCCTGACGTCACTGAAGAAACTCGTGTTTTGAAGGGCCATCCCCGCCGTAAGTCGAGATCATACCCTAGGTCCCCGCCGCAACTCGAGAAAAACCATGAGACTTCCCCCTAGAGGCGAGATGAGGCCCCATTCCCCCTGCAGTGCATGCAGAGCTATTCCGTGATCCCATTCTAACAAGACAGGAACTTCGACTTTCTTAATGGATCTCGAAACAGTCCCCTAGAACACTGTCACCAGTCTACACGGACCCTGAGGTCACCCCAGCAATGCAAAGCAGATCCATGTGCCCCAAATCAACTCGAGATGAGCCCCGATTCCCCTTCATTGACTCCAGAGCCTTTCCCCATTCCCCATTCAACACGACCGGTGGCTCGACTTCCTTCAGGCAACTCCAGAGATGCCCCGAGAACACTGTCCCTAGTCTAGAGGAACACCAACTTCAGCACAGCAACTCGAGGAATGCTCCGTGTACCCCAAATCGTCTCGAGATGAGAGCTGATTCCCTGGCTTAGGCTCAAGACCTATGCCAACTTTCCAGAAGCACCTCAGGAGGAGGCTTCTCTCAGCCATAGTTATGTGGGAGGGACCCCGAAATCGCTGCCTCAAGTGGAAAATACAGCGAGAAGCCCTAACTTGAAAGGAGGCCGGATTTCCTTGCAGTGGCTTGAATACAGGCTGGTCTTTGATCTCACAACATGAAGGCATATCTGAATCCCCTGTGGAGACCTTTGAGAAAGCCCTAGGTCCCTGCCTCATATTGACGGAATGCCTCACATTCCGCTGACACCTCGAGAGGCACGCGGAGTTCATTGCTTCAAAAGGTGAGGATGCCTGACTCCTCTTGAATACTGATAGGAATCCCAGAATCCCTGTGGCTACTAGAAAGGGTCCTTGGGTGCCCTGCCTCACCTCGAGAAGCGTCCCTTTTGCCCTGCCAAGCCTCAAAGAGATTCCTGAGGTGTCCCTTGTTACTAGACCGGAGTCATGACGTCACTGAAGAAACTCGTGTTTTGAAGGGCCATCCCCGCCGTAAGTCGAGAACGTACCCCTGGTCCCAGCCGCAACTCGAGAAAATCCATGAGACTTCCCCCTAGAGGCGAGATGAGGCCCCATTCCCATTCAGTGCATGCAGAGCTATTCCGTGATCCCATTCAAACAAGTCAGGAGCTTCGACTTGCTTAATGGATCTCGAGCCAGTCCCCAAGAACACTGTCACCAGTCTAGACGGACCCTGAGGTCACCCCAGCAACGCAAAGCAGCTCCATGTGCCCCAAATCAACTCGAGATGAGGCCCGATTCCCCTGCATTGACTCCAGAGCCATTCCCCGTTCCCCATTCAACACGACCGGTGGCTCGACTTCCTTCAGGCAACTCCAGAGATGCCCCGAGAACACTGTCCCAAGTCTAGAGGAACACCAACTTCAGCATAGCAACTCGAGGAATGCTCCATGTACCCCAAATCGTCTCGAGATGAGAGCTGATTCCCTGGCTTAGGCTCAAGACGTATGCCAACTTTCCAGAAGCACCTCAGGAGGAGGCTTCTCTCAGCAATAGGTATGTGGGAGGGACCCCGAGATCGCTGCCTCAAGTGGAATATACAGCGAGAAGCCCTAACTTGAAAGGAGGCCGGATTTCCTTGCAGTGGCTTGAATACAGGCTGGTCTTTGATCTCACAACATGAAGGCATGTCTGAATCCCCTGTGGAGACCTTAGAGAAAGCCCTAGGTCCCTGCCTCATTTTGTCGGAATGCCTCACATCCCGTTGACACGTCGAGAGGCACGCGGAGTTCATTGCTTCAAAAGGTGACGATGCCTGACTCCTCTTGAATACTGATAGGAATCCCACAATCCCTGTGGCTACTGGAATGGGTCCTTGGGTGCCCTGCCTCACCTCGAGAAGCATCCCTTTTGCCCTGCCAAGCCTCGAAGAAATTCCTGAGGTGTCCCTCGTTACTAGACAGCAGTCCTGATGTCACTGAAGAAACTCTTGTTTTGAAGGGCCATCCCCGCCGTAAGTCGAGAACATACCCCAGGTCCCCGCCGCAACTCGAGAAAAACCATGAGACTTCCCCCTAGAGGCGAGATGAGGCCCCATTCCCCTGCAGTGCATGCAGAGCTATTCCGTGATCCCATTCAAACAAGTCAGGAGCTTCGACTTGCTTAATGGATCTCGAGACAGTCCCCAAGAACACTGTCACCATTCTAGACGGACCCTGAGGTCAACCCAGCAACGGAAAGCAGCTCCATGTGCCCCAAATCAACTCGAGATGAGGCCCGATTCCCCTGCATTGACTCCAGAGCCATTCCCCGTTCCCCATTCAACACGACCGGTGGCTCGACTTCCTTCAGGCAATAACAGAGATACCCCGTGTACACTGTCCCAAGTCTAGAGGAACACAAACTTCAGCACAGCAACTCTAGGAATGATCCATGTACCCCAAATCGTCTCGAGTTGAGAGCTGATTCCCTGGCTTAGGCTCAAGACGTATGCCAACTTTCCAGAAGAACCTCAGGAGGAGGCTTCTCTCAGCAATAGGTATGTGGTAGGGACCCCGAGATCGCTGCCTCAATTGGAATATACAGCGAGAAGCCCTAACTTGAAAGGAGGCCGGATTTCCTTGCAGTGGCTTGAATACAGGCTCGTCTTTGATCTCAAAACATGAAGGGATGTCTGAATCCCCTGTGGAGACCTTAGAGAAAGACCTAGGTCCCTGCCTCATTTTGTCGGAATGCCTCACATCCCGTTGACACCTTGAGAGGCACGCAGAGTTCATTGCTTCAAAAGGTGACGATGCCTGACTCCTCTTGAATACTGATAGGAATCCCAAAATCCCTGTGGCTTCTGGATAGGGTCCTTGGGTGCCCTGCCTCACCTCGAGAAGCGTCCCTTTTGCCCTGCCAAGCCTCGAAGAGATTCCTGAGCTGTCCCTCGTTACGAGACAGGAGTCCTGATGTCACTGAAGAAACTCGTGTTTTGAAGGGCCATCCCCGCCGTAAGTCGAGAACATACCCCAGGTCCCCGCCGCAACTCGAGAAAAACCATGAGACTTCCCGCTAGAGGCGAGATGATGCCCCATTCCCCTGCAGTGCATGCAGAGCTATTCCGTGATCCCATTCAAACAAGTCAGGAGCTTCGACTTGCTTAATGGATCTCGAGACAGTCCCCAAGAACACTGTCACCAGTCTAGACGGAACCTGAGGTCACCCCAGCAATGCAAAGCAGCTCCATGTGCCCCAAATCAACTCGAGATGAGGCCCGATTCCCCTGCATTGACACCAGAGCCATTCCCCGTTCCCCATTCAACACGACCGGTGGCTCGACTTCCTTCAGGCAACTCCAGATATGCGCCGAGAACACTGTCCCAATTCTAGAGGAACACCAACTTCAGCACAGCAACTCGAGGAATGCTCCGTGTGCCCCAAATCGTCTCGAGATGAGAGCTGATTCCCTGGCTTAGGCTCAAGACGTATGCCAACTTTCCAGAAGCACCTCAGGAGGAGGCTTCTCTCAGCAATAGTAATGTGGGAGGGACCCCGAAATCGCTGCCTCAAGTGGAATATGCAGCGAGAAGCCCTAACTTGAAAGGAGGCCGGATTTCCTTGCAGTGGCTTGAATACAGGCTGGTCTTTGATCTCACAACATGAAGGCATATCTGAATCCCCTGTGGAGACCTTTGAGAAAGCCCTAGGTCCCTGCCTCATATTGACGGAATGCCTCACATTCCGCTGACACCTCGAGAGGCACGCGGAGTTCATTGCTTCAAAAGGTGACGATGCCTGACTCCCCTTGAATACTGATAGGAATCCCAGAATCCCTGTGGCTACTGGAAAGGGTCCTTGGGTGCCCTGCCTCACCTCGAGAAGCGTCCCTTTTGCCCTGCCAAGCCTCGAAGAGATTCCTGAGGTGTCCCTCGTTACGAGACAGGAGTCCTGACGTCACTGAAGAAACTCGTGTTTTGAAGGGCCATCCCCGCCGAAAGTCAAGAACATAACCCAGGTCCCCGCCGCAACTCAAGAAAAACCATGAGACTTCCCCCTAGAAGCGAGATGAGGCCCCATTCCCCTGCAGTGCTTGCAGATCTATTCCGTGATCCCATTCAAACAAGTCAGGAGCTTCGACATGCTTAATGGATCTCGAGACAGTCCCCAAGAACACTGTCACCAGTCTAGACGGACCCTGAGGTCACCCCAGCAACGCAAAGCAGCTCCATGTTCCCCAAATCAACTCGAGATGAGGCCCGATTCCCCTGCATTGACTCCAGAGCCATTCGCCGTTCCCGATTCAACACGACCGGTGGCTCGACTTCCTTCAGGCAACTCCAGAGATGCCCCGAGAACACTGTCCCAAGTCTATAGGAACACCAACTTCAGCAGAGCAACTCGAGGAATGCTCCGTGTACCCTAAATCGTCTCGAGATGAGAGCTGATTCCCTGGCTTAGGCTCAAGACGTATGCCAACTTTCCAGAAGCACCTCAGGAGGAGGCTTCTCTCAGCAATAGGTATGTGGGAGGGACCCCGAGATCACTGCCTCAAGTGGAAAATACAGCGAGAAGCCGTAACTTGAAAGGAGGACGTATTTCCTTGCAGTGGCTTGAATACAGGCTCGTCTTTGATCTCACAACATGAAGAGATGTCTGAATCCCCTGTGGAGACCTTAGAGAAAGCCCTAGGTCCCTGCCTCATTTTGACGGAATGCCTCACATCCCGTTGACACCTCGAGAGGCACGTGGAGTTCATTGCTTCAAAAGGTGACGATGCCTGACTCCTCTTGAATACTGATAGGAATCCCACAATCCCTGTGGCTACTGGAATGGGTTCTTGGGTGCCCTGCCTCACTTCGAGAAGCATCCCTTTTGCCCTGCCAAGCCTCGAAGAGATTCCTGAGGTGTCCCTCGTTACTAGACAGGAGTCCTGATGTCACTGAAGAAACTCTTGTTTTGAAGGGCCATCCCCGCCGTAAGTCGAGAACATACCCCAGGTCCCCGCCGCAACTCGAGAAAAACCATGAGACTTCCCCCTAGAGGCGAGATGAGGCCCCATTCCCCTGCAGTGCATGCAGAGCTATTCCGTGATCACATTCAAACAAGTCAGGAGCTTCGACTTGCTTAATGGATCTCGAGACAGTCCCCAAGAACACTGTCACCAGTCTAGACGGACCCTGAGGTTAACCCAGCAACGCAAAGCAGCTCCATGTGCCCCAAATCAACTCGAGATGAGGCCCGATTCCCCTGCATTGACTCCAGAGCCATTCCCCGTTCCCCATTCAACACGACCGGTGGCTCGACTTCCTTCAGGCAACTCCAGAGATGCCCTGTGAACACTGTCCCAAGTCTAGAGGAACACCAACTTCAGCGCAGCTACTCGAGGAATGCTCCATGTACCCCAAATCGTCTCGAGATGAGAGCTGATTCCCTTGCTTAGGCTCAAGACGTATGCCAACTTTCCAGAAGCACCTCAGGAGGAGGCTTCTCTCAGCAATAGGTATGTGGGAGGGACCCCGAGATCGCTGCCTCAAGTGGAAAATACAGCGAGAAGCCCTAACTTGAAAGGAGGCCGGATTTCCTTGCAGTGGCTTGAATACAGGCTGGTCTTTGATCTCACAACATGAAGGCATATCTGAATCCCCTGTGGAGACCTTTGAGAAAGCCCTAGGTCCGTGCCTCATTTTGACGGAATGCCTCACATCCCGCTGACACCTCGAGAGGCCCGCGGAGTTCATTGCTTCAAAAGGTGAGGATGCCTGACTCCTCTTGAATACTGATAGGAATCCCAGAATCCCTGTGGCTACTGGAAAGGGTCCTTGGGTGCCCTGCCTCACCTCGAGAAGCGTCCCTTTTGCCCTGCCAAGCCTCAAAGAGATTCCTGAGGTGTCCCTTGTTACTAGACAGGAGTCATGACGTCACTGAAGAAACTCGTGTTTTGAAGGGCCATCCCCGGCGTAAGTCGAGAACGTACCCCAGGTCCCAGCCGCAACTCGAGAAAATCCATGAGACTTCCCCCTAGAGGCGAGATGAGGCCCCATTCCCCTGCAGTACATGCAGAGCTATTCCGTGATCCCATTCAAACAAGTCAGGAGCTTCGACTTGCTTAATGGATCTCGAGACAGTCCCCAAGAACACTGTCACCATTCTAGACGGACCCTGAGGTCAACCCAGCAATGGAAAGCAGCTCCATGTGCCCCAAATCAACTCGAGATGAGGCCCGATTCCCCTGCATTGACTCCAGAGCCATTCCCCGTTCCCCATTCAACACGACCGGTGGCTCGACTTCCTTCAGGCAATAAGAGAGATGCCCCGTGTACACTGTCCCAAGTCTAGGGGAACACAAACTTCAGCACAGCAACTCGAGGAATGATCCATGTACCCCAAATCGTCTCGAGTTGAGAGCTGATTCCCTGGCTTAGGCTCAAGACGTATGCCAAATTTCCAGAAGAACCTCAGGAGGAGGCTTCTCTCAGCAATAGGTATGTGGGAGGGACCCCGAGATCGCTGCCTCAAGTGGAATATACAGCGAGAAGCCCTAACATGAAAGGAGGCCGGATTTCCTTGCAGTGGCTTGAATACAGGCTCGTCTTTGATCTCAAAACATGAAGGGATGTCTGAATCCCCTGTGGAGACCTTAGAGAAAGACCTAGGTCCCTGCCTCATTTTGTCGGAATGCCTCACATCCCGTTGACACCTTGAAAGGCACGCAGAGTTCATTGCTTCAAAAGGTGACGATGCCTGACTCCTCTTGAATACTGATAGGAATCCAAAAATCCCTGTGGCTTCTGGAAAGGGTCCTTGGGTGCCCTGCCTCACCTCGCGAAGCGTCCCTTTTGCCCTGCCAAGCCTCGAAGAGATTCCTGAGGTGTCCCTCGTTACGAGACAGGAGTCCTGATGTCACTGAAGAAACTCGTGTTTTGAAGGGCCATCCCCGCCTTAAGTCGAGTACATACCCCAGGTCCCCGCCTCAACTCGAGAAAAACCATGAGACTTCCCCCTAGAGGCGAGATGATGCCCCATTCCCCTGCAGTGCATGCAGAGCTATTCCGTGATCCCATTCCAACAAGTCAGGAGCTTCGACTTGCTTAATGGATCTCGAGACAGTCCCCAAGAACACTGTCACCAGTCTAGACGGAACCTGAGGTCACCCCAGCAATGTAAAGCAGCTCCATGTGCCCCAAATCAACTTGAGATGAGGCCCGATTCCCCTGCTTTGTCACCAGAGCCATTCCCCGTTCCCCATTCAACACGACCGGTGGCTCGACTTCCTTCAGGCAACTCCAGAGATGCCCCGAGAACACTGTCCCAAGTCTAGAGGAACACCAACTTCAGCACAGCAACTCGAGGAATGCTCCGTGTGCCCCAAATCGTCTCGAGATGAGAGCTGATTCCCTGGCTTAGGCTCAAGACGTATGCCAACTTTCCAGAAGCACCTCAGGAGGAGGCTTCGCTCAGCAATAGTTAGGTGGGAGGGACCCCGAAATCGCTGCCTCAAGTGGAATAGACAGCGAGAAGCCCTAACTTGAAAGGAGGCCGGATTTCCTTGCAGTGGCTTGAATACAGGCTGGTCTTTGATCTCACAGCATGAAGGCATATCTGAATCCCCTGTGGAGTCCTTTGAGAAAGCCCTAGGTCCCTGCCTCATATTGACGGAATGCCTCACATTCCGCTGACACCTCGAGAGGCACGCGGAGTTCATTGCTTCAAAAGGTGACGATGCCTGACTCCTCTTGAATACTGATAGGAATCCCAGAATACCTGTGGCTACTGGAAAGGGTCCTTGGGTGCCCTGCCTCACCTCGAGAAGCGTCCCTTTTGCCCTGCCAAGCCTCGAAGAGATTCCTGAGGTGTCCCTCGTTATGAGACAGGAGTCCTGACGTCACTGAAGAAACTCGTTTTTTGAAGGGCCAACCCCCGGTAAGTCAAGAACATAAACCAGGTCCCCGCCGCAACTCAAGAAAAACCATGAGACTTCCCCCTAGAGGCGAGATGAGGCCCCATTCCCCTGCAGTGCATGCAGATCTATTCCGTGATCCCATTCAAACAAGTCAGGAGCTTCGACATGCTTAATGGATCTCGAGACAGTCCCCAAGAACACTGTCACCAGTCTAGACGGACCCTGAGGTCACCCCAGCAACGCAAAGCAGCTCCATGTGCCCAAAATCAACTCGAGATGAGGCCCGATTCCCCTGCATTGACTCCAGAGCCATTCCCCGTTCCCGATTCAACACGACCGGTGGCTCGACTTCCTTCAGGCAACTCCAGAGATGCCCCGAGAACACTGTCACAAGTCTATAGGAACACCAACTTCAGCAGAGCAACTCGAGGAATGCTCCATGTACCCCAAATCGTCTCGAGATGAGAGCTGATTCCCTGGCTTAGCCTCAAGACGTATGCCAACTTTCCAGAAGCACCTCAGGAGGAGGCTTCTCTCAGCAATAGGTATGTCGGAGGGACCCCGAGATCGCTGCCTCAAGTGGAATATACAGCGAGAAGCCCTAACTTGAAAGGAGGCCGGATTTCCTTGCAGTGGCTTGAATACAGGCCCGTCTTTGATCTCACAACATGAAGGCATGTCTGATCCCCTGTGGAGACCTTAGAGAAAGCCCTAGGTCCCTGCCTCATTTTGACGGAATGCCTCACATCCCGTTGACACGTCGATAGGCACGCGGAGTTCATTGCTTCAAAAGGTGACGATGCCTGACTCCTCTTGAATACTGATAGGAATCCCACAATCCCTGTGGCTACTGGAATGGGTCCTTGGGTGCCCTGCCTCACCTCGAGAAGCATCCCTTTTGCCCTGCCAAGCCTCGAAGAGATTCCTGAGGTGTCCCTCGTTACTAGACAGCAGTCCTGATGTCACTGAAGAAACTCTTGTTTTGAAGGGCCATCCCCGCCGTAAGTCGAGAACATACCCCAGGTCCCCGCCGCAACTCGAGAAAAACCATGAGACTTCCCCCTAGAGGCGAGATGAGGCCCCATTCCCCTGCAGTGCATGCAGAGCTATTCCGTGATCCCATTCAAACAAGTCAGGAGCTTCGACTTGCTTAATGGATCTCGAGACAGTCCCCAAGAACACTGTCACCAGTCTAGACGGACCCTGAGGTCACCCCAGCAACGCAAAGCAGCTCCATGTGCCCCAAATCAACTCGAGATGAGGCCCTATTCCCCTGCATTGACTCCAGAGCCATTCCCCGTTCCCCATTCAACACGACCGGTGGCTCGACTTCCTTCAGGCAACTCCAGAGATGCCCCGAGAACACTGTCCCAAGTCTAGAGGAACACCAACTTCAGCATAGCAACTCGAGGAATGCTCCATGTACATCAAATCGTCTCGAGATGAGAGCTGATTCCCTGGCTTAGGCTCAAGACGTATGCCAACTTTCCAGAAGCACCTCAGGAGGAGGCTTCTCTCTGCAATAGTTATGTGGGAGGGACCCCGAGATCGCTGCCTCAAGGGGAATATACAGCGAGAAGCCCTAACTGATAAGGAGGCCGGATTTCCTTGCAGTGGCTTGAATACAGGCTCGTCTTTGATCTCACAACATGAAGGCATGTCTGAATCCCCTGTGGAGACCTTAGAGAAAGCCCTAGGTCCCTGCCTCATTTTGACGGAATGCCTCACATCCCGTTGACACCTCGAGAGGCACGCGGAGTTCATTGCTTCAAAAGGTGACGATGCCTGACTCCTCTTGAATACTTATAGGAATCCCACAATTCCTGTGGCTACTGGAATGGGTCCTTGGGTGCCCTGCCTCACCTCGAGAAGCATCCCTTTTGCCCTGCCAAGCCTCGAAGAGATTCCTGAGGTGTCCCTCGTTACTAGACAGGAGTCCTGATGTCACTGAAGAAACTCGTGTTTTGAAGGGCCATCCCCGCCGTAAGTCGAGAACATACCCCAGGTCCCCGCCGCAATTCGAGAAAAACCATGAGACTTCCCCCTAGAGGCGAGATGAGGCCACATTCCCCTGCAGTGCATGCAGAGCTATTCCGTGATCCCATTCAAACAAGTCAGGAGCTTTGACTTGCTTAATGGATCTCGAGACAGTCCCCAAGAACACTGTCACCAGTCTAGACGGACCCTGAGGTCACCCCAGCAAAGCAAAGCAGCTCCATGTGCCCCAAATCAACTCGAGATGAGGCCCGATTCCCCTGCATTGACTCCAGAGCCATTCCCCGTTCCCCATTCAACACGACCGGTGGCTCGACTTCCTTCAGGCAATAACAGAGATGCCCCGTGAACACTGTCCCAAGTCTAGAGGAACACCAACTTCAGCAAAGCAACTCGAGGAATGCTCCATGTACCCCAAATCGTCTCGAGATGAGAGCTGATTCCCTGGTTTAGGCTCAAGACGTATGCCAAAATTCCAGAAGCACCTCAGGAGGAGGCTTCTCTCAGCAATAGGTACGTGGGAGGGACCCCGAGATCGCTTCCTCAAGTGGAATATACAGCGAGAAGCCCTAACTTGAAAGAAAGCCGGATTTCCTTGCAGTGTCTTGAATGCAGGCTCGTCTTTTATCTCAAAACATGAAGGGATGTCTAAATCGCCTGTGGAGACCTTAGAGAAAGCCCTAGGTCCCTGCCTCATTTTGACGGAATGCCTCACATCCCGTTGACACCTCGAGAGGCACGCGGAGTTCATTGCTTCAAAAGGTGACGAGGCCTGACTCCTCTTGAATACTGATAGGAATCCCACAATCCCTGTGGCTACTGGAATGGGTCCTTGGGTGCCCTGCCTCACCTCGAGAAGCGTCCCTTTTGCCCTGCCAAGCCTCGAAGAGATTCCTGAGGTGTCCTTCGTTAATAGACAGGAGTCCTGACATCATTGAAGAAACTCGTGTTTTGAAGGGCCATCCCCGACGTAAGTCGAGAACATACTCCAGGTCCCCGCCGCAATTCGAGAAAAATCATGAGACTTCCCCCTAGAGGCGAGATGAGGCCCCATTCCCATGCAGTGCATGCAGAGCTATTCTGTGACCCCATTCAAACAAGTCAGGAGCTTCGACTTGCTTAATGGATCTCGAGACAGTCCCCAAGAACACTGTAACCAGTCTAGAAGGACCCTGACGTTACCCCAGCAACGCAATGCAAATCCATGTGCCCCAAATCAACTCGAGATGAAGCCTGATTCCCCTGCATTGACTCCAGAGCCATTCCCCGTTCCCCATTCAACACGACCGGTGGCTCGACTTCCTTCAGGCAACTCCAGAGATGCCCCGAGAACACTGTCCCAAGTTTAGAGGAACACCACTTCAGCACAGCAACTCGAGGAATGCTCCATGTACCCCAAATCGTCTCGAGATGAGAGCTGATTCCCTGGCTTAGGCTCAAGACGTATGCCAACTTTCCAGAACCACCTCAGGAGGAGGCTTCTCTCAGCAATAGGTATGTGGGAGGGACCCCGAGATCGCTTCCTCAAGTGGAATATACAGCGAGAAGCCCTAACTTGAAAGGAGGCCGGATTTCCTTGCAGTGGCTTGAATACAGGCTCGTCTTTGATCTCACAACCTGAAGGCATGTCTGAATCCCCTGTGTAGACCTTAGAGAAAGCCCTAGGTCCCTGCCTCATTTTGACGGAATGCCTCACATCCCGTTGACACCTCGAGAGGCAGTCGGAGTTCATTGCTTCAAAGGTGACGATGCCTGATTCCTCTTGAATACTGATAGGAATCCCAAAATCCCTGTGGCTACTGGAAAGGGTCCTTGGGTGCCCTGCCTCACCTCGAGAAGCGTCCCTTTGCCCTGCAAAGCCTCGAAGAAATTCCTGAGGTGTCCCTCGTTACAAGACAGGAGTCATGACGTCACTGAAGAAAATCGTGTTTGCCATCCCCGCCATAAGTCGAGAACATACCCCAGGTCCCCGCCGCAACTCGAGAAAAACCATGAGACTTCCCCCTAGAGGCGAGATGAGGCCCCATTCCCCTGCAGTGCATGCAGAGCTATTCCGTGATCCCATTCAAACAAGTCTGGAGCTTCGACGTGCTTAATGGATCTCGAGACAGTCCCCAAGAACACTGTCACCAGTCTAGACGGACCCTGAGGTCACCCCAGCAACGCAAAGCAGCTCCATGTTCCCCAAATCAACTCGAGATGAGGCCCGATTCCCCTGCATTGACTCCAGAGCCATTCCCCGTTCCCCAGTCAACACGACCGGTGGCTCGACTTCCTTCAGGCAACTCCAGAGATGCCCCGAGAACACTGTCCCAAGTGTAGAGGAACACCAACTTCAGCACAGCAACTCGAGGAATGCTCCGTGTACCCCAAATCGTCTTGAGATGAGAGCTGATTCCCTGGCTTAGGCTCAAGACATATGCCAACTTTCCAGAAGCACCTCAGGAGGAGGCTTCTCTCAGCAATAGGTATGTGGGAGGGACCCCGAGATCGCTTCCTCAAGTGGAATATACAGCGAGAAGCCCTAACTTGAAAGGAGGCCGGATTTCCTTGCAGTGTCTTGAATGCAGGCTCGTCTTTTATCTCAAAACATGAAGAGATGTCTGAATCCCCTGTGGAGACTTTAGAGAAAGCCCTAGGTCCCTGCCTCATTTTGACGGAAGGCCTCACATCCCGTTGACTCCTCGAGAGGCACGCGGAGTTCATTGCTTCAAAAGGTGACGATGCCTGACTCCTCTTGAATACTGATAGGAATCCCACAATCCCTGTGGCTACTGGAATGGGTTCCTGGGTGCCCTGCCTCACCTCGAGAAGCATCCCTTTTGCCCTGCCAAGCCTCGAAGAGATTCCTGAGGTGTCCCTCGTTACTAGACAGGAGTCCTGATGTCACTGAAGAAACTCTTGTTTTGAAGGGCCATCCCGCCGTAAGTCGAGAACATACCCCAGGTCCCCGCCGCAACTAGAGAAAAACCATGAGACTTCCCCCTAGAGGCGAGATGAGGCCCAATTCCCCTGCCGTGCATGCAGAGCTATTCCGTGATCCCATTCAAACAAGTCAGGAGCTTCGACTTCCTTAATGGATCTCGAGACAGTCCTCAAGAACACTGTCATCATTCTAGACGGACCCTGAGGTCAACCCAGCAACACAAAGCAGCTCCATGTGCCCCAAATCAACTCGAGATGAGGCCCGATTCCCCTGAATTGACTCCAGAGCCATTCCCCGTTCCCCATTCAACACGACCGGTGGCTCGACTTTCTTCAGGCATCTCCAGAGATGCCCTGAGAACACTCTCCCAAGTCTAGAGTCACACCAACTTCAGCACAGCAACTCGAGGAAAGCTCCGTGTACCCCAAATCGTCTCGAGATGAGAGCTGATTCACTGGCTTAGGCTCAAGACGTATGCCAACTTCCTAGAAGCACCTCAGGAGGAGGCTTCTCTCAGCAATAGGTATGTGGGAGGGACCCCGAGATCGCTGCCTCAAGTGGAATATACAGCGAGAAGCCCTAACTTGAAAGGAGGTCGGATTTCCTTCCAGTGGCTTGAATACAGGCTCGTCTTTGATCTCACAACATGAAGGCATGTCTGAATCCCCTGTGGAGACCTTAGAGAAAGCCCTAGGTCCCTGCCTCATTTTGACGGAATGCCTCACATCCCGTTGACACCTCGAGAGGCACGCGGAGTTCATTGCTTCAAAAGGTGACGATGCCTGACTCCTCTTGAATACTGATAGGAATCCCACAATCCCTGTGGCTACTGGAATGGGTTCCTGGGTGCCCTGCCTCACCTCGAGAAGCATCCCTTTTGCCCTGCCAAGCCTCGAAGAGATTCCTGAGGTGTCCCTCGTTACTAGACAGGAGTCCTGATGTCACTGAAGAAACTCTTGTTTTGAAGGGCCATCCCGCCGTAAGTCGAGAACATACCCCAGGTCCCCGCCGCAACTCGAGAAAAACCATGAGACTTCCCCCTAGAGGCGAGATGAGGCCCCATTCCCGTGCAGTGCATGCAGAGTTATTCCGTGATCCCATTCAAACAAGTCAGGAGCTTCGACTTGCTTAATGGATCTCGAGACAGTCCCCAAGAACACTGTCACCATTCTAGACGGACCCTGAGGTCAACCCAGCAACGGAAAGCAGCTCCATGTGCCCCAAATCAACTCGAGATGAGGCCCGATTCCCCTGCATTGACTCCAGAGCCATTACCCGTTCCCCATTCAACACGACCGGTGGCTCGACTTCCTTCAGGCAATAACAGAGATGCCCAGTGTACACTGTCCCAAGTCTAGAGGAACACAAACTTCAGCACAGCAACTCGAGGAATGATCCATGTACCTCAAATCGTCTCGAGTTGAGAGCTGATTCCCTGGCTTAGGCTCAAGACGTATGCCAACTTTCCAGAAGCACCTCAGGAGGAGGCTTCTCTCAGCAATAGGTATGTGGGAGGGACCCAGAGATCGCTGCCTCAAGTGGAATATAGAGCGAGAAGCCCTAACTTGAAAGGAGGCCGGATTTCCTTGCAGTGGCTTGAATACAGGCTCGTCTTTAATCTCAAAACATGAAGGGATGTCTGAATCCCCTGAGGAGACCTTAGAGAAAGCCCTAGGTCCCTGCCTCATTTTGTTGGAATGCCTCACATCCCGTTGACACCTTGAGAGGCACGCAGAGTTCATTGCTTCAAAAGGTGACGATGCCTGACTCCTCTTGAATACTGATAGGAATCCGAGAATCCCTGTGGCTACTGGAAAGGGTCCTTGGGTGCCCTCTCTCACCTCGAGAAGCGTACCTTTTGCCCTGCCAAGCCTCGAAGAGATTCCTGAGGCTTCCCTCGTTACGAGACAGGAGTCCTGATGTCACTGAAGAAACTCGTGTTTTGAAGGGCCATCCCCGCCGTAAGTCTAGAACATACCCCAGGTCCCCGCCGCAACTCAAGAAAAACCATGAGACTTCCCCCTAGAGGCGAGATGAGGCCCCATTCCACTGCAGTGCATGCAGATCTATTCCGTGATCCCATTCAAACAAGTCAGGAGCTTCGACATGCTTAATGGATCTCGAGACAGTCCCCAAGAACACTGTCACCAGTCTAGACGGACCCTGAGGTCAACCCAGCAACACAAAGCAGCTCCATGTGCCCCAAATCAACTCGAGATGAGGCCCGATTCCCCTGCATTGACTCCAGAGCCATTCCCCGTTCCCCATTCAACACGACCGGTGGCTCGACTTCCTTCAGGCAACTCCAGAGATGCCCCGAGAACACTGTCCCAAGTTTAGAGGAACACCAACTTCAGCACAGCAACTCGAGGAATGCTCCATGTACCCCAAATCGTCTCGAGATGAGAGCTGATTCCCTTGCTTAGGCTCAAGACGTATGCCAACTTTCCAGAAGCACCTCAGGAGGAGGCTTCTCTCAGCAATAGGTATGTGGGACGGACCCCGAGATCGCTGCCTCAAGTGGAATATACAGCGAGATGCCCTAACTTGAAAGGAGGCCGTATTTCCTTGCAGTGGCTTGAATACAGGCTTGTCTTTGATCTCACAACATGAAGGCATGTCTGAATCCCCTGTGGAGATCTTAGAGAAAGCCCTAGATCCCTGCGTCATTTTGACGGAATGCCTCACATCCCGTTGACACCTCGAGAGGCACGCGGAGTTCATTGCTTCAAAAGGTGACGATGCCTGACTCCTCTTGAATACTTATAGGAATCCCAAAATCCCTGTGGCTACTGGAAAGGGTACTTGGGTGCCCTGCCTCACCTCGAGAAGCGTCCCTTTTGCCCTGCCAAGCCTCGAAGAGATTCCTGAGGTGTCCCTCGTTACTAGACAGGAGTCCTGACGTCACTGAAGAAACTCGTGTTTTGAAGGGCCATCCCCGCCCTAAGTCGAGACCATACCCAAGGTCCCCCCGCAACTCGAGAAAAACCATGAGACTTCCCCCTAGAGGCGAGATGAGGCCCCATTCCCCTGCAGTGCATGCACAGCTATTCCGTGATCCCATTCAAACAAGTCAGGAGCTTCGACTTGCTTAATGGATCTCGAGACAGTCCCCAAGAACACTGTCACCAGTCTAGACGGACCCTGAGGTCACCCCAGCAACGCAAAGCAGCTCCATGTGCCCCAAATCAACTCGAGATGAGGCCCGATTCCCCTGCATTGACTCCAGAGCCATTACCCGTTCCCCATTCAACACGACCGGTGGATCGACTTCCTTCAGGCAACTCCAGAGATGCCACGAGAACACTATCCCAAGTCTAGAGGAACACCAACTTCAGCAGAGCAACTCGAGGAATGGTCCGTGTACCCGAAATAGTCTCGAGATGAGAGCTGATTCCCTGGCTTAGGCTCAAGACGTATGCCAACTTTCCAGAAGCACCTCAGGAGGAGCCTTCTCTCAGCAATAGGTATGTGGGAGGGACCCCGAGATCGCTGCCTCAAGTGGAATATACAGCGAGAAGCCCTAACTTGAAAGGAGGCCGGATTTCCTTGCAGTGGCTTGAATACAGGCTCGTCTTTGATCTCACAACATGAAGGCATGTCTGAATCCCCTGTGGAGACCTTAGAGAAAGCCCTAGGTCCCTGCCTCATTTTGACGGAATGCCTCACATCCCGTTGACACCTCGAGAGGCACGCGGAGTTCATTGCTTCAAAAGGTGACGATGCCTGACTCCTCTTGAATACTGATGGGAATCCCACAATCCCTGTGGCTACTGGAATGGGTTCTTGGGTGCCCTGCCTCACCTCGAGAAGCGTCCCTTTTGCCCTGCCAAGCCTCGAAGAGATTCCTGAGGTGTCCCTCGTTACGAGACAGGAGTCCTGACGTCACTGAAGAAACTCGTTTTTTGAAGGGCCAACGCCGCCGTAAGTCAAGAACATACCCCAGGTCCCCGCCGCAACTCAAGAAAAACCATGAGACTTCCCCCTAGAGGCGAGATGAGGCCCCATTCCCCTGCAGTGCATGCAGAGCTATTCCGTGATCCCATTCAAACAAGTCAGGAGCTTCGACTTGCTTAATGGATCTCGAGACAGTCACCAAGAACACTGTCACCATTCTAGACGGACCCTGAGGTCAACCCAGCAACGCAAAGCAGCTCCATGTGCCCCAAATCAACTCGAGATGAGGCCCGATTCCCCTGCATTGACTCCAGAGCCATTCCCCGTTCCCCATTCAACACGACCGGTGGCTCGACTTCCTTCAGGCAACTCCAGAGATGCCCCGAGAACACTGTCCCAAGTCTAGAGGAACACCAACTTAAGCACAGCAACTCGAGGAATGCTCCGTGTACCCCAAATCGTCTCGAGATGAGAGCTGATTCCCTGGCTTAGGCTCAAGACGTATGCCAACTTTCCAGAAGCACCTCAGGAGGAGGCTTCTCTCAGCAGTAGGTATGTGGGAGGGACCCCGAGATCGCTGCCTCAAGTGGAATATACAGCGAGAAGCCCTAACTTGAAAGGAGGCCGGATTTCCTTGCAGTGGCTTGAATACAGGCTCGTCTTTGATCTCACAACATGAAGGGATGTCTGAATCCCCTGTGGAGACCTTAGAGAAAGCCCTAGGTCCCTGCCTCATTTTGACGGAATGCCTCACATCCTGTTGACACCTCGAGAGGCCCGCGGAGTTCATTGCTTCAAAAGGTGACGATGCCTGACTCCTCTTGAATACTGATGGGAATCCCACAATCCCTGTGGCTACTGGAATGGGTTCTTGGGTGCCCTGCCTCACCTCGAGAAGCGTCCCTTTTGCCGTGCCAAGCCTCGAAGAGATTCCTGAGGTGTCCCTCGTTACGAGACAGGAGTCCTGACGTCACTGAAGAAACTCGTTTTTTGAAGGGCCAACCCCGCCGTAAGTCAAGAACATACCCCAGGTCCCCGCCGCAACTCAAGAAAAACCATGAGACTTCCCCCTAGAGGCGAGATGAGGCCCCATTCCCCTGCAGTGCATGCAGATCTATTCCGTGATCCCATTCAAACAAGTCAGGAGCTTCGACATGCTTAATGGATCTCGAGACAGTCCCCAAGAACACTGTCACCAGTCTAGACGGACCCTGAGGTCACCCCAGCAACGCAAAGCAGCTCCATGTGCCCAAAATCAACTCGAGATGAGGCCCGATTCCCCTGCATTGACTCCAGAGCCATTCCCCGTTCCCGATTCAACACGACCGGTGGCTCGACTTCCTTCAGGCAACTCCAGAGATGCCCCGAGAACACTGTCCCAAGTCTATAGGAACACCAACTTCAGCAGAGCAACTCGAGGAATGCTCCATGTACCCCAAATCGTCTCGAGATGAGAGCTGATTCCCTGGCTTAGGCTCAAGACGTATGCCAACTTTCCAGAAGCACCTCAGGAAGAGGCTTCTCTCAGCAATAGGTATGTCGGAGGGACCCCGAGATCGCTGCCTCAAGTGGAATATACAGCGAGACGCCCTAACTTGAAAGGAGGCCGGATTTCCTTGCAGTGGCTTGAATACAGGCCCGTCTTTGATCTCACAACATGAAGGCATGTCTGAATCCCCTGTGGAGACCTTAGAGAAAGCCCTAGGTCTCTGCCTCATTTTGACGGAATGCCTCACATCCCGTTGACACCTCAAGAGGAACGCGGAGTTCATTGCTTCAAAAGGTGACGATGCCTGACTCCTCTTGAATACTGATAGGAATCCCACAATCCCTGTGGCTACTGGAATGGGTCCTTGGGTGCCCTGCCTCACCTCGAGAAGCATCCCTTTTGCCCTGCCAAGCCTCGAAGAGATTCCTGAGGTGTCCCTCGTTACTAGACAGCAGTCCTGATGTCACTGAAGAAACTCTGGTTTTGAAGGGATATCCCCGCCGTAAGTCGAGAACATACCCCAGGTCCCCGCCGCAACTCGAGAAAAACCATGAGACTTCCCCCTAGAGGCGAGATGAGGCCCCATTCCCCTGCAGTGCATGCAGAGCTATTCCGTGATCCCATTCAAACAAGTCAGGAGCTTCGACTTGCTTAATGGATCTCGAGACAGTCACCAAGAACACTGTCACCATTCTAGACGGACCCTGAGGTCAACCCAGCAACGCAAAGCAGCTCCATGTGCCCCAAATCAACTCGAGATGAGGCCCGATTCCCCTGCATTGACTCCAGAGCCATTCCCCGTTCCCCATTCAACACGACCGGTGGCTCGACTTCCTTCAGGCAACTCCAGAGATGCCCCGAGAACACTGTCCCAAGTCTAGAGGAACACCAACTTAAGCACAGCAACTCGAGGAATGCTCCGTGTACCCCAAATCATCTCGAGATGAGAGCTGATTCCCTGGCTTAGGCTCAAGACGTATGCCAACTTTCCAGAAGCACCTCAGGAGGAGGCTTCTCTCAGCAGTAGGTATGTGGGAGGGACCCCGAGATCGCTGCCTCAAGTGGAATATACAGCGAGAAGCCGTAACTTGAAAGGAGGCCGGATTTCCTTGCAGTGGCTTGAATACAGGCTCGTCTTTGATCTCACAACATGAAGGGATGTCTGAATCCCCTGTGGAGACCTTAGAGAAAGCCCTAGGTCCCTGCCTCATTTTGACGGAATGCCTCACATCCCGTTGACACCTCGAGAGGCACGTGGAGTTCATTGCTTCAAAAGGTGACGATGCCTGACTCCTCTTGAATACTGATAGGAATCCCACAATCCCTGTGGCTACTGGAATGGGTTCTTGGGTGCCCTGCCTCACTTCGAGAAGCATCCCTTTTGCCGTGCCAAGCCTCGAAGAGATTCCTGAGGTGTCCCTCGTTACTAGACAGGAGTCCTGATGTCACTGAAGAAACTCTTGTTTTGAAGGGCCATCCCCGCCGTAAGTCGAGAACATACCCCAGGTCCCCGCCGCAACTCGAGAAAAACCATGAGACTTCCCCCTAGAGGCGAGATGAGGCCCCATTCCCCTGCAGTGCATGCAGAGCTATTCCGTGATCCCATTCAAACAAGTCAGGAGCTTCGACTTGCTTAATGGATCTCGAGACAGTCCCCAAGAACACTGTCACCTGTCTAGACGGACCCTGAGGTCAACCCAGCAACGGAAAGCAGCTCCATGTGCCCCAAATCAACTCGAGATGAGGCCCGATTCCCCTGCATTGACTCCAGAGCCATTCCCCGTTCCCCATTCAACACGACCGGTGGCTCGACTTCCTTCAGGCAACTCCAGAGATGCCCCGTGAACACTGTCCCAAGTCTAGAGGAACACCAACTTCAGCACAGCAACTCGAGGAATGCTCCATGCACCCCAAATCGTCTCGAGATGAGAGCTGATTCCCTGGCTTAGGCTCAAGACGTATGCCAACTTTCCAGAAGCACCTCAGGAGGAGGCTTCTCTCAGCAATAGGAATGTGGGAGGGACCCCGAGATCGCTGCCTCAAGTGGAATATACAGCGAGAAGCCCTAACTTGAAAGGAGGCCGGATTTCCTTGCAGTGGCTTGAATACAGGCTCGTCTTTGATCTCACAACATGAAGGCATGTCTGAATCCCCTGTGGAGACCTTAGAGAAAGCCCTAGGTCCCTGCCTCATTTTGACGGAATGCCTCACATCCCGTTGACACCTCGAGCGGCACGCGGAGTTCATTGCCTCAAAAGGTGACGATGCCTGACTCCTCTTGAATACTGATAGGAATCCCAAAATCCCTGTGTCTACTGGAATGGGTCCTTGGGTGCCCTACCTCACCTCGAGAAGCGTCCCTTTTGCCCTGCCAAGCCTCGAAGAGATTCCTGAGGTGTCCCTTGTTACTAGACAGGAGTCCTGACGTCACTGAAGAAACTCGTGTTTTGAAGGGCCATCCCCGCCGTAAGTCTAGAACGTACCCCAGGTCCCCGCCGCAACTCGAGAAAATCCATGAGACTTCCCCCTAGAGGCGAGATGAGGCCCCATTCCCATTCAGTGCATGCAGAGCTATTCCGTGATCCCATTCAAACAAGTCAGGAGCTTCGACTTGCTTAATGGATTCGAGCCAGTCCCCAAGAACACTGTCACCAGTCTAGACGGACCCTGAGGTCACCCCAGCAACGCAAAGCAGCTCCATGTGCCCCAAATCAACTCGAGATGAGGCCCGATTCCCCTGCATTGACTCCAGAGCCATTCCCCGTTCCCCATTCAACACGACCGGTGGCTCGACTTCCTTCAGGCAACTCCAGAGATGCCCCGAGAACACTGTCCCAAGTCTAGAGGAACACCGACTTCAGCATAGCAACTCGAGGAATGCTCCATGTACCCCAAATCGTCTCGAGATGAGAGCTGATTCCCTGGCTTAGGCTCAAGACGTATGCCAACTATCCAGAAGCACCTCAGGAGGAGGCTTCTCTCTGCAATAGTTATGTGGGAGGGACCCCGAGATCGTTGCCTCAAGGGGAATATACAGCGAGAAGCCCTAACTTATAAGGAGGCCGGATTTCCTTGCAGTGGCTTGAATACAGGCTCGTCTTTGATCTCACAACATGAAGGCATGTCTGAATCCTCTGTGGAGACCTTAGAGAAAGCCCTAGGTCCCTGCCTCATTTTGACGGAATGCCTCACATCCCGTTGACACCTCGAGAGGCACGCAGAGTTCATTGCTTCAAAAGGTGACGATGCCTGACTCCTCTTGAATACTTATAGGAATCCCACAATCCCTGTGGCTACTGGAATGGGTCCTTGGGTGCCCTGCCTCACCTCGAGAAGCATCCCATTTGCCCTGCCAAGCCTCGAAGAGATTCCTGAGGTGTCCCTCGTTACTAGACAGGAGTCCTGATGTCACTGAAGAAACTCGTGTTTTGAAGGGCCATCCCCGCCGTAAGTCGAGAACATAACCAGGTCCCCGCCGCAACTCGAGGAAAACCATGAGACTTCCCCCTAGAGGCGAGATGAGGCCACATTCCCCTGCAGTGCATGCAGAGCTATTCCGTGATCCCATTCAAACAAGTCAGGAGCTTTGTCTTGCTTAATGGATCTCGAGACAGTCCCCAAGAACACTGTCACCAGTCTAGACGGACCCTGAGGTCACCCCAGCAAAGCAAAGCAGCTCCATGTGCCCCAAATCAACTCGAGATGAGGCCCGATTCCCCTGCATTGACTCCAGAGCCATTCCCCGTTCCCCATTCAACACGACCGGTGGCTCGACTTCCTTCAGGCAACTCCAGAGATGCCCCGAGAACACTGTCCCAAGTTTAGAGGAACACCACTTCAGCACAGCAACTCGAGGAATGCTCCATGTACCCCAAATCGTCTGGAGATGAGAGCTGATTCCCTGGCTTGGGCTCAAGACGTATGCCAACTTTCCAGAAGCACCTCAGGAGGAGGCTTCTCTCAGCAATAGGTATGTGGGAGGGACCCCGAGATCGCTGCCTCAAGGGGAATATACAGCGAGAAGCCCTAACTTGAAAGGAGGCCGGATTTCCTTGCAGTGTCTTGAATGCAGGCTCGTCTTTTATCTCAAAACATGAAGAGATGTCTGAATCCCCTGTGGAGACTTTAGAGAAAGCCCTAGGTCCCTGCCTCATTTTGACGGAAGGCCTCACATCCCGTTGACTCCTCGAGAGGCACGCGGAGTTCATTGCTTCAAAAGGTGACGATGCCTGACTCCTCTTGAATACTGATAGGAATCCCAAAATCCCTGTGGCTACTGGAATGGGTCCTTGGGTGCCCTGCCTCACCTCGAGAAGCGTCCCTTTTGCCCTGCCAAGCCTCGAAGAGATTCCTGAGGTGTCCCTCGTTATGAGACAGGAGTCCTGACGTCACTGAAGAAACTCGTGTTTTGAAGGCCGTCCCCGCCGTAAGTCGAAAATATACCCCAGGTCCCCGCCGCAACTCGAGAAAAACCATGAGACTTCCCCCTAGAGGCGAGATGAGGCCCAATTCCCCTGCCGTGCATGCAGAGCTATTCCGTGATCCCATTCAAAGAAGTCAGGAGCTTCGACTTGCTTAATGGATCTCGAGACAGTCACCAAGAACACTGTCACCATTCTAGACGGACCCTGAGGTCAACCCAGCAACGCAAAGCAGCTCCATGTGCCCCAAATCAACTCGAGATGAGGCCCGATTCCCCTGCATTGACTCCAGAGCCATTCCCCGTTCCCCATTCAACACGACCGGTGGCTCGACTTCCTTCAGGCAACTCCAGAGATGCCCCGAGAACACTGTCCCAAGTGTAGAGGAACACCAACTTAAGCACAGCAACTCGAGGAATGCTCCGTGTACCCCAAATCGTCTTGAGATGAGAGCTGATTCCCTGGCTTAGGCTCAAGACGTATGCCAACTTTCCAGAAGCACCTCAGGAGGAGGCTTCTCTCAGCAGTAGGTATGTGGGAGGGACCCCGAGATCGCTGCCTCAAGTGGAATATACAGCGAGAAGCCCTAACTTGAAAGGAGGCCGGATTTCCTTGCAGTGGCTTGAATACAGGCTCGTCTTTGATCTCACAACATGAAGGGATGTCTGAATCCCCTGTGGAGACCTTAGAGAAAGCCCTAGGTCCCTGCCTCATTTTGACGGAATGCCTCACATCCCGTTGACACCTCGAGAGGCACGCGGAGTTCATTGCTTCAAAAGGTGACGATGCCTGACTCCTCTTGAATACTGATGGGAATCCCACAATCCCTGTGGCTACTGGAATGGGTTCTTGGGTGCCCTGCCTCACTTCGAGAAGCATCCCTTTTGCCGTGCCAAGCCTCGAAGAGATTCCTGAGGTGTCCCTCGTTACTAGACAGGAGTCCTGATGTCACTGAAGAAACTCTTGTTTTGAAGGGCCATCCCCGCCGTAAGTCGAGAACATACCCCAGGTCCCCGCCGCAACTCGAGAAAAACCATGAGACTTCCCCCTAGAGGCGAGATGAGGCCCCATTCCCGTGCAGTGCATGCAGAGCTATTCCGTGATCCCATTCAAACAAGTCAGGAGCTTCGACTTGCTTAATGGATCTCGAGACAGTCCCCAAGAACACTGTCACCATTCTAGACGGACCCTGAGGTCAACCCAGCAACGCAAAGCAGCTCCATGTGCCCCAAATCAACTCGAGATGAGGCCCGATTCCCCTGCATTGACTCCAGAGCCATTCCCCGTTCCCCATTCAACACGACCGGTGGCTCGACTTCCTTCAGGCAACTCCAGAGATGCCCCGAGAACACTGTCCCAAGTCTAGAGGAACACCAACTTAAGCACAGCAACTCGAGGAATGCTCCGTGTACCCCAAATCATCTCGAGATGAGAGCTGATTCCCTGGCTTAGGCTCAAGACGTATGCCAACTTTCCAGAAGCACCTCAGGAGGAGGCTTCTCTCAGCAGTAGGTATGTGGGAGGGACCCCGAGATCGCTGCCTCAAGTGGAATATACAGCGAGAAGCCGTAACTTGAAAGGAGGCCGGATTTCCTTGCAGTGGCTTGAATACAGGCTCGTCTTTGATCTCACAACATGAAGGGATGTCTGAATCCCCTGTGGAGACCTTAGAGAAAGCCCTAGGTCCCTGCCTCATTTTGACGGAATGCCTCACATCCCGTTGACACCTCGAGAGGCACGTGGAGTTCATTGCTTCAAAAGGTGACGATGCCTGACTCCTCTTGAATACTGATAGGAATCCCACAATCCCTGTGGCTACTGGAATGGGTTCTTGGGTGCCCTGCCTCACTTCGAGAAGCATCCCTTTTGCCGTGCCAAGCCTCGAAGAGATTCCTGAGGTGTCCCTCGTTACTAGACAGGAGTCCTGATGTCACTGAAGAAACTCTTGTTTTGAAGGGCCATCCCCGCCGTAAGTCGAGAACATACCCCAGGTCCCCGCCGCAACTCGAGAAAAACCATGAGACTTCCCCCTAGAGGCGAGATGAGGCCCCATTCCCCTGCAGTGCATGCAGAGCTATTCCGTGATCCCATTCAAACAAGTCAGGAGCTTCGACTTGCTTAATGGATCTCGAGACAGTCCCCAAGAACACTGTCACCTGTCTAGACGGACCCTGAGGTCAACCCAGCAACGGAAAGCAGCTCCATGTGCCCCAAATCAACTCGAGATGAGGCCCGATTCCCCTGCATTGACTCCAGAGCCATTCCCCGTTCCCCATTCAACACGACCGGTGGCTCGACTTCCTTCAGGCAACTCCAGAGATGCCCCGTGAACACTGTCCCAAGTCTAGAGGAACACCAACTTCAGCACAGCAACTCGAGGAATGCTCCATGCACCCCAAATCGTCTCGAGATGAGAGCTGATTCCCTGGCTTAGGCTCAAGACGTATGCCAACTTTCCAGAAGCACCTCAGGAGGAGGCTTCTCTCAGCAATAGGAATGTGGGAGGGACCCCGAGATCGCTGCCTCAAGTGGAATATACAGCGAGAAGCCCTAACTTGAAAGGAGGCCGGATTTCCTTGCAGTGGCTTGAATACAGGCTCGTCTTTGATCTCACAACATGAAGGCATGTCTGAATCCCCTGTGGAGACCTTAGAGAAAGCCCTAGGTCCCTGCCTCATTTTGACGGAATGCCTCACATCCCGTTGACACCTCGAGCGGCACGCGGAGTTCATTGCCTCAAAAGGTGACGATGCCTGACTCCTCTTGAATACTGATAGGAATCCCAAAATCCCTGTGTCTACTGGAATGGGTCCTTGGGTGCCCTACCTCACCTCGAGAAGCGTCCCTTTTGCCCTGCCAAGCCTCGAAGAGATTCCTGAGGTGTCCCTTGTTACTAGACAGGAGTCCTGACGTCACTGAAGAAACTCGTGTTTTGAAGGGCCATCCCCGCCGTAAGTCTAGAACGTACCCCAGGTCCCCGCCGCAACTCGAGAAAATCCATGAGACTTCCCCCTAGAGGCGAGATGAGGCCCCATTCCCATTCAGTGCATGCAGAGCTATTCCGTGATCCCATTCAAACAAGTCAGGAGCTTCGACTTGCTTAATGGATTCGAGCCAGTCCCCAAGAACACTGTCACCAGTCTAGACGGACCCTGAGGTCACCCCAGCAACGCAAAGCAGCTCCATGTGCCCCAAATCAACTCGAGATGAGGCCCGATTCCCCTGCATTGACTCCAGAGCCATTCCCCGTTCCCCATTCAACACGACCGGTGGCTCGACTTCCTTCAGGCAACTCCAGAGATGCCCCGAGAACACTGTCCCAAGTCTAGAGGAACACCGACTTCAGCATAGCAACTCGAGGAATGCTCCATGTACCCCAAATCGTCTCGAGATGAGAGCTGATTCCCTGGCTTAGGCTCAAGACGTATGCCAACTATCCAGAAGCACCTCAGGAGGAGGCTTCTCTCTGCAATAGTTATGTGGGAGGGACCCCGAGATCGTTGCCTCAAGGGGAATATACAGCGAGAAGCCCTAACTTATAAGGAGGCCGGATTTCCTTGCAGTGGCTTGAATACAGGCTCGTCTTTGATCTCACAACATGAAGGCATGTCTGAATCCTCTGTGGAGACCTTAGAGAAAGCCCTAGGTCCCTGCCTCATTTTGACGGAATGCCTCACATCCCGTTGACACCTCGAGAGGCACGCAGAGTTCATTGCTTCAAAAGGTGACGATGCCTGACTCCTCTTGAATACTTATAGGAATCCCACAATCCCTGTGGCTACTGGAATGGGTCCTTGGGTGCCCTGCCTCACCTCGAGAAGCATCCCTTTTGCCCTGCCAAGCCTCGAAGAGATTCCTGAGGTGTCCCTCGTTACTAGACAGGAGTCCTGATGTCACTGAAGAAACTCGTGTTTTGAAGGGCCATCCCCGCCGTAAGTCGAGAACATAACCAGGTCCCCGCCGCAACTCGAGGAAAACCATGAGACTTCCCCCTAGAGGCGAGATGAGGCCACATTCCCCTGCAGTGCATGCAGAGCTATTCCGTGATCCCATTCAAACAAGTCAGGAGCTTTGTCTTGCTTAATGGATCTCGAGACAGTCCCCAAGAACACTGTCACCAGTCTAGACGGACCCTGAGGTCACCCCAGCAAAGCAAAGCAGCTCCATGTGCCCCAAATCAACTCGAGATGAGGCCCGATTCCCCTGCATTGACTCCAGAGCCATTCCCCGTTCCCCATTCAACACGACCGGTGGCTCGACTTCCTTCAGGCAACTCCAGAGATGCCCCGAGAACACTGTCCCAAGTTTAGAGGAACACCACTTCAGCACAGCAACTCGAGGAATGCTCCATGTACCCCAAATCGTCTGGAGATGAGAGCTGATTCCCTGGCTTGGGCTCAAGACGTATGCCAACTTTCCAGAAGCACCTCAGGAGGAGGCTTCTCTCAGCAATAGGTATGTGGGAGGGACCCCGAGATCGCTGCCTCAAGGGGAATATACAGCGAGAAGCCCTAACTTGAAAGGAGGCCGGATTTCCTTGCAGTGTCTTGAATGCAGGCTCGTCTTTTATCTCAAAACATGAAGAGATGTCTGAATCCCCTGTGGAGACTTTAGAGAAAGCCCTAGGTCCCTGCCTCATTTTGACGGAAGGCCTCACATCCCGTTGACTCCTCGAGAGGCACGCGGAGTTCATTGCTTCAAAAGGTGACGATGCCTGACTCCTCTTGAATACTGATAGGAATCCCAAAATCCCTGTGGCTACTGGAATGGGTCCTTGGGTGCCCTGCCTCACCTCGAGAAGCGTCCCTTTTGCCCTGCCAAGCCTCGAAGAGATTCCTGAGGTGTCCCTCGTTACTAGACAGGAGTCCTGACGTCACTGAAGAAACTCGTGTTTTGAAGGCCGTCCCCGCCGTAAGTCGAAAATATACCCCAGGTCCCCGCCGCAACTCGAGAAAAACCATGAGACTTCCCCCTAGAGGCGAGATGAGGCCCAATTCCCCTGCCGTGCATGCAGAGCTATTCCGTGATCCCATTCAAAGAAGTCAGGAGCTTCGACTTGCTTAATGGATCTCGAGACAGTCACCAAGAACACTGTCACCATTCTAGACGGACCCTGAGGTCAACCCAGCAACGCAAAGCAGCTCCATGTGCCCCAAATCAACTCGAGATGAGGCCCGATTCCCCTGCATTGACTCCAGAGCCATTCCCCGTTCCCCATTCAACACGACCGGTGGCTCGACTTCCTTCAGGCAACTCCAGAGATGCCCCGAGAACACTGTCCCAAGTCTAGAGGAACACCAACTTAAGCACAGCAACTCGAGGAATGCTCCGTGTACCCCAAATCGTCTTGAGATGAGAGCTGATTCCCTGGCTTAGGCTCAAGACGTATGCCAACTTTCCAGAAGCACCTCAGGAGGAGGCTTCTCTCAGCAGTAGGTATGTGGGAGGGACCCCGAGATCGCTGCCTCAAGTGGAATATACAGCGAGAAGCCCTAACTTGAAAGGAGGCCGGATTTCCTTGCAGTGGCTTGAATACAGGCTCGTCTTTGATCTCACAACATGAAGGGATGTCTGAATCCCCTGTGGAGACCTTAGAGAAAGCCCTAGGTCCCTGCCTCATTTTGACGGAATGCCTCACATCCCGTTGACACCTCGAGAGGCACGCGGAGTTCATTGCTTCAAAAGGTGACGATGCCTGACTCCTCTTGAATACTGATGGGAATCCCACAATCCCTGTGGCTACTGGAATGGGTTCTTGGGTGCCCTGCCTCACTTCGAGAAGCATCCCTTTTGCCGTGCCAAGCCTCGAAGAGATTCCTGAGGTGTCCCTCGTTACTAGACAGGAGTCCTGATGTCACTGAAGAAACTCTTGTTTTGAAGGGCCATCCCCGCCGTAAGTCGAGAACATACCCCAGGTCCCCGCCGCAACTCGAGAAAAACCATGAGACTTCCCCCTAGAGGCGAGATGAGGCCCCATTCCCGTGCAGTGCATGCAGAGCTATTCCGTGATCCCATTCAAACAAGTCAGGAGCTTCGACTTGCTTAATGGATCTCGAGACAGTCCCCAAGAACACTGTCACCATTCTAGACGGACCCTGAGGTCAACCCAGCAACGCAAAGCAGCTCCATGTGCCCCAAATCAACTCGAGATGAGGCCCGATTCCCCTGCATTGACTCCAGAGCCATTCCCCGTTCCCCATTCAACACGACCGGTGGCTCGACTTCCTTCAGGCAACTCCAGAGATGCCCCGAGAACACTGTCCCAAGTCTAGAGGAACACCAACTTAAGCACAGCAACTCGAGGAATGCTCCGTGTACCCCAAATCATCTCGAGATGAGAGCTGATTCCCTGGCTTAGGCTCAAGACGTATGCCAACTTTCCAGAAGCACCTCAGGAGGAGGCTTCTCTCAGCAGTAGGTATGTGGGAGGGACCCCGAGATCGCTGCCTCAAGTGGAATATACAGCGAGAAGCCGTAACTTGAAAGGAGGCCGGATTTCCTTGCAGTGGCTTGAATACAGGCTCGTCTTTGATCTCACAACATGAAGGGATGTCTGAATCCCCTGTGGAGACCTTAGAGAAAGCCCTAGGTCCCTGCCTCATTTTGACGGAATGCCTCACATCCCGTTGACACCTCGAGAGGCACGTGGAGTTCATTGCTTCAAAAGGTGACGATGCCTGACTCCTCTTGAATACTGATAGGAATCCCACAATCCCTGTGGCTACTGGAATGGGTTCTTGGGTGCCCTGCCTCACTTCGAGAAGCATCCCTTTTGCCGTGCCAAGCCTCGAAGAGATTCCTGAGGTGTCCCTCGTTACTAGACAGGAGTCCTGATGTCACTGAAGAAACTCTTGTTTTGAAGGGCCATCCCCGCCGTAAGTCGAGAACATACCCCAGGTCCCCGCCGCAACTCGAGAAAAACCATGAGACTTCCCCCTAGAGGCGAGATGAGGCCCCATTCCCCTGCAGTGCATGCAGAGCTATTCCGTGATCCCATTCAAACAAGTCAGGAGCTTCGACTTGCTTAATGGATCTCGAGACAGTCCCCAAGAACACTGTCACCTGTCTAGACGGACCCTGAGGTCAACCCAGCAACGGAAAGCAGCTCCATGTGCCCCAAATCAACTCGAGATGAGGCCCGATTCCCCTGCATTGACTCCAGAGCCATTCCCCGTTCCCCATTCAACACGACCGGTGGCTCGACTTCCTTCAGGCAACTCCAGAGATGCCCCGTGAACACTGTCCCAAGTCTAGAGGAACACCAACTTCAGCACAGCAACTCGAGGAATGCTCCATGCACCCCAAATCGTCTCGAGATGAGAGCTGATTCCCTGGCTTAGGCTCAAGACGTATGCCAACTTTCCAGAAGCACCTCAGGAGGAGGCTTCTCTCAGCAATAGGAATGTGGGAGGGACCCCGAGATCGCTGCCTCAAGTGGAATATACAGCGAGAAGCCCTAACTTGAAAGGAGGCCGGATTTCCTTGCAGTGGCTTGAATACAGGCTCGTCTTTGATCTCACAACATGAAGGCATGTCTGAATCCCCTGTGGAGACCTTAGAGAAAGCCCTAGGTCCCTGCCTCATTTTGACGGAATGCCTCACATCCCGTTGACACCTCGAGCGGCACGCGGAGTTCATTGCCTCAAAAGGTGACGATGCCTGACTCCTCTTGAATACTGATAGGAATCCCAAAATCCCTGTGTCTACTGGAATGGGTCCTTGGGTGCCCTACCTCACCTCGAGAAGCGTCCCTTTTGCCCTGCCAAGCCTCGAAGAGATTCCTGAGGTGTCCCTTGTTACTAGACAGGAGTCCTGACGTCACTGAAGAAACTCGTGTTTTGAAGGGCCATCCCCGCCGTAAGTCTAGAACGTACCCCAGGTCCCCGCCGCAACTCGAGAAAATCCATGAGACTTCCCCCTAGAGGCGAGATGAGGCCCCATTCCCATTCAGTGCATGCAGAGCTATTCCGTGATCCCATTCAAACAAGTCAGGAGCTTCGACTTGCTTAATGGATTCGAGCCAGTCCCCAAGAACACTGTCACCAGTCTAGACGGACCCTGAGGTCACCCCAGCAACGCAAAGCAGCTCCATGTGCCCCAAATCAACTCGAGATGAGGCCCGATTCCCCTGCATTGACTCCAGAGCCATTCCCCGTTCCCCATTCAACACGACCGGTGGCTCGACTTCCTTCAGGCAACTCCAGAGATGCCCCGAGAACACTGTCCCAAGTCTAGAGGAACACCAACTTCAGCATAGCAACTCGAGGAATGCTCCATGTACCCCAAATCGTCTCGAGATGAGAGCTGATTCCCTGGCTTAGGCTCAAGACGTATGCCAACTATCCAGAAGCACCTCAGGAGGAGGCTTCTCTCTGCAATAGTTATGTGGGAGGGACCCCGAGATCGTTGCCTCAAGGGGAATATACAGCGAGAAGCCCTAACTTATAAGGAGGCCGGATTTCCTTGCAGTGGCTTGAATACAGGCTCGTCTTTGATCTCACAACATGAAGGCATGTCTGAATCCTCTGTGGAGACCTTAGAGAAAGCCCTAGGTCCCTGCCTCATTTTGACGGAATGCCTCACATCCCGTTGACACCTCGAGAGGCACGCAGAGTTCATTGCTTCAAAAGGTGACGATGCCTGACTCCTCTTGAATACTTATAGGAATCCCACAATCCCTGTGGCTACTGGAATGGGTCCTTGGGTGCCCTGCCTCACCTCGAGAAGCATCCCTTTTGCCCTGCCAAGCCTCGAAGAGATTCCTGAGGTGTCCCTCGTTACTAGACAGGAGTCCTGATGTCACTGAAGAAACTCGTGTTTTGAAGGGCCATCCCCGCCGTAAGTCGAGAACATAACCAGGTCCCCGCCGCAACTCGAGGAAAACCATGAGACTTCCCCCTAGAGGCGAGATGAGGCCACATTCCCCTGCAGTGCATGCAGAGCTATTCCGTGATCCCATTCAAACAAGTCAGGAGCTTTGTCTTGCTTAATGGATCTCGAGACAGTCCCCAAGAACACTGTCACCAGTCTAGACGGACCCTGAGGTCACCCCAGCAAAGCAAAGCAGCTCCATGTGCCCCAAATCAACTCGAGATGAGGCCCGATTCCCCTGCATTGACTCCAGAGCCATTCCCCGTTCCCCATTCAACACGACCGGTGGCTCGACTTCCTTCAGGCAACTCCAGAGATGCCCCGAGAACACTGTCCCAAGTTTAGAGGAACACCACTTCAGCACAGCAACTCGAGGAATGCTCCATGTACCCCAAATCGTCTGGAGATGAGAGCTGATTCCCTGGCTTGGGCTCAAGACGTATGCCAACTTTCCAGAAGCACCTCAGGAGGAGGCTTCTCTCAGCAATAGGTATGTGGGAGGGACCCCGAGATCGCTGCCTCAAGGGGAATATACAGCGAGAAGCCCTAACTTGAAAGGAGGCCGGATTTCCTTGCAGTGTCTTGAATGCAGGCTCGTCTTTTATCTCAAAACATGAAGAGATGTCTGAATCCCCTGTGGAGACTTTAGAGAAAGCCCTAGGTCCCTGCCTCATTTTGACGGAAGGCCTCACATCCCGTTGACTCCTCGAGAGGCACGCGGAGTTCATTGCTTCAAAAGGTGACGATGCCTGACTCCTCTTGAATACTGATAGGAATCCCAAAATCCCTGTGGCTACTGGAATGGGTCCTTGGGTGCCCTGCCTCACCTCGAGAAGCGTCCCTTTTGCCCTGTCAAGCCTCGAAGAGATTCCTGAGGTGTCCCTCGTTACTAGACAGGAGTCCTGACGTCACTGAAGAAACTCGTGTTTTGAAGGCCGTCCCCGCCGTAAGTCGAAAATACACCCCAGGTCCCCGCCGCAACTCGAGAAAAACCATGAGTCTTCCCCCTAGAGGCGAGATGAGGCCCAATTCCCCTGCCGTGCATGCAGAGCTATTCCGTGATCCCATTCAAAGAAGTCAGGAGCTTCGACTTGCTTAATGGATCTCGAGACAGTCACCAAGAACACTGTCACCATTCTAGACGGACCCTGAGGTCAACCCAGCAACGCAAAGCAGCTCCATGTGCCCCAAATCAACTCGAGATGAGGCCCGATTCCCCTGCATTGACTCCAGAGCCATTCCCCGTTCCCCATTCAACACGACCGGTGGCTCGACTTCCTTCAGGCAACTCCAGAGATGCCCCGAGAACACTGTCCCAAGTCTAGAGGAACACCAACTTAAGCACAGCAACTCGAGGAATGCTCCGTGTACCCCAAATCGTCTTGAGATGAGAGCTGATTCCCTGGCTTAGGCTCAAGACGTATGCCAACTTTCCAGAAGCACCTCAGGAGGAGGCTTCTCTCAGCAGTAGGTATGTGGGAGGGACCCCGAGATCGCTGCCTCAAGTGGAATATACAGCGAGAAGCCCTAACTTGAAAGGAGGCCGGATTTCCTTGCAGTGGCTTGAATACAGGCTCGTCTTTGATCTCACAACATGAAGGGATGTCTGAATCCCCTGTGGAGACCTTAGAGAAAGCCCTAGGTCCCTGCCTCATTTTGACGGAATGCCTCACATCCCGTTGACACCTCGAGAGGCACGCGGAGTTCATTGCTTCAAAAGGTGACGATGCCTGACTCCTCTTGAATACTGATGGGAATCCCACAATCCCTGTGGCTACTGGAATGGGTTCTTGGGTGCCCTGCCTCACTTCGAGAAGCATCCCTTTTGCCGTGCCAAGCCTCGAAGAGATTCCTGAGGTGTCCCTCGTTACTAGACAGGAGTCCTGATGTCACTGAAGAAACTCTTGTTTTGAAGGGCCATCCCCGCCGTAAGTCGAGAACATACCCCAGGTCCCCGCCGCAACTCGAGAAAAACCATGAGACTTCCCCCTAGAGGCGAGATGAGGCCCCATTCCCGTGCAGTGCATGCAGAGCTATTCCGTGATCCCATTCAAACAAGTCAGGAGCTTCGACTTGCTTAATGGATCTCGAGACAGTCCCCAAGAACACTGTCACCATTCTAGACGGACCCTGAGGTCAACCCAGCAACGCAAAGCAGCTCCATGTGCCCCAAATCAACTCGAGATGAGGCCCGATTCCCCTGCATTGACTCCAGAGCCATTCCCCGTTCCCCATTCAACACGACCGGTGGCTCGACTTCCTTCAGGCAACTCCAGAGATGCCCCGAGAACACTGTCCCAAGTCTAGAGGAACACCAACTTAAGCACAGCAACTCGAGGAATGCTCCGTGTACCCCAAATCATCTCGAGATGAGAGCTGATTCCCTGGCTTAGGCTCAAGACGTATGCCAACTTTCCAGAAGCACCTCAGGAGGAGGCTTCTCTCAGCAGTAGGTATGTGGGAGGGACCCCGAGATCGCTGCCTCAAGTGGAATATACAGCGAGAAGCCGTAACTTGAAAGGAGGCCGGATTTCCTTGCAGTGGCTTGAATACAGGCTCGTCTATGATCTCACAACATGAAGGGATGTCTGAATCCCCTGTGGAGACCTTAGAGAAAGCCCTAGGTCCCTGCCTCATTTTGACGGAATGCCTCACATCCCGTTGACACCTCGAGAGGCACGTGGAGTTCATTGCTTCAAAAGGTGACGATGCCTGACTCCTCTTGAATACTGATAGGAATCCCACAATCCCTGTGGCTACTGGAATGGGTTCTTGGGTGCCCTGCCTCACTTCGAGAAGCATCCCTTTTGCCGTGCCAAGCCTCGAAGAGATTCCTGAGGTGTCCCTCGTTACTAGACAGGAGTCCTGATGTCACTGAAGAAACTCTTGTTTTGAAGGGCCATCCCCGCCGTAAGTCGAGAACATACCCCAGGTCCCCGCCGCAACTCGAGAAAAACCATGAGACTTCCCCCTAGAGGCGAGATGAGGCCCCATTCCCCTGCAGTGCATGCAGAGCTATTCCGTGATCCCATTCAAACAAGTCAGGAGCTTCGACTTGCTTAATGGATTCGAGCCAGTCCCCAAGAACACTGTCACCAGTCTAGACGGACCCTGAGGTCACCCCAGCAACGCAAAGCAGCTCCATGTGCCCCAAATCAACTCGAGATGAGGCCCGATTCCCCTGCATTGACTCCAGAGCCATTCCCCGTTCCCCATTCAACACGACCGGTGGCTCGACTTCCTTCAGGCAACTCCAGAGATGCCCCGAGAACACTGTCCCAAGTCTAGAGGAACACCGACTTCAGCATAGCAACTCGAGGAATGCTCCATGTACCCCAAATCGTCTCGAGATGAGAGCTGATTCCCTGGCTTAGGCTCAAGACGTATGCCAACTATCCAGAAGCACCTCAGGAGGAGGCTTCTCTCTGCAATAGTTATGTGGGAGGGACCCCGAGATCGTTGCCTCAAGGGGAATATACAGCGAGAAGCCCTAACATATAAGGAGGCCGGATTTCCTTGCAGTGGCTTGAATACAGGCTCGTCTTTGATCTCACAACATGAAGGCATGTCTGAATCCTCTGTGGAGACCTTAGAGAAAGCCCTAGGTCCCTGCCTCATTTTGACGGAATGCCTCACATCCCGTTGACACCTCGAGAGGCACGCAGAGTTCATTGCTTCAAAAGGTGACGATGCCTGACTCCTCTTGAATACTTATAGGAATCCCACAATCCCTGTGGCTACTGGAATGGGTCCTTGGGTGCCCTGCCTCACCTCGAGAAGCATCCCTTTTGCCCTGCCAAGCCTCGAAGAGATTCCTGAGGTGTCCCTCGTTACTAGACAGGAGTCCTGATGTCACTGAAGAAACTCGTGTTTTGAAGGGCCATCCCCGCCGTAAGTCGAGAACATAACCAGGTCCCCGCCGCAACTCGAGGAAAACCATGAGACTTCCCCCTAGAGGCGAGATGAGGCCACATTCCCCTGCAGTGCATGCAGAGCTATTCCGTGATCCCATTCAAACAAGTCAGGAGCTTTGTCTTGCTTAATGGATCTCGAGACAGTCCCCAAGAACACTGTCACCAGTCTAGACGGACCCTGAGGTCACCCCAGCAAAGCAAAGCAGCTCCATGTGCCCCAAATCAACTCGAGATGAGGCCCGATTCCCCTGCATTGACTCCAGAGCCATTCCCCGTTCCCCATTCAACACGACCGGTGGCTCGACTTCCTTCAGGCAACTCCAGAGATGCCCCGAGAACACTGTCCCAAGTTTAGAGGAACACCACTTCAGCACAGCAACTCGAGGAATGCTCCATGTACCCCAAATCGTCTGGAGATGAGAGCTGATTCCCTGGCTTGGGCTCAAGACGTATGCCAACTTTCCAGAAGCACCTCAGGAGGAGGCTTCTCTCAGCAATAGGTATGTGGGAGGGACCCCGAGATCGCTGCCTCAAGGGGAATATACAGCGAGAAGCCCTAACTTGAAAGGAGGCCGGATTTCCTTGCAGTGTCTTGAATGCAGGCTCGTCTTTTATCTCAAAACATGAAGAGATGTCTGAATCCCCTGTGGAGACTTTAGAGAAAGCCCTAGGTCCCTGCCTCATTTTGACGGAAGGCCTCACATCCCGTTGACTCCTCGAGAGGCACGCGGAGTTCATTGCTTCAAAAGGTGACGATGCCTGACTCCTCTTGAATACTGATAGGAATCCCAAAATCCCTGTGGCTACTGGAATGGGTCCTTGGGTGCCCTGCCTCACCTCGAGAAGCGTCCCTTTTGCCCTGCCAAGCCTCGAAGAGATTCCTGAGGTGTCCCTCGTTACTAGACAGGAGTCCTGACGTCACTGAAGAAACTCGTGTTTTGAAGGCCGTCCCCGCCGTAAGTCGAAAATATACCCCAGGTCCCCGCCGCAACTCGAGAAAAACCATGAGACTTCCCCCTAGAGGCGAGATGAGGCCCAATTCCCCTGCCGTGCATGCAGAGCTATTCCGTGATCCCATTCAAAGAAGTCAGGAGCTTCGACTTGCTTAATGGATCTCGAGACAGTCACCAAGAACACTGTCACCATTCTAGACGGACCCTGAGGTCAACCCAGCAACGCAAAGCAGCTCCATGTGCCCCAAATCAACTCGAGATGAGGCCCGATTCCCCTGCATTGACTCCAGAGCCATTCCCCGTTCCCCATTCAACACGACCGGTGGCTCGACTTCCTTCAGGCAACTCCAGAGATGCCCCGAGAACACTGTCCCAAGTCTAGAGGAACACCAACTTAAGCACAGCAACTCGAGGAATGCTCCGTGTACCCCAAATCGTCTTGAGATGAGAGCTGATTCCCTGGCTTAGGCTCAAGACGTATGCCAACTTTCCAGAAGCACCTCAGGAGGAGGCTTCTCTCAGCAGTAGGTATGTGGGAGGGACCCCGAGATCGCTGCCTCAAGTGGAATATACAGCGAGAAGCCCTAACTTGAAAGGAGGCCGGATTTCCTTGCAGTGGCTTGAATACAGGCTCGTCTTTGATCTCACAACATGAAGGGATGTCTGAATCCCCTGTGGAGACCTTAGAGAAAGCCCTAGGTCCCTGCCTCATTTTGACGGAATGCCTCACATCCCGTTGACACCTCGAGAGGCACGCGGAGTTCATTGCTTCAAAAGGTGACGATGCCTGACTCCTCTTGAATACTGATGGGAATCCCACAATCCCTGTGGCTACTGGAATGGGTTCTTGGGTGCCCTGCCTCACCTCGAGAAGCGTCCCTTTTGCCCTGCCAAGCCTCGAAGAGATTCCTGAGGTGTCCCTCGTTACGAGACAGGAGTCCTGACGTCACTGAAGAAACTCGTTTTTTGAAGGGCCAACCCCGCCGTAAGTCAAGAACATACCCCAGGTCCCCGCCGCAACTCAAGAAAAACCATGAGACTTCCCCCTAGAGGCGAGATGAGGCCCCATTCCCCTGCAGTGCATGCAGATCTATTCCGTGATCCCATTCAAACAAGTCAGGAGCTTCGACATGCTTAATGGATCTCGAGACAGTCCCCAAGAACACTGTCACCAGTCTAGACGGACCCTGAGGTCACCCCAGCAACGCAAAGCAGCTCCATGTGCCCAAAATCAACTCGAGATGAGGCCCGATTCCCCTGCATTGACTCCAGAGCCATTCCCCGTTCCCGATTCAACACGACCGGTGGCTCGACTTCCTTCAGGCAACTCCAGAGATGCCCCGAGAACACTGTCCCAAGTCTATAGGAACACCAACTTCAGCAGAGCAACTCGAGGAATGCTCCATGTACCCCAAATCGTCTCGAGATGAGAGCTGATTCCCTGGCTTAGGCTCAAGACGTATGCCAACTTTCCAGAAGCACCTCAGGAAGAGGCTTCTCTCAGCAATAGGTATGTCGGAGGGACCCCGAGATCGCTGCCTCAAGTGGAATATACAGCGAGACGCCCTAACTTGAAAGGAGGCCGGATTTCCTTGCAGTGGCTTGAATACAGGCCCGTCTTTGATCTCACAACATGAAGGCATGTCTGAATCCCCTGTGGAGACCTTAGAGAAAGCCCTAGGTCCCTGCCTCATTTTGACGGAATGCCTCACATCCCGTTGACACCTCAAGAGGAACGCGGAGTTCATTGCTTCAAAAGGTGACGATGCCTGACTCCTCTTGAATACTGATAGGAATCCCACAATCCCTGTGGCTACTGGAATGGGTCCTTGGGTGCCCTGCCTCACCTCGAGAAGCATCCCTTTTGCCCTGCCAAGCCTCGAAGAGATTCCTGAGGTGTCCCTCGTTACTAGACAGCAGTCCTGATGTCACTGAAGAAACTCTGGTTTTGAAGGGATATCCCCGCCGTAAGTCGAGAACATACCCCAGGTCCCCGCCGCAACTCGAGAAAAACCATGAGACTTCCCCCTAGAGGCGAGATGAGGCCCCATTCCCCTGCAGTGCATGCAGAGCTATTCCGTGATCCCATTCAAACAAGTCAGGAGCTTCGACTTGCTTAATGGATCTCGAGACAGTCACCAAGAACACTGTCACCATTCTAGACGGACCCTGAGGTCAACCCAGCAACGCAAAGCAGCTCCATGTGCCCCAAATCAACTCGAGATGAGGCCCGATTCCCCTGCATTGACTCCAGAGCCATTCCCCGTTCCCCATTCAACACGACCGGTGGCTCGACTTCCTTCAGGCAACTCCAGAGATGCCCCGAGAACACTGTCCCAAGTCTAGAGGAACACCAACTTAAGCACAGCAACTCGAGGAATGCTCCGTGTACCCCAAATCATCTCGAGATGAGAGCTGATTCCCTGGCTTAGGCTCAAGACGTATGCCAACTTTCCAGAAGCACCTCAGGAGGAGGCTTCTCTCAGCAGTAGGTATGTGGGAGGGACCCCGAGATCGCTGCCTCAAGTGGAATATACAGCGAGAAGCCGTAACTTGAAAGGAGGCCGGATTTCCTTGCAGTGGCTTGAATACAGGCTCGTCTTTGATCTCACAACATGAAGGGATGTCTGAATCCCCTGTGGAGACCTTAGAGAAAGCCCTAGGTCCCTGCCTCATTTTGACGGAATGCCTCACATCCCGTTGACACCTCGAGAGGCACGTGGAGTTCATTGCTTCAAAAGGTGACGATGCCTGACTCCTCTTGAATACTGATAGGAATCCCACAATCCCTGTGGCTACTGGAATGGGTTCTTGGGTGCCCTGCCTCACTTCGAGAAGCATCCCTTTTGCCGTGCCAAGCCTCGAAGAGATTCCTGAGGTGTCCCTCGTTACTAGACAGGAGTCCTGATGTCACTGAAGAAACTCTTGTTTTGAAGGGCCATCCCCGCCGTAAGTCGAGAACATACCCCAGGTCCCCGCCGCAACTCGAGAAAAACCATGAGACTTCCCCCTAGAGGCGAGATGAGGCCCCATTCCCCTGCAGTGCATGCAGAGCTATTCCGTGATCCCATTCAAACAAGTCAGGAGCTTCGACTTGCTTAATGGATCTCGAGACAGTCCCCAAGAACACTGTCACCTGTCTAGACGGACCCTGAGGTCAACCCAGCAACGGAAAGCAGCTCCATGTGCCCCAAATCAACTCGAGATGAGGCCCGATTCCCCTGCATTGACTCCAGAGCCATTCCCCGTTCCCCATTCAACACGACCGGTGGCTCGACTTCCTTCAGGCAACTCCAGAGATGCCCCGTGAACACTGTCCCAAGTCTAGAGGAACACCAACTTCAGCACAGCAACTCGAGGAATGCTCCATGCACCCCAAATCGTCTCGAGATGAGAGCTGATTCCCTGGCTTAGGCTCAAGACGTATGCCAACTTTCCAGAAGCACCTCAGGAGGAGGCTTCTCTCAGCAATAGGAATGTGGGAGGGACCCCGAGATCGCTGCCTCAAGTGGAATATACAGCGAGAAGCCCTAACTTGAAAGGAGGCCGGATTTCCTTGCAGTGGCTTGAATACAGGCTCGTCTTTGATCTCACAACATGAAGGCATGTCTGAATCCCCTGTGGAGACCTTAGAGAAAGCCCTAGGTCCCTGCCTCATTTTGACGGAATGCCTCACATCCCGTTGACACCTCGAGCGGCACGCGGAGTTCATTGCCTCAAAAGGTGACGATGCCTGACTCCTCTTGAATACTGATAGGAATCCCAAAATCCCTGTGTCTACTGGAATGGGTCCTTGGGTGCCCTACCTCACCTCGAGAAGCGTCCCTTTTGCCCTGCCAAGCCTCGAAGAGATTCCTGAGGTGTCCCTTGTTACTAGACAGGAGTCCTGACGTCACTGAAGAAACTCGTGTTTTGAAGGGCCATCCCCGCCGTAAGTCTAGAACGTACCCCAGGTCCCCGCCGCAACTCGAGAAAATCCATGAGACTTCCCCCTAGAGGCGAGATGAGGCCCCATTCCCATTCAGTGCATGCAGAGCTATTCCGTGATCCCATTCAAACAAGTCAGGAGCTTCGACTTGCTTAATGGATTCGAGCCAGTCCCCAAGAACACTGTCACCAGTCTAGACGGACCCTGAGGTCACCCCAGCAACGCAAAGCAGCTCCATGTGCCCCAAATCAACTCGAGATGAGGCCCGATTCCCCTGCATTGACTCCAGAGCCATTCCCCGTTCCCCATTCAACACGACCGGTGGCTCGACTTCCTTCAGGCAACTCCAGAGATGCCCCGAGAACACTGTCCCAAGTCTAGAGGAACACCGACTTCAGCATAGCAACTCGAGGAATGCTCCATGTACCCCAAATCGTCTCGAGATGAGAGCTGATTCCCTGGCTTAGGCTCAAGACGTATGCCAACTATCCAGAAGCACCTCAGGAGGAGGCTTCTCTCTGCAATAGTTATGTGGGAGGGACCCCGAGATCGTTGCCTCAAGGGGAATATACAGCGAGAAGCCCTAACTTATAAGGAGGCCGGATTTCCTTGCAGTGGCTTGAATACAGGCTCGTCTTTGATCTCACAACATGAAGGCATGTCTGAATCCTCTGTGGAGACCTTAGAGAAAGCCCTAGGTCCCTGCCTCATTTTGACGGAATGCCTCACATCCCGTTGACACCTCGAGAGGCACGCAGAGTTCATTGCTTCAAAAGGTGACGATGCCTGACTCCTCTTGAATACTTATAGGAATCCCACAATCCCTGTGGCTACTGGAATGGGTCCTTGGGTGCCCTGCCTCACCTCGAGAAGCATCCCTTTTGCCCTGCCAAGCCTCGAAGAGATTCCTGAGGTGTCCCTCGTTACTAGACAGGAGTCCTGATGTCACTGAAGAAACTCGTGTTTTGAAGGGCCATCCCCGCCGTAAGTCGAGAACATAACCAGGTCCCCGCCGCAACTCGAGGAAAACCATGAGACTTCCCCCTAGAGGCGAGATGAGGCCACATTCCCCTGCAGTGCATGCAGAGCTATTCCGTGATCCCATTCAAACAAGTCAGGAGCTTTGTCTTGCTTAATGGATCTCGAGACAGTCCCCAAGAACACTGTCACCAGTCTAGACGGACCCTGAGGTCACCCCAGCAAAGCAAAGCAGCTCCATGTGCCCCAAATCAACTCGAGATGAGGCCCGATTCCCCTGCATTGACTCCAGAGCCATTCCCCGTTCCCCATTCAACACGACCGGTGGCTCGACTTCCTTCAGGCAACTCCAGAGATGCCCCGAGAACACTGTCCCAAGTTTAGAGGAACACCACTTCAGCACAGCAACTCGAGGAATGCTCCATGTACCCCAAATCGTCTGGAGATGAGAGCTGATTCCCTGGCTTGGGCTCAAGACGTATGCCAACTTTCCAGAAGCACCTCAGGAGGAGGCTTCTCTCAGCAATAGGTATGTGGGAGGGACCCCGAGATCGCTGCCTCAAGGGGAATATACAGCGAGAAGCCCTAACTTGAAAGGAGGCCGGATTTCCTTGCAGTGTCTTGAATGCAGGCTCGTCTTTTATCTCAAAACATGAAGAGATGTCTGAATCCCCTGTGGAGACTTTAGAGAAAGCCCTAGGTCCCTGCCTCATTTTGACGGAAGGCCTCACATCCCGTTGACTCCTCGAGAGGCACGCGGAGTTCATTGCTTCAAAAGGTGACGATGCCTGACTCCTCTTGAATACTGATAGGAATCCCAAAATCCCTGTGGCTACTGGAATGGGTCCTTGGGTGCCCTGCCTCACCTCGAGAAGCGTCCCTTTTGCCCTGCCAAGCCTCGAAGAGATTCCTGAGGTGTCCCTCGTTACTAGACAGGAGTCCTGACGTCACTGAAGAAACTCGTGTTTTGAAGGCCGTCCCCGCCGTAAGTCGAAAATATACCCCAGGTCCCCGCCGCAACTCGAGAAAAACCATGAGACTTCCCCCTAGAGGCGAGATGAGGCCCAATTCCCCTGCCGTGCATGCAGAGCTATTCCGTGATCCCATTCAAAGAAGTCAGGAGCTTCGACTTCCTTAATGGATCTGGAGACAGTCCTCAAGAACACTGTCATCATTCTAGACGGACCCTGAGGTCAACCCAGCAACGGAAAGCAGCTCCATGTGCCCCAAATCAACTCGAGATGAGGCCCGATTCCCCTGAATTGACTCCAGAGCCATTCCCCGTTCCCCATTCAACACGACCGGTGGCGCGACTTCCTTCAGGCATCTCCAGAGATGCCCTGAGAACACTCTCCCAAGTCTAGAGTCACACCAACTTCAGCACAGCAACTCGAGGAAAGCTCCGTGTACCCCAAATCGTCTCGAGATGAGAGCTGATTCACTGGCTTAGGCTCAAGACGTATGCCAACTTTCTAGAAGCACCTCAGGAGGAGGCTTCTCTCAGCAATAGGTATGTGGGAGGGACCCCAAGATCGCTGCCTCAAGTGGAATATACAGCGAGAAGCCCTAACTTGAAAGGAGGTCGGATTTCCTTGCAGTGGCTTGAATACAGGCTCGTCTTTGATCTCACAACATGAAGGCATGTCTGAATCCCCTGTGGAGACCTTAGAAAAAGCCCTAGGTCCCTGCCTCATTTTGACGGAATGCCTCACATCCCGTTGACACCTCGAGAGGCACGCGGAGTTCATTGCTTCAAAAGGTGACGATGCCTGACTCCTCTTGAATACTGATAGGAATCCCACAATCCCTGTGGCTACTGGAATGGGTTCCTGGGTGCCCTGCCTCACCTCGAGAAGCATCCCTTTTGCCCTGCCAAGCCTCGAAGAGATTCCTGAGGTGTCCCTCGTTACTAGACAGGAGTCCTGATGTCACTGAAGAAACTCTTGTTTTGAAGGGCCATCCCCGCCGTAAGTCGAGAACATACCCCAGGTCCCCGCCGCAACTCGAGAAAAACCATGAGACTTCCCCCTAGAGGCGAGATGAGGCCCCATTCCCCTGCAGTGCATGCAGAGCTATTCCGTGATCCCATTCAAACAAGTCAGGAGCTTCGACTTGCTTAATGGATCTCGAGACAGTCCCCAAGAACACTGTCACCATTCTAGACGGACCCTGAGGTCAACCCAGCAACGGAAAGCAGCTCCATGTGCCCCAAATCAACTCGAGATGAGGCCCGATTCCCCTGCATTGACTCCAGAGCCATTACCCGTTCCCCATTCAACACGACCGGTGGATCGACTTCCTTCAGGCAACTCCAGAGATGCCCCGAGAACACTGTCCCAAGTCTAGAGGAACACCGACTTCAGCATAGCAACTCGAGGAATGCTCCATGTACCCCAAATCGTCTCGAGATGAGAGCTGATTCCCTGGCTTAGGCTCAAGACGTATGCCAACTATCCAGAAGCACCTCAGGAGGAGGCTTCTCTCTGCAATAGTTATGTGGGAGGGACCCCGAGATCGTTGCCTCAAGGGGAATATACAGCGAGAAGCCCTAACTTATAAGGAGGCCAGATTTCCTTGCAGTGGCTTGAATACAGGCTCGTCTTTGATCTCACAACATGAAGGCATGTCTGAATCCTCTGTGGAGACCTTAGAGAAAGCCCTAGGTCCCTGCCTCATTTTGACGGAATGCCTCACATCCCGTTGACACCTCGAGAGGCACGCAGAGTTCATTGCTTCAAAAGGTGACGATGCCTGACTCCTCTTGAATACTTATAGGAATCCCACAATCCCTGTGGCTACTGGAATGGGTCCTTGGGTGCCCTGCCTCACCTCGAGAAGCATCCCTTTTGCCCTGCCAAGCCTCGAAGAGATTCCTGAGGTGTCCCTCGTTACTAGACAGGAGTCCTGATGTCACTGAAGAAACTCGTGTTTTGAAGGGCCATCCCCGCCGTAAGTCGAGAACATAACCAGGTCCCCGCCGCAACTCGAGGAAAACCATGAGACTTCCCCCTAGAGGCGAGATGAGGCCACATTCCCCTGCAGTGCATGCAGAGCTATTCCGTGATCCCATTCAAACAAGTCAGGAGCTTTGTCTTGCTTAATGGATCTCGAGACAGTCCCCAAGAACACTGTCACCAGTCTAGACGGACCCTGAGGTCACCCCAGCAAAGCAAAGCAGCTCCATGTGCCCCAAATCAACTCGAGATGAGGCCCGATTCCCCTGCATTGACTCCAGAGCCATTCCCCGTTCCCCATTCAACACGACCGGTGGCTCGACTTCCTTCAGGCAACTCCAGAGATGCCCCGAGAACACTGTCCCAAGTTTAGAGGAACACCACTTCAGCACAGCAACTCGAGGAATGCTCCATGTACCCCAAATCGTCTGGAGATGAGAGCTGATTCCCTGGCTTGGGCTCAAGACGTATGCCAACTTTCCAGAAGCACCTCAGGAGGAGGCTTCTCTCAGCAATAGGTATGTGGGAGGGACCCCGAGATCGCTGCCTCAAGGGGAATATACAGCGAGAAGCCCTAACTTGAAAGGAGGCCGGATTTCCTTGCAGTGTCTTGAATGCAGGCTCGTCTTTTATCTCAAAACATGAAGAGATGTCTGAATCCCCTGTGGAGACTTTAGAGAAAGCCCTAGGTCCCTGCCTCATTTTGACGGAAGGCCTCACATCCCGTTGACTCCTCGAGAGGCACGCGGAGTTCATTGCTTCAAAAGGTGACGATGCCTGACTCCTCTTGAATACTGATAGGAATCCCAAAATCCCTGTGGCTACTGGAATGGGTCCTTGGGTGCCCTGCCTCACCTCGAGAAGCGTCCCTTTTGCCCTGCCAAGCCTCGAAGAGATTCCTGAGGTGTCCCTCGTTACTAGACAGGAGTCCTGACGTCACTGAAGAAACTCGTGTTTTGAAGGCCGTCCCCGCCGTAAGTCGAAAATATACCCCAGGTCCCCGCCGCAACTCGAGAAAAACCATGAGACTTCCCCCTAGAGGCGAGATGAGGCCCAATTCCCCTGCCGTGCATGCAGAGCTATTCCGTGATCCCATTCAAAGAAGTCAGGAGCTTCGACTTCCTTAATGGATCTGGAGACAGTCCTCAAGAACACTGTCATCATTCTAGACGGACCCTGAGGTCAACCCAGCAACGGAAAGCAGCTCCATGTGCCCCAAATCAACTCGAGATGAGGCCCGATTCCCCTGAATTGACTCCAGAGCCATTCCCCGTTCCCCATTCAACACGACCGGTGGCGCGACTTCCTTCAGGCATCTCCAGAGATGCCCTGAGAACACTCTCCCAAGTCTAGAGTCACACCAACTTCAGCACAGCAACTCGAGGAAAGCTCCGTGTACCCCAAATCGTCTCGAGATGAGAGCTGATTCACTGGCTTAGGCTCAAGACGTATGCCAACTTTCTAGAAGCACCTCAGGAGGAGGCTTCTCTCAGCAATAGGTATGTGGGAGGGACCCCAAGATCGCTGCCTCAAGTGGAATATACAGCGAGAAGCCCTAACTTGAAAGGAGGTCGGATTTCCTTGCAGTGGCTTGAATACAGGCTCGTCTTTGATCTCACAACATGAAGGCATGTCTGAATCCCCTGTGGAGACCTTAGAAAAAGCCCTAGGTCCCTGCCTCATTTTGACGGAATGCCTCACATCCCGTTGACACCTCGAGAGGCACGCGGAGTTCATTGCTTCAAAAGGTGACGATGCCTGACTCCTCTTGAATACTGATAGGAATCCCACAATCCCTGTGGCTACTGGAATGGGTTCCTGGGTGCCCTGCCTCACCTCGAGAAGCATCCCTTATGCCCTGCCAAGCCTCGAAGAGATTCCTGAGGTGTCCCTCGTTACTAGACAGGAGTCCTGATGTCACTGAAGAAACTCTTGTTTTGAAGGGCCATCCCCGCCGTAAGTCGAGAACATACCCCAGGTCCCCGCCGCAACTCGAGAAAAACCATGAGACTTCCCCCTAGAGGCGAGATGAGGCCCCATTCCCCTGCAGTGCATGCAGAGCTATTCCGTGATCCCATTCAAACAAGTCAGGAGCTTCGACTTGCTTAATGGATCTCGAGACAGTCCCCAAGAACACTGTCACCATTCTAGACGGACCCTGAGGTCAACCCAGCAACGGAAAGCAGCTCCATGTGCCCCAAATCAACTCGAGATGAGGCCTGATTCCCCTGCATTGACTCCAGAGCCATTACCCGTTCCCCATTCAACACGACCGGTGGATCGACTTCCTTCAGGCAATAACAGAGATGCCCAGTGTACACTGTCCCAAGTCTAGAGGAACACAAACTTCAGCACAGCAACTCGAGGAATGATCCATGTACCTCAAATCGTCTCGAGTTGAGAGCTGATTCCCTGGCTTAGGCTCAAGACGTATGCCAACTTTCCAGAAGCACCTCAGGAGGAGGCTTCTCTCAGCAATAGGTATGTGGGAGGGACCCAGAGATCGCTGCCTCAAGTGGAATATAGAGCGAGAAGCCCTAACTTGAAAGGAGGCCGGATTTCCTTGCAGTGGCTTGAATACAGGCTCGTCTTTAATCTCAAAACATGAAGGGATGTCTGAATCCCCTGAGGAGACCTTAGAGAAAGCCCTAGGTCCCTGCCTCATTTTGTCGGAATGCCTCACATCCCGTTGACAGCTTGAGAGGCACGCAGAGTTCATTGCTTCAAAAGGTGACGATGCCTGACTCCTCTTGAATACTGATAGGAATCTGAGAATCCCTGTGGCTACTGGAAAGGGTCCTTGGGTGCCCTCTCTCACCTCGAGAAGCGTACCTTTTGCCCTGCCAAGCCTCGAAGAGATTCCTGAGGCTTCCCTCGTTACGAGACAGGAGTCCTGATGTCACTGAAGAAACTCGTGTTTTGAAGGGCCATCCCCGCCGTAAGTCGAGAACATACCCCAGGTCCCCGCCGCAACTCAAGAAAAACCATGAGACTTCCCCCTAGAGGCGAGATGAGGCCCCATTCCCCTGCAGTGCATGCACATCTATTCCGTGATCCCATTCAAACAAGTCAGGAGCTTCGACATGCTTAATGGATCTCGAGACAGTCCCCAAGAACACTGTCACCAGTCTAGACGGACCCTGAGGTCAACCCAGCAACACAAAGCAGCTCCATGTGCCCCAAATCAACTCGAGATGAGGCCCGATTCCCCTGCATTGACTCCAGAGCCATTCCCCGTTCCCCATTCAACACGACCGGTGGCTCGACTTCCTTCAGGCAACTCCAGAGATGCCCCGAGAACACTGTCCCAAGTTTAGAGGAACACCAACTTCAGCACAGCAACTCGAGGAATGCTCCATGTACCCCAAATCGTCTCGAGATGAGAGCTGATTCCCTTGCTTAGGCTCAAGACGTATGCCAACTTTCCAGAAGCACCTCAGGAGGAGGCTTCTCTCAGCAATAGGTATGTGGGACGGACCCCGAGATCGCTGCCTCAAGTGGAATATACAGCGAGATGCCCTAACTTGAAAGGAGGCCGTATTTCCTTGCAGTGGCTTGAATACAGGCTTGTCTTTGATCTCACAACATGAAGGCATGTCTGAATCCCCTGTGGAGATCTTAGAGAAAGCCCTAGCTCCCTGCGTCATTTTGACGGAATGCCTCACATCCCGTTGACACCTCGAGAGGCACGCGGAGTTCATTGCTTCAAAAGGTGACGATGCCTGACTCCTCTTGAATACTTATAGGAATCCCAAAATCCCTGTGGCTACTGGAAAGGGTACTTGGGTGCCCTGCCTCACCTCGAGAAGCGTCCCTTTTGCCCTGCCAAGCCTCGAAGAGATTCCTGAGGTGTCCCTCGTTACTAGACAGGAGTCCTGACGTCACTGAAGAAACTCGTGTTTTGAAGGGCCATCCCCGCCGTAAGTCGAGACCATACCCAAGGTCCCCCCGCAACTCGAGAAAAACCATGAGACTTCCCCCTAGAGGCGAGATGAGGCCCCATTCCCCTGCAGTGCATGCACAGCTATTCCGTGATCCCATTCAAACAAGTCAGGAGCTTCGACTTGCTTAATGGATCTCGAGACAGTCCCCAAGAACACTGTCACCAGTCTAGACGGACCCTGAGGTCACCCCAGCAAGGCAAAGCAGCTCCATGTGCCACAGATAAACTCGAGATGAGGCCCGATTCCCCTGCATTGACTCCAGAGCCATTCCCCGTTCCCCATTTATCACGACTGGTGGCTTGACTTCCTTCAGGCAACTCCAGAGATGCCACGAGAACACTATCCCAAGTCTAGAGGAACACCAACTTCAGCAGAGCAACTCGAGGAATGGTCCGTGTACCCCAAATCGTCTCGAGATGAGAGCTGATTCCCTGGCTTAGGCTCAAGACGTATGCCAACTTTCCAGAAGCACCTCAGGAGGAGGCTTCTCTCAGCAATAGGTATGTGGGAGGGACCCCGAGATCGCTGCCTCAAGTGGAATATACAGCGAGAAGCCCTAACTTGAAAGGAGGCCGGATTTCCTTGCAGTGTCTTGAATACAGGCTCGTCTTTGATCTCACAACATGAAGGCATGTCTGAATCCCCTGTGGAGACCTTAGAGAAAGCCCTAGGTCCCTGCCTCATTTTGACGGAATGCCTCACATCCCGTTGACACCTCGAGAGGCACGCGGAGTTCATTGCTTCAAAAGGTGACGATGCCTGACTCCTCTTGAATACTGATGGGAATCCCACAATCGCTTTGGCTACTGGAATGGGTTCTTGGGTGCCCTGCCTCACCTCGAGAAGCGTCCCTTTTGCCCTGCCAAGCCTCGAAGAGATTCCTGAGGTGTCCCTCGTTACTAGACAGGAGTCCTGACGTCACTGAAGAAACTCGTGTTTTGAAGGTCCATCCACGCCGTAAGTCGAGAACGTACCCCAGTCCCCGCCGCAACTCGAGAAAATCCATGAGACTTCCCCCTAGAGGCGAGATGAGGCCCCATTCCCATTCAGTGCATGCAGAGCTATTCCGTGATCCCATTCAAACAAGTCAGGAGCTTCGACTTGCTTAATGGATCTCGAGCCAGTCCCCAAGAACACTGTCACCAGTCTAGACGGACCCTGACGTCACCCCAGCAACGCAAAGCAGCTCCATGTGCCCCAAATCAACTCGAGATGAGGCCCGATTCCCCTGCATTGACTCCAGAGCCATTCCCCGTTCCCCATTCAACACGACCGGTGGCTCGACTTCCTTCAGGCAACTCCAGAGATGCCCCGAGAACACTGTCCCAAGTCTAGAGGAACACCAACTTCAGCATAGCAACTCGAGGAATGCTCCATGTACCCCAAATCGTCTCGAGATGAGAGCTGATTCCCTGGCTTAGGCTCAAGACGTATGCCAACTTTCCAGAAGCACCTCAGGAGGAGGCTTCTCTCAGCAATAGTTATGTGGGAGGGACCCCGAGATCGCTGCCTCAAGGGGAATATACAGCGAGAAGCCCTAACTTATAAGGAGGCCTGATTTCCTTGCAGTGGCTTGAATACAGGCTCGTCTTTGATCTCACAACATGAAGGCATGTCTGAATCCCCTGTGGAGACCTTAGAGAAAGCCCTAGGTCCCTGCCTCATTTTGACGGAATGCCTCACATCCCGTTGACACCCCGAGAGGCACGCGGAGTTCATTGCTTCAAAAGGTGACGATGCCTGACTCCTCTTGAATACTGATAGGAATCCCACAATCCCTGTGGCTACTGGAATGGGTTCTTGGGTGCCCTGCCTCACCTCGAGAAGCATCCCTTTTGCCCTGCCAAGCCTCGAAGAGATTCCTGAGGTGTCCCTCGTTACTAGACAGGAGTCCTGATGTCACTGAAGAAACTCGTGTTTTGAAGGGCCATCCCCGCCGTAAGTCGAGAACATACCCCAGGTCCCCGCCGCAACTCGAGAAAAACCATGAGACTTCCCCCTAGAGGCGAGATGAGGCCCTATTCCCCTGCAGTGCATGCAGAGCTATTCCGTGATCCCATTCAAACAAGTCAGGAGCTTCGACTTGCTTAATGGATCTCGAGACAGTCCCCAAGAACACTGTCACCAGTCTAGACGGACCCTGAGGTCACCCCAGCAACGCAAAGCAGCTCCATGTGCCCCAAATCAACTCGAGATGAGGCCCGATTCCCCTGCATTGACTCCATAGCCATTCCCCGTTCCCCATTCAACACGACCGGTGGCTCGACTTCCTTCAGGTAATAACAGAGATGCCCCGTGAACACTGTCCCAAGTCTAGAGGAACACCAACTTCAGCACAGCAACTCGAGGAAGGCTCCATGTACCCCAAATCGTCTCGAGATGAGAACTGATTCCCTGGTTTAGGCTCAAGACGTATGCCAAATTTCCAGAAGCACCTCAGGAGGAGGCTTCTCTCAGCAATATTTATGTGGGAGGGACCCCGAGATCGCTTCCTCAAGTGGAATATACAGCGAGAAGCCCTAACTTGAAAGAAGGCCGGATTTCCTTGCAGTGTCTTGAATGCAGGCTCGTCTTTTATCTCAAAACATGGAGGGATGTCTGAATCCCCTGTGGAGACCTTAGAGAAAGACCTAGGTCCCTGCCTCATTTTGACGGAATGCCTCACATCCCATTGACCCCTCGAGAGGCACGCGGTGTTCATAGCTTCAAAAGGTGACGAGGCCTGACTCCTCTTGAATACTGAAGGGAATCCCAAAATCCCTGTGAGTACTAGAATGGGTCCTTGGGTGCCCTGCCTCACCTCGAGAAGCGTCCCTTTTGCCCTGCCAAGCATCGAAGAGATTCCTGAGGTGTCCTTCGTTAATAGACAGGAGTCCTGACATCATTGAAGAAACTCGTGTTTTGAATGGCCATCCCCGCCGCAAGTCGAGAACATACCCCAGGTCCCCGCCGCAATTCGAGAAAAACCATGAGACTTCCCCCTAGAGGCGAGATGAGGCCCCATTCCCATGCAGTGCATGCAGAGCTATTCCGTGACCCCATTCAAACAAGTCAGGAGCTTCGACTTGCTTAATGGATCTCGAGACAGTAACCAAGATCACTGTAACCAGTCTAGAAGGACCCTGACGTTACCCCAGCAACGCAATGCATCTCCATGTGCCCCAAATCAACTCGAGATGAAGCCTGATTCCCCTGCATTGACTCCAGAGCCATTCCCCGTTCCCCATTCAACACGACCGGTGGCTCGACTTCCTTCAGGCAACTCCAGAGATGCCCCGAGAACACTGTCCCAAGTCTAGAGGAACACCAACTTCAGCATAGCAACTCGAGGAATGCTCCATGTACCCCAAATCGTCTGGAGATGAGAGCTGATTCCCTGGCTTGGGCTCAAGACTTATGCCAACTTTCCAGAAGCACCTCAGGAGGAGGCTTCTCTCAGCAATAGTTATGTGGGAGGGACCCCAAGATCGCTGCCTCAAGAGGAATATACAGCGAGAAGCCCTAACTTATAAGGAGGCCGGATTTCCTTGCAGTGGCTTGAATACAGGCTCGTCTTTGATCTCACAACATGAAGGCATGTCTGAATCCCCTGTGGAGACCTTAGAGAAAGCCCTAGGTCCCTGCCTCATTTTGACGGAATGCCTCACATCCCGTTGACACCTCGAGAGGCACGCGGAGTTCATTGCTTCAAAAGGTGATGATGCCTGATTCCTCTTGAATACTGATAGGAATCCCACAATCCCTGTGGCTACTGGAATGGGTCCTTGGGTGCCCTGCCTCACCTCGAGAAGCATCCCTTTTGCCCTGCCAAGCCTCGAAGAGATTCCTGAGGTGTCCCTCGTTACTAGACAGGAGTCCTGATGTCACTGAAGAAACTCGTGTTTTGAAGGGCCATCCCCGCCGTAAGTCGAGAACATACCCCAGGTCCCCGCCGCAACTCGAGAAAAACCATGAGACTTCCCCCTAGAGGCGACATGAGGCCCTATTCCCCTGCAGTGCATGCAGAGCTATTCCGTGATCCCATTCAAACAAGTCAGGAGCTTCGACTTGCTTAATGGATCTCGAGACAGTCCCCAAGAACACTGTCACCAGTCTAGACGGACCCTGAGGTCACCCCAGCAACGCAAAGCAGCTCCATGTGCCCCAAATCAACTCGAGATGAAGCCTGATTCCCCTGCATTGACTCCAGAGCCATTCCCCGTTCCCCATTCAACACGACCGGTGGCTCGACTTCTTTCAGGCAACTCCAGAGATGCCCCGAGAACACTGTCCCAAGTTTAGAGGAACACCACTTCAGCACAGCAACTCGAGGAATGCTCCATGTACCCCAAATCGTCTCGAGATGAGAGCTGATTCCCTGGCTTAGGCTCAAGTCGTATGCCAACTTTCCAGAAGCACCTCAGGAGGAGGCTTCTCTCAGCAAAAGCTATGTGGGAGGGACCCCGAGATCGCTGCCTCAAGGGGAATATACAGCGAGAAGCCCTAACTTGAAAGGAGGCCGGATTTCCTTGCAGTGGCTTGAATGCAGGCTCGTCTTTTATCTCAAAACATGAAGGGATGTCTGAATCCCCTGTGGAGACCTTAGAGAAAGCCCTAGTTCCCTGCCTCATTTTGACGGAATGCCTCACATCCCATTGACACCTCGAGAGCCACGCGGAGTTCATTACTTCAAAGGTGACGATGCCTGATTCCTCTTGAATACTGATAGGAATCCCAAAATCCCTGTGGCTACTGGAATGGGTCCTTGGGTTCCCTGCCTCACCTCGAGAAGAGTCCCTTTTGCCCTGCCAAGCCTCGAAGAGATTCCTGAGTTGTCCCTCGTTAATAGAAAGGAGTCCTGACGTCACTGAAGAAACTCGTGTTTTGAAGGGCCATTCCCCCCGTAAGTCGAGAACATACCCCAGGTCCCCACCGCAACTCGAGAAAAACCATGAGACTTCCCCCTAGATGCGAGATGAGGCCCCATTCCCCTGCAGTGCATGCAGAGCTATTCCGTGATCCCATTCAAACAAGTCAGGAGCTTTGACTTGCTTAATGGATCTCGAGACAGTCCCCAAGAACACTGTCACCATTCTAGACGGACCCTGAGGTCAACCCAGCAACGGAAAGCAGCTCCATGTGCCCCAAATCAACTCGAGATGAGGCCTGATTCCCCTGCATTGACTCCAGAGCCATTACCCGTTCCCCATTCAACACGACCGGTGGATCGACTTCCTTCAGGCAATAACAGAGATGCCCAGTGTACACTGTCCCAAGTCTAGAGGAACACAAACTTCAGCACAGCAACTCGAGGAATGATCCATGTACCTCAAATCGTCTCGAGTTGAGAGCTGATTCCCTGGCTTAGGCTCAAGACGTATGCCAACTTTCCAGAAGCACCTCAGGAGGAGGCTTCTCTCAGCAATAGGTATGTGGGAGGGACCCAGAGATCGCTGCCTCAAGTGGAATATAGAGCGAGAAGCCCTAACTTGAAAGGAGGCCGGATTTCCTTGCAGTGGCTTGAATACAGGCTCGTCTTTAATCTCAAAACATGAAGGGATGTCTGAATCCCCTGAGGAGACCTTAGAGAAAGCCCTAGGTCCCTGCCTCATTTTGTCGGAATGCCTCACATCCCGTTGACAGCTTGAGAGGCACGCAGAGTTCATTGCTTCAAAAGGTGACGATGCCTGACTCCTCTTGAATACTGATAGGAATCTGAGAATCCCTGTGGCTACTGGAAAGGGTCCTTGGGTGCCCTCTCTCACCTCGAGAAGCGTACCTTTTGCCCTGCCAAGCCTCGAAGAGATTCCTGAGGCTTCCCTCGTTACGAGACAGGAGTCCTGATGTCACTGAAGAAACTCGTGTTTTGAAGGGCCATCCCCGCCGTAAGTCGAGAACATACCCCAGGTCCCCGCCGCAACTCAAGAAAAACCATGAGACTTCCCCCTAGAGGCGAGATGAGGCCCCATTCCCCTGCAGTGCATGCACATCTATTCCGTGATCCCATTCAAACAAGTCAGGAGCTTCGACATGCTTAATGGATCTCGAGACAGTCCCCAAGAACACTGTCACCAGTCTAGACGGACCCTGAGGTCAACCCAGCAACACAAAGCAGCTCCATGTGCCCCAAATCAACTCGAGATGAGGCCCGATTCCCCTGCATTGACTCCAGAGCCATTCCCCGTTCCCCATTCAACACGACCGGTGGCTCGACTTCCTTCAGGCAACTCCAGAGATGCCCCGAGAACACTGTCCCAAGTTTAGAGGAACACCAACTTCAGCACAGCAACTCGAGGAATGCTCCATGTACCCCAAATCGTCTCGAGATGAGAGCTGATTCCCTTGCTTAGGCTCAAGACGTATGCCAACTTTCCAGAAGCACCTCAGGAGGAGGCTTCTCTCAGCAATAGGTATGTGGGACGGACCCCGAGATCGCTGCCTCAAGTGGAATATACAGCGAGATGCCCTAACTTGAAAGGAGGCCGTATTTCCTTGCAGTGGCTTGAATACAGGCTTGTCTTTGATCTCACAACATGAAGGCATGTCTGAATCCCCTGTGGAGATCTTAGAGAAAGCCCTAGCTCCCTGCGTCATTTTGACGGAATGCCTCACATCCCGTTGACACCTCGAGAGGCACGCGGAGTTCATTGCTTCAAAAGGTGACGATGCCTGACTCCTCTTGAATACTTATAGGAATCCCAAAATCCCTGTGGCTACTGGAAAGGGTACTTGGGTGCCCTGCCTCACCTCGAGAAGCGTCCCTTTTGCCCTGCCAAGCCTCGAAGAGATTCCTGAGGTGTCCCTCGTTACTAGACAGGAGTCCTGACGTCACTGAAGAAACTCGTGTTTTGAAGGGCCATCCCCGCCGTAAGTCGAGACCATACCCAAGGTCCCCCCGCAACTCGAGAAAAACCATGAGACTTCCCCCTAGAGGCGAGATGAGGCCCCATTCCCCTGCAGTGCATGCACAGCTATTCCGTGATCCCATTCAAACAAGTCAGGAGCTTCGACTTGCTTAATGGATCTCGAGACAGTCCCCAAGAACACTGTCACCAGTCTAGACGGACCCTGAGGTCACCCCAGCAAGGCAAAGCAGCTCCATGTGCCACAGATAAACTCGAGATGAGGCCCGATTCCCCTGCATTGACTCCAGAGCCATTCCCCGTTCCCCATTTATCACGACTGGTGGCTTGACTTCCTTCAGGCAACTCCAGAGATGCCACGAGAACACTATCCCAAGTCTAGAGGAACACCAACTTCAGCAGAGCAACTCGAGGAATGGTCCGTGTACCCCAAATCGTCTCGAGATGAGAGCTGATTCCCTGGCTTAGGCTCAAGACGTATGCCAACTTTCCAGAAGCACCTCAGGAGGAGGCTTCTCTCAGCAATAGGTATGTGGGAGGGACCCCGAGATCGCTGCCTCAAGTGGAATATACAGCGAGAAGCCCTAACTTGAAAGGAGGCCGGATTTCCTTGCAGTGTCTTGAATACAGGCTCGTCTTTGATCTCACAACATGAAGGCATGTCTGAATCCCCTGTGGAGACCTTAGAGAAAGCCCTAGGTCCCTGCCTCATTTTGACGGAATGCCTCACATCCCGTTGACACCTCGAGAGGCACGCGGAGTTCATTGCTTCAAAAGGTGACGATGCCTGACTCCTCTTGAATACTGATGGGAATCCCACAATCGCTTTGGCTACTGGAATGGGTTCTTGGGTGCCCTGCCTCACCTCGAGAAGCGTCCCTTTTGCCCTGCCAAGCCTCGAAGAGATTCCTGAGGTGTCCCTCGTTACTAGACAGGAGTCCTGACGTCACTGAAGAAACTCGTGTTTTGAAGGTCCATCCACGCCGTAAGTCGAGAACGTACCCCAGTCCCCGCCGCAACTCGAGAAAATCCATGAGACTTCCCCCTAGAGGCGAGATGAGGCCCCATTCCCATTCAGTGCATGCAGAGCTATTCCGTGATCCCATTCAAACAAGTCAGGAGCTTCGACTTGCTTAATGGATCTCGAGCCAGTCCCCAAGAACACTGTCACCAGTCTAGACGGACCCTGACGTCACCCCAGCAACGCAAAGCAGCTCCATGTGCCCCAAATCAACTCGAGATGAGGCCCGATTCCCCTGCATTGACTCCAGAGCCATTCCCCGTTCCCCATTCAACACGACCGGTGGCTCGACTTCCTTCAGGCAACTCCAGAGATGCCCCGAGAACACTGTCCCAAGTCTAGAGGAACACCAACTTCAGCATAGCAACTCGAGGAATGCTCCATGTACCCCAAATCGTCTCGAGATGAGAGCTGATTCCCTGGCTTAGGCTCAAGACGTATGCCAACTTTCCAGAAGCACCTCAGGAGGAGGCTTCTCTCAGCAATAGTTATGTGGGAGGGACCCCGAGATCGCTGCCTCAAGGGGAATATACAGCGAGAAGCCCTAACTTATAAGGAGGCCTGATTTCCTTGCAGTGGCTTGAATACAGGCTCGTCTTTGATCTCACAACATGAAGGCATGTCTGAATCCCCTGTGGAGACCTTAGAGAAAGCCCTAGGTCCCTGCCTCATTTTGACGGAATGCCTCACATCCCGTTGACACCCCGAGAGGCACGCGGAGTTCATTGCTTCAAAAGGTGACGATGCCTGACTCCTCTTGAATACTGATAGGAATCCCACAATCCCTGTGGCTACTGGAATGGGTTCTTGGGTGCCCTGCCTCACCTCGAGAAGCATCCCTTTTGCCCTGCCAAGCCTCGAAGAGATTCCTGAGGTGTCCCTCGTTACTAGACAGGAGTCCTGATGTCACTGAAGAAACTCGTGTTTTGAAGGGCCATCCCCGCCGTAAGTCGAGAACATACCCCAGGTCCCCGCCGCAACTCGAGAAAAACCATGAGACTTCCCCCTAGAGGCGAGATGAGGCCCTATTCCCCTGCAGTGCATGCAGAGCTATTCCGTGATCCCATTCAAACAAGTCAGGAGCTTCGACTTGCTTAATGGATCTCGAGACAGTCCCCAAGAACACTGTCACCAGTCTAGACGGACCCTGAGGTCACCCCAGCAACGCAAAGCAGCTCCATGTGCCCCAAATCAACTCGAGATGAGGCCCGATTCCCCTGCATTGACTCCATAGCCATTCCCCGTTCCCCATTCAACACGACCGGTGGCTCGACTTCCTTCAGGTAATAACAGAGATGCCCCGTGAACACTGTCCCAAGTCTAGAGGAACACCAACTTCAGCACAGCAACTCGAGGAAGGCTCCATGTACCCCAAATCGTCTCGAGATGAGAACTGATTCCCTGGTTTAGGCTCAAGACGTATGCCAAATTTCCAGAAGCACCTCAGGAGGAGGCTTCTCTCAGCAATATTTATGTGGGAGGGACCCCGAGATCGCTTCCTCAAGTGGAATATACAGCGAGAAGCCCTAACTTGAAAGAAGGCCGGATTTCCTTGCAGTGTCTTGAATGCAGGCTCGTCTTTTATCTCAAAACATGGAGGGATGTCTGAATCCCCTGTGGAGACCTTAGAGAAAGACCTAGGTCCCTGCCTCATTTTGACGGAATGCCTCACATCCCATTGACCCCTCGAGAGGCACGCGGTGTTCATAGCTTCAAAAGGTGACGAGGCCTGACTCCTCTTGAATACTGAAGGGAATCCCAAAATCCCTGTGAGTACTAGAATGGGTCCTTGGGTGCCCTGCCTCACCTCGAGAAGCGTCCCTTTTGCCCTGCCAAGCATCGAAGAGATTCCTGAGGTGTCTTTCGTTAATAGACAGGAGTCCTGACATCATTGAAGAAACTCGTGTTTTGAATGGCCATCCCCGCCGCAAGTCGAGAACATACCCCAGGTCCCCGCCGCAATTCGAGAAAAACCATGAGACTTCCCCCTAGAGGCGAGATGAGGCCCCATTCCCATGCAGTGCATGCAGAGCTATTCCGTGACCCCATTCAAACAAGTCAGGAGCTTCGACTTGCTTAATGGATCTCGAGACAGTAACCAAGATCACTGTAACCAGTCTAGAAGGACCCTGACGTTACCCCAGCAACGCAATGCATCTCCATGTGCCCCAAATCAACTCGAGATGAAGCCTGATTCCCCTGCATTGACTCCAGAGCCATTCCCCGTTCCCCATTCAACACGACCGGTGGCTCGACTTCCTTCAGGCAACTCCAGAGATGCCCCGAGAACACTGTCCCAAGTCTAGAGGAACACCAACTTCAGCATAGCAACTCGAGGAATGCTCCATGTACCCCAAATCGTCTGGAGATGAGAGCTGATTCCCTGGCTTGGGCTCAAGACTTATGCCAACTTTCCAGAAGCACCTCAGGAGGAGGCTTCTCTCAGCAATAGTTATGTGGGAGGGACCCCAAGATCGCTGCCTCAAGAGGAATATACAGCGAGAAGCCCTAACTTATAAGGAGGCCGGATTTCCTTGCAGTGGCTTGAATACAGGCTCGTCTTTGATCTCACAACATGAAGGCATGTCTGAATCCCCTGTGGAGACCTTAGAGAAAGCCCTAGGTCCCTGCCTCATTTTGACGGAATGCCTCACATCCCGTTGACACCTCGAGAGGCACGCGGAGTTCATTGCTTCAAAAGGTGATGATGCCTGATTCCTCTTGAATACTGATAGGAATCCCACAATCCCTGTGGCTACTGGAATGGGTCCTTGGGTGCCCTGCCTCACCTCGAGAAGCATCCCTTTTGCCCTGCCAAGCCTCGAAGAGATTCCTGAGGTGTCCCTCGTTACTAGACAGGAGTCCTGATGTCACTGAAGAAACTCGTGTTTTGAAGGGCCATCCCCGCCGTAAGTCGAGAACATACCCCAGGTCCCCGCCGCAACTCGAGAAAAACCATGAGACTTCCCCCTAGAGGCGACATGAGGCCCTATTCCCCTGCAGTGCATGCAGAGCTATTCCGTGATCCCATTCAAACAAGTCAGGAGCTTCGACTTGCTTAATGGATCTCGAGACAGTCCCCAAGAACACTGTCACCAGTCTAGACGGACCCTGAGGTCACCCCAGCAACGCAAAGCAGCTCCATGTGCCCCAAATCAACTCGAGATGAAGCCTGATTCCCCTGCATTGACTCCAGAGCCATTCCCCGTTCCCCATTCAACACGACCGGTGGCTCGACTTCTTTCAGGCAACTCCAGAGATGCCCCGAGAACACTGTCCCAAGTTTAGAGGAACACCACTTCAGCACAGCAACTCGAGGAATGCTCCATGTACCCCAAATCGTCTCGAGATGAGAGCTGATTCCCTGGCTTAGGCTCAAGTCGTATGCCAACTTTCCAGAAGCACCTCAGGAGGAGGCTTCTCTCAGCAATAGCTATGTGGGAGGGACCCCGAGATCGCTGCCTCAAGGGGAATATACAGCGAGAAGCCCTAACTTGAAAGGAGGCCGGATTTCCTTGCAGTGGCTTGAATGCAGGCTCGTCTTTTATCTCAAAACATGAAGGGATGTCTGAATCCCCTGTGGAGACCTTAGAGAAAGCCCTAGTTCCCTGCCTCATTTTGACGGAATGCCTCACATCCCATTGACACCTCGAGAGCCACGCGGAGTTCATTACTTCAAAGGTGACGATGCCTGATTCCTCTTGAATACTGATAGGAATCCCAAAATCCCTGTGGCTACTGGAATGGGTCCTTGGGTTCCCTGCCTCACCTCGAGAAGAGTCCCTTTTGCCCTGCCAAGCCTCGAAGAGATTCCTGAGTTGTCCCTCGTTAATAGAAAGGAGTCCTGACGTCACTGAAGAAACTCGTGTTTTGAAGGGCCATTCCCCCCGTAAGTCGAGAACATACCCCAGGTCCCCACCGCAACTCGAGAAAAACCATGAGACTTCCCCCTAGATGCGAGATGAGGCCCCATTCCCCTGCAGTGCATGCAGAGCTATTCCGTGATCCCATTCAAACAAGTCAGGAGCTTCGACTTGCTTAATGGATCTCGAGCCAGTCCCCAAGAACACTGTCACCAGTCTAGACGGACCCTGAGGTCACCCCAGCAACGCAAAGCAGCTCCATGTGCCCCAAATCAACTCGAGATGAGGCCCGATTCCCCTGCATTGACTCCAGAGCCATTCCCCGTTCCCCATTCAACACGACCGGTGGCTCGACTTCCTTCAGGCAACTCCAGACATGCCCCGAGAACACTGTCCCAAGTCTAGAGGAACACCAACTTCAGCATAGCAACTCGAGGAATGCTCCGTGTACCCCAAATCGTCTCGAGATGAGAGCTGATTCCCTGGCTTGGGCTCAAGACGTATGCCAACTTTCCAGAAGCACCTCAGGAGGAGGCTTCTCTCAGCAGTAGTTATGTGGGAGGGACACCGAGATCGCTGCCTCAAGGGGAATATACAGCGAGAAGCCCTAACTTATAAGGAGGCCGGATTTCCTTGCAGTGGCTTGAATACAGGCTCGTCTTTGATCTCACAACATGAAGGCATGTCTGAATCCCCTGTGGAGACCTTAGAGAAAGCCCTAGGTCCCTGCCTCATTTTGACGGAATGCCTCACATTCCGTTGACACCTCGAGAGGCACGCGGAGTTCATTGCTTCAAAAGATGACGATGCCTGACTCCTCTTGAATACTGATAGGAATCCCACAATCCCTGTGGCTACTGGAATGGGTCCTTGGGTGCCCTGCCTCACCTCGAGAAGCATCCCTTTTGCCCTGCCAAGCCTCGAAGAGATTCCTGAGGTGTCCCTCGTTACTAGACAGGAGTCCTGATGTCACTGAAGAAACTCGTGTTTTGAAGGGCCATCCCCGCCGTAAGTCGAGAACATACATCAGGTCCCCGCCGCAACTCGAGAAAAACCATGAGACTTCCCCCTAGAGGCGAGATGAGGCCCCATTCCCCTGCAGTGCATGCAGAGCTATTCCGTGACCCCATTCAAACAAGTCAGGACATTCGACTTGCTTAATGGATCTCGAGAAAGTCCCCAAGAACACTGTAACCAGTCTAGAAGGACACTGACATTACCCCAGCAACACAATGCAACTCCAGGTGCCCCAAATCAACTCGAGATGAAGCCTGATTCCCCTGCATTGACTCCAGAGCCATTCCCCGTTCCCCATTCAACACGACCGGTGGCTCGACTTCCTTCAGGCAACTCCAGACATGCCCCGAGAACACTCTCCCAAGTCTAGAGGAACACCAACTTCAGCATAGCAACTCGAGGAATGCTCCATGTACCCCAAATCGTCTGGAGATGAGAGCTGATTCCCTGGCTTGGGCTCAAGACGTATGCCAACTTTCCAGAAGCACCTCAGGAGGAGGCTTCTCTCAGCAATAGTTATGTGGGAGGGACCCCAAGTTCGCTGCCTCAAGAGGAATATACAGCGAGAAGCCCTAACTTATAAGGAGGCCGGATTTCCTTGCAGTGGCTTGAATACAGGCTCGTCTTTGATCTCACAACATGAAGGCATGTCTGAATCCCCTGTGGAGACCTTAGAGAAAGCCCTAGGTCCCTGCCTCATTTTGACGGAATGCCTCACATCCCGTTGACACCTCGAGAGGCACGCGGAGTTCATTGCTTCAAAAGGTGACGATGCCTGATTCCTCTTGAATACTGATAGGAATCCCACAATCCCTGTGGCTACTGGAATGGGTCCTTGGGTGCCCTGCCTCACCTCGAGAAGCATCCCTTTTGCCCTGCCAAGCCTCGAAGAGATTCCTGAGGTGTCCCTCGTTACTAGACAGGAGTCCTGATGTCACTGAAGAAACTCGTGTTTTGAAGGGCCATCCCCGCCGTAAGTCGAGAACATACCCCAGGTCCCCGCCGCAACTCGAGAAAAACCATGAGACTTCCCCCTAGAGGCGAGATGAGGCCCCATTCCCCTGCAGTGCATGCAGAGCTATTCCGTGATCCCATTCAAACAAGTCAGGAGCTTCGACATGCTTAATGGATCTCGAGCCAGTCCCGAAGAACACTGTCACCAGTCTAGACGGACCCTGACGTCACCCCAGCAACGCAAAGCAGCTCCATCTGCCCCAAATCAACTCGAGATGAGGCCCGATTCCCCTGCATTGACGCCATAGCCATTCCCCGTTCCCCATTCAACACGACCGGTGGCTCGACTTCCTTCAGGCAATAACAGAGATGCCCCGTGAACACTGTCCCAAGTCTAGAGGAACACCAACTTCAGCACAGCAACTCGAGGAATGCTCCATGTACCCCAATTCGTCTCGAGATGAGAGCTGATTCCCTGGTTTAGGCTCAAGACGTATGCCAAATTTCCAGAAGTACCTCAGGAGGAGGCTTCTCTCAGCAATAGTTATGTGGGAGGGACCCCGAGATCGCTTCCTCAAGTGGAATATACAGCGAAAAGCCCTAACTTGAAAGAAGGCCGGATTTCCTTGCAGTGTCTTGAATGCAGGCTCGTCTTTTATCTCAAAACATGAAGGGATGTCTGAATCCCTTGTGGAGACCGTAGAGAAAGCCCTAGGTCCCTGCCTCATTATGACGGAATGCCTCACATCCCATTGACACCTCGAGAGGCACGCGGAGTTCATTGCTTCAAAAGGTGACGAGGCCTGACTCCTCTTGAATACTGATAGGAATCCCAAAATCCCTGTGGGTACTGGAATGGGTCCTTGGGTGCCCTGCCTCACCTGGAGAAGAGTCCATTTTGCCCTGCCAAGCCTCGAAGAGATTCCTGAGGTGTCTTTCGTTAATAGACAGGAGTCCTGACATCATTGAAGAAACTCGTGTTTTGAAGGGCCATCCCCGCCGTAAGTCGAGAACATACCCCAGGTCCCCGCAGCAATTCGAGAAAAACCATGAGACTTCCCCCTAGAGGCGAGATGAGGCCCCATTCCCATGCAGTGCATGCAGAGCTATTCCGTGACCCCATTCAAACAAGTCAGGAGATTCGACATGCTTAATGGATCTCGAGCCAGTCCCCAAGAACACTGTAACCAGTCTAGAAGGACCCTGACATTAAACTAGCAACGCAATGCAACTCCATGTGCCCCAAATCAACTCGAGATGAGGCCCGATTCCCCTGCATTGACTCCAGAGCCATTCCCCGTTCCCCATTCAACACGACCGGTGGCTCGACTTCCTTCAGGCAACTCCAGACATGCCCCGAGAACACTCTCCCAAGTCTAGAGGAACACCAACTTCAGCATAGCAACTCGAGGAATGCTCCATGTACCCCAAATCGTCTGGAGATGAGAGCTGATTCCCTGGCTTGGGCTCAAGACGTATGCCAACTTTCCAGAAGCACCTCAGGAGGAGGCTTCTCTCAGCAATAGTTATGTGGGAGGGACCCCAAGATCGCTGCCTCAAGAGGAATATACAGCGAGAAGCCCTAACTTATAAGGAGGCCGGATTTCCTTGCAGTGGCTTGAATACAGGCTCGTCTTTGATCTCACAACATGAAGGCATGTCTGAATCCCCTGTGGAGACCTTAGAGAAAGCCCTAGGTCCCTGCCTCATTTTGACGGAATGCCTCACATCCCGTTGACACCTCGAGAGGCACGCGGAGTTCATTGCTTCAAAAGGTGACGATGCCTGATTCCTCTTGAATACTGATAGGAATCCCACAATCCCTGTGGCTACTCGAATGGGTCCTTGGGTGCCCTGCCTCACCTCGAGAAGCATCCCTTTTGCCCTGCCAAGCCTCGAAGAGATTCCTGAGGTGTCCCTCGTTACTAGACAGGAGTCCTGATGTCACTGAAGAAACTCGTGTTTTGAAGGGCCATCCCCGTCGTAAGTCGAGAACGTACCCCAGGTCCCCGCCGCAACTCGAGAAAAACCATGAGACTTCCCCCTAGAGGCGAGATGAGGCCCCATTCCCCTGCAGTGCATGCAGAGCTATTCCGTGATCCCATTCAAACAAGTCAGGAGCTTCGACTTGCTTAATGGATCTCGAGCCAGTCCCCAAGAACACTGTCACCAGTCTAGACGGACCCTGACGTCACCCCAGCAACGCAAAGCAGCTCCATGTGCCCCAAATCAACTCGAGATGAGGCCCAATTCCCCTGCATTGACTCCATAGCCATTCCCCGTTCCCCATTTAACACGACCGGTGGCTCGACTTCCTTCAGGCAATAACAGAGATGCCCCGTGAACACTGTCCCAAGTCTAGAGGAACACCAACTTCAGCACAGCAACTCGAGGAATGCTCCATGTACCCCAAATCGTCTCGAGATGAGAGCTGATTCCCTGGTTTAGGCTCAAGACGTATGCCAAATTTCCAGAAGCACCTCAGGAGGAGGCTTCTCTCAGCAATAGGTATGTGGGAGGGACCCCGAGATCGCTTCCTCAAGTGGAATATACAGCGAGAAGCCCTAACTTGAAAGAAGGCAGGATTTCCTTGCAGTGTCTTGAATGCAGGCTCGTCTTTTATCTCAAAACATGAAGGGATGTCTGAATCCCCTGTGGAGACCTTAGAGAAAGCCCTAGGTCCCTGCCTCATTTTGACGGAATGCCTCACATCCCATTGACACCTCGAGAGGCACGCGGAGTTCATTGCTTCAAAAGGTGACGAGGCCTGACTCCTCTTGAATACTGATAGGAATCCCAAAATCCCTGTGGGTACTAGAATGGGTCCTTGGGTGCCCTGCCTCACCTCGAGAAGCGTCCCTTTTGCCCTGCCAAGCCTCGAAGAGATTCCTGAGGTGTCCTTCGTTAATAGACAGGAGTCCTGACATCACTGAAGAAACTCGTGTTTTGAAGTGCCATCCCCGCCGTAAGTCGAGAACATACCCCAGGTCCCCGCCGCAATTCGAGAAAAACCATGAGACTTCCCCCTAGAGGCGAGATGAGGCCCCATTCCCATGCAGTGCATGCAGAGCTATTCCGTGACCCCATTCAAACAAGTCAGGAGATTCGACTTGCTTAATGGATCTCGAGACAGTCCCCAAGAACACTGTAACCAGTCTAGAAGGACCCTGACGTTACCCCAGCAAAGCAATGCAAATCCATGTGCCCTACATCAACTCGAGATGAAGCCTGATTCCCCTGCATTGACTCCAGAGCCATTCCCCGTTCCCCATTCAACACGACCGGTGGCTCGACTTCCTTCAGGCAACTCCAGAGATGCCCCGAGAACACTGTCCCAAGTTTAGAGGAACACCACTTCAGCACAGTAACTCGAGGAATGCTCCATGTACCCCAAATCGTCTCGAGATGAGAGCTAATTCCCTGGCTTAGGCTCAAGACGTATGCCAACTTTCCAGAAGCACCTCAGGAGGAGGCTTCTCTCAGCAATAGCTATGTGGGAGGGACCCCGAGATCGCTGCCTCAAGGGGAATATACAGCGAGAAGCCCTAACTTGAAAGGAGGCCGGATTTCCTTGCAGTGGCTTGAATGCAGGCTCGTCTTTTATCTCAAAACATGAAGGGATGTCTGAATCCCCTGTGGAGACCTTAGAGAAAGCCCTAGGTCCCTGCCTCATTTTGACGGAATGCCTCACATCCCATTGACACCTCGAGAGTCACGCGGAGTTCATTGCTTCAAAGGTGACGATGCCTGATTCCTCTTGAATACTGATAGGAATCCCAAAATCCCTGTGGCTACTGGAATGGGTCCTTGGCTTCCCTGCCTCACCTCGAGAAGCGTCCCTTTTGCCCTGCCAAGCCTCGAAGAGATTCCTGAGTTGTCCCTCGTTAATAGAAAGGAGTCCTGACGTCACTGAAGAAACTCGTGTTTTGAAGGGCCATTCCCGCCGTAAGTCGAGAACATACCCCAGGTCCCCACCGCAACTCGAGAAAAACCATGAGACTTCCCCCTAGAGGCGAGATGAGGCCCCATTCCCATTCAGTGCATGCAGAGCTATTCCGTGATCCCATTCAAACAAGTCAGGAGCTTCGACTTGCTTAATGGATCTCGAGCCAGTCCCCAAGAACACTGTCACCAGTCTAGACGGACCCTGAGGTCACCACAGCAACGCAAAGCAGCTTCATGTGCCCCAAATCAACTCGAGATGAGGCCCGATTCCCCTGCATTGACTCCAGAGCCATTCCCCGTTCCCCATTCAACACGACCGGTGGCTCGACTTCCTTCAGGCAACTCCAGACATGCCCCGAGAACACTGTCCCAAGTCTAGAGGAACACCAACTTCAGCATAGCAACTCGAGGAATGCTCCGTGTACCCCAAATCGTCTCGAGATGAGAGCTGATTCCCTGGCTTGGGCTCAAGACGTATGCCAACTTTCCAGAAGCACCTCAGGAGGAGGCTTCTCTCAGCAATAGTTATGTGGGAGGGACCCCGAGATCGCTGCCTCAAGGGGAATATACAGCGAGAAGCCCTAACTTATAAGGAGGCCGGATTTCCTTGCAGTGGCTTGAATACAGGCTCGTCTTTGATCTCACAACATGAAGGCATGTCTGAATCCCCTGTGGAGACCTTAGAGAAAGCCCTAGGTCCCTGCCTCATTTTGACGGAATGCCTCACATCCCGTTGACATCTCGAGAGGCACGCGGAGTTCATTGCTTCAAAAGGTGACGATGCCTGACTCCTCTTGAATACTGATAGGAATCCCACAGTCCCTGTGGCTACTGGAATGGGTCCTTGGGTGCCCTGCCTCACCTCGAGAAGCATCCCTTTTGCCCTGCCAAGCCTCGAAGAGATTCCTGAGGTGTCTCTCGTTACTAGACAGGAGTCCTGATGTCACTGAAGAAACTCGTGTTTTGAAGGGCCATCCCCGCCGTAAGTCGAGAACATACCCCAGGTCCCCGCCGCAACTCGAGAAAAACCATGAGACTTCCCCCTAGAGGCGAGATGAGGCCACATTCCCCTGCAGTGCATGCAGAGCTATTCCGTGATCCCATTCAAACAAGTCAGGAGCTTTGTCTTGCTTAATGGATCTCGAGACAGTCCCCAAGAACACTGTCACCAGTCTAGACGGACCCTGAGGTCACCCCAGCAAAGCAAAGCAGCTCCATGTGCCCCAAATCAACTCGAGATGAGGCCCGATTCCCCTGCATTGACTCCAGAGCCATTCCCCGTTCCCCATTCAACACGACCGGTGGCTCGACTTCCTTCAGGCAACTCCAGAGATGCCCCGAGAACACTGTCCCAAGTTTAGAGGAACACCACTTCAGCACAGCAACTCGAGGAATGCTCCATGTACCCCAAATCGTCTGGAGATGAGAGCTGATTCCCTGGCTTGGGCTCAAGACGTATGCCAACTTTCCAGAAGCACCTCAGGAGGAGGCTTCTCTCAGCAATAGGTATGTGGGAGGGACCCCGAGATCGCTGCCTCAAGGGGAATATACAGCGAGAAGCCCTAACTTGAAAGGAGGCCGGATTTCCTTGCAGTGTCTTGAATGCAGGCTCGTCTTTTATCTCAAAACATGAAGAGATGTCTGAATCCCCTGTGGAGACTTTAGAGAAAGCCCTAGGTCCCTGCCTCATTTTGACGGAAGGCCTCACATCCCGTTGACTCCTCGAGAGGCACGCGGAGTTCATTGCTTCAAAAGGTGACGATGCCTGACTCCTCTTGAATACTGATAGGAATCCCAAAATCCCTGTGGCTACTGGAATGGGTCCTTGGGTGCCCTGCCTCACCTCGAGAAGCGTCCCTTTTGCCCTGCCAAGCCTCGAAGAGATTCCTGAGGTGTCCCTCGTTACTAGACAGGAGTCCTGACGTCACTGAAGAAACTCGTGTTTTGAAGGCCGTCCCCGCCGTAAGTCGAAAATATACCCCAGGTCCCCGCCGCAACTCGAGAAAAACCATGAGACTTCCCCCTAGAGGCGAGATGAGGCCCAATTCCCCTGCCGTGCATGCAGAGCTATTCCGTGATCCCATTCAAAGAAGTCAGGAGCTTCGACTTCCTTAATGGATCTGGAGACAGTCCTCAAGAACACTGTCATCATTCTAGACGGACCCTGAGGTCAACCCAGCAACGGAAAGCAGCTCCATGTGCCCCAAATCAACTCGAGATGAGGCCCGATTCCCCTGAATTGACTCCAGAGCCATTCCCCGTTCCCCATTCAACACGACCGGTGGCGCGACTTCCTTCAGGCATCTCCAGAGATGCCCTGAGAACACTCTCCCAAGTCTAGAGTCACACCAACTTCAGCACAGCAACTCGAGGAAAGCTCCGTGTACCCCAAATCGTCTCGAGATGAGAGCTGATTCACTGGCTTAGGCTCAAGACGTATGCCAACTTTCTAGAAGCACCTCAGGAGGAGGCTTCTCTCAGCAATAGGTATGTGGGAGGGACCCCAAGATCGCTGCCTCAAGTGGAATATACAGCGAGAAGCCCTAACTTGAAAGGAGGTCGGATTTCCTTGCAGTGGCTTGAATACAGGCTCGTCTTTGATCTCACAACATGAAGGCATGTCTGAATCCCCTGTGGAGACCTTAGAAAAAGCCCTAGGTCCCTGCCTCATTTTGACGGAATGCCTCACATCCCGTTGACACCTCGAGAGGCACGCGGAGTTCATTGCTTCAAAAGGTGACGATGCCTGACTCCTCTTGAATACTGATAGGAATCCCACAATCCCTGTGGCTACTGGAATGGGTTCCTGGGTGCCCTGCCTCACCTCGAGAAGCATCCCTTTTGCCCTGCCAAGCCTCGAAGAGATTCCTGAGGTGTCCCTCGTTACTAGACAGGAGTCCTGATGTCACTGAAGAAACTCTTGTTTTGAAGGGCCATCCCCGCCGTAAGTCGAGAACATACCCCAGGTCCCCGCCGCAACTCGAGAAAAACCATGAGACTTCCCCCTAGAGGCGAGATGAGGCCCCATTCCCCTGCAGTGCATGCAGAGCTATTCCGTGATCCCATTCAAACAAGTCAGGAGCTTCGACTTGCTTAATGGATCTCGAGACAGTCCCCAAGAACACTGTCACCATTCTAGACGGACCCTGAGGTCAACCCAGCAACGGAAAGCAGCTCCATGTGCCCCAAATCAACTCGAGATGAGGCCCGATTCCCCTGCATTGACTCCAGAGCCATTACCCGTTCCCCATTCAACACGACCGGTGGATCGACTTCCTTCAGGCAACTCCAGAGATGCCCCGAGAACACTGTCCCAAGTCTAGAGGAACACCGACTTCAGCATAGCAACTCGAGGAATGCTCCATGTACCCCAAATCGTCTCGAGATGAGAGCTGATTCCCTGGCTTAGGCTCAAGACGTATGCCAACTATCCAGAAGCACCTCAGGAGGAGGCTTCTCTCTGCAATAGTTATGTGGGAGGGACCCCGAGATCGTTGCCTCAAGGGGAATATACAGCGAGAAGCCCTAACTTATAAGGAGGCCGGATTTCCTTGCAGTGGCTTGAATACAGGCTCGTCTTTGATCTCACAACATGAAGGCATGTCTGAATCCTCTGTGGAGACCTTAGAGAAAGCCCTAGGTCCCTGCCTCATTTTGACGGAATGCCTCACATCCCGTTGACACCTCGAGAGGCACGCAGAGTTCATTGCTTCAAAAGGTGACGATGCCTGACTCCTCTTGAATACTTATAGGAATCCCACAATCCCTGTGGCTACTGGAATGGGTCCTTGGGTGCCCTGCCTCACCTCGAGAAGCATCCCTTTTGCCCTGCCAAGCCTCGAAGAGATTCCTGAGGTGTCCCTCGTTACTAGACAGGAGTCCTGATGTCACTGAAGAAACTCGTGTTTTGAAGGGCCATCCCCGCCGTAAGTCGAGAACATAACCAGGTCCCCGCCGCAACTCGAGGAAAACCATGAGACTTCCCCCTAGAGGCGAGATGAGGCCACATTCCCCTGCAGTGCATGCAGAGCTATTCCGTGATCCCATTCAAACAAGTCAGGAGCTTTGTCTTGCTTAATGGATCTCGAGACAGTCCCCAAGAACACTGTCACCAGTCTAGACGGACCCTGAGGTCACCCCAGCAAAGCAAAGCAGCTCCATGTGCCCCAAATCAACTCGAGATGAGGCCCGATTCCCCTGCATTGACTCCAGAGCCATTCCCCGTTCCCCATTCAACACGACCGGTGGCTCGACTTCCTTCAGGCAACTCCAGAGATGCCCCGAGAACACTGTCCCAAGTTTAGAGGAACACCACTTCAGCACAGCAACTCGAGGAATGCTCCATGTACCCCAAATCGTCTGGAGATGAGAGCTGATTCCCTGGCTTGGGCTCAAGACGTATGCCAACTTTCCAGAAGCACCTCAGGAGGAGGCTTCTCTCAGCAATAGGTATGTGGGAGGGACCCCGAGATCGCTGCCTCAAGGGGAATATACAGCGAGAAGCCCTAACTTGAAAGGAGGCCGGATTTCCTTGCAGTGTCTTGAATGCAGGCTCGTCTTTTATCTCAAAACATGAAGAGATGTCTGAATCCCCTGTGGAGACTTTAGAGAAAGCCCTAGGTCCCTGCCTCATTTTGACGGAAGGCCTCACATCCCGTTGACTCCTCGAGAGGCACGCGGAGTTCATTGCTTCAAAAGGTGACGATGCCTGACTCCTCTTGAATACTGATAGGAATCCCAAAATCCCTGTGGCTACTGGAATGGGTCCTTGGGTGCCCTGCCTCACCTCGAGAAGCGTCCCTTTTGCCCTGCCAAGCCTCGAAGAGATTCCTGAGGTGTCCCTCGTTACTAGACAGGAGTCCTGACGTCACTGAAGAAACTCGTGTTTTGAAGGCCGTCCCCGCCGTAAGTCGAAAATATACCCCAGGTCCCCGCCGCAACTCGAGAAAAACCATGAGACTTCCCCCTAGAGGCGAGATGAGGCCCAATTCCCCTGCCGTGCATGCAGAGCTATTCCGTGATCCCATTCAAAGAAGTCAGGAGCTTCGACTTCCTTAATGGATCTGGAGACAGTCCTCAAGAACACTGTCATCATTCTAGACGGACCCTGAGGTCAACCCAGCAACGGAAAGCAGCTCCATGTGCCCCAAATCAACTCGAGATGAGGCCCGATTCCCCTGAATTGACTCCAGAGCCATTCCCCGTTCCCCATTCAACACGACCGGTGGCGCGACTTCCTTCAGGCATCTCCAGAGATGCCCTGAGAACACTCTCCCAAGTCTAGAGTCACACCAACTTCAGCACAGCAACTCGAGGAAAGCTCCGTGTACCCCAAATCGTCTCGAGATGAGAGCTGATTCACTGGCTTAGGCTCAAGACGTATGCCAACTTTCTAGAAGCACCTCAGGAGGAGGCTTCTCTCAGCAATAGGTATGTGGGAGGGACCCCAAGATCGCTGCCTCAAGTGGAATATACAGCGAGAAGCCCTAACTTGAAAGGAGGTCGGATTTCCTTGCAGTGGCTTGAATACAGGCTCGTCTTTGATCTCACAACATGAAGGCATGTCTGAATCCCCTGTGGAGACCTTAGAAAAAGCCCTAGGTCCCTGCCTCATTTTGACGGAATGCCTCACATCCCGTTGACACCTCGAGAGGCACGCGGAGTTCATTGCTTCAAAAGGTGACGATGCCTGACTCCTCTTGAATACTGATAGGAATCCCACAATCCCTGTGGCTACTGGAATGGGTTCCTGGGTGCCCTGCCTCACCTCGAGAAGCATCCCTTATGCCCTGCCAAGCCTCGAAGAGATTCCTGAGGTGTCCCTCGTTACTAGACAGGAGTCCTGATGTCACTGAAGAAACTCTTGTTTTGAAGGGCCATCCCCGCCGTAAGTCGAGAACATACCCCAGGTCCCCGCCGCAACTCGAGAAAAACCATGAGACTTCCCCCTAGAGGCGAGATGAGGCCCCATTCCCCTGCAGTGCATGCAGAGCTATTCCGTGATCCCATTCAAACAAGTCAGGAGCTTCGACTTGCTTAATGGATCTCGAGACAGTCCCCAAGAACACTGTCACCATTCTAGACGGACCCTGAGGTCAACCCAGCAACGGAAAGCAGCTCCATGTGCCCCAAATCAACTCGAGATGAGGCCTGATTCCCCTGCATTGACTCCAGAGCCATTACCCGTTCCCCATTCAACACGACCGGTGGATCGACTTCCTTCAGGCAATAACAGAGATGCCCAGTGTACACTGTCCCAAGTCTAGAGGAACACAAACTTCAGCACAGCAACTCGAGGAATGATCCATGTACCTCAAATCGTCTCGAGTTGAGAGCTGATTCCCTGGCTTAGGCTCAAGACGTATGCCAACTTTCCAGAAGCACCTCAGGAGGAGGCTTCTCTCAGCAATAGGTATGTGGGAGGGACCCAGAGATCGCTGCCTCAAGTGGAATATAGAGCGAGAAGCCCTAACTTGAAAGGAGGCCGGATTTCCTTGCAGTGGCTTGAATACAGGCTCGTCTTTAATCTCAAAACATGAAGGGATGTCTGAATCCCCTGAGGAGACCTTAGAGAAAGCCCTAGGTCCCTGCCTCATTTTGTCGGAATGCCTCACATCCCGTTGACAGCTTGAGAGGCACGCAGAGTTCATTGCTTCAAAAGGTGACGATGCCTGACTCCTCTTGAATACTGATAGGAATCTGAGAATCCCTGTGGCTACTGGAAAGGGTCCTTGGGTGCCCTCTCTCACCTCGAGAAGCGTACCTTTTGCCCTGCCAAGCCTCGAAGAGATTCCTGAGGCTTCCCTCGTTACGAGACAGGAGTCCTGATGTCACTGAAGAAACTCGTGTTTTGAAGGGCCATCCCCGCCGTAAGTCGAGAACATACCCCAGGTCCCCGCCGCAACTCAAGAAAAACCATGAGACTTCCCCCTAGAGGCGAGATGAGGCCCCATTCCCCTGCAGTGCATGCACATCTATTCCGTGATCCCATTCAAACAAGTCAGGAGCTTCGACATGCTTAATGGATCTCGAGACAGTCCCCAAGAACACTGTCACCAGTCTAGACGGACCCTGAGGTCAACCCAGCAACACAAAGCAGCTCCATGTGCCCCAAATCAACTCGAGATGAGGCCCGATTCCCCTGCATTGACTCCAGAGCCATTCCCCGTTCCCCATTCAACACGACCGGTGGCTCGACTTCCTTCAGGCAACTCCAGAGATGCCCCGAGAACACTGTCCCAAGTTTAGAGGAACACCAACTTCAGCACAGCAACTCGAGGAATGCTCCATGTACCCCAAATCGTCTCGAGATGAGAGCTGATTCCCTTGCTTAGGCTCAAGACGTATGCCAACTTTCCAGAAGCACCTCAGGAGGAGGCTTCTCTCAGCAATAGGTATGTGGGACGGACCCCGAGATCGCTGCCTCAAGTGGAATATACAGCGAGATGCCCTAACTTGAAAGGAGGCCGTATTTCCTTGCAGTGGCTTGAATACAGGCTTGTCTTTGATCTCACAACATGAAGGCATGTCTGAATCCCCTGTGGAGATCTTAGAGAAAGCCCTAGCTCCCTGCGTCATTTTGACGGAATGCCTCACATCCCGTTGACACCTCGAGAGGCACGCGGAGTTCATTGCTTCAAAAGGTGACGATGCCTGACTCCTCTTGAATACTTATAGGAATCCCAAAATCCCTGTGGCTACTGGAAAGGGTACTTGGGTGCCCTGCCTCACCTCGAGAAGCGTCCCTTTTGCCCTGCCAAGCCTCGAAGAGATTCCTGAGGTGTCCCTCGTTACTAGACAGGAGTCCTGACGTCACTGAAGAAACTCGTGTTTTGAAGGGCCATCCCCGCCGTAAGTCGAGACCATACCCAAGGTCCCCCCGCAACTCGAGAAAAACCATGAGACTTCCCCCTAGAGGCGAGATGAGGCCCCATTCCCCTGCAGTGCATGCACAGCTATTCCGTGATCCCATTCAAACAAGTCAGGAGCTTCGACTTGCTTAATGGATCTCGAGACAGTCCCCAAGAACACTGTCACCAGTCTAGACGGACCCTGAGGTCACCCCAGCAAGGCAAAGCAGCTCCATGTGCCACAGATAAACTCGAGATGAGGCCCGATTCCCCTGCATTGACTCCAGAGCCATTCCCCGTTCCCCATTTATCACGACTGGTGGCTTGACTTCCTTCAGGCAACTCCAGAGATGCCACGAGAACACTATCCCAAGTCTAGAGGAACACCAACTTCAGCAGAGCAACTCGAGGAATGGTCCGTGTACCCCAAATCGTCTCGAGATGAGAGCTGATTCCCTGGCTTAGGCTCAAGACGTATGCCAACTTTCCAGAAGCACCTCAGGAGGAGGCTTCTCTCAGCAATAGGTATGTGGGAGGGACCCCGAGATCGCTGCCTCAAGTGGAATATACAGCGAGAAGCCCTAACTTGAAAGGAGGCCGGATTTCCTTGCAGTGTCTTGAATACAGGCTCGTCTTTGATCTCACAACATGAAGGCATGTCTGAATCCCCTGTGGAGACCTTAGAGAAAGCCCTAGGTCCCTGCCTCATTTTGACGGAATGCCTCACATCCCGTTGACACCTCGAGAGGCACGCGGAGTTCATTGCTTCAAAAGGTGACGATGCCTGACTCCTCTTGAATACTGATGGGAATCCCACAATCGCTTTGGCTACTGGAATGGGTTCTTGGGTGCCCTGCCTCACCTCGAGAAGCGTCCCTTTTGCCCTGCCAAGCCTCGAAGAGATTCCTGAGGTGTCCCTCGTTACTAGACAGGAGTCCTGACGTCACTGAAGAAACTCGTGTTTTGAAGGTCCATCCACGCCGTAAGTCGAGAACGTACCCCAGTCCCCGCCGCAACTCGAGAAAATCCATGAGACTTCCCCCTAGAGGCGAGATGAGGCCCCATTCCCATTCAGTGCATGCAGAGCTATTCCGTGATCCCATTCAAACAAGTCAGGAGCTTCGACTTGCTTAATGGATCTCGAGCCAGTCCCCAAGAACACTGTCACCAGTCTAGACGGACCCTGACGTCACCCCAGCAACGCAAAGCAGCTCCATGTGCCCCAAATCAACTCGAGATGAGGCCCGATTCCCCTGCATTGACTCCAGAGCCATTCCCCGTTCCCCATTCAACACGACCGGTGGCTCGACTTCCTTCAGGCAACTCCAGAGATGCCCCGAGAACACTGTCCCAAGTCTAGAGGAACACCAACTTCAGCATAGCAACTCGAGGAATGCTCCATGTACCCCAAATCGTCTCGAGATGAGAGCTGATTCCCTGGCTTAGGCTCAAGACGTATGCCAACTTTCCAGAAGCACCTCAGGAGGAGGCTTCTCTCAGCAATAGTTATGTGGGAGGGACCCCGAGATCGCTGCCTCAAGGGGAATATACAGCGAGAAGCCCTAACTTATAAGGAGGCCTGATTTCCTTGCAGTGGCTTGAATACAGGCTCGTCTTTGATCTCACAACATGAAGGCATGTCTGAATCCCCTGTGGAGACCTTAGAGAAAGCCCTAGGTCCCTGCCTCATTTTGACGGAATGCCTCACATCCCGTTGACACCCCGAGAGGCACGCGGAGTTCATTGCTTCAAAAGGTGACGATGCCTGACTCCTCTTGAATACTGATAGGAATCCCACAATCCCTGTGGCTACTGGAATGGGTTCTTGGGTGCCCTGCCTCACCTCGAGAAGCATCCCTTTTGCCCTGCCAAGCCTCGAAGAGATTCCTGAGGTGTCCCTCGTTACTAGACAGGAGTCCTGATGTCACTGAAGAAACTCGTGTTTTGAAGGGCCATCCCCGCCGTAAGTCGAGAACATACCCCAGGTCCCCGCCGCAACTCGAGAAAAACCATGAGACTTCCCCCTAGAGGCGAGATGAGGCCCTATTCCCCTGCAGTGCATGCAGAGCTATTCCGTGATCCCATTCAAACAAGTCAGGAGCTTCGACTTGCTTAATGGATCTCGAGACAGTCCCCAAGAACACTGTCACCAGTCTAGACGGACCCTGAGGTCACCCCAGCAACGCAAAGCAGCTCCATGTGCCCCAAATCAACTCGAGATGAGGCCCGATTCCCCTGCATTGACTCCATAGCCATTCCCCGTTCCCCATTCAACACGACCGGTGGCTCGACTTCCTTCAGGTAATAACAGAGATGCCCCGTGAACACTGTCCCAAGTCTAGAGGAACACCAACTTCAGCACAGCAACTCGAGGAAGGCTCCATGTACCCCAAATCGTCTCGAGATGAGAACTGATTCCCTGGTTTAGGCTCAAGACGTATGCCAAATTTCCAGAAGCACCTCAGGAGGAGGCTTCTCTCAGCAATATTTATGTGGGAGGGACCCCGAGATCGCTTCCTCAAGTGGAATATACAGCGAGAAGCCCTAACTTGAAAGAAGGCCGGATTTCCTTGCAGTGTCTTGAATGCAGGCTCGTCTTTTATCTCAAAACATGGAGGGATGTCTGAATCCCCTGTGGAGACCTTAGAGAAAGACCTAGGTCCCTGCCTCATTTTGACGGAATGCCTCACATCCCATTGACCCCTCGAGAGGCACGCGGTGTTCATAGCTTCAAAAGGTGACGAGGCCTGACTCCTCTTGAATACTGAAGGGAATCCCAAAATCCCTGTGAGTACTAGAATGGGTCCTTGGGTGCCCTGCCTCACCTCGAGAAGCGTCCCTTTTGCCCTGCCAAGCATCGAAGAGATTCCTGAGGTGTCCTTCGTTAATAGACAGGAGTCCTGACATCATTGAAGAAACTCGTGTTTTGAATGGCCATCCCCGCCGCAAGTCGAGAACATACCCCAGGTCCCCGCCGCAATTCGAGAAAAACCATGAGACTTCCCCCTAGAGGCGAGATGAGGCCCCATTCCCATGCAGTGCATGCAGAGCTATTCCGTGACCCCATTCAAACAAGTCAGGAGCTTCGACTTGCTTAATGGATCTCGAGACAGTAACCAAGATCACTGTAACCAGTCTAGAAGGACCCTGACGTTACCCCAGCAACGCAATGCATCTCCATGTGCCCCAAATCAACTCGAGATGAAGCCTGATTCCCCTGCATTGACTCCAGAGCCATTCCCCGTTCCCCATTCAACACGACCGGTGGCTCGACTTCCTTCAGGCAACTCCAGAGATGCCCCGAGAACACTGTCCCAAGTCTAGAGGAACACCAACTTCAGCATAGCAACTCGAGGAATGCTCCATGTACCCCAAATCGTCTGGAGATGAGAGCTGATTCCCTGGCTTGGGCTCAAGACTTATGCCAACTTTCCAGAAGCACCTCAGGAGGAGGCTTCTCTCAGCAATAGTTATGTGGGAGGGACCCCAAGATCGCTGCCTCAAGAGGAATATACAGCGAGAAGCCCTAACTTATAAGGAGGCCGGATTTCCTTGCAGTGGCTTGAATACAGGCTCGTCTTTGATCTCACAACATGAAGGCATGTCTGAATCCCCTGTGGAGACCTTAGAGAAAGCCCTAGGTCCCTGCCTCATTTTGACGGAATGCCTCACATCCCGTTGACACCTCGAGAGGCACGCGGAGTTCATTGCTTCAAAAGGTGATGATGCCTGATTCCTCTTGAATACTGATAGGAATCCCACAATCCCTGTGGCTACTGGAATGGGTCCTTGGGTGCCCTGCCTCACCTCGAGAAGCATCCCTTTTGCCCTGCCAAGCCTCGAAGAGATTCCTGAGGTGTCCCTCGTTACTAGACAGGAGTCCTGATGTCACTGAAGAAACTCGTGTTTTGAAGGGCCATCCCCGCCGTAAGTCGAGAACATACCCCAGGTCCCCGCCGCAACTCGAGAAAAACCATGAGACTTCCCCCTAGAGGCGACATGAGGCCCTATTCCCCTGCAGTGCATGCAGAGCTATTCCGTGATCCCATTCAAACAAGTCAGGAGCTTCGACTTGCTTAATGGATCTCGAGACAGTCCCCAAGAACACTGTCACCAGTCTAGACGGACCCTGAGGTCACCCCAGCAACGCAAAGCAGCTCCATGTGCCCCAAATCAACTCGAGATGAAGCCTGATTCCCCTGCATTGACTCCAGAGCCATTCCCCGTTCCCCATTCAACACGACCGGTGGCTCGACTTCTTTCAGGCAACTCCAGAGATGCCCCGAGAACACTGTCCCAAGTTTAGAGGAACACCACTTCAGCACAGCAACTCGAGGAATGCTCCATGTACCCCAAATCGTCTCGAGATGAGAGCTGATTCCCTGGCTTAGGCTCAAGTCGTATGCCAACTTTCCAGAAGCACCTCAGGAGGAGGCTTCTCTCAGCAATAGCTATGTGGGAGGGACCCCGAGATCGCTGCCTCAAGGGGAATATACAGCGAGAAGCCCTAACTTGAAAGGAGGCCGGATTTCCTTGCAGTGGCTTGAATGCAGGCTCGTCTTTTATCTCAAAACATGAAGGGATGTCTGAATCCCCTGTGGAGACCTTAGAGAAAGCCCTAGTTCCCTGCCTCATTTTGACGGAATGCCTCACATCCCATTGACACCTCGAGAGCCACGCGGAGTTCATTACTTCAAAGGTGACGATGCCTGATTCCTCTTGAATACTGATAGGAATCCCAAAATCCCTGTGGCTACTGGAATGGGTCCTTGGGTTCCCTGCCTCACCTCGAGAAGCGTCCCTTTTGCCCTGCCAAGCCTCGAAGAGATTCCTGAGTTGTCCCTCGTTAATAGAAAGGAGTCCTGACGTCACTGAAGAAACTCGTGTTTTGAAGGGCCATTCCCCCCGTAAGTCGAGAACATACCCCAGGTCCCCACCGCAACTCGAGAAAAACCATGAGACTTCCCCCTAGATGCGAGATGAGGCCCCATTCCCCTGCAGTGCATGCAGAGCTATTCCGTGATCCCATTCAAACAAGTCAGGAGCTTCGACTTGCTTAATGGATCTCGAGCCAGTCCCCAAGAACACTGTCACCAGTCTAGACGGACCCTGAGGTCACCCCAGCAACGCAAAGCAGCTCCATGTGCCCCAAATCAACTCGAGATGAGGCCCGATTCCCCTGCATTGACTCCAGAGCCATTCCCCGTTCCCCATTCAACACGACCGGTGGCTCGACTTCCTTCAGGCAACTCCAGACATGCCCCGAGAACACTGTCCCAAGTCTAGAGGAACACCAACTTCAGCATAGCAACTCGAGGAATGCTCCGTGTACCCCAAATCGTCTCGAGATGAGAGCTGATTCCCTGGCTTGGGCTCAAGACGTATGCCAACTTTCCAGAAGCACCTCAGGAGGAGGCTTCTCTCAGCAGTAGTTATGTGGGAGGGACACCGAGATCGCTGCCTCAAGGGGAATATACAGCGAGAAGCCCTAACTTATAAGGAGGCCGGATTTCCTTGCAGTGGCTTGAATACAGGCTCGTCTTTGATCTCACAACATGAAGGCATGTCTGAATCCCCTGTGGAGACCTTAGAGAAAGCCCTAGGTCCCTGCCTCATTTTGACGGAATGCCTCACATTCCGTTGACACCTCGAGAGGCACGCGGAGTTCATTGCTTCAAAAGATGACGATGCCTGACTCCTCTTGAATACTGATAGGAATCCCACAATCCCTGTGGCTACTGGAATGGGTCCTTGGGTGCCCTGCCTCACCTCGAGAAGCATCCCTTTTGCCCTGCCAAGCCTCGAAGAGATTCCTGAGGTGTCCCTCGTTACTAGACAGGAGTCCTGATGTCACTGAAGAAACTCGTGTTTTGAAGGGCCATCCCCGCCGTAAGTCGAGAACATACATCAGGTCCCCGCCGCAACTCGAGAAAAACCATGAGACTTCCCCCTAGAGGCGAGATGAGGCCCCATTCCCCTGCAGTGCATGCAGAGCTATTCCGTGACCCCATTCAAACAAGTCAGGACATTCGACTTGCTTAATGGATCTCGAGAAAGTCCCCAAGAACACTGTAACCAGTCTAGAAGGACACTGACATTACCCCAGCAACACAATGCAACTCCAGGTGCCCCAAATCAACTCGAGATGAAGCCTGATTCCCCTGCATTGACTCCAGAGCCATTCCCCGTTCCCCATTCAACACGACCGGTGGCTCGACTTCCTTCAGGCAACTCCAGACATGCCCCGAGAACACTCTCCCAAGTCTAGAGGAACACCAACTTCAGCATAGCAACTCGAGGAATGCTCCATGTACCCCAAATCGTCTGGAGATGAGAGCTGATTCCCTGGCTTGGGCTCAAGACGTATGCCAACTTTCCAGAAGCACCTCAGGAGGAGGCTTCTCTCAGCAATAGTTATGTGGGAGGGACCCCAAGTTCGCTGCCTCAAGAGGAATATACAGCGAGAAGCCCTAACTTATAAGGAGGCCGGATTTCCTTGCAGTGGCTTGAATACAGGCTCGTCTTTGATCTCACAACATGAAGGCATGTCTGAATCCCCTGTGGAGACCTTAGAGAAAGCCCTAGGTCCCTGCCTCATTTTGACGGAATGCCTCACATCCCGTTGACACCTCGAGAGGCACGCGGAGTTCATTGCTTCAAAAGGTGACGATGCCTGATTCCTCTTGAATACTGATAGGAATCCCACAATCCCTGTGGCTACTGGAATGGGTCCTTGGGTGCCCTGCCTCACCTCGAGAAGCATCCCTTTTGCCCTGCCAAGCCTCGAAGAGATTCCTGAGGTGTCCCTCGTTACTAGACAGGAGTCCTGATGTCACTGAAGAAACTCGTGTTTTGAAGGGCCATCCCCGCCGTAAGTCGAGAACATACCCCAGGTCCCCGCCGCAACTCGAGAAAAACCATGAGACTTCCCCCTAGAGGCGAGATGAGGCCCCATTCCCCTGCAGTGCATGCAGAGCTATTCCGTGATCCCATTCAAACAAGTCAGGAGCTTCGACATGCTTAATGGATCTCGAGCCAGTCCCGAAGAACACTGTCACCAGTCTAGACGGACCCTGACGTCACCCCAGCAACGCAAAGCAGCTCCATCTGCCCCAAATCAACTCGAGATGAGGCCCGATTCCCCTGCATTGACGCCATAGCCATTCCCCGTTCCCCATTCAACACGACCGGTGGCTCGACTTCCTTCAGGCAATAACAGAGATGCCCCGTGAACACTGTCCCAAGTCTAGAGGAACACCAACTTCAGCACAGCAACTCGAGGAATGCTCCATGTACCCCAATTCGTCTCGAGATGAGAGCTGATTCCCTGGTTTAGGCTCAAGACGTATGCCAAATTTCCAGAAGTACCTCAGGAGGAGGCTTCTCTCAGCAATAGTTATGTGGGAGGGACCCCGAGATCGCTTCCTCAAGTGGAATATACAGCGAAAAGCCCTAACTTGAAAGAAGGCCGGATTTCCTTGCAGTGTCTTGAATGCAGGCTCGTCTTTTATCTCAAAACATGAAGGGATGTCTGAATCCCTTGTGGAGACCGTAGAGAAAGCCCTAGGTCCCTGCCTCATTATGACGGAATGCCTCACATCCCATTGACACCTCGAGAGGCACGCGGAGTTCATTGCTTCAAAAGGTGACGAGGCCTGACTCCTCTTGAATACTGATAGGAATCCCAAAATCCCTGTGGGTACTGGAATGGGTCCTTGGGTGCCCTGCCTCACCTGGAGAAGAGTCCATTTTGCCCTGCCAAGCCTCGAAGAGATTCCTGAGGTGTCTTTCGTTAATAGACAGGAGTCCTGACATCATTGAAGAAACTCGTGTTTTGAAGGGCCATCCCCGCCGTAAGTCGAGAACATACCCCAGGTCCCCGCAGCAATTCGAGAAAAACCATGAGACTTCCCCCTAGAGGCGAGATGAGGCCCCATTCCCATGCAGTGCATGCAGAGCTATTCCGTGACCCCATTCAAACAAGTCAGGAGATTCGACATGCTTAATGGATCTCGAGCCAGTCCCCAAGAACACTGTAACCAGTCTAGAAGGACCCTGACATTAAACCAGCAACGCAATGCAACTCCATGTGCCCCAAATCAACTCGAGATGAGGCCCGATTCCCCTGCATTGACTCCAGAGCCATTCCCCGTTCCCCATTCAACACGACCGGTGGCTCGACTTCCTTCAGGCAACTCCAGACATGCCCCGAGAACACTCTCCCAAGTCTAGAGGAACACCAACTTCAGCATAGCAACTCGAGGAATGCTCCATGTACCCCAAATCGTCTGGAGATGAGAGCTGATTCCCTGGCTTGGGCTCAAGACGTATGCCAACTTTCCAGAAGCACCTCAGGAGGAGGCTTCTCTCAGCAATAGTTATGTGGGAGGGACCCCAAGATCGCTGCCTCAAGAGGAATATACAGCGAGAAGCCCTAACTTATAAGGAGGCCGGATTTCCTTGCAGTGGCTTGAATACAGGCTCGTCTTTGATCTCACAACATGAAGGCATGTCTGAATCCCCTGTGGAGACCTTAGAGAAAGCCCTAGGTCCCTGCCTCATTTTGACGGAATGCCTCACATCCCGTTGACACCTCGAGAGGCACGCGGAGTTCATTGCTTCAAAAGGTGACGATGCCTGATTCCTCTTGAATACTGATAGGAATCCCACAATCCCTGTGGCTACTCGAATGGGTCCTTGGGTGCCCTGCCTCACCTCGAGAAGCATCCCTTTTGCCCTGCCAAGCCTCGAAGAGATTCCTGAGGTGTCCCTCGTTACTAGACAGGAGTCCTGATGTCACTGAAGAAACTCGTGTTTTGAAGGGCCATCCCCGTCGTAAGTCGAGAACGTACCCCAGGTCCCCGCCGCAACTCGAGAAAAACCATGAGACTTCCCCCTAGAGGCGAGATGAGGCCCCATTCCCCTGCAGTGCATGCAGAGCTATTCCGTGATCCCATTCAAACAAGTCAGGAGCTTCGACTTGCTTAATGGATCTCGAGCCAGTCCCCAAGAACACTGTCACCAGTCTAGACGGACCCTGACGTCACCCCAGCAACGCAAAGCAGCTCCATGTGCCCCAAATCAACTCGAGATGAGGCCCAATTCCCCTGCATTGACTCCATAGCCATTCCCCGTTCCCCATTTAACACGACCGGTGGCTCGACTTCCTTCAGGCAATAACAGAGATGCCCCGTGAACACTGTCCCAAGTCTAGAGGAACACCAACTTCAGCACAGCAACTCGAGGAATGCTCCATGTACCCCAAATCGTCTCGAGATGAGAGCTGATTCCCTGGTTTAGGCTCAAGACGTATGCCAAATTTCCAGAAGCACCTCAGGAGGAGGCTTCTCTCAGCAATAGGTATGTGGGAGGGACCCCGAGATCGCTTCCTCAAGTGGAATATACAGCGAGAAGCCCTAACTTGAAAGAAGGCAGGATTTCCTTGCAGTGTCTTGAATGCAGGCTCGTCTTTTATCTCAAAACATGAAGGGATGTCTGAATCCCCTGTGGAGACCTTAGAGAAAGCCCTAGGTCCCTGCCTCATTTTGACGGAATGCCTCACATCCCATTGACACCTCGAGAGGCACGCGGAGTTCATTGCTTCAAAAGGTGACGAGGCCTGACTCCTCTTGAATACTGATAGGAATCCCAAAATCCCTGTGGGTACTAGAATGGGTCCTTGGGTGCCCTGCCTCACCTCGAGAAGCGTCCCTTTTGCCCTGCCAAGCCTCGAAGAGATTCCTGAGGTGTCCTTCGTTAATAGACAGGAGTCCTGACATCACTGAAGAAACTCGTGTTTTGAAGTGCCATCCCCGCCGTAAGTCGAGAACATACCCCAGGTCCCCGCCGCAATTCGAGAAAAACCATGAGACTTCCCCCTAGAGGCGAGATGAGGCCCCATTCCCATGCAGTGCATGCAGAGCTATTCCGTGACCCCATTCAAACAAGTCAGGAGATTCGACTTGCTTAATGGATCTCGAGACAGTCCCCAAGAACACTGTAACCAGTCTAGAAGGACCCTGACGTTACCCCAGCAAAGCAATGCAAATCCATGTGCCCTACATCAACTCGAGATGAAGCCTGATTCCCCTGCATTGACTCCAGAGCCATTCCCCGTTCCCCATTCAACACGACCGGTGGCTCGACTTCCTTCAGGCAACTCCAGAGATGCCCCGAGAACACTGTCCCAAGTTTAGAGGAACACCACTTCAGCACAGTAACTCGAGGAATGCTCCATGTACCCCAAATCGTCTCGAGATGAGAGCTAATTCCCTGGCTTAGGCTCAAGACGTATGCCAACTTTCCAGAAGCACCTCAGGAGGAGGCTTCTCTCAGCAATAGCTATGTGGGAGGGACCCCGAGATCGCTGCCTCAAGGGGAATATACAGCGAGAAGCCCTAACTTGAAAGGAGGCCGGATTTCCTTGCAGTGGCTTGAATGCAGGCTCGTCTTTTATCTCAAAACATGAAGGGATGTCTGAATCCCCTGTGGAGACCTTAGAGAAAGCCCTAGGTCCCTGCCTCATTTTGACGGAATGCCTCACATCCCATTGACACCTCGAGAGTCACGCGGAGTTCATTGCTTCAAAGGTGACGATGCCTGATTCCTCTTGAATACTGATAGGAATCCCAAAATCCCTGTGGCTACTGGAATGGGTCCTTGGCTTCCCTGCCTCACCTCGAGAAGCGTCCCTTTTGCCCTGCCAAGCCTCGAAGAGATTCCTGAGTTGTCCCTCGTTAATAGAAAGGAGTCCTGACGTCACTGAAGAAACTCGTGTTTTGAAGGGCCATTCCCGCCGTAAGTCGAGAACATACCCCAGGTCCCCACCGCAACTCGAGAAAAACCATGAGACTTCCCCCTAGAGGCGAGATGAGGCCCCATTCCCATTCAGTGCATGCAGAGCTATTCCGTGATCCCATTCAAACAAGTCAGGAGCTTCGACTTGCTTAATGGATCTCGAGCCAGTCCCCAAGAACACTGTCACCAGTCTAGACGGACCCTGAGGTCACCACAGCAACGCAAAGCAGCTTCATGTGCCCCAAATCAACTCGAGATGAGGCCCGATTCCCCTGCATTGACTCCAGAGCCATTCCCCGTTCCCCATTCAACACGACCGGTGGCTCGACTTCCTTCAGGCAACTCCAGACATGCCCCGAGAACACTGTCCCAAGTCTAGAGGAACACCAACTTCAGCATAGCAACTCGAGGAATGCTCCGTGTACCCCAAATCGTCTCGAGATGAGAGCTGATTCCCTGGCTTGGGCTCAAGACGTATGCCAACTTTCCAGAAGCACCTCAGGAGGAGGCTTCTCTCAGCAATAGTTATGTGGGAGGGACCCCGAGATCGCTGCCTCAAGGGGAATATACAGCGAGAAGCCCTAACTTATAAGGAGGCCGGATTTCCTTGCAGTGGCTTGAATACAGGCTCGTCTTTGATCTCACAACATGAAGGCATGTCTGAATCCCCTGTGGAGACCTTAGAGAAAGCCCTAGGTCCCTGCCTCATTTTGACGGAATGCCTCACATCCCGTTGACATCTCGAGAGGCACGCGGAGTTCATTGCTTCAAAAGGTGACGATGCCTGACTCCTCTTGAATACTGATAGGAATCCCACAGTCCCTGTGGCTACTGGAATGGGTCCTTGGGTGCCCTGCCTCACCTCGAGAAGCATCCCTTTTGCCCTGCCAAGCCTCGAAGAGATTCCTGAGGTGTCTCTCGTTACTAGACAGGAGTCCTGATGTCACTGAAGAAACTCGTGTTTTGAAGGGCCATCCCCGCCGTAAGTCGAGAACATACCCCAGGTCCCCGCCGCAACTCGAGAAAAACCATGAGACTTCCCCCTAGAGGCGAGATGAGGCTCCATTCCCCTGCAGTGCATGCAGAGCTATTCCGTGATCCCATTCAAACAAGTCAGGAGCTTCGACTTGCTTAATGGATCTCGAGACAGTCCCCAAGAACACTGTCACCAGTCTAGACGGACCCTGAGGTCAACCCAGCAACGGAAAGAAGCTCCATGTGCCCCAAATCAACTCGAGATGAGGCCCGATTCCCCTGCATTGACTCCAGAGCCATTCCCCGTTCCCCATTCAACAGGACCGGTGGCTCGACTTCCTTCAGGCAACCCCAGAGATGCCCCGAGAACACTGTCCCAAGTTTAGAGGAACACCACTTCAGCACAGCAACTCGAGGAATGCTCCATGTACCCCAAATCGTCTCGAGATGAGAGCTGATTCCCTAGCTTAGGCTCAAGACGTATGCCAACTTTCCAGAAGCACCTCAGGAGGAGGCTTCTCTCAGCAATAGGTATGTGGGAGGGACCCCGAGATCGCTGCCTCAAGGGGAATATACAGCGAGAAGCCCTAACTTGAAAGGAGGCCAGATTTCCTTGCAGTGGCTTGAATACAGGCTCGTCTTTGATCTCACAACATGAAGTCATGTCTGAATCCCCTGTGTAGACCTTAGAGAAAGCCCTAGGTCCCTGCCTCATTTTGACGGAATGCCTCACATCCCGTTGACACCTCCAGAGGCACGCGGAGTTCACTGCTTCAAAGGTGACGATGCCTGATTCCTCTTGAATACTGATAGGAATCCCAAAATCCCTGTGGCTACTGGAATGGGTCCTTGGGTGCCCTGCCTCACCTCGAGAAGCGTCCCTTTTGCCCTGCCAAGCCTCGAAGAGATTCCTGAGTTGTCCCTCGTTACTCGACAGGAGTCCTGACGTCACTGAAGAAACTCGTGTTTTGAAGGGCCATCCCCGCCGTAAGTCGAGAACATACCCCAGGTCCCCGAGGCAACTCGAGAAAAACCATGAGACTTCCCCCTAGAGGCGAGATGAGACCCCATTCCCCTGCAGTGCATGCAGAGCTATTCCGTGATCCCATTCAAACAAGTCAGGATCTTGGACTTGCTTAATGGATCTCGAGACAGTCCCCAAGAACACTGTGACCAGTCTAGACGGACCCTGAGGTCACCCCAGCAACGCAAAGCAGCTCCAGGTGCCCCAAATCAACTCGAGATGAGGCCCGATTCCCCTGCATTGACTCCAGAGCCATTCCCCGTTCCCCATTCAACACGAACGGTGGCTCGACTTCCTTCAGGCAACTCCAGAGTTGCCCCTTGAACACTGTCCCAAGTCTAGAGGAACACCAACTTCAGCACAGTAACTCGAGGAATGCTCCGTGAACCCCAAATCATCTCGAGATTAGAGCTGATTCCCTGGCTTAGGCTCAAGACATAAGCCAACTTTCCAGAAGCACCTCAGGATGAGGCTTCTCTCAGCAATAGGTGTGTGGGAGGAACCCCAAGATCGCTGCCTCAAGTGGAATATACAATGAGAAGCCCTAACTTGAAAGGAGGCCGGATTTCCTTGCAGTTGATTGAATACAAGCTTGTCTTTCATCTCACAACATGAAGGCATGTCTGAATCCCCTGTGGAGACCTTAGAGAAAGCCCTAGGTCCCTGCCTCATTATGACGGAATGCGTCACATCCCGTTGACACCTCGAGAGGCACGCAGAGTTCATTGCTTCAAAAGGTGACGATGCCTGACTCCTCTTGAATATTGATAGGAATCCCAAAATCCCTGTGGCTACTGGAAAGGGTCCTTGGGTGCCCTGCCTCACCTCGAGAAGCGTCCCTTTGCCCTGCAAAGCCTCGAAGAAATTAATGAGGTGTCCCTCGTTACGAGACAGGAGTCATGACGTCACTGAAGAAAATCGTGTTTTGAAGGGCCATCCCCGCCGTAAGTCGAGAACATACACCAGGTCCCCGCCGCAACTCGAGCAAAACCATGAGACTTCCCCCTAGAGGCGAGATGAGGCCCCACTCCCCTGCAGTGCATGCAGAGCTATTCCGTGATCCCATTCAAACAAGTCAGGAGCTTCGACGTGCTTAATGGATCTCGAGACAGTCCCCAAAAACACTGTCACCAGTCTAGACGGACCCTGAGGTCCCCCAGCCACGCAAAGCAGCTCCATGTGCCCCAAATCAACTCGAGATAAGGCCCGATTCCCCTGCATTGACTCCAGAGCCATTCCCTGTTCCCCATTCAACACGACCGGTGGCTCGACTTCCTTCAGGCAATAACAGAGATGCCCCGTGAACACTGTCCCAAGTCTAGAGGAACACCAACTTCAGCACAGCAACTCGAGGAATGCTCCATGTACCACAAATCGTCTCGAGATGAGAGCTGATTCCCTGGCTTAGGCTCAAGACGTATGCCAACTTTCCAGAAGCACCTCAGGAGGAGGCTTCTCACAGCAATAGGTTTGTGGGAGGGACCCCGAGATCGCTGCCTCAAGTGGAATATACAGCGAGAATACCTAACTTGAAAGGAGGCCGGATTTCCTTGCAGTGGCTTGAATACAGGCTCGTCTTTGATCTCACAACATGAAGGCATGTCTGAATCCCCTGTGGAGACCTTAGAGAAAGCCCTAGGTCCCTGCCTCATTTTGACGGAATGCCTCACATCCCGTTGACACCTCGAGAGGCACTCGGAGTTCATTGCTTCAAAACGTGACGATGCCTGACTCCTCTTGAATACTGATAAGAATCCCAAAATCCCTGTGGCTACTGGAATGGGTCCTTGGGTGCCCTGCCTCACCTCGAGAAGCGTCCCTTTTGCCCTGCCAAGCCTCGAAGAGATTCCTGAGGTGTCCCTCGTTACTAGACAGGAGTCCTGACGTCACTGAAGAAACTCGTGTTTTGAAGGGCCATCCCCGCCGTAAGTCGAGAACGTACCCCAGGTCCCCGCCGCAACTCGAGAAAATCCATGAGACTTCCCCCTAGAGGCGAGATGAGGCCCCATTCCCATTCAGTGCATGCAGAGGTATTCCGTGATCCCATTCAAACAAGTCAGGAGCTTCGACTTTCTTAATGGATCTCGAGCCAGTCCCCAAGAACACTGTCACCAGTCTAGACGGACCCTGAGGTCACCCCAGCAACGCAAAGCAGCTCCATGTGCCCCAAATCAACTCGAGATGAGGCCCGATTCCCCTGCATTGACTCCAGAGCCATTCCCCGTTCCCCATTCAACACGACCGGTGGCTCGACTTCCTTCAGGCAACTCCAGAGATGCCCCGAGAACACTGTCCCAAGTCTAGAGGAACACCAACTTCAGCATAGCAACACGAGGAATGCTCCATGTACCCCAAATCGTCTCGAGATGTGAGCTGATTCCCTGGCTTAGGCTCAAGACGTATGCCAAGTTTCCAGAAGCACCTCAGGAGGAGGCTTCTCTCAGTAATATGTATGTGGGAGGGACCCCGAGATCGCTGCCTCAAGTGGAATATACAGCGAGAAGCCCTAACTTGAAAGGAGGCCGGATTTCCTTGCAGTGGCTTGAATACAGGCTCGTCTTTGATCTCACAACATGAAGGCATGTCTGAATCCCCTGTGGAGACCTTAGAGAAAGCCCTAGGTCCCTGCCTCATTTTGACGGAATGCCTCACATCCCGCTGACACCTCGAGAGGCACGCGGAGTTCATTGCTTCAAAAGGTGACGATGCCTGACTCCTCTTGAATACTGATAGGAATCCCACAATCCCTGTGGCTACTGGAATGGGTCCTTGGGTGCCCTGCCTCACCTCGAGAAGCATCCCTTTTGCCCTGCCAAGCCTCGAAGAGATTCCTGAGGTGTCCCTCGTTACTAGACAGGAGTCCTGATGTCACTGAAGAAACTCTTGTTTTGAAGGGCCATCCCCGCCGTAAGTCGAGAACATACCCCAGGTCCCCGTCGCAACTCGAGCAAAACCATGAGACTTCCCCCTAGAGGCGAGATGAGGCCCCATTCACCTGCAGTGCATGCAGAGCTATTCCGTGATCCCATTCAAACAAGTCAGGAGCTTCGACTTGCTTAATGGATCTCGAACCAGTCCCCAAGAACACTGTCACCAGTCTAGACGGACCCTGAGGTCAACCCAGCAACGGAAAGCAGCTCCATGTGCCCCAAGTCAACTCGAGATGAGGCCCGATTCCCCTGCATTGACTCCAGAGCCATTCCCCGTTCCCCATTCAACACGACCGGTGGCTCGACTTCCTTCAGGCAATAACAGAGATGCCCCGAGAACACTGTCCCAAGTCTAGAGGAACACCAACTTCAGCACAGCAACTCGAGGAATGCTCCGTGTACCCCAAATCGTCTCGAGATGAGAGCTGATTCCCTGGCTTAGGCTCAAGACGTATGCCAACTTTCCAGAAGCACCTCAGGAGGAGGCTTCTCTCAGCAATAGTTATGTGGGATGGACCCCGAGATCGCTGCCTCAAGTGGAATATACAGCGAGAAGCCCTAACTTATAAGGAGGCCGGATTTCCTTGCAGTGGCTTGAATACAGACTCGTCTTTGATCTCACAACATGAAGGCATGTCTGAATCCCCTGTGGAGACCTTAGAGAAAGCCCTAGGTCCCTGCCTCATTTTGACGGAATGCCTCACATCCCGTTGACACCTCGAGAGGCACGCGGAGTTCATTGCTTCAAAAGGTGACGATGCCTGACTCCTCTTGAATACTGATAGGAATCCCACAATCCCTGTGGCTACTGGAATGGGTCCTTGGGTGCCCTGCCTCACCTCGAGAAGCGTTCCTTTGCCCTGCAAAGCCTCGAAGAAATTCCTGAGGTGTCCCTCGTTACGAGACAGGAGTCATGACGTCACTGAAGAAAATCGTGTTTTGAAGGGCCATCCCCGCCGTAAGTCGAGAACATACCCCAGGTTCCCGCCGCAACTCGAGAAAAACCATGAGACTTCCCCCTAGAGGCGAGATGAGGCCCCATTCCCCTGCAGTGCATGCAGAGCTATTCCGTGATCCCATTCAAACAAGTCAGGAGCTTCGACTTCCTTAATGGATCTCGAGACAGTCCCCCAAAACACTGTCACCAGTCTAGACGGACCCTGAGGTCACCCCAGCAACGCATAGCAGCTCCATGTGCCCCAAATCAACTCGAGATGAGGCCCGATTCCCCTGCATTGACTCCAGAGCCATTCCCTGTTCCCCATTCAACACGACCGGTGGCTCGACTTCCTTCAGGCAATAACAGAGATGCCCCGTGAACACTGTCCCAAGTCTAGAGGAACACGAACTCAACACAGCAACTCGAAGAATGCTCCATGTACCCCAAATCGTCTCAAGATGAGAGCTGATTCCCTGGCTTAGGCTCAAGACGTATGCCAACTTTCCAGAAGCACCTCAGGAGGAGGCTTCTCTCAGCAATAGATATGTGGGAGGGACCCCGAGATCGCTGCCTCAAGTGGAATATACAGCGAGAATCTCTAACTTGAAAGGAGGCCGGATTTCCTTGCAGTGGCTTGAATACAGGCTCGTCTTTGATCTCACAACATGAAGGCATGTCTGAGTCCCCTGTGGAGACCTTAGAGAAAGCCCTAGGTCCCTGCCTCATTTTGTCGGAATGCCTCACATCCCGTTGACACCTCGAGAGGCACGCGGAGTTCATTGCTTCAAAAGGTGACGATGCCTGACTCCTCTTGAATACTGATAGGAATCCCAAAATCCCTGTTTCTACTGGAATGGGTCCTTGGGTGCCCTGCCTCACCTCGAGAAGCGTCCCTTTTGCCCTGCCAAGCCTCGAAGAGATTCCTGAGGTGTCCCTTGTTACTAGACAGGAGTCCTGACGTCACTGAAGAAACTCGTGTTTTGAAGGGCCATCCCCGCCGTAAGTCGAGAACGTACCCCAGGTCCCCGCCGCAACTCGAGAAAATCCATGAGACTTCCTCCTAGAGGCGAGATGAGGCCCCATTCCCATTCAGTGCATGCAGAGCTATTCCGTGATCCCATTCAAACAAGTCAGGAGCTTCGACTTGCTTAATGGATCTCGAACCAGTCCCCAAGAACACTGTCACCAGTCTAGACGGACCCTGAGGTGACCCCAGCAACGCAAAGCAGCTTCATGTGCCCCAAATCAACTCGAGATGAGGCCCGATTCCCCTGCATTGACTCCAGAGCCATTACCCGTTCCCCATTCAACACGACCGGGGGCTCGACTTCCTTCAGGCAACTCCAGAGATGCCCGGAGAACACTATCCCAAGTCTAGAGGAACACCAACTTCAGCATAGCAACTCGAGGAATGCTCCATGTACCCCAAATCGTCTCGAGATGAGAGCTGATTCCCTGGCTTAGGCTCAAGACGTATGCCAACTTTCCAGAAGCACCTCAGGAGGAGGCTTCTCTCAGCAATAGGTATGTGGGAGGGACCCCGAGATCGCTGCCTCAAGTGGAATATACAGCGAGAAGCCCTAACTTGAAAGGAGGCCAGATTTCCTTGCAGTGGCTTGAATACAGGCTCGTCTTTGATCTCACAACATGAAGGCATGTCTGAATCCCCTGTGGAGAACTTAGAGAAAGCCCTAGGTCAGTGCCTCATTTTGACGGAATGCCTCACATCCCGTTGACACCTCGAGAGGCACGCAGAGTTCATTGCTTCAAAAGGTGACGATGCCTGACTCCTCTTGTATAATGATAGGAATCCCACAATCACTGTGGCTACTGGAATGGGTCCTTGGGTGCCCTACCTCACCTCGAGAAGCATCCCTTGTGCCCTGCCAAGCCTCGAAGAGATTCCTGAGGTGTCCCTCGTTACTAGACAGGAGTCCTGATGTCACTGAAGAAACTCGTGTTTTGAAGGGCCATCCCCGCCGTAAGTCGAGAACATACCTCAGGTCCCCGCAGCAACTCGAGAAAAACCATGAGACTTCCCCCTAGAGGCGAGGTGAGGCCCCATTCCCCTGCAGTGCATGCAGAGCTATTCCGTGATCCCATTCAAACAAGTCAGGAGCTTCGCCTTGCTTAATGGATCTCGAGACAGTCCCCAAGAACACTGTCACCAGTCTAGACGGACCCTGAGGTCAACCCAGTAACGGAAAGCAGCTCCATGTGCCCCAAATCAACTCGAGATGAGGCCCGATTCCCCTGCATTGACTCCAGAGCCATTCCCCGTTCCCCATTCAACACGACCGGTGGCTCGACTTCCTTCAGGCAACTCCAGAGATGCCCCATGAACACTGTCCCAAGTCTAGAGGAACACCATCTTCAGCACAGCAACTCGAGGAATGTTCCATGTACCCCAAATCGTCTCGAGATGAGAGCTGATTCCCTGGCTTAGGCTCAAGACGTATGCCAACTTTCCAGAAGCACCTCAGGAGGAGGCTTCTCTCAACAATAGGTATGTGGTAGGGACACCGAGATCGCTGCCTCAAGTGGAATATACAGCGAGAATCCCTAACTTGAAAGGATGGCGGATTTCCTTGCAATGGCTTGAATACAGGCTCGTCTTTGATCTCACAACATGAAGGCATGTCTGAATCCCCTTTGGAGGCCTTAGAGAAAGCAATAGGTCCCTGCCTCATTTCGACGGAATGCCTCACATCCCGTTGACACCTCGAGAGCCACGCGGAGTTCATTGCTTCAAAAGGTGACGATGCCTGACTCCTCTTGAATACTGATAGGAATCCCAAAATCCCTGTGGCTACTGGAATGGGTCCTTGGGTGCCCTGCCTCACCTCGAGAAGCGTCCCTTTTGCCCTGCCAAGCCTCGAAGAGATTCCTGAGGTGTCCCTTGTTACTAGACAGGAGTCCTGACGTCACTGAAGAAACTCGTGTTTTGAAGGGCCATCGCCGCCGTAAGTCGAGAACGTACCCCAGGTCCCCGCCGCAACTCGAGAAAATCCATGAGACTTCCCCCTAGAGGCGAGATGAGGCCCCATTCCCATTCAGTGCATGCAGAGCTATTCCGTGATCCCATTCAAACAAGTCAGGAGCTTCGACTTGCTTAATGGATCTCGAGACAGTCCCCAAGAACACTGTCACCAGTCTAGACGGACCCTGAGGTCACCCCAGCAACGCAAAGCAGCTCCATGTGCCCCAAATCAACTCGAGATGAGGCCCGATTCCCCTGCATTGACTCCAGAGCCATTCCCCGTTCCCCATTCAACACGACCGGTGGCTCGACTTCCTTCAGGCAACTCCAGAGTTGCCCCGAGAACACTGTCCCAAGTCTAGAGGAACACCAACTTCAGCATAGCAACTCGAGGAATGCTCCATGTACCCCAAATCGTCTCGAGATGAGAGCTGATTCCCTGGCTTAAGCTCAAGACGTATGCCAACTTTCCAGAAGCACTTCAGGAGGAGGATTCTCTCAGCAATAGGTATGTGGGAGGGACCCCGAGATCGCTCACTCAAGTGGAATATACAGCGAGAAGCCCTAACTTGAAAGGAGGCCAGATTTCCTTGGAGTGGCTTGAATACAGGCTCGTCTTTGATCTCACAACATGAAGGCATGTCTGAATCCCCTGTGGAGAACTTAGAGAAAGCCCTAGGTCCCTGCCTCATTTTGACGGAATGCCTCACATCCCGTTGACACCTCGAGAGGCACGCAGAGTTCATTGCTTCAAAAGGTGACGATGCCTGACTCCTCTTGAATACTGATAGGAATCCCACAATCCCTGTGGCTACTGGAATGGGTCCTTGGGTGCCCTGCCTCACCTCGAGAAGCATCCCTTTTGCCCTGCCAAGCCTCGAAGAGATTCCTGAGGTGTCCCTCGTTACTAGACAGGAGTCCTGATGTCACTGAAGAAACTCTAGTTTTGAAGGGCCATCCCCGCCGTAAGTCGAGAACATACCCCAGGTCACCGCCGCAACTCGAGAAACACCATGAGACTTCCCCCTAGAGGCGAGATGAGGCCACATTCCCCTGCAGTGCATGCAGAGCTATTCCGTGATCCCATTCAAACAAGTCAGGAGCGTCGACTTGCTTAATGGATCTCGAGACAGTCCCCAAGAACACTGTCACCAGTCTAGACGGACTCTGAGGTCAACCCAGCAACGGAAAGAAGCTCCATGTGCCCCAAATCAACTCGAGATGAGGCCCGATTCCCCTGCATTGACTCCAGAGCGATTCCCCATTCCCCATTCAACACGACCGGTGGCTCGACTTCCTTCAGGCAATAACAGAGATGCCCCGTGAACACTGTCCAAAGTCTAGAGGAACACCAACTTCAGCACAGCAACTCGAGGAATGCTCCATGTACCCCAAATCGTCTCGAGATGAGAGCTGATTCCCTGGCTTAGGCTCAAGACGTATGCCAACTTTCCAGAAGCACCTCAGGAGGAGGCTTCTCTCAGCAATAGGTATGTGGGAGGGACACTGAGATCGCTGCCTCAAGTGGAATATACAGCGAGAATCCCTAACTTGAAAGGAGGCCGAATTTCCTTGCAGTGGCTTGAATACAGGCTCGTCTTTGATCTCACAACATGAAGGCATGTCTGAATCCCCTGTGGAGACCTTAGAGAAAGCCCTAGGGCCCTGCCTCATTTTGACGGAATTCCTCACATCCTGTTGACACCTCGAGAGGCACGCGGAGTTCATTGATTCAAAAGGTGACGATGCCTGACTCCTCTTGAATACTGATAGGAATCCCAAAATCCCTGTGGCTACTGGAATGGGTCCTTGGGTGCCCTGCCTCACCTCGAGAAGCGTCCCTTTTGCCCTGCCAAGCCTCGAAGAGATTCCTGAGGTGTCCCTTGTTACTAGACAGGAGTCCTGACGTCACTGAAGAAACTCGTGTTTTGAAGGGCCATCCCCGCCGTAAGTCGAGAACGTACCCCAGGTCCCCGCCGCAACTCGAGAAAATCCATGAGACTTCCCCCTAGAGGCGAGATGAGGCCCCATTCCCCTGCAGGGCATGCAGAGCTATTCCGTGATCCCATTCAAACAAGTCAGGAGCTTCGACTTGCTTACTGGATCTCGAACCAGTCCCCAAGAACACTGTCACCAGTCTAGACGGAACCTGAGGTCACCCCAGCAACGCAAAGCAGCTCCATGTGCCCCAAATCAACTCGAGATGAGGCCCGATTCCCCTGCATTGACTCCAGAGCCATTCCCCGTTCCCCATTCAACACGACCGGTGGCTCGACTTCCTTCAGGCAACTCCAGAGATGTCCCGAGAACACTGTCCCAAGTCTAGAGGAACACCAACTTCAGCACAGCAACTCGAGGAATGCTCCATGCACCCCAAATCGTCTCGAGATGAGAGCTGATTCCCTGGCTTAGGCTCAAGACGTATGCCAACTTTCCAGAAGCACCTCAGGAGGAGGCTTCTCTCAGCAATAGTTATGTGGGATGGACCCCGAGATCGCTGCCTCCAGTGGAATATACAGCGAGAAGCCCTAACTTATGAGGAGGCCGGATTTCCTTGCAGTGGCTTGAATACAGACTCGTCTTTGATCTCACAACATGAAGGCATGTCTGAATCCCCTGTGGAGACCTTAGAGAAAGCCCTAGGTCCCTGCCTCATTTTGACGGAATGCCTCACATCCCGTTGACACCTCGAGAGGCACGCGGAGTTCATTGCTTCAAAAGGTGACGATGCCTGACTCCTCTTGAATACTGATAGGAATCCCACAATCCCTGTGGCTACTGGAATGGGTCCTTGGGTGCCCTGCCTCACCTCGAGAAGCGTTCCTTTGCCCTGCAAAGCCTCGAAGAAATTCCTGAGGTGTCCCTCGTTACGAGACAGGAGTCATGACGTCACTGAAGAAAATCGTGTTTTGAAGGGCCATCCCCGCCGTAAGTCGAGAACATACCCCAGGTCCCCGCCGCAACTCGAGAAAAACCATGAGACTTCCCCCTAGAGGCGAGATGAGGCCCCATTCCCCTGCAGTGCATGCAGAGCTATTCCGTGATCCCATTCAAACAAGTCAGGAGCTTCGACGTGCTTAATGGATCTCGAGAGAGTCCCCCAAAACACTGTCACCAGTCTAGACGGACCCTGAGGTCACCCCAGCAACGCAAAGCAGCTCCATGTGCCCCAAATCAACTCGAGATGAGGCCCGATTCCCCTGCATTGACTCCAGAGCCATTCCCTGTTCCCCATTCAACACGACCGGTGGCTCGACTTCCTTCAGGCAATAACAGAGATGCCCCGTGAACACTGTCCCAAGTCTAGAGGAACACCAACTCAACACAGCAACTCGAAGAATGCTCCATGTACCCCAAATCGTCTCGAGATGAGAGCTGATTCCCTGGCTTAGGCTCAAGACGTATGCCAACTTTCCAGAAGCACCTCAGGAGGAGGCTTCTCTCAGCAATAGGTATGTGGGAGGGACCCCGAGATCGCTGCCTCAAGTGGAATATACAGCGAGAATCTCTAACTTGAAAGGAGGCCGGATTTCCTTGCAGTGGCTTGAATACAGGCTCGTCTTTGATCTCACAACATGAAGGCATGTCTGAGTCCCCTGTGGAGACCTTAGAGAAAGCCCTAGGTCCCTGCCTCATTTTGTCGGAATGCCTCACATCCCGTTGACACCTCGAGAGGCACGCGGAGTTCATTGCTTCAAAAGGTGACGATGCCTGACTCCTCTTGAATACTGATAGGAATCCCAAAATCCCTGTTTCTACTAGAATGGGTCCTTGGGTGCCCTGCCTCACCTCGAGAAGCGTCCCTTTTGCCCTGCCAAGCCTCGAAGAGATTCCTGAGGTGTCCCTTGTTACTAGACAGGAGTCCTGACGTCACTGAACAAACTCGTGTTTTGAAGGGCCATCCCCGCCGTAAGTCGAGAACGTACCCCAGGTCCCCGCCGCAACTCGAGAAAATCCATGAGACTTCCTCCTAGAGGCGAGATGAGGCCCCATTCCCATTCAGTGCATGCAGAGCTATTCCGTGATCACATTCAAACAAGTCAGGAGCTTCGACTTGCTTAATGGATCTCGAACCAGTCCCCAAGAACACTGTCACCAGTCTAGACGGACCCTGAGGTGACCCCAGCAACGCAAAGCAGCTCCATGTGCCCCAAATCAACTCGAGATGAGGCCCGATTCCCCTGCATTGACTCCAGAGCCATTACCCGTTCCCCATTCAACACGACCGGTGGCTCGACTTCCTTCAGGCAACTCCAGAGATGCCCCGAGAACACTATCCCAAGTCTAGAGGAACACCAACTTCAGCATAGCAACTCGAGGAATGCTCCATGTACCCCAAATCGTCTCGAGATGAGAGCTGATTCCCTGGCTTAGGCTCAAGACGTATGCCAACTTTCCAGAAGCACCTCAGGAGGAGGCTTCTCTCAGCAATAGGTATGTGGGAGGGACCCCGAGATCGCTGCCTCAAGTGGAATATACAGCGAGAAGCCCTAACTTATAAGGAGGCCGGATTTCCTTGCAGTGGCTTGAATACAGACTCGTCTTTGATCTCACAACATGAAGGCATGTCTGAATCCCCTGTGGAGACCTTAGAGAAAGCCCTAGGTCCCTGCCTCATTTTGACGGAATGCCTCACATCCCGTTGACACCTCGAGAGGCACGCGGAGTTCATTGCTTCAAAAGGTGACGATGCCTGACTCCTCTTGAATACTGATAGGAATCCCACAATCCCTGTGGCTACTGGAATGGGTCCTTGGGTGCCCTGCCTCACCTCGAGAAGCGTTCCTTTGCCCTGCAATTCCTCGAAGAAATTCCTGATGTGTCCCTCGTTACGAGACAGGAGTCATGACGTCACTGAAGAAAATCGTGTTTTGAAGGGCCATCCCCGCCGTAAGTCGAGAACATACCCCAGGTCCCCGCCGCAACTCGAGAAAAACCATGAGACATCCCCCTAGAGGCGAGATGAGGCCCCATTCCCCTGCAGTGCATGCAGAGCTATTCCGTGATCCCATTCAAACAAGTCAGGAGCTTCGACGTGCTTAATGGATCTCGAGAGAGTCCCCCAAAACACTGTCACCAGTCTAGACGGACCCTGAGGTCACCCCAGCAACGCAAAGCAGCTCCATGTGCCCCAAATCAACTCGAGATGAGGCCCGATTCCCCTGCATTGACTCCAGAGCCATTCCCTGTTCCCCATTCAACACGACCGGTGGCTCGACTCCCTTCAGGCAATAACAGAGATGCCCAGTGAACACTGTCCCAAGTCTAGAGGAACACCAACTCAACACAGCAACTCGAAGAATGCTCCATGTACCCCAAATCATCTCGAGATGAGAGCTGATTCCCTGGCTTAGGCTCAAGACGTATGCCAACTTTCCAGAAGCACCTCAGGAGGAGGCCTCTCTCAGCAATAGATATGTGGGAGGGACCCCGAGATCGCTGCCTCAAGTGGAATATACAGCGAGAATCTCTAACTTGAAAGGAGGCCGGATTTCCTTGCAGTGGCTTGAATACAGGCTCGTCTTTGATCTCACAACATGAAGGCATGTCTGAGTCCCCTGTGGAGACCTTAGAGAAAGCCCTAGGTCCCTGCCTCATTTTGTCGGAATGCCTCACATCCCGTTGACACCTCGAGAGGCACGCGGAGTTCATTGCTTCAAAAGGTGACGATGCCTGACTCCTCTTGAATACTGATAGGAATCCCAAAATCCCTGTTTCTACTAGAATGGGTCCTTGGGTGCCCTGCCTCACCTCGAGAAGCGTCCCTTTTGCCCTGCCAAGCCTCGAAGAGATTCCTGAGTTGTCCCTTGTTACTAGACAGGAGTCCTGACGTCACTGAAGAAACTCGTGTTTTGAAGGGCCATCCCCGCCGTAAGTCGAGAACATACCTCAGGTCCCCGGCGCAACTCGAGAAAAACCATGAGACTTCCCCCTAGAGGCGAGATGAGGCCCCATTCCCCTGCAGTGCATGCAGAGCTATTCCGTGTTCCCATTCAAACAAGTCAGGAGCTTCGCCTTGCTTAATGGATCTCGAGACAGTCCCCAAGAACACTGTCACCAGTCTAGACGGACCCTGAGGTCAACCCAGTAACGGAAAGCAGCTCCATGTGCCCCAAATCAACTCGAGATGAGGCCCGATTCCCCTGCATTGACTCCAGAGCCATTCCCCGTTCCCCATTCAACACGACCGGTGGCTCGACTTCCTTCAGGCAATAACAGAGATGCCCCATGAACACTGTCCCAAGTCTAGAGGAACACCAACTTCAGCACAGCAACTCGAGGAATGTTCCATGTACCCCAAATCGTCTCGAGATGAGAGCTGATTCCCTGGCTTAGGCTCAAGACGTATGCCAACTTTCCAGAAGCACCTCAGGAGGAGGCTTCTCTCAGCAATAGGTATGTGGTAGGGACACCGAGATCGCTGCCTCAAGTGGAATATACAGCGAGAATCCCTAACTTGAAAGGATGGCGGATTTCCTTGCAATGGCTTGAATACAGGCTCGTCTTTGATCTCACAACATGAAGGCATGTCTGAATCCCCTTTGGAGGCCTTAGAGAAAGCAATAGGTCCCTGCCTCATTTTGACGGAATGCCTCACATCCCGTTGACACCTCGAGAGGCACGTGGAGTTCATTGCTTCAAAAGGTGACGATGCCTGACTCCTCTTGAATACTGATAGGAATCCCACAATCCCTGTGGCTACTGGAATGGGTCCTTGGGTGCCCTGCCTCACCTCGAGAAGCATCCCTTTTGCCCTGCCAAGCCTCGAAGAGATTCCTGAGGTGTCCCTCGTTACTAGACAGCAGTCCTGATGTCACTGAAGAAACTCGTGTTTTGAAGGGCCATCCCCGCCGTGAGTCGAGAACATACCCCAGGTCCCCGCCGCAACTCGAGAAAAACCATGAAACTTCCACCTAGAGGCGAGATGAGGCCCCATTCCCCTGCAGTGCATGCAGAGCTATTCCGTGATCCCATTCAAACAAGTCAGGAGCTTCGACTTGCTTAATGGATCTCGAGCCAGTCCCCAAGAACACTGTCACCAGTCTAGACGGACACTGAGGTCACCCCAGCAACGCAAAGCAGCTCCATGTGCCCCAAATCAAATCGAGATGAGGCCCGATTCCCCTGCATTGACTCCAGAGTCATTCCCCGTTCCCCATTCAACACGACCGGTGGCTCGACTTCCTTCAGGCAACTCCAGAGATGCCCCGAGAACACTGTCCCAAGTCTAGAGGAACACCAACTTCAGCAGAGCAACACGAGGAATGCTCCATGTACCCCAAATCGTCTCGAGATGAGAGCTGATTCCCTTGCTTAAGCTCAAGACGTATGCCAACTTTCCAGAAGCACCTCAGGAGGAGGATTCTCTCAGCAATAGGTATGTGGGAGGGACCCCGAGATCGCTCACTCAAGTGGAATATACAGCGAGAAGCCCTAACTTGAAAGGAGGCCAGATTTCCGTGCAGTGGCTTGAATACAGGCTCGTCTTTGATCTCACAACATGAAGGCATGTCTGAATCCCCTGTGGAGAACTTAGAGAAAGCCCTAGGTCCCTGCCTCATTTTGACGGAATGCCTAACATCCCGTTGACACCTAGAGAGGCACGCAGAGTTCATTGCTTCAAAAGGTGACGATGCCTGACTCCTCTTGAATACTGATAGGAATCCCACAATCCCTGTGGCTACTGGAATGGGTCCTTGGGTGCCCTGCCTCACCTCGAGAAGCATCCCTTTTGCCCTGCCAAGCCTCGAAGAGATTCCTGAGGTGTCCCTTGTTACTAGACAGGAGTCCTGATGTCACTGAAGAAACTCGTGTTTTGAAGGGCCATCCCCGCCGTAAGTCGAGAACATACCCCAGGTCCCCGCCGCAACTCGAGAAAAACCATGAGACTTCCCCCTAGAGGCGAGATGAGGCCCCATTCCCCTGCAGTGCATGCAGAGCTATTCCGTGATCCCATTCAAACAAGTCAGGAGCTTCGACTTGCTTAATGGATCTCGAGACAGTCCCCAAGAACACTGTCACCAGTCTAGAAGGACTCTGAGGTCAACCCAGCAACGGAAAGCAGCTCCATGTGCCCCAAATCAACTCGAGATGAGGCCCGATTCCCCTGCATTGACTCCAGAGCGATTCCCCATTCCCCATTCAACATGACCGGTGGCTCGACTTCCTTCAGGCAATAACAGAGATGCCCCGAGAACACTGTCCAAAGTCTAGAGGAACACCAACTTCAGCACAGCAACTCGAGGAATGCTCCATGTACCCCAAATCGTCTCGAGATGAGAGCTGATTCCCTGGCTTAGGCTCAAGACGTATGCCAACTTTCCAGAAGCACCTCAGGAGGAGGCTTCTCTCAGCAATAGGTATGTGGGAGGGACACTGAGATCGCTGCCTCAAGTGGAATATACAGCGAGAAGCCCTAACTTGAAAGGAGGCCGGATTTCCTTCTGGTGGCTTGAATACAGGCTCGTGTTTGATCTCACAACGTGAAGGCATGTCTGAATCCCCTGTGGAGGCCTTAGAGAAAGCCCTAGGTCCCTGCCTCATTTTGACGGAATGCCTCACATCCCGTTGACACCTCGAGAGGCACGCGGAGTTCATTGCTTCAAAAGGTGACGATGCCTGACTCCTCTTGAATACTGATAGGAATCCCAAAATCCCTGTGGCTACTGGAATGGGTCCTTGGGTGCCCTGCCTCACCTCGAGAAGCGTCCCTTTTGCCCTGCCAAGCCTCGAAGAGATTCCTGAGGTGTCCCTTGTTACTAGACAGGAGTCCTGACGTCACTGAAGAAAATCGTGTTTTGAAGGGCCATCCCCGCCGTAAGTCCAGAACGTACCCCAGGTCCCCGTCGCAACTCGAGAAAATCCATGAGACTTCCCCCTAGAGGCGAGATGAGGCCCCATTCCCCTGCAGGGCATGCAGAGCTATTCCGTGATCCCATTCAAACAAGTCAGGAGCTTCGACTTGCTTAATGGATCTCGAACCAGTCCCCAAGAACACTGTCACCAGTCTAGATGGAATCTGAGGTCACCCCAGCAACGCAAAGCAGCTCCATGTGCCCCAAATCAACTCGAGATTAGGCCCGATTCCCCTGCATTGACTCCAGAGCCATTCCCCGTTCCCCATTCAACACGACCGGTGGCTCGACTTCCTTCAGGCAACTCTAGAGATGCCCCGAGAACACTGTCCCAATTCTAGAGGAACACCAACTTCAGCACAGCAACTCGAGGAATGCTCCATGCACCCCAAATCGTCTCGAGATGAGAGCTGATTCCCTGGCTTAGGCTCAAGACGTATGCCAACTTTCCAGAAGCACCTCAGGAGGAGGCTTCTCTCAGCAATAGTTATGTGGGATGGACCCCGAGATCGCTGCCTCAAGTGGAATATACAGCGAGAAGCCCTAACTTATAAGGAGGCCGGATTTCCTTGCAGTGGCGTGAATACAGACTCGTCTTTGATCTCACAACATGAAGGCATGTCTGAATCCCCTGTGGATACCTTAGAGAAAGCCCTAGGTCCCTGCCTCATTTTGACGGAATGCCTCACATCCCGTTGACACCTCGAGAGGCACGCGGAGTTCATTGCTTCAAAAGGTGACGATGCCTGACTCCTCTTGAATACTGATAGGAATCCCACAATCCCTGTGGCTACTGGAATGGGTCCTTGGGTGCCCTGCCTCACCTCGAGAAGCGTTCCTTTGCCCTGCAAAGCCTTGAAGAAATTCCTGAGGTGTCCCTCGTTACGAGACAGGAGTCATGACGTCACTGAAGAAAATCGTGTTTTGAAGGGCCATCCCCGCCGTAAGTCGAGAACATACCCCGGTCCCCGCCGCAATTCGAGAAAAACCATGAGACTTCCCCCTAGAGGCGAGATGAGGCCCCATTCCCCTGCAGTGCATGCAGAGCTATTCCGTGATCCCATTCAAACAAGTCAGGAGCTTCGACGTACTTAATGGATCTCGAGACAGTCCCCCAAAACACTGTCACCAGTCTAGACGGACCCTGAGGTCACCCCAGCAATGCAAAGCAGCTCCATGTGCCCCAAATCAACTCGAGATGAGGCCCGATTCCCCTGCATTGACTCCAGAGCCATTCCCTGTTCCCCATTCAACACGACCGGTGGCTCGACTTCCTTCAGGCAATAACAGAGATGCCCCGTGAACACTGTCCCAAGTCTAGAGGAACACCAACTCAACACAGCAACTCGAAGAATGCTCCATGTACCCCAAATCGTCTCGAGATGAGAGCTGATTCCCCGGCTTAGGCTCAAGACGTATGCCAACTTTCCAGAAGCACCTCAGGAGGAGGCTTCTCTCAGCAATAGATATGTGGGAGGGACCCCGAGATCGCTGCCTCAAGTGGAATATACAGCGAGAATCTCTAACTTGAAAGGAGGCCGGATTTCCTTGCAGTGGCTTGAATACAGGCTCGTCTTTGATCTCACAACATGAAGGCATGTCTGAGTCCCCTGTGGAGACCTTAGAGAAAGCCCTAGGTCCCTGCCTCATTTTGTCGGAATGCCTCACATCCCGTTGACACCTCGAGAGTCACGCGGAGTTCATTGCTTCAAAAGGTGACGATGCCTGACTCCTCTTGAATACTGATAGGAATCCCAAAATCCCTGTTTCTACTGGAATGGGTCCTTGGGTGCCCTGCCTCACCTCGAGAAGCGTCCCTTTTGCCCTGCCAAGCCTCGAAGAGATTCCTGAGGTGTCCCTCGTTACTAGACAGGAGTCCTGATGTCACTGAAGAAACTCGTGTTTTGAAGGGCCATCCCCGCCGTAAGTCGAGAACATACCCCAGGTCACCGCCGCAACTCGAGAAAAACCATGAGACTTCCCCCTAGAGGCGAGATGAGGCCACATTCCCCTGCAGTGCATGCAGAGCTATTCCGTGATCCCATTCAAACAAGTCAGGAGCTTCGACTTGCTTAATGGATCTCGAGACAGTCCCCAAGAACACTGTCACCAGTCTAGACGGACTCTGAGGTCAACCCAGCAACGGAAAGCAGCTCCATGTGCCCCAAATCAACTCGAGATGAGGCCCGATTCCCCTGCATTGACTCCAGAGCGATTCCCCATTCCCCATTCAACACGACCGGTGGCTCGACTTCCTTCAGGCAATAACAGAGATGCCCCGTGAACACTGTCCAAAGTCTAGAGGAACACCAACTTCAGCACAGCAACTCGAGGAATGCTCCATGTACCCCAAATCGTCTCGAGATGAGAGCTGATTCCCTGGCTTAGGCTCAAGACGTATGCCAACTTTCCAGAAGCACCTCAGGAGGAGGCTTCTCTCAGCAATAGGTATGTGGGAGGGACACTGAGATCGCTGCCTCAAGTGGAATATACAGCGAGAAGCCCTAACTTGAAAGGAGGCCGGATTTCCTTGTAGTGGCTTGAATACAGGCTCGTGTTTGATCTCACAACGTGAAGGCATGTCTGAATCCCCTGTGGAGGCCTTAGAGAAAGCCCTAGGTCCCTGCCTCATTTTGACGGAATGCCTCACATCCCGTTGACACCTCGAGAGGCACGCGGAGTTCATTGCTTCAAAAGGTGACGATGCCTGACTCCTCTTGAATACTGATAGGAATCCCAAAATCCCTGTGGCTACTGGAATGGGTCCTTGGGTGCCCTGCCTCACCTCGAGAAGCGTCCCTTTTGCCCTGCCAAGCCTCGAAGAGATTCCTGAGGTGTCCCTTGTTACTAGACAGGAGTCCTGACGTCACTGAAGAAACTCGTGTTTTGAAGGGCCATCCCCGCCGTAAGTCGAGAACGTACCCCAGGTCCCCGCCGCAACTCGAGAAAATCCATGAGACTTCCCCCTAGAGGCGAGATGAGGCCCCATTCCCCTGCAGGGCATGCAGAGCTATTCCGTGATCCCATTCAAACAAGTCAGGAGCTTCGACTTGCTTACTGGATCTCGAACCAGTCCCCAAGAACACTGTCACCAGTCTAGACGGAACCTGAGGTCACCCCAGCAACGCAAAGCAGCTCCATGTGCCCCAAATCAACTCGAGATTAGGCCCGATTCCCCTGCATTGACTCCAGAGCCATTCCCCGTTCCCCATTCAACACGACCGGTGGCTCGACTTCCTTCAGGCAACTCCAGAGATGCCCCGAGAACACTGTCCCAAGTCTAGAGGAACACCAACTTCAGCACAGCAACTCGAGGAATGCTCCATGCACCCCAAATCGTCTCGAGATGAGAGCTGATTCCCTGGCTTAGGCTCAAGACGTATGCCAACTTTCCAGAAGCACCTCAGGAGGAGGCTTCTCTCACCAATAGTTATGTGGGATGGACCCCGAGATCGCTGCCTCAAGTGGAATATACAGCGAGAAGCCCTAACTTATAATGAGGCCGGATTTCCTTGCAGTGGCTTGAATACAGACTCGTCTTTGATCTCACAACATGAAGGCATGTCTGAATCCCCTGTGGAGACCTTAGAGAAAGCCCTAGGTCCCTGCCTCATTTTGACGGAATGCCTCACATCCCGTTGACACCTCGAGAGGCACGCGGAGTTCATTGCTTCAAAAGGTGACGATGCCTGACTCCTCTTGAATACTGATAGGAATCCCACAATCCCTGTGGCTACTGGAATGGGTCCTTGGGTGCCCTGCCTCACCTCGAGAAGCGTTCCTTTGCCCTGCAAAGCCTCGAAGAAATTCCTGAGGTGTCCCTCGTTACGAGACAGGAGTCATGACGTCAATGAAGAAAATCGTGTTTTGAAGGGCCATCCCCGCCGTAAGTCGAGAACATACCCCAGGTCCCCGCCGCAACTCGAGAAAAACCATGAACTTCCCCCTAGAGGCGAGATGAGGCCCCATTCCCCTGCAGTGCATGCAGAGCTATTCCGTGATCCCATTCAAACAAGTCAGGAGCTTCGACTTGCTTAATGGATCTCGAGACAGTCCCCAAGAACACTGTCACCAGTCTAGACGGACTCTGAGGTCAACCCAGCAACGGAAAGCAGCTCCATGTGCCCCAAATCAACTCGAGATGAGGCCCGATTCCCCTGCATTGACTCCAGAGCGATTCCCCATTCCCCATTCAACACGACCGGTGGCTCGACTTCCTTTAGGCAATAACAGAGATGCCCCGTGAACACTGTCCAAAGTCTAGAGGAACACCAACTTCAGCACAGCAACTCGAGAAATGCTCCATGTACCCCAAATCGTCTCGAGATGAGAGCTGATTCCCTGGCTTAGGCTCAAGACGTATGCCAACTTTCCAGAAGCACCTCAGGAGGAGGCTTCTCTCAGCAATAGATATGTGGGAGGGACCCCGAGATCGCTGCCTCAAGTGGAATATACAGCGAGAATCTCTAACTTGAAAGGAGGCCGGATTTCCTTGCAGTGGCTTGAATACAGGCTCGTCTTTGATCTCACAACATGAAGGCATGTCTGAGTCCCCTGTGGAGACCTTAGAGAAAGCCCTAGGTCCCTGCCTCATTTTGTCGGAATGCCTCACATCCCGTTGACACCTCGAGAGGCACGCGGAGTTCATTGCTTCAAAAGGTGACGATGCCTGACTCCTCTTGAATACTGATAGGAATCCCAAAATCCCTGTTTCTACTAGAATGGGTCCTTGGGTGCCCTGCCTCACCTCGAGAAGCGTCCCTTTTGCCCTGCCAAGCCTCGAAGAGATTCCTGAGGTGTCCCTTGTTACTAGACAGGAGTCCTGACGTCACTGAACAAACTCGTGTTTTGAAGGGCCATCCCCGCCGTAAGTCGAGAACGTACCCCAGGTCCCCGCCGCAACTCGAGAAAATCCATGAGACTTCCTCCTAGAGGCGAGATGAGGCCCCATTCCCATTCAGTGCATGCAGAGCTATTCCGTGATCCCATTCAAACAAGTCAGGAGCTTCGACTTGCTTAATGGATCTCGAACCAGTCCCCAAGAACACTGTCACCAGTCTAGACGGACCCTGAGGTGACCCCAGCAACGCAAAGCAGCTCCATGTGCCCCAAATCAACTCGAGATGAGGCCCGATTCCCCTGCATTGACTCCAGAGCCATTACCCGTTCCCCATTCAACACGACCGGTGGCTCGACTTCCTTCAGGCAACTCCAGAGATGCCCCGAGAACACTATCCCAAGTCTAGAGGAACACCAACTTCAGCATAGCAACTCGAGGAATGCTCCATGTACCCCAAATCGTCTCGAGATGAGAGCTGATTCCCTGGCTTAGGCTCAAGACGTATGCCAACTTTCCAGAAGCACCTCAGGAGGAGGCTTCTCTCAGCAATAGGTATGTGGGAGGGACCCCGAGATCGCTGCCTCAAGTGGAATATACAGCGAGAAGCCCTAACTTATAAGGAGGCCGGATTTCCTTGCAGTGGCTTGAATACAGACTCGTCTTTGATCTCACAACATGAAGGCATGTCTGAATCCCCTGTGGAGACCTTAGAGAAAGCCCTAGGTCCCTGCCTCATTTTGACGGAATGCCTCACATCCCGTTGACACCTCGAGAGGCACGCGGAGTTCATTGCTTCAAAAGGTGACGATGCCTGACTCCTCTTGAATACTGATAGGAATCCCACAATCCCTGTGGCTACTGGAATGGGTCCTTGGGTGCCCTGCCTCACCTCGAGAAGCGTTCCTTTGCCCTGCAATTCCTCGAAGAAATTCCTGATGTGTCCCTCGTTACGAGACAGGAGTCATGACGTCACTGAAGAAAATCGTGTTTTGAAGGGCCATCCCCGCCGTAAGTCGAGAACATACCCCAGGTCCCCGCCGCAACTCGAGAAAAACCATGAGACATCCCCCTAGAGGCGAGATGAGGCCCCATTCCCCTGCAGTGCATGCAGAGCTATTCCGTGATCCCATTCAAACAAGTCAGGAGCTTCGACGTGCTTAATGGATCTCGAGAGAGTCCCCCAAAATACTGTCACCAGTCTAGACGGACCCTGAGGTCACCCCAGCAACGCAAAGCAGCTCCATGTGCCCCAAATCAACTCGAGATGAGGCCCGATTCCCCTGCATTGACTCCAGAGCCATTCCCTGTTCCCCATTCAACACGACCGGTGGCTCGACTCCCTTCAGGCAATAACAGAGATGCCCAGTGAACACTGTCCCAAGTCTAGAGGAACACCAACTCAACACAGCAACTCGAAGAATGCTCCATGTACCCCAAATCGTCTCGAGATGAGAGCTGATTCCCTGGCTTAGGCTCAAGACGTATGCCAACTTTCCAGAAGCACCTCAGGAGGAGGCCTCTCTCAGCAATAGATATGTGGGAGGGACCCCGAGATCGCTGCCTCAAGTGGAATATACAGCGAGAATCTCTAACTTGAAAGGAGGCCGGATTTCCTTGCAGTGGCTTGAATACAGGCTCGTCTTTGATCTCACAACATGAAGGCATGTCTGAGTCCCCTGTGGAGACCTTAGAGAAAGCCCTAGGTCCCTGCCTCATTTTGTCGGAATGCCTCACATCCCGTTGACACCTCGAGAGGCACGCGGAGTTCATTGCTTCAAAAGGTGACGATGCCTGACTCCTCTTGAATACTGATAGGAATCCCAAAATCCCTGTTTCTACTAGAATGTGTCCTTGGGTGCCCTGCCTCACCTCGAGAAGCGTCCCTTTTGCCCTGCCAAGCCTCGAAGAGATTCCTGAGTTGTCCCTTGTTACTAGACAGGAGTCCTGACGTCACTGAAGAAACTCGTGTTTTGAAGGGCCATCCCCGCCGTAAGTCGAGAACATACCCCAGGTCCCCGGCGCAACTCGAGAAAAACCATGAGACTTCCCCCTAGAGGCGAGATGAGGCCCCATTCCCCTGCAGTGCATGCAGAGCTATTCCGTGTTCCCATTCAAACAAGTCAGGAGCTTCGCCTTGCTTAATGGATCTCGAGACAGTCCCCAAGAACACTGTCACCAGTCTAGACGGACCCTGAGGTCAACCCAGTAACGGAAAGCAGCTCCATGTGCCCCAAATCAACTCGAGATGAGGCCCGATTCCCCTGCATTGACTCCAGAGCCATTCCCCGTTCCCCATTCAACACGACCGGTGGCTCGACTTCCTTCAGGCAATAACAGAGATGCCCCATGAACACTGTCCCAAGTCTAGAGGAACACCAACTTCAGCACAGCAACTCGAGGAATGTTCCATGTACCCCAAATCGTCTCGAGATGAGAGCTGATTCCCTGGCTTAGGCTCAAGACGTATGCCAACTTTCCAGAAGCACCTCAGGAGGAGGCTTCTCTCAGCAATAGGTATGTGGTAGGGACACCGAGATCGCTGCCTCAAGTGGAATATACAGCGAGAATCCCTAACTTGAAAGGATGGCGGATTTCCTTGCAATGGCTTGAATACAGGCTCGTCTTTGATCTCACAACATGAAGGCATGTCTGAATCCCCTTTGGAGGCCTTAGAGAAAGCAATAGGTCCCTGCCTCATTTTGACGGAATGCCTCACATCCCGTTGACACCTCGAGAGGCACGTGGAGTTCATTGCTTCAAAAGGTGACGATGCCTGACTCCTCTTGAATACTGATAGGAATCCCACAATCCCTGTGGCTACTGGAATGGGTCCTTGGGTGCCCTGCCTCACCTCGAGAAGCATCCCTTTTGCCCTGCCAAGCCTCGAAGAGATTCCTGAGGTGTCCCTCGTTACTAGACAGCAGTCCTGATGTCACTGAAGAAACTCGTGTTTTGAAGGGCCATCCCCGCCGTGAGTCGAGAACATACCCCAGGTCCCCGCCGCAACTCGAGAAAAACCATGAAACTTCCACCTAGAGGCGAGATGAGGCCCCATTCCCCTGCAGTGCATGCAGAGCTATTCCGTGATCCCATTCAAACAAGTCAGGAGCTTCGACTTGCTTAATGGATCTCGAGCCAGTCCCCAAGAACACTGTCACCAGTCTAGACGGACACTGAGGTCACCCCAGCAACGCAAAGCAGCTCCATGTGCCCCAAATCAAATCGAGATGAGGCCCGATTCCCCTGCATTGACTCCAGAGTCATTCCCCGTTCCCCATTCAACACGACCGGTGGCTCGACTCCTTCAGGCAACTCCAGAGATGCCCCGAGAACACTGTCCCAAGTCTAGAGGAACACCAACTTCAGCAGAGCAACACGAGGAATGCTCCATGTACCCCAAATCGTCTCGAGATGAGAGCTGATTCCCTTGCTTAAGCTCAAGACGTATGCCAACTTTCCAGAAGCACCTCAGGAGGAGGATTCTCTCAGCAATAGGTATGTGGGAGGGACCCCGAGATCGCTCACTCAAGTGGAATATACAGCGAGAAGCCCTAACTTGAAAGGAGGCCAGATTTCCTTGCAGTGGCTTGAATACAGGCTCGTCTTTGATCTCACAACATGAAGGCATGTCTGAATCCCCTGTGGAGAACTTAGAGAAAGCCCTAGGTCCCTGCCTCATTTTGACGGAATGCCTAACATCCCGTTGACACCTCGAGAGGCACGCAGAGTTCATTGCTTCAAAAGGTGACGATGCCTGACTCCTCTTGAATACTGATAGGAATCCCACAATCCCTGTGGCTACTGGAATGGGTCCTTGGGTGCCCTGCCTCACCTCGAGAAGCATCCCTTTTGCCCTGCCAAGCCTCGAAGAGATTCCTGAGGTGTCCCTTGTTACTAGACAGGAGTCCTGATGTCACTGAAGAAACTCGTGTTTTGAAGGGCCATCCCCGCCGTAAGTCGAGAACATACCCCAGGTCCCCGCCGCAACTCGAGAAAAACCATGAGACTTCCCCCTAGAGGCGAGATGAGGCCCCATTCCCCTGCAGTGCATGCAGAGCTATTCCGTGATCCCATTCAAACAAGTCAGGAGCTTCGACTTGCTTAATGGATCTCGAGACAGTCCCCAAGAACACTGTCACCAGTCTAGAAGGACTCTGAGGTCAACCCAGCAACGGAAAGCAGCTCCATGTGCCCCAAATCAACTCGAGATGAGGCCCGATTCCCCTGCATTGACTCCAGAGCGATTCCCCATTCCCCATTCAACATGACCGGTGGCTCGACTTCCTTCAGGCAATAACAGAGATGCCCCGAGAACACTGTCCAAAGTCTAGAGGAACACCAACTTCAGCACAGCAACTCGAGGAATGCTCCATGTACCCCAAATCGTCTCGAGATGAGAGCTGATTCCCTGGCTTAGGCTCAAGACGTATGCCAACTTTCCAGAAGCACCTCAGGAGGAGGCTTCTCTCAGCAATAGGTATGTGGGAGGGACACTGAGATCGCTGCCTCAAGTGGAATATACAGCGAGAAGCCCTAACTTGAAAGGAGGCCGGATTTCCTTCTGGTGTCTTGAATACAGGCTCGTGTTTGATCTCACAACGTGAAGGCATGTCTGAATCCCCTGTGGAGGCCTTAGAGAAAGCCCTAGGTCCCTGCCTCATTTTGACGGAATGCCTCACATCCCGTTGACACCTCGAGAGGCACGCGGAGTTCATTGCTTCAAAAGGTGACGATGCCTGACTCCTCTTGAATACTGATAGGAATCCCAAAATCCCTGTGGCTACTGGAATGGGTCCTTGGGTGCCCTGCCTCACCTCGAGAAGCGTCCCTTTTGCCCTGCCAAGCCTCGAAGAGATTCCTGAGGTGTCCCTTGTTACTAGACAGGAGTCCTGACGTCACTGAAGAAAATCGTGTTTTGAAGGGCCATCCCCGCCGTAAGTCCAGAACGTACCCCAGGTCCCCGTCGCAACTCGAGAAAATCCATGAGACTTCCCCCTAGAGGCGAGATGAGGCCCCATTCCCCTGCAGGGCATGCAGAGCTATTCCGTGATCCCATTCAAACAAGTCAGGAGCTTCGACTTGCTTAATGGATCTCGAACCAGTCCCCAAGAACACTGTCACCAGTCTAGATGGAATCTGAGGTCACCCCAGCAACGCAAAGCAGCTCCATGTGCCCCAAATCAACTCGAGATTAGGCCCGATTCCCCTGCATTGACTCCAGAGCCATTCCCCGTTCCCCATTCAACACGACCGGTGGCTCGACTTCCTTCAGGCAACTCTAGAGATGCCCCGAGAACACTGTCCCAATTCTAGAGGAACACCAACTGCAGCACAGCAACTCGAGGAATGCTCCATGCACCCCAAATCGTCTCGAGATGAGAGCTGATTCCCTGGCTTAGGCTCAAGACGTATGCCAACTTTCCAGAAGCACCTCAGGAGGAGGCTTCTCTCAGCAATAGTTATGTGGGATGGACCCCGAGATCGCTGCCTCAAGTGGAATATACAGCGAGAAGCCCTAACTTATAAGGAGGCCGGATTTCCTTGCAGTGGCGTGAATACAGACTCGTCTTTGATCTCACAACATGAAGGCATGTCTGAATCCCCTGTGGATACCTTAGAGAAAGCCCTAGGTCCCTGCCTCATTTTGACGGAATGCCTCACATCCCGTTGACACCTCGAGAGGCACGCGGAGTTCATTGCTTCAAAAGGTGACGATGCCTGACTCCTCTTGAATACTGATAGGAATCCCACAATCCCTGTGGCTACTGGAATGGGTCCTTGGGTGCCCTGCCTCACCTCGAGAAGCGTTCCTTTGCCCTGCAAAGCCTTGAAGAAATTCCTGAGGTGTCCCTCGTTACGAGACAGGAGTCATGACGTCACTGAAGAAAATCGTGTTTTGAAGGGCCATCCCCGCCGTAAGTCGAGAACATACCCCGGTCCCCGCCGCAATTCGAGAAAAACCATGAGACTTCCCCCTAGAGGCGAGATGAGGCCCCATTCCCCTGCAGTGCATGCAGAGCTATTCCGTGATCCCATTCAAACAAGTCAGGAGCTTCGACGTACTTAATGGATCTCGAGACAGTCCCCCAAAACACTGTCACCAGTCTAGACGGACCCTGAGGTCACCCCAGCAATGCAAAGCAGCTCCATGTGCCCCAAATCAACTCGAGATGAGGCCCGATTCCCCTGCATTGACTCCAGAGCCATTCCCTGTTCCCCATTCAACACGACCGGTGGCTCGACTTCCTTCAGGCAATAACAGAGATGCCCCGTGAACACTGTCCCAAGTCTAGAGGAACACCAACTCAACACAGCAACTCGAAGAATGCTCCATGTACCCCAAATCGTCTCGAGATGAGAGCTGATTCCCTGGCTTAGGCTCAAGACGTATGCCAACTTTCCAGAAGCACCTCAGGACGAGGCTTCTCTCAGCAATAGATATGTGGGAGGGACCCCGAGATCGCTGCCTCAAGTGGAATATACAGCGAGAATCTCTAACTTGAAAGGAGGCCGGATTTCCTTGCAGTGGCTTGAATACAGGCTCGTCTTTGATCTCACAACATGAAGGCATGTCTGAGTCCCCTGTGGAGACCTTAGAGAAAGCCCTAGGTCCCTGCCTCATTTTGTCGGAATGCCTCACATCCCGTTGACACCTCGAGAGTCACGCGGAGTTCATTGCTTCAAAAGGTGACGATGCCTGACTCCTCTTGAATACTGACAGGAATCCCAAAATCCCTGTTTCTACTGGAATGGGTCCTTGGGTGCCCTGCCTCACCTCGAGAAGCGTCCCTTTTGCCCTGCCAAGCCTCGAAGAGATTCCTGAGGTGTCCCTTGTTACTAGAAAAGAGTCCTGACGTCACTGAAGAAACTCGTGTTTTGAAGGGCCATCCCCGCAGTAAGTCGAGAACGTACCCCAGGTCCCCGCCGCAACTCGAGAAAATCCATGAGACTTCCTCCTAGAGGCGAGATGAGGCCCCATTCCCATTCAGTGCATGCAGAGCTATTCCGTGATCCCATTCAAACAAGTCAGGAGCTTCGACTTGCTTAATGGATCTCGAACCAGTCCCCAAGAACACTGTCACCAGTCTAGACGGACCCTGAGGTGACCCCCTCAACGCAACGCAGCTCCATGTGCCCCAAATCAACTCGAGATGAGGCCCGATTCCCCTGCATTGACTCCAGAGCCATTCCCCGTTCCCCATTCAACACGACCGGTGGCTCGACTTCCTTCAGGCAACTCCAGAGATGCCCCGAGAACACTATCCCAAGTCTAGAGGAACACCAACTTCAGCATAGCAACTCGAGGAATGCTCCATGTACCCCAAATCGTCTCGAGATGAGAGCTGATTCCCTGGCTTAGGCTCAAGACGTATGCCAACTTTCCAGAAGCACCTCAGGAGGAGGCTTCTCTCAGCAATAGGTATGTGGGAGGGACCCCGAGATCGCTGCCTCAAGTGGAATATACAGCGAGAAGCCCTAACTTGAAAGGAGGCCAGATTTCCTTGCAGTGGCTTGAATACTGGCTCGTCTTTGATCTCACAACATGAAGGCATGTCTGAATCCCCTGTGGAGAACTTAGAGAAAGCCCTAGGTCCCTGCCTCATTTTGACGGAATGCCTCACATCACGTTGACACCTCGAGAGGCACGCGGAGTTCATTGCTTCAAAAGGTAACGATGCCTGACTCCTCTTGTATACTGATAGGAATCCCACAATCACTGTGGCTACTGGAATGGGTCCTTGGGTGCCCTACCTCACCTCGAGAAGCATCCCTTGTGCCCTGCCAAGCCTCGAAGAGATTCCTGAGGTGTCCCTCGTTACTAGACAGGAGTCCTGATGTCACTGAAGAAACTCGTGTTTTGAAGGGCCATCCCCGCTGTAAGTCGAGAACATACCTCAGGTCCCCGCCGCAACTCGAGAAAAACCATGAGACTTCCCCCTAGAGGCGAGATGAGGCCCCATTCCCCTGCAGTGCATGCAGAGCTATTCCGTGTTCCCATTCAAACAAGTCAGGAGCTTCGCCTTGCTTAATGGATCTCGAGACAGTCCCCAAGAACACTGTCACCAGTCTAGACGGACCCTGAGGTCAACCCAGTAACGGAAAGCAGCTCCATGTGCCCCAAATCAACTCGAGATGAGGCCCGATTCCCCTGCATTGACTCCAGAGCCATTCCCCATTCCCCATTCAACACGACCGGTGGCTCGACTTCCTTCAGGCAATAACAGATATGCCCCGTGAACACTGTCCCAAGTCTAGAGGAACACCAACTTCAGCACAGCAACTCGAGGAATGTTCCATGTACCCCAAATCGTCTCGAGATGAGAGCTGATTCCCTGGCTTAGGCTCAAGACGTATGCCAACTTTCCAGAAGCACCTCAGGAGGAGGCTTCTCTCAGCAATAGATATGTGGGAGGGACCCCGAGATCGCTGCCTCAAGTGGAATATACAGCGAGAATCTCTAACTTGAAAGGAGGCCGGATTTCCTTGCAGTGGCTTGAATACAGGCTCGTCTTTGATCTCACAACATGAAGGCATGTCTGAGTCCCCTGTGGAGACCTTAGAGAAAGCCCTAGGTCCCTGCCTCATTTTGTTGGAATGCCTCACATCCCGTTGACAACTCGAGAGGCACGCGGAGTTCATTGCTTCAAAAGGTGACGATGCCTGACTCCTCTTGAATACTGATAGGAATCCCAAAATCCCTGTTTCTACTGGAATGGGTCCTTGGGTGCCCTGCCTCACCTCGAGAAGCGTCCCTTTTGCCCTGCCAAGCCTCGAAGAGATTCCTGAGATGTCCCTTGTTACTAGACAGGAGTCCTGACGTCACTGAAGAAACTCGTGTTTTGAAGGGCCATCCCCGCCGTAAGTCGAGAACATACCCCAGGTCCCTGCCGCAACTCGAGAAAATCCATGAGACTTCCTCCTAGAGGCGAGATGAGGCCCCATTCCCCTGCAGTGCATGCAGAGCTATTCCGTGATCCCACTCAAACAAGTCAGGAGCTTCGACTTGCTTAATGGATCTCGAGCCAGTCCCCAAGAACACTGTCACCTGTCTAGACGGACCCTGAGGTCACCCCAGCAACGCAAAGCAGCTCCATGTGCCCCAATTCAAATCGAGATGAGGCCCGATTCCCCTGCATTGACTCCAGAGCCATTCCCCGTTCCCCATTCAACACGACCGGTGGCTCGACTTCCTTCAGGCAACTCCAGAGATGCCCCGAGAACACTGTCCCAAGTCTAGAGGAACACCAACTTCAGCATAGCAACTCGAGGAAATCTCCATGTACCACAAATCGTCGTGAGATAAGAGCTGATTACCTGGCTTAGGCTCAAGACGTATGCCAACTTTCCAGAAGCACCTCAGGAGGAGGATTCTCTCAGCAATAGGTATGTGGGAGGGACCCCGAGATCGCTCACTCAAGTGGAATATACAGCGAGAAGCCCTAACTTGAAAGGAGGCCAGATTTCCTTGCAGTGGCTTGAATACAGGCTCGTCTTTGATCTCACAACATGAAGGCATGTCTGAATCCCCTGTGGAGAACTTAGAGAAAGCCCTAGGTCCCTGCCTCATTTTGACGGAATGCCTCACATCCCGTTGACACCTCGAGAGGCACGCGGAGTTCATTGCTTCAAAAGGTGACGATGCCTGACTCCTCTTGAATACTGATAGGAATCCCACAATCCCTGTGGCTACTGGAATGGGTCCTTGGGTGCCCTGCCTCACCTCGAGAAGCATCCCTTTTGCCCTGCCAAGCCTCGAAGAGATTCCTGAGGTGTCCCTCCTTACTAGACAGCAGTCCTGATGTCACTGAAGAAACTCGTGTTTTGAAGGGCCATCCCCGCCGTAAGTCGAGAACATACCCCAGGTTCCCGCCACAACTCGAGAAAAACCATGAGACTTCCCCCTAGAGGCGAGATGAGGCCCCATTCCCCTGCAGTGCATGCAGAGCTATTCCGTGATCCCATTCAAACAAGTCAGGAGTTTCGACTTGCTTAATGGATCTCGAGACAGTCCCCAAGAACACTGTCACCATTCTAGACGGACCCTGAGGTCAACCCAGCAACGGAAAGCAGCTCCATGTGCCCCAAATCAACTCGAGATGAGGCCCGATTCCCCTGCATTGACTCCAGAGCCATTCCCCGTTCCCCATTCAACACGACCGGTGGCTCGACTTCCTTCAGGCAATAACAGAGATGCCCCGTGTACACTGTCCCAAATCTAGAGGAACACAAACTTCAGCACAGCAACTCTAGGAATGATCCATGTACCCCAAATCGTCTCGAGTTGAGAGCTGATTCCCTGGCTTAGGCTCAAGACGTATGCCAACTTTCCAGAAGCACCTCAGGAGGAGGCTTCTCTCAACAATAGGTATGTGGGAGGGAACCCGAGATCGCTGCCTCAAGTGGAATATACAGCGAGAAGCCCTAACTTGAAAGGAGGCCGGATTTCCTTGCAGTGGCTTGAATACAGGCTCGTCTTTCATCTCACAACATGAAGGGATGTATGAATCCCCTGTGGAGACCTTAGAGAAAGCCCTAGGGCCCTGCCTCATTTTGACGGAATGCCTCACATCCCGCTGACACCTCGAGAGGCACGCGGAGTTCATTGCTTCAAAAGGTGACGATGCCTGACTCCTCTTGAATACTGATAGGAATCCCAAAATTCCTGTGGCTACTGGAAAGGGTCCTTGGGTGCCCTGCCTCACCTCGAGAAGCATCCCTTTTGCCCTGCCAAGCCTCGAAGAGATTCCTGAGGTGTCCCTCATTACTACACAGGAGTCCTGACGTCACTGAAGAAACTCGTGTTTTGAAGGGCCATCCCCGCCGTAAGTCGAGAACAAACCCCAGGTCCCCGCCTCAACTCGAGAAACACCATGAGACTTCCCCCTAGAGGCGAGATGAGGCCCCATTCCCCTGCAGTGCATGCAGAGCTATTCCGTGATCCCATTCAAACAAGTCAGGAGCTTCGACTTGCTTAATGGATCTCGAGACAGTCCCCAAGAACACTGTCACCAATCTAGACGGACCCTGAGGGCATCCCAGCAACGCAAAGCAGTTCCATGTGCCCCAAATCAACTCGAGATGAGGCCCGATTCCCCTGCATTGACTCCAGAGCCATTCCCCGTTCCCCATTCAACGCGACCGGTGTCTCGACTTCCTTCAGGCAACTCCAGAGATGGCCCGAGAACACTGTCCCAAGTCTAGAGGAACACCAACTTCAGCACAGCAACTCGAGGAATGCTCCGTGTACCCCAAATCGTCTCGAGATGAGAGCTGATTCCCTTGCTTAGGCTCAAGACGTATGCCAACTTTCCAGAAGCACCTCAGGAGGAGGCTTCTCTCAGCAATAGGTATGTGGGAGGGACCCCGAGTTTGCTGCCTCAAGGGGAATATACAGCGAGAAGCCCTAACTTGAAAGGAGGCCGGATTTCCTTGCAGTGGCTTTAATACAGGCTCGTCTTTGATCTCAAAACATGAAGGGATGTCTGAATCCCCTGTGGAGACCTTAGAGAAAGCCCTAGTTCCCTGCCTCATTTTGTCGGAATGCCTCACATCCCGTTGACACCTTGAGAGGCACGCAGAGTTCATTGCTTCAAAAGGTGACGATGCCTGACTCCTCTTGAATACTGATAGGAATCCCAAAATCCCTGTGGCTTCTGGAAAGTGTCCTTGGGTGCCCTGCCTTACCTCGAGAAGCGTCCCATTTGCCCTGCCAAGCCTCGAAGAGATTCCTGAGGTGTCCCTCGTTACGAGACAGGAGTCCTGACGTCACTGAAGAAACTCGTGTTTTGAAGGGCCATCCCCGCCGTAAGTCGAGAACATACCCCAGGTCCCCGCCGCAACTCGAGAAAAACCATGAGACTTCCCGCTAGAGGCGAGATGAGGCCGCATTGCCCTGCAGTGCATGCAGAGCTAATCCGTGATCCCATTCAAACAAGTCAGGAGCTTCGACTTGCTTAATGGATCTCGAGCCAGTCCCCAAGAACACTGTCACCAGTCTAGACGGAACCTTAGGTCACCCCAGCAATGCAAAGAAGCTCCATGTGCCCCAAATCAACTCGAGATGAGGCCCGATTCCCCTGCATTGACCCCAGAGCCATTCCCCATTCCCCATTCAACACGACCGGTGGCTCGACTTCCTTCAGGCAACTCCAGAGATGCCCCGAGAACACTGTCGCAAGTCTAGAGGAACCTAACTTCAGCATAGCAACTCGAGGAATGCTCCATGTACCCCAAATCGTCTTGAGATGAGAGCTGATTCCCTGGCTTAGGCTCAAGACGTATGCCAACTTTCCAGAAGCACCTCAGGAGGAGGGTTCTCTCAGCAATAGTTATGTGGGAGGGACCCCGAGATCGCTGCCTCAAGTGGAATATACAGCGAGAAGCCCTAACTTGAAAGGAGGCCGGATTTCCTTGCAGTGGCTTGAATACAGGGTCGTCTTTGATCTCACAACATGAAGGCATGTCTGAATCCCCTGTGGAGACCTTAGAGAAAGCTCTAGGTCCCTGCCTCATTTTGACGGAATGCCTCACATCCCGTTGACAAGTCGAGAGGCACACGGAGTTCATTGCTTCAAAAGGTGACGATGCCTGACTCCTCTTGAATACTGATAGGAATCCCACAATCCCTGTGGCTACTGGAAAGGGTCCTTGGGTGCCCTGCCTCACCTCGAGAAGCATCCCTTTTGCCCTGCCAAGCCTCGAAGAGATTCCTGAGGTGTCCCTCGTTACTAGACAGCAGTCCTGATGTCACTGAAGAAACTCGTGTTTTGAAGGGCCATCCCCGCCGTAAGTCGAGAACATACCCCAGGTCCCCGCCGCAACTCGAGAAAAACCATGAGACTTCCCCCTAGAGGCGTGATGAAGCCCCATTCACCTGCAGTGCATGCAGAGCTATTCCGTGATCCCATTCAAACAAGTCAGGAGCTTCTCCTTGCTTAATGGATCTCGAGACAGTCCCCAAGAACACTGTCACCAGTCTAGACGGACACTGAGGTCAACCCAGCAACGGAAAGCAGCTCCATGTCCCCCAAATCAACTCGAGATGAGGCCCGATTGCCCTGCATTGACTCCAGAACAATTCCCCGTTCCCCATTCAACACGACCGGTGGCTCGACTTCCTTCAGGCAATAACAGAGATGCACCGTGAACACTGTCCCAAGTCTAGAGGAACACCAACTTCAGCACAGCCACTCGAGGAATGCTCCATGTACCCCAAATCGTCTCGAGATGAGAGCTGATTCCCTGGCTTAGGCTCAAGACGTATGCCAACTTTCCAGAAGCACATCAGGAGGAGGCTTCTCTCAGCAATAGGTATGTGGGAGGGACCCCGAGATCGCTGCCTCAAGTGGAATATACAGCGAGAAGCCCTAACTTGAAAGGAGGCCGGATTTCCTTGCAGTGGCTTGAATACAGGCTCGTCTTTGATCTCAAAACATGAAGGGATGTTTGAAGCCCCTGTGGAGACCTTAGAGAAAGCCCTAGGTCCCTGCCTCATTTTGACGGAATGCCTCACATTCCGTTGACACCTTGAGAGGCATGCAGAGTTCATTGCTTCAAAAGGTGTCGATGCCTGACTCCTCTTGAATAATGATAGGAATCCCAAAATCCCTGTGGCTTCTGGAAAGTGTCCTTGGGTGCCCTGCCTCACCTCGAGAAGCGTCCCTTTTGCCCTGCCAAGCCTCGAAGAGATTCCTGAGGTGTCCCTCGTTACGAGACAGGAGTCCTGACGTCACTGAAGAAACTCGTGTTTTGAAGGGCCATCCCCGCCGTAAGTCGAGAACATACCTCAGGTCCCCGCCGCATCTCGAGAAAAACCATGAGACTTCCCGCTAGAGGCGAGATGAGGCCCCATTCCCCTGCAGTGCATGCAGAGCTATTCCGTGATCCCATTCAAACAAGTCAGGAGCTTCGACTTGCTTAATGGATCTCGAGACAGTCCCCAAGAACACTGTCACCAGTCTAGACGGAACCTGAGGTCACCCCAGCAATGCACAGCAGCTCCATGTGCCCCAAATCAACTCGAGATGAGGCCCGATTCCCCTGCATTGACACCAGAGCCATTCCCCGTTCCCCATTCAACACGACTGGTGGCTCGACTTCCTTCAGGCAACTCCAGAGATGCCCCGAGAACACTGTCCCAAGTCTAGAGGAACACCAACTTCAGCACAGCAACTCGAGGAATGCTCCGTGTACCCCAAATCGTCTCGAGATGAGAGCTGATTCCCTGGCTTAGGCTCAAGACGTATGCCAACTTTCCAGAAGCACGTCAGGAGGAGGCTTCTCTCAGCAATAGTTATGTGGGAGGGACCCTGAAATCGCTGCCTGAAGTGGAATATACAGAGAGAAGCCCTAACTTGAAAGGAGGCCGGATTTCCTTACAGTGGCTTGAATAGAGGCTGGTCTTTGATCTCACAACATGAAGGCATATCTGAATCCCCTGTGTAGACCTTTGAGAAAGCCCTAGGGCCCTGCCTCATATTGACGGAATGCCTCACATCCCGCTGACACCTCGAGAGGCACGCGGAGTTCATTGCTTCAAAAGTGACGATGCCTGACTCCTCTTGAATACTGATAGGAATCCCAAAATCCCTGTGGCTACTGGAAAGGGTCCTTGGGTGCCCTGCCTCACCTCGAGAAGCGTCCCTTTTGCCCTGCCAAGTCTCGAAGAGATTCCTGAGGTGTCCCTCGTTACGAGACAGGAGTCCTGACGTCACTGAAGAAACTCGTGTTTTGAAGGGCCATCCCCGCCGTAAGTCGAGAACATACCCCAGGTCCCCGCCGCAACTTGACAAAAACCATGAGACTTCCCCCTAGAGGCGAGATGAGGCCCCATTCCCATTCAGTGCATGCAGAGCTATTCCGTGATCCCATTCAAACAAGTCAGGAGCTTCGACTTGCTTAATGGATCTCGAGCCAGTCCCCAAGAACACTGTCACCAGTCTAGACGGAACCTGAGGTCACCCCAGCAATGCAAAGAAGCTCCATGTGCCCCAAATCAACTCGAGATGAGGCCCGATTCCCCTGCATTGACCCCAGAGCCATTCCCCGTTCCCCATTCAACACGACCGGTGGCTCGACTTCCTTCAGGCAACTCCAGAGATGCCCCGAGAACACTGTCGCAAGTCTAGAGGAACCTAACTTCAGCATAGCAACTCGAGGAATGCTCCATGTACCCCAAATCGTCTCGAGATGAGAGCTGATTCCCTGGCTTAGGCTCAAGACGTATGCCAACTTTCCAGAAGCACCTCAGGAGGAGGCTTCTCTCAGCAATAGGTATGTGGGAGGGACCCCGAGATCGCTGGCTCAAGTGGAATATACAGCGAGAAGCCCTAACTTGAAAGGAGGCCGGATTTCCTTGCAGTGGCTTGAATACAGGCTCGTCTTTGATCTCACAACATGAAGGCATGTCTGAATCCCCTGTGGAGACCTTAGAGAAAGCCCTAGGTCCCTGCCTCATTTTGACGGAATGCCTCACATCCCGTTGACACGTCGAGAGGCACGCGGAGTTCATTGCTTCAAAAGGTGACGATGCCTGACTCCTCTTGAATACTGATAGGAATCCCACAATCCCTGTGGCTACTGGAATGGGTCCTTGGGTGCCCTGCCTCACCTCCAGAAGCATCCCTTTTGCCCTGCCAAGCCTCGAAGAGATTCCTGAGGTGTCCCTCGTTACTAGACAGCAGTCCTGATGTCACTGAAGAAACTCGTGTTTTGAAGGTCCATCCCCGCCGTAAGTCGAGAACATACCCCAGGTCCCCGCCGCAACTCGAGAAAAACCATGAGACTTCCCCCTAGAGGCGTGATGAAGCCCCATTCACCTGCAGTGCATGCAGAGCTATTCCGTGATCCCATTCAAACAAGTCAGGAGCTTCTCCTTGCTTAATGGATCTCGAGACAGTCCCCAAGAACACTGTCACCAGTCTAGACGGACACTGAGGTCAACCCAGCAACGGAAAGCAGCTCCATGTGCCCCAAATCAACTCGAGATGAGGCCCGATTCCCCTGAATTGACTCCAGAACAATTCCCCGTTCCCCATTCAACACGACCGGTGGCTCGACTTCCTTCAGGCAATAACAGAGATGCACCGTGAACACTGTCCCAAGTCTAGAGGAACACCAACTTCAGCACAGCCACTCGAGGAATGCTCCATGTACCCCAAATCGTCTCGAGATGAGAGCTGATTCCCTGGCTTAGGCTCAAGACGTATGCCAACTTTCCAGAAGCACCTCAGGAGGAGGCTTCTCTCAGCAATAGGTATGTGGGAGGGACCCCGAGATCGCTGCCTCAAGTGGAATATACAGCGAGAAGCCCTAACTTGAAAGGAGGCCGGATTTCCTTGCAGTGGCTTGAATACAGGCTCGTCTTTGATCTCAAAACATGAAGGGATGTCTGAAGCCCCTGTGGAGACCTTAGAGAACGCCCTAGGTCCATGCCTGTTTTTTTCGGAATGCCTCACATCCCGTTGACACCTCGAGAGGCACGCGGAGTTCATTGCTTCAAAAGGTGACGATGCCTGACTCCTCTTGAATACTGATAGGAATCCCAAAATCCCTGTGGCTACTGGAAAGGGTCCTTGGGTGCCCTGCCTCACCTCGAGAAGCGTCCCTTTTGCCCTGCCAAGCCTCGAAGAGATTCCTGAGGTGTCCCTCGTTACTAGACAGGAGTCCTGACGTCACTGAAGAAACTCGTGTTTTGAAGGGCCATCCCCGCTGTAAGTCGAGAACATACCCCAGGTCCCCGCCGCAACTCGAGAAAAAACATGAGACTTCCCCCTAGAGGCGAGATGAGGCCCCATTCCCCTGCAGTGCATGCACAGCTATTCCGTGATCCCATTCAAACAAGTCAGGAGCTTCGACTTGCTTAATGGATCTCGAGCCAGTCCCCAAGAACACTGTCACCAGTCTAGACGGACCCTGAGGTCAACCCAGCAACGCAAAGCAGCTCCATGTGCCCCAAATCAACTCGAGATAAGGCCCGATTCCCCTGCATTGACTCCAGAGCCATTCCCCGTTCCCCATTCAACACGACCGGTGGCTCGACTTCCTTCAGGCAACTCCAGAGATGCCCCGAGAACACTGTCCCAAGTCTAGAGGAACACCAACCTCAGCATAGCAACTCGCGGAATGCTCCATGTACCCCAAATCGTCTCGAGATGAGAGCTGATTCCCAGGCTTAGGCTCAAGACGTATGCCAACTTTCCAGAAGCACCTCAGGAGGAGGCTTCTCTCAGCAATAGGTATGTGGGAGGGACCCCGAGATCGCTGCCTCAAGTGGAATATACAGCGAGAAGCCCTAACTTGAAAGGAGGCCGGATTTCCTTGCAGTGGCTTGAATACAGGCTCGTCTTTCATCTCACAACATGAAGGCATGTCTGAATCCCCTGTGGAGACCTTAGAGAAAGCCCTAGGTCCCTGCCTCATTTTGACGGAATGCCTCACATCCCGTTGACACCTCGAGAGGCACGCGGAGTTCATTGCTTCAAAAGGTGACGATGCCTGACTCCTCTTGAATACTGATAGGAATCCCAAAATCCCTGTGGCTACTGGAATGGGTCCTTGGGTGCCCTGCTTCACCTCGAGAAGCGTCCCTTTTGCCCTGCCAAGCCTCGAAGAGATTCCTGAGGTGTCCCTTGTTACTAGACAGGAGTCCTGACGTCACTGAAGAAACTCGTGTTTTGAAGGGCCATCCTCGCCATAAGTCGAGAACGTACCCCAGGTCCCCGCCGCAACTCGAGAAAATCCATGAGACTTCCCCCTAGAGGCGAGATGAGGCCCCATTCCCATTCAGTGCATGCAGAGCTATTCCGTGATCCCATTCAAACAAGTCAGGAGCTTCGACTTGCTTAATGGATCTCGAGCCAGTCCCAAAGAACACTGTCACCAGTCTAGACGGACCCTGAGGTCACCCCAGCAACGCAAAGCAGCTCCATGTGCCCCAAATCAACTCGAGATAAGGCCCGATTCCCCTGCATTGACTCCAGAGCCATTCCCCGTTCCCCATTCAACACGACCGGTGGCTCGACTTCCTTCAGGCAACTCCAGAGATGCCCCGAGAACACTGTCCCAAGTCTAGAGGAACACCAAACTCAGCATAGCAACTCGCGGAATGCTCCATGTACCCCAAATCGTCTCGAGATGAGAGCTGATTCCCTGGCTTAGGCTCAAGACGTATGCCAACTTTCCAGAAGCACCTCAGGAGGAGGCTTCTCTCAGCAATAGGTATGTGGGAGGGACCCCAAGATCGCTGCCTCAAGGGGAATATACAGCGAGAATCCCTAACTTGAAAGGAGGCCGGATTTCCTTGCAGTGGCTTGCATACAGGCTCGTCTTTCATCTCACAACATGTAGGGATGTCTGAATCCCCTGTGGAGACCTTAGAGAAAGCCCAAGGGCCCTGCCTCATTTTGACGGAATGCCTCACATCCCGCTGTCACCTCGAGAGGCACGCGGAGTTCATTGCTTCAAAAGGTGACGATGCCTGACTCCTCTTGAATACTGATAGGAATCCCAAAATCCCTGTGGCTACTGGAAAGGGTCCTTGGGTGCCCTGCCTCACCTCGAGAAGCGTCCCTTTTGCCCTGCCAAGCCTCGAAGAGATTCCTGAGGTGTCCCTCGTTACGAGACAGGAGTCCTGACGTCACTGAAGAAACTCGTGTTTTGAAGGGCCATCCCCGCCGTAAGTCGAGAACATACCCCAGGTCCCCGCCGCAACTCGAGAAAAACCATGAGACTTCCCCCTAGAGGCGAGATGAGGCCCCATTCCCCTGCAGTGCATGCAGAGCTATTCCGTGATCCCATTCAAACAAGTCAGGAGCTTCGACTTGCTTAATGGATCTCGAGACAGTCCCCAAGAACACTGTCACCAGTCTAGACGGAACCTGAGGTCACCGCAGCAATGCAAAGAAGCTCCATGTGCCCCAAATCAACTCGAGATGAGGCCCGCTTCCCCTGCATTGACCTCAGAGCCATTCCCCGTTCCCCATTCAACACGACCGGTGGCTCGACTTCCTTCAGGCAACTCCATAGATGCCCCGAGAACACTGTCGCAAGTCTAGAGGAACACCAACTTCAGCACAGCAACTCGAGGAATGCTCCATGTACCCCAAATCGTCTCGAGATGAGAGCTGATTCCCTGGCTTAGGCTCAAGACGTATGCCAACTTTCCAGAAGCACCTCAGGAGGAGGCTTCTCTCACCAATAGGTATGTGGGAGGGACCCCGAGATCGCTGCCTCAAGTGGACTATACAGCGAGAATACCTAACTTGAAAGGAGGCCGGATTTCCTTGCAGTGGCTTGAATACAGGCTCGTCTTTGATCTCACAACATGAAGGCATGTCTGAATCCCCTGTGGAGACCTTAGAAAAAGCCCTAGGTCCCTGCCTCATTTTGACGGAATGCCTCACATCCCGTTGACACCTCGAGAGGCACACGGAGTTCATTGCTTCAAAAGGTGACGATGCCTGACTCCTCTTTAATACTGATAGGAATCCCAAAATCCCTGTGGCTACTGGAATGGGTCCTTGGGTGCCCTGCCTCACCTCGAGAAGCGTCCCTTTTGCCCTGCCAAGCCTCGAAGAGATTCCTGAGGTGTCCCTTGTTACTAGACAGGAGTCCTGACGTCACTGAAGAAACTCGTGTTTTGAAGGGCCATCCCCGCCGTAAGTCGAGAACATACCCCAGGTCCCCGCCGCAACTCGAGAAAATCCATGAGACTTCCCCCTAGAGGCGAGAAGAGGCCCCATTCCCATTCAGTGCATGCAGAGCTATTCCGTGATCCCATTCAAACAAGTCAGGAGCTTCGACTTGCTTAATGGATCTCGAGACAGTCCCCAAGAACACTGTCACCAGTCTAGACGGACACTGAGGTCAACCCAGCAACGGAAAGCAGCTCCATGTGCCCCAAATCAACTCGAGATGAGGCCCGATTCCCCTGCATTGACTCCAGAACAATTCCCCGTTCCCCATTCAACACGACCGGTGGCTCGACTTCCTTCAGGCAATAACAGAGATGCACCGTGAACACTGTCCCAAGTCTAGAGGAACACCAACTTCAGCACAGCCACTCGAGGAATGCTCCATGTACCCCAAATCGTCTCGAGATGAGAGCTGATTCCCTGGCTTAGGCTCAAGACGTATGCCAACTTTCCAGAAGCACCTCAGGAGGAGGCTTCTCTCAGCAATAGGTATGTGGGAGGGACCCCGAGATCGCTGCCTCAAGTGGAATATACAGCGAGAAGCCCTAACTTGAAAGGAGGCCGGATTTCCTTGCAGTGGCTTGAATACAGGCTCGTCTTTGATCTGAAAACATGAAGGGATGTCTGAAGCCCCTGTGGAGACCTTAGAGAAAGCCCTAGGTCCATGCCTGTTTTTTTCGGAATGCCTCACATCCCGTTGACACCTTGAGAGGCACGCAGAGTTCACTGCTTCAAAAGGTGACAATGCCTGACTCCTCTTGAATAATGATAGGAATCCCAAAATCCCTGTGGCTTCTGGAAAGTGTCCTTGGGTGCCCTGCCTCACCTCGAGAAGCGTCCCTTTTGCCCTGCCAAGCCTCGAAGAGATTCCTGAGGTGTCCCTCGTTACGAGACAGGAGTCCTGACATCACTGAAGAAACTCGTGTTTTGAAGGGCCATCCCCGCCATAAGTCGAGAACATACCCCAGGTCCCCTCCGCAACTGGAGAAAAACCATGAGACTTCCCGCTAGAGGCGAGATGAGGCCCCATTCCCCTGCAGTGCATGCAGAGCTATTCCGTGATCCCATTCAAACAAGTCAGGAGCTTCGACTTGCTTAATGGATCTCGAGACAGTCCCCAAGAACACTGTCACCAGTCTAGACGGAACCTGAGGTCACCCCAGCAATGCAAAGCAGCTCCATGTGCCCCAAATCAATTCGAGATGAGGCCCGATTCCCCTGCATTGACACCAGAGCCATTCCCCATTCCCCACTCAACACGACTGGTGGCTCGACTTCCTTCAGGCAACTCCAGAGATGCCCCGAGAACACTGTCCCAAGTCTAGAGGAACACCAACTTCAGCACAGCAACTCGAGGAATGCTCCGTGTACCCCAAATCGTCTCGAGATGAGAGCTGATTCCCTGGCTTAGGCTCAAGACGTATGCCAACTTTCAGAAGCACCTCAGGATGAGGCTTCTCTCAGCAATAGGTATGTGGGAGGGACCCCGAGATCGCTGCCTCAAGTGGAATATACAGCGAGAAGCCCTAACTTGAAAGGAGGCCGGATTTCCTTGCAGTGGCTTGAATACAGGCTCGTCTTTCATCTCACAACATGTAGGGATGTCTGAATCCCCTGTGGAGACCTTAGAGAAAGCCCTAGGGCCCTGCCTCATTTTGACGGAATGCCTCACATCCCGCTGTCACCTCGAGAGGCACGCGGAGTTCATTGCTTCAAAAGGTGACGATGCCTGACTCCTCTTGAATACTGATAGGAATCCCAAAATCCCTGTGGCTACTGGAAAGGGTCCTTGGGTGCCCTGCCTCACCTCGAGAAGCGTCCCTTTTGCCCTGCCAAGCCTCGAAGAGATTCCTGAGTTGTCCCTCGTTACGAGACAGGAGTCCTGACGTCACTGAAGAAACTCGTGTTTTGAAGGGCCATCCCCGCCGTAAGTCGAGAACATACCCCAGGTCCCCGCCGCAACTCGAGAAAAACCATGAGACTTCCCCCTAGAGGCGAGATGAGGCCCCATTCCCCTGCAGTGCATGCAGAGCTATTCCGTGATCCCATTCAAACAAGTCAGGAGCTTCGACTTGCTTAATGGATCTCGAGAGAGTCCCCAAGAACACTGTCACCAGTCTAGACGGAACCTGAGGTCACCCCAGCAATGCAAAGAAGCTCCATGTGCCCCAAATCAACTCGAGATGAGGCCCGATTCCCCTGCATTGACCTCAGAGCCATTCCCCGTTCCCCATTCAACACGACCGGTGGCTCGACTTCCTTCAGGCAACTCCAGAGATGCCCCGAGAACACTGTCGCAAGTCTAGAGGAACACCAACTTCAGCACAGCAACTCGAGGAATGCTCCGTGTACCCCAAATCGTCTCGAGATGAGAGCTGATTCCCTGGCTTAGGCTCAAGACGTATGCCAACTTTGCAGAAGCACCTCAGGATGAGGCTTCTCTCAGCAATAGTTATGTGGGAGGGACCCCGAGATCGCTGCCTCAAGTGGAATATACAGCGAGAATCCCTAACTTGAAAGGAGGCCGAATTTCCTTGCAGTGGCTTGAATACAGGCTCGTCTTTGATCTCACAACATGAAGGCATGTCTGAATCCCCTGTGGAGACCTTAGAGAAAGCCCTAGGTCCCTGCCTCATTTTGACGGAATGCCTCACATCCCGTTGACACCTCGAGAGGCACGCGGAGTTCATTGCTTCAAAAGGTGACGATGCCTGACTCCTCTTGAATACTGATAGGAATCCCAAAATCCCTGTGGCTACTGGAATGGGTCCTTGGGTGCCCTGCCTCACCTCGAGAAGCATCCCTTTTGCCCTGCCAAGCCTCGAAGAGATTCCTGAGGTGTCCCTTGTTACTAGACAGGAGTCCTGACGTCACTGAAGAAACTCGTGTTTTGAAGGGCCATCCTCGCCATAAGTCGAGAACGTACCCCAGGTCCCCGCCGCAACTCGAGAAAAACCATGAGACTTCCCCCTAGAGGCGACATGAGGCCCCATTCCCCTGCAGTGCATGCACAGCTATTCCGTGATCCCTTTAAAACAAGTCAGGAGCTTCGACTTGCTTAATGGATCTCGAGACAGTCCCCAAGAACACTGTCACCAGTCTAGACGGACCCTGAGGTCACCCCAGCAACGCAAAGCAGCTCCATGTGCCCCAAATCAACTCGAGATAAGGCCCGATTCCCCTGCATTGACTCCAGAGCCATTCCCCGTTCCCCATTCAACACGACCGGTGGCTCGACTTCCTTCAGGCAACTCCAGAGATGCCCCGAGAACACTGTCCCAAGTCTAGAGGAACACCAACCTCAGCATAGCAACTCGCGGAATGCTCCATGTACCCCAAATCGTCTCGAGATGAGAGCTGATTCCCTGGCTTAGGCTCAAGACGTATGCCAACTTTGCAGAAGCACCTCAGGATGAGGCTTCTCTCAGCAATAGGTATGTGGGAGGGACCACGAGATCGCTGCCTCAAGTGGAATATACAGCGAGAATCCCTAACTTGAAAGGAGGCCGAATTTCCTTGCAGTGGCTTGAATACAGGCTCGTCTTTGATCTCACAACATGAAGGCATGTCTGAATCCCCTGTGGAGACCTTAGAGAAAGCCCTAGGGCCCTGCCTCATTTTGACGGAATTCCTCACATCCCGTTGACACCTCGAGAGGCACGCGGAGTTCATTGATTCAAAAGGTGACGATGCCTGACTCCTCTTGAATACTGATAGGAATCCCAAAATCCCTGTGGCTACTGGAATGGGTCCTTGGGTGCCCTGCCTCACCTCGAGAAGCGTCCCTTTTGCCCTGCCAAGCCTCGAAGAGATTCCTGAGGTGTCCCTTGTTACTAGACAGGAGTCCTGACGTCACTGAAGAAACTCGTGTTTTGAAGGGCCATCCTCGCCATAAGTCGAGAACGTACCCCAGGTCCCCGCCGCAACTCGAGAAAATCCATGAGACTTCCCCCTAGAGGCGAGATGAGGCCCCATTCCCATTCAGTGCATGCAGAGCTATTCCGTGATCCCATTAAAACAAGTCAGGAGCTTCGACTTGCTTAATGGATCTCGAGCCAGTCCCCAAGAACACTGTCACCAGTCTAGACGGACCCTGAGGTCACCCCAGCAACGCAAAGCAGCTCCATGTGCCCCAAATCAACTCGAGATAAGGCCCGATTCCCCTGCATTGACTCCAGAGCCATTCCCCGTTCCCCATTCAACACGACCGGTGGCTCGACTTCCTTCAGGCAACTCCAGAGATGCCCCGAGAACACTGTCCCAAATCTAGAGGAACACCAAACTCAGCATAGCAACTCGCGGAATGCTCCATGTAGCCCAAATCGTCTCGAGATGAGAGCTGATTCCCTGGCTTAGGCTCAAGACGTATGCCAACTTTCCAGAAGCACCTCAGGAGGAGGCTTCTCTCAGCAATAGGTATGTGGGAGGGACCCCGAGATCGCTGCCTCAAGGGGAATATACAGCGAGAATCCCTAACTTGAAAGGAGGCCGGATTTCCTTGCAGTGGCTTGAATACAGGCTCGTCTTTCATCTCACAACATGTAGGGATGTCTGAATCCCCTGTGGAGACCTTAGAGAAAGCCCAAGGGCCCTGCCTCATTTTGACGGAATGCCTCACAACCCGCTGTCACCTCCAGAGGCACGCGGAGTTCATTGCTTCAAAAGGTGACGATGCCTGACTCCTCTTGAATACTGATAGGAATCCCAAAATCCCTGTGGCTACTGGAAAGGGTACTTGGGTGCCCTGCCTCACCTCGAGAAGCGTCCCTTTTGCCCTGCCAAGCCTCGAAGAGATTCCTGAGGTGTCCCTCGTTACGAGACAGGAGTCCTGACGTCACTGAAGAAACTCGTGTTTTGAAGGGCCATCCCCGCCGTAAGTCGAGAACATACCCCAGGTCCCCGCCGCAACTCGAGAAAATCGATGAGACTTCCCCCTAGAGGCGAGATGAGGCCCCATTCCCATTCAGTGCATGCAGAGCTATTCCGTGATCCCATTCAAACAAGTCAGGAGCTTCGACTTGCTTAATGGATCTCGAGACAGTCCCCAAGAACACTGTCACCAGTCTAGACGGACACTGAGGTCAACCCAGCAACGGAAAGCAGCTCCATGTGCCCCAAATCAACTCGAGATGAGGCCCGATTGCCCTGCATTGACTCCAGAACAATTCCCCGTTCCCCATTCAACACGACCGGTGGCTCGACTTCCTTCAGGCAATAACAGAGATGCACCGTGAACACTGTCCCAAGTCTAGAGGAACACCAACTTCAGCACAGCCACTCGAGGAATGCTCCATGTACCCCAAATCGTCTCGAGATGAGAGCTGATTCCCTGGCTTAGGCTCAAGACGTATGCCAACTTTCCAGAAGCACCTCAGGAGGAGGCTTCTCTCAGCAATAGGTATGTGGGAGGGACCCCGAGATCGCTGCCTCAAGTGGAATATACAGCGAGAAGCCCTAACTTGAAAGGAGGCCGGATTTCCTTGCAGTGGCTTGAATACAGGCTCGTCTTTGATCTCACAACATGAAGGGATGTCTGAAACCCCTGTGGAGACCTTAGAGAAAGCCCTAGGTCCATGCCTGTTTTTTTCGGAATGCCTCACATCCCGTTGACACCTTGAGAGGCACGCAGAGTTCATTGCTTCAAAAGGTGACGATGCCTGACTCCTCTTGAATAATGATAGGAATCCCAAAATCCCTGTGGCTTCTGGAAAGTGTCCTTGGGTGCCCTGCCTCACCTCGAGAAGCGTCCCTTTTGCCCTGCCAAGCCTCGAAGAGATTCCTGAGGTGTCCCTCGTTACGAGACAGGAGTCCTGACATCACTGAAGAAACTCGTGTTTTGAAGGGCCATCCCCGCCATAAGTCGAGAACATACCCCAGGTCCCCGCCGCAACTGGAGAAAAACCATGAGACTTCCCGCTAGAGGCGAGATGAGGCCCCATTCCCCTGCAGTGCATGCAGAGCTATTCCGTGATCCCATTCAAACAAGTCAGGAGCTTCGACTTGCTTAATGGATCTCGAGACAGTCCCCAAGAACACTGTCACCAGTCTAGACGGAACCTGAGGTCACCCCAGCAATGCAAAGCAGCTCCATGTGCCCCAAATCAACTCGAGATGAGGCCCGATTCCCCTGCATTGACACCAGAGCCATTCCCCATTCCCCACTCAACACGACTGGTGGCTCGACTTCCTTCAGGCAACTCCAGAGATGCCCCGAGAACACTGTCCCAAGTCTAGAGGAACACCAACTTCAGCACAGCAACTCGAGGAATGCTCCGTGTACCCCAAATCGTTTCGAGATGAGAGCTGATTCCCTGGCTTAGGCTCAAGACGTATGCCAACTTTCCAGAAGCACCTCAGGAGGAGGCTTCTCTCAGCAATATGTATGTGGGAGGGACCCCGAGATCGCTGCCTCAAGTGGAATATACAGCGAGAAGCCCTAACTTGAAAGGAGGCCGGATTTCCTTGCAGTGGCTTGAATACAGGCTCGTCTTTGTTCTCACAACATGAAGGCATGTCTGAATCCCCTGTGGAGACCTTAGAGAAAGCCCTAGGTCCCTGCCTCATTTTGACGGAATGCCTCACATCCCGTTGATACCTCGAGAGGCACGCGGAGTTCATTGCTTCAAAAGGTGACGATGCGTGACTCCTCTTGAATACTGATAGGAATCCCAAAATCCCTGTGGCTACTGGAAAGGGTCCTTGGGTGCCCTGCCTCACCTCGAGAAGCGTCCCTTTTGCCCTGCCAAGCCTCGAAGAGATTCCTGAGGTGTCCCTCGTTACTAGACAGGAGTCCTGACGTCACTGAAGAAACTCGTGTTTTGAATGGCCATCCCCGCTGTAAGTCGAGAACATACCCCAGGTCCCCGCCGCAACTCGAGAAAAACCATGAGACTTCCCCCGAGAGGCGAGATGAGGCCCCATTCCCCTGCAGTGCATGCAGAGCTATTCCGTGATCCCATTCAAACAAGTCAGGAGCTTCGACTTGCTTAATGGATCTCGAGACAGTCCCCAAAAAACTGTCACCATTCTAGACGGACCCTGAGGTCAACCCAGCAACGGAAAGCAGCTCCATGTGCCCCAAATCAACTCGAGATGAGGCCCGATTCCCCTGCATTGACTCCAGAGCCATTCCCCGTTCCCCATTCAACACGACCGGTGGCTCGACTTCCTTCAGGCAATAACAGAGATGCCCCGTGTACACTGTCCCAAGTCTAGAGGAACACAAACTTCAGCACAGCAACTCTAGGAATGATCCATGTACCCCAAATCGTCTCGAGTTGAGAGCTGATTCCCTGGCTTAGGCTCAAGACGTATGCCAACTTTCCAGAAGCACCTCAGGAGGAGGCTTCTCTCAGCAATAGGTATGTGGGAGGGAAGCGAGATCGCTCCCTCAAGTGGAATATACAGCGAGAAGCCCTAACTTGAAAGGAGGCCGGATTTCCTTGCAGTGGCTTTAATACAGGCTCGTCTTTGATCTCACAACATGAAGGCATGTCTGAATCCCCTGTGGAGACCTTAGAGAAAGCCCTAGGGCCCTGCCTCATTTTGTCGGAATGCCTAACATCCCGTTGACACCTTGAGAGGCACGCAGAGTTAATTGCTTCAAAAGGTGACGATGCCTGACTCCTCTTGAATACTGATAGGAATCCCAAAATCCCTGTGGCTTCTGGAAAGGGTCCTTGGGTGCCCTGCCTCACCTCGAGAAGCGTCCCTTTTGCCCTGCCAAGCCTCGAAGAGATTCCTGAGGTGTCCCTCGTTACGAGACAGGAGTCCTGACGTCACTGAAGAAACTCGTGTTTTGAAGGGCCATCCCCGCCGTAAGTCGAGAACATACCCCAGGTCCCCGCCGCAACTCGAGAAAAACCATGAGACTTCCCCCTAGAGGCGAGATGAGGCCCCATTCCCCTGCAGTGCATGCAGAGCTATTCCGTGATCCCATTCAAACAAGTCAGGAGCTTCGACTTGCTTAATGGATCTCGAGACAGTCCCCAAGAACACTGTCACCAGTCTAGACGGAACCTGAGGTCACCGCAGCAATGCAAAGAAGCTCCATGTGCCCCAAATCAACTCGAGATGAGGCCCGCTTCCCCTGCATTGACCTCAGAGCCATTCCCCGTTCCCCATTCAACACGACCGGTGGCTCGACTTCCTTCAGGCAACTCCATAGATGCCCCGAGAACACTGTCGCAAGTCTAGAGGAACACCAACTTCAGCACAGCAACTCGAGGAATGCTCCATGTACCCCAAATCGTCTCGAGATGAGAGCTGATTCCCTGGCTTAGGCTCAAGACGTATGCCAACTTTCCAGAAGCACCTCAGGAGGAGGCTTCTCTCACCAATAGGTATGTGGGAGGGACCCCGAGATCGCTGCCTCAAGTGGACTATACAGCGAGAATACCTAACTTGAAAGGAGGCCGGATTTCCTTGCAGTGGCTTGAATACAGGCTCGTCTTTGATCTCACAACATGAAGGCATGTCTGAATCCCCTGTGGAGACCTTAGAAAAAGCCCTAGGTCCCTGCCTCATTTTGACGGAATGCCTCACATCCCGTTGACACCTCGAGAGGCACACGGAGTTCATTGCTTCAAAAGGTGACGATGCCTGACTCCTCTTTAATACTGATAGGAATCCCAAAATCCCTGTGGCTACTGGAATGGGTCCTTGGGTGCCCTGCCTCACCTCGAGAAGCGTCCCTTTTGCCCTGCCAAGCCTCGAAGAGATTCCTGAGGTGTCCCTTGTTACTAGACAGGAGTCCTGACGTCACTGAAGAAACTCGTGTTTTGAAGGGCCATCCCCGCCGTAAGTCGAGAACATACCCCAGGTCCCCGCCGCAACTCGAGAAAATCCATGAGACTTCCCCCTAGAGGCGAGAAGAGGCCCCATTCCCATTCAGTGCATGCAGAGCTATTCCGTGATCCCATTCAAACAAGTCAGGAGCTTCGACTTGCTTAATGGATCTCGAGACAGTCCCCAAGAACACTGTCACCAGTCTAGACGGACACTGAGGTCAACCCAGCAACGGAAAGCAGCTCCATGTGCCCCAAATCAACTCGAGATGAGGCCCGATTCCCCTGCATTGACTCCAGAACAATTCCCCGTTCCCCATTCAACACGACCGGTGGCTCGACTTCCTTCAGGCAATAACAGAGATGCACCGTGAACACTGTCCCAAGTCTAGAGGAACACCAACTTCAGCACAGCCACTCGAGGAATGCTCCATGTACCCCAAATCGTCTCGAGATGAGAGCTGATTCCCTGGCTTAGGCTCAAGACGTATGCCAACTTTCCAGAAGCACCTCAGGAGGAGGCTTCTCTCAGCAATAGGTATGTGGGAGGGACCCCGAGATCGCTGCCTCAAGTGGAATATACAGCGAGAAGCCCTAACTTGAAAGGAGGCCGGATTTCCTTGCAGTGGCTTGAATACAGGCTCGTCTTTGATCTGAAAACATGAAGGGATGTCTGAAGCCCCTGTGGAGACCTTAGAGAAAGCCCTAGGTCCATGCCTGTTTTTTTCGGAATGCCTCACATCCCGTTGACACCTTGAGAGGCACGCAGAGTTCACTGCTTCAAAAGGTGACAATGCCTGACTCCTCTTGAATAATGATAGGAATCCCAAAATCCCTGTGGCTTCTGGAAAGTGTCCTTGGGTGCCCTGCCTCACCTCGAGAAGCGTCCCTTTTGCCCTGCCAAGCCTCGAAGAGATTCCTGAGGTGTCCCTCGTTACGAGACAGGAGTCCTGACATCACTGAAGAAACTCGTGTTTTGAAGGGCCATCCCCGCCATAAGTCGAGAACATACCCCAGGTCCCCTCCGCAACTGGAGAAAAACCATGAGACTTCCCGCTAGAGGCGAGATGAGGCCCCATTCCCCTGCAGTGCATGCAGAGCTATTCCGTGATCCCATTCAAACAAGTCAGGAGCTTCGACTTGCTTAATGGATCTCGAGACAGTCCCCAAGAACACTGTCACCAGTCTAGACGGAACCTGAGGTCACCCCAGCAATGCAAAGCAGCTCCATGTGCCCCAAATCAATTCGAGATGAGGCCCGATTCCCCTGCATTGACACCAGAGCCATTCCCCATTCCCCACTCAACACGACTGGTGGCTCGACTTCCTTCAGGCAACTCCAGAGATGCCCCGAGAACACTGTCCCAAGTCTAGAGGAACACCAACTTCAGCACAGCAACTCGAGGAATGCTCCGTGTACCCCAAATCGTCTCGAGATGAGAGCTGATTCCCTGGCTTAGGCTCAAGACGTATGCCAACTTTCAGAAGCACCTCAGGATGAGGCTTCTCTCAGCAATAGGTATGTGGGAGGGACCCCGAGATCGCTGCCTCAAGTGGAATATACAGCGAGAAGCCCTAACTTGAAAGGAGGCCGGATTTCCTTGCAGTGGCTTGAATACAGGCTCGTCTTTCATCTCACAACATGTAGGGATGTCTGAATCCCCTGTGGAGACCTTAGAGAAAGCCCTAGGGCCCTGCCTCATTTTGACGGAATGCCTCACATCCCGCTGTCACCTCGAGAGGCACGCGGAGTTCATTGCTTCAAAAGGTGACGATGCCTGACTCCTCTTGAATACTGATAGGAATCCCAAAATCCCTGTGGCTACTGGAAAGGGTCCTTGGGTGCCCTGCCTCACCTCGAGAAGCGTCCCTTTTGCCCTGCCAAGCCTCGAAGAGATTCCTGAGTTGTCCCTCGTTACGAGACAGGAGTCCTGACGTCACTGAAGAAACTCGTGTTTTGAAGGGCCATCCCCGCCGTAAGTCGAGAACATACCCCAGGTCCCCGCCGCAACTCGAGAAAAACCATGAGACTTCCCCCTAGAGGCGAGATGAGGCCCCATTCCCCTGCAGTGCATGCAGAGCTATTCCGTGATCCCATTCAAACAAGTCAGGAGCTTCGACTTGCTTAATGGATCTCGAGAGAGTCCCCAAGAACACTGTCACCAGTCTAGACGGAACCTGAGGTCACCCCAGCAATGCAAAGAAGCTCCATGTGCCCCAAATCAACTCGAGATGAGGCCCGATTCCCCTGCATTGACCTCAGAGCCATTCCCCGTTCCCCATTCAACACGACCGGTGGCTCGACTTCCTTCAGGCAACTCCAGAGATGCCCCGAGAACACTGTCGCAAGTCTAGAGGAACACCAACTTCAGCACAGCAACTCGAGGAATGCTCCGTGTACCCCAAATCGTCTCGAGATGAGAGCTGATTCCCTGGCTTAGGCTCAAGACGTATGCCAACTTTGCAGAAGCACCTCAGGATGAGGCTTCTCTCAGCAATAGTTATGTGGGAGGGACCCCGAGATCGCTGCCTCAAGTGGAATATACAGCGAGAATCCCTAACTTGAAAGGAGGCCGAATTTCCTTGCAGTGGCTTGAATACAGGCTCGTCTTTGATCTCACAACATGAAGGCATGTCTGAATCCCCTGTGGAGACCTTAGAGAAAGCCCTAGGTCCCTGCCTCATTTTGACGGAATGCCTCACATCCCGTTGACACCTCGAGAGGCACGCGGAGTTCATTGCTTCAAAAGGTGACGATGCCTGACTCCTCTTGAATACTGATAGGAATCCCAAAATCCCTGTGGCTACTGGAATGGGTCCTTGGGTGCCCTGCCTCACCTCGAGAAGCATCCCTTTTGCCCTGCCAAGCCTCGAAGAGATTCCTGAGGTGTCCCTTGTTACTAGACAGGAGTCCTGACGTCACTGAAGAAACTCGTGTTTTGAAGGGCCATCCTCGCCATAAGTCGAGAACGTACCCCAGGTCCCCGCCGCAACTCGAGAAAAACCATGAGACTTCCCCCTAGAGGCGACATGAGGCCCCATTCCCCTGCAGTGCATGCACAGCTATTCCGTGATCCCTTTAAAACAAGTCAGGAGCTTCGACTTGCTTAATGGATCTCGAGACAGTCCCCAAGAACACTGTCACCAGTCTAGACGGACCCTGAGGTCACCCCAGCAACGCAAAGCAGCTCCATGTGCCCCAAATCAACTCGAGATAAGGCCCGATTCCCCTGCATTGACTCCAGAGCCATTCCCCGTTCCCCATTCAACACGACCGGTGGCTCGACTTCCTTCAGGCAACTCCAGAGATGCCCCGAGAACACTGTCCCAAGTCTAGAGGAACACCAACCTCAGCATAGCAACTCGCGGAATGCTCCATGTACCCCAAATCGTCTCGAGATGAGAGCTGATTCCCTGGCTTAGGCTCAAGACGTATGCCAACTTTGCAGAAGCACCTCAGGATGAGGCTTCTCTCAGCAATAGGTATGTGGGAGGGACCACGAGATCGCTGCCTCAAGTGGAATATACAGCGAGAATCCCTAACTTGAAAGGAGGCCGAATTTCCTTGCAGTGGCTTGAATACAGGCTCGTCTTTGATCTCACAACATGAAGGCATGTCTGAATCCCCTGTGGAGACCTTAGAGAAAGCCCTAGGGCCCTGCCTCATTTTGACGGAATTCCTCACATCCCGTTGACACCTCGAGAGGCACGCGGAGTTCATTGATTCAAAAGGTGACGATGCCTGACTCCTCTTGAATACTGATAGGAATCCCAAAATCCCTGTGGCTACTGGAATGGGTCCTTGGGTGCCCTGCCTCACCTCGAGAAGCGTCCCTTTTGCCCTGCCAAGCCTCGAAGAGATTCCTGAGGTGTCCCTTGTTACTAGACAGGAGTCCTGACGTCACTGAAGAAACTCGTGTTTTGAAGGGCCATCCTCGCCATAAGTCGAGAACGTACCCCAGGTCCCCGCCGCAACTCGAGAAAATCCATGAGACTTCCCCCTAGAGGCGAGATGAGGCCCCATTCCCATTCAGTGCATGCAGAGCTATTCCGTGATCCCATTAAAACAAGTCAGGAGCTTCGACTTGCTTAATGGATCTCGAGCCAGTCCCCAAGAACACTGTCACCAGTCTAGACGGACCCTGAGGTCACCCCAGCAACGCAAAGCAGCTCCATGTGCCCCAAATCAACTCGAGATAAGGCCCGATTCCCCTGCATTGACTCCAGAGCCATTCCCCGTTCCCCATTCAACACGACCGGTGGCTCGACTTCCTTCAGGCAACTCCAGAGATGCCCCGAGAACACTGTCCCAAATCTAGAGGAACACCAAACTCAGCATAGCAACTCGCGGAATGCTCCATGTAGCCCAAATCGTCTCGAGATGAGAGCTGATTCCCTGGCTTAGGCTCAAGACGTATGCCAACTTTCCAGAAGCACCTCAGGAGGAGGCTTCTCTCAGCAATAGGTATGTGGGAGGGACCCCGAGATCGCTGCCTCAAGGGGAATATACAGCGAGAATCCCTAACTTGAAAGGAGGCCGGATTTCCTTGCAGTGGCTTGAATACAGGCTCGTCTTTCATCTCACAACATGTAGGGATGTCTGAATCCCCTGTGGAGACCTTAGAGAAAGCCCAAGGGCCCTGCCTCATTTTGACGGAATGCCTCACAACCCGCTGTCACCTCCAGAGGCACGCGGAGTTCATTGCTTCAAAAGGTGACGATGCCTGACTCCTCTTGAATACTGATAGGAATCCCAAAATCCCTGTGGCTACTGGAAAGGGTACTTGGGTGCCCTGCCTCACCTCGAGAAGCGTCCCTTTTGCCCTGCCAAGCCTCGAAGAGATTCCTGAGGTGTCCCTCGTTACGAGACAGGAGTCCTGACGTCACTGAAGAAACTCGTGTTTTGAAGGGCCATCCCCGCCGTAAGTCGAGAACATACCCCAGGTCCCCGCCGCAACTCGAGAAAATCGATGAGACTTCCCCCTAGAGGCGAGATGAGGCCCCATTCCCATTCAGTGCATGCAGAGCTATTCCGTGATCCCATTCAAACAAGTCAGGAGCTTCGACTTGCTTAATGGATCTCGAGACAGTCCCCAAGAACACTGTCACCAGTCTAGACGGACACTGAGGTCAACCCAGCAACGGAAAGCAGCTCCATGTGCCCCAAATCAACTCGAGATGAGGCCCGATTGCCCTGCATTGACTCCAGAACAATTCCCCGTTCCCCATTCAACACGACCGGTGGCTCGACTTCCTTCAGGCAATAACAGAGATGCACCGTGAACACTGTCCCAAGTCTAGAGGAACACCAACTTCAGCACAGCCACTCGAGGAATGCTCCATGTACCCCAAATCGTCTCGAGATGAGAGCTGATTCCCTGGCTTAGGCTCAAGACGTATGCCAACTTTCCAGAAGCACCTCAGGAGGAGGCTTCTCTCAGCAATAGGTATGTGGGAGGGACCCCGAGATCGCTGCCTCAAGTGGAATATACAGCGAGAAGCCCTAACTTGAAAGGAGGCCGGATTTCCTTGCAGTGGCTTGAATACAGGCTCGTCTTTGATCTCACAACATGAAGGGATGTCTGAAACCCCTGTGGAGACCTTAGAGAAAGCCCTAGGTCCATGCCTGTTTTTTTCGGAATGCCTCACATCCCGTTGACACCTTGAGAGGCACGCAGAGTTCATTGCTTCAAAAGGTGACGATGCCTGACTCCTCTTGAATAATGATAGGAATCCCAAAATCCCTGTGGCTTCTGGAAAGTGTCCTTGGGTGCCCTGCCTCACCTCGAGAAGCGTCCCTTTTGCCCTGCCAAGCCTCGAAGAGATTCCTGAGGTGTCCCTCGTTACGAGACAGGAGTCCTGACATCACTGAAGAAACTCGTGTTTTGAAGGGCCATCCCCGCCATAAGTCGAGAACATACCCCAGGTCCCCGCCGCAACTGGAGAAAAACCATGAGACTTCCCGCTAGAGGCGAGATGAGGCCCCATTCCCCTGCAGTGCATGCAGAGCTATTCCGTGATCCCATTCAAACAAGTCAGGAGCTTCGACTTGCTTAATGGATCTCGAGACAGTCCCCAAGAACACTGTCACCAGTCTAGACGGAACCTGAGGTCACCCCAGCAATGCAAAGCAGCTCCATGTGCCCCAAATCAACTCGAGATGAGGCCCGATTCCCCTGCATTGACACCAGAGCCATTCCCCATTCCCCACTCAACACGACTGGTGGCTCGACTTCCTTCAGGCAACTCCAGAGATGCCCCGAGAACACTGTCCCAAGTCTAGAGGAACACCAACTTCAGCACAGCAACTCGAGGAATGCTCCGTGTACCCCAAATCGTTTCGAGATGAGAGCTGATTCCCTGGCTTAGGCTCAAGACGTATGCCAACTTTCCAGAAGCACCTCAGGAGGAGGCTTCTCTCAGCAATATGTATGTGGGAGGGACCCCGAGATCGCTGCCTCAAGTGGAATATACAGCGAGAAGCCCTAACTTGAAAGGAGGCCGGATTTCCTTGCAGTGGCTTGAATACAGGCTCGTCTTTGTTCTCACAACATGAAGGCATGTCTGAATCCCCTGTGGAGACCTTAGAGAAAGCCCTAGGTCCCTGCCTCATTTTGACGGAATGCCTCACATCCCGTTGATACCTCGAGAGGCACGCGGAGTTCATTGCTTCAAAAGGTGACGATGCGTGACTCCTCTTGAATACTGATAGGAATCCCAAAATCCCTGTGGCTACTGGAAAGGGTCCTTGGGTGCCCTGCCTCACCTCGAGAAGCGTCCCTTTTGCCCTGCCAAGCCTCGAAGAGATTCCTGAGGTGTCCCTCGTTACTAGACAGGAGTCCTGACGTCACTGAAGAAACTCGTGTTTTGAATGGCCATCCCCGCTGTAAGTCGAGAACATACCCCAGGTCCCCGCCGCAACTCGAGAAAAACCATGAGACTTCCCCCGAGAGGCGAGATGAGGCCCCATTCCCCTGCAGTGCATGCAGAGCTATTCCGTGATCCCATTCAAACAAGTCAGGAGCTTCGACTTGCTTAATGGATCTCGAGACAGTCCCCAAAAAACTGTCACCATTCTAGACGGACCCTGAGGTCAACCCAGCAACGGAAAGCAGCTCCATGTGCCCCAAATCAACTCGAGATGAGGCCCGATTCCCCTGCATTGACTCCAGAGCCATTCCCCGTTCCCCATTCAACACGACCGGTGGCTCGACTTCCTTCAGGCAATAACAGAGATGCCCCGTGTACACTGTCCCAAGTCTAGAGGAACACAAACTTCAGCACAGCAACTCTAGGAATGATCCATGTACCCCAAATCGTCTCGAGTTGAGAGCTGATTCCCTGGCTTAGGCTCAAGACGTATGCCAACTTTCCAGAAGCACCTCAGGAGGAGGCTTCTCTCAGCAATAGGTATGTGGGAGGGAAGCGAGATCGCTCCCTCAAGTGGAATATACAGCGAGAAGCCCTAACTTGAAAGGAGGCCGGATTTCCTTGCAGTGGCTTTAATACAGGCTCGTCTTTGATCTCACAACATGAAGGCATGTCTGAATCCCCTGTGGAGACCTTAGAGAAAGCCCTAGGGCCCTGCCTCATTTTGTCGGAATGCCTAACATCCCGTTGACACCTTGAGAGGCACGCAGAGTTAATTGCTTCAAAAGGTGACGATGCCTGACTCCTCTTGAATACTGATAGGAATCCCAAAATCCCTGTGGCTTCTGGAAAGGGTCCTTGGGTGCCCTGCCTCACCTCGAGAAGCGTCCCTTTTGCCCTGCCAAGCTTCGAAGAGATTCCTGAGGTGTCCCTCGTTACGAGACAGGAGTCCTGACGTCACTGAAGAAACTCGTGTTTTGAAGGTCCATCCCCGCCGTAAGTCGAGAACATACCCCAGGTCCCCGCCGCAACTCGAGAAAACCCATGAGACTTCCCGCTAGAGGCGAGATGAGGCCCCATTCCCCTGCAGTGCATGCAGAGCTATTCCGTGATCCCATTCAAACAAGTCAGGAGCTTCGACTTGCTTAATGGATCTCGAGACAGTCCCCAAGAACACTGTCACCAGTCTAGACGGAACCTGAGGTCACCCCAGCAATGCAAAGAAGCTCCATGTGCCCCAAATCAACTCGAGATGAGGCCCGATTCCCCTGCATTGACCCCAGAGCCATTCCCCGTTCCCCATTCAACACGAACGGTGGCTCGACTTCCTTCAGGCAACTCCAGAGATGCCCCGAGAACACTGTCGCAAGTCTAGAGGAACCTAACTTCAGCATAGCAACTCGAGGAATGCTCCATGTACCCCAAATCGTCTCGAGATGAGAGCTGATTCCCTGGCTTAGGCTCAAGACGTATGCCAACTTTCCAGAAGCACCTCAGGAGGAGGCTTCTCTCAGCAATAGGTATGTGGGAGGGACCCCGAGATCGCTGCCTCAAGTGGAATATACAGCGAGAAGCCCTAACTTGAAAGGAGGCCGGATTTCCTTGCAGTGGCTTGAATACAGGCTCGTCTTTGATCTCACAACATGAAGGCATGTCTGAATCCCCTGTGGAGACCTTAGAGATAGCACTAGGTCCCTGCCTCATTTTGACGGAATGCCTCACATCCCGTTGACACGTCGAGAGGCACGCGGAGTTCATTGCTTCAAAAGGTGACGATGCCTGACTCCTCTTGAATACTGATAGGAATCCCACAATCCCTGTGGCTACTGGAATGGGTTCTTGGGTGCCCTGCCTCACCTCGAGAAGCATCCCTTTTGCCCTGCCAAGCCTCGAAGAGATTCCTGAGGTGTCCCTCGTTACTAGACAGCAGTCCTGATGTCACTGAAGAAACTCGTGTTTTGAAGGGCCATCCCCGCCGTAAGTCGAGAACATACCCCAGGTCCCCGCCGCAACTCGAGAAAAACCATGAGACTTCCCCCTAGAGGCGTGATGAAGCCCCATTCACCTGCAGTGCATGCAGAGCTATTCCGTGATCCCATTCAAACAAGTCAGGAACTTCTCCTTTCTTAATGGATCTCGAGACAGTCCCCAAGAACACTGTCACTAGTCTAGACGGACACTGAGGTCAACCCAGCAACGGAAAGCAGCTCCATGTGCCCCAAATCAACTCGAGATGAGGCCCGATTCCCCTTAATTGACTCCAGAACAATTCCCCGTTCCCCAATCAACACGACCGGTGGCTCGACTTCCTTCAGGCAATAACAGAGATGCACCGTGAACACTCTCCCAAGTCTAGAGGAACACCAACTTCAGCACAGCCACTCGAGGAATGCTCCATGTACCCCAAATCGTCTCGAGATGAGAGCTGATTCCCTGGCTTAGGCTCAAGACGTATGCCAACTTTCCAGAAGCACCTCAGGAGGAGGCTTCTCTCAGCAATAGGTATGTGGGAGGGACCCCGAGATCGCTGCCTCAAGTGGAATATACAGCGAGAAGCCCTAACTTGAAAGGAGGCCGGATTTCCTTGCAGTGGCTTGAATACAGGCTCGTCTTTGATCTCAAAACATGAAGGGATGTCTGAAGCCCCTGTGGAGACCTTAGAGAAAGCCCTAGGTCCCTGCCTGTTTTTTTCGGAATGCCTCACATCCCGTTGACACCTTGAGAGGCACGCAGAGTTCATTGCTTCAAAAGGTGACGATGCCTGACTCCTCTTGAATAATGATAGGAATCCCAAAATCCCTGTGGCTTCTGGAAAGTGTCCTTGGGTGCCCTGCCTCACCTCGAGAAGTGTCCCTTTTGCCCTGCCAAGCCCCGAAGAGATTCCTGAGGTGTCCCTCGTTACGAGACAGGAGTCCTGACGTCACTGAAGAAACTCGTGTTTTGAAGGGCCATCCCCGCCGTAAGTCGAGAACATACCCCAGGTCCCCGCCGCAACTCGAGAAAAACCATGAGACTTCCCGCTAGAGGCGAGATGAGGCCCCATTCCCCTGCAGTGCATGCAGAGCTATTCCGTGATCCCATTCAAACAAGTCAGGAGCTTCGACTTGCTTAATGGATCTCGAGACAGTCCCCAAGAACACTGTCACCAGTCTAGACGGAACCTGAGTTCACCCCAGCAATGCAAAGCAGCTCCATGTGTCCCAAATCAACTCGAGATGAGGCCCGATTCCCCTGCATTGACACCAGAGCCATTCCCCGTTCCCCATTCAACACGACTGGTGGCTCGACTTCCTTCAGGCAACTCCAGAGATGCCCCGAGAACACTGTCCCAAGTCTAGAGGAACACCAACTTCAGCACAGCAACTCGAGGAATGCTCCGTGTACCCCAAATCGTCTCGAGATGAGAGCTGATTCCCTGGCTTAGGCTCAAGACGTATGCCAACTTTCCAGAAGCACCTCAGGAGGAGGCTTCTCTCAGCAATAGGTATGTGGGAGGGAAGCGAGATCGCTGCCTCAAGTGGAATATACAGCGAGAAGCCCTAACTTGAAAGGAGGCCGGATTTCCTTGCAGTGGCTTTAATACAGGCTCGTCTTTGATCTCACAACATGAAGGCATGTCTGAATCCCCTGTGGAGACCTTAGAGAAAGCCCTAGGGCCCTGCCTCATTTTGTCGGAATGCCTAACATCCCGTTGACACCTTGAGAGGCACGCAGAGTTAATTGCTTCAAAAGGTGACGATGCCTGACTCCTCTTGAATACTGATAGGAATCCCAAAATCCCTGTGGCTTCTGGAAAGGGTCCTTGGGTGCCCTGCCTCACCTCGAGAAGCGTCCCTTTTGCCCTGCCAAGCTTCGAAGAGATTCCTGAGGTGTCCCTCGTTACGAGACAGGAGTCCTGACGTCACTGAAGAAACTCGTGTTTTGAAGGTCCATCCCCGCCGTAAGTCGAGAACATACCCCAGGTCCCCGCCGCAACTCGAGAAAACCCATGAGACTTCCCGCTAGAGGCGAGATGAGGCCCCATTCCCCTGCAGTGCATGCAGAGCTATTCCGTGATCCCATTCAAACAAGTCAGGAGCTTCGACTTGCTTAATGGATCTCGAGACAGTCCCCAAGAACACTGTCACCAGTCTAGACGGAACCTGAGGTCACCCCAGCAATGCAAAGAAGCTCCATGTGCCCCAAATCAACTCGAGATGAGGCCCGATTCCCCTGCATTGACCCCAGAGCCATTCCCCGTTCCCCATTCAACACGAACGGTGGCTCGACTTCCTTCAGGCAACTCCAGAGATGCCCCGAGAACACTGTCGCAAGTCTAGAGGAACCTAACTTCAGCATAGCAACTCGAGGAATGCTCCATGTACCCCAAATCGTCTCGAGATGAGAGCTGATTCCCTGGCTTAGGCTCAAGACGTATGCCAACTTTCCAGAAGCACCTCAGGAGGAGGCTTCTCTCAGCAATAGGTATGTGGGAGGGACCCCGAGATCGCTGCCTCAAGTGGAATATACAGCGAGAAGCCCTAACTTGAAAGGAGGCCGGATTTCCTTGCAGTGGCTTGAATACAGGCTCGTCTTTGATCTCACAACTTGAAGGCATGTCTGAATCCCCTGTGGAGACCTTAGAGAAAGCACTAGGTCCCTGCCTCATTTTGACGGAATGCCTCACATCCCGTTGACACGTCGAGAGGCACGCGGAGTTCATTGCTTCAAAAGGTGACGATGCCTGACTCCTCTTGAATACTGATAGGAATCCCACAATCCCTGTGGCTACTGGAATGGGTTCTTGGGTGCCCTGCCTCACCTCGAGAAGCATCCCTTTTGCCCTGCCAAGCCTCGAAGAGATTCCTGAGGTGTCCCTCGTTACTAGACAGCAGTCCTGATGTCACTGAAGAAACTCGTGTTTTGAAGGGCCATCCCCGCCGTAAGTCGAGAACATACCCCAGGTCCCCGCCGCAACTCGAGAAAAACCATGAGACTTCCCCCTAGAGGCGTGATGAAGCCCCATTCACCTGCAGTGCATGCAGAGCTATTCCGTGATCCCATTCAAACAAGTCAGGAGCTTCTCCTTTCTTAATGGATCTCGAGACAGTCCCCAAGAACACTGTCACTAGTCTAGACGGACACTGAGGTCAACCCAGCAACGGAAAGCAGCTCCATGTGCCCCAAATCAACTCGAGATGAGGCCCGATTCCCCTTAATTGACTCCAGAACAATTCCCCGTTCCCCAATCAACACGACCGGTGGCTCGACTTCCTTCAGGCAATAACAGAGATGCACCGTGAACACTCTCCCAAGTCTAGAGGAACACCAACTTCAGCACAGCCACTCGAGGAATGCTCCATGTACCCCAAATCGTCTCGAGATGAGAGCTGATTCCCTGGCTTAGGCTCAAGACGTATGCCAACTTTCCAGAAGCACCTCAGGAGGAGGCTTCTCTCAGCAATAGGTATGTGGGAGGGACCCCGAGATCGCTGCCTCAAGTGGAATATACAGCGAGAAGCCCTAACTTGAAAGGAGGCCGGATTTCCTTGCAGTGGCTTGAATACAGGCTCGTCTTTGATCTCAAAACATGAAGGGATGTCTGAAGCCCCTGTGGAGACCTTAGAGAAAGCCCTAGGTCCCTGCCTGTTTTTTTCGGAATGCCTCACATCCCGTTGACACCTTGAGAGGCACGCAGAGTTCATTGCTTCAAAAGGTGACGATGCCTGACTCCTCTTGAATAATGATAGGAATCCCAAAATCCCTGTGGCTTCTGGAAAGTGTCCTTGGGTGCCCTGCCTCACCTCGAGAAGTGTCCCTTTTGCCCTGCCAAGCCTCGAAGAGATTCCTGAGGTGTCCCTCGTTACGAGACAGGAGTCCTGACGTCACTGAAGAAACTCGTGTTTTGAAGGGCCATCCCCGCCGTAAGTCGAGAACATACCCCAGGTCCCCGCCGCAACTCGAGAAAAACCATGAGACTTCCCGCTAGAGGCGAGATGAGGCCCCATTCCCCTGCAGTGCATGCAGAGCTATTCCGTGATCCCATTCAAACAAGTCAGGAGCTTCGACTTGCTTAATGGATCTCGAGACAGTCCCCAAGAACACTGTCACCAGTCTAGACGGAACCTGAGTTCACCCCAGCAATGCAAAGCAGCTCCATGTGTCCCAAATCAACTCGAGATGAGGCCCGATTCCCCTGCATTGACACCAGAGCCATTCCCCGTTCCCCATTCAACACGACTGGTGGCTCGACTTCCTTCAGGCAACTCCAGAGATGCCCCGAGAACACTGTCCCAAGTCTAGAGGAACACCAACTTCAGCACAGCAACTCGAGGAATGCTCCGTGTACCCCAAATCGTCTCGAGATGAGAGCTGATTCCCTGGCTTAGGCTCAAGACGTATGCCAACTTTCCAGAAGCACGTCAGGAGGAGGCTTCTCTCAGCAATAGTTATGTGGGAGGGACCCCGAAATCGCTGCCTGAAGTGGAATATACAGAGAGAAGCCCTAACTTGAAAGGAGGCCGGATTTCCTTGCAGTGGCTTGAATAGAGGATGGTCTTTGATCTCACAACATGAAGGCATATCTGAATCCCCTGTGTAGACCTTTGAGAAAGCCCTAGGGCCCTGCCTCATATTGACGGAATGCCTCACATCCCGCTGTCACCTCGAGAGGCACGCGGAGTTCATTGCTTCAAAAGGTGACGATGCCTGACTCCTCTTGAATACTGATAGGAATCCCAAAATCCCTGTGGCTACTGGAAAGGGTCCTTGGGTGCCCTGCCTCACCTCGAGAAGCGTCCCTTTTGCCCTGCCAAGCCTCGAAGAGATTCCTGAGGTGTCCCTCGTTACGAGACAGGAGTCCTGACGTCACTGAAGAAACTCGTGTTTTGAAGGGCCATCCCCGCCGTAAGTCGAGAACATACCCCAGGTCCCCGCCGCAACTCGAGAAAAACCATGAGACTTCCCCCTAGAGGCGAGATGAGGCCCCATTCCCCTGCAGTGCATGCAGAGCTATTCCGTGATCCCATTCAAACAAGTCAGGAGCTTCGACTTGCTTAATGGATCTCGAGACAGTCCCCAAGAACACTGTCACCAGTCTAGACGGAACCTGAGGTCACCGCAGCAATGCAAAGAAGCTCCATGTGCCCCAAATCAACTCGAGATGAGGCCCGCTTCCCCTGCATTGACCTCAGAGCCATTCCCCGTTCCCCATTCAACACGACCGGTGGCTCGACTTCCTTCAGGCAACTCCAGAGATGCCCCGAGAACACTGTCGCAAGTCTAGAGGAACACCAACTTCAGCACAGCAACTCGAGGAATGCTCCATGTACCCCAAATCGTCTCGAGATGAGAGCTGATTCCCTGGCTTAGGCTCAAGACGTATGCCAACTTTCCAGAAGCACCTCAGGAGGAGGCTTCTCTCACCAATAGGTATGTGGGAGGGACCCCGAGATCGCTGCCTCAAGTGGAATATACAGCGAGAATCCCTAACTTGAAAGGAGGCCGGATTTCCTTACAGTGGCTTGAATACAGGCTCGTCTTTGATCTCACAACATGAAGGCATGTCTGAATCCCCTGTGGAGACCTTAGAAAAAGCCCTAGGTCCCTGCCTCATTTTGACGGAATGCCTCACATCCCGTTGACACCTCGAGAGGCACACGGAGTTCATTGCTTCAAAAGGTGACGATGCCTGACTCCTCTTTAATACTGATAGGAATCCCAAAATCCCTGTGGCTACTGGAAAGGGTCCTTGGGTGCCCTGCCTCACCTCGAGAAGCGTCCCTTTTGCCCTGCCAAGCCTCGAAGAGATTCCTGAGGTGTCCCTTGTTACTAGACAGGAGTCCTGACGTCACTGAAGAAACTCGTGTTTTGAAGGGCCATCCCCGCCGTAAGTCGAGAACATACCCCAGGTCCCCGCCGCAACTCGAGAAAATCCATGAGACTTCCCCCTAGAGGCGAGAAGAGGCCCCATTCCCATTCAGTGCATGCAGAGCTATTCCGTGATCCCATTCAAACAAGTCAGGAGCTTCGACTTGCTTAATGGATCTCGAGACAGTCCCCAAGAACACTGTCACCAGTCTAGACGGACACTGAGGTCAACCCAGCAACGGAAAGCAGCTCCATGTGCCCCAAATCAACTCGAGATGAGGCCCGATTCCCCTGCATTGACTCCAGAACAATTCCCCGTTCCCCATTCAACACGACCGGTGGCTCGACTTCCTTCAGGCAATAACAGAGATGCACCGTGAACACTGTCCCAAGTCTAGAGGAACACCAACTTCAGCACAGCCACTCGAGGAATGCTCCATGTACCCCAAATCGTCTCGAGATGAGAGCTGATTCCCTGGCTTAGGCTCAAGACGTATGCCAACTTTCCAGAAGCACCTCAGGAGGAGGCTTCTCTCAGCAATAGGTATGTGGGAGGGACCCCGAGATCGCTGCCTCAAGTGGAATATACAGCGAGAAGCCCTAACTTGAAAGGAGGCCGGATTTCCTTGCAGTGGCTTGAATACAGGCTCGTCTTTGATCTGAAAACATGAAGGGATGTCTGAAGCCCCTGTGGAGACCTTAGAGAAAGCCCTAGGTCCATGCCTGTTTTTTTCGGAATGCCTCACATCCCGTTGACACCTTGAGAGGCACGCAGAGTTCACTGCTTCAAAAGGTGACAATGCCTGACTCCTCTTGAATATTGATAGGAATCCCAAAATCCCTGTGGCTTCTGGAAAGTGTCCTTGGGTGCCCTGCCTCACCTCGAGAAGCGTCCCTTTTGCCCTGCCAAGCCTCGAAGAGATTCCTGAGGTGTCCCTCGTTACGAGACAGGAGTCCTGACATCACTGAAGAAACTCGTGTTTTGAAGGGCCATCCCCGCCATAAGTCGAGAACATACCCCAGGTCCCCTCCGCAACTGGAGAAAAACCATGAGACTTCCCGCTAGAGGCGAGATGAGGCCCCATTCCCCTGCAGTGCATGCAGAGCTATTCCGTGATCCCATTCAAACAAGTCAGGAGCTTCGACTTGCTTAATGGATCTCGAGACAGTCCCCAAGAACACTGTCACCAGTCTAGACGGACCCTGAGGTCACCCCAGCAACGCAAAGCAGCTCCATGTGCCCCAAATCAACTCGAGATAAGGCCCGATTCCCCTGCATTGACTCCAGAGCCATTCCCCGTTCCCCATTCAACACGACCGGTGGCTCGACTTCCTTCAGGCAACTCCAGAGATGCCCCGAGAACACTGTCCCAAGTCTAGAGGAACACCAAACTCAGCATAGCAACTCGCGGAATGCTCCATGTAGCCCAAATCGTCTCGAGATGAGAGCTGATTCCCTGGCTTAGGCTCAAGACGTATGCCAACTTTCCAGAAGCACCTCAGGAGGAGGCTTCTCTCAGCAATAGGTATGTGGGAGGGACCCCGAGATCGCTGCCTCAAGGGGAATATACAGCGAGAATCCCTAACTTGAAAGGAGGCCGGATTTCCTTGCAGTGGCTTGAATACAGGCTCGTCTTTCATCTCACAACATGTAGGGATGTCTGAATCCCCTGTGGAGACCTTAGAGAAAGCCCAAGGGCCCTGCCTCATTTTGACGGAATGCCTCACATTCCGCTGTCACCTCCAGAGGCACGCGGAGTTCATTGCTTCAAAAGGTGACGATGCCTGACTCCTCTTGAATACTGATAGGAATCCCAAAATCCCTGTGGCTACTGGAAAGGGTCCTTGGGTGCCCTGCCTCACCTCGAGAAGCGTCCCTTTTGCCCTGCCAAGCCTCGAAGAGATTCCTGAGGTGTCCCTCGTTACGAGACAGGAGTCCTGACGTCACTGAAGAAACTCGTGTTTTGAAGGGCCATCCCCGCCGTAAGTCGAGAACATACCCCAGGTCCCCGCCGCAACTCGAGAAAATCGATGAGACTTCCCCCTAGAGGCGAGATGAGGCCCCATTCCCATTCAGTGCATGCAGAGCTATTCCGTGATCCCATTCAAACAAGTCAGGAGCTTCGACTTGCTTAATGGATCTCGAGACAGTCCCCAAGAACACTGTCACCAGTCTAGACGGACACTGAGGTCAACCCAGCAACGGAAAGCAGCTCCATGTGCCCCAAATCAACTCGAGATGAGGCCCGATTGCCCTGCATTGACTCCAGAACAATTCCCCGTTCCCCATTCAACACGACCGGTGGCTCGACTTCCTTCAGGCAATAACAGAGATGCACCGTGAACACTGTCCCAAGTCTAGAGGAACACCAACTTCAGCACAGCCACTCGAGGAATGCTCCATGTACCCCAAATCGTCTCGAGATGAGAGCTGATTCCCTGGCTTAGGCTCAAGACGTATGCCAACTTTCCAGAAGCACCTCAGGAGGAGGCTTCTCTCAGCAATAGGTATGTGGGAGGGACCCCGAGATCGCTGCCTCAAGTGGAATATACAGCGAGAAGCCCTAACTTGAAAGGAGGCCGGATTTCCTTGCAGTGGCTTGAATACAGGCTCGTCTTTGATCTCACAACATGAAGGGATGTCTGAAACCCCTGTGGAGACCTTAGAGAAAGCCCTAGGTCCATGCCTGTTTTTTTCGGAATGCCTCACATCCCGTTGACACCTTGAGAGGCACGCAGAGTTCATTGCTTCAAAAGGTGACGATGCCTGACTCCTCTTGAATAATGATAGGAATCCCAAAATCCCTGTGGCTTCTGGAAAGTGTCCTTGGGTGCCCTGCCTCACCTCGAGAAGCGTCCCTTTTGCCCTGCCAAGCCTCGAAGAGATTCCTGAGGTGTCCCTCGTTACGAGACAGGAGTCCTGACATCACTGAAGAAACTCGTGTTTTGAAGGGCCATCCCCGCCATAAGTCGAGAACATACCCCAGGTCCCCGCCGCAACTGGAGAAAAACCATGAGACTTCCCGCTAGAGGCGAGATGAGGCCCCATTCCCCTGCAGTGCATGCAGAGCTATTCCGTGATCCCATTCAAACAAGTCAGGAGCTTCGACTTGCTTAATGGATCTCGAGACACTCCCCAAGAACACTGTCACCAGTCTAGACGGAACCTGAGGTCACCCCAGCAATGCAAAGCAGCTCCATGTGCCCCAAATCAACTCGAGATGAGGCCCGATTCCCCTGCATTGACACCAGAGCCATTCCCCATTCCCCACTCAACACGACTGGTGGCTCGACTTCCTTCAGGCAACTCCAGAGATGCCCCGAGAACACTGTCCCAAGTCTAGAGGAACACCAACTTCAGCACAGCAACTCGAGGAATGCTCCGTGTACCCCAAATCGTTTCGAGATGAGAGCTGATTCCCTGGCTTAGGCTCAAGACGTATGCCAACTTTCCAGAAGCACCTCAGGAGGAGGCTTCTCTCAGCAATATGTATGTGGGAGGGACCCCGAGATCGCTGCCTCAAGTGGAATATACAGCGAGAAGCCCTAACTTGAAAGGAGGCCGGATTTCCTTGCAGTGGCTTGAATACAGGCTCGTCTTTGTTCTCACAACATGAAGGCATGTCTGAATCCCCTGTGGAGACCTTAGAGAAAGCCCTAGGTCCCTGCCTCATTTTGACGGAATGCCTCACATCCCGTTGATACCTCGAGAGGCACGCGGAGTTCATTGCTTCAAAAGGTGACGATGCGTGACTCCTCTTGAATACTGATAGGAATCCCAAAATCCCTGTGGCTACTGGAAAGGGTCCTTGGGTGCCCTGCCTCACCTCGAGAAGCGTCCCTTTTGCCCTGCCAAGCCTCGAAGAGATTCCTGAGGTGTCCCTCGTTACTAGACAGGAGTCCTGACGTCACTGAAGAAACTCGTGTTTTGAATGGCCATCCCCGCTGTAAGTCGAGAACATACCCCAGGTCCCCGCCGCAACTCGAGAAAAACCATGAGACTTCCCCCGAGAGGCGAGATGAGGCCCCATTCCCCTGCAGTGCATGCAGAGCTATTCCGTGATCCCATTCAAACAAGTCAGGAGCTTCGACTTGCTTAATGGATCTCGAGACAGTCCCCAAGAACACTGTCACCAGTCTAGACGGACACTGAGGTCAACCCAGCAACGGAAAGCAGCTCCATGTGCCCCAAATCAACTCGAGATGAGGCCCGATTGCCCTGCATTGACTCCAGAACAATTCCCCGTTCCCCATTCAACACGACCGGTGGCTCGACTTCCTTCAGGCAATAACAGAGATGCACCGTGAACACTGTCCCAAGTCTAGAGGAACACCAACTTCAGCACAGCCACTCGAGGAATGCTCCATGTACCCCAAATCGTCTCGAGATGAGAGCTGATTCCCTGGCTTAGGCTCAAGACGTATGCCAACTTTCCAGAAGCACCTCAGGAGGAGGCTTCTCTCAGCAATAGGTATGTGGGAGGGACCCCGAGATCGCTGCCTCAAGTGGAATATACAGCGAGAAGCCCTAACTTGAAAGGAGGCCGGATTTCCTTGCAGTGGCTTGAATACAGGCTCGTCTTTGATCTCACAACATGAAGGGATGTCTGAAACCCCTGTGGAGACCTTAGAGAAAGCCCTAGGTCCATGCCTGTTTTTTTCGGAATGCCTCACATCCCGTTGACACCTTGAGAGGCACGCAGAGTTCATTGCTTCAAAAGGTGACGATGCCTGACTCCTCTTGAATAATGATAGGAATCCCAAAATCCCTGTGGCTTCTGGAAAGTGTCCTTGGGTGCCCTGCCTCACCTCGAGAAGCGTCCCTTTTGCCCTGCCAAGCCTCGAAGAGATTCCTGAGGTGTCCCTCGTTACGAGACAGGAGTCCTGACATCACTGAAGAAACTCGTGTTTTGAAGGGCCATCCCCGCCATAAGTCGAGAACATACCCCAGGTCCCCGCCGCAACTGGAGAAAAACCATGAGACTTCCCGCTAGAGGCGAGATGAGGCCCCATTCCCCTGCAGTGCATGCAGAGCTATTCCGTGATCCCATTCAAACAAGTCAGGAGCTTCGACTTGCTTAATGGATCTCGAGACAGTCCCCAAGAACACTGTCACCAGTCTAGACGGAACCTGAGGTCACCCCAGCAATGCAAAGCAGCTCCATGTGCCCCAAATCAACTCGAGATGAGGCCCGATTCCCCTGCATTGACACCAGAGCCATTCCCCATTCCCCACTCAACACGACTGGTGGCTCGACTTCCTTCAGGCAACTCCAGAGATGCCCCGAGAACACTGTCCCAAGTCTAGAGGAACACCAACTTCAGCACAGCAACTCGAGGAATGCTCCGTGTACCCCAAATCGTTTCGAGATGAGAGCTGATTCCCTGGCTTAGGCTCAAGACGTATGCCAACTTTCCAGAAGCACCTCAGGAGGAGGCTTCTCTCAGCAATATGTATGTGGGAAGGACCCCGAGATCGCTGCCTCAAGTGGAATATACAGCGAGAAGCCCTAACTTGAAAGGAGGCCGGATTTCCTTGCAGTGGCTTGAATACAGGCTCGTCTTTGTTCTCACAACATGAAGGCATGTCTGAATCCCCTGTGGAGACCTTAGAGAAAGCCCTAGGTCCCTGCCTCATTTTGACGGAATGCCTCACATCCCGTTGATACCTCGAGAGGCACGCGGAGTTCATTGCTTCAAAAGGTGACGATGCGTGACTCCTCTTGAATACTGATAGGAATCCCAAAATCCCTGTGGCTACTGGAAAGGGTCCTTGGGTGCCCTGCCTCACCTCGAGAAGCGTCCCTTTTGCCCTGCCAAGCCTCGAAGAGATTCCTGAGGTGTCCCTCGTTACTAGACAGGAGTCCTGACGTCACTGAAGAAACTCGTGTTTTGAATGGCCATCCCCGCTGTAAGTCGAGAACATACCCCAGGTCCCCGCCGCAACTCGAGAAAAACCATGAGACTTCCCCCGAGAGGCGAGATGAGGCCCCATTCCCCTGCAGTGCATGCAGAGCTATTCCGTGATCCCATTCAAACAAGTCAGGAGCTTCGACTTGCTTAATGGATCTCGAGACAGTCCCCAAAAAACTGTCACCATTCTAGACGGACCCTGAGGTCAACCCAGCAACGGAAAGCAGCTCCATGTGCCCCAAATCAACTCGAGATGAGGCCCGATTCCCCTTAATTGACTCCAGAACAATTCCCCGTTCCCCAATCAACACGACCGGTGGCTCGACTTCCTTCAGGCAATAACAGAGATGCACCGTGAACACTCTCCCAAGTCTAGAGGAACACCAACTTCAGCACAGCCACTCGAGGAATGCTCCATGTACCCCAAATCGTCTCGAGATGAGAGCTGATTCCCTGGCTTAGGCTCAAGACGTATGCCAACTTTCCAGAAGCACCTCAGGAGGAGGCTTCTCTCAGCAATAGGTATGTGGGAGGGACCCCGAGATCGCTGCCTCAAGTGGAATATACAGCGAGAAGCCCTAACTTGAAAGGAGGCCGGATTTCCTTGCAGTGGCTTGAATACAGGCTCGTCTTTGATCTCAAAACATGAAGGGATGTCTGAAGCCCCTGTGGAGACCTTAGAGAAAGCCCTAGGTCCCTGCCTGTTTTTTTCGGAATGCCTCACATCCCGTTGACACCTTGAGAGGCACGCAGAGTTCATTGCTTCAAAAGGTGACGATGCCTGACTCCTCTTGAATAATGATAGGAATCCCAAAATCCCTGTGGCTTCTGGAAAGTGTCCTTGGGTGCCCTGCCTCACCTCGAGAAGTGTCCCTTTTGCCCTGCCAAGCCTCGAAGAGATTCCTGAGGTGTCCCTCGTTACGAGACAGGAGTCCTGACGTCACTGAAGAAACTCGTGTTTTGAAGGGCCATCCCCGCCGTAAGTCGAGAACATACCCCAGGTCCCCGCCGCAACTCGAGAAAAACCATGAGACTTCCCGCTAGAGGCGAGATGAGGCCCATTCCCCTGCAGTGCATGCAGAGCTATTCCGTGATCCCATTCAAACAAGTCAGGAGCTTCGACTTGCTTAATGGATCTCGAGACAGTCCCCAAGAACACTGTCACCAGTCTAGACGGAACCTGAGTTCACCCCAGCAATGCAAAGCAGCTCCATGTGTCCCAAATCAACTCGAGATGAGGCCCGATTCCCCTGCATTGACACCAGAGCCATTCCCCGTTCCCCATTCAACACGACGGGTGGCTCGACTTCCTTCAGGCAACTCCAGAGATGCCCCGAGAACACTGTCCCAAGTCTAGAGGAACACCAACTTCAGCACAGCAACTCGAGGAATGCTCCGTGTACCCCAAATCGTCTCGAGATGAGAGCTGATTCCCTGGCTTAGGCTCAAGACGTATGCCAACTTTCCAGAAGCACCTCAGGAGGAGGCTTCTCTCAGCAATAGGTATGTGGGAGGGAAGCGAGATCGCTGCCTCAAGTGGAATATACAGCGAGAAGCCCTAACTTGAAAGGAGGCCGGATTTCCTTGCAGTGGCTTTAATACAGGCTCGTCTTTGATCTCACAACATGAAGGCATGTCTGAATCCCCTGTGGAGACCTTAGAGAAAGCCCTAGGGCCCTGCCTCATTTTGTCGGAATGCCTAACATCCCGTTGACACCTTGAGAGGCACGCAGAGTTAATTGCTTCAAAAGGTGACGATGCCTGACTCCTCTTGAATACTGATAGGAATCCCAAAATCCCTGTGGCTTCTGGAAAGGGTCCTTGGGTGCCCTGCCTCACCTCGAGAAGCGTCCCTTTTGCCCTGCCAAGCTTCGAAGAGATTCCTGAGGTGTCCCTCGTTACGAGACAGGAGTCCTGACGTCACTGAAGAAACTCCTGTTTTGAAGGGCCATCCCCGCCGTAAGTCGAGAACATACCCCAGGTCCCCGCCGCAACTCGAGAAAACCCATGAGACTTCCCGCTAGAGGCGAGATGAGGCCCCATTCCCCTGCAGTGCATGCAGAGCTATTCCGTGATCCCATTCAAACAAGTCAGGAGCTTCGACTTGCTTAATGGATCTCGAGACAGTCCCCAAGAACACTGTCACCAGTCTAGACGGAACCTGAGGTCACCCCAGCAATGCAAAGAAGCTCCATGTGCCCCAAATCAACTCGAGATGAGGCCCGATTCCCCTGCATTGACCCCAGAGCCATTCCCCGTTCCCCATTCAACACGAACGGTGGCTCGACTTCCTTCAGGCAACTCCAGAGATGCCCCGAGAACACTGTCGCAAGTCTAGAGGAACCTAACTTCAGCATAGCAACTCGAGGAATGCTCCATGTACCCCAAATCGTCTCGAGATGAGAGCTGATTCCCTGGCTTAGGCTCAAGACGTATGCCAACTTTCCAGAAGCACCTCAGGAGGAGGCTTCTCTCAGCAATAGGTATGTGGGAGGGACCCCGAGATCGCTGCCTCAAGTGGAATATACAGCGAGAAGCCCTAACTTGAAAGGAGGCCGGATTTCCTTGCAGTGGCTTGAATACAGGCTCGTCTTTGATCTCACAACTTGAAGGCATGTCTGAATCCCCTGTGGAGACCTTAGAGAAAGCACTAGGTCCCTGCCTCATTTTGACGGAATGCCTCACATCCCGTTGACACGTCGAGAGGCACGCGGAGTTCATTGCTTCAAAAGGTGACGATGCCTGACTCCTCTTGAATACTGATAGGAATCCCACAATCCCTGTGGCTACTGGAATGGGTTCTTGGGTGCCCTGCCTCACCTCGAGAAGCATCCCTTTTGCCCTGCCAAGCCTCGAAGAGATTCCTGAGGTGTCCCTCGTTACTAGACAGCAGTCCTGATGTCACTGAAGAAACTCGTGTTTTGAAGGGCCATCCCCGCCGTAAGTCGAGAACATACCCCAGGTCCCCGCCGCAACTCGAGAAAAACCATGAGACTTCCCCCTAGAGGCGTGATGAAGCCCCATTCACCTGCAGTGCATGCAGAGCTATTCCGTGATCCCATTCACACAAGTCAGGAGCTTCTCCTTTCTTAATGGATCTCGAGACAGTCCCCAAGAACACTGTCACTAGTCTAGACGGACACTGAGGTCAACCCAGCAACGGAAAGCAGCTCCATGTGCCCCAAATCAACTCGAGATGAGGCCCGATTCCCCTTAATTGACTCCAGAACAATTCCCCGTTCCCCAATCAACACGACCGGTGGCTCGACTTCCTTCAGGCAATAACAGAGATGCACCGTGAACACTCTCCCAAGTCTAGAGGAACACCAACTTCAGCACAGCCACTCGAGGAATGCTCCATGTACCCCAAATCGTCTCGAGATGAGAGCTGATTCCCTGGCTTAGGCTCAAGACGTATGCCAACTTTCCAGAAGCACCTCAGGAGGAGGCTTCTCTCAGCAATAGGTATGTGGGAGGGACCCCGAGATCGCTGCCTCAAGTGGAATATACAGCGAGAAGCCCTAACTTGAAAGGAGGCCGGATTTCCTTGCAGTGGCTTGAATACAGGCTCGTCTTTGATCTCACAACATGAAGGCATATCTGAATCCCCTGTGTAGACCTTTGAGAAAGCCCTAGGGCCCTGCCTCATATTGACGGAATGCCTCACATCCCGCTGTCACCTCGAGAGGCACGCGGAGTTCATTGCTTCAAAAGGTGACGATGCCTGACTCCTCTTGAATACTGATAGGAATCCCAAAATCCCTGTGGCTACTGGAAAGGGTCCTTGGGTGCCCTGCCTCACCTCGAGAAGCGTCCCTTTTGCCCTGCCAAGCCTCGAAGAGATTCCTGAGGTGTCCCTCGTTACGAGACAGGAGTCCTGACGTCACTGAAGAAACTCGTGTTTTGAAGGGCCATCCCCGCCGTAAGTCGAGAACATACCCCAGGTCCCCGCCGCAACTCGAGAAAAACCATGAGACTTCCCCCTAGAGGCGAGATGAGGCCCCATTCCCCTGCAGTGCATGCAGAGCTATTCCGTGATCCCATTCAAACAAGTCAGGAGCTTCGACTTGCTTAATGGATCTCGAGACAGTCCCCAAGAACACTGTCACCAGTCTAGACGGAACCTGAGGTCACCGCAGCAATGCAAAGAAGCTCCATGTGCCCCAAATCAACTCGAGATGAGGCCCGCTTCCCCTGCATTGACCTCAGAGCCATTCCCCGTTCCCCATTCAACACGACCGGTGGCTCGACTTCCTTCAGGCAACTCCAGAGATGCCCCGAGAACACTGTCGCAAGTCTAGAGGAACACCAACTTCAGCACAGCAACTCGAGGAATGCTCCATGTACCCCAAATCGTCTCGAGATGAGAGCTGATTCCCTGGCTTAGGCTCAAGACGTATGCCAACTTTCCAGAAGCACCTCAGGAGGAGGCTTCTCTCACCAATAGGTATGTGGGAGGGACCCCGAGATCGCTGCCTCAAGGGGAATATACAGCGAGAATCCCTAACTTGAAAGGAGGCCGGATTTCCTTGCAGTGGCTTGAATACAGGCTCGTCTTTGATCTCACAACATGAAGGCATGTCTGAATCCCCTGTGGAGACCTTAGAAAAAGCCCTAGGTCCCTGCCTCATTTTGACGGAATGCCTCACATCCCGTTGACACCTCGAGAGGCACACGGAGTTCATTGCTTCAAAAGGTGACGATGCCTGACTCCTCTTTAATACTGATAGGAATCCCAAAATCCCTGTGGCTACTGGAAAGGGTCCTTGGGTGCCCTGCCTCACCTCGAGAAGCGTCCCTTTTGCCCTGCCAAGCCTCGAAGAGATTCCTGAGGTGTCCCTTGTTACTAGACAGGAGTCCTGACGTCACTGAAGAAACTCGTGTTTTGAAGGGCCATCCCCGCCGTAAGTCGAGAACATACCCCAGGTCCCCGCCGCAACTCGAGAAAATCCATGAGACTTCCCCCTAGAGGCGAGAAGAGGCCCCATTCCCATTCAGTGCATGCAGAGCTATTCCGTGATCCCATTCAAACAAGTCAGGAGCTTCGACTTGCTTAATGGATCTCGAGACAGTCCCCAAGAACACTGTCACCAGTCTAGACGGACACTGAGGTCAACCCAGCAACGGAAAGCAGCTCCATGTGCCCCAAATCAACTCGAGATGAGGCCCGATTCCCCTGCATTGACTCCAGAACAATTCCCCGTTCCCCATTCAACACGACCGGTGGCTCGACTTCCTTCAGGCAATAACAGAGATGCACCGTGAACACTGTCCCAAGTCTAGAGGAACACCAACTTCAGCACAGCCACTCGAGGAATGCTCCATGTACCCCAAATCGTCTCGAGATGAGAGCTGATTCCCTGGCTTAGGCTCAAGACGTATGCCAACTTTCCAGAAGCACCTCAGGAGGAGGCTTCTCTCAGCAATAGGTATGTGGGAGGGACCCCGAGATCGCTGCCTCAAGTGGAATATACAGCGAGAAGCCCTAACTTGAAAGGAGGCCGGATTTCCTTGCAGTGGCTTGAATACAGGCTCGTCTTTGATCTGAAAACATGAAGGGATGTCTGAAGCCCCTGTGGAGACCTTAGAGAAAGCCCTAGGTCCATGCCTGTTTTTTTCGGAATGCCTCACATCCCGTTGACACCTTGAGAGGCACGCAGAGTTCACTGCTTCAAAAGGTGACAATGCCTGACTCCTCTTGAATATTGATAGGAATCCCAAAATCCCTGTGGCTTCTGGAAAGTGTCCTTGGGTGCCCTGCCTCACCTCGAGAAGCGTCCCTTTTGCCCTGCCAAGCCTCGAAGAGATTCCTGAGGTGTCCCTCGTTACGAGACAGGAGTCCTGACATCACTGAAGAAACTCGTGTTTTGAAGGGCCATCCCCGCCATAAGTCGAGAACATACCCCAGGTCCCCTCCGCAACTGGAGAAAAACCATGAGACTTCCCGCTAGAGGCGAGATGAGGCCCCATTCCCCTGCAGTGCATGCAGAGCTATTCCGTGATCCCATTCAAACAAGTCAGGAGCTTCGACTTGCTTAATGGATCTCGAGACAGTCCCCAAGAACACTGTCACCAGTCTAGACGGACCCTGAGGTCACCCCAGCAACGCAAAGCAGCTCCATGTGCCCCAAATCAACTCGAGATAAGGCCCGATTCCCCTGCATTGACTCCAGAGCCATTCCCCGTTCCCCATTCAACACGACCGGTGGCTCGACTTCCTTCAGGCAACTCCAGAGATGCCCCGAGAACACTGTCCCAAGGCTAGAGGAACACCAACCTCAGCATAGCAACTCGCGGAATGCTCCATGTACCCCAAATCGTCTCGAGATGAGAGCTGATTCCCTGGCTTAGGCTCAAGACGTATGCCAACTTTGCAGAAGCACCTCAGGATGAGGCTTCTCTCAGCAATAGGTATGTGGGAGGGACCCCGAGATCGCTGCCTCAAGTGGAATATACAGCGAGAATCCCTAACTTGAAAGGAGGCCGAATTTCCTTGCAGTGGCTTGAATACAGGCTCGTCTTTGATCTCACAACATGAAGGCATGTCTGAATCCCCTGTGGAGACCTTAGAGAAAGCCCTAGGGCCCTGCCTCATTTTGACGGAATTCCTCACATCCCGTTGACACCTCGAGAGGCACGCGGAGTTCATTGATTCAAAAGGTGACGATGCCTGACTCCTCTTGAATACTGATAGGAATCCCAAAATCCCTGTGGCTACTGGAATGGGTCCTTGGGTGCCCTGCCTCACCTCGAGAAGCGTCCCTTTTGCCCTGCCAAGCCTCGAAGAGATTCCTGAGGTGTCCCTTGTTACTAGACAGGAGTCCTGACGTCACTGAAGAAACTCGTGTTTTGAAGGGCCATCCTCGCCATAAGTCGAGAACGTACCCCAGGTCCCCGCCGCAACTCGAGAAAATCCATGAGACTTCCCCCTAGAGGCGAGATGAGGCCCCATTCCCATTCAGTGCATGCAGAGCTATTCCGTGATCCCATTAAAACAAGTCAGGAGCTTCGACTTGCTTAATGGATCTCGAGCCAGTCCCCAAGAACACTGTCACCAGTCTAGACGGACCCTGAGGTCACCCCAGCAACGCAAAGCAGCTCCATGTGCCCCAAATCAACTCGAGATAAGGCCCGATTCCCCTGCATTGACTCCAGAGCCATTCCCCGTTCCCCATTCAACACGACCGGTGGCTCGACTTCCTTCAGGCAACTCCAGAGATGCCCCGAGAACACTGTCCCAAGTCTAGAGGAACACCAAACTCAGCATAGCAACTCGCGGAATGCTCCATGTAGCCCAAATCGTCTCGAGATGAGAGCTGATTCCCTGGCTTAGGCTCAAGACGTATGCCAACTTTCCAGAAGCACCTCAGGAGGAGGCTTCTCTCAGCAATAGGTATGTGGGAGGGACCCCGAGATCGCTGCCTCAAGTGGAATATACAGCGAGAATCCCTAACTTGAAAGGAGGCCGGATTTCCTTGCAGTGGCTTGAATACAGGCTCGTCTTTCATCTCACAACATGTAGGGATGTCTGAATCCCCTGTGGAGACCTTAGAGAAAGCCCAAGGGCCCTGCCTCATTTTGACGGAATGCCTCACATTCCGCTGTCACCTCCAGAGGCACGCGGAGTTCATTGCTTCAAAAGGTGACGATGCCTGACTCCTCTTGAATACTGATAGGAATCCCAAAATCCCTGTGGCTACTGGAAAGGGTCCTTGGGTGCCCTGCCTCACCTCGAGAAGCGTCCCTTTTGCCCTGCCAAGCCTCGAAGAGATTCCTGAGGTGTCCCTCGTTACGAGACAGGAGTCCTGACGTCACTGAAGAAACTCGTGTTTTGAAGGGCCATCCCCGCCGTAAGTCGAGAACATACCCCAGGTCCCCGCCGCAACTCGAGAAAATCGATGAGACTTCCCCCTAGAGGCGAGATGAGGCCCCATTCCCATTCAGTGCATGCAGAGCTATTCCGTGATCCCATTCAAACAAGTCAGGAGCTTCGACTTGCTTAATGGATCTCGAGACAGTCCCCAAGAACACTGTCACCAGTCTAGACGGACACTGAGGTCAACCCAGCAACGGAAAGCAGCTCCATGTGCCCCAAATCAACTCGAGATGAGGCCCGATTGCCCTGCATTGACTCCAGAACAATTCCCCGTTCCCCATTCAACACGACCGGTGGCTCGACTTCCTTCAGGCAATAACAGAGATGCACCGTGAACACTGTCCCAAGTCTAGAGGAACACCAACTTCAGCACAGCCACTCGAGGAATGCTCCATGTACCCCAAATCGTCTCGAGATGAGAGCTGATTCCCTGGCTTAGGCTCAAGACGTATGCCAACTTTCCAGAAGCACCTCAGGAGGAGGCTTCTCTCAGCAATAGGTATGTGGGAGGGACCCCGAGATCGCTGCCTCAAGTGGAATATACAGCGAGAAGCCCTAACTTGAAAGGAGGCCGGATTTCCTTGCAGTGGCTTGAATACAGGCTCGTCTTTGATCTCACAACATGAAGGGATGTCTGAAACCCCTGTGGAGACCTTAGAGAAAGCCCTAGGTCCATGCCTGTTTTTTTCGGAATGCCTCACATCCCGTTGACACCTTGAGAGGCACGCAGAGTTCATTGCTTCAAAAGGTGACGATGCCTGACTCCTCTTGAATAATGATAGGAATCCCAAAATCCCTGTGGCTTCTGGAAAGTGTCCTTGGGTGCCCTGCCTCACCTCGAGAAGCGTCCCTTTTGCCCTGCCAAGCCTCGAAGAGATTCCTGAGGTGTCCCTCGTTACGAGACAGGAGTCCTGACATCACTGAAGAAACTCGTGTTTTGAAGGGCCATCCCCGCCATAAGTCGAGAACATACCCCAGGTCCCCGCCGCAACTGGAGAAAAACCATGAGAATTCCCGCTAGAGGCGAGATGAGGCCCCATTCCCCTGCAGTGCATGCAGAGCTATTCCGTGATCCCATTCAAACAAGTCAGGAGCTTCGACTTGCTTAATGGATCTCGAGACAGTCCCCAAGAACACTGTCACCAGTCTAGACGGAACCTGAGGTCACCCCAGCAATGCAAAGCAGCTCCATGTGCCCCAAATCAACTCGAGATGAGGCCCGATTCCCCTGCATTGACACCAGAGCCATTCCCCATTCCCCACTCAACACGACTGGTGGCTCGACTTCCTTCAGGCAACTCCAGAGATGCCCCGAGAACACTGTCCCAAGTCTAGAGGAACACCAACTTCAGCACAGCAACTCGAGGAATGCTCCGTGTACCCCAAATCGTTTCGAGATGAGAGCTGATTCCCTGGCTTAGGCTCAAGACGTATGCCAACTTTCCAGAAGCACCTCAGGAGGAGGCTTCTCTCAGCAATATGTATGTGGGAGGGACCCCGAGATCGCTGCCTCAAGTGGAATATACAGCGAGAAGCCCTAACTTGAAAGGAGGCCGGATTTCCTTGCAGTGGCTTGAATACAGGCTCGTCTTTGTTCTCACAACATGAAGGCATGTCTGAATCCCCTGTGGAGACCTTAGAGAAAGCCCTAGGTCCCTGCCTCATTTTGACGGAATGCCTCACATCCCGTTGATACCTCGAGAGGCACGCGGAGTTCATTGCTTCAAAAGGTGACGATGCGTGACTCCTCTTGAATACTGATAGGAATCCCAAAATCCCTGTGGCTACTGGAAAGGGTCCTTGGGTGCCCTGCCTCACCTCGAGAAGCGTCCCTTTTGCCCTGCCAAGCCTCGAAGAGATTCCTGAGGTGTCCCTCGTTACTAGACAGGAGTCCTGACGTCACTGAAGAAACTCGTGTTTTGAATGGCCATCCCCGCTGTAAGTCGAGAACATACCCCAGGTCCCCGCCGCAACTCGAGAAAAACCATGAGACTTCCCCCGAGAGGCGAGATGAGGCCCCATTCCCCTGCAGTGCATGCAGAGCTATTCCGTGATCCCATTCAAACAAGTCAGGAGCTTCGACTTGCTTAATGGATCTCGAGACAGTCCCCAAAAAACTGTCACCATTCTAGACGGACCCTGAGGTCAACCCAGCAACGGAAAGCAGCTCCATGTGCCCCAAATCAACTCGAGATGAGGCCCGATTCCCCTGCATTGACTCCAGAGCCATTCCCCGTTCCCCATTCAACACGACCGGTGGCTCGACTTCCTTCAGGCAATAACAGAGATGCCCCGTGTACACTGTCCCAAGTCTAGAGGAACACAAACTTCAGCACAGCAACTCTAGGAATGATCCATGTACCCCAAATCGTCTCGAGTTGAGAGCTGATTCCCTGGCTTAGGCTCAAGACGTATGCCAACTTTCCAGAAGCACCTCAGGAGGAGGCTTCTCTCAGCAATAGGTATGTGGGAGGGAAGCGAGATCGCTGCCTCAAGTGGAATATACAGCGAGAAGCCCTAACTTGAAAGGAGGCCGGATTTCCTTGCAGTGGCTTTAATACAGGCTCGTCTTTGATCTCACAACATGAAGGCATGTCTGAATCCCCTGTGGAGACCTTAGAGAAAGCCCTAGGGCCCTGCCTCATTTTGTCGGAATGCCTCACATCCCGTTGACACCTTGAGAGGCACGCAGAGTTAATTGCTTCAAAAGGTGACGATGCCTGACTCCTCTTGAATACTGATAGGAATCCCAAAATCCCTGTGGCTTCTGGAAAGGGTCCTTGGGTGCCCTGCCTCACCTCGAGAAGCGTCCCTTTTGCCCTGCCAAGCTTCGAAGAGATTCCTGAGGTGTCCCTCGTTACGAGACAGGAGTCCTGACGTCACTGAAGAAACTCGTGTTTTGAAGGTCCATCCCCGCCGTAAGTCGAGAACATACCCCAGGTCCCCGCCGCAACTCGAGAAAACCCATGAGACTTCCCGCTAGAGGCGAGATGAGGCCCCATTCCCCTGCAGTGCATGCAGAGCTATTCCGTGATCCCATTCAAACAAGTCAGGAGCTTCGACTTGCTTAATGGATCTCGAGACAGTCCCCAAGAACACTGTCACCAGTCTAGACGGAACCTGAGGTCACCCCAGCAATGCAAAGAAGCTCCATGTGCCCCAAATCAACTCGAGATGAGGCCCGATTCCCCTGCATTGACCCCAGAGCCATTCCCCGTTCCCCATTCAACAAGAACGGTGGCTCGACTTCCTTCAGGCAACTCCAGAGATGCCCCGAGAACACTGTCGCAAGTCTAGAGGAACCTAACTTCAGCATAGCAACTCGAGGAATGCTCCATGTACCCCAAATCGTCTCGAGATGAGAGCTGATTCCCTGGCTTAGGCTCAAGACGTATGCCAACTTTCCAGAAGCACCTCAGGAGGAGGCTTCTCTCAGCAATAGGTATGTGGGAGGGACCCCGAGATCGCTGCCTCAAGTGGAATATACAGCGAGAAGCCCTAACTTGAAAGGAGGCCGGATTTCCTTGCAGTGGCTTGAATACAGGCTCGTCTTTGATCTCACAACATGAAGGCATGTCTGAATCCCCTGTGGAGACCTTAGAGAAAGCACTAGGTCCCTGCCTCATTTTGACGGAATGCCTCACATCCCGTTGACACGTCGAGAGGCACGCGGAGTTCATTGCTTCAAAAGGTGACGATGCCTGACTCCTCTTGAATACTGATAGGAATCCCACAATCCCTGTGGCTACTGGAATGGGTTCTTGGGTGCCCTGCCTCACCTCGAGAAGCATCCCTTTTGCCCTGCCAAGCCTCGAAGAGATTCCTGAGGTGTCCCTCGTTACTAGACAGCAGTCCTGATGTCACTGAAGAAACTCGTGTTTTGAAGGGCCATCCCCGCCGTAAGTCGAGAACATACCCCAGGTCCCCGCCGCAACTCGAGAAAAACCATGAGACTTCCCCCTAGAGGCGTGATGAAGCCCCATTCACCTGCAGTGCATGCAGAGCTATTCCGTGATCCCATTCAAACAAGTCAGGAGCTTCTCCTTTCTTAATGGATCTCGAGACAGTCCCCAAGAACACTGTCACTAGTCTAGACGGACACTGAGGTCAACCCAGCAACGGAAAGCAGCTCCATGTGCCCCAAATCAACTCGAGATGAGGCCCGATTCCCCTTCATTGACTCCAGAACAATTCCCCGTTCCCCAATCAACACGACCGGTGGCTCGACTTCCTTCAGGCAATAACAGAGATGCACCGTGAACACTCTCCCAAGTCTAGAGGAACACCAACTTCAGCACAGCCACTCGAGGAATGCTCCATGTACCCCAAATCGTCTCGAGATGAGAGCTGATTCCCTGGCTTAGGCTCAAGACGTATGCCAACTTTCCAGAAGCACCTCAGGAGGAGGCTTCTCTCAGCAATAGGTATGTGGGAGGGACCCCGAGATCGCTGCCTCAAGTGGAATATACAGCGAGAAGCCCTAACTTGAAAGGAGGCCGGATTTCCTTGCAGTGGCTTGAATACAGGCTCGTCTTTGATCTCAAAACATGAAGGGATGTCTGAAGCCCCTGTGGAGACCTTAGAGAAAGCCCTAGGTCCCTGCCTGTTTTTTTCGGAATGCCTCACATCCCGTTGACACCTTGAGAGGCACGCAGAGTTCATTGCTTCAAAAGGTGACGATGCCTGACTCCTCTTGAATAATGATAGGAATCCCAAAATCCCTGTGGCTTCTGGAAAGTGTCCTTGGGTGCCCTGCCTCACCTCGAGAAGTGTCCCTTTTGCCCTGCCAAGCCTCGAAGAGATTCCTGAGGTGTCCCTCGTTACGAGACAGGAGTCCTGACGTCACTGAAGAAACTCGTGTTTTGAAGGGCCATCCCCGCCGTAAGTCGAGAACATACCCCAGGTCCCCGCCGCAACTCGAGAAAAACCATGAGACTTCCCGCTAGAGGCGAGATGAGGCCCCATTCCCCTGCAGTGCATGCAGAGCTATTCCGTGATCCCATTCAAACAAGTCAGGAGCTTCGACTTGCTTAATGGATCTCGAGACAGTCCCCAAGAACACTGTCACCAGTCTAGACGGAACCTGAGTTCACCCCAGCAATGCAAAGCAGCTCCATGTGTCCCAAATCAACTCGAGATGAGGCCCGATTCCCCTGCATTGACACCAGAGCCATTCCCCGTTCCCCATTCAACACGACTGGTGGCTCGACTTCCTTCAGGCAACTCCAGAGATGCCCCGAGAACACTGTCCCAAGTCTAGAGGAACACCAACTTCAGCACAGCAACTCGAGGAATGCTCCGTGTACCCCAAATCGTCTCGAGATGAGAGCTGATTCCCTGGCTTAGGCTCAAGACGTATGCCAACTTTCCAGAAGCACGTCAGGAGGAGGCTTCTCTCAGCAATAGTTATGTGGGAGGGACCCCGAAATCGCTGCCTGAAGTGGAATATACAGAGAGAAGCCCTAACTTGAAAGGAGGCCGGATTTCCTTGCAGTGGCTTGAATAGAGGATGGTCTTTGATCTCACAACATGAAGGCATATCTGAATCCCCTGTGTAGACCTTTGAGAAAGCCCTAGGGCCCTGCCTCATATTGACGGAATGCCTCACATCCCGCTGTCACCTCGAGAGGCACGCGGAGTTCATTGCTTCAAAAGGTGACGATGCCTGACTCCTCTTGAATACTGATAGGAATCCCAAAATCCCTGTGGCTACTGGAAAGGGTCCTTGGGTGCCCTGCCTCACCTCGAGAAGCGTCCCTTTTGCCCTGCCAAGCCTCGAAGAGATTCCTGAGGTGTCCCTCGTTACGAGACAGGAGTCCTGACGTCACTGAAGAAACTCGTGTTTTGAAGGGCCATCCCCGCCGTAAGTCGAGAACATACCCCAGGTCCCCGTCGCAACTCGAGAAAAACCATGAGACTTCCCCCTAGAGGCGAGATGAGGCCCCATTCCCCTGCAGTGCATGCAGAGCTATTCCGTGATCCCATTCAAACAAGTCAGGAGCTTCGACTTGCTTAATGGATCTCGAGACAGTCCCCAAGAACACTGTCACCAGTCTAGACGGAACCTGAGGTCACCGCAGCAATGCAAAGAAGCTCCATGTGCCCCAAATCAACTCGAGATGAGGCCCGCTTCCCCTGCATTGACCTCAGAGCCATTCCCCGTTCCCCATTCAACACGACCGGTGGCTCGACTTCCTTCAGGCAACTCCAGAGATGCCCCGAGAACACTGTCGCAAGTCTAGAGGAACACCAACTTCAGCACAGCAACTCGAGGAATGCTCCATGTACCCCAAATCGTCTCGAGATGAGAGCTGATTCCCTGGCTTAGGCTCAAGACGTATGCCAACTTTCCAGAAGCACCTCAGGAGGAGGCTTCTCTCACCAATAGGTATGTGGGAGGGACCCCGAGATCGCTGCCTCAAGTGGAATATACAGCGAGAATCCCTAACTTGAAAGGAGGCCGGATTTCCTTGCAGTGGCTTGAATACAGGCTCGTCTTTGATCTCACAACATGAAGGCATGTCTGAATCCCCTGTGGAGACCTTAGAAAAAGCCCTAGGTCCCTGCCTCATTTTGACGGAATGCCTCACATCCCGTTGACACCTCGAGAGGCACACGGAGTTCATTGCTTCAAAAGGTGACGATGCCTGACTCCTCTTTAATACTGATAGGAATCCCAAAATCCCTGTGGCTACTGGAAAGGGTCCTTGGGTGCCCTGCCTCACCTCGAGAAGCGTCCCTTTTGCCCTGCCAAGCCTCGAAGAGATTCCTGAGGTGTCCCTTGTTACTAGACAGGAGTCCTGACGTCACTGAAGAAACTCGTGTTTTGAAGGGCCATCCCCGCCGTAAGTCGAGAACATACCCCAGGTCCCCGCCGCAACTCGAGAAAATCCATGAGACTTCCCCCTAGAGGCGAGAAGAGGCCCCATTCCCATTCAGTGCATGCAGAGCTATTCCGTGATCCCATTCAAACAAGTCAGGAGCTTCGACTTGCTTAATGGATCTCGAGACAGTCCCCAAGAACACTGTCACCAGTCTAGACGGACACTGAGGTCAACCCAGCAACGGAAAGCAGCTCCATGTGCCCCAAATCAACTCGAGATGAGGCCCGATTCCCCTGCATTGACTCCAGAACAATTCCCCGTTCCCCATTCAACACGACCGGTGGCTCGACTTCCTTCAGGCAATAACAGAGATGCACCGTGAACACTGTCCCAAGTCTAGAGGAACACCAACTTCAGCACAGCCACTCGAGGAATGCTCCATGTACCCCAAATCGTCTCGAGATGAGAGCTGATTCCCTGGCTTAGGCTCAAGACGTATGCCAACTTTCCAGAAGCACCTCAGGAGGAGGCTTCTCTCAGCAATAGGTATGTGCGAGGGACCCCGAGATCGCTGCCTCAAGTGGAATATACAGCGAGAAGCCCTAACTTGAAAGGAGGCCGGATTTCCTTGCAGTGGCTTGAATACAGGCTCGTCTTTGATCTGAAAACATGAAGGGATGTCTGAAGCCCCTGTGGAGACCTTAGAGAAAGCCCTAGGTCCATGCCTGTTTTTTTCGGAATGCCTCACATCCCGTTGACACCTTGAGAGGCACGCAGAGTTCACTGCTTCAAAAGGTGACAATGCCTGACTCCTCTTGAATATTGATAGGAATCCCAAAATCCCTGTGGCTTCTGGAAAGTGTCCTTGGGTGCCCTGCCTCACCTCGAGAAGCGTCCCTTTTGCCCTGCCAAGCCTCGAAGAGATTCCTGAGGTGTCCCTCGTTACGAGACAGGAGTCCTGACATCACTGAAGAAACTCGTGTTTTGAAGGGCCATCCCCGCCATAAGTCGAGAACATACCCCAGGTCCCCTCCGCAACTGGAGAAAAACCATGAGACTTCCCGCTAGAGGCGAGATGAGGCCCCATTCCCCTGCAGTGCATGCAGAGCTATTCCGTGATCCCATTCAAACAAGTCAGGAGCTTCGACTTGCTTAATGGATCTCGAGACAGTCCCCAAGAACACTGTCACCAGTCTAGACGGAACCTGAGGTCACCCCAGCAATGCAAAGCAGCTCCATGTGCCCCAAATCAATTCGAGATGAGGCCCGATTCCTCTGCATTGACACCAGAGCCATTCCCCATTCCCCACTCAACACGACTGGTGGCTCGACTTCCTTCAGGCAACTCCAGAGATGCCCCGAGAACACTGTCCCAAGTCTAGAGGAACACCAACTTCAGCACAGCAACTCGAGGAATGCTCCGTGTACCCCAAATCGTCTCGAGATGAGAGCTGATTCCCTGGCTTAGGCTCAAGACGTATGCCAACTTTCAGAAGCACCTCAGGATGAGGCTTCTCTCAGCAATAGGTATGTGGGAGGGACCCCGAGATCGCTGCCTCAAGTGGAATATACAGCGAGAAGCCCTAACTTGAAAGGAGGCCGGATTTCCTTGCAGTGGCTTGAATACAGGCTCGTCATTCATCTCACAACATTTAGGGATGTCTGAATCCCCTGTGGAGACCTTAGAGAAAGCCCTAGGGCCCTGCCTCATTTTGACGGAATGCCTCACATCCCGCTGTCACCTCGAGAGGCACGCGGAGTTCATTGCTTCAAAAGGTGACGATGCCTGACTCCTCTTGAATACTGATAGGAATCCCAAAATCCCTGTGGCTACTGGAAAGGGTCCTTGGGTGCCCTGCCTCACCTCGAGAAGCGTCCCTTTTGCCCTGCCAAGCCTCGAAGAGATTCCTGAGTTGTCCCTCGTTACGAGACAGGAGTCCTGACGTCACTGAAGAAACTCGTGTTTTGAAGTGCCATCCCCGCCGTAAGTCGAGAACATACCCCAGGTCCCCGCCGCAACTCGAGAAAAACCATGAGACTTCCCCCTAGAGGCGAGATGAGGCCCCATTCCCCTGCAGTGCATGCAGAGCTATTCCGTGATCCCATTCAAACAAGTCAGGAGCTTCGACTTGCTTAATGGATCTCGAGAGAGTCCCCAAGAACACTGTCACCAGTCTAGACGGAACCTGAGGTCACCCCAGCAATGCAAAGAAGCTCCATGTGCCCCAAATCAACTCGAAATGAGGCCCGATTCCCCTGCATTGACCTCAGAGCCATTCCCCATTCCCCATTCAACACGACCGGTGGCTCGACTTCCTTCAGGCAACTCCAGAGATGCCCCGAGAACACTGTCGCCAGTCTAGAGGAACACCAACTTCAGCACAGCAACTCGAGGAATGCTCCGTGTACCCCAAATCGTCTCGAGATGAGAGCTGATTCCCTGGCTTAGGCTCAAGACGTATGCCAACTTTGCAGAAGCACCTCAGGATGAGGCTTCTCTCAGCAATAGTTATGTGGGAGGGACCCCGAGATCGCTGCCTCAAGTGGAATATACAGCGAGAATCCCTAACTTGAAAGGAGGCCGAATTTCCTTGCAGTGGCTTGAATACAGGCTCGTCTTTGATCTCACAACATGAAGGCATGTCTGAATCCCCTGTGGAGACCTTAGAGAAAGCCCTAGGTCCCTGCCTCATTTTGACGGAATGCCTCACATCCCGTTGACACCTCGAGAGGCACGCGGAGTTCATTGCTTCAAAAGGTGACGATGCCTGACTCCTCTTGAATACTGATAGGAATCCCAAAATCCCTGTGGCTACTGGAATGGGTCCTTGGGTGCCCTGCCTCACCTCGAGAAGCGTCCCTTTTGCCCTGCCAAGCCTCGAAGAGATTCCTGAGGTGTCCCTTGTTACTAGACAGGAGTCCTGACGTCACTGAAGAAACTCGTGTTTTGAAGGGCCATCCTCGCCATAAGTCGAGAACGTACCCCAGGTCCCCGCCGCAACTCGAGAAAAACCATGAGACTTCCCCCTAGAGGCGACATGAGGCCCCATTCCCCTGCAGTGCATGCACAGCTATTCCGTGATCCCATTAAAACAAGTCAGGAGCTTCGACTTGCTTAATGGATCTCGAGACAGTCCCCAAGAACACTGTCACCAGTCTAGACGGACCCTGAGGTCACCCCTGCAACGCAAAGCAGCTCCATGTGCCCCAAATCAACTCGAGATAAGGCCCGATTCCCCTGCATTGACTCCAGAGCCATTCCCCGTTCCCCATTCAACACGACCGGTGGCTCGACTTCCTTCAGGCAACTCCAGAGATGCCCCGAGAACACTGTCCCAAGTCTAGAGGAACACCAACCTCAGCATAGCAACTCGCGGAATGCTCCATGTACCCCAAATCGTCTCGAGATGAGAGCTGATTCCCTGGCTTAGGCTCAAGACGTATGCCAACTTTGCAGAAGCACCTCAGGATGAGGCTTCTCTCAGCAATAGGTATGTGGGAGGGACCCTGAGATCGCTGCCTCAAGTGGAATATACAGCGAGAATCCCTAACTTGAAAGGAGGCCGAATTTCCTTGCAGTGGCTTGAATACAGGCTCGTCTTTGATCTCACAACATGAAGGCATGTCTGAATCCCCTGTGGAGACCTTAGAGAAAGCCCTAGGGCCCTGCCTCATTTTGACGGAATTCCTCACATCCTGTTGACACCTCGAGAGGCACGCGGAGTTCATTGATTCAAAAGGTGACGATGCCTGACTCCTCTTGAATACTGATAGGAATCCCAAAATCCCTGTGGCTACTGGAATGGGTCCTTGGGTGCCCTGCCTCACCTCGAGAAGCGTCCCTTTTGCCCTGCCAAGCCTCGAAGAGATTCCTGAGGTGTCCCTTGTTACTAGACAGGAGTCCTGACGTCACTGAAGAAACTCGTGTTTTGAAGGGCCATCCTCGCCATAAGTCGAGAACGTACCCCAGGTCCCCGCCGCAACTTGAGAAAATCCATGAGACTTCCCCCTAGAGGCGAGATGAGGCCCCATTCCCATTCAGTGCATGCAGAGCTATTCCGTGATCCCATTCAAACAAGTCAGGAGCTTCGACTTGCTTAATGGATCTCGAGCCAGTCCCCAAGAACACTGTCACCAGTCTAGACGGACCCTGAGGTCACCCCAAGCAACGCAAAGCAGCTCCATGTGCCCCAAATCAACTCGAGATAAGGCCCGATTCCCCTGCATTGACTCCAGAGCCATTCCCCGTTCCCCATTCAACACGACCGGTGGCTCGACTTCCTTCAGGCAACTCCAGAGATGCCCCGAGAACACTGTCCCAAGTCTAGAGGAACACCAAACTCAGCATAGCAACTCGCGGAATGCTCCATGTAGCCCAAATCGTCTCGAGATGAGAGCTGATTCACTGGCTTAGGCTCAAGACGTATGCCAACTTTCCAGAAGCACCTCAGGAGGAGGCTTCTCTCAGCAATAGGTATGTGGGAGGGACCCCGAGATCGCTGCCTCAAGGGGAATATACAGCGAGAATCCCTAACTTGAAAGGAGGCCGGATTTCCTTGCAGTGGCTTGAATACAGGCTCGTCTTTCATCTCACAACATGTAGGGATGTCTGAATCCCCTGTGGAGACCTTAGAGAAAGCCCAAGGGCCCTGCCTCATTTTGACGGAATGCCTCACAACCCGCTGTCACCTCCAGAGGCACGCGGAGTTCATTGCTTCAAAAGGTGACGATGCCTGACTCCTCTTGAATACTGATAGGAATCCCAAAATCCCTGTGGCTACTGGAAAGGGTCCTTGGGTGCCCTGCCTCACCTCGAGAAGCGTCCCTTTTGCCCTGCCAAGCCTCGAAGAGATTCCTGAGGTGTCCCTCGTTACGAGACAGGAGTCCTGACGTCACTGAAGAAACTCGTGTTTTGAAGGGCCATCCCCGCCGTAAGTCGAGAACATACCCCAGGTCCCCGCCGCAACTCGAGAAAATCGATGAGACTTCCCCCTAGAGGCGAGATGAGGCCCCATTCCCATTCAGTGCATGCAGAGCTATTCCGTGATCCCATTCAAACAAGTCAGGAGCTTCGACTTGCTTAATGGATCTCGAGACAGTCCCCAAGAACACTGTCACCAGTCTAGACGGACACTGAGGTCAACCCAGCAACGGAAAGCAGCTCCATGTGCCCCAAATCAACTCGAGATGAGGCCCGATTGCCCTGCATTGACTCCAGAACAATTCCCCGTTCCCCATTCAACACGACCGGTGGCTCGACTTCCTTCAGGCAATAACAGAGATGCACCGTGAACACTGTCCCAAGTCTAGAGGAACACCAACTTCAGCAGAGCCACTCGAGGAATGCTCCATGTACCCCAAATCGTCTCGAGATGAGAGCTGATTCCCTGGCTTAGGCTCAAGACGTATGCCAACTTTCCAGAAGCACCTCAGGAGGAGGCTTCTCTCAGCAATAGGTATGTGGGAGGGACCCCGAGATCGCTGCCTCAAGTGGAATATACAGCGAGAAGCCCTAACTTGAAAGGAGGCCGGATTTCCTTGCAGTGGCTTGAATACAGGCTCGTCTTTGATCTGAAAATATGAAGGGATGTCTGAAACCCCTGTGGAGACCTTAGAGAAAGCCCTAGGTCCATGCCTGTTTTTTTCGGAATGCCTCACATCCCGTTGACACCTTGAGAGGCACGCAGAGTTCATTGCTTCAAAAGGTGACGATGCCTGACTCCTCTTGAATAATGAGAGGAATCCCAAAATCCCTGTGGCTTCTGGAAAGTGTCCTTGGGTGCCCTGCCTCACCTCGAGAAGCGTCCCTTTTGCCCTGCCAAGCCTCGAAGAGATTCCTGAGGTGTCCCTCGTTACGAGACAGGAGTCCTGACATCACTGAAGAAACTCGTGTTTTGAAGGGCCATCCCCGCCATAAGTCGAGAACATACCCCAGGTCCCCGCCGCAACTCGAGAAAAACCATGAGACTTCCCGCTAGAGGCGAGATGAGGCCCCATTCCCCTGCAGTGCATGCAGAGCTATTCCGTGATCCCATTCAAACAAGTCAGGAGCTTCGACTTGCTTAATGGATCTCGAGACAGTCCCCAAGAACACTGTCACCAGTCTAGACGGAACCTGAGGTCACCCCAGCAATGCAAAGCAGCTCCATGTGCCCCAAATCAACTCGAGATGAGGCCCGATTCCCCTGCATTGTCACCAGAGCCATTCCCCATTCCCCACTCAACACGACTGGTGGCTCGACTTCCTTCAGGCAACTCCAGAGATGCCCCGAGAACACTGTCCCAAGTCTAGAGGAACACCAACTTCAGCACAGCAACTCGAGGAATGCTCCGTGTACCCCAAATCATTTCGAGATGAGAGCTGATTCCCTGGCTTAGGCTCAAGACGTATGCCAACTTTCCAGAAGCACCTCAGGAGGAGGCTTCTCTCAGCAATATGTATGTGGGAGGGACCCCGAGATCGCTGCCTCAAGTGGAATATACAGCGAGAAGCCCTAACTTGAAAGGAGGCCGGATTTCCTTGCAGTGGCTTGAATACAGGCTCGTCTTTGTTCTCACAACATGAAGGCATGTCTGAATCCCCTGTGGAGACCTTAGAGAAAGCCCTAGGTCCCTGCCTCATTTTGACGGAATGCCTCACATCCCGTTGATACCTCGAGAGGCACGCGGAGTTCATTGCTTCAAAAGGTGACGATGCGTGACTCCTCTTGAATACTGATAGGAATCCCAAAATCCCTGTGGCTACTGGAAAGGGTCCTTGGGTGCCCTGCCTCACCTCGAGAAGCGTCCCTTTTGCCCTGCCAAGCCTCGAAGAGATTCCTGAGGTGTCCCTCGTTACTAGACAGGAGTCCTGACGTCACTGAAGAAACTCGTGTTTTGAATGGCCATCCCCGCTGTAAGTCGAGAACATACCCCAGGTCCCCGCCGCAACTCGAGAAAAACCATGAGACTTCCCCCGAGAGGCGAGATGAGGCCCCATTCCCCTGCAGTGCATGCAGAGCTATTCCGTGATCCCATTCAAACAAGTCAGGAGCTTCGACTTGCTTAATGGATCTCGAGACAGTCCCCAAAAAACTGTCACCATTCTAGACGGACCCTGAGGTCAACCCAGCAACGGAAAGCAGGTCCATGTGCCCCAAATCAACTCGAGATGAGGCCCGATTCCCCTGCATTGACTCCAGAGCCATTCCCCGTTCCCCATTCAACACGACCGGTGGCTCGACTTCCTTCAGGCAATAACAGAGATGCCCCGTGTACACTGTCCCAAGTCTAGAGGAACACAAACTTCAGCACAGCAACTCTAGGAATGATCCATGTACCCCAAATCGTCTCGAGTTGAGAGCTGATTCCCTGGCTTAGGCTCAAGACGTATGCCAACTTTCCAGAAGCACCTCAGGAGGAGGCTTCTCTCAGCAATAGGTATGTGGGAGGGAACCCGAGATCGCTGCCTCAAGTGGAATATACAGCGAGAAGCCCTAACTTGAAAGGAGGCCGGATTTCCTTGCAGTGGCTTTAATACAGGCTCGTCTTTGATCTCACAACATGAAGGCATGTCTGAATCCCCTGTGGAGACCTTAGAGAAAGCCCTAGGGCCCTGCCTCATTTTGTCGGAATGCCTCACATCCCGTTGACACCTTGAGAGGCACGCAGAGTTAATTGCTTCAAAGGGTGACGATGCCTGACTCCTCTTGAATACTGATAGGAATCCCAAAATCCCTGTGGCTTCTGGAAAGGGTCCTTGGGTGCCCTGCCTCACCTCGAGAAGCGTCCCTTTTGCCCTGCCAAGCTTCGAAGAGATTCCTGAGGTGTCCCTCGTTACGAGACAGGAGTCCTGACGTCACTGAAGAAACTCGTGTTTTGAAGGTCCATCCCCGCCGTAAGTCGAGAACATACCCCAGGTCCCCGCCGCAACTCGAGAAAAACCATGAGACTTCCCGCTAGAGGCGAGATGAGGCCCCATTCCCCTGCAGTGCATGCAGAGCTATTCCGTGATCCCATTCAAACAAGTCAGGAGCTTCGACTTGCTTAATGGATCTCGAGACAGTCCCCAAGAACACTGTCACCAGTCTAGACGGAACCTGAGGTCACCCCAGCAATGCAAAGAAGCTCCATGTGCCCCAAATCAACTCGAGATGAGGCCCGATTCCCCTGCATTGACCCCAGAGCCATTCCCCGTTCCCCATTCAACACGAACGGTGGCTCGACTTCCTTCAGGCAACTCCAGAGATGCCCCGAGAACACTGTCGCAAGTCTAGAGGAACCTAACTTCAGCATAGCAACTCGAGGAATGCTCCATGTACCCCAAATCGTCTCGAGATGAGAGCTGATTCCCTGGCTTAGGCTCAAGACGTATGCCAACTTTCCAGAAGCACCTCAGGAGGAGGCTTCTCTCAGCAATAGGTATGTGGGAGGGACCCCGAGATCGCTGCCTCAAGTGGAATATACAGCGAGAAGCCCTAACTTGAAAGGAGGCCGGATTTCCTTGCAGGGGCTTGAATACAGGCTCGTCTTTCATCTCACAACATGAAGGCATGTCTGAATCCCCTGTGGAGACCTTAGAGAAAGCACTATGTCCCTGCCTCATTTTGACGGAATGCCTCACATCCCGTTGACACGTCGAGAGGCACGCGGAGTTCATTGCTTCAAATGGTGACGATGCCTGACTCCTCTTGAATACTGATAGGAATCCCACAATCCCTGTGGCTACTGGAATGGGTCCTTGGGTGCCCTGCCTCACCTCGAGAAGCATCCCTTTTGCCCTGCCAAGCCTCGAAGAGATTCCTGAGGTGTCCCTCGTTACTAGACAGCAGTCCTGATGTCACTGAAGAAACTCGTGTTTTGAAGGGCCATCCCCGCCGTAAGTCGAGAACATACCCCAGGTCCCCGCCGCAACTCGAGAAAAACCATGAGACTTCCCCCTAGAGGCGTGATGAAGCCCCATTCACCTGCAGTGCATGCAGAGCTATTCCGTGATCCCATTCAAACAAGTCAGGAGCTTCTCCTTTCTTAATGGATCTCGAGACAGTCCCCAAGAACACTGTCACTAGTCTAGACGGACACTGAGGTCAACCCAGCAACGGAAAGCAGCTCCATGTGCCCCAAATCAACTCGAGATGAGGCCCGATTCCCCTTCATTGACTCCAGAACAATTCCCCGTTCCCCAATCAACACGACCGGTGGCTCGACTTCCTTCAGGCAATAACAGAGATGCACCGTGAACACTCTCCCAAGTCTAGAGGAACACCAACTTCAGCACAGCCACTCGAGGAATGCTCCATGTACCCCAAATCATCTCGAGATGAGAGCTGATTCCCTGGCTTAGGCTCAAGACGTATGCCAACTTTCCAGAAGCACCTCAGGAGGAGGCTTCTCTCAGCAATAGGTATGTGGGAGGGACCCCGAGATCGCTGCCTCAAGTGGAATATACAGCGAGAAGCCCTAACTTGAAAGGAGGCCGGATTTCCTTGCAGTGGCTTGAATACAGGCTCGTCTTTGATCTCAAAACATGAAGGGATGTCTGAAGCCCCTGTGGAGACCTTAGAGAAAGCCCTAGGTCCCTGCCTGTTTTTTTCGGAATGCCTCACATCCCGTTGACACCTTGAGAGGCACGCAGAGTTCATTGCTTCAAAAGGTGACGATGCCTGACTCCTCTTGAATAATGATAGGAATCCCAAAATCCCTGTGGCTTCTGGAAAGTGTCCTTGGGTGCCCTGCCTCACCTCGAGAAGTGTCCCTTTTGCCCTGCCAAGCCTCGAAGAGATTCCTGAGGTGTCCCTCGTTACGAGACAGGAGTCCTGACGTCACTGAAGAAACTCGTGTTTTGAAGGGCCATCCCCGCCGTAAGTCGAGAACATACCCCAGGTCCCCGCCGCAACTCGAGAAAAACCATGAGACTTCCCGCTAGAGGCGAGATGAGGCCCCATTCCCCTGCAGTGCATGCAGAGCTATTCCGTGATCCCATTCAAACAAGTCAGGAGCTTCGACTTGCTTAATGGATCTCGAGACAGTCCCCAAGAACACTGTCACCAGTCTAGACGGAACCTGAGTTCACCCCAGCAATGCAAAGCAGCTCCATGTGTCCCAAATCAACTCGAGATGAGGCCCGTTTCCCCTGCATTGACACCAGAGCCATTCCCCGTTCCCCATTCAACACGACTGGTGGCTCGACTTCCTTCAGGCAACTCCAGAGATGCCCCGAGAACACTGTCCCAAGTCTAGAGGAACACCAACTTCAGCACAGCAACTCGAGGAATGCTCCGTGTACCCCAAATCGTCTCGAGATGAGAGCTGATTCCCTGGCTTAGGCTCAAGACGTATGCCAACTTTACAGAAGCACGTCAGGAGGAGGCTTCTCTCAGCAATAGTTATGTGGGAGGGACCCCGAAATCGCTGCCTGAAGTGGAATATACAGAGAGAAGCCCTAACTTGAAAGGAGGCCGGATTTCCTTGCAGTGGCTTGAATAGAGGATGGTCTTTGATCTCACAACATGAAGGCATATCTGAATCCCCTGTGTAGACCTTTGAGAAAGCCCTAGGGCCCTGCCTCATATTGACGGAATGCATCACATTCCGCTGACACCTCGAGAGGCACGCGGAGTTCATTGCTTCAAAAGGTGACGATGCCTGACTCCTCTTGAATACTGATAGGAATCCCAAAATCCCTGTGGCTACTGGAACGGGTCCTTGGGTGCCCTGCCTCACCTCGAGAAGCGTCCCTTTTTCCCTGCCAAGCCTCGAAGAGATTCCTGAGGTGTCCCTCGTTACTAGACAGGAGTCCTGACGTCACTGAAGAAACACGTGTTTTGAAGGGCCATCCCCGCTGTAAGTCGAGAACATACCCCAGGTCCCCGCCACAACTCGAGAAAAACCATGAGACTTCCCCCTAGAGGCGAGATGAGGCCCCATTCCCCTGCAGTGCATGCACAGCTATTCCGTGATCCCATTCAAACAAGTCAGGAGCTTCGACTTGTTTAATGGATCTCGAGACAGTCCCCAAGAACACTGTCACCAGTCTAGACGGACCCTGAGGTCACCCCAGCAATGCAAAGCAGCTCCATGTGCCCCAAATCAACTCGAGATGAGGCCCGATTCCCCTGCATTGACTCCAGAGCCATTCCCCGTTCCCCATTCATCACGACTGGTGGCTCGACTTCCTTCAGGCAACTCCAGAGATGCCCCGAGAACACTATCCCAAGTCTAGAGGAACACCAAATTCAGCACAGCAACTCGAGGAATGCACCGTGTATCCCAAATCGTCTCGAGATGAGAGCTGATTCCCTGGCTTAGCCTCAAGACGTATGCCAACTTTCCAGAAGCACCTCAGGAGGAGGCTTCTCTCAGCAATAGGTATTTCGGAGGGACCCCGAGATCGCTGCCTCAAGTGGAATATACAGCGAGAAGCCCTAACTTGAAAGGAGGCCAGATTTCCTTGCAGTGGCTTGAATACAGGCTCGTCTTTGATCTCACAACATGAAGGCATGTCTGAATCCCCTGTGGAGACCTTAGAGAAAGCCCTAGGTCCCTGCCTCATTTTGACGGAATGCCTCACATCCCGTTGACACCTCGAGAGGCACGCGGAGTTCATTGCTTCAAAAGGTGACGATGCCTGACTCCTCTTGAATACTGATAGGAATCCCACAATCCCTGTGGCTAATGGAATGGGTCCTTGGGTGCCCTGCCTCACCTCGAGAAGCATCCCTTTTGCCCTGCCAAGCCTCGAAGAGATTCCTGAGGTGTCCCTCGTTACTAGACAGGAGTCCTGATATCACTGAAGAAACTCTTGTTTTGAAGGGCCATCCCCGCCGTAAGTCGAGAACATACCCCAGGTCCCGGCCGCAACTCGAGAAAAACCATGAGACTTCCCCCTAGAGGCGAGATGAGGCCACATACCCCTGCAGTGCATGCAGAGCTATTCCGTGATCCCATTCAAACAAGTCAGGAGCTTCGACTTGCTTAATGGATCTCGAGACAGTCCCCAAGAACACTGTCACCATTCTAGACGGACCCTGAGGTCAACCCAGCAACGGAAAGCAGGTCCATGTGCCCCAAATCAACTCGAGATGAGGCCCGATTCCCCTGCATTGACTCCAGAGCCATTCCCCGTTCCCCATTCAACACGACCGGTGGCTCGACTTCCTTCAGGCAATAACAGAGATGCCCCGTGAACACTGTCCCAAGTCTAGAGGAACACCAACTTCAGCACAGCCACTCGAGGAATGCTCCATGTACCCCAAATCGTCTCGAGATGAGAGCTGATTCCCTGGCTTAGGCTCAAGACGTATGCCAACTTTGCAGAAGCACCTCAGGATGAGGCTTCTCTCAGCAATAGGTATGTGGGAGGGACCCCGAGATCGCTGCCTCAAGTGGAATATACAGCGAGAATCCCTAACTTGAAAGGAGGCCGAATTTCCTTGCAGTGGCTTGAATACAGGCTCGTCTTTGATCTCACAACATGAAGGCATGTCTGAATCCTCTGTGGAGACGTTAGAGAAAGCCCTAGTTCCCTGCCTCATTTTGACGGAATGCCTCACATCCCGTTGACACCTCGAGAGGCACGCGGAGTACATTGCTTCAAAAGGTGACGATGCCTGACTCCTCTTGAATACTGATAGGAATCCCAAAATCCCTGTGGCTACTGGAATGGGTCCTTGGGTGCCCTGCCTCACCTCGAGAAGCGTCCCTTTTGCCCTGCCAAGCCTCGAAGAGATTCCTGAGGTGTCCCTCGTTACTAGACAGGAGTCCTGACGTCACTGAAGAAACTCGTGTTTTGAAGGGCCATCCTCGCCATAAGTCGAGAACGTACCCCAGGTCCCCGCCGCAACTCGAGAAAATCCATGAGACTTCCCCCTAGAGGCGAGATGAGGCCCCATTCCCATTCAGTGCATGCAGAGCTATTCCGTGATCCCATTCAAACAAGTCAGGAGCTTCGACTTGCTTAATGGATCTCGAGCCAGTCCCCAAGAACACTGTCACCATTCTAGACGGACCCTGAGGTCACCCCAGCAACGCAAAGCAGCTCCATGTGCCCCAAATCAACTCGAGATAAAGCCCGATTCATCTGCATTGACTCCAGAGCCATTCCCCGTTCCCCATTCAACACGACCGGTGGCTCGACTTCCTTCAGGCAACTCCAGAGATGCCCCGAGAACACTGTCCCAAGTCTAGAGGAACACCAACCTCAGCATAGCAACTCGCGGAATTCTCCATGTACCCCAAATCGTCTCGAGATGAGAGCTGATTCCCTGGCTTAGGCTCAAGACGTATGCCAACTTTCCAGAAGCACCTCAGGAGGAGGATTCTCTCAGCAATAGGTATGTGGGAGGGACCCCGAGATCGTTGCCTCAAGTGGAATATACAGCGAGAATGCCTAACTTGAAAGGAGGCCGGATTTCCTTGCAGTGGCTTGAATACAGGCTCGTCTTTCATCTCACAACATGAAGGGATGTCTAAATCCCCTGTGGAGACCTTAGAGAAAGCCCTAGGGCCCTGCCTCATTTTGACGGAATGCCTCACATCCCGCTGACACCTCGAGAGGCACGCGGAGTTCATTGCTTCAAAAGGTGACGATGCATGACTCCTCTTGAATACTGATAGGAATCCCAAAATCCCTGTGGCTACTGGAAAGGGTCCTTGGGTGCCCTGCCTCACCTCGAGAAGCGTCCCTTTTGCCCTGCCAAGCCTCGAAGAGATTCCTGAGGTGTCCCTCATTACTAGACAGGAGTCCTGACGTCACTGAAGAAACTCGTGTTTTGAAGGGCCATCCCCGCCGTAAGTCGAGAACATACCCCAGGTCCCCGCCTCAACTCGAGAAAAACGATGAGACTTCCCCCTAGAGGCGAGATGAGGCCCCATTTCCCTGCAGTGCATGCAGAGCTATTCCGTGATCCCATTCAAACAAGTCAGGAGCTTCGACTTGCTTAATGGATCTCGAGACAGTCCCCAAGAACACTGTCACCAGTCTAGACGGACCCTGAGGTCACCCCAGCAACGCCAAGCAGTTCCATGTGCCCCAAATCAACTCGAGATGAGGCCCGATTCCCCTGCATTGACTCCAGAGCCATTCCCCGTTCCCCATTCAACACGACCGGTGGCTCGACTTCCTTCAGGCAACTCCAGAGATGCCCCGAGAACACTGTCCCAAGTCTAGAGGAACACCAACTTCAGCACAGCAACTCGAGGAATGCTCCGTGTACCCCAAATCGTCTCGAGATGAGAGCTGATTCCCTGGCTTAGGCTCAAGACTTATGCCAACATTCCAGAAGCACCTCAGGAGGAGGCTTCTCTCAGCAATAGGTATGTGGGAGGGACCCCGAGTTTGCTGCCTCAAGGGGAATATACAGCGAGAAGCCCTAACTTGAAAGGAGGCCGGATTTCCTTGCAGTGGCTTGAATACAGGCTCGTCTTTCATCTCACAACATGAAGGGATGTCTGAATCCCCTGTGGAGACCTTAGAGAAAGCCCTAGGGCCCTGCCTCATTTTGACGGAATGCCTCACATCCCTCTGACACCTCGAGAGGCACGCGGAGTTCATTGCTTCAAAAGGTGACGATGCCTGACTCCTCTTGAATACTGATAGGAATCCTAAAATCCCTGTGGCTACTGGAAAGGGTCCTTGGGTGCCCTGCCTCACCTCGAGAAGCGTCCCTTTTCCCCTGCCAAGCCTCGAAGAGATTCCTGAGGTGTCCCTCGTTATTAGACAGGAGTCCTGACGTCACTGAAGAAATTCGTGTTTTGAAGAGCCTTCCCCGCCGTAAGTCGAGAACTTACCCCAGGTCCCCACCGCAACTCGAGAAAAACCATGAGACTTCCCCCTAGAGGCGAGATGAGGCCCCATTCCCGTGCAGTGCATGCAGAGCTACTCCGTGATCCCATTCAAACAAGTCAGGAGCTTCGACTTGCTTAAGGGATCTCGAGACAGTCCCCAAGAACACTGTCACCAGTCTAGACGGACCCTGAGGTCACCCCAGCAACGCAAAGCAGCTCTATGTGCCCCAAATCAACTCGAGATGAGGCCCGATTCCCCTGCATTGACTCCAGAGCCATTCCCCGTTCCCCATTCAACACGACCGGTGGCTCGACTTCCTTCAGGTCACTACAGAGATGCCCCGAGAACACTGTCCCAAGTCTAGAGGAACACCAACTTCAGCACAGCAACTCGAGGAATGCTCCGTGTACCCCAAATCGTCTCGAGATGAGAGCTGATTCCCTGGCTTAGGCTCAAGACGTATGCCAACTTTCCAGAAGCACCTCAGGAGGAGGCTTCTCTCAGCAATAGGTATGTGGGAGGGACCCCGAGTTTGCTGCCTCAAGGGGAATATACAGCGAGAAGCCCTAACTTGAAAGGAGGCCGGATTTCCTTGCAGTGGCTTGAATACAGGCCCGTCTTTCATCTCACAACATGAATGAATGTCTGAATCCCCTGTGGAGACTTAGAGAAAACCCTAGGTCCCTGCCTCATTTTGACGGAATGCCTCACATCCCGCTGACACCTCAAGAGGCACGCGTAGTTCATTGCTTCAAAAGGTGACGATGCCTGACTCCTCTTGAATACTGATAGGAATCCCACAATCCCTGTGGCTTCTGGAAAGGGTTCTTGGGTGCCCTGCCTCACCTCGAGAAGTGTCCCTTTTGCCCTGCCAAGCCTCGAAGAGATTCCTGAGGTGTCCCGCATTACTAGACAGGAGTCCTGACGTCACTGAAGAAACTCGTGTTTTGAAGGGCCATCCCCGCCGTAAGTCGAGAACATACCCCAGGTCCCCACCGCAACTCGAGAAAAACCATGAGACTTCCCTCTAGAGGCGAGATGAGGCCCCATTCCCCTGCAGTGCATGCAGAGCTACTCCGTGATCCCATTCAAACAAGTCAGGAGCTTCGACTTGCTTAATGGATCTCGAGACAGTCCCCAAGAACACTGTCACCAGTCTAGACGGACCCTGAGGTCACCCCAGCAACGCAAAGCAGCTCTATGTGCCCCAAATCAACTCGAGATGAGGCCCGATTCCCCTGCATTGACTCCAGAGCCATTCCCCGTTCCCCATTCAACACGACCGGTGGCTCGACTTCCTTCAGGTCACTACAGAGATGCCCCGAGAACACTGTCCCAAGTCTAGAGGAACACCAACTTCAGCACAGCAACTCGAGGAATGCTCCGTGTACCCCAAATCGTCTCGAGATGAGAGCTGATTCCCTGGCTTAGGCTCAAGACGTATGCCAACTTTCCAGAAGCACCTCAGGACGAGGCTTCTCTCAGCAATAGGTATGTGGGAGGGACCCCGAGTTTGCTGCCTCAAGGGGAATATACAGCGAGAAGCCCTAACTTGAAAGGAGGCCGGATTTCCTTGCAGTGGCTTGAATACAGGCCCGTCTTTCATCTCACAACATGAATGAATGTCTGAATCCCCTGTGGAGACTTAGAGAAAGCCCTAGGTCCCTGCCTCATTTTGACGGAATGCCTCACATCCCGCTGACACCTCAAGAGGCACGCGGAGTTCATTGCTTCAAAACGTGACGATGCCTGACTCCTCTTGAATACTGAGAGGAATCCCAAAATCCCTGTGGCTACTGGAAAGGGTCCTTGGGTGCCCTGCCTCACCTCGAGAAGCGTCCCTTTTGCCCTGCCAAGCCTCGAAGAGATTCCTGAGGGGTCCCTCGTTACTAGACAGGAGTCCTGACGTCACTGAAGAAACTCGTGTTTTGAAGGGCCATCCCCGCCGTAAGTCGAGAACATACCCCAGGTCCCCGCCGCAACTCGAGAAAAATCATGAGACTTCCCCCTAGAGGCGAGATGAGGCCCCATTCCCCTGCAGTGCATGCAGAGCTATTCCGTGATCCCATTCAAACAAATCAGGAGCTTCGACTTGCTTAATGGATCTCGAGACAGTCCCCAAGAACACTGTCACCAGTCTAGACGGACCCTGAGGTCACCCCAGCAATGCAAAGCAGCTCCATGTGCCCCAAATCAACTCGAGATGAGGCCCGATTCCCCTGCATTGACTCCAGAGCCATTCCCCGTTCCCCATTCAACACGACCGGTGGCTCGACTTCCTTCAGGCAACTCCAGAGATGCCCCGAGAACACTGTCCCAAGTCTCGAGGAACACCAACTTCAGCACAGCAACTCGAGGAATGCTCCGTGTACCCCAAATCGTCTCGAGATGAGAGCTGATTCCCTGGCTTAGGCTCAAGACGTATGCCAACTTTCCAGAAGCACCTCAGGAGAAGGCTTCTCTCAGCAATAGGTATGTGGGAGGGACCCCGAGTTTGCTGCCTCAAGGGGAATATACAGCGAGAAGCCCTAACTTGAAAGGAGGCCGGATTTCCTTGCAGTGGCTTGAATACAGACCCTTCTTTCATCTCACAACATGAAGGGATGTCTGAATCCCCTGTGGAGACCTTAGATAAAGCCCTAGGTCCCTGCCTCATTTTGACGGAATGCCTCACATCCCGCTGACACCTCGATAGGCACGCGTAGTTCATTGCTTCAAAAGGTGACAATGCCTGACTCCTCTTGAATACTGATAGGAATCCCACAATCCCTGTGGCTTCTGGAAAGGGTTCTTGGGTGCCCTGCCTCACCTCGAGAAGTGTCCCTTTTGCCCTGCCAAGCCTCGAAGAGATTCCTGAGGTGTCCCGCATTACTAGACAGGAGCCTTACGTCACTGAAGAAACTCGTGTTTTGAAGGGCCATCCCCGCCGCAAGTCGAGAACATACCCCAGGTCCCCGCCGCAACTCGAGAAAAACCATGAGACTTCCCTCTAGAGGCGAGATGAGGCCCCATTCCCCTGCAGTGCATGCAGAGCTACTCCGTGATCCCATTCAAACAAGTCAGGAGCTTCGACTTGCTTAATGGATCTCGAGACAGTCCCCAAGAACACTGTCACCAGTCTAGACGGACCCTGAGGTCACCCCAGCAACGCAAAGCAGCTCTATGTGCCCCAAATCAACTCGAGATGAGGCCCGATTCCCCTGCATTGACTCCAGAGCCATTTCCCGTTCCCCATTCAACACGACCGGTGGCTCGACTTCCTTCAGGTCACTACAGAGATGCCCCGAGAACACTGTCCCAAGTCTAGAGGAACACCAACTTCAGCACAGCAACTCGAGGAATGCTCCGTGTACCCCAAATCGTCTCGAGATGAGAGCTGATTCCCTGGCTTAGGCTCAAGACGTATGCCAACTTTCCAGAAGCACCTCAGGACGAGGCTTCTCTCAGCAATAGGTATGTGGGAGGGACCCCGAGTTTGCTGCCTCAAGGGGAATATACAGCGAGAAGCCCTAACTTGAAAGGAGGCCGGATTTCCTTGCAGTGGCTTGAATACAGGCCCGTCTTTCATCTCACAACATGAATGAATGTCTGAATCCCCTGTGGAGACTTAGAGAAAGCCCTAGGTCCCTGCCTCATTTTGACGGAATGCCTCACATCCCGCTGACACCTCAAGAGGCACGCGGAGTTCATTGCTTCAAAACGTGACGATGCCTGACTCCTCTTGAATACTGAGAGGAATCCCAAAATCCCTGTGGCTACTGGAAAGGGTCCTTGGGTGCCCTGCCTCACCTCGAGAAGCGTCCCTTTTGCCCTGCCAAGCCTCGAAGAGATTCCTGAGGGGTCCCTCGTTACTAGACAGGAGTCCTGACGTCACTGAAGAAACTCGTGTTTTGAAGGGCCATCCCCGCCGTAAGTCGAGAACATACCCCAGGTCCCCGCCGCAACTCGAGAAGAACCATGAGACTTCCCCCTAGAGGCGAGATGAGGCCCCATTCCCCTGCAGTGCATGCAGAGCTATTCCGTGATCCCATTCAAACAAGTCAGGAGCTTCGACTTGCTTAATGGATCTCGAGACAGTCCCCAAGAACACTGTCACCAGTCTAGACGGACCCTGAGGTTACCCCAGCAACGCAAAGCAGCTCCATGTGCCCCAAATCAACTCGAGATGAGGCCCGATTCCCCTGCATTGACTCCAGAGCCATTCCCCGTTCCCCATTCAACACGACCGGTGGCTCGACTTCCTTCAGGCAACTCCAGAGATGCCCCGAGAACACTGTCCCAAGTCTAGAGGAACAACAACTTCAGCACAACAACTCGAGGAATGCTCCGTGTACCCCAAATCGTCTCGAGATGAGAGCTGATTCCCTGGCTTAGGCTCAAGACATATGCCAACTTTCCAGAAGCACCTCAGGACGAGGCTTCTCTCAGCAATAGGTATGTGGGAGGGACCCCGAGTTTGCTGCCTCAAGGGGAATATACAGCGAGAAGCCCTAACTTGAAAGGAGGCCGGATTTCCTTGCAGTGGCTTGAATACAGGCCCGTCTTGCATCTCACAACATGAAGGGATGTCTGAATCCCGTGTGGAGACCTTAGAGAAAGCTCTAGGTCCCTGCCTCATTTTTACGGACTGCTTCACATCCCGCTGACACCTCGAGAGGCACGCGGAGTTCATTGCTTCAAAAGGTGACGATGCCTGACTCCTCTTGAATACTGATAGGAATCCCAAAATCCCTGTGGCTCCTGGAAAGGGTCCTTGGGTGCCCTGCCTCACCTCGAGAAGCGTCCCTTTTGCCCTGCCAAGCCTCGAAGAGATTCCTAAGGTGTCCCTCGTTACTAGACAGGAGTCCTGACGTCACTGAAGAAAGTCGTGTTTTGAAAAGCCATCCCCGCCATAAGTCGAGAACATTCCCCAGGTCCCCGACGCAACTCGAGAAAAACCATGAGACTTCCCCCTAGAGGCGAGATGAGGCCCCATTCCCCTGCAGTGCATGCAGAGCTACTCCGTGATCCCATTGAAACAAGTCAGGAGTTTCGACTTGCTTAATGGATCTCGAGACAGTCCCCAAGAACACTGTCACCAGTCTAGACGGACCCTGAGGTCACCCCAGCAACGCAAAGCAGCTCTATGTGCCCCAAATCAACTCGAGATGAGGCCCGATTCCCCTGCATTGACTCCAGAGCCATTCCCCGTTCCCCATTCAACACGACCGGTGGCTCGACTTCCTTCAGGCCACTCCAGAGATGCCCCGAGAACACTGTCCCAAGTCTAGAGGAACAACAACTTCAGCACAGCAACTCGAGGAATGCTCCGTGTACCCCAAATCGCATCGAGATGAGAGCTGATTCCCTGGCTTATGCTCAAGACGTATGCCAACTTTCCAGAAGCACCTCAGGAGGAGGCTTCTGTCAGCAATAGGTATGTGGGAGGGACCCCGAGTTTGCTACCTCAAGGGGAATATACAGCGAGAAGCCCTAACTTGAAAGGAGGCCGGATTTCCTTGCAGTGGCTTGAATACAGGCCCGTCTTTCATCTCACAACATGAAGGGATGTCTGAATCCCCTGTGGAGACCTTAGAGAAAGCCCTAGGTCCCTGCCTCATTTTGACGGAATGCCTCACATCCCGCTGACACCTCAAGAGGCACGCGGAGTTCATTGCTTCAAAAGGTGACGATGCCTGACTCCTCTTGAATACTGAGAGGAATCCCAAAATCCCTGTGGCTACTGGAAAGGGTCCTTGGGTGCCCTGCCTCACCTCGAGAAGCGTCCCTTTTGCCCTGCCAAGCCTCGAAGAGATTCCTGAGGGGTCCCTCATTACTAGACAGGAGTCCTGACGTCACTGAAGAAACTCGTGTTTTGAAGGGCCATCCCCGCCGTAAGTCGAGAACATACCCCAGGTCCCCGCCGCAACTCGAGAAAAACCATGAGACTTCCCCCTAGAGGCGAGATGAGGCCCCATTCCCCTGCAGTGCATGCAGAGCTACTCCGTGATCCCATTGAAACAAGTCAGGAGTTTCGACTTGCTTAATGGATCTCGAGACAGTCCCCAAGAACACTGTCACCAGTCTAGACGGACCCTGAGGTCACCCCAGCAACGCAAAGCAGCTCTATGTGCAGCAAATCAACTCGAGATGAGGCCCGATTCCCCTGCATTGACTCCAGAGCCTTTCCCCGTTCCCCATTCAACACGACCGGTGGCTCGACTTCCTTCAGGCCACTCCAGAGATGCCCCGAGATCACTGTCCCAAGTCTAGAGGAACACCAACTTTAGCACAGCAACTCGAGGAATGCTCCGTGTACCCTAAATCACATCGAGATGAGAGCTGATTCCCTGGCTTAGGCTCAAGACTTATGGCAACTTTCCAGAAGCACCTCAGGAGGAGGCTTCTCTCAGCAATAGGTATGTGGGAGGGACCCCGAGTTTGCTGCCTCAAGGGGAATATACAGCGAGAAGCCCTAACTTGAAAGGAGGCCGGATTTCCTTGCAGTGGCTTGAATACAGGCCCGTCTTTCATCTCACAACATGAAGGGATGTCTGAATCCCCTGTGGAGAAATTAGAGAAAGCCCTAGGTGCCTGCCTCATTTTGACGGAATGCCTCACATCCAGCTGACACCTCGAGAGGCACACGGAGTTCATTGCTTCAAAAGTTGACGATGCCTGACTCTTCTTGAATACTGATAGGAATCCCAAAATCCCTGTGGCTACTGGAAAGGGTCCTTGGGTGCCCTGCCTAACCTCGAGAAGCGTCCCTTTTGCCCTGCCAAGCCTCGAAGAGATTCCTGAGGTGTCCCTCGTTACTAGTCAGGAGTCCTGACGTCACTGAAGAAACTCGTGTTTTGAAGGGCCATCCCCGCCGTAAGTCGAGAACATACCCCAGGTCCCCGCCGCAACTCGAGAAGAACCATGAGACTTCCCCCTAGAGGCGAGATGAGGCCCCATTCCCCTGCAGTGCATGCAGAGCTATTCCGTGATCCCATTCAAACAAGTCAGGAGCTTCGACTTGCTTAATGGATCTCGAGACAGTCCCCAAGAACACTGTCACCAGTCTAGACGGACCCTGAGGTTACCCCAGCAACGCAAAGCAGCTCCATGTGCCCCAAATCAACTCGAGATGAGGCCCGATTCCCCTGCATTGACTCCAGAGCCATTCCCCGTTCCCCATTCAACACGACCGGTGGCTCGACTTCCTTCAGGCAACTCCAGAGATGCCCCGAGAACACTGTCCCAAGTCTAGAGGAACACCAACTTCAGCACAACAACTCGAGGAATGCTCCGTGTACCCCAAATCGTCTCGAGATGAGAGCTGATTCCCTGGCTTAGGCTCAAGACATATGCCAACTTTCCAGAAGCACCTCAGGACGAGGCTTCTCTCAGCAATAGGTATGTGGGAGGGACCCCGAGTTTGCTGCCTCAAGGGGAATATACAGCGAGAAGCCCTAACTTGAAAGGAGGCCGGATTTCCTTGCAGTGGCTTGAATACAGGCCCGTCTTGCATCTCACAACATGAAGGGATGTCTGAATCCCCTGTGGAGACCTTAGAGAAAGCTCTAGGTCCCTGCCTCATTTTTACGGACTGCTTCACATCCCGCTGACACCTCGAGAGGCACGCGGAGTTCATTGCTTCAAAAGGTGACGATGCCTGACTCCTCTTGAATACTGATTGGAATCCCAAAATCCCTGTGGCTCCTGGAAAGGGTCCTTGGGTGCCCTGCCTCACCTCGAGAAGCGTCCCTTTTGCCCTGCCAAGCCTCGAAGAGATTCCTGAGGTGTCCCGCGTTACTAGACAGGAGTCCTGACGTCACTGAAGAAACTCGTGTTTTGAAGGGCCATCCCCGCTGTAAGTCGAGAACATACCCCAGGTCCCCACCGCAACTCGAGAAAAACCATGAGACTTCCCTCTAGAGGCGAGATGAGGCCCCATTCCCCTGCAGTGCATGCAGAGCTACTCCGTGATCCCATTCAAACAAGTCAGGAGCTTCGACTTGCTTAATGGATCTCGAGACAGTCCCCAAGAACACTGTCACCAGTCTAGACGGACCCTGAGGTCACCCCAGCAACGCAAAGCAGCTCTATGTGCCCCAAATCAACTCGAGATGAGGCCCGATTCCCCTGCATTGACTCCAGAGCCATTCCCCGTTCCCCATTCAACACGACCGGTGGCTCGACTTCCTTCAGGCCACTCCAGAGATGCCCGGAGAACAGTGTCCCAAGTCTAGAGGAACACCAACTTCAGCACAGCAACTCGAGGAATGCTCCGTGTACCCCAAATCGCATCGAGATGAGAGCTGATTCCCTGGCTTAGGCTCAAGACGTATGCGAACTTTCCAGAAGCACCTCAGGAGGAGGCTTCTCTCAGCAATAGGTATGTGGGAGGGACCCCGAGTTTGCTACCTCAAGGGGAATATACAGCGAGAAGCCCTAACTTGAAAGGAGGCCGGATTTCCTTGCAGTGGCTTGAATACAGGCCCGTCTTTCATCTCACAACATGAAGGGATGTCTGAATCCCCTGTGGAGACCTTAGAGAAAGCCCTAGGTCCCTGCCTCATTTTGACGGAATGCCTCACATCCCGCTGACACCTCAAGAGGCACGCGGAGTTCATTGCTTCAAAAGGTGACGATGCCTGACTCCTCTTGAATACTGAGAGGAATCCCAAAATCCCTGTGGCTACTGGAAAGGGTCCTTGGGTGCCCTGCCTCACCTCGAGAAGCGTCCCTTTTGCCCTGCCAAGCCTCGAAGAGATTCCTGAGGGGTCCCTCATTACTAGACAGGAGTCCTGACGTCACTGAAGAAACTCGTGTTTTGAAGGGCCATCCCCGCCGTAAGTCGAGAACATACCCCAGGTCCCCGCCGCAACTCGAGAAAAATCATGAGACTTCCCCCTAGAGGCGAGATGAGGCCCCATTCCCCTGCAGTGCATGCAGAGCTATTCCGTGATCCCATTCAAACAAATCAGGAGCTTCGACTAGCTTAATGGATCTCGAGACAGTCCCCAAGAACACTGTCACTAGTCTAGACGGACCCTGAGGTCACCCCAGCAATGCAAAGCAGCTCCATATGCCCCAAATCAACTCGAGATGAGGCCCGATTCCCCTGCATTGACTCCAGAGCCATTCCCCGTTCCCCATTCAACACGACCGGTGGCTCGACTTCCTTCAGGTCACTGCAGAGATGCCTCGAGAACACTGTCCCAAGTCTAGAGGAACACCAACTTCAGCACAGCAACTCGAGGAATGCTCCGTGTACCCCAAATCATCCCGAGATGAGAGCTGATTCCCTGGCTTAGGCTCAAGACGTATGCCAACTTTCCAGAAGCACCTCAGGAGGAGGCTTCTCTCAGCAATAGGTATGTGGGAGGGACCCCGAGTTTGCTGCCTCAAGGGGAATATACAGCGAGAAGCCCTAACTTGAAAGGAGGCCGGATTTCCTTGCAGTGGCTTGAATACAGGCCCGTCTTTCATCTCACAACATGAAGGGATGTCTGAATCCCCTGTGGAGACCTTAGAGAAAGCCCTAGGTGCCTGCCTCATTTTGACGGAATGCCTCACATCCCGCTGACACCTCGAGAGGCACACGGAGTTCATTGCTTCAAAAGGTGACGATGCCTGACTCCTCTTGAATACTGATAGGAATCCCAAAATCCCTGTGGCTACTGGAAAGGGTCCTTGGGTGCCCTGCCTCACCTCGAGAAGCGTCCCTTTTGCCCTGCCAAGCCTCGAAGAGATTCCTGAGGTGTCCCTCGTTACTAGTCAGGAGTCCTGACGTCACTGAAGAAACTCGTGTTTTTAAGAGCCATCCCCGCCGTAAGTCGAGAACATACCCCATGTCCCCGCCGCAACTCGAGAAAAAACATGAGACTTCCCCCTAGAGGCGAGATGATGCCCCATTCCCCTGCAGTGCATACAGAGCTATTCCGTGATCCCATTCAAACAAGTCAGGAGCTTCGACTTGCTTAATGGATCTCGAGACAGTCCCCAAGAACACTGTCACCAGTCTAGACGGACCCTGAGGTTACCCCAGCAACGCAAAGCAGCTCCATGTGCCCCAAATCAACTCGAGATGAGGCCCGATTCCCCTGCATTGACTCCAGAGCCATTCCCCGTTCCCCATTCAACACGACCGGTGGCTCGACTTCCTTCAGGCAACTCCAGAGATGCCCCGAGAACACTGTCCCAAGACTAGAGGAACAACAACTTTAGCACAACAACTCGAGGAATGCTCCGTGTACCCCAAATCGTCTCGAGATGAGACCTGATTCCCTGGCTTAGGCTCAAGACATATGCCAACTTTCCAGAAGCACCTCAGGACGAGGCTTCTCTCAGCAATAGGTATGTGGGAGGGACCCCGAGTTTGCTGCCTCAAGGGGAATATACAGCGAGAAGCCCTAACTTGAAAGGAGGCCGGATTTCCTTGCAGTGGCTTGAATACAGGCCCGTCTTTCATCTCACAACATGAAGGGATGTCTGAATCCCCTGTGGAGACCTTAGAGAAAGCCCTAGGTCCCTGCCTCATTTTGACGGAATGCCTCACATCCCGCTGACACCTCGAGAGGCACGCGTAGTTCATTGCTTCAAAAGGTGACGATGCCTGACTCCTCTTGAATACTGATAGGAATCCCAAAATCCCTGTGGCTTCTGGAAAGGGTTCTTGGGTGCCCTGCCTCACCTCGAGAAGTGTCCCTTTTGCCCTGCCAAGCCTCGAAGAGATTCCTGAGGTGTCCCGCGTTACTAGACAGGAGTCCTGACGTCACTGAAGAAACTCGTGTTTTGAAGGGCCATCCCCGCCGTAAGTCGAGAACATAACCCAGGTCCCCACCGCAACTCGAGAAAAACCATGAGACTTCCCTCTAGAGGCGAGATGAGGCCCCATTCCCCTGCAGTGCATGCAGAGCTACTCCGTGATCCCATTCAAACAAGTCAGGAGCTTCGACTTGCTTAATGGATCTCGAGACAGTCCCCAAGAACACTGTCACCAGTCTAGACGGACCCTGAGGTCACCCCAGCAACGCACAGCAGCTCTATGTGCCCCAAATCAACTCGAGATGAGGCCCGATTCCCCTGCATTGACTCCAGAGCCATTCCCCGTTCCCCATTCAACACGACCGGTGGCTCGACTTCCTTCAGGCCACTGCAGAGATGCCCCGAGCACACTGTCCCAAGTCTAGAGGAACACCAACCTCAGCATAGCAACTCGCGGAATTCTCCATGTACCCCAAATCGTCTCGAGATGAGAGCTGATTCCCTGGCTTAGGCTCAAGACGTATGCCAACTTTCCAGAAGCACCTCAGGAGGAGGCTTCTCTCAGCAATAGGTATGTGGGAGGGACCCCGAGATCGCTGCCTCAAGTGGAATATACAGCGAGAATCCCTAACTTGAAAGGAGGCCGGATTTCCTTGCAGTGGCTTGAATACAGGCTCGTCTTTCATCTCACAACATGAAGGGATGTCTAAATCCCCTGTGGAGACCTTAGAGAAAGCCCTAGGGCCCTGCCTCATTTTGACGGAATGCCTCACATCCCGCTGACACCTCGAGAGGCACGCGGAGTTCATTGCTTCAAAAGGTGACGATGCATGACTCCTCTTGAATACTGATAGGAATCCCAAAATCCCTGTGGCTACTGGAAAGGGTCCTTGGGTGCCCTGCCTCACCTCGAGAAGCGTCCCTTTTGCCCTGCCAAGCCTCGAAGAGATTCCTGAGGTGTCCCTCATTACTAGACAGGAGTCCTGACGTCACTGAAGAAACTCGTGTTTTGAAGGGCCATCCCCGCCGTAAGTCGAGAACATACCCCAGGTCCCCGCCTCAACTCGAGAAAAACGATGAGACTTCCCCCTAGAGGCGAGATGAGGCCCCATTTCCCTGCAGTGCATGCAGAGCTATTCCGTGATCCCATTCAAACAAGTCAGGAGCTTCGACTTGCTTAATGGATCTCGAGACAGTCCCCAAGAACACTGTCACCAGTCTAGACGGACCCTGAGGTCACCCCAGCAACGCCAAGCAGTTCCATGTGCCCCAAATCAACTCGAGATGAGGCCCGATTCCCCTGCATTGACTCCAGAGCCATTCCCCGTTCCCCATTCAACACGACCGGTGGCTCGACTTCCTTCAGGCAACTCCAGAGATGCCCAGAGAACACTGTCCCAAGTCTAGAGGAACACCAACTTCAGCACAGCAACTCGAGGAATGCTCCGTGTACCCCAAATCGTCTCGAGATGAGAGCTGATTCCCTGGCTTAGGCTCAAGACTTATGCCAACATTCCAGAAGCACCTCAGGAGGAGGCTTCTCTCAGCAATAGGTATGTGGGAGGGACCCCGAGTTTGCTGCCTCAAGGGGAATATACAGCGAGAAGCCCTAACTTGAAAGGAGGCCGGATTTCCTTGCAGTGGCTTGAATACAGGCTCGTCTTTCATCTCACAACATGAAGGGATGTCTGAATCCCCTGTGGAGACCTTAGAGAAAGCCCTAGGGCCCTGCCTCATTTTGACGGAATGCCTCACATCCCTCTGACACCTCGAGAGGCACGCGGAGTTCATTGCTTCAAAAGGTGACGATGCCTGACTCCTCTTGAATAGAGATAGGAATCCTAAAATCCCTGTGGCTACTGGAAAGGGTCCTTGGGTGCCCTGCCTCACCTCGAGAAGCGTCCCTTTTCCCCTGCCAAGCCTCGAAGAGATTCCTGAGGTGTCCCTCGTTATTAGACAGGAGTCCTGACGTCACTGAAGAAATTCGTGTTTTGAAGAGCCATCCCCGCCGTAAGTCGAGAACTTACCCCAGGTCCCCACCGCAACTCGAGAAAAACCATGAGACTTCCCCCTAGAGGCGAGATGAGGCCCCATTCCCGTGCAGTGCATGCAGAGCTACTCCGTGATCCCATTCAAACAAGTCAGGAGCTTCGACTTGCTTAATGGATCTCGAGACAGTCCCCAAGAACACTGTCACCAGTCTAGACGGACCCTGAGGTCACCCCAGCAACGCAAAGCAGCTCTATGTGCCCCAAATCAACTCGAGATGAGGCCCGATTCCCCTGCATTGACTCCAGAGCCATTCCCCGTTCCCCATTCAACACGACCGGTGGCTCGACTTCCTTCAGGTCACTACAGAGATGCCCCGAGAACACTGTCCCAAGTCTAGAGGAACACCAACTTCAGCACAGCAACTCGAGGAATGCTCCGTGTACCCCAAATCGTCTCGAGATGAGAGCTGATTCCCTGGCTTAGGCTCAAGACGTATGCCAACTTTCCAGAAGCACCTCAGGACGAGGCTTCTCTCAGCAATAGGTATGTGGGAGGGACCCCGAGTTTGCTGCCTCAAGGGGAATATACAGCGAGAAGCCCTAACTTGAAAGGAGGCCGGATTTCCTTGCAGTGGCTTGAATACAGGCCCGTCTTTCATCTCACAACATGAATGAATGTCTGAATCCCCTGTGGAGACTTAGAGAAAACCCTAGGTCCCTGCCTCATTTTGACGGAATGCCTCACATCCCGCTGACACCTCAAGAGGCACGCGTAGTTCATTGCTTCAAAAGGTGACGATGCCTGACTCCTCTTGAATACTGATAGGAATCCCACAATCCCTGTGGCTTCTGGAAAGGGTTCTTGGGTGCCCTGCCTCACCTCGAGAAGTGTCCCTTTTGCCCTGCCAAGCCTCGAAGAGATTCCTGAGGTGTCCCGCATTACTAGACAGGAGTCCTGACGTCACTGAAGAAACTCGTGTTTTGAAGGGCCATCCCCGCCGTAAGTCGAGAACATACCCCAGGTCCCCGCCGCAACTCGAGAAAAACCATGAGACTTCCCTCTAGAGGCGAGATGAGGCCCCATTCCCCTGCAGTGCATGCAGAGCTATTCCGTGATCCCATTCAAACAAGTCAGGAGCTTCGACTTGCTTAATGGATCTCGAGACAGTCCCCAAGAACACTGTCACCAGTCTAGACGGACCCTGAGGTCACCCCAGCAACGCAAAGCAGCTCTATGTGCCCCAAATCAACTCGAGATGAGGCCCGATTCCCCTGCATTGACTCCAGAGCCATTCCCCGTTCCCCATTCAACACGACCGGTGGCTCGACTTCCTTCAGGTCACTACAGAGATGCCCCGAGAACACTGTCCCAAGTCTAGAGGAACACCAACTTCAGCACAGCAACTCGAGGAATGCTCCGTGTACCCCAAATCGTCTCGAGATGAGAGCTGATTCCCTGGCTTAGGCTCAAGACGTATGCCAACTTTCCAGAAGCACCTCAGGACGAGGCTTCTCTCAGCAATAGGTATGTGGGAGGGACCCCGAGTTTGCTGCCTCAAGGGGAATATACAGCGAGAAGCCCTAACTTGAAAGGAGGCCGGATTTCCTTGCAGTGGCTTGAATACAGGCCCGTCTTTCATCTCACAACATGAATGAATGTCTGAATCCCCTGTGGAGACTTAGAGAAAGCCCTAGGTCCCTGCCTCATTTTGACGGAATGCCTCACATCCCGCTGACACCTCAAGAGGCACGCGGAGTTCATTGCTTCAAAACGTGACGATGCCTGACTCCTCTTGAATACTGAGAGGAATCCCAAAATCCCTGTGGCTACTGGAAAGGGTCCTTGGGTGCCCTGCCTCACCTCGAGAAGCGTCCCTTTTGCCCTGCCAAGCCTCGAAGAGATTCCTGAGGGGTCCCTCGTTACTAGACAGGAGTCCTGACGTCACTGAAGAAACTCGTGTTTTGAAGGGCCATCCCCGCCGTAAGTCGAGAACATACCCCAGGTCCCCGCCGCAACTCGAGAAAAATCATGAGACTTCCCCCTAGAGGCGAGATGAGGCCCCATTCCCCTGCAGTGCATGCAGAGCTATTCCGTGATCCCATTCAAACAAATCAGGAGCTTCGACTTGCTTAATGGATCTCGAGACAGTCCCCAAGAACACTGTCACCAGTCTAGACGGACCCTGAGGTCACCCCAGCAATGCAAAGCAGCTCCATGTGCCCCAAATCAACTCGAGATGAGGCCCGATTCCCCTGCATTGACTCCAGAGCCATTCCCCGTTCCCCATTCAACACGACCGGTGGCTCGACTTCCTTCAGGCAACTCCAGAGATGCCCCGAGAACACTGTCCCAAGTCTCGAGGAACACCAACTTCAGCACAGCAACTCGAGGAATGCTCCGTGTACCCCAAATCGTCTCGAGATGAGAGCTGATTCCCTGGCTTAGGCTCAAGACGTATGCCAACTTTCCAGAAGCACCTCAGGAGAAGGCTTCTCTCAGCAATAGGTATGTGGGAGGGACCCCGAGTTTGCTGCCTCAAGGGGAATATACAGCGAGAAGCCCTAACTTGAAAGGAGGCCGGATTTCCTTGCAGTGGCTTGAATACAGACCCGTCTTTCATCTCACAACATGAAGGGATGTCTGAATCCCCTGTGGAGACCTTAGATAAAGCCCTAGGTCCCTGCCTCATTTTGACGGAATGCCTCACATCCCGCTGACACCTCGAGAGGCACGCGTAGTTCATTGCTTCAAAAGGTGACGATGCCTGACTCCTCTTGAATACTGATAGGAATCCCACAATCCCTGTGGCTTCTGGAAAGGGTTCTTGGGTGCCCTGCCTCACCTCGAGAAGTGTCCCTTTTGCCCTGCCAAGCCTCGAAGAGATTCCTGAGGTGTCCCGCATTACTAGACAGGAGCCTTACGTCACTGAAGAAACTCGTGTTTTGAAGGGCCATCCCCGCCGCAAGTCGAGAACATACCCCAGGTCCCCGCCGCAACTCGAGAAAAACCATGAGACTTCCCTCTAGAGGCGAGATGAGGCCCCATTCCCCTGCAGTGCATGCAGAGCTACTCCGTGATCCCATTCAAACAAGTCAGGAGCTTCGACTTGCTTAATGGATCTCGAGACAGTCCCCAAGAACACTGTCACCAGTCTAGACGGACCCTGAGGTCACCCCAGCAACGCAAAGCAGCTCTATGTGCCCCAAATCAACTCGAGATGAGGCCCGATTCCCCTGCATTGACTCCAGAGCCATTTCCCGTTCCCCATTCAACACGACCGGTGGCTCGACTTCCTTCAGGTCACTACAGAGATGCCCCGAGAACACTGTCCCAAGTCTAGAGGAACACCAACTTCAGCACAGCAACTCGAGGAATGCTCCGTGTACCCCAAATCGTCTCGAGATGAGAGCTGATTCCCTGGCTTAGGCTCAAGACGTATGCCAACTTTCCAGAAGCACCTCAGGACGAGGCTTCTCTCAGCAATAGGTATGTGGGAGGGACCCCGAGTTTGCTGCCTGAAGGGGAATATACAGCGAGAAGCCCTAACTTGAAAGGAGGCCGGATTTCCTTGCAGTGGCTTGAATACAGGCCCGTCTTTCATCTCACAACATGAATGAATGTCTGAATCCCCTGTGGAGACTTAGAGAAAGCCCTAGGTCCCTGCCTCATTTTGACGGAATGCCTCACATCCCGCTGACACCTCAAGAGGCACGCGGAGTTCATTGCTTCAAAACGTGACGATGCCTGACTCCTCTTGAATACTGAGAGGAATCCCAAAATCCCTGTGGCTACTGGAAAGGGTCCTTGGGTGCCCTGCCTCACCTCGAGAAGCGTCCCTTTTGCCCTGCCAAGCCTCGAAGAGATTCCTGAGGGGTCCCTCGTTACTAGACAGGAGTCCTGACGTCACTGAAGAAACTCGTGTTTTGAAGGGCCATCCCCGCCGTAAGTCGAGAACATACCCCAGGTCCCCGCCGCAACTCGAGAAGAACCATGAGACTTCCCCCTAGAGGCGAGATGAGGCCCCATTCCCCTGCAGTGCATGCAGAGCTATTCCGTGATCCCATTCAAACAAGTCAGGAGCTTCGACTTGCTTAATGGATCTCGAGACAGTCCCCAAGAACACTGTCACCAGTCTAGACGGACCCTGAGGTTACCCCAGCAACGCAAAGCAGCTCCATGTGCCCCAAATCAACTCGAGATGAGGCCCGATTCCCCTGCATTGACTCCAGAGCCATTCCCCGTTCCCCATTCAACACGACCGGTGGCTCGACTTCCTTCAGGCAACTCCAGAGATGCCCCGAGAACACTGTCCCAAGTCTAGAGGAACAACAACTTCAGCACAACAACTCGAGGAATGCTCCGTGTACCCCAAATCGTCTCGAGATGAGAGCTGATTCCCTGGCTTAGGCTCAAGACATATGCCAACTTTCCAGAAGCACCTCAGGACGAGGCTTCTCTCAGCAATAGGTATGTGGGAGGGACCCCGAGTTTGCTGCCTCAAGGGGAATATACAGCGAGAAGCCCTAACTTGAAAGGAGGCCGGATTTCCTTGCAGTGGCTTGAATACAGGCCCGTCTTGCATCTCACAACATGAAGGGATGTCTGAATCCCCTGTGGAGACCTTAGAGAAAGCTCTAGGTCCCTGCCTCATTTTTACGGACTGCTTCACATCCCGCTGACACCTCGAGAGGCACGCGGAGTTCATTGCTTCAAAAGGTGACGATGCCTGACTCCTCTTGAATACTGATAGGAATCCCAAAATCCCTGTGGCTCCTGGAAAGGGTCCTTGGGTGCCCTGCCTCACCTCGAGAAGCGTCCCTTTTGCCCTGCCAAGCCTCGAAGAGATTCCTAAGGTGTCCCTCGTTACTAGACAGGAGTCCTGACGTCACTGAAGAAAGTCGTGTTTTGAAAAGCCATCCCCGCCATAAGTCGAGAACATTCCCCAGGTCCCCGACGCAACTCGAGAAAAACCATGAGACTTCCCCCTAGAGGCGAGATGAGGCCCCATTCCCCTGCAGTGCATGCAGAGCTACTCCGTGATCCCATTGAAACAAGTCAGGAGTTTCGACTTGCTTAATGGATCTCGAGACAGTCCCCAAGAACACTGTCACCAGTCTAGACGGACCCTGAGGTCACCCCAGCAACGCAAAGCAGCTCTATGTGCCCCAAATCAACTCGAGATGAGGCCCGATTCCCCTGCATTGACTCCAGAGCCATTCCCCGTTCCCCATTCAACACGACCGGTGGCTCGACTTCCTTCAGGCCACTCCAGAGATGCCCCGAGAACACTGTCCCAAGTCTAGAGGAACAACAACTTCAGCACAGCAACTCGAGGAATGCTCCGTGTACCCCAAATCGCATCGAGATGAGAGCTGATTCCCTGGCTTATGCTCAAGACGTATGCCAACTTTCCAGAAGCACCTCAGGAGGAGGATTCTCTCAGCAATAGGTATGTGGGAGGGACCCCGAGTTTGCTACCTCAAGGGGAATATACAGCGAGAAGCCCTAACTTGAAAGGAGGCCGGATTTCCTTGCAGTGGCTTGAATACAGGCCCGTCTTTCATCTCACAACATGAAGGGATGTCTGAATCCCCTGTGGAGACCTTAGAGAAAGCCCTAGGTCCCTGCCTCATTTTGACGGAATGCCTCACATCCCGCTGACACCTCAAGAGGCACGCGGAGTTCATTGCTTCAAAAGGTGACGATGCCTGACTCCTCTTGAATACTGAGAGGAATCCCAAAATCCCTGTGGCTACTGGAAAGGGTCCTTGGGTGCCCTGCCTCACCTCGAGAAGCGTCCCTTTTGCCCTGCCAAGCCTCGAAGAGATTCCTGAGGGGTCCCTCATTACTAGACAGGAGTCCTGACGTCACTGAAGAAACTCGTGTTTTGAAGGGCCATCCCCGCCGTAAGTCGAGAACATACCCCAGGTCCCCGCCGCAACTCGAGAAAAATCATGAGACTTCCCCCTAGAGGCGAGATGAGGCCCCATTCCCCTGCAGTGCATGCAGAGCTATTCCGTGATCCCATTGAAACAAATCAGGAGCTTCGACTTGCTTAATGGATCTCGAGACAGTCCCCAAGAACACTGTCACCAGTCTAGACGGACCCTGAGGTCACCCCAGCAATGCAAAGCAGCTCCATGTGCGCCAAATCAACTCGAGATGAGGCCCGATTCCCCTGCATTGACTCCAGAGCCATTCCTCGTTCCCCATTCAACACGACCGGTGGCTCGACTTCCTTCAGGTCACTGCAGAGATGCCCCGAGAACACTGTCCCAAGTCTAGAGGAACACCAACTTCAGCACAGCAACTCGAGGAATGCTCCGTGTACCCCAAATCGTCTCGAGATGAGAGCTGATTCCCTGGCTTAGGCTCAAGACGTATGCCAACTTTCCAGAAGCACCTCAGGAGGAGGCTTCTCTCAGCAATAGGTATGTGGGAGGGACCCCGAGTTTGCTGCCTCAAGGGGAATATACAGCGAGAAGCCCTAACTTGAAAGGAGGCCGGATTTCCTTGCAGTGGCTTGAATACAGGCCCGTCTTTCATCTCACAACATGAAGGGATGTCTGAATCCCCTTGGAGAACTTAGAGAAAGCCCTAGGTCCCTGCCTCATTTTGACGGAATGCCTCACATCCCGCTGACACCTCGAGAGGCACGCGGAGTTCATTGCTTCAAAAGGTGACGATGCCTGACTCCTCTTGAATACTGATAGAAATCCCAAAATCCCTGTGGCTCCTGGAAAGGGTCCTTGGGTGCCCTGCCTCACCTCGAGAAGCGTCCCTTTTGCCCTGCCAAGCCTCGAAGAGATTCCTGAGGTGTCCCTCGTTACTAGACAGGAGTCCTGACGTCACTGAAGAAAGTCGTGTTTTGAAAAGCCATCCCCGCCATAAGTCGAGAACATTCCCCAGGTCCCCGACGCAACTCGAGAAAAACCATGAGACTTCCCCCTAGAGGCGAGATGAGGCCCCATTCCCCTGCAGTGCATGCAGAGCTACTCCGTGATCCCATTGAAACAAGTCAGGAGTTTCGACTTGCTTAATGGATCTCGAGACAGTCCCCAAGAACACTGTCACCAGTCTAGACGGACCCTGAGGTCACCCCAGCAACGCAAAGCAGCTCTATGTGCAGCAAATCAACTCGAGATGAGGCCCGATTCCCCTGCATTGACTCCAGAGCCTTTCCCCGTTCCCCATTCAACACGACCGGTGGCTCGACTTCCTTCAGGCAACTCCAGAGATGCCCCGAGATCACTGTCCCAAGTCTAGAGGAACACCAACTTTAGCACAGCAACTCGAGGAATGCTCCGTGTACCCTAAATCACATCGAGATGAGAGCTGATTCCCTGGCTTAGGCTCAAGACTTATGGCAACTTTCCAGAAGCACCTCAGGAGGAGGATTCTCTCAGCAATAGGTATGTGGGAGGGACCCCGAGTTTGCTGCCTCAAGGGGAATATACAGCGAGAAGCCCTAACTTGAAAGGAGGCCGGATTTCCTTGCAGTGGCTTGAATACAGGCCCGTCTTTCATCTCACAACATGAAGGGATGTCTGAATCCCCTGTGGAGACCTTAGAGAAAGCCCTAGGTGCCTGCCTCATTTTGACGGAATGCCTCACATCCAGCTGACACCTCGAGAGGCACACGGAGTTCATTGCTTCAAAAGTTGACGATGCCTGACTCTTCTTGAATACTGATAGGAATCCCAAAATCCCTGTGGCTACTGGAAAGGGTCCTTGGGTGCCCTGCCTAACCTCGAGAAGCGTCCCTTTTGCCCTGCCAAGCCTCGAAGAGATTCCTGAGGTGTCCCTCGTTACTAGTCAGGAGTCCTGACGTCACTGAAGAAACTCGTGTTTTGAAGGGCCATCCCCGCCGTAAGTCGAGAACATACCCCAGGTCCCCGCCGCAACTCGAGAAGAACCATGAGACTTCCCCCTAGAGGCGAGATGAGGCCCCATTCCCCTGCAGTGCATGCAGAGCTATTCCGTGATCCCATTCAAACAAGTCAGGAGCTTCGACTTGCTTAATGGATCTCGAGACAGTCCCCAAGAACACTGTCACCAGTCTAGACGGACCCTGAGGTTACCCCAGCAACGCAAAGCAGCTCCATGTGCCCCAAATCAACTCGAGATGAGGCCCGATTCCCCTGCATTGACTCCAGAGCCATTCCCCGTTCCCCATTCAACACGACCGGTGGCTCGACTTCCTTCAGGCAACTCCAGAGATGCCCCGAGAACACTGTCCCAAGTCTAGAGGAACACCAACTTCAGCACAACAACTCGAGGAATGCTCCGTGTACCCCAAATCGTCTCGAGATGAGAGCTGATTCCCTGGCTTAGGCTCAAGACATATGCCAACTTTCCAGAAGCACCTCAGGACGAGGCTTCTCTCAGCAATAGGTATGTGGGAGGGACCCCGAGTTTGCTGCCTCAAGGGGAATATACAGCGAGAAGCCCTAACTTGAAAGGAGGCCGGATTTCCTTGCAGTGGCTTGAATACAGGCCCGTCTTGCATCTCACAACATGAAGGGATGTCTGAATCCCCTGTGGAGACCTTAGAGAAAGCTCTAGGTCCCTGCCTCATTTTTACGGACTGCTTCACATCCCGCTGACACCTCGAGAGGCACGTGGAGTTCATTGCTTCAAAAGGTGACGATGCCTGACTCCTCTTGAATACTGATTGGAATCCCAAAATCCCTGTGGCTCCTGGAAAGGGTCCTTGGGTGCCCTGCCTCACCTCGAGAAGCGTCCCTTTTGCCCTGCCAAGCCTCGAAGAGATTCCTGAGGTGTCCCGCGTTACTAGACAGGAGTCCTGACGTCACTGAAGAAACTCGTGTTTTGAAGGGCCATCCCCGCTGTAACTCGAGAACATACCCCAGGTCCCCACCGCAACTCGAGAAAAACCATGAGACTTCCCTCTAGAGGCGAGATGAGGCCCCATTCCCCTGCAGTGCATGCAGAGCTACTCCGTGATCCCATTCAAACAAGTCAGGAGCTTCGACTTGCTTAATGGATCTCGAGACAGTCCCCAAGAACACTGTCACCAGTCTAGACGGACCCTGAGGTCACCCCAGCAACGCAAAGCAGCTCTATGTGCCCCAAATCAACTCGAGATGAGGCCCGATTCCCCTGCATTGACTCCAGAGCCATTCCCCGTTCCCCATTCAACACGACCGGTGGCTCGACTTCCTTCAGGCCACTCCAGAGATGCCCGGAGAACAGTGTCCCAAGTCTAGAGGAACACCAACTTCAGCACAGCAACTCGAGGAATGCTCCGTGTACCCCAAATCGCATCGAGATGAGAGCTGATTCCCTGGCTTAGGCTCAAGACGTATGCGAACTTTCCAGAAGCACCTCAGGAGGAGGCTTCTCTAAGCAATAGGTATGTGGGAGGGACCCCGAGTTTGCTACCTCAAGGGGAATATACAGCGAGAAGCCCTAACTTGAAAGGAGGCCGGATTTCCTTGCAGTGGCTTGAATACAGGCCCGTCTTTCATCTCACAACATGAAGGGATGTCTGAATCCCCTGTGGAGACCTTAGAGAAAGCCCTAGGTCCCTGCCTCATTTTGACGGAATGCCTCACATCCCGCTGACACCTCAAGAGGCACGCGGAGTTCATTGCTTCAAAAGGTGACGATGCCTGACTCCTCTTGAATACTGAGAGGAATCCCAAAATCCCTGTGGCTACTGGAAAGGGTCCTTGGGTGCCCTGCCTCACCTCGAGAAGCGTCCCTTTTGCCCTGCCAAGCCTCGAAGAGATTCCTGAGGGGTCCCTCATTACTAGACAGGAGTCCTGACGTCACTGAAGAAACTCGTGTTTTGAAGGGCCATCCCCGCCGTAAGTCGAGAACATACCCCAGGTCCCCGCCGCAACTCGAGAAAAATCATGAGACTTCCCCCTAGAGGCGAGATGAGGCCCCATTCCCCTGCAGTGCATGCAGAGCTATTCCGTGATCCCATTCAAACAAATCAGGAGCTTCGACTAGCTTAATGGATCTCGAGACAGTCCCCAAGAACACTGTCACTAGTCTAGACGGACCCTGAGGTCACCCCAGCAATGCAAAGCAGCTCCATATGCCCCAAATCAACTCGAGATGAGGCCCGATTCCCCTGCATTGACTCCAGAGCCATTCCCCGTTCCCCATTCAACACGACCGGTGGCTCGACTTCCTTCAGGTCACTGCAGAGATGCCTCGAGAACACTGTCCCAAGTCTAGAGGAACACCAACTTCAGCACAGCAACTCGAGGAATGCTCCGTGTACCCCAAATCATCCCGAGATGAGAGCTGATTCCCTGGCTTAGGCTCAAGACGTATGCCAACTTTCCAGAAGCACCTCAGGAGGAGGCTTCTCTCAGCAATAGGTATGTGGGAGGGACCCCGAGTTTGCTGCCTCAAGGGGAATATACAGCGAGAAGCCCTAACTTGAAAGGAGGCCGGATTTCCTTGCAGTGGCTTGAATACAGGCCCGTCTTTCATCTCACAACATGAAGGGATGTCTGAATCCCCTGTGGAGACCTTAGAGAAAGCCCTAGGTGCCTGCCTCATTTTGACGGAATGCCTCACATCCCGCTGACACCTCGAGAGGCACACGGAGTTCATTGCTTCAAAAGGTGACGATGCCTGACTCCTCTTGAATACTGATAGGAATCCCAAAATCCCTGTGGCTACTGGAAAGGGTCCTTGGGTGCCCTGCCTCACCTCGAGAAGCGTCCCTTTTGCCCTGCCAAGCCTCGAAGAGATTCCTGAGGTGTCCCTCGTTACTAGTCAGGAGTCCTGACGTCACTGAAGAAACTCGTGTTTTTAAGAGCCATCCCCGCCGTAAGTCGAGAACATACCCCATGTCCCCGCCGCAACTCGAGAAAAAACATGAGACTTCCCCCTAGAGGCGAGATGAGGCCCCATTCCCCTGCAGTGCATACAGAGCTATTCCGTGATCCCATTCAAACAAGTCAGGAGCTTCGACTTGCTTAATGGATCTCGAGACAGTCCCCAAGAACACTGTCACCAGTCTAGACGGACCCTGAGGTTACCCCAGCAACGCAAAGCAGCTCCATGTGCCCCAAATCAACTCGAGATGAGGCCCGATTCCCCTGCATTGACTCCAGAGCCATTCCCCGTTCCCCATTCAACACGACCGGTGGCTCGACTTCCTTCAGGCAACTCCAGAGATGCCCCGAGAACACTGTCCCAAGACTAGAGGAACAACAACTTTAGCACAACAACTCGAGGAATGCTCCGTGTACCCCAAATCGTCTCGAGATGAGACCTGATTCCCTGGCTTAGGCTCAAGACATATGCCAACTTTCCAGAAGCACCTCAGGACGAGGCTTCTCTCAGCAATAGGTATGTGGGAGGGACCCCGAGTTTGCTGCCTCAAGGGGAATATACAGCGAGAAGCCCTAACTTGAAAGGAGGCCGGATTTCCTTGCAGTGGCTTGAATACAGGCCCGTCTTTCATCTCACAACATGAAGGGATGTCTGAATCCCCTGTGGAGACCTTAGAGAAAGCCCTAGGTCCCTGCCTCATTTTGACGGAATGCCTCACATCCCGCTGACACCTCGAGAGGCACGCGTAGTTCATTGCTTCAAAAGGTGACGATGCCTGACTCCTCTTGAATACTGATAGGAATCCCAAAATCCCTGTGGCTTCTGGAAAGGGTTCTTGGGTGCCCTGCCTCACCTCGAGAAGTGTCCCTTTTGCCCTGCCAAGCCTCGAAGAGATTCCTGAGGTGTCCCGCGTTACTAGACAGGAGTCCTGACGTCACTGAAGAAACTCGTGTTTTGAAGGGCCATCCCCGCCGTAAGTCGAGAACATAACCCAGGTCCCCACCGCAACTCGAGAAAAACCATGAGACTTCCCTCTAGAGGCGAGATGAGGCCCCATTCCCCTGCAGTGCATGCAGAGCTACTCCGTGATCCCATTCAAACAAGTCAGGAGCTTCGACTTGCTTAATGGATCTCGAGACAGTCCCCAAGAACACTGTCACCAGTCTAGACGGACCCTGAGGTCACCCCAGCAACGCACAGCAGCTCTATGTGCCCCAAATCAACTCGAGATGAGGCCCGATTCCCCTGCATTGACTCCAGAGCCATTCCCCGTTCCCCATTCAACACGACCGGTGGCTCGACTTCCTTCAGGCCACTGCAGAGATGCCCCGAGCACACTGTCCCAAGTCTAGAGGAACACCAACTTCAGCACAGCAACTCGAGGAATGCTCCGTGTACCCCAAATCGCATCGAGATGAGAGCTGATTCCCTGGCTTAGGCTCAAGACGTATGCCAACTCTCCAGAAGAACCTCAGGAGGAGGCTTCTCTCAGCAATAGGTATGTGGGAGGGACCCCGAGTTTGCTACCTCAAGGGGAATATACAGCGAGAAGCCCTAACTTGAAAGGAGGCCGGATTTCCTTGCAGTGGCTTGAATACAGGCCCGTCTTTCATCTCACAACATGAAGGGATGTCTTAATCCCCTGTGGAGACCTTAGAGAAAGCCCTAGGTCCCTGCCTCATTTTGACGGAATGCCTCACATCCCGCTGACACCTCAAGAGGAACGCGGAGTTCATTGCTTCAAAACGTGACGATGCCTGACTCCTCTTGAATACTGAGAGGAATCCCAAAATCCCTGTGGCTACTGGAAAGGGTCCTTGGGTGCCCTGCCTCTCCTCGAGAAGCGTCCCTTTTGCCCTGCCAAGCCTCGAAGAGATTCCTGAGGGGTCCCTCGTTACTAGACAGGAGTCCTGACGTCACTGAAGAAACTCGTGTTTTGAAGGGCCATCCCCGCCATAAGTCGAGAACATACCCCAGGTCCCCGCCTCAACTCGAGAAAAATCATGAGACTTCCCCCTAGAGGCGAGATGAGGCCCCATTCCCCTGCAGTGCATGCAGAGCTATTCCGTGATCCCATTGAACCAAATCAGGAGCTTCGACTTGCTTAATGGATCTCGAGACAGTCCCCAAGAACACTGTCACCAGTCTAGACGGACCCTGAGGTCACCCCAGCAATGCAAAGCAGCTCCATATGCCCCAAATCAACTCGAGATGAGGCCCGATTCCCCTGCATTGACTCCAGAGCCATTCCCCGTTCCCCATTCAACCCGACCGGTGGCTCGACTTCCTTCAGGTCACTGCAGAGATGCCCCGAGAACACTGTCCCAAGTCTAGAGGAACACCAACTTCTGCACAGCAACTCGAGGAATGCTCCGTGTACCCCAAATCGTCTCGAGATGAGAGCTGATTCCCTGGCTTAGGCTCAAGACGTATGCCAACTTTCCAGAAGCACCTCAGGAGGAGGCTTCTCTCAGCAATAGGTATGTGGGAGGGACCCCGAGTTTGCTGCCTCAAGGGGAATATACAGCGAGAAGCCCTAACTTGAAAGGAGGCCGGATTTCCTTGCAGTGGCTTGAATACAGGCCCGTCTTTCATCTCACAACATGAAGGGATGTCTGAATCCCCTGTGGAGACTTTAGAGAAAGCCCTAGGTGCCTGCCTCATTTTGACGGAATGCCTCACATCCCGCTGACACCTCGAGAGGCACACGGAGTTCATTGCTTCAAAAGGTGACGATGCCTGACTCCTCTTGAATACTGATAGGAATCCCAAAATCCCTGTGGCTACTGGAAAGGGTCCTTGGGTGCCCTGCCTCACCTCGAGAAGCGTCCCTTTTGCCCTGCCAAGCCTCGAAGAGATTCCTGAGGTGTCCCTAGTTACTAGTCAGGAGTCCTGACGTCACTGAAGAAACTCGTGTTTTTAAGAGCCATCCCCACTGTAAGTCGAGAACATACACCATGTCCCCGCCGCAACTCGAGAAAAAACATGAGACTTCCCCCTAGAGGCGAGATGAGGCCCCATTCCCCTGCAGTGCATACAGAGCTATTCCATGATCCCATTCAAACAAGTCAGGAGCTTCGACTTGCTTAATGGATCTCGAGACAGTCCCCAAGAACACTGTCACCAGTCTAGACGGACCCTGAGGTTACCCCAGCAACGCAAAGCAGCTCCATGTGCTCCAAATCAACTCGAGATGAGGCCCGATTCCCCTGCATTGACTCCAGAGCCATTCCCCGTTCCCCATTCAACACGACCGGTGGCTCGACTTCCTTCAGGCAACTTCAGAGATGCCCCGAGAGCACTGTCCCAAGTCTAGAGGAACAACAACTTCAGCACAACAACTCGAGGAATGCTCCGTGTACCCCAAATCGTCTCGAGATGAGAGCTGATTCCCTGGCTTAGGCTCAAGACATATGCCAACTTTCCAGAAGCACCTCAGGACGAGGCTTCTCTCAGCAATAGGCATGTGGGAGGGACCCCGAGTTTGCTGCCTCAAGGGGAATATACAGCGAGAAGCCCTAACTTGAAAGGAGGCCGGATTTCCTTGCAGTGGCTTGAATACAGGCCCGTCTTTCATCTCACAACATGAAGGGATGTCTGAATCCCCTGTGGAGACCTTAGAGAAAGCCCTAGGTCCCTGCCTCATTTTGACGGAATGCCTCACATCCCGCTGACACTTCGAGAGGCACACGGAGTTCATTGCTTCAAAAGGTGACGATGCCTGACTCCTCTTGAATACTGATAGGAATACCAAAATCCCTGTGGCTACTGGAAAGGGTCCTTGGGTGCCCTGCCTCACCTCGAGAAGCGTCCCTTTTGCCCTGCCAAGCCTCGAAGAGATTCCTGAGGTGTCCCTCGTTACTAGACAGGAGTCCTGACGTCACTGAAGAAACTCGTGTTTTGAAGGGCCATCCCCGCCGTAAGTCGAGAACATACACCAGGTCCCCGTCGCAACTCGAGAAAAACCATGAGACTTCCCCCTAGAGGCGAGATGAGGCCCCATTCCCCTGCAGTGCATGCAGAGCTATTCCGTGATCCCATTCAAACAAGTCAGGAGCTTCGACTTCCTTAATGGATCTCGAGACAGTCCCCAAGAACACTGTCACCAGTCTAGACGGACCCTGAGGTCACCCCAGCAGCGCAGAGCAGCTCCATGTGCCCCAAATCAACTCGAGATGAGGCCCGATTCCCCTGCATTGACTCCAGAGCCATTCCCCGTTCCCCATTCAACACGACCGGTGGCTCGACTTCCTTCAGGCCACTGCAGAGATGCCCCGAGCACACTGTCCCAAGTCTAGAGGAACACCAACTTCAGCACAGCAACTTGAGGAATGCTCCGAGTACCCCAAATCGTCTCGAGATGAGAGCTGATTCCCTGGCTTAGGCTCAAGACGTATGCCAACTTTCCAGAAGCACCTCAGGAGGAGGCTTCTCTCAGCAATAGGTATGTGGGAGGGACCCCGAGTTTGCTGCCTCAAGGGGAATATACAGCGAGAAGCCCTAACTTGAAAGGAGGCCGGATTTCCTTGCAGTGGCTTGAATACAGGCCCGTCTTTCATCTCACAACATGAAGGGATGTCTGAATCCCCTGTGGAGACCTTAGAGAAAGCCCTAGGTCCCTGCCTCATTTTGACGGAATGCCTCACATCCCGCTGACACCTCGAGAGGCACGCGTAGTTCATTGCTTCAAAAGGTGACGATGCCTGACTCCTCTTGAATACTGATAGGAATCCCAAAATCCCTGTGGCTTCTGGAAAGGGTTCTTGGGTGCCCTGCCTCACCTCGAGAAGTGTCCCTTTTGCCCTGCCAAGCCTCGAAGAGATTCCTGAGGTGTCCCGCGTTACTAGACAGGAGTCCTGACGTCACTGAAGAAACTCGTGTTTTGAAGGGCCATCCCCGCCGTAAGTCGAGAACATAACCCAGGTCCCCACCGCAACTCGAGAAAAACCATGAGACTTCCCTCTAGAGGCGAGATGAGGCCCCATTCCCCTGCAGTGCATGCAGAGCTACTCCGTGATCCCATTCAAACAAGTCAGGAGCTTCGACTTGCTTAATGGATCTCGAGACAGTCCCCAAGAACACTGTCACCAGTCTAGACGGACCCTGAGGTCACCCCAGCAACGCAAAGCAGCTCTATGTGCCCCAAATCAACTCGAGATGAGGCCCGATTCCCCTGCATTGACTCCAGAGCCATTCCCCGTTCCCCATTCAACACGACCGGTGGCTCGACTTCCTTCAGGCCACTGCAGAGATGCCCCGAGCACACTGTCCCAAGTCTAGAGGAACACCAACTTCAGCACAGCAACTCGAGGAATGTTCCGTGTACACCAAATCGCATCGAGATGAGAGCTGATTCCCTGGCTTAGGCTCAAGACGTATGCCAACTTTCCAGAAGAACCTCAGGAGGAGGCTTCTCTCAGCAATAGGTATGTGGGAGGGACCCCGAGTTTGCTACCTCAAGGGGAATATACAGCGAGAAGCCCTAACTTGAAAGGAGGCCGGATTTCCTTGCAGTGGCTTGAATACAGGCCCGTCTTTCATCTCACAACATGAAGGGATGTCTTAATCCCCTGTGGAGACCTTAGAGAAAGCCCTAGGTCCCTGCCTCATTTTGACGGAATGCCTCACATCCCGCTGACACCTCAAGAGGAACGCGGAGTTCATTGCTTCAAAACGTGACGATGCCTGACTCCTCTTGAATACTGAGAGGAATCCCAAAATCCCTGTGGCTACTGGAAAGGGTCCTTGGGTGCCCTGCCTCTCCTCGAGAAGCGTCCCTTTTGCCCTGCCAAGCCTCGAAGAGATTCCTGAGGGGTCCCTCGTTACTAGACAGGAGTCCTGACGTCACTGAAGAAACTCGTGTTTTGAAGGGCCATCCCCGCCATAAGTCGAGAACATACCCCAGGTCCCCGCCTCAACTCGAGAAAAATCATGAGACTTCCCCCTAGAGGCGAGATGAGGCCCCATTCCCCTGCAGTGCATGCAGAGCTATTCCGTGATCCCATTGAAACAAATCAGGAGCTTCGACTTGCTTAATGGATCTCGAGACAGTCCCCAAGAACACTGTCACCAGTCTAGACGGACCCTGAGGTCACCACAGCAATGCAAAGCAGCTCCATATGCCCCAAATCAACTCGAGATGAGGCCCGATTCCCCTGCATTGACTCCAGAGCCATTCCCCGTTCCCCATTCAACCCGACCGGTGGCTCGACTTCCTTCAGGTCACTGCAGAGATGCCCCGAGAACACTGTCCCAAGTCTAGAGGAACACCAACTTCTGCACAGCAACTCGAGGAATGCTCCGTGTACCCCAAATCGTCTCGAGATGAGAGCTGATTCCCTGGCTTAGGCTCAAGACGTATGCCAACTTTCCAGAAGCACCTCAGGAGGAGGCTTCTCTCAGCAATAGGTATGTGGGAGGGACCCCGAGTTTGCTGCCTCAAGGGGAATATACAGCGAGAAGCCCTAACTTGAAAGGAGGCCGGATTTCCTTGCAGTGGCTTGAATACAGGCCCGTCTTTCATCTCACAACATGAAGGGATGTCTGAATCCCCTGTGGAGACCTTAGAGAAAGCCCTAGGTGCCTGCCTCATTTTGACGGAATGCCTCACATCCCGCTGACACCTCGAGAGGCACACGGAGTTCATTGCTTCAAAAGGTGACGATGCCTGACTCCTCTTGAATACTGATAGGAATCCCAAAATCCCTGTGGCTACTGGAAAGGGTCCTTGGGTGCCCTGCCTCACCTCGAGAAGCGTCCCTTTTGCCCTGCCAAGCCTCGAAGAGATTCCTGAGGTGTCCCTAGTTACTAGTCAGGAGTCCTGACGTCACTGAAGAAACTCGTGTTTTTAAGAGCCATCCCCACTGTAAGTCGAGAACATACACCATGTCCCCGCCGCAACTCGAGAAAAAACATGAGACTTCCCCCTAGAGGCGAGATGAGGCCCCATTCCCCTGCAGTGCATACAGAGCTATTCCGTGATCCCATTCAAACAAGTCAGGAGCTTCGACTTGCTTAATGGATCTCGAGACAGTCCCCAAGAACACTGTCACCAGTCTAGACGGACCCTGAGGTTACCCCAGCAACGCAAAGCAGCTCCATGTGCCCCAAATCAACTCGAGATGAGGCCCGATTCCCCTGCATTGACTCCAGAGCCATTCCCAGTTCCCCATTCAACACGACCGGTGGCTCGACTTCCTTCAGGCAACTCCAGAGATGCCCCGAGAACACTGTCCCAAGTCTAGAGGAACAACAACTTCAGCACAACAACTCGAGGAATGCTCCGTGTACCCCAAATCGTCTCGAGATGAGAGCTGATTCCCTGGCTTAGGCTCAAGACATATGCCAACTTTCCAGAAGCACCTCAGGACGAGGCTTCTCTCAGCAATAGGCATGTGGGAGGGACCCCGAGTTTGCTGCCTCAAGGGGAATATACAGCGAGAAGCCCTAACTTGAAAGGAGGCCGGATTTCCTTGCAGTGGCTTGAATACAGGCCCGTCTTTCATCTCACAACATGAAGGGATGTCTGAATCCCCTGTGGAGACCTTAGAGAAAGCCCTAGGTCCCTGCCTCATTTTGACGGAATGCCTCACATCCCGCTGACACTTCGAGAGGCACACGGAGTTCATTGCTTCAAAAGGTGACGATGCCTGACTCCTCTTGAATACTGATAGGAATACCAAAATCCCTGTGGCTACTGGAAAGGGTCCTTGGGTGCCCTGCCTCACCTCGAGAAGCGTCCCTTTTGCCCTGCCAAGCCTCGAAGAGATTCCTGAGGTGTCCCTCGTTACTAGACAGGAGTCCTGACGTCACTGAAGAAACTCGTGTTTTGAAGGGCCATCCCCGCCGTAAGTCGAGAACATAACCCAGGTCCCCGTCGCAACTCGAGAAAAACCATGAGACTTCCCCCTAGAGGCGAGATGAGGCCCCATTCCCCTGCAGTGCATGCAGAGCTATTCCGTGATCCCATTCAAACAAGTCAGGAGCTTCGACTTCCTTAATGGATCTCGAGACAGTCCCCAAGAACACTGTCACCAGTCTAGACGGACCCTGAGGTCACCCCAGCAGCGCAGAGCAGCTCCATGTGCCTCAAATCAACTCGAGATGAGGCCCGATTCCCCTGCATTGACTCCAGAGCCATTCCCCGTTCCCCATTCAACACGACCGGTGGCTCGACTTCCTTCAGGCCACTGCAGAGATGCCCCGAGCACACTGTCCCAAGTCTAGAGGAACACCAACTTCAGCACAGCAACTCGAGGAATGCTCCGTGTACCCCAAATCGTCTCGAGATGAGAGCTGATTCCCTGGCTTAGGCTCAAGACGTATGCCAACTTTCCAGAAGCACCTCAGGAGGAGGCTTCTCTCAGCAATAGGTATGTGGGAGGGACCCCGAGTTTGCTGCCTCAAGGGGAACATACAGCGAGAAGCCCTAACTTGAAAGGAGGCTGGATTTCCTTGCAGTGGCTTGAATACAGGCCCGTCTTTCATCTCACAACATGAAGGGATGTCTGAATCCCCTGTGGAGACCTTAGAGAAAGCCCTAGGTCCCTGCCTCATTTTGACGGAATGCCTCACATCCCGCTGACACCTCAAGAGGAACGCGGAGTTCATTGCTTCAAAACGTGACGATGCCTGACTCCTCTTGAATACTGAGAGGAAACCCAAAATCCCTGTGGCTACTGGAAAGGGTCTTTGGGTGCCCTGCCTCACCTCGAGAAGCGTCCCTTTTGCCCTGCCAAGCCTCGAAGAGATTCCTGAGGGGTCCCTCGTTACTAGACAGGAGTCCTGACGTCACTGAAGAAACTCGTTTTGAAGGGCCATCCCCGCCATAAGTCGAGAACATACCCCAGGTCCCCGCCGCAACTCGAGAAAAATCATGAGACTTCCTCCTAGAGGCGAGATGAGGCCCCATTCCCCTGCAGTGCATGCAGAGCTATTCCGTGATCCCATTGAAACAAATCAGGAGCTTCGACTTGGTTAATGGATCTCGAGACAGTCCCCAAGAACACTGTCACCAGTCTAGACGGACCCTGAGGTCACCCCAGCAATGCAAAGCAGCTCCATATGCCCCAAATCAACTCGAGATGAGGCCCGATTCCCCTGCATTGACTCCAGAGCCATTCCCCGTTCCCCATTCAACACAACCGGTGGCTCGACTTCCTTCAGGTCACTGCAGAGATGCCCCGAGAACACTGTCCCAAGTCTAGAGGAACACCAACTTCAGCACAGCAACTCGAGGAATGCTCCGTGTACCACAAATCGTCTCGAGATGAGAGCTGATTCCCTGGCTTAGGCTCAAGACGTATGCCAACTTTCCAGAAGCACCTCAGGAGGAGGCTTCTCTCAGCAATAGGTATGTGGGAGGGACCCCGAGTTTGCTGCCTCAAGGGGAATATACAGCGAGAAGCCCTAACTTGAAAGGAGGCCGGATTTCCTTGCAGTGGCTTGAATACAGGCCCGTCTTTCATCTCACAACATGAAGGGATGTCTGAATCCCCTGTGGAGACCTTAGAGAAAGCCCTAGGTGCCTGCCTCATTTTGACGGAATGCCTCACATCCCGCTGACACCTCGACAGGCACACGGAGTTCATTGCTTCAAAAGTTGACGATGCCTGACTCCTCTTGAATACTGATAGGAATCCCAAAATCCCTGTGGCTACTGGAAAGGGTCCTTGGGTGCCCTGCCTCACCTCGAGAAGCGTCCCTTTTGCCCTGCCAAGCCTCGAAGAGATTCCTGAGGTGTCCCTCGTTACTAGTCAGGAGTCCTGACGTCACTGAAGAAACTCGTGTTTTTAAGAGCTATCCCCACCGTAAGTCGAGAACATACCCCATGTCCCCGCCGCAACTCGAGAAAAAACATGAGACTTCCCCCTAGAGGCGAGATGAGGCCCCATTCCCCTGCAGTGCATACAGAGCTATTCCGTGATCCCATACAAACAAGTCAGGAGCTTCGACTTGCTTAATGGTTCTCGAGACAGTCCCCAAGAACACTGTCACCAGTCTAGACGGACCCTGAGGTTACCCAGCAACGCAAAGCAGCTCCATGTGCCCCAAATCAACTCGAGATGAGGCCCGATTCCCCTGCATTGACTCCAGAGCCATTCCCCGTTCCCCATTCAACACGACCGGTGGCTCGACTTCCTTCAGGCAACTCCAGAGATGCCCCGAGAACACTGTCCCAATTCTAGAGGAACAACAACTTCAGCACAACAACTCGAGGAATGCTCCGTGTACCCCAAATCGTCTCGAGATGAGAGCTGATTCCCTGGCTTAGGCTCAAGACATATGCCAACTTTCCAGAAGCACCTCAGGACGAGGCTTCTCTCAGCAATAGGTATGTGGGAGGGACCCCGAGTTTGCTGCCTCAAGGGGAATATACAGCGAGAAGCCCTAACTTGAAAGGAGGCCGGATTTCCTTGCAGTGGCTTGAATACAGGCCCGTCTTTCATCTCACAACATGAAGGGATGTCTGAATCCCCTGTGGAGACCTTAGAGAAAGCCCTAGGTCCCTGCCTCATTTTGACGGAATGCTTCACATCCCGCTGACACCTCGAGAGGCACGCGGAGTTCATTGCTTCAAAAGGTGACGATGCCTGACTCCTCTTGAATACTGATAGGAATACCAAAATCCCTGTGGCTACTGGAAAGGGTCCTTGGGTGCCCTGCCTCACCTCGAGAAGCGTCCCTTTTGCCCTGCCAAGCCTCGAAGAGATTCCTGAGGTGTCCCTCGTTACTAGACAGGAGTCCTGACGTCACTGAAGAAACTCGTGTTTTGAAGGGCCATCCCCGCCTTAAGTCGAGAACATACACCAGGTCCCCGCCGCAACTCGAGAAAAACCATGAGACTTCCCCCTAGAGGCGAGATGAGGCCCCATTCCCCTGCAGTGCATGCAGAGCTATTCCGTGATCCCATTCAAACAAGTCAGGAGCTTCGACTTGCTTAATGGATCTCGAGACAGTCCCCAAGAACACTGTCACCAGTCTAGACGGACCCTGAGGTCACCCCAGCAGCGCAGAGCAGCTCCATGTGCCCCAAATCAACTTGAGATGAGGCCCGATTCCCCTGCATTGACTCCAGAGCCATTCCCCGTTCCCCATTCAACACGACCGGTGGCTCGACTTCCTTCAGGCCACTGCAGAGATGCCCCGAGCACACTGTCCCAAGTCTAGAGGAACACCAACTTCAGCACAGCAACTCGAGGAATGCTCCGTGTACCCCAAATAGTCTCGAGATGAGAGCTGATTCCCTGGCTTAGGCTCAAGACGTATGCCAACTTTCCAGAAGCACCTCAGGAGGAGGCTTCTCTCAGCAATAGGTATGTGGGAGGGACCCCGAGTTTGCTGCCTCAAGGGGAACATACAGCGAGAAGCCCTAACTTGAAAGGAGGCTGGATTTCCTTGCAGTGGCTTGAATACAGGCCCGTCTTTCATCTCACAACATGAAGGGATGTCTGAATCCCCTTTGGAGACCTTAGAGAAAGCCCTAGGTCCCTGCCTCATTTTGACGGAATGCCTCACATCCCGCTGACACCTCAAGAGGAACGCGGAGTTCATTGCTTCAAAACGTGACGATGCCTGACTCCTCTTGAATACTGAGAGGAAACCCAAAATCCCTGTGGCTACTGGAAAGGGTCCTTGGGTGCCCTGCCTCACCTCGAGAAGCGTCCCTTTTGCCCTGCCAAGCCTCGAAGAGATTCCTGAGGGGTCCCTCGTTACTAGACAGGAGTCCTGACGTCACTGAAGAAACTCGTGTTTTGAAGGGCCATCCCCGCCATAAGTCGAGAACATACCCCAGGTCCCCGCCGCAACTCGAGAAAAATCATGAGACTTCCCCCTAGAGGCGAGATGAGGCCCCATTCCCCTGCAGTGCATGCAGAGCTATTCCGTGATCCCATTGAAACAAATCAGGAGCTTCGACTTGCTTAATGGATCTCGAGACAGTCCCCAAGAACACTGTCACCAGTCTAGACGGACCCTGAGGTCACCCCAGCAATGCAAAGCAGCTCCATATGCCCCAAATCAACTCGAGATGAGGCCCGATTCCCCTGCATTGACTCCAGAGCCATTCCCCGTTCCCCATTCAACACGACCGGTGGCTCGACTTCCTTCAGGTCACTGCAGAGATGCCCCGAGAACACTGTCCCAAGTCTAGAGGAACACCAACTTCAGCACAGCAACTCGAGGAATGCTCCGTGTACCACAAATCGTCTCGAGATGAGAGCTGATTCCCTGGCTTAGGCTCAAGACGTATGCCAACTTTCCAGAAGCACCTCAGGAGGAGGCTTCTCTCAGCAATAGGTATGTGGGAGGGACCCCGAGTTTGCTGCCTCAAGGGGAATATACAGCGAGAAGCCCTAACTTGAAAGGAGGCCGGATTTCCTTGCAGTGGCTTGAATACAGGCCCGTCTTTCATCTCACAACATGAAGGGATGTCTGAATCCCCTGTGGAGACCTTAGAGAAAGCCCTAGGTGCCTGCCTCATTTTGACGGAATGCCTCACATCCCGCTGACACCTCGACAGGCACACGGAGTTCATTGCTTCAAAAGTTGACGATGCCTGACTCCTCTTGAATACTGATAGGAATCCCAAAATCCCTGTGGCTACTGGAAAGGGTCCTTGGGTGCCCTGCCTCACCTCGAGAAGCGTCCCTTTTGCCCTGCCAAGCCTCGAAGAGATTCCTGAGGTGTCCCTCGTTACTAGTCAGGAGTCCTGACGTCACTGAAGTAACTCGTGTTTTTAAGAGCCATCCCTGCCGTAAGTCGATAACGTACCCCATGTCCCCGCCGCAACTCGAGAAAAAACATGAGACTTCCCCCTAGAGGCGAGATGAGGCCCCATTCCCCTGCAGTGCATACAGAGCTATTCCGTGATCCCATACAAACAAGTCAGGAGCTTCGACTTGCTTAATGGATCTCGAGACAGTCCCCAAGAACACTGTCACCAGTCTAGACGGACCCTGAGGTTACCCAGCAACGCAAAGCAGCTCCATGTGCCCCAAATCAACTCGAGATGAGGCCCGATTCCCCTGCATTGACTCCAGAGCCATTCCCCGTTCCCCATTCAACACGACCGGTGGCTCGACTTCCTTCAGGCAACTCCAGAGATGCCCCGAGAACACTGTCCCAAGTCTAGAGGAACAACAACTTCAGCACAACAACTCGAGGAATGCTCCGTGTACCCCAAATCGTCTCGAGATGAGAGCTGATTCCCTGGCTTAGGCTCAAGACATATGCCAACTTTCCAGAAGCAGCTCAGGACGAGGCTTCTCTCAGCAATAGGTATGTGGGAGGGACCCCGAGTTTGCTGCCTCAAGGGGAATATACAGCGAGAAGCCCTACCTTGAAAGGAGGCCGGATTTCCTTGCAATGGCTTGAATACAGGCCCGTCTTTCATCTCACAACATGAAGGGATGTCTGAATCCCCTGTGGAGACCTTAGAGAAAGCCATAGGTCCCTGCCTCATTTTGACGGAATGCTTCACATCCCGCTGACACCTCGAGAGGCACGCGGAGTTCATTGCTTCAAAAGGTGACGATGCCTGACTCCTCTTTAATACTGATAGGAATCCCAAAATCCCTGTGGCTACTGGAAAGGGTCCTTGGGTCCCCTGCCTCACCTCGAGAAGCGTCCCTTTTGCCCTGCCAAGCCTCGAAGAGATTCCTAAGGTGTCCCTCGTTACTAGACAGGAGTCCTGACGTCACTGAAGAAACTAGTGTTTTGAAGGGCCATCCCCGCCGTAAGTCGAGAACATTCCCCAGGTCCCCGACGCAAGTCGAGAAAAACCATGAGACTTCCCCCTAGAGGGGAGATGAGGCCCCATTCCCCTGCAGTGCATGCAGAGCTATTCCGTGATCCCATTCAAACAAGTCAGGAGCTTCGACTTGCTTAATGGATCTCGAGACAGTCCCCAAGAACACTGTCACCAGTCTAGACGGACCCTGAGGTCACCCCAGCAGCGCAGAGCAGCTCCATGTGCCCCAAATCAACTCGAGATGAGGCCCGATTCCCCTGCATTGACTCCAGAGCCATTCCCCGTTCCCCATTCAACACGACCGGTGGCTCGACTTTCTTCAGGCCACTGCAGAGATGCCCCGAGCACACTGTCCCAAGTCTAGAGGAACACCAACTTCAGCACAGCAACTCGAGGAATGCTCCGTGTACCCCAAATCGTCTCGAGATGAGAGCTGATTCCCTGGCTTAGGCTCAAGACGTATGCCAACTTTCCAGAAGCACCTCAGGAGGAGGCTTCTCTCAGCAATAGGTATGTGGGAGGGACCCCGAGTTTGCTGCCTCAAGGGGAACATACAGCGAGAAGCCCTAACTTGAAAGGAGCCTGGATTTCCTTGCAGTGGCTTGAATACAGGCCCGTCTTTCATCTCAAAACATGAAGGGATGTCTGAATCCCCTGTGGAGACCTTAGAGAAAGCCCTAGGTCCCTGCCTCATTTTGACGGAATGCCTCACATCCCGCTGACACCTCAAGAGGAACGCGGAGTTCATTGCTTCAAAACGTGACGATACCTGACTCCTCTTGAATACTGAGAGGAAACCCAAAATCCCTGTGGCTACTGGAAAGGGTCCTTGGTGCCCTGCCTCACCTCGAGAAGCGTCCCTTTTGCCCTGCCAAGCCTCGAAGAGATTCCTGAGGGGTCCCTCGTTACTAGACAGGAGTCCTGACGTCACTGAAGAAACTCGTGTTTTGAAGGGCCATCCCCGCCATAAGTCGAGAACATACCCCAGGTCCCCGCCGCAACTCGAGAAAAACCATGAGACTTCCCCCTAGAGGCGAGATGAGGCCCCATTCCCGTGCAGTGCATGCAGAGCTATTCCGTGATCCCATTGAAACAAATCAGGAGCTTCGACTTGCTTAATGGATCTCGAGACAGTCCCCAAGAACACTGTCAACAGTCTAGACGGACCCTGAGGTCACCCCAGCAATGCAAAGCAGCTCCATATGCCCCAAATCAACTCGAGATGAGGCCCGATTCCCCTGCATGGACTCCAGAGCCATTCCCCGTTCCCCATTCAACACGACCGGTGGCTCGACTTCATTCAGGTCACTGCAGAGATGCCCCGAGAACACAGTCCCAAGTCTAGAGGAACACCAACTTCAGCACAGCAACTCGAGGAATGCTCCGTGTACCCCAAATCGTCTCGAGATGAGAGCTGATTCCCTGGCTTAGGCTCAAGACGTATGCCAACTTTCCAGAAGCACCTCAGGAGGAGGCTTCTCTCAGCAATAGGTATGTGGGAGGGACCCCAAGTTTGCTGCCTCAAGGGGAATATACAGCGAGAAGCCCTAACTTGAAAGGAGGCCGGATTTCCTTGCAGTGGCTTGAATACAGGCCCGTCTTTCATCTCACAACATGAAGGGATGTCTGAATCCCCTGTGGAGACCTTAGAGAAAGCCCTAGGTGCCTGCCTCATTTTGACGGAATGCCTCACATCCCGCTGACACCTCGAGAGGCACACGGAGTTCATTGCTTCAAAAGTTGACGATGCCTGACTCCTCTTGAATACTGATAGGAATCCCAAAATCCCTGTGGCTACTGGAAAGGGTCCTTGGGTGCCCTGCCTCACCTCGAGAAGCGTCCCTTTTGCCCTGCCAAGCCTCGAAGAGATTCCTGAGGTGTCCCTCGTTACTAGTCAGGAGTCCTGACGTCACTGAAGAAACTCGTGTTTTTAAGAGCCATCCCCGCCGTAAGTCGAGAACATACACCAGGTCCCCGCCGCAACTCGAGAAAAACCATGAGACTTCCCCCTAGAGGCGAGATGAGGCCCCATTCCCCTGCAGTGCATGCAGAGCTATTCCGTGATCCCATTCAAACAAGTCAGGAGGTTCGACTTGCTTAATGGATCTCGAGACAGTCCCCAAGAACACTGTCACCAGTCTAGACGGACCCTGAGGTTACCCAGCAACGCAAAGCAGCTCCATGTGCCCCAAATCAACTCGAGATGAGGCCCGATTCCCCTGCATTGACTCCAGAGCCATTCCCCGTTCCCCATTCAACACGACCGGTGGCTCGACTTCCTTCAGGCAACTCCAGAGATGCCCCGAGAACACTGTCCCAAGTCTAGAGGAACACCAACTTCAGCACAGCAACTCGAGGAATGCTCCGTGTACCCCAAATCGTCTCGAGATGAGAGCTGATTCCCTGGCTTAGGCTCAAGACATATGCCAACTTTCCAGAAGCACCTCAGGACGAGGCTTCTCTCAGCAATAGGTATGTGGGAGGGACCCCGAGTTTGCTGCCTCAAGGGGAATATACAGCGAGAAGCCCTAACTTGAAAGGAGGCCGGATTTCCTTGCAGTGGCTTGAATACAGGCCCGTCTTTCATCTCACAACATGAAGGGATGTCTGAATCCCCTGTGGAGACCTTAGAGAAAGCCCCAGGTCCCTGCCTCATTTTGACGGAATGCTTCACATCCCGCTGACACCTCGAGAGGCACGCGGAGTTCATTGCTTCAAAAGGTGACGATGCCTGACTCCTCTTGAATACTGATAGGAATACCAAAATCCCTGTGGCTACTGGAAAGGGTCCTTGGGTGCCCTGCCTCACCTCGAGAAGCGTCCCTTTTGCCCTGCCAAGCCTCGAAGAGATTCCTGAGGTGTCCCTCGTTACTAGACAGGAGTCCTGACGTCACTGAAGAAACTCGTGTTTTGAAGGGCCATCCCCGCCTTAAGTCGAGAACATACACCAGGTCCCCGCCGCAACTCGAGAAAAACCATGAGACTTCCCCCTAGAGGCGAGATGAGGCCCCATTCACCTGCAGTGCATGCAGAGCTATTCCGTGATCCCATTCAAACAAGTCAGGAGCTTCGACTTGCTTAATGGATCTTGAGACAGTCCCCAAGAACACTGTCACCAGTCTAGACGGACCCTGAGGTCACCCCAGCAGCGCAGAGCAGCTCCATGTGCCCCAAATCAACTCGAGATGAGGCCCGATTCCCCTGCATTGACTCCAGAGCCATTCCCCATTCCCCATTCAACACGACCGGTGGCTCGACTTCCTTCAGGCCACTGCAGAGATGCCCCGAGCACACTGTCCCAAGTCTAGAGGAACACCAACTTCAGCACAGCAACTCGAGGAATGCTCCGTGTACCCCAAATCGTCTCGAGATGAGAGCTGATTCCCTGGCTTAGGCTCAAGACGTATGCCAACTTTCCAGAAGCACCTCAGGAGGAGGCTTCTCTCAGCAATAGGTATGTGGGAGGGACCCCGAGTTTGCTGCCTCAAGGGGAACATGCAGCGAGAAGCCCTAACTTGAAAGGAGGCTGGATTTCCTTGCAGTGGCTTGAATACAGGCCCGTCTTTCATCTCACAACATGAAGGGATGTCTGAATCCCCTGTGGAGACCTTAGAGAAAGCCCTAGGTCCCTGCCTCATTTTGACGGAATGCCTCACATCCCGCTGACACCTCAAGAGGAACGCGGAGTTCATTGCTTCAAAACGTGACGATGCCTGACTCCTCTTGAATACTGAGAGGAAACCCAAAATCCCTGTGGCTACTGGAAAGGGTCCTTGGGTGCCCTGCCTCACCTCGAGAAGCGTCCCTTTTGCCCTGCCAAGCCTCGAAGAGATTCCTGAGGGGTCCCTCGTTACTAGACAGGAGTCCTGACGTCACTGAAGAAACTCGTGTTTTGAAGGGCCATCCCCGCCATAAGTCGAGAACATACCCCAGGTCCCCGACGCAACTCGAGAAAAATCATGAGACTTCCCCCTAGAGGCGAGATGAGGCCCCATTCCCCTGCAGTGCATGCAGAGCTATTCCGTGATCCCATTGAAACAAATCAGGAGCTTCGACTTGCTTAATGGATCTCGAGACAGTCCCTAAGAACACTGTCACCAGTCTAGACGGACCCTGAGGTCACCCCAGCAATGCAAAGCAGCTCCATATGCCCCAAATCAACTCGAGATGAGGCCCGATTCCCCTGCATTGACTCCAGAGCCATTCCCCGTTCCCCATTCAACACGACCGGTGGCTCGACTTCCTTCAGGTCACTGCAGAGATGCCCCGAGAACACTGTCCCAAGTCTAGAGGAACACCAACTTCAGCACAGCAACTCGAGGAATGCTCCGTGTACCACAAATCGTCTCGAGATGAGAGCTGATTCCCTGGCTTAGGCTCAAGACGTATGCCAACTTTCCAGAAGCACCTCAGGAGGAGGCTTCTCTCAGCAATAGGTATGTGGGAGGGACCCCGAGTTTGCTGCCTCAAGGGGAATATACTGCGAGAAGCCCTAACTTGAAAGGAGGCCGGATTTCCTTGCAGTGGCTTGAATACAGGCCCGTCTTTCATCTCACAACATGAAGGGATGTCTGAATCCCCTGTGGAGACCTTAGAGAAAGCCCTAGGTGCCTGCCTCATTTTGACGGAATGCCTCACATCCCGCTGACACCTCGACAGGCACACGGAGTTCATTGCTTCAAAAGTTGACGATGCCTGACTCCTCTTGAATACTGATAGGAATCCCAAAATCCCTGTGGCTACTGGAAAGGGTCCTTGGGTGCCCTGCCTCACCTCGAGAAGCGTCCCTTTTGCCCTGCCAAGCCTCGAAGAGATTCCTGAGGTGTCCCTCGTTACTAGTCAGGAGTCCTGACGTCACTGAAGAAACTCGTGTTTTTAAGAGCCATCCCCGCCGTAAGTCGAGAACATACCCCATGTCCCCGCCGCAACTCGAGAAAAAACATGAGACTTCCCCCTAGAGGCGAGATGAGGCCCCATTCCCCTGCAGTGCATACAGAGCTATTCCGTGATCCCATACAAACAAGTCAGGAGCTTCGACTTGCTTAATGGATCTCGAGACAGTCCCCAAGAACACTGTCACCAGTCTAGACGGACCCTGAGATTACCCAGCAACGGAAAGCAGCTCCATGTGCCCCAAATCAACTCGAGATGAGGCCCGATTCCCCTGCATTGACTCCAGAGCCATTCCCCGTTCCCCATTCAACACGACCGGTGGCTCGACTTCCTTCAGGCAACTCCAGAGATGCCCCGAGAACACTGTCCCAAGTCTAGAGGAACAACAACTTCAGCACAACAACTCGAGGAATGCTCCGTGTACCCCAAATCATCTCGAGATGAGAGCTGATTCCCTGGCTTAGGCTCAAGACATATGCCAACTTTCCAGAAGCAGCTCAGGACGAGGCTTCTCTCAGCAATAGGTATGTGGGAGGGACCCCGAGTTTGCTGCCTCAAGGGGAATATACAGCGAGAAGCCCTAACTTGAAAGGAGGCCGGATTTCCTTGCAGTGGCTTGAATACAGGCCCGTCTTTCATCTCACAACATGAAGGGATGTCTGAATCCCCTGTGGAGACCTTAGAGAAAGCCCTAGGTCCCTGCCTCATTTTGACGGAATGCTTCACATCCCGCTGACACCTCGAGAGGCACGCGGAGTTCATTGCTTCAAAAGGTGACGATGCCTGACTCCTCTTGAATACTGATAGGAATCCCAAAATCCCTGTGGCTACTGGAAAGGGTCCTTGGGTGCCCTGCCTCACCTCGAGAAGCGTCCCTTTTGCCCTGCCAAGCCTCGAAGAGATTCCTAAGGTGTCCCTCGTTACTAGACAGGAGTCCTGACGTCACTGAAGAAACTAGTGTTTTGAAGGGCCATCCCCGCCATAAGTCGAGAACATTCCCCAGGTCCCCGACGCAACTCGAGAAAAACCATGAGACTTCCCCCTAGAGGCGAGATGAGGCCCCATTCCCCTGCAGTGCATGCAGAGCTATTCCGTGATCCCATTCAAACAAGTCAGGAGCTTCGACTTGCTTAATGGATCTCGAGACAGTCCCCAAGAACACTGTCACCAGTCTAGACGGACCCTGAGGTCACCCCAGCAGCGCAGAGCAGCTCCATGTGCCCCAAATCAACTCGAGATGAGGCCCGATTCCCCTGCATTGACTCCAGAGCCATTCCCCGTTCCCCATTCAACACGACCGGTGGCTCGACTTCCTTCAGGCCACTGCAGAGATGCCCCGAGCACACTGTCCCAAGTCTAGAGGAACACCAACTTCAGCACAGCAACTCGAGGAATGCTCCGTGTACCCCAAATCATCTCGAGATGAGAGCTGATTCCCTGGCTTAGGCTCAAGACGTATGCCAACTTTCCAGAAGCACCTCAGGAGGAGGCTTCTCTCAGCAATAGGTATGTGGGAGGGACCCCGAGTTTCCTGCCTCAAGGGGAACATACAGCGAGAAGCCCTAACTTGAAAGGAAGCCGGATTTCTTTGCAGTGGCTTGAATACAGGCCAGTCTTTCATCTCACAACATGAAGGGATGTCTGAATCCCCTGTGGAGACCTTAGAGAAAGCCCTAGGTCCCTGCCTCATTTTGACGGAATGCCTCACATCCCGCTGACACCTCGAGAGGCACACGGAGTTCATTGCTTCAAAAGGTGACGATGCCTGACTCCTCTTGAATACTGATAGGAATACCAAAATCCCTGTGGCTACTGGAAAGGGTCCTTGGGTGCCCTGCCTCACCTCGAGAAGCGTCCCTTTTGCCCTGCCAAGCCTCGAAGAGATTCCTGAGGTGTCCCTCGTTACTAGTCAGGAGTCCTGACCTCACTGAAGAAACTCGTGTTTTGAAGGGCCATCCCCGCCTTAAGTCGAGAACATACACCAGGTCCCCGCCGCAACTCGAGAAAAATCATGAGACTTCCCCCTAGAGGCGAGATGAGGCCCCATTCCCCTGCAGTGCATGCAGAGCTATTCCGTGATCCCATTCAACAAGTCAGGAGCTTCGACTTGCTTAATGGATCTCGAGACAGTCCCCAAGAACACTGTCACCAGTCTAGACGGACCCTGAGGTCACCCCAGCAGCGCAGAGCAGCTCCATGTGCCCCAAATCAATTCGAGATGAGGCCCGATTCCCCTGCATTGACTCCAGAGCCATTCCCCGTTCCCCATTCAACACGACCGGTGGCTCGACTTCCTTCAGGCCACTGCAGAGATGCCCCGAGCACACTGTCCCAAGTCTAGAGGAACACAAACTTCAGCACAGCAACTCGAGGAATGCTCCGTGTACCCCAAATCGTCTCGAGATGAGAGCTGATTCCCTGGCTTAGGCTCAAGACGTATGCCAACTTTCCAGAAGCACCTCAGGAGGAGGCTTCTCTCAGCAATAGGTATGTGGGAATGACCCCGAGTTTGCTGCCTCAAGGGGAACATACAGCGAGAAGCCCTAACTTGAAAGGAGGCCGGATTTCCTTGCAGTGGCTTGAATACAGGCCCGTCTTTCATCTGACAACATGAAGGGATGTCTGAATCCCCTGTGGAGACCTTAGAGAAAGCCCTAGGTCCCTGCCTCATTTTGACGGAATGCCTCACATCCCGCTGACACCTCGAGAGGCACGCGTAGTTCATTGCTTCAAAAGGTGACGATGCCTGACTCCTCTTGAATACTGATAGGAATCCCAAAATCCCTGTGGCTTCTGGAAAGGGTTCTTGGGTGCCCTGCCTCACCTCGAGAAGTGTCCCTTTTGCCCTGCTAAGCCTCGAAGAGATTCCTGAGGTGTCCCGCGTTACTAGACAGGAGTCCTGACGTCACTGAAGAAACTCGTGTTTTGAAGGGCCATCCCCGCCGTAAGTCGAGAACATACCCCAGGTCCCCACCGCAACTCGAGAAAAACCATGAGACTTCCCTCTAGAGGCGAGATGAGGCCCCATTCCCCTGCAGTGCATGCAGAGCTTCTCCGTGATCCCATTCAAACAAGTCAGGAGATTCGACTTGCTTAATGGATCTCGAGACAGTCCCCAAGAACACTGTCACCAGTCTAGACGGACCCTGAGGTCACCCCAGCAACGCAAAGCAGCTCTATGTGCCCCAAATCAACTCGAGATGAGGCCCGATTACCCTGCATTGACTCCAGAGCCATTCCACGTTCCCCATTCAACACGACTGGTGGCTCGACTTCCTTCAGGCCACTGCAGAGATGCCCCGAGAACACTGTCCCAAGTCTAGAGGAACACCAACTTCAGCACAGCAACTCGAGGAATGCTCCGTGTACCCCAAATCGCATCGAGATGAGAGCTGATTCCCTGGCTTAGGCTCAAGACGTATGCCAACTTTCCAGAAGCACCTCAGGAGGAGGCTTCTCTCAGCAATAGGTATGTGGGAGGGACCCCGAGTTTGCTACCTCAAGGGGAATATACAGCGAGAAGCCCTAACTTGAAAGGAGGCCGGATTTCCTTGCAGTGGCTTGAATACAGGCCTGTCTTTCATCTCACAAGACGAAGGGATGTCTGAATCCCCTGTGGAGACCTTAGAGAAAGCCCTAGGTCCCTGCCTCATTTTGACGGAATGCCTCACATCCCGCTGACACCTCAAGAGGCACGCGGAGTTCATTGCTTCAAAAGGTGACGATGCCTGACTCCTCTTGAATACTGAGAGGAATCCCAAAATCCCTGTGGCTACTGGAAACGGTCCTTGGGTGCCCAGCCTCACCTCGAGAAGCGTCCCTTTTGCCCTGCCAAGCCTCGAAGAGATTCCTGAGGGGTCCCTCATTACTAGTCAGGAGTCCTGAAGTCACTGAAGAAACTCGTGTTTTGAAGGGCCATCCCCGCCGTAAGTCGAGAACATACCCCAGGTCCCCGCCGCAACTCGAGAAAAATCATGAGACTTCCCCCTAGAGGCGAGATGAGGCCCCATTCCCCTGCAGTGCATGCAGAGCTATTCCGTGATCCCATTGAAACAAATCAGGAGCTTCGACTTGCTTAATGGATCTCGAGACAGTCCCCAAGAACACTGTCACCAGTCTAGACGGACCCTGAGGTCACCCAGCAATGCAAAGCAGCTCCATATGCCCCAAATCAACTCGAGATGAGGCCCGATTCCCCTGCATTGACTCCAGAGCCATTCCCCGTTCCCCATTCAACACGACCGGTGGCTCGACTTCCTTCAGGTCACTGCAGAGATGCCCCGAGCACACTGTCCCAAGTCTAGAGGAACACCAACTTCAGCACAGCAACTCGAGGAATGCTCCGTGTACCCCAAATCGTCTCGAGATGAGAGCTGATTCCCTGGCTTAGGCTTAAGACGTATGCCAACTTTCCAGAAGCACCTCAGGAGGAGGCTTCTCTCAGCAATAGGTATGTGGGAGGGACCCCGAGTTTGCTGCCTCAAGGGGAATATACAGCGAGAAGCCCTAACTTGAAAGGAGGCCGGATTTCCTTGCAGTGGCTTGAATACAGGCCCGTCTTTCATCTCACAACATGAAGGGATGTCTGAATCCCCTGTGGAGACCTTAGAGAAAGCCCTAGGTGCCTGCCTCATTTTGACGGAATGCCTCACATCCCGCTGACACCTCGAGAGGCACACGGAGTTCATTGCTTCAAAAGTTGACGATGCCTGACTCCTCTTGAATACTGATAGGAATCCCAAAATCCCTGTGGCTACTGGAAAGGGTCCTTGGGTGCCCTGCCTCACCTCGAGAAGCGTCCCTTTTGCCCTGCCAAGCCTCGAAGAGATTCCTGAGGTGTCCCTCGTTACTAGTCAGGAGTCCTGACGTCACTGAAGAAACTCGTGTTTTTAAGAGCCATCCCCGCCTTAAGTCGAGAACATACCCCATGTCCCCGCCGCAACTCGAGAAAAAACATGAGACTTCCCCCTAGAGGCGAGATGAGGCCCCATTCCCCTGCAGTGCATACAGAGCTATTCCGTGATCCCATTCAAACAAGTCAGGAGCTTCGACTTGCTTAATGGATCTCGAGACAGTCCCCAAGAACACTGTCACCAGTCTAGACGGACCCTGAGGTCACCCCAGCAATGCAAAGCAGCTCCATGTGCCCCAAATCAACTCGAGATGAGGCCCGATTCCCCTGCATTGACTCCAGAGCCATTCCCGTTCCCCATTCAACACGACCGGTGGCTCGACTTCCTTCAGGCAACTCCAGAGATGCCCCGAGAACACTGTCCCAAGACTAGAGGAACACCAACTTCAGCACAGCAACTCGAGGAATGCTCCGTGTACCCCAAATCGTCTCGAGATGAGAGCTGATTCCCTGGCTTAGGCTTAAGACGTATGCCAACTTTCCAGAAGCACCTCAGGAGGAGGCTTCTCTCAGCAATAGGTATGTGGGAGGGACCCCGAGTTTGCTGCCTCAAGGGGAATATACAGCGAGAAACCCTAACTTGAAAGGAGGCCGGATTTCCTTGCAGTGGCTTGAATACAGGCCCGTCTTTGATCTCACAACATGAAGGCATGTCTGAATCCCCTGTGGAGACCTTAGAGAAAGCCCTAGGTCCCTGCCTCATTTTGACGGAATGCCTCACATCCCGTTGACACCTCGAGAGGCACGCGGAGTTCATTGCTTCAAAAGGTGACGATGCCTGACTCCTCTTGAATACTGATAGGAATCCCGCAATCCCTGTGGCTACTGGAATGGGTCCTTGGGTGCCCTGCCTCACCTCGAGAAGCATCCCTTTTGCCCTGCCAAGCCTCGAAGAGATTCCTGAGGTGTCCCTCGTTACTAGACAGCAGTCCTGATGTCACTGAAGAAACTCTTGTTTTGAAGGGCCATCCCCGCCTTAAGTCGAGAACATACCCCAGGTCCCCGCCGCAACTCGAGAAAAACCATGAGACTTCCCCCTAGAGGCGAGATGAGGCCCCATTCCCCTGCAGTGCATGCAGAGCTATTCCGTGATCCCATTCAAACAAGTCAGGAGCTTCGACTTGCTTAATGGATCTCGAGACAGTCACCAAGAACACTGTCACCAGTCTAGACGGACCCTGAGGTCAACCCAGCAACGGAAAGCAGCTCCATGTGCCCCAAATCAACTCGAGATGAGGCCCGATTCCCCTGCATTGATTCCAGAGCCATTCCCCGTTCCCCATTCAACACGACCGGTGGCTCGACTTCCTTCAGGCAACTCCAGAGATGCCCCGAGCACACTGTCCCAAGTCTAGAGGAACACCAACTTCAGCACAGCAACTCGAGGAATGCTCCATGCACCCCAAATCGTCTCGAGATGAGAGCTGATTCCCTGGCTTAGGCTCAAGACGTATGCCAACTTTCCAGAAGCACCTCAGGAGGAGGCTTCTCTCAGCAATAGGTATGTGGGAGGGACCCCGAGATCGCTGCCTCAAGTGGAATATACAGCGAGAAGCCCTAACTTGAAAGGAGGCCGGATTTCCTTGCAGTGGCTTGAATACAGGCTCGTCTTTGATCTCACAACATGAAGGCATGTCTGAATCCCCTGTGGAGACCTTAGAGAAAGCCCTAGGTCCCTGCCTCATTTTGACGGAATGCCTCACATCCCGTTGACACCTCGAAGGCACGCGGAGTTCATTGCCTCAAAAGGTGACGATGCCTGACTCCTCTTGAATACTGATAGTAATCCCAAAATCCCTGTGTCTACTGGAATGGGTCCTTGGGTGCCCTACCTCACCTCGAGAAGCGTCCCTTTTGCCCTGCCAAGCCTCGAAGAGATTCCTGAGGTGTCCCTTGTTACTAGACAGGAGTCCTGACGTCACTGAAGAAACTCGTGTTTTGAAGGGCCATCCCCGCCGTAAGTCTAGAACGTACCCCAGGTCCCCGCCGCAACTCGAGAAAATCCATGAGACTTCCCCCTAGAGGCGAGATGAGGCCCCATTCCCATTCAGTGCATGCAGAGCTATTCCGTGATCCCATTCAAACAAGTCAGGAGCTTCGACTTGCTTAATGGATCTCGAGCCAGTCCCCAAGAACACTGTCACCAGTCTAGACGGACCCTGAGGTCAAACCAGCAACCCAAAGCAGCTCCATGTGCCCCAAATCAACTCGAGATGAGGCCCGATTCCCCTGCATTGACTCCAGAGCCATTCCCCGTTCCCCATTCAACACGACCGGTGGCTTGACTTCCTTCAGGCAACTCCAGAGATGCCCCGAGAACACTGTCCCAAGTCTAGAGGTACACCAACTTCAGCATAGCAACTCGAGGAATGCTCCATGTACCCCAAATCGTTTCGAGATGAGAGCTGATTCCCTGGCTTAGGCTCAAGACGTATGCCAACTTTCCAGAAGCACCTCAGGAGGAGGCATCTCTCTGCAATAGTTATGTGGGAGGGACCCCGAGATCGCTGCCTCAAGGGGAATATACAGCGAGAAGCCCTAACTTATAAGGAGGCCGGATTTCCTTGCAGTGGCTTGAATACAGGCTCGTCTTTGATCTCACAACATGAAGGGATGTCTGAATCCCCTGTGGAGACCTTAGAGAAAGCCCTAGGTCCCTGCCTCATTTTGACGGAATGCCTCACATCCCGTTGACACCTCGAGAGGCACGCGGAGTTCATTGCTTCAAAAGGTGACGATGCCTGACTCCTCTTGAATACTTATAGGAATCCCACAATCCCTGTGGCTACTGGAAAGGGTCCTTGGGTGCCCTGCCTCACCTCGAGAAGCATCCCTTTTGCCCTGCCAAGCCTCGAAGAGATTCCTGAGGTGTCCCTCGTTACGAGACAGGAGTCATGACGTCACTGAAGAAAATCGTGTTTGCCATCCCCGCCATAAGTCGAGAACATACCCCAGGTCCCCGCCGCAACTCGAAAAAAACCATGAGACTTCCCCTAGAGGCGAGATGAGGCCCCATTCCCCTGCAGTGCATGCAGAGCTATTCCGTGATCCCATTCAAACAAGTCTGGAGCTTCGACGTGCTTAATGGATCTCGAGACAGTCCCCAAGAACACTGTCACCAGTCTAGACGGACCCTGAGGTCACCCCAGCAACGCAAAGCAGCTCCATGTTCCCCAAATCAACTCGAGATGAGGCCCGATTCCCCTGCATTGACTCCAGAGCCATTCCCCGTTCCCCATTCAACACGACCGGTGGCTCGACTTCCTTCAGGCCACTCCAGAGATGCCCCGAGAACACTGTCCCAAGTGTAGAGGAACACCAACTTCAGCACAGCAACTCGAGGAATGTTACGTGTACCCCAAATCGTCTCGAGATGAGAGCTGATTCCCTGGCTTAGGCTCAAGACATATGCCAACTTTCCAGAAGCACCTCAGGAGGAGGCTTCTCTCAGCAATAGGTATGTGGGAGGGACCCCGAGATCGCTTCCTCAAGTGGAATATACAGCGAGAAGCCCTAACTTGAAAGGAGGCCGGATTTCCTTGCAGTGTCTTGAATGCAGGCTCGTCTTTTATCTCAAAACATGAAGAGATGTCTGAATCCCCTGTGGAGACTTTAGAGAAAGCCCTAGGTCCCTGCCTCATTTTGACGGAAGGCCTCACATCCCGTTGACTCCTCGAGAGGCACGCGGAGTTCATTGCTTCAAAAGGTGACGATGCCTGACTCCTCTTGAATACTGATAGGAATCCCAAAATCCCTGTGGCTACTGGAATGGGTCCTTGGGTGCCCTGCCTCACCTCGAGAAGCGTCCCTTTTGCCCTGCCAAGCCTCGAAGAGATTCCTGAGGTGTCCCTCGTTACTAGACAGGAGTCCTGACGTCACTGAAGAAACTCGTGTTTTGAAGGCCGTCCCCGCCGTAAGTCGAAAATATACCCCAGGTCCCCGCCGCAACTCGAGAAAAACCATGAGACTTCCCCCTAGAGGCGAGATGAGGCCCAATTCCCCTGCCGTGCATGCAGAGCTATTCCGTGATCCCATTCAAACAAGTCAGGAGCTTCGACTTCCTTAATGGATCTCGAGACAGTCCTCAAGAACACTGTCATCATTCTAGACGGACCCTGAGGTCAACCCAGCAACGGAAAGCAGCTCCATGTGCCCCAAATCAACTCGAGATGAGGCCCGATTCCCCTGCATTGACTCCATAGCCATTCCCCGTTCCCCATTCAACACGACCGGTGGCTCGACTTCCTTCAGGCCACTGCAGAGATGCCCCGAGCACACTGTCCCAAGTCTAGAGGAACACAAACTTCAGCACAGCAACTCGAGGAATGCTCCGTGTACCCCAAATCGTCTCGAGATGAGAGCTGATTCCCTGGCTTAGGCTCAAGACGTATGCCAACTTTCCAGAAGCACCTCAGGAGGAGGCTTCTCTCAGCAATAGGTATGTGGGAATGACCCCGAGTTTGCTGCCTCAAGGGGAACATACAGCGAGAAGCCCTAACTTGAAAGGAGGCCGGATTTCCTTGCAGTGGCTTGAATACAGGCCCGTCTTTCATCTGACAACATGAAGGGATGTCTGAATCCCCTGTGGAGACCTTAGAGAAAGCCCTAGGTCCCTGCCTCATTTTGACGGAATGCCTCACATCCCGCTGACACCTCGAGAGGCACGCGTAGTTCATTGCTTCAAAAGGTGACGATGCCTGACTCCTCTTGAATACTGATAGGAATCCCAAAATCCCTGTGGCTTCTGGAAAGGGTTCTTGGGTGCCCTGCCTCACCTCGAGAAGTGTCCCTTTTGCCCTGCTAAGCCTCGAAGAGATTCCTGAGGTGTCCCGCGTTACTAGACAGGAGTCCTGACGTCACTGAAGAAACTCGTGTTTTGAAGGGCCATCCCCGCCGTAAGTCGAGAACATACCCCAGGTCCCCACCGCAACTCGAGAAAAACCATGAGACTTCCCTCTAGAGGCGAGATGAGGCCCCATTCCCCTGCAGTGCATGCAGAGCTTCTCCGTGATCCCATTCAAACAAGTCAGGAGATTCGACTTGCTTAATGGATCTCGAGACAGTCCCCAAGAACACTGTCACCAGTCTAGACGGACCCTGAGGTCACCCCAGCAACGCAAAGCAGCTCTATGTGCCCCAAATCAACTCGAGATGAGGCCCGATTCCCCTGCATTGACTCCAGAGCCATTCCACGTTCCCCATTCAACACGACTGGTGGCTCGACTTCCTTCAGGCCACTGCAGAGATGCCCCGAGAACACTGTCCCAAGTCTAGAGGAACACCAACTTCAGCACAGCAACTCGAGGAATGCTCCGTGTACCCCAAATCGCATCGAGATGAGAGCTGATTCCCTGGCTTAGGCTCAAGACGTATGCCAACTTTCCAGAAGCACCTCAGGAGGAGGCTTCTCTCAGCAATAGGTATGTGGGAGGGACCCCGAGTTTGCTACCTCAAGGGGAATATACAGCGAGAAGCCCTAACTTGAAAGGAGGCCGGATTTCCTTGCAGTGGCTTGAATACAGGCCTGTCTTTCATCTCACAAGACGAAGGGATGTCTGAATCCCCTGTGGAGACCTTAGAGAAAGCCCTAGGTCCTGCCTCATTTTGACGGAATGCCTCACATCCCGCTGACACCTCAAGAGGCACGCGGAGTTCATTGCTTCAAAAGGTGACGAGGCCTGACTCCTCTTGAATACTGAGAGGAATCCCAAAATCCCTGTGGCTACTGGAAACGGTCCTTGGGTGCCCAGCCTCACCTCGAGAAGCGTCCCTTTTGCCCTGCCAAGCCTCGAAGAGATTCCTGAGGGGTCCCTCATTACTAGACAGGAGTCCTGAAGTCACTGAAGAAACTCGTGTTTTGAAGGGCCATCCCCGCCGTAAGTCGAGAACATACCCCAGGTCCCCGCCGCAACTCGAGAAAAATCATGAGACTTCCCCCTAGAGGCGAGATGAGGCCCCATTCCCCTGCAGTGCATGCAGAGCTATTCCGTGATCCCATTGAAACAAATCAGGAGCTTCGACTTGCTTAATGGATCTCGAGACAGTCCCCAAGAACACTGTCACCAGTCTAGACGGACCCTGAGGTCACCCAGCAATGCAAAGCAGCTCCATATGCCCCAAATCAACTCGAGATGAGGCCCGATTCCCCTGCATTGACTCCAGAGCCATTCCCCGTTCCCCATTCAACACGACCGGTGGCTCGACTTCCTTCAGGTCACTGCAGAGATGCCCCGAGCACACTGTCCCAAGTCTAGAGGAACACCAACTTCAGCACAGCAACTCGAGGAATGCTCCGTGTACCCCAAATCGTCTCGAGATGAGAGCTGATTCCCTGGCTTAGGCTTAAGACGTATGCCAACTTTCCAGAAGCACCTCAGGAGGAGGCTTCTCTCAGCAATAGGTATGTGGGAGGGACCCCGAGTTTGCTGCCTCAAGGGGAATATACAGCGAGAAGCCCTAACTTGAAAGGAGGCCGGATTTCCTTGCAGTGGCTTGAATACAGGCCCGTCTTTCATCTCACAACATGAAGGGATGTCTGAATCCCCTGTGGAGACCTTAGAGAAAGCCCTAGGTGCCTGCCTCATTTTGACGGAATGCCTCACATCCCGCTGACACCTCGAGAGGCACACGGAGTTCATTGCTTCAAAAGTTGACGATGCCTGACTCCTCTTGAATACTGATAGGAATCCCAAAATCCCTGTGGCTACTGGAAAGGGTCCTTGGGTGCCCTGCCTCACCTCGAGAAGCGTCCCTTTTGCCCTGCCAAGCCTCGAAGAGATTCCTGAGGTGTCCCTCGTTACTAGTCAGGAGTCCTGACGTCACTGAAGAAACTCGTGTTTTTAAGAGCCATCCCCGCCTTAAGTCGAGAACATACCCCATGTCCCCGCCGCAACTCGAGAAAAAACATGAGACTTCCCCCTAGAGGCGAGATGAGGCCCCATTCCCCTGCAGTGCATACAGAGCTATTCCGTGATCCCATTCAAACAAGTCAGGAGCTTCGACTTGCTTAATGGATCTCGAGACAGTCCCCAAGAACACTGTCACCAGTCTAGACGGACCCTGAGGTCACCCCAGCAATGCAAAGCAGCTCCATGTGCCCCAAATCAACTCGAGATGAGGCCCGATTCCCCTGCATTGACTCCAGAGCCATTCCCGTTCCCCATTCAACACGACCGGTGGCTCGACTTCCTTCAGGCAACTCCAGAGATGCCCCGAGAACACTGTCCCAAGACTAGAGGAACACCAACTTCAGCACAGCAACTCGAGGAATGCTCCGTGTACCCCAAATCGTCTCGAGATGAGAGCTGATTCCCTGGCTTAGGCTTAAGACGTATGCCAACTTTCCAGAAGCACCTCAGGAGGAGGCTTCTCTCAGCAATAGGTATGTGGGAGGGACCCCGAGTTTGCTGCCTCAAGGGGAATATACAGCGAGAAACCCTAACTTGAAAGGAGGCCGGATTTCCTTGCAGTGGCTTGAATACAGGCCCGTCTTTGATCTCACAACATGAAGGCATGTCTGAATCCCCTGTGGAGACCTTAGAGAAAGCCCTAGGTCCCTGCCTCATTTTGACGGAATGCCTCACATCCCGTTGACACGTCGATAGGCACGCGGAGTTCATTGCTTCAAAAGGTGACGATGCCTGACTCCTCTTGAATACTGATAGGAATCCCACAATCCCTGTGGCTACTGGAATGGGTCCTTGGGTGCCCTGCCTCACCTCGAGAAGCATCCCTTTTGCCCTGCCAAGCCTCGAAGAGATTCCTGAGGTGTCCCTCGTTACTAGACAGCAGTCCTGATGTCACTGAAGAAACTCTTGTTTTGAAGGGCCATCCCCGCCTTAAGTCGAGAACATACCCCAGGTCCCCGCCGCAACTCGAGAAAAACCATGAGACTTCCCCCTAGAGGCGAGATGAGGCCCCATTCCCCTGCAGTGCATGCAGAGCTATTCCGTGATCCCATTCAAACAAGTCAGGAGCTTCGACTTGCTTAATGGATCTCGAGACAGTCACCAAGAACACTGTCACCAGTCTAGACGGACCCTGAGGTCAACCCAGCAACGGAAAGCAGCTCCATGTGCCCCAAATCAACTCGAGATGAGGCCCGATTCCCCTGCATTGATTCCAGAGCCATTCCCCGTTCCCCATTCAACACGACCGGTGGCTCGACTTCCTTCAGGCAACTCCAGAGATGCCCCGTGAACACTGTCCCAAGTCTAGAGGAACACCAACTTCAGCACAGCAACTCGAGGAATGCTCCATGCACCCCAAATCGTCTCGAGATGAGAGCTGATTCCCTGGCTTAGGCTCAAGACGTATGCCAACTTTCCAGAAGCACCTCAGGAGGAGGCTTCTCTCAGCAATAGGTATGTGGGAGGGACCCCGAGATCGCTGCCTCAAGTGGAATATACAGCGAGAAGCCCTAACTTGAAAGGAGGCCGGATTTCCTTGCAGTGGCTTGAATACAGGCTCGTCTTTGATCTCACAACATGAAGGCATGTCTGAATCCCCTGTGGAGACCTTAGAGAAAGCCCTAGGTCCCTGCCTCATTTTGACGGAATGCCTCACATCCCGTTGACACCTCGAAGGCACGCGGAGTTCATTGCCTCAAAAGGTGACGATGCCTGACTCCTCTTGAATACTGATAGTAATCCCAAAATCCCTGTGTCTACTGGAATGGGTCCTTGGGTGCCCTACCTCACCTCGAGAAGCGTCCCTTTTGCCCTGCCAAGCCTCGAAGAGATTCCTGAGGTGTCCCTTGTTACTAGACAGGAGTCCTGACGTCACTGAAGAAACTCGTGTTTTGAAGGGCCATCCCCGCCGTAAGTCTAGAACGTACCCCAGGTCCCCGCCGCAACTCGAGAAAATCCATGAGACTTCCCCCTAGAGGCGAGATGAGGCCCCATTCCCATTCAGTGCATGCAGAGCTATTCCGTGATCCCATTCAAACAAGTCAGGAGCTTCGACTTGCTTAATGGATCTCGAGCCAGTCCCCAAGAACACTGTCACCAGTCTAGACGGACCCTGAGGTCAAACCAGCAACCCAAAGCAGCTCCATGTGCCCCAAATCAACTCGAGATGAGGCCCGATTCCCCTGCATTGACTCCAGAGCCATTCCCCGTTCCCCATTCAACACGACCGGTGGCTTGACTTCCTTCAGGCAACTCCAGAGATGCCCCGAGAACACTGTCCCAAGTCTAGAGGAACACCAACTTCAGCATAGCAACTCGAGGAATGCTCCATGTACCCCAAATCGTTTCGAGATGAGAGCTGATTCCCTGGCTTAGGCTCAAGACGTATGCCAACTTTCCAGAAGCACCTCAGGAGGAGGCATCTCTCTGCAATAGTTATGTGGGAGGGACCCCGAGATCGCTGCCTCAAGGGGAATATACAGCGAGAAGCCCTAACTTATAAGGAGGCCGGATTTCCTTGCAGTGGCTTGAATACAGGCTCGTCTTTGATCTCACAACATGAAGGGATGTCTGAATCCCCTGTGGAGACCTTAGAGAAAGCCCTAGGTCCCTGCCTCATTTTGACGGAATGCCTCACATCCCGTTGACACCTCGAGAGGCACGCGGAGTTCATTGCTTCAAAAGGTGACGATGCCTGACTCCTCTTGAATACTTATAGGAATCCCACAATCCCTGTGGCTACTGGAAAGGGTCCTTGGGTGCCCTGCCTCACCTCGAGAAGCATCCCTTTTGCCCTGCCAAGCCTCGAAGAGATTCCTGAGGTGTCCCTCGTTACGAGACAGGAGTCATGACGTCACTGAAGAAAATCGTGTTTGCCATCCCCGCCATAAGTCGAGAACATACCCCAGGTCCCCGCCGCAACTCGAAAAAAACCATGAGACTTCCCCTAGAGGCGAGATGAGGCCCCATTCCCCTGCAGTGCATGCAGAGCTATTCCGTGATCCCATTCAAACAAGTCTGGAGCTTCGACGTGCTTAATGGATCTCGAGCCAGTCCCCAAGAACACTGTCACCAGTCTAGACGGACCCTGAGGTCACCCCAGCAACGCAAAGCAGCTCCATGTTCCCCAAATCAACTCGAGATGAGGCCCGATTCCCCTGCATTGACTCCAGAGCCATTCCCCGTTCCCCATTCAACACGACCGGTGGCTCGACTTCCTTCAGGCAACTCCAGAGATGCCCCGAGAACACTGTCCCAAGTGTAGAGGAACACCAACTTCAGCACAGCAACTCGAGGAATGTTACGTGTACCCCAAATCGTCTCGAGATGAGAGCTGATTCCCTGGCTTAGGCTCAAGACATATGCCAACTTTCCAGAAGCACCTCAGGAGGAGGCTTCTCTCAGCAATAGGTATGTGGGAGGGACCCCGAGATCGCTTCCTCAAGTGGAATATACAGCGAGAAGCCCTAACTTGAAAGGAGGCCGGATTTCCTTGCAGTGTCTTGAATGCAGGCTCGTCTTTTATCTCAAAACATGAAGAGATGTCTGAATCCCCTGTGGAGACTTTAGAGAAAGCCCTAGGTCCCTGCCTCATTTTGACGGAAGGCCTCACATCCCGTTGACTCCTCGAGAGGCACGCGGAGTTCATTGCTTCAAAAGGTGACGATGCCTGACTCCTCTTGAATACTGATAGGAATCCCAAAATCCCTGTGGCTACTGGAATGGGTCCTTGGGTGCCCTGCCTCACCTCGAGAAGCGTCCCTTTTGCCCTGCCAAGCCTCGAAGAGATTCCTGAGGTGTCCCTCGTTACTAGACAGGAGTCCTGACGTCACTGAAGAAACTCGTGTTTTGAAGGCCGTCCCCGCCGTAAGTCGAAAATATACCCCAGGTCCTCGCCGCAACTCGAGAAAAACCATGAGACTTCCCCCTAGAGGCGAGATGAGGCCCAATTCCCCTGCCGTGCATGCAGAGCTATTCCGTGATCCCATTCAAACAAGTCAGGAGCTTCGACTTCCTTAATGGATCTCGAGACAGTCCTCAAGAACACTGTCATCATTCTAGACGGACCCTGAGGTCAACCCAGAAACGGAAAGCAGCTCCATGTGCCCCAAATCAACTCGAGATGAGGCCCGATTCCCCTGAATTGACTCCAGAGCCATTCCCCGTTCCCCATTCAACACGACCGGTGGCTCGACTTCCTTCAGGCATCTCCAGAGATGCCCTGAGAACACTCTCCCAAGTCTAGAGTCACACCAACTTCAGCACAGCAACTCGAGGAAAGCTCCGTGTACCCCAAATCGTCTCGAGATGAGAGCTGATTCACTGGCTTAGGCTCAAGACGTATGCCAACTTTCTAGAAGCACCTCAGGAGGAGGCTTCTCTCAGCAATAGGTATGTGGGAGGGACCCCGAGATCGCTGCCTCAAGTGGAATATACAGCGAGAAGCCCTAACTTGAAAGGAGGTCGGATTTCCTTCCAGTGGCTTGAATACAGGCTCGTCTTTGATCTCACAACATGAAGGCATGTCTGAATCCCCTGTGGAGACCTTAGAGAAAGCCCTAGGTCCCTGCCTCATTTTGACGGAATGCCTCACATCCCGTTGACACCTCGAGAGGCACGCGGAGTTCATTGCTTCAAAAGGTGACGATGCCTGACTCCTCTTGAATACTGATAGGAATCCCACAATCCCTGTGGCTACTGGAATGGGTTCCTGGGTGCCCTGCCTCACCTCGAGAAGCATCCCTTTTGCCCTGCCAAGCCTCGAAGAGATTCCTGAGGTGTCCCTCGTTACTAGACAGGAGTCCTGTTGTCACTGAAGAAACTCTTGTTTTGAAGGGCCATCCCCGCCGTAAGTCGAGAACATACCCCAGGTCCCCGCCGCAACTCGAGAAAAACCATGAGACTTCCCCCTAGAGGCGAGATGAGGCCCCATTCCCCTGCAGTGCATGCAGAGCTATTCCGTGATCCCATTCAAACAAGTCAGGAGCTTCGACTTGCTTAATGGATCTCGAGACAGTCCCCAAGAACACTGTCACCATTCTAGACGGACCCTGAGGTCAACCCAGCAACGGAAAGCAGCTCCATGTGCCCCAAATCAACTCGAGATGAGGCCCGATTCCCCTGCATTGACTCCAGAGCCATTACCCGTTCCCCATTCAACACGACCTGTGGCTCGACTTCCTTCAGGCAACTCCAGAGGTTCCCCGAGAACACTGTCCCAAGTCTAGAGGAACACAAACTTCAGCACAGCAACTCGAGGAATGATCCATGTACCACAAATCGTTTCGAGTTGAGAGCTGATTCCCTGGCTTAGGCTCAAGACGTATGCCAACTTTCCAGAAGCACCTCAGGAGGAGGCTTCTCTCAGCAATAGGTATGTGGGAGGGACCCAGAGATCGCTGCCTCAAGTGGAATATAGAGCGAGAAGCCCTAACTTGAAAGGAGGCCGGATTTCCTTCTAGTGGCTTGAATACAGGCTCGTCTTTAATCTCAAAACATGAAGGGATGTCTGAATCCCCTGAGGAGACCTTAGAGAAAGCCCTAGGTCCCTGCCTCATTTTGTCGGAGTGCCTCACATCCCGTTGACACCTTGAGAGGCACGCAGAGTTCACTGCTTCAAAAGGTGACGATGCCTGACTCCTCTTGAATACTGATAGGAATCCGAGAATCCCTGTGGCTACTGGAAAGGGTCCTTGGGTGCCCTCTCTCACCTCGAGAAGCGTACCTTTTGCCCTGCCAAGCCTCGAAGAGATTCCTGAGGCTTCCCTCGTTACGAGACAGGAGTCCTGATGTCACTGAAGAAAATCGTGTTTTGAAGGGCCATCCCCGCCGTAAGTCGAGAACATACCCCAGGTCCCCGCCGCAACTCAAGAAAAACCATGAGACTTCCCCCTAGAGGCGAGATGAGGCCCCATTCCCCTGCAGTGCATGCAGATCTATTCCGTGATCCCATTCAAACAAGTCAGGAGCTTCGACATGCTTAATGGATCTCGAGACAGTCCCCAAGAACACTGTCACCAGTCTAGACGGACCCTGAGGTCAACCCAGCAACACAAAGCAGCTCCATGTGCCCCAAATCAACTCGAGATGAGGCCCGATTCCCCTGCATTGACTTCAGAGCCATTCCCCGTTCCCCATTCAACACGACCGGTAGCTCGACTTCCTTCAGGCAACTCCAGAGATGCCCCGAGAACACTGTCCCAAGTTTAGAGGAACACCAACTTCAGCACAGCAACTCGAGGAATGCTCCATGTACCCCAAATCGTCTCGAGATGAGAGCTGATTCCCTTGCTTAGGCTCAAGACGTATGCCAACTTTCCAGAAGCACCTCAGGAGGAGGCTTCTCTCAGCAATAGGTATGTGGGACAGACCCCGAGATCGCTGCCTCAAGTGGAATATACAGCGAGATGCCCTAACTTGAAAGGAGGCCGTATTTCCTTGCAGTGGCTTGAATACAGGCTTGTCTTTGATCTCAAAACATGAAGGCATGTCTGAATCCCCTGTGGAGATCTTAGAGAAAGCCCTAGATCCCTGCGTCATTTTGACGGAATGCCTCACATCTCGTTGACACCTCGAGAGGCATGCGGAGTTCATTGCTTCAAAAGGTGACGATGCCTGACTCCTCTTGAATACTTATAGGAATCCCAAAATCCCTGTGGCTACTGGAAAGGGTACTTGGGTGCCCTGCCTCACCTCGAGAAGCGTCCCTTTTGCCCTGCCAAGCCTCGAAGAGATTCCTGAGGTGTCCCTCGTTACTAGACAGGAGTCCTGACGTCCCTGAAGAAACTCGTGTTTTGAAGGGCCATCCCCGCCGTAAGTCGAGACCATACCCAAGGTCCCCCCGCAACTCGAGAAAAACCATGAGACTTCCCCCTAGAGGCGAGATGAGGCCCCATTCCCCTGCAGTGCATGCACAGCTATTCCGTGATCCCATTCAAACAAGTCAGGAGCTTCGACTTGCTTAATGGATCTCCAGACAGTCCCCAAGAACACTGTCACCAGTCTAGACGGACCCTGAGGTCACCCCAGCAACGCAAAGCAGCTCCATGTGCCCCAAATCAACTCGAGATGAGGCCCGATTCCCCTGCATTGACTCCAGAGCCATTCCCCGTTCCCCATTTATCACGACTGGTGGCTTGACTTCCTTCAGGCAATTCCAGAGATGCCACGAGAACACTATCCCAAGTCTAGAGGAACACCAACTTCAGCAGAGCAACTCGAGGAATGGTCCGTGTACCCGAAATCGTCTCGAGATGAGAGCTGATTCCCTGGCTTAGGCTCAAGACGTATGCCAACTTTCCAGAAGCACCTCAGGAGGAGGCTTCTCTCAGCAATAGGTATGTGGGAGGGACCCCGAGATCGCTGCCTCAAGTGGAATATACAGCGAGAAGCCCTAACTTGAAAGGAGGCCGGATTTCCTTGCAGTGGCTTGAATACAGGCTCGTCTTTGATCTCACAACATGAAGGCATGTCTGAATCCCCTGTGGAGACCTTAGAGAAAGCCCTAGGTCCCTGCCTCATTTTGACGGAATGCCTCACATCCCGTTGACACCTCGAGAGGCACGCGGAGTTCATTGCTTCAAAAGGTGACGATGCCTGACTCCTCTTGAATACTGATGGGAATCCCACAATCCCTGTGGCTACTGGAATGGGTTCTTGGGTGCCCTGCCTCACCTCGAGAAGCGTCCCTTTTGCCCTGCCAAGCCTCGAAGAGATTCCTGAGGTGTCCCTCGTTACGAGACAGGAGTCCTGACGTCACTGAAGAAACTCGTTTTTTGAAGGGCCAACCCCGCCGTAAGTCAAGAACATACCCCAGGTCCCCGCCGCAACTCAAGAAAAACCATGAGACTTCCCCCTAGAGGCGAGATGAGGCCCCATTCCCCTGCAGTGCATGCAGATCTATTCCGTGATCCCATTCAAACAAGTCAGGAGCTTCGACATGCTTAATGGATCTCGAGACAGTCCCCAAGAACACTGTCACCAGTCTAGACGGACCCTGAGGTCACCCCAGCAACGCAAAGCAGCTCCATGTGCCCCAAATCAACTCGAGATGAGGCCCGATTCCCCTGCATTGACTCCAGAGCCATTCCCCGTTCCCCATTCAACACGATCGGTGGCTCGACTTCCTTCAGGCAACTCCAGACATGCCCCGAGAACACTGTCCCAAGTCTAGAGGAACACCAACTTCAGCAGAGCAACTCGAGGAATGCTCCATGTACCCCAAATCGTCTCGAGATGAGAGCTGATTCCCTGGCTTAGGCTCAAAACATATGCCAACTTTCCAGAAGCACCTCAGGAGGAGGCTTCTCTCAGCAATAGGTATGTGGGAGGGACCCCGAGATCGCTTCCTCAAGTGGAATATACAGCGAGAAGCCCTAACTGGAAAGGAGGCCGGATTTCCTTGCAGTGTCTTGAATGCAGGCTCGTCTTTTATCTCAAAACATGAAGAGATGTCTGAATCCCCTGTGGAGACTTTAGAGAAAGCCCTAGGTCCCTGCCTCATTTTGACGGAAGGCCTCACATCCCGTTGACTCCTCGAGAGGCACGCGGAGTTCATTGCTTCAAAAGGTGACGATGCCTGACTCCTCTTGAATACTGATAGGAATCCCAAAATCCCTGTGGCTACTGGAATGGGTCCTTGGGTGCCCTGCCTCACCTCGAGAAGCGTCCCTTTTGCCCTGCCAAGCCTCGAAGAGATTCCTGAGGTGTCCCTCGTTACTAGACAGGAGTCCTGACGTCACTGAAGAAACTCGTGTTTTGAAGGCCGTCCCCGCCGTAAGTCGAAAATATACCCCAGGTCCCCGCCGCAACTCGAGAAAAACCATGAGACTTCCCCCTAGAGGCGAGATGAGGCCCAATTCCCCTGCCGTGCATGCAGAGCTATTCCGTGATCCCATTCAAACAAGTCAGGAGCTTCGACTTCCTTAATGGATCTCGAGACAGTCCTCAAGAACACTGTCATCATTCTAGACGGACCCTGAGGTCAACCCAGCAACGGAAAGCAGCTCCATGTGCCCCAAATCAACTCGAGATGAGGCCCGATTCCCCTGAATTGACTCCAGAGCCATTCCCCGTTCCCCATTCAACACGACCGGTGGCGCGACTTCCTTCAGGCATCTCCAGAGATGCCCTGAGAACACTCTCCCAAGTCTAGAGTCACACCAACTTCAGCACAGCAACTCGAGGAAAGCTCCGTGTACCCCAAATCGTCTCGAGATGAGAGCTGATTCACTGGCTTAGGCTCAAGACGTATGCCAACTTTCTAGAAGCACCTCAGGAGGAGGCTTCTCTCAGCAATAGGTATGTGGGAGGGACCCCGAGATCGCTGCCTCAAGTGGAATATACAGCGAGAAGCCCTAACTTGAAAGGAGGTCGGATTTCCTTCCAGTGGCTTGAATACAGGCTCGTCTTTGATCTCACAACATGAAGGCATGTCTGAATCCCCTGTGGAGACCTTAGAGAAAGCCCTAGGTCCCTGCCTCATTTTGACGGAATGCCTCACATCCCGTTGACACCTCGAGAGGCACGCGGAGTTCATTGCTTCAAAAGGTGACGATGCCTGACTCCTCTTGAATACTGATAGGAATCCCACAATCCCTGTGGCTACTGGAATGGGTTCCTGGGTGCCCTGCCTCACCTCGAGAAGCATCCCTTTTGCCCTGCCAAGCCTCGAAGAGATTCCTGAGGTGTCCCTCGTTACTAGACAGGAGTCCTGATGTCACTGAAGAAACTCGTGTTTTGAAGGGCCATCCCCGCCGTAAGTCGAGAACATACCCCAGGTCCCCGCCGCAACTCGAGACAAACCATGAGACTTCCCCCTAGAGGCGAGATGAGGCCACATTCCCCTGCAGTGCATGCAGAGCTATTCCGTGATCCCATTCAAACAAGTCTGGAGCTTCGACGTGCTTAAAGGATCTCGAGACAGTCCGCAAGAACACTGTCACCAGTCTAGACGGACCCTGAGGTCACCCCAGCAAAGCAAAGCAGCTCCATGTGCCCCAAATCAACTCGAGATGAGGCCCGATTCCCCTGCATTGACTCCAGAGCCATTCCCCGTTCCCCATTCAACACGACCGGTGGCTCGACTTCCTTCAGGCAATAACAGAGATGCCCCGTGAACACTGTCCCAAGTCTAGAGGAACACCAACTTCAGCAAAGCAACTCGAGGAATGCTCCATGTACCCCAAATCGTCTCGAGATGAGAGCTGATTCCCTGGTTTAGGCTCAAGACGTATGCCAAATTTCCAGAAGCACCTCAGGAGGAGGCTTCTCTCAGCAATAGGTATGTGGGAGGGACCCCGAGATCGCTCCTCAAGTGGAATATACAGCGAGAAGCCCTAACTTGAAAGAAAGCCGGATTTCCTTGCAGTGTCTTGAATGCAGGCTCGTCTTTTATCTCAAAACATGAAGGGATGTCTGAATCCCCTGTGGAGACCTTAGAGAAAGCCCTAGGTCCCTGCCTCATTTTGACGGAATGCCTCACATCCCGTTGACACCTCGAGAGGCACGCGGAGTTCATTGCTTCAAAAGGTGACGAGGCCTGACTCCTCTTGAATACTGATAGGAATCCCACAATCCCTGTGGCTACTGGAATGGGTCCTTGGGTGCCCTGCCTCAACTCGAGAAGCGTCCCTTTTGCCCTGCCAAGCCTCGAAGAGATTCCTGAGGAGTCCTTCGTTAATAGACAGGAGTCCTGACATCATTGAAGAAACTCGTGTTTTGAAGGGCCATCCCCGCCGTAAGTCGAGAACATACCCCAGGTCCCCGCCGCAATTCGAGAAAAATCATGAGACTTCCCCCTAGAGGCGAGATGAGGCCCCATTCCCATGCAGTGCATGCAGAGCTATTCCGTGACCCCATTCAAACAAGTCAGGAGCTTCGACTTGCTTAATGGATCTCGAGACAGTCCCCAAGAACACTGTCACCAGTCTAGAAGGACCCTGACGTTACCCCAGCAACGCAATGCAACTCCATCTGCCCCAAATCAACTCGAGATGAAGCCTGATTCCCCTGCATTGACTCCAGAGCCATTCCCCGTTCCCCATTCAACACGACCGGTGGCTCGACTTCCTTCAGGCAACTCCAGAGATGCCCAGAGAACACTGTCCCAAGTTTAGAGGAACACCACTTCAGCACAGCAACTCGAGGAATAGTCCACGTACCCCAAATCGTCTCGAGATGAGAGCTGATTCCCTGGCTTAGGCTCAAGACGTATGCCAACTTTCCAGAACCACCTCAGGAGGAGGCTTCTCTCAGCAATAGGTATGTGGGAGGGACCCCGAGATCGCTGCCTCAAGGGGAATATACAGCGAGAAGCCCTAACTTGAAAGGAGCCCGGATTTCCTTGCAGTGGCTTGAATACAGGCTCGTCTTTGATCTCACAACATGAAGGCATGTCTGAATCCCCTGTGTAGACCTTAGAGAAAGCCCTAGGTCCCTGCCTCATTTTGACGGAATGCCTCACATCCCGTTGACACCTCGAGAGGCAGTCGGAGTTCATTGCTTCAAAGGTGACGATGCCTGATTCCTCTTGAATACCGATAGGAATCCCAAAATCCCTGTGGCTACTGGAAAGGGTCCTTGGGTGCCCTGCCTCACCTCGAGAAGCGTCCCTTTTGCCCTGCCAAGCCTCGAAGAGATTCCTGAGGTGTCCCTCGTTACTAGACAGGAGTCCTGACGTCACTGAAGAAACTCGTGTTTTGAAGGCCGTCCCCTCCGTAAGTCGAAAATATACCCCAGGTCCCCGCCGCAACTCGAGAAAAACCATGAGACTTCCCCCTAGAGGCGAGATGAGGCCCAATTCCCCTGCCGTGCATGCAGAGCTATTCCGTGATCCCATTCAAACAAGTCAGGAGCTTCGACTTCCTTAATGGATCTCGAGACAGTCCTCAAGAACACTGTCATCATTCTAGACGGACCCTGAGGTCAACCCAGCAACGGAAAGCAGCTCCATGTGCCCCAAATCAACTCGAGATGAGGCCCGATTCCCCTGAATTGACTCCAGAGCCATTCCCCGTTACCCATTCAACACGACCGGTGGCGCGACTTCCTTCAGGCATCTCCAGAGATGCCCTGAGAACACTCTCCCAAGTCTAGAGTCACACCAACTTCAGCACAGCAACTCGAGGAAAGCTCCGTGTACCCCAAATCGTCTCGAGATGAGAGCTGATTCACTGGCTTAGGCTCAAGACGTATGCCAACTTTCTAGAAGCACCTCAGGAGGAGGCTTCTCTCAGCAATAGTTATGTGGGATGGACCCCGAGATCGCTGCCTCAAGTGGAATATACAGCGAGAAGCCCTAACTTGAAAGGATGTCGGATTTCCTTCCAGTGGCTTGAATACAGGCTCGTCTTTGATCTCACAACATGAAGGCATGTCTGAATCCCCTGTGGAGACCTTAGAGAAAGCCCTAGGCCCCTGCCTCATTTTGACGGAATGCCTCACATCCCGTTGACACCTCGAGAGGCACGCGGAGTTCATTGCTTAAAAAGGTGACGATGCCTGACTCCTCTTGAATACTGATAGGAATCCCACAATCCCTGTGGCTACTGGAATGGGTTCCTGGGTGCCCTGCCTCACCTCGAGAAGCATCCCTTTTGCCCTGCCAAGCCTCGAAGAGATTCCTGAGGTGTCCCTCGTTACTAGACAGGAGTCCTGATGTCACTGAAGAAACTCTTGTTTTGAAGGGCCATCCCCGCCGTAAGTCGAGAACATACCCCAGGTCCCCGCCGCAACTCGAGAAAAACCATGAGACTTCCCCCTAGAGGCGAGATGAGGCCCCATTCCCCTGCAGTGCATGCAGAGCTATTCCGTGATCCCATTCAAACAAGTCAGGAGCTTCGACTTGCTTAATGGATCTCGAGACAGTCCCCAAGAACACTGTCACCATTCTAGACGGACCCTGAGGTCAACCCAGCAACGGAAAGCGGCTCCATGTGCCCCAAATCAACTCGAGATGAGGCCCGATTCCCCTGCATTGACTCCAGAGCCATTACCCGTTCCCCATTCAACAAGACCGGTGGCTCGACTTCCTTCAGGCAATAACAGAGATGCCCAGTGTACACTGTCCCAAGTCTAGAGGAACACAAACTTCAGCACAGCAACTCGAGGAATGATCCATGTACCTCAAATCGTCTCGAGTTGAGAGCTGATTCCCTGGCTTAGGCTCAAGACGTATGCCAACTTTCCAGAAGCACCTCAGGAGGAGGCTTCTCTCAGCAATAGGTATGTGGGAGGGACCCAGAGATCGCTGCCTCAAGTGGAATATAGAGCGAGAAGCCCTAACTTGAAAGGAGGCCGGATTTCCTTGCAGTGGCTTGAATACTGGCTCGTCTTTAATCTCAAAACATGAAGGGATGTCTGAATCCCCTGAGGAGACCTTAGAGAAAGCCCTAGGTCCCTGCCTCATTTTGTCGGAATGCCTCACATCCCGTTGACACCTTGAGAGGCACGCAGAGTTCATTGCTTCAAAAGGTGACGATGCCTGACTCCTCTTGAATACTGATAGGAATCCGAGAATCCCTGTGGCTACTGGAAAGGGTCCTTGGGTGCCCTCTCTCACCTCGAGAAGCGTACCTTTTGCCCTGCCAAGCCTCTAAGAGATTCCTGAGGCTTCCCTCGTTACGAGACAGGAGTCCTGATGTCACTGAAGAAAATCGTGTTTTGAAGGGCCATCCCCGCCGTAAGTCGAGAACATACCCCAGGTCCCCGCCGCAACTCAAGAAAAACCATGAGACTTCCCCCTAGAGGCGAGATGAGGCCCCATTCCCCTGCAGTGCATGCAGATCTATTCCGTGATCCCATTCAAACAAGTCAGGAGCTTCGACATGCTTAATGGATCTCGAGACAGTCCCCAAGAACACTGTCACCAGTCTAGACGGACCCTGAGGTCAACCCAGCAACACAAAGCAGCTCCATGTGCCCCAAATCAACTCGAGATGAGGCCCGATTCCCCTGCATTGACTCCAGAGCCATTCCCCGTTCCCCATTCAACACGACCGGTGGCTCGACTTCCTTCAGGCAACTCCAGAGATGCCCCGAGAACACTGTCCCAAGTTTAGAGGAACACCAACTTCAGCACAGCAACTCGAGGAATGCTCCATGTACCACAAATCGTCTCGAGATGAGAGCTGATTCCCTTGCTTAGGCTCAAGACGTATGCCAACTTTCCAGAAGCACCTCAGGAGGAGGCTTCTCTCAGCAATAGGTATGTGGGACGGACCCCGAGATCGCTGCCTCAAGTGGAATATACAGCGAGATGCCCTAACTTGAAAGGAGGCCGTATTTCCTTGCAGTGGCTTGAATACAGGCTTGTCTTTGATCTCACAACATGAAGGCATGTCTGAATCCCCTGTGGAGATCTTAGAGAAAGCCCTAGATCCCTGCGTCATTTTGACGGAATGCCTCACATCCCGTTGACACCTCGAGAGGCACGCGGAGTTCATTGCTTCAAAAGGTGACGATGCCTGACTCCTCTTGAATACTTATAGGAATCCCAAAATCCCTGTGGCTACTGGAAAGGGTCCTTGGGTGCCCTGCCTCACCTCGAGAAGCGTCCCTTTTGCCCTGCCAAGCCTCGAAGAGATTCCTGAGGTGTCCCTCGTTACTAGACAGGAGTCCTGACGTCACTGAAGAAACTCGTGTTTTGAAGGGCCATCCCCGCCGTAAGTCGAGACCATACCCAAGGTCCCCCCGCAACTCGAGAAAAACCATGAGACTTCCCCCTAGAGGCGAGATGAGGCCCCATTCCCCTGCAGTGCATGCACAGTTATTCCGTGATCCCATTCAAACAAGTCAGGAGCTTTGACTTGGTTAATGGATCTCGAGACAGTCCCCAAGAACACTGTCACCAGTCTAGACGGACCCTGAGGTCACCCCAGCAACGCAAAGCAGCTCCATGTGCCCCAAATCAACTCGAGATGAGGCCCGATTCCCCTGCATTGACTCCAGAGCCATTCCCCGTTCCCCATTTACCACGACTGGTGGCTTGACTTCCTTCAGGCAACTCCATAGATGCCACGAAAACACTATCCCAAGTCTAGAGGAACACCAACTTCAGCAGAGCAACTCGAGGAATGGTCCGTGTACCCGAAATCGTCTCGAGATGAGAGCTGATTCCCTGGCTTAGGCTCAAGACGTATGCCAACTTTCCAGAAGCACCTCAGGAGGAGGCTTCTCTCAGCAATAGGTATGTGGGAGGGACCCCGAGATCGCTGCCTCAAGTGGAATATACAGCGAGAAGCCCTAACTTGAAAGGAGGCCGGATTTCCTTGCAGTGGCTTGAATACAGGCTCGTCTTTGATCTCACAACATGAAGGCATGTCTGAATCCCCTGTGGAGACCTTAGAGAAAGCCCTAGGTCCCTGCCTCATTTTGACGGAATGCCTCACATCCCGTTGACACCTCGAGAGGCACGCGGAGTTCATTGCTTCAAAAGGTGACGATGCCTGACTCCTCTTGAATACTGATGGGAATCCCACAATCCCTGTGGCTACTGGAATGGGTTCTTGGGTGCCCTGCCTCACCTCGAGAAGCGTCCCTTTTGCCCTGCCAAGCCTCGAAGAGATTCCTGAGGTGTCCCTCGTTACGAGACAGGAGTCCTGACGTCACTGAAGAAACTCGTTTTTTGAAGGGCCAACCCCGCCGTAAGTCAAGAACATACCCCAGGTCCCCGCCGCAACTCAAGAAAAACCATGAGACTTCCCCCTAGAGGCGAGATGAGGCCCCATTCCCCTGCAGTGCATGCAGATCTATTCCGTGATCCCATTCAAACAAGTCAGGAGCTTCGACATGCTTAATGGATCTCGAGACAGTCCCCAAGAACACTGTCACCAGTCTAGACGGACCCTGAGGTCACCCCAGCAACGCAAAGCAGCTCCATGTGCCCCAAATCAACTCGAGATGAGGCCCGATTCCCCTGCATTGACTCCAGAGCCATTCCCCGTTCCCCATTCAACACGACCGGTGGCTCGACTTCCTTCAGGCAACTCCAGACATGCCCCGAGAACACTGTCCCAAGTCTAGAGGAACACCAACTTCAGCAGAGCAACTCGAGGAATGCTCCATGTACCCCAAATCGTCTCGAGATGAGAGCTGATTCCCTGGCTTAGGCTCAAGACGTATGCCAACTTTCCAGAAGCACCTCAGGAGGAGGCTTCTCTGAGCAATAGGTATGTCGGAGGGACCCCGAGATCGCTGCCTCAAGTGGAATATACAGCGAGAAGCCCTAACTTGAAAGGAGGCCGGATTTCCTTGCAGTGGCTTGAATAGAGGCCCGTCTTTGATCTCACAACATGAAGGCATGTCTGAATCCCCTTTGGAGACCTTAGAGAAAGCCCTAGGTCCCTGCCTCATTTTGACGGAATGCTTCACAACCCGCTGACACCTCCAGAGGCACGCGGAGTTCATTGCTTCAAAAGGTGACGATGCCTGACTCCTCTTGAATACTGATAGGAATCCCAAAATCCCTGTGGCTACTGGAAAGGGTCCTTGGGTGCCCTGCCTCACCTCGAGAAGCGTCCCTTTTGCCCTGCCAAGCCTCGAAGAGATTCCTAAGGTGTCCCTCGTTACTAGGCAGGAGTCTTGACGTCACTGAAGAAACTCGTGTTTTGAAGGGCCATCCCCGCCGTAAGTCGAGAACATTCCCCAGGTCCCCGACGCAACTCGAGAAAAACCATGAGACTTCCCCCTAGAGGCGAGGTGAGGCCCCATTCCCCTGCAGTGCATGCAGAGCTATACCGTGATCCCATTCAAACAAGTCAGGAGCTTCGACTTGCTTAATGGATCTCGAGACAGTCCCCAAGAACACTGTCACCAGTCTAGACGGACCCTGAGGTCACCCCAGCAGCGCAGAGCAGCTCCATGTGCCCCAAATCAACTCGAGATGAGGCCCGATTCCCCTGCATTGACTCCAGAGCCATTCCCCGTTCCCCATTCAACACGACCGGTGGCTCGACTTCCTTCAGGCCACTGAAGAGATGCCCCGAGCACACTGTCCCAAGTCTAGAGGAACACCAACTTCAGCACAGCAACTCGAGGAATGCTCCGTGTACCCCAAATCGTCTCGAGATGAGAGCTGATTCCCTGGCTTAGGCTCAAGACGTATGCCAACTTTCCAGAAGCACCTCAGGAGGAGGCTTCTCTCAGCAGTAGGTATGTGGGAGGGACCCCGAGATCGCTGCCTCAAGTGGAATATACAGCGAGAAGCCGTAACTTGAAAGGAGGCCGGATTTCCTTGCAGTGGCTTGAATACAGGCTCGTCTTTGATCTCACAACATGAAGGGATGTCTGAATCCCCTGTGGAGACCTTAGAGAAAGCCCTAGGTCCCTGCCTCATTTTGACGGTATGCCTCACATCCCGTTGACACCTCGAGAGGCACACGGAGTTCATTGCTTCAAAAGGTGACGATGCCTGACTCCTCTTGAATACTGATAGGAATCCCACAATCCCTGTGGCTACTGGAATGGGTTCTTGGGTGCCCTGCCTCACTTCGAGAACCATCCCTTTTGCCCTGCCAAGCCTCGAAGAGATTCCTGAGGTGTCCCTCGTTACTAGACAGGAGTCCTGATGTCACTGAAGAAACTCTTGTTTTGAAGGGCCATCCCCGCCGTAAGTCGAGAACATACCCCAGGTCCCCGCCGCAACTCGAGAAAAACCATGAGACTTCCCCCTAGAGGCGAGATGAGGCCCCATTCCCCTGCAGTGCATGCAGAGCTATTCCGTGATCCCATTCAAACAAGTCAGGAGCTTCGACTTGCTTAATGGATCTCGAGACAGTCCCCAAGAACACTGTCACCAGTCTAGACGGACCCTGAGGTCAACCCAGCAACGGAAAGCAGCTCCATGTGCCCCAAATCAACTCGAGATGAGGCCCGATTCCCCTGCATTGACTCCAGAGCCATTCCCCGTTCCCCATTCAACACGACCGGTGGCTCGACTTCCTTCAGGCAACTCCAGAGATGCCCCGTGAACACTGTCCCAAGTCTAGAGGAACACCAACTTCAGCACAGCAACTCGAGGAATGCTCCATGCACCCCAAATCGTCTCGAGATGAGAGCTGATTCCCTGGCTTAGGCTCAAGACGTATGCCAACTTTCCAGAAGCACCTAAGGAGGAGGCTTCTCTCAGCAATAGGTATGTGGGAGGGACCCCGAGATCGCTGCCTCAAGTGGAATATACAGCGAGAAGCCCTAACTTGAAAGGAGGCCGGATTTCCTTGCAGTGGCTTGAATACAGGCTCGTCTTTGATCTCACAACATGAAGGCATGTCTGAATCCCCTGTGGAGACCTTAGAGAAAGCCCTAGGTCCCTGCCTCATTTTGACGGAATGCCTCACATCCTGTTGACACCTCGAGAGGTACGCAGAGTTCATTGCCTCAAAAGGTGACGATGCCTGACTCCTCTTGAATACTGATAGGAATCCCAAAATCCCTGTGTCTACAGGAATGGGTCCTTTGGTGCCCTGCCTCACCTCGAGAAGCGTCCCTTTTGCCCTGCCAAGCCTCGAAGAGATACCTGAGGTGTCCCTTGTTACTAGACAGGAGTCCTGACGTCACTGAAGAAACTCGTGTTTTGAAGGGCCATCCCCGCCGTAAGTCTAGAAGGTACCCCAGGTCCCCGCCGCAACTCGAGAAAAACCATGAGACTTCCCTCTAGAGGCGAGATGAGGCCCCATTCCCCTGCAGTGCATGCAGAGCTATTCCGTGATCCCATTCAAACAAGTCAGGAGCTTCGACTTGCTTAATGGATCTCGAGCCAGTCCCCAAGAACACTGTCACCAGTCTAGACGGACCCTGAGGTCACCCCAGCAACGCAAAGCAGCTCCATGTGCCCCAAATCAACTCGAGATGAGGCCCGATTCCCCTGCATTGACTCCAGAGCCATTCCCCGTTCCCCATTCAACACGACCGGTGGCTCGACTTCCTTCAGACAACTCCAGAGATGCCCCGAGAACACTGTCCCAAGTCTAGAGGAACACCAACTTCAGCATAGCAACTCGAGGAATGCTCCATGTACCCCAAATCGTCTCGAGATGAGAGCTGATTCCCTGGCTTAGGCTCAAGACGTATGCCAACTTTCCAGAAGCACCTCAGGAGGAGGCTTCTCTCTGCAATAGTTATGTGGGAGGGACCCCGAGATCGCTGCCTCAAGGGGAATATACAGCGAGAAGCCCTAACTTATAAGGAGGCTGGATTTCCTTGCAGTGGCTTGAATACAGGCTCGTCTTTGATCTCACAACATGAAGGCATGTCTGAATCCCCTGTGGAGACCTTAGAGAAAGCCCTAGGTCCCTGCCTCATTTTGACGGAATGCCTCACATCCCGTTGACACCTCGAGAGGCACGCGGAGTTCATTGCTTCAAAAGGTGACGATGCCTGACTCCTCTTGAATACTTATAGGAATCCCACAATCCCTGTGGCTACTGGAATGGGTCCTTGGGTGCCCTGCCTCACCTCGAGAAGCATCCCTTTTGCCCTGCCAAGCCTCGAAGAGATTCCTGAGGTGTCCCTCGTTACTAGACAGGAGTCCTGATGTCACTGAAGAAACTCGTGTTTTGAAGGGCCATCCCCGCCGTAAGTCGAGAACATACCCCAGGTCCCCGCCGCAACTCGAGAAAAACCATGAGACTTCCCCCTAGAGGCGAGATGAGGCCACATTCCCCTGCAGTGCATGCAGAGCTATTCCGTGATCCCATTCAAACAAGTCTGGAGCTTCGACGTGCTTAATGGATCTCGAGACAGGCCCCAAGAACACTGTCACCAGTCTAGACGGACCCTGAGGTCACCCCAGCAAAGCAAAGCAGCTCCATGTGCCCCAAATCAACTCGAGATGAGGCCCGATTCCCCTGCATTGACTCCAGAGCCATTCCCCGTTCCCCATTCAACACGACCGGTGGCTCGACTTCCTTCAGGCAATAACAGAGATGCCCCGTGAACACTGTCCCAAGTCTAGAGGAACACCAACTTCAGCAAAGCAACTCGAGGAATGCTCCATGTACCCCAAATCGTCTCGAGATGAGAGCTGATTCCCTGGTTTAGGCTCAAGACGTATGCCAAATTTCCAGAAGCACCTCAGGAGGAGGCTTCTCTCAGCAATAGGTATGTGGGAGGGACCCCGAGATCGCTCCTCAAGTGGAATATACAGCGAGAAGCCCTAACATGAAAGAAAGCCGGATTTCATTGCAGTGTCTTGAATGCAGGCTCGTCTTTTATCTCAAAACATGAAGGGATGTCTGAATCCCCTGTGGAGACCTTAGAGAAAGCCCTAGGTCCCTGCCTCATTTTGACGGAATGCCTCACATCCCGTTGACACCTCGAGAGGCACGCGGAGTTCATTGCTTCAAAAGGTGACGAGGCCTGACTCCTCTTGAATACTGATAGGAATCCCACAATCCCTGTGGCTACTGGAATGGGTCCTTGGGTGCCCTGCCTCAACTCGAGAAGCGTCCCTTTTGCCCTGCCAAGCCTCGAAGAGATTCCTGAGGTGTCCTTCGTTAATAGACAGGAGTCCTGACATCATTGAAGAAACTCGTGTTTTGAAGGGCCATCCCCGCCGTAAGTCGAGAACATACCCCAGGTCCCCGCCGCAATTCGAGAAAAATCATGAGACTTCCCCCTAGAGGCGAGATGAGGCCCCATTCCCATGCAGTGCATGCAGAGCTATTCCGTGACCCCATTCAAACAAGTCAGGAGCTTCGACTTGCTTAATGGATCTCGAGACAGTCCCCAAGAACACTGTAACCAGTCTAGAAGGACCCTGACGTTACCCCAGCAACGCAATGCAACTCCATCTGCCCCAAATCAACTCGAGATGAAGCCTGATTCCCCTGCATTGACTCCAGAGCCATTCCCCGTTCCCCATTAAACACGACCGGTGGCTCGACTTCCTTCAGGCAACTCCAGAGATGCCCCGAGAACACTGTCCCAAGTTTAGAGGAACACCACTTCAGCACAGCAACTCGAGGAATAGTCCACGTACCCCAAATCGTCTCGAGATGAGAGCTGATTCCCTGGCTTAGGCTCAAGACGTATGCCAACTTTCCAGAACCACCTCAGGAGGAGGCTTCTCTCAGCAATAGGTATGTGGGAGGGACCCCGAGATCGCTGCCTCAAGGGGAATATACAGCGAGAAGCCCTAACTTGAAAGGAGCCCGGATTTCCTTGCAGTGGCTTGAATACAGGCTCGTCTTTGATCTCACAACATGAAGGCATGTCTGAATCCCCTGTGTAGACCTTAGAGAAAGCCCTAGGTCCCTGCCTCATTTTGACGGAATGCCTCACATCCCGTTGACACCTCGAGAGGCAGTCGGAGTTCATTGCTTCAAAGGTGACGATGCCTGATTCCTCTTGAATACCGATAGGAATCCCAAAATCCCTGTGGCTACTGGAAAGGGTCCTTGTGTGCCCTGCCTCACCTCGAGAAGCGTCCCTTTGCCCTGCAAAGCCTCGAAGAAATTCCTGAGGTGTCCCTCGTTACGAGACAGGAGTCATGACGTCACTGAAGAAAATCGTGTTTGCCATCCCCGCCATAAGTCGAGAACATACCCCAGGTCCCCGCCGCAACTCGAGAAAAACCATGAGACTTCCCCCTAGAGGCGAGATGAGGCCCCATTCCCCTGCAGTGCATGCAGAGCTATTCCGTGATCCCATTCAAACAAGTCTGGAGCTTCGACGTGCTTAATGGATCTCGAGACAGTCCCCAAGAACACTGTCACCAGTCTAGACGGACCCTGAGGTCACCCCAGCAACGCAAAGCAGCTCCATGTTCCCCAAATCAACTCGAGATGAGGCCCGATTCCCCTGCATTGACTCCAGAGCCATTCCCCGTTCCCCATTCAACACGACCGGTGGCTCGACTTCCTTCAGGCAACTCCAGAGATGCCCCGAGAACACTGTCCCAAGTGTAGAGGAACACCAACTTCAGCACAGCAACTCGAGGAATGTTACGTGTACCCCAAATCGTCTCGAGATGAGAGCTGATTCCCTGGCTTAGGCTCAAGACATATGCCAACTTTCCAGAAGCACCTCAGGAGGAGGCTTCTCTCAGCAATAGGTATGTGGGAGGGACCCCGAGTTTGCTGCCTCAAGGGGAATATACAGCGAGAAGCCCTAACTTGAAAGGAGGCCGGATTTCCTTGCAGTGTCTTGAATGCAGGCTCGTCTTTTATCTCAAAACATGAAGAGATGTCTGAATCCCCTGTGGAGACTTTAGAGAAAGCCCTAGGTCCCTGCCTCATTTTGACGGAAGGCCTCACATCCCGTTGACTCCTCGAGAGGCACGCGGAGTTCATTGCTTCAAAAGGTGACGATGCCTGACTCCTCTTGAATACTGATAGGAATCCCAAAATCCCTGTGGCTACTGGAAAGGGTCCTTGGGTGCCCTGCCTCACCTCGAGAAGCGTCCCTTTTGCCCTGCCAAGCCTCGAAGAGATTCCTGAGGTGTCCCTCGTTACTAGACAGGAGTCCTGACGTCACTGAAGAAACTCGTGTTTTGAAGGCCGTCCCCTCCGTAAGTCGAAAATATACCCCAGGTCCCCGCCGCAACTCGAGAAAAACCATGAGACTTCCCCCTAGAGGCGAGATGAGGCCCAATTCCCCTGCCGTCCATGCAGAGCTATTCCGTGATCCCATTCAAACAAGTCAGGAGCTTCGACTTCCTTAATGGATCTCGAGACAGTCCTCAAGAACACTGTCATCATTCTAGACGGACCCTGAGGTCAACCCAGCAACGGAAAGCAGCTCCATGTGCCCCAAATCAACTCGAGATGAGGCCCGATTCCCCTGAATTGACTCCAGAGCCATTCCCCGTTACCCATTCAACACGACCGGTGGCGCGACTTCCTTCAGGCATCTCCAGAGATGCCCTGAGAACACTCTCCCAAGTCTAGAGTCACACCAACTTCAGCACAGCAACTCGAGGAATGCTCCGTGTACCCCAAATCGTCTCGAGATGAGAGCTGATTCACTGGCTTAGGCTCAAGACGTATGCCAACTTTCTAGAAGCACCTCAGGAGGAGGCTTCTCTCAGCAATAGTTATGTGGGATGGACCCCGAGATCGCTGCCTCAAGTGGAATATACAGCGAGAAGCCCTAACTTGAAAGGATGTCGGATTTCCTTCCAGTGGCTTGAATACAGGCTCGTCTTTGATCTCACAACATGAAGGCATGTCTGAATCCCCTGTGGAGACCTTAGAGAAAGCCCTAGGTCCCTGCCTCATTTTGACGGAATGCCTCACATCCCGTTGACACCTCGAGAGGCACGCGGAGTTCATTGCTTCAAAAGGTGACGATGCCTGACTCCTCTTGAATACTGATAGGAATCCCACAATCCCTGTGGCTACTGGAATGGGTTCCTGGGTGCCCTGCCTCACCTCGAGAAGCATCCCTTTTGCCCTGCCAAGCCTCGAAGAGATTCCTGAGGTGTCCCTCGTTACTAGACAGGAGTCCTGATGTCACTGAAGAAACTCTTGTTTTGAAGGGCCATCCCCGCCGTAAGTCGAGAACATACCCCAGGTCCCCGCCGCAACTCGAGAAAAACCATGAGACTTCCCCCTAGAGGCGAGATGAGGCCCCATTCCCCTGCAGTGCATGCAGAGCTATTCCGTGATCCCATTCAAACAAGTCAGGAGCTTCGACTTGCTTAATGGATCTCGAGACAGTCCCCAAGAACACTGTCACCATTCTAGACGGACCCTGAGGTCAACCCAGCAACGGAAAGCAGCTCCATGTGCCCCAAATCAACTCGAGATGAGGCCCGATTCCCCTGCATTGACTCCAGAGCCATTACCCGTTCCCCATTCAACACGACCGGTGGCTCGACTTCCTTCAGGCAACTCCAGAGATGCCCCGAGAACACTGTCCCAAGTCTAGAGGAACACAAACTTCAGCACAGCAACTCGAGGAATGATCCATGTACCTCAAATCGTCTCGAGTTGAGAGCTGATTCCCTGGCTTAGGCTCAAGACGTATGCCAACTTTCCAGAAGCACCTCAGGAGGAGGCTTCTCTCAGCAATAGGTATATGGGAGGGACCCCGAGTTTCCTGCCTCAAGGGGAACATACAGCGAGAAGCCCTAACTTGAAAGGAGGCCGGATTTCCTTGCAGTGGCTTGAATACAGGCTCGTCTTTAATCTGAAAACATGAAGGGATGTCTGAATCCCCTGAGGAGACCTTAGAGAAAGCCCTAGGTCCCTGCCTCATTTTGTCGGAATGCCTCACATCCCGTTGACACCTCGAGAGGCACACAGAGTTCATTGCTTCAAAAGGTGACGATGCCTGACTCTTGTTGAATACTGATAGGAATCCGAGAATCCCTGTGGCTACTGGAAAGGGTCCTTGGGTGCCCTCTCTCACCTCGAGAAGCGTCCCTTTTGCCCTGCCAAGCCTCGAAGAGATTCCTGAGGTGTCCCTCGTTACTAGACAGGAGTCCTGACGTCCCTGAAGAAACTCGTGTTTTGAAGGGCCATCCCCGCCGTAAGTCGAGACCATACCCAAGGTCCCCCCGCAACTCGAGAAAAACCATGAGACTTCCCCCTAGAGGCGAGATGAGGCCCCATTCCCCTGCAGTGCATGCACAGCTATTCCGTGATCCCATTCAAACAAGTCAGGAGCTTCGACTTGCTTAATGGATCTCGAGACAGTCCCCAAGAACACTGTCACCAGTCTAGACGGACCCTGAGGTCACCCCAGCAACGCAAAGCAGCTCCATGTGCCCCAAATCAACTCGAGATGAGGCCCGATTCCCCTGCATTGACTCCAGAGCCATTCACCGTTCCCAATTTATCACGACTGGTGGCTTGACTTCCTTCAGGCAACTCCAGAGATGCCACGAGAACACTATCCCAAGTCTAGAGGAACACCAACTTCAGCACAGCAACTCGAGGAATGGTCCGTGTACCCGAAATCGTCTCGAGATGAGAGCTGATTCCCTGGCTTAGGCTCAAGACGTATGCCAACTTTCCAGAAGCACCTCAGGAGGAGGCTTCTCTCAGCAATAGGTATGTGGGAGGGACCCCGAGATCGCTGCCTCAAGTGGAATATACAGCGAGAAGCCCTAACTTGAAAGGAGGCCGGATTTCCTTGCAGTGGCTTGAATACAGGCTCGTCTTTGATCTCACAACATGAAGGCATGTCTGAATCCCCTGTGGAGACCTTAGAGAAAGCCCTAGGTCCCTGCCTCATTTTGACGGAATGCCTCACATCCCGTTGACACCTCGAGAGGCATGCGGAGTTCATTGCTTCAAAAGGTGACGATGCCTGACTCCTCTTGAATACTGATGGGAATCCCACAATCCCTGTGGCTACTGGAATGGGTTCTTGGGTGCCCTGCCTCACCTCGAGAAGCGTCCCTTTTGCCCTGCAAGCCTAGAAGAGATTCCTGAGGTGTCCCTCGTTACGAGACAGGAGTCCTGACGTCACTGAAGAAACTCGTTTTTTGAAGGGCCAACCCCGCCGTAAGTCAAGAACATACCCCAGGTCCCCGCCGCAACTCAAGAAAAACCATGAGACTTCCCCCTAGAGGCGAGATGAGGCCCCATTCCCCTGCAGTGCATGCAGATCTATTCCGTGATCCCATTCAAACAAGTCAGGAGCTTCGACATGCTTAATGGATCTCGAGACAGTCCCCAAGAACACTGTCACCAGTCTAGACGGACCCTGAGGTCACCCCAGCAACGCAAAGCAGCTCCATGTTCCCCAAATCAACTCGAGATGAGGCCCGATTCCCCTGCATTGACTCCAGAGCCATTCCCCGTTCCCCATTCAACACGACCGGTGGCTCGACTTCCTTCAGGCAACTCCAGAGATGCCCCGAGAACACTGTCCCAAGTCTAGAGGAACACCAACTTCAGCACAGCAACTCGAGGAATGTTACGTGTACCCCAAATCGTCTCGAGATGAGAGCTGATTCCCTGGCTTAGGCTCAAGACATATGCCAACTTTCCAGAAGCACCTCAGGAGGAGGCTTCTCTCAGCAATAGGTATGTGGGAGGGACCCCGAGATCGCTTCCTCAAGTGGAATATACAGCGAGAAGCCCTAACTTGAAAGGAGGCCGGATTTCCTTGCAGTGTCTTGAATGCAGGCTCGTCTTTTATCTCAAAACATGAAGAGATGTCTGAATCCCCTGTGGGGACTTTAGAGAAAGCCCTAGGTCCCTGCCTCATTTTGACGGAAGGCCTCACATCCCGTTGACTCCTCGAGAGGCACGCGGAGTTCATTGCTTCAAAAGGTGACGATGCCTGACTCCTCTTGAATACTGATAGGAATCCCAAAATCCCTGTGGCTACTGGAATGGGTCCTTGGGTGCCCTGCCTCACCTCGAGAAGCTTCCCTTTTGCCCTGCCAAGCCTCGAAGAGATTCCTGAGGTGTCCCTCGTTACTAGACAGGAGTCCTGACGTCACTGAAGAAACTCGTGTTTTGAAGGCCGTCCCCGCCGTAAGTCGAAAATATACCCCAGGTCCCCGCCGCAACTCGAGAAAAACCATGAGACTTCCCCCTAGAGGCGAGATGAGGCCCAATTCCCCTGCCGTGCATGCAGAGCTATTCCGTGATCCCATTCAAACAAGTCAGGAGCTTCGACTTCCTTAATGGATCTCGAGACAGTCCTCAAGAACACTGTCATCATTCTAGACGGACCCTGAGGTCAACCCAGCAACGGAAAGCAGCTCCATGAGCCCCAAATCAACTCGAGATGAGGCCCGATTCCCCTGCATTGACTCCAGAGCCATTCCCGTTCCCCATTCAACACGACCGGTGGCGCGACTTCCTTCAGGCATCTCCAGAGATGCCCTGAGAACACTCTCCCAAGTCTAGAGTCACACCAACTTCAGCACAGCAACTCGAGGAAAGCTCCGTGTACCCCAAATCGTCTCGAGATGAGAGCTGATTCACTGGCTTAGGCTCAAGACGTATGCCAACTTTCTAGAAGCACCTCAGGAGGAGGCTTCTCTCAGCAATAGGTATGTGGGAGGGACCCCGAGATCGCTGCCTCAAGTGGAATATACAGCGAGAAGCCCTAACTTGAAAGAAGGTCGGATTTCCTTCCAGTGGCTTGAATACAGGCTCGTCTTTGATCTCACAACATGAAGGCATGTCTGAATCCCCTGTGGAGACCTTAGAGAAAGCCCTAGGTCCCTGCCTCATTTTGACGGAATGCCTCACATCCCGTTGACACCTCGAGAGGCACGCGGAGTTCATTGCTTCAAAACGTGACGATGCCTGACTCCTCTTGAATACTGATAGGAATCCCACAATCCCTGTGGCTACTGGAATGGGTTCCTGGGTGCCCTGCCTCACCTTGAGAAGCATCCCTTTTGCCCTGCCAAGCCTCGAAGAGATTCCTGAGGTGTCCCTCGTTACTAGACAGGAGTCCTGATGTCACTGAAGAAACTCTTGTTTTGAAGGGCCATCCCCGCCGTAAGTCGAGAACATACCCCAGGTCCCCGCCGCAACTCGAGAAAAACCATGAGACTTCCCCCTAGAGGCGAGATGAGGCCCCATTCCCCTGCAGTGCATGCAGAGCTATTCCGTGATCCCATTCAAACAAGTCAGGAGCTTCGACTTGCTTAATGGATCTCGAGACAGTCCCCAAGAACACTGTCACCATTCTAGACGGACCCTGAGGTCAACCCAGCAACGGAAAGCAGCTCCATGTGCCCCAAATCAACTCGAGATGAGGCCCGATTCCCCTGCATTGACTCCAGAGCCATTACCCGTTCCCCATTCAACACGACCGGTGGCTCGACTTCCTTCAGGGAATAACAGTGATGCCCAGTGTACACTGTCCCAAGTCTAGAGGAACACAAACTTCAGCACAGCAACTCGAGGAATGATCCATGTACCCCAAATCGTCTCGAGTTGAGAGCTGATTCCCTGGCTTAGGCTCAAGACGTATGCCAACTTTCCAGAAGCACCTCAGGAGGAGGCTTCTCTCAGCAATAGGTATGTGGGAGGGACCCAGAGATCGCTGCCTCAAGTGGAATATAGAGCGAGAAGCCCTAACTTGAAAGGAGGCCGGATTTCCTTGCAGTGGCTTGAATACAGGCTTGTCTTTAATCTCAAAACATGAAGGGATGTCTGAATCCCCTGAGGAGACCTTAGAGAAAGACCTAGGTCCCTGCCTCATTTGTCGGAATGCCTCACATCCCGTTGACACCTTGAGAGGCACGCAGAGTTCATTGCTTCAAAAGGTGACGATGCCTGACTCCTCTTGAATACTGATAGGAATCCGAGAATCCCTGTGGCTACTGGAAAGGGTCCTTGGGTGCCCTCTCTCACCTCGAGAAGCGTACCTTTTGCCCTGCCAAGCCTCGAAGAGATTCCTGAGGCTTCCCTCGTTACGAGACAGGAGTCCTGATGTCACTGAAGAAACTCGTGTTTTGAAGGGCCATCCCCGCCGTAAGTCGAGAACATACCCCAGGTCCCCGCCGCAACTCAAGAAAAACCATGAGACTTCCCCCTAGAGGCGAGATGAGGCCCCATTCCCCTGCAGTGCATGCAGATCTATTCCGTGATCCCATTCAAACAAGTCAGGAGCTTCGACATGCTTAATGGATCTCGAGACAGTCCCCAAGAACACTGTCACCAGTCTAGACGGACCCTGAGGTCAACCCAGCAACACAAAGCAGCTCCATGTGCCCCAAATCAACTCGAGATGAGGCCCGATTCCCCTGCATTGACTCCAGAGCCATTCCCCGTTCCCCATTCAACACGACCGGTGGCTCGACTTCCTTCAGGCAACTCCAGAGATGCCCCGAGAACACTGTCCCAAGTTTAGAGGAACACCAACTTCAGCACAGCAACTCGAGGAATGCTCCATGTACCCCAAATCGTCTCGAGATGAGAGCTGATTCCCTTGCTTAGGCTCAAGACGTACGCCAACTTTCCAGAAGCACCTCAGTAGGAGGCTTCTCTCAGCAATAGGTATGTGGGACGGACCCCGAGATCGCTGCCTCAAGTGGAATATACAGCGAGATGCCATAACTTGAAAGGAGGCCGTATTTCCTTGCAGTGGCTTGAATACAGGCTTGTCTTTGATCTCACAACATGAAGGCATGTCTGAATCCCCTGTGGAGATCTTAGAGAAAGCCCTAGATCCCTGCGTCATTTTGACGGAATGCCTCACATCCCGTTGACACCTCGAGAGGCACGCGGAGTTCATTGCTTCAAAAGGTGACGATGCCTGACTCCTCTTGAATACTTATAGGAATCCCAAAATCCCTGTGGCTACTGGAAAGGGTACTTGGGTGCCCTGCCTCACCTCGAGAAGCGTCCCTTTTGCCCTGCCAAGCCTCGAAGAGATTCCTGAGGTGTCCCTCGTTACTAGACAGGAGTCCTGACGTCACTGAAGAAACTCGTGTTTTGAAGGGCCATCCCCGCCGTAAGTCGAGACCATACCCAAGGTCCCCCCGGAACTCGAGAAAAACCATGAGACTTCCCCCTAGAGGCGAGATGAGGCCCCATTCCCCTGCAGTGCATGCACAGCTATTCCGTGATTCCATTCAAACAAGTCAGGAGCTTCGACTTGCTTAATGGATCTCGAGACAGTCCCCACGAACACTGTCACCAGTCTAGACGGACCCTGAGGTCACCCCAGCAACGCAAAGCAGCTCCATGTGCCCCAAATCAACTCGAGATGAGGCCCGATTCCCCTGCATTGACTCCAGAGCCATTCCCCGTTCCCCATTTATCACGACTGGTGGCTTGACTTCCTTCAGGCAACTCCAGAGATGCCACGAGAACACTATCCCAAGTCTAGAGGAACACCAACTTCAGCAGAGCAACTCGAGGAATGGTCCGTGTACCCCAAATCGTCTCGAGATGAGAGCTGATTCCCTGGCTTAGGCTCAAGACGTATGCCAACTTTCCAGAAGCACCTCAGGAGGAGGCTTCTCTCAGCAATAGGTATGTGGGAGGGACCCCGAGATCGCTGCCTCAAGTGGAATATACAGCGAGAAGCCCTAACTTGAAAGGAGGCCGGATTTCCTTGCAGTGTCTTGAATACAGGCTCGTCTTTGATCTCACAACATGAAGGCATGTCTGAATGCCCTGTGGAGACCTTAGAGAAAGCCCTAGGTCCCTGCCTCATTTTGACGGAATGCCTCACATCCCGTTGACACCTCGAGAGGCACGCGGAGTTCATTGCTTCAAAAGGTGACGATGCCTGACTCCTCTTGAATACTGATGGGAATCCCACAATCCCTGTGGCTACTGGAATGGGTTCTTGGGTGCCCTGCCTCACCTCGAGAAGCGTCCCTTTTGCCCTGCCAAGCCTCGAAGAGATTCCTGAGGTGTCCCTCGTTACGAGACAGGAGTCCTGACGTCACTGAAGAAACTCGTGTTTTGAAGGGCCATCCCCGCCGTAAGTCGAGAACATACCCCAGGTCCCCGCCGCAACTCGAGAAAATCCATGAGACTTCCCCCTAGAGGCGAGATGAGGCCCCATTCCCATTCAGTGCATGCAGAGCTATTCCGTGATCCCATTCAAACAAGTCAGGAGCTTCGACTTGCTTAATGGATCTCGAGCCAGTCCCCAAGAACACTGTCACCAGTCTAGACGGACCCTGAGGTCACCCCAGCAACGCAAAGCAGCTCCATGTGCCCCAAATCAAGTCGAGATGAGGCCCGATTCCCCTGCATTGACTCCAGAGCCATTCCCCGTTCCCCATTCAACACGACCGGTGGCTCGACTTCCTTCAGGCAACTCCAGAGATGCCCCGAGAACACTGTCCCAAGTCTAGAGGAACACCAACTTCAGCATAGCAACTCGAGGAATGCTCCATGTACCCCAAATCGTCTGGAGATGAGAGCTGATTCCCTGGCTTAGGCTCAAGACGTATGCCAACTTTCCAGAAGCACCTCAGGAGGAGGCTTCTCTCAGCAATAGTTATGTGGGAGGGACCCCGAGATCGCTGCCTCAAGGGGAATATACAGCGAGAAGCCCTAACTTATAAGGAGGCCGGATTTCCTTGCAGTGGCTTGAATACAGGCTCGTCTTTGATCTCACAACATGAAGGCATGTCTGAATCCCCTGTGGAGACCTTAGAGAAAGCCCTAGGTCCCTGCCTCATTTTGACGGAATGCCTCACATCCCGTTGACACCTCGAGAGGCACGCGGAGTTCATTGCTTCAAAAGGTGACGATGCCTGACTCCTCTTGAATACTGATAGGAATCCCACAATCCCTGTGGCTACTGGAATGGGTCCTTGAGTGCCCTGCCTCACCTCGAGAAGCATCCCTTTTGCCCTGCCAAGCCTCGAAGAGATTCCTGAGGTGTCCCTCGTTACTAGACAGGAGTCCTGATGTCACTGAAGAAACTCGTGTTTTGAAGGGCCATCCCCGCCGTAAGTCGAGAACATACCCCAGGTCCCCGCCGCAAATCGATAAAAACCATGAGACTTCCCCCTAGAGGCGAGATGAGGCCCTATTCCCCTGCAGTGCATGCAGAGCTATTCCGTGATCCCATTCAAACAAGTCAGGAGCTTCGACTTGCTTAATGGATCTCGAGACAGTCCCCAAGAACACTGTCACCAATCTAGACGGACCCTGAGGTCACCCCAGCAACGCAAAGCAGCTCCATGTGCCCCAAATCAACTCGAGATGAGGCCCGATTCCCCTGCATTGACTCCATAGCCATTCCCCGTTCCCCATTCAACACGACCGGTGGCTCGACTTCCTTCAGGTAATAACAGAGATGCCCCGTGAACACTGTCCCAAGTCTAGAGGAACACCAACTTCAGCACAGCAACTCGAGGAATGCTCCATGTACCCCAAATCGTCTCGAGATGAGAGCTGATTCCCTGGTTTAGGCTCAAGACGTATGCCAAATTTCCAGAAGCACCTCAGGAGGAGGCTTCTCTCAGCAATATTTATGTGGGAGGGACCCCGAGATCGCTTCCTCAAGTGGAATATACAGCGAGAAGCCCTAACTTGAAAGAAGGCCGGATTTCCTTGCAGTGTCTTGAATGCAGGCTCGTCTTTTATCTCAAAACATGAAGGGATGTCTGAATCCCCTGTGGAGACCTTAGAGAAAGACCTAGGTCCCTGCCTCATTTTGACGGAATGCCTCACATCCCGTTGACACCTTGAGAGGCACGCAGAGTTCATTGCTTCAAAAGGTGACGATGCCTGACTCCTCTTGAATACTGATAGGAATCCGAGAATCCCTGTGGCTACTGGAAAGGGTCCTTGGGTGCCCTCTCTCACCTCGAGAAGCGTACCTTTTGCCCTGCCAAGCCTCGAAGAGATTCCTGAGGCTTCCCTCGTTATGAGACAGGAGTCCTGATGTCACTGAAGAAACTCGTGTTTTGAAGGGCCATCCCCGCCGTAAGTCGAGAACATACCCCAGGTCCCCGCCGCAACTCAAGAAAAACCATGAGACTTCCCCCTAGAGGCGAGATGAGGCCCCATTCCCCTGCAGTGCATGCAGATCTATTCCGTGATCCCATTCAAACAAGTCAGGAGCTTCGACATGCTTAATGGATCTCGAGACAGTCCCCAAGAACACTGTCACCAGTCTAGACGGACCCTGAGGTCAACCCAGCAACACAAAGCAGCTCCATGTGCCCCAAATCAACTCGAGATGAGGCCCGATTCCCCTGCATTGACTCCAGAGCCATTCCCCGTTCCCCATTCAACACGACCGGTGGCTCGACTTCCTTCAGGCAACTCCAGAGATGCCCCGAGAACACTGTCCCAAGTTTAGAGGAACACCAACTTCAGCACAGCAACTCGAGGAATGCTCCATGTACCCCAAATCGTCTCGAGATGAGAGCTGATTCCCTTGCTTAGGCTCAAGACGTACGCCAACTTTCCAGAAGCACCTCAGTAGGAGGCTTCTCTCAGCAATAGGTATGTGGGACGGACCCCGAGATCGCTGCCTCAAGTGGAATATACAGCGAGATGCCCTAACTTGAAAGGAGGCCGTATTTCCTTGCAGTGGCTTGAATACAGGCTTGTCTTTGATCTCACAACATGAAGGCATGTCTGAATCCCCTGTGGAGATCTTAGAGAAAGCCCTAGATCCCTGCGTCATTTTGACGGAATGCCTCACATCCCGTTGACACCTCGAGAGGCACGCGGAGTTCATTGCTTCAAAAGGTGACGATGCCTGACTCCTCTTGAATACTTATAGGAATCCCAAAATCCCTGTGGCTACTGGAAAGGGTACTTGGGTGCCCTGCCTCACCTCGAGAAGCGTCCCTTTTGCCCTGCCAAGCCTCGAAGAGATTCCTGAGGTGTCCCTCGTTACTAGACAGGAGTCCTGACGTCACTGAAGAAACTCGTGTTTTGAAGGGCCATCCCCGCCGTAAGTCGAGACCATACCCAAGGTCCCCCCGGAACTCGAGAAAAACCATGAGACTTCCCCCTAGAGGCGAGATGAGGCCCCATTCCCCTGCAGTGCATGCACAGCTATTCCGTGATTCCATTCAAACAAGTCAGGAGCTTCGACTTGCTTAATGGATCTCGAGACAGTCCCCACGAACACTGTCACCAGTCTAGACGGACCCTGAGGTCACCCCAGCAACACAAAGCAGCTCCATGTGCCCCAAATCAACTCGAGATGAGGCCCGATTCCCCTGCATTGACTCCAGAGCCATTCCCCGTTCCCCATTCAACACGACCGGTGGCTTGACTTCCTTCAGGCAACTCCAGAGATGCCACGAGAAAACTATCCCAAGTCTAGAGGAACACCAACTTCAGCAGAGCAACTCGAGGAATGGTCCGTGTACCCCAAATCGTCTCGAGATGAGAGCTGATTCCCTGGCTTAGGCTCAAGACGTATGCCAACTTTCCAGAAGCACCTCAGGAGGAGGCTTCTCTCAGCAATAGGTATGTGGGAGGGACCCCGAGATCGCTGCCTCAAGTGGAATATACAGCGAGAAGCCCTAACTTGAAAGGAGGCCGGATTTCCTTGCAGTGTCTTGAATACAGGCTCGTCTTTGATCTCACAACATGAAGGCATGTCTGAATCCCCTGTGGAGACCTTAGAGAAAGCCCTAGGTCCCTGCCTCATTTTGACGGAATGCCTCACATCCCGTTGACACCTCGAGAGGCACGCGGAGTTCATTGCTTCAAAAGGTGACGATGCCTGACTCCTCTTGAATACTGATGGGAATCCCACAATCCCTGTGGCTACTGGAATGGGTTCTTGGGTGCCCTGCCTCACCTCGAGAAGCGTCCCTTTTGCCCTGCCAAGCCTCGAAGAGATTCCTGAGGTGTCCCTCGTTACGAGACAGGAGTCCTGACATCACTGAAGAAACTCGTGTTTTGAAGGGCCATCCCCGCCATAAGTCGAGAACATACCCCAGGTCCCCGCCGCAACTCGAGAAAATCCATGAGACTTCCCCCTAGAGGCGAGATGAGGCCCCATTCCCATTCAGTGCATGCAGAGCTATTCCGTGATCCCATTCAAACAAGTCAGGAGCTTCGACTTGCTTAATGGATCTCGAGCCAGTCCCCAAGAACACTGTCACCAGTCTAGACGGACCCTGAGGTCACCCCAGCAACGCAAAGCAGCTCCATGTGCCCCAAATCAACTCGAGATGAGGCCCGATTCCCCTGCATTGACTCCAGAGCCATTCCCCGTTCCCCATTCAACACGACCGGTGGCTCGACTTCCTTCAGGCAACTCCAGAGATGCCCCGAGAACACTGTCCCAAGTCTAGAGGAACACCAACTTCAGCATAGCAACTCGAGGAATGCTCCATGTACCCCAAATCGTCTGGAGATGAGAGCTGATTCCCTGGCTTAGGCTCAAGACGTATGCCAACTTTCCAGAAGCACCTCAGGAGGAGGCTTCTCTCAGCAATAGTTATGTGGGAGGGACCCCGAGATCGCTGCCTCAAGGGGAATATACAGCGAGAAGCCCTAACTTATAAGGAGGCCGGATTTCCTTGCAGTGGCTTGAATACAGGCTCGTCTTTGATCTCACAACATGAAGGCATGTCTGAATCCCCTGTGGAGACCTTAGAGAAAGCCCTAGGTCCCTGCCTCATTTTGACGGAATGCCTCACATCCCGTTGACACCTCGAGAGGCACGCGGAGTTCATTGCTTCAAAAGGTGACGATGCCTGACTCCTCTTGAATACTGATAGGAATCCCACAATCCCTGTGGCTACTGGAATGGGTCCTTGAGTGCCCTGCCTCACCTCGAGAAGCATCCCTTTTGCCCTGCCAAGCCTCGAAGAGATTCCTGAGGTGTCCCTCGTTACTAGACAGGAGTCCTGATGTCACTGAAGAAACTCGTGTTTTGAAGGGCCATCCCCGCCGTAAGTCGAGAACATACCCCAGGTCCCCGCCGCAAATCGATAAAAACCATGAGACTTCCCCCTAGAGGCGAGATGAGGCCCTATTCCCCTGCAGTGCATGCAGAGCTATTCCGTGATCCCATTCAAACAAGTCAGGAGCTTCGACTTGCTTAATGGATCTCGAGACAGTCCCCAAGAACACTGTCACCAGTCTAGACGGACCCTGAGGTCACCCCAGCAACGCAAAGCAGCTCCATGTGCCCCAAATCAACTCGAGATGAGGCCCGATTCCCCTGCATTGACTCCATAGCCATTCCCCGTTCCCCATTCAACACGACCGGTGGCTCGACTTCCTTCAGGTAATAACAGAGATGCCCCGTGAACACTGTCCCAAGTCTAGAGGAACACCAACTTCAGCACAGCAACTCGAGGAATGCTCCATGTACCCCAAATCGTCTCGAGATGAGAGCTGATTCCCTGGTTTAGGCTCAAGACGTATGCCAAATTTCCAGAAGCACCTCAGGAGGAGGCTTCTCTCAGCAATATTTATGTGGGAGGGACCCCGAGATCGCTTCCTCAAGTGGAATATACAGCGAGAAGCCCTAACTTGAAAGAAGGCCGGATTTCCTTGCAGTGTCTTGAATGCAGGCTCGTCTTTTATCTCAAAACATGAAGGGATGTCTGAATCCCCTGTGGAGACCTTAGAGAAAGCCCTAGGTCCCTGCCTCATTTTGACGGAATGCCTCACATCCCATTGACCCCTCGAGAGGCACGCGGAGTTCATTGCCTCAAAAGGTGACGAGGCCTGACTCCTCTTGAATACTGAAGGGAATCCCAAAATCCCTGTGGGTACTAGAATGGGTCCTTGGGTGCCCTGCCTCACCTCGAGAAGCGTCCCTTTTGCCCTGCCAAGCATCGAAGAGATTCTTGAGGTGTCCTTCGTTAATAGACAGGAGTCCTGACATCATTGAAGAAACTCGTGTTTTGAATGGCCATCTCCGCCGTAAGTCGAGAACATACCCCAGGTCCCCGCCGCAATTCGAGAAAAACCATGAGACTTACCCCTAGAGGCGAGATGAGGCCCCATTCCCATGCAGTGCATGCAGAGCTATTCCGTGACCCCATTCAAACAAGTCAGGAGCTTCGACTTGCTTAATGGATCTCGAGACAGTCCCCAAGATCACTGTAACCAGTCTAGAAGGACCCTGACGTTACCCCAGCAACGCAATGCATCTCCATGTGCCCCAAATCAACTCGAGATGAAGCCTGATTCCCCTGCATTGACTCCAGAGCCATTCCCCGTTCCCCATTCAACACGACCGGTGGCTCGACTTCCTTCAGGCAACTCCAGAGATGCCACGAGAACACTGTCCCAAGTTTAGAGGAACACCACTTCAGCACAGCAACTCGAGGAATGCTCCATGTACCCCAAATCGTCTCGAGATGAGAGCTGATTCCCTGGCTTAGGCTCAAGACGTATGCCAACTTTACAGAAGCACCTCAGGAGGAGGCTTCTCTCAGCAATAGCTATGTGGGAGGGACCCCGAGATCGCTGCCTCAAGGGGAATATACAGCGAGAAGCCCTAACTTGAAAGGAGCCCGGATTTCCTTGCAGTGGCTTGAATGCAGGCTCGTCTTTTATCTCAAAACATGAAGGGATGTCTGAATCCCCTGTGGAGACCTTAGAGAAAGCCCTAGGTCCCTGCCTCATTTTGACGGAATGCCACACATCCCATTGACACCTCGAGAGGCACGCGGAGTTCATTGCTTCAAAGGTGACGATGCCTGATTCCTCTTGAATACTGATAGGAATCCCAAAATCCCTGTGGCTACTGGAATGGGTCCTTGGGTTCCCAGCCTCACCTCGAGAAGCGTCCCTTTTGCCCTGCCAAGCCTCGAAGAGATTCCTGAGTTGTCCCTCGTTAATAGAAAGGAGTCCTGACGTCACTGAAGAAACTCGTGTTTTGAAGTGCCATTCCCGCCGTAAGTCGAGAACATACCCCAGGTCCCCGCCGCAACTCGAGAAAAACCATGAGACTTCCCCCTAGAGGCGAGATGAGGCCCCATTCCCCTGCAGTGCATGCAGAGCTATTACGTGATCCCATTCAAACAAGTCAGGAGCTTCGACTTGCTTAATGGATCTCGAGCCAGTCCCCAAGAACACTGTCACCAGTCTAGACGGACCCTGAAGTCACCCCAGCAACGCAAAGCAGCTCCATGTGCCCCAAATCAACTCGAGATGAGGCCCGATTCCCCTGCATTGACTCCAGAGCCATTCCCCGTTCCCCATTCAACACGACCGGTGGCTCGACTTCCTTCAGGCAACTCCAGACATGCCCCGAGAACACTGTCCCAAGTCTAGAGGAACACCAACTTCAGCATAGCAACTCGAGGAATGCTCCATGTACCCCAAATCGTCTGGAGATGAGAGCTGATTCCCTGGCTTGGGCTCAAGACTTATGCCAACTTTCCAGAAGCACCTCAGGAGGAGGCTTCTCTCTGCAATAGTTATGTGGGAGGGACCCCAAGATCGCTGCCTCAAGGGGAATATACAGCGAGAAGCCCTAACTTATAAGGAGGCCGGATTTCCTTGCAGTGGCTTGAATACAGGCTCGTCTTTGATCTCACAACATGAAGGCATGTCTGAATCCCCTGTGGAGACCTTAGAGAAAGCCCTAGGTCCCTGCCTCATTTTGACGGAATGCCTCACATCCCGTTGACACCTCGAGAGGCACGCGGAGTTCATTGCTTCAAAAGGTGACGATGCCTGATTCCTCTTGAATACTGATAGGAATCCCACAATCCCTGTGGCTACTGGAATGGGTCTTTGGGTGCCCTGCCTCACCTCGAGAAGCATCCCTTTTGCCCTGCCAAGCCTCGAAGAGATTCCTGAGGTGTCCCTCGTTACTAGACAGGAGTCCTGATGTCACTGAAGAAACTCGTGTTTTGAAGGGCCATCCCTGCCGTAAGTCGAGAACATAGCCCAGGTCCCCGCCGCAACTCGAGAAAAACCATAAGACTTCCCCCTAGAGGCGAGATGAGGCCCCATTCCCCTGCAGTGCATGCAGAGCTATTCCGTGATCCCATTCAAACAAGTCAGGAGCTTCGACTTGCTTAATGGATCTCGAGCCAGTCCCCAAGAACACTGTCACCAGTCTAGACGGACCCTGACGTCACCCCAGCAATGCAAAGCAGCTCCATGTGCCCCAAATCAACTCGAGATGAGGCCCGATTCCCCTGCATTGACTCCATAGCCATTCCCCGTTCCCCATTCAACACGACCGGTGGCTCGACTTCCTTCAGGCAATAACAGAGATGCCCCGTGAACACTGTCCCAAGTCTAGAGGAACACCAACTTCAGCAGAGCAACTCGAGGAATGCTCCATGTACCCCAAATCGTCTCGAGATGAGAGCTGATTCCCTGGTTTAGGCTCAAGACGTATGCCAAATTTCCAGAAGCACCTCAGGAGGAGGCTTCTCTCAGCAATAGGTATGTGGGAGGGACCCAGAGATCGCTTCCTCAAGTGGAATATACAGCGAGAAGCCCTAACTTGAAAGAAGGCCGGATTTCCTTGCAGTGTCTTGAATGCAGGCTCGTCTTTTATCTCAAAACATGAAGGGATGTCTGAATCCCCTGTGGAGACCTTAGAGAAAGCCCTAGGTCTCTGCCTCATTTTGACGGAATGCCTCACATCCCATTGACACCTCGAGAGGCACGCGGAGTTCATTGCTTCAAAAGGTGACGAGGCCTGACTCCTCTTGAATACTGATAGGAATCCCAAAATCCCTGTGGGTACTGGAATGGGTCCTTGGGTGCCCTGCCTCACCTCGAGAAGCGTCCCTTTTGCCCTGCCAAGCCTCGAAGAGATTCCTGAGGTGTCCCTCGTTAATAGACAGGAGTCCTGACATCATTGAAGAAACTCGTGTTTTGAAGGGCCATCCCAGCCGTAAGTCGAGAACATACCCCAGGTCCCCGCCGCAACTCGAGAAAAACCATGAGACTTCCCCCTAGAGGCGAGATGAGATCCCATTCCCCTGCAGTGCATGCAGAGCTATTCCGTGATCCCATTCAAACAAGTCAGGAGCTTCGACTTGCTTAATGGATCTCGAGACAGTCCCCAAGAACACTGTCACCATTCTAGACGGACCCTGAGGTCAACCCAGCAACGGAAAGCAGCTCCATGTGCCCCAAATCAACTCGAGATGAGGCCCGATTCCCCTGCATTGACTCCAGAGCCATTACCCGTTCCCCATTCAACACGACCGGTGGCTCGACTTCCTTCAGGCAATAACAGTGATGCCCAGTGTACACTGTCCCAAGTCTAGAGGAACACAAACTTCAGCACAGCAACTCGAGGAATGATCCATGTACCCCAAATCGTCTCGAGTTGAGAGCTGATTCCCTGGCTTAGGCTCAAGACGTATGCCAACTTTCCAGAAGCACCTCAGGAGGAGGCTTCTCTCAGCAATAGGTATGTGGGAGGGACCCAGAGATCGCTGCCTCAAGTGGAATATAGAGCGAGAAGCCCTAACTTGAAAGGAGGCCGGATTTCCTTGCAGTGGCTTGAATACAGGCTCGTCTTTAATCTCAAAACATGAAGGGATGTCTGAATCCCCTGAGGAGACCTTAGAGAAAGCCCTAGGTCCCTGCCTCATTTTGTCGGAATGCCTCACATCCCGTTGACACCTTGAGAGGCACGCAGAGTTCATTGCTTCAAAAGGTGACGATGCCTGACTCCTCTTGAATACTGTTAGGAATCCGAGAATCCCTGTGGCTACTGGAAAGGGTCCTTGGGTGCCCTCTCTCACCTCGAGAAGCGTACCTTTTGCCCTGCCAAGCCTCGAAGAGATTCCTGAGGCTTCCCTCGTTACGAGACAGGAGTCCTGATGTCACTGAAGAAACTCGTGTTTTGAAGGGCCATCCCCGCCGTAAGTCGAGAACATACCCCAGGTCCCCGCCGCAACTCAAGAAAAACCATGAGACTTCCCCCTAGAGGCGAGATGAGGCCCCATTCCCCTGCAGTGCATGCAGATCTATTCCGTGATCCCATTCAAACAAGTCAGGAGCTTCGACATGCTTAATGGATCTCGAGACAGTCCCCAAGAACACTGTCACCAGTCTAGACGGACCCTGAGGTCAACCCAGCAACACAAAGCAGCTCCATGTGCCCCAAATCAACTCGAGATGAGGCCCGATTCCCCTGCATTGACTCCAGAGCCATTCCCCGTTCCCCATTCAACACGACCGGTGGCTCGACTTCCTTCAGGCAACTCCAGAGATGCCCCGAGAACACTGTCCCAAGTTTAGAGGAACACCAACTTCAGCACAGCAACTCGAGGAATGCTCCATGTACCCCAAATCGTCTCGAGATGAGAGCTGATTCCCTTGCTTAGGCTCAAGACGTACGCCAACTTTCCAGAAGCACCTCAGTAGGAGGCTTCTCTCAGCAATAGGTATGTGGGACGGACCCCGAGATCGCTGCCTCAAGTGGAATATACAGCGAGATGCCCTAACTTGAAAGGAGGCCGTATTTCCTTGCAGTGGCTTGAATACAGGCTTGTCTTTGATCTCACAACATGAAGGCATGTCTGAATCCCCTGTGGAGATCTTAGAGAAAGCCCTAGATCCCTGCGTCATTTTGACGGAATGCCTCACATCCCGTTGACACCTCGAGAGGCACGCCGAGTTCATTGCTTCAAAAGGTGACGATGCCTGACTCCTCTTGAATACTTATAGGAATCCCAAAATCCCTGTGGCTACTGGAAAGGGTACTTGGGTGCCCTGCCTCACCTCGAGAAGCGTCCCTTTTGCCCTGCCAAGCCTCGAAGAGATTCCTGAGGTGTCCCTCGTTACTAGACAGGAGTCCTGACGTCACTGAAGAAACTCGTGTTTTGAAGGGCCATCCCCGCCGTAAGTCGAGACCATACCCAAGGTCCCCCCGGAACTCGAGAAAAACCATGAGACTTCCCCCTAGAGGCGAGATGAGGCCCCATTCCCCTGCAGTGCATCCACAGCTATTCCGTGATTCCATTCAAACAAGTCAGGAGCTTCGACTTGCTTAATGGATCTCGAGACAGTCCCCACGAACACTATCACCAGTCTAGACGGACCCTGAGGTCACCCCAGCAACGCAAAGCAGCTCCATGTGCCCCAAATCAACTCGAGATGAGGCCCGATTCCCCTGCATTGACTCCAGAGCCATTTCCCGTTCCCCATTTATCACGACTGGTGGCTTGACTTCCTTCAGGCAACTCCAGAGATGCCACGAGAACACTATCCCAAGTCTAGAGGAACACCAACTTCAGCAGAGCAACTCGAGGAATGGTCCGTGTACCCCAAATCGTCACGAGATGAGAGCTGATTCCCTGGCTTAGGCTCAAGACGTATGCCAACTTTCCAGAAGCACCTCAGGAGGAGGCTTCTCTCAGCAATAGGTATGTGGGAGGGACCCCGAGATCGCTGCCTCAAGTGGAATATACAGCGAGAAGCCCTAACTTGAAAGGAGGCCGGATTTCCTTGCAGTGTCTTGAATACAGGCTCGTCTTTGATCTCACAACATGAAGGCATGTCTGAATCCCCTGTGGAGACCTTAGAGAAAGCCCTAGGTCCCTGCCTCATTTTGACGGAATGCCTCACATCCCGTTGACACCTCGAGAGGCACGCGGAGTTCATTGCTTCAAAAGGTGACGATGCCTGACTCCTCTTGAATACTGATGGGAATCCCACAATCCCTGTGGCTACTGGAATGGGTTCTTGGGTGCCCTGCCTCACCTCGAGAAGCGTCCCTTTTGCCCTGCCAAGCCTCGAAGAGATTCCTGAGGTGTCCCTCGTTACGAGACAGGAGTCCTGACGTCACTGAAGAAACTCGTGTTTTGAAGGGCCATCCCCGCCGTAAGTCGAGAACATACCCCAGGTCCCCGCCGCAACTCGAGAAAATCCATGAGACTTCCCCCTAGAGGCGAGATGAGGCCCCATTCCCATTCAGTGCATGCAGAGCTATTCCGTGATCCCATTCAAACAAGTCAGGAGCTTCGACTTGCTTAATGGATCTCGAGCCAGTCCCCAAGAACACTGTCACCAGTCTAGACGGACCCTGAGGTCACCCCAGCAACGCAAAGCAGCTCCATGTGCCCCAAATCAACTCGAGATGAGGCCCGATTCCCCTGCATTGACTCCAGAGCCATTCCCCGTTCCCCATTCAACACGACCGGTGGCTCGACTTCCTTCAGGCAACTCCAGAGATGCCCCGAGAACACTGTCCCAAGTCTAGAGGAACACCAACTTCAGCATAGCAACTCGAGGAATGCTCCATGTACCCCAAATCGTCTGGAGATGAGAGCTGATTCCCTGGCTTAGGCTCAAGACGTATGCCAACTTTCCAGAAGCACCTCAGGAGGAGGCTTCTCTCAGCAATAGTTATGTGGGAGGGACCCCGAGATCGCTGCCTCAAGGGGAATATACAGCGAGAAGCCCTAACTTATAAGGAGGCCGGATTTCCTTGCAGTGGCTTGAATACAGGCTCGTCTTTGATCTCACAACATGAAGGCATGTCTGAATCCCCTGTGGAGACCTTAGAGAAAGCCCTAGGTCCCTGCCTCATTTTGACGGAATGCCTCACATCCCGTTGACACCTCGAGAGGCACGCGGAGTTCATTGCTTCAAAAGGTGACGATGCCTGACTCCTCTTGAATACTGATAGGAATCCCACAATCCCTGTGGCTACTGGAATGGGTCCTTGAGTGCCCTGCCTCACCTCGAGAAGCATCCCTTTTGCCCTGCCAAGCCTCAAAGAGATTCCTGAGGTGTCCCTCGTTACTAGACAGGAGTCCTGATGTCACTGAAGAAACTCGTGTTTTGAAGGGCCATCCCCGCCGTAAGTCGAGAACATACCCCAGGTCCCCGCCGCAAATCGAGAAAAACCATGAGACTTCCCCCTAGAGGCGAGATGAGGCCCTATTCCCCTGCAGTGCATGCAGAGCTATTCCGTGATCCCATTCAAACAAGTCAGGAGCTTCGACTTGCTTAATGGATCTCGAGACAGTCCCCAAGAACACTGTCACCAGTCTAGACGGACCCTGAGGTCACCCCAGCAACGCAAAGCAGCTCCATGTGCCCCAAATCAAATCGAGATGAGGCCCGATTCCCCTGCATTGACTCCAGAGCCATTCCCCGTTCCCCATTCAACACGACCGGTGGCTCGACTTCCTTCCGGTAATAACAGAGATGCCCCGTGAACACTGTCCCAAGTCTAGAGGAACACCAACTTCAGCACAGCAACTCGAGGAATGCTCCATGTACCCCAAATCGTCTCGAGATGAGAGCTGATTCCCTGGTTTAGGCTCAAGACGTATGCCAAATTTCCAGAAGCACCTCAGGAGGAGGCTTCTCTCAGCAATATTTATGTGGGAGGGACCCCGAGATCGCTTCCTCAAGTGGAATATACAGCGAGAAGCCCTAACTTGAAAGAAGGCCGGATTTCCTTGCAGTGTCTTGAATGCAGGCTCGTCTTTTATCTCAAAACATGAAGGGATGTCTGAATCCCCTGTGGAGACCTTAGAGAAAGCCCTAGGTCCCTGCCTCATTTTGACGGAATGCCTCACATCCCATTGACCCCTCGAGAGGCACGCGGAGTTCATTGCCTCAAAAGGTGACGAGGCCTGACTCCTCTTGAATACTGAAGGGAATCCCAAAATCCCTGTGGGTACTAGAATGGGTCCTTGGGTGCCCTGCCTCACCTCGAGAAGCGTCCCTTTTGCCCTGCCAAGCATCGAAGAGATTCCTGAGGTGTCCTTCGTTAATAGACAGGAGTCCTGACATCATTGAAGAAACTCGTGTTTTGAATGGCCATCTCCGCCGTAAGTCGAGAACATACCCCAGGTCCCCGCCGCAATTCGAGAAAAACCATGAGACTTACCCCTAGAGGCGAGATGAGGCCCCATTCCCATGCAGTGCATGCAGAGCTATTCCGTGACCCCATTCAAACAAGTCAGGAGCTTCGACTTGCTTAATGGATCTCGAGACAGTCCCCAAGATCACTGTAACCAGTCTAGAAGGACCCTGACGTTACCCCAGCAACGCAATGCATCTCCATGTGCCCCAAATCAACTCGAGATGAAGCCTGATTCCCCTGCATTGACTCCAGAGCCATTCCCCGTTCCCCATTCAACACGACCGGTGGCTCGACTTCCTTCAGGCAACTCCAGAGATGCCACGAGAACACTGTCCCAAGTTTAGAGGAACACCACTTCAGCACAGCAACTCGAGGAATGCTCCATGTACCCCAAATCGTCTCGAGATGAGAGCTGATTCCCTGGCTTAGGCTCAAGACGTATGCCAACTTTACAGAAGCACCTCAGGAGGAGGCTTCTCTCAGCAATAGCTATGTGGGAGGGACCCCGAGATCGCTGCCTCAAGGGGAATATACAGCGAGAAGCCCTAACTTGAAAGGAGCCCGGATTTCCTTGCAGTGGCTTGAATGCAGGCTCGTCTTTTATCTCAAAACATGAAGGGATGTCTGAATCCCCTGTGGAGACCTTAGAGAAAGCCCTAGGTCCCTGCCTCATTTTGACGGAATGCCACACATCCCATTGACACCTCGAGAGGCACGCGGAGTTCATTGCTTCAAAGGTGACGATGCCTGATTCCTCTTGAATACTGATAGGAATCCCAAAATCCCTGTGGCTACTGGAATGGGTCCTTGGGTTCCCAGCCTCACCTCGAGAAGCGTCCCTTTTGCCCTGCCAAGCCTCGAAGAGATTCCTGAGTTGTCCCTCGTTAATAGAAAGGAGTCCTGACGTCACTGAAGAAACTCGTGTTTTGAAGTGCCATTCCCGCCGTAAGTCGAGAACATACCCCAGGTCCCCGCCGCAACTCGAGAAAAACCATGAGACTTCCCCCTAGAGGCGAGATGAGGCCCCATTCCCCTGCAGTGCATGCAGAGCTATTACGTGATCCCATTCAAACAAGTCAGGAGCTTCGACTTGCTTAATGGATCTCGAGCCAGTCCCCAAGAACACTGTCACCAGTCTAGACGGACCCTGAGGTCACCCCAGCAACGCAAAGCAGCTCCATGTGCCCCAAATCAACTCGAGATGAGGCCCGATTCCCCTGCATTGACTCCAGAGCCATTCCCCGTTCCCCATTCAACACGACCGGTGGCTCGACTTCCTTCAGGCAACTCCAGACATGCCCCGAGAACACTGTCCCAAGTCTAGAGGAACACCAACTTCAGCATAGCAACTCGAGGAATGCTCCATGTACCCCAAATCGTCTGGAGATGAGAGCTGATTCCCTGGCTTGGGCTCAAGACTTATGCCAACTTTCCAGAAGCACCTCAGGAGGAGGCTTCTCTCAGCAATAGTTATGTGGGAGGGACCCCAAGATCGCTGCCTCAAGAGGAATATACAGCGAGAAGCCCTAACTTATAAGGAGGCCGGATTTCCTTGCAGTGGCTTGAATACAGGCTCGTCTTTGATCTCACAACATGAAGGCATGTCTGAATCCCCTGTGGAGACCTTAGAGAAAGCCCTAGGTCCCTGCCTCATTTTGACGGAATGCCTCACATCCCGTTGACACCTCGAGAGGCACGCGGAGTTCATTGCTTCAAAAGGTGACGATGCCTGATTCCTCTTGAATACTGATAGGAATCCCACAATCCCTGTGGCTACTGGAATGGGTCTTTGGGTGCCCTGCCTCACCTCGAGAAGCATCCCTTTTGCCCTGCCAAGCCTCGAAGAGATTCCTGAGGTGTCCCTCGTTACTAGACAGGAGTCCTGATGTCACTGAAGAAACTCGTGTTTTGAAGGGCCATCCCTGCCGTAAGTCGAGAACATAGCCCAGGTCCCCGCCGCAACTCGAGAAAAACCATAAGACTTCCCCCTAGAGGCGAGATGAGGCCCCATTCCCCTGCAGTGCATGCAGAGCTATTCCGTGATCCCATTCAAACAAGTCAGGAGCTTCGACTTGCTTAATGGATCTCGAGCCAGTCCCCAAGAACACTGTCACCAGTCTAGACGGACCCTGACGTCACCCCAGCAACGCAAAGCAGCTCCATGTGCCCCAAATCAACTCGAGATGAGGCCCGATTCCCCTGCATTGACTCCATAGCCATTCCCCGTTCCCCATTCAACACGACCGGTGGCTCGACTTCCTTCAGGCAATAACAGAGATGCCCCGTGAACACTGTCCCAAGTCTAGAGGAACACCAACTTCAGCAGAGCAACTCGAGGAATGCTCCATGTACCCCAAATCGTCTCGAGATGAGAGCTGATTCCCTGGTTTAGGCTCAAGACGTATGCCAAATTTCCAGAAGCACCTCAGGAGGAGGCTTCTCTCAGCAATAGGTATGTGGGAGGGACCCAGAGATCGCTTCCTCAAGTGGAATATACAGCGAGAAGCCCTAACTTGAAAGAAGGCCGGATTTCCTTGCAGTGTCTTGAATGCAGGCTCGTCTTTTATCTCAAAACATGAAGGGATGTCTGAATCCCCTGTGGAGACCTTAGAGAAAGCCCTAGGTCCCTGCCTCATTTTGACGGAATGCCTCACATCCCATTGACCCCTCGAGAGGCACGCGGAGTTCATTGCCTCAAAAGGTGACGAGGCCTGACTCCTCTTGAATACTGAAGGGAATCCCAAAATCCCTGTGGGTACTAGAATGGGTCCTTGGGTGCCCTGCCTCACCTCGAGAAGCGTCCCTTTTGCCCTGCCAAGCATCGAAGAGATTCCTGAGGTGTCCTTCGTTAATAGACAGGAGTCCTGACATCATTGAAGAAACTCGTGTTTTGAATGGCCATCTCCGCCGTAAGTCGAGAACATACCCCAGGTCCCCGCCGCAATTCGAGAAAAACCATGAGACTTACCCCTAGAGGCGAGATGAGATCCCATTCCCATGCAGTGCATGCAGAGCTATTCCGTGACCCCATTCAAACAAGTCAGGAGCTTCGACTTGCTTAATGGATCTCGAGACAGTCCCCAAGATCACTGTAACCAGTCTAGAAGGACCCTGACGTTACCCCAGCAACGCAATGCATCTCCATGTGCCCCAAATCAACTCGAGATGAAGCCTGATTTCGCTGCATTGACTCCAGAGCCATTCCCTGTTCCCCATTCAACACGACCGGTGGATCGACTTCCTTCAGGCAACTCCAGAGATGCCACGAGAACACTGTCCCAAGTTTAGAGGAACACCACTTCAGCACAGCAACTCGAGGAATGCTCCATGTACCCCAAATCGTCTCGAGATGAGAGCTGATTCCCTGGCTTAGGCTCAAGACGTATGCCAACTTTACAGAAGCACCTCAGGAGGAGGCTTCTCTCAGCAATAGCTATGTGGGAGGGACCCCGAGATCGCTGCCTCAAGGGGAATATACAGCGAGAAGCCCTAACTTGAAAGGAGCCCGGATTTCCTTGCAGTGGCTTGAATGCAGGCTCGTCTTTTATCTCAAAACATGAAGGGATGTCTGAATCCCCTGTGGAGACCTTAGAGAAAGCCCTAGGTCCCTGCCTCATTTTGACGGAATGCCACACATCCCATTGACACCTCGAGAGGCACGCGGAGTTCATTGCTTCAAAGGTGACGATGCCTGATTCCTCTTGAATACTGATAGGAATCCCAAAATCCCTGTGGCTACTGGAATGGGTCCTTGGGTTCCCAGCCTCACCTCGAGAAGCGTCCCTTTTGCCCTGCCAAGCCTCGAAGAGATTCCTGAGTTGTCCCTCGTTAATAGAAAGGAGTCCTGACGTCACTGAAGAAACTCGTGTTTTGAAGTGCCATTCCCGCCGTAAGTCGAGAACATACCCCAGGTCCCCGCCGCAACTCGAGAAAAACCATGAGACTTCCCCCTAGAGGCGAGATGAGGCCCCATTCCCCTGCAGTGCATGCAGAGCTATTACGTGATCCCATTCAAACAAGTCAGGAGCTTCGACTTGCTTAATGGATCTCGAGCCAGTCCCCAAGAACACTGTCACCAGTCTAGACGGACCCTGAGGTCACCCCAGCAACGCAAAGCAGCTCCATGTGCCCCAAATCAACTCGAGATGAGGCCCGATTCCCCTGCATTGACTCCAGAGCCATTCCCCGTTCCCCATTCAACACGACCGGTGGCTCGACTTCCTTCAGGCAACTCCAGACATGCCCCGAGAACACTGTCCCAAGTCTAGAGGAACACGAACTTCAGCATAGCAACTCGAGGAATGCTCCATGTACCCCAAATCGTCTGGAGATGAGAGCTGATTCCCTGGATTGGGCTCAAGACTTATGCCAACTTTCCAGAAGCACCTCAGGAGGAGGCTTCTCTCAGCAATAGTTATGTGGGAGGGACCCCAAGATCGCTGCCTCAAGAGGAATATACAGCGAGAAGCCCTAACTTATAAGGAGGCCGGATTTCCTTGCAGTGGCTTGAATACAGGCTCGTCTTTGATCTCACAACATGAAGGCATGTCTGAATCCCCTGTGGAGACCTTAGAGAAAGCCCTAGGTCCCTGCCTCATTTTGACGGAATGCCTCACATCCCGTTGACACCTCGAGAGGCACGCGGAGTTCATTGCTTCAAAAGGTGACGATGCCTGATTCCTCTTGAATACTGATAGGAATCCCACAATCCCTGTGGCTACTGGAATGGGTCTTTGGGTGCCCTGCCTCACCTCGAGAAGCATCCCTTTTGCCCTGCCAAGCCTCGAAGAGATTCCTGAGGTGTCCCTCGTTACTAGACAGGAGTCCTGATGTCACTGAAGAAACTCGTGTTTTGAAGGGCCATCCCTGCCGTAAGTCGAGAACATAGCCCAGGTCCCCGCCGCAACTCGAGAAAAACCATAAGACTTCCCCCTAGAGGCGAGATGAGGCCCCATTCCCCTGCAGTGCATGCAGAGCTATTCCGTGATCCCATTCAAACAAGTCAGGAGCTTCGACTTGCTTAATGGATCTCGAGCCAGTCCCCAAGAACACTGTCACCAGTCTAGACGGACCCTGACGTCACCCCAGCAACGCAAAGCAGCTCCATGTGCCCCAAATCAACTCGAGATGAGGCCCGATTCCCCTGCATTGACTCCATAGCCATTCCCCGTTCCCCATTCAACACGACCGGTGGCTCGACTTCCTTCAGGCAATAACAGAGATGCCCCGTGAACACTGTCCCAAGTCTAGAGGAACACCAACTTCAGCAGAGCAACTCGAGGAATGCTCCATGTACCCCAAATCGTCTCGAGATGAGAGCTGATTCCCTGGTTTAGGCTCAAGACGTATGCCAAATTTCCAGAAGCACCTCAGGAGGAGGCTTCTCTCAGCAATAGGTATGTGGGAGGGACCCAGAGATCGCTTCCTCAAGTGGAATATACAGCGAGAAGCCCTAACTTGAAAGAAGGCCGGATTTCCTTGCAGTGTCTTGAATGCAGGCTCGTCTTTTATCTCAAAACATGAAGGGATGTCTGAATCCCCTGTGGAGACCTTAGAGAAAGCCCTAGGTCTCTGCCTCATTTTGACGGAATGCCTCACATCCCATTGACACCTCGAGAGGCACGCGGAGTTCATTGCTTCAAAAGGTGACGAGGCCTGACTCCTCTTGAATACTGATAGGAATCCCAAAATCCCTGTGGGTACTGGAATGGGTCCTTGGGTGCCCTGCCTCACCTCGAGAAGCGTCCCTTTTGCCCTGCCAAGCCTCGAAGAGATTCCTGAGGTGTCCTTCGTTAATAGACAGTAGTCCTGACATCATTGAAGAAACTCGTGTTTTGAAGGGCCATCCCAGCCGTAAGTCGAGAACATACCCCAGGTCCCCGCCGCAATTCGAGAAAAACCATGAGACTTCCCCCTAGACGCGAGATGAGGCCCCATTCCCATGCAGTGCATGCAGAGCTATTCCGTGACCCCATTCAAACAAGTCAGGAGATTCGACTTGCTTAATGGATCTCGAGACAGTCCCCAAGAACACTGTAACCAGTCTAGAAGGACCCTGACGTTACCCCAGCAACGCAATGCAAATCCATGTGCCCCAAATCAACTCGAGATGAAGCCTGATTCCCCTGCATTGACTCCAGAGCCATTCCCCGTTCCCCATTCAACACGACCGGTGGCTCGACTTCCTTCAGGCAACTCCAGAGATGCCCCGAGAACACTGTCCCAAGTTTAGAGGAACACCACTTCAGCACAGCAACTCGAGGAATGCTCCATGTACCCCAAATCGTCTCGAGATGAGAGCTGATTCCCTGGCTTAGGCTCAAGACGTATGCCAACTTTCCAGAAGCACCTCAGGAGGAGGCTTCTCTCAGCAATAGCTATGTGGGAGGGACCCCGAGATCGCTGCCTCAAGGGGAATATACAGCGAGAAGCCCTAACTTGAAAGGAGGCCGGATTTCTTTGCAGTGGCTTGAATGCACGCTCGTCTTTTATCTCAAAACATGAAGGGATGTCTGAATCCCCTGTGGAGACCTTAGAGAAAGCCCTAGGTCCCTGCCTCATTTTGACGGAATGCCTCACATCCCATTGACACCTCGAGAGCCACGCGGAGTTCATTACTTCAAAGGTGACGATTCCTGATTCCTCTTGAATACTGATAGGAATCCCAAAATCCCTGTGGCTACTGGAATGGGTCCTTGGGTTCCCTGCCTCACCTCGAGAAGCGTCCCTTTTGCCCTGCCAAGCCTCGAAGAGATTCCTGAGTTGTCCCTCGTTAATAGAAAGGAGTCCTGACGTCACTGAAGAAACTCGTGTTTTGAAGGGCCATTCCCGCCGTAAGTCGAGAACATACCCCAGGTCCCCACCGCAACTCGAGAAAAACCATGAGACTTCCCCCTAGAGGCGAGATGAGGCCCCATTCCCCTGCAGTGCATGCAGAGCTATTCCGTGATCCCATTCAAACAAGTCAGGAGCTTCGACTTGCTTAATGGATCTCGAGCCAGTCCCCAAGAACACTGTCACCAGTCTAGACGGACCCTGAGGTCACCCCAGCAACGCAAAGCAGCTCCATGTGCCCCAAATCAACTCGAGATGAGGCCCGATTCCCCTGCATTGACTCCAGAGCCATTCCCCGTTCCCCATTCAACACGACCGGTGGCTCGACTTCCTTCAGGCAACTCCAGACATGCCCCGAGAACACTGTCCCAAGTCTAGAGGAACACCAACTTCAGCATAGCAACTCGAGGAATGCTCCGTGTACCCCAAATCGTCTCGAGATGAGAGCTGATTCCCTGGCTTGGGCTCAAGACGTATGCCAACTTTCCAGAAGCACCTCAGGAGGAGGCTTATCTCAGCAGTAGGTATGTGGGAGGGACCCCGAGATCGCTGCCTCAAGGGGAATATACAGCGAGAAGCCCTAACTTATAAGGAGGCCGGATTTCCTTGCAGTGGCTTGAATACAGGCTCGTCTTTGATCTCACAACATGAAGGCATGTCTGAATCCCCTGTGGAGACCTTAGAGAAAGCCCTAGGTCCCTGCCTCGTTTTGACGGAATGCCTCACATCCCGTTGACACCTCGAGAGGCACGCGGAGTTCATTGCTTCAAAAGATGACGATGCCTGACTCCTCTTGAATACTGATAGGAATCCCACAATCCCTGTGGCTACTGGAATGGGTCCTTGGGTGCCCTGCCTCACCTCGAGAAGCATCCCTTTTGCCCTGCCAAGCCTCGAAGAGATTCCTGAGGTGTCCCTCGTTACTAGATAGGAGTCCTGATGTCACTGAAGAAACTCGTGTTTTGAAGGGCCATCCCCGCCGTAAGTCGAGAACATACATCAGGTCCCCGCCGCAACTCGAGAAAAACCATGAGACTTCCCCCTAGAGGCGAGATGAGGCCCCATTCCCCTGCAGTGCATGCAGAGCTATTCCGTGACCCCATTCAAACAAGTCAGGAGATTCGACTTGCTTAATGGATCTCGAGACAGTCCCCAAGAACACTGTAACCAGTCTAGAAGGACACTGACATTACCCCAGCAACACAATGCAACTCCATGTGCCCCAAATCAACTCGAGATGAAGCCTGATTCCCCTGCATTGACTCCAGAGCCATTCCCCGTTCCCCATTCAACACGACTGGTGGCTGGACTTCCTTCAGGCAACTCCAGAGATGCCCCGAGAACACTGTCCCAAGTTTAGAGGAACACCAACTTCAGCACAGCAACTCGAGGAATGCTCCATGTACCCCAAATCGTCTCGAGATGAGAGCTGATTCCCTGGCTTAGGCTCAAGACGTATGCCAACTTTCCAGAAGCACCTCAGGAGGAGGCTTCTCTCAGCAATAGGTATGTGGGAGGGACCCCGAGATCGCTGCCTCAAGTGGAATATACAGCGAGAAGCCCTAACTTGAAAGGAGGCCGGATTTCCTTGCAGTGGCTTGAATACAGGCTCGTCTTTGATCTCACAACATGAAGGCATGTCTGAATCCCCTGTGGAGACCTTAGAGAAAGCCCTAGGTCCCTGCCTCATTTTGACGGAATGCCTCACATCCCGTTGACACCTCGAGAGGCACGCGGAGTTCATTGCTTCAAAAGGTGACGATGCCTGACTCCGCTTGAATACTGATGGGAATCCCACAATCCCTGTGGCTACTGGAATGGGTTCTTGGGTGCCCTGCCTCACCTCGAGAAGCGTCCCTTTTGCCCTGCCAAGCCTCGAAGAGATTCCTGAGGTGTCCCTCGTTACTAGACAGGAGTCCTGACGTCACTGAAGAAACTCGTGTTTTGAAGGGCCATCCCCGCCGTAAGTCGAGAACGTACCCCAGGTCCCCGCCGCAACTCGAGAAAATCCATGAGACTTCCCCCTAGAGGCGAGATGAGGCCCTATTCCCCTGCAGTGCATGCAGAGCTATTCCGTGATCCCATTCAAACAAGTCAGGAACTTCGACTTGCTTAATGGATCTCGAGACAGTCCCCAAGAACACTGTCACCAGTCTAGACGGACCCTGAGGTCACCCCAGCAACGCAAAGCAGCTCCATGTGCCCAAAATCAACTCGAGATGAGGCCCGATTCCCCTGCATTGACTCCATAGCCATTCCCCGTTCCCCATTCAACACGACCGGTGGCTCGACTTCCTTCAGGTAATAACAGAGATGCCCCGTGAACACTGTCCCAAGTCTAGAGGAACACCAACTTCAGCACAGCAACTCGAGGAATGCTCCATGTACCCCAAATCGTCTCGAGATGAGAGCTGATTCCCTGGTTTAGGCTCAAGACGTATGCCAAATTTCCAGAAGCACCTCAGGAGGAGGCTTCTCTCAGCAATATTTATGTGGGAGGGACCCCGAGATCGCTTCCTCAAGTGGAATATACAGCGAGAAGCCCTAACTTGAAAGAAGGCCGGATTTCCTTGCAGTGTCTTGAATGCAGGCTCGTCTTTTATCTCAAAACATGAAGGGAGGTCTGAAGCCCCTGTGGAGACCTTAGAGAAAGCCCTAGGTCCCTGCCTCATTTTGACGGAATGCCTCACAACCCATTGACCCCTCGAGAGGCACGCGGAGTTCATTGCTTCAAAAGGTGACGAGGCCTGACTCCTCTTGAATACTGAAGGGAATCCCAAAATCCCTGTGGGTACTAGAATGGGTCCTTGGGTGCCCTGCCTCACCTCGAGAAGCGTCCCTTTTGCCCTGCCAAGCCTCGAAGAGATTCCTGAGGTGTCCTTCGTTAATAGACAGTAGTCCTGACATCATTGAAGAAACTCGTGTTTTGAAGGGCCATCCCCGCCGTAAGTCGAGAACATACCCCAGGTCCCTGCCGCAATTCGAGAAAAACCATGAGACTTCCCCCTAGAGGCGAGATGAGGCCCCATTCCCATGCAGTGCATGCAGAGCTATTCCGTGACCCCATTCAAACAAGTCAGGAGCTTCGACTTGCTTAATGGATCTCGAGACTGTCCCCAAGATCACTGTAACCAGTCTAGAAGGACCCTGACGTTACCCAAGCAACGCAATGCATCTCCATGTGCCCCAAATCAACTCGAGATGAGGCCCGATTCCCCTGCATTGGCTCCAGAGCCATTCCCCGTTCCCCATTCAACACGACCGGTGGCTCGACTTCCTTCAGGCAACTCCAGAGATGCCCCGAGAACACTGTCCCAAGTTTAGAGGAACACCACTTCAGCACAGCAACTCGAGGAATGTTCCATGTACCCCAAATCGTCTCGAGATGAGAGCCGATTCCCTGGCTTAGGCTCAAGACGTATGCCAACTTTCCAGAAGCACCTCAGGAGGAGGCTTCTCTCAGCAATAGCTATGTGGGAGGGACCCCGAGATCGCTGCCTGAAGGGGAATATACAGCGAGAAGCCCTAACTTGAAAGGAGCCCGGATTTCCTTGCAGTGGCTTGAATGCAGGCTCGTCTTTTATCTCAAAACATGAAGGGATGTCTGAATCCCCTGTGGAGACCTTAGAGAAAGCCCTAGGTCCCTGCCTCATTTTGACGGAATGCCACACATCCCATTGACACCTCGAGAGGCACGCGGAGTTCATTGCTTCAAAGGTGACGATGCCTGATTCCTCTTGAATACTGATAGGAATCCCAAAATCCCTGTGGCTACTGGAATGGGTCCTTGGGTTCCCTGCCTCACCTCGAGAAGCGTCCCTTTTGCCCTGCCAAGCCTCGAAGAGATTCCTGAGTTGTCCCTCGTTAATAGAAAGGAGTCCTGACGTCACTGAAGAAACTCGTGTTTTGAAGGGCCATTCCCGCCGTAAGTCGAGAACATACCCCAGGTCCCAGCCGCAACTCGAGAAAAACCATGAGACTTCCCCCTAGAGGCGAGATGAGGCCCCATTCCCCTGCAGTGCATGCAGAGCTATTCCGTGATCCCATTCAAAGAAGTCAGGAGCTTCGACTTGCTTAATGGATCTCGAGCCAGTCCCCAAGAACACTGTCACCAGTCTAGACGGACCCTGAGGTCACCCCAGCAACGCAAAGCAGCTCCATGTGCCCCAAATCAACTCGAGATGAGGCCCGATTCCCCTGCATTGACTCCAGAGCCATTCCCCGTTCCCCATTCAACACGACCGGTGGCTCGACTTCCTTCAGGCAACTCCAGACATGCCCCGAGAACACTGTCCCAAGTCTAGAGGAACACCAACTTCAGCATAGCAACTCGAGGAATGCTCCATGTACCCCAAATCGTCTGGAGATGAGAGCTGATTCCCTGGCTTGGGCTCAAGACTTATGCCAACTTTCCAGAAGCACCTCAGGAGGAGGCTTCTCTCAGCAATAATTATGTGGGAGGGACCCCAAGATCGCTGCCTCAAGAGGAATATACAGCGAGAAGCCCTAACTTATAAGGAGGCCGGATTTCCTTGCAGTGGCTTGAATACAGGCTCGTCTTTGATCTGACAACATGAAGGCATGTCTGAATCCCCTGTGGAGACCTTAGAGAAAGCCCTAGGTCCCTGCCTCATTTTGACGGAATGTCTCACATCCCGTTGACACCTCGAGAGGCACGCGGAGTTCATTGCTTCAAAAGGTGACGATGCCTGATTCCTCTTGAATACTGATAGGAATCCCACAATCCCTGTGGCTACTGGAATGGGTCCTTGGGTGCCCTGCCTCACCTCGAGAAGCATCCCTTTTGCCCTGCCAAGCCTCGAAGAGATTCCTGAGGTGTCCCTCGTTACTAGACAGGAGTCCTGATGTCACTGAAGAAACTCGTGTTTTGAAGGGCCATCCCTGCCGTAAGTCGAGAACATACCCCAGGTCCCCGCCGCAACTCGAGAAAAACCATGAGACTTCCCCCTAGAGGCGAGATGAGGCCCCATTCCCCTGCAGTGCATGCAGAGCTATTCCGTGATCCCATTCAAACAAGTCAGGAGCTTCGACTTGCTTAATGGATCTCGAGCCAGTCCCCAAGAACACTGTCACCAGTCTAGACGGACACTGACGTCACCCCAGCAACGCAAAGCAGCTCCATGTGCCCCAAATCAACTCGAGATGAGGCCCGATTCCCCTGCATTGACTCCATAGCCATTCCCCGTTCCCCATTCAACACGACCGGTGGCTCGACTTCCTTCAGGCAATAACAGAGATGTCCCGTGAACACTGTCCCAAGTCTAGAGGAACACCAACTTCAGCACAGCAACTCGAGGAATGCTCCATGTACCCCAAATCGTCTCGAGATGAGAGCTGATTCCCTGGTTTAGGCTCAAGACGTATGCCAAATTTCCAGAAGCACCTCAGGAGGAGGCTTCTCTCAGCAATAGGTATGTGGGAGGGACCCCGAGATCGCTTCCTCAAGTGGAATATACAGCGAGAAGCCCTAACTTGAAAGAAGGCCGGATTTCCTTGCAGTGTCTTGAATGCAGGCTCGTCTTTTATCTCAAAACATGAAGGGATGTCTGAATCCCCTGTGGAGACCTTAGAGAAAGCCCTAGGTCCCTGCCTCATTTTTGACGGAATGCCTCACATCCCATTGACACCTCGAGAGGCACGCGGAGTTCATTGCTTCAAAAGGTGACGAGGCCTGACTCCTCTTGAATACTGATAGGAATCCCAAAATCCCTGTGGGTACTGGAATGGGTCCTTGGGTGCCCTGCCTCACCTCGAGAAGCGTCCCTTTTGCCCTGCCAAGCCTCGAAGAGATACCTGAGGTGTCCTTCGTTAATAGACAGGAGTCCTGACGTCACTGAAGAAACTCGTGTTTTGAAGGGCCATTCCCGCCGTAAGTCGAGAACATACCCCAGGTCCCCACCGCAACTCGAGAAAAACCATGAGACTTCCCCCTAGAGGCAAGATGAGACCCCATTCCCCTGCAGTGCATGCAGAGCTATTCCGTGATCCCATTCAAACAAGTCAGGAGCTTCGACTTGCTTAATGGATCTCGAGCCAGTCCCCAAGAACACTGTCACCAGTCTAGACGGACCCTGAGGTCACCCCAGCAACGCAAAGCAGCTCCATGTGCCCCAAATCAACTCGAGATGAGGCCCGATTCCCCTGCATTGACTCCAGAGCCATTCCCCGTTCCCCATTCAACACGACCGGTGGCTCGACTTCCTTCAGGCAACTCCAGACATGCCCCGAGAACACTGTCCCAAGTCTAGAGGAACACCAACTTCAGCATAGCAACTCGAGGAATGCTCCGTGTACCCCAAATCGTCTCGAGATGAGAGCTGATTCCCTGGCTTGGGCTCAAGACGTATGCCAACTTTCCAGAAGCACCTCAGGAGGAGGCTTCTCTCAGCAGTAGGTATGTGGGAGGGACCCCGAGATCGCTGCCTCAAGGGGAATATACAGCGAGAAGCCCTAACTTATAAGGAGGCCGGATTTCCTTGCAGTGGCTTGAATACAGGCTCGTCTTTGATCTCACAACATGAAGGCATGTCTGAATCCCCTGTGGAGACCTTAGAGAAAGCCCTAGGCCCCTGCCTCATTTTGACGGAATGCCTCACATCCCTTTGACATCTCAAGAGGCACGCGGAGTTCATTGCTTCAAAAGGTGACGATGCCTGACTCCTCTTGAATACTGATAGGAATCCCACAGTCCCTGTGGCTACTGGAATGGGTCCTTGGGTGCCCTGCCTCACCTCGAGAAGCATCCCTTTTTCCCTGCCAAGCCTCGAAGAGATTCCTGAGGTGTCCCTCGTTACTAGACAGGAGTCCTGATGTCACTGAAGAAACTCGTGTTTTGAAGGGCCATCCCCGCCGTAAGTCGAGAACATACCCCAGGTCCCCGCCGCAACTCGAGAAAAACCATGAGACTTCCCCCTAGAGGCGAGATGAGGCCCCATTCCCCTGCAGTGCATGCAGAGCTATTCCGTGATCCCATTCAAACAAGTCAGGAGCTTCGACATGCTTAATGGATCTCGAGCCAGTCCCCAAGAACACTGTCACCAGTCTAGACGGACCCTGAGGTAAACCCAGCAACGGAAAGAAGCTCCATGTGCCCCAAATCAAGTCGAGATGAGCCCCGATTCCCCTGCATTGACTCCAGAGCCATTCCCCGTTCCCCATTCAACAGGACCGGTGGCTCGACTTCCTTCAGGCAACCCCAGAGATGCCCCGAGAACACTGTCCCAAGTTTAGAGGAACACCACTTCAGCACAGCAACTCGAGGAATGCTCCATGTACCCCAAATCGTCTCGAGATGAGAGCTGATTCCCTGGCTTAGGCTCAAGACGTATGCCAACTTTCCAGAAGCACCTCAGGAGGAGGCTTCTCTCAGCAATAGGTATGTGGGAGGGACCCCGAGATCGCTGCCTCAAGGGGAATATACAGCGAGAAGCCCTAACTTGAAAGGAGGCCAGATTTCCTTGCAGTGGCTTGAATACAGGCTCGTCTTTGATCTCACAACATGAAGTCATGTCTGAATCCCCTGTGTAGACCTTAGAGAAAGCCCTAGGTCCCTGCCTCATTTTGACGGAATGCCTCACATCCCGTTGACACATCCAGAGGCACGCGGAGTTCACTGCTTCAAAGGTGACGATGCCTGATTCCTCTTGAATACTGATAGGAATCCCAAAATCCCTGTGGCTACTGGAATGGGTCCTTGGGTGCCCTGCCTCACCTCGAGAAGCGTCCCTTTTGCCCTGCCAAACCTCGAAGAGATTCCTGAGTTGTCCCTCGTTAAGAGAAAGGAGTCCTGACGTCACTGAAGAAACTCGTGTTTTGAAGGGTCATCCCCGCCGTAAGTCGAGAACATACCCCAGGTCCCCGCCGCAACTCGAGAAAAACCATGAGACTTCCCCCTAGAGGCGAGATGAGGCCCCATTCCCCTGCAGTGCATGCAGAGCTATTCCGTGATCCCATTCAAACAAGTCAGGAGCTTCGACTTGCTTAATGGATCTCGAGACAGTCCCCAAGAACACTGTCACCAGTCTAGACGGACCCTGAGGTCAGCCCAGCAACGGAAAGAAGCTCCATGTGCCCCAAATCAACTCGAGATGAGGCCCGATTCCCCTGCATTGACTCCAGAGCCATTCCCCATTCCCCATTTATCACGACTGGTGGCTCGAGTTCCTTCATGCAACTCCAGAGATGCCCCGAGAACACTATCCCAAGTCTAGAGGAACACCAACTTCAGCAGAGCAACTCGAGGAATGCTCCGTGTACCCCAAATCGTCTCGAGATGAGAGCTGATTCCCTGGCTTAGGCTCAAGACGTATGCCAAATTTCCAGAAGCACCTAAGGAGGAGGCTTCTCTCAGCAGTAGGTATGTGGGATGGACCCCGAGATCGCTGCCTCAAGTGGAATATACAGCGAGAAGCCCTAACTTGAAAGGAGGCCGGATTTCCTTGCAGTGGCTTGAATACAGGCTCGTCTTTGATCTCACAACATGAAGGCATGTCTGAATCCCCTGTGGAGACCTTAGAGAAAGCCCTAGGTCCCTGCTTCATTTTGACGGAATGCCTCACATCCCGTTGGCACCTCGAGAGGCATGCGGAGTTCATTGCTTCAAAAGGTGACGATGCCTGACTCCTCTTGAATACTGATAGGAATCCCACAATCCCTGTGGCTACTGGAATGGGTTCTTGGGTGCCCTGCCTCACCTCGAGAAGCATCCCTTTTGCCCTGCCAAGCCTCGAAGAGATTCCTGAGGTGTCCTTCGTTACTAGACAGGAGTCCTGATGTCACTGAAGAAACTCGTGTTTTGAAGGGCCATCCCCGCCGTAAGTCGAGAACATACCCCAGGTCCCCGCCGCAACTCGAGAAAAACCATGAGACTTCCCCCTAGAGGCGAGATGAGGCCCCATTCCCCTGCAGTGCATGCAGAGCTATTCCGTGATCCCATTCAAACAAGTCAGGAGGTTCGACTTGCTTAATGGATCTCGAGACAGTCCCCAAGAACACTGTCACCAGTCTAGACGGACCCTGAGGTCAACAAAGCAACGGAAAGCAGCTCCATGTGCCCCAAGTCAACTGGAGGTGAGGCCCGATTCCCCTGCATTGACTCCAGAGCCATTCAACGTTCCCCATTCAACACGACCGGTGGCTCGACTTCCTTCAGGCAATAACAGAGATGCCCCGTGAACACTGTCCCAAGTCTAGAGGAAGACCAACTTCAGCACAGCAACTCGAGGAATGCTCCATGCACCCCAAATCGTCTCGAGATGAGAGCTGATTCCCTGGCTTAGGCTCAAGACGTATGCCACCTTTCCATAAGCACCTCAGGAGGAGGCTTCTCTCAGCAATAGGTATGTGGGAGGGACCCCGAGATCGCTGCCTCAAGTGGAATATACAGCGAGAATCCCTAACTTGAAAGGAGGCCGGATTTCCTTGCAGTGGCTTGAATACAGGCTCGTCTTTGATCTCAGAACATGAAGGCATGTCTGAATCCCCTGTGGAGAACTTAGAGAAAGCCCTAGGTCCCTGCCTCATTTTGACGGAATGCCTCACATCCCGTTGAAACCTCGAGATGCACGCGGAGTTCATTGCTTCAAAAGGTGACGATGCCTGACTCCTCTTGAATACTGATAGGAATCCCACAATCCCTGTGGCTACTGGAATGGGTCCTTGGGTGCCCTGCCTCACCTCGAGAAGCATCCCTTTTGCCCTGCCAAGCCTCGAAGAGATTCCTGAGGTGTCCCTCGTTACTAGACAGCAGTCCTGATGTCACTGAAGAAACGCTTGTTTTGAAGGGCCATCCCCGCCGTGAGTCGAAAACATACCCCAGGTCCCCGCCGCAACTCGAGAAAAACCATGAAACTTCCCCCTAGAGGCGAGATGAGGCCCCATTCCCCTGCAGTGCATGCAGAGCTATTCCGTGATCCCATTCAAACAAGTCAGGAGCTTCGACTTGCTTAATGGATCTCGAGACAGTCCCCAAGAACACTGTCACCAGTCTAGACGGACCCTGAGGTCAACCCAGCAACGGAAAGCAGCTCCATGTGCCCCAAATCAACTCGAGATGAGGCCCGATTCCCCTGCATTGACTCCAGAGCCATTCCCCGTTCCCCATTCAACACGACCGGTGGCTCGACTTCCTTCAGGCAATAACAGATGTGCCCCATGAACACTGTCCCAAGTCTAGAGGAACACCAACTTCAGCACAGCACCTCGAGGAATGCTCCATGTACCCCAAATCGTCTCGAGATGAGAGCTGATTCCCTGGCTTAGGCTCAAGACGTATGCCAACTTTCCAGAAGCACCTCAGGAGGAGGCTTCTCTCAGCAATAGGTATGTGGGAGGGACCCCGAGATCGCTGCCTCAAGTGGAATATACAGCGAGAAGCCCTAACTTGAAAGGAGGCCAGATTTCCTTGCAGTGGCTTGAATACAGGCTCTTCTTTGATCTTACAACATGAAAGCATGTCTGAATCCCCTGTGGAGACCATAGAGAAAGCAATAGGTCCCTGCCTCATTTTGACGGAATGCCTCACATCCCGTTGACAGCTCGAGAGGCACGCGGAGTTCATTGCTTCAAAAGCTGACGATGCCTGACTCCTCTTGAATACTGATAGGAATCCCAAAATCACTGTGGCTACTGGAATGGGTCCTTGGGTGCCCTGCCTCACCTCGAGAAGCGTCCCTTTTGCCCTGCCAAGCCTCGAAGAGATTCCTGAGGTGTCCCTTGTTACTAGACAGGAGTCCTGACGTCACTGAAGAAACTCGTGTTTTGAAGGGCCATCCCCGCCGTAAGTCGAGAACGTACCCCACGTCCCCGCCGCAACTCGAGAAAATCCATGAGACTTCCCCCTAGAGGCGAGATGAGGCCCCATTCCCATTCAGTCCATGCAGAGCTATTCCGTGATCCCATTCAAACAAGTCAGGAGCTTCGACTTGCTTAATGCATCTCGAGCCAGTCCCCAAGAACACTGTCACCAGTCTAGACGGACCCTGAGGTCACCCCAGCAACGCAAAGCAGCTCCATGTGCCCCAAATCAACTCGAGATGAGGCCCGATTCCCCTGCATTGACACCAGAGCCATACCCCGTTCCCCATTCAACAGGACCGGTGGCTCGACTTCCTTCAGGCAACTCCAGAGATGCCCCGAGAACACTGTCCCAAGTCTAGAGGAACACCAACTTCAGCATAGCAACTCGAGGAATGCTCCATGTACCCCAAATCGTCTCGAGATGAGAGCTGATTCCCTGGCTTAGGCTCAAGACGTATGCCAACTTTCCAGAAGCACCTCAGGAGGAGGCTTCTCTCAGCAATAGGTATGTGGGAGGGACCCCGAGATCGCTGCCTCAAGGGGAATATACAGCGAGAAGCCCTAACTTGAAAGGAGGCCGGATTTCCTTGCAGTGGCTTGAATACAGGCTCGTCTTTGATCTCACAACATGAAGGCATGTCTGAATCCCCTGTGGAGACCTTAGAGAAAGCCCTAGGTCCCTGCCTCATTTTGAAGGAATGCCTCACATCCCGTTGACACCTCGAGAGGCACGCGGAGTTCATTGCTTCAAAAGGTGACGATGCCTGACTCCTCTTGAATACTGATAGGCATCCCACAATCACTGTGGCTACTGGAATGGGTCCTTGGGTGCCCTGCCTCACCTCGAGAATCATCCCTTTTGCCCTTCCAAGCCTCGAAGAGATTCCTGAGGTGTCCCTCTTTACTAGACAGGAGTCCTGATGTCACTGAAGAAACTCTTGTTTTGAAGGGCCATCCCCGCCGTAAGTGGAGAACATACCCCAGGTCCCCGCCGCAACTCGAGAAAAACCATGAGACTTCCCCCTAGAGGCGAGATGAGGCCCCATTCCCCTGCAGTGCATGCAGAGCTATTCCGTGATCCCATTCAAACAAGTCAGGAGGTTCGACTTGCTTAATGGATCTCGAGACAGTCCCCAAGAACACTGTCACCAGTCTAGACGGACCCTGAGGTCAACCCAGCAACGGAAAGCAGCTCCATGTGCCCCAAGTCAACTGGAGGTGAGGCCCGATTCCCCTGCATTGACTCCAGAGCCATTCCCCGTTCCCCATTCAACACGACCGGTGGCTCGACTTCCTTCAGGCAATAACAGAGATGCCCCGTGAACACTGTCCCAAGTCTAGAGGAAGACCAACTTCAGCACAGCAACTCGAGGAATGCTCCATGCACCCCAAATCGTCTCGAGATGAGAGCTGATTCCCTGGCTTAGGCTCAAGACGTATGCCAACTTTCCGTAAGCACCTCAGGAGGAGGCTTCTCTCAGCAATAGGTATGTGGGAGGGACCCCGAGACCGCTGCCTCAAGTGGAATATACAGCGAGAAGCCCTAACTTGAAAGGAGGCCGGATTTCCTTTCAGTGGCTTGAATACAGGCTCGTCTTTGATCTCACAACATGAAGGCATGTCTGAATCCCGTGTGGAGACCTTAGAGAAAGCCCTAGGTCCCTGCCTAATTTTGACGGAATGCCTCACATCCCGTTGACACCTCGAGAGGCACGCGGAGTTCATTGCTTCAAAAGGTGACGATGCCTGACTCCTCTTGAATACTGATAGGAATCCCACAATACCTGTGGCTACTGGAATGGGTCCTTGGGTGCCCTGCCTCACCTCGAGAAGCGTCCCTTTTGCCCTGCCAAGCCTCGAAGAGATTCCTGAGGTGTCCCTCGTTACTAGACAGCAGTCCTGATGTCACTGAAGAAACTCTAGTTTTGAAGGGCCATCCCCGCCGTAAGTCGAGAACATACCCCAGGTCCCCGCCGCAACTCGAGAAAAACCATGAGACTTCCCCCTAGAGGCGAGATGAGGCCCCATTCCCCTGCAGTGCATGCACAGCTATTCCGTGATCCCATTCAAACAAGTCAGGAGCTTCGACTTGCTTAATGGATCTCGAGACAGTCCCCAAGAACACTGTCACCAGTCTAGACGGACCCTGAGGTGACCCCAGCAACGCAACGCAGCTCCATGTGCCCCAAGTCAACTCGAGATTAGGCCCGAATCCCCTGCATTGACACCAGAGCCATTCCCCGTTCCCCATTGAACACGACCGGTGGCTCGACTTCCTTCAGGCAACTCCAGAGATGCCCCGTGAACACTGTCCCAAGTCTAGAGGAACACCAACTTCAGCACAGCAACTCGAGGAATGCTCCATGCACCCCAAATCGTCTCGAGATGAGAGCTGATTCCCCGGCTTAGGCTCAAGACGTATGCCAACTTTCCAGAAGCACCTCAGGAGGAGGCTTCTCTCAGCAATAGGTATGTGGGAGGGACCCCTAGATCGCTGCCTCAAGTGGAATATACAGCGAGAATCCCTAACTTGAAAGGAGGCCGGATTTCCTTGCAGTGGCTTGAATACAGGCTCGTCTTTGATCTCACAACATGAAGGCATGTCTAAATCCCCTGAGGAGACCTTAGAGAAAGCCCTAGGTCCCTGCCTCATTTTGACGGAATGCCTCACATCCCGTTGACACGTCGAGAGGCACGCGCAGTTCATTGCTTCAAAAGGTGACGATGCCTGACTCCTCTTGAATACTGATAGGAATCCCAAAATCACTGTGGCTACTGGAATGGGTCCTTGGGTGCCCTGCCTCACCTCGAGAAGCGTCCCTTTTGCCCTGCCAAGCCTCGAAGAGATTCCTGAGGTGTCCCTTGTTACTAGACAGTAGTCCTGATGTCACTGAAGAAACTCGTGTTTTGAAGGGCCATCCCCGCCGTAAGTCGAGAACGTACCCCAAGTCCCCACCGCAACTCGAGATAATCCATGAGACTTCCCCCTAGAGGCGAGATGAGGCCCCATTCCGATTCAGTGCATGCAGAGCTATTCCGTGATCCCATTCAAAGAAGTCAGGAGCTTCGACTTGCTTAATGGATCTCGAGCCAGTCCCCAAGAACACTGTCACCAGTCTAGACGGACCCTGAGGTCACCCCAGCAACGCAAAGCAGCTCCATGTGCCCCAAATCAACTCGAGATGAGGCCCGATTCCCCTGCATTGACTCCAGAGCCATTCCCCGTTCCCCATTCAACACGACCGGTGGCTCGACTTCCTTCAGGCAACTCCAGAGATGCCCCGAGCACACTGTCCCAAGTCTAGAGGAACACCAACTTCAGCATAGCAACTCGAGGAATGCTCCATGTACCCCAAATCGTCTCGAGATGAGAGCTGATTCCCTGGCTTAGGCTCAAGACGTATGCCAACTTTCCAGAAGCACCTCAGGAGGAGGCTTCTCTCAGCAATAGGTATGTGGGAGGGACCCCGAGATCGCTGCCTCAAGTGGAATATACAGCGAGAAGCCCTAACTTGAAAGGAGGCCGGATTTCCTTGCAGTGGCTTGAATACAGGCTCGTCTTTGATCTCACAACATGAAGGCATGTCTGAATCCCCTGTGGAGACCTTAGAGGAAGCCCTAGGTCCCTGCCTCATTTTGACGGAATGCCTCACATCCCGTTGCCACGTCGAGAGGCACGCGGAGTTCATTGTTTCAAAAGGTGACGATGCCGGACTCCTCTTGAATACTGATAGGAATCCCAAAATCCCTGTGGCTACTGGAAAGGGTACTTGGGTGCCCTGCCTCACCTCGAGAAGCGTCCCTTTTGCCCTGCCAAGCCTCGAAGAGATTCCTGAGGTGTCCCTCGTTACTAGACAGGAGTCCTGACGGCACTGAAGAAACTCGTGTTTTGAAGGGCCATCCCCGCTGTAAGTCGAGAACATACCCCAGGTCCCCGCCGCAACTCGAGAAAAACCACGAGACTTCCCCCTAGAGGCGAGATGAGGCCCCATTCCCCTGCAGTGCATGCACAGCTATTCCGTGATCCCATTCAAACAAGTCAGGAGCTTCGACTTGCTTAATGGATCTCGAGAGAGTCCCCAAGAACACTGTCACCAGTCTAGACGGACCCTGAGGTCACCCCAGCCACGCAAAGCAGCTCCATGTGCCCCAAATCAACTCGAGATAAGGCCCGATTCCCCTGCATTGACTCCAGAGCCATTCCCTGTTCCCCATTCAACACGACCGGTGGCGAGACTTCCTTCAGGCAATAACAGAGATGCCCCGTGAACACTGTCCCAAGTCTAGAGGAACACCAACTTCAGCACAGCAACTCGAGGAATGCTCCATGTACCCCAAATCGTCTCGAGATGAGAGCTGATTCCCTGGCTTAGGCTCAAGACGTATGCCAACTTTCCAGAAGCACCTCAGGAGGAGGCTTCTCTCAGCAATAGGTTTGTGGGAGGGACCCCGAGATCGCTGCCTCAAGTGGAATATACAGCGAGAATCCCTAACTTGAAAGGAGGCCGGATTTCCTTGCAGTGGCTTGAATACAGGCTCGTCTTTGATCTCACAACATGAAGGCATGTCTGAATCCCCTGTGGAGACCTTAGAGAAAGCCCTAGGTCCCTGCCTCATTTTGACGGAATGCCTCACATCCCGTTGACACCTCGAGAGGCACTCGGAGTTCATTGCTTCAAAACGTGACGATGCCTGACTCCTGTTGAATACTGATAAGAATACCAAAATCCCTGTGGCTACTGGAATGGGTCCTTGGGTGCCCTGCCTCACCTCGAGAAGCGTCCCTTTTGCCCTGCCAAGCCTCGAAGAGATTCCTGAGGTGTCCCTCGTTACTAGACAGGAGTCCTGACGTCACTGAAGAAACTCGTGTTTTGAAGGGCCATCCCCGCCGTAAGTCGAGAACGTACCCCAGGTCCCCGCCGCAACTCGAGAAAATTGAGACTTCCCCCTAGGGGCGAGATGAGGCCCCATTCCCATTCAGTGCATGCAGAGCTATTCCGTGATCCCATTCAAACAAGTCAGGAGCTTCGACTTGCTTAATGGATCTCGAGCCAGTCCCCAAGAACACTGTCACCAGTCTAGACGGACCCTGAGGTCACCCCAGCAATGCAAAGCAGCTCCATGTGCCCCAAAGCAACTCGAGATGAGGCCCGATTCCCCTGCATTGACTCCAGAGCCATTCCCCGTTCCCCATTCAACACGACCGGTGGCTCGACTTCCTTCAGGCAACTCCAGAGATGCCCCAAGAACACTGTCTCAAGTCTAGAGGAACACCAACTTCAGCATAGCAACTCGAGGAATGCTCCGTGTACCCCAAATCGTCTCGAGATGAGAGCTGATTCCCTGGCTTAGGCTCAAGACGTATGCCAACTTTCCAGAAGCACCTCAGGAGGAGGCTTCTCTCAGCAATAGGTATGTGGGAGGGACCCCGAGATCGCTGCCTCAAGTGGAATATACAGCGAGAAGCCCCAACTTGAAAGGAGGCCGGATTTCCTTGCAGTGGCTTGAATACAGGCTCGTCTTTGATCTCACAACATGAAGGCATGTCTGAATCCCCTGTGGAGACCTTAGAGAAAGCCCTAGGTCCCTGCCTCATTTTGACGGAATGCCTCACATCCCGTTGACACCTCGAGAAGCACGCGGAGTTCATTGCTTCAAAAGGTGACGATGCCTGACTCCTCTTGAATACTGATAGGAATCCCAAAATCCCTGTGGCTACTGGAAAGGGTCCTTGGGTGCCCTGCCTCACCTCGAGAAGCGTCCCTTTTGCCCTGCCAAGCCTCGAAGAGATTCCTGAGGTGTCCCTCGTTACTAGACAGGAGTCCTGATGTCACTGAAGAAACTCGTGTTTTGAAGGGCCATCCCCGCTGTAAGTCGAGAACATAACCCAGGTCGCCTCCGCAACTCGAGAAAATCCATGAGACTTCCCCCTAGAGGCGAGATGAGGCCCCATTCCCCTGCAGGGCATGCAGAGCTATTCCGTGATCCCATTCAAACAAGTCAGGAGCTTCGACTTGCTTACTGGATCTCGAACCAGTCCCCAAGAACACTGTCACCAGTCTAGACGGAACCTGAGGTCACCCCAGCAATGCAAAGCAGCTCCATGTGCCCCAAATCAACTCGAGATGAGGCACGATTCCCCTGCATTGACACCAGAGCCATTCCCCGTTCCCCATTCAACAAGACCGGTGGCTCGACTATCTTCAGGCAACTCCAGAGATGCCCCGAGAACACTGTCCCAAGTCTAGAGGAACACCAACTTCAGCACAGCAACTCGAGGAATGCTCCGTGTACCCCAAATCGTCTCGAGATGAGAGCTGATTCCCTGGCTTAGGCTCAAGACGTATGCCAACTTTCCAGAAGCACCTCAGGAGGAGGCTTCTCTCAGCAATAGGTATGTGGGAGGGACCCCGAGATCGCTGCGTCAAGTGGAATATACAGCGAGATGCCCTAACTTGAAAGGAGGCCGTATTTCCTTGCAGTGGCTTGAATACAGGTTTGTCTTTGATCTCACAACATGAAGGCATGTTTGAATGCCCTGTGGAGATCTTAGAGAAAGCCCTAAATCCCTGCGTCATTTTGACGGAATGCCTCACATCCCGTTGACACCTCGAGAGGCACGCGGAGTTCATTGCTTCAAAAGGTGACGATGCCTGACTCCTCTTGAATACTGATAGGAATCCCAAAATCCCTGTGGCTACTGGAAAGGGTACTTGGGTGCCCTGCCTCACCTCAAGAAGCGTCCCTTTTGCCCTACCAAGCCTCGAAGAGATTCCTGAGGTGTCCCTCGTTACTAGACAGGAGTCCTGACGTCACTGAAGAAACTCGGGTTTTGAAGGGCCATCCCCGCTGTAAGTCGAGAACATACCCCAGGTCCCCGCCGCAACTCGAGAAAAACCATGAGACTTCCCGCTAGAGGCGAGATGAGGCCCCATTCCCCTGCAGTGCATGCAGAGCTATTCCGTGATCCCATTCAAACAAGTCAGGAGCCTCGACTTGCTTAATGGATCTCGAGACAGTCCCCAAGAACACTGTCACCAGTCTAGACGGACCCTGAGGTCACCCCAGCAGCGCAGAGCAGCTCCATGTGCCCCAAATCAACTCGAGATGAGGCCCGATTCCCCTGCATTGGCTCCAGAGCCATTCCCCGTTCCCCATTCAACACGACCGGCGGCTCGACTTCCTTCAGGCAACTCCAGAGATGCCCCGAGAACACTGTCCCAAGTTTAGAGGAACACCACTTCAGCACAGCAACTCGAGGAATGTTCCATGTACCCCAAATCGTCTCGAGATGAGAGCTGATTCCCTGGCTTAGGCTCAAGACGTATGCCAACTTTCCAGAAGCACCTCAGGAGGGGCTTCTCTCAGCAATAGGTATGTGGAAGGGACCCCGAGATCGCTGCCTCAAGGGGAATATACTGCGAGAAGCCCTAACTTGAAAGGAGCCCGGATTTCTTTGCAGTGGCTTGAATACAGGCTCGTCTTTGATCTCACAACATGAAGGCATGTCAGAATCCCCTGTGTAGACCTTAGAGAAAGCCCTAGGTCCCTGCCTCATTTTGACGGAATGCCTCACATCCCGTTGACACCTCGAGAGGCACGCGGAGTTCATTGCTTCAAAGGTGACGATGCCTGATTCCTCTTGAATACTGATAGGAATCCCAAAATCCCTGTGGCTACTGGAATGGGTCCTTGGGTGCCCTGCCTCACCTCGAGAAGCGTCCCTTTTGCCCTGCCAAGCCTCGAAGAGATTCCTGAGTTGTCCCTCGTTACTAGACAGGAGTCCTGACGTCACTGAAGAAACTCGTGTTTTGAAGGGCCATCCCCGCCGTAAGTCGAGAACATACCCCAGGTCCCCGAGGCAACTCGAGAAAAACCATGAGACTTCCCCCTAGAGGCGAGATGAGGCCCCATTCCCCTGCAGTGCATGCAGAGCTATTCCGTGATCCCATTCAAACAAGTCAGGATTTTCGACTTGCTTAATGGATCTCGAGACAGTCCCCAAGAACACTGTGACCAGTCTAGACGGACCCTGAGGTCACCCCAGCAACGCAAAGCAGCTCCAGGTGCCCCAAATCAACTCGAGATGAGGCCCGATTCCCCTGCATTGACTCCAGAGCCATTCCCCGTTCCCCATTCAACACGGACGGTGGCTCGACTTCCTTCAGGCAACTCCAGAGTTGCCCCTTGAACACTGTCCCAAGTCTAGAGGAACACCAACTTCAGCACAGTAACTCGAGGAATGCTCCGTGAACCCCAAATCGTCTCGAGATTAGATCTGATTTCCTGGCTTAGGCTCAAGACATAAGCCAACTTTCCAGAAGCACCTCAGGATGAGGCTTCTCTCAGCAATAGGTGTGTGGGAGGGACCCCAAGATCGCTGCCTCAAGTGGAATATACAGCGAGAAGCCCTAACTTGAAAGGAGGCCGGATTTCCTTGCAGTTGATTGAATACAAGCTTGTCTTTCATCTCACAACATGAAGGCATGTCTGAATCCCCTGTGGAGACCTTAGAGAAAGCCCTAGGTCCCTGCCTCATTATGACGGAATGCGTCACATCCCGTTGACACCTCGAGAGGCACGCAGAGTTCATTGCTTCAAAAGGTGACGATGCCTGACTCCTCTTGAATATTGATAGGAATCCCAAAATCCCTGTGGCTACTGGAAAGGGTCCTTGGGTGCCCTGCCTCACCTCGAGAAGCGTCCCTTTGCCCTGCAAAGCCTCGAAGAAATTCCTGAGGTGTCCCTCGTTACGAGACAGGAGTCATGACGTCACTGAAGAAAATCGTGTTTTGAAGGGCCATCCCCGCCGTAAGTCGAGAACATACCCCAGGTCCCCGCCGCAACTCGAGAAAAACCATGAGACTTCCCCCTAGAGGCGAGATGAGGCCCCACTCCCCTGCAGTGCATGCAGAGCTATTCCGTGATCCCATTCAAACAAGTCACGAGCTTCGACGTGCTTAATGGATCTCGAGACAGTCCCCAAAAACACTGTCACCAGTCTAGACGGACCCTGAGGTCACCCCAGCCACGCAAAGCAGCTCCATGTGCCCCAAATCAACTCGAGATAAGGCCCGATTCCCCTGCATTGACTCCAGAGCCATTCCCTGTTCCCCATTCAACACGACCGGTGGCGAGACTTCCTTCAGGCAATAACAGAGATGCCCCGTGAACACTGTCCCAAGTCTAGAGGAACACCAACTTCAGCACAGCAACTCGAGGAATGCTCCATGTACCCCAAATCGTCTCGAGATGAGAGCTGATTCCCTGGCTTAGGCTCAAGACGTATGCCAACTTTCCAGAAGCACCTCAGGAGGAGGCTTCTCTCAGCAATAGGTTTGTGGGAGGGACCCCGAGATCGCTGCCTCAAGTGGAATATACAGCGAGAATCCCTAACTTGAAAGGAGGCCGGATTTCCTTGCAGTGGCTTGAATACAGGCTCGTCTTTGATCTCACAACATGAAGGCATGTCTGAATCCCCTGTGGAGACCTTAGAGAAAGCCCTAGGTCCCTGCCTCATTTTGACGGAATGCCTCACATCCCGTTGACACCTCGAGAGGCACTCGGAGTTCATTGCTTCAAAACGTGACGATGCCTGACTCCTGTTGAATACTGATAAGAATACCAAAATCCCTGTGGCTACTGGAATGGGTCCTTGGGTGCCCTGCCTCACCTCGAGAAGCGTCCCTTTTGCCCTGCCAAGCCTCGAAGAGATTCCTGAGGTGTCCCTCGTTACTAGACAGGAGTCCTGACGTCACTGAAGAAACTCGTGTTTTGAAGGGCCATCCCCGCCGTAAGTCGAGAACGTACCCCAGGTCCCCGCCGCAACTCGAGAAAATTGAGACTTCCCCCTAGGGGCGAGATGAGGCCCCATTCCCATTCAGTGCATGCAGAGCTATTCCGTGATCCCATTCAAACAAGTCAGGAGCTTCGACTTGCTTAATGGATCTCGAGCCAGTCCCCAAGAACACTGTCACCAGTCTAGACGGACCCTGAGGTCACCCCAGCAATGCAAAGCAGCTCCATGTGCCCCAAAGCAACTCGAGATGAGGCCCGATTCCCCTGCATTGACTCCAGAGCCATTCCCCGTTCCCCATTCAACACGACCGGTGGCTCGACTTCCTTCAGGCAACTCCAGAGATGCCCCAAGAACACTGTCTCAAGTCTAGAGGAACACCAACTTCAGCATAGCAACTCGAGGAATGCTCCGTGTACCCCAAATCGTCTCGAGATGAGAGCTGATTCCCTGGCTTAGGCTCAAGACGTATGCCAACTTTCCAGAAGCACCTCAGGAGGAGGCTTCTCTCAGCAATAGGTATGTGGGAGGGACCCCGAGATCGCTGCCTCAAGTGCAATATACAGCGAGAAGCCCCAACTTGAAAGGAGGCCGGATTTCCTTGCAGTGGCTTGAATACAGGCTCGTCTTTGATCTCACAACATGAAGGCATGTCTGAATCCCCTGTGGAGACCTTAGAGAAAGCCCTAGGTCCCTGCCTCATTTTGACGGAATGCCTCACATCCCGTTGACACCTCGAGAAGCACGCGGAGTTCATTGCTTCAAAAGGTGACGATGCCTGACTCCTCTTGAATACTGATAGGAATCCCAAAATCCCTGTGGCTACTGGAAAGGGTCCTTGGGTGCCCTGCCTCACCTCGAGAAGCGTCCCTTTTGCCCTGCCAAGCCTCGAAGAGATTCCTGAGGTGTCCCTCGTTACTAGACAGGAGTCCTGATGTCACTGAAGAAACTCGTGTTTTGAAGGGCCATCCCCGCTGTAAGTCGAGAACATAACCCAGGTCGCCTCCGCAACTCGAGAAAATCCATGAGACTTCCCCCTAGAGGCGAGATGAGGCCCCATTCCCCTGCAGGGCATGCAGAGCTATTCCGTGATCCCATTCAAACAAGTCAGGAGCTTCGACTTGCTTACTGGATCTCGAACCAGTCCCCAAGAACACTGTCACCAGTCTAGACGGAACCTGAGGTCACCCCAGCAACGCAAAGCAGCTCCATGTGCCCCAAATCAACTCGAGATTAGGCCCGATTCCCCTGCATTGACTCCAGAGCCATTCCCCGTTCCCCATTCAACACGACCGGTGGCGCGACTTCCTTTAGGCATCTCCAGAGATGCCCTGAGAACACTCTCCCAAGTCTAGAGTCACACCAACTTCAGCACAGCAACTCGAGGAAAGCTCCGTGTACCCCAAATCGTCTCGAGATGAGAGCTGATTCACTGGCTTAGGCTCAAGACGTATGCCAACTTTCTAGAAGCACCTCAGGAGGAGGCTTCTCTCAGCAATAGGTATGTGGGAGGGACCCCGAGATCGCTGCCTCAAGTGGAATATACAGCGAGAAGCCCTAACTAGAAAGGAGGTCGGATTTCCTTCCAGTGGCTTGAATACAGGCTCGTCTTTGATCTCACAACATGAAGGCATGTCTGAATCCCCTGTGGAGACCTTAGAGAAAGCCCTAGGTCCCTGCCTCATTTTGACGGAATGCCTCACATCCCGTTGACACCTCGAGAGGCACGCGGAGTTCATTGCTTCAAAACGTGACGATGCCTGACTCCTCTTGAATACTGATAGGAATCCCACAATCCCTGTGGCTACTGGAATGGGTTCCTGGGTGCCCTGCCTCACCTCGAGAAGCATCCCTTTTGCCCTGCCAAGCGTCGAAGAGATTCCTGAGGTGTCCCTCGTTACTAGACAGGAGTCCTGATGTCACTGAAGAAACTCTTGTTTTGAAGGGCCATCCCCGCCGTAAGTCGAGAACATACCCCAGGTCCCCGCCGCAACTCGAGAAAAACCATGAGACTTCCCCCTAGAGGCGAGATGAGGCCCCATTCCCCTGCAGTGCATGCAGAGCTATTCCGTGATCCCATTCAAACAAGTCAGGAGCTTCGACTTGCTTAATGGATCTCGAGACAGTCCCCAAGAACACTGTCACCATTCTAGACGGACCCTGAGGTCAACCCAGCAACGGAAAGCAGCTCCATGTGCCCCAAATCAACTCGAGATGAGGCCCGATTCCCCTGCATTGACTCCAGAGCCATTACCCGTTCCCCATTCAACACGACCGGTGGCTCGACTTCCTTCAGGCAATAACAGTGATGCCCAGTGTACACTGTCCCAAGTCTAGAGGAACACAAACTTCAGCACAGCAACTCGAGGAATGATCCATGTACCCCAAATCGTCTCGAGTTGAGAGCTGATTCCCTGGCTTAGGCTCAAGACGTATGCCAACTTTCCAGAAGCACCTCAGGAGGAGGCTTCTCTCAGCAATAGGTATGTGGGAGGGACCCAGAGATCGCTGCCTCAAGTGGAATATACAGCGAGAAGCCCTAACTTGAAAGGAGGCCGGATTTCCTTGCAGTGGCTTGAATACAGGCTCGTCTTTAATCTCAAAACATGAAGGGATGTCTGAATCCCCTGAGGAGACCTTTGAGAAAGCCCTAGGTCCCTGCCTCATTTTGTCGGAATGCCTCACATCCCGTTGACACCTTGAGAGGCACGCAGAGTTCATTGCTTCAAAAGGTGACGATGCCTGACTCCTCTTGAATACTGATAGGAATCCGAGAATCCCTGTGGCTACTGGAAAGGGTCCTTGGGTGCCCTCTCTCACCTCGAGAAGCGTACCTTTTGCCCTGCCAAGCCTCGAAGAGATTCCTGAGGCTTCCCTCGTTACGAGACAGGAGTCCTGATGTCACTGAAGAAACTCGTGTTTTGAAGGGCCATCCCCGCCGTAAGTCGAGAACATACCCCAGGTCCCCGCCGCAACTCAAGAAAAACCATGAGACTTCCCCCTAGAGGCGAGATGAGGCCCCATTCCCCTGCAGTGCATGCAGAGCTATTCCGTGATCCCATTCAAACAAGTCAGGAGCTTCGACATGCTTAATGGATCTCGAGACAGTCCCCAAGAACACTGTCACCAGTCTAGACGGACCCTGAGGTCAACCCAGCAACACAAAGCAACTCCATGTGCCCCAAATCAACTCGAGATGAGGCCCGATTCCCCTGCATTGACTCCAGAGCCATTCCCCGTTCCCCATTCAACACGACCGGTGGCTCGACTTCCTTCAGGCAACTCCAGAGATGCCCCGAGAACACTGTCCCAAGTTTAGAGGAACACCAACTTCAGCACAGCAACTCGAGGAATGCTCCATGTACCCCAAATCGTCTCGAGATGAGAGCTGATTCCCTTGCTTAGGCTCAAGACGTACGCCAACTTTCCAGAAGCACCTCAGGAGGCTTCTCTCAGCAATAGGTATGTGGGACGGACCCCGAGATCGCTGCCTCAAATGGAATATACAGCGAGATGCCCTAACTTGAAAGGAGGCCGGATTTCCTTGCAGTGGCTTGAATACAGGCTTGTCTTTGATCTCACAACATGAAGGCATGTCTGAATCCCCTGTGGAGATCTTAGAGAAAGCCCTAGATCCCTGCGTCATTTTGACGGAATGCCTCACATCCCGTTGACACCTCGATAGGCACGCGGAGTTCATTGCTTCAAAAGGTGACGATGCCTGACTCCTCTTGAATACTTATAGGAATCCCAAAATCCCTGTGGCTACTGGAAAGGGTACTTGGGTGCCCTGCCTCACCTCGAGAAGCGTCCCTTTTGCCCTGCCAAGCCTCGAAGAGATTCCTGAGGTGTCCCTCGTTACTAGACAGGAGTCCTGACGTCACTGAAGAAACTCGTGTTTTGAAGGGCCATCCCCGCCGTAAGTCGAGACCATACCCAAGGTCCCCCCGGAACTCGAGAAAAACCATGAGACTTCCCCCTAGAGGCGAGATGAGGCCCCATTCCCCTGCAGTGCATGCACAGCTATTCCGTGATTCCATTCAAACAAGTCAGGAGCTTCGACTTGCTTAATGGATCTCGAGACAGTCCCCACGAACACTGTCACCAGTCTAGACGGACCCTGAGGTCACCCCAGCAACGCAAAGCAGCTCCATGTGCCCCAAATCAACTCGAGATGAGGCCCGATTCCCCTGCATTGACTCCAGAGCCATTCCCCGTTCCCCATTTATCACGACTGGTGGCTTGACTTCCTTCAGGCAACTCCAGAGATGCCACGAGAACACTATCCCAAGTCTAGAGGAACACCAACTTCAGCAGAGCAACTCGAGGAATGGTCCGTGTACCCCAAATCGTCTCGAGATGAGAGCTGATTCCCTGGCTTAGGCTCAAGACGTATGCCAACTTTCCAGAAGCACCTCAGGAGGAGGCTTCTCTCAGCAATAGGTATGTGGGAGGGACCCCGAGATCGCTGCCTCAAGTGGAATATACAGCGAGAAGCCCTAACTTGAAAGGAGGCCGGATTTCCTTGCAGTGTCTTGAATACAGGCTCGTCTTTGATCTCACAACATGAAGGCATGTCTGAATCCCCTGTGGAGACCTTAGAGAAAGCCCTACTTCCCTGCCTCATTTTGACGGAATGCCTCACATCCCGTTGACACCTCGAGAGGCACGCGGAGTTCATTGCTTCAAAAGGTGACGATGCCTGACTCCTCTTGAATACTGATGGGAATCCCACAATCCCTGTGGCTACTGGAATGGGTTCTTGGGTGCCCTGCCTCACCTCGAGACGCGTCCCTTTTGCCCTGCCAAGCCTCGAAGAGATTCCTGAGGTGTCCCTCGTTACGAGACAGGAGTCCTGACGTCACTGAAGAAACTCGTGTTTTGAAGGGCCATCCCCGCCGTAAGTCGAGAACATACCCCAGGTCCCCGCCGCAACTCGAGAAAATCCATGAGACTTCCCCCTAGAGGCGAGATGAGGCCCCATTCCCATTCAGTGCATGCAGAGCTATTCCGTGATCCCATTCAAACAAGTCAGGAGCTTCGACTTGCTTAATGGATCTCGAGCCAGTCCCCAAGAACACTGTCACCAGTCTAGACGGACCCTGAGGTCACCCCAGCAACGCAAAGCAGCTCCATGTGCCCCAAATCAACTCGAGATGAGGCCCGATTCCCCTGCATTGACTCCAGAGCCATTCCCCGTTCCCCATTCAACACGACCGGTGGCTCGACTTCCTTCAGGCAACTCCAGAGATGCCCCGAGAACACTGTCCCAAGTCTAGAGGAACACCAACTTCAGCATAGCAACTCGAGGAATGCTCCATGTACCCCAAATCGTCTGGAGATGAGAGCTGATTCCCTGGCTTAGGCTCAAGACGTATGCCAACTTTCCAGAAGCACCTCAGGAGGAGGCTTCTCTCAGCAATAGTTATGTGGGAGGGACCCCGAGATCGCTGCCTCAAGAGGAATATACAGCGAGAAGCCCTAACTTATAAGGAGGCCGGATTTCCTTGCAGTGGCTTGAATACAGGCTCGTCTTTGATCTCACAACATGAAGGCATGTCTGAATCCCCTGTGGAGACCTTAGAGAAAGCCCTAGGTCCCTGCCTCATTTTGACGGAATGCCTCACATCCCGTTGACACCTCGAGAGGCACGCGGAGTTCATTGCTTCAAAAGGTGACGATGCCTGACTCCTCTTGAATACTGATAGGAATCCCACAATCCCTGTGGCTACTGGAATGGGTCCTTGAGTGCCCTGCCTCACCTCGAGAAGCATCCCTTTTGCCCTGCCAAGCCTCGAAGAGATTCCTGAGGTGTCCCTCGTTACTAGACAGGAGTCCTGATGTCACTGAAGAAACTCGTGTTTTGAAGGGCCATCCCCGCCGTAAGTCGAGAACATACCCCAGGTCCCCGCCGCAAATCGAGAAAAACCATGAGACTTCCCCCTAGAGGCGAGATGAGGCCCTATTCCCCTGCAGTGCATGCAGAGCTATTCCGTGATCTCATTCAAACAAGTCAGGAGCTTCGACTTGCTTAATGGATCTCGAGACAGTCCCCAAGAACACTGTCACCAGTCTAGACGGACCCTGAGGTCACCCCAGCAACGCAAAGCAGCTCCATGTGCCCCAAATCAACTCGAGATGAGGCCCGATTCCCCTGCATTGACTCCATAGCCATTCCCCGTTCCCCATTCAACACGACCGGTGGCTCGACTTCCTTCAGGTAATAACAGAGATGCCCCGTGAACACTGTCCCAAGTCTAGAGGAACACCAACTTCAGCACAGCAACTCGAGGAATGCTCCATGTACCCCAAATCGTCTCGAGATGAGAGCTGATTCCCTGGTTTAGGCTCAAGACGTATGCCAAATTTCCAGAAGCACCTCAGGAGGAGGCTTCTCTCAGCAATATTTATGTGGGAGGGACCCCGAGATCGCTTCCTCAAGTGGAATATACAGCGAGAAGCCCTAACTTGAAAGAAGGCCGGATTTCCTTGCAGTGTCTTGAATGCAGGCTCGTCTTTTATCTCAAAACATGAAGGGATGTCTGAATCCCCTGTGGAGACCTTAGAGAAAGCCCTAGGTCCCTGCCTCATTTTGACGGAATGCCTCACATCCCATTGACCCCTCGAGAGGCACGCGGAGTTCATTGCCTCAAAAGGTGACGAGGCCTGACTCCTCTTGAATACTGAAGGGAATCCCAAAATCCCTGTGGGTACTAGAATGGGTCCTTGGGTGCCCTGCCTCACCTCGAGAAGCGTCCCTTTTGCCCTGCCAAGCATCGAAGAGATTCCTGAGGTGTCCTTCGTTAATAGACAGGAGTCCTGACATCATTGAAGAAACTCGTGTTTTGAATGGCCATCTCCGCCGTAAGTCGAGAACATACCCCAGGTCCCCGCCGCAATTCGAGAAAAACCATGAGACTTACCCCTAGAGGCGAGATGAGGCCCCATTCCCATGCAGTGCATGCAGAGCTATTCCGTGACCCCATTCAAACAAGTCAGGAGCTTCGACTTGCTTAATGGATCTCGAGACAGTCCCCAAGATCACTGTAACCAGTCTAGAAGGACCCTGACGTTACCCCAGCAACGCAATGCATCTCCATGTGCCCCAAATCAACTCGAGATGAAGCCTGATTCCCCTGCATTGACTCCAGAGCCATTCCCCGTTCCCCATTCAACACGACCGGTGGCTCGACTTCCTTCAGGCAACTCCAGAGATGCCACGAGAACACTGTCCCAAGTTTAGAGGAACACCACTTCAGCACAGCAACTCGAGGAATGCTCCATGTACCCCAAATCGTCTCGAGATGAGAGCTGATTCCCTGGCTTAGGCTCAAGACGTATGCCAACTTTCCAGAAGCACCTCAGGAGGAGGCTTCTCTCAGCAATAGCTATGTGGGAGGGACCCCGAGATCGCTGCCTCAAGGGGAATATACAGCGAGAAGCCCTAACTTGAAAGGAGCCCGGATTTCCTTGCAGTGGCTTGAATGCAGGCTCGTCTTTTATCTCAAAACATGAAGGGATGTCTGAATCCCCTGTGGAGACCTTAGAGAAAGCCCTAGGTCCCTGCCTCATTTTGACGGAATGCCACACATCCCATTGACACCTCGAGAGGCACGCGGAGTTCATTGCTTCAAAGGTGACGATGCCTGATTCCTCTTGAATACTGATAGGAATCCCAAAATCCCTGTGGCTACTGGAATGGGTCCTTGGGTTCCCAGCCTCACCTCGAGAAGCGTCCCTTTTGCCCTGCCAAGCCTCGAAGAGATTCCTGAGTTGTCCCTCGTTAATAGAAAGGAGTCCTGACGTCACTGAAGAAACTCGTGTTTTGAAGTGCCATCCCCGCCGTAAGTCGAGAACATACCCCAGGTCCCCGCCGCAACTCGAGAAAAACCATGAGACTTCCCCCTAGAGGCGAGATGAGGCCCCATTCCCCTGCAGTGCATGCAGAGCTATTACGTGATCCCATTCAAACAAGTCAGGAGCTTCGACTTGCTTAATGGATCTCGAGCCAGTCCCCAAGAACACTGTCACCAGTCTAGACGGACCCTGAGGTCACCCCAGCAACGCAAAGCAGCTCCAGGTGCCACAAATCAACTCGAGATGAGGCCCGATTCCCCTGCATTGACTCCAGAGCCATTCCCCGTTCCCCATTCAACACGACCGGTGGCTCGACTTCCTTCAGGCAACTCCAGACATGCCCCGAGAACACTGTCCCAAGTCTAGAGGAACACCAACTTCAGCATAGCAACTCGAGGAATGCTCCATGTACCCCAAATTGTCTGGAGATGAGAGCTGATTCCCTGGCTTGGGCTCAAGACTTATGCCAACTTTCCAGAAGCACCTCAGGAGGAGGCTTCTCTCAGCAATAGTTATGTGGGAGGGACCCCAAGATCGCTGCCTCAAGAGGAATATACAGCGAGAAGCCCTAACTTATAAGGAGGCCGGATTTCCTTGCAGTGGCTTGAATACAGGCTCGTCTTTGATCTCACAACATGAAGGCATGTCTGAATCCCCTGTGGAGACCTTAGAGAAAGCCCTAGGTCCCTGCCTCATTTTGACGGAATGCCTCACATCCCGTTGACACCTCGAGAGGCACGCGGAGTTCATTGCTTCAAAAGGTGACGATGCCTGATTCCTCTTGAATACTGATAGGAATCCCACAATCCCTGTGGCTACTGGAATGGGTCTTTGGGTGCCCTGCCTCACCTCGAGAAGCATCCCTTTTGCCCTGCCAAGCCTCGAAGAGATTCCTGAGGTGTCCCTCGTTACTAGACAGGAGTCCTGATGTCACTGAAGAAACTCGTGTTTTGAAGGGCCATCCCTGCCGTAAGTCGAGAACATAGCCCAGGTCCCCGCCGCAACTCGAGAAAAACCATAAGACTTCCCCCTAGAGGCGAGATGAGGCCCCATTCCCCTGCAGTGCATGCAGAGCTATTCCGTGATCCCATTCAAACAAGTCAGGAGCTTCGACTTGCTTAATGGATCTCGAGCCAGTCCCCAAGAACACTGTCACCAGTCTAGACGGACCCTGACGTCACCCCAGCAACGCAAAGCAGCTCCATGTGCCCCAAATCAACTCGAGATGAGGCCCGATTCCCCTGCATTGACTCCATAGCCATTCCCCGTTCCCCATTCAACACGACCGGTGGCTCGACTTCCTTCAGGCAATAACAGAGATGCCCCGTGAACACTGTCCCATGTCTAGAGGAACACCAACTTCAGCAGAGCAACTCGAGGAATGCTCCATGTACCCCAAATCGTCTCGAGATGAGAGCTGATTCCCTGGTTTAGGCTCAAGACGTATGCCAAATTTCCAGAAGCACCTCAGGAGGAGGCTTCTCTCAGCAATAGGTATGTGGGAGGGACCCAGAGATCGCTTCCTCAAGTGGAATATACAGCGAGAAGCCCTAACTTGAAAGAAGGCCGGATTTCCTTGCAGTGTCTTGAATGCAGGCTCGTCTTTTATCTCAAAACATGAAGGGATGTCTGAATCCCCTGTGGAGACCTTAGAGAAAGCCCTAGGTCTCTGCCTCATTTTGACGGAATGCCTCACATCCCATTGACACCTCGAGAGGCACGCGGAGTTCATTGCTTCAAAAGGTGACGAGGCCTGACTCCTCTTGAATACTGATAGGAATCCCAAAATCCCTGTGGGTACTGGAATGGGTCCTTGGGTGCCCTGCCTCACCTCGAGAAGCGTCCCTTTTGCCCTGCCAAGCCTCGAAGAGATTCCTGAGGTGTCCTTCGTTAATAGACAGTAGTCCTGACATCATTGAAGAAACTCGTGTTTTGAAGGGCCATCCCAGCCGTAAGTCGAGAACATACCCCAGGTCCCCGCCGCAATTCGAGAAAAACCATGAGACTTCCCCCTAGACGCGAGATGAGGCCCCATTCCCATGCAGTGCATGCAGAGCTATTCCGTGACCCCATTCAAACAAGTCAGGAGATTCGACTTGCTTAATGGATCTCGAGACAGTCCCCAAGAACACTGTAACCAGTCTAGAAGGACCCTGACGTTACCCAAGCAACGCAATGCAAATCCATGTGCCCCAAATCAACTCGAGATGAAGCCTGATTCCCCTGCATTGACTCCAGAGCCATTCCCCGTTCCCCATTCAACACGACCGGTGGCTCGACTTCCTTCAGGCAACTCCAGAGATGCCCCGAGAACACTGTCCCAAGTTTAGAGGAACACCACTTCAGCACAGCAACTCGAGGAATGCTCCGTGTACCCCAAATCGTCTCGAGATGAGAGCTGATTCCCTGGCTTAGGCTCAAGACGTATGCCAACTTTCCAGAAGCACCTCAGGAGGAGGCTTCTCTCAGCAATAGCTATGTGGGAGGGACCCCGAGATCGCTGCCTCAAGGGGAATATACAGCGAGAAGCCCTAACTTGAAAGGAGGCCGGATTTCCTTGCAGTGGCTTGAATGCACGCTCGTCTTTTATCTCAAAACATGAAGGGATGTCTGAATCCCCTGTGGAGACCTTAGAGAAAGCCCTATGTCCCTGCCTCATTTTGACGGAATGCCTCACATCCCATTGACACCTCGAGAGCCACGCGGAGTTCATTACTTCAAAGGTGACGATTCCTGATTCCTCTTGAATACTGATAGGAATCCCAAAATCCCTGTGGCTACTGGAATGGGTCCTTGGGTTCCCTGCCTCACCTCGAGAAGCGTCCCTTTTGCCCTGCCAAGCCTCGAAGAGATTCCTGAGTTGTCCCTCGTTAATAGAAAGGAGTCCTGACGTCACTGAAGAAACTCGTGTTTTGAAGGGCCATTCCCGCCGTAAGTCGAGAACATACCCCAGGTCCCCACCGCAACTCGAGAAAAACCATGAGACTTCCCCCTAGAGGCGAGATGAGGCCCCATTCCCCTGCAGTGCATGCAGAGCTATTCCGTGATCCCATTCAAACAAGTCAGGAGCTTCGACTTGCTTAATGGATCTCGAGCCAGTCCCCAAGAACACTGTCACCAGTCTAGACGGACCCTGAGGTCACCCCAGCAACGCAAAGCAGCTCCATGTGCCCCAAATCAACTCGAGATGAGGCCCGATTCCCCTGCATTGACTCCAGAGCCATTCCCCGTTCCCCATTCAACACGACCGGTGGCTCGACTTCCTTCAGGCAACTCCAGACATGCCCCGAGAACACTGTCCCAAGTCTAGAGGAACACCAACTTCAGCAGAGCAACTCGAGGAATGCTCCGTGTACCCCAAATCGTCTCGAGATGAGAGCTGATTCCCTGGCTTGGGCTCAAGACGTATGCCAACTTTCCAGAAGCACCTCAGGAGGAGGCTTATCTCAGCAGTAGGTATGTGGGAGGGACCCCGAGATCGCTGCCTCAAGGGGAATATACAGCGAGAAGCCCTAACTTATAAGGAGGCCGGATTTCCTTGCAGTGGCTTGAATACAGGCTCGTCTTTGATCTCACAACATGAAGGCATGTCTGAATCCCCTGTGGAGACCTTAGAGAAAGCCCTAGGTCCCTGCCTCATTTTGACGGAATGCCTCACATCCCGTTGACACCTCGAGAGGCACGCGGAGTTCATTGCTTCAAAAGATGACGATGCCTGACTCCTCTTGAATACTGATAGGAATCCCACAATCCCTGTGGCTACTGGAATGGGTCCTTGGGTGCCCTGCCTCACCTCGAGAAGCATCCCTTTTGCCCTGCCAAGCCTCGAAGAGATTCCTGAGGTGTCCCTCGTTACTAGATAGGAGTCCTGATGTCACTGAAGAAACTCGTGTTTTGAAGGGCCATCCCCGCCGTAAGTCGAGAACATACATCAGGTCCCCGCCGCAACTCGAGAAAAACCATGAGACTTCCCCCTAGAGGCGAGATGAGGCCCCATTCCCCTGCAGTGCATGCAGAGCTATTCCGTGACCCCATTCAAACAAGTCAGGAGCTTCGACTTGCTTAATGGATCTCGAGCCAGTCCCCAAGAACACTGTAACCAGTCTAGAAGGACACTGACATTACCCCAGCAACACAATGCAACTCCATGTGCCCCAAATCAACTCGAGATGAAGCCTGATTCCCCTGCATTGACTCCAGAGCCATTCCCCGTTCCCCATTCAACACGACTGGTGGCTCGACTTCCTTCAGGCAACTCCAGAGATGCCCCGAGAACACTGTCCCAAGTTTAGAGGAACACCAACTTCAGCACAGCAACTCGAGGAATGCTCCATGTACCCCAAATCGTCTCGAGATGAGAGCTGATTCCCTGGCTTAGGCTCAAGACGTATGCCAACTTTCCAGAAGCACCTCAGGAGGAGGCTTCTCTCAGCAATAGGTATGTGGGAGGGACCCCGAGATCGCTGCCTCAAGTGGAATATACAGCGAGAAGCCCTAACTTGAAAGGAGGCCGGATTTCCTTGCAGTGGCTTGAATACAGGCTCGTCTTTGATCTCACAACATGAAGGCATGTCTGAATCCCCTGTGGAGACCTTAGAGAAAGCCCTAGGTCCCTGCCTCATTTTGACGGAATGCCTCACATCCCGTTGACACCTCGAGAGGCACGCGGAGTTCATTGCTTCAAAAGGTGACGATGCCTGACTCCTCTTGAATACTGATGGGAATCCCACAATCCCTTTGGCTACTGGAATAGGTTCTTGGGTGCCCTGCCTCACCTCGAGAAGCGTCCCTTTTGCCCTGCCAAGCCTCGAAGAGATTCCTGAGGTGTCCCTCGTTACTAGACAGGAGTCCTGACGTCACTGAAGAAACTCGTGTTTTGAAGGGCCATCCCCGCCGTAAGTCGAGAACGTACCCCAGGTCCCCGCCGCAACTCGAGAAAATCCATGAGACTTCCCCCTAGAGGCGAGATGAGGCCCTATTCCCCTGCAGTGCATGCAGAGCTATTCCGTGATCCCATTCAAACAAGTCAGGAACTTCGACTTGCTTAATGGATCTCGAGACAGTCCCCAAGAACACTGTCACCAGTCTAGACGGACCCTGAGGTCACCCCAGCAACGCAAAGGAGCTCCATGTGCCCAAAATCAACTCGAGATGAGGCCCGATTCCCCTGCATTGACTCCATAGCCATTCCCCGTTCCCCATTCAACACGACCGGTGGCTCGACTTCCTTCAGGTAATAACAGAGATGCCCCGTGAACACTGTCCCAAGTCTAGAGGAACACCAACTTCAGCACAGCAACTCGAGGAATGCTCCATGTACCCCAAATCGTCTCGAGATGAGAGCTGATTCCCTGGTTTAGGCTCAAGACGTATGCCAAATTTCCAGAAGCACCTCAGGAGGAGGCTTCTCTCAGCAATATTTATGTGGGAGGGACCCCGAGATCGCTTCCTCAAGTGGAATATACAGCGAGAAGCCCTAACTTGAAAGAAGGCCGGATTTCCTTGCAGTGTCTTGAATGCAGGCTCGTCTTTTATCTCAAAACATGAAGGGATGTCTGAAGCCCCTGTGGAGACCTTAGAGAAAGCCCTAGGTCCCTGCCTCATTTTGACGGAATGCCTCACATCCCATTGACCCCTCGAGAGGCACGCGGAGTTCATTGCTTCAAAAGGTGACGAGGCCTGACTCCTCTTGAATACTGAAGGGAATCCCAAAATCCCTGTGGGTACTAGAATGGGTCCTTGGGTGCCCTGCCTCACCTCGAGAAGCGTCCCTTTTGCCCTGCCAAGCCTCGAAGAGATTCCTGAGGTGTCCTTCGTTAATAGACAGTAGTCCTGACATCATTGAAGAAACTCGTGTTTTGAAGGGCCATCCCCGCCGTAAGTCGAGAACATACCCCAGGTCCCTGCCGCAATTCGAGAAAAACCATGAGACTTCCCCCTAGAGGCGAGATGAGGCCCCATTCCCATGCAGTGCATGCAGAGCTATTCCGTGACCCCATTCAAACAAGTCAGGAGCTTCGACTTGCTTAATGGATCTCGAGACTGTCCCCAAGATCACTGTAACCAGTCTAGAAGGACCCTGACGTTACCCAAGCAACGCAATGCATCTCCATGTGCCCCAAATCAACTCGAGATGAAGCCTGATTCCCCTGCATTGACTCCAGAGCCATTCCCCGTTCCCCATTCAACACGACCGGTGGCTCGACTTCCTTCAGGCAACTCCAGAGATGCCCCGAGAACACTGTCCCAAGTTTAGAGGAACACCACTTCAGCACAGCAACTCGAGGAATGTTCCATGTACCCCAAATCGTCTCGAGATGAGAGCCGATTCCCTGGCTTAGGCTCAAGACGTATGCCAACTTTCCAGAAGCACCTCAGGAGGAGGCTTCTCTCAGCAATAGCTATGTGGGAGGGACCCCGAGATCGCTGCCTGAAGGGGAATATACAGCGAGAAGCCCTAACTTGAAAGGAGCCCGGATTTCCTTGCAGTGGCTTGAATGCAGGCTCGTCTTTTATCTCAAAACATGAAGGGATGTCTGAATCCCCTGTGGAGACCTTAGAGAAAGCCCTAGGTCCCTGCCTCATTTTGACGGAATGCCACACATCCCATTGACACCTCGAGAGGCACGCGGAGTTCATTGCTTCAAAGGTGACGATGCCTGATTCCTCTTGAATACTGATAGGAATCCCAAAATCCCTGTGGCTACTGGAATGGGTCCTTGGGTTCCCTGCCTCACCTCGAGAAGCGTCCCTTTTGCCCTGCCAAGCCTCGAAGAGATTCCTGAGTTGTCCCTCGTTAATAGAAAGGAGTCCTGACGTCACTGAAGAAACTCGTGTTTTGAAGGGCCATTCCCGCCGTAAGTCGAGAACATACCCCAGGTCCCAGCCGCAACTCGGGAAAAACCATGAGACTTCCCCCTAGAGGCGAGATGAGGCCCCATTCCCCTGCAGTGCATGCACAGCTATTCCGTGATCCCATTCAAACAAGTCAGGAGCTTCGACTTGCTTAATGGATCTCGAGAGAGTCCCCAAGAACACTGTCACCAGTCTAGACGGACCCTGAGGTCACCCCAGCCACGCAAAGCAGCTCCATGTGCCCCAAATCAACTCGAGATAAGGCCCGATTCCCCTGCATTGACTCCAGAGCCATTCCCTGTTCCCCATTCAACACGACCGGTGGCGAGACTTCCTTCAGGCAATAACAGAGATGCCCCGTGAACACTGTCCCAAGTCTAGAGGAACACCAACTTCAGCACAGCAACTCGAGGAATGCTCCATGTACCCCAAATCGTCTCGAGATGAGAGCTGATTCCCTGGCTTAGGCTCAAGACGTATGCCAACTTTCCAGAAGCACCTCAGGAGGAGGCTTCTCTCAGCAATAGGTTTGTGGGAGGGACCCCGAGATCGCTGCCTCAAGTGGAATATACAGCGAGAATCCCTAACTTGAAAGGAGGCCGGATTTCCTTGCAGTGGCTTGAATACAGGCTCGTCTTTGATCTCACAACATGAAGGCATGTCTGAATCCCCTGTGGAGACCTTAGAGAAAGCCCTAGGTCCCTGCCTCATTTTGACGGAATGCCTCACATCCCGTTGACACCTCGAGAGGCACTCGGAGTTCATTGCTTCAAAACGTGACGATGCCTGACTCCTGTTGAATACTGATAAGAATACCAAAATCCCTGTGGCTACTGGAATGGGTCCTTGGGTGCCCTGCCTCACCTCGAGAAGCGTCCCTTTTGCCCTGCCAAGCCTCGAAGAGATTCCTGAGGTGTCCCTCGTTACTAGACAGGAGTCCTGACGTCACTGAAGAAACTCGTGTTTTGAAGGGCCATCCCCGCCGTAAGTCGAGAACGTACCCCAGGTCCCCGCCGCAACTCGAGAAAATTGAGACTTCCCCCTAGGGGCGAGATGAGGCCCCATTCCCATTCAGTGCATGCAGAGCTATTCCGTGATCCCATTCAAACAAGTCAGGAGCTTCGACTTGCTTAATGGATCTCGAGCCAGTCCCCAAGAACACTGTCACCAGTCTAGACGGACCCTGAGGTCACCCCAGCAATGCAAAGCAGCTCCATGTGCCCCAAAGCAACTCGAGATGAGGCCCGATTCCCCTGCATTGACTCCAGAGCCATTCCCCGTTCCCCATTCAACACGACCGGTGGCTCGACTTCCTTCAGGCAACTCCAGAGATGCCCCAAGAACACTGTCTCAAGTCTAGAGGAACACCAACTTCAGCATAGCAACTCGAGGAATGCTCCGTGTACCCCAAATCGTCTCGAGATGAGAGCTGATTCCCTGGCTTAGGCTCAAGACGTATGCCAACTTTCCAGAAGCACCTCAGGAGGAGGCTTCTCTCAGCAATAGGTATGTGGGAGGGACCCCGAGATCGCTGCCTCAAGTGGAATATACAGCGAGAAGCCCCAACTTGAAAGGAGGCCGGATTTCCTTGCAGTGGCTTGAATACAGGCTCGTCTTTGATCTCACAACATGAAGGCATGTCTGAATCCCCTGTGGAGACCTTAGAGAAAGCCCTAGGTCCCTGCCTCATTTTGACGGAATGCCTCACATCCCGTTGACACCTCGAGAAGCACGCGGAGTTCATTGCTTCAAAAGGTGACGATGCCTGACTCCTCTTGAATACTGATAGGAATCCCAAAATCCCTGTGGCTACTGGAAAGGGTCCTTGGGTGCCCTGCCTCACCTCGAGAAGCGTCCCTTTTGCCCTGCCAAGCCTCGAAGAGATTCCTGAGGTGTCCCTCGTTACTAGACAGGAGTCCTGATGTCACTGAAGAAACTCGTGTTTTGAAGGGCCATCCCCGCTGTAAGTCGAGAACATAACCCAGGTCGCCTCCGCAACTCGAGAAAATCCATGAGACTTCCCCCTAGAGGCGAGATGAGGCCCCATTCCCCTGCAGGGCATGCAGAGCTATTCCGTGATCCCATTCAAACAAGTCAGGAGCTTCGACTTGCTTACTGGATCTCGAACCAGTCCCCAAGAACACTGTCACCAGTCTAGACGGAACCTGAGGTCACCCCAGCAATGCAAAGCAGCTCCATGTGCCCCAAATCAACTCGAGATGAGGCACGATTCCCCTGCATTGACACCAGAGCCATTCCCCGTTCCCCATTCAACAAGACCGGTGGCTCGACTATCTTCAGGCAACTCCAGAGATGCCCCGAGAACACTGTCCCAAGTCTAGAGGAACACCAACTTCAGCACAGCAACTCGAGGAATGCTCCGTGTACCCCAAATCGTCTCGAGATGAGAGCTGATTCCCTGGCTTAGGCTCAAGACGTATGCCAACTTTCCAGAAGCACCTCAGGAGGAGGCTTCTCTCAGCAATAGGTATGTGGGAGGGACCCCGAGATCGCTGCGTCAAGTGGAATATACAGCGAGATGCCCTAACTTGAAAGGAGGCCGTATTTCCTTGCAGTGGCTTGAATACAGGTTTGTCTTTGATCTCACAACATGAAGGCATGTTTGAATGCCCTGTGGAGATCTTAGAGAAAGCCCTAAATCCCTGCGTCATTTTGACGGAATGCCTCACATCCCGTTGACACCTCGAGAGGCACGCGGAGTTCATTGCTTCAAAAGGTGACGATGCCTGACTCCTCTTGAATACTGATAGGAATCCCAAAATCCCTGTGGCTACTGGAAAGGGTACTTGGGTGCCCTGCCTCACCTCAAGAAGCGTCCCTTTTGCCCTACCAAGCCTCGAAGAGATTCCTGAGGTGTCCCTCGTTACTAGACAGGAGTCCTGACGTCACTGAAGAAACTCGGGTTTTGAAGGGCCATCCCCGCCATAAGTCGAGAACATACCCCAGGTCCCCGCCGCAACTCGAGAAAAACCATGAGACTTCCCGCTAGAGGTGAGATGAGGCCCCATTCCCCTGCAGTGCATGCAGAGCTATTCCGTGATCCCATTCAAACAAGTCAGGAGCCTCGACTTGCTTAATGGATCTCGAGACAGTCCCCAAGAACACTGTCACCAGTCTAGACGGACCCTGAGGTCACCCCAGCAGCGCAGAGCAGCTCCATGTGCCCCAAATCAACTCGAGATGAGGCCCGATTCCCCTGCATTGGCTCCAGAGCCATTCCCCGTTCCCCATTCAACACGACCGGCGGCTCGACTTCCTTCAGGCAACTCCAGAGATGCCCCGAGAACACTGTCCCAAGTTTAGAGGAACACCACTTCAGCACAGCAACTCGAGGAATGTTCCATGTACCCCAAATCGTCTCGAGATGAGAGCTGATTCCCTGGCTTAGGCTCAAGACGTATGCCAACTTTCCAGAAGCACCTCAGGAGGGGCTTCTCTCAGCAATAGGTATGTGGAAGGGACCCCGAGATCGCTGCCTCAAGGGGAATATACTGCGAGAAGCCCTAACTTGAAAGGAGCCCGGATTTCTTTGCAGTGGCTTGAATACAGGCTCGTCTTTGATCTCACAACATGAAGGCATGTCAGAATCCCCTGTGTAGACCTTAGAGAAAGCCCTAGGTCCCTGCCTCATTTTGACGGAATGCCTCACATCCCGTTGACACCTCGAGAGGCACGCGGAGTTCATTGCTTCAAAGGTGACGATGCCTGATTCCTCTTGAATACTGATAGGAATCCCAAAATCCCTGTGGCTACTGGAATGGGTCCTTGGGTGCCCTGCCTCACCTCGAGAAGCGTCCCTTTTGCCCTGCCAAGCCTCGAAGAGATTCCTGAGTTGTCCCTCGTTACTAGACAGGAGTCCTGACGTCACTGAAGAAACTCGTGTTTTGAAGGGCCATCCCCGCCGTAAGTCGAGAACATACCCCAGGTCCCCGAGGCAACTCGAGAAAAACCATGAGACTTCCCCCTAGAGGCGAGATGAGGCCCCATTCCCCTGCAGTGCATGCAGAGCTATTCCGTGATCCCATTCAAACAAGTCAGGATTTTCGACTTGCTTAATGGATCTCGAGACAGTCCCCAAGAACACTGTGACCAGTCTAGACGGACCCTGAGGTCACCCCAGCAACGCAAAGCAGCTCCAGGTGCCCCAAATCAACTCGAGATGAGGCCCGATTCCCCTGCATTGACTCCAGAGCCATTCCCCGTTCCCCATTCAACACGGACGGTGGCTCGACTTCCTTCAGGCAACTCCAGAGTTGCCCCTTGAACACTGTCCCAAGTCTAGAGGAACACCAACTTCAGCACAGTAACTCGAGGAATGCTCCGTGAACCCCAAATCGTCTCGAGATTAGATCTGATTCCCTGGCTTAGGCTCAAGACATAAGCCAACTTTCCAGAAGCACCTCAGGATGAGGCTTCTCTCAGCAATAGGTGTGTGGGAGGGACCCCAAGATCGCTGCCTCAAGTGGAATATACAGCGAGAAGCCCTAACTTGAAAGGAGGCCGGATTTCCTTGCAGTTGATTGAATACAAGCTTGTCTTTCATCTCACAACATGAAGGCATGTCTGAATCCCCTGTGGAGACCTTAGAGAAAGCCCTAGGTCCCTGCCTCATTATGACGGAATGCGTCACATCCCGTTGACACCTCGAGAGGCACGCAGAGTTCATTGCTTCAAAAGGTGACGATGCCTGACTCCTCTTGAATATTGATAGGAATCCCAAAATCCCTGTGGCTACTGGAAAGGGTCCTTGGGTGCCCTGCCTCACCTCGAGAAGCGTCCCTTTGCCCTGCAAAGCCTCGAAGAAATTCCTGAGGTGTCCCTCGTTACGAGACAGGAGTCATGACGTCACTGAAGAAAATCGTGTTTTGAAGGGCCATCCCCGCCGTAAGTCGAGAACATACCCCAGGTCCCCGCCGCAACTCGAGAAAAACCATGAGACTTCCCCCTAGAGGCGAGATGAGGCCCCACTCCCCTGCAGTGCATGCAGAGCTATTCCGTGATCCCATTCAAACAAGTCACGAGCTTCGACGTGCTTAATGGATCTCGAGACAGTCCCCAAAAACACTGTCACCAGTCTAGACGGACCCTGAGGTCACCCCAGCCACGCAAAGCAGCTCCATGTGCCCCAAATCAACTCGAGATAAGGCCCGATTCCCCTGCATTGACTCCAGAGCCATTCCCTGTTCCCCATTCAACACGACCGGTGGCGAGACTTCCTTCAGGCAATAACAGAGATGCCCCGTGAACACTGTCCCAAGTCTAGAGGAACACCAACTTCAGCACAGCAACTCGAGGAATGCTCCATGTACCCCAAATCGTCTCGAGATGAGAGCTGATTCCCTGGCTTAGGCTCAAGACGTATGCCAACTTTCCAGAAGCACCTCAGGAGGAGGCTTCTCTCAGCAATAGGTTTGTGGGAGGGACCCCGAGATCGCTGCCTCAAGTGGAATATACAGCGAGAATCCCTAACTTGAAAGGAGGCCGGATTTCCTTGCAGTGGCTTGAATACAGGCTCGTCTTTGATCTCACAACATGAAGGCATGTCTGAATCCCCTGTGGAGACCTTAGAGAAAGCCCTAGGTCCCTGCCTCATTTTGACGGAATGCCTCACATCCCGTTGACACCTCGAGAGGCACTCGGAGTTCATTGCTTCAAAACGTGACGATGCCTGACTCCTGTTGAATACTGATAAGAATACCAAAATCCCTGTGGCTACTGGAATGGGTCCTTGGGTGCCCTGCCTCACCTCGAGAAGCGTCCCTTTTGCCCTGCCAAGCCTCGAAGAGATTCCTGAGGTGTCCCTCGTTACTAGACAGGAGTCCTGACGTCACTGAAGAAACTCGTGTTTTGAAGGGCCATCCCCGCCGTAAGTCGAGAACGTACCCCAGGTCCCCGCCGCAACTCGAGAAAATTGAGACTTCCCCCTAGGGGCGAGATGAGGCCCCATTCCCATTCAGTGCATGCAGAGCTATTCCGTGATCCCATTCAAACAAGTCAGGAGCTTCGACTTGCTTAATGGATCTCGAGCCAGTCCCCAAGAACACTGTCACCAGTCTAGACGGACCCTGAGGTCACCCCAGCAATGCAAAGCAGCTCCATGTGCCCCAAAGCAACTCGAGATGAGGCCCGATTCCCCTGCATTGACTCCAGAGCCATTCCCCGTTCCCCATTCAACACGACCGGTGGCTCGACTTCCTTCAGGCAACTCCAGAGATGCCCCAAGAACACTGTCTCAAGTCTAGAGGAACACCAACTTCAGCATAGCAACTCGAGGAATGCTCCGTGTACCCCAAATCGTCTCGAGATGAGAGCTGATTCCCTGGCTTAGGCTCAAGACGTATGCCAACTTTCCAGAAGCACCTCAGGAGGAGGCTTCTCTCAGCAATAGGTATGTGGGAGGGACCCCGAGATCGCTGCCTCAAGTGGAATATACAGCGAGAAGCCCCAACTTGAAAGGAGGCCGGATTTCCTTGCAGTGGCTTGAATACAGGCTCGTCTTTGATCTCACAACATGAAGGCATGTCTGAATCCCCTGTGGAGACCTTAGAGAAAGCCCTAGGTCCCTGCCTCATTTTGACGGAATGCCTCACATCCCGTTGACACCTCGAGAAGCACGCGGAGTTCATTGCTTCAAAAGGTGACGATGCCTGACTCCTCTTGAATACTGATAGGAATCCCAAAATCCCTGTGGCTACTGGAAAGGGTCCTTGGGTGCCCTGCCTCACCTCGAGAAGCGTCCCTTTTGCCCTGCCAAGCCTCGAAGAGATTCCTGAGGTGTCCCTCGTTACTAGACAGGAGTCCTGATGTCACTGAAGAAACTCGTGTTTTGAAGGGCCATCCCCGCTGTAAGTCGAGAACATAACCCAGGTCGCCTCCGCAACTCGAGAAAATCCATGAGACTTCCCCCTAGAGGCGAGATGAGGCCCCATTCCCCTGCAGGGCATGCAGAGCTATTCCGTGATCCCATTCAAACAAGTCAGGAGCTTCGACTTGCTTACTGGATCTCGAACCAGTCCCCAAGAACACTGTCACCAGTCTAGACGGAACCTGAGGTCACCCCAGCAACGCAAAGCAGCTCCATGTGCCCCAAATCAACTCGAGATTAGGCCCGATTCCCCTGCATTGACTCCAGAGCCATTCCCCGTTCCCCATTCAACACGACCGGTGGCGCGACTTCCTTTAGGCATCTCCAGAGATGCCCTGAGAACACTCTCCCAAGTCTAGAGTCACACCAACTTCAGCACAGCAACTCGAGGAAAGCTCCGTGTACCCCAAATCGTCTCGAGATGAGAGCTGATTCACTGGCTTAGGCTCAAGACGTATGCCAACTTTCTAGAAGCACCTCAGGAGGAGGCTTCTCTCAGCAATAGGTATGTGGGAGGGACCCCGAGATCGCTGCCTCAAGTGGAATATACAGCGAGAAGCCCTAACTTGAAAGGAGGTCGGATTTCCTTCCAGTGGCTTGAATACAGGCTCGTCTTTGATCTCACAACATGAAGGCATGTCTGAATCCCCTGTGGAGACCTTAGAGAAAGCCCTAGGTCCCTGCCTCATTTTGACGGAATGCCTCACATCCCGTTGACACCTCGAGAGGCACGCGGAGTTCATTGCTTCAAAACGTGACGATGCCTGACTCCTCTTGAATACTGATAGGAATCCCACAATCCCTGTGGCTACTGGAATGGGTTCCTGGGTGCCCTGCCTCACCTCGAGAAGCATCCCTTTTGCCCTGCCAAGCGTCGAAGAGATTCCTGAGGTGTCCCTCGTTACTAGACAGGAGTCCTGATGTCACTGAAGAAACTCTTGTTTTGAAGGGCCATCCCCGCCGTAAGTCGAGAACATACCCCAGGTCCCCGCCGCAACTCGAGAAAAACCATGAGACTTCCCCCTAGAGGCGAGATGAGGCCCCATTCCCCTGCAGTGCATGCAGAGCTATTCCGTGATCCCATTCAAACAAGTCAGGAGCTTCGACTTGCTTAATGGATCTCGAGACAGTCCCCAAGAACACTGTCACCATTCTAGACGGACCCTGAGGTCAACCCAGCAACGGAAAGCAGCTCCATGTGCCCCAAATCAACTCGAGATGAGGCCCGATTCCCCTGCATTGACTCCAGAGCCATTACCCGTTCCCCATTCAACACGACCGGTGGCTCGACTTCCTTCAGGCAATAACAGTGATGCCCAGTGTACACTGTCCCAAGTCTAGAGGAACACAAACTTCAGCACAGCAACTCGAGGAATGATCCATGTACCCCAAATCGTCTCGAGTTGAGAGCTGATTCCCTGGCTTAGGCTCAAGACGTATGCCAACTTTCCAGAAGCACCTCAGGAGGAGGCTTCTCTCAGCAATAGGTATGTGGGAGGGACCCAGAGATCGCTGCCTCAAGTGGAATATAGAGCGAGAAGCCCTAACTTGAAAGGAGGCCGGATTTCCTTGCAGTGGCTTGAATACAGGCTCGTCTTTAATCTCAAAACATGAAGGGATGTCTGAATCCCCTGAGGAGACCTTTGAGAAAGCCCTAGGTCCCTGCCTCATTTTGTCGGAATGCCTCACATCCCGTTGACACCTTGAGAGGCACGCAGAGTTCATTGCTTCAAAAGGTGACGATGCCTGACTCCTCTTGAATACTGATAGGAATCCGAGAATCCCTGTGGCTACTGGAAAGGGTCCTTGGGTGCCCTCTCTCACCTCGAGAAGCGTACCTTTTGCCCTGCCAAGCCTCGAAGAGATTCCTGAGGCTTCCCTCGTTACGAGACAGGAGTCCTGATGTCACTGAAGAAACTCGTGTTTTGAAGGGCCATCCCCGCCGTAAGTCGAGAACATACCCCAGGTCCCCGCCGCAACTCAAGAAAAACCATGAGACTTCCCCCTAGAGGCGAGATGAGGCCCCATTCCCCTGCAGTGCATGCAGATCTATTCCGTGATCCCATTCAAACAAGTCAGGAGCTTCGACATGCTTAATGGATCTCGAGACAGTCCCCAAGAACACTGTCACCAGTCTAGACGGACCCTGAGGTCAACCCAGCAACACAAAGCAACTCCATGTGCCCCAAATCAACTCGAGATGAGGCCCGATTCCCCTGCATTGACTCCAGAGCCATTCCCCGTTCCCCATTCAACACGACCGGTGGCTCGACTTCCTTCAGGAAACTCCAGAGATGCCCCGAGAACACTGTCCCAAGTTTAGAGGAACACCAACTTCAGCACAGCAACTCGAGGAATGCTCCATGTACCCCAAATCGTCTCGAGATGAGAGCTGATTTCCTTGCTTAGGCTCAAGACGTACGCCAACTTTCCAGAAGCACCTCAGGAGGCTTCTCTCAGCAATAGGTATGTGGGACGGACCCCGAGATCGCTGCCTCAAATGGAATATACAGCGAGATGCCCTAACTTGAAAGGAGGCCGTATTTCCTTGCAGTGGCTTGAATACAGGCTTGTCTTTGATCTCACAACATGAAGGCATGTCTGAATCCCCTGTGGAGATCTTAGAGAAAGCCCTAGATCCCTGCGTCATTTTGACGGAATGCCTCACATCCCGTTGACACCTCGATAGGCACGCGGAGTTCATTGCTTCAAAAGGTGACGATGCCTGACTCCTCTTGAATACTTATAGGAATCCCAAAATCCCTGTGGCTACTGGAAAGGGTACTTGGGTGCCCTGCCTCACCTCGAGAAGCGTCCCTTTTGCCCTGCCAAGCCTCGAAGAGATTCCTGAGGTGTCCCTCGTTACTAGACAGGAGTCCTGACGTCACTGAAGAAACTCGTGTTTTGAAGGGCCATCCCCGCCGTAAGTCGAGACCATACCCAAGGTCCCCCCGGAACTCGAGAAAAACCATGAGACTTCCCCCTAGAGGCGAGATGAGGCCCCATTCCCCTGCAGTGCATGCACAGCTATTCCGTGATTCCATTCAAACAAGTCAGGAGCTTCGACTTGCTTAATGGATCTCGAGACAGTCCCCAAGAACACTGTCACCAGTCTAGACGGACCCTGAGGTCACCCCAGCAACGCAAAGCAGCTCCATGTGCCCCAAATCAACTCGAGATGAGGCCCGATTCCCCTGCATTGACTCCAGAGCCATTCCCCGTTCCCCATTTATCACGACTGGTGGCTTGACTTCCTTCAGGCAACTCCAGAGATGCCACGAGAACACTATCCCAAGTCTAGAGGAACACCAACTTCAGCAGAGCAACTCGAGGAATGGTCCGTGTACCCCAAATCGTCTCGAGATGAGAGCTGATTCCCTGGCTTAGGCTCAAGACGTATGCCAACTTTCCAGAAGCACCTCAGGAGGAGGCTTCTCTCAGCAATAGGTATGTGGGAGGGACCCCGAGATCGCTGCCTCAAGTGGAATATACAGCGAGAAGCCCTAACTTGAAAGGAGGCCGGATTTCCTTGCAGTGTCTTGAATACAGGCTCGTCTTTGATCTCACAACATGAAGGCATGTCTGAATCCCCTGTGGAGACCTTAGAGAAAGCCCTACTTCCCTGCCTCATTTTGACGGAATGCCTCACATCCCGTTGACACCTCGAGAGGCACGCGGAGTTCATTGCTTCAAAAGGTGACGATGCCTGACTCCTCTTGAATACTGATGGGAATCCCACAATCCCTGTGGCTACTGGAATGGGTTCTTGGGTGCCCTGCCTCACCTCGAGACGCGTCCCTTTTGCCCTGCCAAGCCTCGAAGAGATTCCTGAGGTGTCCCTCGTTACGAGACAGGAGTCCTGACGTCACTGAAGAAACTCGTGTTTTGAAGGGCCATCCCCGCCGTAAGTCGAGAACATACCCCAGGTCCCCGCCGCAACTCGAGAAAATCCATGAGACTTCCCCCTAGAGGCGAGATGAGGCCCCATTCCCATTCAGTGCATGCAGAGCTATTCCGTGATCCCATTCAAACAAGTCAGGAGCTTCGACTTGCTTAATGGATCTCGAGCCAGTCCCCAAGAACACTGTCACCAGTCTAGACGGACCCTGAGGTCACCCCAGCAACGCAAAGCAGCTCCATGTGCCCCAAATCAACTCGAGATGAGGCCCGATTCCCCTGCATTGACTCCAGAGCCATTCCCCGTTCCCCATTCAACACGACCGGTGGCTCGACTTCCTTCAGGCAACTCCAGAGATGCCCCGAGAACACTGTCCCAAGTCTAGAGGAACACCAACTTCAGCATAGCAACTCGAGGAATGCTCCATGTACCCCAAATCGTCTGGAGATGAGAGCTGATTCCCTGGCTTAGGCTCAAGACGTATGCCAACTTTCCAGAAGCACCTCAGGAGGAGGCTTCTCTCAGCAATAGTTATGTGGGAGGGACCCCGAGATCGCTGCCTCAAGGGGAATATACAGCGAGAAGCCCTAACTTATAAGGAGGCCGGATTTCCTTGCAGTGGCTTGAATACAGGCTCGTCTTTGATCTCACAACATGAAGGCATGTCTGAATCCCCTGTGGAGACCTTAGAGAAAGCCCTAGGTCCCTGCCTCATTTTGACGGAATGCCTCACATCCCGTTGACACCTCGAGAGGCACGCGGAGTTCATTGCTTCAAAAGGTGACGATGCCTGACTCCTCTTGAATACTGATAGGAATCCCACAATCCCTGTGGCTACTGGAATGGGTCCTTGAGTGCCCTGCCTCACCTCGAGAAGCATCCCTTTTGCCCTGCCAAGCCTCGAAGAGATTCCTGAGGTGTCCCTCGTTACTAGACAGGAGTCCTGATGTCACTGAAGAAACTCGTGTTTTGAAGGGCCATCCCCGCCGTAAGTCGAGAACATACCCCAGGTCCCCGCCGCAAATCGAGAAAAACCATGAGACTTCCCCCTAGAGGCGAGATGAGGCCCTATTCCCCTGCAGTGCATGCAGAGCTATTCCGTGATTTCATTCAAACAAGTCAGGAGCTTCGACTTGCTTAATGGATCTCGAGACAGTCCCCAAGAACACTGTCACCAGTCTAGACGGACCCTGAGGTCACCCCAGCAACGCAAAGCAGCTCCATGTGCCCCAAATCAACTCGAGATGAGGCCCGATTCCCCTGCATTGACTCCATAGCCATTCCCCGTTCCCCATTCAACACGACCGGTGGCTCGACTTCCTTCAGGTAATAACAGAGATGCCCCGTGAACACTGTCCCAAGTCTAGAGGAACACCAACTTCAGCACAGCAACTCGAGGAATGCTCCATGTACCCCAAATCGTCTCGAGATGAGAGCTGATTCCCTGGTTTAGGCTCAAGACGTATGCCAAATTTCCAGAAGCACCTCAGGAGGAGGCTTCTCTCAGCAATATTTATGTGGGAGGGACCCCGAGATCGCTTCCTCAAGTGGAATATACAGCGAGAAGCCCTAACTTGAAAGAAGGCCGGATTTCCTTGCAGTGTCTTGAATGCAGGCTCGTCTTTTATCTCAAAACATGAAGGGATGTCTGAATCCCCTGTGGAGACCTTAGAGAAAGCCCTAGGTCCCTGCCTCATTTTGATGGAATGCCTCACATCCCATTGACCCCTCGAGAGGCACGCGGAGTTCATTGCCTCAAAAGGTGACGAGGCCTGACTCCTCTTGAATACTGAAGGGAATCCCAAAATCCCTGTGGGTACTAGAATGGGTCCTTGGGTGCCCTGCCTCACCTCGAGAAGCGTCCCTTTTGCCCTGCCAAGCATCGAAGAGATTCCTGAGGTGTCCTTCGTTAATAGACAGGAGTCCTGACATCATTGAAGAAACTCGTGTTTTGAATGGCCATCTCCGCCGTAAGTCGAGAACATACCCCAGGTCCCCGCCGCAATTCGAGAAAAACCATGAGACTTACCCCTAGAGGCGAGATGAGGCCCCATTCCCATGCAGTGCATGCAGAGCTATTCCGTGACCCCATTCAAACAAGTCAGGAGCTTCGACTTGCTTAATGGATCTCGAGACAGTCCCCAAGATCACTGTAACCAGTCTAGAAGGACCCTGACGTTACCCCAGCAACGCAATGCATCTCCATGTGCCCCAAATCAACTCGAGATGAAGCCTGATTCCCCTGCATTGACTCCAGAGCCATTCCCCGTTCCCCATTCAACACGACCGGTGGCTCGACTTCCTTCAGGCAACTCCAGAGATGCCACGAGAACACTGTCCCAAGTTTAGAGGAACACCACTTCAGCACAGCAACTCGAGGAATGCTCCATGTACCCCAAATCGTCTCGAGATGAGAGCTGATTCCCTGGCTTAGGCTCAAGACGTATGCCAACTTTCCAGAAGCACCTCAGGAGGAGGCTTCTCTCAGCAATAGCTATGTGGGAGGGACCCCGAGATCGCTGCCTCAAGGGGAATATACAGGGAGAAGCCCTAACTTGAAAGGAGCCCGGATTTCCTTGCAGTGGCTTGAATGCAGGCTCGTCTTTTATCTCAAAACATGAAGGGATGTCTGAATCCCCTGTGGAGACCTTAGAGAAAGCCCTAGGTCCCTGCCTCATTTTGACGGAATGCCACACATCCCATTGACACCTCGAGAGGCACGCGGGGTTCATTGCTTCAAAGGTGACGATGCCTGATTCCTCTTGAATACTGATAGGAATCCCAAAATCCCTGTGGCTACTGGAATGGGTCCTTGGGTTCCCAGCCTCACCTCGAGAAGCGTCCCTTTTGCCCTGCCAAGCCTCGAAGAGATTCCTGAGTTGTCCCTCGTTAATAGAAAGGAGTCCTGACGTCACTGAAGAAACTCGTGTTTTGAAGTGCCATCCCCGCCGTAAGTCGAGAACATACCCCAGGTCCCCGCCGCAACTCGAGAAAAACCATGAGACTTCCCCCTAGAGGCGAGATGAGGCCCCATTCCCCTGCAGTGCATGCAGAGCTATTACGTGATCCCATTCAAACAAGTCAGGAGCTTCGACTTGCTTAATGGATCTCGAGCCAGTCCCCAAGAACACTGTCACCAGTCTAGACGGACCCTGAGGTCACCCCAGCAACGCAAAGCAGCTCCAGGTGCCCCAAATCAACTCGAGATGAGGCCCGATTCCCCTGCATTGACTCCAGAGCCATTCCCCGTTCCCCATTCAACACGACCGGTGGCTCGACTTCCTTCAGGCAACTCCAGACATGCCCCGAGAACACTGTCCCAAGTCTAGAGGAACACCAACTTCAGCATAGCAACTCGAGGAATGCTCCATGTACCCCAAATTGTCTGGAGATGAGAGCTGATTCCCTGGCTTGGGCTCAAGACTTATGCCAACTTTCCAGAAGCACCTCAGGAGGAGGCTTCTCTCAGCAATAGTTATGTGGGAGGGACCCCAAGATCGCTGCCTCAAGAGGAATATACAGCGAGAAGCCCTAACTTATAAGGAGGCCGGATTTCCTTGCAGTGGCTTGAATACAGGCTCGTCTTTGATCTCACAACATGAAGGCATGTCTGAATCCCCTGTGGAGACCTTAGAGAAAGCCCTAGGTCCCTGCCTCATTTTGACGGAATGCCTCACATCCCGTTGACACCTCGAGAGGCACGCGGAGTTCATTGCTTCAAAAGGTGACGATGCCTGATTCCTCTTGAATACTGATAGGAATCCCACAATCCCTGTGGCTACTGGAATGGGTCTTTGGGTGCCCTGCCTCACCTCGAGAAGCATCCCTTTTGCCCTGCCAAGCCTCGAAGAGATTCCTGAGGTGTCCCTCGTTACTAGACAGGAGTCCTGATGTCACTGAAGAAACTCGTGTTTTGAAGGGCCATCCCTGCCGTAAGTCGAGAACATAGCCCAGGTCCCCGCCGCAACTCGAGAAAAACCATAAGACTTCCCCCTAGAGGCGAGATGAGGCCCCATTCCCCTGCAGTGCATGCAGAGCTATTCCGTGATCCCATTCAAACAAGTCAGGAGCTTCGACTTGCTTAATGGATCTCGAGCCAGTCCCCAAGAACACTGTCACCAGTCTAGACGGACCCTGACGTCACCCCAGCAACGCAAAGCAGCTCCATGTGCCCCAAATCAACTCGAGATGAGGCCCGATTCCCCTGCATTGACTCCATAGCCATTCCCCGTTCCCCATTCAACACGACCGGTGGCTCGACTTCCTTCAGGCAATAACAGAGATGCCCCGTGAACACTGTCCCAAGTCTAGAGGAACACCAACTTCAGCAGAGCAACTCGAGGAATGCTCCATGTACCCCAAATCGTCTCGAGATGAGAGCTGATTCCCTGGTTTAGGCTCAAGACGTATGCCAAATTTCCAGAAGCACCTCAGGAGGAGGCTTCTCTCAGCAATAGGTATGTGGGAGGGACCCAGAGATCGCTTCCTCAAGTGGAATATACAGCGAGAAGCCCTAACTTGAAAGAAGGCCGGATTTCCTTGCAGTGTCTTGAATGCAGGCTCGTCTTTTATCTCAAAACATGAAGGGATGTCTGAATCCCCTGTGGAGACCTTAGAGAAAGCCCTAGGTCTCTGCCTCATTTTGACGGAATGCCTCACATCCCATTGACACCTCGAGAGGCACGCGGAGTTCATTGCTTCAAAAGGTGACGAGGCCTGACTCCTCTTGAATACTGATAGGAATCCCAAAATCCCTGTGGGTACTGGAATGGGTCCTTGGGTGCCCTGCCTCACCTCGAGAAGCGTCCCTTTTGCCCTGCCAAGCCTCGAAGAGATTCCTGAGGTGTCCTTCGTTAATAGACAGTAGTCCTGACATCATTGAAGAAACTCGTGTTTTGAAGGGCCATCCCAGCCGTAAGTCGAGAACATACCCCAGGTCCCCGCCGCAATTCGAGAAAAACCATGAGACTTCCCCCTAGACGCGAGATGAGGCCCCATTCCCATGCAGTGCATGCAGAGCTATTCCGTGACCCCATTCAAACAAGTCAGGAGATTCAACTTGCTTAATGGATCTCGAGACAGTCCCCAAGAACACTGTAACCAGTCTAGAAGGACCCTGACGTTACCCCAGCAACGCAATGCAAATCCATGTGCCCCAAATCAACTCGAGATGAAGCCTGATTCCCCTGCATTGACTCCAGAGCCATTCCCCGTTCCCCATTCAACACGACCGGTGGCTCGACTTCCTTCAGGCAACTCCAGAGATGCCCCGAGAACACTGCCCCAAGTTTAGAGGAACACCACTTCAGCACAGCAACTCGAGGAATGCTCCATGTACCCCAAATCGTCTCGAGATGAGAGCTGATTCCCTGGCTTAGGCTCAAGACGTATGCCAACTTTCCAGAAGCACCTCAGGAGGAGGCTTCTCTCAGCAATAGCTATGTGGGAGGGACCCCGAGATCGCTGCCTCAAGGGGAATATACAGCGAGAAGCCCTAACTTGAAAGGAGGCCGGATTTCCTTGCAGTGGCTTGAATGCACGCTCGTCTTTTATCTCAAAACATGAAGGGATGTCTGAATCCCCTGTGGAGACCTTAGAGAAAGCCCTATGTCCCTGCCTCATTTTGACGGAATGCCTCACATCCCATTGACACCTCGAGAGCCACGCGGAGTTCATTACTTCAAAGGTGACGATTCCTGATTCCTCTTGAATACTGATAGGAATCCCAAAATCCCTGTGGCTACTGGAATGGGTCCTTGGGTTCCCTGCCTCACCTCGAGAAGCGTCCCTTTTGCCCTGCCAAGCCTCGAAGAGATTCCTGAGTTGTCCCTCGTTAATAGAAAGGAGTCCTGACGTCACTGAAGAAACTCGTGTTTTGAAGGGCCATTCCCGCCGTAAGTCGAGAACATACCCCAGGTCCCCACCGCAACTCGAGAAAAACCATGAGACTTCCCCCTAGAGGCGAGATGAGGCCCCATTCCCCTGCAGTGCATGCAGAGCTATTCCGTGATCCCATTCAAACAAGTCAGGAGCTTCGACTTGCTTAATGGATCTCGAGCCAGTCCCCAAGAACACTGTCACCAGTCTAGACGGACCCTGAGGTCACCCCAGCAACGCAAAGCAGCTCCATGTGCCCCAAATCAACTCGAGATGAGGCCCGATTCCCCTGCATTGACTCCAGAGCCATTCCCCGTTCCCCATTCAACACGACCGGTGGCTCGACTTCCTTCAGGCAACTCCAGACATGCCCCGAGAACACTGTCCCAAGTCTAGAGGAACACCAACTTCAGCATAGCAACTCGAGGAATGCTCCGTGTACCCCAAATCGTCTCGAGATGAGAGCTGATTCCCTGGCTTGGGCTCAAGACGTATGCCAACTTTCCAGAAGCACCTCAGGAGGAGGCTTATCTCAGCAGTAGGTATGTGGGAGGGACCCCGAGATCGCTGCCTCAAGGGGAATATACAGCGAGAAGCCCTAACTTATAAGGAGGCCGGATTTCCTTGCAGTGGCTTGAATACAGGCTCGTCTTTGATCTCACAACATGAAGGCATGTCTGAATCCCCTGTGGAGACCTTAGAGAAAGCCCTAGGTCCCTGCCTCATTTTGACGGAATGCCTCACATCCCGTTGACACCTCGAGAGGCACGCGGAGTTCATTGCTTCAAAAGATGACGATGCCTGACTCCTCTTGAATACTGATAGGAATCCCACAATCCCTGTGGCTACTGGAATGGGTCCTTGGGTGCCCTGCCTCACCTCGAGAAGCATCCCTTTTGCCCTGCCAAGCCTCGAAGAGATTCCTGAGGTGTCCCTCGTTACTAGATAGGAGTCCTGATGTCACTGAAGAAACTCGTGTTTTGAAGGGCCATCCCCGCCGTAAGTCGAGAACATACATCAGGTCCCCGCCGCAACTCGAGAAAAACCATGAGACTTCCCCCTAGAGGCGAGATGAGGCCCCATTCCCCTGCAGTGCATGCAGAGCTATTCCGTGACCCCATTCAAACAAGTCAGGAGCTTCGACTTGCTTAATGGATCTCGAGCCAGTCCCCAAGAACACTGTAACCAGTCTAGAAGGACACTGACATTACCCCAGCAACACAATGCAACTCCATGTGCCCCAAATCAACTCGAGATGAAGCCTGATTCCCCTGCATTGACTCCAGAGCCATTCCCCGTTCCCCATTCAACACGACTGGTGGCTCGACTTCCTTCAGGCAACTCCAGAGATGCCCCGAGAACACTGTCCCAAGTTTAGAGGAACACCAACTTCAGCACAGCAACTCGAGGAATGCTCCATGTACCCCAAATCGTCTCGAGATGAGAGCTGATTCCCTGGCTTAGGCTCAAGACGTATGCCAACTTTCCAGAAGCACCTCAGGAGGAGGCTTCTCTCAGCAATAGGTATGTGGGAGGGACCCCGAGATCGCTGCCTCAAGTGGAATATACAGCGAGAAGCCCTAACTTGAAAGGAGGCCGGATTTCCTTGCAGTGGCTTGAATACAGGCTCGTCTTTGATCTCACAACATGAAGGCATGTCTGAATCCCCTGTGGAGACCTTAGAGAAAGCCCTAGGTCCCTGCCTCATTTTGACGGAATGCCTCACATCCCGTTGACACCTCGAGAGGCACGCGGAGTTCATTGCTTCAAAAGGTGACGATGCCTGACTCCTCTTGAATACTGATGGGAATCCCACAATCCCTTTGGCTACTGGAATAGGTTCTTGGGTGCCCTGCCTCACCTCGAGAAGCGTCCCTTTTGCCCTGCCAAGCCTCGAAGAGATTCCTGAGGTGTCCCTCGTTACTAGACAGGAGTCCTGACGTCACTGAAGAAACTCGTGTTTTGAAGGGCCATCCCCGCCGTAAGTCGAGAACGTACCCCAGGTCCCCGCCGCAACTCGAGAAAATCCATGAGACTTCCCCCTAGAGGCGAGATGAGGCCCTATTCCCCTGCAGTGCATGCAGAGCTATTCCGTGATCCCATTCAAACAAGTCAGGAACTTCGACTTGCTTAATGGATCTCGAGACAGTCCCCAAGAACACTGTCACCAGTCTAGACGGACCCTGAGGTCACCCCAGCAACGCAAAGCAGCTCCATGTGCCCAAAATCAACTCGAGATGAGGCCCGATTCCCCTGCATTGACTCCATAGCCATTCCCCGTTCCCCATTCAACACGACCGGTGGCTCGACTTCCTTCAGGTAATAACAGAGATGCCCCGTGAACACTGTCCCAAGTCTAGAGGAACACCAACTTCAGCACAGCAACTCGAGGAATGCTCCATGTACCCCAAATCGTCTCGAGATGAGAGCTGATTCCCTGGTTTAGGCTCAAGACGTATGCCAAATTTCCAGAAGCACCTCAGGAGGAGGCTTCTCTCAGCAATATTTATGTGGGAGGGACCCCGAGATCGCTTCCTCAAGTGGAATATACAGCGAGAAGCCCTAACTTGAAAGAAGGCCGGATTTCCTTGCAGTGTCTTGAATGCAGGCTCGTCTTTTATCTCAAAACATGAAGGGATGTCTGAAGCCCCTGTGGAGACCTTAGAGAAAGCCCTAGGTCCCTGCCTCATTTTGACGGAATGCCTCACATCCCATTGACCCCTCGAGAGGCACGCGGAGTTCATTGCTTCAAAAGGTGACGAGGCCTGACTCCTCTTGAATACTGAAGGGAATCCCAAAATCCCTGTGGGTACTAGAATGGGTCCTTGGGTGCCCTGCCTCACCTCGAGAAGCGTCCCTTTTGCCCTGCCAAGCCTCGAAGAGATTCCTGAGGTGTCCTTCGTTAATAGACAGTAGTCCTGACATCATTGAAGAAACTCGTGTTTTGAAGGGCCATCCCCGCCGTAAGTCGAGAACATACCCCAGGTCCCTGCCGCAATTCGAGAAAAACCATGAGACTTCCCCCTAGAGGCGAGATGAGGCCCCATTCCCATGCAGTGCATGCAGAGCTATTCCGTGACCCCATTCAAACAAGTCAGGAGCTCCGACTTGCTTAATGGATCTCGAGACTGTCCCCAAGATCACTGTAACCAGTCTAGAAGGACCCTGACGTTACCCAAGCAACGCAATGCATCTCCATGTGCCCCAAATCAACTCGAGATGAAGCCTGATTCCCCTGCATTGACTCCAGAGCCATTCCCCGTTCCCCATTCAACACGACCGGTGGCTCGACTTCCTTCAGGCAACTCCAGAGATGCCCCGAGAACACTGTCCCAAGTTTAGAGGAACACCACTTCAGCACAGCAACTCGAGGAATGTTCCATGTACCCCAAATCGTCTCGAGATGAGAGCCGATTCCCTGGCTTAGGCTCAAGACGTATGCCAACTTTCCAGAAGCACCTCAGGAGGAGGCTTCTCTCAGCAATAGCTATGTGGGAGGGACCCCGAGATCGCTGCCTGAAGGGGAATATACAGCGAGAAGCCCTAACTTGAAAGGAGCCCGGATTTCCTTGCAGTGGCTTGAATGCAGGCTCGTCTTTTATCTCAAAACATGAAGGGATGTCTGAATCCCCTGTGGAGACCTTAGAGAAAGCCCTAGGTCCCTGCCTCATTTTGACGGAATGCCACACATCCCATTGACACCTCGAGAGGCACGCGGAGTTCATTGCTTCAAAGGTGACGATGCCTGATTCCTCTTGAATACTGATAGGAATCCCAAAATCCCTGTGGCTACTGGAATGGGTCCTTGGGTTCCCTGCCTCACCTCGAGAAGCGTCCCTTTTGCCCTGCCAAGCCTCGAAGAGATTCCTGAGTTGTCCCTCGTTAATAGAAAGGAGTCCTGACGTCACTGAAGAAACTCGTGTTTTGAAGGGCCATTCCCGCCGTAAGTCGAGAACATACCCCAGGTCCCAGCCGCAACTCGGGAAAAACCATGAGACTTCCCCCTAGAGGCGAGATGAGGCCCCATTCCCCTGCAGTGCATGCAGAGCTATTCCGTGATCCCATTCAAAGAAGTCAGGAGCTTCGACTTGCTTAATGGATCTCGAGCCAGTCCCCAAGAACACTGTCACCAGTCTAGACGGACCCTGAGGTCACCCCAGCAACGCAAAGCAGCTCCATGTGCCCCAAATCAACTCGAGATGAGGCCCGATTCCCCTGCATTGACTCCAGAGCCATTCCCCGTTCCCCATTCAACACGACCGGTGGCTCGACTTCCTTCAGGCAACTCCAGACATGCCCCGAGAACACTGTCCCAAGTCTAGAGGAACACCAACTTCAGCATAGCAACTCGAGGAATGCTCCATGTACCCCAAATCGTCTGGAGATGAGAGCTGATTCCCTGGCTTGGGCTCAAGACTTATGCCAACTTTCCAGAAGCACCTCAGGAGGAGGCTTCTTTCAGCAATAGTTATGTGGGAGGGACCCCAAGATCGCTGCCTCAAGAGGAATATACAGCGAGAAGCCCTAACTTATAAGGAGGCCGGATTTCCTTGCAGTGGCTTGAATACAGGCTCGTCTTTGATCTGACAACATGAAGGCATGTCTGAATCCCCTGTGGAGACCTTAGAGAAAGCCCTAGGTCCCTGCCTCATTTTGACGGAATGCCTCACATCCCGTTGACACCTCGAGAGGCACGCGGAGTTCATTGCTTCAAAAGGTGACGATGCCTGATTCCTCTTGAATACTGATAGGAATCCCACAATCCCTGTGGCTACTGGAATGGGTCCTTGGGTGCCCTGCCTCACCTCGAGAAGCATCCCTTTTGCCCTGCCAAGCCTGGAAGAGATTCCTGAGGTGTCCCTCGTTACTAGACAGGAGTCCTGATGTCACTGAAGAAACTCGTGTTTTGAAGGGCCATCCCTGCCGTAAGTCGAGAACATACCCCAGGTCCCCGCCGCAACTCGAGAAAAACCATGAGACTTCCCCCTAGAGGCGAGATGAGGCCCCATTCCCCTGCAGTGCATGCAGAGCTATTCCGTGATCCCATTCAAACAAGTCAGGAGCTTCGACTTGCTTAATGGATCTCGAGCCAGTCCCCAAGAACACTGTCACCAGTCTAGACGGACACTGACGTCACCCCAGCAACGCAAAGCAGCTCCATGTGCCCCAAATCAACTCGAGATGAGGCCCGATTCCCCTGCATTGACTCCATAGCCATTCCCCGTTCCCCATTCAACACGACCGGTGGCTCGACTTCCTTCAGGCAATAACAGAGATGCCCCGTGAACACTGTCCCAAGTCTAGAGGAACACCAACTTCAGCACAGCAACTCGAGGAATGCTCCATGTACCCCAAATCGTCTCGAGATGAGAGCTAATTCCCTGGTTTAGGCTCAAGACGTATGCCAAATTTCCAGAAGCACCTCAGGAGGAGGCTTCTCTCAGCAATAGGTATGTGGGAGGGACCCCGAGATCGCTTCCTCAAGTGGAATATACAGCGAGAAGCCCTAACTTGAAAGAAGGCCGGATTTCCTTGCAGTGTCTTGAATGCAGGCTCGTCTTTTATCTCAAAACATGAAGGGATGTCTGAATCCCCTGTGGAGACCTTAGAGAAAGCCCTAGGTCCCTGCCTCATTTTTGACGGAATGCCTCACATCCCATTGACACCTCGAGAGGCACGCGGAGTTCATTGCTTCAAAAGGTGACGAGGCCTGACTCCTCTTGAATACTGATAGGAATCCCAAAATCCCTGTGGGTACTGGAATGGGTCCTTGGGTGCCCTGCCTCACCTCGAGAAGCATCCCTTTTTCCCTGCCAAGCCTCGAAGAGATTCCTGAGGTGTCCCTCGTTACTAGACAGGAGTCCTGATGTCACTGAAGAAACTCTTGTTTTGAAGGGCCATCCCCGCCGTAAGTCGAGAACATACCCCAGGTCCCCGCCGCAACTCGAGAAAAACCATGAGACTTCCCCCTAGAGGCGAGATGAGGCCCCATTCCCCTGCAGTGCATGCAGAGCTATTCCGTGATCCCATTCAAACAAGTCAGGAGCTTCGACATGCTTAATGGATCTCGAGCCAGTCCCCAAGAACACTGTCACCAGTCTAGACGGACCCTGAGGTAAACCCAGCAACGGAAAGAAGCTCCATGTGCCCCAAATCAACTCGAGATGAGGCCCGATTCCCCTGCATTGACTCCAGAGCCATTCCCCGTTCCCCATTCAACAGGACCGGTGGCTCGACTTCCTTCAGGCAACCCCAGAGATGCCCCGAGAACACTGTCCCAAGTTTAGAGGAACACCACTTCAGCACAGCAACTCGAGGAATGCTCCATGTACCCCAAATCGTCTCGAGATGAGAGCTGATTCCCTGGCTTAGGCTCAAGACGTATGCCAACTTTCCAGAAGCACCTCAGGAGGAGGCTTCTCTCAGCAATAGGTATGTGGGAGGGACCCCGAGATCGCTGCCTCAAGGGGAATATACAGCGAGAAGCCCTAACTTGAAAGGAGGCCAGATTTCCTTGCAGTGGCTTGAATACAGGCTCGTCTTTGATCTCACAACATGAAGTCATGTCTGAATCCCCTGTGTAGACCTTAGAGAAAGCCCTAGGTCCCTGCCTCATTTTGACGGAATGCCTCACATCCCGTTGACACCTCCAGAGGCACGCGGAGTTCACTGCTTCAAAGGTGACGATGCCTGATTCCTCTTGAATACTGATAGGAATCCCAAAATCCCTGTGGCTACTGGAATGGGTCCTTGGGTGCCCTGTCTCACCTCGAGAAGCGTCCCTTTTGCCCTGCCAAACCTCGAAGAGATTCCTGAGTTGTCCCTCGTTAATAGAAAGGAGTCCTGACGTCACTGAAGAAACTCGTATTTTGAAGGGTCATCCCCGCCGTAAGTCGAGAACATACCCCAGGTCCCCGCCGCAACTCGAGAAAAACCATGAGACTTCCCCCTAGAGGCGAGATGAGGCCCCATTCCCCTGCAGTGCATGCAGAGCTATTCCGTGATCCCATTCAAACAAGTCAGGAGCTTCGACTTGCTTAATGGATCTCGAGACAGTCCCCAAGAACACTGTCACCAGTCTAGACGGACCCTGAGGTCAGCCCAGCAACGCAAAGCAGCTCCATGTGCCCCAAATCAACTCGAGATGAGGCCCGATTCCCCTGCATTGACTCCAGAGCCATTCCCCGTTCCCCATTTATCACGACTGGTGGCTCGAGTTCCTTCATGCAACTCCAGAGATGCCCCGAGAACACTATCCCAAGTCTAGAGGAACACCAACTTCAGCACAGCAACTCGAGGAATGCTCCGTGTACCCCAAATCGTCTCGAGATGAGAGCTGATTCCCTGGCTTAGGCTCAAGACGTATGCCAAATTTCCAGAAGCACCTAAGGAGGAGGCTTCTCTCAGCAGTAGGTATGTGGGATGGACCCCGAGATCGCTGCCTCAAGTGGAATATACAGCGAGAAGCCCTAACTTGAAAGGAGGCCGGATTTCCTTGCAGTGGCTTGAATACAGGCTCGTCTTTGATCTCACAACATGAAGGCATGTCTGAATCCCCTGTGGAGACCTTAGAGAAAGCCCTAGGTCCCTGCTTCATTTTGACGGAATGCCTCACATCCCGTTGGCACCTCGAGAGGCATGCGGAGTTCATTGCTTCAAAAGGTGACGATGCCTGACTCCTCTTGAATACTGATAGGAATCCCACAATCCCTGTGGCTACTGGAATGGGTTCTTGGGTGCCCTGCCTCACCTCGAGAAGCATCCCTTTTGCCCTGCCAAGCCTCGAAGAGATTCCTGAGGTGTCCCTCGTTACTAGACAGGAGTCCTGATGTCACTGAAGAAACTCGTGTTTTGAAGGGCCATCCCCGCCGTAAGTCGAGAACATACCCCAGGTCCCCGCCGCAACTCGAGAAAAACCATGAGACTTCCCCCTATAGGCGAGATGAGGCCCGATTCCCCTGCAGTGCATGCAGAGCTATTCCGTGATCCCATTCAAACAAGTCAGGAGCTTCGACTTGCTTAATGGATCTCGAGACAGTCCCCAAGAACACTGTCACCAATCTAGACGGACCCTGAGGTCAACCCAGCAACGGAAAGCAGCTCCATGTGCCCCAAATCAACTCGAGATGAGGCCCGTTTCCCTGCATTGACTCCAGAGCCATTCCCCGTTCCCCATTCAACACGACCGGTGGCTCGACTTCCTTCAGGCAATAACAGAGATGCCCCATGAACACTGTCCCAAGTCTAGAGCAACACCAACTTCAGCACAGCAACTCGAGGAATGCTCCATGCACCCCAAATCGTCTCGAGATGAGAGCTGATTCCCTGGCTTAGGCTCAAGACGTATGCCAACTTTCCAGAAGCACCTCAGGAGGAGGCTTCTCTCAGCAATAGGTATGTGGGAGGGACCCCGAGATCGCTGCCTCAAGTGGAATATACAGCGAGAAGCCCTAACTTGAAAGGAGGCCGGATTTCCTTGCAGTGGCTTGAATACAGGCTCTTCTTTGATCTCACAACATGAAGGCATGTCTGAATCCCCTGTGGAGACCTTAGAGAAAGCCCTAGGTCCCTGCCTCATTTTGACGGAAGATCTCACATCCCGTTGACTCCTCGAGAGGCACGCGGAGTTCATTGCTTCAAAAGGTGACGATGCCTGACGCCTCTTGAATACTGATAGGAATCCCAAAATCCCTGTGGCTACTAGAATGGGTCCTTGGGTGCCCTGCCTCACCTCGAGAAGCGTCCCTTTTGCCCTGCCAAGCCTCGAAGAGATTCCTGAGGTGTCCCTCGTTACTAGACAGGAGTCCTGACGTCACTAAAGAAACTCGTGTTTTGAAGGCCGTCCCCGCCGTAAGTCGAAAATATACCCCAGGTCCCCGCCGCAACTCGAGAAAAACCATGAGACTTCCCCCTAGAGGCGAGATGAGGCCCAATTCCCCTGCAGTGCATGCAGAGCTATTCCGTGATCCCATTCAAACAAGTCAGGAGCTTCGACTTCCTTAATGGATCTCGACACAGTCCTCAAGAACACTGTCACCATTCTAGACGGACCCTGAGGTCAACCCAGCAACGGAAAGCAGCTCCATGTGCCCCAAATCAACTCGAGATGAGGCCCGATTCCCCTGCATTGACTCCATAGCCATTCCCCTTTCCCCATTCAACACGACCGGTGGCTCGACTTCCTTCAGGCAACTCCAGAGATGCCCTGAGAACACTCTCCCAAGTCTAGAGTCACACCAACTTCAGCACAGCACCTCGAGGAATGCTCCATGTACCCCAAATCGTCTCGAGATGAGAGCTGATTCCCTGGCTTAGGCTCAAGACGTATGCCAACTTTCCAGAAGCACCTCAGGAGGAGGCTTCTCTCAGCAATAGGTATGTGGGAGGGACCCCGAGATCGCTGCCTCAAGGGGAATATACAGCGAGAAGCCCTAACTTGAAAGGAGGCCGGATTTCCTTGCAGTGGCTTGAATACAGGCTCGTCTTTGATCTCACAACATGAAGGCATGTCTGAATCCCCTGTGGAGACCTTAGGGAAAGCCCTAGGTCCCTGCCTCATTTTGAAGGAATGCCTCACATCCCGTTGACACCTCGAGAGGCACGCGGAGTTCATTGCTTCAAAAGGTGACGATGCCTGACTCCTCTTGAATACTGATAGGCATCCCACAATCACTGTGGCTACTGGAATGGGTCCTTGGGTGCCCTGCCTCACCTCGAGAATCATCCCTTTTGCCCTTCCAAGCCTCGAAGAGATTCCTGAGGTGTCCCTCTTTACTAGACAGGAGTCCTGATGTCACTGAAGAAACTCTTGTTTTGAAGGGCCATCCCCGCCGTAAGTGGAGAACATACCCCAGGTCCCCGCCGCAACTCGAGAAAAACCATGAGACTTCCCCCTAGAGGCGAGATGAGGCCCCATTCCCCTGCAGTGCATGCAGAGCTATTCCGTGATCCCATTCAAACAAGTCAGGAGGTTCGACTTGCTTAATGGATCTCGAGACAGTCCCCAAGAACACTGTCACCAGTCTAGACGGACCCTGAGGTCAACAAAGCAACGGAAAGCAGCTCCATGTGCCCCAAGTCAACTGGAGGTGAGGCCCGATTCCCCTGCATTGACTCCAGAGCCATTCAACGTTCCCCATTCAACACGACCGCTGGCTCGACTTCCTTCAGGCAATAACAGAGATGCCCCGTGAACACTGTCCCAAGTCTAGAGGAAGACCAACTTCAGCACAGCAACTCGAGGAATGCTCCATGCACCCCAAATCGTCTCGAGATGAGAGCTGATTCCCTGGCTTAGGCTCAAGACGTATTCCACCTTTCCATAAGCACCTCAGGAGGAGGCTTCTCTCAGCAATATGTATGTGGGAGGGACCCCGAGATCGCTGCCTCAAGTGGAATATACAGCGAGAATCCCTAACTTGAAAGGAGGCCGGATTTCCTTGCAGTGGCTTGAATACAGGCTCGTCTTTGATCTCAGAACATGAAGGCATGTCTGAATCCCCTGTGGAGAACTTAGAGAAAGCCCTAGGTCCCTGCCTCATTTTGACGGAATGCCTCACATCCCGTTGAAACCTCGAGATGCACGCGGAGTTCATTGCTTCAAAAGGTGACGATGCCTGACTCCTCTTGAATACTGATAGGAATCCCACAATCCCTGTGGCTACTGGAATGGGTCCTTGGGTGCCCTGCCTCACCTCGAGAAGCATCCCTTTTGCCCTGCCAAGCCTCGAAGAGATTCCTGAGGTGTCCCTCGTTACTAGACAGCAGTCCTGATGTCACTGAAGAAACGCTTGTTTTGAAGGGCCATCCCCGCCGTGAGTCGAAAACATACCCCAGGTCCCCGCCGCAACTCGAGAAAAACCATGAAACTTCCCCCTAGAGGCGAGATGAGGTCCCATTCCCCTGCAGTGCATGCAGAGCTATTCCGTGATCCCATTCAAACAAGTCAGGAGCTTCGACTTGCTTAATGGATCTCGAGACAGTCCCCAAGAACACTGTCACCAGTCTAGACGGACCCTGAGGTCAACCCAGCAACGGAAAGCAGCTCCATGTGCCCCAAATCAACTCGAGATGAGGCCCGATTCCCCTGCATTGACTCCAGAGCCATTCCCCGTTCCCCATTCAACACGACCGGTGGCTCGACTTCCTTCAGGCAATAACAGAGATGCCCCATGAACACTGTCCCAAGTCTAGAGGAACACCAACTTCAGCACAGCAACTCGAGGAATGCTCCATGTACCCCAAATCGTCTCGAGATGAGAGCTGATTCCCTGGCTTAGGCTCAAGACGTATGCCAACTTTCCAGAAGCACCTCAGGAGGAGGCTTCTCTCAGCAATAGGTATGTGGGAGGGACCCCGAGATCGCTGCCTCAAGTGGAATATACAGCGAGAAGCCCTAACTTGAAAGGAGGCCAGATTTCCTTGCAGTGGCTTGAATACAGGCTCTTCTTTGATCTTACAACATGAAAGCATGTCTGAATCCCCTGTGGAGACCATAGAGAAAGCAATAGGTCCCTGCCTCATTTTGACGGAATGCCTCACATCCCGTTGACAGCTCGAGAGGCACGCGGAGTTCATTGCTTCAAAAGCTGACGATGCCTGACTCCTCTTGAATACTGATAGGAATCCCAAAATCACTGTGGCTACTGGAATGGGTCCTTGGGTGCCCTGCCTCACCTCGAGAAGCGTCCCTTTTGCCCTGCCAAGCCTCGAAGAGATTCCTGAGGTGTCCCTTGTTACTAGACAGGAGTCCTGACGTCACTGAAGAAACTCGTGTTTTGAAGGGCCATCCCCGCCGTAAGTCGAGAACGTACCCCACGTCCCCGCCGCAACTCGAGAAAATCCATGAGACTTCCCCCTAGAGGCGAGATGAGGCCCCATTCCCATTCAGTCCATGCAGAGCTATTCCGTGATCCCATTCAAACAAGTCAGGAGCTTCGACTTGCTTAATGCATCTCGAGCCAGTCCCCAAGAACACTGTCACCAGTCTAGACGGACCCTGAGGTCACCCCAGCAACGCAAAGCAGCTCCATGTGCCCCAAATCAACTCGAGATGAGGCCCGATTCCCCTGCATTGACACCAGAGCCATACCCCGTTCCCCATTCAACAGGACCGGTGGCTCGACTTCCTTCAGGCAACTCCAGAGATGCCCCGAGAACACTGTCCCAAGTCTAGAGGAACACCAACTTCAGCATAGCAACTCGAGGAATGCTCCATGTACCCCAAATCGTCTCGAGATGAGAGCTGATTCCCTGGCTTAGGCTCAAGACGTATGCCAACTTTCCAGAAGCACCTCAGGAGGAGGCTTCTCTCAGCAATAGGTATGTGGGAGGGACCCCGAGATCGCTGCCTCAAGGGGAATATACAGCGAGAAGCCCTAACTTGAAAGGAGGCCGGATTTCCTTGCAGTGGCTTGAATACAGGCTCGTCTTTGATCTCACAACATGAAGGCATGTCTGAATCCCCTGTGGAGACCTTAGAGAAAGCCCTAGGTCCCTGCCTCATTTTGAAGGAATGCCTCACATCCCGTTGACACCTCGAGAGGCACGCGGAGTTCATTGCTTCAAAAGGTGACGATGCCTGACTCCTCTTGAATACTGATAGGCATCCCACAATCACTGTGGCTACTGGAATGGGTCCTTGGGTGCCCTGCCTCACCTCGAGAATCATCCCTTTTGCCCTTCCAAGCCTCGAAGAGATTCCTGAGGTGTCCCTCTTTACTAGACAGGAGTCCTGATGTCACTGAAGAAACTCTTGTTTTGAAGGGCCATCCCCGCCGTAAGTGGAGAACATACCCCAGGTCCCCGCCGCAACTCGAGAAAAACCATGAGACTTCCCCCTAGAGGCGAGATGAGGCCCCATTCCCCTGCAGTGCATGCAGAGCTATTCCGTGATCCCATTCAAACAAGTCAGGAGGTTCGACTTGCTTAATGGATCTCGAGACAGTCCCCAAGAACACTGTCACCAGTCTAGACGGACCCTGAGGTCAACCCAGCAACGGAAAGCAGCTCCATGTGCCCCAAGTCAACTGGAGGTGAGGCCCGATTCCCCTGCATTGACTCCAGAGCCATTCCCCGTTCCCCATTCAACACGACCGGTGGCTCGACTTCCTTCAGGCAATAACAGAGATGCCCCGTGAACACTGTCCCAAGTCTAGAGGAAGACCAACTTCAGCACAGCAACTCGAGGAATGCTCCATGCACCCCAAATCGTCTCGAGATGAGAGCTGATTCCCTGGCTTAGGCTCAAGACGTATGCCACCTTTCCATAAGCACCTCAGGAGGAGGCTTCTCTCAGCAATATGTATGTGGGAGGGACCCCGAGATCGCTGCCTCAAGTGGAATATACAGCGAGAAGCCCTAACTTGAAAGGAGGCCGGATTTCCTTTCAGTGGCTTGAATACAGGCTCGTCTTTGATCTCACAACATGAAGGCATGTCTGAATCCCCTGTGGAGACCTTAGAGAAAGCCCTAGGTCCCTGCCTAATTTTGACGGAATGCCTCACATCCCGTTGACACCTCGAGAGGCACGCGGAGTTCATTGCTTCAAAAGGTGACGATGCCTGACTCCTCTTGAATACTGATAGGAATCCCACAATACCTGTGGCTACTGGAATGGGTCCTTGGGTGCCCTGCCTCACCTCGAGAAGCGTCCCTTTTGCCCTGCCAAGCCTCGAAGAGATTCCTGAGGTGTCCCTCGTTACTAGACAGCAGTCCTGATGTCACTGAAGAAACTCTAGTTTTGAAGGGCCATCCCCGCCGTAAGTCGAGAACATACCCCAGGTCCCCGCCGCAACTCGAGAAAAACCATGAGACTTCCCCCTAGAGGCGAGATGAGGCCCCATTCCCCTGCAGTGCATGCACAGCTATTCCGTGATCCCATTCAAACAAGTCAGGAGCTTCGACTTGCTTAATGGATCTCGAGACAGTCCCCAAGAACACTGTCACCAGTCTAGACGGACCCTGAGGTGACCCCAGCAATGCAACGCAGCTCCATGTGCCCCAAGTCAACTCGAGATTAGGCCCGAATCCCCTGCATTGACACCAGAGCCATTCCCCGTTCCCCATTGAACACGACCGGTGGCTCGACTTCCTTCAGGCAACTCCAGAGATGCCCCGTGAACACTGTCCCAAGTCTAGAGGAACACCAACTTCAGCACAGCAACTCGAGGAATGCTCCATGCACCCCAAATCGTCTCGAGATGAGAGCTGATTCCCCGGCTTAGGCTCAAGACGTATGCCAACTTTCCAGAAGCACCTCAGGAGGAGGCTTCTCTCAGCAATAGGTATGTGGGAGGGACCCCTAGATCGCTGCCTCAAGTGGAATATACAGCGAGAATCCCTAACTTGAAAGGAGGCCGGATTTCCTTGCAGTGGCTTGAATACAGGCTCGTCTTTGATCTCACAACATGAAGGCATGTCTAAATCCCCTGAGGAGACCTTAGAGAAAGCCCTAGGTCCCTGCCTCATTTTGACGGAATGCCTCACATCCCGTTGACACGTCGAGAGGCACGCGCAGTTCATTGCTTCAAAAGGTGACGATGCCTGACTCCTCTTGAATACTGATAGGAATCCCAAAATCACTGTGGCTACTGGAATGGGTCCTTGGGTGCCCTGCCTCACCTCGAGAAGCGTCCCTTTTGCCCTGCCAAGCCTCGAAGAGATTCCTGAGGTGTCCCTTGTTACTAGACAGTAGTCCTGATGTCACTGAAGAAACTCGTGTTTTGAAGGGCCATCCCCGCCGTAAGTCGAGAACGTACCCCAAGTCCCCACCGCAACTCGAGATAATCCATGAGACTTCCCCCTAGAGGCGAGATGAGGCCCCATTCCGATTCAGTGCATGCAGAGCTATTCCGTGATCCCATTCAAAGAAGTCAGGAGCTTCGACTTGCTTAATGGATCTCGAGCCAGTCCCCAAGAACACTGTCACCAGTCTAGACGGACCCTGAGGTCACCCCAGCAACGCAAAGCAGCTCCATGTGCCCCAAATCAACTCGAGATGAGGCCCGATTCCCCTGCATTGACTCCAGAGCCATTCCCCGTTCCCCATTCAACACGACCGGTGGCTCGACTTCCTTCAGGCAACTCCAGAGATGCCCCGAGAACACTGTCCCAAGTCTAGAGGAACACCAACTTCAGCATAGCAACTCGAGGAATGCTCCATGTACCCCAAATCGTCTCGAGATGAGAGCTGATTCCCTGGCTTAGGCTCAAGACGTATGCCAACTTTCCAGAAGCACCTCAGGAGGAGGCTTCTCTCAGCAATAGGTATGTGGGAGGGACCCCGAGATCGCTGCCTCAAGTGGAATATACAGCGAGAAGCCCTAACTTGAAAGGAGGCCGGATTTCCTTGCAGTGGCTTGAATACAGGCTCGTCTTTGATCTCACAACATGAAGGCATGTCTGAATCCCCTGTGGAGACCTTAGAGGAAGCCCTAGGTCCCTGCCTCATTTTGACGGAATGCCTCACATCCCGTTGCCACGTCGAGAGGCACGCGGAGTTCATTGTTTCAAAAGGTGACGATGCCGGACTCCTCTTGAATACTGATAGGAATCCCAAAATCCCTGTGGCTACTGGAAAGGGTACTTGGGTGCCCTGCCTCACCTCGAGAAGCGTCCCTTTTGCCCTGCCAAGCCTCGAAGAGATTCCTGAGGTGTCCCTCGTTACTAGACAGGAGTCCTGACGGCACTGAAGAAACTCGTGTTTTGAAGGGCCATCCCCGCTGTAAGTCGAGAACATACCCCAGGTCCCCGCCGCAACTCGAGAAAAACCACGAGACTTCCCCCTAGAGGCGAGATGAGGCCCCATTCCCCTGCAGTGCATGCACAGCTATTCCGTGATCCCATTCAAACAAGTCAGGAGCTTCGACTTGCTTAATATATCTCGAGAGAGTCCCCAAGAACACTGTCACCAGTCTAGACGGACCCTGAGGTCACCCCAGCAACGCAAAGCAGCTCCATGTGCCCCAAATCAACTTGAGATGAGGCCCGATTCCCCTGCATTGACTCCAGAGCCATTCCCCATTCCCCATTCATCACGACTGGTGGCTCGACTTCCTTCAGGCAACTCCAGAGATGCCCCGAGAACACTATCCCAAGTCTAGAGGAACACCAACTTCAGCACAGCAACTCGAGGAATGCACCGTGTATCCCAAATTGTCTCTAGATGAGAGCTTATTCCCTGGCTTAGGCTCAAGACGTATGCCAACTTTCCAGAAGCACCTCAGGAGGAGGCTTCTCTCAGCAATAGGTATGTGGGAGGGACCCCGAGATCGCTGCCTCAAGTGGAATATACAGCGAGAAGCCCTAACTTGAAAGGAGGCTAGATTTCCTTGCAGTGGCTTGAATACAGGCTCGTCTTTGATCTCACAACATGAAGGCATGTCTGAATACCCTGTGGAGACCTTAGAGAAAGCCCTACGTCCCTGCCTCATTTTGTCGGATACCTCACATCCCGTTGACACCTTGAGAGGCACGCAGAGTTCATTGCTTCAAGAGGTGACGATGCCTGACTCCTCTTGAATACTGATAGGAATCCCAAAATCCCTGTGGCTTCTGGAAAGGGTCCTTTGGTGCCCTGCCTCACGTCGAGAAGCGTCCCTTTTGCCCTGCCAAGCCTCGAAGAGATTCCTGAGGTGTCCCTCGTTACGAGACAGGAGTCCTGACGTCACTGAAGAAACTCGTGTTTTGAAGGGCCATCCCCGCCGTAAGTCGAGAACATACCCCAGGTCCCCGCCGCAACTCGAGAAAAACCATGAGACTTCCCGCTAGAGGCGAGATGAGGCCCCATTCCCCTGCAGTGCATGCAGAGCTATTCCGTGATCCCATTCAAACAAGTCAGGAGCTTCGACTTGCTTAATGGATCTCGAGACAGTCCCCAAGAAAACTGTCACCAGTCTAGACGGAACCTGAGGTCACCCCAGCAATGCAAAGCAGCTCCATGTGCCCCAAATCAACTCGAGATGAGGCACGATTCCCCTGCATTGACACCAGAGCCATTCCCCGTTCCCCATTCAACAAGACCGGTGGCTCGACTATCTTCAGGCAACTCCAGAGATGCCCCGAGAACACTGTCCCAAGTCTAGAGGAACACCAACTTCAGCACAGCAACTCGAGGAATGCTCCGTGTACCCCAAATCGTCTCGAGATGAGAGCTGATTCCCTGGCTTAGGCTCAAGACGTATGCCAACTTTCCAGAAGCACCTCAGGAGGAGGCTTCTCTCAGCAATAGGTATGTGGGAGGGACCCCGAGATCGCTGCGTCAAGTGGAATATACAGCGAGATGCCCTAACTTGAAAGGAGGCCGTATTTCCTTGCAGTGGCTTGAATACAGGTTTGTCTTTGATCTCACAACATGAAGGCATGTTTGAATGCCCTGTGGAGATCTTAGAGAAAGCCCTAAAACCCTGCGTCATTTTGACGGAATGCCTCACATCCCGTTGACACCTCGAGAGGCACGCGGAGTTCATTGCTTCAAAAGGTGACGATGCCTGACTCCTCTTGAATACTGATAGGAATCCCAAAATCCCTGTGGCTACTGGAAAGGGTACTTGGGTGCCCTGCCTCACCTCAAGAAGCGTCCCTTTTGCCCTACCAAGCCTCGAAGAGATTCCTGAGGTGTCCCTCGTTACTAGACAGGAGTCCTGACGTCACTGAAGAAACTCGGGTTTTGAAGGGCCATCCCCGCTGTAAGTCGAGAACATACCCCAGGTCCCCGCCGCAACTCGAGAAAAACCATGAGACTTCCCGCTAGAGGCGAGATGAGGCCCCATTCCCCTGCAGTGCATGCAGAGCTATTCCGTGATCCCATTCAAACAAGTCAGGAGCCTCGACTTGCTTAATGGATCTCGAGACAGTCCCCAAGAACACTGTCACCAGTCTAGACGGACCCTGAGGTCACCCCAGCAGCGCAGAGCAGCTCCATGTGCCCCAAATCAACTCGAGATGAGGCCCGATTCCCCTGCATTGGCTCCAGAGCCATTCCCCGTTCCCCATTCAACACGACCGGCGGCTCGACTTCCTTCAGGCAACTCCAGAGATGCCCCGAGAACACTGTCCCAAGTTTAGAGGAACACCACTTCAGCACAGCAACTCGAGGAATGTTCCATGTACCCCAAATCGTCTCGAGATGAGAGCTGATTCCCTGGCTTAGGCTCAAGACGTATGCCAACTTTCCAGAAGCACCTCAGGAGGGGCTTCTCTCAGCAATAGGTATGTGGAAGGGACCCCGAGATCGCTGCCTCAAGGGGAATATACTGCGAGAAGCCCTAACTTGAAAGGAGCCCGGATTTCTTTGCAGTGGCTTGAATACAGGCTCGTCTTTGATCTCACAACATGAAGGCATGTCAGAATCCCCTGTGTAGACCTTAGAGAAAGCCCTAGGTCCCTGCCTCATTTTGACGGAATGCCTCACATCCCGTTGACACCTCGAGAGGCACGCGGAGTTCATTGCTTCAAAGGTGACGATGCCTGATTCCTCTTGAATACTGATAGGAATCCCAAAATCCCTGTGGCTACTGGAATGGGTCCTTGGGTGCCCTGCCTCACCTCGAGAAGCGTCCCTTTTGCCCTGCCAAGCCTCGAAGAGATTCCTGAGTTGTCCCTCGTTACTAGACAGGAGTCCTGACGTCACTGAAGAAACTCGTGTTTTGAAGGGCCATCCCCGCCGTAAGTCGAGAACATACCCCAGGTCCCCGAGGCAACTCGAGAAAAACCATGAGACTTCCCCCTAGAGGCGAGATGAGGCCCCATTCCCCTGCAGTGCATGCAGAGCTATTCCGTGATCCCATTCAAACAAGTCAGGATCTTCGACTTGCTTAATGGATCTCGAGACAGTCCCCAAGAACACTGTGACCAGTCTAGACGGACCCTGAGGTCACCCCAGCAACGCAAAGCAGCTCCAGGTGCCCCAAATCAACTCGAGATGAGGCCCGATTCCCCTGCATTGACTCCAGAGCCATTCCCCGTTCCCCATTCAACACGAACGGTGGCTCGACTTCCTTCAGGCAACTCCAGAGTTGCCCCTTGAACACTGTCCCAAGTCTAGAGGAACACCAACTTCAGCACAGTAACTCGAGGAATGCTCCGTGAACCCCAAATCGTCTCGAGATTAGATCTGATTCCCTGGCTTAGGCTCAAGACATAAGCCAACTTTCCAGAAGCACCTCAGGATGAGGCTTCTCTCAGCAATAGGTGTGTGGGAGGGACCCCAAGATCGCTGCCTCAAGTGGAATATACAGCGAGAAGCCCTAACTTGAAAGGAGGCCGGATTTCCTTGCAGTTGATTGAATACAAGCTTGTCTTTCATCTCACAACATGAAGGCATGTCTGAATCCCCTGTGGAGACCTTAGAGAAAGCCCTAGGTCCCTGCCTCATTATGACGGAATGCGTCACATCCCGTTGACACCTCGAGAGGCACGCAGAGTTCATTGCTTCAAAAGGTGACGATGCCTGACTCCTCTTGAATATTGATAGGAATCCCAAAATCCCTGTGGCTACTGGAAAGGGTCCTTGGGTGCCCTGCCTCACCTCGAGAAGCGTCCCTTTGCCCTGCAAAGCCTCGAAGAAATTCCTGAGGTGTCCCTCGTTACGAGACAGGAGTCATGACGTCACTGAAGAAAATCGTGTTTTGAAGGGCCATCCCCGCCGTAAGTCGAGAACATACCCCAGGTCCCCGCCGCAACTCGAGAAAAACCATGAGACTTCCCCCTAGAGGCGAGATGCGGCCCCACTCCCCTTCAGTGCATGCAGAGCTATTCCGTGATCCCATTCAAACAAGTCACGAGCTTCGACGTGCTTAATGGATCTCGAGACAGTCCCCAAAAACACTGTCACCAGTCTAGACGGACCCTGAGGTCACCCCAGCCACGCAAAGCAGCTCCATGTGCCCCAAATCAACTCGAGATAAGGCCCGATTCCCCTGCATTGACTCCAGAGCCATTCCCTGTTCCCCATTCAACACGACCGGTGGCGAGACTTCCTTCAGGCAATAACAGAGATGCCCCGTGAACACTGTCCCAAGTCTAGAGGAACACCAACTTCAGCACAGCAACTCGAGGAATGCTCCATGTACCCCAAATCGTCTCGAGATGAGAGCTGATTCCCTGGCTTAGGCTCAAGACGTATGCCAACTTTCCAGAAGCACCTCAGGAGGAGGCTTCTCTCAGCAATAGGTTTGTGGGAGGGACCCCGAGATCGCTGCCTCAAGTGGAATATACAGCGAGAATCCCTAACTTGAAAGGAGGCCGGATTTCCTTGCAGTGGCTTGAATACAGGCTCGTCTTTGATCTCACAACATGAAGGCATGCCTGAATCCCCTGTGGAGACCTTAGAGAAAGCCCTAGGTCCCTGCCTCATTTTGACGGAATGCCTCACATCCCGTTGACACCTCGAGAGGCACTCGGAGTTCATTGCTTCAAAACGTGACGATGCCTGACTCCTGTTGAATACTGATAAGAATCCCAAAATCCCTGTGGCTACTGGAATGGGTCCTTGGGTGCCCTGCCTCACCTCGAGAAGCGTCCCTTTTGCCCTGCCAAGCCTCGAAGAGATTCCTGAGGTGTCCCTCGTTACTAGACAGGATTCCTGACGTCACTGAAGAAACTCGTGTTTTGAAGGGCCATCCCCGCCGTAAGTCGAGAACGTACCCCAGGTCCCCGCCGCAACTCGAGAAAATCCATGAGACTTCCCCCTAGGGGCGAGATGAGGCCCCATTCCCATTCAGTGCATGCAGAGCTATTCCGTGATCCCATTCAAACAAGTCAGGAGCTTCGACTTGCTTAATGGATCTCGAGCCAGTCCCCAAGAACACTGTCACCAGTCTAGACGGACCCTGAGGTCACCCCAGCAATGCAAAGCAGCTCCATGTGCCCCAAAGCAACTCGAGATGAGGCCCGATTCCCCTGCATTGACTCCAGAGCCATTCCCCGTTCCCCATTCAACACGACCGGTGGCTCGACTTCCTTCAGGCAACTCCAGAGATGCCCCAAGAACACTGTCTCAAGTCTAGAGGAACACCAACTTCAGCATAGCAACTCGAGGAATGCTCCGTGTACCCCAAATCGTCTCGAGATGAGAGCTGATTCCCTGGCTTAGGCTCAAGACGTATGCCAACTTTCCAGAAGCACCTCAGGAGGAGGCTTCTCTCAGCAATAGGTATGTGGGAGGGACCCCGAGATCGCTGCCTCAAGTGGAATATACAGCGAGAAGCCCTAACTTGAAAGGAGGCCGGATTTCCTTGCAGTGGCTTGAATACAGGCTCGTCTTTGATCTCACAACATGAAGGCATGTCTGAATCCCCTGTGGAGACCTTAGAGAAAGCCCTAGGTCCCTGCCTCATTTTGACGGAATGCCTCACATCCCGTTGACACCTCGAGAAGCACGCGGAGTTCATTGCTTCAAAAGGTGACGATGCCTGACTCCTCTTGAATACTGATAGGAATCCCAAAATCCCTGTGGCTACTGGAAAGGGTCCTTGGGTGCCCTGCCTCACCTCGAGAAGCGTCCCTTTTGCCCTGCCAAGCCTCGAAGAGATTCCTGAGGTGTCCCTCGTTACTAGACAGGAGTCCTGACGTCACTGAAGAAACTCGTGTTTTGAAGGGCCATCCCCGCTGTAAGTCGAGAACATAACCCAGGTCGCCTCCGCAACTCGAGAAAATCCATGAGACTTCCCCCTAGAGGCGAGATGAGGCCCCATTCCCCTGCAGGGCATGCAGAGCTATTCCGTGATCCCATTCAAACAAGTCAGGAGCTTCGACTTGCTTACTGGATCTCGAACCAGTCCCCAAGAACACTGTCACCAGTCTAGACGGAACCTGAGGTCACCCCAGCAACGCAAAGCAGCTCCATGTGCCCCAAATCAACTCGAGATTAGGCCCGATTCCCCTGCATTGACTCCAGAGCCATTCCCCGTTCCCCATTCAACACGACCGGTGGCGCGACTTCCTTCAGGCATCTCCAGAGATGCCCTGAGAACACTCTCCCAAGTCTAGAGTCACACCAACTTCAGCACAGCAACTCGAGGAAAGCTCCGTGTACCCCAAATCGTCTCGAGATGAGAGCTGATTCACTGGCTTAGGCTCAAGACGTATGCCAACTTTCTAGAAGCACCTCAGGAGGAGGCTTCTCTCAGCAATAGGTATGTGGGAGGGACCCCGAGATCGCTGCCTCAAGTGGAATATACAGCGAGAAGCCCTAACTTGAAAGGAGGTCGGATTTCCTTCCAGTGGCTTGAATACAGGCTCGTCTTTGATCTCACAACATGAAGGCATGTCTGAATCCCCTGTGGAGACCTTAGAGAAAGCCCTAGGTCCCTGCCTCATTTTGTCGGAATGCCTCACATCCCGTTGACACCTTGAGAGGCACGCAGAGTTCATTGCTTCAAAAGGTGACGATGCCTGACTCCTCTTGAATACTGATAGGAATCCGAGAATCCCTGTGGCTACTGGAAAGGGTCCTTGGGTGCCCTCTCTCACCTCGAGAAGCGTACCTTTTGCCCTGCCAAGCCTCGAAGAGATTCCTGAGGCTTCCCTCGTTACGAGACAGGAGTCCTGATGTCACTGAAGAAACTCGTGTTTTGAAGGGCCATCCCCGCCGTAAGTCGAGAACATACCCCAGGTCCCCGCCGCAACTCAAGAAAAACCATGAGACTTCCCCCTAGAGGCGAGATGAGGCCCCATTCCCCTGCAGTGCATGCAGGTCTATTCCGTGATCCCATTCAAACAAGTCAGGAGCTTCGACATGCTTAATGGATCTCGAGACAGTCCCCAAGAACACTGTCACCAGTCTAGACGGACCCTGAGGTCAACCCAGCAACACAAAGCAGCTCCATGTGCCCCAAATCAACTCGAGATGAGGCCCGATTCCCCTGCATTGACTCCAGAGCCATTCCCCGTTCCCCATTCAACACGACCGGTGGCTCGACTTCCTTCAGGCAACTCCAGAGATGCCCCGAGAACACTGTCCCAAGTTTAGAGGAACACCAACTTCAGCACAGCAACTCGAGGAATGCTCCATGTACCCCAAATCGTCTCGAGATGAGAGCTGATTCCCTTGCTTAGGCTCAAGACGTACGCCAACTTTCCAGAAGCACCTCAGGAGGAGGCTTCTCTCAGCAATAGGTATGTGGGACGGACCCCGAGATCGCTGCCTCAAGTGGAATATACAGCGAGATGCCCTAACTTGAAAGGAGGCCGTATTTCCTTGCAGTGGCTTGAATACAGGCTTGTCTTTGATCTCACAACATGAAGGCATGTCTGAATCCCCTGTGGAGATCTTAGAGAAAGCCCTAGATCCCTGCATCATTTTGACGGAATGCCTCACATCCCGTTGACACCTCGAGAGGCACGCGGAGTTCATTGCTTCAAAAGGTGACGATGCCTGACTCCTCTTGAATACTTATAGGAATCCCAAAATCCCTGTGGCTACTGGAAAGGGTACTTGGGTGCCCTGCCTCACCTCGAGAAGCGTCCCTTTTGCCCTGCCAAGCCTCGAAGAGATTCCTGAGGTGTCCCTCGTTACTAGACAGGAGTCCTGACGTCACTGAAGAAACTCGTGTTTTGAAGGGCCATCCCCGCCGTAAGTCGAGACCATACCCAAGGTCCCCCCGGAACTCGAGAAAAACCATGAGACTTCCCCCTAGAGGCGAGATGAGGCCCTATTCCCCTGCAGTGCATGCACAGCTATTCCGTGATCTCATTCAAACTAGTCAGGAGCTTCGACTTGCTTAATGGATCTCGAGACAGTCCCCACGAACACTGTCACCAGTCTAGACGGACCCTGAGGTCACCCCAGCAACGCAAAGCAGCTCCATGTGCCCCAAATCAACTCGAGATGAGGCCCGATTCCCCTGCATTGACTCCAGAGCCATTCCCCGTTCCCCATTTATCACGACTGGTGGCTTGACTTCCTTCAGGCAACTCCAGAGATGCCACGAGAACACTATCCCAAGTCTAGAGGAACACCAACTTCAGCAGAGCAACTCGAGGAATGGTCCGTGTACCCCAAATCGTCTCGAGATGAGAGCTGATTCCCTGGCTTAGGCTCAAGACGTATGCCAACTTTCCAGAAGCACCTCAGGAGGAGGCTTCTCTCAGCAATAGGTATGTGGGAGGGACCCCGAGATCGCTGCCTCAAGTGGAATATACAGCGAGAAGCCCTAACTTGAAAGGAGGCCGGATTTCCTTGCAGTGTCTTGAATACAGGCTCGTCTTTGATCTCACAACATGAAGGCATGTCTGAATCCCCTGTGGAGACCTTAGAGAAAGCCCTAGGTCCCTGCCTCATTTTGACGGAATGCCTCACATCCCGTTGACACCTCGAGAGGCACGCGGAGTTCATTGCTTCAAAAGGTGACGATGCCTGACTCCTCTTGAATACTGATGGGAATCCCACAATCCCTGTGGCTACTGGAATGGGTTCTTGGGTGCCCTGCCTCACCTCGAGAAGCGTCCCTTTTGCCCTGCCAAGCCTCGAAGAGATTCCTGAGGTGTCCCTCGTTACGAGACAGGAGTCCTGACGTCACTGAAGAAACTCGTGTTTTGAAGGGCCATCCCCGCCGTAAGTCGAGAACATACCCCAGGTCCCCGCCGCAACTCGAGAAAATCCATGAGACTTCCCCCTAGAGGCGAGATGAGGCCCCATTCCCATTCAGTGCATGCAGAGCTATTCCGTGATCCCATTCAAACAAGTCAGGAGCTTCGACTTGCTTAATGGATCTCGAGACAGTCCCCAAGAACACTGTCACCAGTCTAGACGGACCCTGAGGTCACCCCAGCAACGCAAAGCAGCTCCATTTGCCCCAAATCAACTCGAGATGAGGCCCGATTCCCCTGCATTGACTCCAGAGCCATTCCCCGTTCCCCATTCAACACGACCGGTGGCTCGACTTCCTTCAGGCAACTCCAGAGATGCCCCGAGAACACTGTCCCAAGTCTAGAGGAACACCAACTTCAGCATAGCAACTCGAGGAATGCTCCATGTACCCCAAATCGTCTGGAGATGAGAGCTGATTCCCTGGCTTAGGCTCAAGACGTATGCCAACTTTCCAGAAGCACCTCAGGAGGAGGCTTCTCTCAGCAATAGTTATGTGGGAGGGACCCCGAGATCGCTGCCTCAAGGGGAATATACAGCGAGAAGCCCTAACTTATAAGGAGGCCGGATTTCCTTGCAGTGGCTTGAATACAGGCTCGTCTTTGATCTCACAACATGAAGGCATGTCTGAATCCCCTGTGGAGACCTTAGAGAAAGCCCTAGGTCCCTGCCTCATTTTGACGGAATGCCTCACATCCCGTTGACACCTCGAGAGGCACGCGGAGTTCATTGCTTCAAAAGGTGACGATGCCTGACTCCTCTTGAATACTGATAGGAATCCCACAATCCCTGTGGCTACTGGAATGGGTCCTTGAGTGCCCTGCCTCACCTCGAGAAGCATCCCTTTTGCCCTGCCAAGCCTCGAAGAGATTCCTGAGGTGTCCCTCGTTACTAGACAGGAGTCCTGATGTCACTGAAGAAACTCGTGTTTTGAAGGGCCATCCCCGCCGTAAGTCGAGAACATACCCCAGGTCCCCGCCGCAAATCGAGAAAAACCATGAGACTTCCCCTAGAGGCGAGATGAGGCCCTATTCCCCTGCAGTGCATGCAGAGCTATTCCGTGATCTCATTCAAACTAGTCAGGAGCTTCGACTTGCTTAATGGATCTCGAGACAGTCCCCAAGAACACTGTCACCAGTCTAGACGGACCCTGAGGTCACCCCAGCAACGCAAAGCAGCTCCATGTGCCCCAAATCAACTCGAGATGAGGCCCGATTCCCCTGCATTGACTCCATAGCCATTCCCCGTTCCCCATTCAACACGACCGGTGGCTCGACTTCCTTCAGGTAATAACAGAGATGCCCCGTGAACACTGTCCCAAGTCTAGAGGAACACCAACTTCAGCACAGCAACTCGAGGAATGCTCCATGTACCCCAAATCGTCTCGAGATGAGAGCTGATTCCCTGGTTTAGGCTCAAGACGTATGCCAAATTTCCAGAAGCACCTCAGGAGGAGGCTTCTCTCAGCAATATTTATGTGGGAGGGACCCCGAGATCGCTTCCTCAAGTGGAATATACAGCGAGAAGCCCTAACTTGAAAGAAGGCCGGATTTCCTTGCAGTGTCTTGAATGCAGGCTCGTCTTTTATCTCAAAACATGAAGGGATGTCTGAATCCCCTGTGGAGACCTTAGAGAAAGCCCTAGGTCCCTGCCTCATTTTGACGGAATGCCTCACATCCCATTGACCCCTCGAGAGGCACGCGGAGTTCATTGCCTCAAAAGGTGACGAGGCCTGACTCCTCTTGAATACTGAAGGGAATCCCAAAATCCCTGTGGGTACTAGAATGGGTCCTTGGGTGCCCTGCCTCACCTCGAGAAGCGTCCCTTTTGCCCTGCCAAGCATCGAAGAGATTCCTGAGGTGTCCTTCGTTAATAGACAGGAGTCCTGACATCATTGAAGAAACTCGTGTTTTGAATGGCCATCTCCGCCGTAAGTCGAGAACATACCCCAGGTCCCCGCCGCAATTCGAGAAAAACCATGAGACTTACCCCTAGAGGCGAGATGAGGCCCCATTCCCATGCAGTGCATGCAGAGCTATTCCGTGACCCCATTCAAACAAGTCAGGAGCTTCGACTTGCTTAATGGATCTCGAGACAGTCCCCAAGATCACTGTAACCAGTCTAGAAGGACCCTGACGTTACCCCAGCAACGCAATGCATCTCCATGTGCCCCAAATCAACTCGAGATGAAGCCTGATTCCCCTGCATTGACTCCAGAGCCATTCCCCGTTCCCCATTCAACACGACCGGTGGCTCGACTTCCTTCAGGCAACTCCAGAGATGCCACGAGAACACTGTCCCAAGTTTAGAGGAACACCACTTCAGCACAGCAACTCGAGGAATGCTCCATGTACCCCAAATCGTCTCGAGATGAGAGCTGATTCCCTGGCTTAGGCTCAAGACGTATGCCAACTTTCCAGAAGCACCTCAGGAGGAGGCTTCTCTCAGCAATAGCTATGTGGGAGGGACCCCGAGATCGCTGCCTCAAGGGGAATATACAGCGAGAAGCCCTAACTTGAAAGGAGCCCGGATTTCCTTGCAGTGGCTTGAATGCAGGCTCGTCTTTTATCTCAAAACATGAAGGGATGTCTGAATCCCCTGTGGAGACCTTAGAGAAAGCCCTAGGTCCCTGCCTCATTTTGACGGAATGCCACACATCCCATTGACACCTCGAGAGGCACGCGGAGTTCATTGCTTCAAAGGTGACGATGCCTGATTCCTCTTGAATACTGATAGGAATCCCAAAATCCCTGTGGCTACTGGAATGGGTCCTTGGGTTCCCAGCCTCACCTCGAGAAGCGTCCCTTTTGCCCTGCCAAGCCTCGAAGAGATTCCTGAGTTGTCCCTCGTTAATAGAAAGGAGTCCTGACGTCACTGAAGAAACTCGTGTTTTGAAGTGCCATCCCCGCCGTAAGTCGAGAACATACCCCAGGTCCCCGCCGCAACTCGAGAAAAACCATGAGACTTCCCCCTAGAGGCGAGATGAGGCCCCATTCCCCTGCAGTGCATGCAGAGCTATTACGTGATCCCATTCAAACAAGTCAGGAGCTTCGACTTGCTTAATGGATCTCGAGCCAGTCCCCAAGAACACTGTCACCAGTCTAGACGGACCCTGAGGTCACCCCAGCAACGCAAAGCAGCTCCATGTGCCCCAAATCAACTCGAGATGAGGCCCGATTCCCCTGCATTGACTCCAGAGCCATTCCCCGTTCCCCATTCAACACGACCGGTGGCTCGACTTCCTTCAGGCAACTCCAGACATGCCCCGAGAACACTGTCCCAAGTCTAGAGGAACACCAACTTCAGCATAGCAACTCGAGGAATGCTCCATGTACCCCAAATCGTCTGGAGATGAGAGCTGATTCCCTGGCTTGGGCTCAAGACTTATGCCAACTTTCCAGAAGCACCTCAGGAGGAGGCTTCTCTCAGCAATAGTTATGTGGGAGGGACCCCAAGATCGCTGCCTCAAGAGGAATATACAGCGAGAAGCCCTAACTTGAAAGGAGCCCGGATTTCCTTGCAGTGGCTTGAATACAGGCTCGTCTTTGATCTCACAACATGAAGGCATGTCTGAATCCCCTGTGGAGACCTTAGAGAAAGCCCTAGGTCCCTGCCTCATTTTGACGGAATGCCTCACATCCCGTTGACACCTCGAGAGGCACGCGGAGTTCATTGCTTCAAAAGGTGACGATGCCTGATTCCTCTTGAATACTGATAGGAATCCCACAATCCCTGTGGCTACTGGAATGGGTTTTGGGTGCCCTGCCTCACCTCGAGAAGCATCCCTTTTGCCCTGCCAAGCCTCGAAGAGATTCCTGAGGTGTCCCTCGTTACTAGACAGGAGTCCTGATGTCACTGAAGAAACTCGTGTTTTGAAGGGCCATCCCTGCCGTAAGTCGAGAACATAGCCCAGGTCCCCGCCGCAACTCGAGAAAAACCATAAGACTTCCCCCTAGAGGCGAGATGAGGCCCCATTCCCCTGCAGTGCATGCAGAGCTATTCCGTGATCCCATTCAAACAAGTCAGGAGCTTCGACTTGCTTAATGGATCTCGAGCCAGTCCCCAAGAACACTGTCACCAGTCTAGACGGACCCTGACGTCACCCCAGCAACGCAAAGCAGCTCCATGTGCCCCAAATCAACTCGAGATGAGGCCCGATTCCCCTGCATTGACTCCATAGCCATTCCCCGTTCCCCATTCAACACGACCGGTGGCTCGACTTCCTTCAGGCAATAACAGAGATGCCCCGTGAACACTGTCCCAAGTCTAGAGGAACACCAACTTCAGCAGAGCAACTCGAGGAATGCTCCATGTACCCCAAATCGTCTCGAGATGAGAGCTGATTCCCTGGTTTAGGCTCAAGACGTATGCCAAATTTCCAGAAGCACCTCAGGAGGAGGCTTCTCTCAGCAATAGGTATGTGGGAGGGACCCAGAGATCGCTTCCTCAAGTGGAATATACAGCGAGAAGCCCTAACTTGAAAGAAGGCCGGATTTCCTTGCAGTGTCTTGAATGCAGGCTCGTCTTTTATCTCAAAACATGAAGGGATGTCTGAATCCCCTGTGGAGACCTTAGAGAAAGCCCTAGGTCTCTGCCTCATTTTGACGGAATGCCTCACATCCCATTGACACCTCGAGAGGCACGCGGAGTTCATTGCTTCAAAAGGTGACGAGGCCTGACTCCTCTTGAATACTGATAGGAATCCCAAAATCCCTGTGGGTACTGGAATGGGTCCTTGGGTGCCCTGCCTCACCTCGAGAAGCGTCCCTTTTGCCCTGCCAAGCCTCGAAGAGATTCCTGAGGTGTCCTTTGTTAATAGACAGGAGTCCTGACATCATTGAAGAAACTCGTGTTTTGAAGGGCCATCCCAGCCGTAAGTCGAGAACATACCCCAGGTCCCCGCCGCAATTCGAGAAAAACCATGAGACTTCCCCCTAGACGCGAGATGAGGCCCCATTCCCATGCAGTGCATGCAGAGCTATTCCGTGACCCCATTCAAACAAGTCAGGAGATTCGACTTGCTTAATGGATCTCGAGACAGTCCCCAAGAACACTGTAACCAGTCTAGAAGGACCCTGACGTTACCCCAGCAACGCAATGCAAATCCATGTGCCCCAAATCAACTCGAGATGAAGCCTGATTCCCCTGCATTGACTCCAGAGCCATTCCCCGTTCCCCATTCAACACGACCGGTGGCTCGACTTCCTTCAGGCAACTCCAGAGATGCCCCGAGAACACTGTCCCAAGTTTAGAGGAACACCACTTCAGCACAGCAACTCGAGGAATGCTCCATGTACCCCAAATCGTCTCGAGATGAGAGCTGATTCCCTGGCTTAGGCTCAAGACGTATGCCAACTTTCCAGAAGCACCTCAGGAGGAGGCTTCTCTCAGCAATAGCTATGTGGGAGGGACCCCGAGATCGCTGCCTCAAGGGGAATATACAGCGAGAAGCCCTAACTTGAAAGGAGGCCGGATTTCCTTGCAGTGGCTTGAATGCACGCTCGTCTTTTATCTCAAAACATGAAGGGATGTCTGAATCCCCTGTGGAGACCTTAGAGAAAGCCCTAGGTCCCTGCCTCATTTTGACGGAATGCCTCACATCCCATTGACACCTCGAGAGCCACGCGGAGTTCATTACTTCAAAGGTGACGATTCCTGATTCCTCTTGAATACTGATAGGAATCCCAAAATCCCTGTGGCTACTGGAATGGGTCCTTGGGTTCCCTGCCTCACCTCGAGAAGCGTCCCTTTTGCCCTGCCAAGCCTCGAAGAGATTCCTGAGTTGTCCCTCGTTAATAGAAAGGAGTCCTGACGTCACTGAAGAAAATCGTGTTTTGAAGGGCCATCCCCGCCGTAAGTCGAGAACATACCCCAGGTCCCCACCGCAACTCGAGAAAAACCATGAGACTTCCCCCTAGAGGCGAGATGAGGCCCCATTCCCCTGCAGTGCATGCAGAGCTATTCCGTGATCCCATTCAAACAAGTCAGGAGCTTCGACTTGCTTAATGGATCTCGAGCCAGTCCCCAAGAACACTGTCACCAGTCTAGACGGACCCTGAGGTCACCCAAGCAACGCAAAGCAGCTCCATGTGCCCCAAATCAACTCGAGATGAGGCCCGATTCCCCTGCATTGACTCCAGAGCCATTCCCCGTTCCCCATTCAACACGACCGGTGGCTCGACTTCCTTCAGGCAACTCCAGACATGCCCCGAGAACACTGTCCCAAGTCTAGAGGAACACCAACTTCAGCATAGCAACTCGAGGAATGCTCCGTGTACCCCAAATCGTCTCGAGATGAGAGCTGATTCCCTGGCTTGGGCTCAAGACGTATGCCAACTTTCCAGAAGCACCTCAGGAGGAGGCTTATCTCAGCAGTAGGTATGTGGGAGGGACCCCGAGATCGCTGCCTCAAGGGGAATATACAGCGAGAAGCCCTAACTTATAAGGAGGCCGGATTTCCTTGCAGTGGCTTGAATACAGGCTCGTCTTTGATCTCACAACATGAAGGCATGTCTGAATCCCCTGTGGAGACCTTAGAGAAAGCCCTAGGTCCCTGCCTCATTTTGACGGAATGCCTCACATCCCGTTGACACCTCGAGAGGCACGCGGAGTTCATTGCTTCAAAAGATGACGATGCCTGACTCCTCTTGAATACTGATAGGAATCCCACAATCCCTGTGGCTACTGGAATGGGTCCTTGGGTGCCCTGCCTCACCTCGAGAAGCATCCCTTTTGCCCTGCCAAGCCTCGAAGAGATTCCTGAGGTGTCCCTCGTTACTAGATAGGAGTCCTGATGTCACTGAAGAAACTCGTGTTTTGAAGGGCCATCCCCGCCGTAAGTCGAGAACATACATCAGGTCCCCGCCGCAACTCGAGAACAACCATGAGACTTCCCCCTAGAGGCGAGATGAGGCCCCATTCCCCTGCAGTGCATGCAGAGCTATTCCGTGACCCCATTCAAACAAGTCAGGAGATTCGACTTGCTTAATGGATCTCGAGACAGTCCCCAAGAACACTGTAACCAGTCTAGAAGGACACTGACATTACCCCAGCAACACAATGCAACTCCATGTGCCCCAAATCTACTCGAGATGAAGCCTGATTCCCCTGCATTGACTCCAGAGCCATTCCCCATTCCCCATTCAACACGACTGGTGGCTCGACTTCCTTCAGGCAACTCCAGAGATGCCCCGAGAACACTGTCCCAAGTTTAGAGGAACACCAACTTCAGCACAGCAACTCGAGGAATGCTCCATGTACCCCAAATCGTCTCGAGATGAGAGCTGATTCCCTGGCTTAGGCTCAAGACGTATGCCAACTTTCCAGAAGCACCTCAGGAGGAGGCTTCTCTCAGCAATAGGTATGTGGGAGGGACCCCGAGATCGCTGCCTCAAGTGGAATATACAGCGAGAAGCCCTAACTTGAAAGGAGGCCGGATTTCCTTGCAGTGGCTTGAATACAGGCTCGTCTTTGATCTCACAACATGAAGGCATGTCTGAATCCCCTGTGGAGACCTTAGAGAAAGCCCTAGGTCCCTGCCTCATTTTGACGGAATGCCTCACATCCCGTTGACACCTCGAGAGGCACGCGGAGTTCATTGCTTCAAAAGGTGACGATGCCTGACTCCTCTTGAATACTGATGGGAATCCCACAATCCCTTTGGCTACTGGAATAGGTTCTTGGGTGCCCTGCCTCACCTCGAGAAGCGTCCCTTTTGCCCTGCCAAGCCTCGAAGAGATTCCTGAGGTGTCCCTCGTTACTAGACAGGATTCCTGACGTCACTGAAGAAACTCGTGTTTTGAAGGGCCATACCCGCCGTAAGTCGAGAACGTACCCCAGGTCCCCGCCGCAACTCGAGAAAATCCATGAGACTTCCCCCTAGAGGCGAGATGAGGCCCCATTCCCCTGCAGTGCATGCAGAGCTATTCCGTGATCCCATTCAAACAAGTCAGGAGCTTCGACTTGCTTAATGGATCTCGAGCCAGTCCCCAAGAACACTGTCACCAGTCTAGACGGACCCTGACGTCACCCCAGCAACGCAAAGCAGCTCCATGTGCCCCAAATCAACTCGAGATGAGGCCCGATTCCCCTGCATTGACTCCATAGCCATTCCCCGTTCCCCATTCAACACGACCGGTGGCTCGACTTCCTTCAGGCAATAACAGAGATGCCCCGTGAACACTGTCCCAAGTCTAGAGGAACACCAACTTCAGCAGAGCAACTCGAGGAATGCTCCATGTACCCCAAATCGTCTCGAGATGAGAGCTGATTCCCTGGTTTAGGCTCAAGACGTATGCCAAATTTCCAGAAGCACCTCAGGAGGAGGCTTCTCTCAGCAATAGGTATGTGGGAGGGACCCAGAGATCGCTTCCTCAAGTGGAATATACAGCGAGAAGCCCTAACTTGAAAGAAGGCCGGATTTCCTTGCAGTGTCTTGAATGCAGGCACGTCTTTTATCTCAAAACATGAAGGGATGTCTGAATCCCCTGTGGAGACCTTAGAGAAAGCCCTAGGTCTCTGCCTCATTTTGACGGAATGCCTCACATCCCATTGACACCTCGACAGGCACGCGGAGTTCATTGCTTCAAAAGGTGACGAGGCCTGACTCCTCTTGAATACTGATAGGAATCCCAAAATCCCTGTGGGTACTGGAATGGGTCCTTGGGTGCCCTGCCTCACCTCGAGAAGCGTCCCTTTTGCCCTGCCAAGCCTCGAAGAGATTCCTGAGGTGTCCTTCGTTAATAGACAGGAGTCCTGACATCATTGAAGAAACTCGTGTTTTGAAGGGCCATCCCAGCCGTAAGTCGAGAACATACCCCAGGTCCCCGCCGCAATTCGAGAAAAACCATGAGACTTCCCCCTAGACGCGAGATGAGGCCCCATTCCCATGCAGTGCATGCAGAGCTATTCCGTGACCCCATTCAAACAAGTCAGGAGATTCGACTTGCTTAATGGATCTCGAGACAGTCCCCAAGAACACTGTAACCAGTCTAGAAGGACCCTGACGTTACCCCAGCAACGCAATGCAAATCCATGTGCCCCAAATCAACTCGAGATGAAGCCTGATTCCCCTGCATTGACTCCAGAGCCATTCCCCGTTCCCCATTCAACACGACCGGTGGCTCGACTTCCTTCAGGCAACTCCAGAGATGCCCCGAGAACACTGTCCCAAGTTTAGAGGAACACCACTTCAGCACAGCAACTCGAGGAATGCTCCATGTACCTCAAATCGTCTCGAGATGAGAGCTGATTCCCTGGCTTAGGCTCAAGACGTATGCCAACTTTCCAGAAGCACCTCAGGAGGAGGCTTCTCTCAGCAATAGCTATGTGGGAGGGACCCCGAGATCGCTGCCTCAAGGGGAATATACAGCGAGAAGCCCTAACTTGAAAGGAGGCCGGATTTCCTTGCAGTGGCTTGAATGCACGCTCGTCTTTTATCTCAAAACATGAAGGGATGTCTGAATCCCCTGTGGAGACCTTAGAGAAAGCCCTAGGTCCCTGCCTCATTTTGACGGAATGCCTCACATCCCATTGACACCTCGAGAGCCACGCGGAGTTCATTACTTCAAAGGTGACGATTCCTGATTCCTCTTGAATACTGATAGGAATCCCAAAATCCCTGTGGCTACTGGAATGGGTCCTTGGGTTCCCTGCCTCACCTCGAGAAGCGTCCCTTTTGCCCTGCCAAGCCTCGAAGAGATTCCTGAGTTGTCCCTCGTTAATAGAAAGGAGTCCTGACGTCACTGAAGAAACTCGTGTTTTGAAGGGCCATTCCCGCCGTAAGTCGAGAACATACCCCAGGTCCCCACCGCAACTCGAGAAAAACCATGAGACTTCCCCCTAGAGGCGAGATGAGGCCCTATTCCCCTGCAGTGCATGCAGAGCTATTCCGTGATCCCATTCAAACAAGTCAGGAGCTTCGACTTGCTTAATGGATCTCGAGCCAGTCCCCAAGAACACTGTCACCAGTCTAGACGGACCCTGAGGTCACCCCAGCAACGCAAAGCAGCTCCATGTGCCCAAATCAACTCGAGATGAGGCCCGATTCCCCTGCATTGACTCCAGAGCCATTCCCCGTTCCCCATTCAACACGACCGGTGGCTCGACTTCCTTCAGGCAACTCCAGACATGCCCCGAGAACACTGTCCCAAGTCTAGAGGAACACCAACTTCAGCATAGCAACTCGAGGAATGCTCCGTGTACCCCAAATCGTCTCGAGATGAGAGCTGATTCCCTGGCTTGGGCTCAAGACGTATGCCAACTTTCCAGAAGCACCTCAGGAGGAGGCTTATCTCAGCAGTAGGTATGTGGGAGGGACCCCGAGATCGCTGCCTCAAGGGGAATATACAGCGAGAAGCCCTAACTTATAAGGAGGCCGGATTTCCTTGCAGTGGCTTGAATACAGGCTCGTCTTTGATCTCACAACATGAAGGCATGTCTGAATCCCCTGTGGAGACCTTAGAGAAAGCCCTAGGTCCCTGCCTCATTTTGACGGAATGCCTCACATACCGTTGACACCTCGAGAGGCACGCGGAGTTCATTGCTTCAAAAGATGACGATGCCTGACTCCTCTTGAATACTGATAGGAATCCCACAATCCCTGTGGCTACTGGAATGGGTCCTTGGGTGCCCTGCCTCACCTCGAGAAGCATCCCTTTTGCCCTGCCAAGCCTCGAAGAGATTCCTGAGGTGTCCCTCGTTACTAGATAGGAGTCCTGATGTCACTGAAGAAACTCGTGTTTTGAAGGGCCATCCCCGCCGTAAGTCGAGAACATACATCAGGTCCCCGCCGCAACTCGAGAAAAACCATGAGACTTCCCCCTAGAGGCGAGATGAGGCCCCATTCCCCTGCAGTGCATGCAGAGCTATTCCGTGACCCCATTCAAACAAGTCAGGAGATTCGACTTGCTTAATGGATCTCGAGACAGTCCCCAAGAACACTGTAACCAGTCTAGAAGGACACTGACATTACCCCAGCAACACAATGCAACTCCATGTGCCCCAAATCAACTCGAGATGAAGCCTGATTCCCCTGCATTGACTCCAGAGCCATTCCCCGTTCCCCATTCAACACGACTGGTGGCTGGACTTCCTTCAGGCAACTCCAGAGATGCCCCGAGAACACTGTCCCAAGTTTAGAGGAACACCAACTTCAGCACAGCAACTCGAGGAATGCTCCATGTACCCCAAATCGTCTCGAGATGAGAGCTGATTCCCTGGCTTAGGCTCAAGACGTATGCCAACTTTCCAGAAGCACCTCAGGAGGAGGCTTCTCTCAGCAATAGGTATGTGGGAGGGACCCCGAGATCGCTGCCTCAAGTGGAATATACAGCGAGAAGCCCTAACTTGAAAGGAGGCCGGATTTCCTTGCAGTGGCTTGAATACAGGCTCGTCTTTGATCTCACAACATGAAGGCATGTCTGAATCCCCTGTGGAGACCTTAGAGAAAGCCCTAGGTCCCTGCCTCATTTTGACGGAATGCCTCACATCCCGTTGACACCTCGAGAGGCACGCGGAGTTCATTGCTTCAAAAGGTGACGATGCCTGACTCCTCTTGAATACTGATGGGAATCCCACAAGCCCTTTGGCTACTGGAATAGGTTCTTGGGTGCCCTGCCTCACCTCGAGAAGCGTCCCTTTTGCCCTGCCAAGCCTCGAAGAGATTCCTGAGGTGTCCCTCGTTACTAGACAGGATTCCTGACGTCACTGAAGAAACTCGTGTTTTGAAGGGCCATCCCCGCCGTAAGTCGAGAACGTACCCCAGGTCCCCGCCGCAACTCGAGAAAATCCATGAGACTTCCCCCTAGAGGCGAGATGAGGCCCTATTCCCCTGCAGTGCATGCAGAGCTATTCCGTGATCCCATTCAAACAAGTCAGGAACTTCGACTTGCTTAATGGATCTCGAGACAGTCCCCAAGAACACTGTCACCAGTCTAGACGGACCCTGAGGTCACCCCAGCAACGCAAAGCAGCTCCATGTGCCCAAAATCAACTCGAGATGAGGCCCGATTCCCCTGCATTGACTCCATAGCCATTCCCCGTTCCCCATTCAACACGACCAGTGGCTCGACTTCCTTCAGGTAATAACAGAGATGCCCCGTGAACACTGTCCCAAGTCTAGAGGAACACCAACATCAGCACAGCAACTCGAGGAATGCTCCATGTACCCCAAATCGCCTCGAGATGAGAGCTGATTCCCTGGTTTAGGCTCAAGACGTATGCCAAATTTCCAGAAGCACCTCAGGAGGAGGCTTCTCTCAGCAATATTTATGTGGGAGGGACCCCGAGATCGCTTCCTCAAGTGGAATATACAGCGAGAAGCCCTAACTTGAAAGAAGGCCGGATTTCCTTGCAGTGTCTTGAATGCAGGCTCGTCTTTTATCTCAAAACATGAAGGGATGTCTGAAGCCCCTGTGGAGACCTTAGAGAAAGCCCTAGGTCCCTGCCTCATTTTGACGGAATGCCTCACATCCCATTGACCCCTCGAGAGGCACGCGGAGTTCATTGCTTCAAAAGGTGACGAGGCCTGACTCCTCTTGAATACTGAAGGGAATCCCAAAATCCCTGTGGGTACTAGAATGGGTCCTTGGGTGCCCTGCCTCACCTCGAGAAGCGTCCCTTTTGCCCTGCCAAGCCTCGAAGAGATTCCTGAGGTGTCCTTCGTTAATAGACAGTAGTCCTGACATCATTGAAGAAACTCGTGTTTTGAAGGGCCATCCCCGCCGTAAGTCGAGAACATACCCCAGGTCCCTGCCGCAATTCGAGAAAAACCATGAGACTTCCCCCTAGAGGCGAGATGAGGCCCCATTCCCATGCAGTGCATGCAGAGCTATTCCGTGACCCCATTCAAACAAGTCAGGAGCTTCGACTTGCTTAATGGATCTCGAGACTGTCCCCAAGATCACTGTAACCAGTCTAGAAGGACCCTGACGTTACCCAAGCAACGCAATGCATCTCCATGTGCCCCAAATCAACTCGAGATGAAGCCTGATTCCCCTGCATTGACTCCAGAGCCATTCCCCGTTCCCCATTCAACACGACCGGTGGCTCGACTTCCTTCAGGCAACTCCAGAGATGCCCCGAGAACACTGTCCCAAGTTTAGAGGAACACCACTTCAGCACAGCAACTCGAGGAATGTTCCATGTACCCCAAATCGTCTCGAGATGAGAGCCGATTCCCTGGCTTAGGCTCAAGACGTATGCCAACTTTCCAGAAGCACCTCAGGAGGAGGCTTCTCTCAGCAATAGCTATGTGGGAGGGACCCCGAGATCGCTGCCTGAAGGGGAATATACAGCGAGAAGCCCTAACTTGAAAGGAGCCCGGATTTCCTTGCAGTGGCTTGAATGCAGGCTCGTCTTTTATCTCAAAACATGAAGGGATGTCTGAATCCCCTGTGGAGACCTTAGAGAAAGCCCTAGGTCCCTGCCTCATTTTGACGGAATGCCACACATCCCATTGACACCTCGAGAGGCACGCGGAGTTCATTGCTTCAAAGGTGACGATGCCTGATTCCTCTTGAATACTGATAGGAATCCCAAAATCCCTGTGGCTACTGGAATGGGTCCTTGGGTTCCCTGCCTCACCTCGAGAAGTGTCCCTTTTGCCCTGCCAAGCCTCGAAGAGATTCCTGAGTTGTCCCTCGTTAATAGAAAGGAGTCCTGACGTCACTGAAGAAACTCGTGTTTTGAAGGGCCATCCCTGCCGTAAGTCGAGAACATACCCCAGGTCCCCGCCGCAACTCGAGAAAAACCATGAGACTTCCCCCTAGAGGCGAGATGAGGCCCCATTCCCCTGCAGTGCATGCAGAGCTATTCCGTGATCCCATTCAAACAAGTCAGGAGCTTCGACTTGCTTAATGGATCTCGAGCCAGTCCCCAAGAACACTGTCACCAGTCTAGACGGACACTGACGTCACCCCAGCAACGCAAAGCAGCTCCATGTGCCCCAAATCAACTCGAGATGAGGCCCGATTCCCCTGCATTGACTCCATAGCCATTCCCCGTTCCCCATTCAACACGACCGGTGGCTCGACTTCCTTCAGGCAATAACAGAGATGCCCCGTGAACACTGTCCCAAGTCTAGAGGAACACCAACTTCAGCACAGCAACTCGAGGAATGCTCCATGTACCCCAAATCGTCTCGAGATGAGAGCTGATTCCCTGGTTTAGGCTCAAGACGTATGCCAAATTTCCAGAAGCACCTCAGGAGGAGGCTTCTCTCAGCAATAGGTATGTGGGAGGGACCCCGAGATCGCTTCCTCAAGTGGAATATACAGCGAGAAGCCCTAACTTGAAAGAAGGCCGGATTTCCTTGCAGTGTCTTGAATGCAGGCTCGTCTTTTATCTCAAAACATGAAGGGATGTCTGAATCCCCTGTGGAGACCTTAGAGAAAGCCCTAGGTCCCTGCCTCATTTTTGACGGAATGCCTCACATCCCATTGACACCTCGAGAGGCACGCGGAGTTCATTGCTTCAAAAGGTGACGAGGCCTGACTCCTCTTGAATACTGATAGGAATCCCAAAATCCCTGTGGGTACTGGAATGGGTCCTTGGGTGCCCTGCCTCACCTCGAGAAGCGTCCCTTTTGCCCTGCCAAGCCTCGAAGAGATTCCTGAGGTGTCCTTCGTTAATAGACAGGAGTCCTGACATCATTGAAGAAACTCGTGTTTTGAAGGGCCATCCCCGCCGTAAGTCGAGAACATACCCCAGGTCCCCGCCGCAACTCGAGAAAAACCATGAGACTTCCCCCTAGAGGCGAGATGAGGCCCCATTCCCCTGCAGTGCATGCAGAGCTATTCCGTGATCCCATTCAAACAAGTCAGGAGCTTCGACTTGCTTAATGGATCTCGAGACAGTCCCCAAGAACACTGTCACCAGTCTAGACGGACCCTGAGGTCAGCCCAGCAACGCAAAGCAGCTCCATGTGCCCCAAATCAACTCGAGATGAGGCCCGATTCCCCTGCATTGACTCCAGAGCCATTCCCCGTTCCCCATTTATCACGACTGGTGGCTCGAGTTCCTTCATGCAACTCCAGAGATGCCCCGAGAACACTATCCCAAGTCTAGAGGAACAACAACCTCAGCAGAGCAACTCGAGGAATGCTCCGTGTACCCCCAATCGTCTCGAGATGAGAGCTGATTCCCTGGCTTAGGCTCAAGACGTATGCCAAATTTCCAGAAGCACCTAAGGAGGAGGCTTCTCTCAGCAGTAGGTATGTGGGATGGACCCCGAGATCGCTGCCTCAAGTGGAATATACAGCGAGAAGCCCTAACTTGAAAGGAGGCCGGATTTCCTTGCAGTGGCTTGAATACAGGCTCGTCTTTGATCTCACAACATGAAGGCATGTCTGAATCCCCTGTGGAGACCTTAGAGAAAGCCCTAGGTCCCTGCTTCATTTTGACGGAATGCCTCACATCCCGTTGGCACCTCGAGAGGCATGCGGAGTTCATTGCTTCAAAAGGTGACGATGCCTGACTCCTCTTGAATACTGATAGGAATCCCACAATCCCTGTGGCTACTGGAATGGGTTCTTGGGTGCCCTGCCTCACCTCGAGAAGCATCCCTTTTGCCCTGCCAAGCCTCGAAGAGATTCCTGAGGTGTCCCTCGTTACTAGACAGGAGTCCTGATGTCACTGAAGAAACTCGTGTTTTGAAGGGCCATCCCCGCCGTAAGTCGAGAACATACCCCAGGTCCCCGCCGCAACTCGAGAAAAACCATGAGACTTCCCCCTATAGGCGAGATGAGGCCCGATTCCCCTGCAGTGCATGCAGAGCTATTCCGTGATCCCATTCAAACAAGTCAGGAGCTTCGACTTGCTTAATGGATCTCGAGACAGTCCCCAAGAACACTGTCACCAATCTAGACGGACCCTGAGGTCAACCCAGCAACGGAAAGCAGCTCCATGTGCCCCAAATCAACTCGAGATGAGGCCCGTTTCCCTGCATTGACTCCAGAGCCATTCCCCGTTCCCCATTCAACACGACCGGTGGCTCGACTTCCTTCAGGCAATAACAGAGATGCCCCATGAACACTGTCCCAAGTCTAGAGCAACACCAACTTCAGCACAGCAACTCGAGGAATGCTCCATGCACCCCAAATCGTCTCGAGATGAGAGCTGATTCCCTGGCTTAGGCTCAAGACGTATGCCAACTTTCCAGAAGCACCTCAGGAGGAGGCTTCTCTCAGCAATAGGTATGTGGGAGGGACCCCGAGATCGCTGCCTCAAGTGGAATATACAGCGAGAAGCCCTAACTTGAAAGGAGGCCGGATTTCCTTGCAGTGGCTTGAATACAGGCTCTTCTTTGATCTCACAACATGAAGGCATGTCTGAATCCCCTGTGGAGACCTTAGAGAAAGCCCTAGGTCCCTGCCTCATTTTGACGGAAGATCTCACATCCCGTTGACTCCTCGAGAGGCACGCGGAGTTCATTGCTTCAAAAGGTGACGATGCCTGACGCCTCTTGAATACTGATAGGAATCCCAAAATCCCTGTGGCTACTAGAATGGGTCCTTGGGTGCCCTGCCTCACCTCGAGAAGCGTCCCTTTTGCCCTGCCAAGCCTCGAAGAGATTCCTGAGGTGTCCCTCGTTACTAGACAGGAGTCCTGACGTCACTAAAGAAACTCGTGTTTTGAAGGCCGTCCCCGCCGTAAGTCGAAAGTATACCCCAGGTCCCCGCCGCAACTCGAGAAAAACCATGAGACTTCCCCCTAGAGGCGAGATGAGGCCCAATTCCCCTGCAGTGCATGCAGAGCTATTCCGTGATCCCATTCAAACAAGTCAGGAGCTTCGACTTCCTTAATGGATCTCGAGACAGTCCTCAAGAACACTGTCACCATTCTAGACGGACCCTGAGGTCAACCCAGCAACGGAAAGCAGCTCCATGTGCCCCAAATCAACTCGAGATGAGGCCCGATTCCCCTGCATTGACTCCATAGCCATTCCCCTTTCCCCATTCAACACGACCGGTGGCTCGACTTCCTTCAGGCAACTCCAGAGATGCCCTGAGAACACTCTCCCAAGTCTAGAGTCACACCAACTTCAGCACAGCACCTCGAGGAATGCTCCATGTACCCCAAATCGTCTCGAGATGAGAGCTGATTCCCTGGCTTAGGCTCAAGACGTATGCCAACTTTCCAGAAGCACCTCAGGAGGAGGCTTCTCTCAGCAATAGGTATGTGGGAGGGACCCCGAGATCGCTGCCTCAAGGGGAATATACAGCGAGAAGCCCTAACTTGAAAGGAGGCCGGATTTCCTTGCAGTGGCTTGAATACAGGCTCGTCTTTGATCTCACAACATGAAGGCATGTCTGAATCCCCTGTGGAGACCTTAGAGAAAGCCCTAGGTCCCTGCCTCATTTTGAAGGAATGCCTCACATCCCGTTGACACCTCGAGAGGCACACGGAGTTCATTGCTTCAAAAGGTGACGATGCCTGACTCCTCTTGAATACTGATAGGCATCCCACAATCACTGTGGCTACTGGAATGGGTCCTTGGGTGCCCTGCCTCACCTCGAGAATCATCCCTTTTGCCCTTCCAAGCCTCGAAGAGATTCCTGAGGTGTCCCTCTTTACTAGACAGGAGTCCTGATGTCACTGAAGAAACTCTTGTTTTGAAGGGCCATCCCCGCCGTAAGTGGAGAACATACCCCAGGTCCCCGCCGCAACTCGAGAAAAACCATGAGACTTCCCCCTAGAGGTGAGATGAGGCCCCATTCCCCTGCAGTGCATGCAGAGCTATTCCGTGATCCCATTCAAACAAGTCAGGAGGTTCGACTTGCTTAATGGATCTCGAGACAGTCCCCAAGAACACTGTCACCAGTCTAGACGGACCCTGAGGTCAACAAAGCAACGGAAAGCAGCTCCATGTGCCCCAAGTCAACTGGAGGTGAGGCCCGATTCCCCTGCATTGACTCCAGAGCCATTCAACGTTCCCCATTCAACACGACCGGTGGCTCGACTTCCTTCAGGCAATAACAGAGATGCCCCGTGAACACTGTCCCAAGTCTAGAGGAAGACCAACTTCAGCACAGCAACTCGAGGAATGCTCCATGCACCCCAAATCGTCTCCAGATGAGAGCTGATTCCCTGGCTTAGGCTCAAGACGTATGCCACCTTTCCATAAGCACCTCAGGAGGAGGCTTCTCTCAGCAATAGGTATGTGGGAGGGACCCCGAGATCGCTGCCTCAAGTGGAATATACAGCGAGAATCCCTAACTTGAAAGGAGGCCGGATTTCCTTGCAGTGGCTTGAATACAGGCTCGTCTTTGATCTCAGAACATGAAGGCATGTCTGAATCCCCTGTGGAGAACTTAGAGAAAGCCCTAGGTCCCTGCCTCATTTTGACGGAATGCCTCACATCCCGTTGAAACCTCGAGATGCACGCGGAGTTCATTGCTTCAAAAGGTGACGATGCCTGACTCCTCTTGAATACTGATAGGAATCCCACAATCCCTGTGGCTACTGGAATGGGTCCTTGGGTGCCCTGCCTCACCTCGAGAAGCATCCCTTTTGCCCTGCCAAGCCTCGAAGAGATTCCTGAGGTGTCCCTCGTTACTAGACAGCAGTCCTGATGTCACTGAAGAAACGCTTGTTTTGAAGGGCCATCCCCGCCGTGAGTCGAAAACATACCCCAGGTCCAAGCCGCAACTCGAGAAAAACCATGAAACTTCCCCCTAGAGGCGAGATGAGGCCCCATTCCCCTGCAGTGCATGCAGAGCTATTCCGTGATCCCATTCAAACAAGTCAGGAGCTTCGACTTGCTTAATGGATCTCCAGACAGTCCCCAAGAACACTGTCACCAGTCTAGACGGACCCTGAGGTCAACCCAGCAACGGAAAGCAGCTCCATGTGCCCCAAATCAACTCGAGATGAGGCCCGATTCCCCTGCATTGACTCCAGAGCCATTCCCCGTTCCCCATTCAACACGACCGGTGGCTCGACTTCCTTCAGGCAATAACAGAGATGCCCCATGAACACTGTCCCAAGTCTAGAGGAACACCAACTTCAGCACAGCACCTCGAGGAATGCTCCATGTACCCCAAATCGTCTCGAGATGAGAGCTGATTCCCTGGCTTAGGCTCAAGACGTATGCCAACTTTCCAGAAGCACCTCAGGAGGAGGCTTCTCTCAGCAATAGGTATGTGGGAGGGACCCCGAGATCGCTGCCTCAAGTGGAATATACAGCGAGAAGCCCTAACTTGAAAGGAGGCCAGATTTCCTTGCAGTGGCTTGAATACAGGCTCTTCTTTGATCTTACAACATGAAAGCATGTCTGAATCCCCTGTGGAGACCATAGAGAAAGCAATAGGTCCCTGCCTCATTTTGACGGAATGCCTCACATCCCGTTGACAGCTCGCGAGGCACACGGAGTTCATTGCTTCAAAAGCTGACGATGCCTGACTCCTCTTGAATACTGATAGGAATCCCAAAATCACTGTGGCTACTGGAATGGGTCCTTGGGTGCCCTGCCTCACCTCGAGAAGCGTCCCTTTTGCCCTGCCAAGCCTCGAAGAGATTCCTGAGGTGTCCCTTGTTACTAGACAGGAGTCCTGACGTCACTGAAGAAACTCGTGTGTGGAAGGGCCATCCCCGCCGTAAGTCGAGAACGTACCCCACGTCCCCGCCGCAACTCGAGAAAATCCATGAGACTTCCCCCTAGAGGCGAGATGAGGCCCCATTCCCATTCAGTCCATGCAGAGCTATTCCGTGATCCCATTCAAACAAGTCAGGAGCTTCGACTTGCTTAATGCATCTCGAGCCAGTCCCCAAGAACACTGTCACCAGTCTAGACGGACCCTGAGGTCACCCCAGCAACGCAAAGCAGCTCCATGTGCCCCAAATCAACTCGAGATGAGGCCCGATTCCCCTGCATTGACACCAGAGCCATACCCCGTTCCCCATTCAACAGGACCGGTGGCTCGACTTCCTTCAGGCAACTCCAGAGATGCCCCGAGAACACTGTCCCAAGTCTAGAGGAACACCAACTTCAGCACAGCAACTCGAGGAATGCTCCATGCACCCCAAATCGTCTCGAGATGAGAGCTGATTCCCTGGCTTAGGCTCAAGACGTATGCCAACTTTCCATAAGCACCTCAGGAGGAGGCTTCTCTCAGCAATAGGTATGTGGGAGGGACCCCGAGACCGCTGCCTCAAGTGGAATATACAGCGAGAAGCCCTAACTTGAAAGGAGGCCGGATTTCCTTTCAGTGGCTTGAATACAGGCTCGTCTTTGATCTCACAACATGAAGGCATGTCTGAATCCCCTGTGGAGACCTTAGAGAAAGCCCTAGGTCCCTGCCTAATTTTGACGGAATGCCTCACATCCCGTTGACACCTCGAGAGGCACGCGGAGTTCATTGCTTCAAAAGGTGACGATGCCTGACTCCTCTTGAATACTGATAGGAATCCCACAATACCTGTGGCTACTGGAATGGGTCCTTGGGTGCCCTGCCTCACCTCGAGAAGCGTCCCTTTTGCCCTGCCAAGCCTCGAAGAGATTCCTGAGGTGTCCCTCGTTACTAGACAGCAGTCCTGATGTCACTGAAGAAACTCTAGTTTTGAAGGGCCATCCCCGCCGTAAGTCGAGAACATACCCCAGGTCCCCGTCGCAACTCGAGAAAAACCATGAGACTTCCCCCTAGAGGCGAGATGAGGCCCCATTCCCCTGCAGTGCATGCACAGCTATTCCGTGATCCCATTCAAACAAGTCAGGAGCTTCGACTTGCTTAATGGATCTCGAGACAGTCCCCAAGAACACTGTCACCAGTCTAGACGGACCCTGAGGTGACCCCAGCAACGCAACGCAGCTCCATGTGCCCCAAGTCAACTCGAGATTAGGCCCGAATCCCCTGCATTGACACCAGAGCCATTCCCCGTTCCCCATTGAACACGACCGGTGGCTCGACTTCCTTCAGGCAACTCCAGAGATGCCCCGTGAACACTGTCCCAAGTCTAGAGGAACACCAACTTCAGCACAGCAACTCGAGGAATGCTCCATGCACCCCAAATCGTCTCGAGATGAGAGCTGATTCCCCGGCTTAGGCTCAAGACGTATGCCAACTTTCCAGAAGCACCTCAGGAGGAGGCTTCTCTCAGCAATAGGTATGTGGGAGGGACCCCTAGATCGCTGCCTCAAGTGGAATATACAGCGAGAATCCCTAACTTGAAAGGAGGCCGGATTTCCTTGCAGTGGCTTGAATACAGGCTCGTCTTTGATCTCACAACATGAAGGCATGTCTAAATCCCCTGAGGAGACCTTAGAGAAAGCCCTAGGTCCCTGCCTCATTTTGACGGAATGCCTCACATCCCGTTGACACGTCGAGAGGCACGCGCAGTTCATTGCTTCAAAAGGTGACGATGCCTGACTCCTCTTGAATACTGATAGGAATCCCAAAATCACTGTGGATACTGGAATGGGTCCTTGGGTGCCCTGCCTCACCTCGAGAAGCGTCCCTTTTGCCCTGCCAAGCCTCGAAGAGATTCCTGAGGTGTCCCTTGTTACTAGACAGTAGTCCTGATGTCACTGAAGAAACTCGTGTTTTGAAGGGCCATCCCCGCCGTAAGTCGAGAACGTACCCCAAGTCCCCGCCGCAACTCGAGATAATCCATGAGACTTCCCCCTAGAGGCGAGATGAGGCCCCATTCCGATTCAGTGCATGCAGAGCTATTCCGTGATCCCATTCAAAGAAGTCAGGAGCTTCGACTTGCTTAATGGATCTCGAGCCAGTCCCCAAGAACACTGTCACCAGTCTAGACGGACACTGAGGTCAACCCAGCAACGGAAAGCAGCTCCATGTGCCCCAAATCAACTCGAGATGAGGCCCGATTCCCCTGCATTGACTCCAGAGCCATTCCCCGTTCCCCATTCAACACGACCGGTGGCTCGACTTCCTTCAGGCAACTCCAGAGATGCCTCGAGAACACTGTCCCAAGTCTAGAGGAACACCAACTTCAGCATAGCAACTCGAGGAATGCTCCATGTACCCCAAATCGTCTCGAGATGAGAGCTGATTCCCTGGCTTAGGCTCAAGACGTATGCCAACTTTCCAGAAGCACCTCAGGAGGAGGCTTCTCTCAGCAATAGGTATGTGGGAGGGACCCCGAGATCGCTGCCTCAAGTGGAATATACAGCGAGAAGCCCTAACTTGAAAGGAGGCCGGATTTCCTTGCAGTGGCTTGAATACAGGCTCGTCTTTGATCTCACAACATGAAGGCATGTCTGAATCCCCTGTGGAGACCTTAGAGGAAGCCCTAGGTCCCTGCCTCATTTTGACGGAATGCCTCACATCCCGTTGCCACGTCGAGAGGCACGCGGAGTTCATTGTTTCAAAAGGTGACGATGCCGGACTCCTCTTGAATACTGATAGGAATCCCAAAATCCCTGTGGCTACTGGAAAGGGTACTTGGGTGCCCTGCCTCACCTCGAGAAGCGTCCCTTTTGCCCTGCCAAGCCTCGAAGAGATTCCTGAGGTGTCCCTCGTTACTAGACAGGAGTCCTGACGGCACTGAAGAAACTCGTGTTTTGAAGGGCCACCCCCGCTGTAAGTCGAGAACATACCCCAGGTCCCCGCCGCAACTCGAGAAAAACCACGAGACTTCCCCCTAGAGGCGAGATGAGGCCCCATTCCCCTGCAGTGCATGCACAGCTATTCCGTGATCCCATTCAAACAAGTCAGGAGCTTCGACTTGCTTAATGGATCTCGAGAGAGTCCCCAAGAACACTGTCACCAGTCTAGACGGACCCTGAGGTCACCCCAGCAACGCAAAGCAGCTCCATGTGCCCCAAATCAACTTGAGATGAGGCCCGATTCCCCTGCATTGACTCCAGAGCCATTCCCCGTTCCCCATTCATCACGACTGGTGGCTCGACTTCCTTCAGGCAACTCCAGAGATGCCCCGAGAACACTATCCCAAGTCTAGAGGAACACCAACTTCAGCACAGCAACTCGAGGAATGCACCGTGTATCCCAAATCGTCTCTAGATGAGAGCTGATTCCCTGGCTTAGGCTCAAGACGTATGCCAACTTTCCAGAAGCACCTCAGGAGGAGGCTTCTCTCAGCAATAGGTATGTGGGATGGACCCCGAGATCGCTGCCTCAAGTGGAATATACATCGAGAAGCACTAACTTATAAGGAGGCCGGATTTCCTTGCAGTGGCTTGAATACAGACTCGTCTTTGATCTCACAACATGAAGGCATGTCTGAATCCCCTGTGGAGACCTTAGAGAAAGCCCTAGGTCCCTGCCTCATTTTGACGGAATGCCTCACATCCCGTTGACACCTCGAGAGGCACGCGGAGTTCATTGCTTCAAAAGGTGACGATGCCTGACTCCTCTTGAATACTGATAGGAATCCCACAATCACTGTGGCTACTGGAATGGGTCCTTGGGTGCCCTGCCTCACCTCGAGAAGCGTTCCTTTGCCCTGCAAAGCCTCGAAGAAATTCCTGAGGTGTCCCTCGTTACGAGACAGGAGTCATGACGTCACTGAAGAAAATCGTGTTTTGAAGGGCCATCCCCGCCGTAAGTCGAGAACATACCCCAGGTCCCCGCCGCAACTCGAGAAAAACCATGAGACTTCCCCCTAGAGGCGAGATGAGGCCCCATTCCCCTGCTGTGCATGCAGAGCTATTCCGTGATCCCATTCAAACAAGTCAGGAGCTTCGACTTGCTTAATGGATCTCGAGACAGTCCACCAAAACACTGTCACCAGTCTAGACGGACCCTGAGGTCACCCCAGCAACGCAAAGCAGCTCCATGTGCCCCAAATCAACTCGAGATGAGGCCCTATTTCCCTGCATTGACTCCAGAGCCATTCCCTGTTCCCCATTCAACACGACCGGTGGCTCGACTTCCTTCAGGCAATAACAGAGATTCCCCGTGAACACTGTCCCAAGTCTAGAGGAACACGAACTCAACACAGCAACTCGAAGAATGCTCCATGTACCCCAAATCGTCTCGAGATGAGAGCTGATTCCCTGGCTTAGGCTCAAGACGTATGCCAACTTTCCAGAAGCACCTCAGGAGGAGGCTTCTCTCAGCAATAGATATGTGGGAGGGACCCCGAGATCGCTGCCTCAAGTGGAATATACAGCGAGAATCTCTAACTTGAAAGGAGGCCGGATTTCCTTGCAGTGGCTTGAATACAGGCTCGTCTTTGATCTCAAAACATGAAGGGATGTCTGAGTCCCCTGTGGAGACCTTAGAGAAAGCCCTAGGTCCCTGCCTCATTTTGTCGGAATGCCTCACATCCCGTTGACACCTCGAGAGGCACGCGGAGTTCATTGCTTCAAAAGGTGAAGATGCCTGACTCCTCTTGAATACTGATAGGAATCCCAAAATCCCTGTTTCTACTGGAATGGGTCCTTGGGTGCCCTGCCTCACCTCGAGAAGCGTCCCTTTTGCCCTGCCAAGCCTCGAAGAGATTCCTGAGGTGTCCCTTGTTACTAGACAGGAGTCCTGACGTCACTGAAGAAACTCGTGTTTTGAAGGACCATCCCCGCCGTAAGTCGAGAACGTACCCCAAGTCCCCGCCGCAACTCGAGAAAATCCATGAGACTTCCTCCTAGAGGCGAGATGAGGCCCCATTCCCATTCAGTGCATGCAGAGGCATTCCGTGATCCCATTCAAACAAGTCAGGAGCTTCGACTTGCTTAATGGATCTCGAACCAGTCCCCAAGAACACTGTCACCAGTCTAGACGGACCCTGAGGTGACCCCAGCAACGCAAAGCAGCTTCATGTGCCCCAAATCAACTCGAGATGAGGCCCGATTCCCCTGCATTGACTCCAGAGCCATTACCCGTTCCCCATTCAACACGACCGGTGGCTCGACTTCCTTCAGGCAACTCCAGAGATGCCCGGAGAACACTATCCCAAGTCTAGAGGAACACCAACTTCAGCATAGCAACTCGAGGAATGCTCCATGTACCCCAAATCGTCTCGAGATGAGAGCTGATTCCCTGGCTTAGGCTCAAGACGTATGCCAACTTTCCAGAAGCACCTCAGGAGGAGGCTTCTCTCAGCAATAGGTATGTGGGAGGGACCCCGAGATCGCTGCCTCAAGTGGAATATACCGCGAGAAGCCCTAACTTGAAAGGAGGCCAGATTTCCTTGCAGTGGCTTGAATACAGGCTCGTCTTTGATCTCACAACATGAAGGCATGTCTGAATCCCCTGTGGAGAACTTAGAGAAAGCCCTAGGTCAGTGCCTCATTTTGACGGAATGCCTCACATCCCGTTGACACCTCGAGAGGCACGCGGAGTTCATTGCTTCAAAAGGTGACGATGCCTGACTCCTCTTGTATAATGATAGGAATCCCACAATCACTGTGGCTACTGGAATGGGTCCTTGGGTGCCCTACCTCACCTCGAGAAGCATCCCTTGTGCCCTGCCAAGCCTCGAAGAGATTCCTGAGGTGTCCCTCGTTACTAGACAGGAGTCCTGATGTCACTGAAGAAACTCGTGTTTTGAAGGGCCATCCCCGCCGTAAGTCGAGAACGTACCTCAGGTCCCCGCCGCAACTCGAGAAAAACCATGAGACTTCCCCCTAGAGGCGAGATGAGGCCCCATACCCCTGCAGTGCATGCAGAGCTATTCCGTGATCCCATTCAAACAAGTCAGGAGCTTCGCCTTGCTTAATGGATCTCGAGAGAGTCCCCAAGAACACTGTCACCAGTCTAGACGGACCCTGAGGTCAACCCAGTAACGGAAAGCAGCTCCATGTGCCCCAAATCAACTCGAGATGAGGCCCGAATCCCCTGCCTTGACACCAGAGCCATTCCCCGTTCCCCATTGAACACGACCGGTGGCTCGACTTCCTTCAGGCAACTCCAGAGATGCCCCGTGAACACTGTCCCAAGTCTAGAGGAATACCAACTTCAGCACAGCAACTCGAGGAATGCTCCATGCACCCCAAATCGTCTCGAGATGAGAGCTGATTCCCCGGCTTAGGCTCAAGACGTATGCCAACTTTACAGAAGCACCTCAGGATTAGGCTTCTCTCAGCAATAGGTATGTGGGAGGGACCCCTAGATCGCTGCCTCAAGTGGAATATACAGCGAGAATCCCTAACTTGAAAGGAGGCCGGATTTCCTTGCAGTGGCTTGAATACAGGCTCGTCTTTGATCTCACAACATGAAGGCATGTCTAAATCCCCTGAGGAGACCTTAGAGAAAGCCCTAGGTCCCTGCCTCATTTTGACGGAATGCCTCACATCCCGTTGACACGTCGAGAGGCACGCGCAGTTCATTGCTTCAAAAGGTGACGATGCCTGACTCCTCTTGAATACTGATAGGAATCCCAAAATCACTGTGGCTACTGGAATGGGTCCTTGGGTGCCCTGCCTCACCTCGAGAAGCGTCCCTTTTGCCCTGCCACGCCTCGAAGAGATTCCTGAGGTGTCCCTTGTTACTAGACAGTAGTCCTGATGTCACTGAAGAAACTCGTGTTTTGAAGGGCCATCCCCGCCGTAAGTCGAGAACGTACCCCAAGTCCCCGCCGCAACTCGAGATAATCCATGAGACTTCCCCCTAGAGGCGAGATGAGGCCCCATTCCGATTCAGTGCATGCAGAGCTATTCCGTGATCCCATTCAAAGAAGTCAGGAGCTTCGACTTGCTTAATGGATCTCGAGCCAGTCCCCAAGAACACTGTCACCAGTCTAGACGGACCCTGAGGTCACCCCAGCAATGCAAAGCAGCTCCATGTGCCCCAAATCAACTCGAGATGAGGCCCGATTCCCCTGCATTGACTCCAGAGCCATTCCCCGTTCCCCATTCAACACGACCGGTGGCTCGACTTCCTTCAGGCAACTCCAGAGATGCCCCTAGAACACTGTCCCAAGTCTAGAGGAACACCAACTTCAGCATAGCAACTCGAGGAATGCTCCATGTACCCCAAATCGTCTCGAGATGAGAGCTGATTCCCTGGCTTAGGCTCAAGACGTATGCCAACTTTCCAGAAGCACCTCAGGAGGAGGCTTCTCTCAGCAATAGGTATGTGGGAGGGACCCCGAGATCGCTGCCTCAAGTGGAATATACAGCGAGAAGCCCTAACTTGAAAGGAGGCCGGATTTCCTTGCAGTGGCTTGAATACAGGCTCGTCTTTGATCTCACAACATGAAGGCATGTCTGAATCCCCTGTGGAGACCTTAGAGGAAGCCCTAGGTCCCTGCCTCATTTTGACGGAATGCCTCACATCCCGTTGCCACGTCGAGAGGCACGCGGAATTCATTGTTTCAAAAGGTGACGATGCCGGACTCCTCTTGAATACTGATAGGAATCCCAAAATCCCTGTGGCTACTGGAAAGGGTACTTGGGTGCCCTGCCTCACCTCGAGAAGCGTCCCTTTTGCCCTGCCAAGCCTCGAAGAGATTCCTGAGGTGTCCCTCGTTACTAGACAGGAGTCCTGACGGCACTGAAGAAACTCGTGTTTTGAAGGGCCATCCCCGCTGTAAGTCGAGAACATACCCCAGGTCCCCGCCGCAACTCGAGAAAAACCATGAGACTTCCCCCTAGAGGCGAGATGAGGCCCCATTCCCCTGCAGTGCATGCACAGCTATTCCGTGATCCCATTCAAACAAGTCAGGAGCTTCGACTTGCTTAATGGATCTCGAGAGAGTCCCCAAGAACACTGTCACCAGTCTAGACGGACCCTGAGGTCACCCCAGCAACGCAAAGCAGCTCCATGTGCCCCAAATCAACTTGAGATGAGGCCCGATTCCCCTGCATTGACTCCAGAGCCATTCCCCGTTCCCCATTCATCACGACTGGTGGCTCGACTTCCTTCAGGCAACTCCAGAGATGCCCCGAGAACACTATCCCAAGTCTAGAGGAACACCAACTTCAGCACAGCAACTCGAGGAATGCACCGTGTATCCCAAATCGTCTCTAGATGAGAGCTTATTCCCTGGCTTAGGCTCAAGACGTATGCCAACTTTCCAGAAGCACCTCAGGAGGAGGCTTCTCTCAGCAATAGGTATGTGGGAGGGACCCCGAGATCGCTGCCTCAAGTGGAATATACAGCGAGAAGCCCTAACTTGAAAGGAGGCTAGATTTCCTTGCAGTGGCTTGAATACAGGCTCGTCTTTGATCTCACAACATGAAGGCATGTCTGAATACCCTGTGGAGACCTTAGAGAAAGCCCTACGTCCCTGCCTCATTTTGTCGGAATGCCTCACATCCCGTTGACACCTTGAGAGGCACGCAGAGTTCATTGCTTCAAGAGGTGACGATGCCTGACTCCTCTTGAATACTGATAGGAATCCCAAAATCCCTGTGGCTTCTGGAAAGGGTCCTTTGGTGCCCTGCCTCACGTCGAGAAGCGTCCCTTTTGCCCTGCCAAGCCTCGAAGAGATTCCTGAGGTGTCCCTCGTTACGAGACAGGAGTCCTGACGTCACTGAAGAAACTCGTGTTTTGAAGGGCCATCCCCGCCGTAAGTCGAGAACATACCCCAGGTCCCCGCCGCAACTCGAGAAAAACCATGAGACTTCCCGCTAGAGGCGAGATGAGGCCCCATTCCCCTGCAGTGCATGCAGAGCTATTCCGTGATCCCATTCAAACAAGTCAGGAGCTTCGACTTGCTTAATGGATCTCGAGACAGTCCCCAAGAACACTGTCACCAGTCTAGACGGAACCTGAGGTCACCCCAGCAATGCAAAGCAGCTCCATGTGCCCCAAATCAACTCGAGATGAGGCACGATTCCCCTGCATTGACACCAGAGCCATTCCCCGTTCCCCATTCAACAAGACCGGTGGCTCGACTATCTTCAGGCAACTCCAGAGATGCCCCGAGAACACTGTCCCAAGTCTAGAGGAACACCAACTTCAGCACAGCAACTCGAGGAATGCTCCGTGTACCCCAAATCGTCTCGAGATGAGAGCTGATTCCCTGGCTTAGGCTCAAGACGTATGCCAACTTTCCAGAAGCACCTCAGGAGGAGGCTTCTCTCAGCAATAGGTATGTGGGAGGGACCCCGAGATCGCTGCGTCAAGTGGAATATACAGCGAGATGCCCTAACTTGAAAGGAGGCCGTATTTCCTTGCAGTGGCTTGAATACAGGTTTGTCTTTGATCTCACAACATGAAGGCATGTTTGAATGCCCTGTGGAGATCTTAGAGAAAGCCCTAAATCACTGCGTCATTTTGACGGAATGCCTCACATCCCGTTGAAACCTCGAGAGGCACGCGGAGTTCATTGCTTCAAAAGGTGACGATGCCTGACTCCTCTTGAATACTGATAGGAATCCCAAAATCCCTGTGGCTACTGGAAAGGGTACTTGGGTGCCCTGCCTCACCTCGAGAAGCGTCCCTTTTGCCCTACCAAGCCTCGAAGAGATTCCTGAGGTGTCCCTCGTTACTAGACAGGAGTCCTGACGTCACTGAAGAAACTCGTGTTTTGAAGGGCCATCCCCGCTGTAAGTCGAGAACATAACCCAGGTCGCCTCCGCAACTCGAGAAAATCCATGAGACTTCCCCCTAGAGGCGAGATGAGGCCCCATTCCCCTGCAGGGCATGCAGAGCTATTCCGTGATCCCATTCAAACAAGTCAGGAGCTTCGACTTGCTTACTGGATCTCGAACCAGTCCCCAAGAACACTGTCACCAGTCTAGACGGAACCTGAGGTCACCCCAGCAACGCAAAGCAGCTCCATGTGCCCCAAATCAACTCGAGATTAGGCCCGATTCCCCTGCATTGACTCCAGAGCCATTCCCCGTTCCCCATTCAACACGACCGGTGGCTCGACTTCCTTCAGGCAACTCCAGAGAGGCCCCGAGAACACTGTCCCAAGTCTAGAGGAACACCAACTTCAGCACAGCAACTCGAGGAATGCTCCATGCACCCCAAATCGTCTCGAGATGAGAGCTGATTCCCTGGCTTAGGCTCAAGACGTATGCCAACTTTCCAGAAGCACCTCAGGAGGAGGCTTCTCTCAGCAATAGTTATGTGGGATGGACCCCGAGATCGCTGCCTCAAGTGGAATATACATCGAGAAGCACTAACTTATAAGGAGGCCGGATTTCCTTGCAGTGGCTTGAATACAGACTCGTCTTTGATCTCACAACATGAAGGCATGTCTGAATCCCCTGTGGAGACCTTAGAGAAAGCCCTAGGTCCCTGCCTCATTTTGACGGAATGCCTCACATCCCGTTGACACCTCGAGAGGCACGCGGAGTTCATTGCTTCAAAAGGTGACGATGCCTGACTCCTCTTGAATACTGATAGGAATCCCACAATCACTGTGGCTACTGGAATGGGTCCTTGGGTGCCCTGCCTCACCTCGAGAAGCGTTCCTTTGCCCTGCAAAGCCTCGAAGAAATTCCTGAGGTGTCCCTCGTTACGAGACAGGAGTCATGACGTCACTGAAGAAAATCGTGTTTTGAAGGGCCATCCCCGCCGTAAGTCGAGAACATACCCCAGGTCCCCGCCGCAACTCGAGAAAAACCATGAGACTTCCCCCTAGAGGCGAGATGAGGCCCCATTCCCCTGCTGTGCATGCAGAGCTATTCCGTGATCCCATTCAAACAAGTCAGGAGCTTCGACTTGCTTAATGGATCTCGAGACAGTCCACCAAAACACTGTCACCAGTCTAGACGGACCCTGAGGTCACCCCAGCAACGCAAAGCAGCTCCATGTGCCCCAAATCAACTCGAGATGAGGCCCTATTTCCCTGCATTGACTCCAGAGCCATTCCCTGTTCCCCATTCAACACGACCGGTGGCTCGACTTCCTTCAGGCAATAACAGAGATTCCCCGTGAACACTGTCCCAAGTCTAGAGGAACACGAACTCAACACAGCAACTCGAAGAATGCTCCATGTACCCCAAATCGTCTCGAGATGAGAGCTGATTCCCTGGCTTAGGCTCAAGACGTATGCCAACTTTCCAGAAGCACCTCAGGAGGAGGCTTCTCTCAGCAATAGATATGTGGGAGGGACCCCGAGATCGCTGCCTCAAGTGGAATATACAGCGAGAATCTCTAACTTGAAAGGAGGCCGGATTTCCTTGCAGTGGCTTGAATACAGGCTCGTCTTTGATCTCAAAACATGAAGGGATGTCTGAGTCCCCTGTGGAGACCTTAGAGAAAGCCCTAGGTCCCTGCCTCATTTTGTCGGAATGCCTCACATCCCGTTGACACCTCGAGAGGCACGCGGAGTTCATTGCTTCAAAAGGTGAAGATGCCTGACTCCTCTTGAATACTGATAGGAATCCCAAAATCCCTGTTTCTACTGGAATGGGTCCTTGGGTGCCCTGCCTCACCTCGAGAAGCGTCCCTTTTGCCCTGCCAAGCCTCGAAGAGATTCCTGAGGTGTCCCTTGTTACTAGACAGGAGTCCTGACGTCACTGAAGAAACTCGTGTTTTGAAGGACCATCCCCGCCGTAAGTCGAGAACGTACCCCAAGTCCCCGCCGCAACTCGAGAAAATCCATGAGACTTCCTCCTAGAGGCGAGATGAGGCCCCATTCCCATTCAGTGCATGCAGAGGCATTCCGTGATCCCATTCAAACAAGTCAGGAGCTTCGACTTGCTTAATGGATCTCGAACCAGTCCCCAAGAACACTGTCACCAGTCTAGACGGAACCTGAGGTCACCCCAGCAGCGCAGAGCAGCTCCATGTGCCCCAAATCAACTCGAGATGAGGCCCGATTCCCCTGCATTGGCTCCAGAGCCATTCCCCGTTCCCCATTCAACACGACCGGCGGCTCGACTTCCTTCAGGCAACTCCAGAGATGCCCCGAGAACACTGTCCCAAGTTTAGAGGAACACCACTTCAGCACAGCAACTCGAGGAATGTTCCATGTACCCCAAATCGTCTCGAGATGAGAGCTGATTCCCTGTCTTAGGCTCAAGACGTATGCCAACTTTCCAGAAGCACCTCAGGAGGGGCTTCTCTCAGCAATAGGTATGTGGGAGGGACCCCGAGATCGCTGCCTCAAGGGGAATATACAGCGAGAAGCCCTAACTTGAAAGGAGCCCGGATTTCTTTGCAGTGGCTTGAATACAGGCTCGTCTTTGATCTCACAACATGAAGGCATGTCAGAATCCCCTGTGTAGACCTTAGAGAAAGCCCTAGGTCCCTGCCTCATTTTGACGGAATGCCTCACATCCCGTTGCCACGTCGAGAGGCACGCGGAGTTCATTGTTTCAAAAGGTGACGATGCCGGACTCCTCTTGAATACTGATAGGAATCCCAAAATCACTGTGGCTACTGGAAAGGGTACTTGGGTGCCCTGCCTCACCTCGAGAAGCGTCCCTTTTGCCCTGCCAAGCCTCGAAGAGATTCCTGAGGTGTCCCTCGTTACTAGACAGGAGTCCTGACGGCACTGAAGAAACTCGTGTTTTGAAGGGCCATCCCCGCTGTAAGTCGAGAACATACCCCAGGTCCCCGCCGCAACTCGAGAAAAACCATGAGACTTCCCGCTAGAGGCGAGATGAGGCCCCATTCCCCTGCAGTGCATGCAGAGCTATTCCGTGATCCCATTCAAACAAGTCAGGAGCCTCGACTTGCTTAATGGATCTCGAGACAGTCCCCAAGAACACTGTCACCAGTCTAGACGGACCCTGAGGTCACCCCAGCAGCGCAGAGCAGCTCCATGTGCCCCAAATCAACTCGAGATGAGGCCCGATTCCCCTGCCTTGGCTCCAGAGCCATTCCCCGTTCCCCATTCAACACGACCGGCGGCTCGACTTCCTTCAGGCAACTCCAGAGATGCCCCGAGAACACTGTCCCAAGTTTAGAGGAACACCACTTCAGCACAGCAACTCGAGGAATGTTCCATGTACCCCAAATCGTCTCGAGATGAGAGCTGATTCCCTGGCTTAGGCTCAAGACGTATGCCAACTTTCCAGAAGCACCTCAGGAGGGGCTTCTCTCAGCAATAGGTATGTGGGAGGGACCCCGAGATCGCTGCCTCAAGTGGAATATACAGCGAGAAGCCCTAACTTGAAAGGAGCCCGGATTTCTTTGCAGTGGCTTGAATACAGGCTCGTCTTTGATCTCACAACATGAAGGCATGTCAGAATCCCCTGTGTAGACCTTAGAGAAAGCCCTAGGTCCCTGCCTCATTTTGACGGAATGCCTCACATCCCGTTGACACCTCGAGAGACACGCGGAGTTCATTGCTTCAAAGGTGACGATGCCTGATTCCTCTTGAATACTGATAGGAAACCCAAAATCCCTGTGGCTACTGGAATGGGTCCTTGGGTGCCCTGCCTCACCTCGAGAAGCGTCCCTTTTGCCCTGCCAAGCCTCGAAGAGATTCCTGAGTTGTCCCTCGTTACTAGACAGGAGTCCTGACGTCACTGAAGAAACTCGTGTTTTGAAGGGCCATCCCCGCCGTAAGTCGAGAACATACCCCAGGTCCCCGAGGCAACTCGAGAAAAACCATGAGACTTCCCCCTAGAGGCGAGATGAGGCCCCATTCCCCTGCAGTGCATGCAGAGCTATTCCGTGATCCCATTCAAACAAGTCAGGATCTTCGACTTGCTTAATGGATCTCGAGACAGTCCCCAAGAACACTGTGAGCAGTCTAGACGGACCCTGAGGTCACCCCAGCAACGCAAAGCAGCTCCAGGTGCCCCAAATCAACTCGAGATGAGGCCCGATTCCCCTGCATTGACTCCAGAGCCATTCCCCGTTCCCCATTCAACACGAACGGTGGCTCGACTTCCTTCAGGCAACTCCAGAGTTGCCCCTTGAACACTGTCCCAAGTCTAGAGGAACACCAACTTCAGCACAGTAAATCGAGGAATGCTCCGTGAACCCCAAATCGTCTCGAGATTAGAGCTGATTCCCTGGCTTAGGCTCAAGACATAAGCCAACTTTCCAGAAGCACCTCAGGATGAGGCTTCTCTCAGCAATAGGTGTGTGGGAGGGACCCCAAGATCGCTGCCTCAAGTGGAATATACAGCGAGAAGCACTAACTTATAAGGAGGCCGGATTTCCTTGCAGTGGCTTGAATACAAGCTTGTCTTTCATCTCACAACATGAAGGCATGTCTGAATCCCCTGTGGAGACCTTAGAGAAAGCCCTAGGTCCCTGCCTCATTATGACGGAATGCGTCACATCCCGTTGACACCTCGAGAGGCACGCAGAGTTCATTGCTTCAAAAGGTGACGATGCCTGACTCCTCTTGAATATTGATAGGAATCCCAAAATCCCTGTGGCTACTGGAAAGGGTCCTTGGGTGCCCTGCCTCACCTCGAGAAGCGTCCCTTTGCCCTGCAAAGCCTCGAAGAAATTCCTGAGGTGTCCCTCGTTACGAGACAGGAGTCATGACGTCACTGAAGAAAATCGTGTTTTGAAGGGCCATCCCCGCCGTAAGTCGAGAACATACCCCAGGTCCCCGCCGCAACTCGAGAAAAACCATGAGACTTCCCCCTAGAGGCGAGATGAGGCCCCACTCCCCTGCAGTGCATGCAGAGCTATTCCGTGATCCCATTCAAACAAGTCACGAGCTTCGACGTGCTTAATGGATCTCGAGACAGTCCCCAAAAACACTGTCACCAGTCTAGACGGACCCTGAGGTCACCCCAGCCACGCAAAGCAGCTCCATGTGCCCCAAATCAACTCGAGATAAGGCCCGATTCCCCTGCATTGACTCCAGAGCCATTCCCTGTTCCCCATTCAACACGACCGGTGGCGAGACTTCCTTCAGGCAATAACAGAGATGCCCCGTGAACACTGTCCCAAGTCTAGAGGAACACCAACTTCAGCACAGCAACTCGAGGAATGCTCCATGTACCCCAAATCGTCTCGAGATGAGAGCTGATTCCCTGGCTTAGGCTCAAGACGTATGCCAACTTTCCAGAAGCACCTCAGGAGGAGGCTTCTCTCAGCAATAGGTTTGTGGGAGGGACCCCGAGATCGCTGCCTCAAGTGGAATATACAGCGAGAATCCCTAACTTGAAAGGAGGCCGGATTTCCTTGCAGTGGCTTGAATACAGGCTCGTCTTTGATCTCACAACATGAAGGCATGTCTGAATCCCCTGTGGAGACCTTAGAGAAAGCCCTAGGTCCCTGCCTCATTTTGACGGAATGCCTCACATCCCGTTGACACCTCGAGAGGCACTCGGAGTTCATTGCTTCAAAACGTGACGATGCCTGACTCCTGTTGAATACTGATAAGAATCCCAAAATCCCTGTGGCTACTGGAATGGGTCCTTGGGTGCCCTGCCTCACCTCGAGAAGCGTCCCTTTTGCCCTGCCAAGCCTCGAAGAGATTCCTGAGGTGTCCCTCGTTACTAGACAGGAGTCCTGACGTCACTGAAGAAACTCGTGTTTTGAAGGGCCATCCCCGCCGTAAGTCGAGAACGTACCCCAGGTCCCCGCCGCAACTCGAGAAAATCCATGAGACTTCCCCCTAGGGGCGAGATGAGGCCCCATTCCCATTCAGTGCATGCAGAGCTATTCCGTGATCCCATTCAAACAAGTCAGGAGCTTCGACTTGCTTAATGGATCTCGAGACAGTCCCCAAGAACACTGTCACCAGTCTAGACGGACCCTGAGGTCACCCCAGCAACGCAAAGCAGCTCCATGTGCCCCAAAGCAACTCGAGATGAGGCCCGATTCCCCTGCATTGACTCCAGAGCCATTCCCCGTTCCCAATTCAACACGACCGGTGGCTCGACTTCCTTCAGGCAACTCCAGAGATGCCCCAAGAACACTGTCTCAAGTCTAGAGGAACACCAACTTCAGCATAGCAACTCGAGGAATGCTCCGTGTACCCCAAATCGTCTCGAGATGAGAGCTGATTCCCTGGCTTAGGCTCAAGACGTATGCCAACTTTCCAGAAGCACCTCAGGAGGAGGCTTCTCTCAGCAATAGGTATGTGGGAGGGACCCCGAGATCGCTGCCTCAAGTGGAATATACAGCGAGAAGCCCTAACTTGAAAGGAGGCCGGATTTCCTTGCAGTGGTTTGAATACAGGCTCGTCTTTGATCTCACAACATGAAGGCATGTCTGAATCCCCTGTGGAGACCTTAGAGAAAGCCCTAGGTCCCTGCCTCATTTTGACGGAATGCCTCACATCCCGTTGACACCTCGAGAAGCACGCGGAGTTCATTGCTTCAAAAGGTGACGATGCCTGACTCCTCTTGAATACTGATAGGAATCCCACAATCCCTTTGGCTACTGGAAAGGGTCCTTGGGTGCCCTGCCTCACCTCGAGAAGCGTCCCTTTTGCCCTGCCAAGCCTCGAAGAGATTCCTGAGGTGTCCCTCGTTACTAGACAGGAGTCCTGACGTCACTGAAGAAACTCGTGTTTTGAAGGGCCATCCCCGCTGTAAGTCGAGAACATAACCCAGGTCGCCTCCGCAACTCGAGAAAATCCATGAGACTTCCCCCTAGAGGCGAGATGAGGCCCCATTCCCCTGCAGGGCATGCAGAGCTATTCCGTGATCCCATTCAAACAAGTCAGGAGCTTCGACTTGCTTACTGGATCTCGAACCAGTCCCCAAGAACACTGTCACCAGTCTAGACGGAACCTGAGGTCACCCCAGCAACGCAAAGCAGCTCCATGTGCCCCAAATCAACTCGAGATTAGGCCCGATTCCCCTGCATTGACTCCAGAGCCATTCCCCGTTCCCCATTCAACACGACCGGTGGCTCGACTTCCTTCAGGCAACTCCAGAGAGGCCCCGAGAACACTGTCCCAAGTCTAGAGGAACACCAACTTCAGCACAGCAACTCGAGGAATGCTCCATGCACCCCAAATCGTCTCGAGATGAGAGCTGATTCCCTGGCTTAGGCTCAAGACGTATGCCAACTTTCCAGAAGCACCTCAGGAGGAGGCTTCTCTCAGCAATAGTTATGTGGGATGGACCCCGAGATCGCTGCCTCAAGTGGAATATACAGCGAGAAGCACTAACTTATAAGGAGGCCGGATTTCCTTGCAGTGGCTTGAATACAGACTCGTCTTTGATCTCACAACATGAAGGCATGTCTGAATCCCCTGTGGAGACCTTAGAGAAAGCCCTAGGTCCCTGCCTCATTTTGACGGAATGCCTCACATCCCGTTGACACCTCGAGAGGCACGCGGAGTTCATTGCTTCAAAAGGTGACGATGCCTGACTCCTCTTGAATACTGATAGGAATCCCACAATCACTGTGGCTACTGGAATGGGTCCTTGGGTGCCCTGCCTCACCTCGAGAAGCGTTCCTTTGCCCTGCAAAGCCTCGAAGAAATTCCTGAGGTGTCCCTCGTTACGAGACAGGAGTCATGACGTCACTGAAGAAAATCGTGTTTTGAAGGGCCATCCCCGCCGTAAGTCGAGAACATACCCCAGGTCCCCGCCGCAACTCGAGAAAAACCATGAGACTTCCCCCTAGAGGCGAGATGAGGCCCCATTCCCCTGCTGTGCATGCAGAGCTATTCCGTGATCCCATTCAAACAAGTCAGGAGCTTCGACTTGCTTAATGGATCTCGAGACAGTCCACCAAAACACTGTCACCAGTCTAGACGGACCCTGAGGTCACCCCAGCAACGCAAAGCAGCTCCATGTGCCCCAAATCAACTCGAGATGAGGCCCTATTTCCCTGCATTGACTCCAGAGCCATTCCCTGTTCCCCATTCAACACGACCGGTGGCTCGACTTCCTTCAGGCAATAACAGAGATTCCCCGTGAACACTGTCCCAAGTCTAGAGGAACACGAACTCAACACAGCAACTCGAAGAATGCTCCATGTACCCCAAATCGTCTCGAGATGAGAGCTGATTCCCTGGCTTAGGCTCAAGACGTATGCCAACTTTCCAGAAGCACCTCAGGAGGAGGCTTCTCTCAGCAATAGATATGTGGGAGGGACCCCGAGATCGCTGCCTCAAGTGGAATATACAGCGAGAATCTCTAACTTGAAAGGAGGCCGGATTTCCTTGCAGTGGCTTGAATACAGGCTCGTCTTTGATCTCACAACATGAAGGCATGTCTGAGTCCCCTGTGGAGACCTTAGAGAAAGCCCTAGGTCCCTGCCTCATTTTGTCGGAATGCCTCACATCCCGTTGACACCTCGAGAGGCACGCGGAGTTCATTGCTTCAAAAGGTGAAGATGCCTGACTCCTCTTGAATACTGATAGGAATCCCAAAATCCCTGTTTCTACTGGAATGGGTCCTTGGGTGCCCTGCCTCACCTCGAGAAGCGTCCCTTTTGCCCTGCCAAGCCTCGAAGAGATTCCTGAGGTGTCCCTTGTTACTAGACAGGAGTCCTGACGTCACTGAAGAAACTCGTGTTTTGAAGGACCATCCCCGCCGTAAGTCGAGAACGTACCCCAGGTCCCCGCCGCAACTCGAGAAAATCCATGAGACTTCCTCCTAGAGGCGAGATGAGGCCCCATTCCCATTCAGTGCATGCAGAGGCATTCCGTGATCCCATTCAAACAAGTCAGGAGCTTCGACTTGCTTAATGGATCTCGAACCAGTCCCCAAGAACACTGTCACCAGTCTAGACGGACCCTGAGGTGACCCCAGCAACGCAAAGCAGCTTCATGTGCCCCAAATCAACTCGAGATGAGGCCCGATTCCCCTGCATTGACTCCAGAGCCATTACCCGTTCCCCATTCAACACGACCGGTGGCTCGACTTCCTTCAGGCAACTCCAGAGATGCCCGGAGAACACTATCCCAAGTCTAGAGGAACACCAACTTCAGCATAGCAACTCGAGGAATGCTCCATGTACCCCAAATCGTCTCGAGATGAGAGCTGATTCCCTGGCTTAGGCTCAAGACGTATGCCAACTTTCCAGAAGCACCTCAGGAGGAGGCTTCTCTCAGCAATAGGTATGTGGGAGGGACCCCGAGATCGCTGCCTCAAGTGGAATATACCGCGAGAAGCCCTAACTTGAAAGGAGGCCAGATTTCCTTGCAGTGGCTTGAATACAGGCTCGTCTTTGATCTCACAACATGAAGGCATGTCTGAATCCCCTGTGGAGAACTTAGAGAAAGCCCTAGGTCAGTGCCTCATTTTGACGGAATGCCTCACATCCCGTTGACACCTCGAGAGGCACGCGGAGTTCATTGCTTCAAAAGGTGACGATGCCTGACTCCTCTTGTATAATGATAGGAATCCCACAATCACTGTGGCTACTGGAATGGGTCCTTGGGTGCCCTACCTCACCTCGAGAAGCATCCCTTGTGCCCTGCCAAGCCTCGAAGAGATTCCTGAGGTGTCCCTCGTTACTAGACAGGAGTCCTGATGTCACTGAAGAAACTCGTGTTTTGAAGGGCCATCCCCGCCGTAAGTCGAGAACGTACCTCAGGTCCCCGCCGCAACTCGAGAAAAACCATGAGACTTCCCCCTAGAGGCGAGATGAGGCCCCATACCCCTGCAGTGCATGCAGAGCTATTCCGTGATCCCATTCAAACAAGTCAGGAGCTTCGCCTTGCTTAATGGATCTCGAGAGAGTCCCCAAGAACACTGTCACCAGTCTAGACGGACCCTGAGGTCAACCCAGTAACGGAAAGCAGCTCCATGTGCCCCAAATCAACTCGAGATGAGGCCCGAATCCCCTGCATTGACACCAGAGCCATTCCCCGTTCCCCATTGAACACGACCGGTGGCTCGACTTCCTTCAGGCAACTCCAGAGATGCCCCGTGAACACTGTCCCAAGTCTAGAGGAATACCAACTTCAGCACAGCAACTCGAGGAATGCTCCATGCACCCCAAATCGTCTCGAGATGAGAGCTGATTCCCCGGCTTAGGCTCAAGACGTATGCCAACTTTCCAGAAGCACCTCAGGAGGAGGCTTCTCTCAGCAATAGGTATGTGGGAGGGACCCCTAGATCGCTGCCTCAAGTGGAATATACAGCGAGAATCCCTAACTTGAAAGGAGGCCGGATTTCCTTGCAGTGGCTTGAATACAGGCTCGTCTTTGATCTCACAACATGAAGGCATGTCTAAATCCCCTGAGGAGACCTTAGAGAAAGCCCTAGGTCCCTGCCTCATTTTGACGGAATGCCTCACATCCCGTTGACACGTCGAGAGGCACGCGCAGTTCATTGCTTCAAAAGGTGACGATGCCTGACTCCTCTTGAATACTGATAGGAATCCCAAAATCACTGTGGCTACTGGAATGGGTCCTTGGGTGCCCTGCCTCACCTCGAGAAGCGTCCCTTTTGCCCTGCCAAGCCTCGAAGAGATTCCTGAGGTGTCCCTTGTTACTAGACAGTAGTCCTGATGTCACTGAAGAAACTCGTGTTTTGAAGGGCCATCCCCGCCGTAAGTCGAGAACGTACCCCAAGTCCCCGCCGCAACTCGAGATAATCCATGAGACTTCCCCCTAGAGGCGAGATGAGGCCCCATTCCGATTCAGTGCATGCAGAGCTATTCCGTGATCCCATTCAAAGAAGTCAGGAGCTTCGACTTGCTTAATGGATCTCGAGCCAGTCCCCAAGAACACTGTCACCAGTCTAGACGGACCCTGAGGTCACCCCAGCAACGCAAAGCAGCTCCATGTGCCCCAAATCAACTCGAGATGAGGCCCGATTCCCCTGCATTGACTCCAGAGCCATTCCCCGTTCCCCATTCAACACGACCGGTGGCTCGACTTCCTTCAGGCAACTCCAGAGATGCCCCGAGAACACTGTCCCAAGTCTAGAGGAACACCAACTTCAGCATAACAACTCGAGGAATGCTCCATGTACCCCAAATCGTCTCGAGATGAGAGCTGATTCCCTGGCTTAGGCTCAAGACGTATGCCAACTTTCCAGAAGCACCTCAGGAGGAGGCTTCTCTCAGCAATAGGTATGTGGGAGGGACCCCGAGATCGCTGCCTCAAGTGGAATATACAGCGAGAAGCCCTAACTTGAAAGGAGGCCGGATTTCCTTGCAGTGGCTTGAATACAGGCTCCTCTTTGATCTCACAACATGAAGGCATGTCTGAATCCCCTGTGGAGACCTTAGAGGAAGCCCTAGGTCCCTGCCTCATTTTGACGGAATGCCTCACATCCCGTTGCCACGTCGAGAGGCACGCGGAATTCATTGTTTCAAAAGGTGACGATGCCGGACTCCTCTTGAATACTGATAGGAATCCCAAAATCCCTGTGGCTACTGGAAAGGGTACTTGGGTGCCCTGCCTCACCTCGAGAAGCGTCCCTTTTGCCCTGCCAAGCCTCGAAGAGATTCCTGAGGTGTCCCTCGTTACTAGACAGGAGTCCTGACGGCACTGAAGAAACTCGTGTTTTGAAGGGCCATCCCCGCTGTAAGTCGAGAACATACCCCAGGTCCCCGCCGCAACTCGAGAAAAACCATGAGACTTCCCCCTAGAGGCGAGATGAGGCCCCATTCCCCTGCAGTGCATGCACAGCTATTCCGTGATCCCATTCAAACAAGTCAGGAGCTTCGACTTGCTTAATGGATCTCGAGAGAGTCCCCAAGAACACTGTCACCAGTCTAGACGGACCCTGAGGTCACCCCAGCAACGCAAAGCAGCTCCATGTGCCCCAAATCAACTTGAGATGAGGCCCGATTCCCCTGCATTGACTCCAGAGCCATTCCCCGTTCCCCATTCATCACGACTGGTGGCTCGACTTCCTTCAGGCAACTCCAGAGATGCCCCGAGAACACTATCCCAAGTCTAGAGGAACACCAACTTCAGCACAGCAACTCGAGGAATGCACCGTGTATCCCAAATCGTCTCTAGATGAGAGCTTATTCCCTGGCTTAGGCTCAAGACGTATGCCAACTTTCCAGAAGCACCTCAGGAGGAGGCTTCTCTCAGCAATAGGTATGTGGGAGGGACCCCGAGATCGCTGCCTCAAGTGGAATATACAGCGAGAAGCCCTAACTTGAAAGGAGGCTAGATTTCCTTGCAGTGGCTTGAATACAGGCTCGTCTTTGATCTCACAACATGAAGGCATGTCTGAATACCCTGTGGAGACCTTAGAGAAAGCCCTACGTCCCTGCCTCATTTTGTCGGAATGCCTCACATCCCGTTGACACCTTGAGAGGCACGCAGAGTTCATTGCTTCAAGAGGTGACGATGCCTGACTCCTCTTGAATACTGATAGGAATCCCAAAATCCCTGTGGCTTCTGGAAAGGGTCCTTTGGTGCCCTGCCTCACGTCGAGAAGCGTCCCTTTTGCCCTGCCAAGCCTCGAAGAGATTCCTGAGGTGTCCCTCGTTACGAGACAGGAGTCCTGACGTCACTGAAGAAACTCGTGTTTTGAAGGGCCATCCCCGCCGTAAGTCGAGAACATACCCCAGGTCCCCGCCGCAACTCGAGAAAAACCATGAGACTTCCCGCTAGAGGCGAGATGAGGCCCCATTCCCCTGCAGTGCATGCAGAGCTATTCCGTGATCCCATTCAAACAAGTCAGGAGCTTCGACTTGCTTAATGGATCTCGAGACAGTCCCCAAGAACACTGTCACCAGTCTAGACGGAACCTGAGGTCACCCCAGCAATGCAAAGCAGCTCCATGTGCCCCAAATCAACTCGAGATGAGGCACGATTCCCCTGCATTGACACCAGAGCCATTCCCCGTTCCCCATTCAACAAGACCGGTGGCTCGACTATCTTCAGGCAACTCCAGAGATGCCCCGAGAACACTGTCCCAAGTCTAGAGGAACACCAACTTCAGCACAGCAACTCGAGGAATGCTCCGTGTACCCCAAATCGTCTCGAGATGAGAGCTGATTCCCTGGCTTAGGCTCAAGACGTATGCCAACTTTCCAGAAGCACCTCAGGAGGAGGCTTCTCTCAGCAATAGGTATGTGGGAGGGACCCCGAGATCGCTGCGTCAAGTGGAATATACAGCGAGATGCCCTAACTTGAAAGGAGGCCGTATTTCCTTGCAGTGGCTTGAATACAGGTTTGTCTTTGATCTCACAACATGAAGGCATGTTTGAATGCCCTGTGGAGATCTTAGAGAAAGCCCTAAATCACTGCGTCATTTTGACGGAATGCCTCACATCCCGTTGAAACCTCGAGAGGCACGCGGAGTTCATTGCTTCAAAAGGTGACGATGCCTGACTCCTCTTGAATACTGATAGGAATCCCAAAATCCCTGTGGCTACTGGAAAGGGTACTTGGGTGCCCTGCCTCACCTCAAGAAGCGTCCCTTTTGCCCTACCAAGCCTCGAAGAGATTCCTGAGGTGTCCCTCGTTACTAGACAGGAGTCCTGACGTCACTGAAGAAACTCGGGTTTTGAAGGGCCATTCCCGCTGTAAGTCGAGAACATACCCCAGGTCCCCGCCGCAACTCGAGAAAAACCATGAGACTTCCCGCTAGAGGCGAGATGAGGCCCCATTCCCCTGCAGTGCATGCAGAGCTATTCCGTGATCCCATTCAAACAAGTCAGGAGCCTCGACTTGCTTAATGGATCTCGAGACAGTCCCCAAGAACACTGTCACCAGTCTAGACGGACCCTGAGGTCACCCCAGCAGCGCAGAGCAGCTCCATGTGCCCCAAATCAACTCGAGATGAGGCCCGATTCCCCTGCATTGGCTCCAGAGCCATTCCCCGTTCCCCATTCAACACGACCGGCGGCTCGACTTCCTTCAGGCAACTCCAGAGATGCCCCGAGAACACTGTCCCAAGTTTAGAGGAACACCACTTCAGCACAGCAACTCGAGGAATGTTCCATGTACCCCAAATCGTCTCGAGATGAGAGCTGATTCCCTGGCTTAGGCTCAAGACGTATGCCAACTTTCCAGAAGCACCTCAGGAGGGGCTTCTCTCAGCAATAGGTATGTGGGAGGGACCCCGAGATCGCTGCCTCAAGGGGAATATACAGCGAGAAGCCCTAACTTGAAAGGAGCCCGGATTTCTTTGCAGTGGCTTGAATACAGGCTCGTCTTTGATCTCACAACATGAAGGCATGTCAGAATCCCCTGTGTAGACCTTAGAGAAAGCCCTAGGTCCCTGCCTCATTTTGACGGAATGCCTCACATCCCGTTGCCACGTCGAGAGGCACGCGGAGTTCATTGTTTCAAAAGGTGACGATGCCGGACTCCTCTTGAATACTGATAGGAATCCCAAAATCCCTGTGGCTACTGGAAAGGGTACTTGGGTGCCCTGCCTCACCTCGAGAAGCGTCCCTTTTGCCCTGCCAAGCCTCGAAGAGATTCCTGAGGTGTCCCTCGTTACTAGACAGGAGTCCTGACGGCACTGAAGAAACTCGTGTTTTGAAGGGCCATCCCCGCTGTAAGTCGAGAACATACCCCAGGTCCCCGCCGCAACTCGAGAAAAACCATGAGACTTCCCCCTAGAGGCGAGATGAGGCCCCATTCCCCTGCAGTGCATGCACAGCTATTCCGTGATCCCATTCAAACAAGTCAGGAGCTTCGACTTGCTTAATGGATCTCGAGAGAGTCCCCAAGAACACTGTCACCAGTCTAGACGGACCCTGAGGTCACCCCAGCAACGCAAAGCAGCTCCATGTGCCCCAAATCAACTTGAGATGAGGCCCGATTCCCCTGCATTGACTCCAGAGCCATTCCCCGTTCCCCATTCATCACGACTGGTGGCTCGACTTCCTTCAGGCAACTCCAGAGATGCCCCGAGAACACTATCCCAAGTCTAGAGGAACACCAACTTCAGCACAGCAACTCGAGGAATGCACCGTGTATCCCAAATCGTCTCTAGATGAGAGCTTATTCCCTGGCTTAGGCTCAAGACGTATGCCAACTTTCCAGAAGCACCTCAGGAGGAGGCTTCTCTCAGCAATAGGTATGTGGGAGGGACCCCGAGATCGCTGCCTCAAGTGGAATATACAGCGAGAAGCCCTAACTTGAAAGGAGGCTAGATTTCCTTGCAGTGGCTTGAATACAGGCTCGTCTTTGATCTCACAACATGAAGGCATGTCTGAATACCCTGTGGAGACCTTAGAGAAAGCCCTACGTCCCTGCCTCATTTTGTCGGAATGCCTCACATCCCGTTGACACCTTGAGAGGCACGCAGAGTTCATTGCTTCAAGAGGTGACGATGCCTGACTCCTCTTGAATACTGATAGGAATCCCAAAATCCCTGTGGCTTCTGGAAAGGGTCCTTTGGTGCCCTGCCTCACGTCGAGAAGCGTCCCTTTTGCCCTGCCAAGCCTCGAAGAGATTCCTGAGGTGTCCCTCGTTACGAGACAGGAGTCCTGACGTCACTGAAGAAACTCGTGTTTTGAAGGGCCATCCCCGCCGTAAGTCGAGAACATACCCCAGGTCCCCGCCGCAACTCGAGAAAAACCATGAGACTTCCCGCTAGAGGCGAGATGAGGCCCCATTCCCCTGCAGTGCATGCAGAGCTATTCCGTGATCCCATTCAAACAAGTCAGGAGCTTCGACTTGCTTAATGGATCTCGAGACAGTCCCCAAGAACACTGTCACCAATCTAGACGGAACCTGAGGTCACCCCAGCAATGCAAAGCAGCTCCATGTGCCCCAAATCAACTCGAGATGAGGCATGATTCCCCTGCATTGACACCAGAGCCATTCCCCGTTCCCCATTCAACAAGACCGGTGGCTCGACTATCTTCAGGCAACTCCAGAGATGCCCCGAGAACACTGTCCCAAGTCTAGAGGAACACCAACTTCAGCACAGCAACTCGAGGAATGCTCTGTGTACCCCAAATCGTCTCGAGATGAGAGCTGATTCCCTGGCTTAGGCTCAAGACGTATGCCAACTTTCCAGAAGCACCTCAGGAGGAGGCTTCTCTCAGCAATAGGTATGTGGGAGGGACCCCGAGATCGCTGCGTCAAGTGGAATATACAGCGAGATGCCCTAACTTGAAAGGAGGCCGTATTTCCTTGCAGTGGCTTGAATACAGGTTTGTCTTTGATCTCACAACATGAAGGCATGTTTGAATCCCCTGTGGAGATCTTAGAGAAAGCCCTAGGTCCCTGCCTCATTTTGACGGAATGCCTCACATCCCGTTGACACCTCGAGAGGCACGCGGAGTTCATTGCTTCAAAAGGTGACGATGCCTGACTCCTCTTGAATACTGATAGGAATCCCAAAATCCCTGTGGCTACTGGAAAGGGTACTTGGGTGCCCTGCCTCACCTCAAGAAGCGTCCCTTTTGCCCTACCAAGCCTCGAAGAGATTCCTGAGGTGTCCCTCGTTACTAGACAGGAGTCCTGACGTCACTGAAGAAACTCGGGTTTTGAAGGGCCATTCCCGCTGTAAGTCGAGAACATACCCCAGGTCCCCGCCGCAACTCGAGAAAAACCATGAGACTTCCCGCTAGAGGCGAGATGAGGCCCCATTCCCCTGCAGTGCATGCAGAGCTATTCCGTGATCCCATTCAAACAAGTCAGGAGCCTCGACTTGCTTAATGGATCTCGAGACAGTCCCCAAGAACACTGTCACCAGTCTAGACGGACCCTGAGGTCACCCCAGCAGCGCAGAGCAGCTCCATGTGCCCCAAATCAACTCGAGATGAGGCCCGATTCCCCTGCATTGGCTCCAGAGCCATTCCCCGTTCCCCATTCAACACGACCGGCGGCTCGACTTCCTTCAGGCAACTCCAGAGATGCCCCGAGAACACTGTCCCAAGTTTAGAGGAACACCACTTCAGCACAGCAACTCGAGGAATGTTCCATGTACCCCAAATCGTCTCGAGATGAGAGCTGATTCCCTGGCTTAGGCTCAAGACGTATGCCAACTTTCCAGAAGCACCTCAGGAGGGGCTTCTCTCAGCAATAGGTATGTGGGAGGGACCCCGAGATCGCTGCCTCAAGTGGAATATACAGCGAGAAGCCCTAACTTGAAAGGAGCCCGGATTTCTTTGCAGTGGCTTGAATACAGGCTCGTCTTTGATCTCACAACATGAAGGCATGTCAGAATCCCCTGTGTAGACCTTAGAGAAAGCCCTAGGTCCCTGCCTCATTTTGACGGAATGCCTCACATCCCGTTGACACCTCGAGAGACACGCGGAGTTCATTGCTTCAAAGGTGACGATGCCTGATTCCTCTTGAATACTGATAGGAAACCCAAAATCCCTGTGGCTACTGGAATGGGTCCTTGGGTGCCCTGCCTCACCTCGAGAAGCGTCCCTTTTGCCCTGCCAAGCCTCGAAGAGATTCCTGAGTTGTCCCTCGTTACTAGACAGGAGTCCTGACGTCACTGAAGAAACTCGTGTTTTGAAGGGCCATCCCCGCCGTAAGTCGAGAACATACCCCAGGTCCCCGAGGCAACTCGAGAAAAACCATGAGACTTCCCCCTAGAGGCGAGATGAGGCCCCATTCCCCTGCAGTGCATGCAGAGCTATTCCGTGATCCCATTCAAACAAGTCAGGATCTTCGACTTGCTTAATGGATCTCGAGACAGTCCCCAAGAACACTGTGAGCAGTCTAGACGGACCCTGAGGTCACCCCAGCAACGCAAAGCAGCTCCAGGTGCCCCAAATCAACTCGAGATGAGGCCCGATTCCCCTGCATTGACTCCAGAGCCATTCCCCGTTCCCCATTCAACACGAACGGTGGCTCGACTTCCTTCAGGCAACTCCAGAGTTGCCCCTTGAACACTGTCCCAAGTCTAGAGGAACACCAACTTCAGCACAGTAAATCGAGGAATGCTCCGTGAACCCCAAATCGTCTCGAGATTAGAGCTGATTCCCTGGCTTAGGCTCAAGACATAAGCCAACTTTCCAGAAGCACCTCAGGATGAGGCTTCTCTCAGCAATAGGTGTGTGGGAGGGACCCCAAGATCGCTGCCTCAAGTGGAATATACAGCGAGAAGCCCTAACTTGAAAGGAGGCCGGATTTCCTTGCAGTTGATTGAATACAAGCTTGTCTTTCATCTCACAACATGAAGGCATGTCTGAATCCCCTGTGGAGACCTTAGAGAAAGCCCTAGGTCCCTGCCTCATTATGACGGAATGCGTCACATCCCGTTGACACCTCGAGAGGCACGCAGAGTTCACTGCTTCAAAAGGTGACGATGCCTGACTCCTCTTGAATATTGATAGGAATCCCAAAATCCCTGTGGCTACTGGAAAGGGTCCTTGGGTGCCCTGCCTCACCTCGAGAAGCGTCCCTTTGCCCTGCAAAGCCTCGAAGAAATTCCTGAGGTGTCCCTCGTTACGAGACAGGAGTCATGACGTCACTGAAGAAAATCGTGTTTTGAAGGGCCATCCCCGCCGTAAGTCGAGAACATACCCCAGGTCCCCGCCGCAACTCGAGAAAAACCATGAGACTTCCCCCTAGAGGCGAGATGAGGCCCCACTCCCCTGCAGTGCATGCAGAGCTATTCCGTGATCCCATTCAAACAAGTCACGAGCTTCGACGTGCTTAATGGATCTCGAGACAGTCCCCAAAAACACTGTCACCAGTCTAGACGGACCCTGAGGTCACCCCAGCCACGCAAAGCAGCTCCATGTGCCCCAAATCAACTCGAGATAAGGCCCGATTCCCCTGCATTGACTCCAGAGCCATTCCCTGTTCCCCATTCAACACGACCGGTGGCGAGACTTCCTTCAGGCAATAACAGAGATGCCCCGTGAACACTGTCCCAAGTCTAGAGGAACACCAACTTCAGCACAGCAACTCGAGGAATGCTCCATGTACCCCAAATCGTCTCGAGATGAGAGCTGATTCCCTGGCTTAGGCTCAAGACGTATGCCAACTTTCCAGAAGCACCTCAGGAGGAGGCTTCTCTCAGCAATAGGTTTGTGGGAGGGACCCCGAGATCGCTGCCTCAAGTGGAATATACAGCGAGAATCCCTAACTTGAAAGGAGGCCGGATTTCCTTGCAGTGGCTTGAATACAGGCTCGTCTTTGATCTCACAACATGAAGGCATGTCTGAATCCCCTGTGGAGACCTTAGAGAAAGCCCTAGGTCCCTGCCTCATTTTGACGGAATGCCTCACATCCCGTTGACACCTCGAGAGGCACTCGGAGTTCATTGCTTCAAAACGTGACGATGCCTGACTCCTGTTGAATACAGATAAGAATCCCAAAATCCCTGTGGCTACTGGAATGGGTCCTTGGGTGCCCTGCCTCACCTCGAGAAGCGTCCCTTTTGCCCTGCCAAGCCTCGAAGAGATTCCTGAGGTGTCCCTCGTTACTAGACAGGAGTCCTGACGTCACTGAAGAAACTCGTGTTTTGAAGGGCCATCCCCGCCGTAACTCGAGAACGTACCCCAGGTCCCCGCCGCAACTCGAGAAAATCCATGAGACTTCCCCCTAGGGGCGAGATGAGGCCCCATTCCCATTCAGTGCATGCAGAGCTATTCCGTGATCCCATTCAAACAAGTCAGGAGCTTCGACTTGCTTAATGGATCTCGAGCCAGTCCCCAAGAACACTGTCACCAGTCTAGACGGACCCTGAGGTCACCCCAGCAACGCAAAGCAGCTCCATGTGCCCCAAAGCAACTCGAGATGAGGCCCGATTCCCCTGCATTGACTCCAGAGCCATTCCCCGTTCCCCATTCAACACGACCGGTGGCTCGACTTCCTTCAGGCAACTCCAGAGATGCCCCAAGAACACTGTCTCAAGTCTAGAGGAACACCAACTTCAGCATAGCAACTCGAGGAATGCTCCGTGTACCCCAAATCGTCTCGAGATGAGAGCTGATTCCCTGGCTTAGGCTCAAGACGTATGCCAACTTTCCAGAAGCACCTCAGGAGGAGGCTTCTCTCAGCAATAGGTATGTGGGAGGGACCCCGAGATCGCTGCCTCAAGTGGAATATACAGCGAGAAGCCCTAACTTGAAAGGAGGCCGGATTTCCTTGCAGTGGCTTGAATACAGGCTCGTCTTTGATCTCACAACATGAAGGCATGTCTGAATCCCCTGTGGAGACCTTAGAGAAAGCCCTAGGTCCCTGCCTCATTTTGACGGAATGCCTCACATCCCGTTGACACCTCGAGAAGCACGCGGAGTTCATTGCTTCAAAAGGTGACGATGCCTGACTCCTCTTGAATACTGATAGGAATCCCACAATCCCTTTGGCTACTGGAAAGGGTCCTTGGGTGCCCTGCCTCACCTCGAGAAGCGTCCCTTTTGCCCTGCCAAGCCTCGAAGAGATTCCTGAGGTGTCCCTCGTTACTAGACAGGAGTCCTGACGTCACTGAAGAAACTCGTGTTTTGAAGGGCCATCCCCGCTGTAAGTCGAGAACATAACCCAGGTCGCCTCCGCAACTCGAGAAAATCCATGAGACTTCCTCCTAGAGGCGAGATGAGGCCCCATTCCCCTGCAGGGCATGCAGAGCTATTCCGTGATCCCATTCAAACAAGTCAGGAGCTTCGACTTGCTTACTGGATCTCGAACCAGTCCCCAAGAACACTGTCACCAGTCTAGACGGAACCTGAGGTCACCCCAGCAACGCAAAGCAGCTCCATGTGCCCCAAATCAACTCGAGATTAGGCCCGATTCCCCTGCATTGACTCCAGAGCCATTCCCCGTTCCCCATTCAACACGACCGGTGGCTCGACTTCCTTCAGGCAACTCCAGAGATGCCCCGAGAACACTGTCCCAAGTCTAGAGGAACACCAACTTCAGCACAGCAACTCGAGGAATGCTCCATGCACCCCAAATCGTCTCGAGATGAGAGCTGATTCCCTGGCTTAGGCTCAAGACGTATGCCAACTTTCCAGAAGCACCTCAGGAGGAGGCTTCTCTCAGCAATAGTTATGTGGGATGGACCCCGAGATCGCTGCCTCAAGTGGAATATACAGCGAGAAGCACTAACTTATAAGGAGGCCGGATTTCCTTGCAGTGGCTTGAATACAGGCTCGTCTTTGATCTCAAAACATGAAGGCATGTCTGAATCCCCTGTGGAGACCTTAGAGAAAGCCCTAGGTCCCTGCCTCATTTTGACGGAATGCCTCACATCCCGTTGACACCTCGAGAGGCACGCGGAGTTCATTGCTTCAAAAGGTGACGATGCCTGACTCCTCTTGAATACTGATAGGAATCCCACAATCCCTGTGGCTACTGGAATGGGTCCTTGGGTGCCCTGCCTCACCTCGAGAAGCGTTCCTTTGCCCTGCAAAGCCTCGAAGAAATTCCTGAGGTGTCCCTCGTTACGAGACAGGAGTCATGACGTCACTGAAGAAAATCGTGTTTTGAAGGGCCATCCCCGCCGTAAGTCGAGAACATACCCCAGGTCCCCGCCGCAACTCGAGAAAAACCATGAGACTTCCCCCTAGAGGCGAGATGAGGCCCCATTCCCCTGCTGTGCATGCAGAGCTATTCCGTGATCCCATTCAAACAAGTCAGGAGCTTCGACTTGCTTAATGGATCTCGAGACAGTCCCCCAAAACACTGTCACCAGTCTAGACGGACCCTGAGGTCACCCCAGCAACGCAAAGCAGCTCCATGTGCCCCAAATCAACTCGAGATGAGGCCCTATTCCCCTGCATTGACTGCAGAGCCATTCCCTGTTCCCCATTCAACACGACCGGTGGCTCGACTTCCTTCAGGCAATAACAGAGATTCCCCGTGAACACTGTCCCAAGTCTAGAGGAACACGAACTCAACACAGCAACTCGAAGAATGCTCCATGTACCCCAAATCGTCTCGAGATGAGAGCTGATTCCCTGGCTTAGGCTCAAGACGTATGCCAACTTTCCAGAAGCACCTCAGGAGGAGGCTTCTCTCAGCAATAGATATGTGGGAGGGACCCCAAGATCGCTGCCTCAAGTGGAATATACAGCGAGAATCTCTAACTTGGAAGGAGGCCGGATTTCCTTGCAGTGGCTTGAATACAGGCTCGTCTTTGATCTCACAACATGAAGGCATGTCTGAGTCCCCTGTGGAGACCTTAGAGAAAGCCCTAGGTCCCTGCCTCATTTTGTCGGAATGCCTCACATCCCGTTGACACCTCGAGAGGCACGCGGAGTTCATTGCTTCAAAAGGTGAAGATGCCTGACTCCTCTTGAATACTGATAGGAATCCCAAAATCCCTGTTTCTACTGGAATGGGTCCTTGGGTGCCCTGCCTCACCTCGAGAAGCGTCCCTTTTGCCCTGCCAAGCCTCGAAGAGATTCCTGAGGTGTCCCTTGTTACTAGACAGGAGTCCTGACGTCACTGAAGAAACTCGTGTTTTGAAGGACCATCCCCGCCGTAAGTCGAGAACGTACCCCAGGTCCCCGCCGCAACTCGAGAAAATCCATGAGACTTCCTCCTAGAGGCGAGATGAGGCCCCATTCCCATTCAGTGCATGCAGAGGCATTCCGTGATCCCATTCAAACAAGTCAGGAGCTTCGACTTGCTTAATGGATCTCGAACCAGTCCCCAAGAACACTGTCACCAGTCTAGACGGACCCTGAGGTGACCCCAGCAACGCAAAGCAGCTTCATGTGCCCCAAATCAACTCGAGATGAGGCCCGATTCCCCTGCATTGACTCCAGAGCCATTACCCGTTCCCCATTCAACACGACCGGTGGCTCGACTTCCTTCAGGCAACTCCAGAGATGCCCGGAGAACACTATCCCAAGTCTAGAGGAACACCAACTTCAGCATAGCAACTCGAGGAATGCTCCATGTACCCCAAATCGTCTCGAGATGAGAGCTGATTCCCTGGCTTAGGCTCAAGACGTATGCCAACTTTCCAGAAGCACCTCAGGAGGAGGCTTCTCTCAGCAATAGGTATGTGGGAGGGACCCCGAGATCGCTGCCTCAAGTGGAATATACAGCGAGAAGCCCTAACTTGAAAGGAGGCCAGATTTCCTTGCAGTGGCTTGAATACAGGCTCGTCTTTGATCTCACAACATGAAGGCATGTCTGAATCCCCTGTGGAGAACTTAGAGAAAGCCCTAGGTCAGTGCCTCATTTTGACGGAATGCCTCACATCCCGTTGACACCTCGAGAGGCACGCGGAGTTCATTGCTTCAAAAGGTGACGATGCCTGACTCCTCTTGTATAATGATAGGAATCCCACAATCACTGTGGCTACTGGAATGGGTCCTTGGGTGCCCTACCTCACCTCGAGAAGCATCCCTTGTGCCCTGCCAAGCCTCGAAGAGATTCCTGAGGTGTCCCTCGTTACTAGACAGGAGTCCTGATGTCACTGAAGAAACTCGTGTTTTGAAGGGCCATCCCCGCCGTAAGTCGAGAACATACCTCAGGTCCCCGCCGCAACTCGAGAAAAACCATGAGACTTCCCCCTAGAGGCGAGATGAGGCCCCATACCCCTGCAGTGCATGCAGAGCTATTCCGTGATCCCATTCAAACAAGTCAGGAGCTTCGCCTTGCTTAATGGATCTCGAGAGAGTCCCCAAGAACACTGTCACCAGTCTAGACGGACCCTGAGGTCAACCCAGTAACGGAAAGCAGCTCCATGTGCCCCAAATCAACTCGAGATGAGGCCCGAATCCCCTGCATTGACACCAGAGCCATTCCCCGTTCCCCATTGAACACGACCGGTGGCTCGACTTCCTTCAGGCAACTCCAGAGATGCCCCGTGAACACTGTCCCAAGTCTAGAGGAACACCAACTTCAGCACAGCAACTCGAGGAATGCTCCATGCACCCCAAATCGTCTCGAGATGAGAGCTGATTCCCCGGCTTAGGCTCAAGACGTATGCCAACTTTCCAGAAGCACCTCAGGAGGAGGCTTCTCTCAGCAATAGGTATGTGGGAGGGACCCCTAGATCGCTGCCTCAAGTGGAATATACAGCGAGAATCCCTAACTTGAAAGGAGGCCGGATTTCCTTGCAGTGGCTTGAATACAGGCTCGTCTTTGATCTCACAACATGAAGGCATGTCTAAATCCCCTGAGGAGACCTTAGAGAAAGCCCTAGGTCCCTGCCTCATTTTGACGGAATGCCTCACATCCCGTTGACACGTCGAGAGGCACGCGCAGTTCATTGCTTCAAAAGGTGACGATGCCTGACTCCTCTTGAATACTGATAGGAATCCCAAAATCACTGTGGCTACTGGAATGGGTCCTTGGGTGCCCTGCCTCACCTCGAGAAGCGTCCCTTTTGCCCTGCCAAGCCTCGAAGAGATTCCTGAGGTGTCCCTTGTTACTAGACAGTAGTCCTGATGTCACTGAAGAAACTCGTGTTTTGAAGGGCCATCCCCGCCGTAAGTCAAGAACGTACCCCAAGTCCCCGCCGCAACTCGAGATAATCCATGAGACTTCCCCCTAGAGGCGAGATGAGGCCCCATTCCGATTCAGTGCATGCAGAGCTATTCCGTGATCCCATTCAAAGAAGTCAGGAGCTTCGACTTGCTTAATGGATCTCGAGCCAGTCCCCAAGAACACTGTCACCAGTCTAGACGGAACCTGAGGTCACCCCAGCAACGCAAAGCAGCTCCATGTGCCCCAAATCAACTCGAGATGAGGCCCGATTCCCCTGCATTGACTCCAGAGCCATTCCCCGTTCCCCATTCAACACGACCGGTGGCTCGACTTCCTTCAGGCAACTCCAGAGATGCCCCGAGAACACTGTCCCAAGTCTAGAGGAACACCAACTTCAGCATAGCAACTCGAGGAATGCTCCATGTACCCCAAATCGTCTCGAGATGAGAGCTGATTCCCTGGCTTAGGCTCAAGACGTATGCCAACTTTCCAGAAGCACCTCAGGAGGAGGCTTCTCTCAGCAATAGGTATGTGGGAGGGACCCCGAGATCGCTGCCTCAAGTGGAATATACAGCGAGAAGCCCTAACTTGAAAGGTGGCCGGATTTCCTTGCAGTGGCTTGAATACAGGCTCGTCTTTGATCTCACAACATGAAGGCATGTCTGAATCCCCTGTGGAGAACTTAGAGAAAGCCGTAGGTCAGTGCCTCATTTTGACGGAATGCCTCACATCCCGTTGACACCTCGAGAGGCACGCGGAGTTCATTGCTTCAAAAGGTGACGATGCCTGACTCCTCTTGTATAATGATAGGAATCCCACAATCACTGTGGCTACTGGAATGGGTCCTTGGGTGCCCTACCTCACCTCGAGAAGCATCCCTTGTGCCCTGCCAAGCCTCGAAGAGATTCCTGAGGTGTCCCTCGTTACTAGACAGGAGTCCTGATGTCACTGAAGAAACTCGTGTTTTGAAGGGCCATCCCCGCCGTAAGTCGAGAACATACCTCAGGTCCCCGCCGCAACTCGAGAAAAACCATGAGACTTCCCCCTAGAGGCGAGATGAGGCCCCATACCCCTGCAGTGCATGCAGAGCTATTCCGTGATCCCATTCAAACAAGTCAGGAGCTTCGCCTTGCTTAATGGATCTCGAGAGAGTCCCCAAGAACACTGTCACCAGTCTAGACGGACCCTGAGGTCAACCCAGTAACGGAAAGCAGCTCCATGTGCCCCAAATCAACTCGAGATGAGGCCCGAATCCCCTGCATTGACACCAGAGCCATTCCCCGTTCCCCATTGAACACGACCGGTGGCTCGACTTCCTTCAGGCAACTCCAGAGATGCCCCGTGAACACTGTCCCATGTCTAGAGGAACACCAACTTCAGCACAGCAACTCGAGGAATGCTCCATGCACCCCAAATCGTCTCGAGATGAGAGCTGATTCCCCGGCTTAGGCTCAAGACGTATGCCAACTTTCCAGAAGCACCTCAGGAGGAGGCTTCTCTCAGCAATAGGTATGTGGGAGGGACCCCTAGATCGCTGCCTCAAGTGGAATATACAGCGAGAATCCCTAACTTGAAAGGAGGCCGGATTTCCTTGCAGTGGCTTGAATACAGGCTCGTCTTTGATCTCACAACATGAAGGCATGTCTAAATCCCCTGAGGAGACCTTAGAGAAAGCCCTAGGTCCCTGCCTCATTTTGACGGAATGCCTCACATCCCGTTGACACGTCGAGAGGCACGCGCAGTTCATTGCTTCAAAAGGTGACGATGCCTGACTCCTCTTGAATACTGATAGGAATCCCAAAATCACTGTGGCTACTGGAATGGGTCCTTGGGTGCCCTGCCTCACCTCGAGAAGCGTCCCTTTTGCCCTGCCAAGCCTCGAAGAGATTCCTGAGGTGTCCCTTGTTACTAGACAGTAGTCCTGATGTCACTGAAGAAACTCGTGTTTTGAAGGGCCATCCCCGCCGTAAGTCGAGAACGTACCCCAAGTCCCCGCCGCAACTCGAGATAATCCATGAGACTTCCCCCTAGAGGCGAGATGAGGCCCCATTCCGATTCAGTGCATGCAGAGCTATTCCGTGATCCCATTCAAAGAAGTCAGGAGCTTCGACTTGCTTAATGGATCTCGAGCCAGTCCCCAAGAACACTGTCACCAGTCTAGACGGACCCTGAGGTCACCCCAGCAACGCAAAGCAGCTCCATGTGCCCCAAATCAACTCGAGATGAGGCCCGATTCCCCTGCATTGACTCCAGAGCCATTCCCCGTTCCCCATTCAACACGACCGGTGGCTCGACTTCCTTCAGGCAACTCCAGAGATGCCCCGAGAACACTGTCCCAAGTCTAGAGGAACACCAACTTCAGCATAGCAACTCGAGGAATGCTCCATGTACCCCAAATCGTCTCGAGATGAGAGCTGATTCCCTGGCTTAGGCTCAAGACGTATGCCAACTTTCCAGAAGCACCTCAGGAGGAGGCTTCTCTCAGCAATAGGTATGTGGGAGGGACCCCGAGATCGCTGCCTCAAGTGGAATATACAGCGAGAAGCCCTAACTTGAAAGGAGGCCGGATTTCCTTGCAGTGGCTTGAATACAGGCTCGTCTTTGATCTCACAACATGAAGGCATGTCTGAATCCCCTGTGGAGACCTTAGAGGAAGCCCTAGGTCCCTGCCTCATTTTGACGGAATGCCTCACATCCCGTTGCCACGTCGAGAGGCACGCGGAATTCATTGTTTCAAAAGGTGACGATGCCGGACTCCTCTTGAATACTGATAGGAATCCCAAAATCCCTGTGGCTACTGGAAAGGGTACTTGGGTGCCCTGCCTCACCTCGAGAAGCGTCCCTTTTGCCCTGCCAAGCCTCGAAGAGATTCCTGAGGTGTCCCTCGTTACTAGACAGGAGTCCTGACGGCACTGAAGAAACTCGTGTTTTGAAGGGCCATCCCCGCTGTAAGTCGAGAACATACCCCAGGTCCCCGCCGCAACTCGAGAAAAACCATGAGACTTCCACCTAGAGGCGAGATGAGGCCACATACCCCTGCAGTGCATGCAGAGCTATTCCGTGATCCCATTCAAACAAGTCAGGAGCTTCGACTTGCTTAATGGATCTCGAGACAGTCCCCAAGAACACTGTCACCAGTCTAGACGGACTCTGAGGTCAACCCAGCAACGGAAAGCAGCTCCATGTGCCCCAAATCAACTCGAGATGAGGCCCGATTCCCCTGCATTGACTCCAGAGCGATTCCCCATTCCCCATTCAACACGACCGGTGGCTCGACTTCCTTCAGGCAATAACAGAGATGCCCCGTGAACACTGTCCAAAGTCTAGAGGAACACCAACTTCAGCACAGCAACTCGAGGAATGCTCCATGTACCCCAAATCGTCTCGAGATGAGAGCTGATTCCCTGGCTTAGGGTCAAGACGTATGCCAACTTTCCAGAAGCACCTCAGGAGGAGGCTTCTCTCAGCAATAGGTATGTGGGAGGGACACTGAGATCGCTGCCTCAAGTGGAATATACAGCGAGAAGCCCTAACTTGAAAGGAGGCCGGATTTCCTTGTAGTGGCTTGAATACAGGCTCGTGTTTGATCTCACAACGTGAAGGCATGTCTGAATCCCCTGTGGAGGCCTTAGAGAAAGCCCTAGGTCCCTGCCTCATTTTGACGGAATGCCTCACATCCCGTTGACACCTCGAGAGGCACGCGGAGTTCATTGCTTCAAAAGGTGACGATGCCTGACTCCTCTTGAATACTGATAGGAATCCCAAAATCCCTGTGGCTACTGGAATGGGTCCTTGGGTGCCCTGCCTCACCTCGAGAAGCGTCCCTTTTGCCCTGCCAAGCCTCGAAGAGATTCCTGAGGTGTCCCTTGTTACTAGACAGGAGTCCTGACGTCACTGAAGAAACTCGTGTTTTGAAGGGCCATCCCCGCCGTAAGTCGAGAACGTACCCCAGGTCCCCGCCGCAACTCGAGAAAATCCATGAGACTTCCTCCTAGAGGCGAGATGAGGCCCCATTCCCATTCAGTGCATGCAGAGCTATTCCGTGATCCCATTCAAACAAGTCAGGAGCTTCGACTTGCTTAATGGATCTCGAACCAGTCCCCAAGAACACTGTCACCAGTCTAGACGGACCCTGAGGTGACCCCAGCAACGCAAAGCAGCTCCATGTGCCCCAAATCAACTCGAGATGAGGCCCGATTCCCCTGCATTGACTCCAGAGCCATTACCCGTTCCCCATTCAACACGACCGGTGGCTCGACTTCCTTCAGGCAACTCCAGAGATGCCCCGAGAACACTATCCCAAGTCTAGAGGAACACCAACTTCAGCATAGCAACTCGAGGAATGCTCCATGTACCCCAAATCGTCTCGAGATGAGAGCTGATTCCCTGGCTTAGGCTCAAGACGTATGCCAACTTTCCAGAAGCACCTCAGGAGGAGGCTTCTCTCAGCAATAGGTATGTGAGAGGGACCCCGAGATCGCTGCCTCAAGTGGAATATACAGCGAGAAGCCCTAACTTATAAGGAGGCCGGATTTCCTTGCAGTGGCTTGAATACAGACTCGTCTTTGATCCCCCAACATGAAGGCATGTCTGAATCCCCTGTGGAGACCTTAGAGAAAGCCCTAGGTCCCTGCCTCATTTTGACGGAATGCCTCACATCCCGTTGACACCTCGAGAGGCACGCGGAGTTCATTGCTTCAAAAGGTGACGATGCCTGACTCCTCTTGAATACTGATAGGAATCCCACAATCCCTGTGGCTACTGGAATGGGTCCTTGGGTGCCCTGCCTCACCTCGAGAAGCGTTCCTTTGCCCTGCAAAGCCTCGAAGAAATTCCTGAGGTGTCCCTCGTTACGAGACAGGAGTCATGACGTCACTGAATAAAATCGTGTTTTGAAGGGCCATCCCCGCCGTAAGTCGAGAACATACCCCAGGTCCCCGCCGCAACTCGAGAAAAACCATGAGACTTCCCCCTAGAGGCGAGATGAGGCCCCATTCCCCTGCAGTGCATGCAGAGCTATTCCGTGATCCCATTCAAACAAGTCAGGAGCTTCGACTTGCTTAATGGATCTCGAGACAGTCCCCAAGAACACTGTCACCAGTCTAGACGGACTCTGAGGTCAACCCAGCAACGGAAAGCAGCTCCATGTGCCCCAAATCAACTCGAGATGAGGCCCGATTCCCCTGCATTGACTCCAGAGCGATTCCCCATTCCCCATTCAACACGACCGGTGGCTCGACTTCCTTCAGGCAATAACAGAGATGCCCCGTGAACACTGTCCAAAGTCTAGAGGAACACCAACTTCAGCACAGCAACTCGAGGAATGCTCCATGTACCACAAATCGTCTCGAGATGAGAGCTGATTCCCTTGCTTAGGCTCAAGACGTATGCCAACTTTCCAGAAGCACCTCAGGAGGAGGCTTCTCTCAGCAATAGGTATGTGGGAGGGACACTGAGATCGCTGCCTCAAGTGGAATGTACAGCGAGAAGCCCTAACTTGAAAGGAGGCCGGATTTCCTTGTAGTGGGTTGAATACAGGCTCGTGTTTGATCTCACAACGTGAAGGCATGTCTGAATCCCCTGTGGAGGCCTTAGAGAAAGCCCTAGGTCCCTGCCTCATTTTGTCGGAATGCCTCACATCCCGTTGACACCTCGAGAGGCACGCGGAGTTCATTGCTTCAAAAGGTGACGATGCCTGACTCCTCTTGAATACTGATAGGAATCCCAAAATCCCTGTTTCTACTAGAATGGGTCCTTGGGTGCCCTGCCTCACCTCGAGAAGCGTCCCTTTTGCCCTGCCAAGCCTCGAAGAGATTCCTGAGGTGTCCCTTGTTACTAGACAGGAGTCCTGATGTCACTGAAGAAACTCGTGTTTTGAAGGGCCATCCCCGCCGTAAGTCGGGAAAGTACCCCATGTCCCCGCCGCAACTCGAGAAAATCCATGAGACTTCCTCCTAGAGGCGAGATGAGGCCCCATTCCCATTCAGTGCATGCAGAGCTATTCCGTGATCCCATTCAAACAAGTCAGGAGCTTCGACTTGCTTAATGGATCTCGAACCAGTCCCCAAGAACACTGTCACCAGTCTAGACGGACCCTGAGGTGACCCCAGCAACGCAACGCAGCTCCATGTGCCCCAAATCAACTCGAGATGAGGCCCGATTCCCCTGCATTGACTCCAGAGCCATTACCCGTTCCCCATTCAACACGACCGGTGGCTCGACTTCCTTCAGGCAACTCCAGAGATGCCCCGAGAACACTATCCCAAGTCTAGAGGAACACCAGCTTCAGCATAGCAACTCGAGGAATGCTCCATGTACCCCAAATCGTCTCGAGATGAGAGCTGATTCCCTGGCTTAGGCTCAAGACGTATGCCAACTTTCCAGAAGCACCTCAGAAGGAGGCTTCTCTCAGCAATAGGTATGTGGGAGGGACCCCGAGATCGCTGCCTCAAGTGGAATATACAGCGAGAAGCCCTAACTTATAAGGAGGCCGGATTTCCTTGCAGTGGCTTGAATACAGACTCGTCTTTGATCCCCCAACATGAAGGCATGTCTGAATCCCCTGTGGAGACCTTAGAGAAAGCCCTAGGTCCCTGCCTCATTTTGACGGAATGCCTCACATCCCGTTGACACCTCGAGAGGCACGCGGAGTTCATTGCTTCAAAAGGTGACGATGCCTGACTCCTCTTGAATACTGATAGGAATCCCACAATCCCTGTGGCTACTGGAATGGGTCCTTGGGTGCCCTGCCTCACCTCGAGAAGCGTTCCTTTGCCCTGCAAAGCCTCGAAGAAATTCCTGAGGTGTCCCTCGTTACGAGACAGGAGTCATGACGTCACTGAAGAAAATCGTGTTTTGAAGGGCCATCCCCGCCGTAAGTCGAGAACATACCCCAGGTCCCCGCCGCAACTCGAGAAAAACCATGAGACTTCCCCCTAGAGGCGAGATGAGGCCCCATTCCCCTGCAGTGCATGCAGAGCTATTCCGTGATCCCATTCAAACAAGTCAGGAGCTTCGACTTGCTTAATGGATCTCGAGACAGTCCCCAAGAACACTGTCACCAGTCTAGACGGACTCTGAGGTCAACCCAGCAACGGAAAGCAGCTCCATGTGCCCCAAATCAACTCGAGATGAGGCCCGATTCCCGTGCATTGACTCCAGAGCCATTCCCCATTCCCCATTCAACACGACCGGTGGCTCGACTTCCTTCAGGCAATAACAGAGATGCCCCGTGAACACTGTCCAAAGTCTAGAGGAACACCAACTTCAGCACAGCAACTCGAGGAATGCTCCATGTACCACAAATCGTCTCGAGATGAGAGCTGATTCCCTGGCTTAGGCTCAAGACGTATGCCAACTTTCCAGAAGCACCTCAGGAGGAGGCTTCTCTCAGCAATAGGTATGTGGGAGGGACACTGAGATCGCTGCCTCAAGTGGAATATACAGCGAGAAGCCCTAACTTGAAAGGAGGCCGGATTTCCTTGTAGTGGGTTGAATACAGGCTCGTGTTTGATCTCACAACGTGAAGGCATGTCTGAATCCACTGTGGAGGCCTTAGAGAAAGCCCTATGTCCCTGCCTCATTTTGACGGAATGCCTCACATCCCGTTGACACCTCGAGAGGCACGCGGAGTTCATTGCTTCAAAAGGTGACGATGCCTGACTCCTCTTGAATACTGATAGGAATCCCACAATCCCTGTGGCTACTGGAATGGGTCCTTGGGTGCCCTGCCTCACCTCGAGAAGCGTCCCTTTTGCCCTGCCAAGCCTCGAAGAGATTCCTGAGGTGTCCCTTGTTACCAGACAGGAGTCCTGACGTCACTGAAGAAACTCGTTTTTTGAAGGGCCATCCCCGCTGTAAGTCGAGAACGTACCCCAGGTCCCCGCCGCAACTCGAGAAAATCCATGAGACTTCCTCCTAGAGGCGAGATGAGGCCCCATTCCCATTCAGTGCATGCAGAGCTATTCCGTGATCCCATTCAAACAAGTCAGGAGCTTCGACTTGCTTAATGGATCTCGAACCAGTCCCCAAGAACACTGTCACCAGTCTAGACGGACCCTGAGGTGACCCCAGCAACGCAAAGCAGCTCCATGTGCCCCAAATCAACTCGAGATGAGGCCCGATTCCCCTGCATTGACTCCAGAGCCATTACCCGTTCCCCATTCAACACGACTGGTGGCTCGACTTCCTTCAGGCAACTCCAGAGATGCCCCGAGAACACTATCCCAAGTCTAGAGGAACACCAACTTCAGCATAGCAACTCGAGGAATGCTCCATGTACCCCAAATCGTCTCGAGATGAGAGCTGATTCCCTGGCTTAGGCTCAAGACGTATGCCAACTTTCCAGAAGCACCTCAGGAGGAGGCTTCTCTCAGCAATAGGTATGTGGGAGGGACCCCGAGATCGCTGCCTCAAGTGGAATATACAGCGAGAAGCCCTAACTTGAAAGGAGGCCAGATTTCCTTGCAGTGGCTTGAATACAGGCTCGTCTTTGATCTCACAACATGAAGGCATGTCTGAATCCCCTGTGGAGAACTTAGAGAAAGCCCTAGGTCCCTGCCTCATTTTGACGGAATGCCTCACATCCCGTTGAGACCTCGAGAGGCACGCGGAGTTCATGCTTCAAAAGGTGACGATGCCTGACTCCTCTTGTATAATGATAGGAATCCCACAATCACTGTGGCTACTGGAATGGGTCCTTGGGTGCCCTACCTCACCTCGAGAAGCATCCCTTGTGCCCTGCCAAGCCTCGAAGAGATTCCTGAGGTGTCCCTCGTTACTAGACAGGAGTCCTGATGTCACTGAAGAAACTCGTGTTTTGAAGGGCCATCCCCGCCGTAAGTCGAGAACATACCTCAGGTCCCCAGCGCAACTCGAGAAAAACCATGAGACTTCCCCCTAGAGGCGAGATGAGGCCCCATTCCCCTGCAGTGCATGCAGAGCTATTCCGTGTTCCCATTCAAACAAGTCAGGAGCTTCGCCTTGCTTAATGGATCTCGAGACAGTCCCCAAGAACACTGTCACCAGTCTAGACGGACCCTGAGGTCAACCCAGTAACGGAAAGCAGCTCCATGTGCCCCAAATCAACTCGAGATGAGGCCCGATTCCCCTGCATTGACTCCAGAGCCATTCCCCGTTCCCCATTCAACACGACCGGTGGCTCGACTTCCTTCAGGCCACTGCAGAGATGCCCTGAGCACACTGTCCCAAGTCTAGAGGAACACCAACTTCAGCACAGCAACTCGAGGAATGTTCCATGTACCCCAAATCGTCTCGAGATGAGAGCTGATTCCCTGGCTTAGGCTCAAGACGTATGCCAACTTTCCAGAAGCACCTCAGGAGGAGGCTTCTCTCAGCAATAGGTATGTGGTAGGGACACCGAGATCGCTGCCTCAAGTGGAATATACAGCGAGAATCCCTAACTTGAAAGGATGGCGGATTTCCTTGCAATGGCTTGAATACAGGCTCGTCTTTGATCTCACAACATGAAGGCATGTCTGAATCCCCTTTGGAGGCCTTAGAGAAAGCAATAGGTCCCTGCCTCATTTTGACGGAATGCCTCACGTCCCGTTGACACCTCGAGAGGCACGTGGAGTTCATTGCTTCAAAAGGTGACGATGCCTGACTCCTCTTGAATACTGATAGGAATCCCACAATCCCTGTGGCTACTGGAATGGGTCCTTGGGTGCCCTGCCTCACCTCGAGAAGCATCCCTTCTGCCCTGCCAAGCCTCGAAGAGATTCCTGAGGTGTCCCTCGTTACTAGACAGCAGTCCTGATGTCACTGAAGAAACTCGTGTTTTGAAGGGCCATCCCCGCCGTGAGTCGAGAACATACCCCAGGTCCCCGGCGCAACTCGAGAAAAACCATGAAACTTCCACCTAGAGGCGAGATGAGGCCCCATTCCCCTGCAGTGCATGCAGAGCTATTCCGTGATCCCATTCAAACAAGTCAGGAGCTTCGACTTGCTTAATGGATCTCGAGCCAGTCCCCAAGAACACTGTCACCAGTCTAGACGGACCCTGAGGTCACCCCAGCAATGCAAAGCAGCTCCATGTGCCCCAAATCAAATCGAGATTAGGCCCGATTCCCCTGCATTGACTCCAGAGTCATTCCCCGTTCCCCATTCAACACGAGCGGTGGCTCGACTTCCTTCAGGCAACTCCAGAGATGCCCCGAGAACACTGTCCCAAGTCTAGAGGAACACCAACTTCAGCATAGCAACTCGAGGAATGCTCCATGTACCCCAAATCGTCGCGAGATAAGAGCTGATTCCCTGGCTTAGGCTCAAGACGTATGCCAACTTTCCAGAAGCACCTCAGGAGGAGGCTTCTCTCAGCAATAGGTATGTGGGAGGGAACCCGAGATCGCTGCCTCAAGAGGAATATACAGCGAGAATCCCTAACTTGAAAGGAGGCCGGATTTCCTTGCAGTGGCTTGAATACAGGCTCGTCTTTGATCTCACAACATGAAGGCATGTCTGAATCCCCTGTGGAGACCTTAGAGAAAGCCCTAGGTCCCTGCCTCATTTTGACGGAATGCCTCACATCCCGTTGACACCTCGAGAGGCACGCGGAGTTCATTGCTTCAAAAGGTGACGATGCCTGACTCCTCTTGAATACTGATAGGAATCCCAAAATCCCTGTGGCTACTGGAATGGGTCCTTGGGGGCCCTGCCTCACCTCGAGAAGCGTCCCTTTTGCCCTGCCAAGCCTCGAAGAGATTCCTCAGGTGTCCCTTGTTACTAGACAGGAGTCCTGACGTCACTGAAGAAACTCGTGTTTTGAAGGGCCATCGCCGCCGTAAGTCGAGAACGTACCCCAGGTCCCCGCCGCAACTCGAGAAAATCCATGAGACTTCCCCATAGAGGCGAGATGAGGCCCCATTCCCTTTCAGTGCATGCAGAGCTATTCCGTGATCCCATTCAAACAAGTCAGGAGCTTCGACTTGCTTAATGGATCTCGAGACAGTCCCCAAGAACACTGTCACCAGTCTAGACGGACTCTGAGGTCAACCCAGCAACGGAAAGCAGCTCCATGTGCCCGAAATCAACTCGAGATGAGGCCCGATTCCCCTGCATTGACTCCAGAGCGATTCCCCATTCCCCATTCAACACGACCGGTGGCTCGACTTCCTTCAGGCAATAACAGAGATGCCCCGTGAACACTGTCCAAAGTCTAGAGGAACACCAACTTCAGCACAGCAACTCGAGGAATGCTCCATGTACCCCAAATCGTCTCGAGATGAGAGCTGATTCCCTGGCTTAGGCTCAAGACGTATGCCAACTTTCCAGAAGCACCTCAGGAGGAGGCTTCTCTCAGCAATAGGTATGTGGGAGGGACCCCGAGATCGCTGCCTCAAGTGGAATATACAGCGAGAAGCCCTAACTTGAAAGGAGGCCGGATTTCCTTGCAGTGGCTTGAATACAGGCTCGTCTTTGTTCTCACAACATGAAGGCATGTCTGAATCCCCTGTGGAGACCTTAGAGAAAGCCCTAGGTCCCTGCCTCATTTTGACGGAATGCCTCACATCCCGTTGATACCTCGAGAGGCACGCGGAGTTCATTGCTTCAAAAGGTGACGATGCCTGACTCCTCTTGAATACTGATAGGAATCCCAAAATCCCTGTGGCTACTGGAAAGGGTCCTTGGGTGCCCTGCCTCACCTCGAGAAGCGTCCCTTTTGCCCTGCCAAGCCTCGAAGAGATTCCTGAGGTGTCCCTCGTTACTAGACAGGAGTCCTGACGTCACTGAAGAAACTCGTGTTTTGAAGGGCCATCCCCGCCGTAAGTCGAGAACGTACCCCAGGTCCCCGCCGCAACTCGAGAAAATCCATGAGACTTCCCCCTAGAGGCGAGATGAGGCCCCATTCCCCTGCAGGGCATGCAGAGCTATTCCGTGATCCCATTCAAACAAGTCAGGAGCTTCGACTTGCTTAATGGTCTCGAACCAGTCCCCAAAAACACTGTCACCAGTCTAGATGGAATCTGAGGTCACCCCAGCAACGCAAAGCAGCTCCATGTGCCCCAAATCAACTCGAGATTAGGCCCGATTCCCCTGCATTGACTCCAGAGCCATTCCCCGTTCCCCATTCAACACGACCGGTGGCTCGACTTCCTTCAGGCAACTCTAGAGATGCCCCGAGAACACTGTCCCAAGTCTAGAGGAACACCAACTTCAGCACAGCAACTCGAGGAATGCTCCATGCACCCCAAATCGTCTCGAGATGAGAGCTGATTCCCTGGCTTAGGCTCAAGACGTATGCCAACTTTCCAGAAGCACCTCAGGAGGAGGCTTCTCTCAGCAATAGTTATGTGGGATGGACCCCGAGATCGCTGCCTCAAGTGGAATATACAGCGAGAAGCCCTAACTTATAAGGAGGCCGGATTTCCTTGCAGTGGCGTGAATACAGACTCGTCTTTGATCTCACAACATGAAGGCATGTCTGAATCCCCTGTGGAGACCTTAGAGAAAGCCGTAGGTCCCTGCCTCATTTTGACGGAATGCCTCACATCCCGTTGACACCTCGAGAGGCACGCGGAGTTCATTGCTTCAAAAGGTGACGATGCCTGACTCCTCTTGAATAATGATAGGAATCCCACAATCCCTGTGGCTACTGGAATGGGTCCTTGGGTGCCCTGCCTCACCTCGAGAAGCGTTCCTTTGCCCTGCAAAGCCTTGAAGAAATTCCTGAGGTGTCCCTCGTTACGAGACAGGAGTCATGACGTCACTGAAGAAAATCGTGTTTTGAAGGGCCATCCCCGCCGTAAGTCGAGAACATACCCCGGTCCCCGCCGCAACTCGAGAAAAACCATGAGACTTCCCCCTAGAGGCGAGATGAGGCCCCATTCCCGTGCAGTGCATGCAGAGCTATTCCGTGATATCATTCAAACAAGTCAGGAGCTTCGACGTGCTTAATGGATCTCGAACCAGTCCCCAAGAACACTGTCACCAGTCTAGACGGACCCTGAGGTGACCCCAGCAACGCAACGCAGCTCCATGTGCCCCAAATCAACTCGAGATGAGGCCCGATTCCCCTGCATTGACTCCAGAGCCATTCCCAGTTCCCCATTCAACACGACCAGTGGCTCGACTTCCTTCAGGCAATAACAGAGATGCCCCGTGAACACTGTCCCAAGTCTAGAGGAACACCAACTCAACACAGCAACTCGAAGAATGCTCCATGTACCCCAAATCGTCTCGAGATGAGAGCTGATTCCCTGGCTTAGGCTCAAGACGTATGCCAACTTTCCAGAAGCACCTCAGGAGGAGGTTTCTCTCAGCAATAGATATGTGGGAGGGACCCCGAGATCGCTGCCTCAAGTGGAATATACAGCGAGAATCTCTAACTTGAAAGGAGGCCGGATTTCCTTGCAGTGGCTTGAATACAGGCTCGTCTTTGATCTCACAACATGAAGGCATGTCTGAGTCCCCTGTGGAGACCTTAGAGAAAGTCCTAGGTCCCTGCCTCTTTTTGTTGGAATGCCTCACATCCCGTTGACACCTCGAGAGGCACGCGGAGTTCATTGCTTCAAAAGGTGACGATGCCTGACTCCTCTTGAATACTGATAGGAATCCCAAAATCCCTGTTTCTACTGGAATGGGTCCTTGGGTGCCCTGCCTCACCTCGAGAAGCGTCCCTTTTGCCCTGCCAAGACTCGAAGAGATTCCTGAGGTGTCCCTTGTTACTAGACAGGAGTCCTGACGTCACTGAAGAAACTCGTGTTTTGAAGGGCCATCCCCGCCGTAAGTCGAGAACATACCCCAGGTCCCCGCCGCAACTCGAGAAAATCCATGAGACTTCCTCCTAGAGGCGAGATGAGGCCCCATTCCCATTCAGTGCATGCAGAGCTATTCCGTGATCCCATTCAAACAAGTCAGGAGCTTCGACTTGCTTAATGGATCTCGAACCAGTCCCCAAGAACACTGTCACCAGTCTAGACGGACCCTGAGGTGACCCCAGCAATGCAAAGCAGCTCCATGTGCCCCAAATCAACTCGAGATGAGGCCCGATTCCCCTGCATTGACTCCAGAGCCATTCCCCGTTCCCCATTCAACACGACCGGTGGCTCGACTTCCTTCAGGCAACTCCAGAGATGCCCCGAGAACACTATCCCAAGTCTAGAGGAACACCAACTTCAGCATAGCAACTCGAGGAATGCTCCATGTACCCCAAATCGTCTCGGGATGAGAGCTGATTCCCTGGCTTAGGCTCAAGACGTATGCCAACTTTCCAGAAGCACCTCAGGAGGAGGCTTCTCTCAGCAATAGGTATGTGGGAGGGACCCCGAGATCGCTGCCTCAAGTGGAATATACAGCGAGAAGCCCTAACTTGAAAGGAGGCCAGATTTCCTTGCAGTGGCTTGAATACAGGCTCGTCTTTGATCTCACAACATGAAGGCATGTCTGAATCCCCTGTGGAGAACTTAGAGAAAGCCCTAGGTCCCTGCCTCATTTTGACGGAATGCCTCACATCCCGTTGACACCTCGAGAGGCACGCGGAGTTCATTGCTTCAAAAGGTGACGATGCCTGACTCCTCTTGAATACTGATAGGAATCCCAACATCCCTGAGGCTACTGGAAAGGGTCCTTGGGTGCCCTGCCTCACCTCGAGAAGCGTCCCTTTTGCCCTGCCAAGCCTCGAAGAGATTCCTGAGGTGTCCCTCCTTACTAGACAGCAGTCCTGATGTCACTGAAGAAACTCGTGTTTTGAAGGGCCATCCCCGCCGTAAGTCGAGAACATACCCCAGGTCCCCGCCGCAACTCGAGAAAAACCATGAGACTTCCCCCTAGAGGCGAGATGAGGCCCCATTCCCCTGCAGTGCATGCAGAGCTATTCCGTGATCCCATTCAAACAAGTCAGGAGCTTCGTCTTGCTTAATGGATCTCGAGACAGTCCCCAAGAACACTGTCACCATTCTAGACGGACCCTGAGGTCAACCCAGCAACGGAAAGCAGCTCCATGTGCCCCAAATCAAATCGAGATGAGGCCCGATTCCCCTGCATTGACTCCAGAGCCATTCCCCGTTCCCCATTCAACACGACCGGTGGCTCGACTTCCTTCAGGCAATAACAGAGATGCCCCGTGTACACTGTCCCAAGTCTAGAGGAACACAAACTTCAGCACAGCAACTCTAGGAATGATCCATGTACCCCAAATCGTCTCGAGTTGAGAGCTGATTCCCTGGCTTAGGCTCAAGACGTATGCCAACTTTCCAGAAGCACCTCAGGAGGAGGCTTCTCTCAGCAATAGGTATGTGGTAGGGACACCGAGATCGCTGCCTCAAGTGGAATATACAGCTAGAATCCCTAACTTGAAAGGATGGCGGATTTCCTTGCAATGGCTTGAATACAGGCTCGTCTTTGATCTCACAACATGAAGGCATGTCTGAATCCCCTTTCGTGGCCTTAGAGAAAGCAATAGGTCCCTGCCTCATTTTGACGGAATGCCTCACGTCCCGTTGACACCTCGAGAGGCACGTGGAGTTCATTGCTTCAAAAGGTGACGATGCCTGACTCCTCTTGAATACTGATAGGAATCCCACAATCCCTGTGGCTACTGGAATGGGTCCTTGGGTGCCCTGCCTCACCTCGAGAAGCATCCCTTCTGCCCTGCCAAGCCTCGAAGAGATTCCTGAGGTGTCCCTCGTTACTAGACAGCAGTCCTGATGTCACTGAAGAAACTCGTGTTTTGAAGGGCCATCCCCGCCGTGAGTCGAGAACATACCCCAGGTCCCCGGCGCAACTCGAGAAAAACCATGAAACTTCCACCTAGAGGCGAGATGAGGCCCCATTCCCCTGCAGTGCATGCAGAGCTATTCCGTGATCCCATTCAAACAAGTCAGGAGCTTCGACTTGCTTAATGGATCTCGAGCCAGTCCCCAAGAACACTGTCACCAGTCTAGACGGACCCTGAGGTCACCCCAGCAACGCAAAGCAGCTCCATGTGCCCCAAATCAAATCGAGATTAGGCCCGATTCCCCTGCATTGACTCCAGAGTCATTCCCCGTTCCCCATTCAACACGAGCGGTGGCTCGACTTCCTTCAGGCAACTCCAGAGATGCCCCGAGAACACTGTCCCAAGTCTAGAGGAACACCAACTTCAGCATAGCAACTCGAGGAATGCTCCATGTACCCCAAATCGTCGCGAGATAAGAGCTGATTCCCTGGCTTAGGCTCAAGACGTATGCCAACTTTCCAGAAGCACCTCAGGAGGAGGCTTCTCTCAGCAATAGGTATGTGGGAGGGAACCCGAGATCGCTGCCTCAAGAGGAATATACAGCGAGAATCCCTAACTTGAAAGGAGGCCGGATTTCCTTGCAGTGGCTTGAATACAGGCTCGTCTTTGATCTCACAACATGAAGGCATGTCTGAATCCCCTGTGGAGACCTTAGAGAAAGCCCTAGGTCCCTGCCTCATTTTGACGGAATGCCTCACATCCCGTTGACACCTCGAGAGGCACGCGGAGTTCATTGCTTCAAAAGGTGACGATGCCTGACTCCTCTTGAATACTGATAGGAATCCCAAAATCCCTGTGGCTACTGGAATGGGTCCTTGGGTGCCCTGCCTCACCTCGAGAAGCGTCCCTTTTGCCCTGCCAAGCCTCGAAGAGATTCCTCAGGTGTCCCTTGTTACTAGACAGGAGTCCTGACGTCACTGAAGAAACTCGTGTTTTGAAGGGCCATCGCCGCCGTAAGTCGAGAACGTACCCCAGGTCCCCGCCGCAACTCGAGAAAATCCATGAGACTTCCCCATAGAGGCGAGATGAGGCCCCATTCCCATTCAGTGCATGCAGAGCTATTCCGTGATCCCATTCAAACAAGTCAGGAGCTTCGACTTGCTTAATGGATCTCGAGACAGTCCCCAAGAACACTGTCACCAGTCTAGACGGACTCTGAGGTCAACCCAGCAACGGAAAGCAGCTCCATGTGCCCCAAATCAACTCGAGATGAGGCCCGATTCCCCTGCATTGACTCCAGAGCGATTCCCCATTCCCCATTCAACACGACCGGTGGCTCGACTTCCTTCAGGCAATAACAGAGATGCCCCGTGAACACTGTCCAAAGTCTAGAGGAACACCAACTTCAGCACAGCAACTCGAGGAATGCTCCATGTACCCCAAATCGTCTCGAGATGAGAGCTGATTCCCTGGCTTAGGCTCAAGACGTATGCCAACTTTCCAGAAGCACCTCAGGAGGAGGCTTCTCTCAGCAATAGGTATGTGGGAGGGACCCCGAGATCGCTGCCTCAAGTGGAATATACAGCGAGAAGCCCTAACTTGAAAGGAGGCCGGATTTCCTTGCAGTGGCTTGAATACAGGCTCGTCTTTGTTCTCACAACATGAAGGCATGTCTGAATCCCCTGTGGAGACCTTAGAGAAAGCCCTAGGTCCCTGCCTCATTTTGACGGAATGCCTCACATCCCGTTGATACCTCGAGAGGCACGCGGAGTTCATTGCTTCAAAAGGTGACGATGCCTGACTCCTCTTGAATACTGATAGGAATCCCAAAATCCCTGTGGCTACTGGAAAGGGTCCTTGGGTGCCCTGCCTCACCTCGAGAAGCGTCCCTTTTGCCCTGCCAAGCCTCGAAGAGATTCCTGAGGTGTCCCTCGTTACTAGACAGGAGTCCTGACGTCACTGAAGAAACTCGTGTTTTGAAGGGCCATCCCCGCCGTAAGTCGAGAACGTACCCCAGGTCCCCGCCGCAACTCGAGAAAATCCATGAGACTTCCCCCTAGAGGCGAGATGAGGCCCCATTCCCCTGCAGGGCATGCAGAGCTATTCCGTGATCCCATTCAAACAAGTCAGGAGCTTCGACTTGCTTAATGGTCTCGAACCAGTCCCCAAGAACACTGTCACCAGTCTAGATGGAATCTGAGGTCACCCCAGCAACGCAAAGCAGCTCCATGTGCCCCAAATCAACTCGAGATTAGGCCCGATTCCCCTGCATTGACTCCAGAGCCATTCCCCGTTCCCCATTCAACACGACCGGTGGCTCGACTTCCTTCAGGCAACTCTAGAGATGCCCCGAGAACACTGTCCCAAGTCTAGAGGAACACCAACTTCAGCACAGCAACTCGAGGAATGCTCCATGCACCCCAAATCGTCTCGAGATGAGAGCTGATTCCCTGGCTTAGGCTCAAGACGTATGCCAACTTTCCAGAAGCACCTCAGGAGGAGGCTTCTCTCAGCAATAGTTATGTGGGATGGACCCCGAGATCGCTGCCTCAAGTGGAATATACAGCGAGAATCTCTAACTTGAAAGGAGGCCGGATTTCCTTGCAGTGGCTTGAATACAGGCTCGTCTTTGATCTCACAACATGAAGGCATGTCTGAGTCCCCTGTGGAGACCTTAGAGAAAGCCCTAGGTCCCTGCCTCATTTTGTCGGAATGCCTCACATCCCGTTGACACCTCGAGAGGCACGCGGAGTTCATTGCTTCAAAAGGTGACGATGCCTGACTCCTCTTGAATACTGATAGGAATCCCAAAATCCCTGTTTCTACTGGAATGGGTCCTTGGGTGCCCTGCCTCACCTCGAGAAGCGTCCCTTTTGCCCTGCCAAGCCTCGAAGAGATTCCTGAGGTGTCCCTTGTTACTAGACAAGAGTCCTGACGTCACTGAAGAAACTCGTGTTTTGAAGGGCCATCCCCGCAGTAAGTCGAGAACGTACCCCAGGTCCCCGCCGCAACTCGAGAAAATCCATGAGACTTCCTCCTAGAGGCGAGATGAGGCCCCATTCCCATTCAGTGCATGCAGAGCTATTCCGTGATCCCATTCAAACAAGTCAGGAGCTTCGACTTGCTTAATGGATCTCGAACCAGTCCCCAGGAACACTGTCACCAGTCTAGACGGACCCTGAGGTGACCCCAGCAACGCAACGCAGCTCCATGTGCCCCAAATCAACTCGAGATGAGGCCCGATTCCCCTGCATTGACTCCAGAGCCATTCCCCGTTCCCCATTCAACAAGACCGGTGGCTCGACTTCCTTCAGGCAACTCCAGAGATGCCCCGAGAACACTATCCCAAGTCTAGAGGAACACCAACTTCAGCATAGCAACTCGAGGAATGCTCCATGTACCCCAAATCGTCTCGAGATGAGAGCTGATTCCCTGGCTTAGGCTCAAGACGTATGCCAACTTTCCAGAAGCACCTCAGGAGGAGGCTTCTCTCAGCAATAGGTATGTGGGAGGGACCCCGAGATCGCTGCCTCAAGTGGAATATACAGCGAGAAGCCCTAACTTGAAAGGAGGCCAGATTTCCTTGCAGTGGCTTGAATACAGGCTCGTCTTTGATCTCACAACATGAAGGCATGTCTGAATCCCCTGTGGAGAACTTAGAGAAAGCCCTAGGTCCCTGCCTCATTTTGACGGAATGCCTCACATCCCGTTGACACCTCGAGAGGCACGCGGAGTTCATTGCTTCAAAAGGTAACGATGCCTGACTCCTCTTGTATACTGATAGGAATCCCACAATCACTGTGGCTACTGGAATGGGTCCTTGGGTGCCCTACCTCACCTCGAGAAGCATCCCTTGTGCCCTGCCAAGCCTCGAAGAGATTCCTGAGGTGTCCCTCGTTACTAGACAGGAGTCCTGATGTCACTGAAGAAACTCGTGTTTTGAAGGGCCATCCCCGCTGTAAGTCGAGAACATACCTCAGGTCCCCGCCGTAACTCGAGAAAAACCATGAGACTTCCCCCTAGAGGCGAGATGAGGCCCCATTCCCCTGCAGTGCATGCAGAGCTATTCCGTGTTCCCATTCAAACAAGTCAGGAGCTTCGCCTTGCTTAATGGATCTCGAGACAGTCCCCAAGAACACTGTCACCAGTCTAGACGGACCCTGAGGTCAACCCAGTAACGGAAAGCAGCTCCATGTGCCCCAAATCAACTCGAGATGAGGCCCGATTCCCCTGCATTGACTCCAGAGCCATTCCCCAATCCCCATTCAACACGACCGGTGGCTCGACTTCCTTCAGGCAATAACAGAGATGCCCCGTGAACACTGTCCCAAGTCTAGAGGAACACCAACTTCAGCACAGCAACTCGAGGAATGCTCCATGTACCCCAAATCGTCTCGAGATGAGAGCTGATTCCCTGGCTTAGGCTCAAGACGTATGCCAACTTTCCAGAAGCACCTCAGGAGGAGGCTTCTCTCAGCAATAGATATGTGGGAGGGACCCCGAGATCGCTGCCTCAAGTGGAATATACAGCGAGAATCTCTAACTTGAAAGGAGGCCGGATTTCCTTGCAGTGGCTTGAATACAGGCTCGTCTTTGATCTCACAACATGAAGGCATGTCTGAGTCCCCTGTGGAGACCTTAGAGAAAGCCTTAGGTCCCTGCCTCATTTTGTTGGAATGCCTCACATCCCGTTGACACCTCGAGAGGCACGCGGAGTTCATTGCTTCAAAAGGTGACGATGCCTGACTCCTCTTGAATACTGATAGGAATCCCAAAATCCCTGTTTCTACTGGAATGGGTCCTTGGGTGCCCTGCCTCACCTCGAGAAGCGTCCCTTTTGCCCTGCCAAGCCTCGAAGAGATTCCTGAGGTGTCCCTTGTTACTAGACAAGAGTCCTGACGTCACTGAAGAAACTCGTGTTTTGAAGGGCCATCCCCGCAGTAAGTCGAGAACGTACCCCAGGTCCCCGCCGCAACTCGAGAAAATCCATGAGACTTCCTCGTAGAGGCGAGATGAGGCCCCATTCCCATTCAGTGCATGCAGAGCTATTCCATGATCCCATTCAAACAAGTCAGGAGCTTCGACTTGCTTAATGGATCTCGAACCAGTCCCCAAGAACACTGTCACCAGTCTAGACGGACCCTGAGGTGACCCCAGCAACGCAACGCAGCTCCATGTGCCCCAAATCAACTCGAGATGAGGCCCGATTCCCCTGCATTGACTCAAGAGCCATTCCCCGTTCCCCATTCAACAAGACTGGTGGCTCGACTTCCTTCAGGCAACTCCAGAGATGCCCCGAGAACACTATCCCAAGTCTAGAGGAACACCAACTTCAGCATAGCAACTCGAGGAATGCTCCATGTACCCCAAATCGTCTCGAGATGAGAGCTGATTCCCTGGCTTAGGCTCAAGACGTATGCCAACTTTCCAGAAGCACCTCAGGAGGAGGCTTCTCTCAGCAATAGGTATGTGGGAGGGACCCCGAGATCGCTGCCTCAAGTGGAATATACAGCGAGAAGCCCTAACTTGAAAGGAGGCCAGATCTCCTTGCAGTGGCTTGAATACAGGCTCGTCTTTGATCTCACAACATGAAGGCATGTCTGAATCCCCTGTGGAGAACTTAGAGAAAGCCCTAGGTCCCTGCCTCATTTTGACGGAATGCCTCACATCCCGTTGACACCTCGAGAGGCACGCGGAGTTCATTGCTTCAAAAGGTAACGATGCCTGACTCCTCTTGTATACTGATAGGAATCCCACAATCACTGTGGCTACTGGAATGGGTCCTTGGGTGCCCTACCTCACCTCGAGAAGCATCCCTTGTGCCCTGCCAAGCCTCGAAGAGATTCCTGAGGTGTCCCTCGTTACTAGACAGGAGTCCTGATGTCACTGAAGAAACTCGTGTTTTGAAGGGCCATCCCCGCTGTAAGTCGAGAACATACCTCAGGTCCCCGCCGCAACTCGAGAAAAACCATGAGACTTCCCCCTAGAGGCGAGATGAGGCCCCATTCCCCTGCAGTGCATGCAGAGCTATTCCGTGTTCCCATTCAAACAAGTCAGGAGCTTCGCCTTGCTTAATGGATCTCGAGACAGTCCCCAAGAACACTGTCACCAGTCTAGACGGACCCTGAGGTCAACCCAGTAACGGAAAGCAGCTCCATGTGCCCCAAATCAACTCGAGATGAGGCCCGATTCCCCTGCATTGACTCCAGAGCCATTCCCCATTCCCCATTCAACACGACCGGTGGCTCGACTTCCTTCAGGCAATAACAGAGATGCCCCGTGAACACTGTCCCAAGTCTAGAGGAACACCAACTTCAGCACAGCAACTCGAGGAATGCTCCATGTACCCCAAATCGTCTCGAGATGAGAGCTGATTCCCTGGCTTAGGCTCAAGACGTATGCCAACTTTCCAGAAGCACCTCAGGAGGAGGCTTCTCTCAGCAATAGGTATGTGGGAGGGACCCCGAGATCGCTGCCTCAAGTGGAATATACAGCGAGAAGCCCTAACTTGAAAGGAGGCCGGATTTCCGTGCAGTGGCTTGAATACAGGCTCGTCTTTGTTCTCACAACATGAAGGCATGTCTGAATCCCCTGTGGAGACCTTAGAGAAAGCCCTAGGTCCCTGCCTCATTTTGACGGAATGCCTCACATCCCGTTGATACCTCGAGAGGCACGCGGAGTTCATTGCTTCAAAAGGTGACGATGCCTGACTCCTCTTGAATACTGATAGGAATCCCAAAATCCCTGTGGCTACTGGAAAGGGTCCTTGGGTGCCCTGCCTCACCTCGAGAAGCGTCCCTTTTGCCCTGCCAAGCCTCGAAGAGATTCCTGAGTTGTCCCTCGTTACTAGACAGGAGTCCTGACGTCACTGAAGAAACTCGTGTTTTGAAGGGCCATCCCCGCCGTAAGTCGAGAACATTCCCCAGGTCCCCGCCGCAACTCGAGAAAATCCATGAGACTTCCCCCTAGAGGCGAGATGAGGCCCCATTCCCCTGCAGGGCATGCAGAGCTATTCCGTGATCCCATTCAAACAAGTCAGGAGCTTCGCCTTGCTTAATGGATCTCGAACCAGTCCCCAAGAACACTGTCACCAGTCTAGATGGAATCTGAGGTCACCCCAGCAACGCAAAGCAGCTCCATGTGCCCCAAATCAACTCGAGATTAGGCCCGATTCCCCTGCATTGACTCCAGAGCCATTCCCCGTTCCCCATTCAACACGACCGGTGGCTCGACTTCCTTCAGGCAACTCTAGAGATGCCCCGAGAACACTGTCCCAAGTCTAGAGGAACACCAACTTAAGCACAGCAACTCGAGGAATGCTCCATGCACCCCAAATCGTCTCGAGATGAGAGCTGATTCCCTGGCTTAGGCTCAAGACGTATGCCAACTTTCCAGAAGCACCTCAGGAGGAGGCTTCTCTCAGCAATAGTTATGTGGCAAGGACCCCGAGATCGCTGCCTCAAGTGGAATATACAGCGAGAAGCCCTAACTTATAAGGAGGCCGGATTTCCTTGCAGTGGCGTGAATACAGACTCGTCTTTGATCTCACAACATGAAGGCATGTCTGAATCCCCTGTGGAGACCTTAGAGAAAGCCCTAGGTCCCTGCCTCATTTTGACGGAATGCCTCACATCCCGTTGACACCTCGAGAGGCACGCGGAGTTCATTGCTTCAAAAGGTGACGATGCCTGACTCCTCTTGAATAATGATAGGAATCCCACAATCCCTGTGGCTACTGGAATGGGTCCTTTGGTGCCCTGCCTCACCTCGAGAAGCGTTCCTTTGCCCTGCAAAGCCTTGAAGAAATTCCTGAGGTGTCCCTCGTTACGAGACAGGAGTCATGACGTCACTGAAGAAAATCGTGTTTTGAAGGGCCATCCCCGCCGTAAGTCGAGAACATACCCCGGTCCCCGCCGCAACTCGAGAAAAACCATGAGACTTCCCCCTAGAGGCGAGATGAGGCCCCATTCCCCTGCAGTGCATGCAGAGCTATTCCGTGATCCCATTCAAACAAGTCAGGAGCTTCGACGTACTTAATGGATCTCGAGACAGTCCCCCAAAACACTGTCACCAGTCTAGACGGACCCTGAGGTCACCCCAGCAACGCAAAGCAGCTCCATGTGCCCCAAATCAACTCGAGATGAGGCCCGATTCCCCTGCATTGACTCCAGAGCCATTCCCTGTTCCCCATTCAACACGACCGGTGGCTCGACTTCCTTCAGGCAATAACAGAGATGCCCCGTGAACACTGTCCCAAGTCTAGAGGAACACCAACTCAACACAGCAACTCGAAGAATGCTCCATGTACCCCAAATCGTCTCGAGATGAGAGCTGATTCCCTGGCTTAGGCTCAAGACGTATGCCAACTTTCCAGAAGCACCTCAGGAGGAGGTTTCTCTCAGCAATAGATATGTGGGAGGGACCCCGAGATCGCTGCCTCAAGTGGAATATACAGCGAGAATCTCTAACTTGAAAGGAGGCCGGATTTCCTTGCAGTGGCTTGAATACAGGCTCGTCTTTGATCTCACAACATGAAGGCATGTCTGAGTCCCCTGTGGAGACCTTAGAGAAAGTCCTAGGTCCCTGCCTCATTTTGTTGGAATGCCTCACATCCCGTTGACACCTCGAGAGGCACGCGGAGTTCATTGCTTCAAAAGGTGACGATGCCTGACTCCTCTTGAATACTGATAGGAATCCCAAAATCCCTGTTTCTACTGGAATGGGTCCTTGGGTGCCCTGCCTCACCTCGAGAAGCGTCCCTTTTGCCCTGCCAAGCCTCGAAGAGATTCCTGAGGTGTCCCTTGTTACTAGACAGGAGTCCTGACGTCACTGAAGAAACTCGTGTTTTGAAGGGCCATCCCCGCCGTAAGTCGAGAACATACCCCAGGTCCCCGCCGCAACTCGAGAAAATCCATGAGACTTCCTCCTAGAGGCGAGATGAGGCCCCATTCCCATTCAGTGCATGCAGAGCTATTCCGTGATCCCATTCAAACAAGTCAGGAGCTTCGACTTGCTTAATGGATCTCGAACCAGTCCCCAAGAACACTGTCACCAGTCTAGACCGACCCTGAGGTGACCCCAGCAATGCAAAGCAGCTCCATGTGCCCCAAATCAACTCGAGATGAGGCCCGATTCCCCTGCATTGACTCCAGAGCCATTCCCCGTTCCCCATTCAACACGACCGGTGGCTCGACTTCCTTCAGGCAACTCCAGAGATGCCCCGAGAACACTATCCCAAGTCTAGAGGAACACCAACTTCAGCAGAGCAACTCGAGGAATGCTCCGTGTACCCCAAATCGTCTCGAGATGAGAGCTGATTCCCTGGCTTAGGCTCAAGACGTATGCCAACTTTCCAGAAGCACCTCAGGAGGAGGCTTCTCTCAGCAATAGGTATGTGGGAGGGACCCCGAGATCGCTGCCTCAAGTGGAATATACAGCGAGAAGCCCTAACTTGAAAGGAGGCCAGATTTCCTTGCAGTGGCTTGAATACAGGCTCGTCTTTGATCTCACAACATGAAGGCATGTCTGAATCCCCTGTGGAGACCTTAGAGAAAGCCCTAGGTCCCTGCCTCATTTTGACGGAATGCCTCACATCCCGTTGACACCTCGAGAGGCACGCGGAGTTCATTGCTTCAAAAGGTGACGATGCCTGACTCCTCTTGAATACTGATAGGAATCCCAACATCCCTGAGGCTACTGGAAAGGGTCCTTGGGTGCCCTGCCACACCTCGAGAAGCGTCCCTTTTGCCCTGCCAAGCCTCGAAGAGATTCCTGAGGTGTCCCTCCTTACTAGACAGCAGTCCTGATGTCACTGAAGAAACTCGTGTTTTGAAGGGCCATCCCCGCCGTAAGTCGAGAACATACCCCAGGTCCCCGCCGCAACTCGAGAAAAACCATGAGACTTCCCCCTAGAGGCTAGATGAGGCCCCATTCCCCTGCAGGGCATGCAGAGCTATTCCGTGATCCCATTCAAACAAGTCAGGAGCTTCGACTTGCTTAATGGATCTCGAACCAGTCCCCAAGAACACTGTCACCAGTCTAGATGGAATCTGAGGTCACCCCAGCAACGGAAAGCAGCTCCATGTGCCCCAAATCAACTCGAGATTAGGCCCGATTCCCCTGCATTGACTCCAGAGCCATTCCCCGTTCCCCATTCAACACGACCGGTGGCTCGACTTCCTTCAGGCAATAACAGAGATGCCCCGTGAACACTGTCCCAAGTCTAGAGGAACACCAACTTCAGCACAGCAACTCGAGGAATGCTCCATGTACCCCAAATCGTCTCGAGATGAGAGCTGATTCCCTGGCTTAGGCTCAAGACGTATGCCAACTTTCCAGAAGCACCTCAGGAGGAGGCTTCTCTCAGCAATAGGTATGTGGTAGGGACCCCGAGATCGCTGCCTCAAGTGGAATATACAGCGAGAATCCCTAACTTGAAAGGATGCCGGATTTCCTTGCAATGGCTTGAATACAGGCTCGTCTTTGATCTCACAACATGAAGGCATGTCTGAATCCCCTTTGGAGGCCTTAGAGAAAGCAATAGGTCCCTGCCTCATTTTGTCGGAATGCCTCACATCCCGTTGACACCTCGAGAGGCACGTGGAGTTCATTGCTTCAAAAGGTGACGATGCCTGACTCCTCTTGAATACTGATAGGAATCCCACAATCCCTGTGGCTACTGGAATGGGTCCTTGGGTGCCCTGCCTCACCTCGAGAAGCATCCCTTTTGCCCTGCCAAGCCTCGAAGAGATTCCTGAGGTGTCCCTCGTTACTGGACAGCAGTCCTGATGTCACTGAAGAAACTCGTGTTTTGAAGGGCCATCCCCGCCGTGAGTCTAGAACATACCCCAGGTCCCCGCCGCAACTCGAGAAAAACCATGAAACTTCCCCCTAGAGGCGAGATGAGGCCCCATTCCCCTGCAGTGCATGCAGAGCTATTCCGTGATCCCATTCAAACAAGTCAGGAGCTTCGACTTGCTTAATGGATCTCGAGCCAGTCCCCAAGAACACTGTCACCAGTCTAGACGGACCCTGAGGTCACCCCAGCAACGCAAAGCAGCTCCATGTGCCCCAATTCAAATCGAGATGAGGCCCGATTCCCCTGCATTGACTCCAGAGCCATTCCCCGTTCCCCATTCAACACGACCGGTGGCTCGACTTCCTTCAGGCAACTCCAGAGATGCCCCGAGAACACTGTCCCAAGTCTAGAGGAACACCAACTTCAGCATAGCAACTCGAGGAATGCTCCATGTACCACAAATCGTAGTGAGATAAGAGCTGATTCCCTGGCTTAGGCTCAAGACGTATGCCAACTTTCCAGAAGCACCTCAGGAGGAGGATTCTCTCAGCAATAGGTATGTGGGAGGGACCCCGAGATCGCTCACTCAAGTGGAATATACAGCGAGAAGCCCTAACTTGAAAGGAGGCCAGATTTCCTTGCAGTGGCTTGAATACAGGCTCGTCTTTGATCTCACAACATGAAGGCATGTCTGAATCCCCTGAGGAGAACTTAGAGAAAGCCCTAGGTCCCTGCCTCATTTTGACGGAATGCCTCACATCCCGTTGACACCTCGAGAGGCACGCAGAGTTCATTGCTTCAAAAGGTGACGATGCCTGACTCCTCTTGAATACTGATAGGAATCCCACAATCCCTGTGGCTACTGGAATGGGTCCTTGGGTGCCCTGCCTCACCTCGAGAAGCATCCCTTTTGCCCTGCCAAGCCTCGAAGAGATTCCTGAGGTGTCCCTTGTTACTAGACAGGAGTCCTGATGTCACTGAAGAAACTCGTGTTTTGAAGGGCCATCCCCGCCGTAAGTCGAGAACATACCCCAGGTCCCCGCCGCAACTCGAGAAAAACCATGAGACTTCCCCCTAGAGGCGAGATGAGGCCCCATTCCCCTGCAGTGCATGCAGAGCTATTCCGTGATCCCATTCAAACAAGTCAGGAGCTTCGACGTGCTTAATGGATCTCGAGACAGTCCCCAAAAACACTGTCACCAGTCTAGACGGACCCTGAGGTCACCCAAGCAACGCAAAGCAGCTCCATGTGCCCCAAATCAACTCGAGATGAGGCCCGATTCCCCTGCATTGACTCCAGAGCCATTCCCTGTTCCCCATTCAACACGACCAGTGGCTCGACTTCCTTCAGGCAATAACAGAGATGCCCCGTGAACACTGTCCCAAGTCTAGAGGAACACCAACTCAACACAGCAACTCGAAGAATGCTCCATGTACCCCAAATCGTCTCGAGATGAGAGCTGATTCCCTGGCTTAGGCTCAAGACGTATGCCAACTTTCCAGAAGCACCTCAGGAGGAGGTTTCTCTCAGCAATAGATATGTGGGAGGGACCCCGAGATCGCTGCCTCAAGTGGAATATACAGCGAGAATCTCTAACTTGAAAGGAGGCCGGATTTCCTTGCAGTGGCTTGAATACAGGCTCGTCTTTGATCTCACAACATGAAGGCATGTCTGAGTCCCCTGTGGAGACCTTAGAGAAAGTCCTAGGTCCCTGCCTCATTTTGTTGGAATGCCTCACATCCCGTTGACACCTCGAGAGGCATGCGGAGTTCATTGCTTCAAAAGGTGACGATGCCTGACTCCTCTTGAATACTGATAGGAATCCCAAAATCCCTGTTTCTACTGGAATGGGTCCTTGGGTGCCCTGCCTCACCTCGAGAAGCGTCCCTTTTGCCCTGCCAAGCCTCGAAGAGATTCCTGAGGTGTCCCTCGTTACGAGACAGGAGTCCTGACGTCACTGAAGAAACTCGTGTTTTGAAGGGCCATCCCCGCCGTAAGTCGAGAACAAACCCCAGGTCCCCGCCTCAACTCGAGAAACACCATGAGACTTCCCCCTAGAGGCGAGATGAGGCCCCATTCCCCTGCAGTGCATGCAGAGCTATTCCGTGATCCCATTCAAACAAGTCAGGAGCTTCGACTTGCTTAATGGATCTCGAGACAGTCCCCAAGAACACTGTCACCAATCTAGACGGACCCTGAGGTCATCCCAGCAACGCAAAGCAGTTCCATGTGTCCCAAATCAAATCGAGATGAGGCCCGATTCCCCTGCATTGACTCCAGAGCCATTCCCCGTTCCCCATTCAACGCGACCGGTGGCTCGACTTCCTTCAGGCAACTCCAGAGATGGCCCGAGAACACTGTCCCAAGTCTAGAGGAACACCAACTTCAGCACAGCAACTCGAGGAATGCTCCGTGTACCCCAAATCGTCTCGAGATGAGAGCTGATTCCCTGGCTTAGGCTCAAGACGTATGCCAACTTTCCAGAAGCACCTCAGGAGGAGGCTTCTCTCAGCAATATGTATGTGGGAGGGACCCCGAGTTTGCTGCCTCAAGGGGAATATACAGCGAGAAGCCCTAACTTGAAAGGAGGCCGGATTTCCTTGCAGTGGCTTGAATACAGGCCCATCTTTCATCTCACAACATGAAGGGATGTCTGAATCCCCTGTGGAGACCTTAGAGAAAGCCCTAGGGCCCTGCCTCATTTTGAGGGAATGCCTCACATCCCGCTGACACCTCGAGAGGCACGCGGAGTTCATTGCTTCAAAAGGTGACGATGCCTGACTCCTCTTGAATACTGATAGGAATCCCAAAATCCCTGTGGCTACTGGAAAGGGTCCTTGGGTGCCCTGCCTCACCTCGAGAAGCGTCCCTTTTGCCCTGCCAAGCCTCGAAGAGATTCCTGAGGTGTCCCTCGTTACTAGACAGGAGTCCTGACGTCACTGAAGAAACTCGTGTTTTGAAGGGCCATCCCCGCTGTAAGTCGAGAACATACCCCAGGTCCCCGCCGCAACTCGAGAAAAACCATGAGACTTCCCCCTAGAGGCGAGATGAGGCCCCATTCCCCTGCAGTGCATGCAGAGCTATTCCATGATCCCATTCAAACAAGTCAGGAGCTTCGACTTGCTTAATGGATCTCGAGACATTCCCAAGAACACTGTCACCAGTCTAGACGGACCCTGAGGTCACCCCAGCAACGCAAAGCAGCTCCATGTGCCCCAAATCAACTCGAGATGAGGCCCGATTCCCCTGCATTGACACCAGAGCCATTCCCCATTCCCCACTCAACACGACTGGTGGCTCGACTTCCTTCAGGCAACTCCAGAGATGCCCCGAGAACACTGTCCCAAGTCTAGAGGAAGACCAACTTCAGCACAGCAACTCGAGGAATGCTCCGTGTACCCCAAATCGTCTCGAGATGAGAGCTGATTCCCTGGCTTAGGCTCAAGACGTATGCCAACTTTCCAGAAGCACCTCAGGAGGAGGCTTCTCTCAGCAATAGGTATGTGGGAGGGACCCCGAGTTTGCTGCCTCAAGGGGAATATACAGCGAGAAGCCCTAACTTGAAAGGAGGCCGGATTTCCTTGCACTGGCTTGAATACAGGCTCGTCTTTCATCTCACAACATGTAGGGATGTCTGAATCCCCTGTGGAGACCTTAGAGAAAGCCCTAGGGCCCTGCCTCATTTTGACGGAATGCCTCACATCCCGCTGTTACCTCGAGAGGCACGCGGAGTTCATTGCTTCAAAAGGTGACGATGCCTGACTCCTCTTGAATACTGATAGGAATCCCAAAATCCCTGTGGCTACTGGAAAGGGTCCTTGGGTGCCCTGCCTCACCTCGAGAATCGTCCCTTTTGCCCTGCCAAGCCTCGAAGAGATTCCTGAGGTGTCCCTCGTTACGAGACAGGAGTCCTCACGTCACTGAAGAAACTCGTGTTTTGAAGGGCCATCCCCGCCGTAAGTCGAGAACGTACCCCAGGTCCCCGCCGCAACTCGAGAAAAACCATGAGACTTCCCGCTAGAGGCGAGATGAGGCCCCATTCCGCTGCAGTGCATGCAGAGCTATTCCGTGATCCCATTCAAACAAGTCAGGAGCTTCGACTTGCTTAATGGATCTCGAGACAGTCCCCAAGAACACTGTCACCAGTCTAGACGGACCCTGAGGTCACCCCAGCTACGGAAAGCAGCTCCATGGGCCCCAAATCAACTCGAGATGAGGCCCGATTCCCCTGCATTGACACCAGAGCCATTCCCCGTTCCCCATTCAACACGACTGGTGGCTCGACTTCCTTCAGGCAACTCCAGAGATGCCCCGAGAATACTGTCCCAAGTCTAGAGGAACACCAACTTCAGCACAGCAACTCTAGGAATGCTCCGTGTACCCCAAAACGTCTCGAGTTGAGAGCTGATTCCCTGGCTTAGGCTCAAGACGTATGCCAACTTTCCAGAAGCACCTCAGGAGGAGGCTTCTCTCAGCAATAGGTATGTGGGAGGGAACCCGAGATCGCTGCCTCAAGTGGAATATACAGCGAGAAGCCCTAACTTGAAAGGAGGCCGGATTTCCTTGCAGTGGCTTTAATACAGGCTCGTCTTTGATCTCAAAACATGAAGGGATGTCTGAATCCCCTGTGGAGACCTTAGAGAAAGCCCTAGGTCCCTGCCTCATTTTGTCGGAATGCCTCACATCCCGTTGACACCTTGAGAGGCACGCAGAGTTCATTGCTTCAAAAGGTGACGATGCCTGACTCCTCTTGAATACTGATAGGAATCCCAAAATCCCTGTGGCTTCTGGAAAGGGTCCTTGGGTGCCCTGCCTTACCTCGAGAAGCGTCCCTTTTGCCCTGCCAAGCCTCGAAGAGATTCCTGAGGTGTCCCTCGTTACGAGACAGGAGTCCTGACGTCACTGAAGAAACTCGTGTTTTGAAGGGCCATCCCCGCCGTAAGTCGAGAACATACCCCAGGTCCCCGCCGCAACTCGAGAAAAACCATGAGACTTCCCCCTAGAGGCGAGATGAGGCCCCATTGCCCTGCAGTGCATGCAGAGCTAATCCGTGATCCCATTCAAACAAGTCAGGAGCTTCGACTTGCTTAATGGATCTCGAGCCAGTCCCCAAGAACACTGTCACCAGTCTAGACGGAACCTGAGGTCACCCCAGCAATGCAAAGAAGTTGCATGTGCCCCAAATCAACTCGAGATGAGGCCCGATTCCCCTGCATTGACCCCAGAGCCATTCCCCGTTCCCCATTCAACACGACCGGTGGCTCGACTTCCTTCAGGCAACTCCAGAGATGCCCCGAGAACACTGTCGCAAGTCTAGAGGAACCTAACTTCAGCATAGCAACTCGAGGAATGCTCCGTGTACCCCAAATCGTCTCGAGATGAGAGCTGATTCCCTGGCTTAGGCTCAAGACGTATGCCAACTTTCCAGAAGCACGTCAGGAGGAGGCTTCTTTCAGCAATAGTTATGTGGGAGGGACCCTGAAATCGCTGCCTGAAGTGGAATATACAGAGAGAAGCCCTAACTTGAAAGGAGGCCGGATTTCCTTGCAGTGGCTTGAATAGAGGCTGGTCTTTGATCTCACAACATGAAGGCATATCTGAATCCCCTGTGTAGACCTTTGAGAAAGCCCTAGGGCCCTGCCTCATATTGACGGAATGCCTCACATCCCGCTGACACCTCGAGAGGCACGCGGAGTTCATTGCTTCAAAAGGTGACGATGCCTGACTCCTCTTGAATACTGATAGGAATCCCAAAATCCCTGTGGCTACTGGAAAGGGTCCTTGGGTGCCCTGCCTCACCTCGAGAAGCGTCCCTTTTGCCCTGCCAAGCCTCGAAGAGATTCCTGAGGTGTCCCTCGTTACGAGACAGGAGTCCTGACGTCACTGAAGAAACTCGTGTTTTGAAGGGCCATCCCCGCCGTAAGTCGAGAACATACCCCAGGTCCCCGCCGCAACTTGAGAAAAACCATGAGACTTCCCTCTAGAGGCGAGATGAGGCCCCATTCCCCTGCAGTGCATGCAGAGCTATTCCGTGATCCCATTCAAACAAGTCAGGAGCTTCGACTTGCTTAATGGATCTCGAGACAGTCCCCAAGAACACTGTCACCAGTCTAGACGGAACCTGAGGTCACCCCAGCAATGCAAAGAAGCTCCATGTGCCCCAAATCAACTCGAGATGAGGCCCGATTCCCCTGCATTGACCCCAGAGCCATTCCCCGTTCCCCATTCAACACGACCGGTGGCTCGACTTCCTTCAGGCAACTCCAGAGATGCCCCGAGAACACTGTCGCAAGTCTAGAGGAACCTAACTTCAGCATAGCCACTCGAGGAATGCTCCATGTACCCCAAATCGTCTCGAGATGAGAGCTGATTCCCTGGCTTAGGCTCAAGACGTATGCCAACTTTCCAGAAGCACCTCAGGAGGAGGCTTCTCTCAGCAATAGGTATGTGGGAGGGACCCCGAGATCGCTGCCTCAAGTGGAATATACAGCGAGAAGCCCTAACTTGAAAGGAGGCCGGATTTCCTTGCAGTGGCTTGAATACAGGCTCGTCTTTGATCTCAAAACATGAAGGGATGTCTGAAGCCCCTGTGGAGACCTTAGAGAAAGCACTAGGTCCATGCCTGTTTTTTTCGGAATGCCTCACATCCCGTTGACACCTTGAGAGGCACGCAGAGTTCATTGCTTCAAAAGGTGACGATGCCTGACTCCTCTTGAATAATGATAGGAATCCCAAAATCCCTGTGGCTTCTGGAAAGTGTCCTTGGGTGCCCTGCCTCACCTCGAGAAGCGTCCCTTTTGCCCTGCCAAGCCTCGAAGAGATTCCTGAGGTGTCCCTCGTTACGAGACAGGAGTCCTGACGTCACTGAAGAAACTCGTGTTTTGAAGGGCCATCCCCGCCGTAAGTCGAGAACATACCCCAGGTCCCCGCCGCAACTGGAGAAAAACCATGAGACTTCCCGCTAGAGGCGAGATGAGGCCCCATTCCCCTGCAGTGCATGCAGAGCTATTCCGTGATCCCATTCAAACAAGTCAGGAGCTTCGACTTGCTTAATGGATCTCGAGACAGTCCCCAAGAACACTGTCACCAGTCTAGACGGAACCTGAGGTCACCCCAGCAATGCAAAGCAGCTCCATGTGCCCCAAATCAACTCGAGATGAGGCCCGATTCCCCTGCATTGACACCAGAGCCATTCCCCATTCCCCATTCAACACGACTGGTGGCTCGACTTCCTTCAGGCAACTCCAGAGATGCCCCGAGAACACTGTCCCAAGTCTAGAGGAACACCAACTTCAGCACAGCAACTCGAGGAATGCTCCGTGAACCCCAAATCGTCTCGAGATGAGAGCTGATTCCCTGGCTTAGGCTCAAGACGTATGCCAACTTTCCAGAAGCACCTCAGGAGGAGGCTTCTCTCAGCAATAGGTATGTGGGAGGGACCCCGAGATCGCTGCCTCAAGTGGAATATACAGCGAGAAGCCCTAACTTGAAAGGAGGCCAGATTTCCTTGCAGTGGCTTGAATACAGGCTCGTCTTTGATCTCACAACATGAAGGCATGTCTGAATCCCCTGTGGAGAACTTAGAGAAAGCCCTAGGTCCCTGCCTCATTTTGACGGAATGCCTCACATCCCGTTGACACCTCGAGAGGCACGCGGAGTTCATTGCTTCAAAAGGTGACGATGCCTGACTCCTCTTGAATACTGATAGGAATCCCAAAATCCCTGTGGCTACTGGAAAGGGTCCTTGGGTGCCCTGCCTCACCTCGAGAAGCGTCCCTTTTGCCCTGCCAAGCCTCGAAGAGATTCCTGAGGTGTCCCTCGTTACTAGACAGGAGTCCTGACGTCACTGAAGAAACTCGTGTTTTGAAGGGCCATCCGCGCTGTAATTCGAGAACATACCCCAGGTCCCCGCCGCAACTCGAGAAAAAACATGAGACTTCCCCCTAGAGGCGAGATGAGGCCCCATTCCCCTGCAGTGCATGCACAGCTATTCCGTGATCCCATTCAAACAAGTCAGGAGCTTCGACTTGCTTAATGGATCTCGAGCCAGTCCCCAAGAACACTGTCACCAGTCTAGACGGACCCTGAGGTCAACCCAGCAACGCAAAGCAGCTCCATGTGCCCCAAATCAACTCGAGATAAGGCCCGATTCCCCTGCATTGACTCCAGAGCCATTCCCCGTTCCCCATTCAACACGACCGGTGGCTCGACTTCCTTCAGGCAACTCCAGAGATGCCCCGAGAACACTGTCCCAAGTCTAGAGGAACACCAACCTCAGCATAGCAACTCGCGGAATGCTCCATGTACCCCAAATCGTCTCGAGATGAGAGCTGATTCCCTGGCTTAGGCTCAAGACGTATGCCAACTTTCCAGAAGCACCTCAGGAGGAGGCTTCTCTCAGCAATAGGTATGTGGGAGGGACCCCGAGATCGCTGCCTCAAGTGGAATATAGAGCGAGAAGCCCTAACTTGAAAGGAGGCCGGATTTCCTTGCAGTGGCTTGAATACAGGCTCGTCTTTCATCTCACAACATGTAGGGATGTCTGAATCCCCTGTGGAGACCTTAGAGAAAGCCCTAGGGCCCTGCCTCATTTTGACGGAATGCCTCACATCCCGCTGTCACCTCGAGAGGCACGCGGAGTTCATTGCTTCAAAAGGTGACGATGCCTGACTCCTCTTGAATACTGATAGGAATCCCAAAATCCCTGTGGCTACTGGAAAGGGTCCTTGGGTGCCCTGCCTCACCTCGAGAAGCGTCCCTTTTGCCCTGCCAAGCCTCGAAGAGATTCCTGAGGTGTCCCTCGTTACGAGACAGGAGTCCTGACGTCACTGAAGAAACTCGTGTTTTGAAGGGCCATCCCCGCCGTAAGTCGAGAACATACCCCAGGTCCCCGCCGCAACTCGAGAAAAACCATGAGACTTCCCCCTAGAGGCGAGATGAGGCCCCATTCCCCTGCAGTGCATGCAGAGCTATTCCGTGATCCCATTCAAACAAGTCAGGAGCTTCGACTTGCTTAATGGATCTCGAGACAGTCCCCAAGAACACTGTCACCAGTCTAGACGGAACCTGAGGTCACCCCAGCAATGCAAAGAAGCTCCATGTGCCCCAAATCAACTCGAGATGAGGCCCGATTCCCCTGCATTGACCTCAGAGCCATTCCCCGTTCCCCATTCAACACGACCGGTGGCTCGACTTCCTTCAGGCAACTCCAGAGATGCCCCGAGAACACTGTCGCAAGTCTAGAGGAACACCAACTTCAGCACAGCAACTCGAGGAATGCTCCGTGTACCATAAATCGTCTCGAGATGAGAGCTGATTCCCTGGCTTAGGCTCAAGACGTATGCCAACTTTGCAGAAGCACCTCAGGATGAGGCTTCTCTCAGCAATAGGTATGTGGGAGGGACCCCGAGATCGCTGCCTCAAGTGGAATATACAGCGAGAATCCCTAACTTGAAAGGAGGCCGAATTTCCTTGCAGTGGCTTGAATACAGGCTCGTCTTTGATCTCACAACATGAAGGCATGTCTGAATCCCCTGTGGAGACCTTAGAGAAAGCCCTAGGTCCCTGCCTCATTTTGACGGAATGCCTCACATCCCGTTGACACCTCGAGAGGCACGCGGAGTTCATTGATTCAAAAGGTGACGATGCCTGACTCCTCTTGAATACTGATAGGAATCCCAAAATCCCTGTGGCTATTGGAATGGGTCCTTGGGTGCCCTGCCTCACCTCGAGAAGCGTCCCTTTTGCCCTGCCAAGCCTCGAAGAGATTCCTGAGGTGTCCCTTGTTACTAGACAGGAGTCCTGACGTCACTGAAGAAACTCGTGTTTTGAAGGGCCATCCTCGCCATAAGTCGAGAACGTACCCCAGGTCCCCGCCGCAACTCGAGAAAATCCATGAGACTTCCCGCTAGAGGCGAGATGAGGCCCCATTCCCATTCAGTGCATGCAGAGCTATTCCGTGATCCCATTCAAACAAGTCAGGAGCTTCGACTTGCTTAATGGATCTCGAGACAGTCCCCAAGAACACTGTCACCAGTCTAGACGGACCCTGAGGTCACCCCAGCAACGCAAAGCAGCTCCATGTGCCCCAAATCAACTCGAGATAAGGCCCGATTCCCCTGCATTGACTCCAGAGCCATTGCCCGTTCCCCATTCAACACGACCGGTGGCTCGACTTCCTTCAGGCAACTCCAGAGATGCCCCGAGAACACTGTCCCAAGTCTAGAGGAACACCAAACTCAGCATAGCAACTCGCGGAATGCTCCATGTACCCCAAATCGTCTCGAGATGAGAGCTGATTCCCTGGCTTAGGCTCAAGACGTATGCCAACTTTCCAGAAGCACCTCAGGAGGAGGCTTCTCTCAGCAATAGGTATGTGGGAGGGACACCGAGATCGCTGCCTCAAGGGGAATATACAGCGAGAATCCCTAACTTGAAAGGAGGCCGGATTTCCTTGCAGTGGCTTGAATACAGGCTCGTCTTTCATCTCACAACATGTAGGGATGTCTGAATCCCCTGTGGAGACCTTAGAGAAAGCCCAAGGGCCCTGCCTCATTTTGACGGAATGCCTCACATCCCGCTGTCACCTCGAGAGTCACGCGGAGTTCATTGCTTCAAAAGGTGACGATGCCTGACTCCTCTTGAATACTGATAGGAATCCCAAAATCCCTGTGGCTACTGGAAAGGGTCCTTGGGTGCCCTGCCTCACCTCGAGAAGCGTCCCTTTTGCCCTGCCAAGCCTCGAAGAGATTCCTGAGGTGTCCCTCGTTACGAGACAGGAGTCCTGACGTCACTGAAGAAACTCGTGTTTTGAAGGGCCATCCCTGCCGTAAGTCGAGAACATACCCCAGGTCCCCGCCGCAACTCGAGAAAAACCATGAGACTTCCCCCTAGAGGCGAGATGAGGCCCCATTCCCCTGCAGTGCATGCAGAGCTATTCCGTGATCCCATTCAAACAAGTCAGGAGCTTCGACTTGCTTAATGGATCTCGAGAGAGTCCCCAAGAACACTGTCACCAGTCTAGACGGAACCTGAGGTCACCGCAGCAATGCAAAGAAGCTCCATGTGCCCCAAATCAACTCGAGATGAGGCCCGATTCAACTGCATTGACCTCAGAGCCATTCCCCGTTCCCCACTCAACACGACCGGTGGCTCGACTTCCTTCAGGCAACTCCAGAGATGCCCCGAGAACACTGTCGCAAGTCTAGAGGAACACCAACTTCAGCACAGCAACTCGAGGAATGCTCCATGTACCCCAAATCATCTCGAGATGAGAGCTGATTCCCTGGCTTAGGCTCAAGACGTATGCCAACTTTCCAGAAGCACCTCAGGAGGAGGCTTCTCTCACCAATAGGTATGTGGGAGGGACCCCGAGATCGCTGCCTCAAGTGGAATATACAGCGAGAATCCCTAACTTGAAAGGAGGCCGGATTTCCTTGCAGTGGCTTGAATACAGGCTCGTCTTTGATCTCACAACATGAAGGCATGTCTGAATCCCCTGTGGAGACCTTAGAAAAAGCCCTAGGTCCCTGCCTCATTTTGACGGAATGCCTCACATCCCGTTGACACCTCGAGAGGCACACGGAGTTCATTGCTTCAAAAGGTGACGATGCCTGACTCCTCTTTAATACTGATAGGAATCCCAAAATCCCTGTGGCTACTGGAAAGGGTCCTTGGGTGCCCTGCCTCACCTCGAGAAGCGTCCCTTTTGCCCTGCCAAGCCTCGAAGAGATTCCTGAGGTGTCCCTCGTTACTAGACAGGAGTCCTGACGTCACTGAAGAAACTCGTGTTTTGAAGGGCCATCCGCGCTGTAATTCGAGAACATACCCCAGGTCCCCGCCGCAACTCGAGAAAAAACATGAGACTTCCCCCTAGAGGCGAGATGAGGCCCCATTCCCCTGCAGTGCATGCACAGCTATTCCGTGATCCCATTCAAACAAGTCAGGAGCTTCGACTTGCTTAATGGATCTCGAGCCAGTCCCCAAGAACACTGTCACCAGTCTAGACGGACCCTGAGGTCAACCCAGCAACGCAAAGCAGCTCCATGTGCCCCAAATCAACTCGAGATAAGGCCCGATTCCCCTGCATTGACTCCAGAGCCATTCCCCGTTCCCCATTCAACACGACCGGTGGCTCGACTTCCTTCAGGCAACTCCAGAGATGCCCCGAGAACACTGTCCCAAGTCTAGAGGAACACCAACCTCAGCATAGCAACTCGCGGAATGCTCCATGTACCCCAAATCGTCTCGAGATGAGAGCTGATTCCCTGGCTTAGGCTCAAGACGTATGCCAACTTTCCAGAAGCACCTCAGGAGGAGGCTTCTCTCAGCAATAGGTATGTGGGAGGGACCCCGAGATCGTTGCCTCAAGTGGAATATAGAGCGAGAAGCCCTAACTTGAAAGGAGGCCGGATTTCCTTGCAGTGGCTTGAATACAGGCTCGTCTTTCATCTCACAACATGTAGGGATGTCTGAATCCCCTGTGGAGACCTTAGAGAAAGCCCTAGGGCCCTGCCTCATTTTGACGGAATGCCTCACATCCCGCTGTCACCTCGAGAGGCACGCGGAGTTCATTGCTTCAAAAGGTGACGATGCCTGACTCCTCTTGAATACTGATAGGAATCTCAAAATCCCTGTGGCTACTGGAAAGGGTCCTTGGGTGCCCTGCCTCACCTCGAGAAGCGTCCCTTTTGCCCTGCCAAGCCTCGAAGAGATTCCTGAGGTGTCCCTCGTTACGAGACAGGAGTCCTGACGTCACTGAAGAAACTCGTGTTTTGAAGGGCCATCCCCGCCGTAAGTCGAGAACATACCCCAGGTCCCCGCCGCAACTCGAGAAAAACCATGAGACTTCCCCCTAGAGGCGAGATGAGGCCCCATTCCCCTGCAGTGCATGCAGAGCTATTCCGTGATCCCATTCAAACAAGTCAGGAGCTTCGACTTGCTTAATGGATCTCGAGACAGTCCCCAAGAACACTGTCACCAGTCTAGACGGAACCTGAGGTCACCCCAGCAATGCAAAGAAGCTCCATGTGCCCCAAATCAACTCGAGATGAGGCCCGATTCCCCTGCATTGACCTCAGAGCCATTCCCCGTTCCCCATTCAACACGACCGGTGGCTCGACTTCCTTCAGGCAACTCCAGAGATGCCCCGAGAACACTGTCGCAAGTCTAGAGGAACACCAACTTCAGCACAGCAACTCGAGGAATGCTCCGTGTACCATAAATCGTCTCGAGATGAGAGCTGATTCCCTGGCTTAGGCTCAAGACGTATGCCAACTTTGCAGAAGCACCTCAGGATGAGGCTTCTCTCAGCAATAGGTATGTGGGAGGGACCCCGAGATCGCTGCCTCAAGTGGAATATACAGCGAGAATCCCTAACTTGAAAGGAGGCCGAATTTCCTTGCAGTGGCTTGAATACAGGCTCGTCTTTGATCTCACAACATGAAGGCATGTCTGAATCCCCTGTGGAGACCTTAGAGAAAGCCCTAGGTCCCTGCCTCATTTTGACGGAATGCCTCACATCCCGTTGACACCTCGAGAGGCACGCGGAGTTCATTGATTCAAAAGGTGACGATGCCTGACTCCTCTTGAATACTGATAGGAATCCCAAAATCCCTGTGGCTATTGGAATGGGTCCTTGGGTGCCCTGCCTCACCTCGAGAAGCGTCCCTTTTGCCCTGCCAAGCCTCGAAGAGATTCCTGAGGTGTCCCTTGTTACTAGACAGGAGTCCTGACGTCACTGAAGAAACTCGTGTTTTGAAGGGCCATCCACGCCATAAGTCGAGAACGTACCCCAGGTCCCCGCCGCAACTCGAGAAAATCCATGAGACTTCCCGCTAGAGGCGAGATGAGGCCCCATTCCCATTCAGTGCATGCAGAGCTATTCCGTGATCCCATTCAAACAAGTCAGGAGCTTCGACTTGCTTAATGGATCTCGAGACAGTCCCCAAGAACACTGTCACCAGTCTAGACGGACCCTGAGGTCACCCCAGCAACGCAAAGCAGCTCCATGTGCCCCAAATCAACTCGAGATAAGGCCCGATTCCCCTGCATTGACTCCAGAGCCATTGCCCGTTCCCCATTCAACACGACCGGTGGCTCGACTTCCTTCAGGCAACTCCAGAGATGCCCCGAGAACACATTCCCAAGTCTAGAGGAACACCAAACTCAGCATAGCAACTCGCGGAATGCTCCATGTACCCCAAATCGTCTCGAGATGAGAGCTGATTCCCTGGCTTAGGCTCAAGACGTATGCCAACTTTCCAGAAGCACCTCAGGAGGAGGCTTCTCTCAGCAATAGGTATGTGGGAGGGACACCGAGATCGCTGCCTCAAGGGGAATATACAGCGAGAATCCCTAACTTGAAAGGAGGCCGGATTTCCTTGCAGTGGCTTGAATACAGGCTCGTCTTTCATCTCACAACATGTAGGGATGTCTGAATCCCCTGTGGAGACCTTAGAGAAAGCCCAAGGGCCCTGCCTCATTTTGACGGAATGCCTCACATCCCGCTGTCACCTCGAGAGTCACGCGGAGTTCATTGCTTCAAAAGGTGACGATGCCTGACTCCTCTTGAATACTGATAGGAATCCCAAAATCCCTGTGGCTACTGGAAAGGGTCCTTGGGTGCCCTGCCTCACCTCGAGAAGCGTCCCTTTTGCCCTGCCAAGCCTCGAAGAGATTCCTGAGGTGTCCCTCGTTACGAGACAGGAGTCCTGACGTCACTGAAGAAACTCGTGTTTTGAAGGGCCATCCCTGCCGTAAGTCGAGAACATACCCCAGGTCCCCGCCGCAACTCGAGAAAAACCATGAGACTTCCCCCTAGAGGCGAGATGAGGCCCCATTCCCCTGCAGTGCATGCAGAGCTATTCCGTGATCCCATTCAAACAAGTCAGGAGCTTCGACTTGCTTAATGGATCTCGAGAGAGTCCCCAAGAACACTGTCACCAGTCTAGACGGAACCTGAGGTCACCGCAGCAATGCAAAGAAGCTCCATGTGCCCCAAATCAACTCGAGATGAGGCCCGATTCAACTGCATTGACCTCAGAGCCATTCCCCGTTCCCCACTCAACACGACCGGTGGCTCGACTTCCTTCAGGCAACTCCAGAGATGCCCCGAGAACACTGTCGCAAGTCTAGAGGAACACCAACTTCAGCACAGCAACTCGAGGAATGCTCCATGTACCCCAAATCATCTCGAGATGAGAGCTGATTCCCTGGCTTAGGCTCAAGACGTATGCCAACTTTCCAGAAGCACCTCAGGAGGAGGCTTCTCTCACCAATAGGTATGTGGGAGGGACCCCGAGATCGCTGCCTCAAGTGGAATATACAGCGAGAATCCCTAACTTGAAAGGAGGCCGGATTTCCTTGCAGTGGCTTGAATACAGGCTCGTCTTTGATCTCACAACATGAAGGCATGTCTGAATCCCCTGTGGAGACCTTAGAAAAAGCCCTAGGTCCCTGCCTCATTTTGACGGAATGCCTCACATCCCGTTGACACCTCGAGAGGCACACGGAGTTCATTGCTTCAAAAGGTGACGATGCCTGACTCCTCTTTAATACTGATAGGAATCCCAAAATCCCTGTGGCTACTGGAATGGGTCCTTGGGTGCCCTGCCTCACCTCGAGAAGCGTCCCTTTTGCCCTGCCAAGCCTCGAAGAGATCCCTGAGGTGTCCCTTGTTACTAGACAGGAGTCCTGACGTCACTGAAGAAACTCGTGTTTTGAAGGTCCATCCCCGCCGTAAGTCGAGAACATAACCCAGGTCCCCGCCGCAACTCGAGAAAATCCATGAGACTTCCCCTAGAGGCGAGATGAGGTCCCATTCCCATTCAGTGCATGCAGAGCTATTCCGTGATCCCATTCAAACAAGTCAGGAGCTTCGACATGCTTAATGGATCTCGAGACAGTCCCCAAGAACACTGTCACCAGTCTAGACGGACACTGAGGTCAACCCAGCAACGGAAAGCAGCTCCATGTGCCCCAAATCAACTCGAGATGAGGCCCGATTCCCCTGCATTGACTCCAGAACAATTCCCCGTTCCCCATTCAACACGACCGGTGGCTCGACTTCCTTCAGGCAATAACAGAGATGCACCGTGAACACTGTCCCAAGTCTAGAGGAACACCAACTTCAGCACAGCCACTCGAGGAATGCTCCGTGTACCCCAAATCGTCTCGAGATGAGAGCTGATTCCCTGGCTTAGGCTCAAGACCTATGCCAACTTTCCAGAAGCACCTCAGGAGGAGGCTTCTCTCAGCAATAGGTATGTGGGAGGGACCCCGAGATCGCTGCCTCAAGTGGAATATACAGCGAGAAGCCCTAACTTGAAAGGAGGCCGGATTTCCTTGCAGTGGCTTGAATACAGGCTCGTCTTTGATCTGAAAACATGAAGGGATGTCTGAAGCCCCTGTGGAGACCTTAGAGAAAGCCCTAGGTCAATGCCTGTTTTTTTCGGAATGCCTCACATCCCGTTGACACCTTGAGAGGCACGCAGAGTTCATTGCTTCAAAAGGTGACGATGCCTGACTCCTCTTGAATAATGATAGGAATCCCAAAATCCCTGTGGCTTCTGGAAAGTGTCCTTGGGTGCCCTGCCTCACCTCGAGAAGCGTCCCTTTTGCCCTGCCAAGCCTCGAAGAGATTCCTGAGGTGTCCCTCGTTACGAGACAGGAGTCCTGACGTCACTGAAGAAACTCGTGTTTTGAAGGGCCATCCCCGCCATAAGTCGAGAACATACCCCAGGTCCCCGCCGCAACTGGGGAAAAACCATGAGACTTCCCGCTAGAGGCGAGATGAGGCCCCATTCCCCTGCAGTGCATGCAGAGCTATTCCGTGATCCCATTCAAACAAGTCAGGAGCTTCGACTTGCTTAATGGATCTCGAGACAGTCCCCAAGAACACTGTCACCAGTCTAGACGGAACCTGAGGTCACCCCAGCAATGCAAAGCAGCTCCATGTGCCCCAAATCAACTCGAGATGAGGCCCGATTCCCCTGCATTGACACCAGAGCCATTCCCCATTCCCCACTCAACACGACTGGTGGCTCGACTTCCTTCAGGCAACTCCAGAGATGCCCCGAGAACACTGTCCCAAGTCTAGAGGAACACCAAACTCAGCATAGCAACTCGCGGAATGCTCCATGTACCCCAAATCGTCTCGAGATGAGAGCTGATTCCCTGGCTTAGGCTCAAGACGTATGCCAACTTTCCAGAAGCACCTCAGGAGGAGGCTTCTCTCAGCAATAGGTATGTGGGAGGGACACCGAGATCGCTGCCTCAAGGGGAATATACAGCGAGAATCCCTAACTTGAAAGGAGGCCGGATTTCCTTGCAGTGGCTTGAATACAGGCTCGTCTTTCATCTCACAACATGTAGGGATGTCTGAATCCCCTGTGGAGACCTTAGAGAAAGCCCAAGGGCCCTGCCTCATTTTGACGGAATGCCTCACATCCCGCTGTCACCTCGAGAGTCACGCGGAGTTCATTGCTTCAAAAGGTGACGATGCCTGACTCCTCTTGAATACTGATAGGAATCCCAAAATCCCTGTGGCTACTGGAAAGGGTCCTTGGGTGCCCTGCCTCACCTCGAGAAGCGTCCCTTTTGCCCTGCCAAGCCTCGAAGAGATTCCTGAGGTGTCCCTCGTTACGAGACAGGAGTCCTGACGTCACTGAAGAAACTCGTGTTTTGAAGGGCCATCCCTGCCGTAAGTCGAGAACATACCCCAGGTCCCCGCCGCAACTCGAGAAAAACCATGAGACTTCCCCCTAGAGGCGAGATGAGGGCCCATTCCCCTGCAGTGCATGCAGAGCTATTCCGTGATCCCATTCAAACAAGTCAGGAGCTTCGACTTGCTTAATGGATCTCGAGAGAGTCCCCAAGAACACTGTCACCAGTCTAGACGGAACCTGAGGTCACCGCAGCAATGCAAAGAAGCTCCATGTGCCCCAAATCAACTCGAGATGAGGCCCGATTCAACTGCATTGACCTCAGAGCCATTCCCCGTTCCCCACTCAACACGACCGGTGGCTCGACTTCCTTCAGGCAACTCCAGAGATGCCCCGAGAACACTGTCGCAAGTCTAGAGGAACACCAACTTCAGCACAGCAACTCGAGGAATGCTCCATGTACCCCAAATCATCTCGAGATGAGAGCTGATTCCCTGGCTTAGGCTCAAGACGTATGCCAACTTTCCAGAAGCACCTCAGGAGGAGGCTTCTCTCACCAATAGGTATGTGGGAGGGACCCCGAGATCGCTGCCTCAAGTGGAATATACAGCGAGAATCCCTAACTTGAAAGGAGGCCGGATTTCCTTGCAGTGGCTTGAATACAGGCTCGTCTTTGATCTCACAACATGAAGGCATGTCTGAATCCCCTGTGGAGACCTTAGAAAAAGCCCTAGGTCCCTGCCTCATTTTGACGGAATGCCTCACATCCCGTTGACACCTCGAGAGGCACACGGAGTTCATTGCTTCAAAAGGTGACGATGCCTGACTCCTCTTTAATACTGATAGGAATCCCAAAATCCCTGTGGCTACTGGAATGGGTCCTTGGGTGCCCTGCCTCACCTCGAGAAGCGTCCCTTTTGCCCTGCCAAGCCTCGAAGAGATCCCTGAGGTGTCCCTTGTTACTAGACAGGAGTCCTGACGTCACTGAAGAAACTCGTGTTTTGAAGGTCCATCCCCGCCGTAAGTCGAGAACATAACCCAGGTCCCCGCCGCAACTCGAGAAAATCCATGAGACTTCCCCTAGAGGCGAGATGAGGTCCCATTCCCATTCAGTGCATGCAGAGCTATTCCGTGATCCCATTCAAACAAGTCAGGAGCTTCGACATGCTTAATGGATCTCGAGACAGTCCCCAAGAACACTGTCACCAGTCTAGACGGACACTGAGGTCAACCCAGCAACGGAAAGCAGCTCCATGTGCCCCAAATCAACTCGAGATGAGGCCCGATTCCCCTGCATTGACTCCAGAACAATTCCCCGTTCCCCATTCAACACGACCGGTGGCTCGACTTCCTTCAGGCAATAACAGAGATGCACCGTGAACACTGTCCCAAGTCTAGAGGAACACCAACTTCAGCACAGCCACTCGAGGAATGCTCCGTGTACCCCAAATCGTCTCGAGATGAGAGCTGATTCCCTGGCTTAGGCTCAAGACCTATGCCAACTTTCCAGAAGCACCTCAGGAGGAGGCTTCTCTCAGCAATAGGTATGTGGGAGGGACCCCGAGATCGCTGCCTCAAGTGGAATATACAGCGAGAAGCCCTAACTTGAAAGGAGGCCGGATTTCCTTGCAGTGGCTTGAATACAGGCTCGTCTTTGATCTGAAAACATGAAGGGATGTCTGAAGCCCCTGTGGAGACCTTAGAGAAAGCCCTAGGTCAATGCCTGTTTTTTTCGGAATGCCTCACATCCCGTTGACACCTTGAGAGGCACGCAGAGTTCATTGCTTCAAAAGGTGACGATGCCTGACTCCTCTTGAATAATGATAGGAATCCCAAAATCCCTGTGGCTTCTGGAAAGTGTCCTTGGGTGCCCTGCCTCACCTCGAGAAGCGTCCCTTTTGCCCTGCCAAGCCTCGAAGAGATTCCTGAGGTGTCCCTCGTTACGAGACAGGAGTCCTGACGTCACTGAAGAAACTCGTGTTTTGAAGGGCCATCCCCGCCATAAGTCGAGAACATACCCCAGGTCCCCGCCGCAACTGGGGAAAAACCATGAGACTTCCCGCTAGAGGCGAGATGAGGCCCCATTCCCCTGCAGTGCATGCAGAGCTATTCCGTGATCCCATTCAAACAAGTCAGGAGCTTCGACTTGCTTAATGGATCTCGAGACAGTCCCCAAGAACACTGTCACCAGTCTAGACGGAACCTGAGGTCACCCCAGCAATGCAAAGCAGCTCCATGTGCCCCAAATCAACTCGAGATGAGGCCCGATTCCCCTGCATTGACACCAGAGCCATTCCCCATTCCCCACTCAACACGACTGGTGGCTCGACTTCCTTCAGGCAACTCCAGAGATGCCCCGAGAACACTGTCCCAAGTCTAGAGGAACACCAACTTCAGCACAGCAACTCGAGGAATGCTCCGTGTACCCCAAATCGTCTCGAGATGAGAGCTGATTCCCTGGCTTAGGCTCAAGACGTATGCCAACTTTGCAGAAGCACCTTAGGATGAGGCTTCTCTCAGCAATAGGTATGTGGGAGGGACCCCGAGATCGCTGCCTCAAGTGGAATATACAGCGAGAATCCGTAACTTGAAAGGAGGCCGAATTTCCTTGCAGTGGCTTGAATACAGGCTCGTCTTTGATCTCACAACATGAAGGAATGTCTGAATCCCCTGTGGAGACCTTATAGAAAGCCCTAGGTCCCTGCCTCATTTTGACGGAATGCCTCACATCCCGTTGACACCTAGAGAGGCACGCGGAGTTCATTGATTCAAAAGGTGACGATGCCTGACTCCTCTTGAATACTGATAGGAATCCCAAAATCCCTGTGGCTACTGGAATGGGTCCTTGGGTGCCCTGCCTCACCTCGAGAAGCGTCCCTTTTGCCCTGCCAAGCCTCGAAGAGATTCCTGAGGTGTCCCTTGTTACTAGACAGGAGCCCTGACGTCACTGAAGAAACTCGTGTTTTGACGGGCCATCCTCGCCATAAGTCGAGAACGTACCCCAGGTCCCCGCCGCAACTCGAGAAAATCCATGAGACTTCCCCCTAGAGGCGAGATGAGGCCCCATTCCCATTCAGTGAATGCAGAGCTATTCCGTGATCCCATTCAAACAAGTCAGGAGCTTCGACTTGCTTAATGGATCTCGAGCCAGTCCCCAAGAACACTGTCACCAGTCTAGACGGACCCTGAGGTCACCCCAGCAACGCAAAGCAGCTCCATGTGCCCCAAATCAACTCGAGATAAGGCCCGATTCCCCTGCATTGACTCCAGAGCCATTCCCCGTTCCCCATTCAACACGACCGGTGGCTCGACTTCCTTCAGGCAACTCCAGAGATGCCCCGAGAACACTGTCCCAAGTCTAGAGGAACACCAAACTCAGCATAGCAACTCGCGGAATGCTCCATGTACCCCAAATCGTCTCGAGATGAGAGCTGATTCCCTGGCTTAGGCTCAAGACGTATGCCAACTTTCCAGAAGCATCTCAGGAGGAGGCTTCTCTCAGCAATAGGTATGTGGGAGGGACCCCGAGATCGCTGCCTCAAGGGGAATATACAGCGAGAATCCCTAACTTGAAAGGAGGCCGGATTTCCTTGCAGTGGCTTGAATACAGGCTCGTCTTTCATCTCACAACATGTAGGGATGTCTGAATCCCCTGTGGAGACCTTAGAGAAAGCCCAAGGGCCCTGCCTCATTTTGACGGAATGCCTCACATCCCGCTGTCACCTCGAGAGTCACGCGGAGTTCATTGCTTCAAAAGGTGACGATGCCTGACTCCTCTTGAATACTGATAGGAATCCCAAAATCCCTGTGGCTACTGGAAAGGGTCCTTGGGTGCCCTGCCTCACCTCGAGAAGCGTCCCTTTTGCCCTGCCAAGCCTCGAAGAGATTCCTGAGGTGTCCCACGTTACGAGACAGGAGTCCTGACATCACTGAAGAAACTCGTGTTTTGAAGGGCCATCCCCGCCGTAAGTCGAGAACATACCCCAGGTCCCCGCCGCAACTCGAGAAAAACCATGAGACTTCCCCCTAGAGGCGAGATGAGGCCCCATTCCCCTGCAGTGCATGCAGAGCTATTCCGTGATCCCATTCAAACAAGTCAGGAGCTTCGACTTGCTTAATGGATCTCGAGACAGTCCCCAAGAACACTGTCACCAGTCTAGACGGAACCTGAGGTTACCGCAGCAATGCAAAGAAGCTCCATGTGCCCCAAATCAACTCGAGATGAGGCCCGATTCCCCTGCATTGACCTCAGAGCCATTCCCCGTTCCCCATTCAACACGACCGGTGGCTCCACTTCCTTCAGGCAATAACAGAGATGCACCGTGAACACTGTCCCAAGTCTAGAGGAACACCAACTTCAGCACAGCCACTCGAGGAATGCTCCATGTACCCCAAATCGTCTCGAGATGAGAGCTGATTCCCTGGCTTAGGCTCAAGACGTATGCCAACTTTCCAGAAGCACCTCAGGAGGAGGCTTCTCTCAGCAATAGGTATATGGGAGGGACCCCGAGATCGCTGCCTCAAGTGGAATATACAGCGAGAAGCCCTAACTTGAAAGGAGGCCGGATTTCCTTGCAGTGGCTTGAATACAGGCTCGTCTTTGATCTCAAAACATGAAGGGATGTCTGAAGCCCCTGTGGAGACCTTAGAGAAAGCCCTAGGTCCATGCCTGTTTTTTTCGGAATGCCTCACATCCCGTTGACACCTTGAGAGGCACGCAGAGTTCATTGCTTCAAAAGGTGACGATGCCTGACTCCTCTTGAATAATGATAGGAATCCCAAAATCCCTGTGGCTTCTGGAAAGTGTCCTTGGGTGCCCTGCCTCACCTCGAGAAGCGTCCCTTTTGCCCTGCCAAGCCTCGAAGAGATTCCTGAGGTGTCCCTCGTTACGAGACAGGAGTCCTGACGTCACTGAAGAAACTCGTGTTTTGAAGGGCCATCCCCGCCGTAAGTCGAGAACATACCCCAGGTCCCCGCCGCAACTGGAGAAAAACCATGAGACTTCCCGCTAGAGGCGAGATGAGGCCCCATTCCCCTGCAGTGCATGCAGAGCTATTCCGTGATCCCATTCAAACAAGTCAGGAGCTTCGACTTGCTTAATGGATCTCGAGACAGTCCCCAAGAACACTGTCACCAGTCTAGAGGGAACCTGAGGTCACCCCAGCAATGCAAAGCAGCTCCATGTGCCCCAAATCAACTCGAGATGAGGCCCGATTCCCCTGCATTGACACCAGAGCCATTCCCCATTCCCCACTCAACACGACTGGTGGCTCGACTTCCTTCAGGCAACTCCAGAGATGCCCCGAGAACACTGTCCCAAGTCTAGAGGAACACCAACTTCAGCACAGCAACTCGAGGAATGCTCCGTGTACCCCAAATCGTCTCGAGATGAGAGCTGATTCCCTGGCTTAGGCTCAAGACGTATGCCAACTTTCCAGAAGCACCTCAGGAGGAGGCTTCTCTCAGCAATATGTATGTGGGAGGGACCCCGAGATCGCTGCCTCAAGTGGAATATACAGCGAGAAGCCCTAACTTGAAAGGAGGCCGGATTTCCTTGCAGTGGCTTGAATACAGGCTCGTCTTTGTTCTCACAACATACAGGCATGTCTGAATCCCCTGTGGAGACCTTAGAGAAAGCCCTAGGTCCCTGCCTCATTTTGACGGAATGCCTCACATCCCGTTGATACCTCGAGAGGCAGGCGGAGTTCATTGCTTCAAAAGGTGACGATGCCTGACTCCTCTTGAATACTGATAGGAATCCCAAAATCCCTGTGGCTACTGGAAAGGGTCCTTGGGTGCCCTGCCTCACCTCAAGAAGCGTCCCTTTTGCCCTGCCAAGCCTCGAAGAGATTCCTGAGGTGTCCCTCGTTACTAGACAGGAGTCCTGACGTCACTGAAGAAACTCGTGTTTTGAATGGCCATCCCCGCTGTAAGTCGAGAACATACCCCAGGTCCCCGCCGCAACTCGAGAAAAACCATGAGACTTCCCCCTAGAGGCGAGATGAGGCCCCATTCCCCTGCAGTGCATGCAGAGCTATTCCGTGATCCCATTCAAACAAGTCAGGAGCTTCGACTTGCTTCATGGATCTCGAGACAGTCCCCAAGAACACTGTCACCATTCTAGACGGACCCTGAGGTCAACCCAGCAACGGAAAGCAGCTCCATGTGCCCCAAATCAACTCGAGATGAGGCCCGATTCCCCTGCATTGACTCCAGAACAATTCCCCGTTCCCCAATCAACACGACCGGTGGCTCGACTTCCTTCAGGCAATAACAGAGATGCACCGTGAACACTGTCCCAAGTCTAGAGGAACACCAACTTCAGCACAGCCACTCGAGGAATGCTCCATGTACCCCAAATCGTCTCGAGATGAGAGCTGATTCCCTGGCTTAGGCTCAAGACGTATGCCAACTTTCCAGAAGCACCTCAGGAGGAGGCTTCTCTCAGCAGTAGGTATGTGGGAGGGACCCCGAGATCGCTGCCTCAAGTGGAATATACAGCGAGAAGCCCTAACTTGAAAGGAGGCCGGATTTCCTTGCAGTGGCTTGAATACAGGCTCGTCTTTGATCTCAAAACATGAAGGGATGTCTGAAGCCCCTGTGGAGACCTTAGAGAAAGCCCTAGGTCCATGCCTGTTTTTTTCGGAATGCCTCACATCCCGTTGACACCTTGAGAGGCACGCAGAGTTCATTGCTTCAAAAGGTGACGATGCCTGACTCCTCTTGAATAATGATAGGAATCCCAAAATCCCTGTGGCTTCTGGAAAGTGTCCTTGGGTGCCCTGCCTCACCTCGAGAAGCGTCCCTTTTGCCCTGCCAAGCCTCGAAGAGATTCCTGAGGTGTCCCTCGTTACGAGACAGGAGTCCTGACGTCACTGAAGAAACTCGTGTTTTGAAGGGCCATCCCCGCCGTAAGTCGAGAACATACCCCAGGTCCCCGCCGCAACTCGAGAAAAACCATGAGACTTCCCGCTAGAGGCGAGATGAGGCCCCATTCCCCTGCAGTGCATGCAGAGCTATTCCGTGATCCCATTCAAACAAGTCAGGAGCTTCGACTTGCTTAATGGATCTCGAGACAGTCCCCAAGAACACTGTCACCAGTCTAGACGGAACCTGAGGTCACCCCAGCAATGCAAAGCAGCTCCATGTGCCCAAATCAACTCGAGATGAGGCCCGATTCCCCTGCATTGACACCAGAGCCATTCCCCGTTCCCCATTCAACACGACTGGTGGCTGGACTTCCTTCAGGCAACTCCAGAGATGCCCCGAGAACACTGTCCCAAGTCTAGAGGAACACCAACTTCAGCACAGCAACTCGAGGAATGCTCCGTGTACCCCAAATCGTCTCGAGATGAGAGCTGATTCCCTGGCTTAGGCTCAAGACGTATGCCAACTTTCCAGAAGCACGTCAGGAGGAGGCTTCTCTCAGCAATAGTTATGTGGGAGGGACCCCGAAATCGCTGCCTGAAGTGGAATATACAGAGAGAAGCCCTAACTTGAAAGGAGGCCGGATTTCCTTGCAGTGGCTTGAATAGAGGATGGTCTTTGATCTCACAACATGAAGGCATATCTGAATCCCCTGTGTAGACCTTTGAGAAAGCCCTAGGGCCCTGCCTCATATTGACGGAATGCCTCACATTCCGCTGACACCTCGAGAGGCACGCGGAGTTCATTGCTTCAAAAGGTGACGATGCCTGACTCCTCTTGAATACTGATAGGAATCCCAAAATCCCTGTGGCTACTGGAACGGGTCCTTGGGTGCCCTGCCTCACCTCGAGAAGCGTCCCTTTTGCCCTGCCAAGCCTCGAAGAGATTCCTGAGGTGTCCCTCGTTACTAGACAGGAGTCCTGACGTCACTGAAGAAACTCGTGTTTTGAAGGGCCATCCCCGCTGTAAGTCGAGAACATACTCCAGGTCCCCGCCAGAACTCGAGAAAAACCATGAGACTTCCCCCTAGAGGCGAGATGAGGCCCCATTCCCCTGCAGTGCATGCACAGCTATTCCGTGATCCCATTCAAACAAGTCAGGAGCTTCGACTTGCTTAATGGATCTCGAGACAGTCCCCAAGAACACTGTCACCAGTCTAGACGGACCCTGAGGTCACCCCAGCAACGCAAAGCAGCTCCATGTGCCCCAAATCAACTCGAGATGAGGCCCGATTCCCCTGCATTGACTCCAGAGCCATTCCCGTTCCCCATTCATCACGACTGGTGGCTCGACTTCCTTCAGGCAACTCCAGAGATGCCCCGAGAACACTATCCCAAGTCTAGAGGAACACCAACTTCAGCACAGCAACTCGAGGAATGCACCGTGTATCCCAAATCGTCTCGAGATGAGAGCTGATTCCCTGGCTTAGCCTCAAGACGTATGCCAACTTTCCAGAAGCACCTCAGGAGGAGGCTTCTCTCAGCAATAGGTATGTGGGAGGGACCCCGAGATCGCTGCCTCAAGTGGAATATACAGCGAGAAGCCCTAACTTGAAAGGAGGCCGGATTTCCTTGCAGTGGCTTGAATACAGGCTCGTCTTTGATCTCACAACATGAAGGCATGTCTGAATCCCCTGTGGAGACCTTAGAGAAAGCCCTAGGTCCCTGCCTCATTTTGACGGAATGCCTCACATCCCGTTGACACCTCGAGAGGCACGCGGAGTTCATTGCTTCAAAAGGTGACGATGCCTGACTCCTCTTGAATACTGATAGGAATCCCACAATCCCTGTGGCTACTGGAATGGGTCCTTGGGTGCCCTGCCTCACCTCGAGAAGCGTCCCTTTTGCCCTGCCAAGCCTCGAACAGATTCCTGAGGTGTCCCTCGTTACTAGACAGGAGTCCTGATATCACTGAAGAAACTCTTGTTTTGAAGGGCCATCCCCGCCGTAAGTCGAGAACATAACCCAGGTCCCGGCCGCAACTCGAGAAAAACCATGAGACTTCCCCGTAGAGGCGAGATGAGGCCACCTACCCCTGCAGTGCATGCAGAGCTATTCCGTGATCCCATTCAAACAAGTCAGGAGCTTCGACTTGCTTAATGGATCTCGAGACAGTCCCCAAGAACACTGTCACCATTCTAGACGGACCCTGAGGTCAACCCAGCAACGGAAAGCAGCTCCATGTGCCCCAAATCAACTCGAGATGAGGCCCGATTCCCCTGCATTGACTCCAGAGCCATTCCCCGTTCCCCATTCAACACCACCGGTGGCTCGACTTCCTTCAGGCAATAACAGAGATGCCCCGTGAACACTGTCCCAAGTCTAGAGGAACACCAACTTCAGCACAGCCACTCGAGGAATGCTCCATGTACCCCAAATCGTCTCGAGATGAGAGCTGATTCCCTGGCTTAGGCTCAAGACGTATGCCAACTTTGCAGAAGCACCTCAGGATGAGGCTTCTCTCAGCAATAGGTATGTGGGAGGGACCCCGAGATCGCTGCCTCAAGTGGAATATACAGCGAGAATCCCTAACTTGAAAGGAGGCCGAATTTCCTTGCAGTGGCTTGAATACAGGCTCGTCTTTGATCTCACAACATGAAGGCATGTCTGAATCCTCTGTGGAGACGTTAGAGAAAGCCCTAGGTCCCTGCCTCATTTTGACGGAATGCCTCACATCCCGTTGACACCTCGAGAGGCACGCGGAGTTCATTGCTTCAAAAGGTGACGATGCCTGACTCCTCTTGAATACTGATAGGAATCCCAAAATCCCTGTGGCTACTGGAATGGGTCCTTGGGTGCCCTGCCTCACCTCGAGAAGCGTCCCTTTTGCCCTGCCAAGCCTCGAAGAGATTCCTGAGGTGTCCCTCGTTACTAGACAGGAGTCCTGACGTCACTGAAGAAACTCGTGTTTTGAAGGGCCATCCTCGCCATAAGTCGAGAACGTACCCCAGGTCCCCGCCGCAACTCGAGAAAATCCATGAGACTTCCCCCTAGAGGCGAGATGAGGCCCCATTCCCATTCAGTGCATGCAGAGCTATTCCGTGATCCCATTCAAACAAGTCAGGAGCTTCGACTTGCTTAATGGATCTCGAGCCAGTCCCCAAGAACACTGTCACCAGTCTAGACGGACCCTGAGGTCACCCCAGCAACGCCAAGCAGTTCCATGTGCCCCAAATCAACTCGAGATGAGGCCCGATTCCCCTGCATTGACTCCAGAGCCATTCCCCGTTCCCCATTCAACACGACCGGTGGCTCGACTTCCTTCAGGCAACTCCAGAGATGGCCCGAGAACACTGTCCCAAGTCTAGAGGAACACCAACTTCAGCACAGCAACTCGAGGAATGCTCCGTGTACCCCAAATCGTCTCGAGATGAGAGCTGATTCCCTGGCTTAGGCTCAAGACGTATGCCAACTTTCCAGAAGCACCTCAGGAGGAGGCTTCTCTCAGCAATAGGTATGTGGGAGGGACCCCGAGTTTGCTGCCTCAAGGGGAATATACAGCGAGAATGCCTAACTTGAAAGGAGGCCGGATTTCCTTGCAGTGGCTTGAATACAGGCTCGTCTTTCATCTCACAACATGAAGGGATGTCTGAATCCCCTGTGGAGACCTTAGAGAAAGCCCTAGGGCCCTGCCTCATTTTGACGGAATGCCTCACATCCCTCTGACACCTCGAGAGGCACGCGGAGTTCATTGCTTCAAAAGGTGACGATGCCTGACTCCTCTTGAATAGAGATAGGAATCCTAAAATCCCTGTGGCTACTGGAAAGGGTCCTTGGGTGCCCTGCCTCACCTCGAGAAGCGTCCCTTTTCCCCTGCCAAGCCTCGAAGAGATTCCTGAGGTGTCCCTCGTTATTAGACAGGAGTCCTGACGTCACTGAAGAAATTCGTGTTTTGAAGAGCCATCCCCGCCGTAAGTCGAGAACTTACCCCAGGTCCCCACCGCAACTCGAGAAAAACCATGAGACTTCCCCCTAGAGGCGAGATGACGCCCCATTCCCCTGCAGTGCATGCAGAGCTATTCCGTGATCCCATTCAAACAAGTCAGGAGCTTCGACTTGCTTAATGGATCTCGAGACAGTCCCCAAGAACACAGTCACCAGTCTAGACGGACCTGAGGTCACCCCAGCAACGGAAAGCAGCTCCATGTGCCACAAATCAACTCGAGATGAGGCCCCATTCCCCTGCATTGACTCCAGAGCCATTCCCTGTTCCCCATTCAACACGACCGGTGGCTCGACTTCCTTCAGGCAACTCCAGAGATGCCCCGAGAACACTGTCCCAAGTCTAGAGGAACACCAACTTCAGCACAGCAACTCGAGGAATGCTCCGTGTACCCCAAATCGTCTCGAGATGAGAGCTGATTCCCTGGCTTAGGCTCAAGACGTATGCCAACTTTCCAGAAGCACCTCAGGACGAGGCTTCTCTCAGCAATAGGTATGTGGGAGGGACCCCGAGTTTGCTGCCTCAAGGGGAATATACAGCGAGAAGCCCTAACTTGAAAGGAGGCCAGAATTCCTTGCAGTGGTTTGAATACAGGCTCGTCTTTCATCTCACAACATGAAGGGATGTCTGAATCCCCTGTGGAGACCTTAGAGAAAGCCCTAGGGCCCTGCCTCATTTTGACGGAATGCCTCACATCCCGCTGACACCTCGAGAGGCACGCGGAGTTCATTGCTTCAAAAGGTGACGATGCCTGACTCCTCTTGAATACTGATAGGAATCCCAAAATCCCTGTGGCTACTGGAAAGGGTCCTTGGGTGCCCTGCCTCACCTCGAGAAGCGTCCCTTTTCCCCTGCCAAGCCTCGAAGAGATTCCTGAGGTGTCCCTCGTTACTAGACAGGAGTCCTGACGTCACTGAAGAAACTCGTGTTTTGAAGGGCCATCCGCGCCGTAAGTCGAGAACATACCCCAGGTCCCCGCCGCAACTCGAGAAAAACCATGAGACTTCCCCCTAGAGGCGAGATGAGGCCCCATTCCCCTGCAGTGCATGCAGAGCTATTCCATGATCCCATTCAAACAAGTCAGGATCTTCGACTTGCTTAATGGATCTCGAGAGAGTCCCCAAGAACACTGTCACCAGTCTAGACGGACCCTGAGGTCACCCCAGCAACGCAAAGCAGCTCCATGTGCCCCAAATCAACTCGAGATGAGGCCCGATTCCCCTGCATTGACTCCAGAGCCATTCCCCGTTCCCCATTCAACACGACCGGTGGCTCGACTTCCTTCAGGCAACTCCAGAGATGCCCCGAGAACACTGTCCCAAGTCTAGAGGAAGACCAACTTCAGCACAGCAACTCGAGGAATGCTCCGTGTACCCCAAATCGTCTCGAGATGAGAGCTGATTCCCTGGCTTAGGCTCAAGACGTATGCCAACTTTCCAGAAGCACCTCAGGAGGAGGCTTCTCTCAGCAATAGGTATGTGGGAGGGACCCCGAGTTCGCTGCCTCAAGGGGAATACACAGCGAGAAGCCCTAACTTGAAAGGAGGCCGGATTTCCTTGCAGTGGCTTGAATACAGGCTCGTCTTTCATCTCACAACATGAAGGGATGTCTGAATCCACTGTGGAGACCTTAGAGAAAGCCCTAGGGCCCTGCCTCATTTTGACGGAATGCCTCACATCCCGCTGACACCTCGAGAGGCATGCGGAGTTCATTGCTTCAAAAGGTGACGATGCCTGACTCCTCTTGAATACTGATAGGAATCCCAAAATACCTGTGGCTACTGGAAAGGGTCCTTGGGTGCCCTGCCTCACCTCGAGAAGCGTCCCTTTTGCCCTGCCAAGCCTCGAAGAGATTCCTGAGGTGTCCCTCGTTACTAGACAGGAGTCCTGACGTCACTGAAGAAACTCGTGTTTTGAAGGGCCATCCCCGCCGTAAGTCGAGAACATACCCCATGTCCCCGCCGCAACTCGAGAAAAACCATGAGACTTCCCCCTAGAGGCGAGATGAGGCCCCATTCCCCTGCAGTGCATGCAGAGCTATTCCGTGATCCCATTCAAACAAGTCAGGAGCTTCGACTTGCTTAATGGATCTCGAGACAGTCCCCAAGAACACTGTCACCAGTCTAGACGGACCCTGAGGTCACCCCAGCAACGCAAAGCAGCACCATGTGCCCCAAATCAACTCGAGATGAGGCCCGATTCCCCTTCATTGACTCCAGAGCCATTCCCCGTTCCACATTCAACACGACCTGTGGCTCGACTTCCTTCAGGCAACTCCAGAGATGCCCCGAGAACACTGTCCCAAGTGTAGAGGAAGACCAACTTCAGCACAGCAACTGGAGGAATGCTCCGTGTACCCCAAATCGTCTCGAGATGAGAGCTGATTCCCTGGCTTAGGCTCAAGACGTATGCCAACATTCCAGAAGCACCTCAGGAAGAGGCTTCTCTCAGCAATAGGTATGTGGGAGGGACCCCGAGTTTGCTGCCTCAAGGGGAATATACAGCGAGAAGCCCTAACTTGAAAGGAGGCCGGATTTCCTTGCAGTGGCTTGAATACAGGCTCGTCTTTCATCTCACAACATGAAGGGATATCTGAATCCCCTATGGAGACCTTAGAGAAAGCCCTAGGGCCCTGCCTCATTTTGACGGAATGCCTAACATCCCGCTGACACCTCGAGAGGCACGCGGCGTTCATTGCTTCAAAAGGTGACGATGCCTGACTCCTCTTGAATACTGATAGGAATCCCACAATCCCTGTGGCTACTGGAAAGGGTCCTTGGGTGCCCTGCCTCACCTCGAGAAGCGTCCCTTTTGCCCTGCCAAGCCTCGAAGAGATTCCTGAGGTGTCCCTCGTTACAAGACAGGAGTCCTGACATCACTGAAGAAACTCGTGTTTTGATGGGCCATCCCCGCCGTAAGTCGAGAACATACCCCAGGTCCCCGCCGCAACTCGAGAAAAACCATGAGACTTCCCGCTAGAGGCGAGATGAGGCCCCATTCCCCTGCAGTGCATGCAGAGCTATTCCGTGATCCCATTCAAACAAGTCAGGAGCTTCGACTTGCTTAATGGATCTCGAGACAGTCCCCAAGAACACTGTCACCAGTCTAGACGGACCCTGAGGTCACCCCAGCAACGCAAAGCAGCTCCATGTGCCCCAAATCAACTCGAGATGAGGCCCGATTCCCCTGCATTGACTCCAGAGCCATTCCCCGTTCCCCATTCAACACGACCGGTGGCTCGACTTCCTTCAGGCAACTCCAGAGATGCCCCGAGAACACTGTCCCAATTATAGAGGAACAACAACTTCAGCACAACAACTCGAGGAATGCTCCGTGTACCCCAAATCGTCTCGAGATGAGAGCTGATTCCCTGACTTAGGCTCAAGACATATGCCAACTTTCCAGAAGCACCTCAGGACGAGGCTTCTCTCAGCAATAGGTATGTGGGAGGGACCCCGAGTTTGCTGCCTCAAGGGGAATATACAGCGAGAAGCCCTAACTTGAAAGGAGGCCGGATTTCCTTGCAGTGGCTTGAATACAGGCCCGTCTTTCATCTCACAACATGAAGGGATGTCTGAATCCCCTGTGGAGACCTTAGAGAAAGCCCTAGGTCCCTGCCTCATTTTGACGGAATGCTTCACATCCCGCTGACACCTCGAGAAACACGCGGAGTTCATTGCTTCAAAAGGTGACGATGCCTGACTCCTCTTGAATACTGATAGGAATACCAAAATCCCTGTGGCTACTGGAAAGGGTCCTTGGGTGCCCTGCCTCACCTCGAGAAGCGTCCCTTTTGCCCTGCCAAGCCTCGAAGAGATTCCTGAGGTGTCCCTCGTTACTAGACAGGAGTCCTGACGTCACTGAAGAAACTCGTGTTTTGAAGGGCCATCCCCGCCTTAAGTCGAGAACATACACCAGGTCCCCGCCGCAACTCGAGAAAAACCATGAGACTTCCCCCTAGAGGCGAGATGAGGCCCCATTCCCCTGCAGTGCATGCAGAGCTATTCCGTGATCCCATTCAAACAAGTCAGGAGCTTCGACTTGCTTAATGGATCTCGAGACAGTCCCCAAGAACACTGTCACCAGTCTAGACGGACCCTGAGGTCACCCCAGCAATGCAAAGCAGCTCCATGTGCCCCAAATCAACTCGAGATGAGGCCCGATTCCCCTGCATTGACTCCAGAGCCATTCCCCGTTCCCCATTCAACACGACCGGTGGCTCGACTTCCTTCAGGCAACTCCAGAGATGCCCCGAGAACACTGTCCCAAGTCTAGAGGAACACCAACTTCAGCACAGCAACTCGAGGAATGCTCCGTGTACCCCAAATCGTCTCGAGATGAGAGCTGATTCCCTGGCTTAGGCTCAAGACATATGCCAACTTTCCAGAAGCACCTCAGGAGGAGGCTTCTCTCACCAATAGGTATGTGGGAGGGACCCCGAGATCGCTGCCTCAAGTGGAATATACAGCGAGAATCCCTAACTTGAAAGGAGGCCGGATTTCCTTGCAGTGGCTTGAATACAGGCTCATCTTTGATCTCACAACATGAAGGCATGTCTGAATCCCCTGTGGAGACCTTAGAAAAAGCCCTAGGTCCCTGCCTCATTTTGACGGAATGCCTCACATCCCGTTGACACCTCGAGAGGCACACGGAGTTCATTGCTTCAAAAGGTGACGATGCCTGACTCCTCTTTAATACTGATAGGAATCCCAAAATCCCTGTGGCTACTGGAATGGGTCCTTGGGTGCCCTGCCTCACCTCGAGAAGCGTCCCTTTTGCCCTGCCAAGCCTCGAAGAGATTCCTGAGGTGTCCCTTGTTACTAGACAGGAGTCCTGACGTCACTGAAAAAACTCGTGTTTTGAAGGGCCATCCCCGCCGTAAGTCGAGAACATACCCCAGGTCCCCGCCGTAACTCGAGAAAATCCATGAGACTTCCCCCTAGAGGCGAGATGAGGCCCCATTCCCCTGCAGTGCATGCAGAGCTACTCCGTGATCCCATTCAAACAAGTCAGGAGCTTCGACTTGCTTAATGGATCTCGAGACAGTCCCCAAGAACACTGTCACCAGTCTAGACGGACCCTGAGGTCACCCAAGCAACGCAAAGCAGCTCTATGTGCCCCAAATCAACTCGAGATGAGGCCCGATTCCCCTGCATTGACTCCAGAGCCATTCCCCGTTCCCCATTTAACACGACCGGTGGCTCGACTTCCTTCAGGCCAGTCCAGAGATGCCCCGAGAACACTGTCCCAAGTCTAGAGGAACACCAACTTCAGCACAGCAACTCGAGGAATGCTCCGTGTACCCCAAATCGCATCGAGATGAGAGCTGATTCCCTGGCTTAGGCTCAAGACGTATGCCAACTTTCCAGAAGCACCTCAGGAGGAGGCTTCTCTCAGCAATAGGTATGTGGGAGGGACCCCGAGTTTGCTGCCTCAAGGGGAATATACAGCGAGAAGCCCTAACTTGAAAGGAGGCCGGATTTCCCTGCAGTGGCTTGAATACAGGCCCGTCTTTCATCTCACAACATGAAGGGATGTCTGAATCCCCTGTGGAGACCTTAGAGAAAGCCCTAGGTCCCTGCCTCATTTTGACGGAATGCCTCACATCCCGCTGACACCTCAAGAGGCACTCGGAGTTCATTGCTTCAAAACGTGACGATGCGTGACTCCTCTTGAATACTGATAGGAATCCCAAAATCCCTGTGGCTACTGGAAAGGGTCCTTGGGTGCCCTGCCTCACCTCGAGAAGCGTCCCTTTTGCCCTGCCAAGCCTCGAAGAGATTCCTGAGGTGTCCCTCGTTACAAGACAGGAGTCCTGACATCACTGAAGAAACTCGTGTTTTGATGGGCCATCCCCGCCGTAAGTCGAGAACATACCCCAGGTCCCCGCCGCAACTCGAGAAAAACCATGAGACTTCCCGCTAGAGGCGAGATGAGGCCCCATTCCCCTGCAGTGCATGCAGAGCTATTCCGTGATCCCATTCAAACAAGTCAGGAGCTTCGACTTGCTTAATGGATCTCGAGACAGTCCCCAAGAACACTGTCACCAGTCTAGACGGACCCTGAGGTCACCCCAGCAACGCAAAGCAGCTCCATGTGCCCCAAATCAACTCGAGATGAGGCCCGATTCCCCTGCATTGACTCCAGAGCCATTCCCCGTTCCCCATTCAACACGACCGGTGGCTCGACTTCCTTCAGGCAACTCCAGAGATGCCCCGAGAACACTGTCCCAATTATAGAGGAACAACAACTTCAGCACAACAACTCGAGGAATGCTCCGTGTACCCCAAATCGTCTCGAGATGAGAGCTGATTCCCTGACTTAGGCTCAAGACATATGCCAACTTTCCAGAAGCACCTCAGGACGAGGCTTCTCTCAGCAATAGGTATGTGGGAGGGACCCCGAGTTTGCTGCCTCAAGGGGAATATACAGCGAGAAGCCCTAACTTGAAAGGAGGCCGGATTTCCTTGCAGTGGCTTGAATACAGGCCCGTCTTTCATCTCACAACATGAAGGGATGTCTGAATCCCCTGTGGAGACCTTAGAGAAAGCCCTAGGTCCCTGCCTCATTTTGACGGAATGCTTCACATCCCGCTGACACCTCGAGAGGCACGCGGAGTTCATTGCTTCAAAAGGTGACGATGCCTGACTCCTCTTGAATACTGATAGGAATACCAAAATCCCTGTGGCTACTGGAAAGGGTCCTTGGGTGCCCTGCCTCACCTCGAGAAGCGTCCCTTTTGCCCTGCCAAGCCTCGAAGAGATTCCTGAGGTGTCCCTCGTTACTAGACAGGAGTCCTGACGTCACTGAAGAAACTCGTGTTTTGAAGGGCCATCCCCGCCTTAAGTCGAGAACATACACCAGGTCCCCGCCGCAACTCGAGAAAAACCATGAGACTTCCCCCTAGAGGCGAGATGAGGCCCCATTCCCCTGCAGTGCATGCAGAGCTATTCCGTGATCCCATTCAAACAAGTCAGGAGCTTCGACTTGCTTAATGGATCTCGAGACAGTCCCCAAGAACACTGTCACCAGTCTAGACGGACCCTGAGGTCACCCCAGCAATGCAAAGCAGCTCCATGTGCCCCAAATCAACTCGAGATGAGGCCCGATTCCCCTGCATTGACTCCAGAGCCATTCCCCGTTCCCCATTCAACACGACCGGTGGCTCGACTTCCTTCAGGCAACTCCAGAGATGCCCCGAGAACACTGTCCCAAGTCTAGAGGAACACCAACTTCAGCACAGCAACTCGAGGAATGCTCCGTGTACCCCAAATCGTCTCGAGATGAGAGCTGATTCCCTGGCTTAGGCTCAAGACATATGCCAACTTTCCAGAAGCACCTCAGGAGGAGGCTTCTCTCACCAATAGGTATGTGGGAGGGACCCCGAGATCGCTGCCTCAAGTGGAATATACAGCGAGAATCCCTAACTTGAAAGGAGGCCGGATTTCCTTGCAGTGGCTTGAATACAGGCTCGTCTTTGATCTCACAACATGAAGGCATGTCTGAATCCCCTGTGGAGACCTTAGAAAAAGCCCTAGGTCCCTGCCTCATTTTGACGGAATGCCTCACATCCCGTTGACACCTCGAGAGGCACACGGAGTTCATTGCTTCAAAAGGTGACGATGCCTGACTCCTCTTTAATACTGATAGGAATCCCAAAATCCCTGTGGCTACTGGAATGGGTCCTTGGGTGCCCTGCCTCACCTCGAGAAGCGTCCCTTTTGCCCTGCCAAGCCTCGAAGAGATTCCTGAGGTGTCCCTTGTTACTAGACAGGAGTCCTGACGTCACTGAAAAAACTCGTGTTTTGAAGGGCCATCCCCGCCGTAAGTCGAGAACATACCCCAGGTCCCCGCCGTAACTCGAGAAAATCCATGAGACTTCCCCCTAGAGGCGAGATGAGGCCCCATTCCCCTGCAGTGCATGCAGAGCTACTCCGTGATCCCATTCAAACAAGTCAGGAGCTTCGACTTGCTTAATGGATCTCGAGACAGTCCCCAAGAACACTGTCACCAGTCTAGACGGACCCTGAGGTCACCCAAGCAACGCAAAGCAGCTCTATGTGCCCCAAATCAACTCGAGATGAGGCCCGATTCCCCTGCATTGACTCCAGAGCCATTCCCCGTTCCCCATTTAACACGACCGGTGGCTCGACTTCCTTCAGGCCAGTCCAGAGATGCCCCGAGAACACTGTCCCAAGTCTAGAGGAACACCAACTTCAGCACAGCAACTCGAGGAATGCTCCGTGTACCCCAAATCGCATCGAGATGAGAGCTGATTCCCTGGCTTAGGCTCAAGACGTATGCCAACTTTCCAGAAGCACCTCAGGAGGAGGCTTCTCTCAGCAATAGGTATGTGGGAGGGACCCCGAGTTTGCTGCCTCAAGGGGAATATACAGCGAGAAGCCCTAACTTGAAAGGAGGCCGGATTTCCCTGCAGTGGCTTGAATACAGGCCCGTCTTTCATCTCACAACATGAAGGGATGTCTGAATCCCCTGTGGAGACCTTAGAGAAAGCCCTAGGTCCCTGCCTCATTTTGATGGAATGCCTCACATCCCGCTGACACCTCAAGAGGCACTCGGAGTTCATTGCTTCAAAACGTGACGATGCGTGACTCCTCTTGAATACTGATAGGAATCCCAAAATCCCTGTGGCTACTGGAAAGGGTCCTTGGGTGCCCTGCCTCACCTCGAGAAGCGTCCCTTTTGCCCTGCCAAGCCTCGAAGAGATTCCTGAGGTGTCCCTCGTTACTAGACAGGAGTCCTGACGTCACTGAAGAAACTAGTGTTTTGAAGGGCCATCCCCGCCGTAAGTCGAGAACATACCCCATGTCCCCGCCGCAACTCGAGAAAAATCATGAGACTTCCCCCTAGAGGCGAGATGAGGCCCCATTCCCCTGCAGTGCATGCAGAGCTATTCCGTGATCCCATTGAAACAAATCAGAAGCTTCGACTTGCTTAATGGATCTCGAGACAGTCCCCAAGAACACTGTCACCAGTCTAGACGGACCCTGAGGTCACCCCAGCAATGCAAAGCAGCTCCATGTGCCCCAAATCAACTCGAGATGAGGCCCGATTCCCCTGCATTGACTCCAGAGCCATTCCCCGTTCCCCATTCAACACGACCGGTGGCTCGACTTCCTTCAGGTCACTGCAGAGATGCCCCGAGAACACTGTCCCAAGTCTAGAGGAACACCAACTTCAGCACAGCAACTCGAGGAATGCTCCGTGTACCCCAAATCGTCTCGAGATGAGAGCTGATTCCCTGGCTTAGGCTCAAGACGTATGCCAACTTTCCAGAAGCACCTCAGGAGGAGGCTTCTCTCAGCAATAGGTATGTGGGAGGGACCCCGAGTTTGCTGCCTCAAGGGGAATATACAGCGAGAAGCCCTAACTTGAAAGGAGGCCGGATTTCCTTGCAGTGGCTTGAATACAGGCTCGTCTTTCATCTCAAAACATGAAGGGATGTCTGAATCCCCTGTGGAGACCTTAGAGAAAGCCCTAGCTCCCTGCCTCATTTTGACGGAATGCCTCACATCCCGCTGACACCTCGAGAGGCACGCCGAGTACATTGTTTCAAAAGGTGACGATGCCTGACTCCTCTTGAATACTGATAGGAATCCCAAAATCCCTGTGGCTACTGGAAAGGGTCCTTGGGTGCCTTGCCTCACCTCGAGAAGCTTCCCTTTTGCCCTGCCGAGCCTCGAAGAGATTCCTGAGGTGTCCCTCGTTACTAGACAGGAGTCCTGACGTCATTGAAGAAACTCGTGTTTTGAAGATCCATCCACGCCGTAAGTCGAGAACATACCCCAGGTCCCCGCCGCAACTCGAGAAAAACCATGAGACTTCCCCCTAGATGCGAGATGAGGCCCCATTCCCCTGTAGTGCATGCAGAGCTATTCCGTGATCCCATTCAAACAAGTCAGGAGCTTCGACTTGCTTAATGGATCTCGAGACAGTCCCCAAGAACACTGTCACCAGTCTAGACGGACCCTGAGGTCACCCCAGCAGTGCAGAGCAGCTCCATGTGCCCCAAATCAACTCGAGATGAGGCCCGATTCCCTTGCATTGACTCCAGAGCCATTCCCCGTTCCCCATTCAACACGACCGGTGTCTCGACTTCCTTCAGGCCACTGCAGAGATGCCCCGAGCACACTGTCCCAAGTCTAGAGGAACACCAACTTCAGCACAGCAACTCGAGGAATGCTCCGTGTACCCCAAATCGTCTCGAGATGAGAGCTGATTCCCTGGCTTAGGCTCAAGACGTATGCCAACTTTCCAGAAGCACCTCAGGAGGAGGGTTCTCTCAGCAATAGGTATGTGGGAGGGACACCGAGTTTGCTGCCTCAAGGGGAATATACAGCGAGAAGCCCTAACTTGAAAGGAGGCCGGATTTCCTTGCAGTGGCTTGAATACAGGCCCGTCTTTCATCTCACAACATGAAGGGATGTCTGAATCCCCTGTGGAGACCTTAGAGAAAGCCCTAGGTCCCTGCCTCATTTTGACGGAATGCCTCACATCCCGCTGACACCTCGAGAGGCACGCCGAGTACATTGTTTTAAAAGGTGACGATGCCTGACTCCTCTTGAATACTGATAGGAATACCAATATCCCTGTGGCTACTGGAAAGGGTCCTTGGGTGCCCTGCCTCACCTCGAGAAGCTTCCCTTTTTCCCTGCCAAGCCTCGAAGAGATTCCTGAGGTGTCCCTCATTACTAGACAGGAGTCCTTACGTCATTGAAGAAACTCGTGTTTTGAAGGGCCATCCCCGCCGTAAGTCGAGAACATACCCCAGGTCCCCGCCGCAACTCGAGAAAAACCATGAGACTTCCCCCTAGATGCGAGATGAGGCCCCATTCCCCTGTAGTGCATGCAGAGCTATTCCGTGATCCCATTCAAACAAGTCAGGAGCTTCGACTTGCTTAATGGATCTCGAGACAGTCCCCAAGAACACTGTCACCAGTCTAGACGGACCCTGAGGTCACCCCAGCAGTGCAGAGCAGCTCCATGTGCCCCAAATCAACTCGAGATGAGGCCCGATTCCCTTGCATTGACTCCAGAGCCATTCCCCGTTCCCCATTCAACACGACCGGTGGCTCGACTTCCTTCAGGCCACTCCAGAGATGCCCCGAGAACAATGTCCCAAGTCTAGAGGAACACCAACTTCAGCACAGCAACTCGAGGAATGCTCCGTGTACCCCAAATCGTCTCGAGATGAGAGCTGATTCCCTGGCTTAGGCTCAAGACGTATGCCAACTTTCCAGAAGCACCTCAGGACGAGGCTTCTCTCAGCAATAGGTATGTGGGAGGGACCCCGAGTTTGCTGCCTCAAGGGGAATATACAGCGAGAAGCCCTAACTTGAAAGGAGGCCGGATTTCCTTGCAGTGGCTTGAATACAGCCCCGTCTTTCATCTCACAACATGAAGGGATGTCTGAATCCCCTGTTGAGACATTAGAGAAAGCCCTAGGTCCCTGCCTCATTTTGACGGAATGCCTCACATCCCGCTGACACCTCGAGAGGCAAACGGAGTTCATTGCTTCAAAAGGTGACGATACCTGACTCCTCTTGAATACTGATAGGAATCCCAAAATCCCTGTGGCTACTGGAAAGGGTCCTTGGGTGCCCTGCCTCACCTCGAGAAGCGTCCCTTTTGCCCTGCCAAGCCTCGAAGAGATTCCTGAGGTGTCCCTCGTTACTAGACAGGAGTCCTGACGTCACTGAAGAAACTCGTGTTTTGAAGGGCCATCCCCGCCATAAGTCGAGAACATACCCCAGGTCCCCGCCGCAACTCGAGAAAAATCATGAGACTTCCCACTAGAGGCGAGATGAGGCCCCATTCCCCTGCAGTGCATGCAGAGCTATTCCGTGATCCCATTCAAACAAATCAGGAGCTTCGACTTGCTTAATGGATCTCGAGACAGTCCCCAAGAACACTGTCACCAGTCTAGACGGACCCTGAGGTCACCCCAGCAATGCAAAGCAGCTCCATGTGCCCCAAATCAACTCGAGATGAGGCCCGATTCCCCTGCATTGACTCCAGAGCCATTCCCCGTTCCCCATTCAACACGACCGGTGGCTCGACTTCCTTCAGGCAACTCCAGAGATGCCCCGAGAACACTGTCCCAAGTCTCGAGGAACACCAACTTCAGCACAGCAACTCGAGGAATGCTCCGTGTACCCCAAATCATCTCGAGATGAGAGCTGATTCCCTGGCTTAGGCTCAAGACGTATGCCAACTTTCCAGAAGCAGCTCAGGAGGAGGCTTCTCTCAGCAATAGGTATGTGGGAGGGACCCCGAGTTTGCTGCCTCAAGGGGAATATACAGCTAGAAGCCCTAACTTGAAAGGAGGCCGGATTTCCTTGCAGTGGCTTGAATACAGACCCGTCTTTCATCTCACAACATGAAGGGATGTCTGAATCCCCTTGGAGACCTTAGAGAAAGCCCTAGGTCCCTGCCTCATTTTGACGGAATGCCTCACATCCCGCTGACACTTCAAGAGGCACGCGGAGTTCATTGCTTCAAAACGTGACGATGCCTGACTCCTCTTGAATACTGAGAGGAATCCCACAATCCCTGTGGCTACTGGAAAGGGTCCTTGGGTGCCCTGCCTCACCTCGAGAAGCGTCCCTTTTGCCCTGCCAAGCCTCGAAGAGATTCCTGAGTTGTCCCTCGTTACTAGACAGGAGTCCTGACGTCACTGAAGAAACTCGTGTTTTGAAGGGCCATCCCCGCCGTAAGTCGAGAACATACCCGAGTTCCCCGCCGCAACTCGAGAAAAATCATGAGACTTCCCCCTAGAGGCGAGATGAGGCCCCATTCCCCTGCAGTGCATGCAGAGCTATTCCGTGATCCCATTGAAACAAATCAGGAGCTTCGACTTGCTTAATGGATCTCGAGACAGTCCCCAAGAACACTGTCACCAGTCTAGACGGACCCTGAGGTCACCCCAGCAATGCAAAGCAGCTCCATATGCCCCAAATCAACTCGAGATGAGGCCCGATTCCCCTGCATTGACTCCAGAGCCATTCCCCGTTCCCCATTCAACACGACCGGTGGCCCGACTTCATTCAGGTCACTGCAGAGATGCCCCGAGAACACTGTCCCAAGTCTAGTGGAACACCAACTTCAGCACAGCAACTCGAGGAATGCTCCGTGTACCCCAAATCATCTCGAGATGAGAGCTGATTCCCTGGCTTAGGCTCAAGACGTGTGCCAACTTTCCAGAAGCACCTCAGGACGAGGCTTCTCTCAGCAATAGGTATGTGGGAGGGACCCCGAGTTTGCTGCCTCAAGGGGAATATACAGCGAGAAGCCCTAACTTGAAAGGAGGCCGGATTTCCTTGCAGTGGCTTGAATACAGGCCCGTCTTTCATCTCACAACATGAAGGGATGTCTGAATCCCCTGTGGAGACCTTAGAGAAAGCCCTAGGTCCCTGCCTCATTTTGACGGAATGCTTCACATCCCGCTGACACCTCGAGAGGCACGCGGAGTTCATTGCTTCAAAAGGTGACGATGCCTGACTCCTCTTGAATACTGATAGGAATCCCAAAATCCCTGTGGCTACTGGAAAGGGTCCTTGGGTGCCCTGCCTCACCTCGAGAAGCGTCCCTTTTGCCCTGCCAAGCCTCGAAGAGATTCCTAAGGTGTCCCTCGTTACTAGACAGGAGTCCTGACGTCACTGAAGAAACTAGTGTTTTGAAGGGCCATCCCCGCCGTAAGTCGAGAACATTCCCCAGGTCCCCGACGCAACTCGAGAAAAACCATGAGACTTCCCCCTAGAGGCGAGATGAGGCCCCATTCCCCTGCAGTGTATGCAGAGCTATTCCGTGATCCCATTCAAACAAGTCAGGAGCTTCGACTTGCTTAATGGATCTCGAGACAGTCCCCAAGAACACTGTCACCAGTCTAGACGGACTCTGAGGTCACCCCAGCAGCGCAGAGCAGCTCCATATGGCCCAAATCAACTCGAGATGAGGCCCGATTCCCCTGCATTGACTCCAGAGCCATTTCCCGTTCCCCATTCAACACGACCGGTGGGTCGACTTCCTTCAGGCCACTGCAGAGATGCCCCGAGCACACTGTCCCAAGTCTAGAGGAACACCAACTTCAGCACAGCAACTCAAGGAATGCTCCGTGTACCCCAAATCGTCTCGAGATGAGAGCTGATTCCCTGGCTTAGGCTCAAGACGTATGCCAACTTTCCAGAAGCACCTCAGGAGGAGGCTTCTCTCAGCAATAGGTATGTGGGAGGGACCCCGAGTTTCCTGCCTCAAGGGGAACATAAAGCGAGAAGCCCTAACTTGAAAGGAGGCCGGATTTCTTTGCAGTGGCTTGAATACAGGCCCGTCTTTCATCTCACAACATGAAGGGATGTCTGAATCCCCTGTGGAGACCTTAGAGAAAGCCCTAGGTCCCTGCCTCATTTTGACGGAATGCCTCACATCCCGCTGACACCTCGAGAGGCACGCGGAGTTCATTGCTTCAAAAGGTGACGATGCCTGACTCCTCTTGAATACTGATAGGAATCCCAAAATCCATGTGGCTTCTGGAAAGGGTTCTTGGGTGCCCTGCCTCACCTCGAGAAGCGTCCCTTTTGCCCTGCCAAGCCTCGAAGAGATTCCTGAGGTGTCCCTCTTTACTAGACAGGAGTCCTGACGTCACTGAAGAAACTCGTGTTTTGAAGGGCCATCCCCGCCCTAAGTCGAGAACATACCCCAGGTCCCCGCCGCAACTCGAGAAAAATCATGAGACTTACCCCTAGAGGCGAGATGAGGCCCCATTACCCTGCAGTGCATGCAGAGCTATTCCGTGATCCCATTGAAACAAATCAGGAGCTTCGACTTGCTTAATGGATCTCGAGACAGTCCCCAAGAACACTGTCACCAGTCTAGACGGACCCTGAGGTCACCCCAGCAATGCAAAGCAGCTCCATGTGCCCCAAATCAACTCGAGATGAGGCCCGATTCCCCTGCATTGACTCCAGAGCCATTCCCCGTTCCCCATTCAACACGACCGGTGGCTCGACTTCCTTCAGGCCACTGCAGAGATGCCCCGAGAACACTGTCCCAAGTATAGAGGAACCCCAACTTCAGCACAGCAACTCGAGGAATGCTCCGTGTACCCCAAATCGTCTCGAGATGAGAGCTGATTCCCTGGCTTATGCTCAAGACGTATGCCAACTTTCCAGAAGCACCTCAGGAGGAGGCTTCTCTCAGCAATAGGTATGTGGGAGGGACCCCGAGTTTGCTGCCTCAAGGGGAATATACAGTGAGAAGCCCTAACTTGAAAGGAGGCCGGATTTCCTTGCAGTGGCTTGAATACAGGCCCGTCTTTCATCTCACAACATGAAGGGATGTCTGAATCCCCTGTGGAGACCTTAGAGAAAGCCCTAGGTGCCTGCCTCATTTTGACGGAATGCCTCACATCCCGCTGAAACCTCGAGAGGCACACGGAGTTCATTGCTTCAAAAGTTGACGATGCCTGACTCCTGTTGAATACTGATAGGAATCCCAAAATCCCTGTGGCTACTGGAAAGGGTCCTTGGGTGCCCTGCCTCACCTCGAGAAGCGTCCCTTTTGCCCTGCCAAGCCTCGAAGAGATTCCTGAGGTGTCCCTCGTTACTAGTCAGGAGTCCTGACGTCACTGAAGAAACTCGTGTTTTGAAGGGCCATCCCCGCCGTAAGTCGAGAACATATCCCGGGTCCCCGCCGCAACTCGAGAAAAAACATGAGACGTCCCCCTAGAGGCGAGATGAGGCCCCATTCCCCTGCAGTGCATACAGAGCTATTCCCTGATCCCATTCAAACAAGTCAGGAGCTTCGACTTGCTTAATGGATCTCGAGACAGTCCCCAAGAACACTGTCACCAGTCAAGACGAGCCCTGAGGTTACCCCAGCAACGCAAAGCAGCTCCATGTGCCCCAAATCAACTCGAGATGAGGCCCGATTCCCCTGCATTGACTCCAGAGCCATTCCCCGTTCCCCATTCAACACGACCGGTGGCTCGACTTCCTTCAGGCAACTCCAGAGATGCCCCGAGAACACTGTCCCAAGTCTAGAGGAACAACAACTTCAGCACAACAACTCGAGGAATGCTCCGTGTACCCCAAATCGTCTCGAGATGAGAGCTGATTCCCTGGCTTAGGCTCAAGACATATGCCAACTTTCCAGAAGCACCTCAGGACGAGGCTTCTCTCAGCAATAGGTATGTGGGAAGGACCCCGAGTTTGCTGCCTCAAGGGGAATATACAGCGAGAAGCCCTAACTTGAAAGGAGGCCGGATTTCCTTGCAGTGGCTTGAATACAGGCCCAACTTTCATCTCACAACATGAAGGGATGTCTGAATCCCCTGTGGAGACCTTAGAGAAAGCCCTAGGTCCCTGCCTCTTTTTGACGGACTGCTTCACATCCCGCTGACACCTCGAGAGGCACGCGGAGTTCATTGCTTCAAAAGGTGACGATGCCTGACTCCTCTTGAATACTGATAGGAATACCAAAATCCCTGTGGCTTCTGGAAAGGGTTCTTGGGTGCCCTGCCTCACCTCGAGAAGCGTCCCTTTTGCCCTGCCAAGCCTCGAAGAGATTCCTGAGGTGTCCCGCGTTACTAGACAGGAGTCCTGACGTCACTGAAGAAACTCGTGTTTTGAAGGGCCATCCCCGCGGTAAGTCGAGAACATACCCCAGGTCCCCGCCGCAACTCGAGAAAAACCATGAGACTTCCCTCTAGAGGCGAGATGAGGCCCCATTCCCGTGCAGTGCATGCAGAGCTACTCCGTAATCCCATTCAAAAAAGTCAGGAGCTTCGACTTGCTTAATGGATCTCGAGACAGTCCCCAAGAACACTGTCACCAGTCTAGACGGACCCAGAGGTCACCCCAGCAGCGCAGAGCAGATCCATGTGCCCCAAATCAACTCGAGATGAGGCCCGATTCCCCTGCATTGACTCCAGAGCCTTTCCCCGTTCCCCATTCAACACGACCGGTGGCTCGACTTCCTTCAGGCCACTCCAGAGATGCCCCGAGAACACTGTCCCAAGTCTAGAGGAACACCAACTTAAGCACAGCAACTCGAGGAATGCTCCGTGTACCCCAAATCGCATCGAGATGAGAGCTGATTCCCTGGCTTAGGCTCAAGACGTATGCCAACTTTCCAGAAGCACCTCAGGAGGAGGCTTCTCTCAGCAATAGGTATGTGGGAGGGACCCCGAGTTTGCTGCCTCAAGGGGAATATACAGCGAGAAGCCCTAACTTGAAAGGAGGCCGGATTTCCTTGCAGTGGCTTGAATACAGGCCCGTCTTTCATCTCACAACATGAAGGGATGTCTGAATCCCCTGTGGAGACCTTAGAGAAAGCCCTAGGTGCCTGCCTCATTTTGACGGAATGCCTCACATCCCGCTGACACCTCGAGAGGCACACGGAGTTCATTGCTTCAAAAGCTGACGATGCGTGACTCCTCTTGAATACTGATAGGAATCCCAAAATCCCTGTGGCTACTGGAAAGGGTCCTTGGGTGCCCTGCCTCACCTCGAGAAGCGTCCCTTTTGCCCTGCCAAGCCTCGAAGAGATTCCTGAGGTGTCCCTCGTTACTAGTCAGGAGTCCTGACGTCACTGAAGAAACTCGTGTTTTGAAGGGCCATCCCCGCCGTAAGTCGAGAACATATCCCAGGTCCCCGCCGCAACTCGAGAAAAATCATGAGACTTCCCCTAGAGGCGAGATGAGGCCCCATTCCCCTGCAGTGCATGCAGAGCTATTCCGTGATCCCATTGAAACAAATCAGGAGCTTCGACTTGCTTAATGGATCTCGAGACAGTCCCCAAGAACACTGTCACCAGTCTAGACGGACCCTGAGGTCACCCCAGCAATGCAAAGCAGCTCCATGTGCCCCAAATCAACTCGAGATGAGGCCCGATTCCCCTGCATTGACTCCAGAGCCATTCCCCGTTCCCCATTCAACACGACCGGTGGCTCGACTTCCTTCAGGCCACTGCAGAGATGCCCCGAGAACACTGTCCCAAGTCTAGAGGAACACCAACTTCAGCACAGCAACTCGAGGAATGCTCCGTGTACCCCAAATCGTCTCGAGATGAGAGCTGATTCCCTGGCTTATGCTCAAGACGTATGCCAACTTTCCAGAAGCACCTCAGGAGGAGGCTTCTCTCAGCAATAGGTATGTGGGAGGGACCCCGAGTTTGCTGCCTCAAGGGGAATATACAGCGAGAAGCCCTAACTTGAAAGGAGGCCGGATTTCCTTGCAGTGGCTTGAATACAGGCCCGTCTTTCATCTCACAACATGAAGGGATGTCTGAATCCCCTGTGGAGACCTTAGAGAAAGCCCTAGGTGCCTGCCTCATTTTGACGGAATGCCTCACATCCCGCTGACACCTCGAGAGGCACACGGAGTTCATTGCTTCAAAAGGTGACGATGCCTGACTCCTCTTGAATACTGATAGGAATCCCAAAATCCCTGTGGCTACTGGAAAGGGTCCTTGGGTGCCCTGCCTCACCTCGAGAAGCGTCCCTTTTGCCCTGCCAAGCCTCGAAGAGATTCCTGAGGTGTCCCTCGTTACTAGTCAGGAGTCCTGACGTCACTGAAGAAACTCGTGTTTTGAAGGGCCATCCCCGCCGTAAGTCGAGAACATATCCCGGGTCCCCGCCGCAACTCGAGAAAAAACATGAGACTTCCCCCTAGAGGCGAGATGAGGCCCCATTCCCCTGCAGTGCATACAGAGCTATTCCGTGATCCCATTCAAACAAGTCAGGAGCTTCGACTTGCTTAATGGATCTCGAGACAGTCCCCAAGAACACTGTCACCAGTCAAGACGAGCCCTGAGGTTACCCCAGCAAGGCAAAGCAGCTCCATGTGCCCCAAATCAACTCGAGATGAGGCCCGATTCCCTTGCATTGACTCCAGAGCCATTCCCCGTTCCCCATTCAACACGACCGGTGGCTCGATTTCCTTCAGGCAACTCCAGAGATGCCTCGAGAACACTGTCCCAAGTCTAGAGGAACAACAACTTCAGCACAACAACTCGAGGAATGCTCCGTGTACCCCAAATCGTCTCGAGATGAGAGCTGATTCCCTGGCTTAGGCTCAAGACATATGCCAACTTTCCAGAAGCACCTCAGGACGAGGCTTCTCTCAGCAATAGGTATGTGGGAAGGACCCCGAGTTTGCTGCCTCAAGGGGAATATACAGCGAGAAGCCCTAACTTGAAAGGAGGCCGGATTTCCTTGCAGTGGCTTGAATACAGGCCCGACTTTCATCTCACAACATGAAGGGATGTCTGAATCCCCTGTGGAGACCTTAGAGAAAGCCCTAGTTCCCTGCCTCTTTTTGACGGACTGCTTCACATCCCGCTGACACCTCGAGAGGCACGCGGAGTTCATTGCTTCAAAAGGTGACGATGCCTGACTCCTCTTGAATACTGATAGGAATCCCAAAATCCCTGTGGCTACTGGAAAGGGTCCTTGGGTGCCCTGCCTCACATCGAGAAGCGTCCCTTTTGCCCTGCCAAGCCTCGAAGAGATTCCTGAGGGGTCCCTCGTTACTAGACAGGAGTCCTGACGTCACTGAAGAAACTCGTGTTTTGAAGGGCCATCCCCGCCGTAAGTCGAGAACATACCCCAGGTCCCCGCCGCAACTCGAGAAAAACCATGAGACTTCCCCCTAGAGGCGAGATGAGGCCCCATTCCCCTGTAGTGCATGCAGAGCTATTCCTTGATCCCATTGAAACAAATCAGGAGCTTCGACTTGCTTAATGGATCTCGAGACAGTCCCCAAGAACACTGTCACCAGTCTAGACGGACCCTGAGGTCACCCCAGCAATGCAAAGCAGCTCCATGTGCACCAAATCAACTCGAGATGAGGCCCGATTCCCCTGCATTGACTCCAGAGCCATTCCCCGTTCCCCATTCAACACGACCGGTGGCTCGACTTCCTTCAGGTCACTGCAGAGATGCCCCGAAAACACTGTCCCAAGTCTAGAGGAACACCAACTTCAGCACAGCAACTCGAGGAATGCTCCGTGTACCCCAAATCGTCTCGAGATGAGAGCTGATTCCCTGGCTTAGGCTCAAGACGTATGCCAACTTTCCAGAAGCACCTCAGGAGGAGGCTTCTCTCAGCAATAGGTATGTGGGAGGGAACCCGAGTTTGCTGCCTCAAGGGGAATATACAGCGAGAAGCCCTAACTTGAAAGGAGCCCGGATTTCCTTGCAGTGGCTTGAATACAGGCCCGTCTTTCATCTCACAACATGAAGGGATGTCTGAATCCCCTGTGGAGACCTTAGAGAAAGCCCTAGGTCCCTGCCTCATTTTGACGGAATGCTTCACATCCCGCTGACACCTCGAGAGGCACGCGGAGTTCATTGCTTCAAAAGGTGACGATGCCTGACTCCTCTTGAATACTGATAGGAATCCCAAAATCCCTGTGGCTACTGGAAAGGGTCCTTGGGTGCCCTGCCTCACCTCGAGAAGCGTCCCTTTTGCCCTGCCAAGCCTCGAAGAGATTCCTAAGGTGTCCCTCGTTACTAGACAGGAGTCCTGACGTCACTGAAGAAACTAGTGTTTTGAAGGGCCATCCCCGCCGTAAGTCGAGAACATTCCCCAGGTCCCCGACGCAACTCGAGAAAAACCATGAGACTTCCCCCTAGAGGCGAGATGAGGCCCCATTCCCCTGCAGTGTATGCAGAGCTATTCCGTGATCCCATTCAAACAAGTCAGGAGCTTCGACTTGCTTAATGGATCTCGAGACAGTCCCCAAGAACACTGTCACCAGTCTAGACGGACTCTGAGGTCACCCCAGCAGCGCAGAGCAGCTCCATATGGCCCAAATCAACTCGAGATGAGGCCCGATTCCCCTGCATTGAATCCAGAGCCATTTCCCGTTCCCCATTCAACACGACCGGTGGGTCGACTTCCTTCAGGCCACTGCAGAGATGCCCCGAGCACACTGTCCCAAGTCTAGAGGAACACCAACTTCAGCACAGCAACTCAAGGAATGCTCCGTGTACCCCAAATCGTCTCGAGATGAGAGCTGATTCCCTGGCTTAGGCTCAAGACGTATGCCAACTTTCCAGAAGCACCTCAGGAGGAGGCTTCTCTCAGCAATAGGTATGTGGGAGGGACCCCGAGTTTCCTGCCTCAAGGGGAACATAAAGCGAGAAGCCCTAACTTGAAAGGAGGCCGGATTTCTTTGCAGTGGCTTGAATACAGGCCCGTCTTTCATCTCACAACATGAAGGGATGTCTGAATCCCCTGTGGAGACCTTAGAGAAAGCCCTAGGTCCCTGCCTCATTTTGACGGAATGCCTCACATCCCGCTGACACCTCGAGAGGCACGCGGAGTTCATTGCTTCAAAAGGTGACGATGCCTGACTCCTCTTGAATACTGATAGGAATCCCAAAATCCATGTGGCTTCTGGAAAGGGTTCTTGGGTGCCCTGCCTCACCTCGAGAAGCGTCCCTTTTGCCCTGCCAAGCCTCGAAGAGATTCCTGAGGTGTCCCTCTTTACTAGACAGGAGTCCTGACGTCACTGAAGAAACTCGTGTTTTGAAGGGCCATCCCCGCCCTAAGTCGAGAACATACCCCAGGTCCCCGCCGCAACTCGAGAAAAATCATGAGACTTACCCCTAGAGGCGAGATGAGGCCCCATTACCCTGCAGTGCATGCAGAGCTATTCCGTGATCCCATTGAAACAAATCAGGAGCTTCGACTTGCTTAATGGATCTCGAGACAGTCCCCAAGAACACTGTCACCAGTCTAGACGGACCCTGAGGTCACCCCAGCAATGCAAAGCAGCTCCATGTGCCCCAAATCAACTCGAGATGAGGCCCGATTCCCCTGCATTGACTCCAGAGCCATTCCCCGTTCCCCATTCAACACGACCGGTGGCTCGACTTCCTTCAGGCCACTGCAGAGATGCCCCGAGAACACTGTCCCAAGTATAGAGGAACACCAACTTCAGCACAGCAACTCGATGAATGCTCCGTGTACCCCAAATCGTCTCGAGATGAGAGCTGATTCCCTGGCTTATGCTCAAGACGTATGCCAACTTTCCAGAAGCACCTCAGGAGGAGGCTTCTCTCAGCAATAGGTATGTGGGAGGGACCCCGAGTTTGCTGCCTCAAGGGGAATATACAGTGAGAAGCCCTAACTTGAAAGGAGGCCGGATTTCCTTGCAGTGGCTTGAATACAGGCCCGTCTTTCATCTCACAACATGAAGGGATGTCTGAATCCCCTGTGGAGACCTTAGAGAAAGCCCTAGGTGCCTGCCTCATTTTGACGGAATGCCTCACATCCCGCTGAAACCTCGAGAGGCACACGGAGTTCATTGCTTCAAAAGTTGACGATGCCTGACTCCTGTTGAATACTGATAGGAATCCCAAAATCCCTGTGGCTACTGGAAAGGGTCCTTGGGTGCCCTGCCTCACCTCGAGAAGCGTCCCTTTTGCCCTGCCAAGCCTCGAAGAGATTCCTGAGGTGTCCCTCGTTACTAGTCAGGAGTCCTGACGTCACTGAAGAAACTCGTGTTTTGAAGGGCCATCCCCGCCGTAAGTTGAGAACATATCCCGGGTCCCCGCCGCAACTCGAGAAAAAACATGAGACGTCCCCCTAGAGGCGAGATGAGGCCCCATTCCCCTGCAGTGCATACAGAGCTATTCCCTGATCCCATTCAAACAAGTCAGGAGCTTCGACTTGCTTAATGGATCTCGAGACAGTCCCCAAGAACACTGTCACCAGTCTAGACGAGCCCTGAGGTTACCCCAGCAACGCAAAGCAGCTCCATGTGCCCCAAATCAACTCGAGATGAGGCCCGATTCCCCTGCATTGACTCCAGAGCCATTCCCCGTTCCCCATTCAACACGACCGGTGGCTCGACTTCCTTCAGGCAACTCCAGAGATGCCCCGAGAACACTGTCCCAAGTCTAGAGGAACAACAACTTCAGCACAACAACTCGAGGAATGCTCCGTGTACCCCAAATCGTCTCGAGATGAGAGCTGATTCCCTGGCTTAGGCTCAAGACATATGCCAACTTTCCAGAAGCACCTCAGGACGAGGCTTCTCTCAGCAATAGGTATGTGGGAAGGACCCCGAGTTTGCTGCCTCAAGGGGAATATACAGCGAGAAGCCCTAACTTGAAAGGAGGCCGGATTTCCTTGCAGTGGCTTGAATACAGGCCCGACTTTCATCTCACAACATGAAGGGATGTCTGAATCCCCTGTGGAGACCTTAGAGAAAGCCCTAGTTCCCTGCCTCTTTTTGACGGACTGCTTCACATCCCGCTGACACCTCGAGAGGCACGCGGAGTTCATTGCTTCAAAAGGTGACGATGCCTGACTCCTCTTGAATACTGATAGGAATCCCAAAATCCCTGTGGCTACTGGAAAGGGTCCTTGGGTGCCCTGCCTCACATCGAGAAGCGTCCCTTTTGCCCTGCCAAGCCTCGAAGAGATTCCTGAGGGGTCCCTCGTTACTAGACAGGAGTCCTGACGTCACTGAAGAAACTCGTGTTTTGAAGGGCCATCCCCGCCGTAAGTCGAGAACATACCCCAGGTCCCCGCCGCAACTCGAGAAAAACCATGAGACTTCCCCCTAGAGGCGAGATGAGGCCCCATTCCCCTGTAGTGCATGCAGAGCTATTCCTTGATCCCATTGAAACAAATCAGGAGCTTCGACTTGCTTAATGGATCTCGAGACAGTCCCCAAGAACACTGTCACCAGTCTAGACGGACCCTGAGGTCACCCCAGCAATGCAAAGCAGCTCCATGTGCACCAAATCAACTCGAGATGAGGCCCGATTCCCCTGCATTGACTCCAGAGCCATTCCCCGTTCCCCATTCAACACGACCGGTGGCTCGACTTCCTTCAGGTCACTGCAGAGATGCCCCGAAAACACTGTCCCAAGTCTAGAGGAACACCAACTTCAGCACAGCAACTCGAGGAATGCTCCGTGTACCCCAAATCGTCTCGAGATGAGAGCTGATTCCCTGGCTTAGGCTCAAGACGTATGCCAACTTTCCAGAAGCACCTCAGGAGGAGGCTTCTCTCAGCAATAGGTATGTGGGAGGGAACCCGAGTTTGCTGCCTCAAGGGGAATATACAGCGAGAAGCCCTAACTTGAAAGGAGGCCGGATTTCCTTGCAGTGGCTTGAATACAGGCCCGTCTTTCATCTCACAACATGAAGGGATGTCTGAATCCCCTGTGGAGACCTTAGAGAAAGCCCTAGGTCGCTGCCTCATTTTGACGGAATGCCTCACATCCCGCTGACACCTCGAGAGGCACACGGAGTTCATTGCTTCAAAAGGTGACGATGCCTGACTCCTCTTGAATACTGATAGGAATCCCAAAATCCCTGTGGCTACTGGAAAGAGTCCTTGGGTGCCCTGCCTCATCTCGAGAAGCGTCCCTTTTGCCCTGCCAAGCCTCGAAGAGATTCCTGAGGTGTCCCTCGTTACTAGACAGGAGTCCTGACGTCACTGAAGAAACTCGTGTTTTGAAGGGCCATCCCCGCCGTAAGTCGAGAACATACCCCATGTCCCCGCCGCAACTCGAGAAAAATCATGAGACTTCCCCCTAGAGGCGAGATGAGGCCCCATTCCCCTGCAGTGCATGCAGAGCTATTCCGTGATCCCATTGAAACAAATCAGAAGCTTCGACTTGCTTAATGGATCTCGAGACAGTCCCCAAGAACACTGTCACCAGTCTAGACGGACCCTGAGGTCACCCCAGCAATGCAAAGCAGCTCCATGTGCCCCAAATCAACTCGAGATGAGGCCCGATTCCCCTGCATTGACTCCAGAGCCATTCCCCGTTCCCCATTCAACACGACCGGTGGCTCGACTTCCTTCAGGTCACTGCAGAGATGCCCCGAGAACACTGTCCCAAGTCTAGAGGAACACCAACTTCAGCACAGCAACTCGAGGAATGCTCCGTGTACCCCAAATCGTCTCGAGATGAGAGCTGATTCCCTGGCTTAGGCTCAAGACGTATGCCAACTTTCCAGAAGCACCTCAGGAGGAGGCTTCTCTCAGCAATAGGTATGTGGGAGGGACCCCGAGTTTGCTGCCTCAAGGGGAATATACAGCGAGAAGCCCTAACTTGAAAGGAGGCCGGATTTCCTTGCAGTGGCTTGAATACAGGCTCGTCTTTCATCTCAAAACATGAAGGGATGTCTGAATCCCCTGTGGAGACCTTAGAGAAAGCCCTAGCTCCCTGCCTCATTTTGACGGAATGCCTCACATCCCGCTGACACCTCGAGAGGCACGCCGAGTACATTGTTTCAAAAGGTGACGATGCCTGACTCCTCTTGAATACTGATAGGAATCCCAAAATCCCTGTGGCTACTGGAAAGGGTCCTTGGGTGCCTTGCCTCACCTCGAGAAGCTTCCCTTTTGCCCTGCCGAGCCTCGAAGAGATTCCCGAGGTGTCCCTCGTTACTAGACAGGAGTCCTGACGTCATTGAAGAAACTCGTGTTTTGAAGGGCCATCCCCGCCGTAAGTCGAGAACATACCCCAGGTCCCCGCCGCAACTCGAGAAAAACCATGAGACTTCCCCCTAGATGCGAGATGAGGCCCCATTCCCCTGTAGTGCATGCAGAGCTATTCCGTGATCCCATTCAAACAAGTCAGGAGCTTCGACTTGCTTAATGGATCTCGAGACAGTCCCCAAGAACACTGTCACCAGTCTAGACGGACCCTGAGGTCACCCCAGCAGTGCAGAGCAGCTCCATGTGCCCCAAATCAACTCGAGATGAGGCCCGATTCCCTTGCATTGACTCCAGAGCCATTCCCCGTTCCCCATTCAACACGACCGGTGTCTCGACTTCCTTCAGGCCACTGCAGAGATGCCCCGAGCACACTGTCCCAAGTCTAGAGGAACACCAACTTCAGCACAGCAACTCGAGGAATGCTCCGTGTACCCCAAATCGTCTCGAGATGAGAGCTGATTCCCTGGCTTAGGCTCAAGACGTATGCCAACTTTCCAGAAGCACCTCAGGAGGAGGCTTCTCTCAGCAATAGGTATGTGGGAGGGACCCCGAGTTTGCTGCCTCAAGGGGAATATACAGCGAGAAGCCCTAACTTGAAAGGAGGCCGGATTTCCTTGCAGTGGCTTGAATACAGACCCGTCTTTCATCTCACAACATGAAGGGATGTCTGAATCCCCTGTGGAGACCTTAGAGAAAGCCCTAGGTCCCTGCCTCATTTTGACGGAATGCCTCACATCCCGCTGACACCTCGAGAGGCACACGTAGTTCATTGCTTCAAAAGGTGACGATGCCTGACTCCTCTTGAATACTGATAGGAATCCCACAATCCCTGTGGCTTCTGGAAAGGGTTCTTGGGTGCCCTGCCTCACCTCGAGAAGCGTCCCTTTTGCCCTGCCAAGCCTCGAAGAGATTCCTGAGGTGTCCCTCGTTACTAGACAGGAGTCCTGACGTCACTGAAGAAACTCGTGTTTTGAAGGGCCATCCCCGCCGTAAGTCGAGATCATACCCCAGGTCCCCGCCGCAACTCGAGAAAAACCATGAGACTTCCCCCTAGAGGCGAGATGAGGCCCCATTCCCCTGCAATGCATGCAGAGCTACACCCTGATCCCATTCAAACAAGTCAGGAGCTTCGACTTGCTTAATGGATCTCGAGAGAGTCCCCAAGAACACTGTCACCAGTCTAGACGGACCCTGACGTCACCCCAGCAACGCAAAGCAGCTCTATGTGCCCCAAATCAACTCGAGATGAGGCCCGATTCCCCTGCATTGACTCCAGAGCCTTTCCCCGTTCCCCATTCAACACGACCGGTGGCTCGACTTCCTTCAGGCCACTCCAGAGATGCCCCGAGATCACTGTCCCAAGTCTAGAGGAACACCAACTTTAGCACAGCAACTCTAGGAATGCTCCGTGTACCCCAAATCACATCGCGATGAGAGCTGATTCCCTGGCTTAGGCTCAAGACGTATGCCAACTTTCCAGAAGCACCTCAGGAGGAGGCTTCTCTCAGCAATAGGTATGTGGGAGGGACCCCGAGTTTGCTGCCTCAAGGGGAATATACAGCGAGAAGCCCTAACTTGAAAGGAGGCCGGATTTCCTTGCAGTGGCTTGAATACAGGCCCGTCTTTCATCTCACAACATGAAGGGATGTCTGAATCCCCTGTGGAGACCTTAGAGAAAGCCCTAGGTCCCTGCCTCATTTTGATGGAATGCTTCACATCCCGCTGACACCTCGAGAGGCACGCGGAGTTCATTGCTTCAAAAGGTGACGATGCCTGACTCCTCTTGAATACTGATAGGAATCCCAAAATCCCTGTGGCTACTGGAAAGGGGCCTTGGGTGCCCTGCCTCACCTCGAGAAGCGTCCCTTTTGCCCTGCCAAGCCTCGAAGAGATTCCCAAGGTGTCCCTCGTTACTAGACAGGAGTCCTGACGTCACTGAAGAAACTCGTGTTTTGAAGGGCCATCCCCGCCATAAGTCGAGAACATTCCCCAGGTCCCCGACGCAACTCGAGAAAAACCATGAGACTTCCCCCTAGAGGCGAGATGAGGCCCCATTCCCCTGCAGTGCATGCAGAGCTATTCCGTGATCCCATTCAAACAAGTCAGGAGCTTCGACTTGCTTAATGGATCTCGAGACAGTCCCCAAGAACACTGTCACCAGTCTAGGCGGACCCTGAGGTCACCCCAGCAGGGCAGAGCAGCTCCATGTGCCCCAAATCAAATCGAGATGAGGCCCGATTCCCCTGCATTGACTCCAGAGCCATTCCCCGTTCCCCATTCAACACGACCGGTGGCTCGACTTCCTTCAGGCCACTCCAGAGATGCCCCGAGCACACTGTCCCAAGTCTAGAGGAACACCAACTTCAGCACAGCAACTCGAGGAATGCTCCGTGTACCCCAAATCGTCTCGAGATGAGAGCTGATTCCCTGGCTTAGGCTCAAGACGTATGCCAACTTTCCAGAAGCACCTCAGGAGGAGGCTTCTCTCAGCAATAGGTATGTGGGAGGGACCCCGAGTTTGCTGCCTCAAGGGGAACATACAGCGAGAAGCCCTAACTTGAAAGGAGGCCGGATTTCCTTGCAGTGGCTTGAATACAGGCCCGTCTTTCATCTCACAACATGAAGGGATGTCTGAATCCCCTGTGGAGACCATAGAGAAAGCCCTAGGTCCCTGCCTCATTTTGACGGAATGCCTCACATCCCGCTGACACCTCGAGAGGCACACGGAGTTCATTGCTTCAAAAGGTGACAATGCCTGTCTCCTCTTGAATACTGATAGGAATCCCAAAATCCCTGTGGCTACTGGAATGGGTCCTTGGGTGCCCTGCCTCACCTCGAGAAGCGTCCCTTTTGCCCTGCCAAGCCTCGAAGAGATTCCTGAGGTGTCCCTCGTTACTAGTCAGGAGTCCTGACGTCACTGAAGAAACTCGAGTTTTGAAGGGCCATCCCCGCCGTAAGTCGAGAACATACCCCAGGTCCCCGCCGCAACTCGAGAAGAACCATGAGACTTCCCCCTAGAGGCGAGATGAGGCCCCATTCCCCTGCAGTGCATGCAGAGCTATTCCGTGATCCCATTGAAACAAATCAGGAGCTTCGACTTGCTTAATGGATCTCGAGACAGTCCCCAAGAACACTGTCACCAGTCTAGACGGACCCTGAGGTCACCCCAGCAATGCAAAGCAGCTCCATGTGCCCCAAATCAACTCGAGATGAGGCCCGATTCCCCTGCATTGACTCCAGAGCCATTCCCCGTTCCCCATTCAACACGACCGGTGGCTCGACTTCCTTCAGGCCACTGCAGAGATGCCCCGAGAACACTGTCCCAAGTCTAGAGGAACACCAACTTCAGCACAGCAACTCGAGGAATGCTCCGTGTACCCCAAATCGTCTCGAGATGAGAGCTGATTCCCTGGCTTAGGCTCAAGACGTATGCCAACTTTCCAGAAGCACCTCAGGAGGAGGCTTCTCTCAGCAATAGGTATGTGGGAGGGACCCCGAGTTTGCTGCCTCAAGGGGAATATACAGCGAGAAGCCCTAACTTGAAAGGAGGCCGGATTTCCTTGCAGTGGCTTGAATACAGGCCCATCTTTCATCTCACAACATGAAGGGATGTCTGAATCCCCTGTGGAGACCTTAGAGAAAGCCCTAGGTGCCTGCCTCATTTTGACGGAATGCCTCACATCCCGCTGACACCTCGAGAGGCACACGGAGTTCATTGCTTCAAAAGTTGACGATGCCTGACTCCTCTTGAATACTGATAGGAATCCCAAAATCACTGTGGCTACTGGAAAGGGTCCTTGGGTGCCCTGCCTCACCTCGAGAAGCGTCCCTTTTGCCCTGCCAAGCCTCGAAGAGATTCCTGAGGTGTCCCTCGTTACTAAACAGGAGTCCTGACGTCACTGAAGAAACTCGTGTTTTGAAGGGCCATCCCCGCCGTAAGTCGAGATCATACCCCAGGTCCCCGCCGCAACTCGAGAAAAACCATGAGACTTCCCCCTAGAGGCGAGATGAGGCCCCATTCCCCTGCAATGCATGCAGAGCTACACCCTGATCCCATTCAAACAAGTCAGGAGCTTCGACTTGCTTAATGGATCTCGAGAGAGTCCCCAAGAACACTGTCACCAGTCTAGACGGACCCTGACGTCACCCCAGCAACGCAAAGCAGCTCTATGTGCCCCAAATCAACTCGAGATGAGGCCCGATTCCCCTGCATTGACTCCAGAGCCTTTCCCCGTTCCCCATTCAACACGACCGGTGGCTCGACTTCCTTCAGGCCACTCCAGAGATGCCCCGAGATCACTGTCCCAAGTCTAGAGGAACACCAACTTTAGCACAGCAACTCTAGGAATGCTCCGTGTACCCCAAATCACATCGCGATGAGAGCTGATTCCCTGGCTTAGGCTCAAGACGTATGCCAACTTTCCAGAAGCACCTCAGGAGGAGGCTTCTCTCAGCAATAGGTATGTGGGAGGGACCCCGAGTTTGCTGCCTCAAGGGGAATATACAGCGAGAAGCCCTAACTTGAAAGGAGGCCGGATTTCCTTGCAGTGGCTTGAATACAGGCCCGTCTTTCATCTCACAACATGAAGGGATGTCTGAATCCCCTGTGGAGACCTTAGAGAAAGCCCTAGGTCCCTGCCTCATTTTGATGGAATGCTTCACATCCCGCTGACACCTCGAGAGGCACGCGGAGTTCATTGCTTCAAAAGGTGACGATGCCTGACTCCTCTTGAATACTGATAGGAATCCCAAAATCCCTGTGGCTACTGGAAAGGGGCCTTGGGTGCCCTGCCTCACCTCGAGAAGCTTCCCTTTTGCCCTGCCAAGCCTCGAAGAGATTCCTAAGGTGTCCCTCGTTACTAGACAGGAGTCCTGACGTCACTGAAGAAACTCGTGTTTTGAAGGGCCATCCCCGCCGTAAGTCGAGAACATTCCCCAGGTCCCCGACGCAACTCGAGAAAAACCATGAGACTTCCCCCTAGAGGCGAGATGAGGCCCCATTCCCCTGCAGTGCATGCAGAGCTATTCCGTGATCCCATTCAAACAAGTCAGGAGCTTCGACTTGCTTAATGGATCTCGAGACAGTCCCCAAGAACACTGTCACCAGTCTAGGCGGACCCTGAGGTCACCCCAGCAGGGCAGAGCAGCTCCATGTGCCCCAAATCAAATCGAGATGAGGCCCGATTCCCCTGCATTGACTCCAGAGCCATTCCCCGTTCCCCATTCAACACGACCGGTGGCTCGACTTCCTTCAGGCCACTCCAGAGATGCCCCGAGCACACTGTCCCAAGTCTAGAGGAACACCAACTTCAGCACAGCAACTCGAGGAATGCTCCGTGTACCCCAAATCGTCTCGAGATGAGAGCTGATTCCCTGGCTTAGGCTCAAGACGTATGCCAACTTTCCAGAAGCACCTCAGGAGGAGGCTTCTCTCAGCAATAGGTATGTGGGAGGGACCCCGAGTTTGCTGCCTCAAGGGGAACATACAGCGAGAAGCCCTAACTTGAAAGGAGGCCGGATTTCCTTGCAGTGGCTTGAATACAGGCCCGTCTTTCATCTCACAACATGAAGGGATGTCTGAATCCCCTGTGGAGACCTTAGAGAAAGCCCTAGGTCCCTGCCTCATTTTGACGGAATGCCTCACATCCCGCTGACACCTCGAGAGGCACACGGAGTTCATTGCTTCAAAAGGTGACAATGCCTGTCTCCTCTTGAATACTGATAGGAATCCCAAAATCCCTGTGGCTACTGGAATGGGTCCTTGGGTGCCCTGCCTCACCTCGAGAAGCGTCCCTTTTGCCCTGCCAAGCCTCGAAGAGATTCCTGAGGTGTCCCTCGTTACTAGTCAGGAGTCCTGACGTCACTGAAGAAACTCGAGTTTTGAAGGGCCATCCCCGCCGTAAGTCGAGAACATACCCCAGGTCCCCGCCGCAACTCGAGAAGAACCATGAGACTTCCCCCTAGAGGCGAGATGAGGCCCCATTCCCCTGCAGTGCATGCAGAGCTATTCCGTGATCCCATTCAAACAAGTCAGGAGCTTCGACTTGCTTAATGGATCTCGAGACAGTCCCCAAGAACACTGTCACCATTCTAGACGGACCCTGAGGTTACCCCAGCAACGCAAAGCAGCTCCATGTGCCCCAAATCAACTCGAGATGAGGCCCGATTCCCCTGCATTGACTGCAGAGCCATTCCCCGTTCCCCATTCAACACGACCGGTGGCTCGACTTCCTTCAGGCAACTCCAGAGATGCCCCGAGAACACTGTCCCAAGTCTAGAGGAACAACAACTTCAGCACAACAACTCGAGGAATGCTCCGTGTACCTCAAATCGTCTCGAGATGAGAGCTGATGCCCTGGCTTAGGCTCAAGACATATGCCAACTTTCCAGAAGCACCTCAGGACGAGGCTTCTCTCAGCAATAGGTATGTGGGAGGGACCCCGAGTTTGCTGCCTCAAGGGGAATATACAGCGAGAAGCCCTAACTTGAAAGGAGGCCGGATTTCCTTGCAGTGGCTTGAATACAGGCCCGTCTTTCATCTCACAACATGAAGGGATGTCTGAATCCCCTGTGGAGACCTTAGAGAAAGCTCTAGGTCCCTGCCTCATTTTGACGGACTGCCTCACATCCCGCTGACACCTCGATAGCCACGCTGAGTTCATTGCTTCAAAAGGTGACGATGCCTGACTCCTCTTGAATACTGATAGGAATCCCAAAATCCCTGTGGCTCCTGGAAAGGGTCCTTGGGTGCCCTGCCTCACCTCGAGAAGCGTCCCTTTTGCCCTGCCAAGCCTCGAAGAGATTCCTAAGGTGTCCCGCGTTACTAGACAGGAGTCCTGACGTCACTGAAGAAAGTCATGTTTTGAAAAGCCATCCCCGCCATAAGTCGAGAACATTCCCCAGGTCCCCGACGCAACTCGAGAAAAACCATGAGACTTCCCCCTAGAGGCGAGATGAGGCCCCATTCCCCTGCAGTGCATGCAGAGCTACTCCGTGATCCCATTGAAACAAGTCAGGAGTTTCGACTTGCTTAATGGATCTCGAGACAGTCCCCAAGAACACTGTCACCAGTCTAGACGGACCCTGAGGTCACCCCAGCAAAGCAAAGCAGCTCTATGTGCCCCAAATCAACTCGAGATGAGGCCCCATTCCCCTGCATTGACTCCAGAGCCATTCCCCGTTCCCCATTCAACACGACCGGTGGCTCGACTTCCTTCAGGCCACTCCAGAGATGCCCCGAGAACACTGTCCCAAGTCTACAGGAACACCAACTTCAGCACAGCAACTCGAGGAATGCTCCGTGTACCCCAAATCGCATCGAGATGAGAGCTGATTCCCTGGCTTAGGCTCAAGACGTATGCCAACTTTCCAGAAGCACCTCAGGAGGAGGCTTCTCTCAGCAATAGGTATGTGGGAGGGACCCCGAGTTTGCTACCTCAAGGGGAATATACAGCGAGAAGCCCTAACTTGAAAGGAGGCCGGATTTCCTTGCAGTGGCTTGAATACAGGCCCGTCTTTCATCTCACAACATGAAAGGATGTCTGAATCCCCTGTGGAGACCTTAGAGAAAGCCCTAGGTCCCTGCCTCATTTTGACGGAATGCCTCACATCCCGCTGACACCTCAAGAGGCACGCGGAGTTCATTGCTTCAAAACGTGACGATGCCTGACTCCTCTTGAATACTGAGAGGAATCCCAAAATCCCTGTGGCTACTGGAAAGGGTCCTTGGGTGCCCTGCCTCACCTCGAGAAGCGTCCCTTTTGCCCTGCCAAGCCTCGAAGCGATTCCTGAGGGGTCCCTCATTACTAGACAGGAGTCCTGACGTCACTGAAGAAAGTCGTGTTTTGAAGGGCCATCCCCGCCGTAAGTCGAGAACATACCCCAGGTCCCCGCCGCAACTCGAGAAAAATCATGAGACTTCCCCCTAGAGGCGAGATGAGGCCCCATTCCCCTACAGTGCATGCAGAGCTATTCCGTGATCCCATTGAAACAAATCAGGAGTTTCGACTTGCTTAATGGATCTCGAGACAGTCCCCAAGAACACTGTCACCAGTCTAGACGGACCCTGAGGTCACCCCAGCAATGCAAAGCAGCTCCATATGCCCCAAATCAACTCGAGATGAGGCCCGATTCCCCTGCATTGACTCCAGAGCCATTCCCCGTTCCCCATTCAACACGACCGGTGGCTCGACTTCCTTCAGGTCACTGCAGAGATGCCCCGAGAACACTGTCCCAAGTCTAGAGGAACACCAAATTCAGCACAGCAACTCGAGGAATGCTCCGTGTACCACAAATGGTCTCGAGATGAGAGCTGATTCCCTGGCTTAGGCTCAAGACGTATGCCAACTTTCCAGAAGCACCTCAGGAGGAGGCTTCTCTCAGCAATAGGTATGTGGGAGGGACCCCGAGTTTGCTGCCTCAAGGGGAATATACAGCGAGAAGCCCTAACTTGAAAGGAGGCCGGATTTCCTTGCAGTGGCTTGAATACAGGCCCGTCTTTCATCTCACAACATGAAGGGATGTCTGAATCCCCTTGGAGACCTTAGAGAAAGCCCTAGGTCCCTGCCTCATTTTGACGGAATGCCTCACATCCCGCTGACACCTCGAGAGGCACCCGTAGTTCATTGCTTCAAAAGGTGACGATGCCTGACTCCTCTTGAATACTGATAGGAATCCCAAAATCCCTGTGGCTTCTGGAAAGGGTTCTTGGGTGCCCTGCCTCACCTCGAGAAGTGTCCCTTTTGCCCTGCCAAGCCTCGAAGAGATTCCTGAGGTGTCCCGCGTTACTAGACAGGAGTCCTGACGTCACTGAAGAAACTCGTGTTTTGAAGGGCCATCCCCGCCATAAGTCGAGAACATACCCCAGGTCCCCGCCGCAACTCGAGAAA